ACACGGCAGTTGTGGACGGATTGCTAGCAATAATTCGGTACTTCTCATTCCACGCCATGGAGGGGCATATCTAGCTTAAGGGTAGGTTTCTGTGACCTTTACTCTCCTCAATCAACATAGCCAGTCACATATCGCAATCATGGTCAGACTTCCCTTCCACGCCGAGCACATTGGCTCTCTCCTCCGTCCTGCCGACCTCCAGGAGGCCAAGACCAAGGCTGCCAACAAGCAGATCTCCGACTCTGAGCTCGAGGCTGCTGAGCACAAGGCCATCACCCACATTGTCAAGCGTCAGCAAAATGAGGGTGTCCGTCCCATCTGCTCGGGCGAGTACGACCGCAAGGTCTACTTTGGTGGCTTCTTCGAGGAGCTTGACGGCTTCGAGGAGGTCGACGACGCACCCTGGGACCTTTACAGACTCTCTGCTCCCCCAATTGCTGCCCTGAAGAAGGCTGGCCTCAAGTACCCCATGACTGTTGTCTGCAACGGCAAGATTGAGTACAAGCACAGCCCTTACCTCAAGAAGTGGGAGTACCTCAAGTCGCAGGTCCCCAAGTCGCAGTGGGACCAGTGCAAGTTCACCATGCCCCCGGCTCCCTACTTCCATCTCCGTCTTGCTCCCGGCAAGTGCTACCCCAAGGAGGTCTACCCCACCGATGACGCCTTCTTCGCCGACCTGGCCAATGCCTACAAGAAGGAGTTCAAGGCCCTGCACGACGCTGGCCTCAAGAGCATCCAGATCGATGACCCTACGCTTGCCTACTTCTGCTCCAAGGACATGCTCGAGGGCCTCAAGACCGACGGTGTCGACCCCGACGAGCTCTTCGACCTGTACTGCAAGGCCCACAACGACTGTCTCGAGGGCCGCCCCGAGGGTCTCCACGTTGGTCTCCACATCTGCAGAGGTAAGCCAGACCACAATCACCAGTATCAAGCAGTATACTAACCTCGCGCAGGCAACTTCTCCAAGTCGATGCACTTCTCCCAGGGCTCGTACGAGCAGATCGCCGAGAGATTCTTCAAGACCCTCAACTACGACACCTTCTACCTCGAGTACGATGACGCCCGCAGCGGTGGCTTCGAGCCCCTCCGCTTCCTCCCCAAGAACAAGAACGTCGTTCTCGGTGTCACGNTCAGCACAAAGGTCGCCGACCTCGAGGACGCCAAAGAGATGAAGGAGAAGGTCCTCGAGGCCGCCGACATCATTGCCAAGGGCCAGGGCGTCAGCCGCGAGCAGGCCATGGAGTGCATTGGTATCAGCCCTCAGTGCGGTTTCGCCAGCACTGGTGTCGGTGCCGAGGCCATGACCGAGGACAAGATGTTCGCCAAGCTCAACCTTGTCAAGCAGGTCGCCAACGAGCTCTGGCCCGACCGCGCTTAAACGCCAGGAAATGGCCAGTAGAAGTACGATTGGATTAATGAAGAAGCTCTAACGAAAGGATTTATGCATGGCGTCAAAGGATATTCAACATTTTGGGGGCTATGTGTTTACGTTACTACGAGTATATACCCGGTGTCAACCAGCCGGAGGGGGAGATATTGGAGATGATACACTGATTGGATCAGAAAAGTTGGCCCTGGGATTGGGAGCTACTGTTGCATATGAAAAGGAACAAAGATACAGACACATGAAAAACACATGACAAGCTTGTGTGATGAGCCGACGTCATATCACCCGACAGTATCTCTATCCATTGAAAGGTGACGAGGACTCTTACTGGTGGTAGGATGCTGTGGGCAACTATTGTGAGAGAATGTCGGTGGATGACGAGGGGATGCACTGCGCCGCTGTGGAAACAAGGTTCGATATCAACGACAGACAGCGAACGTCGTCCCAACAATGTTGCCGTGAGGGTCTCGCAAGCAATTACTTCAACTGTGCAGTCGACGCACGCATGCCCTGCATGCTCCCAAGAGTCAAAAGCACAACAGGTTAGGGAAAGCAGCTGCTGCTTGCGGCGTGGAAGAAGCAAAAAGCAGCCCGCGAAAGTGGTACGAGGTTTTGGACGTGAGAAGCGTCTCGAACGGTCATGGAAGGAAGCACAGATGTTGGGTCAAACTAGCTCTGGAGCTCCGCAAAAAGCAGCGATAGCATGCCAACGTCCATACGTGACAAGTCTCGTGGTCGACGACGGCGGGTGTAGGGAACAGAACAGCGAGAGCCACATCCGTGTCCCCAGACCATTTTACCGCTGGCGGGTGGTGGCAGTCAAGAAGCAGATGAAGGTCAAAGGTTGGGGCAATTGGGAATGCCAAGGCTTGAGCAGGAGAGATCAGCAGAGATGCTGTTGAGGCGCTTCACCGCGCTTGAGCCTTTGGCCAGCCAGGGGCTTGCCTCAGCTTGTGGGGACGCGATCGACCGCGTTATGGAATTCGCCGGGCGGAAGAGTCGAGCAAGGATTGGCTCCTGGGGTATCTGGCATGGACTGAGGATGCACAATGGGAAGCAATGAGCAGAGCACGAGGACTATGTACAGGTGGGAAAACGAATCGCTGTGGTGGTCGAGGTGCAAGCAGCAAACAGACGGTAAATGTTGGGAAGGTTCGAATGGTCAGCCAGACGAGATGAAACGCAAGATTCGCCCGAGGTTGATCGGGCTTTGGAAGTTCTCGCCTTCCAGGGTCGTCGCTTCTAGCGTGTGGGCGACTAAGAGCTTGGGGACAACTGACAATTTTCCTGACCGCACAACGTGTCGATTAAAACCCGACTCCTCCTGTCCTTCTCTTGCAACCTATTCGCTCATTCGTTCTGCCATCCTCCCACAGGCTCAAGGCTCCTACTTGTTTGTGCCTCTCCCTCAACAAGTCTTGCTGCACCCACCTGTCCCCCACTTGACACGGCAACTCGCTTTTTGCTTGGCTTGTCCCGTCTCTGCCTCTCCTACCTATTTCTACCAATTCCAATCGAGCTCCCGCTCTCACGTCTCTCCCTCAAACAACTCACACAATGGCATCCACCACTGCTCTTCCCGCACAGAGGGGCGCCGTCCAGCGCTCTGTCACCGGCCACTCGGTTGCCAGCTCGTCTGCTCCCTCGCAGGTCGTTTCCCCTGCCGACTCTCCTCGCAACTCTCCTTCGACCACTTCGCTGTCTTCGATGGGCTCTGGCGATGAGGAGCCCCTCAAGAACCAGCGTGGTACTCTGATCGACACCTACGGCAACGAGTTCAAGATCCCCGACTACACCATCAAGCAAATCCGTGACGCTATCCCTGCTCACTGCTTTGAGCGTTCTGCTGCCACTGGTTTCTACTACATCGCCCGCGACATTGTCTGCATCGCTACCACCTTCATCCTCGCTCACAACTTTGTCACTCCCGAGTACATTCCCTCGACTCCTGTCAGAGCTGGTCTCTGGGCCCTCTACACTGTCCTCCAGGGTTTGTTCGGTACCGGTCTTTGGGTCATTGCCCACGAGTGTGGTCACCAGGCCTTCTCTCCTTCCAAGACTCTTAACGACACTGTCGGCTGGGTCCTTCACTCTGCTCTTCTCGTCCCCTACTTCTCATGGAAGATCTCGCACGGCAAGCACCACAAGGCCACTGGCAACATGGAGCGTGACATGGTCTTCCTCCCCAAGACCCGTGAGGTCTACGCTTCCAGAGTCGGCCACGCCATCCATGAGCTCTCCGAGCTGATGGAGGAGACCCCTATCGCTACCGCTACCCACATGGTTCTGCAGCAGCTCTTCGGCTGGCCTCTTTACCTCATCACCAATGTCACTGGCCACATCAACCACCACAAGCAGACTGAGGGTAAGGGTGAGGGTAAGCGCAACGGCTGGTTCGGTGGCGTCAACCACTTCAACCCCTCCAGTCCTCTGTACGAGCGCAAGGACGAGAAGCTGATTCTTCTGTCTGACGTCGGTCTCGCTCTGACCTGCACTGCTCTCTACTTCATCTACCAGAACTTCGGCTTCCAGAACCTCCTCGTTTGGTACCTCCTTCCTTACCTCTGGGTCAACCACTGGCTCGTCGCCATCACCTTCCTCCAGCACACCGACCCCTCGCTCCCTCACTACGATGCCAACACCTGGACCTTCACCCGCGGAGCCGCTGCCACTATCGACCGCGAGTTTGGTTTCATCGGTCGTAATCTTCTCCACGGCATCATCGAGACTCACGTCCTCCACCACTACATCTCGACCATTCCCTTCTACCACGCTGACGAGGCCACCGAGGCTATCAAGCCCATCATGGGCCAGCACTACCGCAGCGATGTCAGAGACGGTCCCGTCGGTTTCCTCAAGGCCATGTACAGCAGCGCCAGATGGTGCCAGTGGGTCGAGCCCTCGGAGGGTGCTCAGGGTGAGGGCAAGGGTGTTCTCTTCTTCAGAAACCGTAACGGTCTTGGTGTCGCTCCTTCCAAGTTGTCTGCCCCTGGTGCCAGCAAGTCTGGCATGACCATTGGCGGCGACAGCGACAACGAGTAGACGAATGGCCTGTACAGAGAATTTTGATTACTGCGATTTTGCGTTCAGCATGTTTTCTTCGACACCTATTATTCTTCCAGACAACGCCCTAAGGCGAATCGGCAGGGCAAACAAGCGCAACACAGCGCTGGCTTTGCTCATCAGGGAATAGAGCTATCACACCTAGCTGCCTAAAGCCACGCTCCGCTTCCATTGATGGCTGCCACGACCACTATTGTTCTCATTCTTTGGAAGCATGCCTCAAGAGCCACTGGGCAGTTTAGGTGATGGCATACAAACATAATTTAGATGGGAAAGGACTATGAATGCTGTCATATGTGGCAGGTTCGGATAGACCATTGTTCTGTCGTTTTTGGAAATTACGAAATATGAAAAGTCGACTTGCTCCACTCCAAACCAAAGTTCCTCTTATGTGATCTGTCTTGGGCTTCTGCTTTACGTTTCGATCTTGGAAGATGAGTGTAGAAGTATGGTTCTTGTGATTTCGTATCATGGCGCAATTGAACGAACGCCTTTGGGTATCTTCCAATCAACAGTAAAAGTACAATAGATGAACAGAGAGCATCTCTCAACTCTTCTCAGTCACCTCATCAGGGTCCCTCCAGAAAGCTTTCTTGACAGGCTCAGTCCTCAAATCCCAAATCTTTTCCGAACTGCCCTTCTCGGCCTTGTTCTGTTCATCCTTTGCCTGGTAAAACTCCTTGATACGCTCTTCCTTCTCGCGGTCGGGCAAAGTCTTGATGCGCATGCAGAACCAGAAAGCATTCCAGTTGTCGGAGCAGCTGCGCAGTTCGCCATAACGGTAGATGTCGTTGAACTTGCCGCCGAGCGATTGGCAGTAGAACGCTTGGTCGAAGGCTTGACGGCAGGACATTTGGCGTGGGTAGAGGGCTTCGGGGGAGATGTCGAGNGGTGCATCGGATTCGGATTGCTGCTCGATTGAGCCCGAGGGCGAGGGNACGTAGCGTGTGGGTGTTTCTTTTGGGGCTGGCGTTACATGTTGGATTTCTGGTGCCATGACTGAAGGCTGTGGTCTTGAATTTGTTGGTTCCGTCGTTGTTGAGGGTTTCTCAAAGGAAGCGAATAGCGCCTCGAAGTCGCTGTCTGGTGAGGCCTTCTTGGGTGCTTCTCTGTATGTTGTTGAAACTGGCGTCGGTGTTTGCACTGTGCTTGAGGGAGCAGACTCCGTAACAGGAGCCGCTGTCGAATCTGATGACCACCACCAACCCATGATTTGATATGAATGTGTTTGTAGGAGAAAAAGTCGCGGCCAAGACATGCATCTCGAAACCACTGAGGAAAGTCCGCTCGAGCAAGCCACACGTGACGTCGTTGCTCTCTTCCAACTTCTCTACTTACGCCCTCCAAGTTTGCTACGGTATATCATTCTCTACTTTTGTACGACTCATCTGATTTGGTTCATCACTACTCATCTGGACATATTGGATATCGACTTGGATAAAGAGGCCATGGACTCGTGATGCTGCCAACCCAACATATATTAACCCGCCAGCTAATGCGCCCTGGCTTGCCCAGGGTGTATCGTGTGGCATGTGCTCAAGGGCTTCGTTACAACTCCTTGGAAGCAGGCGAAAATAACACTGGACATATCAGTGTTGATGCCAAGGAAGGTGTACTGTTTTTCAACAGTAAGTCTTTCTGCCCATCTACAGCAACAAGCATATCCCTAAGCAAAAGTAATCAGNACTTGTATCCTTTGAGACTGCAATGGCTCCTTCGTCTACCGCTTTTGAGCGCCGACAGACTGTTCTCGACACTGACTGGAGGTGACAAATCTATGGGAGCTATCGATCCTCAGAAAGTCATCAAGAGGGCACAAGAAGCTACCCCTGACAAGCCTGTACAAGCGAACGTGGTCGAAGTACTGCCCAGAGTTAAAGAGGGCGGTGCTTTCGTCAAATTTTCGTATGATTCTGGCTCAAAACTATCCGACATCGAAGCCGCAGTACAGAAGCATCTCCAGGATCATCAAGTAAAGCCTTGGTGGGCACCCATAACCAATGTCCGAGCAGGACTGGTCAAGGGCAAGCCATGGGTTGAGGACTTGTATCGCCTGCCTAGTCAGCGATTGAGAATCGAATTCTTGCCTACAGCCCCTGGAGGTGACGTTGCAGAACTATCTCAAGAGCAGCTATATGCTTTCTTCAGACCTTATGGAAAGCTGGCAGATATCATCTCTCAGCCTTCGGATTCGAAGATCCTACCCAAGTTTGCCAACGTCGACTTTACGGCGGTGAGAAAAGCAGTCATGGCCAAGGTAAGGACCTTTTCGGACCGAATCTTAAATGCAATACTGACTGCTTCCAGANATTGTTTGCATGGCTATGTTGTTTCAGAGGAACAGGGAGGTGGTAAGCTCGGGACAGTCTTCAGGATCAGTTATGAGAAGAAGCAGAAAGCACGGTGGTTTATCGATTGGCTCACGAACCATCCTCGCATAGCCATTCCAGCTATCGCCGCTCTCGTCGCTGGTATCACCGTCGCAGTTTTCGATCCTATCCGTACCGCATTCATCAAGGGGCACATCACCCGAACGCTTCATCTCGAGGATAATAGAGTCTACCGCTGGTTCAAGAAGCAGGCAAGCGACCTCCTTGATGTTGTACGTCTCAGATCACACACACCCGACGAAGCTGGAATGGAAGCTATTTGGGAAGATCAGAGAGGAAACATCAACCAGATCAAGACCTGGCTAATGGAAACGGCCGACACTTTCATCGTAGTCCAGGGACCACGTGGATCTGCCAAGCGAGAGCTGGTCGTTGACCAGGCCTTGAAAGACCGCAGGAACAAATTGGTTCTCGACTGTAAACCCATCCAGGAAGCTCGTGGAGACTCGGGCACCATTAATGCTACAGCGGCAGAAGTCGGTTATAGACCTGTCTTCAGCTGGATGAACTCAATCAGTGGACTGATCGATCTCGCAGCCCAAGGAGCTACTGGTGTCAAGACTGGCTTCTCCGAAACCTTGGACTCTCAGCTTACCAAGATCTTCACAAACACACAAACAGCTCTGAAGCAGATCGCACTCGACGGAAGGAAGAAAGACGATAGAGATGCCAATCTCAGTGACGACGAATATCTTGAAGCGCATCCAGAGAGACGACCTGTCGTTGTCATTGACAACTTCCTGCATAAGAGCCAGGAGGGCACTGTTGTCTATGACAAGATCGCTGAATGGTAAGTGAAAGGATGTTGATAATCCGAAGTCGAAAGCTGACTCAAGATAGGGNCCGCTCGTGTCACCACTTCCAACATTGCTCACGTGATCTTCTTGACTCACGATGTCTCTTTCAGCAAGTCGTTGTCTAAAGCATTGCCTGATCGTGTGTTCCGTCAAATCAGTCTTTCCGACACAAGTATCGAGGTTGCTAAGCGCTTCGTTATCAACCACATTGATTTCGAGAGTGAAGACGCAGAAGCTGGTATCAAGCAATTGACTCCCTCCCAACGTCGCAAAGATCTCGGGGAGCTCGATGGTGTTCTACCTGCTCTGGGTGGTCGTCTCACAGATCTCGAGTTTTTGGCGCGCAGAATCAAGGCTGGAGAGACACCGCGCAAAGCTGTCCGCGAGATTGTTGAGCAATCTGCTAGCGAGATCTTGAAGATGTTCGTGCTCGGCCAGGAAGACGGTGGCCGTCAATGGACACCTCAACAGGCCTGGCTACTCATCAAGCAGCTTGCCAAGGACCAAAGCATACGATACAACGAGATCTTGCTGTCGGATTCATACAAGTCCGGCGGTGAGAAAGCACTTGCAGCTCTTGAGCAAGCAGAGCTTATCGCCATCCAATCCTACAACGGCCGTCCATATGCCATCAAGCCCGGTCGTCCAGTCTACCAGCCTGCGTTCGAGAAGCTGACTCAGGATAAGGTCCTGCAGTCACGCATGGATCTCGCAGTCTTGGCAGAGGGCATCAAGGCCGAAACGCAGAGTATTGACAAGTACGAGCAAGAGTTGCACCTTCTGGGTGAACTGCCGAGACAGCCGGCGGAGTTGACAAGCCGTGTCAACTATCTCTTGACCAAGATTATGGCCAGTCAAGCCAAGGTCGAGGCTTACGAGAAGCAGAGCGGGGATCTCAAGAAGATTTTGACTACAGAATACTAGGATGTAAATAGGGAGGGCCGTGGACGCTACTATCCCATCTCAGCCTTTGTAATAACAATAAATTTGGTTCATCTCATGCATACTGATCTTGCGTAAGCATACTGATGGATGATGTTGCTCAGTCCTCTTCACTTCAACCAGATGCTCAGGATCCTTTACTTGAGATCAGCATCATCTACACTTCATATAGCTCGTTCTACCAGTTCCCTTCATCAATCACATGGTCTGGCGGTTTAGTATAGCAGCATGACAGCTAACCACAAGTCTTGGCAGTTCACTTGCGGCAAACAATTCAACCAACCATCATAACATGCTCGAGTTCGAACCTCTTGGTCAGCTAACACTTTCGCCACAGCAACCAACTCTATCACATTGGTCTCTCGATAGACGCGCCCCTGTGGAAAGGTGGTCAGGTCACTATCAGAGGCTGGAGGAGAAGAGCGAGAGGAAGTAAGAAGAGAAACCTTGGAGGAGGTAAGTTACCAAACCCCCAATCTGCCAGACCTGTGATTCTTTTTTTTTGCTTCAAAGTGCTTGGTCAGAACGTGCCGTGTATTGTTTGCCGTGTGGCTTGCAGAATGCAGATAGATTCATTGGATGTCAGACCTTATATAGGCTTTGGCAGCACCGCCGTCAAACATGCCGCCGCCGCCATTAATCGACCATATCGATAGTTTCCTAGAATCTCTCCGCTGCTGAGTATCCATTTTTATAGATACCATCTTTGTGATCGCACTCCCTGAATTGCTTAGATCTTGTTTTGGTCCTGCTTCTAACTCGATATTGTCGTTTCTTTTGCCGAACCGCCACCATCCTGAGTGGCTGTGGCGTGAAGATGCGGAGTGGCGGTTTGTGTTTCTGCGTGAGCAGGTTCGTAGTGTGATTGCTCGAAGGCTGGGGAGTGAGGCGCAGATGATGCCGACGTTTACTTCCATGCTTGACAAAAGGGCTGCGGGGCCGTTGTGTTTGCTCACATCTGAGTTGGTAGCGATAATGTATAGAGGCCCTAATCTAGCGATTGACACTAGACATACACTGTTATGGCGTGTCGTCAGCAAACCTCGCCTTCCGCTGTTCCCGAGGAATGGGTCCACTCACAAGCCTCCGAGAGCGAAAACGGCTATCAGACCTGCTTTTGAACGATAGGGTAGATTCAAACCTCGGAGGAAGGGCATCGGCATGCTCAAGAGTATCAAGTCGGTAAGGATGTTGATTGTCGCATCACTGAACCACTTTGCTTTGAAGTTCATACAGTGTGCTTCACTCATTCCATCCCAAAAGTAGTGAACGGGTACGCAGAGGAACAATGATCCGATGACCGACCATGTTCCNTATTCCGGATGGTGTTAGTGCCGTGATACACAAAGATGTGACATTGATCAATACTGACCAAATGCTGCGACGAAGATCATCGTTCCGATGATAACTCTGTGAATTGTTTTGTCTCTGAAGATTCGCATATATTGTAACAGGATCGACAGCTTTGTCAAGGTCAACCCGGCGAGATATACTGGAATTGCTTTATACAGAGCCTTGAGNATACGTCAGCTTGACCAGGTCGGCTTCGTGCAGAATATAATTCATACCTTTCGTAGGTTGAGAACGTCATCCGCCGAGAGGATACTTTGTGATAGACCTTGACCGTTCTGGACCTCNTGAGAGTATTTAGCATTGAAGGGCCCAAGTGCGGATTGAATTCGCATACCGATAAGTACAAACACTGCTTGTGTGATGGAGAAGCACTACCACATGTTAGGAATGCTCAACTGTCAAGTCGATATGTCCAGAGGACTTACGAAAGCCGCCGCGATGACCCAATCCTCTGGACCATGGTTTTGTGTGACGATCACTCGAGTAAAGAGTCGCAGAGACAGAACGATGAAAGCCAGTATAAGGAAGACAAAGACGATGACCACCTGAGTGGTGCCGTGTCGTCCACCCCAATGAGCCATGACTAGGTGGTATTACGGCCGTCTGGGGTTGTAAGGGGTGGTCGGAACCAGAACAGCGACGGGCAGAGAGTGTTTGTAGTTCGCGACCAGATCGCACCATGCCCGCCGGCTGCAGGGCAGTTGAGGCGCGCCGTGTCTCTATTGAGGAACCAATACCATGCGAACGGAATACGGCGATTGGGGCGTTGAATCACCAGTAGCCGTACAGAAATGACATTGGGTTGCCGCGAGGGGTTGAACCCTTTCTCCTTGGCTCAAACTATCGAAAGAGCTAGCTCTCGAAGGAAGGAACATCTCAACAAGAATACGCCTTGGTCCCTTGAAATCTCCTTCCTTCGGCAGAGCCACTAATCCACGATCGAGGAAGTTGCAATAGATGGTAAGAAACCAGAAACTAGCAGCAGACCGTTTCCCTCTGCTTACCATTTGACTCTCGTTTCCCCACGAATACAAGGATAGAGATGCAACGGCGCGGACATGTTCGGTCAACGATGGCTGAATCTTAAAAGACTAGACCATCAGCTGAAAGAGGGCTTACGGTTGTCAACTCTCGGTAAAATGCTGGGAGAATACAGTGCCTTTCTAAAAGTGCCCTTTTTGTTACAGCGACATGGTGCAAGGTACTCATAGATCAAGGGACGTCAAGAAGGCGATGTTGATTGCAAAATCGCTGGGAATCTCGCTTCGAGAAAGACGACTTCTCACGACCGTCTCGACTCCAACTCATCCTTGAGGCAACCCGGTATCAAGTCCAAGCACGGAGAGTGTTGATAACGTTAGGTTGGGGCGACGGTCACAGAAGAAGGATGATGTCTCGCCAACATCACCATGTGGCTCTACAGACCATCGTAGAGCAAGCTCGAGAGCCGTCTTGCCGTCGCAGCTGCTTGCTTAAAGACACATCCTCAAGCAACAAGGTGTGCAACGGAGACTATCATTGACACCTAGTCAATTGAATCACAGATCCTTCGAAAGCGAGATCCGGCGTCACATCCAGCACTGATGTACTCAGTAGCTGTCAAAATGCATGATGATTCGACATTAGTCCAGTCATCCGCTGGAAGCCCTATTCACAGAACCCTCTTAGGGCAAGAATCTGACCGTTGAAAGTCTTGTATAATGTGACAGCTCGATCTCACATACTTGGGCCTGGTGCGACATCTTTATCTTCTTTGTCTTGAAACATGGCCAGCTGAGAGTATGGGAGTTCTTCGAGAAATCGATTACTGTAGGAACATGATGGGAAAGCTATGTAATCTGGACCAATGTAGCCTGTCTCGATAATATCACCTGCCTGTGCTAACATCCAAGAGGCCCCTCCGAGCCGCAAGACTCCTGCTTCTTGGCTCCATATGATTCCTGTCCGATGGTGTCAGAGCTTGTCTCAGTGATGGGAGAAGCAACAACCACGCCATGGCGAGAACCAATCAGACGGGATCAGAGTCTCGCCATCCTCGCGGATTGCCACCTCGAAGGTCTGGTCGATGGGATGAAGCTGCATCGTATATNNGACATAAGGCTGATCATTGGTGACTTCAGTAATCTCGNNTCGTCTGAGGCAGTGCAGCTCATCAGCAAGGCCATCAACACAGTTGTGAATCGATCTCGCTCTCAGGTCACGAACGTAGTAGTTTTCAGAGAGAAGTTTGCAGAGGTCTCCGTCTCTTACGAGTGACAGATGAAGATGACAGACCGGATGAGGAGGCTTGTTTGTTAGATCGATCGGAAGACGGATCTGATCATCCAGGGACCTCAAGAACTTGTGATGGATCACGGCAGGTTCGTCGCGACTGAAGGGTAAAGGGGGCAAGAAACTATCAACACGTCTGGCCACAGCAGGNCTTGCAAGAGTTAGTCATGTCAGGGGATAAGAGGTCGACTTTTGGTTTACAGTGTATTCTTCGACGAAAAGTCTGGAAAGATCTCGCTCGAGAGGTTTGATCGACACTTGCCGCTTTTCACGGTCACTCTTACCCTTAAGGTTCTTGTTGTAGAACTTCGAGACAAGGCCGTCCCCTTTATTGGACACGAGAATCCAAACGGACTTGGAAACATCGATCACTGCATTTGAGCGCAAATACATTCCAACACTATGCAAAAGCTAGATAGCATACATGAGTTTTACATGAATGACTTATCCAGAGTCCAGAATCGTAAGCAATGACTGGCGCACTTCCTGGTCGGTCTTGTCGAACTCGTCCAAGAACACGACACATCTCTCAGCTGTATGGCTGGCCAAGTAGTTGTCCAGAGGAGATCCTTCGCGAGATCCCGCAAATGGTGCAGCAGCGCCGAACAGACTCATCGCGTGTTGCATCTTGCTCATGTCGATGTTGCATATCTCTGTACCCAGGAGATATCCGAGGCTGGTTGCAAGCTCCGTCTTGCCGTGTCTCGAAAGACCAGCGAACGTGAGGACCAAAGGTCGTCTCCTGTTCATCGCATTGTAAGAGAGAATCTTGTTCATGACCACCTCAAGAGTATGATCCTGGCCGACAATATGCAACGGCAAGTGAAGGATGCGCGGACATCCGAAAAGTTGAGCCAACTGGCGTTGTTTCTTCGTAGCAATCTTCGTCAGACTTGCACGATGCAGATGATAGCGGATTGTGAGGTTCAAGGCCTCTTCGAGAACCACCCGATGTTGCTTCTTGGCCCAGGCAGCCAATGAACGGGTAGGGTTGTCTTTGGAATACCCTTCGGACGGCATCTTGATGTAGACTGACCACATGTACTCTGGTACGCAGTGAGGATTAGCACCGTAAGAAAGCAACAGAGCAACCATCTTGTCGACATTCTTGTAGGTCCTTCTTGAGTACATGATGAGGGCTGCAAGAAGAGGAAGGTTCGATGGGTCTTTTGCTTGAGGGCTAGCTCCGTGCTCGAGAAGAAGCTCCATAACGTCTACAGCATTTCTCCTTGCTGCGTAGAACACGGCGGAGTAACGGTCGTTGATGTTGTCTGAAATCTGGCTTTCGACAAGTCCGCGATCGTGGCTTTGGAGGTAATTCTTCATCTCGTTCTTAGAACAGCCTTTCGAGATAGCTGCAGCTATGGTTCTGGGGCTGAAGAACACGCGTTCCCGAAGAGTGTCGCGAGGCAGTGTGAAAGTTTCCAAATTCAAGAACGCCGGCAGCTGCATTGTGGTTGACATGATTGTATAACTGTGAGAAGGAATGGAATGGAGGAAGCGTGAGCAGAACCCATCTCATATGTCATTGTTGGTCCTTTCAAAGATGTCTTGCAGGTATTGGAAGGCGAGAGACCTGGGTATGCGAAGTCTAGAACACAATGTTTGGCATCTGTTGTATCCGGACAGAAAGCTTTCGACCTCGTGTTGTGATTCATTGCAATGTACAACGAAAGCTTGGATATTATTTCGAGCGAAACAAACCCACCACAATCTGGCAAAGGCAAGACCAGAAGTAGATCCCATATTGTATCAATCGGGCTGCACAGAGTATAGTGTCTGAGACAAAACGGGACCTCACAGCTGTTCACCGAAGCTGGCAGAACGCTGTCTCTTGCAGAGCTGAGAAGGTGTTCAAGCGAGAGTTGCACCTTCCTCTGAATCGTGCGTTTAACGTTGGCGCCAAAATCTTATGTTTTCTCGATTGATATCTGGTCTGATGTTGTCACGACCCATCTACGGATCTTTGAACTCCTGCATCGTCCTGTGCTCCTACGATGCTGTGCTTTGTCACCAAGATTGTACATTGTTCTTTCCCATGTTTGTAACGAACTTGAAAGGTGCTTTTCACATGCATATTACTTTTCAAAGCCTCATGCATTAGAGCTTCGATACTCAACGATCGTTTGCTCCATCCAGAAATCCTAAGTTTTTCATCCTCTCGGCATTGAGCCCGCTGAATTCTCTGCGACGTCTCTCCCTTTCTTCTGCATCCGGACTATTCGTGGTAGGCGGCGTTGCGACCTGCATTGGTGATTCCACGTATTTCGGCATGCGAAGTCCACCAGCAGCGCCCTTGATCGAGAAACCTTCAACACTAGGGGAGTCATCATTGCCTGTTTGCGTGTCCTCTTCGCGCATGCCTCCGGCTGGCGGAGGCGGAGGGGGCGGAGGAGCAGGTGCAGATACTCTGGCCTTTTTGCCGAGTGGATCGTCTTCATGTGCGGCCCCAGCTGTCGAGCTTTCCTCATTCCGTGCTCGCTTCAGATTTGCGGGACTTGTTGATAAAGATATGTCGTTGTTGTTCATGCCAGCAACATCGATGTCGGCATCCTTGGGCGAATCGACCTGCATGGCATCCGTGCCTGCTTGGTCCGAGCCTTGTCCTTTGCGTTGATCGTGCTCTTTCTTCTTCACAACAGCCCTCTCAAAGAAGTCGGTCACGAATTTCTTGACCGCTTTCTCTTGTCTGGAGTCGATTTTGCTCGGATCAGAGACACGCTTGTTTTTGAAATCCGAGTTGACAAGTTTTTTCGAGCATTCTTTAGCAAAGCGCTTGATATCATCTCTGTCCAGCTTGCCCTTGTACTTGTTTGCGACGTGAATGACAGATGGGAAGAGCTGGTTGACTGTTAGTTACGATGCATGACCTCACATTGTACAATCACAACATACCGTGTTCTCGTAGACCCTCTTTTGCTTCTCTTCAGGTAACGAACGCCACTTCTCATCAGACATGGCTTTGGTGGGTGTCTCAGTCGGCGTTGCAGTGGCGGAAGGCTTGTCAGTGCCCGGAGTTTCCTTCTTGTTGACGATTCCCTGGATCAGATCTTCGAGTTTCTGTGCCTCAGACAAAACNCTTGGGCGGTGGAGGAGGGGTGCGTTGATTGCCGATTGAGTGGGTGGTATCCATTGGACATTTCCGTCACCGTCATAATAGTAGCGTGTGCCGTTTTGGTCGAATGCGACATACCAACCAGGCGGGAGCTCAGTAGGTGGAGGANNGCTCGAGGTCTGAACGGAGGACGAGGGCCGCCTTGGAAGAAGCCTCCACCTCTATNNGCCCGCCTCCGCGTGGGCCCGAAGGAATTGCCTTTGCGGATGGTCCTTTAGGTCCTCTCGGTGCCTCGACTGACTTTGAGCGCGATCGAGAACGACTTCGGTCACGATTCTTCCTTTCAGAACGATCCAATCTCTTGTCTTGTTGCAATAGGTTGGGNNATCTCTCTTCACACGTGGAATGCGGTAAGCGATGACTAGCTTGCTCCACTCATCGTAAATTTTTGCGGCTTGCGATTTGACTCTTTCATCTTCGTGTTCGAGTAGGCCTTCGACAGTAACATCGATTTTGGAATCGACAATCTTGTTGCGAGTAAGTCGAGGAATCTTGTTAAGAATGTCCAGAATTTGCAATAGAATGTTCGTATCGTCGGCGTAGGTCTTGAGGAGTTTGTTGAGGATAACATAGCCGTGCATCTTGGCCACTTTGAACTGCACGTTCTCGTTCTCGCAGTTCTGTATGCGATTGAGGAGCTTGACGATGATCCATTTTTCCTGGCTCTTGTATATTTCACCCATGACGACCTTGACGTCTGCTGGGCCGAGCTGCTTAAGCTCAATGCTGTCGATGTATTCTTCATCGTCTTCTGAGGCCTTCTTCTTGCGAGGCTTTTTCGTGTGTGCGGCATTCTCCCAATCTTCGTTTCCGAAGATACCGAGAGCCTTCTGAATGGTTGATGAAAGTTGAGTTCCACGGTCATCGGTTTGCGTTTTGCCGCCGATGAATCCAGAACAGTTTGGCTCGCCGCAATAACAGGGTTGGGGGTCGGCTCCGTAGCGGTCGACATTGTAGTTGAAGGTAAGCTCTTCTCCAGCTTCGATTTGACGCTCGGCGAAAATTCCCATGCGGAGTCGGTCCCCTACAACCCATTTGTCGACATAACAATTCGGGTTGCACGAATGGTTGCAGAATCGACCGAGATTTCCTTTCTTGGTTGCATCAACAAACTCGCTTTTGGCGAGGGACATGAAGTAAAAGTGTTTGATGCCTTCCTGGTCATACTGGTGCATGCGCCGCCTGAAGGAGGGCTCCGAGATGACCTCGCCAATGTATTCGAAGATAAAGTCATTTGGCTTGAGATCTTTGTTAGCCCGTAGACCGAAGCCTTTCTTGTCTGTTTTGATGACAGAAACATCGGCATACACCTTGCGCTGGAAGCGTTGGTTTTGGCAGCCGTCTCCGCAGCCGCAATCCCCAGGACACTCCATCTTGGTCGCCCTGTTGATACAGTCCGAGTCTTCGCCACAGGCATTGTTGGATTGCGTTCGCGCATCTACAAACAGTCAGTCGTTGGCCGCTACGGCAGGTTCAGAATGAAACATACCCCATTCCTCGACACAGTCGCATTCAAGCGCCTGCTCGGTAGTGCCAAGATGCCTTGCGCCATACGTGCAATCGGGCAGGACATCAAAGGTCGAAGTGGCTTCATCTGTAGCATCTGGCAAATCGTTGAATAATTGTCGAGGTCCGGTGATGACTTTTTGCGACATGGTGCGGGACAGCTTTGGGGCTTTGCCGGGCTCAAGCTTGATGCTGAGGTCGCCACCTATGGTTTCTTCACGCTCTCCCTTCACGGCCGGTGATTGTGCAGCGCTCGGCTGCCTTGACGAAGGAGTCTCCTTCTTGACTCTGCGAGGCGTGTCTCCGTTTGATGCCGGCCGCGCCTGCATGTCTTCGATGCCTGAAGGGGATTCGCGCGTCGCTGCTGCCCCTCAGTTGTGTCAACTGTTATATCCATCTTTTCCACCTCTGTTGTGAGGCTTTTACCCCTGCTATCCCGCGAGCCGGGCATGGTGGCGATGTGGTCTGACAGAGTCGAGCGTTGCACAAGGCGAGAAGGTCGTGGTGGTTGATGAGCGGACAGGTTTTATAGAGCCCCGGATTCTTCGAAGCTCTTGTGGCCAACACGCATCCCGATGGGCCGACGGCGCCGTACGAAGGAGGATTGAAGTGCAAGGGCTACGGTCGCGAGACGGAGGATGGCGCGTGGGCTGTTGGCGGCGTGCAGTTACTGAGAGCGAGAAACGTGCTCAACGCATATGGCAAGCTCTTGATGGTATGAATAGGATCGCAGGAAGCAGGCGATTGGGCTCGTATAATGACCGCGTACAAATGAACGCTTCTCTGAATCTGATTTAGGTCTCGATCTAGGTCTTCACAGTCACTTGCACATACATTGACTACAACGGGCAGGGGCTCGCTACAACAGTCTTCCCATTAGCCTCTCTGTCACCTGTGAGAGCTGTGCCTGTACAATGAGCGATTCGAATGAGTTGGCTGTGTCTTGTCGCGACCGACGACAGGGATGATGAGAGAGATGGACGCCATCTTCGTCAATTGATGGCACCGTTTCGTCGGAAGCTTGGCGCGCAGACCAACTCCACCCGAACACTCGAAGGTCACCCTGACCTACCTGTGCCTAATCAACTTTCGAGCTTCGTCACAGACAGAACCATCGCCCAGACTCATCCAGCCTGATACTTGTATCAAGTACAAGCCGTTTCCGAACGAGTCTCGATATCTGGTTTGACTCGCTCAGCTCAGCCACAAACTAGCCACCGGGCTCGTGAACTGCAGCACCGTTCGTCTGCCGCGGAAGCTCATGGTCATCTCCCTGGTGCTGAGATTATTGACTTGATGCGTGGAGGTAGAAATGCTTCACAGGTACTGCATGCAGTATACGCTGCACAAGCAGTACCTGGAGGTTAAAGTTTAGGCGGGTCGAAGTGCTTGTCGAGACTACTCGAGTACAAGTGCAAGGTGAGCCGAAGCGAGATAGATGCAAGAATGTTGAGAAACCTTGGTTGAATTCTTTTGCAAGGAACATCCGCCAGGCGCGCACTTGCATGTGTTTCGATGCAATGCGGGCTCCTGATACGACGCGGAAATTTCGAGTTCGTAGCAGACCAGGGTTGCTAGACCCAGCAATCTGGAGCACAGCAAGAAGCCGTCTGTCTGTAATCCCCAATGGCCTGTGGCCGTGAACCAATGGAGCGATAAAAAGACAATGCTCTCAGAATCGGTTGCTCTTTGTAGCTGCGTGGCTCCATGTAAGAACTGACGAGGCCTTTGCGTTAGCGCAAAGATATCCGGGATAAGTTCGCCTAATTTTGCATGGCAGACAATGATCCGAAGGCTTTACTTCGCAAGCAAGGTGAAACTACTGTCGTGTGCTCGTCCAGAGTCCTAGAGAGGCTGCTCATAGATCAGATGCCCGGTGTGCCGATGGCTTGGTTTCGACGATAGATAGCCGTCCCTTCTCCACGAGCAACCGTCCCTCCTGAGCTGAAAGAACCTCCCCCGCACCAGATGTCGTTGTCGCGAGATGCGCCTAAGCGTGAAGACAAGGCTGAAGTCGAGCAATCATGAACCTAAGGACAACAGAACCAACCTGCCGAGCGTTTCATGTTGGGTTGCCGTGTACCGGGACGAGCGGGCCCATTCCAAGAGTGCGGGACTCTCGAAGCCGAGAAAGTCAACTCAATCCCAGCCTTGCGGATCGTGTCTTCTTGCGCGGGTTCCATTAACAATAGAAAACTCGCTCGAGGCAGCGGGTAGGTGTTGTTGACGACAAAACAACCAAGAAGCCTGAGACTGTATATCAAATGGAAGATCACTCTTACACGACCCGGATTGGCGGCATTGACTGGTCTTGGTGAAGCATGACATCCATCTTGCAGGGAGATGTGCGCCTAGGATGTACCTGCATGCATCAACCTCGCCCTCTAGAACCGAAACCCCAGCCCTCTCTGAGCCTTGACTTGACGGACCCATTCTCCACTCTGGTTCCTGTTGCTCGCGGCTTTTTTCTTTCTCTCAGTGCTGAATGATTGCATTCGTTTCTTTCCTTCTCTGCGCCTCGTGGGATTTTCTTGACCTTCTCTATGCTTTCGTTCAAGGCAGGCAGTGTTTTTCGTTTTGTCGTCTGACTGACGCACCCTCGTTTCACCAGCTGCACTCGTTTCCTTTCTCATATCTGAGACTTGGCCTTATTTCTTTGTAATACATGTTCGCCTTCTTCTCTTCTTCCTCGTAACTTCTCCGGCTCGTTACAGAATGAACCCTCGGGACGTGAGCTTTAATGCGCACGAGCAGCTCGAGATACTGGCCGAGATCATCAAGTCCAGCAATATCCATCCGGACGTGGTCGTCCACTTTATACGACAGCACGGCATCATCCCCGTTTGGGGTGATGTGGCGCTCCCAAGGGGTGTGTATCTTGCGCTTACGCGAACGCGGCTCGTCCACTGACTTGCTCTTTCAGGACGGACTGTCAATCAATGCAGTAACTGGTTTTACAGTGTCGTGAATCAACCTGGCCCTTCTGGACCCGCTTCTGGCCATAACAGATCTCAGAGTCTTCAGGGACCCGTTCCAGCGTCCTCTCTGAAACGTCCGTTCAGCCCAGATCAACATTCTTTTGCAGGTGGCCGTCTCCTTGTGCCCAAGCCACCAATGTCCACCATCGGGAACATACTCAGTCAACAAGCTGAGCCGCCAAAGAAGAAACGCGGCAGACCTACGAATGCAGAGAAGGCCGCTAGAAGCCAGCAGGAGCTCTTACATGGACAGCCATTGCCGCCTTCTCGACGCATACCTCCGCTTGCAAGTGGTAGCGGCAGCAATGTTGTCGCACCAGGTCCTTTGTCCATCGCAGCACATGCTGCCCAAGCTGCAATGACGCCGCAACTTCGCGACCAGCCTCCAAGTGCAGAAGAATCTGAGACCTCTTCTGGCAAGAAGAAGCGAGGTCGTCCTTCCAGCATAGAGAGGGAGACACGGCGGTTGCAGCAAGCTTATGGCGAGCCCCATGAAGCTGCTCCAGGACCTAGCCATCCTGGTCCATCACGATATCCGAACATACTCTCTCCCGAGGAAGCTCCCGGAGAAGGGAGTTCCAGACGACAAGAAGGCTCACCAAGGGGCGACCCAGCAACATACCGATAGCCCTGCTCCAGCCACCAGGATCATACTTATAGCACACACGAGAAGTCATACCAAGTCTTGACGCCTTTAATGATACGACCACGGACTTCATTTCAGTTAGACCGGCTCACGCTGGCACATCTCTTTCTCCTATCGTCTTGCGTCAACGTTCTTACATCTCTTTTGTTGGTTTCCCACGAAGCATTTATGACTGGATTGGATCATTGTCATGATGTTGTTTTCTGTCGGCTCATACTTTACGGCCTACTAATGTCTTGTTTTTCATCCACGTTTTTGGCAGGAGGTTATGCTTCAAGATTATGTTTACGAATTGGGCGGACGCATCATGTTTCTCTTGTTTTCACTGACCTGAAAGTTATGGATTGGAGCTGCTTCTTGGATATAGCATGCTGTCAACCCGAAGGTACACATACCATGACTAGCACTAGCGTTTTGTCTGTGTCTGTATGCAAGGTCTTGATGGCGTGTTTGGTGAAACACCGTCCGGGACGGCATCTCGCAGAGTTCAGTCCAAACACCTAGCAAAGCCGTGGTGTCGTTGCCATTCAACCTTGAGAAATCGCGCTAGTTGTACCTTCGCTTTATGAATGAGATACTTGTCTTGACCACGCTCATCGAGGTCGAGAAATGACTTTGACGAAAGCCTTCGCTGAGAGACTCACCCTGTCCTTAGTCAACAAATCTTCTTTCTCAAGGTCAGACACATCAAGCACGAGTATATTCTGCTAAGAGGCTCTGTATGGTTGCTTGTCTATCCATTTGAAAATATTGGGGCCGTAAATACTATCGGCACCTTTCCACCGCCAAAAATATAGTGATGAATCCAACAGCCGAACTGTCAGCCAAAAGTAGCATATAGTAACGGATAACGAGGAGCAATCAAGTCAAGTTATAAATCGTGCTCGCATGAAATAGTACTATCTTACAGGTTCTACTATCAATCCAACGATCGCACATTTTAAAGAGGTCGTTAATTATATTGATGGGGCCGCCCTGCAGTCCCATCTCGTTCTTTTCTATGCAAGTCGGCTTCCACGAAGCTCGACTAATCGTCGCATAGCGGTCGGTTGTGTGTTCGTCGCAGAAATAGTTTTTGTGTCGTGTGACTGGAGAGCTCAAGGAGCCTGGACGTTGGACTTGTTCTCGGCGTGCTCGAGGTCCTCGTGCTTCTTGACCTTCTTGCCCTTCTTCTCGTCTTCGGACTCCTTTTGCTTGACGGCGGATTCGCGCTGCTTGATACGCTCTTCCTCGGCAGCGACCATGTCTNNAGGTAATGTTAGCTACAAAGTTCGGTACTGGGTAGAATGTCAAAATAGCTTACCCATCCATTGGTCCTCACCCGAGTAGCGCTCGTGGTGAATCTTCTTCTCAATGACGTGCTTGTGGGTAGGATCGTTAGGGTCGAGGACCTTGACGGTCTCCCAGCGGCCCTCGCCCTGGTTCTTGTCCTTGGCCTCGAGTGCCAAACTGGCAATGACGACGGCCAGAGTCAAACCCTGAGCGTAAACACGAGCCTGGACGAGCTTTTGTTGACCACTAAGGTAGGGATTGCGGCCGACAATGCCGAAGGCGGCGGTGATCGAGGCGACCCATGAACCGAAAACAATGCTGTATCTGTTCTTGTTTCCCCAGTCCATTGCGCGCTGGGAGAAGGGCTTCTGCGACTCGAGCTGTTCTTGCAGGGTCTGCTGCTGGTCGGTGTACTCCTTCTCGGGATGGCGGCTAGCCTCGTACTGGCGCGAGTAACGGTCGGCCTGGATAATGGCGGCGAAAGTACCGGCACTGGTGATCAGGAAGGCGCGGAATGGCAGGGAAAGACCGCGGAAAGCAGGGTATCTNCTGCTGGCGCCCAAGACACCGACGGCACCAGCTGCTGTACCGAGCAGACCACCGATGGTACCTCCATAGATGGTAGCGCTGNNGAAGGATTGTTAGAAGTGCTCGCATGCGCATGTCGTGACAGCAAGATCAGCGACGTACTTGTAGTGCTCCTGCTCTTCTTCCTTTGTGAGAATCTTCATGATGTGCTGATATGTGTGGTTTGGATGGGAAAGTGGGATGCAATTGACGAGCGGAGCTTGGTGTTTTGATGTATGACGACGTCGGAGAGTGAGGTCAAGATGTGCAACAGCAAAATAGTTAATAAGGGCCCAAGTCCGTATCTTGCCGATATCACTCTGACGTACACGCCACCAGCAGACACCGCGGTGTTTGCGAGTTTCGGGCGGCCTGTCAAGAATCAGTCGCATCCTGAACTCTAACCTCACCCGATTCATGAGAAACCCCGGCCACGAGCCACGAGCCTCAGCCGCCTCTACCGAACACCTTGTAGCCGTCACATGGTTACTAACAAGTCATTAAGATCTCCGAAGGATGATCGATCTTAGTCCGGCGCATTCCCATCTGCAAATTTCGCTGTAGGTCTGAATCTCAGGAAGCAACATTATGGGTTCTGGAAAGTATCATAACTCGGATGTGTACGGCTCTGAATCCTTCTTCTGTAGAATCAACGATTCTATGCATTCGTAGATTATCTGGCAAGTTGCAAGGTGCATGAACGAGCAAGCGCGATAAGAAACCAAAAGCTTGGCATCGAACATTATCAGGCAGGCGCAAGCGCATCTCAGCCAGAAATTCTCAACTCCGTCAATTATTCCACATTCCAGACAAGATGCCTCTCCCGCTAGGAAAAACCGTCAAATCCCGCGCCGATGTCTCCGACGACGAGAACGACTACGAAGAGTATTCGGGAGACGACTCGTCCGCATCCATCATTGAGACTGGTGAAGGCGATGAGGTCGACATCCTGAGCTCTTCCGACGAAGACGCAGAAGAGGACGTCAAGGATAAGCTGAGCAACATCTCGTTCGGCACACTGTCAAGAGCCCAGGAGTCCATATCGAAGAAACGCAAGAGAGCCACAGGAGACGACGACGAGAAGGAGGACAAACTAGAAGCTCTTCGCGCTCGTCTGCGAGAGTTGAGAGAGTCCAAAGGCGTAGAGGCCGCTCCCAAGAAGAACAAGAAGGAGGCAGAAAGGTCTTCGAGCAAACCTGCAGCCAAGAAATCACGAGCAGCAAAGGACGCCAGCGACGACAGCGCTTCGGATGGCAGCGACAGCGACTCGGACGAAGATGGTCCTCCCCACGCTCGTAGTTCCAAGCACGCACCCATGGCACAAGCATCCAACAGACAGGTCACACGCAAACGCCAGGTCATCGATGTGCCCAAGCGCCAAATCCGTGACCCTCGTTTCGGCCCACTAGGCGGTCCCGTAGATGACACGGCACTTGCGAAGAAATATTCCTTCATCAACGACTACCAGGATTCGGAAATGGCCGAGCTAAAGGCCGCTATCAAGAAGACCAAGAGCGAAGACGACAAGGCAGTCCTCAAGCGCAAGTTGCTCAGCATGGAGAGTAAGAAGAAAGCTCGCGAGAACAAGGAAAGAGAACAGGAAGTGATACGCGACCACCGCAAGAAGGAGAAGGAAGCCATTGCACAGGGCAAGAATCCCTTTTACTTGAAGAAGTCGGACCAGAAGAAGCAAGCCCTGGTCAACAAGTTCGACAGCATGAAGTCCAAGGACAGAGAAAGACTCATCGAGAGACGCAGAAAGAAGGTCTCGCAANAGGAGAAGAAAAACATGCCCGCTCCCAGACGCATGTAAGCTTCGACTTCTTCTTCATATCATCACAAGCTTGCTTGACGAAATGCACTATCTCTCTCTTATACCCCATGTGCGATCAGGCTCAAGGCAAGGTGGAAAATGTCATAAATTCGAATTACCTGAATATCCAGAAAAATTAACTGCTAGAACGAAGATTATAAAGAGATTCGTCGCATCGGATATCTTTCATCCCATCACTCCTGGGGCTCCTCGGTCTCTTGCTCACCATCCTCGTTGTCCTCGCCCTCCTCTTGCTCACCGTCTTCGGCGCCCTCTTCAGCCTCGTTCTCATCCTCATTGTTGTTCTCGTCGTTGTTCTCTTCGCTGTTCTGCTCGTTGCTCTGGTCTTCATCCTGTCCATCCTTCTTCTGAGCTCTGGCCTGCTCAGAGTCCTCCAGAATAGGCTTGACCGAGTCCTGTCTCGGGTCGGGGATGCTCTCCTTCTCGAGGTTCCACTTCTGCATAGCGATGATGATGTCGACGGCAAGCTGGCCATTCTTTCTAAGAGCCTTGTCCCATTGCGGTGGCATGCCCGAGTCACTGGTGACGAGGTTTCTTGCAACACTGCTGATGAGCAACTGGCGCATGGGGGATTCGAGGTCGGTGTTGGCGTAGATGTATTGCACGCGGCGGAGGGCAGGGTATGTGTCGGACTGCTTGTACCAGTTGCGGACGCTCTTGAGCACTTCCAGGGTAAGATCGCGGATCTCCCACTTCTCGGCNCTGTGGTTGTCGTCAGCTCTTGTCGTCTTTGAACAGCAGTAAAGGCAACTTACCATCAAGTACAAGTCCAGCAGAAGCGTTAGGTCCTTCTCTGATTCGGGAGTAGGTGTGTGGCCACTGTAGAGCCATCCGACAAAGATTCTGAAAGGCTCATCTTCCTCATCCGGAAGTCCAAATTGGCGGTTCTTGTTTTCCTTGCTGTAAAAGATGTTGCGGAAGAACTTGCTGCGGTAGCACAGAAGCTTCTCGTGCAGGATCCATTTGGTGTTCTCTTGACCGACATAGATGTCGACCATATCATGAGACAAAGCCTATAGGCCACCATTAGCATTTTTGGCTTCGCTAAAGAGCCAGACTTTCTGGTGGCGTGAAACGTACTCATTGAGAGGCTTGTCCTGATGTTCTGCCATTGTAATAGACTGAATATTATCCCTCGAGGATAGAAAAGTAATTAAATGTAAATGTCGAAAATCCGCAAAGACTTGAAAGTAGAAGAACGAAGGGATTGGGTTATTTATCAAAGCAGGGAATCAAATCGTGGCTTGATCAAAGACTCGAGAAGAATGAGGCGCAGGCACGGCAGGGCAGGTCTCCTCAGCTTATTAGCGAAAAAGAATGGCTGGGACCGATCGTGTAAGACCAGGGATGGTATGTGAAGCAATCTTGCGTCACTCTGCAGTTGCAGAACGTCACTTGTCAGCAAAAACTTGGACAGCGGGGCTGGCTTTTGCTTCCCGTCTCCAGCTGTTTTCCACGTGTAGATCTCCCTTCTCCTGATGATCGCGAAACGTCTATCGTGACATGTCTTGCAGTCGAGTTTTTTCATCTTGGACACTTTCTCAACAGAGTCTCGAGGCCGGCGTGCGAAAGAGAGCAAGGCTTTCGACTATCTAGGAATTTCCACGGCACCCTTGCCTACCCTAAACGAGATTTGATCACAGTGTCCCGCATGATCATGACAGTTAGGGAACTCCAGAAGACTTTGCTGTGTGCAGAAAGCGACTAGGTAGGTAACAAGACAGAGTCGAGAGTGATGTTTAGACTCTCGACTGTGTGCACTTTTCATGAGTGAGCCGCAAGAGATCCAAGGAGGTCGAGAACCATGTTGCGCCAAACAGTGTGAACAGCAATACGTTTTCGCTCCTCGTCGGCACTTCACTACTCGGTCTCACTTATGAGATTGCTGCCTTATACTACTAATAACCAATTGCAACGAGCATTGTAATTTTCACTCATATGCTGCGCAACTCGTTCACCTCAGCCATCAAACTCCTATATTTATTGACTTTCACACATCTAACTCCTTTCTTACCACTTCGCCCCTCGTCTTCTTCACCACACAACCCTACTGCTCAACACATCTACCTGATCATCACCAACCACAACCTCCCCACTTGTCACGATGTCTCCATCCAGTGGCTCAGAGGTGTCGCTAAGCTCCGCCAGGTGATTGCACAAGCACAAGACAACCTGATTCTCTGGCTAACTGATGTGTCCCAGATTGCTCTACTCGCCAAAGGTCACTGTCCGTGTCGGTCCCGACAAACAAGAATTCTGTATACACAAAGATCTGCTCCGTTCCAACTCGACATACTTCGCTAAGGNNCTCTCTGGAAGATTACTGGAAGCTCAGACACGTGTCGTCGAACTTGCAGACGTCCACACAGTGTTATTCAGAATGTTCGTTGCGTGGCTGTACCTGGACAAGCTTACGTATGAGTCTTCGAATCCGAAGATTTCATCAGAATATGAAATCGAACAACTCGACAACGCATTGAGACTAGAAGTTTCGGAGGACGTGGGAGACGACGAGGATAGACGAGGCTCGCACTGGGACGATCTTTCCACCTCCCAAGTAGAAAACCCTACAACGTGGACCTACTTGACTCTTACCGGCTTGTTCGTACTTGGCGATCGGTTGGACGCTGCAAGACTCAAGCGCCGCGTCCTCGATACCATCATCAAAAAGAAGCTCAGAAAATACCAACAACCCAGATCGTCAGCCATACTTTACGCGTATGCAAACACGACCGATGAATCTCCACTGCGCCGGCTTCTCGTCCATATAACTGCCTACGAAATGAGATTCTCCGCGGCTCATACCACTTGGAACAACTTACCTATCGACTTTCTCACTGCTGTATTGGTGAATTCGGGAAGGAGGATGCCAGGTCAGCAATGCGCGGACTGCTACGCAAATGCCCTCGACGACAACGAGATTTCAGTCGAGGAAGTCGACGATATGGACAAAGAAGAAGACTCGGCAGCCTTTACCCGCGACATCTGTCTCTATCACGAAAACAAGGACGAGGAGGAAAAAGTTGCTTGTCGCACGGCGCGCGAGGAAGAATGGGAGGAGTAAAGCCACACTCAGACTCCTAACGACTGGAAATTTGCGTAATACAAATTGCACCATATGTCACTGTCGATAAGGAAAGCACCAGCTCGACGGAATACGTACGACAATATACAGCAGCCAGAAAATACCGTATCCATTATAATGCCAAGACTCCTTTGCCATGTTGAAAACATGCCTGTGCCTGTGAGTGAGACGAGATGCCCTAACTACTTATCGAAGCCCGATTTTGCACAAACTCTTCGAGGGAGAGGGAACGATTTTAACATCCATTTGTATTACAACTATTATAATGTACAAATTTATCAAAGCATTACATTTACAATCCAAAGGTAAACAAGACAACCATCGCAACTCCCAGAGCAAGTGACGAAGAAGCATTCGTAAAGCCAGCAGCACTATCCTTATCAGACTTTGACGTGGTGTCATTGCCGCTAGAGCCAGAAGCAGAGTCCGAATCAGAAGCCGAGCTGGTAACAGTAGTATTCGCATCGCCAGTACCAATATCGACCTTGGCATCTGCAGTAGAAATAGACCCATCGTTGACATTGACAATATCAGTGGCACCGAGGACTTCACCATCAGCGTTCAAAGCTGCAGCACGAATGTAGCGGGCATCGGTGCCTACAGTGACGTTTGTCTCGAAACCAGTCTTTGTGACATTTTTCCAAAGGTCATCTGCAGTAGCGAGAGAAGAAGATGAGTTCGAGGCAAGGATGGCCCATTGCTTGATCTCAGTGGCACCGTTCCAGGATACGTAGACAGTAGTGTTGTCAGTGCCATTTCCTGTAGCGGCAATGCTAGGGTTCCAACCAGGGAAGCCCTGCCAGTTTTGCTTGTAGGCGCGGTAGCTCTGCACGCTCGAATTGCCAATGATGCCAAATTGGACGTCCCAGATGGCTTCTCCCTCGTTGGTGTATTCGATGAAGGCACCGTTGCTACCATAGCCCATGAAGACGTTGCCATTTGAGAGCGCTTGCACGCTTCCCTGTGATACGGACAAGATGCCTTCAGGGCTGATATAGTCTTGCTTGAGAGTGACAGACATATCGTCGTAGTCGAGACTGAGCCAAAGACCGCGGGTTTCATTTTCTGTCTTGACCCAATCGGCAGCACCATTGTCGAAGAGAGTCATCTCTGTCAAGTTGGTGTTACGCCAGCGGGCATCATGCTGCCATGCAAAGTTGGTCGCTTGACCATCACTCTTATCCTCAAAGTCATTATTCTTGCCTCCCAGACTCCAGATGATATCGCCATTGGTGCCGTTGATGTAATAGATACTATGTGTATGTCTTGCAGAGACCAGATAGTTGCCAGAGTCGTCTTTCTCGATCGAGTTGATGTGGAAGAAGTCGTAAGGGCTGTCTTGGGAGATACCAGTGGCACCGGGGTCGGCGTACGAGGCGTTGAGGGCAATGTGCTCGGATGCTCGCCATGAGAAGATGAGGTCGTTGGTAGCAATGTCGACTTCTTCGAACAGAGAGTCGGCAAGCCAGCCATTCTCGATATCGTAAGCTGTGAGATCGTATTGGATAGGCTCGTAAGCAGTCATGAGTGCTGTGCCATCGTCCGTCAGCTCGGTCTCGTGGATATCTCCACCAACGGTGAGGTTCTTCGTTGTTAGGTTGTAAGCAACGTTGTAATTGTGGTCGAGCATGATGAAGCTGCCACTTCCATAACCGGCACCCTTGACGGTTCCTCGCCAGAATGTAATGTAGTCTGAGTTGTTGAATTCTTGCACCCTGACACCGAATGTAGTCTTGTAGCTGGGATCGCTCCACACAAGGGATAGATCGTCCGAGTTGAAGATCATAGGAGCGATTTGGTCCACTGCGGTACCTCTGGGAGAAATGAAAACACGGTCGGCAGAGTCGACATTGTCTCCTGCAGCCTTGTTGACTTGAAAGACAGGCACTTCAAGGCTCGAGGACTCATATGATTGTGTAGGGTACAGACCGTAAGTCTTGGCCTGGAAGTCAGAACCCGTGTAAGGAGATTGATCGGCCAGTGCTAGACGACTCAGAGGCAGCGCTGTGAGCGCCAATGTGAAGAGATTAGGCATGATGATCAAGCACCAAACGAGTGTGAGATAGACAGAAAGGAAGTAATGCTGATTTTTGGAAGTGTTTCCGAGAGGCTTCTCTCTGATAAATACCAGCGGAAAATATCATTCTGGAAACGGGGAACACCTACATCATATATTTGATCTCGTCCTATACCCTTGTCATGTCCTGAGGCCCACGCTCACACTACTAAGAGACTGAAGAGTATCTAGCCCGTGGGGCCGTCTCATCTTCTTGTTTCCAGAAGACGCCAAGCACGGTGCTATGATGTGTGGCTTCCGCTGAGATTGTGGAATAATATTATGACGGGATTGGGTGAAGTCAAGAAAAGCGATCTGACAAGGGCAGAAAGAACGATGAAGGAAGCCTCACAGTAGTGGCGCTATAATGCTGCCGAAGCGGCCCATCAGGAAATCCGAGTCATTGTGAGGATATAGGTTGAGTCTACCAGACCGTAGGAGCACGAGATGGTGGAGTTGCTATAGTTCTTATCAAATTGATCGCACATAACCAGATACGAGGGACTCTACACCCCAACTTCATAGAAGTCAACGTGGTGATTGCTCGCGTGCCCTCTTGCCTGGAAATGAAAACTTGGTACAAGCAAAAAGGACGCGTCGTCTGGAGTCAAAGCGTCCCTAGCGGTCTCTGGCGGTTGCGGAAGCACAGTCGCCCGGTCGCTTCTCACTGTCCTCGCATAGGTAGCGTCCCCTGAGATGCCGGTATCGTTGTGACAAGATCAGGGTTGACAAAAGTCAAATCGGAGCGGCTCTGCGTGGTTGCGTAAAAGTGCAGAGGTGCAGAGACGCCATGAAGCCAAGGGCTATTCGACTCCGAAACAAGCCGTGGACCGAAAGCCCTCGGAGCGCAAGGCTCGATTCGATATTATCAGCAGTGTGTTCACTAGTCACAGTGTGCAGAGCAAGAGGAATTCGACGCCGCTATGCAATTATCTTTTCAGACGGGAAAATTAAGTCAATACACGCAACGTTAAGCTTTGGGTAGAACATCATGTCAAAAGACCGTTGGCTATCCATGATATACACTAAAATTTGCTATACAAGAACAAAACAGAGCTCATCATATTGTAGTTTTTGGTGGCTCATCGGCCATCTTCTTATGAACGGCGCTCGTGCTCTTCTCCAGATCAGAGTCAATAGCTTGACCTCTGACAACCCCTACGTCGCTGCTGACATCCACATCAGCAGGAACTGGTGGGCCTGTAAATGCTTTGCGTCCGCGGATGAAGTACCACACGACACTGATGGCAGCAAAGCCTGCGAACACGCAAGAGGCATAGTTCATAGAACTCGGGTCAACTGGCAGCGTGACCGGCATACAGAATAGGACGACAGCCAAGGCGATCCAGCAAAGAGTTAACACGTTAATGGCCATTCCAAAACGACCCAAGGAAAAGGAGGAGTGTGCGACCATTTTGCGTCCACGGAGTACGCTGACCAAGATAGGTAATCCGTATGAGGTCGAAAGGCAGATTGTGGCTACTCCTGTAAATGAGTTGAAAGCTGCAGTGCTACCGAAGTAGATCAGGCCTAACAAGCAATCGACTACTGTTGAGAGAACCAATGCCCATAGAGGAATGTCGAAGCGTTTGTCAACGCGAGACCAGACGCGAGAGCCAGGGATCGCACCATCACGAGCAAAAGCGTAAGTGCAACGACTTGCAGCTGTTAGAGCACCAGTGCCTGCGAAGAAGAGAATGCCTAGTGTAGATGGTCAGTACACGCGCCGTCTCAACATGTTGGAAGATAGCATACCGAGAAGGAGGAAGAGCAACCCGAAACCGCCAGCTGCCGAACCTGTGACAGTCTTGAAAAGAAGACCGATAGGTTGACCATTTGCGACGTCCAGAAGCATCTGAATATCGGGCAAGACGAAGAGGATTGGAATCAAATACAATATACCAGTAACACCCGCAGCAGCCACAGAGAGGACAATCGCTTTGGGTACCTCGCGAGCAGGGTTCTGNAGAGCATCACATTAGCTTGTTTGATCGAATATGGTTTTGGCGTCCGACCTTACTTGAACCTCTTCGCACATTGCGGCAACCATGCCGTAGCCAGTCAGTGTGTAAGAAGCTTGCAATAGGCCAACAAAGAAGGCCCAACCACTCGGCCATCCACTGCCACTCGCATCGTAGTGGGCGAAGACGAACTCTCCACTCCTGTAGTTATCTGACATGGCAAGTAGAACGACCATGATGATGATCACACTGGCTCCAGTCCAGTAGATACAGATTTTGTTGATCAAGTCAAGATATTTGGCGCCAAATATGTTGACGAGCATACAGATAAGCATGACACACCAAAACATCAGCACTGTTTGCCATGCTGTAGGCACAAAGTCCTCATTCCAGAGGCTGATCGCACTTAGGATCAATTGGGCTCCCGAGAAGTTGATGGATGTTGTGACAGTCCAGTTGCCAACCAGCGTAAGCCAACCAGTGATCCAAGAACTCAATCGAGCATACTTCTTAGTAGAAAGCATAGCCGCCCAGTAGTATACTCCACCGGCAGTAGGGAAGACGGCACAGATCTCGGCCAAGGAGGCTGCAATTGATAGAGAAATCAAGGACACCAGAACCCATCCCCACAAGATCGTCACGCTCTGACCATCTGCGAGAGTGATGTAGAATGTGGTGCTCAATCCAAATGGTACAGCCATGATCGCAAAGGANTCTGGATACAATGTCGTTAGTGGGAGCAGTGATATATGTCGTTGTGTAACCTACAGGCCCAGAACACTCATCATGCTCAAACTTCTAGGCAATTCTGATTTGTAGCCCATGCGGGCCAAGTCGGCCTCCGCAGCAGTAGCCATGATGGAGTCGTCGTGTGTAGTTGAGAATTCCTAAGTATGTGTTCCTTTCCGATATACAAAGCTGGTCGAAGAAATGGATGTGTCTTGTCTAGTATTCCAATGACAAGAGTTGAGGTGAATCAGAAGCACCTGTATGAGATTGAGGAACCGTCCAGGTGAAAGTAGGATGGAGGAGCAGAAGTTGACAGAAGGAAGACAGTTGCTAGGTTGCACTTAGACTAAGATCGGGCAACATCGGCGAATAGAGTGTTGTAGCGGCGGTCCACATGAAGAGGATAACAGTGACCAAGCCTCTGATCCGCTTGTAGGCGTATGGAGTGGTGAACAAGATAAGAGAGGGGTCACAGGAGACGAGGACCAGTTGAATGTTTCAATTACCCTAGTATAATGATATACAGAGATATGAGAAAGAAAGATTAGGGCGTCGCACTAGATAAAGAAGGCCGCCGTCGGTTCATTCTGGAGACTTTGCTGATGGCTTGTGTGGGTGGTCTCTGGACCGTTGCAAGCCCCGCGTCACGGAGGCGCGACAGAGTGAGCGCCGTGTCCCTTGGTTGAGCCGAGCGGCCTCGATAACGATCTTCTTACGTACAAGACCGGGGAGAATATGGAGCATCGGAGTCGCTGACTAGCAGTCTCGCTGTCTGATCTTACATCCTCCACTCTCGAGGCACGGCAGCCACCATTGCGGCGATGCACGATCAACTGTATTCATTGTATGCCAAGAAGTGATTCTGCATTGTATGCTCCAGTACGAGCATGGCACCAAGATCGCAAGAAAAGTACGACAATCTTTGGCGCAGAAAGACAAATCGAGAGTCCGACTAGGTCCTCCATTTTTGAGCATGCTCGCTACTACAGGCACCGTATCGGATATCTCAAGGACGAACCAGTGTCAAGGCCGCAAGAAATGGTGTTTCAATAAAAACGACATGAAGAACAAAAAAACAACCCTTTCCTTCAAACGCCGGCCGACCCAAGAACATGAATCTGGCTATAGAAAAGATCGTCAGGAGCATCAATAAGCGCGTTGGGTATTAGGCACGCCAGGCATGTGCTGTTGATGCATGTGGGCTTGTTGCTGCCTTAGCTGTTGTAGATCGGCGAACCAAGGATGCTGAAGAGCTTGTGTGGCAGAAATGCGAAGCTCTGGACGAAGTTGCAGCATAGCACTCAACAACTGAAGGCCGACAGGGTCGACCTGAGGTAGGATGTTGCGCAGATCCTGAGTTGCATAGACAGGGAAGTTGGGCTTGTACTCGGGGAACTGAGAAATACCGGGCCATGAACGTTCGGAAGGAGTGCCCATGAGACGGAAGATCTTTTGCAGCTGGTCCTCGTTGGTGGTTCCGGGGAACAGAGGACGACCGGTGTACATCTCAGCCATGATGCAGCCAGCAGACCAGATATCGATCGAGGTGTTGTAAGTGCGCGAGCCCAGCAAGACGTCAGGGGCACGGTACCAGAGTGTAACGACCTCGTTGCTGAAGGTGTTGACGGGGATGCCAAAAGCGCGAGCGAGACCAAAGTCGGCGAGTTTGAGCTGACCCTTGTTGTTGATCAGCAGGTTCTGCGGCTTGAGATCGCGGTGGAGGACTCGGTTGTCGTGGCAGAAGGCGATGCCGCGGAGCAGCTGGTGCATGAAGGACTTGATGGTGACGGGATCGAGCATGCCGCGCTCACCCCTAGAGTCCATGTATTTCTTCAAGTCCTTGTCCATGAATTCAAAGACCAGCATGAGCTTGTTCTCGGTGTGAATGACGTCGTGCAGACGGACTATGTTCTCGTGCTTGAGTTCCTTCATAAGTGAAATTTCACGGATGGCGGTGCTGGGGGTGCCCTCTTCTGAATCGAGGTGGATCTCCTTGAGAGCGACAAACTCGCCCGTCTGACGGTTGCGACCCTTGAAGACCTGCGCATTGTTAGTCGGCGATGAAGGAGACTCAGAAGAAGGATGTTGAGCGGTTGTCGACGTACGGTGGCATAGGTGCCCTCGCCGAGCTTCTCGAGCTGCTGGAAGGAGCTGGGGTGACGCTTGTCCATGGGGGTATGCGCTGGCCGCCGCCTAAACTGCGCACGCTGATGGTCGAGTCGGAGCGGTTGTCGAGCGAAAGAGTGCCGACGTGCGTGGGATGGAGCCTCTGGTGGGGAGGGTTGCGATTGGTGTAGCGAGGATCCCAGAGAATGGAGCTGGCCGTCGTCAACTGGCTAGCAATATCAAGAGACGAAGCCGTCGACGAGCGAATAGAAGCGGGGCGAGAAGATTGCGCCGTCTTGTTTGATTCAGAGGGCAGGAGCGAGCAGGGGTGACTGCCCAACTTCCTGACAAACAAATAATAATAGGTACTCGTCGGGGAGTCAGTGACATGGAGCGCCGCCTTCATTGTTGATCGGCACGCTGGCGGTTGCGCCTTGGCGCTCGTGCAACGGCCTTGTATCTATGCTATTGCTGTTGCTACCGCCTGCGACTTGACCAAACATATGCACCAGAGTTTGCAACCCGTCTGCACTCCAAAACAAGTCTCGTAGCTAGATGTGAAAAGCTGCACGGCAGACGGAGAGGAGAGTGCAGCCCGGCTGGGCAAGATGATCTGTTCGGTTCCAAGTACGGAGTACCGCCCATCTCCCGCAAACACGCCAGCGACATGTGATGGCGACAAACAGCGCAGTCCCTTCAGCTTTGCGACAGCGCTACCACGAGAAAGTGCCACAGACCGATGACAGCTGGTGCCCACCTCCCCTGCACTGTCCGACAGACTGTGTCTCGGCTGCCGCGTGTCGCACCTAAGTAGCTTCTGCCACAGCGGGCCGGCGAACAGACGACGTGCTTCAATTGTCAAGATCTGGGGTAGCTGTACCTATGACATGGTGCTTGCTAAATCCATCCATCCATCTTTCTGACGAACCCTTCTTCATGCCACCCACGCATCGCACCACTCGTCTACTGTTCCCGTGATCTTCATATGCTGCAACTAACACCCATACCCTGTCGCCACTGACCATCTTGTTCACACGCTCCAGCATGCGCGACACTCTATCTGATCGCCTGCTCCGACGTGAGCTGCAGGACTCGGCTGGCCGTTCAAGAAAGGTTAGGTCGATATATGGCGACAAGAACTGGATACGTGATCTGGACATCGTGAACGAGCTCGACGGCCATTCGGGCTGCGTGAATGCTCTCAGGTTTGCCATCTCCAACTGCTGCATACCATGGCTCTTCTCTAACTCGCTCGTCACTGTANGTTGGTCCAAGTCAGGCCGTCTCCTTGCCTCCGGCTCCGACGATCAGCACATCACCATCCACACCTATCAACCAGATGACTCGAACTCGCAATTCAAACTGGCCACTAGCATCGCCACCGGCCATCGTGCCAATATCTTCTCTGTCAAGTTCATGCCTCATTCGAACGACCGCACTGTCATATCCGCTGCCGGTGATCACGAAGTCCGCATCTTTGATCTGGAGTACTCTGGCGCCGCTACAGAAGCATCACGCGCATCGGCCATGGCTCTGAACGGTGCCAATAGAGGCATGCGAGGCAATGCACAAGATGGAGTACGCCATTTGAGCGACGGAGACACAAACTGCAGAGTTTATCGCTCCCACGGCGACAGAGTAAAGAGAGTCGTGACTGAATCTTCCNCCCATCTCTTTCTGACTTGCTCAGAAGACGGAGAAGTACGCCAATGGGATTTGCGTCAACCGTCGTCTGCCTACCCTTCTCCTTCTAGTAGGTCCGCATCTGCAGTCTCTGTACCTCCTCCCNTGATCTCCTATAAACGTTATGACTTGGATCTCAATACCATCTCTTGTTCGCCGAGTCAACCTCACTACATCGCCCTCGGTGGTGCTCATCTACACTGTTTCCTTCATGATCGCAGAATGATTGGCCGCGACAAAAATGATGAACGGGCGGCTTCACCTCTCTCCACTACTAACCTGTCCGACATGGATGAAGATTTACTTGGTCAAGCCACTCGATGTGTACGCAAATTTGCACCTCGAGGCCAGCGTATCATGACGCAAAGAGATTCCGGACATATCACCGCTTGTAAGATCAGTGATGCTTATCCAAACGAGATTATAGTCAGCTGGTCTGGTGATCATGTCTACAGCTTTGACCTAGTACGCAGCCCGGATGCCAGCGAAGCTTCCAGAGAACAGCTTTCGACAACCCAATCAAGCAGCCATAGAACGAGAGAAAGCAACGAAAGAAAACGCAAGAAGAGAACAGCAAGTCACCTTTCGCATTCCCCTGGAGCATCCTCCCGTGTACAGCCACGTCAACGAACCGAGGAATCTACCGCATTGAGAGTGAGATATCACAATGGCCAAAGTGAAGACATCCCGATCGCTCGTTCCACAAGTCCTGTCTCGTCTCTACGAGAGAGTGTGATGACAGACAGGCAAAGGAAGGCATATCGTCTTGCCAAGACAGTGGTCGAGCTTCGTAGGACCATGTTCTCCCTCAGCGAACAAACGATCGCTACTTCGAGCAGAGACTTGACTGGCCACGCTACGGAGTTCACTTCAGTGCGAAGTTTGGCCGCCACTATACTGCCTCAAATGCAAGAGATTACTCGAACTTGGCGCTACCCAGTCGCTCCTGTCCAGGAGGAAGTCTTGCTGCAAAGAACGTTGCGCTCCAACAGAGAATCTGCCTGGCGTTTCGTGCAAGCATCTGGTGTCATTGCACGAGCACTTGGTGGACAACCGCATACTGCTAGCCAAGGAATCTTCGACACGCCTCTTTTTACTCGTATCGACCATGCCCCGAACGAGGGCAGTAGTCTTAGCGACCGCGAGCGATTTGGCTACGATTTTGTCAAGGCCATCTTCCTATGGCTCGATAGTGGGCTGGGAGCATTAATCGATGGCTTCACCAGATCTTCGGATGTCGCTCGATATGCATCTCGCTTACCGGTACCGAAGGACGCCAGTGCCGACGCGTTCGACGAGTGTATCATACCCTATCTTCTGACTCACTCATCCAACTCTCCAGTCTGCAATGTTGATGCTTCGAGATTCGAGGTAGACCTGAACCGTATTATCTATGAAACCGAGACCGACGCAGTAAGAGCATTTGTCGAGGCTGTCAAGACGCCCTTCGCAGATCTGTCATCAGATGATCCCATGGAAGGCGCACCTGAGTCCACCCAAAGACGGGGTGATGCATTATTACACTGGGGCTTAAAAGTTGCTCGTGGAATCCTCATGAACGCTGGCGAGGGTGTCAATTTTGCTCTCGTAGACCGAGCATTTGGTGGCCTCGGCACAGGTAACAATGCAGCAGCTCGGGAAGATGCACGATTACGAGAACGACAGCGTCATATTGACACTACCGAAGACGAACCTACGGCGGAGTTAATGGAGGTTGTTGAAGCTTCGTCAGACCAATTCTCAGAAGAGGAAGATGCTATTGCCATGAGCGAGATAAGAGCTGCCATGGGAGAGTACAGCGACGATGACGACGAAGATGGTGATGCCGAGAGCATTAGCTTCCCACTTACTGGACCTGAAGAGCAGGACGATGGAATGGACGAGGATGAAGACGAAGACGAAGACGCTGATGCAAGCCAGGACGAAAGCGGGCCTGAAGACAGCGACGATGATGAAGAGGAAGAGGAGGAATTTCCTCATCTGATCTATAGAAGTGCTTTGGGAAGACGTCGTAAGCGAAGCGAAGTTGAAAGATTTGTCTACTGCTCGCCCCATACCAGAGTCTATCGAGGCCACTGCAACGTCAAGACAGTCAAAGATGTCAATTTCTTCGGCCTGGATGACGAATATGTCGTGTCGGGCTCAGATGACGGCAACTTCTTTGTCTGGGAGCGCAAGACATCACGATTGGTCAATATTCTTGAGGGAGACGGAGAGGTGGTAAACGTGCTTCAAGGTCACCCATACGAACCTATGTTGGCGGCGAGTGGCATCGACCACACAATCAAAATCTTCTCGCCAGACGCAAGAGCGCGAGAAGCTGCTAGGCTCGGGCGAGGCGTTGAGGCAGTGGACAGCTCAACGTTCTCGTCAATTTCTTGGATGAGACGAAGAAGACAGAACAGACAGGGCGGCGTCACGTCAGAACCTGCAGTAGATACAGATGCTGAAGAACGAAACGCAGCAGATGACGATGAATATGTGGCACCGGGCGGACTGGCGAGCAGGAAACGCATGCACNTTGAGTACCAAATCACATCCCAGAATGATGTGGAACGACAAGGAGGGAACCAAGAGACTTTCCTCACGAGAAGTATGCTAGCCTCCCTGGCTCAACACCTCAGAAGACAAAGAGCCGAAGGAGGGGCTGAAGGAGAGGGCAGAGTTGTCATTGGAGACGATTGCGTTGTGCAATAGGTAGGCAGGTAGCCCTAGGATTGGTCCTATATAAACATCCCTTCACATGTCCCGTCTTTCAATCTGACTCTTATAAAACCCTACGCAAGAGGCTCGTACACTTGACGACCCTACGGAAAACCTGTCTTTCTATGATCCTGTAACGTGTCGATCCGTACTACCACAATCACTTTTACCATCTTCCGATACAGCTAGCGACATGGAGCTACGCTGGAGGCATGTCCTAGCTCTGATCAAACCTTTCAAATACCAAAGTTTGCTCCACTAAGATGACAAGGTTGTTGCAGGTGTCTCTGTCACCACTGTCACAGACATCGACACAAACTGCACAACGCTGGCGCAAACTTCAGCTTGCACCATCTCAACCCCATGCAGATATGTGCTTCAAGTGTGCGATGCCTTGGTGTGGTGAAGTCATGGAGTCAGGATCCTCTCCCTTTGATTTCTACGAGCATGTAGAAGAAGCTCCACATGCCGCATCACTATACGACATGGGCTCTTTCCTTTGTTGTCTCGGGTGTCCAAAGGGCTTTATCAACGCCCACTCCCAATTTCGCCACGAAGCCTCTAATACATGCTAAAAGGCCCCCTTCGCCGAGAAGATACCATAGTACGTAGTCGCGAGAGGATGCTTCGAGTCCACGAATCCCCTAAAGTTAAGCTAGTATTAGACGACTTTACCGCAGCAAAGGCACGATTCTCTTATGGAGGAAAGTCCATAGTAGATACGAATTATTACTGTGACACCTATAAGTACGGGCTCAAGACAAAGGAGATTCTTTTCTTCTACGTTACAAAAGACATTGCGCACGATCATGGAAACCTGTTTTCAAACATGTCTTCAATCTTAACATGACTATGCTTTTTTTCTTTCTTTCTTTTTTTTTTTTTTTTTGATAGTTCCTCCTTACTGCATAGTGCCAAAGCCATCTTCTCTTACCAGCCATGCGTCTCTATTTTGGAACGATCGGATGCCAACGAGCAAAGCCATTTCGAAGTCATCTAAGGATGGCAAAGGGGAAAGCACTACGTCTCAGTCTACAGAGACAGTGATTGAAAGGCCAAGAAGAAAATGACTCAACTTCAACGCCACACTCTGAATCCCGTCCAATTTATGAGAATCTCTGGCAGGCTTCAAGACAACGAGAAAGCCCGAGTCGTCGTCGTGCGGGCCTCGTCAGTGCGATCTGCACTCATGCCAAGTTTCTTTGGCGACATTGAACTCGAGATCCGAATGGCGCTGCCTTACATACTAGAGCATGGTCGTCTGAATCGGGCTCCAAGATTCATAGTCAGCCCTGCATACTTTACAACCCAGATCGGAACCCAAATTCTATGGGCACGTCTGCACAATAGAGATCCGGCAATCATCAGCAATGGTCTTGACGCCTTTACCATAAACTACGCAAGGCTGGAGATGTACATGAAGGTAGTAACCGAGCGATATGGTGAGATTACCTTTGTGCTTCGCTTGCCTGGACTGGCTCAAACAGATCAGGAGAAAGCAATGTGCCCAGAGTCAGGAGATGGAACTTCTTACGCTATCTATACATCCGCGCAGATCGGACAGGGAACAGACCCTAGCATTATCGCATGGAAAGAGAACCTGGAACATATGGGAGCATGGAGCGGTAGGCGTGACAAAAAGGGGTTGTGGTGAAAATATCTAGTCGCAGTACCTGAGACTACTTTGCCTTTGCTTTCTGGGCCTTGAGAGCCTTTTGACGGTTGCTTTTGATCATGATGAGCGACAGGAAAGAGCCAACGACAGCACCTCCGACCAAGATGAGGATGACGGGAAGACGGATTGCCCAGACACGAGGAGGAAAGAGCGATTGAGAAGGGTGCGACGAATCGACGAAGGGNCTTAAGCAGGACATGTTAGGAACTGAGAAGTCGTAGGTATAGAGAGGGAGAAGACAATGTACCATAACCAGCGTCCAGATGGTGTAGTAGAGGAAGACGGTGGTGGCTACGATGAGCATGCTTGCGCCGACGAGAGGACCGAGCTAGGGAAGCTTGTCAACAAAACTATATCACTCTAACGTACTGACTTGCATACCATTGTGATGTGTGATGATTGAGTGGTTCTTGGATTTGGAGTCCTAGAGTGAAGAAGGAGTTGTAGATAATAATAGGACTCCTATAACGCTGTAGACAGTTGGTCCGGGGTCAGCTCGGAGGTGCCAAGAGATGGATGCCGTCGGCGTTAGCTGCCACTGCAAGACGCAACTGCCTGACGCACTTTCTCGTGCTTGATCCTCGTCCTCGACTATTCTCCGTCACTCGATATGACGACGGCGATGCAGTCGGCAGTACGTCTGCCCTCACCCGAGCCCGCCGACGGCCAGTCGCATACTTCTGGTCGCAAACGCTCGCCTTCATCGCGCTCGCCCTCACCCGAAAGACGACCTCCAACTCTGCGCACACGCTCAGTCGACCCCGATACGAATAACGACCCTTTGCCCCCACGCGACCGCTCGAGATCGCGCTCACCGCTCCCTCATCGCAGCGGTCCTCTTCCCGCGATGTCGACCGTCAAAGAGCACTCGAACGCCAGAGACAGGCCGAAACCCGCCGGCGCGAAGAAGTTCAACAAGACAAGCCTCTGTCGGCCGCCGAGAAGCAGGNCCGCCGCAAAGGCTGAGTACGAACGTCTGCTCACCATGCGTTCGGGAGGAACCTATGTGCCGCCCGCCAGGTTGCGCGCTCTACAGGCTGAGATCGGCAACGATCCATCCTCCAAGGAGTTCCAGCGCATGGCCTGGGAGGCCCTCAAGAAGTCTATCAACGGTCTGATCAACAAGGTCAACGTCTCCAACATCAAATACATTGTCCCCGAGTTGTTCAGCGAGAACCTCATCCGTGGCCGTGGCCTCTTCTGCCGAAGTATCATGAAGGCCCAGGCTGCCAGTTTGCCCTTCACCCCCATCTATGCCGCCATGGTCGCCATTGTGAATACGAAACTTCCTCAAGTCGGCGAGTTGCTGGTCAACCGTTTAATAGTGCAGTTCCGTAAGGCCTTCAAGCGCAACGACAAGGCTGTTTGCTTGAGCAGCACAACCTTCCTGGCGCATCTGATCAACCAACAGGTCGCCCACGAGATGCTTGCCGCCCAGATCTTGTTGCTTTTGCTCAACAAACCTACTGACGACAGCGTGGAGATCGCAGTGGGTCTGATGAGAGAGGTTGGCCAGCACGTCGAGGAATTCAATTCACAGATCGCCATGGCCGTCTACGACCAATTCCGCAGTATTTTGCACGAGGCCGACATCGACAAGAGAACCCAATACATGGTCGAAGTTCTGTTCCAGGTCAGAAAGGACCGCTACAAGGACAATCTCTCGGTCAAAGAAGAGTTGGATCTTGTGGAAGAGGAGGATCAGATTACTCACAATACCGGCCTGGACGACCAGATTGAGGTTCAAGATGGCCTCAACGTTTTCAAATTCGACGCCGATTGGGAAGCAAACGAGGAGGCTTACAAGAAGCTCAGAGCTGAAATTCTCGGCGAGGCCAACGGAAGCGACGAAGATGACGAGGACGATTCGGATGTCAGCAGCAGCGAGGACGAAGACGACGAAGCCGACAAACAGGTCGAGATCAAGGACCAGTCCAACACCGACCTGGTCAACTTGCGCCGAACCATCTACCTCACCATCATGTCCTCCGGCGGCTTTGAGGAATGTACTCACAAGTTGCTTCGTATCAATTTGCCCNCCGGATTGGAGCACGAGCTGCCCTCGATGATCGTCGAGTGTTGCTCCCAGGAGCGCACATACAACAAATTCTTTGGCTTGATTGGTGAGCGTCTTTGCAAGATCAACCGCATGTGGAATGAACTTTTCGAAACCTCGTTTGTCAAGTACTACGATACGGTTCATCGCTTGGAAACCAACCGTCTTCGCATTGTCGCCCAGTTCTTCGGTCACCTTCTGTCTTCCGACGCTATTGGCTGGCATGTTATTAGTGCCATCCACCTGAACGAGGACGAGACAACTTCCTCCTCGCGTATCTTCATCAAGATTCTGATTGAGGAGCTGGCTCAGAACATCGGAATGAAGAAGTTGTCGGAGAGAATGAAGGATGATGCCTTGCTGCCTGCACTGGCTGGAATATTCCCCATCGACAATCCTCGCAACACTCGTTTCAGCATCAACTTCTTCACTGCCATTGGTATGGGTGTGTTGACCGAGGGCATGAGAGAGTACCTCAAAAACATGCCCAAGCCAACACTACCAGNNCTCTGCCCGTGAGAGCTGCTAGCCCAAGCAACAGCGCATCAAGTTACTCTAGCTACTCAAGCTACTCGAGCCGTTCCCGCTCTCCGTCACGCACAAGGGGCCGAGCACGCAGCTACTCTCGCTCACCAACACCGAGACGTTCAGTTCGAGACAGATCCTACTCATACTCGAGATCGCCGTCTCGATCGAGGTCTCCCGCTCCAAGACGTCGTTCTCCTTCTGCTTCTGTTTCTCGTTCGAGAACACCCGAGCGCAGGAGAAGATACACATCGTCTATTTCTCGCTCTCGTTCTCCGCCCCCGAAGCGTGGCAAGGCTCGTCAAGACTCTCGCTCACCATCGTATTCGCGCTCACGCTCGCCTCCTGCTCGTGGAGCTGCAAGAGCTCGAAGCTATTCTCGCTCCCACTCACCNNCCCCTAGCCGTAGGGCACCTGCACGAGACAGGAGCTACACTCGCTCCCCAACACCGCCTCGTAGACGTCGGGATAGCTATTCCCGATCACCGGCTCACTCCATCTCTCGTTCGCGCTCTCCGCCGTCGAGAAGAGCAGGGGCCGGACGTAGACGCTCTCCATCCAGATCCATTTCTCGCTCTCCGTCTCCACCCCCGAGACGAACAAGGTCTCCAGTCAGGAGCCAACGTCGCGTGCGTCGCAACACTTCCTCTCCAGAAGTATCACGCTCCAGATCGCCCCCTCGTCGCACACGCAGAGCCAGTAACACCTCTGCTCGTGGTCCTAAGCCTCCTGCCCCAAGCGCCGAGATGGACCTTAGCGATATTCATCCCAGCCGCAGGGGCCTACTAGGCGCTGGCGGAAGGGCAAGGCCAACTGCAGGTGATTTTATCTAAGTAAATAGCAATACCCCTCATCAAAAAGTAGCTCAAATTAGTCACAATCATCAATCATACCATCAAAGGTCCGGAGGGATATTTTCCCATCTCTATAACAACACTTGAATGGAAACACAAACATCGAATGCAGTACGATTGATCGACGACGAAAAGCTGGACGGAAGAATGACAAATCTCGAATGATTTTCATTGCTTTGGCGCCCATGCGGGTGGGATATGTCAAAGAAGCAAGCGCGTCCATGCAGTCTGTGGTCTTTCTGTTGTGTGACCATCGCATGCTTGTCGTAAATCCAGAAGCAGGCGCGAAGGAGAGCCAAGGACGCTATTGCCAGCCCAGAATCAACACCCAGCTCTTCACACCGAGTAAAATACCTGTCTTATATTCTGTTCTCGCTCATGTTTATGCTCAGGGCGTCCGATCTTAGACCGAAGCAGTGCACTGAGTGCAGAATCGAGGGCTGTGTATCTCAACATTGAAGATTGAAATGATATGAAGATCAGGCATGCCATGCAGGAGGGCAAGACGCGCTCGACCGGGAAGATCGCAGCACACACCAAGCCACCATCGGTCAACTTTTTCTTTCTTGGTCTTGAAGGTTTTGCATTGTGTTTGAAGTCGCGGCTGTCCAATCTTGCTGTCGTTGTTGCACTGGGCGGCTACCGATATGCAAGGATGTCCTCGTTCGCCATAATGATCTTCGGGGTTTCACGCGTCAAGGAACTGAACAAGCGAAATAGATTAAGTGTTGATATGGATCGGTCATGCCGGGCCCGGATGCGAGCACTGAGCATCAACCCGCAGTTCGAATTCTCGCCCCTTGACTGCGCAACCGCTGAGTCTCCTTTGACAAAGTCAGCCGTTGTCGACCGAGCCGAACGACAAGACTGAATCTGACTCGACTTTGTAGAAGGACAACAAAGAGCTCACGATTTGAATTTAGGGATCATCGAGGAGAAGGTTTTGTTCCTGCAGCAGAAGGAGACTCCGCTTGACGGGACTTGGCGTTTCAGAGTTCCGCTCTCCACCTCGGCCCCTGGTTATCAAAGCACTTCATCTATCCCCTACATATGTTGAGGTCTTGCGCCAGCCCTGTTCGGTCCACAACATGGTTGCGAGGTAGCCGAAGCGCGGTAACTTGCGTGCTCTGATCCACGTCTGAGCTCTGTGCTTCAGCGGCGCGCCACATGGTTGTCTGCCTTCTGAAACCCGGGAGTACTATACCATATTGATGGACTCCACTACACTAAAGCAGGGGCTCCGCTACAACGTTCATCCTCGCGAGTCACGACTCGGGCCTGGTCCGGACATCGTGTTCACGGTCCAAAGTAGGCGACCCTCTCCAGGTATAAGAATCATGTCTCCCAAACACTCTCCCACCCCTTCCCTCCTCAAGCTATCGCCTTCGACAATCTTTTGCAGTGCAAATTCTCGGTCTCGTACCACCCACACTCTTTCTTCACCGTATCATCCTGCATTGACTGCAGCTGGGATACTTTCATTCTTTACATTTGATTCTTCAACCGCTCCCGCACTTTCGCATCTTCGCAACCAGAAAAACTAGCAATCTCTACGAGAAAACACTCTACAAAACAACCAAAAATGTCTTTCAAGATCGCCGCCGCAGCCGCTCTGGCTACTCTCGCCTCTACCGTCTCTGCTCACGGTCACTTGCAGAGCATCGGTGCGTCTGGCACAGTCTATGCTGGCTTCAACAACTCCATCCTGTACTCGAACACCAAGCCTGACCTCATTGCCTGGTCTGATACCGTCAAGGACAACGGTTACGTCTCTGACTACTCCAGCTCTGACATGATCTGCCACGCTGGTTCTGGTAACGCTAAGCTCTCTGCTCCCGTCAATGGTGGTGATACCGTCACCTTCAACTGGGACACCTGGCCGACATCCCACAAGGGCCCTGTCATCACTTACCTTGCCAAGTGCGATGGCGATTGCGCTGACGCCGACAAGACTAGCCTCGAGTGGTTCAAGATCGATGCTGTCGGTCTCATCTCTGGAGACAGCAACTCCGGCACTTGGGCTTCCGACAAGCTGATTGCCGATCAGTTCAAATGGGACGTCAAGATACCCGAGAGCATTGCCTCCGGTAACTATGTTGCTCGTCACGAGATCATCGCTCTCCATAGCGCCAACAACGTTGGTGGTGCCCAGAACTACNCCCAGTGCATCAACCTTGAGGTCAAGAGCTCTGGTTCCGATGTCCCCGAGGGTGTCGTTGGTACCTCTCTCTACACTGCCCAGGACAAGGGTATCTTTGTCAATATCTACTACCCTGGCTTCCAGCCTGATGAGTACGATATGCCTGGCCCTGCTCTCTACAGTGCTGGCTCTGGTTCTACTACTGTATCATCGGCTGCCGCTTCGTCTGCTCCCGCATCATCGTATGTTGAGGCCACCTCGACCTCGGCTTCCTCTGCTGAGACTACCTGGGCTTCTTCGGCCGAGGCCACCTCGACCTGGGCTCCTTCTTCAGCCGAGGCCACCTCTACCTGGGCTCCTTTTTCGGCTGAGGCTACCTGGGCCGCCTCTTCGTCAAGCGCTGCTCCTATCACTACCCAGGCTGCCGTTGTCGCTTCGTCTGCTGCCGCAAGTGGTGATGGTTACGTTGTTACGACTTACGAGACAGACGTCGTTACGCAGTCTACCGCCGTCACCGTTACCGAGGGAGCTTCCCCTACTGCTTCTGCCAAAGTCGCGGTTTCTAACATCGCCTCCGCCGTTCCCTCAGCGATCCTGACCAGCACCATCTCCGCCGGTGTCCCCACTGGCACTGCTTCTGCCGGTGTTGCCAAGCCCACCAAGGCTCTCCCCGAGGGCACCACCCTTGAGGACCTCATCTCGTGGGTCGAGTACCTCTTCGCTGAGAACTCCTCAAAAGCTGCCACCAAGCACCGCCGCCACGCTCGTGCTTTCCGCCACTAAGCGGTTGGCATGCCTTGAAGAAAGTATGTTGATGATCGGAGTACCAGGCTATGATTTTTGGTCGGTTTTCTTGACCCCTTTTTTCTCTTCTTGATTGCTATACAATTTTGTACATATCTTTTTCCTGGAAGATGCGAGTGGTCGTTGGATGCTACCCGCACTGCAAAGACTTTATATAGATGGAATTGTCGCAATTCGAATCTACTTTTTGGCTGTTCCTGGCTTGCCGAGACTGCTGGATACGCAATGTTCTATGCCACTCATTGTTATCGTGTCAACATGTGGATGTTATATGTTCGAAATACTCCAGTAGGTCTGCATCCTGTCACAGCTGTCATTAATGCTGCTCTTATCACACATGCCGGTGTCTAATCCTCCGTTAAAAGCGGATAAACAGTGCCGGTGATATAGGGGTGCGGTGGCCGAGGGGTCCTCGGGGTCCTCGGGGTAGGTGCGGACCGAGACGAGCAAACTAGCGGGCAGGGCAAGAAAGTAGTACCCTTCATCTCTCGACAAAACGAGAATACGCAGACCCTCCACTTGAGCGATTTCTTCTACCGCCCCCGAAAGATAGCCGGAACACTGCATGTTTGGCACTTGCAAACATGCAAGCATTCGTAATCCTCGGTTCTTTGCTTTCTGCACTCCATCGCGCGCGGTTCTAGGGCAAGTGGAATGCAAGAAAAGCAAGATACACACGTACACTCGCATATCACGGACTTGGCAGCAGCTTCCGCCAAGGCCATGAGCAATTAACATGCCCAATATTGAGTGAATGATTGCCCGCCAGTCAGGGATAGAATAGAGAATAGTACCCGAAATGGGCTAGAAAGATGAACAACACATAGGCAAGGCTTGGCAGGTGTTTAAGACAAGGCAAACAGCTGGCAAGTACCCGGGTGCTTCTAGATGATTCACAGCGTCAGAGAGGGAGAGGGGCATGTGATGATCAGTGAGCATTGGTGTATATAAAGCTGGTGGGGTTACGTTGTTTACCTTTGTACACTCACTTTTCTGCTTTCGTGTGTCTCCCTGCGGATTCACAACTCCTTCCATCCTTTGCTCTTTCCCTCCTGCGCACACACAACAGAAATCGACACAATGTCTTTCTTCAAGAAACTCAAGAATGAGTTCGAGGATATGTTTGGTGATGATGACAAGAAGAAGGAGGACAAGCCTTCGCAGCCTGCCCAGGATGTGAAGCCCACCGAGAGCAGTGAGTCCCTGGTCTTACCTTCTACACAAGCTTGCCAATCGTTGACCTTCTCTTGTACAGAGCCCGAGCAGACGCGTGATGTCAACCAGCCTCAGTATTCTTCGCCCGCCCCAGGCTCATATGCCCAGCACCAGCAGCAGTCATACCCCCTCAGCAGTACCNCTCCTCAACAACAGCAACCCTACGGCCAGCCTACCCCTGGTCCTTATGGACAAGCCCCTCCACCTTCTGGACCCCCTCCTCCCCAGGCTGGTGGCCAGCTTCCCCCTGGCTGGGTGCAGCAGTTCGATCAACAGAACCAGCGCTTCTTCTATGTGAACCAGGCTACAGGTCAGACTCAGTGGGACATGCCTCAACATCCTGTTCCCCAGAACCAGTATGCATCACCGCCTCCTCCCACTGGTGGAGTCTATGGTGGTTACCAGCCTCCTCATGCTCAGGGTCAGTATGGCCAGCCTAGCGTTCCATACGGACAGGCTCCTCCGCCTCAGGGACAGTATGGTTCAGCCCCTCCTCAGGGTGATCAAGCCCGTGGACAAGCAAACTCCTTCTACGACAGCTACGGCGGTGCCATGCCCTCGGTTCCTCCTCAGGGTCAGCATGACACGCGTGCCAACCAGTACTACGGAGATGTCGAGACCAAGGATAAGAAGAAGAGCAGCGGCTATGGAGGTGCCATTGGTGGAGCTGCAGCCGGTCTGGCTGTAGGCGCTATTGGCGGCGCACTGATTGCTGACGCTCTGGGTAAGTGGCCCAGTCTTTCAATCACTCACCTTAGCTCTTGCTGACATTCTTGGGATTTGCAGACGACTCGGACGACGAGAAGAAGCATGCCGCCGCCGCTGCACCCANGCTACGCTCCGGCCCCTACCAACTACGCTCCTGCTCCCGACCCGTCGTACGGAGGCTACGGTGCCCCCTCCCAAGATTCCTACGGCTACAACGCTCCTGCCCCGGTCGCCCAGCCCTCTGGTTATGGCGGATCTGCCTACGAGCCAGGTCTGTACGATGACGCACCTCTGCCTGATGAGACCGCTTCAGGATCGTCGGTCTCGAGCAGCGACCGTGAGAGTCTCGAGGAGAAGCGTGAAGAGCTGCGCGAGATGCAGGAAGAGTATGAAGAGGAGTACGCTGAGACCTACGATGATTAGAAGTTCTGTACCAGTCACCGCCGGTGGGAAAGCCGACCAATTGTTCTCGGCCGAGCTTGACGGATCTGCCACATTATCGATGATACTTGATAGGAAAGTGGTCGCGTGAACGGCTGTAATCATGCGACAACCGGGATAAAGAATAGAAAGGACAATTCATATCTCAAAATCATCCTTCTCAATGTGCTTTTTGCATCTGATCAGGCAGGTGTTTGTGATGTAAATCGATTTCACGGCATTTTTGGACGATCCCGAGCGGGCAACACCCAGCCAAGCCGTCATCGGCGGCCAATTCGAACGGCAATTCGGCCTTTCGATTTGGAGATATCATCCATCTTTTCTCCTCGAATCATCTTCTCTGACATCCTGTCGACACACTATACTGAACGATGCCAACCTTTGCGCGAACCTTTGTTCATACATCCTAATAAACTCGTGGCTTACTGAGTCATCATGACCTACCGATCTTGTCACTCAAAATCTCTCATCTTATCGCGATTATCCCCTCCATTCTATCACTCAGACCTGGATCCAAAAGTTGGCGACGTAATATTGCCCTAATCCAATATTCTCTTTTCGATTCTTACTTCGACTTCCCACCAACCTTCGAAGAAAACATAACTCGGTCTCAACATGGCGAAAGAAACCAAGGATCTGGAAGCCGCCATCCACGACCAGACAAACCTGGTACCATTACGGGAGCGCTTGACGATATTCTTCACCCTCGCATTCTGCATGTTTTTATGCTATGTCGACCAAAATGGCATCACCGTTCTTCTGCCCAGCATCGCGAGAGACTTGAATGCTGCAAACACTATCGCTTGGGCTGGCACGTCGGCCCTCATCGCGAATACTGTATTTCAGGTACTCTATGGCCGTCTGTCTGATCTCTTTGGTCGTAAGAAAATTTTCATCGGGTGTGTCTTATTGTTGGGTGCCTCGGACTTGGTATGTGGCTTGACACCTAACAAGGAGGTCCTGTACGTCTTCCGCGGTATATCTGGCATCGCCAACGGTGGTATCGTGGCTCTGGTCAACATGATCATGTCAGACGTCGTGACTCTACGACAAAGAGGCAAATATCAGGGTATCATCGGGTCTTTCATCGGATTTGGCAATGCCGCAGGCCCCTTGATCGCCGCTGCATTCACTCAGCATTCGACCTGGCGAGGTCTTTTCTACCTTAACGCACCTTTGTGTGTTGTCGCTGCGTGTCTCGCTGCATACACTTTGCCACAGAGCATGCCCAAGGTCAACTTCAGGGAGACTATCGCTAAGATCGACTGGGTTGGTCTCTTCTTCAGCACCACTGCTATCATCCTTATCCTCATCGCCATATCCGATGGTGGTCACGGTACACCATGGAACTCTGCTGAAACTATCTCGATGCTGGTGGTTGGCGGAGTCTGTGCGATAGCCTTCGTCATCGTTGAGTGGAAATTTGCAAAGCTTCCCATGATGCCACTGGAGATGTGGAAGAATCCGTCAGTGGCATGCATGCTTGTGCAGTCATTTTTGCTCGGTATGAATTACTACTCCCTCATATACTATCTGCCACTGTATTACCAAAATGTTGGTGGATACGATGTCATGAGGTCAGCGGTCCTCATTCTTCCTCTGGTTCTGGTACAAGCGACGTTCTCTGCGCTTGGTGGGCAATACATGTCCTTTTTCGGCCACTATATCGAGGTCATATTCGCTGGCTTCGTTGTTTGGACTCTGGGCTCAGGCTTGTTGGTTTCTCTCGACGCCAACTCTCCCGTCGGCCACATTTGCGGTTTCATCATCATGGTTGGGTTTGGTTGCGGATGTACATTCCAGACAACCAACACAGCCATGCAAGCACATTGTCCCAAGTCACAACGCTCGGTCGTCATCTCTAATCGTATGCTGTTGCGTCAATTGGGCGGTGCAGTCGGCCTGGCGGTTTGCTCGGCTATTTCAGGCAACGTTCTACAGTCAAGCCTGCCGGCACATCTCCAATACATCGCCGACTCCACGTTCGCCGTGCCTGACCTGAACACTGTCAGCGCTGCCGATCGAACAAGCATCAGTACGGCATATGCAAACGCAAGCCGTACTGTCTTTATCTTCTGCGTGGCGGTCATTGGAATAGCGCTCTTGCTCACCTTCTTCGTCACTGACAAGGGATTGGTGAGAGAAGAAGACGTTGCTGAAGAAAAGGTCTGCGAGGCAGAAGTGGGACATTCAGATCAAGATTCAGAGAATGAGACCAGTGATGAGAAGAAACCCAGTCTCGTCGCACGATTCAAGACATGGAGAGATTCGTTGGTCAAGAGCGAAGATGCCGCTAAGGATATTAAGAGTCCGCCTATACCACTAAAACCCTTGAATAGAGAGGAGGTCCCGGCGGATCCCTCGTCAAAAATTTTTCTAGATACTAAATAGATGCATTACTTCTGCTATGAAAAACAATGACTTTACCAAGCCTGCCCTTGTTCCAAATCCTCATGCAAAGTCAGACATGACAACCAGATCTTCAGACATCGTAAGGCTTGTAAGGCTTGTAAGGACCGGTTTCCCTAGACCATCCATCCACCTTCTCAATTTTGAGATCCTCCAGCACAATGTTATCCATTGTCCTTATGTTGATCGGCCTGACCGGAGCTTTGAATGTGTGATGCAAGTCGACTCTATTGACCACATCAATCCCACAGACACCACAGAAGCCGTGGTATGCACGACTAGGGTGGAAGAGGTAGTCTGTAAGCTTGTCCTCTGTGCCTAAGAGGTCGACCGAAGGGATCGGAGGATAGATCCACATATCCGCATTNCTGTGTATCGTGTGTCAGAACAAGGCATCCTTTCGAGAAGCGAACATGGGAGGAAAACGTACACGAGAGCAGAAACTGCAGTTACAAGTGCGAACTTCCTTGATTTCTTCACAGACTACGGTATACTTTACGGCTTGACAGTGGCAGCTTCCGGTGTATAGTTTTTGTCCTTGAGGTACTTCTGGTGTTTGGTCTTGGGAGAGGACGAAAGTGCGGTAGACTGGTTCGATGTTTGCTCGGTCTGTGGTACTGATTTCTAGGTTGTCGATGTCTACTTCTCCGTGCTTGAAAGCNTCTTATCTAGGTTCTTGTTAGATGGTGGGAAAGATAGAGGATGGTTGGAGGTTTACGTTGACGGCTAGGAAGTTGAGTTTTGCGGCTTCGACCAGAACACCAGTGCCACATGTTGGACAGAACTAGGTATGATGAGTTGTTGTTGAAAGTCATGGAGCTGGGCTCTTGATTACCTTGTGCTCAGCGACTCCGTTGCCAAAAGAGTATGTCTTCAGGACGCTTTCGCCGATTTCAACTTTAAAGTCAGATGGCTTTTCAGGTACTGCAAAAAGATATCCTTTCTGAACTCCTCATCAGCAATCGGAGCTGGAAGAAGATTGAATGCACATCGCTCTTACCCTTCTGCAAATACTGCAGTTGCATACCGCAGCCTTTTTGATCGGTGCAAGTGCGACGGAGAACTTGAAGGCGCCACAATGGCAGTTTCCATGATAGATCTGCTTTTCTCCAGGTTCTGCCATCTTTGGACGTGTAGTCTTGGGAAAGTACAATGTAGGGGTCGCTTCCGCTACAAGTATAATCGTGGGGTCAATAACGGTCCTCGGGTTGTATATCCGTAGTGCTGACGGCAGGTACGAGGCTGACGATAAGCGACCTTAGCACCTGACTAAGAGAGCAATGTGGCGCATGTTTCGCTCCTGCCACTTACATGCAACAGTCCAAGTTGGAGGGAATGAGTTATCGAGAAACACAATGTTTTCAGTGGTTAAAATCGTTACGGCATAGCTCATTCAACATCGCAAGTTATGGTACATATTGACAGTCATTATATCCTGGTGCTCCAAGTCCTCTTCAATCCTCAAACTTCAGCAACGCAATGCGGGCACCCGCATTTACAGTCTCGCCGGGAGCAACCAACAGTCTTTCGATCTTTGCAGCTTTCTGATCTGGCGGAGCGTTTACTGCAATCTCGAGCTTCATCGCCTCGAGGACGGCTATGGTTTGATTTGGCTTGATGGTCTGCTTTTCTTCAACCATGATCTTCCAGACGTTTGCAGCGACTGGTGAGTCTATGGTTGTGTACTTTGGATCNTTTTTGCTGTTAGCAGATTGCGTCGACGATGAAGGGGTATTGGAATACTCACTAGCCAACATGGATTCAATTGTGCTATCGTCAACCTTGTTTTTNGCCTTCTCTTCTCTCCACTTGACAAGGCTTTCGTTCTCTGCCTTTGTCATTTCAGCTTGAGCGATTGCTTGTTCGGCACGAATGCCTTCGACTTCCTTGGCTGTGTCTGCCAACAATATGTTGTGTTCGGCCATATCAAACTCGATGTCTTCCCACTCGAACTTGTACCTACCACTGCGGAAGTCTGCAAGCAACACATCTAGCTCTTGCTCGCTGACTCGGTAGTAGGTCAATATATCGAAGTCTTGAAACAGATAGGGCCGTGAGGGAGAGAATCCGTTTTTCCAACCTAGTGCATCAAAAATGGGAATGGTGCGCCCGGTCATTTGATAGCCACCCGGGCTATCGACTGGATAGATTGACATGCAGGATCCGCCCCAACTTACGGTGCCTTCAGGTGTAAACACTCGACTAGGGTTCGCCTTTGGACACGACATTCGCTGACGGGGATCGACGGGCAATGAAACCGTGTTTCCTGCATAGAAACCCACCACGACAGCCATGAACTGCCCATTAAGGAAAATATCTCGTAGCTGGTCTGAAGTGAAGGCGTTGTTCTTCGCGACGAAATCAAAGTTGCTGGGAAGGTACGGCGCGTGTGGCCGTTGCGTCTCCATATATCTCTTCGTCGCTTCCTCCTGCGTTTTCGACTCGAACGAGAGCGGAAGGCGGAACTTTCGGCAAGGCACCTTGACGGAGCTAAGGTCGCCCAACTCATCTTCTAGGCGTTGAAGATGTGCTACCAACTTCTGTCTTTCGATTTTCAAGCCGTTGTAGAAAAGCGTGACACTGGTACAGCAGGATACGGTATTGTTGAGCCACTTGGGGTCTGAAGATCGAATGGCTTTTTCAAGCGCCGTCGTCCTGCAGCGATGGTTCAAATCGAACTCCTCATTGCCATACTCAACGATGATGTGGTCGTCGCCGCCTTGTCGGTATCTGACCAGAGGCTGTCGACCCTGCTGGGGTCTCTCCCAGATGACAGCCTTGCCGAACTCGCTAGACGGTCTGAAAGCAGAGTTCAGAGGCTGAATATCCTCGAGTTTGCCGTTATTCTTTACAGCATGTTCGACGGACTCGATGAAACGGTCATTCTGCTTGCGCAAAGAAAGTGCTTCTTCCAAAGACACCCTCTTGTACTTCAGAGTGTCTCCTGACTTCAGCTGACCTAGTTTCCACCACTCTGCTCGAATAACAGTTGTGCTGGAGACAAAGCCACCAAAGTTGGGGCAGTCTACGGGGAAGAGGCATGGATCGTCACCAGTCCAGTTGAGTGCTCCTATGGGGTAACCGTACTCGACTAGGTTTGAAGGATGAGCACCACCTTCGCCACCATCCTTACGAGCCCATTTGGGAACTGGTCCGATCAGTCTGATAGCACTACGACTGGCATTGTGCGAGACTTTCCATATAGTCGTGTATATCATGTCAATATCTTCAGGAAGGAGATATCCTACGTCGTGTGGTCCCACCATGGCCATGATTTCCCACTCGCTGGTGTAGACAGGCACAAGGGCCTTCGGTAAGCTGATACTCGAGCTCGAGATAGATTCAGCAACGTCATCAACAACAGCTAGCAGGTCTCCAGGTGCGAGCTGACGTCCTTGGTAACCACCAATTGCCACGATTGGAGAGGTCGACTTTGACCCAAAGTACTCAGCCACCGCAGGNAAGCCGCCGTAGACGGCAAGATAAGCTCTACAACCAGAGCCTGTGGTCTTACCGATTTTGAGCCTTTGACCAGCCTTGATGTGGTATCGCTGCCACATTGGGAATGGCTGTCCGTCTAGTTGAGCATCCATTGGAGCACCCGTCAGAGCGACCACTGCCGGACGAATGAACCGTAGTTCGGGGCCACTCAGGGTTATTTCCAGGGCTTCTGTAGTTGAACCATTTCCAGCAAGGATGTTTGCGAGCGAAAAGGCAACGGGGTCCATCGCACCGGAATGAGGAATGCCTTTGCCTACTGTCGGCCTACCTGGCAAGTCCTGTATCAAGGTATAGGCACCTGCCGATATAACATCGATAGCGGCGGGACGGAAGTCAAAGGAGTTCAAGAAATTAGTCAAGGTGTTGCCAGCCTTGAATCTGTCATCGCGTATGATCTCTTCCAGAAAGTCGAGGTTGGTTGGAGGACCGCAGATCTTAGATGACGAAAGAAGATTCTGCATGCCTTCTACAGCCTCGTTCCTAGAGGGACCATGGAGCATGACTTTGGCTACAAGTGGATCATAGTTAGGTGTGATGGTAGCTCCTGTGAAGACCCATGTATCGATACGAATCCGATCGTTTTGTTGTTCTGGCCAAGACACAGATTGCAAGAGACCGGGAGAAGGGGCGAAATCGCGCAGAGGGTTTTCTGCATAGACTCTGGCTTCAATTGCGAAGCCTTTTGGAGATGATGGCTGCATTTTCTTCAGGGAGCCCGCTTCCAATCCGCCTTGACCTTTGAGTTGAGCATCGGCTTGCTGAAGCATGAGTTCTACCAGATCGATATCATAGCAGAGTTCTGTGATGCCATGCTCCACTTGAAGACGAGTGTTCATCTCCAAGAAGAAGTAGTCTCCAGATTCGTCGTCGACCAGATACTCGACCGTACCCGCAGAACCGTACTTGATAGACTCTGCAAGACTGACAGCCGCAGCACCGAGCTTCTCTCTCAAACCAGGATGCTTCTCGACAAATGGACTCGGGCATTCTTCGATGACTTTTTGGTGACGGCGCTGGATGGAGCACTCCCTTTCGCCAAAATGAATCGCTGAACCTTGGCCATTACCAAAGACTTGCACTTCAATATGGCGAGAAGCTACATAGTACTTCTCGATGAACAAGCCAGAGTTCTTGAACAATGTCTTGCCTCGCGACTGCACTTTGTCGAAACCGGACCGGACCTCTTCGACATTGTAGCAAGTCACCAACCCCATACCACCTCCTCCTCCTGTAGCTTTCAACATGACTGGGAATCCGAGCTTCTCGGATGCTTGAACGGCATCTTCAGCACTTTCCACAAGACCTTTTGTGCCAGGTACTATTGGCACACCGGCTTGCTCGGCCAGGTCTCGTGCTACGTGCTTCACGCCGAATGCCTCGATTGCTTCCGGACTCGGACCTACCCAGGCAATACCAGCGTCTGCGACCTGTCTAGCGAACTCGGCGTTCTCGGATAGGAAACCATAGCCAGGAATGATGGCATCGACTCCTTTCTGCTTTGCTATGGCGATGATATTATCGCCATCAGTGTATACTGTTGAGTCATTGCCGGAAAGCAAGACGGCCTCATCTGCTGCTTTCACATGGCTGCTCGCCGCATCTGCAGCCGAGTAGATTGATATGGTGCGTATACCTAGAGCTTTTGCTGTCCTGATGATGCGGACNCTGGAAGAGATGTTCTTGTTAGGTAATGGCTCCATGAAACCCCGCCAAGGTACGTGGGGTCGGGGTGTGGTATGGACAGGGTTACGAACCGCAATTTCACCTCGATTAGCAATGAGTAGAGTCTTGAGTTTTTCCATATTGTTGTGTTCCAGGGTATAGCCATGCTTACATTCGAGACGGCAATGGGTTATATACTAAACTCATCAGGGTCACTGCCTGGTCGTCGGCTGACCTACATATGGCTTTGGCCGATGAGGGTCTTGGGGTAAGTGTCGATCGATGATAAGCTTCCAAGACCAACTCCACCTCGCTAGGATCGAGATGACATGGGTATGAATACCTGGATCCAAAACAGAAGGTCGTACCATCCGTCCTTCCTCTCACCCGGTTAGACCCCAACTGTTCAGTCACAAGCACTCAAGCCTTAATCATTTCTTCTCATAAGCAACACGAAACAACATGCCTCCAGTCAGCAAGAAAGTACACATCAACGTCGACCTAGGTGAAGGATACGGCAATTTCAGATGCGGTCCAGACGAAGAGCTCATCCCTCTCATCGACCATGCCAACATCGCCTGTGGATTCCATGCCGGAGACCCTTTGATCATGGCCAATACAGTCAAGCTATGCAAGCAACACAACATCAAGATCGGAGCTCATCCAGGACTACCGGATATTCAAGGCTTCGGCAGACGAGAGATCAAGATGTCACCCGAAGAACTGACTGCAATGGTCATCTACCAAGTGGGTGCTTTGAAGGGCTTCCTGGATGCCGAGNGAGTACCTCTGCACCATGTGAAGCCCCACGGTGTACTCTATGGCATGATGTACAGGGACCGTGAGGTGTGTCGAGCGGTCTACTCTGGTGTTCCAAAAGGCACACCTGTGTTCGGCCTTGCCGGCACTCTTCACGAAGAAGTCGCAAAGGAGCTTGGTTTACCGTTTTTGNCTGAACTATACGGTGATGTAAAATACTCAAAAGACGGTACATTGGTGATCGACCGCAAGAAANAAGTAAGGTCAAGATACAGTAGAAGCCTTAGAAAAGCTAGCTAATCTGGTAAACCCAGGGCATGGACACAAGAAGAAACAGCAGCGCACATCAAGTCACAGCTGGAAAACTCATCTGTCACCGCGGTTACGGGAGAGGAGGTCAATCTGCCACTGGGCGATCATGAGGTCTCGTTGTGCTGCCATTCTGATTCTCCTGGCGCTGTAAACATAGTGACTGCTGCCAGAAAGATGGTAGACGAGTTCAACAAGAAGCACCACGGCTCTGTATAGATACAAAGTCACCTCTACTCATGAGTAACGCTCCAGAGGCGTTGATAGTGGCATGCAGAATGGTACAACTCATTGGCATCGTTGTATATAAGACGTTTCGTGTTTCTCATGCTTCTTGACCCTCAGCTAAGGTCAAGGAGTCATCTATAACGACCGCCCTCCAATAATTCGTCGATTTGCCGTACAGCTGTCTTGACCCTCTCTCGTGTGTCAGCGTCAACGTCTTCTGCCAAAGCACGAACTTTTTCGTCTATGCCGAACGATGCTAAAGTGCGAGCTCTCGCTTTAGCATCTTCTCTATCGGCGGCACTATCCACCCAGGTCAGATTTATGATTGCCCAGACAGATGCTACACGGATGCGACGGTCGGCGTGAGAGAAGTGTGGCAGCCATGCGGTCAACAACGGGGTCTGCGCTATCAGCTGTTGGCGGTGCTTGGACGATCCTCCAGCCACATGAATGATAACACCAAGAGCGGCATTAATCAGCTCGGGTGGCTGCCACACAGTCTCCGACTGCTGTGACTGCGGAGAATATACCGTATCTCTACATGAGTCAATCGGCGAATTAGGCCGGAAGACAACAGGTCGAAGTTTGTTGTGAAGCATTTCAAAGAGCTGATCGGCGCCCAGGACGCTGTTGAGGTGCTCGATCATAGCAACATTGTCATCGCCGTTGATCAAATTCCTGATGAAATCCAGCGCTTGTTCTTGAACCAGCATGTCATCGTGTTTTGCCTGAACTGCAGGATCATGTTCGTTCTTACGAAGCAAGCGTAGGTGCGCTTTGTAGTTAGTAGTATCCAACGTTGACCTAAGTCCACTAGATTGATATCGTGTACCGTTGTGGTCCATTAGTACTTCGCCATCTTCATCATCATCGTTTGCATCATCGTTCTCCTGCTCGGTCCAGTCCATATCCATTCCAGGTGTACTTGAGGCATTTAGCAGATCGACCTGTTGACCTGCAGCATTGATGCTGCCCAGAGCCATGGAAGTCTCCCGCTGGAATGTTCCGTTCACTGCCTGGATAAGCCAACCGGTCCCTAGCTGTTCGAGACATTCGACTTTCAGATCTTTTGGAGAATTGAGAACAAGATGCTTCAAAGCCCAAAGTGAGACTTGGCGCAGCTTCGAATTGGACCGTTTCGCTTGCTCACATAGTGCTGTGACAACTCCAGCGTTGACAAGATCCTGCAGACTCAGCATGTGTCGACCAAAAAGATGAGCAGAAGTCCTTACCTGGCGCATGGGGCTGAACTCAAGAACGAGATTGCAAATGACATTAGTAGCAGCGATTTGGACCTCAACTTCCGGGAAAGACAAGAGGGCATATATAGGTTTGGTAATACCAGCATCGATAAGTGCTGTGCGCAAGAGGCTAACAGATCTCGATAAGGCTGTAGCAGCATGGCAGGCCGCGAGTAAGACTGGTACTGTGTTACCATTCTTAGAAGGGAGTATCGAGGAGTCAAAAACGCTAATGGGCGCAAGCGAGTCGATGAGATTAGAGATGATGCCACTATCAATGACTGCTTTGCGGTTGACGTCCTCTTTCTCGGCAATGGCAGCGAGGGCATCTAGCGCACCTGCTCTACACTTCATAGCATGCATAACTTCAGGGGCAAGGCCATTAGGTCCGAGAGTTGCGGATGGAGCAGGGGCCAGTTGCGAGTCTAGAGCTCGCGGGTCGGCGGACCACATTGGCCGAGCAAGATTTATGGGGTCGAACGACTTCTTGAATAGCTGCGAGACATGTTTGACTGCGCCAGCATCCAGAGCGGCTTGCTGAAGCTCAGTGCTATTTTCAATGAGATGGGCTAGAACAGCACAAGCGTCTTCTCTGACGAGTGACAGGTCCTGGCCAAAGCTAAGGTCTAGCGAGTCTTGAACAAGCTTGACAGCAATGGGAATCGCAAACAAAGCCATTTGTCTCTCCCTTTCTCTTGATCTAGTAAGGGCGTCCGAACGGGGAGCGGCGATGTCTGCGTCGAGAGCATCGTTGAGAATGGCAAGAAGGCGAAGAGCGGCTAGACGGCAGCAGGGGTCTTGCTGGGAGCGAGCAAGGTACATGAGCCAGACGCAGAGAGGTGAGTTTACCGAGACATTGGCTGCAGAGTGGTCCGGGAAGAGTCTAGAGCTGATGAGAGCGTGGTGGCCGAAAGCAAGAGACTTTTGGAGAGGAACCATGACTTTTGGGAGTAAGGTATCAACAGGAACGACATTGCTGGATCTGGTATATTTGATGTGGTTAAAGTCAGGGGCTTGGAGGGGATCTNNGGAAGCAGAGGCGTCTGACGAATGGCAAAAGATGCGCCTCAGGTCATCAGAAAAGATGAGACGGTGGGCTCGGTAGGTCGAGTCGCGGATGATGGCCGAGATGGCATTTATAAGAGCGGTAACATCAAGTTTGTTGTGGTTGGACTGAGGATTCTTGTTGTAGACAAGAGCAAAGCTGGCGAGATTGGAGGCAAGGGCATCCAGAATGCCGTGGTGGACCAGATTGGAAGCGTGATGATGGGCATGAGCACAACATGTGGCCAGCAGAGCCGAAGTCAAAGCAATGTGATGTTGTTGGACTGAGGTGGGCAGAGGGTGACGGAGGATGTCGAGGAAGGAAGCGAGAGTGTGCTTGTTGAAGACGTGGTTGACGAAGACGGCGTTGGGGGTGGGCGAGAGAATCCACGAGGCGGCAAGAGCATTGAGGGCGCGGAGAGAAGCAGTGATCAGATGAGTCGAAGAAGGAGCGTCCGGAGAGAGGAACAGTAATAGCGGTTGTACGAGGTTGCTGTGGAGGATGGGAGTGACAAAGGCAGCGCCCTCTTCGGCGAGGCTGGCGACGATCAAGGTTGTCTGCAAGTGGATATCGGGGTCCGGNGAAGTGGCCAGGGTGTGGGACAGGCAGTCAAGCAGGCCATGACGGACAACAAGCTTCTTGCGCTGGCCGTGGCCAACAATGTCGTTCTTGATGGTGCGCAGGAGCCGCAGTTGGTGGTCGGCCGATGGCTGCGGCGACGACTTGAGCTCGCCGAGAGCTGCCAGCGACGGAGGCTGCACCATGGTAGCGGGCGCCGAGCGGAAGCAATGGGCGACGCGCTCAAAGACCAGTGACTAGCGACCAGGTGCGATGGCTGATGGGGACGAGTGACGCGACTGCTGTTCCTGGACTACTATTCTTACCTGGATGGTACGGAGATGACGTGCGAGGGCCGGACGCCAAGTCTGAAGCACGTGTTGGAGAGACAGGTTGGCCGTCGTCGAAACACGCAAACTAAACAAGACGTTTTGAAACATCCGACTCTGCGCAAAAATACCTACTCTGCTCACGCCAGAGACGTTCGTCGCTCTTCGCCCTCGCTCTTGCCCTCTACGCCTCTCTCTGCCCTCCCGCAAACGCCCTCTTGCCTAATTATGCGCCACGCCCGCGCATCCAAGCAGCGCCTGCAACTCACAACGCAACCGAAACTCCAACATCGTCCATAGACCGTCGACCTTTCCGTAAATGTCGGCCCTGGCTTCCCATTCGCCCAGTGCCGCCTTTCACGCACGCTACTCCAGACCTTCGCCCAAGAACCCTGCCCCCAGGCTTCCGACCACCTCATCGCCCGCCTTGCAACCCCATTCTTCTCATGCCCGCACCCCTGTGCAGAAACCCTTGACGGCCGATGCTGCCACACAGTACACTCCCGAAGGTTACCCACCAACTGCCAACAGACTCGCTGGCAACAAACGCAGAGGCTCCTCTCCGCCAGCCTCATCGTCCGACTCTCATCCAGAGACAAGCCTCCCTGAGCGCCCTATCATCAACACAGACACGATGACTACTTCTCCCGGAGCCGTTGCCGCTGCCACCCCGGATCCGTCTCTGTCTCCTTCGCTCACAAAAAGCCCCGCACTCAGCCGAACGCCCATGTCAAGATGAATCCCGATATCAAGATCATGCCTCTCAAATATGAGACATGCGACCCCAAGGATCTAGGCTACTTGATCAGCAATATGCTCCTGGAATTGATTTCTCTCAACGACAAGATCNCCCTGACCGGCCGCCTGACAAGATTCCACTCGAGGTAATTGTTCCGCTTCACGCTAACATCTAGAAACTCTCTAACAAATCACGCANGGGCTCCGCCTGGCATCTCATGTCACGATTATTTGCAACGTCTAATCCAGCATGCTACTCTGTCGCCACCAATCCTCCTCTCTGTCGTCTACTATATCGATCTCTTGTGCTCACTCTATCCGTCCTTCACCATCAGCTCTCTTACAGTCCATCGCTTCCTTATTACGGCTTCCACTGTCGCTGCCAAGGGCCTGAGTGATAGTTTCTGGACGAACCCTACTTATGCGAGAATTGGCGGTATTAGCGTCAGTGAACTTGCCACCCTGGAGATGGAGTTCTTGGAAAAGGTCCAATGGCGCATCGTTCCTAAGCCAGAGGTACTGGTTGACTACTATGTTAGTCTTGTTCAGAGGAACTCGGGCTATCAACTCGAGGCCGCTACCGAGGCAGATCCAACCTGAGCATTCCCTCTACAATGCCAGAGTCATCACCTCCTCATCCCTCTGGCTTTACACCTCCTTTACCCGAGAAGGCATGTGCCACATGCCAAAAGAGCAAAGAGTAATTCAAGGCTGCCTATAGCATCCCGCAGGATCCCCAGAAAACCGTTGGGACCGGCGACCTGTGCCGCATCTCCATCGAGACACGCAGCCTCAATATTCAGAGAACGGGGACAAGACTGCGATGTCACCATTAACATGAGCAGCATCAGAATGTCACCGCACAAAATCCGCCAACAGCATCATACGAGCTCACACCCACTTTCACACATGCTGCAGTTGAGCCGCATGGATTTGCAGGCCTTGCATGGCTTGTCCATATAAACCGAGCCACACGCCTTCTAAAGCCGCTTCAAAGCGGAATGGCGATTTGCTGTACTTGAAACGCCACATTCAAAGTCACAGACGTGAAGAATTATCTCGTCTATAGAAGAAAATAGGCACCCTAATACAACTAGATTTTCCTATTACACTTACGCCCAATTTTGTTCTGTGATTCTTGTGAGTGTTTTGTGGTTTTGCAACTGTGATTTGTATGCCGGATTGTTTCCAAAATTGTATATCTACGAGGTCGTTTGTATTTCTATGAAGCGTGCGGTGGCATGCTTCCCTTCGCTACACCCTCGAGGTGTCCAATGCTTTCATGACATGTGCCCCTTTCTCATCTCTACTGCCCATTCTAAGTGGCTCAATCTCTCTGCCCGGCGGAAAGCTGCTTCGCCTTGTTCTAATGCAGATAGGGGCAGTCTGGACATCTAGCAGCAGGATATGGTGCTTCGTCACAAACGTGCTCCACGTATTTTTTCTGATTGTGTGGTCCTTAAATTCAGCCGATGGATTCCCTTCACTTCCTCTTGTTCAGTCCTGCCTTGGAGCCTTCTTGTACGGACTCGTGGCTATGACTGTGTCCATCATCATGGCTATGTTCGTGCTCGTGTTCATGCTCGTGTCCATGTGTCTGATCCTTGGAGGCAATAAACTCGTTTGCAAAAGCGTCGGCGGCGTTGTCGGAGCTGGTGAAACGGATGGAGACGCGTTTGATTCCTTGCGCTGCAGAAGACACCTTCTCGCGCATGCTATCCTCGGCTTCAGTCATTTGCTCCAGCGTCCAGGTCGAGGGGACGGTAACGGCAATCTCAATCAGGTAGTTCTGGCCACTCTTGATGCCCTGGACCTGGGGAGCGGACTCGGTGGGCAGCTTCAGAGCTCCTAAGGCCTGCGATGCAGCGCTCTCGATCTTATGCTTCATTTCATCTTCAATCGATACATCGGCCAGCTCCAGAAGTGCGGCCTTTGTGTTTCCGTACCCAGCTTGCACGATCATGCCTGAGATGATGAGACCACCCACAGGGTCGAGCCAGGCAGCGTTTGTCAAGAAGTGACTGGCACAGATGGTGGCCAGAGCGACAACAGCAGTCAAGCTGTCGACACGGTGGTGGTATGCGTTGCTCGCCAGAACACTGCTGCGCTTCTCTGTTGCGATCTTCATGGTCGCTCGGTATAACCACTCTTTGATTATGATACTGCCGGCGGCCAGCCATGCTGCATTGATGTTGACACCCATGCCCTCAATCCCATGACTATGATTGTGGCTGTGGCCGTGGCCGAAGATGCCGATGTGGGAAAGTACGTGGGCAATATCCGGGAAGAATTGTTGTGCGAGAGCCATGACTGCCTGTAGGCCGATCATGATTCCTCCCGAAAGCAGAATACCCGACACTCCCAGTGCGCCCAGAGACTCAATTTTTCCGTAGCCAGTAGGGAACCTGCTTGTAGGAGCTCGTAATGAGTACGAGACGGTCGCGAGGGTGGTGAAATCGGAGATGAGATCTGTGAGTGAGTGGATGGCATCGGCCGACAGNTCTGCAAGAACAGCATGTTAGCGTTCACCGTGGCAAGCTGATGGTACTCGCACATACGCTTTGGAGTTGAAGACGTAACCACCGACTCCTTTAGCAATGGCCATGCCGAGGTTGACAAAAAGTCCGACTCGCGTGATACGGACTCCAGCATCGTTTTTGTCGGTACTTGTCAAGTAGGTTGTATCGTGGTGATGGTGGTGGCCATGGTGTGAGTGACCGAAATGACCTCGAGTGTGCTCCATGGTGATGGACGTTGTGCTCGTGCCGGCAATGGGTGAGGGAGACGGGGATGGTCGGGTCGATATGCGGTGATTGAGCAGAGACCAGTTGTGTCGAGGGCGAGAGGTTAAAAGAATACGAGTTTGATGGCTCTTCAGCAGGGTCCTTGAGGTGGTAGGAACAAAAGTCGAGCGAGACGCGTGCAGCAGGGGGCTAGTCGTCTGTAGACTCAGCCCCGGGAATTGACACGCTCTCATCTACGTGTAGTTACGAGATGCCTCTGCATCCGTATGTCGCACCTTCCACGTAAGCTGACAACCGTTTGCACAGGAATTCGTCAGGTCAAGTTGGATTAGGAAAGTCCTATCCCTCAATCGATTCGTCAATATGCAATTGGAAAGGAACTGGAAGCCGCGTCTTGTCCGCCGACCACGATTTACTACCGAGATGCGTCAACCGTCTTGGCACTGCGATATTGGTACACGACATCAGCCTGATATGCGATGAGGCTGGTTACCAAAATAGTTCAATGTTCTACTACTATTCTGTCTCGAACTACTAACCTCGTCGTTTGTTCTACATGAATTTCGAACCCATATCACGACTCCCGGCCAAACTTGTTAACTCTAAATCACCCTTCCGTAAATCGTTCACGAATCAGAATATCTCCCAAACAACGCCTAGCAATGCTGATCATTCATAAAATCGTTCGTAATCGGAAACCTATTGGGATCCACTGTTCAAGACTCTGGCGTATGCGAGAGCATCGATTTGACACTCATACTCCGCTGGGTTGAGTTGTCCGGGGTCCGCTCTCTCCTGGCAGGATTGCTGTCGGACGGTCCGGTTGAAACAAACCTGCCTGTGCTTGGTACTCTACGAGCAGGGACTCTTGGTGGGGGCTGGTACAGCGGTAATGGTGGAGGCCTAGGCAAAATGTGGTACAGTGCATTCTGTTGGTTGACCGAAAGTCCCAGAGCAGGTTGTCGCTCATGGACTAGTGTTGAGCCTGGAGAAGACTGGCCAACAGTTGTAGAAATACCGACTGGCTCCAATTCAGCATCCGAACAGCCGATGCCGGAATCGCCTTCATGCTCTTCCTTGTTTGGGGCAGGGAGATCCTCACTGGGAACAGATGTCTTGCGAGCCATACGTGCAATTGACTGTAGATTCCTGAGGCCCTTCTCCATGCACTAGCGGGTATGTTAGCGAGGCGCTCAATTGTATACAGCTTGCGACTTTTGACTTGCCTTTGCTTCGACTACACTCCAGCGCTCACCAATCTTGGCTGCCAATGGAGCCCATATCTCCTTTCTAAATTCCATGTATTCCGATGCGAGAGTGTCCAGTCTTTTCGTGGTCCAGTCCTCATGAGTTCGGCGTTCTACCAATCGTTCGTGACGTTTACGACAAGCATTGGCCGTCTTGTTAGGGAAGTGCTTTGCAGCGGTAGATTGCCAGTTGAGACCGGCTGCTCTAGCAGCGACCAAGACCTCATCATTGGCAGAACTCCAATTGGCTGTGTTTCTGTGGCCTGGCTGGAACTCTGTTGACCCAGATTGTCGTGCTTGTGCTATTGGAAAGGGCGATTGGCGATGATTTGACGAGACCCGTCTGTTCTTGGGCATCTTCAGGATCGAACCTTTATGTGGGTTGATGGAAACTCCTTGTATGATATATCGTGGGAACGGAATGAGAGATATGACCGACCCGCGGTAAAAGAAAAAAGATTAAGATCAGACAACCGAATGAAAGGAGTGGTAAAGAAGGCAAGTAGAAGATAAGTTGAGCTAAGACAATGCAAGAACGACTTTATACCTCTACAGCATGCGCAGGAGATGAACTTATACTTCAGATCGTGATATATGGTTGACGTGGTGGCCAGTTGAGCCAAGATGCTATGGATACTGAAACACATGGACATTTCGGGAATGAGGCTCTCAGGCAGTCCTATTTTGGTAGGCGGCCGTCCAGGAACAGCCAGCATGCTGTGAGCGCTTCTGCAGCGTGCAGGCCGAGCGAGGTTGCGTGGTGAAAGAACAGCCTACCACGACGAGCGCGTCTAGAATAAAGATCGAGCGGTTGCAGAAACTGGTTGGAACAAAGCGTCGCGCCAGTTTCAGGCTATTTGTGGTAGAGTGATGTCAACATGTTGGAGTCAATGGTATGCGCGGCGAGCGCGTATCTCGAGGGCGGCTATCAAGATCGTTTCGGGAAGGTCAGGGTTGCAGATGTTTGATGGCCGATATGAAGACCTCTCAGCTCTGTTTCTGATAGTCCAGGGCGCAAAGAGGCAATTTCGTCTGACGACAATCACGGAGAAAGGGCACTGAAGAACAGCTCTTGAAGCAACGCACTTGGCAGGTGCGACCGAAGAAAATAGTTTGGAGAGGAAGGTGCAATGTTTGGTCATCCAGACAGCTCAGGCAGAGTAGTTGCCCATCTCAATGGCGCAACGCATGTTCAGGATTGTGTAACGTCTTGCAACAGAGATGGTTGCGGACAAGTCGAGGTAAATTCGAGAGCGAGAGGGTCTTTTCGGAGCAAAAACTCGGGCCGATCATTTCAAGTCGGGGACCCCCATCGGAAGCAATCTTGGACTTGGTTATTGTTGAGAGCAGTGCAGCATACAACTTGTCGTCGTTGTTGTTGTCGCCCACAATCCGTCCATCCTCGCAGTGACAATGGTCGCCTTTGCCAGCTCTTGCAGATTCGCTGCTGCCGTCGTCGGCAGACATGGCCGCCGTCGTGAGTTTCCAGCCCCGAGCTCCCCAAGTCGAGTCTTTCTCTCTGAGCCAATCTAATGCATGCCCATTGCAGCTTTCAGTGTCGCTGCGGCCAACCGTGCTGCCCAGAACTTCGCCATGCCCGCCTTGTCGCCCACCATGACCGAGGGCAACATCACAAGCTGGAAGCTCAAGGAAGGTGAGCAGCCCTCCGGCTCCCCCCACCGACAATGCGCATTGAAGCTGAGCTGTACAGGCGACTCCTTCTCGGCCGGAGATGTTATCCTCGAGATCGAAACCGACAAGGCCCAGATGGACGTTGAGGCTCAGGAGGACGGTATCCTTGCAAAAATCGTCGTTGCCGAAGGCGCAAAGGCCGTCCAGGTCGGTTCGCGCATCGCCGTCCTGGCTGAGGAGGGCGACGACCTGGCCACCCTCGAGATCCCCCAGGAGGAATCGGCCGCATCTGCTGGACAACCCGCTCGCAAGGACCGCCCTAGCCCGCAAGAGGAGCTCAAGTCTGGCATCGACACAACCGAATCCTCCCCAAGTCAATCAGAGGCCCCACCGTCGTCCAAGCCCAACGCCGATGCCTCTGCTGGCGGTGCTGCAGACACCACCAGGGCCACTCAGCTACACGACTCTTCCAATGCCAAGGCCAGAAAGCAAACATACCCTCTCTACCCCTCGGTCCAGCACTTGCTCCTACAGAACGGCCTGACCAAGGAAGACGCCAACAAGATCCCTGCAAGCGGTCCCGCCGGACGTCTGCTCAAGGGTGACGTCTTGGCCTACCTGGGTAAGATTGAGAAGAACTACCCCGGCCAGCAGGCCAAGCGTATGGACAAGCTGGCACACCTCGACCTCTCCAACATCCAACTCGCTGCTCCTCCTAAGAAGCCTGAGGCCAAGCCTGTCGAGGCTGAGAAGCCCGCTCCTATCCCCGACACCGAAATCGCCCTTCCCATCTCCCTCTCTGCTGTGCTCGAGACCCAGAAGCGCGTCCACGAGACTCTTGGAATTAACCTCNCCCTTTCTACTTTCATTGCTCGTGCTTCGGAGCTCGCAAACGAGAACCTCCCTCTGTCAAAGAACAGAAAGCCTACGGCTGATGAGCTTTTCAATTCTGTTCTTGGTCTTGACAAGGTTTCTTCCAAGACTTCTCGCGGCCACTACATTCCTCAAGTCACCGGCCTTCCTTCTGCACCCCTGTTCACTAGCCAACGCGCTGCCAAGAAGGCTGATATCATCGACATCCTTTCTGGAAAGCCTTCAGGTCCCAAGAAGGCACCCAGGATTTTTGGTGCACAGGGTGTTGTCGCCGCTCAGAACGTCTTCAGCGTCTCGGCACCCAAGGGCGACGAGAAGAGAGCACAAGAGTACCTCGAACGTATGAAGCAGGTCCTCGAGGCAGAGCCCGGCCGTCTCGTTCTCTAAATCTTTACTCCCTACTCCCCTTCTGCTTTTTTTCCCTCACAGCGTCAAAGATATCTCTGTAGTTTTATATTAACTCGAAAGGACCGGCATAGAATTTTCTCACCTATTAAGCATTCGACATCACTCACATTTCATCCATTGCCGTGCCTCTACTGTTGACGATGCCTCATACAGCATCCGATTACAGACCTTGATGATCTTGGTATGTATACCCTAGGCTTCCTGAGATATTGTCAAACGAGACCACCTCAACGTCTGACATGGCCGTGATGTGCTCATATTATCTCGGACCGTCTTACAAAGCGAAACCCCATGCTCACTATAGTATCTCGCTTGAAACATGCTTTCTATCGGTTGTCTTGCACGATTCACAGACTGGTCGGGAGCTTGCGTTGTATGAGGACAGAATGACGGATGTGAGGCAGGTTTTAAGACCAGGTTCATTCACGATCTCACGGCTGATCTCATCTGCGACATTCGATGCAGCCAGCGAGCTGTTACCTGGCAATATGCGCCATTAGCAAGGGAGATTTGCTGAGCGCTCAGCCGTCGCGTCATATGTCTTCGATGTAATGGTCTATGACGGGGATCAAATAACTGTTTCTGAGATTACCGACATACGGTCTAATCAATTCTTCTTTCCAAAATAACTTGTGAGTTTGTTGCTCTGCCCTGCATCAATTGACTTCTTTCCTATCTGTGGACTTGACGCTTGCGCCTTGCCTCTCTTCTCTCCAACACGCATCAAGTGCATTAACTCCTCGAATTGATCAACGTCGACGATGCCTCCACTAGCTTGCACATGTCCTCGAGCAAAGTCGTCTCCTATTCGTTCCAGCAGTGAGATCTCTGGCTCGTTAGGTAGACTGCCATCAGCATCGTCATCCTCATCCTTCACCAGCTTCAAGCTGGCATATGCTATCAGGCTCGAAATGATGTCGACGGGNGGATCCCGGCCTTTGGCACATCTTGGTACCCGACAGCTAAAATTGACCTTGTTCGGCAAGTAACCCTCATTGGCGACCATGACAATCTCGAGAGCTTTACTCTGAAGGTGACCGGCCCACCTCGTTGCAATTACGGGATGCACTTGCGCCTCGGATTTGATTCTGAACACGGCGACCTTACCATCCTGACTGAACTTGGGCGCTGTATGCGTACATCGCTCGACTTCGGCATTGACCTCTTGACGAGCTGCGAGTAGCCTTGAGTGTTTCAAGACGTCTTTGGGATGCACAGCCGTGAGAAGTGCGTCGAAAGCAGAACTGACGTCGTATGTTGCTGTCCGCCGAGGTGCATTTACGTATGAGACCACATCGTTCAGCGCTTTCTTGGTGTACTTCTTGAGGGTAAGGGCCATATCAGGGAAAGGGTGCTCCCACTTGATTGTATTACCCAAATCACCGTGCGTTCCCACTACACATAGCCAGTCGGTCTCGTCCCTGACGCCTTCGTGAAGTGGCTCGCACAGCAGATAAGTCAGGAGAGCAGACGTCACCACTGGCGGGGATTTGTTTGCGGTACAGAAAGATGAACCTTCGGGAAAGTCTTCAAGTTCGGCATTGTGGTGGTCAATCACCAAACCGGTGTGGGGTGCATCTATCAGAGGTCCAGACTTGCGGGACCCTTGGTCAAGAACAAAGATGTACTCGGGAGATTTGGCAGCCATGGCATTTCGTTCGTGTTCCTGGTGAACCGTCTGACCTTTGCTCAGCAGATGCACATCGATCAGCTCGGGTTTGAGCCCCAGAAGAATCAGTGTACGATGTAGAATGACCCCAGATGAGAGTCCGTCTGCATCCTTGTCCGGCACTATCATTGTCCGCTTTTGCGAACGGGCACTGNNAGGACTCATTAGCAATAGCATAAAGATGTTGAGACTCGATGCAAATCACCAATCAAGGATGATATCCCTAGCTTGCTTCATCTGGGCTTCTGGAGCTGGCCATATGGACTGCCCCGTCACCTCATCGCACACAGATGGGGTCAGATGATAGTCGGGCACCTCCACCCGTGCTCGTGAGCGTTTTGCAGCGCTGGCCTGGCCCGCGGATAACGGTTCCTTGCGCTTCATTTGTTGCGGTTTCGAGGTGGCGTGGAGGGAGCGGCGGATGCTGATTGAGGCTCCACTACTGCTTACACGACAGTTGGGCTTGCACTTGCTGTACAAAGTCGAACCCTTGCAAAAGCGGGTCGTGAGGCTTCCGATAATGCTGGTGGAGGTAATATGCATAAATGCCTCTATCCTGTGGCTTGTCTACGAAATGCCATGTTGCGCGCCGTCGGTCGTTCAAGACAGACCCTGATTTGAAGCTAGATTAGACCCTTTTGGCTTGGCCAGTCCTCCGCCGCCGTTTGTGGTTGGCGCTTTCTGTAAGTTCTTTGAAGGTTTTGCTGTGAAACGTTCAGCATCTTGATCATGGCTCCAAATTCAACCAGGGAGTCTTCTCTCTAGGGCTGCCAGGATGTGTTTATGCATGGGTAAGCCGTTTGCGTTGTTCCGGGCACACCATTGTCTGTGTGCACGCATGGACACAGACACTTACCGTCGGCGGCCGTCGCTACCTGACCATGTGTCATGCCCGCCTGGGGCCAAGAAAACAGAGATTGTGATTCGAGGAGTGATCAGTAATACAATAAGTCAACTTTTGAAGCATACTGTATCAGCAAAAACAGCCGGCGGATGCGACTCAAAACAGCTTGCTGGGCTCAAATCAGAGCATCGGATCGGACAGATTTTCAGTTTCGTAATGCACGCGCCTGCATGATAGACGGTCTAGACCGACGCCATACAGGAGGCTTGGCGGCTGTGAATCGCGCGTCGCATCCTCTCCATCGAATGACAGGTCCAGGAGAACGCTCCGTGACGAAGGGGAGCAGTGGCTTGCGAGCCGCAGAAAGGCTTCGCTCGAGGAATGAGAGGATCTGGAAGGGGGCACCAAACTAGTGGCCGACAATTTACGTTCGCGTGATCAGAGGCTCGCCGGCAGAATCGCGGTCGGAAACAGCAGGGCGGCTCTGTAGGTTGCTCACCTCGGATCGAGCCCGCCTTTGCTGGGGAGGTGAGCTGGTTCACTTCCATCTGAGGTGATGCGACCGACTCCGCCGGACTGTTAAGTTAGTTTCTTGCCTGCTGCTCGTCCGTTCCCCCAATGACGGTTACTACCGCATCCTACATCCTTCTTTCCTTCCCTCTCTCATCGTTCCTGACATCTTCTATTTACATGTCTATCGTTTTTCTTTGAACATTTCATCTACCATCGTGTACTGCTAGTGGCAGGAAGCTATCTTTTTCCTTTACAAGCATCTCGATACGCGTGCCCAGAACAAGTTGCCGAGAGATTTTCCGTCCAGCTTTTCTGCGTCCAAATCCCAACTTGCCCACTGATTCGTACACCCCAGCTGGTGTTTTGCGACTCACTAGCATCAAAACACGGGCGAAAACCATTGCGCAGCCTATTCTTGTCTAGATACATTGAGCCCAGTCACTGCTAGACATTATAATCGACACGCCGCCCCAAGGGTAGGTCGTGTTGTGGTGCTCGCGACGTTTGGTTCGACGCAGCAACTTCCATGCTTTGGTACGTACAAATTCAGTCAATGTTTCACGATGCTTTCATTTCACAAGCTCGCTACGCCGCCTCACCGAGAAATCCAATCTGTCAAAAGGCTGGACTCAAGCCACGCGCTTGGCCTCTGCATTGGTCGTCTTCACAACTGTTTGCGTGAGTTGTGATGACAGGCTATCCACCCAAGTCATGGCGCAGTGGTCCCATCTGTCATCTATCAGCTTGAGGCCTGCTCTGCGCCCCTTAGCTTGCTTCATGGCTCTCGCCATCACTGGCGAAGCACCGCAACCTACACCCAAACACATCGCTGACTTTGGTGCCGCTTTGCAGAGCCTCCATCAAACATCGCATGCCACAGCTTGACTAGCTTATGCATTAAGAAATCTTCTTCAGCACATAGACGCCCAGCCGTCCTGACTTGTACATTTTTATTTCTAACCAACTAACGCTGCGGTTTTACTACCGCGATCACTTCTACTACCACCTGTCCAATCCTGACAAAGGCTCAACTGGACCCCGCCAAACCCTAACCGAGCTGCTGCTACATATCACAAAGGATGGGCCATCTCAACGATCAAATGCATCAGCTCACTGGACTTGACGAGCATTTTGCCCATGGCATACCATCAAAAAGGCCTAACATCTCGCCTGGTCCGGAGCATGATTTCGTAAATCGAAACGTACCACCCCCAGATCCACGTCCTCCAGCATTGGGATACATGCCTCTACCGGAATCTCGCGCAGAACTCTCTCACAATNTTCCCCAGGAACCGTATCACTTCGTGGATAGACGGACCGTCAGACCGTTGAATGGAAGAAACCTGAGCCTGCGCACCATGACGAATACCGCCTCCATGCCCGAGTACGCCTTCCTTGAGCGCGCCAACACGGATTTACCGTCTCAAAGAGCGCATTCGGTACATTCTGCAGGAGCCGTTTCGTTGTCCATGTATCCTCCACGACGTCCCGAAGACATGACGGAGGAGGCAGTATCACCACCTAGGAACGATCGACTTCTCCCATCGTTCCATCAATTGAGCAAGATCGCCGATAGTGGAACGGAAGCAAGCGACATGAAGACCACCGGACTGCCGGCTCTCACCGCATATGCCAGTCAAGTCATTGCACAGACCGTGACAACTTCCCACCCACACTTTCCGCCATCACAGCAATCCAGCCCTTCAACCAATTTCATGTTGCTTGGTCACGCGTCACCTACCAACACCCGTGCCGATGGTCACGAAACGTATGCGCCTTCACACTCGCCAGCTTCATTCTCCATTGCCAACAGCAACAACCCCGGGCGCAAGTCGACTCAACATGCCGTCAGACCTCCACCCTTTGTCCCCTCCATGACTTCGTCATCTATGGGCACTGGATCCTCTACGGACACTATGAGCACTTTTCAGAGCCACCAAAGCTCCGAAGCTGGAGGACACAGTACCGCTCACACAACCCCTATGGAGTCTACTCCGTCCTCCTTCGATGACACACCAAGATCTTCAGTGCCTCATTTACAAACATCGACGTCGGCACCTGGAGGCTTCGTTTGCGACCATCCGGGCTGCGCTGCTCCACCTTTCCAAACTCAATATCTCCTCAAGTAAGCACGCTCTCATCATCGCGCACTCACCACAGTCTAACGTTTGCTTCNNAGCTCGCATGCGAACGTGCACAGTTCGAGTCGTCCACACTATTGTCCTGTCAAAGGGTGTTCTAGAGGCGAGGGAGGCAAAGGATTCAAGCGCAAGAATGAGATGATCCGGCACGGGCTAGTCCACGACAGCCCTGGTTACGTGTGCCCCTTCTGTCCCCTCCGGGAACACAGATATCCCCGTCCGGACAATCTTCAGAGGTGTGTTGAACTGATCTTTTTATTCAAGGTCTTGACTAACAAGTTTCACCCTAGACATGTTCGTGTCCACCATGTGGATAAGAATAAGGACGATCCTTTGCTTCGAGAAGTTCTGGCCCAACGACCTGAAGGTGGTGTCCGAGGACGCCGCCGGCGTGCAGGCCCCGCTTAATGCAAAATCGATCCGAAATCATATTAACTGGACAAACAAAACATGCCTCGATTGGAGTGGCGTTCTGGTGTCTACGATCTATCTTTTGCTCTACATCATCCGCTCGGAATGCTCGTGTTTACGATTCATCGATGGGTCAATGGGTCACGGTACAATTGTCGAGGCCGCTGGCGTGCTCGACAATCAACAAGAAGCGACTTGCTTCAATGATTCTACGACGGGCGCTCTGGGCCTAATTTCTCTATGTGTTTTCTCTTTGACAATTGTTCTTCTACCCTGGGATGTCATTTAGCGCGTAGAGCAGACGCAATTGTACATAATATTCGAAAGGGAGCTAGATCTTTTCAATCGATAGAGGATCGATCAAATTAATTTCTACATCCATTATTATTCTCCAATGACACGTCGTCCGCCAAGAGAATGCTCGAACGGCGGAACACGCTCCTAACGGAATCCCATTGGCTGCCGATCAGACCGCACCAATCACATGTTAGAGATTGGCCAAGCGTCCGGCTGGCTCTAACCTGACTAGACCGCTTCAGTCACACCGTTTGCTATGGACACTCTGCGCTTCCTTTCTCAGCCCCTCGCTTTTTTTTTTTGGCTTTGGACAGCCCTGGGATCCCACCGCCGAAACGGCGCAACGAGCAGTTCCCTGTTTTCCTGCTTTGCCTTGCCTTCTCGGAGCATGTTACGAGATACTATTCAACGAATCATCGAAGATCTGGTCTGAGCGTAGACGACACGTTCCTCGAGCGACGTTATGCGCGAACTGCACGCTGCAGGAGGAGGCACACGTAACGCTTGCAGGCGCTCCGAACCAACGCGACTAAGTTAAAGCAGTGCTCATTGACCACAGCTTGCAATGGTGATTGAGAAGCCAAGACCTGTCTGTCCCCTGTTTTGATGTTCAGGTTAGAATTGTCCATCATGCAGACTTCCGCTGCCATGGATCTTGTCGAAAGTTAAAACAGATGTTCGGTGTGTCTCTGAAGAGGTTGACCAAACCAATCAGATTCCTATATTATATGCCACCATTCTTTGGCCTCGGAGGTCGACATACAGGCCGACCACACACACTGTAGCCGGTATCAAGGCCGGGCGTGGTTAGAGTGTAGTATGGGCTTGTCGAAATCTCGCTGGCTGAACTCTCGCACACGTACGCTTCAGTTCACCAGAGATAAGCTGTGTGCAAGCGAGATGACCTCCAATATCGTAAGCTCTTTGTGGCTATCCATACGAGTGCCGACTTGGGGCTGAACTCAGATGCCGTCGCGGAAGGGGCTATGCATGTGGTGATTTGCTACCTTCTTGCTTTCGAGCAATTGTGACTTTGGTATCGCAACCGTCGAGCGGAGTCTTGTCCGATTTGGGTACGAGCCGCATACTGATGGTAAGGCTCTAACCTGCCTCGGGCAGGCATTGATACACAATAAAGACGTTGTGGGTACGAGAGGCTCCTGCTAACAGACCACTCATATGCATTCGCAGACGCTTGTGGTTTCATTACATTCTACAGGTGTCAGATGGAGTACACTCCGAAGCCGACATGTGGGGCTGAAAAAATCGTGTGGCAGGGACAAGCAAGCGACTTGGTACCTACTTCCTCGCATATTCAGTCCGTTCCGGATAAGATTCGTGAGCTCTTAAGACGATGACACCTACATCTTCGAAGTATATCTCGCAAAGTAGATACCTTGTTCCTTCGTTAGTCCATGACCGCGTTCGGTGCGGTGTGCTTCATGGCTTGAACTCTAGCTACACGGAACAGGGGATTTGTGAGCGATCACGATTAGGAGCAGTCATGCAATACTTGGAATTATGACAACACCATCAATCACTCTACGAGCACTTGATGTTAATCTAGTATCAGCATGGACCGTACAAGTGTAGACCTGCATGACGTGAATACATCACTACGACAAGGAGTGTCTTGAGAATGCGATCGCTATAGACCAGGTAGGCGAGCGAAACGGTACCTGCACCCCTGGTTCGCGACGACAGCATCCTTTGACTCGAATAGAAGGAGAGCGACTCCGTATACGAGCCGCCGCGCGATCGCCATCTATCTGATCAATAATCATGACCCCATACCAGAGATCATGACGCTGCTAGGAGTCCAACTCCTCCCCAAGCCGAGCTTGTTATCTTGGTTCGCACCTTCATGTTTCAGGTGAGGAATCCAACTCCGCCCTCTCTGCCACGTGTATTGGTGGCTCTGCCGCGGGAGCAGAAACCCTTTGCCAGCTTCTCGAAAAGCTCACGCGCACAACCCAACGTGTGGAAGATGTGTTTCCCGACGGGCAACTCGGACCTGAGACAGGCAAAAGGCAAAAGCAACGTGTCGGGAACAATGGGGATGCCACGACGGTGGAGACAACAGTCTGCGTTTTTGCTGCCCTGCTCTTGCACACCATGGTACCTGGTTTCTCATGCGTGCGGTTCCACAGACAAAACCTTGACAAGAGAGAGACATGAGGTTTCTGCGAATCCTTTGTGGACGATCGGGTCCGCTGTAATGGGAACTTTCCGCCAGGAGGATGCCCCGTCGGATTGTTTTGGCAGCTGGAAGAACATGAACTCAGAAAAACTCAGCGAACTCGTTATTTTGGTTGCGGACCGAGATCAACAATGCTTACATTGTCCGCTGTGAACGGAGAGGCTTGTGATACGAACAGGATTGATCTGAAGCTGTCAAGCATCATCATACAGGAGCTTGGTTTGCTATGGGATGTTCTCAACTATCTGGCTCTCTCAATCATCTACAGACCCCTCTCAATCATCTACAGACTCACTCTTCCACTTTTGGATCTGCACAAATTTCAATGGCATATCTATCTCATCACACCATTAAAGATGGTAGGTAACAAGATAAGAACAAGAGGACCAACTACCACACACACGGTCTTATCCTCAGGATATCAAGACAGCATGACCACTCTATTCTTTCCTCCCATCGCTCTTTCCTCTTCTTGTACTATCTTTCCCTAGTCCTTTCATAGGGCTGTTTTCTCTTATTTGCGCCTTCTTGTTCGGATCAGAGTATTTTCTCTATCAAAAGGCCTCTTTCTGGTTGGGTGTTCTTGTGCGTCGTGCCTTCTCCATGCATCATCATACAAGAATATCGAGATCGGCTCTCTTCTCTTCCATCATTCTATCATTCATGGTGTCTTTCTTGACCTGTCTGCTTTCCTACACCTTGACTTGTTGCTCTGTGCGAGTGAGAACAATATCATAAGCCCCAAGTGAGATGCTAATCACACTCACTTCAACTTCGATATCTGTACAAAGAAATTCAAGGTACCCCTCATGCTCTGACTACCTAGCTGGCCAGTCATAGACAACATCTATAGACTTGTCGCATCCTTTCAGACATCAATCTTACCCATTAGATCGACCCTCGTGTTCGCCGTATACCTTCTATCTAAACGTTAATGGTACAACCCTGCCCCAAATATGTAGAAACTCTATTACAGTCATAACGAAGCACTCGTTTTTCTGTCCGGGCAGTGTGTACATACATCAAGAACAACAACAAGACAACAGACACAGTGATTGTGAACGAGGCGACATCGTCTACCCTCAAGTCCAAGCGAGCCAGCCGCAAGATGGCAATAGCAAAACAAGGAAATATAGCCAACTATGGTACGGCTATCAGGATTAGTCGTTCAAGGCAATGCATACACAGACTCTTCATTGGCTGGATCACCCTGGAGCACGTTATACGAAAAGAAGGTAGGCAAGGATATCCTTTGGTTCTTGTCGGGCGAATGAGTGGCTCATTTACATACAGCAGACAGAAAGACATCAGGGTATGAACATAGATAGACGAGAGAAATAGCGATGGGGTATCTGATATTTGAACAATGCAGTGAGTGCGATGGTGCTAACAGGTGTCGAGGAGAATGAATCCTAGCACTCGTGAGGATGTCAAGAGGAACACACAAAAATAGAACGAGTGCGCTTTGCTAGGAAAATAAGAAACGCCAAAGGATTTGGACAATTTGAAAATAGCGTTGATTCGTCAGTCTGTTCGTAGGGGCGTATGGGTGCGTTGCTTCGTTTTCGTATGCCTGGGTCTAGAAAGCGACCACGACGATGCCCTCTTCCATCAAGGTACGCTCTGGAATCTTGTTGCGAGTGGGCATGGGGACATGTGAGCTTCTCTTCAGGTCGCCTTCAGGAATCTGGTGGGTAAGAGCAGCGGCCTTTCCATCCTGGGTGTCGATGCTCGATGCTGTAAGGGTAGAAGATGTGGTTGCGAGAGAAGATGCCATGGTAATAGAACGATCCAGGCCTTCGGGGAATTCGTGGATATCATAAGAAGGTGGGTTCAGTTCCCATTCCTCAAGCATGTCCATCTTGGTGTTGACTCTCAAGCGACGACCATGGCATATAATAATGTCGGTGGCGCGCGGAGCATCGAAGAGCAGTGTGGGCATGCATCGCTTGATGTATCGCCACTGTGAAGCATTCGTACGAGCATGTGGTGGATTCCACTTTCCTCCGGGGCCCAAGTTGTCAGGGCTGGTTTCGTACTGGAACGAAGATGCTGTCGTAGAAACGGTAGAAGAAGTTGTTTGGCGAATGTTGGCAGGTCGAGTAGTCGAGGGTTGTTCTTGGCCAAGATCTTCTGCCAGGAACGAAAGATCAATGTCCTCGGCCTCCTGATCCATAGTGGCAGTGAGCGTCAGAGCGTTGGTGTCGTACGTAGTTTCCGTGCGTGTGAGGTCTGCTCCTTCTGTGCCTCTCTCAATCGATCGTGCCAAGGAGGGATACATCTCGCGCATGATGCGCTCTTGCTCTTCGATAACATTTTGATCTTCAATGTTCTCCGTTTCCTGTCTCTGTCTGCGACGGCGTCTAGGAATAGTGCACGGTTTCGGCGCAGAACGTTCATCCAATGGCAACGAGATATCGATGCTGGCAGAAAGATCATGGATCCATCTGAAGATGCGTTCCTCTGAGTGGTCTGCCAAGAGGAACTGGTCAGTCTCAAGACGCAGGCGAAGCACGACCTGTGAGATGGGTGTGAAAAGGTCGGGGTCCTTCTCGAAAGCCTTGCGACGGGCAGCGGTAGGAATAAAGTGTGCGAGCCGGGTCGCGGGCATCAGTTGGTTGTACTGAATATCCGTGGCCAAGCCAATTTCAGCGTGCTGGAGCGAGTATCGCTTGATCAGCCTTCCGGCGGTGGGCAGGGAATGGCCGGCAAGCTGAACAGTCTTGATCTTGTGAACGCTCAATTGAGTGCCGTTGAGAACAACGTAAACAGTGCGAAAGTCTTGCTTTTGAAGATATTGGAAAGGCGAGATCTTCTCAATGCGCATTTGCATAGGACCCTCTCTTGACACAGTGCAAGTGTATTTCGGCAGGACCTCCTTTCCATTGTCGAAGAATCGAGGGGCGGGTGGGAACTTCGAAGTGCGAGTGGCTGTTGCATATGATGGTGCAGAGTCGTTGCAAGGTAAGCATCGAGTCTGGAAAGGATGATGATAGCTCGTCACGCGACGGCTGCGAGGGCGGACTGCTTGTGAGCCATCGTCTTGAACTGGATTTGTCACGAATTCCCGTGTTGTTGGTCGAGAAATCTGGGCCATATCAAGAGGCAGGGCGGCTGAGGCACGCCGTGCTGCCTGAGGAGTTTGTGTGGTAGACATAATGATCGTTCTATGACGGACACGCTCGGCGTTGTCGATTGGAAAATGGCTTCAGATCGTCAGACCTGCGTTCGGAAGAAGTAGGAACAGTGCCGGATCGACGAACAGTATGTCAATGCAAAGGTGGCTTGCAAGACGAGAAAGCGACTCGGGCAATGAAGCGTAGGAGGTGGTCAAAGAAGAGAAGGGCGAAGAAGAGCAAGAGCCGCGGAGGACAGGAAGTGTTAAGGCGTCCTCTCACCCTTGCTGTCGTCGACGATGCCACTGATTGACAAAACGGTGACCGAAGAATTGTGGAGAAATCTAGGCCAAAGCCGGGAAGCTAGCTCTAGCGGCTGTTCGCCTTTTAGCCGAGGTTGGGGACGCTGGGGATTTGTGGAGGACTGTGATGTGCGCTGGAGAAAACTTGGAGTGAGCTGGAGAAATACCGCCGAACAGACCGAGCAGTATGCAAAAAAATTGGAAGAAACATCAAGAATGAACCCGACAGCAGAGGGAGAGAGATAAATGGAACGAGTCGAAGGTTCCCCGCTCCCCGTAGGAGGTTAGTTCCTGGCAGAGCATGGGGGCCATGTGCCAGTCCAGACAAAGCCACAGAACCACTAACTGTCAAGCGATATGGCTGATGGCGCACCGCTCAGGCCAGCGACTGATAAGTCAAACACAGTCGAGGCACAGCGCTGATGCATATGTTATGAACACGAACAACCCACAGCCAACTCGCAAGCAGAGGGTGTCAAACGTGACTTGGGTGATGCAGCATGAAGGCATGAATAATCAACGCACGAGCATGAGATGGCCAAATCCGGTTTTTGTCGTGGGGCGGTGGGCGCGCTAACATCCATGGGGCTGAAAAAGGCAGAGAGGCACGCAACTGTTGGCAACGAGACACGCGATGCAACGATTGCTCCGCGCGGACCTCTGTCTTGCCCAGATGGGGGTAAAAAGCGGGGTGGGGTTATGCAATATGGCAATAATCCTTCGCCAACCAAGGTACAATCAGCCGGCAGTTCTCAGGTCCATGGCCAGGGCGACAAGTTCATCTGTCAAGACATCCATGCCGACGGATAGAGCGTGGTTAGCAGCATCGATACCAGCAACTGTCACCTCCAGCCCCGATACCAACCGCTCGATATCATGTGGCTGTTGTCATGATACATTGTTGGTGGAGTTGGCGTTCTCNGACTGAGCAATGTGCAACCTCGACGACAGGGAAGTGTGCTCGTCGGACAGAAGTAGCCCAAGACGCGACAAATACCGCAATGAAGCTGGCAGGATTTTGACATGTNNTGGCTGGCCAGTTTGGTGAAGTTGGTCTTATCTTTCTCTCACATGGTCGACCAAGCGCTTTAGGTTGTGTAGCGATGCAACATGCTGGCGGTCGTGTAAGATGCGGTCGAAGTTGAGCTTGCAGGTGCGGTCCATCTTCTCGACAGACTCGAAATGCAAGCGCTTCATGGCATCAGGAGCATGACTGGTCGGGGTCGGGGAAGACGAGGCGGAGTTAAAGTAGCTACACGTGCGAAGGGTGTGCGATATGGCATTCAANTACAGCTTCTGGAAGGCAGCGGCGCGCGGGCTGGGACTGGCGACTGGCGATGAAGAGGTCAAAGTTGTAGCAGTTATGGCTGAAGCCTGACGAAGAGGGGAGGTCAAAGGCTTCGCGTGCTGCTCGCGCTTCTCGCCGGACGAATAATGACTCTTCGAGATGCGCGAGTGCTGATCAGTCTATCATGTTGCTCGATCGAATGCACATCTCTGTGCGCCGTGCTTGATCAAAAGACATCGACATAGATAGCTGCCAAGCACAGCTTGCATAACTTGTGCTTGATTTGTTCTTCTGCACACCTCGGCATACACTATCGATAAGCCGGCTCGAGACATTGTTTCCAGATGATCTTGGATCCGATTGATGGTTCGATCACCAGTCATGGCTTCACTCTGGCGACCACTCCGGCTACTGCCACCATTGCAGTCGACACTATCACAGTCCCTAGGTCTACGCGCCTGCACGCCACTTCAATCGCGACTACTCCATTCATCACCAATCTTCTATGTGCGCAAACCGTCAAAGGCTGTAGTCAAGCCCATCGATGGCTCTGCGCCAACTCGCAAAAAGCAACACAAAGACGCCCTCAGAAAGAAGCAACCTGCCGATGAGAAAGATGAGATAGAGCGCTTCAAGTCGCCGAAGCTCNGCTCCTCCCACTGCTGCAACAGTCTCTACCACCACATACCAACCTTCGACGCCTCCTCCAACGATACACCAGCCCATCGCTCAGCAACCAGTCGACCTGACCTCAGCCCACNNCTTCCTCCGTCGCCGCTCAAACCCACACTCGAATATGTACCGGGCGGCCGCTCTGGTGTCCTACAATCTCTCAAAGAGCTCGCCAGCGCCGAATCTCCGACCTTGATCTACGAAGCCACGAAAGCTCGCCAATACGTTGCCTGGTGTCTGTTTGCAAGTTTGCTTCTTGGATGCGTGGCTGCCATGCAGATTGGCTTCTTCACCACCGACCCTTCCAAGAGCGACTTGCGCATCGCCAGTGTCTTCCTCCTCACTGCCTTGATGTGGGCTATCCTCGCTTCCTGGGCTGCTTTTGGAGCCAACGATGTCATCAAGAAGATCTGGGCTATCCCTTCTGCCACTGGGAAGCCACTCCTGCGTATCGAACCAGTCAAGATTGCTCTTGGCAAGCGCCCTTTGCCTTTCGACGTCCCTCTTGGTCGTGTATTCTCTGACAAAGGTTTCACGGAAACCATTGCCTACTTCAACGCTACCAGGGATGTAAGGCGCAAGCCTGGTGTCCTAGATGCTCTATTTGGACCTGTCGGCACAATCATGTCTGCCAACATGAAGATGATTCAGAGAAAGTCCTCGTTCGCTCAGCTGCGCGTGGCAGATTCGGGTGTTTGGAAGGTAGATCTCCGTGATTGCAAAGTCCCCGACGGTGGCAAGAGTATGTTATTCTTTACTTGGTATATGCGAGATCATTTCACTGACAACTACCTCTAGCTCNTTGACCTCTTGATCCTCCCTAGTGAGAGAAAGCGCGGATGGTTTGCCTCGCTGTTTATCGCCGAGAACTAAAGCTATCTTCTGTTGGCTGCTTCGTCTCTAGCATTCCTTGTAACAACACCTAAGGCATTGTCCGTGGTCTTCGGGCCTGGTTGCGAGTACTGCCCAAGTCATCGTCCACAAAGCATCACACTGGCTCTAAGACTCCATTTTGCTTTTAGCGACGCCACTTGCTAAAGAGCGTTTGGCAGAGGCCGAGATTCTATACTCCCTGTATATAAGCAGAGGTCGAGTTTGTAAGATTACACATAGCATAGGATCACAATTGCATGTACAAATATGAAAGGATGGACTGCACTTGATTGGGATCGAGCCAAAGCCCAGTTGAGTTCGTTCGATCAACATGATCTGAGCGCTTTTCACTGTTTCGTTCTCAGCTGAATATCTATCTTCTGTCATTGTCGGCGAACTTGTGGTTCCAGAAGCCTCTAAAGTGCTTCTGCGAGCCAGCCTCGTTGAGATCGTTGACCTCTCTGGGCGTGAGCTTGAAAGTCATCGCTCTCAAGTAATCGCTCAATCTCTGTTCCTTGCTGCTGGTTGTGATGGGCACGATATCCTGATCGATACAGTATCTCAAGCAAATCTCGCCAGGGCTAACGGCGTACTTCTTGCTCAGGCCAGCAAGGACATTGTCCAGGGGTCCAGGAGCAGCCTTTGTCGCAGGAGTCAAAGGGCCATAGGCTTCAGTCGCAATACCCTTCTCCTTGTGGTACTGCAGCAACTCGCGGTGTTGCAAGTAAGCATTAAACTCGATCTGGTTGATAGCAGGCGGGATCCTCGCAGTCTTAATAATGGCATCCAAGTGCTGAGGCAAAAAGTTGGAGACACCGATACTGCGCGTCAGCCCTGCCTCCTTGACATCCTCCATCGCTTTCCAAGCCTTCTGCAGCGCCTCGGGCGACTCCTCAGGCGAACCAAAGAATGGCGCATGGATCAAATACAGATCCACATACTCCAACTGCAGTTTCTTCAAACTAGCATTCAAAGCAGCAGGGACATCTGCTATGTTTGGCAACACTTTTGTAGTGACAAAGAGCTTGGAGCGCTCGACACCAGACTCTTTGATCGCTTTGCCGAGTTCGGGTTCGGTCTTGTAGACTTCGGCGCCGTCGAGGTGGTAGTAGCCGAGGCTGATTGCTGTCTTTGTGGCGTCGACGCAGGCTTGGTCAAGTTGGCTTTCGTCGCCGGTCTTGTACCATGCGGTGCCGGTGCCATAGCCTAGCATGGGGATTGAGTTGCCGTCATTGAGCTTGAGGTTGGGGATGGGGGTGTGGATGTTGGCCATTGTTGCTGCTGTTCTTGCTGGTAGTGTTGGGTGTAGGTGAGTGTTTCGAGGTAGTGACCAAGGAGTGAGAGTTTTCAGGGAGAGTTGACAGGATCTTCGGCAGAACAGAATGCTCATAGGAATTACGTGGCCTGGAATTGTGTTGATGCAATCAGGGAAGCTGCTGTGGTCATTTGAGATGGCTCTGGCGGGGCACCATGACGTGTGTGGGGTCAGGCCGAACTGCCGCTTAATATACCCCCACTCTTGTCTGATATTGAGGACATATTATAGATGGGTCTTCCACACCTAAATCAAGCTTCGTTGGACAGGTGGTCGAAAGATGTTAGACCGTTATGCATAATTCGTACGAGATTAAGATGCGGTAGCAATGGCTGCTTGAAGCTCTTGTAGGTATGCTGGGAGGCATAACAACAGTGAAGCAAGTGCGAGTACCTATGTTACTTCTAGGCTCAGCTTTCATCTCTAAAGATGTAGCGACCACCCCTCATGGCCTCTCGCCATCTCTCTTCCACCTTTTGTCGGTCCATCTTCCTTGCTGCCTCCCAATCTTCTTCCAGCTCTTGTGTCGTTGGCATCTCGGTACGCCAGAACCCTGGTGGTGATCTGTTCCTTTGGAAGAGTTCTCTGTGCTTGCCATGCAGGTCTGCAAACGCCTTGGCTCTCGCTTCTAACAGCATCTCCTGTCTTTTCTGTGCAGTAGCGCTGTGGATCACCGTCGCATATGCTGAACCCAAGTATCCCTGCAATGTCAACTCATCATCTGTGAGTGAAGTGTCTTGTGGCAAGCCGCCTGCGGCAATGAAGCGGCGAATCGCACCACAGCATTCTTCTCTCGTACAACCAGGTAAGCATTTCTTCTCCTCACGCTTGCGGATGCTCTCGCGGAAGGCATATCCTAGTTGTCCATGCGTCTTGGGGTTCACCTTGAAGTCGTCAAGGTTGAGTCGATGAAGGGGTCGGGCGCGTAGAGGTTCATGCTCCGGTTCAATGGCTCCCGGGTCGTCCTTTGGGTTGTACCTCACAATAGCGGGGCGAGCGGTTGGCTTGTCTCGAACAGTTCTGGTGATGCGGCTGACAGGCCTTTCCGCAGACTTTGAGACTGTATGCTTCTCCAACTCCTCCGAAACAGCATTGTCCAGCCATTCGCGCTGTCGTCGAATCATTGGTGCGGAACGAGGGCTCAAGATCGTTCTATCAACTTGAGGTGAAGTTCCTTCGAGAAGTCCGTTCAGTCGTCCCGTGCCTACAGTCTTGGGTGTAGCATCATCGATGCGTGGTTTCTTAAATCCGCGTCTAGTGTTGTCCCCATCTTCTGATAGCACATGCACAGCAGCAGCTCCCCTGCTATGGTCAAGCTTTTTGCCGGAAATTACAGGAGCAGCACTCGTTCGAGGCAGAGTGGGGGTGTTGGGACTCAGATCATGCAAGGGACCACTCTGAGGGCGCGACTCCTGGGGCCCGACGCTTTTGCTGACAGTTCTGACCAACATGTTTTCTCTCCTTGCCGGTGCAACATTGATGCCAGGCTCTGTTTTCACAGTCTTGACCGTACTATCGGAAAGCTGAGCATCGTCTTCGTTGGCATCTGTGTTTGCGCCATTGGGTGAGCGAGACCTTGAGGGACGATTTGCTGTCGGAGTCTCAAGGTGTTCGAATGACCGTCCTATGGTCTCTGAATCCTGATCCGCCGACTGTCCCAATGGTGCCCAACTGAGGGGATGCCTCTCGAGATTCAGCTTTGGTGGCTGAAGAGGAGGCTGATCACGATAGACGTCCAGATCCGAAGTCCCTGCTCGCAANAGAGTTGGCACAGGAGTGCGTGAGTTGTGAGGGCTGCTACTCAAGAGCTCATTCTTGATCTTGTAAGCTTGCGAATCTTTCTTTGGAGAATTTCGTTTCCTTTTNAGGGCGTTTGCAGAAACAACAACAGGCGTGTCGTCGGAGCGGGCCAGAGAACTGGAACGAGCAGCCTCGCCCTCAGTAGTCTGACTTGAGGTGATCCTGCTATGGGCTGGAGAATGCGATGGCGCGACAGGTGTGTTCCTAACAACTTCAAGGGCGGGATTGGGTAACGCAAGAGCATCTTCGATGTTTTCCAGGTTGGACTGAACAGCACGAGGAGTGGCAAAGCCCTGGTTTTCAAAGTCGCGGTTGGCTTCTCGCAAAGCCTGCTTTGCAAGTTTCTTGTCGATGTATTCTTTCCATTTGCGAACCGTCTCCTTTGCTTCGCGGATCTTTTGGGCAGCCTTGGAGGCACGAGCTTCAGCATCCTTTCTATATTGTTGATAGGTCTTCTGAAGAGCTTCATGCTTCAAGAGTAGCTCGTTGTATTGAGCAGCCGTCACGAAGCCATCGGGGATGCTGGTAGAAGATCCCGCTTCCATGGGTCCTGAGTTGAGATTTGGTCAAGGACGAGCAAAAGATCACATCACGGTATGGAGGATAGCAAACACGAAAAGGCAAAGGCAGACGCGTGCCTGACGAAAGGCCGAGGCACGCGGCGCGGGAGATCGGCCGGGCGCTAACGCTAGGAGATTGCGGAGATATGATAAGAGTCTGGTCGCGCCTTCCAAGTTCGCCGTCGTCTCTGAACCTCGACTCATTATCGATAATGACACGATGGTCAAGCGAAGGGCGTCAGATGCGCTCGAAGACGAGGAGCGGAGTATCAAAAGACTCCAGCAAAACAAACCGGATCGGCTGTCGAGGCTCAGCCACGAATTGACGCTCAGAGTGCTTTCGTTTCTGCCCGTGCCCGACCTCATCACCTGCCAGAGCGTGTCGCAACATTTCCACCGCCTCGCTGGCGACTCACAACTATGGAAGGCACTCTACTACAATCGATTTGTCCGTCCGAGGGCATCGCGCATACCTGGAATTAACGAATCTGGAGTGCCTGCCGAAAGTTTGTGGTACTCGAGCAAGCTCTCTAGATGGCTGGACGAGGATAACCTGGTCAGAAGAGGAAAGGAGACAAATTGGAAAAGACAGTACAAGACGCGGCATAATTGGACAAAGGGCACATGCGGCGTCAGCGAGGTTCCTGTCTCACCGGAGCCATCCGTTCCGCCAACACTGCTTCAGATGCATGATGGCATTATCGTCATGGCCGACAATCTGCATGGTTTGCGCGCATGGTCATCTCAGTCAGGCCGAGATATGCTAGCTACCATGACATTTCCTGCCAAGGCCAGTCCTCCCTCGGCTTTGACGGTCGATTCTGCACCTTCATCCTCAACCGTCACCATTGCTGTAGGCTTTCAAGACGGCTCGTTTACCATCTACGACCTTCATGTTTTCCAGTGTCGTTTTGTTTCTCGTTACTCTCACGAGCCTTCTTCCAACGGCTTGGTCTCGGCCGCCGCTTTGTCTTTTCCCTATCTCGCAACCATGACCGCGAGCCAACTCCTTTCCTTCTATAAGTTTACGCCGACTGAAGACGAAGCATCAGAGGACACAAATCTGGAACCTCCGCGCTTATTGCAGTCGTTACATTCGCGCACCGTCTGGCCACCTCTTACCCTATCTATCCGACCACAGACAGATACCGTCCTCGTGTCAATCGCCTACTCCCTACCCACATATCTCAGCGGCTGGACCGTTGGCATTCAGGAAATGCGTCTGACTTTGGACGGCACCCTCATCGAATCACGTCTTACTTCAGCGATCGACCAAAATTACCGTCCTCTCACCTTCAACGCCTCCAACCCACCACCGACACCAACTCCACAAACAATACCTCCCTTCGGTCACTTCAACACTTCTGAAGCCAACCAAATTCATTCCAAACCAACCTCCCTTTCCTACTCCCACCCTTATCTATTAGTCTCTCATCCCGACAACACACTAACCCTCTACCTCGTCTCTTCAACCACCGACTCTCTGAAGATCAGCCCAGGCAACAGACTCTGGGGCCACACTTCCTCAGTGTCGGGAGCCCACGTCGGCGGCCGCGGCAAAGCAGTCTCAGTCAGCACCCGCGGCGACGAACTCCGCGTCTGGGAGCTCGAAGGCGGATTCGCTTCTGCATCTGCCCGTCGCCGTCTAGCAGCCGGCGAATTGAGCGTGCAGTTGCGACCTGAGAAGCCATCATCCTCATCTCCAGAAGAGGACACCTCGACCTCCCTCAGCAAGGCGAGAGGTATTGGATTGGGTGCTGCACTCAAAGACAAAGGCATAGATGAGACCAGTATGACGAGAGGGTTTATTGGTTTTGACGATGAAAAAGTAGTTGTGCTGAGGGAACGGCATTGTGGGAACCAGGCTTTGGTGATTTATGATTTTACATAGAGGGATAGAGGGTGCTTTGAAGTAGATATGGTTCTGATGATATACAACGAATCTCTTTTCTTTCCTTCTTTCTGATGACGACTCATCTTGACCTGGTCGTCTAATTCTGATGTTGCCCTCGTGGAGACGTGCGTGTGTCTTGCGAGAGTAGTGTTGTGTCCATTCTAGATCACTCCACTGCAAAGAGTGAGCCAGAGAGACCTCCAATCACCCTCTTGTCATCTCCGTCTCTTCACTTCCTTCAAAGTCCAACAAGAACATTATCATAAAGGATGAAATATGTATACTCGACTATCCACACCACACTCAAGATCAACGTACGGTGGTCTAGCGCCAAGGACACTTCACGACAATCAGTCCGCGCTTGTGCTCCCTGAGGAGTTCAGAGCCCGGGCTGTAATGGAGAGATCCGAGTTCGATTCTCGGCTTTGCCATTCTCCTCTTTCTCTTTTTCCTTTTTGCAAGTCTTGGGTTAACAACGAGGTCTTTCTCCAAACCAAAAATGATATGCTGAAACGAGTGGTTTTTCTACACATCTCAGGCAACTCTTCATGACGAAAAAGAAAACTCGATTTGGTATCTCTAAACACTTGACCTCTCCTCAAAAGTTCATCTTCAGCGCAATAGTAGGCTCTTTCTCTTCAACTTCCTCTCTAACCTCTTGTTTAGGCCCTTGTGACCCCTTAATAACCTTTTCCATTAGAGCCTTCTGCTCATTGCTTAACCTTACAACAACACCTCTAAACGCATTAGCGTCACTACTCGCCAAATCTAGCAGTCGTGCTGCAGTCTCTTTCTGCACAGACTCGCTTGTTTCTTTTTCAGCGCGGGCGAGGAAGATAGGGATGAGCAGTGCAAAGCCGGCGAGTTTCTTGTCGAAGGGAAGGGATGAAAGTGCTGTGGTGAGGGATTGAACGATGATGGTGCGGCTCTGTTCGATGCCTTCGAGATCAGAGGGCACGGTGAGGAAAGTCACTAGACGTGGTAGCAGACGTGACAAGATAGCGGAGTGAGCGGCGCCTCGGATGGGAACGACGAGAAGTGTTCGTACACAGCCAGCAGCCATCTTGGTCGTCATTGGGTTGTCGAGACACTCCGTCAACTCAGCGACAAAGCGCAGCAGCACAGGGTCATTGGCCTCGAAAACAGCGTTTGCGGAGGTGATGAGCATGGTTCCTGCTAGGATAGTGTTCTTCTCGCATGGCAAAGATGCTTCGAACTCGCGTTTCTGAGCATTTTTGAGGATCATCAAGAAGCGAGAGAGTGTGCTTCGGATCTGCTTCTTGGTGTCTTCGCTAGGGTCGGCACCTACGCCATTGATGAAGCGGCGGAAGATGGGTAATGCTTGTGGTATCAGGGTCGCCTGACATGCACCCGTACTCATGATGGTGACAAAGATTTGGAAGATACATGCATGCAGATCGGCCCTGATGATGGAGGGNAAGACCTCGGAAGCATCGACCAATGCATCTAGTGAGAGACGTGCTAGTGTGACAGCCTCGTCCGAGATTTCAGCACGGACGGGACGAGGACTTTCTGCCAAACCAGGCACAATACTTGCCAATATGAGCACAATGATGCGAGTCAACTCGAAAAGTTGATCAATGTCATCGGACAGATGGTCGTCTGCACTCATGCCCTGCCTCGACGAAGGATGGCCAACGCAGAGGTTTCTTGCAATTTCAACAATGATAGTCTGCACGTTCGATGGCTCTGTGAGAACCATTCGATCAAGCAGATCCATTGTCTCGTTGAAAATGACCTCTTGGTAGATGGCGTTACCAGAGATTGAGGGTCGAAGGATTCTCTTGAGTGCCTGCAGAATCTCGAGTTTTTGTGCTCTTGCAGTTGCTGAGTCTGCGCCAGGCTTACTAGCGAGAGCTTCGAACGCAAGGCCGAATAACACGAAGAAGAATGCCACAGGTTCTTCACGGTAGTTGATGTCGCTTCCGCGGGACACGGTAACACCATTGTCGGCATCAGCTTGGGTCTTGCCATCAAGTGCATCGAACACAAACTCGCTATCCTCATCAATCAGACTAGCAATGGCATCCACGAGACTTAGCCACGAGTCTTGGTAGAATTTGAGTAAGGTCTCGCGGTTCAGTGCAGCGTAAACTGTCTCGAGGTCATCTGATAATGGAGTCGCGCTTGTGTTATTCGAGATGTCTGGCTCGAAGCGCAAACGCGAGTACTCTCGAAGGGAAGACAGCCAAAGCGGCGTCAATTTCGCAACATGGGGCTTAACCACATCGACCAAGTATTTCTGCTCGGCAGTGGCGATCTGCAAGCCAGCCCATGCGGAGAAAACAGACATGCGTACCATGACCTGAGCATTTGGACTGAGACCTTTGAGCTCTCCGATGGAAGATGTTTCGGTAGATCCTGCAAAAGTTTCGAGGGCGGCCACAAGGATTTTCAATATACGGCCCATTCTGTCAATGTCGGTGACGATACCCGTTGATACGAAAGTGGCGCAAACATTGATGGCTTCAGCGGCAAGCTCGGGAGACGAGTCGACAGCGAATGCAGGAGTCAGTGCAGAACTAATTTGTGCTTGGTATTGTTCAAGCAACATAGCTTCAGTGAAATCGGGATCGGGCACTCCGCCAAACAGNCTGCAATGGAGTTAGTAGTGTCCGGAGAATACACGTGATGAAGCACTTACTCTGAGCACCTGGTCGATGATATGCAGACCCAGGATGCGAAGACCGACAACATTAGCAGTGGAAGCAGAGAAAGCGACTCGTACAACATCCGCCACCCTATGTTGCAGCGAAGCCAAAGCAGGGATGTCTTCGTTGATGGCCGACTCTTTGACAACACTGTCCAAAAGACTGTTGAGGAGGTCCATGCCGAATAGTCGCACCTGCCATCTCATGAGTTCTTGGCTTGATGTAGGCGCAGAAGCATCTTCGTCCTTCGTGCCTGCTCCAGCAGCGAAGCCTGCAACTTCTTCGTCTTGGAGGTCGGTAGTGGCTGCCTTTTTGGCCGCTGCTTCATCCTGAGAAGCGTTGTCGACACGAGCCTTGGCTTTGGTGAGAACCAAGTTGCATCGCTGGATCCAGCCCGCTGTGTCTGTCATCCCAGTCTGTGACAACCAATTGACGAAAATTTCCTTGATAGTCTCCTGAGCGGGATTTTGGTCGAGGACATCCCACAGCTTTTCTTCTAGACCAGGATTGGCAGCGCGTACAATATCCTCAGCGTCTCTGCGCATGAGATTGGCCAGTCCTCTGATAGCCATGTCGCGAATTTCCGGAGATTGGGAGTCGAGATCAGCTTGCAATCGCTTCACATACTTCTCAAACTCCATATGACCGGGTGCATACATGGAGAGATTGCCCAAGCATCTGGTACTCTCGACCAAAACTAGAACTTCGCTTTCGGTCTGGAATTGTCGAATAAGAGTCAATACCATGCCACGAGGTTTGGCCATCTCGGATAGGTCTGGACCCATCACGTTGATGATAGCATCGACACAGCACACGTTGGCAGCAGTCGTTTCCAGCTCGACCTCCAGGTTAGAAGACGCCAATGGTCCAGTCTCGGCATTGTGTGTGTCCAGTACATACAACTGACCAAGAAGACCGATTGTGCTAGAAACATAGCCTGAGAATGTCAAGCCAGCAGAATCGACGATCCTTTTTAGACTCTCCAGAGCCCAAAAGTGTACCAGCGGATGTGGGTCGGCGCAGAGAGACATGAATATACCAAGAATGTTTTTGAGGTGGAAACTGGCTGCCATACCACCGAGCGAGTTGTGAATACAAGCAAGAGCCAAGGCGCAGCCCGATCGGACATGAGGTTCGGTGTTTGAGACAATGGTGTCGATCAGGTAGCTGATTTCGCGTGAAGTCAAGTCGTTGCCGCCAACTTCGCAAAGGTGACCCAAAGCCCGAGCAGCAACGTGGCGAACGCTTTCATCAGGGTCGGCAACAAAAGTCTGATTCTGTCAGCTACAGAAGTACGTCTTGAACATTCAAAGACTTACGTGAAGAAGATTTTGCATGTTTTTCTCTGCGTTCGCGCTCTGGAGTTTACCTTCTAAACCCTTGACTTGTCCTGTCAATACCTTGGAGGTTACTAATAAAGCTAGAGCAACATTTGCGCTTAGTGCCGTCTTTTGTGCCACACTCTTCTGCACAGCAGGTGATGTTAGGAAAGAGTTGATCTGCTCCAGTATGCTGTCCTGTATCCTAGGAGATTGTAACGGAAGCGCCAATGCAAAGATGCCGATTGCACTGTTCACCACTTCTGTGGCAGGGGGCTGTGGTTGATCGTATATTTGAGGTCCATCAGGTGTGACATAAGAGGTCGTTGAATCGTGCTCCCAAGCTCCACCAATTGGGGAGAGAAGNCTGTTGATAGTCAGCGCAGTCACTTACATGGGACACGCACATCTTACCGTCCTATCTATTATTGCTTCATAGCTGTGTCTTGACGTCCAGTGATCTTCCGATTCGCCCTGTTTCTCGAAAGGCAGAGGAGAACAGTCCAGACCGTTGATCAGGCCATTGACACCGAAGCCACTATTATCGCCAACTCCCCAAATGCTGTCGAGTGTACCAGCAGAACTAGCAATCGATACGCTTAATGACGAAGGCCCGAGACGATCTGGATCAGCGAATGAAGATACAGCTAACGGCAGAACGTTCGACTGCGTTGCAATTTCTGAAGCTGCAGCTGGGCTAGCTGTCACGAGAGCAGTGTAACATTGGAAGACCCTACGCCTGACCATAAGATCAAAGTCGACCAATTGCAGGGCGGGAGACAAGCGTTGGGACATGTCCTCAGATGTCTTCTTTTCAGGCAAGATAGAGAGAAACATCCCAGTGTTTTGTAACATGCTCGCAAGACGTCTCGATACATCAGATGTCAAAAGTTTGATGTTGTAATGCAAGAATGCCTTGACGGATCCCAATGCACACTCCCGCACGTGAGCAAGGAAACTCAGTTCAAGTTGACTCTGGCGTGCCATATTGTCCTTGTTTGGGGGCGCAAGGGCGTTCTTCCACATGAGCAATAACTGCGAGAGATGTATCTTGATAAAATTAGGTCCCAGTGACATGAGGCCGCCTATCATGATCCAAGCGACCTGCACTTGGGTACTGGAAACTCGTAAGTCAGAGTTACTGCTAGATTTAAGCAGATTAGTAGCCTGCGTAAGCACACGAGCGTAGACATCTACGGAGCCATAGAGTGGATGCTTGTTTGAAGCGCTCAAGACAGCAGCAAGGCCGTTAGCATATCCAGCACACCTCCTGGGACTTTGTCGAGGGCCAGTAAGCAGACCAATCTCCCGGTTGACACTGTTCATACAGATTGTCACTGTCGGCAAAAGCTGTTGAGGACAAGCCAGCACAAAGGATCGCATGCACCTCGAAGCATGAACCTGGACGGTGTAGCTCGGATGCTGCAGAACCTGCAATAGTGATTCACGGCAGCCTTCCGAGATGATGCTCACAGCAGCATCTAACCTGTCTATTAGTGATGCTAGAGCACTCAGAGCGGCCGTAAGTGTTTGCTTCCCAGGCTCCGGACGCTCTTTGACGACTTGCGGATAGTCTTTGATGATATCGTTCATAAGGAATCGGGCGGCGTTCAGTTGAGATGTTTCTCCAAGCATGCCTCCCACCACATGTTGTAGTATTATGCGGACAAACTTCCTGGTCATAAGAGTGCGGTAGCGATGGTAAGTGAGACTTTGGTGACCTAATAACTCGGAAAACAGATGTTTGGCAATGACACCGTACTGTCTCTCAACGACGCTCTCACCCAGCGCGGTGAATATTTGCTTGTAACATATCGCGATGGCAGCACGGGTCCGGTTGGAAGCAACAGGTTTGCAGTATTGGGTAGACAGCTGGCGCATGATATCCAGCAGGCTGAAGGCTATTGAGGTGATTGGCTTGGAGGACACGGGTGTGGCGGGTCGCTCAACGTCTTCCTCGCCCTCATCAGCAGCTCCTTGTTTCTTTGACTTTTTNGACTTCTTCGGAGGAAGAACGTCCCGTACAGGAGTTTCGGAGAAGCTCTTGACAAGAACAGCGGCCATACAAGTAGATGCAGCGTGACGCACGGGAACCGAGGGACTGTCCATTGCCTTCCATAGTGCGGCTTGAAGCTTCTCAAAATCGTTCGAGTTGTCGTAATAAGAGGTGCAAGTGGCCAGCTGCTCGAGGCACCAACAAGCATTGATCTGAACCAGCAGAGCCTTGTCGCTTGCAGCAGCACTGCGAGCCGATTTCCAGGTCTCCTTTGCGACAGACTCGTCAATCGAGTTGCCAATGCCCCTAGCGACTCTGCCCACGGCCTTGTATATAGCACTTCGCAAGCCCGCATGACTAGATGCCAACTTGAGAGTGCGCAGAAGGGAGGTACAAGTCAAGCTAGACAGACTGATGGCGCTGTCTCCAGCAGCTTGGAAGATTGCGCCTAGACAGTGGGCAGCGGCATGTTTGGCCTTGAGAGGCTTGTCTTTCCCAGCATTCAGGACGGCAACCAGGTCGTTGATGGACTCGTATAGTAGCTTGCGGTTTCCTTTGGCGAAGAGGGATGCAAAGGTGCTCGCGAGGTTGTTTCGAATGACACGTGTTGGAGCGGGTGAGGGAAGGTCGACAATCTGTAGGAGCTCTTTCTTGATCCAGACTTGGTGAGCTGAAGCGCCATCTTCGTCCAGAGAGGTTGCGTAATGAGAAAGGTCCGAGGTGAAGGTCAAGAGGTAGAGGTCCTGCTGCTCGGACGGGAGACCATGAAGCTTGGCTATGTCGAGTTGTAGGGTCGAGTCGGCCACCGGAGGCGGGGCATTCTGATCGGTCGCCATTTGCGATTGTATTTAGGAGGAATTCATCAGGGTAAAGAGTGTATTTATTGTGAAGCAAGTTGAATGGTTTCAGGAGTCGAGGACCTGCAACCCGCACCTGCCTGGCCGGACCCCCGTCATGCATCTCCACGCCTTGGCGCCGTCTCGGAGCAAGAGCTCGTGAATTTGTGCTCCTTCCTTGTCGCATTCTGTCTCCTTCCCGTTTCATTTGTCGCATTTGTATTCTGTTTTGTTCGTCGTAATGCAGTCCTATCAGTCGCTCGCTCGACCCTGTCGCCACACATACCGATGCCTCAGCCGCCGCGCCACCACGGTCCGGAGCTTTCACGAAGCAATCACATGCCAATCCGGACACAGTCGATGGTCGAAGATCAAGCACGACAAGGCCAAAGTCGACAGCTCCAAGAACAAGGCCCGCAGCGTCTTTGCACAGGAAATCGCCACAGCCTCCAAACTCTTCGGCGGCGACCCAAACTTCAACCCTAGACTGGCCGACTTGATTGTCAAAGCCAACAGGGCTGGATTCGCAAAAGCCTCGATTGAGGCAGCTGTGGCTCGTGGACAAGGACGCTCTGTCAATGGCGCTGCTCTCGAGACCGTGACCCTCGAGGCCATGTTGCCCAACAATGTTGGTGTGGTCATCGATTGTGAGACGGACAGCAGACTACGAACGCTGGCCGATCTCCGAGTCATAATCAAGCAACATGGTGGAAACGCTACGCCGACAGGTTATCTCTTCACCAAGAAGGGCAGGATAACTTTTGCAAACAAGGAGGGTGTTGGTATGGATGACGTCTTTGAGCCCGCTCTGGAAGCAGGCGCTCTGGATGTGGACGAAGATGGCGAAGGTCGGGTAGTTGTCTACACGGAGCCCAGCGAGACAAAGTCAACTGGAGAGACCTTGTCAACAGCGCTGGGTCTAGACATTGCCAGCTCCGAGATCATCTCGGATGCCAATGAGGACACCAAAGTGGCGCTGAGCAATGCCGAGGCGACGCAGGAGCTGGTCAAACTCGCGGACGCCATCCAGGATAAGGAGAGCGGAGTGCAGGGCATCTACATGAACGTGGCTCAGGGGACGCTAGAAGAGGGAGCGTGGGCCGAGTTGCAGAGCAGAATGACGGCTTGATTGTAATGTACATATAACCAGCAGGATACCCCAATGTCGATATTTCCCCTCGATGTTGCGCCGAACGCCGCCATGCCTTTTACATAATGTACAGTGTAGTGTTTTGATCGTGATGCGAAGCGTTTACTTGAGCCATGAGAACCAGCCTTGGGATTGTGAGGAGTTCGTCGGTTGCTCGGGCTGGTGTGGCTGTTGGAAAGATGGCGAGTCGGTGTTTCTCAAGGACTCGAGAATTGGGCTGGGTGTCGGGTCGATGTGCTGCTCGACAGGAGCGTTCTTGGCGTCCAGTTCAAGTCTTGCCTGGCGGGCGGCCAAGCGGCGAGCGCGCAGTCTGGCCAGTTCTGATTGAATCTCGTCCTTCTCGAAGGGAATGTGATGGGTCTCGTTCTCCTTGGGCCAAAAGTCGGGGATGGAGAAGCGCTCGTCGAGGTTTGTGCCAAAGTAGTACATCCAGCCGATGGGGAACATGATGTACATGCCAAANCTGGTGGCGCGTTAGTCTGGGAGGTGCTGGATGGGTCGCATGAAGGGCACCTTGAAGACTTCGAGGTTGGGGCCTCCCATGATTACGGTGTTGGGAGTGGTAGTGATGGTTGGTTCAAGAGTGTAGATTCGATCGACTCTTGAAATGGAAGGATAGCGGGCAGAGCGTCAGCAGACACCGAGACGCCGATTGAATCGACACTGTCACATGCAAAATGCATGGAAAATTGCGGCCTTGGACGCGACACCCCTGAAACAGTAATTAACATTTATTTCAGTTGGACAGCAAGCACAGTGGCTACGTTCTTCCGGCCGTCATTATTTCTCTGCGCTCGCGCAACACGTCAGCTGCGAGTGCCGTCGTCGCCCTCGTCCTCGCTCCCAATTGCCGACTGCGACCAGTCAACCCATGCCGCGGCTATGCAAACAGATGACAAGATTGCGAACGACATGAACGACCTTTCCGTCCAAGACCAGCCCAAGAGGAAGAAGGCGCGCTGGCCCAAGAGCAAGAGGAGGGAACAAGCTGCCATCAAATCGTCGCTGCAGGACCAACACGCCGCCTTTCCATCACCACTCGACATGGCCCAGAACCAACATCGACGGCAACCGCAAGAACCTGACCTCATCCGCCATGTTCCCTACGGCCAATCCTTTCCCAATTCTTCCTACCGGAATCCTGCCTTTCGCTCTATCAACGACACTCAACACAACTATCCTCATCCAGTCGCTCCTCCACCCTACCAACCGACCACCTTCCAACCTATAAACCGCCATCCCTCGTCCTTTTTCTCGCCGTCTTTTGCACACAACCTTCCTCCACCTCCGCCGCCTCCTCCCTTTCCGCCCGCTCAAGGTCAACACTTCTACGTACAGCCCCTCCCCTTCTTCCCCCAGCCACGTCTACAGCCGGAAGCTGCTGCTTCACACCATTCCGCTCGCCGAAATGCCCGCACCCCTGCCTCTCAGACAGACACACAGCAGGATGACCAGGACCCTGAAGTTCGCACTCCCAGACCATCCGACAAGCGCGCTCGTGCAATTGGCAAGCTACTTCGTCCGACTCCATCACTTCCATACCTTATGAACTCGCTCGTCACATCTCCCAAGCTTGACCACCCAAACTCTCTTCTTGTTGTCCTGGATCTAAATGGTGTTCTGGCCTATCGCAAGAAAAAGTCCAAGGCCTACAAGCCTAGACCCTTTGTTAGCACTTTCCTCGACTACCTGTTTGCCAACCACCATGTCATGATCTGGTCGAGTGGCATGCCCGAAAATGTCGAGCGCATCATCGGACACATGCTGTCCCACGAAAGACAGCAGAAACTCGTTGCCATGTGGTCACGCGACAAGCTGCGTCTACCGGACCATCTGTTCTCCGAGAAGGTCCAGGTCTACAAGCAACTCAGTTGGATCTGGGAAGACCCCGCTCTACAGATGAACGCTCCGCTGGGAGGCTGGAGCCAGAGAGATACAGTGCTGGTTGATGACTCGATTGACAAGGCCGCTGCTGAGCCTCACAACCTTATCGAGGTTGACGAGTATGAAGGCCGTCCTGCGCAAGACCAGAACACGACTTTGTTGGAAGTCATTGATTATCTGGAGCGCATTCGCTGGTACGAGAACGTCAGCGCAGAGATACGCGCTGCTCCGTTTGTTGCACCCAAGGCTTGATTTCCTGATCTTGTACGATAACACGACCTTTCCAAGATACCCCTATACAGCTTTTCTTTGCTTTTCAATGTACACATAGAATCAAATAAACACTTTGTATCCATCCCAGATTCGCTCAGCAGATAAGCTTTGAATGTGAGCAATCCCATCGAGGTGACAGATACATCTAACCCTTTCTCGGTCTGTCGATGATACAACTTGTCGGAATGCACGTATACCTTGAACTGGGACTTGATCGACCCCGCCAAGAACATACACTTTCTTTCTTTCCACCTCACTTTCACGCTCTCCTGTGTTCGACCTCCATCATCACCAAACGCTTGTGTGTTCAAAGTGCCGTCCAATGCATCTCTTCGACAGCCGTTCGACCCGATCTAGTCCCGTCTTATAGGAGGCGAAACGCCGCAAAGGGGTTTGTCGACGGACGTTTGACCTATTGCCGAAGATCTCACACCCTCAACGGCCTCCACCTCACCCACCATCACAATCTCCACATACCGTTCTGTTTGCCTGTCAAACGGCCACGGCACATTCAATGCAATGACGCGATGATGTACAGTGGAAGACAAGATGCTCGGGTCCTTCACTTCGCTCAAACGTCGCGAGCCGGCAATGAGACATCGAATCTCAAGAAGACGCTTCATATTGCTGTCAGCAGTCACTATGAGTCGAGTCAGTACCAGGAAAGGAAATATGCATCAAAAGAACAACCCTTGTCGACCGCGTGGAGACCCCTTGCAGACTGCATTAGACGCCCATCCCGTGTTTCAGATGTCGTGAAGTCACTCAGTGCTGCACGTGTCCGAAAGGCATTCCTCTTTGTCGTGGAGATGGGTTGGTCTGTTAAAAGGTAGGGTCGATCCATAACGGTGACTGACGACTATTCATTCATTCTGTTTCATTCCTCTCTCGTTCGTTTGTTCTAGGCTCTGTTGGGCTGCAGAATATATATCCTCTTTACGCACCCTTCACACTCACTTCACACTCACTTTATTATCGCAATCAACTCAGTTATATCCTTGTCATGTTCTTTAACCTTCTATCATCCACTCTGCTGCTGGCAGCAACTACCTCTGCCCTTCCCGCCGAGGTAGAGCCCCGAGCAACAAACCAGTATCTCACAAACTCACACACTGCCATCACCGAACTTCAAACCTTCTACAACTCTCCTCGTCCCGGCTTCTGGAGCGCAGGCTGGTGGAACACTGCCAACTGCCTCACTCTCCTCGCCGATCTGCGCGCCAAAGACAGTTCTTCATTCTTGACATCCATCACCGATGGCCCCAATGGCGTCTTCAAACACACGCTCAGCAGTCAAGGCAAAGACAGCACTGGGGCCCTCAACTGGGACGACTTTNTTGACGACCAGTTGTGGTGGGTAGTTGCCTTGATCAAGACCTACGATGTCACCAAAGACACCAGCTATCTGATTACTGCAAACGAGACCTTCACTTCCGTCAATCTAAACAACAAGCCTGCCAATAACCCTTGTGGCGGTCTCGCCAACGCATACCCTCACGAGCAATATCTGGTAAAAAGCAGCACAATCGCCACAGTCCTATACGTAGAAGCCGCAGCTCTCCTCGCCGTCCGCTACCCATCCCAAAGCAAATACTTCATCAACCTCGCCAAAACCCAATGGAGCTGGCTCTCCGAAAACATTCTCATCGATGGCATAATGCAAGGAGATGCTTTGACCGGTTCCCCGCCTTCTTGTGGCAACAACCACGCCTTCTTGACTTATATCGAGGGAGTAGCCCTGCAAGCACTGGTTGCCCTCTACCACGCCACTAACGATGCCTCTTACCTCACCACCGCCGACACCCTAGCCACAAAGCTGCTTTCGGGTAAATACGGCATGATGGACACCAACAAGATCGCCCAAGAATTCTGCGATGTGGATTCATCCTGCAACCCCGATACCGCACAATTCAAGGGTGTTATGATGAGAGGATTGCGTACCTTGCGCGATGCAAAGCCTTCTGCCGCTGGAGGACAAATCCAAGGTTTCTTGACCAAGAATGCAGATTCCATTTGGGCGAACAGCAGACAGAGTGGCACGAATCTGCTGGGAGAAAAGTGGGCGGGTCCGTTTGCGCTTGGGAGCAGTCAGGCGTTACAGTTGAGTAGCCATAGTTCGGCTACTATGGCTTTGGTGCAGGCGGCTTTGGCTAGCATGTAAGGGGACTGGAGAAAGATAAGATATATGGTTGAGGGGGACATGGGTGGGGGTTGTTTTGCATCTGCATTTGCATGTGATCGGCTGGCTTCGACCTTGATACTTATCAGAGATAGATGGGACAGTAAACACAAAGGCTTTCTTGCATCATTCCATCATCACTTCTCATGTTTTTTGGTCAACGATTGTAACAAGGCTTGAGATGAATCGGTTGCTTCTAAAGAAGTACTCATGCCCAACATCTCTGCTTATCACCCTCCTATATTTGTCTGCCTGTGCACAAACAGGAGTTTTGTCGTTCATCCATTCTCGTCATTTGGTGGTCACCATGTAAAGCTAACTCTGTGTACTGTGAATCAAATGCATACCAACTGCATAACTCTACATACCAATCTTTGCCAACGAATGTGTAGTGTCTACAAAATGACTCCGCCCTGGTCCATCACCCAATCACCAGTCGTAATATCATGCGGTTCCTAGACGGCGTTGATGACTCTGGTGGTACCAGCAATCTGAGTCTCAACCGGGCCTTGATTTCTCAGAATAGCAACAACCTGCTTCCACTCCTCACCACCTGCTTCCTCCATCAGCTCGACATTGCCAAACATGAAGAACCCCTGTCTAGCACGAGAGAGAGCAACGCAGACACGGTTGGCGACGCTCAAGAATCCAACTTGCTTGATGCAGTTGTTACGGACAAGAGACAGGACGACGATGTCGTTTTCCTCGCCTTGGTAGGAATCAACAGTGACAACCTTGATACGGGTCTCCGCGACCGCACAACCCTCGACTTTCTTCAGTCCGCGAGTGAGAAGACGACGCTGACCATTGTAGAAGGTCAGGACAGTGATTTTGCGCGACTCAATGCCTTTACTAATGAGGCCATTGACAAAGCCCACCACTAGCTTGGCCTCATGCTCGTTGTAAGCGGACTTGAACTTGTCGTGTTCTTCGTGGTGTTCGTGATGAAAGAAGTAGGTTTTGAAATCGCCAAATCCAGGCACGGGAGGACGGTCGAGGGTACATTCGTGGTCCTTGATTTTGTCTCCGTAGATGGGCCAGAGAAGACGTCTGACTTCAGGAGGCATACGTCTCTGCACAGCGAGCATCTTGTAGTCAACGGTGTTGTTTGCGAGGCGTTCAAACAAAGAGATGTCGTAATGCTTGAAGTTATGAGTAGCCTTCTGAGCACGAGGACGGAGCTGTTGATGATCTCCAACGAGAACCATATGTTGGAGAGATGGCAAGAACATGCTCATCATGTTGGCTTCCAGACACTCGCCAGCTTCTTCAACCATGACAATACGAGGCTTGAGTGCATAGATCATGGGGCGGTATTTGGCAAAACCGGTGCTGGTGCAGCCAATGACTTTGGCATCTGCAAGGACTTGTAGCTTCTTGATGAATTGGCCGCGGGTCCAGTCTTCAACTCGCTTGGCCCATCTACAAGCCAACTCTCGGGCATCCTTGATGATCTTCTGCTTGGCTTCCTTGACGAAGAATTCATAAAGGCCGAGTCGGTATTGAGGGGGCACCTTGTTGAGATCAGTAAACTTGCTGGCGGTCAAGATCTTCTTGACGTCCTTCCCTGAAAGATGTTTGATGGAAGTGGCTTTCAAGACGCTGCAATCGAGAAGAGGAATGAACGATCCTCGAAGCTTTTCAATCTCATCGTCCTGCTTGGCCTTTTCGGCAGTGGCTTCATCAATCTCTTCCTCCTCTTCCTCGAACTCTTCAAAGCCAAATTCTTGCTCAGCAGGCCAATTGCTGTCGCTGGATGCCAAGGATGCATCTGGACCGAGCCATTTGATGATTGCAGGAATCTCAGGGGCATCAGAACTTGTGGTCCATCTTGAGTTCTTGAGAGAATCAATGTGCTGAGGAGTTAGGCGATCTCTGAACATGTCCTCGTCCATTGGTTTGCAGGCTTGGCTGCTCGCATCGAATGGTGCCAGTACTCGCTTCCAGTCCTTTTCCATGAGTTTCATGTCGGTTCTCGAGGATCGAAGACCAGCTGGCTCTTTGAGCGCGCGTGGGTTGCTCTCCTTGAGTTCCTCCATGATGTTGAACAGCGTGTGTCGCTTGACGACACCCGTATCGGCTGACCGACCACCGAGACGGATGAAGGAATCCTCAAATTCAGCGATGTGACGGAGCAACTGGTCAAGTGCGTGGTTGGTTTGGCAGGTAACGATGAGCGGAGGAATTACCACGCCAGGTCCAGCGTTATTCCTCTGATCTTCCATCTTGCGCAGCATGACCCGAAGAGCCATGACCGAGACGTGTGTCTTTCCGGTACCAGGAGGACCCTGGATCAGAGCAAGTTCCTTGGTCAGCATCTGGTGGAGAGCGTTCATCTGCGATTCGTCAAGCATGGCGGCATCCTTGGGCATAGGACAGTTGACAACGTCCCATTGGTAGTCAGAGGCCTCGTCTGTGGCGAAACTGAGGTCCATGACGGAGTCCTCCTTGACGTAGTTGGGGACGTTAACAGAGTGTTCTCCAGCCTGTTGATCAAGGAGAGAAAGGCACTCCACTTGGTTCGAGAGATCGATGAGGTCAATTGGTGGGCTGGTATCTTCACCAACCGGCGAGACGATGTACTCCTGAAGAGGNGTGTTCTCCTTGGTCATGCGCTGTAGGGAAAGCATGTTGTGACGCTGTGCCTCGAAGAAGGAGGATGTTTCCTCGAGAATGATGTATTCCACAGCCGGGTCAAGAATGGTTTCCTCGGGGCGTGGGAAGAAGACATCAATCTTGGGAGGGNNCCTTCTTAGAGTTAGCACTGGGTCAATTGTAATACACTACTTGGACGTACTCTCGTTTAGAAGCTCCATAGGTCTAGCGCCAACAACAGCGATGGTAATTTGCTTCTGGAACTTATCCGAAATGGGCGATAGAGCAAGGAGAGAACCAGATTTGAGCCGCTTTGACGTGTTCCAATCGATTCTGACACCAGCGCGGAAGGTCGAGAAGCACATTCTAACTCCTAGTCCACGATTGCACAAAGTGATGCCCGTGACGAATGCCTGGTTTTGTTGGTCATTTAGGAACAGAAAGAGTGGATTGCACTTACCTTTNTCGTAGATTCCGACGCCAGGCGACTCTACTCTGTGGTCTAGCTCTGACAGGTGAGGTTGTTCGCGGACTAGGCCAATGGCGCGGCGCAGAGCGAAGGTGGATTCTTCGCGCAGGAAGTTGTACTGCGCAGCTAAATGCTCCTCTCTAGATGACCAGTTGCCCTCAATTTGGTTCTCTGGGACGCAGGGNTCGTCGCTGATGAGGGGGCGGCTTATCTCCTGTGCGTCAGGGACTTCAGGACGGAAGATCCATTCGTCGCCGGTACTCTTCGGGATGGCGTCCTGGTAGTAGTTATGTATAATGGCTTCGTGAGGAAGGCAATTCATGATTGTGGTAATGATGAGCGAGTGATGTCTGCGGGGGAGGAGAGGTCACTGTGTGCGCAGAGATGGGTTTGTTTTGATGTTCAGAGCACTGGCCACTTTTGGGAAGGAGCAACAGAAGGGTCGGCGACGATGCGAGCGCGGATTCGCTCTCCTCGCTGGCTGCGCGGCGCGGTGTTTGTTGAACTGTGAAAATGCAGAGACTTGTGCCCAAATTGAGCTTCTCCACTGAGAGAACGAAGATTCAGGGGTCTCAGTGGGAAGATCTGGTTTTTATTTTGATTCGTGACTTTTGATAGCAGCAGGAGGGGCAGTTGTGTGTGGAGGAGAGATGAAAAGTTCGACGCATGGATAGGCGCCTTGCTGCGGTTGTTTGAGTCCCTGGCGGGAAGGTGCAGTAGCCGAGTTTGAGACGTACTTGCCTTCTTGTATCTCTTGGCTGCTAGTCAAACATGGATCAATACCGTGACTGACTCCAGAACTCATCACATAGTATTCAGTCAAGAGGCGAGATACATATCTGTTGGTTGAGACAGCTGTATTGCTGCTGATCAGATCATGACGGGACCCTAGCATTCATCTAGAGAATGCTTCACCCACCCCAGTTGAAATATTGCAAGCAATTTTGACCGTACAACTGCTCGGTATGCATGCTTACTGATTGTTTTCTACAAAAGAAAGAACAAGCAAGAGGCTCGAAAGTGTCGCGATGCCAATGGATAAACTTCGGGATCCCCACAAAATGACCCTGCCGGCGCGACCTCCGCGTTGGTCGCGATGGACATTGAATTGTGTATCAAGACATTCGCGACACCTTTGGACATATACAGTATACATACCAGCAATATAGCTTTACCGGTTCATCTGGATCCGGGTATCTACGCGACAGCATCTACCTTGTTTGCTAGCGGATGCGACAAGTCTCGACGTACATGGTGAAACGGGAGTAGTGACAATTGCTAGGAGTTCTTGTACGAGATGGTGTCTTTTGAGGATGACGACCCGATAGAAGGTGGGTTTTGTGTCGAGCCCAGCTAAACACAGGAGACTGACGGATAACAGGGTCAGGGACGAGTCGCAGGATGAAGACGAGAACATGGACGACAATGACAACGAGAACGACGAAGGAGACGACCAAGACGAGGGGGAAGGGGAGGGAGAAGAAGAGGGCGACGAGGATGACAACGATCAAGATGATGAAGGCGACCAAGACGACGACGACGAGGGTGATGCAGACGGAGACGCAGAATCACCATCACAATCGCGCCGGCAGAGTCGAGCCTCTCCCTCAACATCACGACCGCCGAACCCTACCGTTATGCTGACATCGCCGTCACCTCGTCCTTCTGCACATCAATCGCCGAGCATGCACTTACCGTGGCCTTCGGTACGGCAAGAAGCCATCAACGCCGTTACGTACGACATTGTGCCTACCATGGCCGCACCACAGAGCACATCGATAAACGCCGTCACGGCAACACCAGACATGCGATGGGTCTTTAGCGGTGGCTCTGATGGATACATCCGCATGTACAACTGGGTGGAAACAGCGAACGGANAGGTGCCTTTGACAGTGGCGCAAAAACACNCCCTTGTCGACAGCGTCATGAAGGCCGGCAGCTTGACAACATACTGGGAGAACGAAGAAACATCAGTGCGTACTCCGCCTGCTCAATCTGCTGAAGAACCCAAGGACTCGTCACCCGTCTACTCCCTGGCTACTCAACACCAAGCGACATGGCTCTTGTCAGGCCTCGAATCCGGTGCAATCAATCTACAAACATGTCGTCACCAAGCTGGCACAAAGATCACAACATTGCGCGAACACACCTCAGCAGTCTCGGTCCTGAGTCTTGCGCAAGATGAATACTCGTTTCTGTCTGGAAGTTGGGACAAGACGATCCTCGACTGGGATTTGAACATGGGCAAAGTCAAGCGCTCGTTCGTTGGCAGTGGAGGCCAGATCTCAGCCCTCGAACGCCGACCCGAATCCTCGCTACCCGTCCCTCATGTCGCCGAAGACACACAAATTCCCAGCTCGACCTTCTCATCCAATAATGCCGCGAAACCACTTACGAGTGGCGTCTCCGCTCCAGAAGAAAGAAGAGGGAGCAAGAACAGCCAGAACAGCCAGAACGGGACAGAAGATGCGGCAGGCTCGCCAGATGGCTCCTTGTTCGGTGATGACAACGGTTCCCTATTTGGCGACGACAACATCAATGCCGACAACAACAATAACAACAATGCCTTTGACGATGATGACGATTTCGCAAAAGCGATAGCCTCGGGTTTGCAACAGTCAGAAGATACAGAAATGCTCGACGCAGGAGGTCCTGTCCAGCCACCCCAAGACACTTCCACCGCCCTCCAGGACCCCATGGATACCACCACCTCACAAACACAACCCGACACATCCACTACAGATCAACCTGATCCTCTGTCGACAGGAAACCCTCACGCTGAAGAAATAATCACAAACGGCACTCACGCTAATACAACAGAAGATGAGCTACCCCAGACCTCATCCACGACCTTCCTCGATGCCTCTATCGACGGCACCCTTCGCATCTGGGACCAACGGGTTTCCTCGCCAATCGCTATCATCCATCCTACCACCGGCGTGCCTCCATGGTGCATGGGTGCTTGCTGGTCCGTTGACGGCAACAGCATCTACGCCGGTAGAAGAAATGGCACAGTTGAAGAATACTCTCTCCGCAAAGGCTACCAGATGGCCACGCCACAGCGCACGTTCAAGCTTCCTGGTGGAAGTGGTCCAGTTAGTGCGGTTAGGGGTATGCCTAACGGCCGTCATTTGATCTGGTAAGTGCAATGAATGGTTGTGAGCAAGGTATAAGGTTGTCCGCAGACAACTTTCTTGCCCTTGCAATGACCACATGCATCTTCCTTTGAGTGCATCCGAGCTAACATTGCAACANGTGCATCCTACGATATCCTGCGTCTCTACGATCTTCGCGATATTGAAAATACTCGCTCTACTGTCCCCTTCCTTATTGTACCCGGTCATCGCACTGGTGTTATCTCCGCTTTGCATATGGATCCAGCGTGTAGGTTCATGATCAGTACCGCTGGAAACAGGGGTTGGGAAGGCGCGAGTACAGAGGTTCTGCTTGGTTATGAAATTGGCTGTGTTTTGCCGTCTTGATCTGGGCATGTTTGCGATCGCGAACAAAAGGGTGGATGTTTGAATGAAGTGTAATGTACACAAAAAGAAGCAGAATAAACAGAATCAGGAAAGATATGCGTCGAAAAGTTTACTTGACATGGAAGGAAGAAGCAACAATAGAGTCCAATGCACTTTTCGTTATTTTGCAATGCTCAGTGCATTGTCGCTATCTCACTGGCGTGCTTGGTATGTGTACGGTAGGGGCTTTCTCAGAGACGATGCTGCCAGACGAGTCAGATGCGAGGTCCAACCTCATCCTGTATGCTGGTTACATGTGAAGGCAAGCATGGTAAGAGACTAGGTCTATGACCCTTCTAGTGACAGTACCTCTCCCCAAACCCTCAGTGTGTTGAAAGACTTACTAGACCAGAAAGAGAGGGGACTGTGACGTGGAGACACACAGTGTTTATTTTTGGGTCATCGACCCGATGCCTCCATCTATGCTCCTGATTTACAACCAGACTTTGCACAGGAAGAAAAGGTGATATACCCCACAGGATGAATGGTAGATGTAACGTTTGGACTCAATTATTGTACTCACTGGAAGCATTGTGGGTGAAAGGATCGCGAGTGCTTGTCCTGAGCGGAACTGCTTGTATAACTACACTTGTACATGCAGTATTTTGGTGTCCAATCAAGAAAGAAAGAAAAAAACTATATCAGGGTCAGGAAGTAGAGCCCGCTTTAGGACGATTCTAGCATGACAGAAGTGTCCTGAATGAAATTGTTTTCTCGTCTTTTGGTTCATGAGTTCAAGTTGGGAGTGTCACCCTGGTTGTACTGTCTACCATATATTCCAGGGCGAATTTGACCGCATATCCCTTTCTATCCTACTACTCATGTGATGGAACGATGATAGATAGTATATGGTTGATTTGAAGAAGACAGAGTGGTTGGAATGATCCCTCTGCACTAGACCTTACCTTCTTTGAGATTAGGCGAGCAAATCAAGTGCTCAACCATTTCGTCAAATTAAAGCGCTTACAACAATTCGTGTCTTTATTTCTACGAAGCATATCTAGTGTGATATAAGGACCCAAATACCAGAAGATACTCATTGCCCAAGGCTGCCACAAACTTGTGGCTCTGTATCTTTCTGTCTTCGTCGGGTTTGTACCCAATCTACATGCTTGATTCTCCCCGTCGCATATATGTTATCACATCCCATCGCCGCACCACAGGATGACTGCTGGAATCACATCCCGATGTATTGCTACGCTTGAACGTGTAAGAGAAGCACGCAGAACATGCTCAGGTCCGTGATTCAACCTCACCCTGGTTTGCCTCTCGTACTAGCGAACATGTTTATATCTCTCAGCGAACATAGTCATATCAGCGATCATTCGTAACTATTTGTCATCCTTCTAGTCAGGAAGTTGGAAAGAAGGCACCCGGTGTCACGGACCTGTCTGTCTTATCTTGTATACTTGTCCTCATTGATGGACATCCATGTAGGCAGCGACATCGGCAACCTTGAACTCGGGCGACCATGGCATGTAGACTGTCAGTTCTTCTCAGTTCAAGTACGACGACCACCCAGATCAACCCTCACGGAGGTCTCATGAACCGACTGGCCAATACAGAATCTACAAGGAACGTTTGCTTCTCATCATACTGTACTATACCCTGTGAACAAAGATCGTGATTCTCCGTAGCCTACACTCATTCGATGTCTCCGCCGAGAAAAAGAGTGACAGATATGCAAAAAGAATACAAAACGTACAGCAGCAGGGATTCCCACGTGGTCACCCACCGTAGTACTAATCTGCCGTTCAACTGCTTATGTATGGCAGAGCGGACGGGATGCCCAGTTTTCAGCTGACTGTGGCCGTACGTAGAAAGTGAGCTGAATCTTTTGTACTCATAGTATGTTACTGGGAGGCTACCGTGAATCCAAAAATCGACCGCAGTGCTTTGAGTAGTATTGGGTTATAGACAACGAGGACCCCAGTGAGTACTTGTCGCATGCCCGGAACTCGGTCTACGAAGTCTGTACACGTAGCAGAGCGCAGACACGATGAACAACAAGGCCACAAAGTGGTGCAAGCATCCAATCGCGCATTGTGTGTGAGGATGAGAAGCAGGACGCGCCAAGCAGCGCAGGATGAATCTCGAGTCAGCTTGATGGTGGGAGCGTCATTCCTACTCCGAGTAGTATCGATTCCGCTACTGTTCTTTCTTCCATAGGAGTTATCGATGTGAAGCCGTGATGTTGGGTGAACAAAAGAGGTCGGTAGGTGAGAAGCATCCGAGAAACGAAAGTGCAAGTGCCGGCCACACGACGACCTCACCTTCCTTGGCGGAGGAATATGCCACATTCCAACTCACATCTGTCCTGAACATTTCTCCATCTAGCTGCTCACTCATTTCTGGGAGACGATTCAATTTCACGGGTTCTAGTTGATGCTGGAAACAGGGTATTGCTGATTGTTGATGTTGGGCTGAGGAACGCCTTGTCAACCGCTTTGCCGAGACTGGATGTTGACTGGAACTCAATGGATGAACACTTGATAAGATCTTTCGACAGAACCTATTGTCCTTTTCAAACCCTGGACGATGTAACCTATGGATCCCGGACTCCTGATGAAACAATGTCGTGGCTACAATTCGTTGTTGTGCCCTCTGCCTCGTTCCTGACCGAAGGATGTGGCAGCAGGGAAGAGCTGTGTTCAAGCATCAAGACACAGGACCAGGTCCAGCTCAGCAAGAGATACAAGAACTCAACGCTACTCAGAGAGCTTGATCCATACCGAGTTACGCATCAAAAGTCTGAGCGATCCCTGGGACTCCGAACAAAGCAATCACAAAGCAAACAAGACATGCTGTGAGGATCGAGCAGTCTTTGCGATGGACACTTGCGAGCCGAGACACTCTGGCTCTCATCATCCGCCCTCTCTATCCGGACCGTGGTATCCTGTTTCTTTCAGCGATGTCGGATTTGTCATCGTCCAGCCTCGATCGTTGTTATTTATGGGAACCAAACCATCACACGCCCTTTCCTTGGGAGACAACGTTATTGGACAAGATTGGCGAGAGCAGATGATCATTGATCAGGAGGTCATCACAGATGAGGGGTTGCTACGCAACTACCCTAGCGTGAGTAGTCCTAGCGAGTCACAGACTTGAATCCCCAGGCGGATCAGGACCGTGTCTGCTCATTACCGCCCACAGCTGTGGTTGCACCCGCTTCCGATAAAGAAAAAGCACTTGCTCACCTCTCCTGGAACGTCCGAGGCCTGCATCAAGGTTCGAATACGTATGTCGACTCGTTACGGAGATTTGTGCCCATCGCAACCACAAGACACTGCCGAATTGACATCCGAAGCTACGGCAACGGAGGACGGCATCAGGATACGCAACGTGGACTCTCAGTCCAGCGATGCTTCACGTTCGACGCATTGATTATTGGCCGTCTTGCCATGATAGCTGCCACTAACGTCATGTACACTATCTCATCCTTTTTCGCCAAGATGGTCTTGCTATTGAGAGCTCGAGCAGTGCATGTCCAGGTTCTCTTTAGTTGCTCTGCGAGCATAAGTCGGTTCCACGGAGTGCAGCCTTGACGGTGGAAGCATGATCTTGGGAAGTGTCCAAGATGACCACTCTCAGGAGGAGTTGGCTCACACTAACTATGTTTGCAGTAAATTCACTCTACGACATGGTTCTAACACAACCCCATAACAAGTGTAGCACTTTCTTCGAAGACTAACTTGTCACGGATCTGTCGCCAGGGATGATTGCTCTTAAACGACCATGCTATGCCATATATGAATCTAATATACATGAATCGCATCTACGAATCTAGATGGATATCATCAATGGCCTTGCTGCAACTGCGCTGCAATGACCTCCTTGACCTTTGCAACTGGCAGCTGGTCCAAAGTCTTCCCAGTCCAGTACATCGATTGCTCCAAACCTTGATAAATCATGGCTTCTGTACCCAAAATAACGTTCCAGCCAGCATTTTGAGAGATCTCAGCAATCTGGGTCCAAGTCTTCGGGTGGTAACACATCTCCAGGATGGCACCCTTGTGGGGTTTTCCCAAGAACACTTCCATGACTTGGCGAGCGGTCTTCTCAGCTTCCGTAATAGGAGGGAAGTCGGGTACGCAAGAGACTATGGCGCCAGGTCCTTCGAGTTCCTGTGCTTGTTCAACAGTCGCAGCGTGCATAACGCCATCACCATAGCCCTGTTCCGTACACCATGATACCACAGCATCCACCTCAGATTTGTCACGGTTGACAATGTACACCTTGCTGCACTTCATGAATTTCTTCAGTGCATAGACAGCACTACGGGCAGCACCGCCACCTCCAATGACCACACCAGGCTTGCCATGGAAGACATCATCCGGGTTCGAGATGTTTTGGTAAAAGGCCTCACGAATACCAATAACGTCTGTGTTTGTGCCGACGAGGATTGTCTTATCACCATTCTTGCGCAAGTATAATGTGTTGACAGCGCCGACTTCACGACCTTCTTGTGTGAGCTCGTCAACATGCTTCATAATGGCCACTTTGTGAGGCATGGTAACGGCGGCGCCTTTGATTGCATACAAGTCAGATCCTGCTCATATCTCGGTCCGTTCAAGCATTCCTTATGCTCTATCAGATGTTTTAGAGACTCACCAAAANAATTTGACCTCGCGAACCAATGAAAGAAACATTGACATGTCGGTCGATGGTAAGAAGAATTGCTCCCAGTCGTACCCAATCTCGCCGAAGATGGTCTTGTGCATCAAAGGTGACATTGAGTGGTTGATGGGCCATCCAAACAGATAGCCGCAGCGCTCGACGTGGTCGTGAGCAGGAGTCTCGCAGGAAATGACACGCTGGTTGTTCATCTTGTTGGTTTTAGTCCTGGACAAATTTTTGGAAGTACAGCTTCAAAAGAACTCTGAGAAAGGTACTGGAGGATGTGCCAGTCGTTCCCTTCAGTTTGGTCAGCAAATTACCCCGCGAGCTAAAGACGACGGTAAGCAATGTCGGGTCCTGTAGATAGGAGAGCTTGTGGGTTGAGAAAGTGGTTCGTCGTGTTCACGGACGTCGTTCTTGGCCATGATTTTGATAAAAGGTGTAGGTAGTGAGTGCTCCACGTCACTCAACCCGGGTCCGCATCCGCAGCTTCGGCCCCGGGTATTCACACCCACACATGGTACAAATTTGATCCTGCCCTTCTTTCATGGAATACACCGCCCATGAGCGTGGGCTTTTACAACAACACCCAATGGTCAAGACCACTCTTGATGAGAGCCGTCTGCAAACATTGATTTACTCAACCGAAAGCTCTATTATGGTCTCGAAGGCATCAGTATGAACACACAGGGTGCGCATACCATCCGGCGACAATATATCGGATAAGACTTTTGCCGCAAGGTTCTACCGCGACCTGGCCCACCGAGATCGGCACAGCAGAGGCGAAAAGTGTCTCTACGTCTTCCCAAGGTTCGGAGGTAAATCTCAGCCATGCCGCTTGGCGTAACTTTGGGGAACATGGATGTCAGGGCTCACGAAACGGCCCTTGGGCGTGGGGCCCTGGAGAAAAATTGATCGATTCCTTCGAGCTGGTCAGCAAACCAGCATCCGGATCGCTCACCCTCCCTCGCCTTGCTTCGTTCCACGTTGATGGTATCTGCATTGGACCTTCCCCGCGGAGCCCCAGATTGTTACCAGCCCTTATATTAGGTCGTCTGTTTCCCCAACTTCTTCTCTCTTTCTTCTCTCCGTTACGACCTTCCCTCTCTATCCGACCTCCATTGTCAGAGTCTCACAATGGGTCTTCTCACTCTCGTCGAAGACAGGCCTACGCCTAAGGAGGTCTACAACTGGCGCGTCTATGCCTGCGCTGCTGTGGCCTCGTTCGCTTCTTGCATGATAGGTTATGATTCTGCCTTCATTGGAACCACTCTGGCACTTCCCTCGTTCTCCACGGAGTTTGGTTGGGGTAAACTGCCCAAGGATGAGGTCACATTCATCAAGGAGAACATCGTCTCGATCTACCAAGCTGGAGCTTTCTTCGGTGCGCTCAGTGCATACATCAGCGCTCACTACCTCGGTCGCCAAAAGTCTCTCTGGGTCTACGTCGTTGTCTTCATGATCGGTGCCGGTGTCATGCTCAAGGCCGCTAACGGTGACCTCGCTCCAATCTACGCCGGTAGAGTCCTCACTGGTCTCGGTGTCGGTGGTGCCTCCATGGTCGTCCCCATCTACATCTCTGAGATTGCTCCCCCTGCCGTCAGAGGTCGTCTGGTCGGTATTTACGAGTTGGGATGGCAGATTGGTGGGCTTGTCGGTTTCTGGATCAACGTACGTACAATCGAGGGTTGCCCAAGAATCAATACTGACTACTTCCCAGNNTACGGAATCTCAGAGACATTACCTAGCAACCACAAGCAGTGGATCATCCCCTTCGCCGTGCAGCTCATCCCTGGTGGTATGCTCGCTCTGGGTGCAATCTGGCTCAAGGAGTCTCCTCGTTGGCTATTCTCCAAGGGCAAGAGAGAGCAGGGTCTTAAGAACTTGCTATGGATTAGAAATCTTCCCGCCGACAACTTCTACATCGTTGAGGAAATCTCATTCATCGAGGCTGCTCTTGAACACCAGAAATCATCTGTCGGTCTCGGGTTCCTCGACCCCTTCAAGGCTGTCTTCAAGAGCCGCAGCCTCCAGTGGCGCGTCTTCCTTGGTACCACACTCTTCATTTTCCAGAACGGGTCTGGTATCAATGCTATCAACTACTACTCGCCCACAGTCTTCAAGAGTCTTGGTGTCGTTGGTGGCAACACCTCCTTCCTCACTACTGGTCTGTTCGGTGTCGTGAAGACCGTCTTTACCTTGATTTGGCTGTTTTTCCTGATCGACAAGTTTGGACGCCGTAATCTACTTCTCGTTGGAGCCATTGGCGGTGCTTCGTGCATGCTCATTCTTGGTGGATACCTTGCCAGTCCTTTGGTCGACACCTCAGCGGCTGCAACAGCTGTTGCCAAGCCTCTTTCCTCTGGCGGCATTGCCGCCGTCTTCTTCTTCTACCTTTGGACTGCTTTCTACACACCCTCATGGAACGGTACTCCTTGGGTTCTCAACTCGGAGATGTACGAGCAGAACGTTCGTTCTTTGGGCCAGGCCATGGCTGCTGCTAGCAACTGGTTCTGGGTAAGTTCCTTCAATTTTGTATCTCATGCACAACAACATGCTAACTATCTGCCAGNNAACTTCATCATCGCCAGATTCACTGGTCAGATGTTCGCCAACATGGGCAAGTCAGGATGTGGTGTCTACTTCTTCTTTGCTGGCATGATGTTGCTTTCCGTTGTATTTGTGTGGTTCTTGATCCCCGAGACCAAGTCAGTTCCTCTGGAGTCCATGAACAGAGTCTTCGAGATCAGACCCTGCCGCAAGGCCAATGCCATTGTCATGCGCGAGGTACAGGAAGCCGAGGCAGAGTTCCGCGAGGATGCCGAAGGTGCTGGCCTGAGTCTCGAAAAGAGCAAAGTTGCTCATGTCGAAGACAGCACCGTTTAGACGATCTCCCTAGAACCAGCTACTCGCTCAATGTATATAACGATTTGTATTCCCAGCTTCATGATCTCATGTCACGATGCTTGTTATGTTCGACCCAACCCTCCATGTCAAGTGGATGATATTCTCGATCACAAGAGACCGGCCACGTCCGATGCACGTAGTCCGTGGCAAAAGATTGTGTCTTCAACGTGCGTCCCACGCTAGACGTCTAAACACTCTTTATACTTCCGGGTTCTTTTTCAAGCTGTCAGCCATCACCGAAGTCGCAAGCAAACCTTCCGCCTAAGTCGGTGCCATCCGGCGGATGCGGAATCTTGATACCGGGGGCAGCAGGTATCGATGCCGCCTAGAAGACAGCCCTAATATGGTCTTGAGACGGTGATTTCCTCCATCAAGTGCTGGCGGAGAGGAGGGGTCTCCAACGTGGGGGCCTCGCGGTTGCTCTGTTCGGCACGGTCACGGCTCTCAACCCGGATATAGTCGGCCCGTCTCTTACCCGCTTCCTCCCCAGCCAAGGTCTTTCGTGCTTGCTTGTTTGAACTGTACTTGTCGAGATGGATCTCGGATGGTCGATACGGCTTTTCTGATCTACCTGTGCTGAATCTGACGAGCGAGCAGAACTCCCCAACCATCGATCGTAACAAACTCAGTGGTACTTCGTTCCAGAGGCAGGTGCTACCTAATCACAACTTCTGTCATCATTTCCTACTGTTCTACCACATTCTTGTCTGTTGCTCCTCCAAACAACCAACGATCATCCTCTGCTACCTATTCCTCATTACTTGAGCCACATTGCATCAATCACAATCATGTCACACCAACTAGGCATCTCTACGATGTCCCTCGGCCGTGCCTGGGTGCACGATATGGAACCAAAGCTCGACCAAGCAGCAAAACACGGCTATACTGGTGTTGAGATCTTTTACGAAGATCTGGTTTATCACGCCAAAAAGTATCCCGGAGGCGAGACACCAGAAAATCAACTACGAGCCGCCGAAGACATCTATTCAATGTGCAAGGACCGTGATCTCAGCATTATCGTCCTCCAACCATTTATGCATTACGATGGCCTTATCGACCGCCAAAAGCACGCCGAACGGATCGAAGAACTGAAATTCTGGTTCAAGCTCGCACATGCACTGCACACAGATATGATTGCCATTCCTGCATCTTTCCTGCCGGAATCGGAATGTACCGGTGATATGTCAGTAATCGTTGCCGACCTCCAAGAAGCAGCCGATCTGGGTGCGGCACAGAATCCACCTCTCCGTTTCGCGTACGAAGCACTGTGCTGGAGCACACATTGCTCGACCTGGGAGCAGAGTTGGGAAGTTGTGTCCGCAGTGGACAGACCTAATTTCGGACTATGCCTCGACACCTTTAACATTGCTGGTCGCATCTACGCTGATCCTACCCAACCATCTGGCAAGCGCGCAACTGCAGACGCCGATCTAGCTGCAGCCATCGCTGCAAAGCTTGTTCGTCCTGATAAGTTATTCTTTGTGCAAGTCGTCGACGCCGAGAGATTATCTTCACCCCTGGTCGAGGGTCATCCATTCTACGACCCAGAGCAACCCGCTCGTATGTCATGGTCACGCAACTGCAGACTTTTCTACGGAGAGCAAGATCGCGGTGCATATCTACCCATTCGCGAGATCCTGAAGGCCATTTTGCATGACTTGGGCTATAGTGGATGGCTGAGCTTTGAGTTGTTTAATCGCTCCATGGCGGATCCCAGTCCTGAGACACCGGCAGAGCACGCTCGCCGTGGTGCCGAAGCTTGGGAGAAGATTGTGGCTGATCTGGAACTGAATGGTCATGCCGCTGATAGTGCCGTCAGTGTCAGCTCCTCAGGGGTCAAGGCATGATACCTTTCTTTTGTTCACTATATCACAAATCATGGACATCTCTGTATACATGTGACTGGTTCTGGAGACAATCGTGCGTTCTTATAGGGTTCAGGGCAGGGAGAATGGGTTTCTGGTGAGCGCAGGCCTCCTTATGCATCAGGAGAATACAATCAGGTCACGGTACCTTCTTTCTATATTTCTGCTCATTATACATTAATGCATCACCTTGAGTTGTTGCAACACCATGAGACAATTAGCCGCGACTTGGAGAACCGCTTGCTCTCCTTCGCGTCGTGCACCTCGTCGATCTATCCGGATGTGCTGGTGCTACTTCGTCAACAAGAACCTACCAGTAAGAGTTCTGCGCGGAGCGTGTGGATGGCCGTCTTCTCTGAGATCGCTGGTTTGTTTGGCTTTCGGGCCCTGGATGAAGAAGTCATAGATGTTTTATATATCCAAAATGTCCAAGAGTGAAGTTTCCTGTTTTTGACCAAGATCCAAGAGAGCGATACATACACCTCAAGAAGGCATGCCTTCCAACTGCGTGCAGTCTTCAACAGGCTTCACCCAATCCAACCTTTGTTCAACGTAGATCTCCACCGAAGGCTTGCGGTTCTGTATGTTCTTTACATCATCAAAGATACCTCCTTTGATGACCACTCTCTCAATGATACCACTTTCCGCCACAGCACCACCATAAAGAGGGCTTCCTGAACACAAAGGATTAGCACCTATAACCTCAAGCCTGGAGCAACTTTACATACCACAATCCTTGCAGTAATAGTTCTTGACTTTGTTTCCCGAGTCTGCAACTTTGTCGGTTGCTTCGGGTGTGCCAGAGATCTTATAGTCGTCGGCGCCAACAATGAAGTTGTAGCTGTATGCCGAGCCAGAGATCTTGCGACAGTCGGTACAGTGGCAGAGAGCNCTTTGATTTTGTGTCGTCAGTTTACCTCTTTATATATGCGGAGATGGTTGTTTGGAGGCGGGACTCACGACGACTTGTGGCTCGGCACTCAGCTCGACGGTGATCTTTTTGCAGAAACAGCTTCCGGTGTACATAGCTGCGAAATCTTTTGCGATGCAACAGTCGAATGATATGATCTGAAGAGTATATCGGACTAAAGATATATATCGACTGTGTCGCTCTCAGACAAACGCCGCGTTTTGATTTCCACCGCGTCCACCCGTTCACCAAGACTTGACACCTGGCGACACGGACTTCAGGCAGCGGGATTTGCGCTGTTTGTCATGATGTCGCAGAGCTTTCTAGAAGCTGAACGATACAGAAGTGAGTCTAAGGATAGGCGATAAGATGAGTGCTGTCAGTAGATTGCGCTCTGGTCTCTAATATTGTTGTGCATTTTCAAGACTAAACTTGACACAGAGAAAAGGTTGCTCAGGGAGAAGTCAAGACAACAAATTGAATCTCACTGGACACGACAGCAGGACTCGATGACTCTCTGCAATCTCAAGGGCTAAAATGTCGAGATCAACAAAGGTGGGAGGCATTTCATATATGATTTAATTCTTTGTTTCTCCTTTTTTCTTTTGTCATCATTTCCAGAAGAAAAATGTAATTGATACTAATTTGCAATCTTTCCTTGATCATTCAATCATCGATAACGTTCAATCATCAATAACTCGCGTCTATTCTGTGTGGTTATAGATTCTCGATTCATTTGCAAATTTAGTAGAAGGTCGACCCAATATCGTCACTTAGCTCTCGCACATCTACTTTCCTTATCCGCGCTCTCGTAATAGCGCGTTACTTATAAGTACAGTGTTGCAGTACTTCCGTGATAGGAACAGGAAGGCTTCGGGGTGCAAGTAATAGTTAGTAGCAGGACGTTGTCGACCTCCGTAAGTTAGTTACTAACACTTATCTATGCGTTCATTTTTCTTGCATGTTAAAATGTGGCTGCCGGTGGTAGAACGATGTCTTTCTCTTAGAAACTGCTCCAAACAGTTTATAGGTGCGCTGGTGGAGATATTAGTATAACAGAAGAAGGTAATCAACTCTTTTGTAGAAAGAAAAATGGCACTCTCCCTTGCTTAACAGACCCAGCGCCTTGCATTATGTTATCTCCATGTTTGTAGTTTTGTCCTATTTCCACTTTAATCACCTGATAACCAATTATCGAGGGTCATCTTGAAAGCAAGCAAAACTCGACGCTATATTGTTGACGCAATGAGTTCACCAATCACAACCTTTGGGTCCTAACTTCGACAAAGAGTTTACGGTCTCGACATGAGTATGTCGTGTAACAGTAGCTTAGTTTCGTCTTTTGAGAGCACTTGTACGCGAAGCTGCACAGGGCTGAAGAGTCAGAAACTTCGAGTCATCAAGGCACGATCTAGCCACCACACGTGGTGTTTCTGCCACAAAACAGCCCCGAGAATAGATCTTTAAGTCTGCTCCTGCATACTTCAGCAAGTCATGATGTAATGCTAGAGAGACCTTGTATGTTCGCTTGCATACTCTCTGAGGCACAGCACATCTGTCTTGCAATATCTCAATGTAGTTTTTGGGACAGCAAAGGTGTGAGGCTGAAGAACAACGCATACAAGAATGCTCGGCAACGTATATCGTCCCAAAAGATCTCAAAGGCTGTGTATTGTGGAATGGCGATTTAGGAGATCGGTGGACGGTGAATGTGCATACAACGGACGGCTTGCAGCTGTGCGCGACATCAGATGCCTTGGTAATCGCCCAGGAAGAAAGTGAGATGGGAACGTAACGGCAAGCGCGAAGGAGCCTCATCCGAACAAGCAACACCACTCCATGTGTGGTAAATGCTTTCAGGACACAAGTGGCACAGCTCGACAACGAATGAGCGCGCTATCCTAGGGGCTTACATACGTGTTGTCAAGTGCCAAGTGAGACAACTGCCGTCAAGATATCAGTTTACTCTATCCAGATTGATTATGCTCGAGCATGAGGTGTCGTGCCAGAACGAGCAGGGAGCCACACGGGATCGGCCGGGAGAGGCCTCAGCCGAGCCGTCAAACGTCCCAAAGGGGTACTCTGGTAATCTGGAAGGGCACTTCCGCCAATCTCGAGTTATCTTGGGGACGGAGTAGGTACCGAGACATCAATCAGATTGCCGGAAGCTCCCGCTTTGGAATGGTATGTGGAAGGCGTATGCAATCAGTATGGTCTTACCCGGTGATGATAATACAGAGAGTGAGGTGAACCGGTGATCTGGAGGTCGGTATGTGTGAGCATCGAGCTTGAACGAGGGATTACTTGTGAGCTGCAAGCTTGCTTTCGACTCGCCAGACCGGATGATAGCTATGAGACTGCCTTTTAGATATAAGTGATATGTTAGCATCTCCTTTACATACGCAATGGTGTCTCGCAGTCAGTGATCAAGTTGTGTTTACGCGGCTTGAGCCAGGGGCTCACAGCTAGAGTGTGATTAGAACTGAATATTCCATTTCGAGGTCGTCGCTCCGACAAAATAGAACCGATCCTTACGTCGGAACCGATCTCTGCGCCTCCACGTGTAGAGAGCCTCAGCAACACGATGACTGTTCTCCGCAGACTGTCGATGGAGTTTTTGTCCTTTCGGACGTATACCTCAAACGAGTGTGTGTGATGTCGCGAAGATCATGGCGTCAGTACTCAGCTTCTCGGCCCCGTCAACACTCAAGATATGACAAGGCGTACCAAAATACGCACAAGATTGTTCGAGATGTGTTTCGAATCCCTCGGCGTTGTTTTTCTGTAATCGGGAAGTTGGTGGAAGCACCGAAGGATGCTCGTACGCAATCAAAGCTGCAAGCAATCTATCTGATTGATGTTGATGACTGCACCGACGACGGTCAAGCACGGTCAGGATCTGGCAAAGAGGATCAGTAACCCAAGCCGAACAGGGAAACGCCCGTTCGTGCCACCTTTATGCCCACAGACCAATTATCTTTTTACAAGGATTCTCCAGAGTCGGGGGGATCGCTGGGCAGGTTTCAGGATCTTTGGGTATCTTTTCTTTCGGGACATGGCTTCCATATGGCGCGCACATGCATGCGGATGAGAGCATAGTCGGGTTGTGCTTTTCGGTAATCTGGTATGTTGATGGACCTTGATTGTCTATCGACGCTTGGGCCGGTGTATAAATGAGATAATTGCAGGGCTGATAAAGCGCGGTGCGCACGTAAGAATTCACCCATGACGGATCATTTCTCCTAAAGAAGAACCAGATTCGAAATGACAACCTGGTCCTTCCTCGAAAGATTCAACATTCAATGGCGGCAGTTGCAATAGCATGAAGGCTATAATGGTTGGTGGATGCCCTTGAAGCTTCCGTTTTTAGCACTTGCGTGGCTCTAGCTGCATAGGCTGTGCGCAAGGAACTTATGGAGACAAGGCTGAACTGATCTAACCACAAATTGCACCCGCTGGTCAACAAACGAGACGCCCATGGAGTTGCGGTTTTCTTGTGCCCATACATGTCCTGGATCGTGTGCAAGTGAATTGACAGCAGCCGCATTTGCGTGGATCAGATTGTTGCTGCAGGGTTGCGGTCGTTGAGGCTGGATGGCTTGCATCCGAACGCCTCTCCAATCCTTTACCCAAACACATCTTGACCACAGCATCGGTGACGTCGCTTATCGACTCTCGAATCGATCGTGTGTTGCGATGCTGTATCTGGCCAGTGTGCTGAATGGCACCTGGGACCTGCATCTGCAGGCGTAGATGCCAGCAGAAAGAACAACAAGTGTAATGTTCGAAATGTGTAACAGTTGACAGGTCAGTTTCTTAGCGAATGTGCCACAGTGGAAATATCGATGGAAAGATGATTTTCGAGGCGTGTAAGCTTCGATATAGCCCAAGCCGACGCGAACGGATAAATCACTGTGATACTGAGGTACTGATGTACAAGTGGGGCAAGTACCTGAGTGTTTGCCCCATGCTATACCAAAGACTAGAAGACAGCCGATGCACACTCTGCACGCAGTCCGCACGCCGTGGTCTGGAAGCATGGACCCAAGTTTGAGATCGTGGTATAAAGATGGCGCTGGAGCAGACTGGGAAGGATCATGGTGAACAAAGATGGTCAGTTCTGATCAGAGGCCAAGAGCGATAGGCGGGCAGCTATCGTGCCCGATGGTCCGGGCAAGTTGAGTAGTGTTGGACGGGCCCGTGGATGTCGAAGCCGTATATTAAAGATTTGCATAGCTGGCGTCAAGTAGACCGGCCCCTGGCCCCTGAGCTGGAACGCTTTGACAGACTTGACGTCTTTTCTGCACGGCAAGCGTGTTCCAAGATGGTAAGCAAGCCAGGTGTCGCAAGATGAGAGGGGTGTGGCATGCTTCACAGCAGCATGCAAAGGCGTGTGTATTTTGCCGGTCGTGGTTCCCCGGTAAAAGCTGCTGTTGTCGGTCGCACCTGCGTAGTCTGCAAGTCATTTGCATCAATCGTACGGCGTAGCGGCACAACAAGCTGAGATCAGATGCGTCCACTCTTTCAGATTGACGAGATTTGTCACACCTCAGCGACCCACGACATGGCTCACGAGCGTGGATCTGCAGCGCTTATCCACAAGATCGGGTTCCTTCGAGATTGCGCGTGCCGACCTGAGGAACAGCATGGCGTGTCGTCTACTTTGCCAGATTTGGCACCATCTTAGCGCCCCGCTTGCTATAGGTAGAGGAGAACTTCCTTGTCTATAAGAGTACCGTGGTGTTGCAAAGATGGTTTGGCGAAGGATGCCATTTCAGCTGGAAAGGGGGACATGCGATGGTGGTGCCAGGGGTTTGACTCTTGCTTTTGGCAGATTCATGCAAATGCCGTCAGCGCGCCAGTGTCTATTCTCTTCGCGTGGCCCGTATCTGGGAGAAGCGCGTCGTTGCACAGGCCGGCGTCTGTTCCTCGATTACCCGGCCTGAGAAGGTGCGAGTTCTGCCTTATGGTTGGTCGAGGACAAACGCCTGGCGTCAACGGGCTCGAGTGAACCGCCGCGCTCAGGCCAGACCTATCTCCAAACAAAGACGTCTGCATCAATTAGCAGCACGCCATGGCGCAAACCCGACACCATGTTCATGGATGTTTGGAGAAAGGTGCACTTCGGCATTGATATGCGACGCACCGAATCTGCACAATCTCGAACGCTTTCCTTGCTCGATTGATTTGCAGATTCCTACTGCAACGCCCATGCGTTTCCCTATGACCAGTGCTCACCTCTTTCCAAACCACATCCTTACGAGGCCCAACCCTCAATTCCCAGTCCAACGGCTCAGGATGATCCGGCCCAGTCCGCGCTGCACCGGAGCTTCTTGGTTGCAGTGGATCTCGCTGCAACAGGCAAGTTTAATGTCTGTGTCGTCCGCAGAGATGTCTAGTCGATTCATGTGGCACCCTTTTTGGCACATCTGATTTGACGCCCGACCATCTGGCTAACGCTAAATGATGAATAAACCTTGTCAATGAGAGAGAGGCATGATCAGCTCGACATCGACTGCAATCAACCCGTCTGAAAGGAACCGAAGCTCGAGGACCTGTTAGCTGGGACAGAGATATAAAGTCGCCTCGTCTTCTCCAAAGAACGATCGTTGGATCAGATCAAACCATCTCTCAGCCTCGAGCTTCTTCCACGTCTTCTTGCCTCAGAACACCATCCTTTGTTCGCTGTCATTGAGAGTTTATTCCTTCTCAGCCGGACTTCATCATTGGACAACAACCCCGCTCGGAGGTCTTCGATTCCCTTTCTGCGATCTTTACCACAGCTCATCTTCAACTCTTGTGGTACGTACGAGTCAAGAGACGATTTTAGACGTTTTCAACGTTTGTCTGTTTTCCTGTCACCGGCCCGGCCCTTTCCTTACATGACATATCCCGCAACCTATGGAGAATGAAAGCTTCTCAAGAAAGGCATTCCAAATTTCTGAGATCAAGCCTCATAAGCCTTTGCCCTACCATCGCAACGTATATGTTGTGGCCATTTCCACTCCTATTTTGTACTCTGTTTCCCTCCTCTTCACTGTCAGAACCAACATATCACCTACACAACCATGTCTCGACCACCTAGCACCGCTTCTAGACGAGCACGGCAGCAGACTGATCAAGCATCTCCTCAGTCTCGAAACACCATACCCTCTAGAGGAAACATAACAAGGACTCGGAGGCCATCTGTTAGACGTCAGCATCAGCATAACCGGCATCAATTACCAGAAGAAGAACTACGTCGATCAGCACGCATCGCTAGACAACACCAAGACCAAATTCGAGACAACAACCAATATCATCAACCGCCCCCAATGGCAGATGTTGCACGCCGCACTTATGCTCGCAATGACCACGGTCCTCGCAGTGTCGAGTAAGTTATCATGAATCTCTTCTTGCTCCACTCTATTATCTTTCCTATTCCACTTTCGTGCTTCCGGGCTGGTGTATTCTGTCATGTTGCGAGCCGTGCTTCCTGCAAGGTCTAGCATGAATTCGGTTTCAGACATGACTTGACATCTTTGTTGTCTGGAAGCATGCTCAAATATCTCCCTTCTTATTACACAAGGTTAGAAGAGAAGGAGCACTCAGCATCATGATGTTGATGTGGCATGTCTTGCCACAAACTTATCTTTGTCTTTCTCCGGCTCTTGTTCTATCTCCCAGACCTCACCACCTTTTAAAAACCAACCACAATGTCATCTCGACTGACACGCCCTCATAGACCCCGTCGCAGCTCTACCCGCACTGAAACACCCTCAACCCGCACCCAACAGACATCTTCCTCCTCGCCTTACACCTTAACCATCACCACCTCCCCACCCACCTCTCTATCCCCCTCATCCCCTTCAACACCCGCATCCTCATAACCTCCCGCCAACGCACTCGCCCCACAAACCTGCTCGCCGTAATCTCCCTCTGTTCTCCCTCTGGCGTCCCCCTCCCCGCCGGCCACCTCCTCACAACCTCCAAACTCATGGATTCCGTGTCTGAACCTTCCCGTTCCGATCTCTCCACCTTAGGCAGAGGACACAGACAGGAAATCGTGGGTGTGGCAGGGTTTGATGGTTTGTGTGTACAGACGCAGGGGAGTATAGAGTTAGAGTTACCATTGCGAGGATGGAGGGGGATGGGTGGGAGGCAGTTGCTGAGGTTGACAGTGCGGTGTTTAGGGTGACTGGTAGAGGGGTGTTAATGAAATCAAGCGTTGAGGAGTTTGCTCGGGATTTTATCTTTTTCTTGGAGTTTGGGTTGGGGGTCCGGCGTTGGAGGGGATGGGGACGGTGTGTCTTTTCTGGGTCATGGTAGGGCAAGGGAATTTGTATGATTATGAGGTCAGCATGGATTGATGGCTAGGACGAAAGAGACGGAAGCAACGAGGTTGATGGTCATGCTTGGTTCTGGGAGAGAGAGGCCAAAACATGGGAGGCTGGGCATACGCCTGATGATTTTTGGAGTTTGGGCAAAGCAAATATGCATTATGGGACCAAGAGCATTATTATGTTAACATGATATAACGAAAAAGAATTCATTACATCTTTTCCAAACCAAAGAATCATCTCTTGCGTATGGAAGCTTGACCAATCTACTCTATGTTTGAATGAACAGATTGTCATGTTTAGTAGAGACTGAGCGACACAGCAGGGACAAAGCAGAAGAACGAGGTCAGTGATAAAGTAACTTGTTCAATCAACGCCCGCCAGAGGATGCACGTGAAAAGTTTCCAGACGAGTAACCTCGCCTCCTCATTACCGCACAAGACACAGGTATGATGGATGAAAGTAGAATTTGATTTCTGCAAAAGAGGTCTCCAAGACTAATGCTCGCATGTTTGAATGTAATGAAACGCCCTGCCCTAATTGCCGTGCATCCGAGGAAAGTAAAAAGGAGAACGCCGGTGCAATGAGTGATGGAAGAAGAAGCGGCTTTGAAAAGACAAATGAAAATGTCTTGCGAGAGGATTTTCCCTGTCCCTCGCCTCCGTCTGATGAATGTCCTGCTCTCTGTCCTGCTGTTTTTTGTGTCGTTGCGATACGGGGGTATCTGAGTACGGTAAGTTGCTGCTGTGCAGGACCTTCTTACGGCCATCCATCTGTGCCATATACTCGAGTATGCCTGCATTTCCTTCTCTTTTGCTTCGTGTTCACATCTCAATCCAGTGTGGTATGACATATGATGTGGACACACATGGCGGACTCGTCTGATTCTGTATTCCTGAGCTGTCCCTGGTGGTGCTTCCTGATCTGGACAAACGAGCAGGTACATCTAGAACTTGTTGTTGGTGTCGTAGTAGCCAGAAACAATGTCGTCGTAGTTTGAGTAATCGTAGTTAGGGGCGCGTTTGGGCGTGGTGCGAGATAGCGAATCGGGTCTCGAGGTAGGTGCGGGCTCGCGACGGGCAGAGCGTGGCTGCGATGCGGCTCCAGGAGCAGGACGAATAGGCAAGTTCAAAGGCTGTTGGGCGGCCATGGGTACCTGACTGGCACTCGATGTGCGCTGCGGGTAGCCCGGACGTTGTGAGTTGCGTGGCATGGACTGGGTGCTGATGGGGATATCACCAGATGACGAAGATGGCGGGCTGGGCTGGTTCTCGGGCTCCCTGCCACCGGATCGCAGCAGTTGCTTTGTTTGGGGAGAGAGTTGTGGCACGAGATGGGACTTGCGATTGTGGCGCTCCATCATGCTGACAGCCCAAGCCTCGAGGTCAACCGGAGTGCGCTTAGCTGCTTGCAGGAAGGGATCGGTTTCGAACAGTTCGGCAGGTGTAGGTCGGTCGGCGGGGTTCTTCATCAGACACTTGTCGATGACATCGTGCAGGATCTTAGGGAAGGCGTCGCTCTTGGGCAGCTTGGGTGAAGGCTCCAGCACAATCTGCTGAAGGAGGTCGAGAATACCCTGGGGGCCGGCCAGATCGTCGTCATCGCCGTTTTCGCTGTGGAAGGGGAACTTGCCAATAGCAAGCTCCATCAACGACAGACCAACACTCCACACGTCCGACTTGACCGTGTAAGGCGAGCCCTGGATTCTCTCGGGCGCCATGTACGTGCCCGTTCCGACAAACGTGTCGGCCACCGAATTGTCGAGCTCACTGCTGACGCCAAAGTCGCACAACTTGATCTGACCCTTGCTGTTAACCAGGATGTTTGATGGCTTGATGTCGCGATGCATGATGCGGTGCATGCGGTAGAGGTATGCGAGGCCGCCCAAGACGGACTCTGCAATCTTTCCCAGAACGTCTACTCGCACGGGACCAAAGTTCTTAGAGATGCTGTCCAGTGAGCCGACGTCCATGTACTCCATACACATGACAACGTCGCCCATGTCGTTCAGGAAGGCGCCGTAGAAGGAGACGATGGAGAGTGAGTTACACTCATGCATGATCTGCAGCTCTCGTACGATGCGCTTTCTGATTTCCTTCTTTGCCTCGACGTGGATGATCTTGCGCGCCATGACAACCTTTGTAGCCGTGTGCATGACCTTGCTGACTGTGCCGCCGTTGCCTGCTCCCAGCTCTTTGATGACCTGGAGATCTTCGCTCTTGAGATCTAACCTGAACTCGACGCCGATCTCGAGTGTGTCTGCGCGGCCTGTTTCTTGACCACTGGTGGCATCTCCGTCGGGTGTGAGGGGTTGAGCAGGGCGAGGAGCGGGAGCGCTGAGGGCCAGGCCCTTGACGTTCTTTCGCTTCATCGTCTTCGTCTTGAAGGCATCCGACATGGTGGGCGGTTGTGTGTGGTTGTGTGCAAGTTGCTCGTGAAGGTGTTCTTATTCAGCTTGTCGGCAAGCTTTGGTCGTCTCCTGGACAGGGAAAGTGATTGGCTGTCCCTCTAGGCGGAATTAATCAATATTGAGCGGTGGCTAGGTTGGGCGGCAGTCCGCAAGGTACAATCAGAACGTGTATCGTGAGTGTTTGGCGTATGCACGTCGTCAACACGGGGACTGGTGCGTTCCGGGTGGGGCAAGCGGCGGCTTTGTTGGATGAAGATTGTCGAGTGGGAGATTGCGAGAGCAGAAGGACTGAAGACGGACGGCAGGTGATTAAGAGTGACGGGTAAATGGCATGTTATATAGAAGGCATCCAGGAGAAGACACTAGCAAATAGACAATCGGCAGAGAGTGAACATGAGACAGGCCAACGGACTGGATGAAACCGCTGCTTCGACCTTCTAGAGACCTTCTATTCCCTTGTTGGACCCGACTCCCGCCCTTGGCCCGCCAAGCCACGACTCCACGGCCGAAGCGTGGTCTCTTTGTTCTGTCGGTGTGTGTCTAGCATTTTTACTGCTGATCCGTGGACGTGTACTCGTGGACTTGACGGGGCGAAGTATAGCTATACAAGAAATTGTTCTATGAGAACTTAGTCGAACGTTTTTCGCAACTGCCATTCTTTTTTCGAAGACCGCTTGCAGCTCAGAGGCAGTTGCGACTCTGTCGCCGAAGTTCAGCCGGACGAAGGTGCCAAGGCCGTGACGGCAGTCGCAGTTTCCAGACTGGCAGGCACGCTCAAGCAACTGCAGTACAGGTGAAGGAGCATCTCGCCTGTCCATTGACATCACTTGACTTTCTTTCCGCTGACATACAAAAGCGCTTGCTTGCCCAACTCTATTCTTTCCCTTCTCCTCCTGCCTGCGTAGCGCACAGCTGCCGCCACGAATTGACGACCGACAAATACCACGCGCCTGAATCCCCGACCAGACAGCTTGCACCAAAACATCGCCATTCACGCCCACCATGACGACAGCCAATTTGTTCGATCTCGACGCTGAGCTTGGCAGCGAAGAAGACGAGGAGTTCGAGGGTGACGAGGAGGCACCGCGTCCCAGAAAGCAAAAGGCAAACGTCGATGATTCTAGCGAAGAAGAAGAAGACGACGACGAGGAAGCTGAGAGAGAGGTGCGCATACCCAAATGACTCATCGAAATGTCGCTCCTAACAAGGCAGCCAGATTCGTGAAGGTTTCATAGTAGACGAAGACGAAGAAGATGTCGAGGAGCAACGTGAGCGCCGTCGCGAGAAAAGGAAGCGCAGAAGAGAAGAGCGCGAGGCCGAGGATGCTCTCCTCGATGAGGAAGATCTGGATCTGATTGGCGAAACACACCCCGATTACCAACGCCGTCAAGAAGAACAGGTGACTAGCAATCGCCATGCACACACAATCACCCATCACACTAACATACCCAGAAGANGCAAATTCAAGCGCCTGAAGCGTGGCCACCGCGAAGACCGGGACCGCAATGAAGCGCGCGGCATCGACGACATCTTTAGTGACGATGAGGAGATGGCCGACAATGATGGCAGAGCCTACGGCCGCGAACCCAGAGCCTACGCCGATGAATTCGCCGACTTTATTGAAGAGGACGAATTCCCCGATGAGGAGCGCGAAGCCATGCGCGATGCCGCCGAAGTTCGACGACCCGGCAGAGGTTATGTCGACCCCTTGCGCATGCAGAGTGGTCTGGATGAGTCTGCTCAGGAAGACATGATGGCTGCCTTTGGTGACGGTACAGAGTACGACTGGGCTCTGCAACTACAAGAGGAGGGTGATGAGAACCAGGAAGGTCTGGACAAGCCGCTCGAGCTCAAAGATGTTTTCGAGCCGTCGCAATTGGCCGACAGGATGTTGACAGAGGACGATAACATCATCCGCAACACCGATGTCCCCGAACGCTACCAGCTCGCCCGCCAGCCCTTCAGAGAGATGGAATTGTCCGACGAGGAAATGAGCGCTCGTATGCAAGAAGAGACACACTGGATCTCCAACTTCCTTCTCCCCAAGAAGCGTCTGGACCGCGACCTGGTGGAACCTTTCCGTGACGTTGTTGGCCACGTCCTGCGATTCATGAATGTCGAACAGTTCGAGGTTCCTTTCATCCTCCATAATCGCAAGGACTACCTGATTCACGAAGAGCGTGTTCCTCTGTCACCCAACCCGAACGACCCGGATGCTCCGCAGCACGAGATCAAGGCTTCGAGATTGTTGCAAAACAGCGACCTGTGGGAGATCTACGAACTCGATCTCAAGTACCGTGCCTTTGTTGAGAAGCGTGAAGCTCTGTCGAGGTCCATCGAGAGCATCCGCGATGCCATGACCGACTCCAATGACGAAATCTTCAACGACATGATCCCGGCCGCTGTCACCATGGAGGAGCTGCAAGACGTCCAGGACTACCTCCACTTCCAATATGCCGCCCAACTTAAGGACACGACAGTTTACGACGCAGAGACCAATGGCACACAGAAGAGAGCAAGAGGAACACGTAATATCTGGGACAAGGTTCGCGCTGGACAGGCATACCACATGGTCAGAGCATTCGGCATTTCTGCAGATGCTCTGGCGCAAAACGCTCTCAAGGTTGGCACAAGGCAGTACACTGAGGACCCCACTGAGAGACCCGACGATATGGCCGACAAGCTCGTTGACGGATCTGAGTACTCAAACAGCCAACAGCTTCTCGCTGCTGCGAAGGCCATGTTCGCCGAAGAGCTCGCTCAAAGCCCTCGCATGCGCAAGCTTCTACGTCAGAACTTCTACATGGATGGTGTCTTCGACTGTTTCCGCACTGAGAAGGGTTTGAGAAGAATTGACGAAGAGCATCCTTACTACGAGTTCAAGTACCTTCGTGGAAAGGATTTGAGATCGATCGTCGCCAAGCCTGAGCTGTTTTTGCGCATGCTGAAGGCTGAAGACGAGGGTCTTGTTGAGGTCCGCGTTCGTATGGAGGTCTGGGACAGGTTCAAGGACAGTCTTTACAAGAACATCATGTCCGACAACTTCAGTGAACTTGCCGATGCTTGGAACGCCTTGCGCAGGGAAGTCTTGGACATGGCCTTGGAAAAGCTCACCCGCACAATCATCAAGGGTGTCAAGGAGAATCTCAAGACAGAGTGTGAAGCTCAAATTGCTCGCGGCTGCAGAGAGGAATACGCCAACAAGCTTGATCAAGCTCCTTACAAGCCTCGTGGCATGGTTCTCGGCACTACCCCCAGAGTACTGGCTCTCTCCAATGGTGCAGGCAAGCGCAACGATGCTATCTGTTGGGCATACGTTGATGAAAATGGACGCGTGCTTGAGAACGGTAAATTTGTCGACATTCGCATGGGCAACAAGGAGAAGTTCTTGCCCGATGGAGCCGATGTTGCACAATTCGTCGATCTTGTTGAGCGCAGAAAGCCTGATGTTGTTGCTGTTTCTGGCTTTTCCGTCGAGACTCGGAGACTCTACAAGGACCTTCAGGAAATCATTGAGAGTCACGACCTGCGTGGTACGCCATACGAAGAAGAAGATGGCTCGGAGCAAAGCGACAAGCTTGACATTGTCATCACTAACGACGAAGTTGCCCGTCTCTACTACACCAGCGATCGCGCCACTGCCGAACACCCTACTGTGCCTCCGCTTACAAGATACTGTATTGCCCTTGCAAGATACATGCAAAGCCCTCTCAAGGAGTACGCCGCTCTCGGTCGCGACATCACATCAATCTCCTTCACCTCAAACCAAACACTCATCCCTCAAGAAAAGGTTCTGAAACATTTAGAAATGGCTATGATCGAGACAGTGAATCTGGTTGGTGTCGACATTAACGAAGCCGTCTCCGATACATACACTGCCAACCTTCTGCAATACGTCGCGGGTCTGGGTCCTCGTAAAGCAGCACATCTCCTCAAAGTTGTCAACTCCAACGGTGGCGATATCAACACTCGATTTGAACTCATCGGCGTGTCTGACCGCAACAGGAGACCAGCTGTTAGTGCCAAGATCTTTGAGAACTGCGCCAGCTTCCTGTACATCAACTACGATGATTCCGAGCCGGACTCTGACTACCTGGACAACACTCGTGTGCATCCTGAAGACTACGAGACGGCGAGAAAGATTGTGGCCGATACTCTTGACATGGATGAAGAGGATGTCAAGGCTGAGATGGATGAGGCTGGTCCTAATGCCGTCGTTCGCAAGCTTATCAAGGATGATGCTCAGGACAAGCTCAACGATCTCGTGCTTGACGACTACGCTGAAGAGATCCTTCGCAAGATTGGTCTCAAGAAGAAGGCTACTCTGGAGCTCATTCGTGGTGAATTGCAACAGCCATACGAAGAACTTCGTCGCAGTTTCTACTTGTTGTCAACTGATGAGGTCTTTACCATGCTTACCGGAGAAACCAAGGAGTCGTTGACCGCGGGCATGATTGTGCCTGTGTCAATCAAGCGTACCTTCCCTGACCACATCGACGTCAAGCTGGACTGTGGTATCGACGGCTCAATCAACGAGCAGGACTTCCCCGCTGGTGTCGGCAATGGCGGTGCGGAGCCTCGTCACGTCTGGCAGACCCACCAAACTGTTCAGGCCAAACTGCTCGAGATTGAGCCCAAGCGTTTCACAGCACGTCTTTCGCTCCAGNAAGACGACTTGCGCGAACCCTTCCGCCGCGAATTTGATCATGAGCCTGGACAATGGGATGAGCAACAAGAAGCCCAGGACAAGAAAGAGGCTATGCACGAGAAGGATGCCAAGACTGGCAGAGCCCAACGTGTCATTAAGCACCCTCTCTTCCGACCATTCAACTCAGCTCAAGCAGAAGAGTATCTGGGTTCACAAGCACAAGGTGACGTCGTCATCAGACCATCATCGAAGGGACTCGACCACTTGGCTGTTACGTGGAAGGTCTCGGAGAATGTGTTCCAACACATCGATGTGCTGGAGCTTGACAAGGAGAACGAGTTCTCTGTAGGTAGAACTCTCAAGGTTGGCGGCAAATACACATACTCAGATCTCGATGAGTTGATTGTTTTGCACGTCAAGGCCATGGCGAAGAAGGTGGATGAGATCATGACGGACGAGCGCTTCCAGAAAGGCTCGAGAGAAGCAACGAGTAAGCAGATTCATTCTTCCCGTGCATGGTACTACTTCTTGCTAACATAAATCACAGATGAATGGCTCAACGCCTACACGGAAGCCAATCCCATCCGCAGCATGTACGCTTTCTGCATCAACCCCAAGTACCCAGGCTATTTCGACCTCTGCTTCAAGGCCGGCGCCTCAGCAAAGGTTGCAGCCTGGCCTGTCAAAGTCATCCCCAACGCTTTCGAACTCCAACGCCACCCTTACCCCGACATGCGCGCGCTCAAGAACGGCTTCAAGCTCTTGTTCTCCAAGGCCTCTGGCGTGGCCAAGCGATAGGAGACTGCCGTCATTGGACCTCTACCCGATCATGGGTTTATGGATGACTAGTGGGCTAGCCAAGTACTCAGAGCGAACAGGAGAGGTAATGCGGCTGTCGAGAAAGTTGCTGGGTTGATTGCTCGAGAGACGCATCAGAGGATTTGCGATGAGGTGCAAAGGGATTGGCACATGAAGACACACCTGAAGTCAAGGATTGGCAAGGACACGGAAAGAACGAGGGAGGATCTCTTGCCGTAAACAGAAGAGAGGGATTGATGTATTCATAGAAAAGTAATCCAGGACACCGAAAAGAGTTTTTATTTCATTGATGTGCTTGCTGTCTTTCTTTACTGCAACCTCCCTGTGTGCAAAGGACAGTCACAAAGTTACGGCTGACCCCTCTCTCACTGTCCCGCAGTGTTTTTGTTTACTAGGAAGATGCAAAGTTGCTTTTGGAAATAAGGTTGTGGTCAGGCAGATGCCTAGGGCTAACGTTTTCTCCGCAGACGTGGTAGATGTGGCTCTGTCATGTAAGGTATTGTGTGTTTCTATAGCTATACAAGATTATACGAGCTAGAATGGCATGAGTATAAGGTTAGGTAGATAAGCAGACTCGAATATACACAGGACTAGGATCGTCGAGCAGATTCTTTGTATCTGGGCATGATTGTGAATTTCTCACCTGATTCCAATGCTACTAGTTTGCTTGGAAGAGAACATTCTTCTTTAGATGCTATACCTTTCTAGACTTGGGCACGAATATGGATAAACGTAGGCAGAGAAGTGTTCGCGAGACAAGTAATCTGGCCCATTGTCCAAAACTCTGGTCAGAAGTCGTGGTTCAATCATGACGCGCAGCTCCCACGAGCAACACCTCGGCCCTGAGGATAGCAAGAAAACAACGTTTGATCTACCCCGCTTACATCTTCAAACTCATATATCACACTCACTCGAATCAATCGAGAAAGCTGCAACATCTTCAACAACATATTACTACACTCAATCGATCATGGCTTCAGGAAAGTGTCTTTGTGGAAAGGTTGGCATTGAATACAGTGGAGAGCCCGCATTGAAGGTGAGTTCAAAGCATGCAAAGTATAGTTATATTGAAGCTGAATTGTACCTACCAATAGNNGCACTCTGCCACTGCACCGACTGTCAAAAGATCAGCGGCAGCGCCTACAGCGTCAACAACGTCGTCTCTGGTGACGGTTTCAAAGTGACTGGCAACCCCAAAAGCTTCACCAAGACGGCCGACAGCGGCAAGAAGATCACCTCCTACTTCTGTGGCGACTGTGGATCTACTTTGTACCGTGATGGAGAGAACTTCCCGGGTATGAAGATTGTCAAGGCTGGTGTCTTGGATGGAAACGTCTTGAACGAGAGCAAGCCTAATGTCGAGTTGTTTGCTCCTACGAGGCCAAAGTGGATTGCTGCCCTCGGTGGGGCTGAGCAGAAGGATACCATGTAAGATTGTGTCAGGGCGAATGAATAGATTGGAATTTGCTGGAAAAGCTGCAAAGCTCCACCTTTGGATGATTTGGATTATTTGGATGGCTGCCTGTAGTCAGTATTAGAGAGACATAAAAGGACTTGCAGTTCCTACTTGGTGTGAATGGACAGTTGTGTCATCAGTTTTAGACTCGTCGTCCATGGTCGTGTTCTCGTTATTTGAAGTTGATGGGGCTTTGTTCGAAACTTCTCGCGCACCAGACCTTCCAGGAAGCTTTTGTACAGTGGAACCCCTCTTGTGATAGGTTGCTGGAGCGACTCTCAGGTCGTCGCTCTACTCGGAGCTCGAGTCCTCAGCCTCACGAACGGTGTCCTTGAGGGCNCTGTAAAGCTGTCAGTGGGTGCTCTGCGTAGGATGAGGTATTGCGCTTGCATCTTTGAGCTTTTGCTTGAGCTCATCGAGTTTCTTGGTGTTGATTAAGCAGGTCTCGTCATCAATGTCTTCGGAAATGTAAAGACCGCCATTCTCTTCATTGATTTTGCTAATGATGGCCTTGATAGAGGGGTCGCACTGGACCAGGGTGCCTAAGATGTTGTCAATCGTTTGAAGGCTCGATAGACCAAGGTAGATGAAAAACGACGAGGTCAAGGTGCGACAGTGCAGATGAGGATGACTGGCGCGCTCTCTGGACATGGGAGCTTACCGGCGGTAGCACGAGGCATTTTGGATCAGTCGAGATGCGACGGGTCGAGAAGATGATCAGTACTTGGATGTTCGGTTGATTATGCTGAATAGAAAAATCAATACAGGACGAGAAACCTTGATGGATGTTTGGTTGACGTGCTCGACGGGAAGCTGCGGCTCCGCGGCGTTCGAGGTCGATTTGGACATGTGAAAGCAGCTCCCTTCGTCCTTTCCAACACCACACTCGACTCGGTCACACACTCAGTCATGTCGCCTGCCTTTCTTCTCTACTCGTAACGCCCTGTCCACGGTATATCACCATCGACGTTCCATCTCACCACAAGCATCGCTTCTCACAAAGTCTTCCACCCCTGCGAGACTTTTTCCTTGTCAAGTCCCGAGCTATCCGCGCTGCACTACTTGACTCTCTCGACCCCTCGAAGAGCTTGTAGCTCCTCGGCAATTTTCATGAGCTCCGTCGAGCATACGCTATAACGACTTGGCACCAAAGACATTGCACGCAATCCATATCCACCACATCTACAACATGGCCATCGTTCCGCACACATCAGACGCATACACCACTCTAACGCCCATCCTCGTCTCCCGTTCCGATGAGTCCGGCCAAGGGAAGAGCTTCGGAAACCTATACCAGAACTACTTTGCCTTTGTCCCCGTCGTTGTCGTCGTCGCCCTCGTCTGTGCCTGCGTCTTCTATCGCCGCAAGAAGCGTATCGTCTACCAAGCCAACGTCTCACGTCAGATCGCCTTGACCCGTGACATTGAAGATCAAGGCTTGCGCGCCAACAGGGGCTGGGGTTGGGGAGCTCTGTCACGCGACTATTCGAGTGGTCCCGCTCCTCGTGGTCGGCCGCTTGGTGTTCTTTCTCCCTGGCGCTGCAGAAGAGAAGAAGAGGGTCTGAACGAGGCAGGAGAGGCTCCTCCGNCATACAAATCTGCTCCAGACGACAACGATACCGTCCTCGAGACTGCTCAGCCCGCTCCTCCAGCCAACCCCACCACACCAGCTGTGCCTCGCCCGACCCTGGGCAGAGAGAACACCGGCCTTAAACTTCCAGACTACACTGAGACCGTTGTTTCGTCTCTCGCACCTGGGAGAGGCTCTTCGAGTACTACTATTCCTACCTCGACCTCCACACCCACGAATCCGCATACCGACACCGGATCAAATGATCTTCCCACATACAACGACTCTCATGAACGCAGATAGATTCTGCTACGATTTTTCATTCTGTTTAATCCTTCATTGGGCATTCCTTTTCGATCCGATAGCATAGCAAGGCGCGTGGTGTTTAGGATTTGGGTTTGGGGCGTTGTCACATCGTAGTTATATACCCAAAAGGCACTCTCGCTCAATAGCTCCCTCATACTCAACTGTTGATCATGAGATTTCACAAATGTCTTCTATCACACCCAATAATTCCATCTTTCCTTTTCTCAACTGCTCCACACAGACGGAAGCGGCCCTGATCTTCCGCCTCTCGCGCAATTTGTGGAGCAACTCCCCGGATGTCTTCCTTGGCATGAATCTGGTTATCATCGATGCTTGAACTGTCCTGACCTTCTACTTCCTTATCGTGCAATCAAATCAGTCATGTCAAGTACGGAGTTTACACCAGAGCATCTCAAAGAGATTTATGACTTTGCGGTGCAGCTGGCCAAGGATGCGGGACGCATGTTGATGGATGGTGTGGAGGCCAGATGCGGCAATGACAGTGTTGCTGGCGTACAGCAGGAACAGGTCGAAAAGGACAGTTCTGTGGATATTGTAACGCAGACTGATGAAGGTATGTGATGTGCTCCCAATCTCTCACAATGGTATATCTGAACTCTAGTACGGAAACAAGACATGCCATTGGGTCAAGAAGAGATGATTCATATTATATAGAGCGTTGGCTAACCAAGCATCACAACAGACGTGGAAGCCTTTGTCAAAGAACAAATCACAAAAAAGTATCCCAGTCACGAGTAGGTTCAGCTTTTACATATCTACCACATCCCCGAAAAGTCATCTGACCGCCTCTCTCCCAGCTTCATCGGCGAGGAAACATACTCCAAAGGCGCCTCAAAAGACTACCTCATCACCACCGCACCAACCTGGTGCGTCGACNCCCTGGACGGAACCGTAAACTACACACACCTCTTTCCCATGTTCTGCGTCTCCATTGCCTTTATCCTGGACTCTAAACCCACCATCGGCGTCATCTATGCACCCTTTCTCAACCAAATCTTTTCCGCTTGCAAAGGTCAAGGTGCTTGGTTGAATGAAACTAGACGTCTGCCACTGGTGAGAAATCCAGTGACTCCGATGCCTGAGCAGGCGCCCAAGGGATGTGTGTTTAGCTGTGAGTGGGGAAAGGACAGGAGGGACGTGGAAGATGGCAATCTGTATAGAAAGATTGAGAGTTTCCTAAACATGGCGGGAGAGATTGGGGGAAGAGGGGGTAAGGGTGGTATGGTACATGGCGTGAGGAGTCTTGGAAGGTACGTTTCCCATTTTCTTCGTGTTTTGGAAACGATTACTGACAACGCGTAACCANGTGCGACCCTTGATCTCGCATACGTGGCCATGGGTTCCTTCGATATTTGGTGGGAAGGTGGGTGCTGGGAGTGGGATGTAGCAGCCGGCATCTGTTTGCTCCAAGAAGCTGGTGGACTGGTCACTACTGCAAACCCTCCTGAAGACCTTGCTACAGCGGCGATCGAAGATGTGAGGTTGGGAAGTCGGCTATATCTTGCCATCAGACCTGCTGGCCCTTCTGCAACAGAGACAGGCAGACAGAGTCAGGAGAGAGTGGTTAGAGAGGTTTGGAAGAGGGTCAGGCATTTGGAGTACTCAAGGCCTGGTGCATAGAGGTTAGAATCCTACATCACAACGTCTAGAAGACGATCCAGGCATCGACAAGAGAAAGAAGCAGAAATGTTCGAGATGTACATGAAACACATCACCAGTGCCTTCCTGAGAGCCAAGGCAATTCATACACACCTGCTACCCAACACAATGCACCTCGTTACCTCCTTTCTACTAATGACAGACCACACATCGGACATCTCGCCGAATGTCCCCTCACACATGCATACAACATGCAATATCAAATCACACCGCCTGGTTACGCGTACGCATGCCAATATCGGGATAATCATGATGGGTGCATTTGCCGTTCCTTCCGCACGAGTTAAGTGTGAGACTAAGGCTCGGGTGTTAAAGCTTGAGAGCAACAAGAAATGAGGGGTAGGTTTGGGCGAGAAAGTGACGACATGATCTTGGTTGTTTTCTCGCGGAGGTTTGTTTCTCCTCGCGGCACCTGCAGATTTGACAGGTATCCATGTATATTTCGACATCATGTCTCGCCTGCCTTGGGCTTATGGCGGCTGGCGATTGATTGCGATACATGAGGCTAGAGATGTCGTGTACGACGACTTGCACTGATCGATCCAGAGGTGCTCTCTATTGCTCGAGTCTTGACAGGTTCAATTGTTTCACTGCCAGAAGAACACTGTTCGTGCTGACAGAGTCGGTTCTCTTCTTCGAGAACGGCTTCAACAACTGTCAACAATATCAAGGTGCGGCTTATACCGCCACCATCAAGATGATCAACCTCGGCTTAAACCTCCATATCCATAACCACTCTCGAACGGTTAAGTTTGACCTTGTCTTTCGGCAGTTTAGCATGACCAATTGCAACAACGGCAACATACCGCAAGGCTTTCGATTCGTCACACTCGTCCGTCACAACCGATCTTGTTACGCTTGATGCATAGCTCCCGCAACTTTCCCATATCATTATGCAGAGGTCACCATCATGACGACTAGTCATCAAGCATGTGTATGCCTGTAGCCGAGTCCGCGGGGTATGCTTGTGCTACTGATATATAAGGTAGGACACGGTACCTGATCTTTGAGGCGAAAGCTACAGTCTTCCTCAGCTCACAGCCATCATGAGGACAGGAACTTCTCTTTTCGCGGTCTCGGGTCTGCTTAGCTCTGTCTTTGCTGCACCAGCTCCAGCACCCAACCGTGTCAAGCCTCGTCAGGAGTCTGCAGTTCAATTCTTTGATAACACGAACAACCCTACTGCCACTCCCTTCGGACCAGAGGGCGCATCTGGCTCGCTGAGAGGAGGATCTGAGCTTCTGGGCTTCAACCCTACAAATGTCATCAGCTCATACGACCCAGCTGTCGTCCCGTCAAGCGCTTTCAGTGTAGGCCCTCTTCAGACTGCAGATGCAGATACAGGTTTCTACCTTGATCTAAGCAAGATTGAGAACCCGCAGCCCATTCGTGGCGAGGGAGGAAAGTCACCTACGGATCCTGGACCGAGAAACGAGTTGTTAGAGAAGCAGAACCCGGACTTGTACATTCCTCCGGTATGCTTGATTATACCCTCATATCATGACTCCATCTGATCACCTCATCTACAGGGCACCGATGCCGGTGATGTTTCGAACGCTAAATGGCCTCTTGGTCTTTCCCACAACAGACACGGACTGAATGGTGCAGGATGGGCAAGACAACAGAACGTCAATCTCTTACCTGTAGCGAAGAACATGGCTGGCGTGGACATGCATCTTGAGCCTTACGCATACAGAGAACTGCACTGGTAAGTGATGCAATTCTTGTGTTCATCTACGCGCTAGTCTAACAAACTCGCAGGCNACCAAGCCAATGAGTGGTCCTATATCATGAACGGTTCAGTTCGCATCAACGCGGTCAACGAAGCCGGCGAAACCTTTACCGACGATTTGTCCGCAGGAGATGTCTGGTTCTTCCCTGCCGGTATCCCTCACAGCATTCAAGCCGGACCTACTGGTGTAGAGTTTCTTCTCGTCTTTGACGAAGGCAGTTTCAGCGAAGACAACACCTTCCTGCTCTCGGAACTCTTTGCCAGAAACCCCAAGTCTGTCTTGGCCAAGGATCTTCGTGTTGACATCTCGGCCCTGGACCACATCCCCCAAGACCAACTTTACATCTTCAATGGCTCAGCATACCCAGCCAATGTTTCTGATCCACTCAACAACATCACTGGTCCCGCTGGCGTGATCCCCAACTCTAAGGGCTATTCCTACCATTTCTCTGAACAAGCACCTTACGAAGTCCCTGGTGGCAGTGTCAAGATCCTTGATACTCAGACTTTCCCTGCGGCCTTTGACTTTGCTGTCGGCCTCTTCACAATCAAGCCTGGTGCCATGCGCGAGTTGCACTGGCACACCACCAGTGACGAATGGGACTTCATTTTGTCTGGTCAAGGCAGACTGACTCTCTTCCAAGCACCTCAAGCTTCCCGTACCTTTGATTTCCAAGCCGGCGATGTGGGCTACGTTCCTGTAGTCACTGCACACTACCTCGAGAACACTGGAACAGAAGACTTGATCTACCTTGAGGTGTTGCAGGCACCGATCTACAACGATGTCAGTGTTGCACAGTGGTTGGGATTGACTCCCAAGCAAGTTGTCAAGGAACACTTGGGCTTCAGCGATGATACTCTGAACCGCCTACCCAAGATCAAGCCATTTATCTTGCCTGGAGATACGGACTTGGGTCAAACTAACTTCACTTCTGAGGCCGAGTAGATCTTGGAATCTTATTGGAGCTTAGAAGAGGAACTAGATATATGATGTCCCTGTTCAGTGTCTGACAGGTATAGTGGCCGAGTATTGAAACAACGAATGTAACTGCTCATGACCCCTTGAATTTATACCATACCTCTGACTCACTAAAATCCACACTGCCATCTTGATGTTATCTTTATGATGAGTGCTTTCCACCTCAATCGTGTAGCTCGGGTTCATATTTGAGACTGTATGGAGGCACACGAGTATTACAGACCTACTCGCTTTCTTTCTTCACCTTTCCCTGGCTTCTTTGATTCTTCTGACATGGTAGCAAACCAGACACTCTTCTTGCTGGGCGATGTTCTAGTCGAGCGGTGTCAAGCTCAGTGATGAGAGTTGATGAGAAGGTTGACATCAACCTCAACTCCAGTACTGGATTAGTACTGGTATACGCTCATCGTAAATGAGATTATTCTCGAATATTGGCAACAACACGCCGAGGTAACAAGAATCACATCTGTACACCCAATCTCTTATCATTATCGAGAACGATCGAATTAAGAGATGCCTTAAGTCCACAACGAATGCTGATCTCCTTTTACTTGGACCTTCTCCAAAGTTGGCAGTTGACCTCACTGAACATGAGTGTGGTCTGGAAATGCTTCATAGTGTTGCTGTTACCACTCACAATCATGGGTTTTTTTTCAACCTCTTTTAAGCTTACAAGATGTCACAGGGAGACTTTATCAGGTCACTGACTCTGCATGTTGTCTTTCAACTCTCTTCATGTACTTGTTGTCTTCTCTTTCTATCAACCTCATAGCACCGTGGACTTTGAGATGGCGGAGAATATTTTGTATATCACAGACCTGGCTACTTACACTAGCCAGCACATGTTTTCCACCGCTCTTAACCTCGTGGTTATCTATCGCGGACTCGCGGTAAGCCACCAAATCAGCATGATTGGAATTAGATATCGAAACCGATGTCGTGACCTGCCAATCTCAGTATCTAGATTAACCTCAAAACTGGACACCATGAAGACGAAGTCCTCATCTGCTGAGTAAGTATGGCTACGTTCTCTGATAACTTTTGGCTTCTGTTCTTCTGAGTCGCTGTCACAAATCGTTCCAAGGGAGGTTGCTGGGTGTGCTTGAGGTCATCGAGTACTGGCTTTAGTTGCATCGATGAAGACTTGTCACTTTTCTTCCGATCATTGGATTCTGATCATTTGCCATATCCTGGTGGCGTGCTGCGAAATATCTGTAGGTGTACCGTACGATTCACAACTACACATATGAGCAGGTCAGGCCTAAACCAATCTGACCGTCGTGAACTCTCGATCAACTCACGAGCAGACCTCGAAAATGGCCATCGACGGAGAAGCACCATATACATGTTCAACTTTTTGACAGGCCGCAATTGCTTTTACCTCGACGGTCACGGCACTGTAGGCAATCGATCGGGTCACTGATACCATAACTTACTATCACGACTCCTCGATTGTCTAGCCGTCTTCCATACCTTGAAGAGTATAAACAAGGGATCAGGTGAAATCTTATGAGTATCACAGACCTAAGTTCTTCTTCCCCTCTTCTATTCAGTCCTTCCCCGTTGTCTTCACTAACACTTTAGGCAGCCAGACACTTTATGAGAAAGGTTAGGAAGCAGCCAAACCATCTAGCTTGAGAGATGTGCTGATGATTCTGTAGAAACATAAAGAATTCAAGTACTGGATTTGGAGTGGAAGGTTTTGTTATGCTTGTGAGAACGAATTAGAGACCGGCACGAGGGACGGTATTGGTGATGTGTATGGGATACTGGATACTAAAAATGCTACAACGGAATCTCTTAGATGCAAAACACACCTTCCTTTTCCCACCAACGACCTATGCAAAACATCTCATCCTTCATCATGTCCACCACGTACTCACTCAAACCCACCACCCACGCTGCCCAGTGCAACAAGCGCACCCCCAGCCTTACGTCTCAACCCAGCAATCTTCCTGACATTCTCCTCCCTCCTCTTCGCCGCCTTTTGCACAATCTCCTGCCTCTCCGCCTCTCTAGCCTGGTAATTAATACTACTCTTCTTGCTACCTCCATTCCTGATCCCACTACTGCCTTCCTTGTTAAGACTCGGAGGGGCTCTATTCTCACCCATCGAAGAATTATTGACAGTGGCTTTCCTAAGCAAGCTAGCTGGCTTAAAGGAGAAACTTCCTTTGGCTTGTTGGGACAGCGACGAAAATGCGAGGTTTGCGTCTGCGGTTTCGGGGATGGAGGAAGAGGCTTGTTTCTTGAGGGTTAGGCGGTCGATGATCGAGTCTTTGGCGGGGACTCTGCGGGCGGAAGCAGGGGCTCTGGGTTCAGAAGATACGGCGCGGACTTCTCTTTCTTCGTCTGAAGACAGCAGAATTTCAGAAGCTAGTTCTTCGTTTGAAGGGTCATCAATCAGGAAAGAAAGCGAGTCGCGGACTTCGGCGAGAGATTTGGGCTTGCGGAATGTGTCGCTGAGGCCGGAGCGGCGAAGAGAAGATGCTGATGCGATGGACTTTTTCTTTTGCAGAGGTTGGGCTTGTTGAGACGATCGGCTGGGTTCGAGGGCGTCGGCTGGTCGTTTGAGAGTATTGGACTGCTCTTCATCGCCAGCTTGAGAAGCAGTGGGTTGAGATGCAGAAGGTTGCTGTTGTGAGTCAACCATTTCCACATCGTCATCTACATCAAGACCGTCCAGGAAATCAATATCGTCGGCTTCGTCTCTATCCTCAATGGCACGGAGGAAGGCCTCTTTCTTGTCGTTGCTGCCAAGTTTACCCAGCGTCTCGTCTTGAAGCAGAAGTTTACGCTTGCGAGCTTCTTCGCGTTGTCTGCGTCGTCTTCTTTCAACTACCTGGTCGTCTTCATCAGAGTCGAGTTCGAAGGCGTTGATTCCGCGTTTGCGGCGGAGAGCACCAGACATGAGATCCTTGTACAGCTTGCTTGTCTGGGCCTCGTCTTGCACACGCGACTTTTCAGCATAAAGAGCCGCGAGCTGGCGTTCGTCGACTTTGACATCCGTCTCGTCAATCATTTGCTTGTCATCTTCGTCGCCAGAACCGGCGTCTTCGTCGTCACTTGCACCTCCAAGACCGCGATACTCATCTTCGGATTCCTCGGCTTGTTCATCGACCATGCCCTTGGCGTTACTCTTCTGCTTGTCAAAGTCAGGCTGAGCGGGTTTNTTCGCTACTTGACGCATAACACTGAATGCATCCGATGGCTTTCCGACAGCAATGGGTGCTGAAGACGGCACTGCTTCTTCATCTGCCTGCTGGTCGACCTCAGAACGCCTGACCAGACGACCACGACGCTGAACGACAGGAGATTCTGGCACACCGAGCATGACAGTCTCGACAGTAGACGAGGGAGCACGAACTCGGTCAGCAAGGGGAGTAACGTTAGGATCGAAGCCGACATCCTGAGATGGGTCCGGGATCTGAGAGAACTGCGACATGCGATTAATTGCAGGCGAGTCAGCAGAGGATTGAGGGAACTGTAGATCCATCTGCTGAGTGGGCTCATTTGCCTGAGTCTGAGTAGCGTCAACTTGGCTGTCAGCAACGGCATCCTGAGAATCTTCGAACAGGGGCATTGAAGGCATGGGAGCAGAAGGAGGAAGTTGACGAAGCATCTCGAAAGAATCTTGATCCTGAGAAACCATCATGCCAGATGCTTGGGTATCGTCCATAGTTCCTGCGAACATCTGAGACATGCCCATGGGGGCGGAAGGTGTTCGTCCGAACCCGAATGCAGCGGCAAGCTCATCATTGATACCATCACCTGATGTTTGTTGAGTTGTCGGTCCATCTTCGTCCTCGTCGTCGTCGATGATATGTTTCCTGCGTGCCCTTCTGGACTTGGGCAACTGAGGTTCATCGTCTTGAGGTGTCTCATCTTCGGCCTGGTCTTCTGTCTCCTCGAGCTTGTCCTGGTCTTCTTCGCCGGCCTCGGCATCGATCATGTCATGGTCGACAGTGTCCTCCTCTTCAGAGCCAGAGAGCTCGATATCCTCTTCCTCTTCTTCTTGATCCGCCTCTTCTGCCGGGGCTCTGACTTCTTCGTCACTGCCAACATAGTCCTCGTCCTCACTCTCATCAGAGCTGATGCCAACGTCCTCTCCATTGGCTTTGGCAGTGGCCTTTTCTTGCTTGCGCAACTTTTCGGCTTCTTCTCTTGCCTTTCCCAGCATGTCCTCAATCTGCATCTGCTCCCTTTCACGTTCTTCCTCAGTCAGGATCACGATGCCCTTGGCACGCAAGTCGGCGAGCCTGGCAGCACGTTCCTGGTTTGCGATTTCGCGAGCGCGTTGGCGGAGCTGGATTTCGAGTTGCTGAGGTGAGATGGATGGCTTTTGTCCCTTCTTGCTGCGGATCCTGTCGCCGTTGCCAGTGAGCTGGGCAAGGTGTCGGAGCATCAACATGGTTCGTCCTTCCGGAGTTTGCATCTTGGGAACTTGGTTGAACATGGCGAGGGGATCGTGGACAATCTCGAGATCATCCTCGTCGTCGTCGTTTGATCTGTTGAGTTTGCTGTGTTTAGGGATCTTGACGCGGACCTTGCGAATTGGTATCGACTTATGTTCAGTGGGTGGTTGAGGCATAGGAGCTTTGCCCTTGTTGACAGTCTTCCTAGGTTGTGTCAGAATTTCCTGGGGGCTNGGCAACTCTTCGTCAGACTCTTCGACAGTTTCTGTGCCCATGAGCCGTTCAGGGATCATTTTGAGAGAGTCATCAACACTTGGAGGACTTGATGGTGGTGTATCGCGGTCCTCGTCCGCACCAGTCTCTGAGAAAGGCTCAGGCGGAGGAGAGGAAGAGGTAACGTCTGCCGCGTTTGTGACATTTGCAAGACCAGACGAAGTCTTGGGGCGATTGAATGCAGAGAGGAAGTCTTGGGGTGTGAATCTCTTCTTGACCTTTGCCTGATGTGTCAATTGCATGTTTCTCTTGATTCTTTGTGTTTCCCTGTTCATCTCTTCCAATGCCCTCTTACTGGCTTTTCGAGTGGGTCTTGCAGACTGTGTGAGTCTTCGCTCAGTAGCTTCGTCCCTTGTATCCTCGTCGTTGAATATGTCTGACAGAGGAGCTTGGCCGCTAGTGGCACGTTCTTCCTCTGCTTCCTTTTCTGCCTGCTCTCTTGCCAGTCTCTCAGCACGGCGGCGGTTAACGAGGTCGCGGAGACGAGAGGGTGCCGATGGGTCTGCAGGAAGGTCCGAGTCCGAGTCGCTTGCGTGGTTCGAGTTTTCGTCAATGGATCGTCTCTGCTCGGGAGCTGGCGACATAAACAAGCCAGGACTTTCTGATCGGGCAGATGCTGCGGGAGTCGAGGCTCGATGCACAAGGCTCTTGCGAGGAGGGCTGGGTTGTGTTTCTGTGCGAGCCATCTCGATCGAGTGTGTGACTTTTGCAGGTGACTTGTTGGCAGCAGAAGCCTTTTTCGAAGCCATAAGGTCTCTTTTGATTTTTGGTAGACATCCTCGTCTTCTGAAGATGACTCTTCTTGGATTGGAGGAGCTGCACCTCCCATCCTAGCAGCCAGTCTGCCTCTAGGCTTGAAGACTGGCTCATCCTCCTCTTCACTCTGCTCGTCTGCATCATCGTTTGACGCGTTGACAGTACGCGTCGCGCTTGCTGATTGTGTCGTGGAAGTTGGTTTCGTTGCTNGGTCTGACGAGTACGCCTGCGTCATCGTCTGACTCTTCGTCGAAAGCGGCCATGAGCTTCCTCATCCTGGTTCCTGGCGACTCCAGAGCCATGGATACAATCGAGGAGCTATCGTCTGCTGGTGTCGAAGCGCGACTCGACCGCGTTGAACGCGCCGGAGAAGACATTGTGATTGATGTGAAGTATGTTGTAGTGGTCGTAAAGATGTTTGGCGTTCGTGTACGATTATGATACAAGGAACAATATGAATTCGGGCGGCGATTGATAGGTGTAAGAAAGGGTGGTAGAGATGATTAGACAGGAGATGCTCTGGATTGAAATCCCGTAATGGAGACGACGCGACGCGATCGCCAAGGCTTTTGATTGACGTCCCAGCCTCCTCTTGCACCTGCCATGCAAACCACACGACCAGTAGAGAATGTTGACGCGACAGGAAACAGGAGACACTGACTCGTCGAGATATCTAGTCATCCATGATCAAGAAGAAATCAAAGTATGAACATTTGCTTTCGTGACAAAATAACGTGCCAAAAATGCTACATCAATGCATGCTTTCTAACAAAAACAATAAAGTCGACTCGACGAGAACACATACACAAAGAACAAACCACACGCCCTATCCTGATTCCACTCTACCCAGACATATCGTGTCAAGAACAAACAAATGAGATCCGACCCAGAACAATACACGAGAAAAAAAGCTTTTTGGAGCCTCCTTGCCAAAAATCACAAGGGCCTCGCTCCTTAGTCTTTATCCTTGTCCTTATGCTCGTTCTTTCGTCGTAGGCCCGTGAGGCCGGGTATAAAGTCCTTGAGTCGCCGTTCTCTTTCTTCGCGCTTTGCTTTTTCTTTCTTCTCCTTTTCGCGCTCTCTTCGTTCTCGTTCGCGTGCAAGACTGGGTAGGGCGGTTGTCATATCTGTTTCGCTGCTGACGACACTGCCGCTGACACTGCCATCGCGGGGCCGTTCAGTAGACTTGCGCTCACGGTCCCGTTGAGGGAAATGCAGGTTTAAGCTTGCAGAGGTGAGGTCGCGTGGAAGTGCTGCACTGTTTCCGCTCATGAATCCAGCGCCAATGTTGTTGCTGTATGAGCCTGATGCCGAGACTGAGGCGGTTGACGTCCCGGGTCGTACCATTTCGAGACTGGTCTTGTCGAAATGGCGGCTGTTATCGTGACTCAGGATACTGACAGCTGCTGTCTGGGCACCTCCATCGCGGTCTTCTTCCCAAGATGGTGGAGGAGGACCTTCTGTGTCTGCACTGTAGCGACCAAGCCCGGCACCCCCAACACTGAACCCACGGCCTCTTGAGTCAGCCTGAGCAGCCTGGCTCACATCATCAAAAGAATCGCGGGTTGGTACATGATCGAGAGCATCGTCAATGCGGGCGCCATTGTCTAGCAGTGATGTGGTCTGCAGTTGGTCGATGAGCTCCTCCCAGCGGAAGCTGAGCGCAGAATTAGGACGCTCGGCACGCTCGGCACGAGATAGACACTCCTTTGTCTGAGCATCGAGGGTTCTGCAAAGTCTGTGGAAGGTCAAGAGGTCGCCATCTTCTTTGCCAATCTGCGCCGCCAACAACTCTGCCTCGCTTCCATTTGTCGTGCCATGTAGCCAGAGTTCGACCAAGCTTGCAATCTCACGACTTTGGTCGATAAGGTATGGTAAGCTTGGAAAGCCCTCACGGCTTGTCATCGGAAGTCGAGATTGAATGGCCAAGGGAGTGGAGTACGAAGTAGGCTTTACACCAATCATGCCATCAGGAGCAGAGATCGAACAGATGTCGTTGATAAAGGTCTTGAAAGCTTCCCGGTGATCTGTGAGGAAGACATTCATGGGTTCCATCCAGTGTTCTTTGCTACCGAATGAGGCCATGTTAGCGAGACCTTGCAGCGACTTTGCGATCAACGTAAATGTTCGTCGTGCGCGAGGTTTCGGGTCGTCCTTTAAGAGACCAAACAGCTTGGGGTTCAAGACTGCCGGGCAGAAGAAGCGCAGGAACAAGAATCCAGAAACACTGCTGTAGCTAACGCTTCTCAAGAAGTCGCCATATCTGTCTTCGGCACAAGCTCTGATATGTCTGAAGATGACTCTCAGCTCCGAAGGTGCGTTTCTGGCACTGACTTTGATTGTGTTCCAGACGGATTTTGTGCAGTTTATGAGCCTGTCCCAGTTCTTCTTGAGATCATGCTGGTTGGTAACTCGGTTGGGATCGACTTCGCAATCGGGATCTTTGTCGTTAATGTCTCTGATGATTGGACCGAGGCATTCGAGGAGATACTCCTTGCCTACCCTACGCATGTGCGAGTCCAAAGACTTGGTGAGCAGTGTATTTCCACGGAAGAGCAAGTTAGCCTCCAGTGTAGCATTCTTGTTCATGTCGCGGACCATCAGCTCTCTCTCGCTGGCAGCAGTAACATTTGCGTCTGCCTCGTTGTTGTTGTTTGCCATGCGACGGGTATACCTCATGCGAGAAACAGGCGTCTCTTTGTGCACTCCATCAATCTCTTCTTCGACCAGAGCCATGATCCATTCAGTGACCTGGCCAGATACCTGGAAGATATTCAGCAGCAGATCTGATAACCGCCTCAGTTCTGTCGGGATCATCTGAGCGACCTGCAACGTAAGCTCGTTCGAGAAGTTGTGTAACAGATCGTTCAAGGGCTTGTAGTCCTTGGCCATGAGAATGACATTCTCCTCCGCGCGAGCCTTGATCAGGATCTCGCCCACGTTTTCGTCGTGCACGTTCATGACTGGCCACCACTTTTCGACCTCTTTGCTCGCTTCCAATTCTTCAAGGTAAATTTCGATCTTGCCGAGCGTTTGATCGTTTTGTACAGGCATTAATCCAGCAGAGCCACCAGTCATTTGCGATGGGTCCAGCAACCAGGCTTCATGCACAAGGCGAAGTTCGTGTTGTTCGCGAGGACTTGAGAGATCCGGCGGGCGACGCTTCAACAAGACGGAGGCTGATGTAAGAACAGCGGGCAGATCTAAGTAGTCAAATTCCTCGCGCCAGAAAGGCGCCATTGATTCATGTTTGATTTGTGTCTTGCCTCGGGTTTCACCGTCCAGGTGTATCTCAACGTAGTACCCATCCGAGAGCTCAGGTTTGTTGGCAGCATTGTTGTTATTGTTATTATGACGATTTGAGTGGTGATGATTGAACTCAGCCAATGAGCTCAAAGGAGCATGAGGCAGCTTGGCTTCAATTATGCGAATGGACAGAGCACGCTCCATGCGGAACATTTCAATCTTCTCATTGGCCATCATGTTATCGAAAGTCGATGACGAAGGGGTATCAGGAATAATGGCAGATTCGTCAGAGTGCCCATTAGGTTTGGGTCCGTAAAGTTGCGGTATCGTGAAAGCTCTCAGCAGAACAAACCAGACTTCGTAGAGAACACGTGTTTCCAGGGAAAGATATATAGGTCGAATGGCGGTCGTGACGGTGGCACCTGATGTGTACTGAGGATAGATGGCTATGCAAAAGTCATTGTCCAAGACTGAAGGATCCAATCTTTGAACGGCGCTGCGCGAGAGTTGAGAAAGCTGAACAACAGAAAGAAGAGTCGAACCAGATTCTGCGTAGAGCTTGAGCTCTCCGTTCTCACGCAAGGTGCATGATACACGCCTCCACCAGTGCGAGCCATAGCTTTGGAAGCGCGAAGGTGAAGGCTTGAGCGATCTCGGTGTGCTAGCATTGGTATATGATATGTTGCTGTCCCAATAGATCATGGGACCAACCTTGATGATGGGAGCTTCTTTTAATGTAAGAGACATCTCAGAATTGCGCCTGCTATCAGTCAAGGTGATGCCTTGCACAACAGGAGACTGAGGTTTTGTCATCTTGTTATTAAGACCTCTAGGGCGAATTGGCTGCCAACAGAGTAACGCGGCGAACCACGAGTCAAAGTCTTTGCGGTCTTTCAGGCGGACATGCAATTGTAGTGTCGAGTTTGGCACCGAGATGTCAAGATAGGGCATCTGGGTGTCTTCGTCCATGGCAGTGCGAACTTGACAGCCGCGTAAGTCGGGAATGAGGGTACGGTGTTGTGGAGAGCTGACATCGGCCTCGCATAGCAGACTGCCCGTGTCCTCCTGAATGTAGCAGTATGACTGGAGCCACGACGCTGTGGTACCACGACGGTACCAGAGGGTGCCCGACATGCGACCACATAACGTCTTCATGAGATGCAGAATTCGGCGAGCGCTGTTGTTGGGTAGGGGACTTTGTACGCTGGCGGCATCGGATACCGAGATGGGCGAGCGCGGACGCTTGGAGGCAGACGACGACGTGGATTGCGAAGGGTCGAAGGAGGGAGATACGAGCTGTGTCGAGGCGCTTTCGTTGCTGCTGAGGTGGATCGAGCCATGGCGCAGACGGCTACCAGGATTGAGGGCAGAACCGGGCGACACTTCACGCGAGGCGCTCTCGTCCAGCGTCCTCGTACGGTTACGACGATTGGCCGAGGTCGACGTATACTGCAAGCGAGCGCGCGCGTTGTCAGTCGACTCGCTGCGGGCGAGCAACAGCGAGCGAGGACTATCACGATCTCTCTTGAGGCTGGTCCGGGGAGAAGAGCCAAGCACATGGCCCTCAATGTTGATGGTCGTCTCTTCGACGTTCGCGACCGAGTCGGGAGTCACGGTGCGGATTGTGTTGTCACTGCGGGCAGATCGAGGCCCGGGGAAGTGCTGCTGGCGGACTTCGGCCGTCGTCTGTATGATGCTCTGTGGCACGGGCTGGCTTTGTGACATGGCGGAGCGCTCCTGGTTCAGGTATTCGTCGTACAGACTGGGCTGCTTTCGGCGGCGGCTCGATTGCTCAGACCACTTTTGTCGAGGGGCGGGTTCCATATGAGCTCTCATGCTTGCACCGGCGACGAGGTGGGCTCAGCTGTTGGGGCCCCGCGCAATTGGCGGGAGGTGAAGCAATCGATCCCGTCAGCAGCAGCAGCGCCTGGAGGGATGCGATGGGATAGCGGTCGGTTGAGCGAGGCGACGCGCTACAGCAGACATGGGGCCACGATGCCTGCTGTGCGGAGCGGGTGTCCAGGTGTATACGTCTGCGTGGCCGAGGATGGATTTTGGGGTAATCACTTTTGCGAGCGCAATGTGTTGGCACGACGGGAATTGTGGTTGGCGATGGGGCTTTTCGAGCGAGAGGTTTAGGATGGATGATGCGTCGTCGTCGTTGTCTTGTGGTTGCTGTGCTGGCACTGGTGCTCGGTGCTCTCTGGGTGCAGAAAGCCAACGGCGCTCGAACTGCCCTGGCACTGCTGCTACGCTACGACCTATGAAGAGCGCAAACCGCCAGCCTTCTTTTGCTGCTAAACGTTCCCACTCGTTCTCGCTTCCCTCAATCCTTCCTACCGGCCTGACCGCTGCTTCGACCTGCTCGGCACAGGACAAGAACAGCCCGATTGAGAATATCGAATGGTCACTCCAGGCGGCCTGATCAAAGTCCCCCTACTCCTATATTGCGCTTGTCACTTTTGCTCGACGCCGCAGCACTGAGGTACGCCCATTTGATTGGTCAGCCCGAGAAAAAAGGGCCAGACTGAGACGCCGCCAACAACCAGGCGAGCGACGTTTCATCATGCTCTGGCCAAAGACCTTCCGCGAAACACTTCTCTCTTTCTTATTAAAGACCTTCTGACATGCCTCCACCGCTTCCATATGTGGGACTTCTTTGCTCGACCGCCCTGCATATTTTTTTGCACAGCATGGTGCTTCTGCCGTGTTTCAGGTACAGTGCACCGTGCGGCTGCCTCACTGTCATCCTTCTTAGGCAGCCAGCCAATTTATCAGGACATGGCATATCTCACATAATCCTGTAACATCGACAGTGACTTGTCTAAACATACATCGTCTATATCACAGGAGCGAACGATGGGCTTGTCTGCCTGTCACGTTTCAGGACATCAACATTTGAGATTATGCTTCGGGTAGTAAAAGTATCGTTATAAGCATGCCGCCGTCGGAAGTAGAGAGGAACAGAGCGCAGAGAAGAAGTAGACCAAACCGAGAGAGCCAGCCCTTGAGCAATTCATAAGCAGAGACAAAACAAGGAGATTTGAGAAGTGAAGAGAGTCGGCGTGTCATCAGAGTATGATCCGCGTCTTGTTCAATCGTAAAATGTTTCTTATTCTTCATCTGAAGCCGTCTCTCGTAAGACCGCCATCTTCAAGGCCTGTCGAGCTTGCTGGATATGGAGCTATCTTGGTTCCCGTAAAATCTCCACTGGCTGTCTTACGCAGTGCCTGGCGCATTGTCTCAATCGTGAGTTCTCCATGTTGCTGGTGAGCGGGGCTGCCGATGGGGCTGCGTACCGGGCTCATGTCAAAGCCCTTGATTGATGTCGGATTGCTCCCAATCGGCGGGGTTGTCACCTCTTGCGAATATTGAGAAGATAAGGGCGAGCGCGCAGGTGACGGTGAGCGAGGTAGCGGNGGAGAGTGGGTCTGAGCCTGGCTGAGAGTGCTTGCAGACAGTGGTGTATGATGATGTAAAGAATCCTTGGATTCGGCCTGTTCTGCCTGGACGACGTCGGCAAAGGAGATGAAGCTCAATCTGCGCACATCTGCGGGATCCAAAGCGCCGTAGTTTGACGCGGCATCGTCAAGATCTGGCGGGTGAGAGTTGACCGAGTGGAAGCTTTCGTGTTGCGAGTCTTGTGGTGAGACGGGAAGCTGTGCATCCGAATGAAGGACGGCCGCTGTACCCTCTGCGACTTTCTCGGACGCGGGTTGATGAGCTGTGTGAGTGACAATCTCGACTTGATCTGGATCTAGGTGGGTATCTGTAATGGCGAGGGAAGAGGCCTCGAGGACGGCAGGAATATGGTCCTCGGTCTGGATGTGTGCGGGAATAGCGGGTGACAATTCACTGGGTACAATCGACTCTTGGACGTTGCGCTCAAAGATTTGCGACGAGGCCAGAGTCGAGGTTGATTGACTCTGTGCCAGAGCAAACGGTAGACGGGTCGGTGAGGCGGCGGCGAAGCGATTGGGCGGAGAGGGCGATGAAGTGAGAGGATTCATGTTTGCTGGAGTGGCTGCAGCTGCCGGCTCGGACTGAGTCGCGTTGGTATTCGCGTCGATGACGGCACTGTCGGAGGAGTTGTCCTTTCTCTTGACCAGGCCGAACAATCGTCGTTTGCTGGATTTTTCTGAATCAGTCGTGGGCGATTGGGAGACCGAGGGAGAGACGATGGGCGCAGTGTCAGATTGCGAACTGAAGGTCGAAGTGGGTGGAGAATGGGCACGAGCGGACATGATGGGCTTCGGGCTATCTTTTGTTGTTCTTTTCTGGACAAGGATCAAGGATAAGGCCCTGGCACGTAATGAACCTTGATTTGTAGACTGGAACTTGAGAGAAGGAGCGAGAGAAACGTGCGCATGTGCCAACCAAGACCCAAGCCTCTTTCCAAAACACGCAGCCTTGCTCACTCGTCAACAACGGCAATACGACCAAGCGTGACAGCCTCGTCATGCGCCCATCCATACTCCGCAACAGGGTCTTAGTCCAAACCTTTTTGCTTTTTTTCGCTATCGTAACAAAACACGTATGCAGGTACAGCTTGCCATATCCTGAACAGCGAGCCGTCCTTCTGAAACACTGGCTCTTGTTCAAGAACATGCTGCTTGCTATTCCAATCCACTTCCCACATCATCAGGAGTGTGGCTTTTGTCACACACAGTCTTCGTCATCCACGTCCTCGGCAGCGTTAGCACCCGCCCGCTCCGAATGCCTCCATCGCATCCGCAAACGAAACACCTGGAGTTGCAGAGCCGTTCAAATTTTCCCGCTACAGATTCCGAGTGGACTGCGTTTCGCAAGCACATGCTTCTAGGAATTCCAGTACCACGTGCACGTTTGGACAAGAATTGACAGTCGACTTCTAAGGTGAAGCCTTCTGTTTACCCTAAATTTCTGCCTTAAATCAAGGATCCTGCATCTTTAAACCACCTGCCTACTTCGTGTCTGGAGACAGACGAGAGGATGACTTTATATAGATCACTTTGAGTCCTATACTCGCTGTTTGAGATATGCTTGCATATTGAGTTCTATGACCAGAGGCTCAAATAGGACAACAGGCCGATGTGTGCAGCAAGCATGTTTCGATTCATCGCTGACTACGAGTAGATCGATTTAAGAAAGCGTCTGCCTTGTGATATCTTTTGTCGTTGTTATCGATCCTACGGCAACGTTTGTTCTAGGGCACGCTTCAATACTATGCCGATGACTCGCTGGTTATCTGTACAGATGACACTGACGCTCTTATATCGTTGAGACAGATATGAGAATGCTTCTATGTAACTCTTTGGAGGTCTGTGGACACATGAACGATCCTTTACAGGAGTTGATGACCGGTTTCTTTTTTCTTCTTTTTTCTTCTCCTTTTTTCTTCTCCTTGGTGCTTGTAACTTGCAAGTATGACCCTGTCTGTGGTATCCGAGTCTATAACCGGCGTCATTGTTTTCATTGTTCGTTATATAAAGTCATGGCTTACAGTATACATATCTCCTACTTCCTCTGATCGGAGTCCTCGGCTGGTATCATACTTTTAGTCAAGCATGAACCATTGCCGTTTCGGTGAGAAGCCGCTCTTTCTTATACCCAGAAGACCGTCACAATTTAGCCACAATGTGGCCACAAAATGCACAAAGTATTAAAAACGGAATGAAACTCCCTACTTAGAAGCCACAACATCTATCACCTAAGACTCACAACACATTCTTGACTCTCCCNTCCAAAGCCTGGCTCAAAGCCCCTAACAACCTCTTTGCAAACACCCCATCAAAAAACGCAACCCCCAACTCTTGACTCGTATACCAACTCGCCCGATCCAAATTCCCCGACCCTAGAATCACCAACTCTTGATCCACAATCGTGCACTTGAGATGACTTTGCTGTGGCTCCCTGTCCCCATTCCCCTCTTTCGGGACAAAATAATCAATTCTCAATTTTCCTGGTTTGGGTCTGCCAGCTTCCAAGTCGGAGGGGAAAGAAGAACAGAGGGATTGGTATTTGGAGATGAGTTTTGTGATGCAGTGAGAGGTTGTTGTGCCGGCGGTGACTAGTTGTTCGAGTATCATGAGTTTTTCGCTGGTGACAATGTGGATGTTGATGCCGCGGTGGAGGGTTGATAGGATGGCTGTCAGAACAGGCGGAGCAGTGAGGTTTGGTGTTTGGATGTAGACTTGTCGCTCTGCGGAGAGGAGGCTGCGGAGGAAAAAGGTATTGAGTGGTGTAGGCGGTGGACTTGAGTGTTCTTGCCATGGAAATCTGAAATCTGGGTTTCTGTGATGAGAAGAAGGGAGGAAGATTGTTGGGATATCTTTCGAGTTCATAGGCGTGTGTATAGGTAAGAGTCCTTGTTGTGATTGTTGAGACGTCGTTGCAAGTATCTCTTTGTGCCCAGAATTCGTATAGAGGGTGACAAGCTCGTCCCTGTCTTCCTGCTGCACCCAGAACTCCCTCCAGAAGTTGACGAAACACGAAACCACAGGTCCGGTGAGAGTGACAGCACCTTCGAACCAATCCTCCCAGCTAACGTTGCAGGAAGGCAATACCGCCACTTTCCTGTCCACAATGACGAACTTTGGATGCATGACCGAGAACGGCAGGAGGAAGATACTCTTCACTTGCATATCTAAGCCTTGCAACAGATCTGGGTCCGGGAGATTGAGTGTAGACTGCCATGATTCAGGCGGATAGACCTTTCCATGCAGAGTTTGTGGATGTAAGAGCTTCTGGAATATCGAAGACGAGGAAAAGCAGATCCGCACGCGAATCTTACGACCTTTGCTAACACCTTTCTCTGATAGTGTTTTAAGCGCATCGTTGACCAATTTCTGTGTAGCAGAGGATGCCCAGAAACATGTCACCAGGATTAGTTCCTCGTCTGCGGATCCTAGGAGCGGGAGTAGAGATGTATATATTGATTCGCCAGTGCCGAGATGCAGAGAGTGCAAATTAGAGGTCGTAATCAGAGATGCAGGCGAGTGGAGGAAGTAATTTGGTTGCGAGGTTATGTTCCTACCGTAGCCAGCCTTGAGATCGCCGAGCCATGGTTGTAACACTGTGACATCTTGTTTCGAGGAAGTCATGGTTGTTGAGCGTTGGTAGGTAATAGTTGATGCTTATCAGGTGTGAAGATAGTTATAATGGTGGCGGTAAGCCTAGGCTAGATCCGGACGATGGGATTTTGAGGCCACAAGGCTGTTTGTCATATCATGAATATTCTATTGCAACAAAAGACAAATCTGCGTTCGACGCATGTAGCAAGAGAATAAACATGCGACAAATACTTGTCTTCTGTGAGATGCTCAAGAGGGCAAGTAACCAGGGTACGGAAGGCAAAGACTGGTCAGAAGAGACAGCGAGACAACACAAGACTACACGCATATGGCAAGATTGGTTTGAACATTTATCTTTTTGGCATGAAAAAACCTACGAAACGAGTCTTTTTCTTTGGTTGGACGAAACGCCGATTATACACCCTGCACTCCGTCGAACCGACTCCATTCGTCCTCGCCATCCCAGCGTCGCCTCGACAAGCTCTTTCTTGTCGGGAACAAGGTTCGTGATAAGTAGCCACGTTGGAACGGTTCGCAAAACAGCAACACAACTTTTCAGTCAATCCTGTTTCTCCTCCTGACAGCACTGTCGAAACATCAAAGCATTTAAGCTCTCGACATGACGCCCCAGGCGCGGATCTTGTTGTCGGTGTAACCGGCGAAGAGGGTCTGACCGTCGGCGGACCAGGCGAGCGAGACACACTCGGGCTCTCTGCTCTTCTTGCCAACCTCGACGTACTCGGGCTTGAGCTCGTCAACCTTGCTCTTCTTCTCGAGGTCGAAGATGATGATGCTCGAGGAGGTGGCGGCGCACAGCCAGTAGCGGTTGGGGGGAGAAGACAAGGGCGTGGATCTCGTCACCAGCGTTGAGCGAGTAAAGGTGCTTGCTCTCGTTCAGGTCCCAGAGCATGGTGGTACCGTCCTTGCCACCGGAGGCGCAGAGGGAACCGTCGGGGGAGATGGTGACGGTGTTGATGTAGCCGGTGTGACCGATGTGGTCAGTCTGGATGCGGCAGGTAGCGAGCTCCCAAACCTGTATGTCAAATCTTGTCAGCGCATTGTTCATCAATCGGTTGCTAGTCGTTGTGAAGTATATGTGTTATGCGAAGGATCAGGGCAAATGGGTGAATAGTTGTCTCATGGCGGTAGATGGCCGCTCTGAAGTAGCAAATACATAATTGCAATACATCATGTCGAGGGAGGATTGGCGAAGAGGAAAAGAGCTGCAACGAACCTTGACGAGCTTGTCCCAGCCAGCGGAGACGATGACGGGGTTCTGGGGTTGGGGGAGAAGCGGACGCAGGAGACCCAGTCGGTGTGGCCCTTGTCGGTGATGGTGTACTTGCAGTCACCGAGGGTGTTCCACAGCTTGATGGTGCGGTCGCGGGAAGCGGAGACGATCTGGCGGTTGTCGGCCGAGAAGGAGACGGACAGAACATCGTTGGTGTGGCCGACGAAGCGGCGGGTGGTCTGGCCAGTCGAGAGCTCCCACAGACGGAGAGTCTTGTCCCAGGAGGAAGAAAGGGCGTAGGCACCGTCCGAGGAGATGACCTAGAAAAGGTCAGAGGCTTGTTCTGACGCTGGTTAAGAATGCAATTGGCGTACACAGTCGGAGACAATGTGCGAGTGACCGTGGAGGCTGCGCTTGGGGTAGCCGTATGAGGTCTCGTCGCGGGTCAAGTTCCAGATGATCAGGGTCTTGTCGCGCGAGGCGGACAGGAGCATGTTGGGGCTGAACACGAGGCAATCAGCATCTCTGCCTCTCTCTATCTCTTTCTGATTGTGCGTTGTGCTCACTTCTCAAGCGAGGTAGCCAGGCTGGTGACCCAGCCGGAGTGGCCCTCGAGGGTGCCGCGAAGAACAAGTTGCTCGGCCATGTTGACTTATGGAGGATCGCTGCAGCTCGATTGTTAGACTGGAAGTGTTCCTGCTTGATGCGCGCGCGTGCTTGCTGACCTGACGGAGTGAGACGTGGGCGATTGACTGGCGCTTGGAGATCCGTTCAGTAGTAAAATTGAAGACGGCGAATTCAGTCGTGCGTCGACACTCGTAGCCGAAGATAATCCGCCCAAAACTAGCGCACTGTGCCAAGCCAATCACCCACCATCTCGACCGTCACTCCTTGGTCCTCTAGTCTGGTTGTCTGAATATTGTGCATTGTCACTCTATGGTACTTGTTTAGGTCCAGTGACGGAAGTTTGATCTGCTCCTTCCGATGCGAAAGCAATGTATCGACTACATACTGCCGAAGGAAGGAAGTCACGACCAGAAGCCTCAGCTTCGACGCCAATGCTCACTCACTTCGTGCAGCAGAATAGGAAAGCGGGCTGCTCATGTCTCGAGCAACTGCCATCTCACAAGTAAAGTCGGAAAGGTTTGATCATCAATTCTTTCTATCTCAATTTCTTCTTCTCAGCCTCTCGAGTTCTTTGTATCCTTTTCCTCGCGCCTTCAAGGTAACAATTTCTGTCCTGTCTTACTGGCCCTTTTCATTTCCTTTCATGAGTTCTCTCTCTCGCATGAGACCTTGTTTGCGTCAATAACATTCTCCGAATCTTCACTTCCTTGCTCTCCAATTTTCGATCAACCTTTGTCCTCCCTCAGAGGTCTCGGCTTCTTCGTCTGGACCATTCTCGTCGTTCGTTTCTTTTGCTTTGCTGTCTTCCGCTTCTGGCATCTGCTTCCTTCTCAATGTTCCACTAGTTGCCGAAGCTGGCTTCTCGAGATTTACTGCTCTTTTGCCATCTCCAGCCACGACGTCGAGAGCGACCTCCTTGATGAGCGTTCTCAACGCAAAGATGGCTCCGATTGCACAAGGAGTACATCTGGCCCCTGTGAACCCAGTGCCTTTGCATGCGGTGCATGCCGCTTTGCTGTTGATTTCTTGTTAGCATCTGCTTAAGCATGTGCGGGAGAAAAGAGGCGCAGTATGGAAGAAGTCACTTACCTTCTTAACACATGACCAGCGCACATCTTGCATGTGGAGATCTTGATGCCGTTGATGCAGCCATGACGAGGATTTTTGCTTGCGCCAGAGCTCTGTGAGGTCCGAGTGGAGTGGCCACAGTAGTGGTAGTAGAAGAAGTTGGAAGAGGGTTTGTAATAGTGCTCTCTAAAGCAAAGAGGAGGTTTGGGTTCGTTGTCATGATGGATGTGTTACTTGTTTTGACAGTAGGTATTAGAAGTGGATGTAGATCGATGATGATGGTTTGCAGAGATAATGGCGTCGGCAAGGGGTTTATATACTTTCCACATGGGGGATGCAAATGATGTGGTGCCTTCATGCGCTGACTAGGATGGAAGCTTGTGGGTCTTATGCTTGATGTATAGAGGAAGTCACGATCTAGGTAGGATATATTGCACGTGGCTGGTCTAGATGTGCAAGCATGCGACCTTACACGTGTAGGCATGCGCTGGTATTATTTTTTGTCTTGTGTTTTTATCTACTGATGCAAATTAGAAAATGGTTGTATACTCTGTTTCTATAAGATTAGAAGGATAGTAGAGAAGGGAAAGCAAGGAGGTCAATGGATAATCATCCTGTAGAGTAAGGGGTGACTTTGCTCTACTATATAAAATTTGCGCGTGTACCTTTCTCTGTCCTTCTCATGTCGATTCCTTATTCTCTTGGATACTTCCATCATAGATTAGTGGTTTTCCGCATCACATTGCTGATCGTTACTTTAATGTAGGAGCACTTTACACAATTGGAGTTGTTGCCGAGTCATAAAATATTTGCCTGTGTCAAGCGGCTGTAGATATTACGGCAAGGACCAAAAGTAGAGGATATCGCAAAATACGATAGGCAAAACACAAAGGAAAGAATAATTGACCAAGACAGGGTATCCACTAGCGCTCATAAGCAAGAAGAAAGTAAACGTGTGGGCATCAAAAACAAGTCCGAGAATAAAAATAGGAAAGAGAAATCACCGTTTTGCAGTTTCCGGACTCCAGAAGTCGGTTACGGCATCTCAATCGGTGGAGGTGCCGGAAGTTGTATCTCGATTGCGGCACCCGTGAATCCTGGGCGTTTGTCTGTAGCTTCCAGTTCCGCGATGCTGTGAAGTGGTGCGCTCTCGAGATGATCACCTGGTCCTCGGATTGTTGGTACCGGCGCTGCGCTGTCCGCAGTGCTGTACTCGCTCATACTGCTGTAACTTCGGCGTGTATCACTTATGCTGCTGTGACCCAGGTGGAAATCACTCATACTGCTTTGGCTTCGAGATGATCGCGGCGAGGTGATTGTTGGTGAGGTTACTCTGAGACCGAGACCAGTAGCTCCGGTATTGAGTGCCAGCACAGAAGCACGTTCCTCCCGGTACTTCTTGTCCTCGACCAGATCCACCTTGACGACCAATCGATCAACGAGAACGCCATGGGCTTTATTCAGTGTCTTTTTGACGAAACTCGTGAGAAAGATGTTGCAGTTCATGTCGACGTCTTCGCGCAAGTAGAGCCCATGACGTGGTATGCCGAGATTTCTGTGACCGAGTTCCATGACTTCGTATTCCTCTNNTCAGAAGATGTCAGAACGGATGATTTCAAGAACATCTCAAATCTCATACATACCTCCAATATCATTACCACCGATGCTCCATTTCTCCTTGATATCGAGGCCGGCAGGGGCATAGACATGAGTTTGCAGGCCACGAGGTAGATCGTGAAAACAGGCTTTGTAGCTGACTTGGCCCTTGACGCCTGGCAAATATGTGATGCGATCCGTGAGCTCGTACCAGATGCAGTGGAACTCATCCGAAGGTGCATTGGGAGGTGGTTTGCATGGCGCGTTGTGGATGACCAGTGGGTTCAGTTGAATCATCTCGACGTGTGAGTGCAGCATCTCGACGGCCGTCTCCCTACTGACTGTCGGAGGGAGTGGTGTCACCACTGTGAATGTGCTTCGTTTCCAAAGAACCATGTTGATTTGGGGTCTCAATCAAGAGATCGATATGTCGGGAGCTGGCTCAGTCTTCTGCTCTCAGTGGATAGAGCTGTTTTCTGGAATGAGGTTCGATCTTCGGTAGCAGTAAATAGAGCGATCACACGAGTGTCGGAGTAGAGGTGACTGAGCGCAGGATCAAGAGCGGTCTTATGTACTGGCAAGCTTACGTGTGGCCGTCGGAAGGATGTGAACCAATTCTGTTTCTAGACCGGACGGCACTCAGCTTATCTACTGTTCCCTCAAACTGGTCGCGCAACGTTCGGCCTCAGCCGCCATTTCACTGCCACCATGATTCAAATGCAACCACAGTCAGACAATTTTGGGTTCCCCACCATGTCTTGCCTCAAACCATCGGAAGGCGCTCGTTAAAGCCAATAATGCCCGTGCGCTATGGGCAGTTTCTGACCAGTAGGAGAAAAGACATGAAAGCTTGGCAGTACTCTAAATATTGCGAGCGTCATCATTTGTGGACCTTCCTCCGTAGGTTGGTGCATCAGGCTTGCAGACTCCTCTTTCCTGAGGTTCGACTTTTCATGTCCAATATTGCTCTTGATTCTTATCATTGCATGCGTTCAGCAAGGCTTCAACTCCCATCATTAACATCTCCAGCTCGGCTTGTTCACGTCGTCTGGCCTATCGTTCCAGTTCAACAGCCCGCGGGACGATCAACTGAACCGCAATTTGGAGGCTCTCACCCTCCATCTCCATCAGTTCGGCACGATGGTCTGGGACCAGCTTGAACCTACGCCGCCCCATCTTTCATACCTCCTTATATCTTCCTTCCTGATTGTTTATTGCCTATTCGCTACCTTCGTCAGGAATCGCCTTCACTTGTCCGAACCGCCATTGGCACTTCTGGTTGGTATCCTTCTAGGACCCAGAGTGCTTGGCTGGCTGAACCCAAACTACTGCACTCAGCAGGGATGTACTGGCGATGAGAGTGAGCGATGGGGTTGGGGAGATACCCAAATCCAAGAGATCTCTCGTGTCATTCTTGGTGTTCAAGTCTTTACCGTTGGTGTCGGCTTGCCAAGGTACTATGCTTCCAAGCACTGGAAGAGCGTGGGTATCCTACTGAGTAAGTTTTGCAATCCCCTGTCCTATTGCCATCAGGTCTCGAGTTGCTGTGACACATGTGCTTGATCGATACTGCTCAAGACCAAGGAACTGCCCAAACACTTTGTCACAAGACCCCTAATGCACTCTATCTTGTTCTCAGTCCTATAACATCTGCCTTCGTGTCTAACCTCGCAGAGCTTACTGCCGAAGCCACCAACCATCTCTCAAGCATGCAATCTGACAAAGGACCAAGACTGACTATATATTCTAGCGATCGTCATGACCTTTGGCTGGTTTGTCAGCTCTCTTTTCGCCGCTTTAATGTTCAAGGTGGACATCGCTACTGCTTTGACTATCGCTGCTTGTTTGACGCCCACCGATCCTGTTTTGTCTTCTTCGATTCTGTCCAACAGTCAATTCAGCGGCAGGGTACCTAAACGCATCAAGGACATGTTGGCTGCAGAATCCGGTTGCAACGATGGAATCTCATTCCCGTAAGTGTATAACGATCGTGTTTCGCGATCTGTGTACTTACTTGTCCTTACAGATTCCTCTACATTGGACTGTACGCACTCATTCATGCCGATCCCAAAACTGCCGTCAAGGAATACTTCCTCGTCACTATCCTCTGGCAATGTGCCTTTGGCATTGCAGTTGGCCTCGTCATCGGCACTATTTTCAACAGACTCCTGCGCTTTTCAGATAAGCGAGGTTATGTTGACCCTGCCGGTATGATTGTCTTCTATCTGCTCCTCGCAATCTTCAGCGTTGGCGTGGGCAGTATCCTCGGCTCGGACGACTTCCTCGTAGCTTTCGGCGCGGGTTATGGTTTCGCAAGGGATGGATGGTTCAGCAAGAAGATTAAGGACGCTCATCTCCCGGATGTGACCGACCTTTTGCTCAATTCGGCCATGTTCATCTATCTTGGCACCATCATGCCCTGGGAAGCGTTCAGCCCTCGCGACATTACTCCTTATGTTACACCGTTGAGACTTCTCGGATTCGCCGCCTTGGTCCTCTGCTTCCGTCGCATTCCCATTATGCTTGCAACATACAAGATCAATCCTGACATTCGCACCTTCCGTGAAGCACTCTTCTGCGGACACTTTGGACCTATGGGTTTGGGTGCGATCTTCCTGGCTATTGAAGCTCGTGCAACTCTCGAGACTGGCACTAGCGAGCCGTTGCCTCACCCTCCAAAGTTCTCGCCACCTTACTCGAACCGTGAAAAGGGAGTCGAGATGCTCTGGCCTGTGGTATGCTTCGTCGTCATGTGCAGCACCTTTGTTCACGGACTGAGTGTTCTCGGATTGAGTTTGGCTAGTCACTTCCGCAGAAAGGAAGGCGAGAGAGCACCCTTGCTGGCTCAAGAGACTGATCCTCTGGACGGCATGGAACATGAACGTCCTGAAGATCTGGACACAGACCATGAAGAGGACTAGAGCTCCTACATCACTCTTTCGCAATTCCTGGCAGAAGAAGGCATGGCCAGCTACAGATCGAGCGCGAATAATGTGGAATGTTGTGGACTCACCTATCCTCCCTTGGAGGTCTCACCAGAGACAACACCCTCACCCCCTGTTGGAGAACACGGTCTCGAACTTCAAATAATAAACAGAAATCTTCGTGAAGAAACATTGACGGAGAACCCTGGCACAAACGCAGGAGGCACCGGAGGAAGTGCAGGAAACATGATTAGCAATGCCGACAACAACAACAATGCTGCTGAAGACGGTTCCACTCAAGGAGGGGCCACTGATGGAAACTCGGAAAATATGAACACCGTTGCTTGTGGATGCTCTGATGGAGAATGCTGTGAAGAACGTTATGATGGATGCTGTGAAGAACATTCTGATGGAAAATGCTCAAGACATACGGGTCTTCGACCCAGTCACAGCATCCCCAGCAGTTGCAATTGTTCCAGTTGTGAAGACCGTCGCAGAAGATGCGCCCGTCCCAGCTGTGAAGGCCGTCGAAATACTGCTGTGAGCACAGAAAATTCGAACGACGATGCTGGAAACAACAGCAATTCTTCTGCAGACTCTCTCAGGCATGGAAGATCTGCTGGTGGGAACTCGGGCAACACAGACAACGTTGAAGGCTTGAGAACACATATAAGCCCTCGACGCAGTCCTAACAACGAGCAAAATCAGAATCAGAATGACAATGACAACAATGGAAGCCGGTCAATGGACTGCGCTGGATTGGTCAAGAGATTCTGGACATGGCTCAAAGTAAACGGCCCAGAGGACAACGATACCTTTTCCCTGGAGCATGCGAATGTATCAAATGGGGTCAATTGTTCAAGTGTTTGTGTCAATGTTTCCCAAGGGGAAACCGAGATCCAGACCCAGTGGTAGTTGATGCACCACAAGGAGAGATAAGCGCAGTACGGCCACCAGACCAGGAACTAGCAAGGATGTCACCACACAAAGCATCATGACCACAAGCAACGACATCAACAGTCATTACTCAGTGAGGCAGAGGACACGAGTATCATACAGATGGGATATGTCATAGACAGAAAAGGATAAGAGGATACATTCGTAACAATGGAATACACTCTTTTTATTCAGAATGGAGAGCGTGCCGAGTATCGCCCATGTACATGAATTCTGAAGACCAAGTCAGAAGTCGTGCTCTTGGACCAACATGCCCGAAGCTCTGTCTCTCTGTACAAAGGTCATGCAAAAGGGTGCCACATTGAAGACAATTCAACTCTTGATGGCAGGCAACAAACTCCACCACTCTGATCCAGAAACCCTGCATCTATACCTGACTTTTTCAAGTCCATCTCTTTTCCTCTTCCCCAAACGATGCAATAGAGAGGAATGAAAGAAAAACAGCACCAACTCTACTCCAACCATCTAGACACGGTAACCCAACTGTGACGCACAGAAGGTCTTCTTCTAACACCTTCTTCTTCATCCGCTTCTTGCCCTCCCTGCTCATTGTTTGACTCAACCAGAGTTTCGATGATTGCGGGAGGTTGGTTTTCTTGATCGTTATCTGGTTCTTCGTCGGAGCTGATGTCGCTGCGTCCATCTTCACTGCGCTCAGGGATAGTGTCGTGGGTGACTGGCGCAGAACGCTGGCTCACAGAAGCGAAGGGTTGAGTTGAAGTTGACGTCGCAGTGGTGTTTGCAGTAGTGTGAGCCCTAGAGCTGCGGCGAGGAAACAAGCCACAGCAGAGAGATTTTAGAGCACCACTTCCTCTACGACGAGGTTGAGCAGCAGAAGATGCAGTGGAAGTAGCAGCACCATCACTATCAACAAACAGTCTTCTCTGCACAGGCAAAGGCGAAGGTGTGTCCTCTCTCACCTGCACAATACTCTCTTCCTCAATGCTGCTCTCAAATCCTATGTGATCGTCATAATCAGGGGTGACAATGAATGGCTGAACCATGGCTGTAGATCCGATATTGGAAATCACGACACCGCAAGAAGGGCGGAAGTGCTGGAAAACAGTGGTCCAGGGAGCAGGNGACGGGAGACGGAGTGGTTGGAAAGTGGATTGGAGAGGAAGGGGTGGAGGTGGAGGCTCGAAGGCTGGGTGGTGGGTTGGTGGGCTTTGGCGGAGAGGGTGGCGGATCNNTGTGAGACGGTTAGTGAATGTATAGGAAGAGAGGGAGAGGGGAATATGTACCCAGCGTTCACTTGGTTCGCGAGTTACAGGAGAGGGCGGGCGTGTACGTTCTGCCTCGGGCTCAGGTGTGAGGTTGCGCTCTTCACCTAGAGCCACGGTCGAGGGTGGCAGGGCTGGCAAGTTGGAGGTTGAAAATGGCAGAGGAGGCAAGTTTGAGATAGAAGGAAGCGAGGCTGATGTTGTGACGACAGACGACGAAGAAGAATCGAGAGCAGGAGAGACCAGTGGCGCCAGATACGACGCATCCATATCATCGTCTTGTGCTGCTTCACCGTGTTCAGAACCCCTTGTCGATCCAGTCGTACCATTGGCTGCGACAAAAGCACTCCAATCAGCAATGCCACCAAGACTGACACCATATCTCCTGGTATCATGTCTGTGATTCTCTCTGCCACCAACGAGACGTCCAAAGTCCACACTCTGAGTGTTTCTGACATCGCGTTGGACATGGTCAACGTCATATCCCGTATCACCGATAGGGCCATATCTCTGGCCCCAAAGATCGCTGAAACTGCTTCTGGGAATCTCAACATCAAGGCGAGGTCGATTGGGGTGATTGTAGATGTATGGTCCATTGTTGGGAACTTCAGTCTCTCCTTGATCGACGATGGGTCTTGAGATTTTGGGTCTGTTGTCTTGATCACAGGTCGGTGTTGGAGTGTGACGGCCACGATGGGAGATGCCGAAGAGATCGCTGAGACGGCGATGGTTGCGGCTGCGGGCACGTGTGGTGATGTTTGGATGCAGACATGGACTGGGAGCCAGGTGTGGAGATTCTGGGTCTGCAATGAAGGCGGCTGGCTCAGGGGTCGCGGTGCGGTAGCCAGAATCAGGGTCGGAACTTCTGTTCTGATGAGACATTTCCTCATAGGTCTGGAGGTTGCGCCGGAAGTCTGCTGTGCGGCGATCTGTATTGTCGACATTCTCCATGTCCATTGTCAGGCGGTACAACTCCCTTGGTGGAGACATAACTGCGCAGGCGAGAGGAAAGAGTGTTGCTACAGGGTGTTGTTGTAAAGCGCTGTCTCTGTTGATCCAATGGATTGTGAATACGAGTTACTGCAGAGACGATCTCTCAAAGCAGGGACACATAGGACTGATGCTGGCGCCGAGATGGTATACAGCAAAAGGGAGGGTACGATTGGGAATCGCCGAGTAGTGACGGCGACAGGCTCGATTAAAATGGAGGCCGTGCGCCAGTGAATCGATATACAAAGTCCGGCACCGAGACTAGAGGTCCCGTGACAACAGCGGCAAAGAATGACGAATAGGACATGAGGAAATTGACAAGTTTGTGGGTGTACGTTTTCATACTTTGATTGAAAGGTAAAGGAAGCAGCGGGCCATGGAGAAAGACCAGGTGCGTGGGAGAAAGGAGGTATAGCTTGACCAAAGAGAAAGAGGTATGGAGACGGCACAGCTTATGGGTTCTGTATTGAGAAAGGGGTATGGTAGACGTCGTTGGCATTTGGATTGCCGTGGTTGCACTGAGTTTCTACTCAGGCGTGTTTGCTCTCTGCGCTCAGGGAAGGACGCGCTCCAGTGGTAGCCATGAGGCATGACAGAGCACGTTACGCTGAGAAGAAGACGTGCCGTCTGCGCATGGGCTTAGCAGGTATTTTGAGTGCCATGTGTGGTGGTCGGCGCGTGTCCCTAGGCAGCGATACGACAGGCGAGCTCAACATAGAGCGCGGGCGGATTATGAATTGGGATATCCGGGTCGTGTCGTGCATGTTCATCTTGCACCAGCTCTTTTCTTATCCAGGATCTCAAGCCTGAGCTTCTCGGCAGCGACCTCAACTTCGATCATCTGGCCCACGCCGATCTTCCACTGTTGCTCCAAAGCTTCCAACTCGCCCTTGCGAGCGTTCTGACCGTCTCTTCTTGCCTTGTCAATGTCCTCCAGCTCGATCTTCCTTTGGGAGACTTCGNNCTCGGCGGCGCGTAGAATTGCTTCGAGTTGGTCGTTGGATATCAACCAGGCGTTCTTGCCGTATGTTTCCAGTAGTGATAGATTGACTTGACGCGATTCTAGGTACTCCGAGGAAGCGTATGCTTGTTGAAGGGTTGCGCGCCATTGTTCGATGTCGTTTATCGGCGGTGCATCCTGGGCTTCGTATCGTGACAGGTCAATTCCAGCCTCTTTCTCTGCTCCTGAAGCTAGACGGTCGTGCTCGGCGTTTACAAGGTCGCTGAATTTGATGGGTGTACGCTCGGGTATCGAAGAGTGGAGTGTCGTCTTGTGATCTTGGGGCAGTTCGGCTTGGATGAGAGCGCGTGCTGAATTGAGCTCCTGCTCTGACGGCACCGCGTCGATGTCTGTTGCGTTGGTCAGCGCATATCATTTATGATTCATTATTCCGTCCTTACAAGGCAAGTAATCTTGTGAGCTCTGAATCAAAGGCATCTTGTTTGATGTGTGGAGTTGGAAGAATTGAATTGATCAAGCCTCAGGTCGACGTTCGTGACCACGCCAAGAAGCAACTTCCTCCGTCTCAAAGGGAAGGAGCTTTTCAAGATGACCTGCCATTTTTAAGAAGACATGATTCCAGTTTTGAGGGGAAAAGAAGGCCTCGAGACGTCCTCATAACAACGTCTCTTCATGGATGTCCTTCGATTCTGGAACATTTGTATATCCCTACAAATACGATGCGCCTGTTTTTGATCAATGGTGAGGATGGTTTCGCTGAACTAAGTCCGCTCCAGCGTCTCCAGGCAAGTCTTGCTTTCCAAATCAACCTCCTTCTGATACCTTCGTCTTCTGCGACATCAAACCCGTCTTGTCTCGTGAGTCACGTACGTAAAAAGCGATATGCTCATCGTCATTCTTGATCCTTTGCCAAGCTCCATTCAGCCTGACGATCCACCAACCTCTTGGTCTTGGTGAGGCAGTGTTATACCGGCACTTTCGCTAACGTGACCTATCATCCCATACTTCTATCAATATCACTACTGTTACTTTACCTTCAAGCTCAATTGACTCAACCTTAACATAGCACACCTCGAGTTTCACGACTTCATCATGGCTCCCATCAAATCCTACGAAATGGTCACGACAAACCTCAAGCGTACAAAAGCCGAACTCAGAGATGTCAGCACCGGCACAGCAGCTTACGAAGTGGATCTTTCCTTCACAACTACAGACATGCGCTCTGCAAAACCCGGTCGCCATGGTATAGTCCTCCAGACACCATCTTCATCCGACCACCAAGTCCTCGGCACCTGCGACTTTTCCTTCAGCTCCACAACCACACCCATTCACCTCGGTTTCGGCGATCCTGTATCCTCTCCAGAAACCGTAATCTGGGAAGACATGCACATCCGCGAAGTACTCAAACAATCAGGATTCGAACTCAGCATCGATCTCGGTGGTGACATTGGACGCAACGTCTTTCAATGGAAGCGCACGGCTGAGATCGAGAGCAAATCGACATTGAGCCAGAAGATGGATTGGCTGCATCTAAAGATGGTCGAGGTGGAAAGTGGTGCAGTAGTTGCGAGATTTGTGCACAATTTTATGTTTGGGAGCAAGAGAGGCACATTTGAACTTGAAGAGTTCGAGGGTGGCAGTGATTGGGATAGAGTCGTTTTGTTGGGTGGGTTGGCGGTGCTGGAGTATATGAGGAAGAGTCAGGGGTGGTCGTGGTGAGTCCGTGACTTCTATACGAATATATGTCAGACGCTGTTGTAGGTTTCAAGCCCTTGTAAATCTCCTTCGTCGTTTCTGCACGAAGAGTATATAGTAAATAGTTTGAGCCCGCCCGATGGGCGAGACTGGCACTCAACTCACCTGATCTTCAAGTTATAATCTCCCAATCGAGGATATTCACCTCCACAAGACAACAAGGCAGCGTGGAAACCAATACGATGGCTAAGAGACTTTACCAGTATATCTGCAAGATAATATCATGGCAATCTCGATCAATATCGCTGTCGCTGTCGAGATATATCGTCGCCAGATCTTCAGACAGGGTCATACACCAAGCATCCACCTCCCGCCTAAACGCCTACAAGGCCTCACTCCATCAGCCCATTCACTCTCCCAGTCAAACACAGCAAACACCTTACATAATCAACCTCCCCTCCCACCACTATAAAAGAAGCCCCTCCCTCGCCCTCCTCTTTCCTCCTACAAGTCTCTTGCCTTTTGGCTTAGATCAAGTGTAGTATCTGTTCTTCATAGTTTAATCGCTGTGACCGGTCTACGGACCGTCAAAATGATTATTCTTATTTTTGGAACGAGCTGGCAGACCTCTGGGCTTGCTCACGTCTGCTGGCACAGTGTCGCTCGTATTGCACTACCTCGAGCTGACGCGAAGTCACCTTTTCTTTTCATTGATTGTCTGGCTCAAGGGCTGGGGATTGAAGAAGAGTTTTTTTGCTTATGAGAGATCGATAGAGGATGTTGTGATGTTGTCTTGGTGATGTGATGCCTGTTTTGGGTTGGTGCAGAGATTTTCTCCGAGACAGGAGCGGATGTACGTGTCACGACGCTTCACTGCGCGTGTTGTGTCGGTGTATTCGTTTGATCAAATGTCCACTACGGGGCATTCATTTCTTTTGGCTACTCCATTCAATTGAAGATTATCATTCACTGCCTGCCGCTGTGAGGCTGGGGCTACTCAAAGGACACGCTCAACAAACCCAAAGAAAAAGAACTCAAAGGCAAACACGCTGCGCTGAAGACAAAATCAAAATGCCCACCTTTCCAATCAAGACCGAAGAGGTTTTCTCATCACATTCGTAAACTCGTCAAATCATATAATCCATGCCTTTCCAGTCCTCCTTCACTTTTTCCAACGTGTTAATGTGAAACATCTTGGCCTCTATCAACGTCTTTCCTGGCTACGACTTCCTAGACGATGGCGCACGACTCAGATGCCTATGCTCTCGATGCTCGCGATGCTCCCGATACTCACGACCCTGCTCTTGCCCNTCAGCACCACCACTAGTAGCATGCCTTGTACTCCCCGAAGACCTCGTAGGCGCACGAGACGTCTGGCTCGCACTCCTCAAATACCTGCGCTCACCACCAGCAACCGTGCCAATCGTGACCTCCACCATGCCAGGATCGTTGATCGAGCGAAAGGACACTTCGCGATCACCCATGTCGCCGCTGAGCTGGATCTTGGTGTCCTCGGCCGCGGCGATGGGCATGATGAGTTTGACACTGCCTTCTGCGCCGCGGTGCCGTGATGAGGTCTCGCTCATGCTGTGTTGGCTGCGGCGGTGGCTGTGGTTGCTTCGTGTGCTGCGGGGTCCGCTGGGGAGTTGGCGGAGTGTTTCTGCTGTTATCCTTTCTTCGGGGTGACCTCTTGCTTGATCCATGTAGTCGATGGCGGCATGTTCCTGGTTCGGGTAGCCACTGCGGCGGCCGTGATGGTCGTACTGGACGTAGGTTGGGTGTAGAGGGTCAGAGGCCGAGGTTTGTTGGGTCCAGGTGGTTGCGTTGGAGCCTCGTCTGCCGCCTGGATAGGATCGCTGGTCCTCGTACTCTGGATACTCGGCGTGAGAATGTTGATCCCAAGTAACTTCAGGTGGGTATGCGCGCCGGTAACCATACGCCGACTCTGCTGGATAGTCAGATCTTGACCTCGAATGACCACTCCGGTGAACTTGCTGCACCGCCGATGTGGTGGCACGTTGAAAGGAGGANGGCCGCATTGGCTGTTCATAGTATTCAAGACTATCCGGTGGCGACTCGGAAGAGTAGGTATCCGAATCAAAGCCTCCTGGCACATGTTGTGGCTTGGTGGGTAAGTTTCGAGCCGAGAAATGCTCATCATCATCGGGAGAGAAAGGAGCAGAGGAGGTATCGTATGTCGAAATCTTTGATGAAAACTTTGGCAACGAGCTCGAAGCCTTCGTTCTTTCGGGATGATGGATTGCAGGCCTGGCTGGCACTTTCACGGGTGACGGTGGTCCTCCTACTCCAGGCAGAGATGGTGGCATGGATACACCAGAGGGCGCATACATACTAGGATGAGGTGGAGGCAGCATACCGGAACGAGGAGGGGGCAGCATACTGGAGTGCATTGGTTGTGACCTCGTGTCGAAGACTGGTACCATGTGTGGAGGACATCCTCCTGGGAAAGTGGTACCAGGTGGATACATCGGTCTTACTCCAGGTGGTAGCATATGTCCTGGGTGTATGACACCAGACGGTGGACCATGACGAACGACTAAAGGTGGGCCATGAGAAGGCCTTGCGGGAAATGTGTGAGCACGATGATCATGTTGGAGAGGGTTGGGTCCTGGCCTTGAACCATGTCGGGGTGCATTCATACAGTCTGGGCAACGACAAGGAGGCTCATTNGGAAGGGCGCTTCTCGCGAGGATGTCTTTCCGGACTCCGTGGTCTTTCCTCTTTCGAGGCCTTCCTGGGGCTNNAGGTGGAGGAGGAGCTTGACTAGGTCGCCTTGATCTGTGCGGCTTTTTGACTCCTGGCTCGGAGCTCACCTCATCCTTTGCTCCTGCTTGAGTTGCAGGCTCCTCGGTCTGTCGCGAGGGAGCATCCTTGACCTTGGGAGGAGGAGCCTCTAGTTGTCCATTATCACTAGCTGATCGTGCTTTGCTAGGAAAACTTCGTCTCGTGTTCGAAGTCTTGCGGCTCCTCTTGGACGCGGAGTTGGAAGCCGGTTTAGAAGCGCTGGAGTCACCTTTCTCATCATCCGAGTCTGCACAGTCCTCAACAGTGGCCGCTTGTGGATGCTTGCCAGCAGGATTTGTGTCCGCCATGGTGCGGTGTAGTCTGATAAAGTTGCTCAATGACCCACGCCAGTACTCGGCAGGAGAGGCGGTGGGCCGATCGAGTGCTAGATATTCCGCAAAATGCGGTCAGGCATCAAACGTGGGGGTGAGCAGATGCAACAGTATAGAAGGTTTCCTTTATCGCGAGATGCGATAGGTGCTGTTTCTCGATTTGGTCGCAAGGCTTGGAGAAAAGTCAGACATTGCTGCAGAACAGAATCATGCAGAAGAAAGAGGGAGTGTCATTGTTCTGGAAACAGAAGAAAGAAAAAGGAGATGACTGTCAAGAAACCAGGCAAACGCACCGCGAACTTCCGCCCAAACTGCTGGCGAATGGCGTTTGCACATGCAGATTCGGCTAATACGACCGGTCAGCGAATGGATACCACCACCTGTTCTTGGGCACTGCAGTGTGGAGGCAATCTCCGAGGGCAGATTGGGAGACAGTTTGCGGCCTGAAAGGGTGCGAGGTGTTCTTGTGATCTGGAAGCTGGGTCCGTAGGGCTGCAACGATAGATGATATGGAAAGGAAAATAGATGATGGGCATCAACAACCGGGTCATTGCGGGATTACATATCACCTTGCCAACCGCGTGAGAAATGTGGTCGGTCTTAAGTACCTGTGGCCACAGTAGCAATCTATCATCGAATTTCATTACCTCTCGTCCACCTCCTACGACGGTTCCTTGGATGTGAGAAGGAACGACACAGCTTGTTGACTGGCGGCACGTCGAAGGGTGTGCGATGCGGGGCTCGCATTGGCCAATGCAAGCGGGATTCCACCTTTCCTACCACATGTTCTGTCCATCTCCGTCCCATCAATCCGGTTTGCGACAGGAGCGAGACAGCACGAACTGGATGGAAGAATAACTTTCTTCCTGTGTGCCAACGACTGTGAATGCATGATACGAGAAGAAAGTGGTTTCCATGGAGAAAACGATTTCGGCCTGGCTTCATGACCACACTTCTGTTCGAGAAGCGAATGTGCGTCTTGATAGCTTGCTTACAACGGCATCGGATCTCGTGATAGGATACAGGACTGCATCGTGACGGTCTTCAGCATAGGGAGGTCAGGTCGACTTTGATATTATTTTGTCTGAGGAAAGCACACCCCACAAGTCGTCCGATTTCAGCAATGATGCGCGTACCCTGCCTGACGACATGCAAGCTGAAAGTGCTTGGGGCCGATACACTTATTCTCCGAACCTAGCATCTCGGACATCATTGTAATGTTGTCGGACATCGTCGTCAGCATGGGCGACGTATATGTTGAGGCTCGACGGCCTATTTGTCTTTTGACACTTGTTCGCTCGACGTGCACAAACAGCTTGCTTTTTGATACTATCACCAACTTGACACCCGTACAAACGCTGCCAATATATATCGCCAATCAGCTTACAGCACTTGATACGATACGATAAGAGACATTGTGCACAATGCCTCATTTGGAGGAAAAGATTCGCATCGCGATTGCCGGCGGAGGCATCGGAGGCCTCTGTCTCGCAGTCGGTCTCATGGACTATCCCAACCTTGACGTACACATCTACGAAGGCGTACCAGAGTACACCGACATTGGTGCCGGACTTGCGCTGCACAAGAATGCCATCACCGCCATGGATCTCATCCACCCCGCAATCAAAAAGACGTACTTCGCCAAAGCCCTCACCATGGCTGGAGAGGAAGACGAGGAGATGGTCACTCAAGTTGTTCTTGTCAGTGGACCCAACACCGGAGAACTGGTTGCAGAGCTGGGTAAGGCAAAAGGTCGCAGGACCGTGGCAAGATCGGATTTGCTTGACGGGTTACTGGCCTTGTTGCCCAAGGACCGTGTTACTTTTGGCAAGAAGCTCGACAGCATCAAAGAAGATGAAGCCAGTGGCAAGGTGACACTGGAATTCAAGGACGGCACGACAGCGGAGGCCGATTGTCTGCTTGGTGCAGATGGTGTGCATAGTGGTACTCGCAAACATATCCTTGGACCGGATCACCCAGCCGTACCGCCGAAGAATCCTGATGGCTGGAGAGTACACTCACGTCAAGTGCCCATGGAGCTTGCAATGAAGACGATCGACTCGAAATGGAGGCGGACAGTACCAATTCTCTGTGGCAAGGAAGGTCACGTCAACATGATGCCGCTCCACAAGGGAGAAAAGTTGAGCATCATTTGTGTGACACGTACTGGTATTGCAAGTGATGGCAGTCTCGCGCCCTTTGAGAAGGAGCGTTTTGCAGATTACCGTGAGGACGCAAGAGCCGCCGTCGAGGTAAGTCACGGATGCAGCTTTACCAAGGACGGACACTGTACTGACCCAATCCGCAACAGCNTGGTTGCCGAAGATCCTGCCATAACTTGGGAGCTTCAACAACATGAACCGGCACCCTACTACAACCAACGCAACATTGCTGTAATGGGTGATGCAGCACATGCATGCATGCCTTTCGTTGGGCAGGGTGCAGCTCAAGCCATCGAAGATGCCGCTGTCCTCACCGCGCTCTTCAAGCGTGTAGAGTCAACATCGCAGATAGAGAAGGCACTGACAGCCTACGATCAAGTTCGCAGACCCCGTGCACAAGCCGTTGTCACCATGGGCTGCGACTTTGGCCGCCTGTACGATTTTGCGCTACCGGGTGTTGGAGATGATCCGGTCAAGATGAAGCAGTTTATGGGCAAAGCAGCGGCTTTCACCAACAACGCCGACCTAGGAAAGCAGAATCAAGACGCTTTGGACGCGTTCGAGGCTTTGATTTAGATGTCGTGTATACGTCTAGTCTAGCTTGACATGCACGACATCAACGATTGACAGGCAAAGGAAAAACTGTCGAGGCTTGGTCGGTGTGTTAGCTAACGCGTTGATGTTGAGACATCGGTACTCCGACACAAGTATCGATGCTTGTGTATCATGATCTTTGTCACTTCGGAATATGTCCATTATGATATCCTATCACATCTGCAAGTCAATCTTTGTGACGAAAAAGAAGAACCAATCATCTAGCCCAGCGAGCTCTTTCGCTTGATATTGGTACTTGTATCTTCTTGAGCGGTTACACTGCTTCGGCCGATGACAGCTTGGCCAAGTCACTCGAGTAGTGCAGGACTCGAGAATGAAATGCCACCACCTTATCTATACATGCCGATCTCCACTGTACCTCCATCTCGTCCCGCATTCCTGATCTGGAGCAGAGAGACGACTGACAGTATACCCAAGCAAGGTCTCACATCGGCATCATGTCCAACCATCTTTATTTCCGTGATACAAAGCATACACTCTATCCCCATCGTCGAGAATAGGACCAAATCATTGCGCCATCCTCGCCCTTTCTATAGCGAATAACGCAACAACACGCAATGGCCTGATAATCATGATTGGTCTGTGTGTCTTTCTTTTGCTAATCCTACACACCATGGAGCCTTTTCACCGCTCTTTGGTGTACCCCGCTTCTTTGTACAGCCACCAGTCACGCAACCGTCTCGCTACTATACTGGTGATTTCCTTGTCCTTGTTCTTGCTCAAGCAAAAGTGGGCTCAAGGGACCAAGGGATAGTTCGGCGATATGCTTTTCTTGGCAATTGTAGTAGGTACAGCAGGAAAAGGGGGTTTGGCGGTTGTTTCACAGGACACAGCACTTCAACCCCTGTTTTGCCAAGTGTAGCAGAGACATCAAACCTTCCTTGAAGTTTGAAAATCTTCTTACACACGAGAGAATGACAAGCTTCAAGGTCTGTTTCAAAACACGACAGCCGTTGCAAAGGAAGGAGACATTTGAGACAAAGCGTGGGGGAGTGAGGTGCGGGGTAGCCATAAGTAAACAAAACAGATTGCCCAATCCAGACATCAGTCTAATATGGATAGTCATGGCTACCATCCAGCCAAAAGAACAAGCCCTAGTGACATACATCACCGAGAACCCTTCTTCACAGTAAGCTAGAGACTCTGTTTTGCATAGAAGAGTGGGCAAGAAACGATAAGGCGCTCCCAGCCGCCGCTTTCCAGAAAGAAAGCGGGAACGCGGACAGGAGGGAGGCCTTATCCAAACAACAAGAAACCCATGACATCAAAGCAGCAGCCGCTGAGCAAAACTCTGGCAGGTTTGACAGCGATATGCAGGGTGTTTGTGTGTGGCCTGAAACTGTTTCTGGTGCTTTTGACTCATACTCTATAGCTCCTGAGTCATTTTGTGACATCTGACAGGAGGTATTGTAGAGAGGGGTAGAATGCTTATTGGATATCATGATTCACCTCATGGGGAGGGGTAGGGAGGAGAGGCAATGCGATATCATGATATGCCTCAGAAGGAGCGACTTGTGTACATGCTACACGCGATCAAAGTTACTCGCCAATCTCATCACATGCAAAACCAATACATCACAAAGCGACGAAAACCACATCAGACGAGAGGCAGATAAATGATGAGTAAAGAATTGTAGAGCGTGAGCTCAAGCAGTGTATTTTTCTGTGACTGTGCCTCCCCATATGCCCCAAAAACACCATGAGAAGCGAACTCCCATGTGTAATATCTGTCGGTAAGCAAAAAAGAGAAAAGCCATCCGCATGCATAAAAATCATTCGGTATTCGCATTCGCCGTAGATCATGAAATCAAGATGCAAAAACAAGAAGCTTGGGTATCGATCAAAAAGCGAGAGTTTGCAAGGAAAAGAGAACAAACACCGCAACAAAACCAAAACCATAAAAAGCGAGTGGAATCAATGCAAACAAAACCAGGCCGAGAACTCCGAAATGCTGTGTGTAGTCCGAGGAAGAGAGGAAAGAACGATAGAAAGCGTAGAGATCATGACGAGAGAATAAGAATCATCATCCAGGAAGCGTCGTTTTTCGAATCTTTTCGTCATAGAAGAGCCATCCATCGTGATAAGAAAGAAAGAGACGTGATCAGAGCAAGAGGAAAGCAACAAGAAGCATCATCGACTAGATCTTCTTCCCCTCATCTCATTGCGCAGTTGCTCCAAGATTTCATCGTGCTCACTCACAGTCCAGAGGTGAGGACTGGGTGCCACAAAGGAATGAGGTCTTCCACTCAAGGTCCTGAGTCTCTTGAACCTAGGTCGTTGAAGTTTCGGACGGTGGGTTCGTGGTGAGGGTGCGGTGACAGGTCTATCCATTTCATCGAGGTGAAAGTTGTTCTTGCGGCGCAGGACACGGCTGCGTCGACGATCTGCCTCCCAACCATCTGCCTCCTCATCTTCTTCGTGGATGATGTCTTTGAGTGTTGTCAGNGAAGGCAGGCGAGTAGGTGGTGACGAGGATGGTGAGCCAAAGCCTTCAAGGTCGTCGATGATGAGTTCGGGCAGTTGGTCTTCTGACGGCGGTGTCCTCGGTGCCTGTTGTGACTTTTGCGGTGGCGGCGAGCGGCGTGACGACAAGAAGTTCCCCCATTTCTCTTCCAACCTGACGCGGAAATTTGTTCGCTTGTGCTCTACTTCCTCGTCGAAGGGNGTGTCGATGCCGGCATTGTAGTCGAGGCCGTCAAAGGGGTCGTCTTCGTCGAGTACGGGTGATAGGAAGTGTGAGAATGGGTCCTCGTCTATGTCGTCCACAGGAGGCGGCGACGGGCTCTTGCTATTGCTCTTCGACATGTTGGTTGTCATGGATTGGAGATTGGGCCATGTTGTACGGCGAGATTGCTTTTGTGCTGCTGCAGAGGTGGACATCAAGGTAGAGTGTAGGCAGCAACCAGGCAGCGTTGATGTGAGGCGGTGTTGGTTTTAGGGTGTCGTAGACGTTGTGGGTGTGCAGTAGTGGTAGAGTAGTGTAGGCAGCAGAGGGGAGTGAGGATGGGTGGGCTGTGCTGTGACTGAAATGACAGACTTGTGCAACAAGAAAGAGTCACCAAATGAGAAAAGCGAAAAACTTAGAAGATCAGGACTCCCAACAACGACGTAGCGTATGACAGAGAAGACGCAAAGACTCGAGGATCTCTGCGGGACGGGGTTAATATAAAATGGGATATACGAGCAGAGATGTGGATGGGGAGCCAGAGCATGGGAGGAGGGGCAACCGCAAGGATCGGATAGCATATATGAATGATTACCAGCTATCAAGTGAAACGGTCATCTAGGAAATGGCCTGGAAATAGGCACAACGGCTCTCCCTCTCACCGCTCACGCGAACAAGTAGATCAACCAAGGACCGCTTGCTAGACCAAGCGTCTAGCCGGCACATGATGGCGCCCGGACGTTGGGAATAATGGTCGCGATATGGGGACACGGCCCTTCTGCCTCTTGGATGCGTCAAAGGTGCCAAAGGGTCAGATCATCAGATGTGGACGGTGGATTGAGGGAGGGAGTCATGCCGTACGCGACAACGCGCCGTCTGACTCTTGGCTCCTCGTGTATCTGCGCCGCGTCAAGCTTGATTCGTGATGATCATGATGGCGAAGCTGCAAAGCCAAAGAGATTAAATTGCATGCATGAATTGCGAAGCTGCAAAGTACCAAGGTACATCACAAAATGGCAAGAAGCATGAATTGACGACGGGAAAAGGAAACCATAAAAGAGCATCGCGGAGAGGAAAGAAGGACCGTAAACAGCAAGACAAGAGTCAGTCCAGCCAGGCTTCTCGATGTACATTAGAAGGGCCCAGCACGCCTTGAAATCTCCCATGCTCCCTTTAGGACCGGACCGCAACGCAACAGCACGGAAACAAGAAAAATAAAACGATCTCATCACTAGAGCAGCAAAATGACAGAGCCAAGAAGCCCTTTTTCGTAAATGAATGATTCGAAAGAGATGTACACCGGTGCCTGTGGCTGTGGCAGCGAGCGGCCTACACACCCTCTTCCTGCTATCGCTGGCTGGACACAAGTCATGCGGATGTCGTGCACGCTCGAAAGGAAAAGTGACCAAGAGACGCGATAGGATGCGTGTGTGTGTGCATGAAGCACCTTGATTCGCACGAACGCTACAAATGCATCTGGCCTTTGCTCTCCTGCACTGCACCTCGTCGATCTTCAACTCCCTGATTCGTACACCCGCATGACGATGCCACTTGTTCAAGCCTCTTTTGACTGCTCTCGATCTACACGCCTTTTACGCAATCCATTGCGACTGGTCTTATCAAGGATGGCGAAGCATAATAGATTGGCTTGCCGCAACAGCAATGATTTACTTTGCAGCGGTGTGTAGAGACAAGGCTTGCATGACGCTTGGCTGCGATTCGTGATTTGCGATCCTCTTTGCGGAGAGAGGAGAAGGTGGAACATCTTTGCAGATCACCGTCGAGGGCATGCAGGGTCTCGGTGCTGTTTTTTACTCCCTTTTAACCGTTGACTTGTTTCATACCGTGTTCTGTCGCCCGAGGGCGAGGCTCTCTTGACTGTTGTTTTGTTGTCTGCCGGCGCATACGGCAACATCGTTAGACGTTTCTGACGAGTGTGATTTGCATTCTTCTTGTTTCTTTGGTACGTATGACTTCAATGGCAGCAGACGGTTGCTATCGAGTTCTCTTATCTTCTCAAGACGCTGTCACCGGTATATATACTCGTGACTTTTTCTGGACTGTGATCTTGCGTGGCATTGCGCAGCCTTTGTTTCCGGCCTGCTACGCCACTGCGTCAAGTCTTGTTACGGCCGGGAAAGACGGAAAGAAGGGAGAGGCTGGCTACTCAGGTAAATTGCACGATAGGGCAGGCAGAGTGAGATGGTACTTTCGACGTCAGGTATGTTTGAGGATCTTGTTACAAGTTGCCCTGTCTTTCCCTCATCCGCTTAAGCTGTTTTCTAGCCTTCTAGGGCGCAACACATTGACTCTAAGGACTCGAATACTTGTACTTGTACTGCTTCTGTGCCTCATCCCTAAGCTTCTCCAACTCGGCATTCTTGTCTCCAAACTCCTTGTCATCCTTAAGCTTTTGCAAAAAGTTGTCATTGGTGTAGGGCGAAGGTCCAGGGATGGCTTGACCCTTTTGGACTGCCGGGCGATCGTTGATCGACTTCCACCACTTCTCGAGGTTGGGGAATTTGCTGAGGTTGACGCCGGAGAAGTAGGCTAGGTTGACCCAGCTGTAGTTCGCAATGTCGGCGATCGAGTACTTGTTGCCGACGAGGTAGGAGTTGTCCTTGAGCTGGTTGTCCAAGATGCCGAAGAGACGTTCCGTCTCACCTACGTAGCGCTATATGACACAAAAGGCGGTCAGTATGCGGGATCGAACCTTGATGCAGGTGGAAAAGGAGTCAAGTCCGGAAAGTCTATGTTTACGTACCTGGGTGGGGTAGGCGATTCTCTCCGGTGCCAGTCTGAAGAAGTGGTTGGCTTGACCTTGCATGGGACCTAGACCGCCATGCTGCCAAGCGACCCATTGCTCTTGGTACGACAGCTGAGGGTCCTCCTTGAAGGAGAACTTGTTCTCCGAGTCTATTTATGCAGGTCAATATACCAGTCCAACCTTATAACCCATAGATCGGAGACTCTTACCGTAGTGTCTAGCAAGGTACGCAAGGATGGCTNNGGGAATTAACAGATCGAGTCAGCTTGACACTCGCTTTCAGCGATCCTCATAATCGATGTAAGACTCACCAGCACCCTCCTGGATCGCAAGACCACCCTTGTCGTGATCAACTAGAACAGGAATGCGACCATTGGGTCCCAATTTTGTGAACCAAGGTTCCTTTTGTGTGTTCTTCATAATGTTGATGCTCTGGTAGATATAGTCCTTGCCATAGGCCTCCTTCAACTCCTCCAGAAAGATTGTAATCTTGTGGCCATTGGGAGTGCCGAAAGTCAAGAGCTCAAGACCCTTGTTGGCCTTCAAGCCAGTGGGCTCAGGTGCGTCGGAAGACATGATGTTGGAGATGGGTTTGGCGATTGCTTCGGGTAGTACACGAACGTGTTGGCGTTGGGTTTGTGCAAGGCGAAGAATTGGACTGCGAAGGAACATTTGGACGAAGGACCTCGCAGAATAAGTGGTGCAACAAGGTCCGCGACAAGATTGTGTAAGCAGCGAGCTCCCCTCAACGTCATTATTGACAATTTGGGGAGAGCTGAGAACCCCGCAATTTATCTCCGGTTGCTCCAGTGGTGATCAAGTAATCAGTAATGAAGTGTAAAGACACATGAAGATATACCCTCTCCATGCGTAATGAGCAGTCACAGTGTAGTTGTAAAAATACACGATACCTTCTATAACAGATTGATATCCATGGAGAGAACATCACGTTCAGGTATCTCCATGGTGACACCTCTGTTCAAAAAGAGACTGTGCATTCTTATAGCTGATTATAACAAAATTATTCAGTATGGGAGAGAGGGAGAGGTCATGGAAGACTGACATAGATTCTCTTAAGGAATGCTTTTTCTCGTGCGGGTATACTAAACAGTTCATGAAAAATCTCAAAACGCCCTTCGCAATGCTCGTAACGCCATAATTTTCCCTTCCATCATCTTGCCCATTTCCTTAAGCAGCAGCAGCGATCGTCTTCGGTAAAGTCGCAAACGCACATTCAAAGGCCGATTTCTTCCTTCCATGCTCGGCTTCGGTGATACCAAGCTTACGAACCACCTTCATCGAGCCAGTTCCGATTGTCATGATTTGCCCCATAATAATGCACTCCGAGACACCTTCAATGCGATCTCTCTTCATACCAACTGCAGCATTGAACAGATGATCAGGAGTTTTCTCGAAAGATGCAAGCTGCAAGACCGAGTCTCTCATCTTCGCAAGACCGAAACGTGTGATACCGAGGACATCACCCTTGTAGGTCATGACGTCTGCGAGCAACTGCATGTGACGGGGATCGATATCCATACCTCCCATGACACTGCTGATTTCCGCGATAATGGTGCTGCGAGCGGCCTCGATACCGAGGACATCCTTGGCCTCCATGACGTTGTTGGAGCGTGTTCTGATGCCGTCCACACCTTCGGTTGTCATACAGGCTTTCAAACCATAGCCTTCCACCAGCACGGAAACGGGCTCGCGGCCAGTAGCATCAGGTTTGTCGTCCTTCTTAACAATGGCACGTGCGCAGTCTGGGTAGCCCTTTACGACCACGTTGGGGAGGATACGCTTCAAGTCTTGAATGATGTCGAAAATCTCGAGGGGTTTGCGGGTCTTGTTAAGTGCTGCTTTGCCACGGGGCTCGGGGACGTGTTGGACATTGACGCGGATATGTGTTTTGCCGACTGGTGCGACTTGTACGCCGAGTGCCTTGACGGCCTTGCTTTTGGCGATGGCGAACGTGATGTCTTGGGTTGTCAGGCGGAGACCAAGCTTCATCACTGTATCCCAGTTGATGCGCATGTTGACGTAGGAGCTGGTGACTGACCAGACGTCCTCGATGTATGCGATGATGTCGCGGAGGTATGTCTTTTCGATCATTGCCTTTGCCACACGGCCGGCAACAGTTTCGTACTTTGAATCAAGCGTGCACGAGATGACCNNTGAAGAAAAATTAGCAGGTCTCAATGAATTTGGATTGAACCCGCTCACAGGAGTACTGATGATACGGCTGGCATTTATAATNTCTAATGGTGCGATATTAGCAGAGTTTATAAATTTTCGGATAGAAACCACTTACTCCTTAATACGGGGTACACCCTGAGTAATACTCATACCGGCGACACCAGCAAAATGGAAAGTTTTGAGAGTCATCTGTGTACCAGGCTCACCGATAGACTGGGCACCTGTGGCACCCACGGCGTGACCTGGTTGGACCTTGGAGCGCTCATACTTGGTCAAGCACAGCATGAGGAACTCCTTGATAGCAGCGGTTGAGATCTTGAGTACACCATCGGCGACAGTCCTGTGCTCACAATCATCTGCCACAGCAGCATCAATGTCGCCAGAATCTACAATGCCAGACTCCATGCCAATCTTTGTGCGGATAGCAGCCAGCTTATCACACTTGATCTGAATGTAGTTTTGAACCGTATCGAGGAAATCACGAGCACTCTCCAGCTGGTCGATACCGTGATCACTTCTGTCGTTGTAGCCAAGCTTCTCGCCAGTCAGAGAGATACGCTCGAGCTTTGCTCTCTCGGGGTCGAGAGTGTCGGTCGTGATTTGCATAATCTCAGATGGTCTCAAGCCACGATCGTTGAGGTCCCATGTAGTAGTAACGGCGTGGGTGAAACTGCGGTCGAAGTGTACAGGCTTTGCACTGCCCTCCATATCCACAGGATCAAGTTTGTCGTCTCCGTATTGGAACTGAACGATACCAGAAGATGAGTTACGGACAGTGTTGTCGTATTGCGCCGATAAGTCTTCAAGTGACTTCATCAGACGACGAGACATGTAGCCAGTTTCGGCGGTCTTGACAGCGGTATCGACCAGACCTTCACGACCAGACATGGCGTGGAAAATGAACTCAGTAGGGTTCAGGCCTGAGAAGAAACTGTTTCCAACGAAGCCTTTGGCAGGTGCATCTCTGCTACCCTTGGCGAAGTGAGGCAGAGTGCGGTCTTGGAAACCTTCCAATACACGCTTACCACCGATAATTTGCTGGCCTACAGCAGCAACCATCTGGGAGACGTTAATGTTCGAACCCTTGGAACCACACTTGGCCATGACGAGGGGAGAGTTGCGACGACTGAGCTCAGCGAAACAAGCGTCACCAGCTTCTTGACGAACTTTCGAGAGAATACCAGAAATCTGATTCTCCATGGTCATCTCTTCGTCGCAACCAGGGTCACGCTCCAGCTCTCCCTTGTTGTAGAGGTCAATAAGCTCGTAACATTTTGCCTCTGCTGTTCGGATGAGATCCATCTTCTTGGCTGTCAGTGCATCACTAGGGTATACATCGCTGATGCCGAGCGAGAACCCTTGGTTAGTGAGCCAGCGTGCGGACAATCTAGCGAGACGGTTCATAGCATGGACGGCATAGTCGGGACCAAAGTCACGCATGATCACGTAGAAGACCGAGTCCTTCTTTCCGTCACCGACTGTTGCCTTGTCCATGTAACCGCACATGACCTCTGAGTTGCGGATGACCAGGTAAGCATCGTCCTCGTTCATATCTGGCGCCACACCCTTAGGAGGAGCCTTGTATTGCTTGCACTTTGCTTCCAGGTTGACCAGAACGTTTAGTTTCTTGTTTGGTCGCATCAAGACGTTCCAGATTTGCTTGCCAGTCCACAGGCGTTGCGGCTTCCAGACAGTAGGTGGGGGTAGCTCAATAGACAGCTTCTCTCCAGTCTCGGGGTCCTCAATCACATCGTCGTGGAACATGAAACCAATGATTTGACTGAAAGTCTTGCGATCGAAGAAGTTGTCCTTGATGGAAGAAAGGTAGGCTCCTGTGATGAAATCCTGAATAGCAGCAATGATGGGAGTACCGTTCTTTGGTGTAGCCAAGTTGTTCTTGACACCCATCAGGTTGATGGCTTCGGTACGTGCTTCCTCAGTTTGCGGAACGTGCAAGTTCATCTCGTCTCCATCGAAATCGGCGTTGTAGGGGTTGCAGACACACTCGTTGAGACGGAATGTCCTCCACGGTCTGACCTTGACCTTGTGACTGAGAATACTCAGTTTGTGAAGTGAGGGCTGACGGTTGAAAAGAACAATGTCGCCATCTTCCAAGTGTCGCTCAACAACATCGCCGATTGCCAGCTCCTTGGCTATGAGATCCAGCTTTCCGATGCGCTCCACGACTTCCAAGACCTTCCTTTGACCATCCTTCTTGATCACAAAGTTGGCACCAGGGTGCTTCTTCTTTCCTCGTAGGACACACGCGCGGAGCTTCTCGATGTTGTATCTAGTAACGCGCTCGGGGTAGGTCATGTTGGTAGCGACTTTGGAGGGAACGGCGACCTCTTCGATACTGAGGTTGGGATCGGGAGAAATGACGGTACGGCCAGAAAAGTCGACACGCTTTCCTGAAAGGTTACCTCTGAAACGACCTTGCTTACCCTTGAGACGCTGACAGAAACCACGAAGGGCTTTACCATAGGCAGAATCGCGACCAAGACCGGGTAGATTACCGTCGATGTACATGGCGATCTGAACCTGCAGGAACTCCCACATGTCAACAATCTTCATGACTGGCTGTCCAGACTTGAGACCAGCAGAGAGAAGAGTGTTGATTTGGATGATATCTCCGAGCTTGTTTGTGATGTCGTCTTCTGTGCTTGCGGCTTCCTGAGCGACTGATGGGCGGATGGCGACTGGAGGGGCGGGGAGGTATTGCCAGATGAAGGCTTCTGGACGGCCTCTGCTCGGATCCATACCTAGCAACTCGACGTCGGTTGTTGAAATTCTCTGGAACAAGTTCAGGGCTCGCAGGGGNTTCATGTCGTCGACGGCGCGTTTGGCGTGCTTTTCGAGGTCCGGAACACCCTTCTTGGCCTCTTCGAACGACTTCTCAAAGGCAACCATAGAGGCAGGCTTGACCTTTGACTTTGCATTGGAGGCGAGATACGTCTGCCACTTGACGTGGATGAGCTTGATGGGATGTCCTGCAACCTTCTTGACGGTGCCGTTGATGGAGCCACAGTAGAAGCATGTCTTTGTCTTTTTAGCCTCGTCAACGATTTTCTTGCAGACGGCCTCCTTGCGCAAAGTATCCAGCTCTGGTCTACGGATCTGGCGCAAGTACTTTCGGCGAGTGTTTTCGTCGAGCAGAATTCGGGAGCAGTCTTTGCAGATGGTGTTGAGGATTTCCATAATCTTCTTGAAGTAGCCCCAGTGGTAGGCGGGAAGGGCGAGGCGGACGTGACCAAAATGACCATTGCAGTTCTTGAGATCCTCTTTGCACTGCTCACACTGGCCAGTCTTTGAAGAGGTTCCGAGGCGGCCATCGAGGGGACCGTGTGCGGTGAGGGTACGTTTGCCGCCAGGGCCAGTACCGAGGTCGTAAACGTTGCGATCAGAGACTTCGACGACGGATTGCTTTACCATGTCCTGGTTAGATNNCTAGAGAAACAGTCAGCAACGCTGTATTTTCCTGGGCGCATACGGTAAGACTCACAGCACACCAAACTCGAGTTCCGAGATGCGCTTGGGAGGGCGGTCGATGACCTGCTCCTTGGGAGGAAGCTCGTCATCCTGCTGAACTTGATTCTCCATGGTGGCAGCAGTTGTCGACTACTTCCATGCAGAACAGGCGGGCGCAAGTCTGGCTGGCGATGACTTGTTCGCGGAAGTTTGCCGTGCTCGACATAAAATCACAAGTCCAGCCGCTAAGGATTTGTTGCGGCATGGGTCACAAGAGGCCCGAGCTTGGCGGGGTCTATCTCCGACTTTATGCCCGGCTTTTGTCTATCTTTTGTCGTCGACTCATCCGATAAATTAACTCATCATTACATTTTATATCCACATCATGCCACCTGAACGAGTAACATGGGACCTGGAAGCTGTGTATGATAGGCCATCGGACGGTGTTGTGCAGTGGGCGAGGGCAAACTCTCGGAAGAGAGGGGTCGAGGTCCGCAAGGCTCCTGTCTGAGACAGCACCCGAGTGGTCACCAACAACAGAGCTGCGAGATGTTGAGCATACACTTGTCCCATCTAGCAACTTCTAAAGAGTTCTGATACTTTCCGAGTGCATGCTTCAATACAAGAGTGAAAGCAGAGGAGAGTGCGTAATGTGGAAGGCAGCAGTAGGGAGTTGGTGGTGGCATGTGACGGAGGGTTGGGCCTATCAGTCGTGTTGGTCCCCGCTCGGGTGCTTCTTACCTCAAGGCAGAGAGAGCAAGATCCAGCAGCCAACCAACCTTCTCTCACGTCTCACATATCCGCGCACTCGATCTCAAACAACTCTGACTCCTACCTCTTGATTCTTCTCTTTCTCACCCGCCATCCATCATGACGGCCACCTTCTCACATACACAGACACCTAACCGTGTCATCCTAACCCTACAATTCAATATCCCCAAGGGCGGCGCCTCGACCGGCCCTACCTCTCGCACTCTGGTCATCCCAGAACACGACTCTGTCCTGATTGGCCGTGCCTCTACCAGTCTCTCCAAGAATAGAGCGCCGGCTGAGGACAACGCCCTCTTCACATGCGCCGTCATGTCGAGATCGCACGCCTACCTCTCGGCTCCTGACGGTCCGAACGTATGTTCACCTTTCTTTCTATCCTTCCTTTCTCTTTCTATCATTCCTTCCTTCCTCTTTCTGTCCTTCTTCCCTTCGAGAGTCCATCTGACAAGCANNCAGGGCCCCATCATCCTCGAAGACGCCGACTCGATGCACGGTGTCTATGTCAACGGCAAGAAGATCACTCGCACCAAAATCAGCCTCAACGACGACATCACTTTTGGAAGCAAGGTCACTCGTGCTGAAGGTGAATCCTTGCCATCCAACCAAGCTTTCAATTTCGACGAGTATTTTCTTCTAACTCCCCTCCCAGCCACACACGACGGCGTCCAACTCAAGGTCGCCAGCATCACACGTGAAGGCGCTACCTACACCAACCCCATCGACCTAGCAGCCAGCAGCAGGACCGTCCCCCACGCATCATACCGTGTCCCTGACTACGACACCGACTCGTCAAAGGGTGACAGCACCAACACTACCTTCGGACAGCCCACTGCCGTCGAGTACATCGATCTCGACCCTGTCTTCTCTCCTGCTTCCTCACACGACTTGGTCCACCCCGAAGACGAGTATGACGCTGAGGTCTATCACAACGGCTCCTACTCCGACTCCGAATTCAACTCCGAGTTTGACAGTGACTACGGAGCCAACGACTATCCAGAGAACCCGGATGAATTTGACGACGACGAGCAGAGTTTCTCTGGCTCGGACCGTAGCGAATCTCGCTGTTCCTCTCGACATGTAACATGGGAGGAAGATGACGTGCACGACGATGGAGTCAGTGTTGATCTCGACGAACCCTTGGAGTCAAATGAAGAGCCCCAGACTGCTCCCATCCGTGTCAACAACATCGAAATTGCCCAGCCCAAGGCCATATACCCTCAGGTTGAAGAGAAGGAAAAGGCACGTGAAGCTGCTGAGATAATGTCACTTCCTTGGATCCTCGAACCTTGTGACCCATTGGACACCACCTTCGTTGCCTCACCTTCAAAGGCTGCCATGCCTCGCGAACTTCCTNCCCCACCCATCTGCGAGAATATGAAGAACATCATCGAAGCTGGACTTACCACTCAAGACAAAGAGAAGTACCTCGAGAGCCAAGCTGAGACTTTGAAGAGTCAGCAAATTAACACGGAGCTTGACAGCATCAAAGGTGCTAAGATCGTTGAGGACAAGGAAGTCACTGCTCCGGCACCCACAATCGATGAGCTGTTTGCTGAGGTGGACTCTCCTACTGACAGCGCGGACTCTCCCACCGGAAGCAAGCGCAAACGTGACATCGAGGACGACGGTCAAGAAGAGGTCGTTGCACCAACCAGTCTTGCTGATCGTAACATGCTCAAGAAACTAAGGTGGTCCTCCATTGTGAAGCAACGTGCCCAGGCAGCACCTCGTCCCATCAAGCGTGCAAAGCGCTCAACTGCTAGATTCGCCTTGGGCGCATTTGCTGGCGCTATCGGAGGTGTGGTCACTGTGGTCGGCGTGTTGATGACTCCTGCATGTGAGCAACTGCTGTCTAGCTGGCCTTTGGAGTAAAGCAGGGCCGTGTATTGATGAGAAGCAATATCGGTCTCCTAGCGTCGACCTACATGAGAGGTCCGCAGTGAATGTCTATGAGCGTCGAGTTATTCATCGAGTTATCATTGACTTGCATGAAGTTTCCGCAGAGACATTCTACAACAACCGACGTGGCTTCCATCGAAGGCTCGCACCTGCTTTTGTTTTCTTTCTACTTTTCACTTTCGGTTTCTAGGGGGTCAAGGAGTTGCTTTCGGAGGATTGAGATTGCTGGTTTCAGGGATTATACCACAAGGAAGATGATAATGATAACAATGCAACTCTTTTGTTTATGACACTCTTCCATATTCGTATCAATGATCACGCTGAGAATTCAACCCAGCAGTAAGTGTGTGTGCAAAGAGAAAAAAAGACGAAAAGACGTCCCAGGGTGGGTTGTGCTACGTATTCATCACTCATACCGTCACTACAGAGGCAATCCACGCTTTAGTGAATACTATCACTGCTTGTTATCTACTCGTGCCAATATGCATTCTTTCCAAGCTCTCCATTTTATTCACGGACGGAGATTGAGGTCGATGTACTGCGGTATCAAAGCCGCAAACATCCTTCTTGATGAAGTGGGAAGATGTGCAGCTACCTAGGTCAGTAGTCCGGAGACTTTATCGCATATTCCCAGTTGAGGCAGGAGTGAGAAGACGATATTGATGTGATTCAGATCATTAATCAAAGAGCACTGCAACAGGGGAGATGTGGAGGCTGACAGAGAACTCAGCGACCTGGTTAGTTCATCTCTGGTAAGCTCAGGGGCTAGAAGTTCGTAGATGATATAGCAGACACTGTCTCCGATCTTCCCGCAAATCATCCGCTGTTTGCAGCCTCATCATGATGATCATGCAAAGGGCTATATCGAGCTCTTCTGGATTTTGAATCGCCCGAGCGAGTTGAGTTCTTGTCAATTTCACAATGATATCAACTCAGACTCTGACGTTGTACGAGGGCGCCAGTTTCACTTATGTAAGAGTGAAAGAACGGAGTTAGGTAAGTATTAATAGCTGTGCTAGCTCAGGAAACCCGATTAACGATTAATCAGATTTGGAGTGAGGAGAAGATGTGTATAAATACCTCGGTCATATTTTCGATTTGCAACTAACGGTTTATTATCATAGTAAAGCTCGACATCTCGATGGAGCATTGCAGAGGTTGAAGATCCGAAAACTTGACGTAGGATCTTTAGATGCCATAGTATCTTTGATAGTGTGCATAGGAAAGGCGTATTCGGAAGATTTATCGCTTTGAAAAAGTTAACAAGAACTACACGCTCTAGAACTTTTCTTCCTTTAACATCCCTACAAACTAGCGCACCATTCCTACAATGCCTCACATTCGCGAAATTTCCTATGGAAGAGACCTAAATGATTGTTATTCCTATGAACCTATTGAAGCGGATCAGCCTCTGTCGACGCCCATCGGTGTCGTACCTCCAGAAGCAATCGACCAGGTCAGTGACCCAAAGTCTTCTTCTGTGTCTCCCTGGTTAGCGAGGAGGATCCAGATGACGTGTTGATGCGATTCAACACTATCGACTACAATGCTGCAGTGTAAGGAGATGTCGAAGCAGACAGGGGTTTACTGACCTGATCGCTTTCAGGGGTTGCCTCCGTCTCCCTCCAAAGCACCTAGGTGTTGCTCTAACGAGCAGGCGGCCGTCGGAGTCTGCGACATTTATATGGTACGTCGCAAAGCCTTCGTCAGGGCGGATCGTATATCGGGAGATCTCGGGGATGAGAGAGTCCGAGGTCCTCGTCTCGACTGTCGCGTCGTAGTGGTATGATACATGCGCTGCCACGCGCGCAAGAGAAAGAGTGGCAAATGGCCTCGCGATGGCTGAAGGTACGACATCGATAGGGTGGGGAGTGGTATGCCTCGGAGCTTCCTTGAGGGTGGCATGTTTATCGAGATGTTGTCTGCCACTGCATTTCCTCTTTAAGAGAATCTCGTATTGGCATTTCAAAGAATCGTCAGTTATCAATATTTCCTGCGATGATTTTGCCGACCTGCTAAAGACTGGCGAAGCTGAGATAGCACCACCTCTGCCCTCAGGCGGACCTACCTGTGTCAAAGCCTGCCCATGTCGCCCTACCTATTGGCCTCCTGCGCATGCTTTCTCCAGTCAACTTCAGCACAAAGATGGCCTATCTTTGCCACAATGAAGAAGCCGAACACCAACACCTACTAGATCTCTTGGTTGACCTGAAATATGTTGCCGGCGAGCTCAGGCCGCAGACTGCAGCGGAAATCGCCCAATTTCTTGCAGAGGGATCGCCAACAATGTCACTTACATGTCGAGAGATTCTAGCGGCTCAAATCATCGATCCTTTGGATCCTCAAAAGTATAAGCAACACCAGAAGCTAATCGTTGGCGAGGCCATGCTCTGGGAGGGAAGGATTAGAGCAGGTCGGTGACCACCTACATTCACCTCACATCTCCCAGCTCAGGAAGAACACATAGCAGTATGTGTTGATGTGATTCATACTGCCAGCAAAGGTTTTGCTGCGCAAGAGATGTCAAGACAGACAGGAGAAGTTTCTGGCCTGCGATCATGATCATCCGTGAGGCACCCTAGTAGCCAAAACGACGAGGGTATGCTGTAGGGTTAGGTCTGCTCGAATCTGCATGTGGCGGTCAACCAAGGTTGTACTGTCTTTGGTTGTCTCAGTCATAGTAGTCATCTCTATGTAGGATAATGATGTCCCTCGGGGCGGGCGACAAGCACTCCTGCTGGCATAATCCCCCCTCGTAGCGGTAGCTTTCTGTGATGGGATGGTTTCTGAACCGCGATTGTCTCTTGTGGGATAGTGTTCCCTACTTTCAGACCTGCACTCATCTCTTGTTAGACTAAGGGGCTTTTTAACAGCGAAGAAGCCTGGTGCAAGCAGAGGACGTTTGAGTGTGAGGTCAATAACCTGCTACCTTTAGCTTGTACCTCCTGGCTCCGGACGACAGGTTCTGAAGAAGTCACTGCAGTGATTCAGCATCATATACTAGAGAGTGCGAGAACAGAAGATACCAAGGATTGCAGATCTGGTTGTACATGTGATTGTCTGAGATCGATCTAGCCAGCAACGTTTTCAGCAACTCTCTCGCCATTCATACCCAGCTTTGACTCTTGTCTTTCTGCTTGCTGTTCAGAGCTGGGCTGGAAGAGTTTGGCGATAGCTTCGACGGTGGTGTTTCCNCCGGAAAGAACGATACCAACGTTCCAACCTTGTTCACCCCCTTCTTTCTCGACCATAGTTCTGAAGTCTTCATCATACAGAACAACGGCAAGAGGTACAGCCGCACTCGGTTCGACAAAGACTTTTGCTCTCTCCAAGAGTAGGCGCATAGCGGCCTTGATCTGGTCTTCGGTAACGCTGTACATACCCTTCACCTTCTCTTTGTCGCTGATGATGGTCCATGGAATCTTACCGAGAGGTGTTCTCAGACCATCAGCAATGGTTAATGTCTTCACTTTTTCGACACGGGTGCCTGACTCGACACCTCGCTTCGCGTCATCGGCACCTTCGAAGCTGGGCTCGGAACCAAAGACGCGGATACCAGTACCGTATAGAGCTGTGGCAACGCCAGAGAGCATGCCGCCTCCACCACAAGGGGCTACAACAGCATCCAGTCCTCGTTCGTCCAGTTCTTTAGCTTGCTCTTCCAGCTCGAGGGCCAATGTGCCTTGACCGAGCATGATGTTGGGGTGGTCGTATGGCGGCACGAGTATAGCACCAGTGTCTCGTATCACGTCGGCCACGACAGCCTCTCTTTCATCGGAAGTGGAACCAGAGAAGATGACATTGGCTCCATAGCCTTTGGTTGCAGCGATCTTGGACGGTGTACTGATGGTAGGCATGACAATGTGGGCGGGAATGCCATGAGTACGAGCAGCCAGAGCAAGAGCCTGAGCGTGGTTGCCCGAACTATGCGTAACAACGCCTTTGCTCAGCTCTTCCTTGCTCAGACGACTCAGTGCGTGGAAGGCACCTCTCGCCTTGAAAGCGCCAATCTTTTGGTAGTTCTCGCATTTGAAGAAGAGGTTGATGCGTGGTTTGGATGGTGTGCGGCCTGCGAAAGGCGTTCCTTTGAGCGATTCGGGACTTTGAGGGGTTGAGGCGAGATGGGAGATGGTGTCACATGTTATTGTTGGAGTGCGATGGATGTGCTGCTTGATCGCTTCGTGGGCCGTCTGGACCGACGAGCGTGTCAGAGGCGGGCAGGAAGGAACGTCGCCCATTTTGGAGAAACAGGAAGTTATCTGGCAGGAACGTGACAGCGAACAAGACGCTCTTTCTTACAAATGATAGTCAATGATTTACTTGGCTGCCTCTCGGAGGAGTCTTTGTCCGCAGGGCAAGTGCGGCGAAGGGCGTGGATGTCATCCAGAAAAGGAAGGTGGGGAGGTCTGAGTCGGGAGACAGTTTCCCTGGCCTCGGCCAAAGCTCTGTGCTCTTTCCGTTTCGTATCGCGCCTCTTTGCGCCCTGCCACAGTTTCCATTACGGTATCACCAGAGAATTTCCTTTCTTTGTATTTGCATGTCCTCGCCCTTTCGTTCTGTCCACCAGCTGTTCTCCCGTAGACAGTTCATTCTTCCCAAGTGCTCTGCCCTAGCATTTCGACCTCAGCTTCGCCGTCAAACAACCGCCGCTTGGCCTTATATTTATAGACAGCATCCTTCGCCCAACATGGCTCCTCAACTCGACGCATACTTCGCCAAGGTCGACGAGCTCCAAGACCACTTCATCGAGAGACTGAGAAAGGCTGTCGCCATCCCCTCTGTCTCTTCCGAGGATGACAGAAGACCTGAGGTTGTCCGCGTATGTCCACTGCTGTACCCCTCATCCCTGACCTGCATACTGACTATTCTTTAGATGGGCAAGTTCCTCGAGTCCGAGCTAAAGGCTCTCGGTGCCCACGTCGAAGCCCGCNCCCTCGGTCCTCAGCCCCACAAGGAGTACCTCGAGCTCCCTCCCGTCATCGTCGCCCGCTACGGCGAGGACCCCAAGAAGAAGACCATCCTCGTCTACGGCCACTACGATGTTCAGCCTGCCGCCAAGGAGGACGGCTGGGCTACCGAGCCCTTCGAGCTCACTATCGACGATAAGGGCCGCATGTTCGGACGTGGTTCTACTGATGACAAGGGCCCCGTTCTCGGTTGGCTCAATGCCATCGAGGCTCACCAGAAGGCCAACATCGACTTCCCCGTCAACCTTCTTATGTGTTTCGAGGGTATGGAAGAGTACGGAAGTGAGGGTCTCGACGACTTCATCAACGCCGAGGCAAAGAAGTTCTTCAAGGACACCGATGCCGTCTGCATCAGCGACAACTACTGGCTCGGTACCGAGAAGCCTTGCCTGACCTACGGTCTCAGAGGCTGCAGTTACTACAGTATTGAGATCAGCGGTCCTGGCCAAGATCTTCACAGTGGTGTCTTCGGTGGCACCGCTCAGGAGCCCATGACCGACCTCGTCCGCGTCATGGGAAGCTTGGTCGACACCAACGGCAAGATCCAGATTGACGGAATTAAGGAGCTGGTTGCCCCTGTCACCGAGGAAGAGAAGAAGTTGTACGACAACATTGCCTTCACCATGGACAACCTGCACGAGTCGCTCGGCAGCAAGACCACCATCTTCGAGGACAAGGAGAGCACCTTGATGGCCCGCTGGAGATTCCCCTCTCTGTCGCTTCACGGTATTGAGGGTGCTTTCTCCGCTCCTGGCGCAAAGACTGTCATCCCCGCCAAGGTCATCGGAAAGTTCTCCATCCGCACTGTGCCCAACATGGAGATCCCTGAAGTCAACAGACTTGTCGAGGCTCACGTCAACAAGGTCTTCAAGACCCTCAACTCCAAGAACACCTGCAAGGTTGTTGAGCAGCACTCTGGCAAGTGGTGGGTCGCCTCGCCCAAGCACTGGAACTTCACCGCTGCCGCCAAGGCCGTCGAGTCGGTCTTCAAGGTTCAGCCTGATCTCACTCGTGAGGGTGGCAGCATCCCCGTCACTCTTACCTTTGAGCAAGCCACCGGCAAGAACGTTCTCCTGCTACCAATGGGTTCTAGCACGGACGCCGCCCACAGCATCAACGAGAAGCTCGACAAGCGCAACTACATCGAGGGAATTAAGCTCTTGGGTAGCTATCTCTCGTTCGTAGCCGAAGAGCCAATGAACGAGTCGTAGAAAGGCGCCAGAAGAGTCCGAGTTTGAAATGTTAAAGATACCAAAGCATGAATTTTATTTTTCCTCTACACCACTCATCTTTTTGCGTCTCCATCGTCTCTGCTTCCTCTACGGCCACGGTCGAGGTGTGCCTATGGGAGCATACGGTTTTGCAGGGTGCCCAAGTAATTTCCAGAGAGCCTGTCTCGAGCCGTCTCGAGCAACTGCTCTTCCTAGACAGACTCTCCGCCTTGGATGCAATTTTGGTTGTCTAGACCAGCCTTTCCGCGATACCAATCTCTTTGAGATGACAGTTTGGCTGTATGTTGTGTAGAAATCTTGTGCGCCTGCTCTTACTGACCCAAAACGGACTTGCCAGATCTTTCAGGTGTGTTTCGTAGCCATCACCTCGACCAGTGGCTTTGACGTCGTATCTCACAGAAGCGTCCAGCGAAACACAATCAGCCTGGGATCATTTGCACTCGTCGCTGGAAGTTGTTCGTGCTCGGGCCTGGATTACGTCGACGGCGTGCTTGGGCTGACTGGATAGATCGGAGCGGAAGACCCCGTAGGTTGATGGCCGACAGCCAGATATTAATTGTTGTTCATGTCGAGTTGTCCATATTTTCCAAAGGATGACGCTCGACGATTGTCTTCTTGACGCTAATAAAGGATGTTATCGCGAGAATTAGAAGATTCACTTGTACCGGATGCTGCGATGTATGCCCATCATGTTGTATAACGTCTTCAGAGCCTAGAGCGTCGTCCAGCGAGAGTCCGTGGTAGAGCCGCTCTCAGAGGACGATCTCACAGAACCAACAAGATTGTGTCTTTGGACAGCCATAAACCGGCAGTTGATGGAGAAGATGAAGAAGGAGATGATGAAACAGTGTCAAGAGTGCTCTTTGTCTGAGTCACAAGGTTGGCACAGTCATCCTGTTTGCGACAACGGAGTCTCTGATGGTATGAGGCTCTGTGCAATACAGAAAGATGGCGCTGCGGACGATGTCGGCCTGGAATTGGCGATGACGGTCGGCGAGCCAATGGCCCCTGCGCATCGGGGGACTCGGGGAGTCCTACCAAATCAACGTCACGCAGTGGGGACATTTTGACGTCTAGCAGCATGTTATCCGGTGCTGTTTGTCAGAAGAATGAGCAGCTGGTTGCTGGGTGGGCAGGGAACCGTTTCCGCGATACTTCTCGCTTAGCTTTGTGGGATTTTTCGAAAAGCTCATGGATGGTGGTCGAGTATCGAGTCGCACTTTCACGTGCAACAGCAGGGCCTCGAGGGTCAGCAAGACGGTTAAAGGAGGCTATAGGGCCTTTTCATTGGTAATGGATATTGCACAATTTGCTGGAGAAGAGTGGCCCAAGAGACGAGGGAGTCTGGGGCAGAGCCGATGTCGCAGCACAGCAGTGATGGAAACAAGTCTGTGCGTGCTGCAGCGGCCGAACAACGTAGTCACAGCTGCCTTCAAAAATCAAAGACTCCCACACTCTTTTTGTCCTATTCATTCACACACTCATCACAATGTCTTCCCGTACTGCCAGCAGAACTCTCCGCGCCGCATTGAAGCAGGCTCAGCGCCCCGCTGTCCAGCAGCAGCGCACTTACCTCAGCGCTGCCCTCAACGCTGCTCGCACCACTGGTGTCAAGCAGCTCCCCAGAGCTTCCGTTGCTGCTCAGCAGGTTCGCGGTGTCAAGACCGTTGACTTTGCTGGTGACAAGGAGCAGGTCTTCGGTAAGATTGACATCCAATTGATCGCAATGCGAGCTGTATCTGACTTTCTTCCCANNGAGCGCTCTGACTGGCCCCGTGAGAAGCTCCTTGAGTACTTCAAGAACGACACCCTTGCCCTCATCGGTTACGGTTCGCAAGGTCACGGTCAGGGTCTCAACCTCCGTGACAACGGCCTGAACGTCATTGTCGGTGTCCGAAAGGGCGGTGCCTCATGGAAGGAGGCCGAGCAGGATGGCTGGGTTGAGGGCAAGAACCTCTTCGACATTGACGAGGCCATCACCAAGGGTACCATCATCATGAACCTCCTTTCCGATGCCGCCCAGTCATCGACCTGGCCTCACATCAAGCCCCAGCTCACCAAGGGCAAGGTACGCCATTCTACTCTCACAGCAATTCTGCGCATATCACTGACCATCCCAACAGNNACTCTCTACTTTTCCCACGGTTTCTCGCCCGTCTTCAAGGACCAGACCAAGGTCGAGGTCCCTTCTGACATCGATGTCATCCTCTGTGCCCCCAAGGGTTCCGGCCGTACCGTCCGCACTCTCTTCAAGGAGGGCCGTGGTATCAACGCCTCCGTCGCCGTCTTCCAAGACGTCACTGGCAAGGCCGAGGAGAAGGCTGTCGCTCTCGGTGTCGCCGTCGGTGCTGGTTACATGTACAAGACCACCTTCGAGAAGGAGGTCTACTCTGACCTTTACGGTGAGCGTGGTTGCTTGATGGGCGGTATCCACGGTATGTTCCTCGCTCAGTACGAGGTCCTCCGTGAGCGCGGCCACTCTCCCTCCGAGGCCTTCAACGAGACTGTCGAGGAGGCCACCCAGTCCCTTTACCCCCTGATCGGTGCCCACGGTATGGACTACATGTACGCCGCCTGCTCCACCACCGCCCGTCGCGGTGCCATCGACTGGAGCGCCCGCTTCAAGGACGCCCTCAAGCCCGTCTTCGATGACCTTTACACCTCCGTCCAGACTGGTGAGGAGACCCGCCGCACCCTCGAGTACGCCTCGCAAGCCGACTACCGCGCCAAGTTCGAGGCCGAGATGGAGGAGATCCGCAACCTCGAGATCTGGCGCGCCGGCAAGGCCGTCCGCAGCCTCCGTCCCGAGAACGCTTAAATAAACCACAAAAGCGTCTTTTGTTTTTATACGATATGACTTGAGGGTGTTGGGTTTTCTTTTTCTACTACCCTTTTCTTTTTTTACGATGTATTCTGAGCTTGTGTTACATACCAAAATGGCAATGACAGGACAAAAGGTCTTCTTTTTTGATACTACACATGTTGTTCACTTGATTCTTCTACTGGTTATATTTGTCAATGGTTCTGTGAAGCTGGCATTTTTGGAAGTTGGTCTTGCTTGTGATTTTGATATTCATGGCCGGCATGACATCTTTTGTGAATGACTCGCCCTTGTGCTAGTCTGGATGGGGTAACCACGGATCACTCTTCCTTGTCTCTTCTCCATCATGGAAGCATGAATGACATTCGCCGTCAATGCTCAATGGTAGATGACCCTCTGGATATTTATTTACAGTGACTCACTTGCGAGAAGCAGGAGAGCGGACTCTGTGGATCTAGGGCTCTGGCTGGTGCACCAACTCTGACTTTTACCGCTACCAAATCAGTGGTGCGGTTGGCTGCATCCGTCTCCCCGGCCATATGATCTCGACACTCAGGTTAACGCACTTCCCTTCTGTACGCACTAACTCATGATCGGTCTCATCCAATATCACTGTATTGCTGAATCGGAACAACTTTCTAGGCTGTCAATAGGCTCGCAGCCGAGATAGGTTGTTTGTATAGTACTGGAGTCCGGCCCTGGTTGTCTCCTCGTCGTCAAATGGTTTCAGATAGGATTGGATCATTCAAAGGCCTGACAATATAATCGCTTGGAAAGGGTTGACAAGAGAGCGAGGATCGAGGTCCCAGAATTAGGCGGGTTTCGCCAACAGACACCCGAATGAAGCAAGTGCGGAGGAGGCCGACTACCCCTCTCACGTTTCCCAACCTCTCGCTCTTATCGGCCCCATAGCTATCTCTCCAGGTCCAGCCAAGCATACCTAGAACGGAGAACACATTGCGTATCTGTACTAATGACACTGTGTCACGTTATACGTTGGATCCCAGGGAGGTGACTCTTTCTTGCCCTTGCTTTGACACACTCATCTTCAATCGCAACATAAACATTCATCTTTTAAAGTATATCGCTTGCTATCATGACACCTGACATTGAATACCTCTTGTCCCTCGAGGCTGTACGTGAAAGGGCTCAGATAGTCTTTGCGGCTGCCCAAAGAGACGAGCTTTCTCATTTCACATATCACGCTTCCAAGTTGCCTGAAGCTGCGGCCTTTGTGACTTCCGTGATCAATGTGAGTTGTTGACATCTATTCTTGCATCTGATCGCTCTCTTGGTCATACAAGATTCCCTGCAGGATACACACGATAAGCTATGGCTTTCTAACAGCTTCTTTAGCNGCGACTTTGGTCCCGACAACTTCGAGACCATTCCTCCTCATGGCCGCTGGCAACATTTTGAAGTCGGCGGAGTTCCGAGAATCGAGGACCTCAATCACCAATGGAAGCTTGATGGTTGTAGTTGGAAAGAGCAGGCACGTAGACTGATTGATCTTTTCGTTGTATCTGTATTGTTGGACGCTGGTGCAGGTGACAAGTGGAAGTTTGAGGAACCCGGATCAGGACAGACTTATACCAGAAGCGAAGGCATCGCAGTGGCAAGCTTGTACATGTTCAAGGAAGGCGCTTTCTCAACTACAGAAGGGTACGACCACATGGTTGATGGTGAGTTCTGCTGCGGAGAGATTGCAAGCAAGAAACTGACCATTCATGATANNGCCAAGGGACTCCAACGTATTAACGAAGAGACATTGGCGAAGGGCTTCCAGATCACCGCAGACAACCCCATGGTCGGTGTGAGATCTCGTGCACAGCTACTCTCTCGCCTTGGTGATTCTTTACTCCAGCACTCGGACAAATTTGGCCCCGAAGGACGGCCTGGTAATCTTGTCGACCACGTCATCGAAGCTGCAGACTTCGAGAAGAAAGAGCTCGACTATCGCGTATTCTGGGCGACACTGCAAAATCTTTTAACCCCTATCTGGCCCAAGGATCGTACGCAGATTGACGGTACACCTATTGGTGACGCCTGGCCTTCGGCAGTTCTCGAAAAGCAAAACAATGGTCAAGACAGCAAGAGGAATATCCAACCGTTCCATAAGCTTACGCAGTGGCTGGCTTACTCGCTTATGGTTCCCTTTGTAAGGCTTGGGAGATACTCCTGGCGTAATTCAGAACTCGGCACTGGACTCCCTGAATATCGCAATGGCGGTCTCTTCGTAGACCTTGGGGTTTTAACACTCAAGCCCGAGGCTTTGGAGCGTGGTCAACGCACTTCTGGACAAGAGCTACCCATGTTCAAAGATAGTGGTGATGAGGTTGTCGAGTGGAGAGCTTTGACGGTTGCTCTGTTAGACGAAGTGTACGCTATAATCAAGAAGGATATGAACGAGAAGGGTGTCCAGTTCAGTATGGCACAGATGCTCGAAGCCGGCAGTTGGAAATCGGGACGAGAGTTGGCTGCACAGAGAAGACCGGAGACAAAGTCTAGCCCGATCCTGATTGATGGAGATGGTACTCTGTTTTGATTGCTTTTTGTGTTCTGACATTATCTCTACAGCGAACTTTAGCTTATTGGAAAGCAAACATTATATACCAGATATTATATGCTTCATCTCGACAAAGGAGCGACTGACGAACGAGTGCGATTACGACGCACGTCCAGACCCCTGAGCATGAGTAACCAGAGCGTCAGACCAAATAATGCTCAGTCCAGCATATCCATGTCCAATTGCCCCTTCTCTTTCTTTTCTTCATTGACATCAACAGCAACGATGTCAGCCTTCAAGATTTCAGCTTGACCAAAGATAGTTCCATCTCCTCCTCCTCCGGCGGCACATTGGTCATCGCAGTTGCTGTCGCATCGTTTAAACGCAACCCACCAGAAGAACGGCGGCCATATCAACCTGTAGTGAATCTCATGATCAGTTCTTGCTGTCTTTTGATCGAGACTATTCTATGGGGAAGACGTACATCGCCGTCTTCTTGCAATCCTTCCTGCAAGGCCAAACGCAAGCTTCGTCCGGGTCTGCGATCTTAGTGGAAGCGTTGGCAAGTAGACCACTGGCGACTATGTCGGTCTCCGGCTGCTCCAGGTTGACAGGCGGAGGAGGAGCAGCTACCATGGCGATGAGCATGGCGGTAACGAAAATCGACTTCATTGCGTTATTCAAGAATTACGATTATGGCAGGACCTGTACGTGAAGGTGTGAAAGTATTTTGTGAATCTGAGAAGCTGAAGAGTTGCGTGCTTGTGTTTTGAGGAGAGCTCGAATGCAGCTTGGGCACCGCTAACCATCACAAAAATCAGCTCACCTCCTTGTGAGTTCGACTCCACTTGAGTCTCAGACAGTTTTCGATCCACGTCAACGATCTATGTATGGCTTCTCCATTCAGTCCGCCGTCTTGGAGCAACTTGAATCGTTGTGGAACCTTGGATAAGGTACCGCAGTTGTTGCTCCAAACTGCCAAAGTTGTGGAATGAGTATCCAGGATAATAGAGGGACCGTATGGTCTCTTCTGTCATGAAGTCCCACAGTTCATGTACGCGCTTCGCAAGGAGGTGGAAGCTACGTGAGCGACGAACGAACCTTGCCCAGGAGATGTGGAGATAAACCCACATGGAGATGGGAGTGGTGATATCTGGTTGTTGAGTCTGTCCCTCAGCCGTGGCCACATTGGTATCTTTCTGATGGTAGTAATCAACCAATGGTACGGATAAGTCAAGATGCAGATGTTTTATCGATTGCTCTCTATAATCCGACCTTCAGCTGAACCGCGCGAGCTTGTCAAAAACTTGTGGTGAAGAGGAGAGGAGTGATATAATTGACTTCAGCACGCGTGAAGTGAAAGATGCGGAGAAGATGTAAACCGTGTGTTTGTTCGGCAACATGGGGGGGAAGGTGCAAAGAGGGGGCGCGCATGCGAAATATGGACACGCTCGACAACGTCAGGCCGTCGAATACCTATACTTACGACATGCCCAAAAATGTTTCATTCAACAAACTAGAAGTAGAGATCTTGTGTAGGTAGGAACCTAGAGGTTTGTAGGCACCTATGAACAGGCATAGTGTTCTATTCGACATGGAAGTGTTTAAAGGATGAGATGATGTCTTAAAGCTAGTAGATTGGCAACGGGATGTGATGTTAATGACTTTTTTCCTTTGTCTTGTTTAACAAGTAGTCTGAACTATCCGACTTCTTTTTATGCCACTCAAGTACTAATGATGAGTCCTTCCACGTATCGTACCCGTGAGATTAGCAGGAGCGCGAGTGGTTGAAGGGTATGATATTCGCAAAGTACCTGCGAATACTTGCTCTGCCCAACCGGAAAGGACAACTCGTCGATCGTAGATTCCCACAATACTCACTCAATCTGCCTTGTCAAAACAATACATCTTGGCTTGAAAGTCAAATATAAACACGCGGCTCCCAAATAGAATCAACTTTTTCTTCTTCAGCAAAATCTTCTTCTACTCAAACTTCTTGCGGTTCTACAACATGTCGAAGGATATCGTCTGTGTCCGACCAAGGGCTGGGAGAATTCGTTGGGAGGTGACCTTGTCGATCTACAAGCACATATGCAAGATTCTTCTAGTGCGGATGAGAAAACTTGAGACCAGTGATCCGTACCTGATCGATACTGTCACTATAGTAATCAAGCAGCTGGAATGCTGCATACGCCGCCTCACCACCCTCGAAGAATACAAAGCCGGAACGACCCTGAGCTCAAACATCGAACCCCTCCTCAGATCAGGCGCGATCAATGCCATGGAAACCGTCAGACGTCTTGAATACGATATTCAACCTTTCGAAATTGACCGGGCTATGATTCCTGGAACTGCGAGAACCCAAATCGGGGCTGCCTCTTGTGAGCTGTACATCCTTGGAATAGAGCTGTGTCTGCTCAAAAAGTTGCGAGGTTGGGGTCGGAACCATGGTCAGTGTCTAGCGAGTCACTTGTGGACTATGACTTCTGACGTTTGATTTCGGATGGGTGTCAGTACTTGAAGACGCAACAACATGAGCTTGATACTGACCTAGTTGGCCTTGCAGAAAACACATCAAAGAGCGACAGGTCTTGCAAAAGCGTCTGGACTCTTGGGAGACCGATATGACTGTAAACTCAGATGCAAAGCAGGACATCAGCAGCGAGACTACCGAAAGCCGTTGTGAAAGCGCCTTACCTGTCACGATGATGGAGTTGCACGCTGTAAGTGCACATGCCAGACACTTCGCAAGTTGTCTGGACAAAGCTCATCTCATGCTCGCTTGCACTCGGCGCGGTTCTGTGCCACAAAAGCCAGCCAAGAGTCTATGCGAGATCTACTCGGAACACGTGGGTGATTTAGAACGACTCTTGCACTTATCGTCTCGGGAACTCGATCAAGTCAAAGCATCGCAGAGTGTGAGCAGCTTCGAAGACAGAGCTCTGGAGAAGATATTCGATGGTATCGGCCCACAGGTCGGAAAGGAAGATATCGCAAAATTGGTTGCCCATTGGGCAAGATGGGGTGGTTTTGAAGAAGTCAAGTACCGCGAGTACGACATGAGAGGCGTAATATGATGATTTGATTCGGTGAAGTGGCAGTATCCAAGTCGATTGTTTTGTGTGGACTGCATTCCATGGGGTTTCTCATGGTATCATCCGCCTCATTCGAAAATTGAAGCATTCGAGGCGATAGTGAGCGACTTCGGGAAGGAAGTTGCACTGGCGGAAATTGCCAAGCTGATGTTTCTCTGGACGAATGTGAATACATTCTGCGGTATTCAGAGGTCAGCGAAGGTTTGAGAGTTTTCCACAAAGCCAACTGACTTTGGGATGACTGGGCTCTGTGCTTTGTTCCATGTACGTGTCTTTTTGCCAATATCCAGGTAGCTGAATTCTATGATGGTATTTCAGCAAGCCGAGGCCAGTCGTTGCTTGAGATCGAATTGTGTGACAAACTTGCTCACGCTCTCTTTTGCGATCGTATGATGAGTTCCAAATGCACTTGTCACCCTTTGGAGTCTGTTTCCGAAGTTTATTGACACTGAGAGAGTCCTTTCCGGTAGACTCAAGAAAGTGTAATAGAGAACACAAAAGCCGTAGGAGGCCCGTATTCTTTCTTGTCTCTTGCCTCTTGCCAAACACTTTTCAAGCCTTCTCGTAGGTTGACGCTTCCAACAACGTAAAGATGTCGCTCGAACATCTACAACTCCTCGAGCAGAGACAGCTCTCGGGCATACCAGCACTCCAACACCGACACAGGGCAAGAATCATCCCATCTTCACACCTTTCTGCAAGCTTGACCGGATCCGCTGCATCGTGTCTTGAGATCGGGCACCGCATCAAACACTGCAGCGACCTGCAAAAGTCGACCATGTGTCTACAGTCAGGACTCCATCCCTTGGCCGACGAATTTTACGGCATGCGTTTTGCCTTTCAGCATATCGAGCAGACCTGGACTCACCCATATGGCCAAAAATTGTGGACGGAAAACGCGACGAGCACTGTCAAGCACGCACAACAAGTGGCCCAAGACGTTGCCAACAGCCTTCGAGATATCGTCAATCGACGTTCGTCCTGGGATGTCGTGGCTCCACATCATGTGTACTATCAACTCCAAGCATTCGAGACCTATTTGCAGGAGCAGCAGCTGATTCTGAATCTCCTGGGACTGGTCATGTATGTTCTGTCGCCAAGCGAAGTGCCGGATCTGCGCTACNTGCAGTCCTCGCTGCAAGAAGCAACTGTGAGTACCCAGCTTTTCTGTAATCAGCAACAATCTGACAGCTATTTCAGTGAAAGCGAAAAGTTCTCGTATGCGTGTGAACAGCTCGGGTTTGCCGTTCTCCTGAGACAGGAGATGCAAGCAAAGTTGCTGAAGATCGCCTCCATAGATCCGGACTACAAGGACATCGATATTGAGGAAATCTGGGGAGAGATAACCGCTGTAGACCGTTGTTCCTCCAGGGACTCTACCATGGGCAACATGACTCCAACGGAAGACTGGTCTGAAATTCAAAGCGACACTGGAAGCGGTCCTATCAACTATTCGTTTGTACCAAGTCCGGGAGCGGGGCCCAAAAGACTGGTCAAGCGTCAAAAGAGTGAAGATACTACACACGGCGCTCTGGACGCCATGCTAGACGGTTTCGGACACGAAGGGATGCGAGGTGAATTTTGGCCGCAGGAAGCGTTTGAGTCCCGGAGAAGGGACCTTGCGAAGTTGGCGTTCCTTTGGACCAACGTTGAGACGTTTGCAGGCCTCCAGAGAAATGAGTCGACATCGGTTTAATAGCGGTCTTTCGTGGCTTCTGACCCTTGTGATAATTCACAAATAGAATATGTTTTGATCATCTCTCATTGCAGCGGGCGATCGCTCTATGCGTGAGAACATAAAGCTGACATGTCTTGGCTGGGTTGAATGGTGAGAGTAATCTGCTGGCATATTGTGCAACTCTACAACTCGTTTGTTGGCGTCTGGCTTTCCAGGAGTGCAGTGAGAGTGACAGACTTCAACAGGAAGGAAAGTATGATTGCGTCGATCTGTTGTTCCCTCCCGAATATTTCGCTCAGGCGATCAATTTGGGCTTGGAATGTAGTTCGAATGTTCTAGATATCCAGTGCCGGGACTCGTGAGACAGACTCTTGATTGTGATTGAGGTTGTATGTAAACCATGTCTCGTGTTTCCAGAAGACTCCAAAGCTTAAAGTAGTGGTGTGTTGCAGGCCAGCAAACTCACTTGAGCCAGATACAGATAGCCGTCAGTCCAGTATTCTTGGTTGTTTCCTCAACATCTATCTCAACTGTTGCGATGACCGACAACTCGCAGTCTCGCACATGTAGCGAGCTGAACCATGAATTCCTCGATACTGTCATCGGCACTGCTTCAGCGTGTGCCAACATCTCGAAGAGACTACGTGCTCTCAAGGGAACCACAGCTGGATGCTTGAGCCGCCCCTTGGATCTTCTTATTAACGACTTTCATTCGATCAGCCAAACATACACAACCGTAGAACGTTCTCTCGAGTATCCCAACTCATCCTGGAGCCAGGATGTCTCGCTCTCTATTAGATTTACGCAGGACTGCTGTCAACAAATCGCTATAGATATCCCAACCATCCTTGACAAGCACGGGGAGTGGACCATTCTGGCTGCAGAAGGCTGCTGCTACCGCCTTAACATATTGTCAAAAGCCATGACAGTGCACAGAATGCATCACGACTTGCTGATCAAGACTTTGAAGCTTTCCGAGATTCTTTCTGAGAAGCCTGCCAAGTACGAACCACCTGTTGTTCGACCAGTCAGCTCGGCTGAGATCCGCAAACAAGAAAACGCATCTGTCGCCGCTTGGAGCAGAATGAACCAGTGGTTTAAGGCCAGTGGGAGCTCTTTTACCGAAGTTTGCCGAGCTCTACAGNGGGAGAAGGCGTGCCTGAAGGAGTTGCGGGACTACCAGGTAGCAGAGATATCGCCACAGGGAAGATTCTTTCGAATGCCAAACACAGAAGACCTTTCACTGATGGATGACTGGTCGACAACTCAATCGACCATGGGCATAATGACCCCGACCGAAGACTGAAGCGACCTTGGCAGCGATACTACCGATATAGGTCACAATTCTGCCATTACCAGGCACAGTTTGCAGCTTTGCGGATATGCTACGGCGAGCTTCTTAAGGTTGCTTGAGGAGATCTTGAACCCATTCCTCCGGACATGCTATTCAGACCTCGTGAGTCCTGAGAAGCTCCAGCGCTTGCACAAAGCATACGGCGAATTGACTGTCCACTTGCTTCACAATTTGGACGCACCAATGCCTTTCCAAAGTCCTCTCGAAAAGTATCGAGTCCCATGGTCGCAGAAAGTAGTCCGTGTTCAGGATCTGTTCGACTGCAGCCAGGAGACGGAGGAATTTTTCAATACCAACACCAGTATCGAGCAAAGTTTCGGTCAGCTGCCTGGATCCACACCTGTCGATACCAAGGACATCCAAGTCATGCATAGCGCATATGATTATCTTATAGTCAGCCTTTTTGACAAGCTGAATGCGCCAGTGCCATTCAAAAATGATGGTCCTGCTTCAACTTCAGCCCCAGCTCCCGCTCCAGCTCCAGAAGTCCCCAGACCAGTCATTCCCGAAGTCCAACAAGAGTACATTCATGTCGACAAGACCATTGAGGCCGTTGTCAATAGCATGGATCCCAAACCAACCGAGAAGGATATCATGAAGCTCGTGTTTCACTGGACAAACTTGGAGGTGTGCAATGGCTTCCAGAGCGACTTCAAGCGTGCAGAGGTGATGAAGCTCAACTAGACTTTCAGTAGCCGACTTGTGTAAAGACCAGGAGAACAGTAACGACGGACGCTGCAGAAAAAGCAGGATGATCGATACCGATGGATGTGCTTGGCATGGGTGACTGAGGGAAATCGAACGGAGGGCGAAGAGCGATGGTGTTTTCTTCAAGCAGCAAAGTTTGTGATCTTCTACATTATCCAGTCGTTACAGTATTTGAGATGAGAAACCATTCCAGAAATACAGATGAGTCAAAACAAAGTTTTGTTATGAGGATGCAGAGGAAAGTCGACAAGCGCAAGTGTGCAGCAGAGATGGTCAGCAAGCACATCCTTGGCTCCCTCCTTGACTTCGAGCACATACCTGTACTAATGGATTTCGGAAGAGGTCGCGTCTTCCGCTCGTACTCGCTCCGAGTTTTCAGATCTGGTTTGGGTAATCACATTTCGACAGGGTGCAGAAACTTAAAACAAGGAAATAGCAGAAATAAACGCTCTGTCAATTCATTGGTATCATGTCTTCCAAAAAGTACAAATAAGAGCAGCCTCAGACGTCTATTGAGGAGGCTGGAAAGGGGTAACGAGCATTTCACTAAACNNCTGTGATGCGTGTCAGTATATCGGTCTTCCATATATTCGTTTCAAAACCAAAACTTACTTCTCAAGCTTGTCCTTTCCTCTAACCTCCTCAACGAGCAAAGGCATTTTGACGACATTGAACTCATCGTAAAGATCCTCGATTTGCTCAAGGTACTTCTTCTGCATCTTTCTTCTCGCATTGCACTGCTCGCAAGGATTGTCTTCCTTGGGGAACAACAGCTGGTTGACAACAATGGCATGTGTGTCAATCTCATAGCTGTTCAACTCCTGGATCATTCTCTCTGTCTCGTACAGCGACAAGAACTCGGGAATACACACACAGACAAATGTGGTAAGGTCGGCGTTCTTGAATTGGGTGTTGACCTCGCTGATGGTAGCGCGCAGATCCTCCATCTTCTTGATAACGTCGTCGAGGCTCTGTCCGTTAGGGAGGCCACCACGGGCACCGAGAATGCCGTTGAGCATGGGGCCAAACTGGCCGGAGAGTTGCGAGATCTTGCCGAGAGCCTTCTCCATGACGGTGGGGAATTGGAGGAAACGGAGGGTGTGGCCAGTGGGTGCGGTATCGAAGATGATGACTTCGTAGCTGAGCGACTTGACTTGCTTGAGGACTTCGGCAAAGGACATGGCTTCATCGACACCGGGAATCNNTGTTTGTGCGAAGACAGTTAGCAATGCGTGTCTCTGTGCTGAAATGCCACCACTCACGCTGAAAGCAAGGTCCTGCATCATGTTGCCCATACCACCGAGACCAGACATGGCCTCCTGAGTCTCCTCACCACCAGCATTGAGCATGTCAGTGATAGATCCGTTGGGGTCAATCTCCATGGCGCTCAAGTTGTCAAAGCCATTGACCAGGCGGGCGTCCTTTCCGAACTTTTGGTTGAAGGCATCGGACAAGTTGTGTGCAGGGTCGGTCGAGATGAGGAGGACGTTCTTGCGGTGCTTTGCGAGCTGAATGGCCAGAGAACAAGAGGTGGTTGTCTTTCCGACACCACCTTTACCGCCGACAAAGATCCAGCGGAGCGTCTTTTGGTCGAGGATGTTCTGCAACGAGGGNGCCATCTCGTCGTCTGTGTTGATGAGGGCGGCCATCTTGGTAGAGTGTATGTTCTGTGGTTTACGCGACTGAGGCTTCGATAAGAGTGATTCCTCAGAAAGGTTGTGAGATGTGTAAACACGTGGTGGGTGTGGGAGATGATTGTTTCTTGGGAGAGGCTGGCTGGAACATGCTCGAAGCTGGCCTGCGGGGCACGAGCATCAACGTCATAAACATGCACAATTGTGAATAATCTGGGTATCATTATTTTGTGCATCCTTCCTTCTAAGAACTCCGAAGCTCCTTCCTATGCTATGTACACCATGCCTTGCCGGACGCCATACTTTTTGTGCTTCTCGCTCAAGCACTTGCTGTCATGGCCAACATGTCTCCACCTCCGTCGCTGGCTGCTTGTCCCCGGGGAGTCACTTCCGCTGTATTCGACATGCCCTTCCTTTCGGAGCGTCTTGGGGCGTATGTTGACTATGGCCGGAGGCTGATCTGTGCCAGCTTTCTATTCTCATATCCCGATTCCTTTGATTTCTCATGCACCGGAGACGAGCAAGTCAAGCATACCCTGAGTAGAGTATGCAGCTTGTGCCAACTCTGAACAGTGTCTGACCTTGCGATGAAGCTGGTTCAGGAGGTCATCAATCTCTGGCGAATCCATGGTTTGCTCTGAGTAGAGATCCAAGAGAAGCATAGCAACATCGCTGGTGAGCTTGATGTAACGAGGGTGACCAATGTACTTGATGACCCAGCGAAGGATGGGCTGGAGGGATGTCTCATCGCGACCCTTGAAAGCGGTGCGCATGGCAGATCTGTGACGGAGAGCGGTAAGGAGTGTGAGCATGTTAGGGTTGTAGAATTTCNNTGCAGTTTGTCAGTCCTTGACTTTAATCGCGTTCGTGCGGGCAAAACTTACGGTAGCTCCAAGAACCATGTCAACAGCCAGAGCGTACTTGCCGTTCCGTAGAGCAGACTCCCACTTTGACTGGTTTCTGATGTTTCCACGAGCGTTACCATCGATCACGATATCGGCACCCTCTCCGGTAAAGTCGCGACCACGGAGAGCCTTTTTGTCGCCTTGTCGCAGCTTCTTGGCCTTCTTTCTGTCGTACTCCTCGATGGTACCGGCAACCAGCGCTTGCATCTCCTTCTCCTTTTCTCTTGCTGCTGCCTTCTGTTCGCCTGATAGACGAGTGCGAACCGACAGCAGACCAGACTGCATACCGACTGCGAGGTGTCTGTCCTCTCTAGTTGCGCCAGCTCCAACTACGCTCAGTGAAAGCACAGGGCTAGGGTACTTGAAGCCAGCCACGACGTTCCAAGCTGATGTCTCGAAGACTTTGACGTGTCCATCCAGACCACCACTGACGAGTCTTGTTCCATTGTTGGCCAAGCAGAGCGATGTGACAGTCTTCTGGTGGTTCTTGATCAGATGCAGAGGCTTTCCAGCGACCAGGTCCAGAACGCTGATCTGGTTGTCGGCAGCTGCAAGCACCTGTGTTCCTGAGGGCATGGGAAGGACACTCTCAATCGCGGCAGCGTGCTTGAAGGTCATGACTGCGCGCTTAGGTGCTCTTGAGTCCCACAGACGAACGGTCTGATCATAACTACCAGACACAAGCAAGTTGCTGCTCTGACCAGGCATGAAAGCACCGCTGCGTACGTAATCCTGGTGGCCCGAGAAAGTGGTAGTGCTGGACTCGCTGGGCAGGTCCCACAGCCTGACCGTCTTATCGTCACTACAACTCATGATTGAGGTGAGATCATTCGGGTTCCATCTTGTGACCCAGACGGGCTGCTTGTGTTCCTTCCACGTCTTCAAAATAGCTCTTGAACCAGTATCGAATGCTTGAATAGCACCACTGTCTCCACCAGCAACAAGCACACGTCCATCGCGACGAATCTCTCCCGAGTGCGCAATGTCGTCGTAACCAAATCGCGTAATGGTCTTTAGAAGTTTGCGTGTTTTCGACGAGAAAATCTGTACTCTGCTTCCGGAAGTGACGGCGAAGGTGTCGGAGGGCGGTGTAACAAGCGGGTTCGTAGGCAATGGAGGAAACGAGATGTGGGTGATAGGATTTGAATGCGGCGAGGGAACTAGTTGCTGTGATCTGAATCCTTTCCAGTAGCGCTGGTCGGCGGTGATGGCCTCGGGGCCAGCAGCCAGCTTGAGGGGCTGTAGAGACTGTACTTCGGCTGCCATTATGTCGTTGATATTTGATGTTCTCGTCGCGAAAAAGATGGCCGAAAGGTGGAGAGGCTTTGGACTTTTTCGAAGCCCATCTTATCTTATCCATCTGACATGCGTGCACGGACATCTAGTCAGGGTCATGCCCTCAACTAACGGAAAAGGGAGTCGACGACGTGAAGCAGCAGCGGTATTGCCAGAGTTGCTCTAGAAATTATAGTATGAGATCTTCAGGGTATGATTGTATTTTCTATCTACTCTATGTGTGGTAGAAGCTTCCGCTTGAAGCATAACAAGCCCAATATGAGAAACTGATACCTTCCTTCAGCAATCTGACCTCGATCCATTATTGCATACACCCCTAAGTCGGACAGATGACTCGAAGCAAAAATCTCTCCATCAATCATCTGTGCTGTTCTTGAATGGTTCCTCATGTCATTCAAATAAGCCCCGAGTAAAGCTGCCATCCCTCTACCAGATGTCATCGAAGCCACGGCGCGCACGACTCACCTTTAAATGTCATACTTGCAGAAACATACAAAGGCATGTCAACAATCACGAAGGAGATACGGAGTTAGTCATGGAAGGAGAAAAAAAAGGAGTAGCAAAACCAAATCTCTGCTTTTGTCCATAGGTAAGCACTCTCAATGATAAAGGCCTGCCTTTTTGCCCCAAACCCCAAACATCGATAATCTTGCCATGGTCTTTCTTGCAACAGATAGGTTAAAGCGGGGTACAACGAGAAAAAGAAGTGAATGCAACGACGACAACTCTAGAAACAAGTCCGAAGGAATGTACGAACGGCCTTTGAAAGCTAGAAAACATGACACTTGAAGAATTAGTCGGTGTCGAAATCTACAATTCGTCTTCGAGGAACTTGTAGGCAAACTTGAAATCGCCCTTTCTACGGTTCATCCTGAGTAGAGTGTTAGCAAGAGTAACAATAATTTGCTGGTTGTTTTACACATACCATGTGCTTTCGTAGTCGAAGAAGCGATATGTTCCCTGTTCGTACTCCTCGGTGATGTTCTTGGGCTCCTCGTGTCGTTGGAACCAGGTCTGGTACTGCTTGTGAAAGCGCCAACTTTGGCTCTTCAATGCCTTCGCCGCAAGGAACTGCTGGTAAGTGCCTTGGCGGTAGTAAAAGGCGTAGAACAATGTATCCGTCTCGATTCTGCTGTACAGTCGTGGGTCATCAAACACGGTAAGAGGCTCCTGGGGATAGTGCGCCGGTGTGTAGGCGTAGGGCGATGCTGGCTTGTAGTGGTACGGCTTCTCTGCGTCCATGGGTGTGGGCATGCTACTCCGCGACAATGAGAGCAGGTGATCCTCAGGTACTGGAGGATTCGTCGAAAGAGCACGCTGCTTCGTGGTGGTGAAAGACTCGAGCAGATCGCTCAAGCTTTCTGGCAGATGGTAGTAGGACTCGTCTTCTTGCTCTTCCTCCTCTTCTTGTTGTGGTTGCTGCTGGGGTTGCTTCTGTTGTTGTCTAGAAGATTCGCCATTTGTAAGGGCAACACCAGAATCCTGCGATGGTTGTTGTGCTTGCTTCGCGCTCTTCTTGGCCTTGGGCTCCGGGGCAGGTGAGGCGGGCTCTTGGGCTGGCGAGGGCGTCTTCGCCGGAGGTTCTTGAGGCTTCGCAGGTTGAGGCGGCGGCGGTTGTGCGGGCGAGGGTTGGTGAGTAACTGGTAGTGAGGGTGTCGGGGCAGGTGATGCAGTCGAGCTGGGGCGGGCAGTCGCGGCGCTGGCACCTGGCGGCGGCGGAAGTGGAGCAATGCCAACACCACTCTTGTCGCTTGCGGCAGCCGCGGCTGCAGCCGAGGCGTATTTCAATGTCTGGCCAGTAGGTATGTTCGGCAAAGGAGCGGGCTTCATGCCCGGCGGCGCGCTGCCATTTACGCTGCTCGGTGTCGAGGCATGCAATGTGGCCAATGCAGGTAAGGGCGACTTGAGCTGTATCGATGGCCGCCTGGGCTGGGCGCTGGGAATGTCGACTGACGACTGCTTGGTGAGCTTCGCGGGTGTACCCTGTGCCACCTTGGTCGGGGGCTCTGGCAGGTCGGGCGTGTCGTCGTGCTGTGATTGGTTGTCTTGTGATGACACGCGATCATCGTCGTTCTGCAGGCCGAACATTTGCTCGTCGGCGTCGAGGTTCAGGTCGTCGTAGATGGTGTCGTCTTCCATAAAGTCGACCTCCTGGTTGTTCTCGACATAGTACTTGATTCCCTCTTCAATGTCCTTGACCTGGTCTGTATCCACGCCTCCATTCTCCAGAGATCGTAGTAACAGCTCGAGCTTCCCTTGGTGCCATTTATGTCGTTCGGCCATTCGTTCCAGCTCTGCTATCCGGTCGGCCTTGGCTGTGTCCTTCTTGCCCTTTTTCATGTTCGCTTGTAGCGTTTCCGCCTCGGCTTCTGTGACCTCAATCTGTCGTTCCAGCTCTTCGACCATGGTCCCCAAAAAGTCGCATATCTCCAGTTTCTCTTTCTCTTTCGGATCGAGCTTTGCGGCGGCTGATAGTCCTTCTTTGGAGAAGGCTTTTGTCTTCATTTCCTTTTCGACGGCCTTGAACTTTTCCATTTGCNNTTTGGCATGCGTTAGCGACAGGCGTGGGTGTGTCAGGATAGCTCTCAATACCGTCTCGATCAGCTTGCGCTGATCCAGCAATGGCTTCTTGTCCTTGATATCATTCTGGGCGGCCCATGCTTTGATCTGGTCTCGCGACCTTTGTAGCTTCTTGATCTCCTTTTTCAGGTTGTCCTCGAGCTTCTCCTTCTGCGAGGGATTCGTCGATTGTTGTAGCTTGTCGTAGATGCCCTCGAATGCCTGCACACCTTCGGCCACTCGTTTGAACGTNCTGTCGCCAGTCAACAGCTGCGTCACGCACTTGCGCATTGGGTCGCGCACCTTGTCAATCTCTTGTTGTAGCTTTCGTTGCGCCATTGCTGGTTATGTAGCCCTCGCGGGTGGGCGTGGTGAGAGGGTGGACTGGGAGGATGGCGAAGCAGTTCGGCGTCGCTTCGGAGGGGGATGTCGGAACCAGGAGACGATGTGGCAGCTCTCCATCAACTCGGGGCGATGGACAAGTTGACACAAACGGAGACGAGTCGAGACGTGGATGGTGCTTTGTGCGACTGTGACTGTCGCAACTGCGCTGCGTTGGTTGCCGTCGTTCGCTCACTCTGCCAAGCAATCCCAAAGGTCGACTTTACGTGCGTTTGTACCGTTTGACTTTATCGAAAACACTCGTAACACTTCGAAACCCACGCTGCACTCGTAATTCCATCCGAAGAGAAGCACAAGGTAGATCAGTTTGTGTTGTTTCTCTGCTATCTCCCAATCTCCTTTTCCTCCTCTTGTCATTTCAGACCAACACCATGAGAAGTACGAATCACAACTCTCTTGTTTCCTTCGACCATCGTATTGATTTCCATTCAGCTGTCATTCAACGAGTAAAGTCAGCCTCAGTCACGGTAGATGGCCAACTTGTCTCAACTATCGGCAAAGGCTTGCTTGTGTTAGCGGCTATCGGCATGGATGATACTCAGAAGGAGGTCGAGTCCATGGCCAATAAGATCCTAAAAGCAAAGCTATGGGACAGTGATGAAGGCGGCAAATGGAAATGGGGTGTCAAGGACATCGAGGGAGAGGTTCTCTGTGGTATGTATAGTTGACAAGTCAGCGATGATATCCTCTGACTCGTATGCANNGTATCACAATTCACACTTCTTGCTTCTGTCAAGAAAGGCAACAAGCCCGATTTCCATAAGTCTGCCAATGCAGAAAAGGCAAAGGAGCTCTACGGCCAGTTCTTCAAGAAAGTACAAACTCTGTACCAAGCAGACAGAGTGAAAGATGGCGTCTTCCAAGCCATGATGGATGTAGCTCTAGTCAACGACGGACCGGTAGGTGTAGATTATACGTGCGAGGACGGCGCGGTAAATATCTCATTGTTTGCCAAAGTACTCGATGCTGACATAGTTTCTGTTACAGGTCACTATCCAGATAGACACGGATCCTCCCAAGATGGACAACCCTACTAGCTTTGATCTCCCCGGCGACCCTCTCACTCACAAGGGAAAGCTGCAGACAACATTCGAGCTTCCAGCTTCGCTTCTTGAGTAGTCACCCTGGCATATCACTTATATCCTGCATGCCTACCATTGAAGCCTCAACTGCTGGGCGTTCTCTTTCTTTCTCAACCATGATACCACTTTAGCACACAGGATAGACTCTTTTCCAAACATCATCCATAGAATATTACCAAATAGAAGGCCACATGGTTAGGTCCACATCCTTGTCTTCAACACAGAGTACAGCGTGCAGTCAAGGGTCTGATATAGCAATCCCAAAGAGGCAATCTTAGTGGTGATCGAATAATGTGGGGTACATAGCGCATAGAAGGTCCTAGAAGCCATCAACATCAACATCTTTCACTTTGAGATAATTGCACTGCCTGTTGTCTTTCTGCTTGTCGCATAACAACTCTCTTGTCCCCTCGAACACGACCTTAACCTCTCACACACACACACATACAACAAAAATGGCAGAGACTAAGCGCAGCCGTGTCTTCTTCGACATCAACATTGGCAAGGCCAGTGCTGGCCGTGTCACCTTTGAGCTGGTAAGATCTTTTCTGCTGCTTCTAAACAAAGTCACAAGTGATTGACATGAACCCCAGTACAATGATGTCGTCCCCAAGACCGCCGAGAACTTCCGCGCATTGTGTACTGGCGAGAAGGGCCAAGGAAAGAATGGCAAGCCACTCCACTACAAGGGCTCTGGGTTCCACCGTGTCATCAAGTCCTTCATGATCCAGGGTGGTGACTTTACTGCTGGCAACGGAACTGGTGGTGAGAGCATTTACGGAGAGAAGTTCGAGGACGAGAACTTTGAGCTCAAGCACGAGAAGCCCTTCTTGTTGAGCATGGCCAATGCTGGTCCTGGTATGTTGGACTGTCGCCGGACTACTTAGAAGCACTCGCTGACTGTCTCTCTAGGTACCAACGGCTCCCAATTCTTCGTTACCACCGTTCCTACTCCCCACCTTGACGGAAAGCACGTTGTCTTCGGTGAAGTCCTCGGCGGCAAGAGCATCGTTCGCACCATTGAAAACACACCCTGTGGCTCCAACGATAAGCCCAACAAAGACTGCACCATCGTCGACTGCGGTGAACTCACCGGCGACGAGTACGAGAAGANNGCCGCCGAGAAGGTCCCCGATAGCACCGGAGACCCATACGAAGACTTCCCCGAAGACCAGGGCGAAGACATTCCCGGACTCGAGATTGTAAAGATTGTCAACGACCTGAAGACCAGAGGAACCGACGCTTTCAAGAAGGGAGATGTTGCTCTTGGCCTCGCAAAGTACCAGAAGGGTTTGAGATACCTGCACGAATACCCCGAAGCTCTCGAGAACGACCCACCAGAGCTTAACCCCGCTTTGGCCTCGCTCAGAATTGCTCTTCACTCCAACAGTGCTCTTCTGCAATTGAAGCTCAACGATTTTGCCGATGCTGAGAAGTCTGCCACCAACGCCATCGCAGTCCCTCAGATCAAGGCACCGGAAAAGGGCAAGGCTCTGTACCGCCGCGCTTTGGCAAGAAAGGGTCTCAAGAACGAGGAGGACGCTGTTGCTGATTTGGAAGAGGCCCTCAAGGTCGTGCCCGAGGACGCCGCAGTCAAGAACGAGCTCGCTGCAGTCAAGAAGGCCGCTACAGACAGGGCAAAGAAGGAGAAGGCTGCCTACAGCAAGTTCTTCGCATAAACAACACACGACATTACGACTATCAAACATTTATTAAAAGCAAGTCACGGGGGATGCATTTGTGCATCATGGAAAAGGAAATACAAAAGGGAGTCATCGGCAGCATAGCGATATCTCCTTGGACAACACCTTGTTTTACAAACTATTGTGTATCTCTATAGCTACCTTATGATAGCATTGGCACAAGGAGAGGACGAGGCCAGGGATGGATCTAGATAGCATCCTGGAGTTGACCTTGAGGAACGATGCACATCTCCAAAAGATCGATTTTCAATCTTGTACTTCTTGTGCAACTTGCAACCAACCCATGTCTTTCAGCTCTGTGTCAACAACCTGGTCAGCTTTTGATTCTGTTTACCTAACCATGCCGAAGTCGCGACCAAGTCAATGCGCAAAAACCACAGCTCATGGTGGATCTCGCTGCTCGCATCGAGCAAACTCTCCAAAACCTGGCTGACGACCCAGCTCTACATATGACCCTTGACTCGGGCACACCGGGCCGGCAATTGATGGCACAGAGCTGCATAGCGCTAAAGGCAAAAGGACACAGCAAAAGCAGTCCCGAACATCGGGTTCGGTCGCTGCTTCCCTATCTCCAAGCGCCTCTTGAATTCGATTGCAATCAACCGTTCTCTGGCAACCGGTGTGCGGCGTGAAGGGGCTGCTTTGCTGTGCCTCTGTTTTATTTCCACTCGTTGTTCGCTTATGTAGCTGTCTTGGATGATCTCCATTGGCATGCCGTCCGCGGGGAATTTGTGGCTTCTCAAAATGGGCTCTCTGGCTATCTTTTGCATGACATCGCTGCTTCTTCNNCTTCGATAAAGTCAGATAAGCGTGGCACCGCATGGTTGGTTACAGCATGAGCGACTCGCAAAAAGTAGTCTGTGGTAGCTTTTTTTTACAGGAACAAAAGCATCATCGCGTTCGCGACCACAGGTCGTGCACATGGTGTCACGAGGCAGGAGCGTGGAGAAACAAGTCTACAGATCAGCTGTCANNAAACCAACGGAACCATTGCTCCATCGCTGTCAATCCAGCCGCATCTGGATCTGTGCGGCCATCTGCTTTCCAATTTCCGGGAAACCTCTGCCAAAACCGCCGAGGATGGGCATTTTGAGGACCTTTTTGACGTTCCAAACACGACCAATTGAGTTGCACCTCTCTCCACGTTCCACGGCATNNCGTGGTTGGTTCGCGACACAACTGCATGCTGTGACGTTTCCTTCCTCATCTCTCTCCTCTCTCCTCTCTCCTTGACTAAACATGCCAACTGCTTCTGCAAGCTCCAGCAGCCAAAGGATCTCACACACCTCTGCTTGACAATCGATAAACCCGTACGATGCCAAGCAAACTAAGGTTTGCGTCCTGCCAAATGTGGCGCTTTAGTATGCCGGCGAGAGAAACGACCCTCCTCTCCCTTATCGGCGCGTTTGCTGGTAAGCAATGAGCCTTGAAGACACCCCCACTCTCCGATAAAACCCTTAGCGGAGCCGTGGATCTCATTATTCAGTGCTACCATCGGATTGCCAATGCTACGGTAGTGTTTGTCTTTCTCTCTTTTCCTTTCCATTCCTGTTTTTCCTATCAGGCAGAGAAGTTTGTTTTTTCTTCTTTCTCGTGTTTTCCAGTCACACCCTCTTCTTTTACACTTTTAGCCTCTGGAAACGCTTGTCTTGGTTTATACTGGCGTCGAGATCGCTTCGAAGGATTTTATGTTTCAGCACTCTCTGACGCGCTTCGAAAGACACCCCCGGAGGCCCTCCGACTCGTCCGAGTCAGCCAGCCCACACACCCTTCTGTTCCGGACCTTCCCATGCCGTCATAGGTATTCAGTGATTCTCTTTGCTCATTCTCACTTGATATATATCTGGAAGGATGACGGTAAAAATCTTTACCAATGCTGCACATGCAAGAGGTCCATTTGTTCCCCATACAGATTTCACTTCACATTCCACGCAAGTTGGCCAGAACGAGCAATATACATCCAGACCGGTTTACCACAGGGCTAGGACAACGCCTAACGAACTGGTACGCAAAATGCAAGGACTTCAAATTAGAACGCCGGCAAACGTTGGCAGCTACAAGATCACAGCCGAATCATCAAAGAATGGATTAGAAGATCAAGAAATGCTCACTCCTCCATCTACACCTGCGCGGGCAAAGATCAATGACCAGTTTCCTTCTTCTCGGCGCTCGCTGGATGCTTCTCGCTCTCATGTATCGGAACTCGCTTTCACTCCCGACTTGTCACAAGCACAGTTACTAGGCGAAGGCGTGTGGAGTAAGGTGTACAGCATTCCTGCTTTGCCTACTCAAAGCCAGCGTGGACGTCCTCTGACTCCACCATCAACACCGCACAAGAGTAGCTTTGCATTGCCTCAGCAGTATGCAATCAAAACCGCAACACGCTCGGATGCAGCTGCAGTTTTCCAAGCCGAAGCACAAATACTCACACATGTTCAAAGTCATGATTCAAGTTCCGACTACGTGGTTCCTTTCCTCGGTCTCTGCACGGGTACCTCGTCGCCTTCTCTTGTCTTCCTGTGCGCCGACGCCGGAACTCTAGAATCTCTTCTCGAATCATCATCAGACCTTCCTCTATCTTCGACCCTGAATCTTTTCCTCCACGTCCTCCAACAACTAACCCAAGGCCTCTACTTCCTACACAACACCACAAACACCATCCATGCCGACATCAAACCTGCAAATATACTACTTTCCTCGACATCTTCTTCCTTGCCCACAGCCCGCTACGCAGACTTCAGCACAAGCTTTGTAGCTCACACAACACCATCTTCACATTCAGGCGGCGGCACCTATTCCTTCATGGCCCCTGAACAACTCTCCCGCGACCCTGAAACCTCTACCCCGACATACGCCTCTGACATCTATTCTCTGGGAATCACTCTGCTTTCTCTGCTTTGCGGCGGCAACCCATTCGCTTCTCTTTTGAACAATGGGTTCCGTCTAAGGNAAGCGGTGAAGATGGGTGATGCGATGAGCTGGGCCATGCAAGACCCTGCTTTTGAAGCTAGAGTTGAGCAACTGCAAAAGTTGTGGCAGGAAAGAGGTGGCGAGGGAAAGATTCTAAGTCTTGTGGCTTGTGCGTTAAGGAAGAAGAGGGAAGATAGAGTTGATGCTGGGGCGTGGTGTAGGAAGGTTGATGCTGCGGTTGCGAAGTTGAGTAAGATCGAGACGGTTGGGTTGGGCATTAGGTGCTAGAGATGGATTCTTGCATATTTGGATTGGGCAATGATTGGGCATCTTGGAGTCAGGATTTTTAGACGGATGGCGTTGCTTGGGTTTTCTTTTTTTCTTTCTTTTCTTCACTTCACATTTAGGCACGATACCCCTCGGTAGATTTCGGGACACAACAGGATCATATAGGTTATACGGGGTCAACAGAACCAGAATAAAGGATTCACCGTCACCACCATACAACCTGCATGAGAAAAAAAGTGGTGCTTTGCATCTCTCGCCATTTCACCACTCTCTCCTCAATAGTGCTAAATCACTGTAGTAAATCTTTCTCTCACCACCACTTGTGTTCGTGAGCTGCGGCTTGAAAACAGCAACGTTACGAACCTGGCTGATTTTGTTACATTGAATGACTGATGGCCACGTCGCTCTTGCCTTGTATCATGTTAGACAAAACGAGACCGATGCGGACGTTCTTCTCACGATCCAGATCTTGGTCTTGCCGGACCTTCTGTGTGTTGGGTGGAAGTAGAAACAGACGTCTTCCATAGCCATCATTGGGCCGAGCGTCAGACCCGAATTGGGCGATGTTTTCTCTGTCGAAGTGAGATCGAAGTTTCTATTGTCGAAGTTTCTCTCCCCTCGCTGTTGTTGGAAGGGGCGACCCGTCGCACTCGTTTCGGAGAAATTAGGGGGGGGGGAATGTATCACTGACCTTGTTGCTTGATTTCTCAAGATGCTTTTCAGATTCAAAGTCTATACTCTTACTTCTATACAATTCGTTTCATCTCAAATGCACTTGAGAAAATCCCAAAAGTGTACCCCGTTGACTGCTACCCATCTGAACAGCCTCCATCTAGAATCTGCGTCTGCCACTCTCTCACCAGCGAACAACTTTAACCACACCGCCACCGAGATCATCCTGACCAACAAATCACACACGTCTATCAAGCCCTCAAATCCAAAGAGATAGGTGTCGGCAATGAAGACCTTGGTCACAGTATCCCTATACGTATGTCGGAGTTGGATGGAAGACCAGGACGGGAATGTTGCAGGCAAGTTCTTGATCAATTGCTGAGCTGTCATCTCAGCGTACTTTCCATTGTCAAGATCAGATAGAATGAAGTTGTCCAAATGCGATAGTGGCAACTTGCGAGTATCCTGTACACTTGCTCTATCCTTGACGTCGGTCGTAGAATCAGGGTTTGCCGAGGCCGGAGGTGCAGAGCGCAAGTTTTGAAGGAAGTGCCAGCGGAATTGATCTAGAACGCCGCGTCTGCATTTGGCAGTGGTGGTGTGTTTGAGAGGCGAGAGGAGCAGATATAAGTGTTCAGCGTTCTCAATAATACAAGTGCGGTTGTTGGGGTCATTGTGCAGGCTTTCGTAGAGCAAGGCGTTGGTAGTATGCGAGTAATGTGCAAATCTCGTGTAGAATGCTGGAGTAAGGATTCGTAATGTTAGCTCCTTGGGTTTTTGATCTTTGGCCAGGTGCTTGAAGGTCAATGTGGTGGGAGTCCCCAAGCCACCTGCTGGTATGTATGTTAGTCGCACAGGCTCAGCCGCATTCTCGACTAAATAGCTCAGATAGGCAAGAAAGAAAGCTTCCAGAGTGGCTTCCGAAGAGGTATGCGTGCGACCGATACTCGAAGCCAAAACTTCAGGTCGGAACCAGACGTGGAGGTTGCGTTTGAAGTATAGTTTATATGCTTGTGTGATGATTCGAGGAAATGTGAGGAAGCCGACCCAGAACCAGGAGACCAGCAGCTTCAAAGTTTGAGAGTTACTCATGGTTGTTGGATCCATGTGGTCACCGTTCGAGTACACTCGTGCGACAAGTTTAGCATGGGCCTGTGAAGAGTCAAGGACGACAGTATTGTCCAGGACTTTGGAGCCAGACTTTAGAGCAGCGACTGGATCGGCTGCGGTGAGCGAGTAAGTGCCTTTGCGTGAATTGAATGGCGAGACGTGAAAATCTTTATTCCATGCGTTCGTGAACTTTGTAGCTTTGGCAGGTGCTTCAAAGCCATCAGGGACCGAGACGTTGGTGGCCTTCTCCTCAGCCTTTAGAAGATACAAACGACGTTCTCCAAAAGTATTATTGACTTCCAGTACCATCATGGCAAGGTGTTTCGAACTGTCATAGATGTACCAAAACGATACTGGATTGAATGAGTAGCCCAGGAATTTGGGTGCCGTAACGAGATAGGCAAACGACCAGGCCTCGTCAGAAACACCNCTGATAGTAGTTAGCTTTTAAATATTTGGCTCTCTATAAGGACCTCGACATACCTCTTCACGAAGATAGCATCTTAGACGGGCTTCAAGTCCACGCTCTTCTCCGCCTCTATACAGATAGTCCGCAGCATTAACATTGAACCATCCTTTGCTTCTCTGACTCGGGGGCAGTAACTCAAGGTTGGTAGACAACATCGACCCAGCACGCCCCTTGAAGTTGACAGGCACTCCAACAGAAAAGTATGAGTACGCAAAAGAATGCTTTTGGGGAAACATTCGCGAGTGTGTAGTGCGTCCAGGCAGCAGCAAAGGCGGTATCAACTGCTCAACTGTTGATTCATGTTGTTGCTCTGGGATTACTTTGAATGCTTGAGCTTGTCCTCTCCAGGCAATTAGACCAGCAAAGATCATTAGTAGTATCAGGAAAGCAAAGATCTGAAGTTCCATGAGTCGTGTTTCCAGTACCCATTGTGGAGGCTTCAATCCATCGATTCCGTAGTGGTACAATCCAATCGCTAGGAATAAAGTAATGTCCGTAACAGTCGTTGAGGGTTGGCTTCTTAAAAGCCATAGTGGCTGTGTGAGCGCATCGAAGAGTGGTTGGATAGGGTCTATGAGAAAGGCGTGTGCGATCGATAACAACACGACGGAGATGGACCATGCATTACGGCGGGACGTATCATTGCCGCTGTTGATTTGTACTCCCATTCCGTATCGACACGGTGGTATAGCAGAGTGTAGATGGTCGCATTGTTGATAAATCGGGTGGTTGGCGATCTTGAAGCCTGAACGCAGAGCCGCATCGGAAGCAACGGCAGTGTCAATGACGACGTCTCGCGACACGAGATTTATATTATCTGACCAGACATCCACTTCCAACTTCCAAGCACTGTCAACACGATAAAAAGTCACAGCGCAATCGAAACCGAGATCGTGGCCAGTGATATGCTGTTACTTAGTACCATCTCGATGGGCTATCATAGATTTCTGGTTATTGTGCATTTGTATACTACCGTATGAGGGACGATGGCCACCGAGAATACAGCTCACAGGCTATCGCGCCATAAACTTGTTCTATGAGTACTCTCACGGTCTTGCATACTATTATCGTAAATTATAGAAATACACAACATTCCACAGAAAAGAGCAGTATTCATTGAAAGTCGTATTTTTACAGGCTACTTTTGGACTGACCTTTCTTCCAGGAAGTATCGTGCATTTGCACAGCTACATTATAACAGCGTCTTGCACACGAGAAGGACGAGTTAACAGCATACAAGAAAGTCTACTTAAGGCACACAGAACTCGCTACTTCTCCCATCAAGCGAGCACTATGTTAGCATCCTTGTGGAGTGGATATTGATCCTCCTGCAAACCCCGAAGCTTCTCCTTCTTATTCCACGGGATCTTTCCACTGTCACCTCCAGTATAAGTCTCCATGCCACCACACCGACCTTGCATCCGCTCTTGGACCAGTTCCAACAGCTTTCGCGGTGCTGGTCTTTGAGTCGAGTGATATCTCATGCATTGCTTCACAAGCCCTATCAACTCGGCACTGTAATTGCAGTTGTGATGTTGGAAGCAAGTGCCTTTGAGTTCTCGGCGGGTGAGATCGTCGAAGCGGAGTTCGGTATTAGGTGGAACATTGAATGGCCCCGAACGCCAGTCGGTTTCCCTGGAAAACGAACATGTTAGTCAGTTCACCAAATATGATCAGATGAGAATCTCACGGGAGGTAGGCATCGATACGCATCATGCAAGCGATGAGCATGCCAATTTGCCATACATTGGTCTTGTGCGTCACTTTCAAGCCCGGTACTTCGTATTGTAGCTCTCCAGTCTCTCCGTCGTAACCCCTTGAGCGAGCTCCTGGAAACTTGTTAGCTGGTAGTCATGGAGCGGGCATTTTCTGTCTCTTGATATTACCGGAGGTACAAATGCCTCCTGCATTGCCCCTTCGTAGTTGACAAGTCTGTAACTCGGTATCCTGTAAGTTATAGGCGTTCCCGCCATTGGATCGCGGTATTGCGGTACACCTCCTAGGGTTTGATCTCCCAATAGCGGATCTGGGTAGGACTCGATGATTCCGTTCGTATCGTATCTGAAAGGATCGTGTATGCCGCCATAACCAAGGCATGTTGTAATGTACTGTCCGTCCCCAGGATTCGCAGCTTCCAGTTGGTCGTACACTTCGTTGCCAATCATGGCTTCTCGTGGTTCGCCTCCGATGATCCCATCCTTCCACATGTTCGGCATGGCCCAAGCCTCGGTCCCCGGAAAGATGTTCTTGATGATGACACGGTCGACAATGCGATTGTTAGCATCGACGCAACACCAGAGGTGTACTATGCCTTGTCCTCCGTCTCCAAGTGCTTGTTCTTGTCCAGCCGCGTCACGAGAAGGTTGGATGGGCAGCCATTGGCCTTGTTGTAATCTCGGTGCGGTCCTGGCTCTGCGTTGCGGTGCTCTGAAACGCCAGTTCAAGAACCTTGAAGTCAACCTGTTTGCCACATTCTGTACAAGGTGTCCAAAAGGATTGTAATTGACCCGTGGATCCATGGCGTAGGGTGTAAGTGGCGATGTGGACGGGAGATGCGTGCAAGTGTGGTCCACACCGTGTCCTCAGATCGATAATCCAGGTTGCTTGTCCGCCGCACACGGATGTTTGTCTCTCAAAAGCAGCTGACAGACAAAGGACGATGACTTGGAGACAAAAGTGCGGTCGACTTCCTTTGTCATGCAATAGCCAACTGAAGAAACGGATGTCCGCTGACATGTTACCGATTTGGGCAACCAAACAAGGAAGTCACCACTCACTTCTCTACTCAGTCATCTCTCACATCATCATCATTGCCTGAATGTAAGCTGCAAGAAAATGCATGATATGTTTTTAGTTCAGATCTGGTCCGTGATATTGCGACTAACATGCGACTGTCGCTAAATCTTCCAGCAATTGACCAAACACTAAAAGTAGATTACACCCTCAGGCGAATATCAGTCCCAACTCCAGGCGCCCACTCGTCTTTCAGTCTTCCTTGCAGCCTCTCTTTCTTGTTCCATGGAATATTCTTACCCACCCCATAGGTATCAAATCCACCAAGGTGACCAGCCATCAATCGTCTGACTTCTCTCAACAACTGCTTGGGTGTTGGTCTGTCAGCCTGTTCATACTTCAAACAAGCTCGAGCAAGTTTTCGCAGATCCTGGCTGTAGTTGACTGAGCTATGTTGGAATTTTCTGATCTCTCTCTGAGTGGGTATATCAAATCGAAGTTGCTGTGCGGTCGGAGGGTCAACACGTGCGGTTTCTCTACAGGCGTGGTTCGGTTAGTATGAGTTTTCAGAGGGGATGAAAACAGTGCAGGGCAAGAACNNATACGGGAGTGTTGGCTCTAAGCGTATCATACAACAGATTATTAGACCAATGCTCCACACGTTCGTCTTGTCGGTGACATGCAAGCCGGGGACGGCCCAGTCCGAGTTGTTAGAATCTCTGGTAAGCTCCTAGAAGAGTGTTAGAGTGGGTAAATAACATAGAAGAGTGTTTGTCCGAACTACCGGTGGTGTGAAGTATGGGTGCATTGCTTCCATGCTTCCTGTGAATCGATGTCTCGTGGCTTCATCGATGATGTGGGATGCTCCAAAATCAGCCAGCTGATTTGTTTGTTAACACGAGTTTTGCACCAACTTGAGTAGTTTTGCTTTTGAGCTTACCTTGGGGATTGGCCAGATTTTGAATCGCTGAGGATCGCTGTTCGATAGCAAGACTNNAGTGTAATGCTCAGTACTGCGATGGGACTGGAGCTAGTTATGATATGACTTACTATTGCCTGTCTGAATGTCCGCGTGTACAATGTTGGACTGTTCCATTGCTACAGTGGCTTCTGCAAGCGCTTCGAATGTCATCCAGATGAATCCTTCGTGGAAAGGTTCCCGAGCCAGCTTTTGTCGTTGAATGGCGTCTCCCAAATCGCCAAAAGGGCAGTACTCGAAGTAGAGCCTGTAACCCGCTATGAGTCTGTATGGGTATCTGCCAGTCCATTGGAAATGGAGTTTAGCATCAGGGTCTGCTTGCGGATTTGGACCGATAGGATCCTGCATCCCTCCGTAACCAAGGCATTGTGTGACAAACCTCCCACTGCCTGAGTTTGAGTTCTCCAAGTTTTCGAATATCTCGTTGCCTAACATGCATTCCCTCGGTTCGCCTCCAACCTCTCCATTGCGCCAGGTCTCTTTCCGCTCCCAAGTAAACACTCCAGGATGTACCTGTTTTACAATGACTCGGTCCAAAATACGACCTTGGCCGTCGATGCAGCACCAGAGATGTACTATCCCCATGCCACCTTCGCCGAGTGGCTGTTCTCCTTGCATATAGGCGGGTTGCATTGGTAGCCATTGTCCGGCCTGTAATCCGCGGGCCGCTCCTGGGTGCTCAGAGGGCTCGAAGGCCCATCTCAAAAATCGATCAAGGAGAGTGTCTTGCGCACCATGGCTGAGACTACCATAGGCGCGTCTGTCGCGATTTGGGCGCAAAGCTGCGGGAAGGCGAGCTCGAGGCATGTCGTGAGATTCTGAGTGATGGCAGTCCACAGAAGGTGCAATGAGAGTGTATGTTCGCAGAGTTCACAGAACTGTGGTGCTTCTAAGTAATGTTTCATCGTTCTATCGCATTCGGTTGCCAGATCTTTGCAAACGGAAGCTGCACAAAGACAATTCATAAAGCACAATGGCCTTGAGTTCTTTGTCATGCTGAAGTCCATTGCCGCTTCCACATTCACAGGCTTCTTATATATTTGTCGGGCGCCACGGCACTTGGATGGCCACAGGCTGGATAGTAGAACTGCCAAAGCATGATGGATCTGAAGATGGTTGCATTGTATGGAGCAGGTGCTATCCTCCGCGATTGGATTGTAAGGTAGGCACACAGTCGTGCTTTCCAGAAGCAGCTTATTTCGCCAAGAAGCCCTGGAATGCTTTCTGGTCAATCACGACGTTGCCAACAGCTCTCAGCTTCTTCCTTCCTTCCTTTTGTCTTTCGAGCAACTTCCTTCTTCTACTGGTATCGGCTGCGTGAAGCTTCGCCAGAACATCCTTTCGGAAAGGCTTGATGGTTTCACGAGCCACAATCCTTCTGCCAGCAACAGCTTGAATGACAATCTCAAACATTTGTCGATCGACATGCTCTTTGAATTTAGTGACCCATTGCTTGCCGATGCGCTCGGCTTGACTGTGATGGCAAACACGAGCGACTGCATCAACAGGTATTTTGTTGACGTGCAGTTGCAATTTGATGATGCTGGACTTGCGCCAGCCAGCATCTTCGTAATCGAGGGATGCATAGCCCTTGGTCAAGCCCTTGAGCTTGCCAAAGAAGTCATCTACAAGTTGCGCTAGCGGAAGTTCATACTTCAGGATTACTTGTGTTGATGTGAAGAATGTAAGCTCGCTCTGTACACCTCGGTTGCCTTCGCATAGCTCGATGACTTTGCCAAGATATTCTTCAGGCATAGTGATGGTAGCAAGAACAAAAGGCTCTTGAAGCTCCTGCACCTTTTGGTGAAGCGCGTCGGTTTCAGGGAAGTCGTTCGGATTCGACACGATCGTCTCCTTGCCCTTGGGGTCGATGATCTTGAATGGTACGGATGGCGGAGTGATGATGATACTCGCTCCATGCTCTTGTCGAAGGCGATCCTCAAAGACAGAGCAATGCAATGTGCCTAAGAAACCGAGACGCCAGCCCGCACCTAGAGCTTCCGATGACTCTTTCTGGACATAGACACTACGGTCGTTCAGCACAATTTGGTTGATGCTGTCCTCCAGATGTTCGTAGTTGCTCTGGTCGACGGGAAAGGCAGCGACGAAAACCATGGGCTTAGGCTCCTCAAAGCCAGGCAGCATCTCTACCAGCTTCTCCGAGCCGACAGTGGTGTAGGTATCACCGACTTTGGCGTCTTGCGAACGCTTCATTCCAGGATTGAAGTAAATGTAGCCGACCTGGCCTGCCCGCAAGACAGTCATGGGGGTTTGCAGGGGNTACATGATTCCGACCTCGCCAACATAGTATTTGATGCCAGTAGCGAACGAAGTGACATGGTCACCAGGCTTGACCTGGCCTTGGAAGATGCGAACCAGTAAGATGACACCCTTGTAGTTGTCGTACCACGAATCTACCAGGAGAAGACGAAGCGGCTTATTTTCGTCTCCTACAGGAGCTGGTATGTTCTCGACAACGCTCGGGAGCAATGCCTCAACGTTGATACCAGACTTGGCCGAGACTAGAACGGCTTTGTTCGGATCCAACTCGAAGGTGTCCTTGATCTGTTCAAGTGCGCGTGGGGCGTCGGCTGTAGGTAGATCGATCTTGTTGATGACGGGAACGAGAGTGAGGCCTTGGGAGAAGGCGAGGTAGAAGTTGGCCACAGTCTGTGCCTGCACACCTTGACTTGCATCGACTACTAGGAGAGCNTGTAGGAGTGTGTCAGCACACGCTTCTCGTAAAGGCTTTGGCTGCTGGGGCAACGCACCTCCGCCGCAACTGGCATAACTTCGTGAGACCTCTGCTCTAAAGTCGACGTGGCCAGGCGTGTCGACCAGGTGCAGCATGTAGTCCAAGCCCTTGTGATTATAGAGCATGGTACATGTCTGAGCCTTGACCGTGATACCTCTTTCTCGCTCAACATCGAGTCTGTCCAGACTCTGAGCATTTCCACCTTTTTCAATGACACCAGTAATCTCCAGCAGGCGGTCGCTCAATGTACTCTTTCCGTGATCAACGTGAGCGACAATACAGAAGTTGCGGAAGCGCTCTATCGGGATGGCGGCAATGCGCTTCTCGAGCTCGGATTGCACCTTAGCGACCTGCGCCAGTCGGCATGGTGATGGGTGGAATAGGCGGACATGGTTGATCTTGGGCGCGCTGACTGTGACATTGCACGCTCCGAAGCGTCTAGGAAGGGCGCGAAAGAAGCATGCTTGCATCTGGTCCTGCGGTCTGCCTGCCTGGGGAAGTCGAATAGTCGTGTCTTGAGAACAAATTGACATTCTTGGTTGCGCTGCCTTCGACTTCGTCGTTGCTCGGCCCGAAGCTGCCCGACCTCTCCCTTGCTGGCACCATCAATCCCACGACTCGCCAGCCATATCACTCGTATAAGTCTCTCGCGACACTCACTAATCAATCAAACCGCCGTCACATTCAATTCACTCGAGCATTATCCTTGTCGAGTCTTTGCTTGTGCTTTGTGTCGACATCGATCTGTTCATCGTTGCATCAGCAATCCAATATTTTCTCTTCTGCCGTCCACCACTCGATCAAAACATCCACAGCCGAAAACTAATCATACATCCATCATGCCGCCAGCAAAGAAGGAGTCCAAGGACAAGGACAAGAACACACATAAACTTGCTCTGAAAGGTATGTTCCTGCCATGTTACCATCGGACGCATCAGAAACTCACCATATCCAGGCTCCTCCAAAACTGTCACAGAATTTGTACTACCAACCTCAGTTCGATGGCCCATATTATAGAAGCTAACTTGACTTCAGTTCGAATACTGTATCAACACAATTCTGTAAGATGACTATATAATTCGGACCAAGAGCATTTTGCTAACTGTAGCAGGTNTTCAGCGTGGTGTTTATCCACCAGAAGACTTTACAGCGTATGTGTCCATGCCCTACACTTATAACCTTTTGTTTCTCACAAGCTTTCCAGAGNTCAAGAAATATGGTCTTAACATGCTGGGTAGGATGAAAATGAACAGTCCTGTGAGGTTGTGGTACTAACACATATTGCAGNTCTCCCAAGATGATCAAGTCAAAGCATACATCAAGAAGATCATGTCACAACTGAACAAATGGATGCTCAAGTCAAAAATCTCAAAACTCATCATTGTCATCACCAGCAAAGAGACTGGCGAGCCTGTCGAGAGATGGCAGTTTGACGTTAGTAACACCCTGTCCTGGTCATTTACCATCAGCGATTGATTGTGGTTAGNNGTCCAAATATTCGGCAAGGAGTCCAAGAAGAAGAGTTCAAGCAAGACCGTCGATGAGAATGCTGCCAGGTACAAGCGATGACTCCTTGTATCGATAAAGTTACTGACCGTATTTCTTCNNAGCACAACCGAGCAAGAACCTGAGAAGACCGACCAAGACGTACAACAAGAGATCCAATCCATCTTCCGTCAAATCACAGCTTCCGTTACCTTCCTACCCATGCTCGATGGCAACTGCACTTTCAACGTACTGGTTTATGCCGACCAAGACTCAGAGGTGCCATTGGAGTGGGGCGACAGTGATGCCAAAGACATTCAAGATGCTGAGAAGGTGCAACTACGCAGCTTCTCCACCAACAACCACAAAGTCGATACCCTTGTGAGCTACAGGTATGCAATATTGTCACTGAGGCGGTCACATGTCTTGCTTTGTACCTATATCTGACGATGCTTGAAAACAGACTGGCCGAGTGAGACGTTGAGAAGAGGAGACTTTTTCACATGCATAAAGCAAGGTTACGGCAGCTTCGAACATTGAGGGTATCTCGAACAACAACCAGGATGCCGGTTTTTACACCCCAAAAGGCATATCAAGACGGTTGAGATTTTCGAGACAGTCCGAAAGCAAAATCCGTAAAATGCTACGTAGACGAGCGTTGAGAGCTTCCCCACTCATGACTGGTATGCCAGTTATGCTGTTCGACATTTCTTTCAAACAGAGCAATAAACACTCCAATGACAATTATAACTCTGCCCCTGAAACTCTTGTTAAGCCCTTTGTAACTGCACGCGAGGCCTCAGCCACGCCGTGTCCAAACAACAATTTCCACAGCCATGATACAGCCCTTCAGCTTTCGACGCACAAAGAGTTTGACAACAACTAGACTGTGCACTAGACAGCTCTTTCCAGCGCCATACACAGCTGCAAGCACGGGAAAGCCGCAAAGCATAAATAACTTTTACCTTCTCACACACGGGTTGACGGGAGCGGATGGGAGCGAAAGGAAGAAAAAGGGCTGAGAGCGAGCTTCAGTCTCAACCTGCCTCTTGCCATGGTGCCATGACTCAACCGAATAGAAGCGGCTGAACGCAAAGCAATACTATCTCAAGAAGGCTGTAATTATATGCTGTTCAGCTACTCTCTGTGCGTTGGGTCCTCAGCTGTGCCTACTTTTTTCCCTCACCTCATCGCGAGATGCACGAGCATCCATGCACACGAAAAGGGGACCGTGTGCATCGATAGCTGGTGGGGTGGAGTCTTTCCCATCATGCACTTGTTTTCTCGCTATCGAGTATCTTTGCATGTCTCTTATTGCTACAAGGTGTTTCAATAAACCCAATTGTGTGGGAATAATCGCGATATATGATGGTTCATCAATACAAGAAGATCATCAAAAAAAGGCATGAGCCGAAACAGCAGGCGCAAAAGCACAGAGCCCGCGCGAGATCATCGCGTGGCTACAATTACACAAATCGTGGTGGTGGCATTTCTGGGGTTCGGATATGGAAAACTGCGAGATTCCCAGCGTCTCTATATAACAGCGAACGATTGATCTTATGAATGCGTTCGCATACAACAGTTTTGATACTGGCAGCGTGGCCTTATCGAAACGTCAAAGCCGAACGGTGGATAGCAAGGAAAACCGTGAGGAGGAATAGTGGTGAGAAATAGCCCGCCACGGCATCATGCAGAGACTATGAGATGCAACTCAAAATAGCCAATTGAACCTTGGCCGTGTTTAGTGTATTTTTGGGGCTTCTGCCGTCAAAAAGGAAAAGCCTGTTCCTTGGACCTGCATAAGTATCGCAGTACCAATACTCGGTCTTCTCGTCATCAACAAAGAACTTCTGACAGCAGCTCGGAAGCAGGCAAAATATTGTCGAGAAACCCAAGCCATGAAGAGCTCTTAATCAATTCTGTTAGACGGTTTTCAACGTGCACCCAGCCTCTTGTATAAAACGATCGGCCGGGCCGTTGAGAGCAAATACCAAGTGCACGGGTGCGCCGGAGAACACCTATCGACTCGGATGGCAGCTGAGCAAAAACACGTCTGAGACATCGACGAGACTCGTCTCGTCATAATCTACACCCAGTAAGCCGAGCAGCCACGGCGCGGCCTAACATCTTATCAATGTTCTTCGACGTGGCGAAGAAGGTAAAAGGAACAGCGTTTGTGTTTAACGACGGGAACAAACCAAAGCTTCGTGGGCATGCCAGCGCGCTTGCAATCAAGTTTCGGGATGCATGTGCCATCGCGTGAGGCGCCATCCGCACTCTGTTTTTCGCTGGCTCACCTGCAGGTTTCCGTTGAGCAGGTGGTTCGCTAAAGGCTTCTGCCTTGCAGACAGTCAATCTCGAGAATCCCTGCAAAATGACGAATTTCCACATCGAGTCGCATGTCGAGCACAGCTGCGTGGTGGGACCACGAACTCCCCACGAGGGCGGTCTTTGCTTCGGGCTCTCCGTCGACTCGAAATAGTCAGCACCCGTACGTTACACCTCCGCACTGGAAACTCGAAGATCAGCAAGATGTGAATCAATGATCTTCGTATGGCTGGTCCTTCAGCTCGACGTGGAGAACCTCGGCCGTTGGCGGCACAGAGTTGAGAGGATGCTGCGTGCTTGTATCAAGAAAGCAGTTGGGCGGCAGAGTAGACTCTCGCCCACTTCTCACCGGACCATTGCCGATGTCAGGTACGCACCACGGGTGATAAGGTTAAGACAGGCAACCGATATGCATGACCGTTAGCGTCGCCTCGGCCGCCAAAATAGGACAAGACTTTTCACGCTATGCCAGACCGTGCTGGATCAAACCCGTTTTGAGATGTTCTGGCTCGGCCATGTCTGGCTTGGCCTCAGCAGCTGCTGGCTTTCTACACTATCAAATCCAATCTGTTGGCGCTATCGTCCCGGACTACTTCTTAGTCGTGCTGCTGCCGCCCTGGACCACGCCTTCCTTCCGCTCTTCTTTTTCTTTTCCAACCAAACACAATCACTCTCCATATCATCACGACATCCCGAGGTCTTTGCTGATCCTCATCCTCTCGCTTCGAGCTTGTGACATAATAACAGTCCAAGCATTACAACAACTTTATACCTAGGACGAGCAGTTTATTGAAGCATTCGACTCGGAATCCAATCTACTGGAAATTGATTAGGAAGCTTGGCTATAGCCAGCACTACTTTCTTCTCTAAACACCACATCTATTTACCATAATGGGTCTCAAATCATATCTTGCCCCAGGCCGCAAGGCTGACAAGAAGGACTCGAATGGCACTGAACTCAACGAGAAGGCCCCGGCCACTGGCGCATCAACACCTCGTCTGGCTCCTCCTTCGGGACCAGTGTCTGGCGCAGCAACACCCTTTGGATCAAGGCCAGCATCTGTGTTCCCCGAAGGCGATTTCCGTAATCATGCAAGAGAGGAGATTCTAGACATCAAGTGTGACATGATGGTTAACAACCTCTACTCACAACAGATGGAACTGCTCTGGACCGCTGGTGGACACGACGAGGGTATTCTGCTGAAGAAGTCAAGAGGAAAGTACGCCTGCTGCCCTTCAGATCTCGAGAGCGAGCCCGTTGGCTTCTTCAAAGCTGTCGAGACTCTCAACGTCAGAGTGAGTAGAGTGCACAATCTCGTCTCGCCCGTCTTCTCTAACTGTGTCTCCAGANGTGCCATGACCGTCAACACCCGCGTCATTAAGCTGTTCCTCCACGGAAACGAAAGCCCTTTCATTCCCTTGAAGAATGGTCTTCGTCTTCAAGTTCTCCCCAACATGTCATACCTGCCCCGATGCGCCAAGCATCAGTTCGCCGCTTTCATTGCCGACCGTGGTATCCTAGTCGTCTGGGACGATGACCCGAGACATCTGATCAAGCGTGCCCAGGACATCGAAAATGCTCTCATGAAGATGATTTGGCGCCAGGAGGGAGAAGAGGAGNAAGTCTCCGAGAAGGAGAAGACAGCCGAGATCAACATTGCTGAAATCAGTGCCGACAGCGAAGAGGCCGGTGGCCTGGAGAAGCCCCGCCGCATTGTCCTCACTCAAGCCATCACTGGTGCCATTACGCTTGCCCTGTTGCTCACTGTCATGGGCACTGGTTGGCGCAAGGTTGCTCTGGAAGTCGCCACCGATGGCAGCTACATCCGTATCGCCTTCGTTCTGTGTATCATCCCCCAGATGTGGCTCTCGCTCTTCTTCTACCAAGCTGTCGTCAACAACATTGCTCAGCTGTTTGGTCCCATCTCTCAGCTGGCCTCAAACACCAAGTTCTACTCAGGTGTCGCCCCGAAACGTCTCAATGCCGATCTTACCACTCTTCCTCACATCACTATCCAATGTCCCGTCTACAAGGAAGGTCTCCAGGCTGTCATTGAACCCACTGTCCACTCTATCAAGGCAGCTATCTCCACCTACGAGATGCAGGGTGGTACTGCCAACATCTTCGTCAACGACGACGGTATGCAGCTGATCTCTGAGGAGGAAGCTCGCGCCCGCCAGGACTTTTATGATGAGCACAACATTGGTTGGGTCGCTCGTCCTCGCCACGACCCCAAGGGTGAACACGGTGAAGCCTTTACTCGTCGCGGAAAGTTCAAGAAGGCCTCGAACATGAACTACGCTCTCTGGGTCAGCAACCGTATCGAAGACAAGATGAACGACACTCCCAAGCATGCCAACTGGACCAACGAGGACGAGGCTGAGATTTACGTCAAGGCACTCAACGAGGTTGTCGAGGAAGACGAAGGCCGCACCTGGGCCGATGGTAACATCCGTCTTGGTGATTACATTCTCCTGATCGATTCCGATACTCGTGTCCCTACCGACTGCCTGCTCGACGCCGCTAGTGAAATGCATCAATCTCCTCAGGTCGCTATCCTTCAGTATTCTTCCGGTGTCATGAACGTTACCGACAGCTTCTTCGAGAAGGGTATTACTTTCTTCACCAACCTCATTTACACCCAGATTAAGTACGCTGTCGCCAGTGGAGATGTCGCTCCATTCGTCGGTCACAACGCTATTCTCAGATGGTCCTCGGTTCAGAACATCGCCTACGACTGCAAGGATGACAACCGTGAAAAGTACTGGTCCGAGGAGACTGTCTCCGAAGATTTCGACATGGCTCTGCGCCTGCAGAACGATGGCTACGTTGTCCGCATGGGTGGTTACACTGGTGATGGCTTCAAGGAAGGTGTCTCGCTTACAGTCTACGACGAACTTGCTCGCTGGGAGAAATACGCCTACGGTTGCAACGAGCTCCTGTTCCACCCTATCCGCTACTGGCCTACCCGTGGTCCTTTCACCAAGCTCTTCCGCAACTTCATCTGCTCCGCTATGCCTCTTCCTTCCAAGTTTACTATTATGGCCTACATCGGTACTTACTACGCCATCGGTAGTGCTTGGTTCTTGACTATTCTCAACTACTTCCTCATGGGATGGTACCTCGGTTACAACGACAAGTACTACCTCGATTCGTTCCAGATCTACCTCGCCATTCTCGTCGTCTTCTCCGCTCTCGGTAACTTGTCGCTGGCTGTTCTTCGCTACCGTACCGACGAGCAGGGTCTGCTTACCGCTCTCATCACCAACTTGATGTGGATCCCCATGATGATGCTGTTCCTCGGTGGTCTCTCGCTGCACTTGTCGCAAGCCCTTTTGTCGCACATGTTTGGTATCGACATGAACTGGGGTGCCACGAGCAAGGAAGCCGAAAACACGACCTTCTTCAAGGAAGTCGGTAAGGTCATCAAGAACTTCAAGTACACCTTCATCTTCTGCATCATCATGTCGCTCGGTATGATTGCTTGCGCGTGGATCGTGCCGTGGAACTGGCAGATCAGACAGTTCTTTGCCATCTGGCCTCTTGCCACCATCATCTTCTCTCACTTCTTCTTGCCCATTGCGCTTAACCCCAACCTCATGCTCTTCACGTGGTAGAGGGTTACTCTTCTTTCCTTTTCTTCTCATCTTATCTTTTCTCTACCTCATGTTATGACGGCACGCGATGCTCTCCTTGTCATCTACGCCCATTTCCTTTTTATTATATCACTTGTTACTGGAACATTTGAGCGGTGGCGTTTGTGTTGTTTGCAAGAACCAAAACTCTCTTTTTCTGAGATCATACCTATAGACAGTCGTTTCTTTCCCAAATCAGCTATATACCAGAATCTTTTTCTTATATTCAAAGATTTATCTAATTCTCCAACATTACTCTATTCCTTGTCTGCTCATGTGAATACATAGGTTTGCATCTTTTGGTAAGCTCTGCTATGAGCCTCTTGATCAGCTTTCAGCTAACCCCTCGTATTAGAATCAATAAAGGCCTGGAATCTAGACCCTTTTCAAGCCCTCTTTCCTCTTTTGTGGTAAGGATGTCGGTGGCTGGGGGTCAGCAGGGTCGAGGTTATGGGGCTTCTTCGTTTTGAACGTTTCGTTTGCGTCAACGGTGATTTGTTTCAACGGTTCCATGGATCGGTATATTTGGCGTTGAGTTTGGCTTGAGGATATCTGGGTAGGTGGCTGGTAACCACAGAAAGAGGGGTTCCAAGAGAGAGCTGGTTGATGATGTATATGATTGTGAATCTGGATGGCATGGTATAGATCTAGTAAACCCAGGGTTGCTGGTTACGATATGAGATTTTTACAAGCTCGTGGCCAAAAGTATTCAGAAAATAAGCAATCATGAATAGGACAAACTACGATACGCACAAAGCCAGTCACAATAGGTAATCAGCAGTTGTTTAAACGAGACGAAACGATACCATGTATGCTCGACTCGCTGGATATAGATTGCAAAGCAAACTCAGGTTTTTGATTTCAGGTACATTCGTGATAAGTCATCTCTGGCTAACGACAGTCGCTCCAGCTTGGCATGTAAGGCATAACTCTCTATCTCCTCTCTACCTCGTTACAGTAAGAGCATCCACACCTCAAGAGCTGGGGGTAGAAGTAGAGGTCTCAGAGCGCTGAACAGCTCCGAATCTCTGGTTGCCCTGATCGAACACAGCGTAGATTCCCCTCAGGACAACGTCACCGAAGATGTCGAACGTCATGCTGCCACGACTTTGGATACCGCCATAGGTCATGCCATTTCCAGCATCAGCAAAGCCGATGGCGTCCTTGGGGATAGTGAACTGGTGATCACCAATTGCGACGGTGACAACAGGAAGAGCCGAAGCGGCAGTGTTGGTAGGGAAGACCCAGCCTTGTTGGCTTGAGTCGTACTTGGCTCCAGGGATGCTTTCGTAGATTTGTTTGGCGAAAGAGTCGTCGACCAGGGCCAAGGTGGTGCCAGTGTCCATGATGGTGGTGTTGTTACGACGCTGGATCTGCTTGCCGTTGACATGGGCAGATGTGGATGCGACGCTCCAGAAGCCTTGAGAGTTGTCGACAGGAGCCCAGTTGATGGACTGGCCGTTTGTGACGGAAGTGTCAATGTAGCCGAATGTGTAGAAGCTGTCTTCACCACTCTTGTTCGAAGAGAGGTAAGCGGTGAACAGCTCAGCATCCTTGGGANNCTGTAGTATAGTGTCAGCAAAGTAGATACAGCAGTGCAAGTGAAACACGCACATGTCGTCCTGGCTGATCATGTTCTCGACCGGAGTGTCGACAGGGGTGGGTTGAACTGTGTTGATGGAGCCCCAAGCCAGACCCAGAAGACCATCGCCAGCGCTCTGGACGAACTGAGCAGAGATTTGGTCGGCCACTTCAACAGCCTGGTTCTGGATTGCGAGGCCGCCGACGGTAACAACATCAGTACCGACAGTACCGCTTGCCGACGACTGGTCGCCGTACGAGATCTGCCAAGTGCTGCCTTGAGACTCCTTCCAGGTGCTGCTCTTGGATGGGTCAAAGATAGTGTGGCCAGCACGTTGGCCTTGAGTCTGAACGGTCTGATTGAGGTTTGTGGACCAGACCCTGATCAGTTAGCATCTGCATAATAGTGGTACAATGGAAGTAAAGACTGACCAGAGATCGGAAGAGCCCGTATCGAAGTCGAGAGTCAGTGTCTGAGGNGGAGTGCCGATGGAAACTTGACAGAGATACTCAGAATCGTTCTGCTGGTCTTCGGCAGAGACTTGGCCTTGATGACCAGTGCTGGGATCCTTCTTCATCAGGATATGCTGCTTGACACGAGCCTTGCCGCCGATGTGAACAGCGAACTTGCTGGCCAGGATGGGCTTGCCGAGTTGTTCGACCGCATTGCCGATGAAGTAAGGTCCATCAAGGGTGGGGACGAAGTTGTACTTTCTGAGCAGGTAGACGTAGGATTTGATACCAGAGCGCTGGTAGTTAGGGTTGTGGATGAGCTTGACGCGAGACAGGTTGTGCTTCATGCTGGATGCCATGTTGGTTCGTAGTTACTGTGATATGGAGCGATGAATAGGAAAAAGGTTGATGTTGGAATGATGGTGCAGGTTGACGGCAGACTTAAATGCAATTGATCATGTCTGTTGGCACCGAGCAGATGACCTTGGAAGGCACCATCCTGTTTCCATGATGGTCAACTTGTTGGAAGCCGCATGTTCACACGGTTGCCGATCCAAATAAGCAACGGCGATTGGGCAGTGCTTGATGAACACGAGACAAGCTTTTGAGTCGCTGATTGCCCCTGCATCCGCTTCTTTGAGAAGCTTTTGCTTGTCATGTCTTATTTCATGACAAGCACGTCCTACGCTATCGACTTCTCCGAATGGACCACAGAATGGACAGGGTAGCATTTTTTGATAGTTTTCATACTGTAGAAGCTGTCCAAAGGGTACTCAGCTGTCAAGCTTGCAGACTGAACAGGAAGGAGGACCTTCAGATGTGGGGGTGGACTCCGGCACGGTCCCTGCCTCCCTTCTGCCGCAACCCGACAGCCAGCGTCGTCACCATGTGTTCCTTGTAGATGAGCTTGATTCATGTGCCTGTTTGACAGCCCCGGAGGTGCCCTGGAAGTGTCCAGAATGGCTATCTACATCGGACAAGCGCGTGGTCGCCTTGTGTTGGTGTTTGGTGCTACGTCATAAATAGGCAGATGCTTCATCGCCAGCAGCGGCAACAGGTCCAACGCACGTAATGTTTGAAGGCAAGCAAGATTTGTGCATTCATGCACCAGGAACGATGATCGGATGATTGGACTCATTCCAACCCTTATCTGTCGGCGTCACAGGTGCAGTTTCAGGGTGCCCAGTCAGGTGATGAAACGGCACCCGTTGTCTCTGGTGCTCGTTACTGCATGATTAGCGACTAGATAGCTATTTATTACAAGTTCTTTCAGTCGAAATGACGACGTCTACCCTCCTAAACTCCAATGTGTGGATGCAGGTCTGATAACGCCTCCCTGATAGTTGAAACCACAGTTGAATGACGCCAACCCATGCAAGCTGAAAACCATGCTCGTGCAATGCGAAACAACAAAAGAAGTCCTTCGATCGAAAATGTGTGTGTTGCCACGGTCGTCATCAATATTCATGTCGGTATGTGCAAGAGTCTCCTTTCTGGCATTGTCCCTTCTTGAAGTACTTGCACGGTACTGTGAAACGCTTGTCGGTGAATAGCGTTCCCTTCTTTCCAGGCTTGCCGCGGCGCATGTGGTCATTGTTGTTGTTATCAGCGCCGCCTTCGCGCCAGCGACGACGATCTTCGTTCTCAAATGGAGGCTGCTGGTTCTGCTGTTGTCCAGGGAATTGTCCCATGTTGGGCATGTTAAATCCAGCGCCAGGATAAGGGAATTGGTTGAAGTTAGCTCCCGGTCCACCATTCTGACCCGGGTTGAGCTGTGAGAACAGAGCTGCAAAGGCAGCTGGGCTTGGATCCATGACAGGCTGCTGTTTCTGCGTAGGGGCGAACATGTTTGGTGCTTGAGCGAGAGGGTTCAAGTTGGCAAAGATGCCAGCAAGATCTGGAGCCATGTTAGGCTGTGCGGGCTGTTGGACTGGCTGCTGAACGTGCATAGGCTGAGGTTGCTGTTGCTGAGGTACCGCCTGTGGTATGGATGCCAGAATACGTTGGATCTCAGCCATCTGGTCTTGATTTTGGCTAGGTGCAGACACCGATGCAGGAGCTGAAACGGGCTGAGCAGGCTGAGGTGGAGCTTGACCTTGTGGATTGATCAGGGCCAAGATCGCAGAGATGTCAGGTGCAGCACTTGACTGTTGTGTCTGCACAGGTTGAATAGGTCCGGCAAGCTTTGCAATTCTCGAAGCAAGCGGCTCCTGGGTACCCAAAGCCCCAAACGCCTTTGTGGTGACTTCTTCACCGTTGTAGGGCTCTGCTGGCTCTCGAGGACTGGGCGGAATATCACTCGGGTCTGTGTAGAAGACCATCAAGGTACTAGCTTCGTACTGCTCACGCTTGGTGCGTTCTGCAGATTCTGGTTGGAGCTCACCACCAGCGTAGCGACTATAGTTCCTCTTTCGCTCCTCAAGATCCACCGAGCTGAAATCGGTCACTGCAAGAATTAGCTTTCTGGTCAACTCCTCCACATCTGCTATGGTCGACTTACATGTTGGCATGACATATTCTCCAAGGTTCTCTTCACCCGCAGCAGTGTCGTCATCTTCATCGATGTCCATCATGTCTTTGTGCTGCTTGAACATGCGACCTTCGCCACCAACATCGCTGACATCGCGAATCATGCTTGCATCATGGCCAAGTTCCTCCTCGGCGTCGTGATGGAAGATCCGGGTCTCGACAAGCTGACTGTCGGGCTTGAAAGTAACACGAAGCTTGCGCCTCTCCTCCTTGCGTAGACGTTTTGCCCGTTCTTCTGGCGTCTCGGGAATTTGTTTCTCTTCTGCCTTGAGGGGACTAGGTTCCTTCTCCTTGCTTTTGTTCAGGTTTGCCATCGTTTCGGCGAAGGAAAAAGCAGGTTTGGCGGGTGCTGCAGGAGCTGCCTTCTTCTCGATCGATTTGCTATTGCGGGTCAGCATAAGTATGGAATCGGTAGTTGCTAAGACTTACATAGCAGCGGCCACCACAGAGGGTGTTGCAGTCTTGGTGACTGCCTTCTTGACGCCAGCGCCTGTAGAGGCAGAGATGACTGACTTGGTGACAGCAGGTTTTGCTTTGACAGTGGCGCCGACGACAGATTTTGCTGCAGCAGCAGTAGGCTTTGGATTACTGCCAACAGGGAGCACACGCTTGAGCATAGACGTCTTGGCAGCGGCATTGCCAGTTGTGGGTGCCACAGACACTCTCTTCGAGGCTTGGTCAGAAGATGCACTGCCGGGAGCAGCACGCTTGACACCAGCAACAGGCTCAGGAGTAGGTCGGTTGCTTGGTGGCGATTTGACACCTGACTGCTGGTCGTTGTTCGCTTGATTGTCGGCCCCGCCAGTAACGTTGCCCTTTATACGCTCACATATATCATGGGTTTCCTTGTTGCCATTTTTGCTCAAGTTGCTGATACATTTGCCCAACTTCGTCACGTCGTACGTTCTTGCGGGAAACGTTTCGCAGCGCACAAGTACCNNTTGAACATGTTAGCATAATCCCGTGGGTAGATAATTTTGTATGCATACCTCGAGGATCAGACGCGTAAGAGGTCCGTCATAGTCATTCTTCTTGATTCGATCGATCAAAAACTGTGCAAAAGAAGCCATGATTTGAGCGTGCTGACCGAGCNNCTGAACTTCATGTTAGCAGGAATTCTTAAAGATGAACGATTTTGCGTGCGAAAATGCGACACAATTCACTTACTGTGCCATGATATCCTTGTTTCCATGCTCCATTGCTGTTTGTAATGCAATCTTCAACATTTCAAGTTGATCGTTGACTCTGCTTCTCAAAAGTGGCAATTCACCGTTCCTCTTGCGATCAATCGCGTCGGTCAACGCAAGGGAATCAGCCTTCCATCGATTTTTCACGGTTTGCACAACTTCATTGAATTCTACCATGCCAGTTCTAATCCTGTCAGCGACAACACTAGTGTGACGGCTCTCCCAAAGAGCCTTGATGGTATCATATTTGACACCTTCACGAGGATCATCTGATCGCTGCGCGGGAAGGGGAGAAACTTCAGGCTCCTCGTCAGATTCATCATCCGAATCATAGTCTGATGAATCTGTCTCAGAATCTGAGTGTTCCTGCTTGACAGCCTGTGTTGGGCGGCCAACTGAGCCTGGACCTGTAGGCAATGCAGTGGGGTTTCTTTCCTTCTTTCTCAGTTTTTCTAGACATGGTTAGTTGTTGCGATGGTTGTGATAGAAGAGAAACGAACCTTGAAGCTTGGAATCATTGCCAGCAAGACGGCGAAGCTCGGCTCTTGACTTTCTGCGTGCCACAGGTGCGACAGTGGCNTATTCATTGTTAGTACGGCGGAGGATCTGAGATTAAAATAAACAATACTAACCTCTGTTGATTGGAAGCTCCGACTCATTATTTCCAACGAAAATGAATGTGTTTACCGAAGTGGAAGTGGTTGCTTCGCTAAGCCGAGCGGCATCTTTCATCCAGAAGTTTCCTGTGCGAGTGCCGGCCGGGATGGCATTGTACAGAGCAGCCTGATCTGCTATAGGCGCTGGAGGAATGACTCTGGTATAGGCAGCAGGATCAGTAGTGCTGGGACGGGAATATGACAAAGGATCCAAAGTCTGGCTAGGTCGAACAGCATGAGCACGTTCATGCTCTAGAGCTTGCGGGGCAATAGTGCCATGCTGCACCTGTTGTGGCTGACCATACGGAGACGGACCAAGTTCATATGAAGAAGGTCCATTTGTGGCACCGGACACCAACGAGGGGTCGTAGGTAGAGTGTGAGTATTGGTGAGAATTGCTGTAGCCATTATATGGAGTTGTTTGAAGGTTCGATGGGCTCTTTGAAAAGGCGTGAGGGTTGTAATTGTCGAGTCCAGTATTCTGTTGCCAAGACAAGTATGAATCTGCTTGAGGAGCGTTTTGGTTTGGGATATGGGAGGCAGCATCGAAGCTCCAGTTGGCAAAGTTATCATTCTCTCCGCCATTTGACAGGATGTTGCCAAACTCGTTAACTGCATTATAGCCATTTTGGTACGACGAAGACTCATGGCCATGCGGCGGCATGTGGTGATGGCCGTCCATGATTGCGATGCAGCAGATGTGTTCTCAACAATGACAATGTTCTCAACGCGAGGTCGAGCACTGTGCTTTAAGCGGTATGTGCGTGACTGATAGAACCAATCACAAACGACGACAATCTGCCTTATGGCTTGAGATTACGTGAGAGGGCGGCTCAAATCAAGTGGGAATGTCTTGTCGGGGCGACGTAGAAGCGCTGGTGACTGTGTAGGAGCTTGTGTGAAGACGCGTAAAAGTGTATGGATGTCGAAGCTCCTCCAAGCTGATGCGTATAGCGCACGCGCGAACGCCTCGGGCAGGAGCGCTCGCTGGCGGTATGCTAGTATGTGGACAGGCAGCCCTTGTCAGGGGTGCAAATCAAAGTCGCTCCGCGCTGCAGCACAAGGACGCGATCAAGGCTCGATGTGGCAACAGAAGGCCGCAAAGCAGAGTCCCTGGCGGCTTGCGCAGTTCAGGAAATTTATTGATGATAAGCACCACTGACCAGAGCCAGAACGGGCTTGTCTTTCACCGTAAGCAAGTAGCAGCCTTCCGGGCGCAGCAGTCACCGTCGCAAAAAGAGACCATGCGCACTCGTAAGGAGAGCGAGCACTTATTCTGCTCAGAGTCCCTCCGACTTGATCGTCCGTCACTTATTAGACCACAGATGACAAGCTTTACAGACGGGCGTTCAAGCGCCTTGCATTAGTGATGGCAACGGAGCCAAGGGGAGATCAATTACACAGAAGGATGGTTGATGAAGCGGTGTTGTAAGGTGTGGAGGAGAAGATGGCAGACGGGGAAAGTGGAAGAGCGCAATCTTGTTGGAAAGAGAGAGTCGCAGAGGGCTGCCTTGGCAAAGGCCGGCTGTCACCGCCTGCCTCTCATGACGCTCCGGCTTGTGAATCTGGAACCCTCTTCACTCAATGTAGGGAGAGGATGCTATGAACGTGTTAACTTATTGAAGCTTGTTGTCTGCCTAGTAATCAGAACAACACACACACACTTCTGTCTTTGTTCCTCTTGTCCACCAACCACCTCATCACCCACCACATACGTCTGTCGGGCTTCGTATGCAGTAGCGTCCACCAGTCCGGCTGAAAGATCTGGCCATCGATCGACATGGCATCCCAGCACAACTCCCTTCGCGACCGTCAAGTGGGTGCGTGAAGCTCTCGTGATCGATACAGATCCATATACTCACGCTCCCAGNCGTCCATTGAGAAGGTCCTGAACCTCAACCACGCCTCTCCCGAAAGCGCAGATACACAACACGATGCAACCCTTGCCAACGGTCTCGTCACCAAAGCCACTCCTATCCTCAATGCCGACGGCGAGCCGATCTGGAAGGTTCTTGTCTTTGACAACCTAGGAAGAGATATGATCAGTAGTGTCCTTCGCGTCTCAGACTTGCGCTCTTGGGGAGTCACCATACACCTGTACGTCGCCAAAATCAGCTGCTTGCTCTTTGAGCCCTTGCGCATGCTGAGTCTTGCTACAGAGCTGCTGCTGACAGCAACGTGTCAGANNCCTATTACCTCAAAACGTCATGCTATTCCAGACGTCCCTGCCCTCTACCTCGTCGAACCTACCCATGAGAACCTGAATATCATCGCTTCCGATCTCGCAAACGGCCTCTACTCGTCTGCCTACGTCAATTTTCTCTCGTCAATATCCAGACCTGTCTTGGAGGATTTCGCCGCCCAAATCGCCGCAGGAGGAACATCGGAGAGCATTGAGCAAGTCTATGACCAATATCTGAACTTCGTCGTCAGCGAGCCCAACCTGTTCAGTCTGGGAATGGGCAAAGATGTCTACTATACTATGAACAGTGCGCAGACCAGCGACGAGGAGATCGACGCAAAAGTCGACCGCATCGTGAGTGGTCTGTTCAGCGTCGCCGTGACCATGGGTAAGTCCAGTAAATGCTCTTGCGATCCTTATTCTGACCGTTCCANNGGCTCTATCCCCATCATTCGATGCCCGAAGGGCGGCGCAGCGGAAATGATCGCAGCCAAGCTTGACCGCAAACTGCGCGATCACATTCTGAATGCGAAGGACAACCTCTTCTCCGGCGCCAATGCTCGCAACAACACTGCAGCTACCACACCAGCTTCGCGACCTATCTTGATCATTGTCGACAGAAACCTTGACCTCGTACCGATGCTCTCTCACTCCTGGACATACCAATCACTAGTACACGATGTGCTCAAGATGCACCTCAACCGCATCACAGTAGAGTTGCCAGGAGATGACTCAGATGCGACCAAACCTGCGACTAAGCGATCATACGACCTGAACACAAATGACTTCTTCTGGACCAGAAACGCGGGAGTACCGTTTCCACAAGTCGCCGAAGACATTGACACTGAATTGACTCGCTACAAAGAGGACGCCAACGAGATCACCAAGAAGACCGGAGCTTCTTCAATCGAGGATCTGCAAAACGATACGTCGACCTCGGCTCAGCATCTCAAGGCAGCTATCACTTTGTTGCCTGAATTGCGTGAACGCAAAAACATCCTCGACATGCACATGAATATCGCGACCGCTCTTCTGAAGGGCATCAAGGAGAGACAGTTGGACAATTTCTTCCAGTTAGAGGAAGACATCAAAAAGCAGACCAAAGCACAGATGTTGGAGTTGATTTCGGACTCTGATAAAGGCAAAGAACCTTTGGACAAACTCCGAATCTTCATCATCTGGTTCTTGAGTACCGAGCAGGAAGTATCCCGAGCAGATATGGACAAGTTCGAGGAGGCTCTGCGCAATACTGGAGTCGACACCACCCCTTTGACTTATGTGAGACGGTACGTGACAGTCCTCTGCTCCCCTCTACTAAAGGCTAGTTGCTGACTTTCCATAGTGNTACGAGAGATCACGCGCATGACCATGATCTCGTCGGCACCCACTCAACCTGCCCAGTCATCAGCATCTAATGACCTCTTCCGAGGATTCAGCTCACTTTCCAAGGGATTGACGGATAAGTTCAAGGAGGCTGGAATCGGTTCGAACTTTGAGAATTTGATCTCGGGTGTTAAAAACTTCCTGCCTGCCAACAAAGACCTGACTCTGACCAAAATCACGGAGTCATTGATGGATCCGTCCAACGCCAGTACGAGCGCGCTCCAAAAGACAGAGGGCTATCTCTACTTTGATCCTCGCAGTGCCAACGCTCGAGGCACAATGCCGCCGTCAGCAGCTCAGGCTAGAAATCCTGGCGGCAGCAGCGTGACAAGAGGCATCGAGGCAAGCTTCGGTCAACGGAGACAAGGCTACAGCGAGGCGATTGTCTTTACAGTCGGTGGTGGCAGTATGGACGAGTATGGCAACTTGCAGGACTGGGCCAATAGAACGAGCGGCCAAGGAGCAGCAGGCTCGGTAAGCAAGAAGCGCATTGTGTACGGCAGCACGGAGCTTGTGAATGCGGAAGACTTTGTGCTCGGGGAATTGACCAAGTTGGGCAATGAAAGCGCATAGACAGGTCATACCTAGCTGTACGAGAATGAGAAGACTACTTAGTCTTGATATACAGAATGAGGCTCTTGCAGAACAAGTGGATGGTCGCCCGTGTAGGAAGACAAATGCTTGGCCGAGGAGCTTTGGCCTCGTTTGCCCCGGGTTTACTTGACAGGCCGATGACATACTGCCATGTACGGAGGGGAGTCAGTCTATCTCTAGTCCTCTACCGACCTCGACAGTCAACACGTTGACCGCTTGAGTGTCCACCATACTGTAATCACCCTCTCGTCCTGAACCCATCGAATTGTGTCCCCTCGAATCCAAACAGACGCCTGCTCTAGCACACGCGTTGCCCGCACTCACACGTCCCCCAGCCATTGCTTGTTGGACACCTTTCGACGGCCTGCAAAGCAGAATCCAATGGCACCCCGTACAGCGCTCAAAACACTCGCGTATCGACGCAGAAGGGCCGATGGCGACGAAGACGAAGAGTCCGTTGCTGGCGTCGACGACTCTCAAAGCGAAGCCTCGGTGGCTAGTGACCTGGACCATACAATCGATCCATTAGAAGCGGATGCCGACGCCAGCGAGTCTAGCGGCGCTGAGAGTACCGTATCGTCACCACTCGATTCAACTGCCGCTCAATCTGTTGGGCCTGGGAAGACTGGACGTACACGCTCGAAGAAGGCCAAAGGCACAAAAACAGACAGGACGCCTTCGAACGGCAACGGCGACGAGCTTGTCAAACAGGAATTGGTCACTGAAGAGTCTGTTGGAACTGACGTATCGGCCCACGCGGCCGGTGCGCTCATCGTCTCGTCCGAAAGTGGTTCAGCAAGAAGGGGAGAAACAGTAGCGGATCGTCGAAGGCGGGAACACGACGACTACAGGAAGAAACGAGACACAGATCCGACCTTCATTCCCAACAGAGGCAACTTTTTCATGCACGACGCTCGCACGTCAGACCAACGGGGCTTCGGCTCCTACGCTCGTGGCAGAGGGAGGGGGAGAGGCATTCCCCAAGCTCCCAGCAGGTACGTTCGCATCAACTTGTTCACAATCGGGAAAGAGTGCTAACACCCACCACAGTCATGTACCANNCCGGTAGAGCGAACAGCCGACGCGCCATGGACACACGATCTTCATGAGACGGTCAACGAACGCGGCGTTCCACCTACTCGCCAACGACCATCTCAAGGTTCCAGCAATCACCCTGATAGCGTCTCTCGAGGCGCCTCTGCAGTTCAGCAGAGGACACTGAACTTTTCCAAGACGACTCAGATTGGCAGTGTGCAGATCCGTGTCTGGCTACCTGGCATGGCCGCCGCTATACCTTTTGCTGCTGTTCCTGTGAAATCACACACTCGACTGCCCGATCACAGACCTCCTCTCCGCCGTGACAAGCCTGTTCGTGTCTCTCTTCCTGACCACCCTGTACGCTATGTCTTCCCAGCCGCCGAGCGCTCCTTCATCTTCATTCCCAGAGCATTGAGGCCCAACCAACAAGGCTTTGGCAAAGCAAGAGGCAGTTTTGGTGCATATGGGGCTCCATCGAGCAGACGACCTAGTATATACGGTGGTAGTGTGTACTCACAGGCCATGTCTATGAGTCGCAGGTCCTCTCTGGCTCGTGAAGTGCCGAGAGACTCTGCCTTTTCCCCCACTGGCTCCTACACTGCTCGTGCTCCTGCTGGGCCCGGTCGACCAGTCGTACGCTTGCCCCAAGCTGGGTCTCATCGATCCTCAAATCCTTCACCCGCCGGCTCTACTTACAGCCGTTCGTACCCTCATTCTTATCCTCGACCTCAGACGCCGGCCGTCGAACACTGGGCCGAGCCAGATACTGTGCATCAGCCTCGCCCGCAAAAGACCATATCTATGACTGGGATAGAGTCCNCCGCCGGGCTTGCTCTTCACGCTCCGCAGCAGCAAGAGCAACAACCATTCCACAATCAGTTGCCCCAGCACATTGCAGAAGGTAGTATCAGCACTCTGTCGGCATCTTCTGATATGGGACCCCCTCTACTTGGCCCGCCAGCATATATGTACCCTGGTGGCACACCACTCTCCAACATTCCAGAGAGAGCTATTCACGCACAACCGTTCCAGCCCCCTGCATCTAATTATTATTCATCATTCGCTCCCTCTGGATACTATTATTCGGGCCAGCCCACGCAGTACGGTGCTATGCCGTCCTTTGTCCCACCCNCAGCACAAGCAAACTATGCGCCTCCTGAGCCGCCTATGGCAAGCGACGCTCAGCCAGGAACCATGGCGCATGAGAGTAATGGCATGGTCTACTATACGCAGATGCCGCAATATGCACCTCAGGATAACTATCTTCAGCCACAAAGTTATGCTGTTCATGGTATGGGTGGTATGATGACGCCCAGTCCAGAAGGTGCCTACTATTATGCAAATGCCGGTCCGATGTTCTACCCACAAGGTCAATGAAGTCTTCATTCTCATTGTCGACTAACATCATGGGCGCATGTATAGCTGCATGGTTATCCTCCATGTCAGAACTCGATTCTCAATTTAATACCCTCTTTTGTCCTCCAATTCTCAGACTTGCACAGGCTGTGAACCACAGTAGAACTAGTAAACTAGCATGAGCTGAATGAGACAGAGTCCCAGATAGCATTCCTCCCCGTGTACAAAAGTCCGTAACCTTGCCTGCTCCCACGACAACATAAAGGCACGTTTGGACCATAGAAAAGCACAGTGTTTTCTAACATCGAGGGTACAGCCATAGAGAGCTAATGAAACTTTGTCTCTCAGTGGATGCTGCCCTGCTTCTCAAGACTATTGTGCATCTCTATAGTTATACGCGTTACATGCTTTAGTACATGGGGAGGTTGTTACAGCGATATCTAGCAGAAGTAACGCGTTAATTGAATGCATGTGAAACGTCAGCAGTGATGGGCGCACCCCAATGCAAGGCGGTGATTGGAGCCTTGGAGCTAGAAGCAGCGGCAGGTTTAAACGACCAGACGGCGCGGGGAAACACCGTTAGCTCCGACAGTCTACCAACCAACCAACCCGCGACAATTCACTCACCTCCACATCTACACGACACCTCGTCGCTGCTGACCTTTGTTTCTTTCTTCCTCTCTCATACATCTCGTGTCCATCACAGGTGGCCATCTTCCTGCGCGCACTCCTTCCACAGCTCGACGTCTCAGCATTCTCACTGCCACTCATCCTCGACCCATCGCCTCCAGCCGAGGCTGTTGTACGTCACTAGGCTGCCATCCAGCACCACACGCCGCCCGACATGCCTTCGTCTACAGGCCCCGTGAATGAGGACACTCTCATCACCATCAAGATCTCATTCGACGACTGCACCAAGAGGCTCAAGCTGCCGCTCAAGGATCTTGGTGCAAACACCCTTTCAATCAAGGTACTATCAGCTTATCGTCACATGAAAGTCGTGCATCTCGGCTGACTCTTGCACAGCNTCCGCAGCCTTCTCTGCATCGCCGCCGACCAACCCGTCGTCTTCGAGCGCTATTCCGACTCGGCCGGCGGCTATGTCGTCCTCGACGACTCCAATCCTGCCGTCTTCAAGACTCTCATCCGTGCTGCCAAGGCCAAGCTCAAGCTCAAGCTGAGAGCTACCGCTCCTCCTGACCACTCCAAGGTCGATGCTCCTGCTTCGGAGCCACCTATCGCTCTCTCATCCGCTGTCGCCCCTTCCAGAAGTGCCACTACCCTCGACGAGCACTCTATCGGTCCCGGCATCTTCGAGTTCCGTGAAGCACTCAGCTCAATGAAGAAGACAGTTGTCGAGGCTCCTCTCCCTCGTCCCTTTGGTAAGTCGAACATTGTGCCTCTCTACCCTACACATGCTTACGTATCAGACTTCACGGCAAACACAGTTGTTCAGGGCCCCAAGCATGTCCTGCCACTCCGTGTTGCCCAGCCCGTCGAGGTCGCCAAAGGACCATGGTCCATCTTCTGCAATGCTTGCGAGAAGATCATGCAAAACGTCCACTATCACTGCAGCGCTTGTGATGGCGGCGACTATGACCTCTGCGAGGCTTGCGTCGAGAAGGGTACCTCCTGCCTCGGAGACGGTCACTGGTTGGTCAAGCGCTCTGTTCAAGATGGCAAGCTTGTCAGCAGCACCACAGAGCGCTTTGCTCCCAAGCCCAAGACGACCACTGCACCTGCGCCTGCACCTTCATCTAAGCCCGAGATCACCAAGGAAGTTCCTGGTGCCTTCACCGACGACATCAAGACCTTGTCCGAGTCATCCCGCACTTGCAATGCATGCGTTGTGACTCTTCCCGACCACGACTTCGTCACGTGTATCCAATGTGATGACTACGACCTCTGCTTGAACTGCCACACGCTCAACACACACGGCCATCACCCAGGTCACCACTTTAAGTCTGCCGTCGACGGTGCCGCCCTCTCCCTCGCCCAAGAGGCTCTTCTCACTGCTGGCCGTAACTTCAGACACACTGCCATCTGCGATGGCTGTGATAAGATGATTCACGGTGTGCGCCACAAGTGCTTCGACTGTCCCGACTTTGACTACTGCAGCGAGTGTCTCAAGAATGCTCGTCACAGTCACCCTCGTCACCGCTTCGCAGCCATCTATGAGCAGTTCAAGGGTCGTCCTACCTCGTCCATCTCCCACCATGGCATCTATTGCGATGGTCCCNTCTGCAAGGGCAAGCCCCATCAGTCTTATATCCAAGGTGTGCGTTACAAGTGTGTCGTCTGCCACGACACAGACTTCTGCCAGAACTGCGAGGCTTTGCCCACTTCTTTCCACAACAAGACTCATCCTCTGGTCAAATTCAAGACCCCTGTCAACCACTTGACTATCTCGACCGAAAGCGAGACCAAGCACGGAGTTCGCAAGCTTGGTGACCGTGACCCCACTCGCAACTTGAACACTCCTGCCATGCTTAGCCGCAGGCAGTCAGCTAATGCTACAGCCTCGGTCAAGACTTCCGCCGACATCAAGCCGTCGCCTCAGGCGGAAGAGAAGGTGCTTGATGAAAAGAAGGTTGAGGAGAAGACACCAGTCTCTAAGCCTGCTGTGGCCGCTTCCATGCCCAAGGCTCCTCTCCAACTGCCCGAAGCTATCTTTATCGGCGACCGTGTCCCTGATGGTACCGTCATTGCTCCTAATGCCCGCTTCGTCCAATCGTGGACTCTTCGCAACCCTGGACCAATCGCTTGGCCTGCCGGATGCAGTGTCCGCTTCGTTGGTGGCGACAACATGCTCAACGTAGACAACACTCATATTGCAGCCGCTTCTGACATCGCCGAGGCTAGTGAGAGCAATGTCGTCGGTCGTGCGGTTCTGCCCGGAGAACAGTTCCCCTTCACTGTGACAATGAAGGCACCTGCTCGCGAAGGAAAGTGTATCAGCTACTGGCGCCTCAAGTCTGCCGATGGCACTCCTTTCGGCCACAAACTTTGGTGTGACATTGATGTCAGACAAGCCCTCCCCATGCCCACCGAAGCTGCACCCATGCCTCGTTCTCCTGTCATTGCTCAGCCTTCGTCCCAGGCACAGAGCTACTATGCTCTCTACAAGGAGCGTATGAACGCCCTCAAGACTCACCTTGATCAGACTAGCGAAGGACCTGTCGCTGCCCCTGTTGTGTCAAACATGGCCTCGCCAGAGGTTCAGAGGGAATCGGTGGTTGGAGTTCCCAAGACCCCTGTTGAATCGAAGATTGAGGTTCCCGAGTCAGAGCACGAAGAGGATGAGCTGAAGAGCAGCCAGATGGTCTTCCCTACATTGGACAAGGAGAGCCCTACCAGCTCAACCTACCAGTCTTTTAGCGGCTCAGGCATGAGCAAGAAGGTGCACGAGGAGACTGAACAGGTTTCCCAGACTTCTGAGGTTGCCGACAGTGTTGCCAGCGAGGACGAGGGCTTCGAAGACATTAGTGATGACCTCGAAGTGCTCAGCGCCAACGACGACGAGGACGAGACCGAGGACGACAGCTTCCTCACTGACGACGATTACGACATTCTTGACGCCAGCGACCAAGAGACCGTTGCATCCATGAAGTAAAAAGCGGCGATTTGCTAGACTTTGAGCAGCTATTTTGCTCAACCAGATCAACTACCTTGGCTTCTCTTCTTTTTTTTCTTTCCTTTGTTCTTTCGGGTTCTCTTTGCTGCAAACTTCTGGGTGCTGGGATTTGATTGTCACTCTCTAAGGGCAAGTATTTCTCTTTTCTTGATGGAGATAGGGCAGGGCGCAGGGATGATACGGACTTTCCTTCAAAGCAATGGTTACCTAGTGCAGGTAGTTTCTTCTATTCTCCTAATGTCGTTTGTTTCAATGATTGTCTTTGTCCATTTTTTGACTCTATCTGATGTGATGTGTGTGGGAGTGATCGCGATGTGATGATGGGTGAGATTTACACATGGCCAAGTCGAATTGGCATGGGGTACCACCCTGTCCATGTTTTCTGTGCACTTTTATATCGCCAGCCACAATATAGATATCATTTCACTCTGCAGATCACGGTTGGCTATGAGCAGCAGAGTTCTGGCTGTCAATGGCTTGGTTGCTACTACCACGTATTTGATTGGGAATCTATACCTTGAATTGTCGTCATTGAACTGGAAATAGCCATCACAGGTTGCAGAAAAAGGGTGTAAGCAATGACAACGACAACACATCAAGATGGTCGAGGATGCGAAACGTCTCTAGTTACGACAGCGAAGAAACACATCACTGGAGGTCCAGATCGAAAAAGTCAGAGACCACGGACGGCGCAAGAGGGATAGGGAAACAGCAAATCGAGCATTGACGAGCATAAAAAGGATTCACGTCTTGAAACCACGATGTAAGAACAAAACTGATGTATAGAGGCACGTTGGAGAGAAGATAGATAACATGTGCACGGTTTTCATAGCTTCGTTTGTTTTCAAGAGATCTATCGGACAAGGAGTTTGTTCTTGGGGAGCAATATGCTGATTAGACTAGTTCCAAAGACACCTGTACCGACTTCCATGTATCGGACGTTTTCTTCCCGCGCTCAAGACGGTGGTGGTTTTTGTTCAAATGTCAATGTCGATGCCCAGATCCATGTCGGCAATGATGTCTTCGTCCTTGGGCTTCTTCTTGAACCCGCCCAACGTTGTCTTCTTCAGCTTGTCGTTGACGGGCGTAACGCTGCCAGTGCCGTTTGCTGGTGTGCCGGTTCTGCTGATGTCGCTGGCATCTCCAAACAGGTCGTCAGGTACTGCCAGCAGCTTCTCCTTCGCGGCTTCGGCTTCACGACGTGCCTTTGCTGCGGCCTCTTCTCTGGCTTTTTGCAGGATACGCTTCTCGGCCAACTGTGCTTTGCGCACGTCTTCGCTATTGGCTTTGCGGTTGGCGCGGTTGAGAGCAGCGAGACGTTCCTGTTGTGCGAGCTTGCCGTTTTGCTTTGCTGTGGCAGCTGCTTGTGCTGCTTTTGCGGCACCGCTGCCAGATCCCAGAGCTGCGAGTTCGGAGTCGCATTTGGCGACTGTGGTATCATCACCACGGGATGCTGCTTCCTCGCGACGCTTCTCGATCTTCTCGCGGCCGTAGTTTGCGAACTTGGCTTGTAGAGCGTTTGTGCGGTTGATCTTTCTCTGGATGTCTTCGTCGGTCCATTGGTATTCAAGGAGGGAGTGGATGTCGTCGAGCTTGGAGACCAGCGCTTTCTTAGAGGGCAGGCGCAAGGAATCGGCCGACTGAGCAGCTTTGAAACGTTCGAATTCGGCCTCGGTGAAACTGGAGTCGGAGCAGGCGATGAAGGGCCACTCCTTTTCGGCCTTGCCATGGGCGACGACTGCGTATTGGTCGGTGACAAAGGGTTTGCCGTTCACGCCTTCCATCTGGTAAGGTTTGCCTGAAGTAAANGCCTGGGAAAGTCAGCAAGGTCCGAGTACGTAGCAAAGCTGTGATGACATACTCTTGATCTGAGCCATACGGTACTGCGGTGCTCCAGTGTCGCGATTAACGCCAATGCTTACGCGAGCGTAGCAGTTCCTAATGCTACTCTCGAAAGTCGGGTAGAAGCACACTCTGGCAAAGTTGGTACGGCCGATACGCGCACGCTCGTAGTCGCGCAATGCTGCAGGAGCTTCGTCTCGTGCAGCAGCAGCAGCTCGAGGCTTCTCGTCCCACTCGACCTCGCTGTCACCTTCGGCGTCTCTGTCCGAGTCGGCGTCGTCTCGCGAAGGAGAACGGTCCCTTCTGCGATCGTCTCCACGGTTCCGTTGTTGACCTTTCATCTCTCGCTCTCTCTTGTAGGCTTCCAGAGGACCGCTGGCCTTGACCTTGGGCCTGCTGCTCTTGCGCTGGTCATCATCGTCCAAGTCGGCAGCGGCAGCCTTGCGCTTTCTCTTATCGGCACCGGCTTGCTCTCTCTTGCGTTGTTGTAAGATCTTCTTGAGTTGCAAGTCCTGAACTCTTCTTTCGACTTCTGCGGCACGTTCTGCGAGGATTTCTTCTCGGCGGATTTCGGTCATGGCCATGACTTCGGCGCGATCAGTCTCGGAGCGGAACTTGCCCTCGATGGGGTACAGAGGAGCATCCTGGTCGAAGTCGAGGCCGTCTTCCGAATCGGATTCGTCCATGGCAGCAGAGCCTAGCGATCGGGGAGATGAGGCAGCCGAGCTGAGATGGCAATCAGTACGTGGAGTCGTACAGTATGGCAGAGTAGGCAGGTTGAGAAGTTGGCAAGAAGAAGTGTCTGGAAGCAGGTGGACTTACGCTTCACCTTCTTCCTCAGAGTCATCCTTTCTTCTTCTTCGCGGGGCAGCAGCTGAGCGCGACTTTTGTTGGTCGCATTGGCGCGACGAGGGGGGAGAGCGGTCGTTCTCTGACGACAAGGCGGCATGTTCGAAGGGGGAGGAAGGTTGTGGCTGTCTGTTGTCGGTTCTCTCGTCGTCGGAACTGTCGTCGCCAGCAAGAGCAAGAAGCTCGGCATCAAGCTCGTTGTCGGACATGATTGAAGGCTTTGTGGTTCAGGGGAAAGAGCTATGAGTGGAGCGAGTTTCGAGTATCGAGGGCCAAAAGGTTGGAGAGGGATGAGGATTGTTGCTTTTGAGGACGGAAGGCGTGGTTATCTCGTAAGACAGTGAAGAATGGGCGTGGCTGGGACAATAGATGGCGCAAGAATAAGATGGTGAGTGAGATTGAATAAGTTAAAGTGAAGGAGCGTCGAGACACCAAGCACTTCCTCAACTAAAGCTTGCCAAGCTGCTCCGAAAGTGCCTCGAATCGATGACATAGATAATTGTTACTTGTATTATCTTGTCGCATTCACTCGCCCTCACCTACCTAGAGACTCGAAAAGGACGAAATATCACCATCTTGTCTAAAAAAAAATAATCACAGTCGAAATGTCGCTCCGTCACCTAAGTCGGTGCAGCAGGGCCATGGCCATGTCGCCTCGTTCGCTGCATATCGGCTCTCTGCAGCATGCTGCACCTAGGAGTATCACCACCTCGTCAGCCCCGCCGAGTACCGAGCCAAAGCCCAAGACCATCGAGACTGGTACCTCAGGGAAGAGGAAGCGTCCCCTGACCAAGGAACAAGAACGCTTCCTGGATGCTGCTGTACGCTATGCCCATGCTCCGACAATCTGTATACCCAATCTCACAGTTGTAGNNCTCCGTGTAAACCAGACTGGCGAACTTGCTGCTGTTCTCATATACCAAGCCCAGACACCACCGACTGTCAGAGCTCATCCCCATCTCCGTCCCTTGATGAAACACATGTACGACCAAGAGGCTGGTCACTTCAAGTACTTCAACAAGATCATAGCCAAGCATCGTATCCGACCGACAGCCATGACCCCAGTATGGGGTGTTGCCGCCACTGCATTGGGTTGGTCAACCGCCATACTAGGTCAGGAGGCTGCAATGGCCTGTACAGAGGCTGTCGAGACCGAGATTGGCGAACACTACAATGCACAAGTACGAGAGCTTCTGGCATGGATGAAGGACATGGAAGAACGGGGAGAGGAGCCTGGCGAAGAGATGACAGACCTGCTCAGTAACCTCCGAAGAATCAGAGACGAGGAGCTCGAGCATCTCGACCACGCTGTTGAGCACGATGCAAAGCAGGCTCGTCCATACGAGCTCTTGACAAATGTCATTCGAGGTGGTTGCCGTGCAGCAATCTGGGTCAGCGAGAAGGTCTGAACAAACGGAAGCTCGACTTGTGAGTTCTTCTGCCGACAAACGATCGACTAAATCTCATCGTAATCCAAGATCCTGTTGCAAAATTCCATATCGTCTGCCGAGAGTTCCCTTCACTTGGGCATGACTCTCGATTGTAAGTTGCCTTGGCGATGTACGTGGTCAACAAGATATGGAGAGCAACAATGTCATTGTGCATGGTTATAGGTGTTATTGTAGGTTTGCATTGTGCTCGATTAATACCAGGCTCGGCGTGTCTCACTTATAAAGCTGTCTCTCCTGAAGTATCTCTCTCCCCATTTGCTCCACCACATATTTTCTTCTGCACCACAGATATCACAATATCACTTTGCAGCAGCGTACCCTGTTCTCAGCCTCATACTAAGCTTCTCTCCTACCTCTTTCTATCAAACCCCTTTCTATCTCTCTCATCTGAACATCCGCAACAACTGCCCAACACCCATACGTCTTCGCTCATCATCATGGCCTCGGTCGCTCGTCGTATTTCTGCCAAAAGCCTCACCAAAGACTTGCGCGAGCTGGGCTTTGAGAAGAAGCTGGTCCGCAAGTTCGTAGATGCCCCCTACAACGTCGAGCATGCCACGGCCCTACTCAAGTCATACTCACCACCGGGCCGCAAGCCTAGAAGGGGCAGATACAATGATCTCTGTCTTCACAAGGGCTCACGCAACAAACGTAAGTTGACACTCACGGTGCTACGCCTGTGTCTCGTCCCGATACTGATCCATCCCANNGTCTGGGTGGTCTACGACCCGCTCAAGCACAAAGCGACTCTCGACAGCGACACTCTCTTGCTCACTGTGAGGTTTGCCATCTTTCAACCTGGCAATCCACGTCTCATCGAGTACAACACCAAGACCATGTCTCTGCGCATCCGCTCGTCAAGAATCATCGTAAGTCAGCAAATCAAGTACACCGCCAACGGCCCTGTTCTCGAGCCCCTGGGCGAAGAAAACGACTGTGACTCGGAGCCTGCTACCGCCAAAACAAAAGGACAGACCAAAGGAAAGAAAGTCACGAAACCTGCGCCCAAGTCAAGCAGCGATTCTGAGCTCACGGAAATGGAGTCCAGCTAGCTCGACTTCGAAGAGAAATGGTTCACGACAGATGCATGCACAAATGCTACAACGGATTCACGCTCATCAGATGTTTCTCTATGGCTCATCTCCATCTTACTCGACAGCCCCTTCCTCATCCGTTTAATTACTCCTTCCTTCCACATTCAGCAACTCTCTTCCTTCCCTGCTGGGTTGCTTCTCTCTTCATGCTGATAGTTCCTGCCACTCTTATAATGCATTGCCTCCACATCTATACCTGCTTCCTTCTTTCTCGACTGTGACCCTTCACCTCCTGTTGCCTCATTTGTGTCCGTCCTCCGTGTATGCTTAAGTCTGTAACTCTACCGTTCTCCTACAAAAGCGTAGAGCGAAGCGTACACTACAACAAGGCACATTTGTTTTTCAAAGCAAAGGAGTAGTCAAAGAGAGACACTGAGATTTTGGCCCTCAGTGGATAGTGCCCTGTTACCTGATAGCACTGTGTACTTCTGTAGTTAGACATGCTACAAGAGACGAGAAGGAACGTCTCAGGAAGTGTCTCGTTCTCCCAAGTCTTCGTAATGAGATGTTCAGAAAGCTGTCCAGACAATGAGCAGCACATGTCGAAAGCATGCTTGACGAGCTCTCAATATCATTATGACAACAATTTTGCTATCTTCCCACACATCATCGCCGTCGACACAAATCTTTGACTACACATCTGTTCTTGAAACTTTCCCTTTTGGAGCGACCTCCGGTTTCAAGTTTGAACATTGGCACCGGATACCGGGTTCGAGTACTGTGCTGTACGCCCGTTCGATCTGCCGATCGGTGGTGTTCTGGGATCCATACCGAGCGTGGTGAGATTTGCTAGAGAACGTTGCCATACCACACCTCGTGGCTTACCTTTGTTTCCACCAGGCTTCGCTTTTCGTCGCTCTGGGTTCTTCACACTGCGATACAGTGTCAGACGCTCGGTATGAGATTGTTCCGTATCTGGCCTCTCTGCCTTGACAAGAATCAATCTCACAACCTATGAGAAGCACCCTCCTCGGCTCCGCATGGAAACACGGCTCGATGATTATCAAGCAGAATCCCCGTTCGATAGCACAACCTCTATCCGCAAGTCACGTGGGACCTGACAGCGGCCCACCATTCCTGGGACCTCAAAAACGTCAGTCTCCCTCGCGCCTTGTGCTTTTGCGCCAACCGACGTCACCAAAGACATCATCGAGCAAGACGACCAGCACCGTGCGGCACAGCAAAGAACGCAACGCGCCTGTACGAACATACGCAGCAGTGATCGATTAACTCATACAGCCTCACAACGGTGGTACTTTTGTATACGCGCGCGACCGAATACTCGAGAAGCTTTCGCTGAAAGAACACACCTGGTTTTTTCACGCGATTGAACGAGGACAATTGCGTCACCACCAGATTTCAAAAGAGCACGACGCATCTCGCAAGCAGAGCCTCAATCTCAAGGCCTCAGGCAGAGACTCGACAAAGGACATCCAGAATTTACGCGTCGCCGTCGACCGTGGAGTATCTCACCTCGCTGCCGGTAAGTCTTTTTGCCACTGAATGCGACAGGAGCGGAGTGCGACGCGATGGCGCGAGTGGGGACGGAAAATCGACTGACAGCCGGAGCCGCACGCGCGAACGCTCGTCGAAGAACATATATGTTGGGGTGCCGGACTGACAACGTCTGTAACAGGAACATCGAATTTCGAATATTGCTTTTTAACTGAAGTCGGAGTTTCTGGCTTGTCAGTTTGAGAGTTGAAAGTCGGGAGCAACACTTGCCAAAAAGCCCAGCCGGCCTATCGAACCAGCTGCAGACGGTGCGTCATCGCCTCTCGCGGCCGCTACTTCCCATCTCATCTTCCACCACAACAACAAACATGTCTTCTCCAAGTGACTCGAAGACCAAAGACGTGTTGAAGCAAGAAGGTAAGCAGCTTCCAGTTTATCATTGTTGTCCTGTCACGGGCTGTCGTTGTTGTTCGTCCCCGCCTGACGTCGCCTTGCCTCTGATGACGCATGGGAGGATTTGATGACGATGAATGCCATTTCATCTACCACGTACTGACGCGACCGTCAATCACAGATACCTCGAGCCAAGATAGGGCTTCCTCTCCTTCGCGTCAAGGTATGTGCTGCTGTCAATTAGACTGCGACTCGAATCAGCTGCTGACATTGGCTTCAGACACTCAGCAGAACATACCTGCCATTAGACAGCCGGAAGACAGTAAAGCATCTGGTGACGGCACAAAAGAATCCAACGCGTCCTCGACCAATGCGCCGCTTGCACCTCCACCCGTCCCGAATAAGGCCTCTAACGGAGACAACGACTATTTCACCGGAGCTCACAGCGCCGCCCACCTAACCAAGGAACCCAACCCTTTCGAAAGTGCCTTTGGAGGTTCCACCGAGACACCCGGCAAGCCTCAACTTCCAGGAGTCAACAGTTTGACGTCGCCTGCTCCTCTGCTTCCCGGCACCACCCCAGCTTGGCCTGGCTCTCTTCGCTCAGGACCTCTCAGCCCTGCAATGCTAACCGGCCCCGCGGGGTCGTCCAACGACTACTTTAGCAACGACCATCACTTTGGCGGCAGCTTCCCTACCCCTAACGAGTCATCTCTCAGGACTGGTCTGACTCCTGGCGGTGGTGGGTCTATGTTCCCCCAGCCTAGTCCCAACTCGCAAGCCATTTTCAACGCCATCCAGAGTGGAGGCGCCACTCCCGGTACTCTCGATTTCCACCGAACTGCTATGCACGCGCGCGCTTCACAGACAAACGTCAACGGAAACTTTGCCATGCCTCAGCCACCTACTTCCGCCGCTGCCGATCCCAACATCCAGCCCAACCTCGACAGCAAGGGCTTCGGCCAACAGCAGCAGAACGATACCTTTGAGCAACACGATGCTAACGACGCAGCCAATGGCCTTTTCATGCTTGCTCAGGCTAGGGGCAACAACCGCAACCAGCCTCAGCAATACCCACCACCTCAATCACAGCCTCAGATGAACTACATGGGCAACCCTCCACACCTTCCTGGTGGACTGGGCCAGCAAGGGCATGACGGCTCCAACAACATGTCAGCTCGCGCCAATAAGAACTCTATTGCCAGTAACCTTTCAGGGTCAACGCAAAACGAGCACGGCAACTTCTCCGATAGCGAAGGCGAAGATGTCAAGCCCTCCCGAGGCAAGGGAAAGAAAAACAACAACACCAAGAACTCGAACAATGGCAGACGCAAGGCCGAGGATCAACCAAAGGGTTCCAACAAGCGTCAGAAGACCAGCATGCCATCTATGGATGAAGATGATTCTGACAATGATGACATGGATATGGAGAGAGGACCTGATAACAAGAAGATGACTGACGAAGAGAAGCGCAAGAACTTCCTCGAGAGGAACAGGTACGTGCCCCAACGAGCCTTCTGTTTCGAAACATACTGACATGTAAAANACAGAATCGCCGCCCTCAAGTGTCGTCAGCGCAAGAAGCAATGGCTGGCCAACCTCCAGCAAAAGGTTGAGATTTTCTCAACCGAAAATGATGCGCTGGCCGCTACTGTCACTCAGCTGCGTGAAGAGATCGTGGGACTCAAGACTCTGCTCCTCGCCCACAAGGATTGTCCTGTCTCGCAGGCACAGGGCATCAGTGGCATGGCTATGCAGAACATTGCCGGCGAGCCTCATCAGTTTGCCAATCCCTATGGCATGCAAATGTCTCAGCATATGCAGCAGGGAGTGCCATCGCAGGCCAATATGCAGAGACGATAGTCTGGTTTCTCATCTTACAGCCAGAATTGAGTGTTACAGGGGCGTTTAAAAGGCATGACTGCAAGGCAGGGCAAGACACAGAGCCTTGGGCAGCGTGTAATGGCTCAGGCAAAACTGGGCGGAGGCGTAAGGCTCTTTTGGAGTTGGCGCGCTACATTCTCTCACACCAGATTACAGCTCCTTTCTTCAACTTGTACATCTTTCATTGAAAGGACGTTTTCGCGCTGCACAAAGGGTTTGGTAAACTGTGGGAGGTCACGAGTTCGGAGTAGTATGGGAAGGCTTTGCTTTTTAGTTTCTGTAATCTTTATACACGAATAGTACTTCATTGCACTTTATGAGTAGTCCTTTTGAACATTGTGTTCTCGGTATGACAGGTTGGAAAAGAATTCGTGATCTTCGAACGGAGCCTGGTGAGAATGTGCAGATGTGAGCGTAGTCATCGTGTCTATTAACAACTTCTCATAGCCTCGAGAGTGGTCGATAGCAGGTCATCGGTATAGTCGGACGCCAAGGCGGACAACAACACATCCTTTCTTGGGTTGCGCGTCTAGAGCACAGCACAATTTACAAGAAACGAACTCTTACATCGATGAGCGATGGAAAATCGGGCGCAGCGCGTGGATAACGCGCTGCAACAGTTGCTCTTCCGATTGATCCCTTGGAACCAGGACGACGACGAAGCACTCGAAGACCAGCGTTTCGACGAGGCATTGCAAGCAGCCAGACAAACACTAGGCAGGCACGCTCCGTTCTTCGCAGACCAAACAGGAGCAAGAAGCTGACTGGATTACTTCGCGCAGNATGAACAGCCATCCTCGGCAACCGCAGACGATGTCCAGCATGCCGCCGACTTGATCAAACAAAAGCTGGTCCACGAGAATAGCCGTCCAGACAAAGCCCTCCATTTCACCAACCTCTATTCGCGATTGCTGAGCCAGCCTGTTCTCGATCGCAAATGGGCCATCCTATACTTTTTGTACCGACTCTCGGACTCGGAGGCTGAAGCAGCACCAGATGCTGCTCTCTCGCCTACACCCCGCCCCCAACCTCCCTTGCGACAGCAGAGCAGTGACGCTCCAGCCTTCCATGATGCCTTCTCTCGCAATGGTCTACCCAGAGTTCCCGATCCCGACGACCCAGAGCCCGTGCGACTGCCACAAACTCGAGAAAGAATGCCCCTACGCGCATCAACACGATCAGTAGAAGCGTCGCCGGAACCAACAAGCTCGGCAAACCCGCTGGATGCGCCAACAGAGGCCCAGTTGCTTCGCGACTTGCCGTTTACACTACAAGGTCTCTCCTCGACCAACCTTGTATTCTCCGACTCTTCGCTCAAACTCCCTTCAACATTGCCTGTGCCAATCATAAGTTTGCTCCACACGCTTGCCGAACCTTCGCTGCTGTATCGGAGTCTATCAGCTTTTGTTGAGTCTTCAGAAGGTGGTCTGGTGGGTCAGAGTTTGCGCTCTGCGATTGGTGTTGAGCTGAGAGCCTACCTCGGTCTGGTCGCTACGCTGGAAGCCCAAATCAGAAGAGCCTTGACTCAGTTACAAGAATCGCCTGGAAACTTGGGTCTGGGAAAGGCTGGTGTGACGCTGAAACGTTGTGTTATATGGACTCGCGAGGCGACCATGGGCTTGAGGCTCATGAGTATGATGGTCGAAGAAGCAAAAGGTAGAACAGGGATCATTGTAAGCGTGATGGATTTGGCTGACACTCTGACAGAAAAGAAAGGAGGAGAGTTGATATCGCTTATCCACTCGTACGCCTCATCACATGGCGACCCTTTCGTGTACACATTTGCCGAAAGATTATTAATCCATGTTACCCGGCCATTCTATACTATGCTTCAACACTGGATCTACGATGGCGAGCTCGAGGATCCTTTCTTGGAGTTCTTCGTTTATCAAAATCGTGATGCTGACCTGGAATCTGACCCTCGCCGTGGTGGTGCGACGAGTGTCTGGGAAGACAAGTACCGTCTCAAGGACAGCATGATACCTACCATCATTACACAAGACTTCGCAAAGAAAGTCTATCTGATCGGTAAATCACTCAACTTCATTCGCTACGGCTGTGGTGACTCGGCTTGGGTTGAGAATCATAGCAAGAGCTCTATGCGAGAGCTCCGTTATGGCGATACGGCCACGCTCGAATCATCGATCGACTCTGCATACAAGGGCACCATGGCTCGCCTGATCTATCTCATGGAAGACAAATTCAAGTTATTCGAACATCTGGCAGCACTCAAAAAGTACCTCCTGTTGGGACAGGGTGACTTTGTTGCATTGCTCATGGAATCGCTGGCATCGAACCTCGATAGACCAGCCAACAGTCAGTACCGACACACCCTGACTGCTCAGCTCGAACATGCTATCCGGAACAGCAATGCTCAATATGACTCTCCTGATGTGCTTCGCCGTTTGGATGCTCGTATGCTTGAGCTTTCTCACGGTGAGATTGGCTGGGATGTGTTTACACTTGAGTACAGGGTCGATTCTCCTTTGGATGTCATCGTCACACCCTGGGCGTCAAAGCAATACCTCAAAGTCTTCAACTTCTTGTGGCGTGTCAAGCGCGTCGAGTTTGCACTAGGGAGCACATGGCGACGAACAATGACCGGTGCTCGAGGCGTACTCGGCGCCGTCGGCGACAAAGTGGACGGCGACTGGAAGAATGCCAGAGGTGGCATCGCAGAAATGATCCACTTTGTCTCACAACTCCAACACTACATTCTCTTCGAAGTCATCGAAGCCGGCTGGGAAGGACTCCAAAAGGCCATGCGCACACCAGACGCCACTCTCGACGACCTAATCTCAGCCCATGGAGCCTACCTTCGCAGCATTACCCGCAAAGGCCTTTTAGCACCTTCAGGCTCTCAAGCCTCCTCGTCCACAGCACCAGACTTTACAGCTCAGCTACACGAACTGCTCAAGTTGATGCTGGCCTACAAAGATGCAGTCGATAGTCTATACTCATATTCTGTCGCCGAATTCACACGCCGTCAAGACCTCGCCGCCAAAATCGAGACACGCACGGCAGCAGGCACCTGGGGCGTCACCGAAAAAGACGACAACGAATTTGGATCTTCACACATGAGTGGCCCCAACACCAAAAATCGCAACTCTCGCCGCCCCAATGACCGCGATACCGAATCCCCTATCCCGCCTTTGTTGCCTNTTTCCTCTGCGACCGGCAATGCGGCTGCAGATGAAGCTGCCATCCTGTCCTCTTTGCGTTCGCGGTTGAGTTCGCTGGCGACGGATTTCAGGGTTAGGGTCAATATTCTTCTTGGAGATTTGGCGTATCAGCCGGATGTGGATATGAGGTTCCTTGGTGTGGTTATGAATTTTAACGATGTGTATGCGCCGGTGAGGAGGGGGCATGGGAGGAGGAAGCAGACGGGTGCTAGAGAGGCGCCAGATGGTGAGAAAGAGAGAGTTAAAGGAAAAGAGAGGGAAAGAGTCAAGAGAAGCAGGGATGAGGNNGGGGAAGCTAATGGGGGTGCGAGCAAGGAGGGTTAAGCAGATAAGCACCTCATTGGCTTTTGCTCGGTTGTTCTCACACAAATGGCGTTGGTTGGTTTTCTTTTTCTTTGGGGATGGAGAGCCATAGAAGCTCCTATAGCAGTTATCCTGAATCCAGAATCATGCTTATGAAGTGGGATCCTCTCTTTGAACATGCACCGAAACTACTATCACATGGAAAGGGATACAGGAGTGATGAATGGCGCGGAAAGATCTTTGTTCTTGGTGTTTCTAACTTCTTGTCTGATCTGACCACCAACTGAGATTCCTTATATATTTTGGCGGGGATCTATGTATTCTGATGTCTAGAGTTTTCTTGTTGGTGAGCATTCAGACGTTGATAGACGACAGACAGTGCGAGACTCGAGAGAGTGCTAGATATCCAAGCTTCGATGGATGGTGGCGGTGGTGCACAATCGATCTCCTTTGTCGCTATCGCCACCAACATTATCATCTGTGCGAGCGAGACTAGAGGGGCGAGAGGAAGTGAACTTGGATCGATGGATTTGTGTTTGATAGCTCTCGACCAGCATTTTGCAGTTCGAACACATTGGCCAGAACGCAAAGGAGGTTTGACTGTGTAGTATGCAGGTTGGCAAGCAAGGTTCAGGGAATGCAAGGCGTCGAACGAGTCTCTCAATCGCTGTCCGAGTCGCTTGAAGAGTCTTCAGGCGAGGAAGAGGAATCTGAATCCGAGCCTGACTCAGAGTCCTCGTCAGAGTTCGATGAAGAGTCTGAATCGCTGTCCGAAGAGTCGCTCTCGGAAGAGTCAGAGCCAGCCTTGGTCTTCTTGACCTTTTGGCCTTGGACTTTGAAGCCTTGGCCTTTGCGAGTTTGGCCTTGAGCTTTGCGATCTTTGCGTTTGCAAGCTGGGCCTCGAGCTTAGCGATCTTGGCCCTCTTTGCTGCGGGCTTCTCGTCGTGGTCGTGGTCGTCGTCGTCGTCTTCGTCGCTGGTGTCACTATCGCTGTCGCTGCTGCTGTCGCTATCACTGCTGCTCTCGCTGCTAGAGACATCGGTTCTTGACTTTCTCTTCTTGCGCATGGAGCGTGCAGTATCGACCTTGGCTTCCTCCTTGGGGACTGGTGCTGCTGCCCTTGTGACTGACTGAGGCTCACCCTTGCTCATGGTGTTCCAGACCAACTGCACACGCTCATCGTAGTCTCTCTGTTCCCGGATAGTCTTGGTCTTCTCCGGGTCGGGATCGATGCCGTTCTTGCGCAGAATCTCCTTCTGTCTCTCAAGAGCGGAGTCATAAGCAGCTTTTCTGGCCTCGGCGGTCTCCATGGGTTCGTCCTTGACTTCTGGGATCTCGGAGCGGATGAAGGAGACGATGTCGATATTTGCGGACTGGGCTGCCTGACGTAGACGTTGGCGTGCGGCTGCGCCTTGCAATCCGTCAAGGTATTCCACAAGAGCTTCGTTGCAAGATGGAGGGACACGGTAGATGTTCCAGATGTTCTTAAGTAGATCGTTCTGTTTGGATTTGTTGAACTTCCATGCGGGTCGGTCGGCGTGGTATTGTTCAAGGTAGCGTACGTACTCAGGTACGGGTTTGTTGGCGTTGTCTTTTGGTGTGCGTACTTTAGGTTTCTTTACGGCGGGTGTCGTAGAATCAGATGCGGTTTGTGTCGTGTCGTCCTTGTTTGTTGCGTCTTCGTCTGCGGCTGCTGCTTGCTCTTCCTTCTTTTCTTTCTTTGCCTTCTTCTTCTCCTCCTTGGCCACACTTTTCTCTTCTTTCTTTGCCTTCTTGGGTGTCAAGTCGGCTTCTGAGGCAATCTCAGGTTGAGTAGATACGGCCTTTGTAGGGTCCTCAGTCTTGTTGTTCGCAGCGGCCTTTGCTGCTTCTGCGGCGTCGTAAGCTGCGGCTTTCTGAGCGTAGTAATCGAGCTCGTCATTAGCCCAGGCTTGGAAGTAAGTCTGAGCACTGTCTCCGTCTTGCTTTTTGGTGTCGTTCGAGAAGACGACGGACTTGCGCTGGCCGTGCTTGCTGTTGGGTGTGGCTAGGATCGACTTTTCGGGCGAGGCTCGTCTACATATCAAGTTAGTACTAGTGAAACAAACAAAGAGGTAGACTCGACAGAGACACAGTTCATGACTAAACTGCGTTTCGTCGAAGTAAAAGATTTATGGAAACAGAAATATGAAAAGCATACAATCTTGAGGGCATTGGACTGGATATCGAGGCTACTGACGAAGGGTGGGACTGCTTTTGCGCAGGGCTAGATAGATTGGCTCCCTTCTGAGATTGGTCGAGTCTCTGCTTCTTGGAGCCCTTGGGAGTGTCGGCATCATCTCTCGAGCGTTTGGTCGAAGTAGCAGGAGAAGCGGGTAGCGGCGCCGTGTCTTTGGCGTTTGTCAAGCTCAGACCGAGCCTTTTCCAGGCAGGCACGCGTTGTTCGGACATGGTTGCTGCTGTAAGAAATCAATCACATGCAAGACCAAAAAAGAAGGAACAAAAAATATGCGGAAGTCCATCTTCGTCCGGGGAAGGTGCGGGAGTGCCAAGGGTCGGCGGCCGTGTTTCGCTGGAAGCTCCATGACGAGAGGGCAAACGCGCGCTGTAGAGCTTCACTATCACCGCAATCCCATCGCCATCCATCACCTCGCTTTCTCTGTCTTGTCGTCTTGCTTCATCTGGAGTTTCTACACGGTTAATCTCGATACACAAAACAGTTGCCCATCATGAGTGCGTTTTGCCTTGGTCCTACAAATCGGCATAGCTGACTCCCGCAACAGGCAGCGCAGGCTACGACAGACACATTACCATCTTCTCGGATCAGGGTCGCCTCTACCAAGTCGGTGTGTCATCCCGCCCAGCATACCTCGACCGCGTATTTCCTGGCTTACACTGAACAGAATATGCATTCAAGGCCATCACGGCAGCAAACATCACCTCGGTCGGCGTTCGCGGCAAGGACTGTGCAGTAGTCATCTCGCAAAAGAAGGTCCCCGACAAGCTCATCGACCCCTCGTCCGTATCATACATCCACCGACTGTCGCCTTCGGTCGGCTGTGTCATGACTGGTTCCATCGCGGATGCAAGAGCTTCGGTTATGAGAGCGCGCGGTGAGGCCGCCGAGTTCAGATACAAGAACGGTTACGAGATGCCCTGCGATGTCTTGGCCAAGCGCCTTGCAAACATCTCCCAAGTCTACACACAAAGAGTGAGCTGCTCAAACCGTGCTGGAACCCGGACTCTGTGCTAACCCAGCGCAGNNGCATACATGAGACCCCTGGGCGTTGCCACAACGCTCATCTCGGTCGACTCTGAGTTCGGTCCTCAGCTCTACAAGTGCGATCCCGCAGGCTACTTTGTCGGCTACAAGGCCACCGCTTCAGGTCCCAAGGCACAAGAAGCCATGAACCACCTCGAGAAGAAGCTGCGAAACAAGAACTGCGCCGAGGGCAACTGGGAGGAGGTCGTTGAGCTCGCCATTACCACCCTCAGCACAGTGCTGAGCGTTGACTTCAAGAAGGGTGAGATTGAGATTGGCATCGTGGGTGGTCCCCGTCCCGATGGCAAGGAGGGCACCACAACCGACTTCACCACCCTGACCGAAGAGCAAATCGACGAGCGCCTGCAGTCGATTGCTGAGAAGGACTGAAGATAACGACCGCCCACCTTCACGACGTCATTTAATCCATCACATGGCATGCCATCGCTCTCGCCGACTCGCTTGCACGTTGCACAGCCAGCCAGCGGTGTGGGTTGGTCCACCCAACCCGGCGTGCTGAGAGCAGTCGGTAGCGTCATCTTATGAATCGAGCTGTTCTGTTACCCTTCCGTATCAAAGCATCATTTTCTTCTTCGTTCCTCCCGCTAAGCGCTTCCCTTCGGGGGCTTTGTCTCTGTTGCAAGTGCCGGCCGCCCCGGCTGCTCGATGGTAGCTCTGACTGTGGCGCNTCCTCCCCCGCCTTTACTACTGAAACGCCNCTGAATTTAAACAGCTCTAGGACTCGCCGATACCTGACTCTGCCCTGCGCCATANNCGCTAGGCTCTCGTGCATCTACCGCGCGTGTGTGCATATTCCTGGCTGATACCCGTGAGCTGTCGACCGATTCACCTCCATACCTGGTGGCTTGTGACGTCTTGGCCGACCACCCCCAGGNCGTAAAACTGCCATTTTCGATGTAGGCCCTCTTCCAATCATGCTTGCCCACNNGGCTGCAGAGACGACCATTTCCCTTGTTGGTGTACTTATTAACGTCTCTCCCAATCCATCCACGGCCTCTCCTTCGCTTCTGCACACCCTGCCACCGCCCATTCTATTCGCATCTCCACCCGATCTGCTCGCATATTACCGACTTCGTTATATGTGTGACAATGAACGATACTTTTCTGGGATCCGCAACTATCAGCCTCCAAAGGAAACACATGAAGCTGTAAGGGTCGTTTATATATCTGTCGATCACTGCTCATCCAGACCCATCTTCTTACCACAGCTGGATCAATCCTTCCCCTGCTCAATGAACGACGGATGTAAGATGTCCCTAGTACCTACCTTGACCACCATACCGGAACCTTTCCCTCTGACATGCATTGCCTCAGTGAATGAGGCACGCGCCATGCGTATCGCCGAGATTCTTTCTGATTTCAGACACCTCCAACATTACATCGCAAACATAAGAGCAAACCCTTCAGCCGAAGACTACTACGAGGAGGGCTATTGCGTACTTCGCCAATGTGCTGGAGACGCCCAGGCTCTGCTCGCTCAACCATTCGATTGCCAAGGACCCGAACCAGATGGCGATTGTGAAGAAGAGAAGACGCAGCTTCAACGGTATGCTACTTGACTTCCTAGAATGTTTTTGGTTTCAGTTCTCATATAAGAACACAGAATCATGCTTGATGCAAGCATTCGACGCTTCAAAATCCAACAAATATACCTCAAAGCAAGTGCAGCTCTACGCTGGGTCAATTCCAGAAATGCAATCCTTGGTGCAAATCGGCCTCAAACCATTCATACGCCAGCGCTACAACAGATAACCAGCACAATGCGAGCGGTAAGTTTCAACGCTCCTGATTTGCTTTTCTTCGGACATTACTTGCATGAATGCATCAAGCTCAGGGAGTGCATCCGAACCACGCGGCTGGGTTCCTAGTACGAACGCACTCAACTGACATGGCTTTCCTTGCAGGAACTTGCATCGGTGACACCAGCTCGGGTAGAGCTAGCTCTACGATCTCAGGACAGCGTTCAGNGGAAATGGCTTGCAGAGGACCCGACATGGAGCACCATAGAAGAGAGCCTTCGGACCGGCCGATGATGGCATTGGTCACTCGATCCACCGGCACCAAGCGACCAAGCAACGAACACCCTTGGGAAGATACCGATCGGTGGACTACCAAGCCTTCGGGTCTTGAAAGTGTCGAGTCAAGAAAGAAAGACTGACCAAACTCTCTTGGCCCAGCAGAATCGACACCGGCGGCAGCAGCAGCAGCGGAACTTGCACCCAAACGGTCCTTTACCGCCTTTGCACGCCAGCTCGTTTGCACGTGCGGATTACTCGGACAGATCCGTCGATTTAGGTTCAAGCCTCTCGGCGACTCCGACCTGCCACTACATGCAACCACTTATCTTTCCAAACGCCTACATCAACCACTGATGTAATCAACACCATTTCCTTCTTTCGAAGAATGGTACCAATAACCCCGGCAGATGGAAGAAGAAGTGCGGATCCCAGAAGATAGAAACCGGAATGGAACAAGGACGAGGTGAGGTGAGGTGCTGGGACAGGAGTGTGGGGTACCAAGAGACGAAGGATCAGTAGCCTCATCTCGTGCAGGCGCTGCTGTCAGCGCTGCAACTACCAGCCTAGGAAACAATCAGCGCGCTGGGCTGCACGATTACCCCCTGCACCTGCCTCGTGGTCTGACACAGAGATCAGCATAGCCTACTCCATATTTACATCTCCATCCATTCTGATGGTGCTTTCCACTGCAAGAATCCGAATGTCCAATTTCCTCGTTATTCTGAGCACCCTGGTTCACATACAAACATGACGTATGTACAGCAGCCTTACACGAGCGCCATGGCCCAAGAACCTGACAGGGCGGCATTGTGGCTGGTAAGCTTGCGGAATAGGGTTGGCAGACTTTCCCTCACAGCACTCTGTTCTTTTCTCCGAGACACGATGTGGCGGTGTCTATCGTTATTTCCAGCGCATCTGTCACAGGAGTCCGACAGAGTCTGACGCCCCAAATTCACAGTGTTCGTCCAGGAGATACAGTCTACTGGACAGCTCCATAGACAACCACAAGACCAGGCTCAATCGGTGAGCTCTTATCATTTCCGCAAGACTGGTACAATGTACCCAAGCATTCAGACAACTCCTACCGGAACAGCAGACGTTGTCGGGGTTTATTGGCAGACGATCTGACGACAGTCCAGCTCAAGTATACTTTTCACACTTGGTCTTGCTGCTTCGTCAAACCTGAATCATCCTCATCATCGTTACCATTAAACACTGACAAGGGTCTTCTATCTACGATGCTCATTGGTTACCGCAGCTACTAAGCACGCTCGCTAACACACTCCAACTCTACGGCAAGTTGGCAGGACGCACTGCTCCCACGACGTTCACCGCGCCTCTATTAGAAACCACCACTGCAATAAAACGACCGCCAGATCATCGCAACACTGACCCAATCGCTAACCAAAGATGCTCAAGACAAGAAAAAACACTGTACGCATCGGACTAGACTTTAGGATCACAATGCCGCCAACAGCCTTTGATCCTTCGGCCAAAAGTTTCCCTTTTCAGCCTACATCCAACCGTCAAGCCCAGCAAACGATCATTGGCTCAACTGCAAGACCCTTGCATTACTTTCATTTTGGGTCCAAGCAACAAGGCACGCAAGCGTAGGAGTCACAGAGAACAGCAAGCAGGCACGAAAAGGCATGTCGTGCCCCAGGCCACGTGAGAATACCTGGTACGTATGAAGCTTCCCCTCTCGTACATCGTAAACAATACTTGTACAAGGCACAAGATCAGTGACGCCGCTGCCCGCACCACTCTATTGGCAGAAACCGAACCAACTGAACAGAGAGACCCCTCGGATTCTACATCCATTCGAGCAAGAGTATTCTCATCAAGCTTGATCTCCCGATCGCATCGAGCAACAAGATTCCTACACGCTTTCCATGGCCAATGTCCTTTCAAGAGATTCTAATCAACCAAAACGCTCCATGTCATGAAGTGAGGTGCTTTGCTCGGAACTCACTTACCGGATCTTCATAGTTTGCGTCCTCCTTTCACGTGGAAGAGATCACCCACCATCACCACAAGAAGCTTTCTGGTGTTTCTTCTGACACCCCCACCGGAGTTGGCAGGAAGAAACTCCGGCGAAGGAAGCTCAAGGTCATGTGCTGTCATCCATTTACGCAGTTGCATACCGGATGCTTCGACTCCCGTATCCCGCTCCCTGGATCGCTTTGCTTCTCTGGAACATCCTCCCGCTGTCTTGGAGCAGCATACAAACAGCAAGAACGATCATGCCCTTGCCCTAAGAGCAAAACATTGAAGTTCGGCAACCCACTTCCGATCGCTTAATTTTGCCGTATGTTTCCTGCCTTTGCTCAATGTCCAAACTCCAAACCAGCAAACTTCAGAGCGTGGTTGGAAGACTTGCACGCCCTTTTTTCTTACTTTTGAGATACACATTTCCCACGTGCGGGTGCCGTGCTGCCGAAAAAGTCCGGATGTAGAATATGGTGCACCAAAAACTGCTTTTAGGTTGGCTGTGTGCACCCTAGAGAATTAGGTGATCAGTATTCGGAGACAGCGATAACATTAACGCAACAGACTCGGAGACAGCGAAGAATATTGGTATTTGCGCAGGAGAATAATAGTGGTGGCTTGTTGCTCTTGCTGCCGGATATTTCTAAGCGCTGCAGCCGCTTGTGCACAGCTTTGCATGCATGCATGCAATAATACTGCTGAGCAAGGACTAATTATATACGTTGGAGTACAGATGCTAATACTGAATCTTATACTCTAATAATTTGCTTCATTTGACTTAATGCGTACTTGCCGTTTAAAGCAAAAAGTCGAATACCTGCGCCTCAGCGTCGGTGTTCTGGAAACATGGTTGCTTTGGGGTTTGCTGTTCAATTATCGTGAGTGTGGTGGTATAAGCGTGTCGGAAGACTAGTTGCAGGGTTCGATGAGCTATCGCTAAAGGCAAAGTGTGTTATGTAATGGCTCTCATCAGTGAAGCATTGAATCTGAGGTAAGCATTGGATCTCGCAAAACAGACTCGTCCAATTCTTGAAGCATCGAAAGTCGTGAACCGCATGTCTGTAGATGTCTGTGCTACCTCGAATTCTCAGCCAAACCAAGCTCTCACGGTACCTCTTTCCATAATGAGCTGAGCACCACATCCTTGTTTCCGCCAACCATTCTCGAAACGCCCTTGTTCCCCTGATCAACAACCAGACCTCCGGGTCTTCCAGAACTCTTCCAGAGTCGAAAACATATTGCGGGTTACCAATTTCAGGGTCGCACCGCTGCCCTGACTCGTTCTAGCCAACCAGCAAGAAGCTTCAAGCGGTATTTCCATGCGAGAAGAAGAGCGTTTTATGTCAATGCTGTTGCTTTCTTTCTCGTACTCAACTCAGCCAAAAAGTGTAAAGTGCAAAGCAATGACAATGGGCAGCACCGATATCAAAGCTATGGCTGGCAGAATCAAGGCGAACACCGATCCACGGAGCCATGTCCGCTGAAAGGCGTCCAAGAAAGCAGCTGACATCGAACTGCTTGGGACAGAAACATGTTTGGGAAAAGGAGATAATTATGCAACCATAAACAACAACAAAACACTTATTTTTGTTGAGAGAGGTGCGATTGGGAAGTGGCTTGCAGCAAACAGCCACAGCTGAGGACGGTTCGTGGCGCAATGGTTGGGTGAACAGCAAAAGTCATTTTAACACAGGAGGTGAGGCATCCAGATGAAAGCTCTGGTTCATCTTTGATTGCCATTTCTGTTGGTGAACAGAGATGAAAACGCGTGGACCGTGTGATTGGGGTTCGTGGTCGATGCATCGAAGGCGCCTGGTGTGGTTTCTGGGGCGTCGTCTGTAATGGTTATTGTGGATTGGTTGTCATCGTGAGGTTGGGAGGTGATGCGCTTGCGCTTGTTTCGTGATGAGGTTGATGGCTGTTGGTGAATTGTCATGGCTTTGTCCTGCGCAGACCATTTGGCGAGGATGGCGTCTTCTGAGGGATTGTCCAGGTTGTGGTAGGAAGCATGGTGGCCGCAGCCGTCACACTCAAAGGATGTAGCCGCCNNTGTTTTTCCACGACATGTGTTGGTATGAACGAACAGGAAAGAGTTTGGCGTGATGAGGCTGGCAGATGGTGATAAGGATTGACCTACCTTGACTGGATGCAGCATGAAACGAAGGCAAGGACATTTGTTGGATATCATGCCGTTNTTGTGATTACATGATCCGCGTGGAGGAGTGTAGTTCATGGAACTCCAAACACTGTTCGCGGGTATTTGCATGTTCGACATGTTTGATCAGAACGACCAGCACAACTTCTGGTAAGTTGTGATCATTTAGTAAGTTGATCTTGGGTCTGGCGGCGGCGTGCTGTGATTGGTAGTGGGAAAGAAAGAGATCAGATAAGATTGAGCTGGCGCCAAGACTCGATATACCGTCTGGGGTTCGAGGTGCCTTGTATGCGAGAGATATAGACAGCTTTGCGCCATCATCCATCTCGTCGCATTGAATATTGTGATCAGATTACCAAGATGCCGAAATATAAGTCAACTCTCTTCTCATCTGCGCATCTCTTACTGACATTCAACTACTCTTCTGTAGGTTCTCCTGCGATAGCCAGACAACAACAGACCGAATACTCATGCGAACACAGGCGATTACTGCGATGTCTACCTCACTCACGACAGTATGAGCGTGAGAAAGGCTCATAATAGCGGTCGCAACCATCTACGAAACGTCGTCGACTACTACCAACGTACGCGCCGCGAAACGAGACGATCCAGAAAGAGATGCGACTAACACGGCTGCACAGAAATCGGCCACGAAAAGGCTCAATCAGTCATCGATAGCATCACCTCCTCATACGCCGCCGAAGGACAAGCGAGCGCAAACCCCATGTTGCCCGGTGGAACCCATGCTGGCGTAGCAGCCATGCCCTTCGGCTTCCCTCCCGGCATGCCCGCACCACCCGGCGGTATGCCCTTCCCCCCACCAGGCGCCGGTCGTGGTATGCCGCCATTCCCCTTCCCTCCCAACGGAATGCCTCCTTTCCCTCCCAACGGCATGCCGCCTTTCCCTCCGACACCCGGCGCAGCAGGATCACCACCCCAAGGCATGCCTTTCCCTCCTCCTGGCGGTATGCCATTCCCTCCGCCAGCCGGTATGCCTTTCCCACCCATGGGTGGCCCTAGCCCTGGTCCCGGCGCCGGTCTCCCGCCACCCGGAATGCCCATGTCGCACGACCCAAGACGCCAATAGGATAGCCCTTGGGAACGGTACCTTTGCAATACAAACTGGCCGGAGGAGGAGCAACAGCAACGTGATCCCAATCGATGGCTTTGGGGGCACAGTAGCGCCAGCGCCTCCGCGTGACCCACCAATGCATTAGGGAGTTCTCGAGGGGCAGCGGCGTGACATGGACAGGGACATGGACAGGAACTTCCGGGCAATCCAAGAACACCAGGGGATTTTGAAACAGGAAGAAGAACGCCGGAAGCGACAGGCAGCAAAACATGCGAAGAGGAGACGGAGCGCTAGCCCTGACATGGGAAGCCGTCAAGACACGAGTGGAGGTAGCAAACGAAGACGTTGATTATGCTTGGGATGGCGTTGAAGCAGGGGTGAATATCGACAGGCGTATAGGAGTTGATCGAGGGAGTTGGATGGAAGCACATCAGCATAAAGATGTCCTTCAAGGTTGTGTAGAATTAAAACGCGCTCCAGAAGCAGCGTAACAAATCGTCCTTCGTCTCCATCAATGTCAAACTTGAAACTACAACATGTCCTGTCCTGATGCCTCGGCTCTACGCATGCTCGAGTCGTGATGGGTTTGTTGGAGCTCAAGAACTGGTGACGTCCGAGTGCAGCCCGCCAAACGTGCATCTTTCACATGCGAACATGCAAATACAACTCTCCAAAGGTCAACAAGCGTCGCCATGGGTCTAATCGAGGCAGTCTACATATTCAACGAGCGCAAGTACAGTAAACCCCTCCACCCTCGCTGTTGTCATCCCCTCATTGACCCGTCGTACAGCAATGCCATCGTCTCTCACACTTTCACCGCGCGCCCACCACCCGCTACCATTCTTCTACCGCTATACCTCGCCCACTCAGAACCCAGGCCATCATGTATCTACTTGACAGGAACAAATCCGCCGACACTGCTGTTCTCCATGCTGCAGGATGGTCTCCTGTTCCTCAGTCCTTGCTCGACCGATACCGAACCTCTAGTCGTTCTCGAGTTTCTACATCGCGTGGCCGACGCGCTTGAAGAGTTTCTGGGTGCACCGTTGTTGGCAAGCAAGCTGGAAGCCAACTACGATGTCATAGCCCAGGTCTTGGGTGAGATGTGTGATGGAGGCTTGATTGGCGGTACCGAGGCCAATGCTCTTAGAGATGTTGTGGATACACCGTCTTGGATGGGCAGGTTGCTGGGAGGCGTGGGATTGCCTGGGTATGTGGACACGCCAAAGTGCGCTCTTGTGGCTGCAGCTAATACAGATTTAACAGCTNCTTCTCCCGCCTTGAATGCTGGTCCGACACCTTTCTCTGGCATGGGAAGTGGTGGCAGTGGAAGCCTCACCCCTACACTATCTACCGCTGGCTCTCAGATTCCCTGGCGCCGCTCCAATGTCCGTCATACCAGCAACGAGATGTATGTCGATATCGTCGAGACTCTCTCCGTTACCTACGCTCCTTCGGGCCGCCCTCTAGCTGCCTTTGCCAACGGCAGTATCGCCTTCACTAGCAAGGTCTCCGGCGTACCCGATCTACTGCTAAGTCTACGAGCTGGCAGCGGTCCTGGAGCAGACAAGGTGAAGCGCACCATGGAACGACCCGTCTTCCACCCTTGCGTACGCCTCGCCCGCTGGAGAGACCACGCAGAACTCTCCTTTGTGCCTCCAGACGGCCGCTTCGTGCTCGCCGGCTACGACGTCGATTTACTAGACCCTTCAGCCTCGCCTCTATCCGCCAAAGCCGCTGATCTCAATCTACCTGCCTCGATAGAGATACGCACAGGACTAGGCGCCACAGGCTCAGACTTTGAAGTACGCCTTACAGTAAGCCATCGCTTTTCCAGCGGTGGTTCTGCAAACGCAGCTTCAAGTTCAGGAGTAGGATCTGCTGCGGCAACAAGTCTTTCCAACAATCTAGGTGCTCCTCGTCCATCCACTCTCCGCGGCAACAGCGGCGAAGCCAAAGCACCGGCTCTCGAGGACTTGTGCGTTAGCATCCCCATCACCTCTGCCGTGCGCAACATCAGCGACCTACGCGCCACAAAAGGAGAAGCACACTGGAGCCCCGGCGACACCTGCATCGAGTGGAGAATCTCAGCCAAAGAAGCTGCAGGCATCAGTAGCGCTGGCTGTGTACTACGCTGCTCAGTCGTTGGCTCTTCCTCTGATGACGAGACCGAAGCCCTTTCGAACGGCGGTATGACCGCAAACACCCACGATTACGACGATGGTGATGACTATCAAACCCCTCTGNCCAATTCCAAAACCCAAGACTCGTTGGCAACAGCAAACAAGAAAAAGAAGTCACAAAACGGCATTCTTATGCCTTCGAGCGCAAGTCTCGGTTTTAGCGTCAAGGGCTGGTTGGCTAGTGGATTGAAAGTGGATGGTTTGGTCATCGATACCAAGAGGAGTAGAGGGCTTGGTGAGGGTGTGAGACCGTACAAGGGAGTCAAGTACTTGACGGTGAGCAGGAAGGGTGTGGAAGTTAGATGTTGAAATGTGCGTAAGAGACAATCATACAATATCTGGTGTTTATCTTGAGAATGTGCAATTGCATGTGCGGATGGAAATTGTTGTATATCACAGTTTGAGCAATAGATTTGTTGATCAAAAGATGAATCTCACTGCTTCATCTGCTCTTTATTTAGCATACATGCATAGCCTATATTCTCAAAAACAACCATCTCGCTCTCACACAAACAGACTTTGATCATTTCTCCTCTCTCCCTTATTCCAATCATCTAAACTCTATCTCCACCGTCGGCAACATAGAAATCCAAGAACACATCCTTCAATCAACAAACCAAAGACTTCTGGAAATGTTCTAAGATCAAGACCAAACTCTACCAAAGAGAGTGGTTTAGGGGATAAGGGATAACTTAGGCAAGAGCAAAGTGAGATCGAGTTAGAGAAAAGAGTCTGGGTTGGAAGGTGGGACGGGAAATACGAGGATGTTTGCAATCTGTATACACAAGCAAGAAAAGAGACAGAAGATCCCCAGCCTCGAAGTGACAACATGCATATACACCCAGAGCGTAGTAAAGGGAACCATGGAGGAAGGGGTATTCCGCAGCTTTACCACCATAAGACTTCAGTGCCCTCATCCTTGGAACCAAAGCAGGCATGGCATAGACCAAGAGCGGCGGAATAGAACAGTCACACAGAAGAAAGGTGCATATGACCTCAACATGCAGCGTTTCATGTGCTTTCACAGATGGGACTCGAGTTTGACTTTCTGCAATCTAGCAATCATGCTCTGCTGTACATTTCCCTTGCTTCCTCCTTTCCAGTGTGGTATCTATTTGCAGAAAGACGCTTAAAGCTGGCCCAGGGAGGCGGCACGCTCGTCTTCGAGCTTGGCGTAGAACAGATCGCGGCGGCGGACGGCGGGAACGTGGAAGCCTGTATTGTGATATCTCCCATCAGTTTCTTTTGTCTTGTCTCTTTTCTCTTTTCTTCGTCAAGTTGCCGGAGGAGTGTGTAATCGTGTTTCATGACGTTTCGTGACTCGTGGGATATCGTTCGTAGATTGCATAGTCCTAGTGGTGGAAAAGATATATCCAACGATCGAGGGAAACGGCGAGGAATAGAAGGAAGCGTCCAAAAGAATAAGAGAAGAGTGGTTTTACGTACCGTACCACCAGAGGTAACCGGCCGAGGTACCGAGACCTGTAGATTATATGTTAGCCATGCAAGTCCGGATAAACGCATTTTGAGGGTAGTGACTTACCGAAGGCGACGGAAAGATCGAGGACGAGACCTCTACGGAGCATCTGTTGTTGCGCATCAGTAAGCTAGTTTCCTCATTCGCAAGTCGTTGGGTTGTTCGCGCGCGCTGTCGGTGTGGGGGTTTTGCGTGAGGAGGCGAATCAATTGGAAGCACGTACACCAGTGATGGGCTTGATAGGCATTGTGGATGTGGTTTGGAGGGGTTGATATGGAGGGGAGATGTTGCGCGTGCAATTCGAGGCTCATCGGTATGCAACTGCATGAGGTGACGACGGATTAACCCGGGAGTGCCAAGCCCTTCGCTCCTGCCCTGCTTACCTCGATTATTTTTTATTTATTCTTTTTCTGTTTGTGCAACTCGTGTGCTCACATGTAGTGGTGAATTGCAAGGTGATGGATTGAGTATATGGTTTGGTTTCATGTACAATATAGAGGTTTTCTGCTTCATACAAACAGACGTGTAGCCTGTTCCCGCCTATCTTACAACAACACACGATGTCTCTCGCGTGACATCTAGAACAAAAGGGCATATACAAGTCAGGCAGCCACAGGCCCCGACCAAATAGCAAAACAATCGAGCCCCTTCACACCCTTAGAACACCCATGAAAATGCAAATGCTTTGCAACTTTTCCTTTTCCCGTAACGCAAAGAGAACTTTAGACAGCCTTTCCCCAGCTCTGCTTCCTGGTCTGCCTGTCCTCACGCGCCTCTCTCTTGGTGCGTCCCCACTTCTCCTTGATCTTCTCGAGCTCAGCTTGCCTCTCATCCTTGATCGCCGGTGCCGAGCAGCACAGACTGACAAAGAACTGGCTGCACTCGAACTTCTCGGCCAATCGCACTCGGGTCCACTTGCGCGGGTCTTCTGCTCGCAGCCGTCTGATTTCCTCAATGTCGGCTTCCTTGAGATGGTACTTTTTCTCATAGACTGGTCGCACGGCGGGCGGCAGTGAAGATGTGGTTTCTGCGGCAGAGGCGGTGGGTTGGAGGAGGGTGTGCAGGCGGCGTCGCGGGTCGTCCTTGGGCAAAAACTTGAGGGGCGTGTGGTAGACGTTTGGCGCCGACGAGGGAGGGTTGTAGATGATGTGGTCTTGGTTGCCAGTCTTGGTTGTGAACGAAGGGTCGGGCTGGACGAGCAGCATCTTTTTTGTGCGGCGGAAGGACGAGACGTGGCGGCATTGCTGCTGCTGAAGCGAGCGCAGGCACTGCTGGCCGTTGGTTTGCAGCGAGTGCGGTATCNNCCTTAATGTCGTGTGCATTGTGTGTTGTGTTGTGTGGTTGGAGAACGAGGGTGGTGCCGCAACTGGTGCTCTTGCGAGTCGAAGCAGCGAAATCGACTGGAAAGTTGCTCCGAAGAGCACAGACCTCTCCCCATTCACTCTCGACTCTTGAACGCAGACATCGATCACATGTACAAGACAATGAACAAAATAAACGTGTATATATTGCCATTGGCGAGCATGCAATAAACATGAGCCACCGCCCGTGACCCGCGCTGTCGCCATGTGCATGCCTCCACGGCGCCGCTCGTATAGAAAATGGAACCAACATGACAATAGGAAAATCGCTTGTATCGATACCACAGAAAGAAAACGCCTGTCGTATGCCACATCAATCCTTCGTCCTCGTCCTTCCCGCGCAGCACTCTACTTCATGACGCGGTCGTACGAGATGCCCTTAACGCTGCCGCCCGCCATGCTGGAGCGCACATTGCGCTTGAATCCATCACGGTCGCGTGCCAGGTCCTCGGCTGCCTCCTTGTTCAACGGATCACTAGCGTTGGGCTCGAGGAAGAGGAACTGCAGACCAACGATGACAGCGTTCAGGTTGAGCACCGGCTTCCAGTCCTCGCGCAGAATGTTCAAGCACACGTTTCCCTCAAGGTCAATGTTGGGGTGGTAGATCTTTTGCGTGCACTTGACCTTCGGCGGCTCGTGTGGGAAGTTTTGGCTGATGTTGAATGTGAAGTTGAAGGTGCCGTTCTTGTACATGCCCTCGTCGGGTGCGATGGTCAGGCTGAAGTGCAGGATGTCGTCGGGGTCTGGGAAGGTCGTCGTCATGGTGCTACCGAGCGACAGTTCCGAGAGATCTGTAGTGCCGTCCATCAGTGCATGTGATGAAGTTGCAGTTCATGTCTACACACCCTTCTGCACACGCAGCTGTGCTGCCGTGACCTTCTTCTTCTTTGCGCCACCGGACGCAGCGGCTTGATCCTTTTGCTGCTGTTGTTTCTGTCATGGCCAGTCAGATATGTCTTGTCGGCAGTATCTACGCATCGCACATACCATAGACCAGATCTTCAACATCTTGAATATGTGTTTGGGGTGGTTAGACCGACGAGGCCGTTCGAGGTGGGTGGTGACTTGTAGCGAGAGTGGAGTGGTTCGAGTCCGCAGGAGTCGCGCTTAGGTGAAAGGGAAGGCGCCGAGGACGATTGTGAAGGATGTTTGGCTTGGTGTCGTGTGTTACTGCTTGCGAGTTGCAAGATCAATCGTCACATCCAAACTCCCAATGAGGCCCCACGCTTCACCGACTTCCGTCTTTCGTCATCAATCTTGTCTCGAGTCGTAACTTCCTCTTTTGCATCTTTCTCTGTCTTCAATACTTTGAGCGAGACAATGAGACAAAGGAAATCGATCAAATTGTCGCGACATGCTCTCTTTGCCTTTTTCAAGGCCGAATGTATCCTCAGTGTTCAACAATTCGACTTGCTGGTGGTATGACCCTGCTTTATCTTGCTCTATCTTGTTTTTTGCGATATGTACACTGAGAATGTCTCAGCTACTAGGTCTTAGGTTGTATATAGATCAGATGCATAACTGTTTAAGCATGTGATTACAATTTAATGTGGTGCGAGGTCTCGATAGCAGATCTGCGGGATTACAAGTAGGTTCTCAATGTGTCCTTGGATGAAGGCTCGCAACCAAGATGGCCCTCACGAAATCTCTGCAACATTCCGAGAGCATGTTTCGTATCTGCCCCTAAGGAGCAAGTAAGAGAGAGAATGAAAGCGTGTTTGTCTGGGTATCGATAGCGTATTGAATAAAAGATGGTCCTCTCACTCCCATCAACAATCTACTGTTGCTGAGCACCAGCAACCTGAATCACCATTCTCATCCTCATCGAACTATTCGCCAACATCTTTACAGCCTTCTCCTCCTCAGCTTCTTTGACACCAACCAACTTTCTCGCGACAAACTTTGCCTTTGCCTCCCTAGCTTTGATGCCTTCGTCCAGCTTTCTCTTCAGACTGTCGTTAACAATCAGTGCAGAGTGTCTGAACAGCAATCGTAGCAGAGCTTCCACCAACAGACTGACTCGTGCGTTCTCGACGTACTTGGTGTAATTTGCGGGATATGGCAAGAAATGTTTTTCGAATTCTATCTGTGTCATTGTGTCGGCGTGGTAGGTGGGTGCTTCGGAGGAAATGATCGGCCGAAGGAGGTTTTGACATAGCGAGGCGTGGGAATGAGGTTCTAGCCAAGGGGTGGGAGGAGAGACGAAGAGCATGAAGGTGTCCAATGGCAGAGGGCGGAGGAACTCGGTCACTAGATCGAAGCAGTCTTCGGCTTCCATAAAGGCATGTTCGTAGTTGAATGATATTTGTGTGAGNCTACAGAGTGTTAGAAGATGGAAAGGCTGAGAGGAAGGCAAGGTTGTACTTACCAAAGCAATCAAGCGCTGGCGCAAGTGCACGGCTTCATACCCACCATAATCTGAAGACACGCTGTAATCACTCTCTGCATCTAGATCCGGTGTGGCCGAAGATGGTCGTCCTCTCTTACGCGACGAACGCGCCGAGGTCGATGCTTTAGGCGTCGAGGGCAAATCGTCTTCCTCTTCTTCGGAGTCGTCCGCATCCATGTAGTCACCGTACTCGTCCTTATCAAAGTCGATCTTTTTNCTCGGAATCAGTTCCTCCACCGTCTTCTGAACCGGNGGTTTGGTCTCGTTCTTCCAGATTTCATGGAACTCGTCTAGATCCTTCTTGCTACCGTTGGCGAGGATTGCTCTCATGACTCTTCGTTTGCCGGCTCTACCGTCACCTGCGGTTAGACAGTACTGTGCGATCATACTGTCCGAAAGGAGTGTGTTGGCTGCTGCTTCTTTGCCATCATCCTTGAGGGGTTCGGCGGCAGAGATCCTTTCTTGCAGATCGTCTTCCATTGCACCAAGCATGAATTCGAGCCAAGGTCTCCATCTTTCCCATCGCCTGGGGTGCTGACATGAACAATTGAAGGCCCAGCCGACCACGGACCAAAAGTCTTCAGCGAGGTTCCAGATAGCACCTTTGTTGGCCATTTTGATTGAAAACTTGCCGTCATCTTCTGTACCAGGAGTGAGATCTCCAGTGCGTCTTCGTCTATCTCGCGAGTCGAACTTGTCCAGGAACCTGAAAGCTGAGGTGAAGTTGGCACTGGCAGCACCGACAATGGAATTGACATGTTTGAGGAACACCAGTGCATCGTTGGCAGTCTTTACTTTTTCCAGCTCTGTAGCTCGATTGGTCCAGAGAGGATGCACAGCTAGAGTAGCGATAATCGCTAGTACCTGAGGTGATGGAACATAAGTTGGGAGAATCCGGCCATCGATAGTGCCGTCAGTGCCTGCGATGAGTGTGTTTGAGAGTAGAGGAAGAGCTTGTGAGACTAGATAAAATCAGAAAAGCTCTGTGCAAAGTGTTTGGGCAAGATCGTACAANAGCTGTTCTTCAATATAGACATTGATGATATCTCGAAGCTCATATGACAATGGCTTGACTGGTCGATACTTCTTGAACTTTATTGCTGGTTCTGGCGTTCCAACCATTTGTGAGCTCGGTATTAGCACACCGACCTGTGACGATGGCGGTAACCCAGATCTCGCAAGCATCTTTGTGCTCACTCTTGATGAATGTGGATAGTATCAGTCGAGAAGCTCTTGGGGAGACGCGTTTCGAAGCAACACGGAAGACGCGACCGAGATTGGTATTCAGGCGAGCAGGGTCACCCCTGGCAAGCTTGGGCCTCGCAAGCGTCACCGCCTAAGGTCCAGTGACATCTCCGAGGCCCTATCGTCGCCCTTCTGTTTGACAAACCAACATATTTTCTATCCGGTACGAGACCTACGTGGCTGGATCACGGGCCTTTGTGCTTAACATCACTTTACGATCTCACTTGACAGCATTTCCTGCATTCTTGCGAGCGTGTTTTCCTGAACATCTTATACATTGCATCCGCATATTCGTTAGACACTAATAACAAACCATCATGATGGCGTCGCTCTATTCACGCCTGAGGAGTGTGAACAAGCATAACCTACGGACTTTACAAATACAGCCACTCAACGAACTCTCTGGAGCTCTGGGCGATCTGGGAACTCTACTACCTCTACTTATCGCCCTCACCTTGACGAAAAGCATATCGTTGTCTGCCACTTTGGTATTCTCGGGGATCGCAAACATAGCCACTGGAGTGGCATTCGGTATACCACTGCCTGTGCAACCCATGAAAGCTATAGCTGCCGTCGCCATCAGCCAGTCGTATACCAAGACCGAAAACATCTCTGCCGGTCTGTTCGTGGGAGGTGTTGTGACACTCCTCAGTCTTACGGGCCTTCTCAAGTGGTTCGGCCGCATAGTGCCTATTCCAGTCGTTAGAGGTATTCAAATGGGAGCCGGATTCGCTCTGGTCATCTCCGCAGGAACCAGTCTTCTCAAACCTCTCGGCTGGATCACACCGAACTGGTCAGACAACTGGCTATGGGCAATGGCCGCATTCATATTTCTCCTGCTATCTACCTTGATACCTCGAGTCCCATACGCTCTACTCGTCTTCATACTCGGTCTCATGTTCGCTGGCATCAATCTCAACACCTCGCACCCACCGACCCACCCCTCATCAGGCTTCCAACCCTGGCATCCAAAAACTTACATCCCCTCCCCAAAGGACTTCTACAAAGGCGCCTTCGAAGCAGGTCTTCCCCAAATTCCGCTCACAACGCTTAATAGCATTTTGGCAGTGACTTCCCTCTCGTCCTCTCTANTTCCCTTCTTTCCCCCAACACCCTCAAACACCCAAATTGGCCTCTCAGTCGGCCTCGCAAACCTTGTGGGCTGCTGGTTCGGCGCCATGCCCATCTGCCACGGCTCCGGTGGTCTCGCAGCCCAATACCGCTTTGGCGCCCGCAGCGGCGCCTCCATCATCATCCTCGGTGCCGTAAAACTGCTGCTTGGTCTCTTTGCCGGCGAATCCATCATTCCTGTCCTTGCTCTGTTTCCCAAATCTCTGTTGGGAGTTATGGTTCTGGCTGCTGGTGTGGAGCTTGCTAAAGTAGGTCAATCATTGGACGACGTGCAAGATGCTTGGCAGGCTACAGAGCAGGAAAATGAGGATGCAGCAGCTACGGATAAGAGGCGTAGGCTTAATGAGCAAGAGAAAAGAAACCGATGGGCTGTCATGTTGGTTACTGTGGCTGGGTGTCTGGCATTCAAGAATGATGCTGTGGGTTTCATTGCGGGCATGGTTTGGCATTGGGGGTTGAGAATGTCGGAGTGGATGCAGGAGAGACAGTGGAGAAGTCAGAGGAGGTTGACGCGCTTCTTTACGTCGCAAGAGTATAGGGATGGTGAGGATGCGCCTCTGTTGCACAACGACGACGCTTGAAGGCTGGATCAGAACAGGTCATTTGAGCATCTCTTTGTGTAGGAGCTTATGACTTAATAATCATTAATTGAACCTGTTCATACTCGTATTGAAGAAGCCGAGATGCAGAGAATGTGGAAAGATCAAATGCAATGAGACATATGTACTGGGACGTGTTTGATGCAAGGAAGAGAAACGCAAATAAAGACATTATAATCATTGCTCGCCTCCACGATTGTTACCATGATCCCATCTCGCTTCATGACAAAAAAAACTCGAAAGGGTCGTGAAAATAGCTATTAACCACCTTACTTCTCCTCGTTGATCGAGTAGGCTCTGTAGTGCTGCTTGACAATATCCTTCAATCTCTTGTCCATGACATTTCTGCCGTCAAGAGTTCTCCAGACCTCGTGGGGAGCCTTGTTGACGACATCCCAGCTGATCAAGTTCTCGGTCAGCTTGGTCAGGTCGCGTTGCTTGCGCTCCCATTCGTTGTCGCGACGGTTGCTAATGCCGCTGCTGATAATGACGAGAGGAACGTCGGGAGTCTGGATGGTACGAGCGCTGGAAACTTCATTCTTGGTCAAGGACTCGGCGATGAGGTTCTCCTGTAGCTGAGCCTTGATGAATTTGCCGCCTTGGTAAGCCGAACGACCGTAGACACGATCCTCACGTGTGCGTCCGTTGAAAATGGCGCCAAAGTTGCGCTGGATACCAAGAGGTGAGATGATGCCGAAACCCCAGAGAACAAAACCTCTGTATGCGCCTCCGATGCGGTGGAGAAGATCCTCGTGGAGAGGATCGATCATCATGATACCGGCAATGTTGCGGACATGACGAGCGGAGAAGATGCGTGAAACAATGGAGCCATAGCCAGCGGAGACGAGGATGAAAGGACCTTCCTCACCAGCGACAGCCAAAGCCTCAGACAGAGCGTCAGCGGACATGCCAGCACTGTGAGGGCTAGGAGCACTGTCGGACCAAGCGTAGCCAGGACGGTCCCAGTAGCAGTAGCGGTCGATTGTGCCATTCTTCCATGCAGCATAAGCCCAGTGCTCAAAGTCGTACTCCGAAGGCACCTCACCAGCCTCAAGCAGAAGAGTAGGGTTAGCGACGCCATCAGCGCTGTAGGTAACGTTGCCCAGACAGGCCAGGTGGACTTGGTACTTATCGCCATCCACGTAGTAACGCTCACCATCCATAGGCAGGGTAGCATCGCGGGCACGCAGAACAAGGGTCGCAGTCATGAGGACGGCAATGATAGCGTAGACAATGAGGATAAAGGTGGCCAGAGAGACAGCCAACCACTCGCGCAATGTTCTGCGTGTCTCAGCACGTCCGGTAAGACGCTCTTCCTCTTCCTTCTTGCCCCAAGCCACGACTCTGTCGGTAATGATACACCAGAGGCCGATAAGAGTGGCCCATGCAATCGAGGCGATACCCGGCCAACCCTCCTCGACTCTCAGGCGAGGGATGGCAAGAATCATGATCAAGTCAATGGCCAGAATGGTAGTGATGATGCCCATGGTGATGCGCATACCCTTGGAGGGAGCAGCGAAGAAGAGGATGGCGACCAGAAGGTTGCCAGCGGTGAGAGTGGTGTAAGAGAAATCGAAGAAACCGGAACCTCTAGTGTGCAGGCCAGGAGGAGAAACGAAGATGCTCACGAAGAGCAGGATCCACCAGATGAAGTTGATAAGGAAGAAGAGGACGGTAATGTATCTCAAGAATCGGACGGTCCAGAGGTTGTAGGGAGAGACNCTATGTTTGTCAGTCAAGCGCCATGATAGTAAACAGAGCTGGCTTACAGCCGGGTCGTCTGGGTCTAGGTAGCCATCCGAGTGAGGAGGACGAGGTTGAGCAGGCAAGAGTCTGGTTCTCTCATCTGCTTCACGCTCTCTTCGCTCGTAGGAACGTCTAGACGGAGGACGTCTGGTGTCCTCGGTCGAGCCTCTCGGCGTGGTGGAGCCATCGTCAGGCTGCTCATCATCATTGTTCTTCGAACCCCACAGCGAGACCATGTTGATATAGGTGCGACAGGTACCTTGTACTTGTCTGCCAAAGTTTAATGTTCAAAACAAAAGGAAGGACGAGGGAAGGTCGAGATCTTGTAGGAAAGGCCTGTGGAAGCTCCAGGCAGCGCAACGGGAATTCACATCACCCCAGCCACGATGACGATGTAGACCCCGCGAACGGCAAGCACGATCAACGCCTTCCATCGTATGGGACGCATGTGATTTTCATATTCGCCGCGTGCGATTCGAGCTTGAACATTGATTACATTGGAGATAGTGCCCTTCGGCACTGCAAGAGCTGAAAGTCCTCCTCTCTTCACGGTTCTCGTCGCTTGACATTCTTGTGTTCCATCAGAGGTGAATGCTCATATCATAGCAGTGACATCCATGCAATATCTGCAGTCAAGATCTGAGCCGCTTGTCTTGCGCTATTTAACCAAAGCTCATGTGTCTCCTATCCACTTCTGACCGAACTGGGAAAACCACGTCTGTGCATCCGGGACGCGGGCAACTCGGTCGATCAGAAAAAGCTTATGACGAGGGGTGGAAAGGCGTTTGGGCAAAGATTGCCAAGTCTGATGCGATCAGAATGCTGACGGTTGTCAACACAAGCTAGTCCGATGGCTTCCACGATCGCTCCTTCCAGCGGAACACCGACAGTGAATGCCAAGAGTCGGTGCATGTTCGCCGCTGGTCAAGCTCTGGGTCAAAGAAACATCTATCAAGGCAGCACACGCGTAGGGAGCCATCCATCTACGTCTGTCGCCCGCCACCCTATACAACACCCACACAATCGTCACAATGGCCGAAAATGAAGATGCAAAGCGCCTCAACCAGTACAAGTACTCGGCCATGTCCAACCTGGTCCTCCAGGCGGACCGTCGATTCATCACGCGCCGAGGTGATGACAGTACTGGTGACCCCGAGTCGCTTGCTGGCCGCATCAACTTGAACGACATGGGCTCGCGCAATGCCCGCGAAGCCGCTCCTGCCCAACCCGCTGCGCAAGATGCCCAGAGGAAGCGCAAGAGAGCAGAACCCGCGCAGAGTGCTCGCGCCTCCGGCATCCTATCACAAGCAGACCTCAACATCGAAGGTCTACGATACCGTCCTCGCACACCCGCCACCCAGGCGACATATACGTTGATCAACACATTGGTGGCGCAAAAGATGGGAGGCGACTACGGTCTTCACATCACTGCCAGTGCCACCGACAGCATCCTAGAATACCTGAAGGACCAAGACCTCAAAGACTTTGATAAAAAGAGGGAGATTGATGACATTGTTGGTGTCAATCTATCATCGAAGGAGTTCAACGAGCTCGTCAACTTGGGTAAGAAAATCACCGATTACGATGCACAGGATGAAGACGAGAATATGGGCGATGCAGACGATGCTGGCGAAGGCGACGATATTGATGACCGTCAAGGTGTCGCTGTCGATTTCGGTGATGAGGACGAGGAGGAAGGACAAAATTATGAGGTTCGCGACGGGGAGGGAGAGTCAGATGATGAGGATGTCATCGAGGATCCGGATAATGTTGCCGCAGCCGGTGCTGAAGACGTGGAAGACATGGCTGCAGAAGGCGACGAGGAGGACCTAGTTTTCTCAGCCCCAACCGCCAGCCGTTCAGCCAAGGCCGACCAGGAGGATATCATACCCGCTCACGAAATCGACGCTTTCTGGCTCCAACGGCAGATCGGTCAGCTCTACGAGGACGCACATATTCAGCAAGACAAGACATCACAAGCGTTAGACATGATGTCTGGCTTGAACGAAGACGGCGAGGAAAAGCAGTTGCGCGATGTTGAAAACGATTTAATGGAGCTCTTCGACTACGAGCACCCCGAGCTGGTCTCGAAGCTCGTCAAGAATAGGGACAAGGTTGTATGGGCAACAAGGTGGAGAAGAGCTGGTGAGGACGAACCCGCTCGCGTGGCTGTCGAACGCGAAATGGTCCAGGCCGGGCACGGAAGCATTCTCAAAGAGCTGAAGACACGTCAACAAGGCACCGATGGACAAACCTCCGGGAAGATGCAATTCGACCTCATGGACCTGGACACGGCGACCGGAAAGCCTGCTGCTGCTGAGGAGAAGAAGGAGGGCCTTGTCGGTGACCTTCAACCGAGCAGGAACATCAACCTGGAGAACCTCGTCTTTGATCAAGGAAACCACCTCATGACCAACCCAAGTGTGAAGCTGCCACAAGGATCAACCAAGCGCACATTCAAGGGCTATGACGAGATCCATGTACCGGCCCCCAAGCGCAAGCGTGAGGACTTTGAGACCCCCAACTTACCAACTACCGAACTGCCTGAGTGGGCTCGTATTGGATTCGGAAGTTCCAAAGAGCTCAATCGTATCCAAACACGGTGCTTTCCTACTGCTTTCAAGGACGACGGTAACATGCTGATTTGCGCACCTACTGGATCTGGTAAGACGAACGTGGCCATGCTCGCCATGTTGCGTGAAATCGGCAAGCACCGCAACCCCGAAACTGGTGAAATCGATTTGGACGCTTTCAAGATCATCTTCATCGCACCTCTAAAAGCTCTGGTACAGGAGCAGGTCGGTAACTTTGGCGCGCGCCTGGCGCCTTACGGCATCAAGGTTTCAGAGCTGACTGGTGACCGTCAACTCACCAAGCAACAAATCGCTGAGACCCAGGTCATCGTGACAACCCCAGAAAAGTGGGATGTCATCACCCGCAAGGCCACCGACACCAGCTACACCAACCTTGTGCGTTTGATCTGTATTGATGAGATCCACTTGCTTCACGACGACCGTGGTCCGGTTCTCGAGAGCATCGTGAGTAGACAGATCCGCAAGATTGAGCAGACCGGTGAGCCTGTTCGTCTCGTAGGCCTCAGTGCCACTCTTCCCAACTACCGCGACGTCGCCGCTTTCTTAAGAGTCGACATGCAAAAGGGACTCTTCCACTTCGACGGCACTTACAGACCTTGCCCATTGAAGCAGGAGTTCATCGGCGTTACTGAGAAGAAGGCGATCAAACAGCTCAAGACCATGAACGACATCTGCTACAACAAGGTTCTTGAGCAAGTCGGTCAGCAACGCAACCAAATGCTGATCTTCGTCCACTCTCGTAAAGAGACTGCGAAGACAGCCAAGTACATCCGTGACAAGGCCCTCGAGCTTGAGACCATCGGACAGATCTTGAAGCATGATGCAGCCAGCCGTGAAATCTTGACAGAGGAAGCTGAGAGTGTAACAAATGCAGACCTCAAGGATCTTCTTCCGTACGGTTTCGGTATCCATCATGCTGGTATGAGCCGAGCCGATCGTAACTCGGTTGAAGAATTGTTCGCTTCTGGTGATGTTCAGGTCCTTGTCTGCACAGCCACCCTCGCATGGGGTGTCAACCTTCCGGCCCATACAGTCATCATCAAGGGTACTCAGATCTACTCCNCCGAGAAGGGTAGCTGGGTCGAGCTGTCCCCTCAAGACGTTCTTCAGATGCTTGGTCGTGCTGGTCGTCCACAATACGATACGTATGGTGAAGGTATCATCATCACCACGCAACAGGAAATTCAATACTACCTGTCGTTGCTAAACCAGCAGCTTCCCATCGAGAGTCAGCTTGTTAGCAAGTTGGCAGACAACCTCAATGCTGAAGTTGTTCTTGGCAATGTCCGCACGCGTGATGAGGGTGTTGAGTGGTTGGGTTACACATATCTGTTCGTGCGTATGTTGCGATCACCCGCGTTATACCAAGTCGGCGCCGACTATGAAGATGACGAGACTCTTGAACAGAAGCGAGTCGATTTGATTCACTCTGCAGCTTTACTTCTCGAGCAGGCGAACCTCGTCAAGTACGACAAACGTGCCGGCCGAATCGTGTCTACAGAGCTTGGTCGCATTGCATCGCATTACTACATTACCCACAAGTCTATGTTGACCTACAACCAGCAGATTCAGCCATCGATCACACCCATCGAGCTGTTCCGAGTCTTCGCTCTCAGCGAGGAGTTCAAGTACATCCCCGTTCGCCAGGACGAGAAGCTTGAGCTTGCGAAGCTGCTCGGCAGAGTCCCCATTCCTGTCAAGGAAACCATCGATGAGCCTCACTGCAAGATTAACGTCTTGCTTCAAGCATACGTGTCTCGTCTGAAGCTTGATGGTCTTGCTCTCATGGCTGACCTGGTCTACGTTACACAATCCGCCGGTCGTATTCTTAGAGCAGTCTTCGAGATTGCCCTCAAGAAAGGTCTGGCTTCGGTCGTCAAGGATGCTCTCAACCTCTGTAAGATGGCCGAGAAGCGTATGTGGCCAACCATGTCACCTCTGAGACAGTTCCCAGAGTGCCCTGCAGACATTGTCCGCAAGGCTGAGCGCATCGATGTGCCATGGTCGAGCTACTTTGATCTCGATCCTCCCCGTATGGGAGAGCTCCTTGGCTTGCCTAGAGCCGGTAGACAAGTCTGCGCTTTGGTCCAGAAGTTCCCTCGACTGGAGATTCAGGCTCAGGTCCAGCCCATGACACGAACCATGCTTCGTGTTGAGCTCACCATCTCGCCCAAATTCGAGTGGGATGAAGCTCTTCACGGCAAGTCCGAGAGTTTCTGGATTCTCGTAGAAGACTGTGACGGTGAAGAGATACTGTTCCACGATCAGTTTGTTCTTCGCAAAGAGTATGCTGAAGCTGAGATGAACGAGCATTTGGTTGAGTTCACTGTGCCCATCACGGAGCCCATGCCACCCAACTACTTCGTCACTGTTTTGTCTGACCGATGGATGCACTCTGAGGCTCGCCTGGCTGTGTCCTTCCAGAAGCTTATTTTGCCCGAGAAGTTCCCCGCTCACACCCCTATCTTAGACTTGCAACCACTGCCTATCGCTGCTCTCAAGCGTGAAGAGTTTGTTAATCTCTACCCCGACTGGGAACGCTTCAACAAGATCCAGACCCAGACCTTCAACGCCCTATACTCGTCGGATGACAACGTGTTTGTTGGCTCCTCTACTGGTAGCGGCAAGACTGTCTGTGCTGAGTTCGCTCTCCTTCGCCACTGGAGTCAAGGAGATGGCAAGGCTGTGTACATTGCACCCTTCCAAGAGGCCATTGATGCACGTTACAAGGACTGGCAATCTCGCTTGAGTGGCATTGCCGGTGGCAAGCAGATTGTCAAGTTGATCGGTGAGACCACTGCTGATCTCAAGTTGCTCGGAGAAGGTGATCTTATCCTTGCTACTCCTCAACAATGGGACATGATGTCTCGTATGTGGCAGCGCAGAAAGAACGTCCAAGCTGTAACACTCGTTCTTGCCGACGATCTTCACATGATCGGAGGACAGAACGGTTACATCTATGAGACTGTCGTGTCTCGAAGCCACGCCATCAGCAAGCAACTCGAGAACGGTCTTCGCATCATCGGTCTGAGTGCATCTCTCTCTAACGCTCGTGATGTCGGCGAGTGGTTCGGAGCTAGCAAGCACACCATCTTCAACTTCAGCCCCCAATACCGCCAAATCCCTCTCGAACTCCACATTCAGCCTTTCACCATTCCTCACTTCNCCTCTCTCATGCTGGCCATGGTCAAGCCCGTCTACCAGTCTATCACACAGCTTGCCGCTGGACAGCCCGCTATGGTGTTTGTTCCAAACCGCAAACAGGTACGCGCGACTGCTATTGACCTTTTGGCAACTTGTGTCGCCGATGACCAAGAGGATCGCTTCCTCAACGCCAACCTTGAGGACATTTCTTCTGTCCTGGACAAGATCAATGAACGCGCCTTGGCCGAGTCATTGTCTCATGGTATTGGTTACTTCCACGAGGCTCTTAGTCCTTTCGACAAGCGTGCCGTTGAGCACTTCTTCAAGGCTGGCGCCATTCAAGTTATGCTTGTGTCAAGAGATTGTGCTTGGGAAGTTCAAACTCCTGCTCACATGGTCATCGTCATGGGCACTCAGTTCTTCGAGGGCCGTGAGCACCGTTACATCGATTACCCTATCAGTGAGATTTTGCAGATGCTCGGCAAGGCCGGCAGACCTATGGAAGACAAGAAGGCACGTGGTGTTCTGATGTGCCCTGCTGTCAAGAGAGACTATTACAAGAAGTTCTTGACAGAAGCACTTCCAGTCGAGAGTCAGTTGCAAGCATTCTTGCACGATGTCTTTGTTACCGAGATCAGTACCAAGACGATTGAAGACACTCAGGATGCAATCAACTGGTTCACCTACACCTACTTCTACCGTCGTCTGATGGCCAACCCCAGTTTCTACGGTCTTACTGATACGACTCAAGACGCGTTCAACTACCACCTCTCAGAGCTTATTGAGTCCACACTCAAGGACCTCGCTGATGCAAACATCATCGAAGTTGACGAAGAGGACGATGGTTCGATCACACCACTCAACGCTGCCATGATCGCTGGATACTACAACATATCCTTCATCACCATGCAGACATTCTTGCTGTCGTTGAAGAAGACCACCAAGCTGAAGGGTATCCTCGAGATCGTCACTGCAGCCACAGAATTTGAAGACATCCAGACTCGTCGCCACGAAGAGCGCATCTTGTCGCGTATCTACGACCGCGTACCTGTCAAGCTTGCCGAGGTCAACTTTGAGTCCCCTCACTTCAAAGCATTCATCCTGTTGCAAGCACACTTCTCACGCATGCAACTACCCGTGGATCTTGCCAAGGATCAAGAGCTGATCCTCAAGAAGGTTCTCGTGTTGCTCAGCGCTTGTGTCGACGTGCTATCCTCAGAAGCCCACCTCAACGCCATGAGCGCCATGGAGATGAGCCAGATGGTTGTTCAATCCATGTGGGACCGCGACTCACCACTCAAACAGATCCCCCATTTCGAACCCGAAGTCATCGAAGCCGTCAACACCAACGGCATCAACGACATCTTCGAATTCATGGATGCCATGGACCCATCCGAGAACCCCAACTACGAGAAGTTGGTCAAGAGCATGGGACTCAGCAACCAGCAGCTTGGCGACGCCGCTCGCTTCACCAACGAGCGCTACCCCAACGTCGAACTCAACTTTGAGCTCGAAGACGCTGAGAATGTCGTTGCTGGCGAGCCTAGCTTCATCAATGTCAGCATTGAGCGCGATGTTGATGAAGATGCAGAACCCAACCTTAATGTTCATGCGCCCTTCTACCCTGCCGCAAAGACTGAGAACTGGTGGCTGGTTGTTGGTGAGGAGAGCACGAAGAACTTGCTCAGTATCAAGAAGGTCACTATTGGCCGTGAGCTCAAGGTTCGCCTTGACTTTACCGTGCCTACGGCTGGCAAGCACGATTTGACGTTGTTCTTGATGAGTGATTCGTATGTTGGTGTGGATCAGGCACCTACATTCAGTGTAGATGCCGCCGAGGGCGAGGAAGAAGAAGACGAAGATGAGGAAATGGAGGAATAGGTATTCACTTCTCAAAGCGACAGGCGTTCTTTCGGCGCTGTGCTCATGATGTAAAAAGTTGAAAAAGTAGACATCTCGTTCTGAATTGACGCATTTCTGTATATTACTATAAATTTCATGCTGTGCACCACTACCGACAATATATGCTCCTCGGAACAAGAGAAAGATGAGAATGTCTGATATGCCCTCAATGACAAGCAGCACTCTTGGTGACGGTGCCGTTTCCAAAAGCCAAGTAACCGACAAAGGCACCCACGCCCACAGCCAACATGATCCATCCATTGTAAGTCATGAATAGCAACNNCTGTTTACCAATGCCAATAAGTATACGATCTGGCAAAAGTAACGCCATCCCTAGGAAAAAGGAGATAGAACAGGCAACTTACATGATGAAGAATGAATAAAACACCTGCACAGCATACAAAGCAGCCTTGATAGTCTTTGATTTGGCTTGCTTGTCGGCAGCAGATTGTNNCCTGATGATGCGAGCAATGAGCTTTGTTCTTGGTCATCTTTTTGCCATGTTTAGCCCTTGCGTATCTTCAAAGTACAAAGGCAAAAACACAGGATAACATCAAGGGGCAAATACAGGAAAACATAACTTACTGGGTAGCCCATCAATCTCTCTCTGCACTTTACTCTCGTACTTTCTCGAAATTTCGCGGACGAGCTCGTAGCCGGCTGTTAATGCGATGATGGCGAGCAAAGTCCATAACAGTGAGAAGGTGGAGGTGACACGCCAGGATTTGAAGACGATGCAGAGGTTGTTGGTGTCCCAGGTGAAGAGCATCTATTCGTTATCGTACGTCAGCCTTCTCGTCTCCTTCTCGAGTCCTCTGCATCTTTGGAAGGGTGGTGTGGAATCTGGCTTACGTTCATGTTGCACATGTTTCCGTGATCCATACCGCCGTGACCCATGTTGCCGTGATCCATGTTGTTGTGATCCATATGTGAGTGGTCCATGATGTGTTTGCGGGATATAAGATTTGGAGAAGTAAAAAGACAAAGAAGGTCATTCGATAGAATCGATATTGGAACCGTCTTACGATGCCTGGGTGGCTGGACACTAGCCGGAGATATTGATGGCATCATCTTATCACCGTAAAGCTTGGCACTCACTTCTCCACGATCGAGCACCCCTCCATTTCTATGACGCTGAATAATTGCTATGACATTAAATCGTCCGTCCATCCCGAACCGTTGTCTCTCTGCTTTCTCGCATCAGTTACAAAGAGGCATGCAGACATTTAGAACTCTGAGCAGACAAACACTTTCAAAAGCTTCAGCAATCCGCACACCTCCCACACCACGCATCACCTCCATCGCTCGACAAGCACAAGCAACAATGTCCACCACAAACACCTCTCCACCCACCACAAAACTCGGCAACCCCTTGAACATCCCAAAATGGTGTGTTTACACTTCTGCTTTCATCCTCCTCTGTCATCTTCCCCTTTCCAGCCCTTAAACTAACACCTCTCTCACCATCCAGGNNCTCGACCAAAACTCGCACCTCCTAAAACCCCCAATAAACAACTACTGCGTCTACTCGGACCCCATGACAGTAATGATCGTCGGCGGCCCCAACGCACGAACAGACTACCACATCAACAGCACCCCCGAATTCTTCTACCAATACCGTGGCCGCATGCTGCTAAAGACCGTCGAGCCCTCTGGCAATTTCAGAGACATCTACATTGACGAGGGAGAAATGTTTTTGCTGCCGGGGAATACACCACATAACCCTGTCAGGTTTGCTGATACGGTGGGGGTGGTGATTGAGCAGCCGAGACCAGAGGGTGAAGAGGATAGATTGAGGTGGTATTGTGGGAGCTGTGGGGGTGTGGTGCATGAGGCGAGTTTTGTTTGTACGGATCTGGGGAGTCAGATCAAGGATGCGGTTAATGCGTTTGGAGAGGATGAAAAGGCGAGGACGTGTGGAAAGTGTGGTGAGGTTTGTGATGTAAGGCCAAAGCCAGAGGTTATGGAGAGGATGAGGACGGGTCCGCATGATGCCTGAGCATGATGCAGGACGAATACGTTCTTGGAGGCTTTGTATTTCTTGGTAGCGAATGGACTGATATCTTGTGCTATTCATGATTTTAAACCCCTTCCACGATGTCTTCATGACGTGGTCTGCCTTNTTCCTCGTTCCTCTCACTAAACCCAGATATCGCAGTTCAGCCAACGAACGCTGGAACAAAGCACTNGCGCATCTTGTTAGCATGACTCTCTCCACTCATCACACTTTGAACCTAACTTACTTTGTCAGCACCTCATCCTGCTCATCACCCAGAATCGTCACAAATGCAGTCCGCAGATCCGCGACATTCATCAACGCTCCACCCTCGAGATACAATTGATACAGGATGGCAGTTGACGGCTGGGTAGAAGCCAATGTATTCTCTTCTCCTGTCCCTACATCCGGCGCACAGCACTCGCAGTCCAGATAGTCATGAGGAGAAGCCAACGCACGCTCAATAGCAGCCCTTGGTTTAGGCGTAAACACATCGCGATGCGGCGACTTGAGATCATACACAAAGACCTCGTTGAAGACCAAGTCTTTTGGATCAATGAGTGCTGCATCAAAGTGCGTTTCCAGAGCTTCGACAAAGCGTTGCAGGATGTCAGAGTAGGCAGCATCACCCTTGGTAAGTGTAGACTTTTGCTTGCTCAGTTCCACTTTCTTGGCAACCACGGTTGTTCTCAAAGTCGCGTTGTGGAGATCTTGTTCGCTGCGCAGAGCTGCTCCGTCTTTNTGCTGGGCTTGGAGCTTTTCGAGTTCTTTCAGCAGCTTTGCACATGTCTTTTGCAGGTCTCCAGATGTGGTTGGTAGTATGTGCTGTAGGGTCAGTAACAGAGTTTCCGAATTCGACTTTTTGAGATACATGAGCATGTTTCTCTCAATATTGGAGTCCCTGAGTTGACCAGCTAGAGCATCGACCAGTAGAGTCGACTTGAGCTGTTGTTGTAAGGCAGGGATGTGTTTCTGTAGTGCCGTGATTGTGTTCACTGTGCTCAGAATGATCTCCAAAGCTTGATGACCAGCCATGATTTGTTCTTTGACATAGTCCAGGAGGTAATCGTCACTGTCTAACAAGCGTTTGGATTTTGAGGCTTCGCCGTCTTCGAGCAGTAATTCCACGTGTNNCTGTAAATGTCAGAGAGAACGAGAGAACGGGTACTTGGTGACACACTGTTGAAAAGAAGGCAGGTTCCGTAGCGCTTCCATGTGTTCGGTCGAAATATCAGCGAGTGTGACAGTGTCGTCTAGGAAGATACTGAGAGCATTGGCGTAGAAGTGTGATAAATATGCATACNNTACACCCCGTCAGCACATGATCAGCCAACGAAATATAGAGTGAAATACTTGAACACTATCCATGAAAGCATCGAGACTCTGAATATGCTCTCGTTGACGCCTTAGCGTGGCAGAACAAATTCCAGGGCCTATCCAAAGACTAGGTGTGTTCGTGTCGGAGGAAGAATACAGCGCGTCAGTAATTTGTTCGAGAGCACTTTCTGCCTTGACTACGTCGAAGCGTTGACCTTGGATGCAGCGAGTAGCCTTCTTGGACAATTTGGCGGAAAAGTTCTCGATGGATGTAGCGACACCAAAGAAGAAGACAAAGGGTATCCTGTCTTGCCAACGGNNCTTTGCAAAGGTCAGCTACGTCTTTTCCAAGGACTAGGGTAAGACTTACGTCAACAGCTCGATTGCATCCGACAAGAGAGCGCCATCGAAGGCTTCGCAGTCCTGGAAGGCAACGACTACTCTAGACAAGCCTTTCTCCTGAGCATAGTCGTACAGTAGTTGGAGATCGTAGTTTAACAGACGTGTGCGTTTGCGAGCCGGCTTAACGGCGTCAACCTCATCTTCGTCGTCAGATTGAGCGTCAGAAGAAGTTCCTTTGGAGATGAGGTTTTTGAGTAAAGTCTTGAGATTCGGAGCCAATGTAGAGGTCAAGGGAACAAAGATACTTCCGTCGGCTTGGCCAATACTGCTCGATAGTTGAGAGAAGAGCAGAGCGTGAGATGCAATGCTCGGACCTGTAAGAATGATTGCCGAAGATACTCTGCCAGGTGCTGGTTGAGGATCAGTAGTCTCGACAAAGGTAGTGATCTGGTTGATTGTAGATTCGTTGATTTCGAGGAGCAGATTCNNTGATGTGTTTGTTAGATGATGTTGTCAAAGAGGAAGGAACCAGATAACCTTCAATCGTGCCTGCTGTTTGGCCCACAGTCGTTGGTACAGGGAGCGACGAAGAGGCCAAGAAGTTTGAAGACCTTGTAGAGGCTCAATTCGGCGTTTTTTCACCGGCCTGCTCTTGTTACGAGCAGACGGGTTATATACATAGCAAGTTTGAAAGTCCATATTGTCGTGAAGGAACTCTTGATGGTTCCTCAAAAATGTAAACAAGATTCGGGATGGGTTAGACCGAGTGGAACGTGTGGTAGAAGGACTGCGTTGGCAACTCGGCTCGGGCACTGTTGGCAACAGAGAATGACGGAGTGGTCAGAAGCAAAAAGTTGATAGTTCTTGACGAACAATTCACGACGACTTTTGCTTGCACACATATTCATCTGATGCACGTCTTTAGCCTGCGGAAGAAAACTCTACAACCGCGACTGTTTCAGCAAGCATGTCGCCTTGCTTCGACCAGAATTAGTGGACGCGTCTTCACCCAACTCCAGCGCAGCAAACGACTCGCCGCTCAAAAACCCCCACCCCCTGTTCGATCCAGTGACACACCCGCAGACGAAGAAGACGAAGCCATACGCTGGTTCGAACAGGATGTCGAGACGGGCGCCACTCGCCGCATAGCCGGCAACCCTGAAGAGATAGAGGCGGCAGAGCTGAGACAGAAGATTGCTGCCCTGGAGAAAGAGCTCGCAGAATACCGCAATGAAGATTCGGATGAGGACATGCTGGCTGCTCTCGAGCCCGAGGACCGCGCAAAGGTTGAGAAGGCGCTAAAGGAGCGCGACCAGCACGAGGCAGAGCTTACCGACGGGCTCAATGTCAGCCTGGACATGCCGCCCTTGACTGTGCCTCTTCTCAAGAAGTTCAACACAGCTCTTCGCGACTCTGCCCTGAATCCCACCGCTGTTATCCCAAGAAAAGACCTTTGGAGATGGTATGGCCGTGCAAAGCACAGTATTCCTGGACTGGCCAACATGATCCCCAAGAAGGCCTGGCAGCTGATCTGGAAGGCTCAATCCATCGAGTCACCTACAAACCCTGAACGCTTGCATCACATGGAGCAGCTTTTGCGCGACATGGCTTCAGTCGACATGGAGATCATGCCAGATCAGCCTCTTATCCTCCTCGAAACACTACTCGCTCTCGACAAGACCGAAGACGCCATTCGCTCATGGCAACGCGCCTACGATACCACGAACAAGCCGTCCGAACAGCTTCTCTCCCTTGGAGTGCGCCTCTTCTCGCAAAACGACCGTCTGGACAAGGCCAACTGGGTTCTGATGCGATTGTTCGAACGCTATCCCAAGCACGATCCTCGCATTATTGTTCCCCTTCTTACTGCCGACCTTCGTGCTGGAAAGGATGAAATGGCCTTCGGATGCTATGTCCTCATGAGCCAGAAACTCGGCGAGGATATGAACATGGAGGATTACGATGTTGTCTCGCTCACCTTCCTCGAGCACAACAAGAAGGATTACGCTCTGGCCATTTTCCGTGATATGATGCTCCGTGGCCCCAACAAAGAAGTCTCGGAAGAATTTCTTGGCGCCGACGGACAGAACGAAGCCTACGAAAGGNTCTTTGAGCGCATGGAGCGCTTGACCGAAGGCTCAGTAGATGCTAATGAAGTCAATGCCATGTCTCTGAAGGCCCTGAGTGCTTTGCCTTTACCGTGGCAGAACAAGTTTTTCTACGGCAGCTGGCTCAAGAAACTGATCGGAATGCGTCAACTCGAAGCCGCAACAAAGGTCGTCGAGTTGATGTATGAACGAGGCATTGAACCTGATGCCAAACACATCAACGGACTGATCGGTGGATTCTTCCGCTCTGCCATTCCAGCACTCCAAAGCCNNCAAGGTGAAAAGATGGCTTGGAAAATGATTCAGCGAAGACTAGAGGCTTCGTACAGATATCGTTGCGAGAAGAGAGGCGAGAACGTCGACAATATTCCTTCTATCCGCGACTTCGAAGACGGCGAACAGGTAACCATACCTGCTTATATCAAACGTCCTGTGCCCATTGGAACCATCGAGACATTCAACGTACTGGCTCTTCATTATTCCATCCATGAGAAATGGAGACTGATCCATCATCTCAACTACTTGAGACGTCCGGCCGCATTTAAGATGAACACAGACTTCTTCAACCACTACCTAAACATGATCTTTAACACGTTCCACGACGAAAAGAAGTTGTGGCAAAAGTTTCTCTCTGAGGCCAAACACGTCGTCGGCGGCCCTGACATAGAAACCTACAACATCCTCTGGACCGCTCAACTGGAACACCTGAACCCGCGAATGAGGGTCGGCAAANAAGCCACCGAGGGTTATCCCACCCCTCGCCAACTATTCGGGCTCATGACATCTTGGTTCCACAGCAAAGACCTGCTTCACCGCTCTTGGGTAATACCCAAATTTACCAACGAAGTCCACACCAAGATCATCTCCAGCTTCTGCCTAAACAAAGACTTTGCTGGCTGCTTGGTTGCTCTGCACGGTATAGCCCGCATGTACAACGTATACCCCGATCCAGAATTAGCTCGCATAGTCATCATTGCCGTCTCCAACATGTCCGAGCTCAAACCACTCACCATCCGCAGTCGCAGAGGTCGCCAACAAATCCCTGCATCCACTGCTCGTCTCCAGACCACGTCAAAAGTCATGGCCAGCTTGGCTCAAAAGCGTGCAGAAAATGCTGCGGCTAAAGGCATCGATATCACGGAACTGNGGGTTCTGGCAACGCAAAAGGAAGCGTTGAATTTGCTTTCTGAGTTTATCCGGTTGGTGTTGTTGAGAGTGCATGGGGATGCTGATGTGGCCGAGACTAGTATTCGTGAGGCTGCTATGGCATGCCAATTGCCGGATCTGGTGACTGGAGATAAGGATTGTACGAATGTTGGATAGAGATGTGTTGTTGATATATGTGCATAGGCGGTAACATTCGGCTGGTTTGTAGCCTTGTATATCATATTGTATAGTAGTTTCATCTAGTCGTGTATAGCAGAAACACCACTCTAAATTATCCTCATTTTGCTTTCCTATCGTTCATAAATCCTCATATCATCTTCCTCCAACGCATCATCTGCAAGACACACACTATCCCTCCAATACTTACGCCTCCCCCACCTGACCGCCAAAAAATCCCCGTATGACTCACAAACATCGGGAACTCCTCTTTGGCCCGCAACTCCTCCATCTTTTCCACATGCATATTCGTAAGCTGCAAAGTGTGTTTGCAACAACAAGCCAATACCCCCAAGTCCTGCAGATCCAAAAATGAGAGAATTTTATGCACTAGCTGTAAAGGAAGTCTGGTGATGAAATTTGGTGGTGGTGTTGTTGTTGTTGAGGGTAAAAAGTGGTTGCGTGGGTAGTGAGGGGTAGGACAACGTGTAAAGATACAGTTCTTGATGAATGTATCTGTGATCGAGGGATGCGTGTTTGTAGAGCCTGGGACGTGTGTGGAGAAGATGGGTGTATGAGCTGCGAAGCTTGGAGGTTGTGCTGAGGCTGTTGTTGTGAGTCGAGATCTGAGCTTCATTGTTGGAAGGAGCAGTAGTATTTGTATAGTTCTTTTGTTCTTGCTAGATTGAATGTTTCGACGGAGGACAAATAAGAGGGAAAGTTGGATTTTGAAGTTCTGGTCGCTACGCTGGAAGGAGCAATCAGACCACCGGTTGGTATCAATAATCATTGTAATATATAACAACATCTGAACTCTCAACTGTACCAGCACCTTTCGACGTGAAGTTTGACATCGTTCCACTGGTTGGCTCTAGCAGAGTTAGACTTTTCTCATGGCAGTCACGGTATACACGTGGGAGTTGAGTGGATTCACGGCACCTTCCCGTCTCCCTGTCGGAATCCTGATTGAATATCAGTGTTTCATTCCATTACTACGTAGGAAAATGAATTCTTGAGTTGAGCTTATTGTTTCATTACAAGAGAGGAGATTCTTCGTTGTTCTCATGGAGCAGTTTCCTTCAACTGCTCTGGTATGTCGTTGCTCGTTTTCTTTCGTTCTTCTATCGTTTCTCGTTACTTCTCGCTCTTCTTTCACCTTTTCGTTGTCCTTCCTTCTTCCTCGGTTCCTTGTGTTCTTCCTTTGGTCCTCGATTTTTCTCGTCTGATCATCATTCATTCGCTAGCTGTGACTTATCAGTCTCAGCCTCCAGGAGCTTGGTCTAGTGAAACGACTGCTCTTTGTCGATAGCCTTTCCGCCTACAGCTGCAGTGTGTTCTTCAAGGAGGCGAGCGTAATGTCCCCATTCACCAAAAGGATGAAGTTTGAGGCTTTTGTGTCTTCGTCCTGAACTTCTTCCACAGTAGCACGCTGGGCAGAGTGGTCAGGATCAGCGGCGGTGGAGGCTGTGTTGTGTTGATGGTTAGGAGTTGTAGCGGTCAGAACTTCCTTTGCAGCTTTCTTGATCTTTTTGGCTTCTTCCTTTCGCTCAAGCACAGGGCAGGCACGTGCTGGGAGTCTTGAGATGAGAGCAAAGAGGCCCTTCTCGTCAATTATGTCGAGATTGTGCTCCTTGATGATTTGGACCTTCTTGGGATCAGCTTCGGTCCCCACAACGACAAAACTAGTCTTCTTGCTAGGTGCAGTCGTACACTTTCCGCCATAACGCTTGACCAAGTTCTGACCCTCTTCCCTGGAGAAATATGTAAACTGGCCAGTGAAGACAAAGGTCAGGCCAGCGAGACATCTTTCGGCGCCCTCGGAGATGTCGATGCCACCGGCTCCAGATTGAGTTACTGCAGATGCGGCAACAGAAGTTGTGGTGGCAGGGGCCGGCATAGTCGAGTCTGGGTTGGCAAGCAAAGGACTGTCAAAGATAGGCTCAGCGTTCTGATTCATGTCATGGCTTGAGACGGTCTCATTTTCATGCGAACCACTGAGTGTGACGGGCTCGGAATCTCTCTTGAGGTGATCTGCCAGCTGTGGGAAGTTATGTTCGGGACGGCTTCTCGAAAAACCAATCGTCGCTGATTCAAGATTCTCGTATGGAGAAAGAGTCGATGAATTGATCTGACGACTGTATGCTGTCGAATGGATGTTGGGAGCATATAAATCAAGGGCGATGTTTGCACGACGCAATGGTAACTCAGAGCTCCATAGCTTGTTCGCAGGTTCAGGAGCAGACAATTCATTGTCGAAGAAATCACGTCTCAATGGTACGTTTCCGGGGCTTGAGATGCCGAAAGAAACGGTGGTCGATTGCTCAAGTGGCTCATCACAGCCTTGCATCCGTTCAGATAGTGGCTTCTGGATGCTTGAATCAGCCGGTGTGGCATCATTGAACGGTCTCGCCGAGGCGATGCTGTGTCTTGAAAAGGCATGGTGAGGCTTTGAACCCTTGGTGGAGTCGAGCGCAGCGGCACAGAAAGGGTTTTCGAGAAGACTGGAGTTCGAACGTCCATGTGTAGCGAGAACAGAAGTTTGCTGGTGAGAACGAGCTCCGAGATCGTGGTTAGTGTGAAAGAGTTCGGCGCTCTTCATGGCTCTCTGCTGCTGCAGCAAATACTTCTGCCACTGCGGGTTGCTTTGCTGCTGCGGCGGCTTCGACTTCTCGGCCCAAGCCAGACGATTCCTCTCGTTCTCATTGCGTACACCATCAATCTTGGACTTTGCGTCTTGGACACCCGTTTTAGCGGCGTCTCTCGCAGAAGACAGGTCTGATGTTGGCGTCTGTCCAGCGGCCTCCAACTGTGATATTCTCACATGTGTCTGCTGGAAGCGACTAACACTGTTCTCTTGCATGGCGACGAGTCTAGTCAGGGTACTCAAAATACGCCTCTTGTAGCTCTCGTACTCTGGAGAGTTGGGAATGATGCTGGTAGGAGGGGAGACCTTAAAGCCGTCGATGAACGCCTTTGCTAGTGGGCCGAGAGGAAAGTTGCCGGGAACTTGGGAGATCTGCTGCTGCTGAGGGATTTGCTGTTGCGGCCGAGGCGATTGTTGCGACTCCGGATTCTGCTTCTGCGCTCTGTGTCGCATATGTAACTGCTGCTGCATTCGAAGTAATTGTTGCTGTGTACTGTACTCTTATTTCAGCACGTAGATCGCGAACAGTTTACACAAAGGGCGATACTTACGGTTGACGGCCTGGGTCAAGGCCAAACTTCTTGGCCATCTCGGGAGACACTGGTATTCCGGGACCAACCATATCGGGGTGCATAGTCTTGGGCTTGTGCAGTTCATCGCGTCTGTCATTCATCTGAGAAGCAAAGCTCAGAGTGCTTGAAGCAGGCTGGCGAGGGGCCATGGGAGTTGGGGGACATAATTCGACCATAGGGACTGGAAGGCTAGGCTCAGTTGTGGTTTTGTCGTCGATGGTGGTCTGTTCGACGCGGCTCTTTGCCAGGAGCTCTCTGTCCTGGGCTTGCGTAAATCGGCTCTTGAGATCCTTGGGCACGGTTGTATCCTCAGCAAGCACCTTAGTAAATGCTGCATCACCATCAGGGAGCTGTCGCTTTTGGGACTCGATCCTGTCGAGTTTCTGCTCATACTCGCTGCGGCGGAGGCGGACCAAGACATCGAGCAGTTCTCCGCTTTTGAGAATGTCAGGATCCACCGCCTCGAATCTGGAACTCTTGTTGTAGAGCTCAATTGCCTTGCTCAAAGCAACGCTCATACCGGTGTCCAAGCTGCCGAGAGCATCTGACCGACGAGCATCTTCAAGAGCAGGGAAGGCAAAGTCTTCGACAATGGCACTGCGCATCCAAACCGGCGTGAGGTGTATAGCCTTGATGTGGGAAGCCGATGTCAACGATCTTGGGACGCCAAAGAGGAGGATTAGTGATTCACAGAATTTGTCAATGTCCAGCTCTCCATGCCTGTCAAAGGTATGCGAGCCGTCGATTCTGAGGTTGATGTGAAACCAGCGAAGGGCGGAGCCTCCCAAGAATATCTCAAGGTTGGCGATAGACTTTGTGCGGCGTGTGCGGTTCACTCTACCAACAAAGATCGAGGCATCTGAGATGTATTGCTGATCGCTGTGCAAGTTTTGACCACGGTTTGGGTAGAAGTAGCCACCGATGTCAGCGACAGTTGCAGGCGGCATGTCGAGAGATTGACGTGGCATGTCACAGGGTTCCGACAAGACAGATGAACCAGGCGACTCAGGCGGAGTCAACTGAGGGTTAGCGAGGTCGTCAAGTTTGTCGTCCAGAGCATCGAGTTGATTCATCATGGCTTGGTAACGATCTTCTTGCTGGCTCGCAAGTGCGCCAACAGTTCCGCCGATGTGTTTGATCTGCTGGGCGCTGTCTGCCATGACAGATGAGAAGTGACCAACCTGACTTGGATTGTTTGTTACGTTGTTGGAATGTTGGTGGGGCTTGTTAAGTATTGAAGCAGTACGCGTGTTCATGAGATCGAGCTGCAGCTTGAGCTCTTGGAGTGAGGTGTGAAAGTGGTTGTCCATGTTGGTGGACCACGAGAGGTTACATGCGCAGAGCTCAGAAGAAGGATCTAATGATAAATTTCACTTGGCCTTCTGTTGACAAGTGAAGTGAAGTGTTGTCAGATGAAGCGAGGAGGTGGGTGTTGGTCAAGGGAGTCGAGCAAATGATGCAAACACGAATCTGTTTTCCGAGTCGTTATTGTTTCACTTGACATCAACAAAACATCACTCGACTTATCTTCGAGACTTCCTCAAACGACTGTGCCTTTCTGTGAATAGACTGTTGCTTTGGTTCACTGTGGTAGTCGAAGTCTGAACAGTGAAAATGTCGTCGCGAATGCCTTCTATCCGTCGTCCTGCAAGGACAGCAACAAAAGCCGAGGTAGCATCCTATGGCCACTCAACTCTCCAACAGCGCTGAGATGGTATAGGATCCGGCAGACAATCCTGGCACTGTCAAAAGAGGAGCCAACTTCCACAGCTGACTCCTCGCTCACTCAAGACAAGCAAAGATGTTCCTGTCTCGAGCTTGCCCATGTTTAGTCCCACAAGACCGACCATGGCCATTCCGACCAGTACAAAGGAAGACAAGGCTGCTATGCCACCACCTTTGGCTCCCCTGAGTCGCACTCAATCCATTCGCACCCGACCAACACCTCAGCCTTCGTCGTCTACTACCGCTACCTCTACGAGGTCAGGAATGGTCGCTCCCTCGCGATCGCTGTCAACTCGAGCACCCACCTCTTCCATAACCACCGCCCCGAAACCGCGCGTCGTGTCGCATTCCCGAACAGCCAGTACCTCGACCCTCGTAGCGTCGAGCACTGGTGACTCGACCCTGAAGCGTTCTAGTACCATCACTCCATCCTCGAGACATGTTCGGTCGCAGAGTTCGACAACCACAGGTCTCCATTCTAGACTTGCTACTCCTTCCACACCATCAACTCCAACCTCGACCAAGAGCAGCGCAGAGCCCGTCAAGCCTGCTATCAGACGTCTGGTTCGACCAGGCATTACGTCGAGTGTCCCCAATCTCGAGCCCTCTACCTCGAGGCCGGCATTCAACACACTGCAACAACACTACAGCCCTGCCAAAACGACTCTGCCCAAGCCGCCTGTACCCTCATTACGAGCTGTGCCATCTGCAGAAGAAAAGGCTGTCCAGTCGGGTGCCGTCTTTGAGACGACAAAACTACAATCTGAACTATTGTACCTTTCGATACTGCACGAATCAGCCGAGCCAAATTTCCGAAGCTACGAGAAGAGTGCCAGGAAAGCACTTCAAGCAGAATTCGAGGCAACACAAGATGAGGTGGGACAAATACGAGAGCAGGAGCAGATATTCCAAGAACAAGGGAATCTGGCTGCTATAGCAGATTGGTTGGGTGTGCAGNGAGCCCATGCAAGCCCCGAAGCGGCAGAAATGATACAAAGTCTGAGTGGCTGCTTCAACGAAGTCATGGTGCTGTCTTCTCCAGAAAGCAAATATACGGCGCTCGTACAAAGCTTCTCGGAATGGGCAGCCGAAGCCACTGAGCAGGACAGGGCGCATATCTTCTCAGGACCTCTGCCGCAAGACTGGCATCACACGCATGCTTCTATCACACAACGGCTCCGACTAGTGGAGCGAGAGGTCGAGATGCTGCCGTCGGCACTTCCACGGATAGGTGAAGACGCAGAATCATCGTTGTCTGTCATGCTCAAATGCTTGAAGGACTTGGTCTTGGGCATGAAAGAGGAGCTGGAAGCCATGGTGCGGCTGGAGCAGCAGGTGGTGAGCACCGAGAAGCAGCGTGTGAGCAATGCTGTGGCTGGACTATCCATGGATGCTCTATTGCAGAGCTCAGAAGAGTGGACGGCGGCTTGGTAGCGAGAGGCACAATTGTGTTTACTACGGGGGTAACCCTGGCATAGACGCGGAATCGAAGCCGACGCAAGTCAATGACGTAGTTGAACCTTTGTCCAGACCAATTCCAAAAGCATAACAGTTCCTGTCAAGCAGAGATCTGGCAGAAGTGGTCGTGTGAAGAATAGGAGTAGAGAGTCAAGATGGTTGGACAATTGATGCGTATCCCATACACGGCACCGCTACCAGCACCAACCATCATCCCGTCGGCAGCAGCTTCCGTGTCTGGTGCAATCGCCGCCCTGACCGACTTCCTCACATCGACGCCACAACAACAGCACAAGTCCAAGGACAAGACTGTATTGCTTACTGGCGCTGGCATCTCGGTCGCGTCTGGTCTGGCCGACTACAGAGGCACCAAGGGCACATATACTCTCAACAAGACCTACCGCCCAATCTACTTTCACGAATTTGTCGCCAACCATGCTGCGCGGAAACGCTACTGGGCTCGCAGTTTCCTGGGCTGGACCAATCTGAACAAGTCGAAACCGAATCCTGCACACACAGCTGTGGCAGATCTGGGACGTATGGGCTTCCTGTCCAGCGTCATTACTCAGAGTAAACATNACCCCTTCCTCTGGCAGCGCACGACAAGACAACTAACAGAGACAGACGTCGACTCATTCCACCCACAAGCCCACCCTTCCCTGCGCACCCTCGAACTCCACGGTTACCTCCGCAGCGCAGTCTGCACCACCTGCCGCACCGAGTACGACCGCCAACTCTTCCAAAACGACCTCGCTCAACTCAATCCTGCATGGAGCGACTTCCTCAACGAAATGCTGGCCTCCGGCGCCCTTACTACCGAAAATCCAGACGAGAGAAGAAGGCTAGGCCTCAAGACAAATCCAGATGGTGATGTGGACGTGCCTGGTGTCGATTATGCTACCTTCAGGTACCCTGCTTGCCCCAGCTGTCTAGCTAAACCGCCGAAAGACAAAGATGGCAAAAAGCATATTGTCGAGGTTGATGTGGATGGTGCGTGGTTGGCTGGAAACAGCACGGCGGGAATACTCAAGCCGAACGTTATTATGTTTGGAGAGAGCATCCCGGACACCACCAAGGTTGCTGCTGAGAAAGCCATCGATGAAGCGTCCAAAGTGCTGGTGCTAGGATCCTCGTTAGCTACATACTCGGCCTGGAGACTGGTCAAAAGAGCAAGGGAACAGGCTATGCCTATTGGTATAGTCAATATTGGCGGTGTGAGGGGCGAAGACCAGTTCTTTGGACATTTGTCACAGGGCAACACTGGAAAAGAGGGGTTGAGATGTGCCCATATTCTTGAAGAGATGCTACCGAGTCTTGTCAAGGAGTTGGGCCAGAGGAGTACTGCACCACTTACGGCCTCTGCGATGGCGAGACCTTTTGTGCCTGCTCCATGGGCATGAGCTAACTGATGCCTGCACCGCAACTCTGTTGAAATATGGACGCTCACCTGCACTGAAGCTCTGGACTCACAGTCAGGAGCTACATCTCATAACCTTGGTCGCAGTGGTCTTTGGGCTAGACGAGCATTCCTGGTCAAAGATGGTTGAAAGCGTCGACGAAAATCTTCGAGTGTCTCTGAGGCAGTTTTCTCAAGGCAAACGACACCAACGTATGAAAGAATGACCGAGTGTTTACATTCTGTTGATCTACTCGCTACACGCTACACGAAGCAACAAGGAGCAGCTCTACAGAGCTACGACTCGACCCATTGGGGGAACGCTCTTCGTGAGCACATGTACGCTTTTCTCTAGGGCGTCATGATCATCTACGCACATGTGCTGCAAAGTTGTATTGATACTCACGCGATCACGTCTACTAGTCCTGCAACTGCTGTCTACTGGAAGAGGAGAAAGGAAAGGAAAGGATAGAGATTTGTTCTGATCTATCAACAGCTATACAAACGAACATATATGATGACTGCTTATTTACGAGATGTGGCGTTCCACTTGCTGTACCCAATGATCTGGCGTGCATGACCGTATATTCCTGTCCAAGACGGTCAGTAAGGAATTCGGCATGTTCTATGTCTATCAACGTACCCATAGTCGCCATCAAGATCAGATAAGGCGTATATACGACCGAGAACAAGATCATCATCCAGAAGGTTGTGAACTCAGATCTTGCCATCTGTGTGATGGCAAGTGTGAAGATGAGACAAATGACGCTGGTGGTTATGGTCAGCGATGTGGTCAAACTCGAGTTAATGTAAACTTACGTTGCGAAGAGGAACCACTCAGCCATCGGATACCGGAAGAAGATCAACTTGACCAGATCCGCCGGGTTCTTCGGCCACCCGGTGATGATAAAGGACAAGAGCAGACATGTATGCTGAGTAACCAGATAATAACTAATCTCCCTCACAAACAGCAAGGACAAAACACCAAATCTCTCACTGATAGTCCTCTTCTTCTCGGGAGGGTTGTTCCAGACCAAAGGCATGTGGCGTATGGATGCCTGGGTCCAGCCCTGAGCCCATCGCATACGCTGTTTCCAGAACGCGGCAAAGTTTGTGGGAGCCATTTCGTAGGAAAGGACGTTCATGTCGTGTACGGCTTTTTTGCCTTCGCCGTATGCGCGTAATGCTGAGTCGATGTCTTCGCATAGCATGTGGCCATGCATCTGGTGGCCTTTGAGTAGATCGGCCTTCCAGTATCCATTGCTACCACAGAAGAGTCCTAGTGGGGGTACAATTAGCACAAAACGTCATACCAGACATGCAATCTGCCTCGTACTTACCAAAGTTGAACAAACGGCTACGGCCAGGATGAGAGACAGCATAGATCTTGTCAAACTCGATCGCAATCATCTTAGTAAAGAACGTTTCGTTTGTGTTGTAGACCACACAACGTCCTTGAACGATATCCACCGAAGAATCCTTCATGAATCGCTCAGCGGCCCAACGAGGATTGTAAGGGTGTGGGAAGTGATCACAGTCGAAGATAGCAATAATATCGGCACCAGTGTTGAACTTGAAGAAGTAGTTGAGGTTGTCGGCTTTTGATTTGGAGCCTGGAACATTGGTGACTGTGAGTTGTGGGTATTGCTTCTCCATTTCGGTCAACTCTGATTGGAGAGGTTCGATGGGCTTTGGTGTATTGTAGACTGGAAGTTGTTAGTCAGGCTCTTCACCATATGCTGGGCTCGAGGGCTTTACCGAGATTGATTCTTAACTTGTTTCGAGGATAGACCAGCTCATCCAAAGCATAACACACTTGATCCTTGACGATATCCTGCTCATTGGGCAGATATGCCACAATCACAATATCGATTATTGGAAGCTTGTCGTCGTGGGTAGGGAATTGGTTCCCGTTCTGATCAACTTCGTCGGCAGCCTTTCTGGACTCGCGAAGAGGAGAGATGCCGAGAAAGGCTTCAATGACCGTACACATGGCGATGTAGAAGTTGACAGCCATGTAAAAGAAGTAGAACACCTTGATGGTTCCTTCGGTCGCTGATGTGTATATCGCAGTTGAAGCAATGTAGTATGTAGAGACCAGCACGAACGGAGTCCAATCGAACAACCATGCTGATAGTCGAGTGGTGAGATCGTGGATACCTAAGCTCAGCCGCCGCAACGAAGACGAAGTAGTGGGCGGAGGACTCGGCACCTCGAAGGCTGTGGTATCAATAGTTTTGGACATACTGAAAATAATGATCTGAATACGAAGGGACCAAGGATTCGTTGCAGAACAAAGGAATGAAATGACTGGAGAATTGAGGTTGTCGAGCAAATCAAGATGACCAAAGAAGGCGAGAGAATCTCAGGTTTCAATCAATGAATGAGATGTAGCTATCTCCAAGCGACTTGCCTTCAACTGCAGCGTCTTCCACTCTTTCCGACCCTTCAGATAAGACCATTTGGGAACAGCGCCGGACATCTGTCTGCAATGCTCATCGTCGCCGCCAGCGACCCGCTATGTGAAAACCCAAACCCATCTGGAGTGCATTGTAGATCCCCACATGCAAGCATGAGTATTTGTTGGGAAGCCACGAGCGATTACGCATACCGTTTCGACATGCCTGGGCCTGCATGGAGATGGAAGAAGATGAAGCACGCAAGGTTCCGATATGATTGTCGTCGGCAAATCGGGCGGTGGAGACTCCGATGGCGCCAAGATAGAGTGAGGCTCGGGGATTTTCGACGAATCTAACCCAATCCTTGCACCACGGTATTGGTTTCACTTTCCGTCTACTGCAGGCCTAGCATAGACTATGTTACTCATCCCAAGGACGCAGAGAACCACCCTGGCTCCCGCATGCAGATTCCAGATGTTTGCCAATGTCCGAAGACTATGTGGATAGACGCCGAAGTCAACCACAACGGCAGACTGACAGAGGTGGGTCGTGGATCGCTAGGCGGGCTGGACACCCGCTTTCGAGATATCAGGGTGTTTGCCATCAGGCGGATCCAATGAAGGTAGGTGATAGCAGGATCTATATCCTGTGGTGCTCTCAAATTTGACGACTTCTTCCAAACGCCTGAGTCTTGCTGCAAACCACCATGGCAAACAAATTTCTCGTCTCCTTCAAGGAGATGTTTTCTTCCAAGGGCTCAAAGAGCACACAACAGCAGGACTATCTCTATGGTCTTCGAGGAGTACTGGCCATCGAGGGCTTCCTCTGGCTGTTCCTCAAGACCTTTGTCCCAGCAGTGGTTATGAGTGAGGTGTCGGGTCCTACATACCAAGTCATTGTTCGCAAAGTATTCTCGGTACTCTTCTGGAACGAGAGCCTGATATCTTCATTCTTTATCATACTCTCAGCACGCTCTATCTGCATCAGCTTCTTGCAAGAGCCTACCGCCAAAGCATTCGCTCGCTCGCTAGTCACTCGCCCTCTACGCATTGGCATTCCACTCGCCTTTGCTTTGGCCTTTTCGATTTCGATCTTTTCTTCCACCAACACAGTCTACATTGATGTAGCTGCACAAGCTCTGAAGAACCCCAATCTCGCGGCGCCAACCATGCCATCTACCGCTCTGGCGTCCTTCAACACAATCTGGGACGTGCTCTGGATTGTCCGCGATTTTGGAAAACAAATGGCCAACCAAGCCTTCCCTGGTGCAACGATGTGGGCACTTTCGTTGATATACTCTCAGAGCTATACAACATACATTGCGATGGTCATCCTTCCGTTCACAAGGGCTTCCTGGCACATCCAAGCAATTGCGATCTTCAGCATAGGATCGTTTTGGTTCAACTCGTGGGGCTGGTATTCGGCGGCTGGTCTTTTCGTCGCCGATGTATCTCAGAATCATGATCTACGCACTCGTTTGGGCCGAGGTATCAAGATCAGTGAGAGTGTCAGCTTTCCCTATTGGATACTTGCCATCTTGTCTGTCGTCGTGGGCGTCGTCCTGAAATACCTTTGGGTAGCCGCATTTCCTCAGCATCTCCGGGCAGAACTTGTTCTGCATCCTAGCCTTCATCTCACTCAAGGCTTGACCACTCACAACTTTAGCACGGATCAAGCGTATGCTCGATTGGACGACTATTTGATCGTGGTCGGTTTTCTGTTTCTCTTCGAAATGTCGAGCCAGATGAGATCAATCTTCTCGTCTAAGTTATTAGTCCAAGTCGGAAAACGATCACTCAGTAAGTATGAAACGGTCTCTCATGTCTCCCACGACACTAACAGATCCTAGGCANTCTACGTGGCTCAATCCTTGATGCTCTACGTCGTTAGTCTTCGGGTCTTCGTTGCTCTCCACGTCGTGAAGCATATGTCTTTGGCCTCTGCAAATACTGTGGCTTTCGTCTCTTATCTTGGGTTGACGGCTGCATTTGCAGAAGCCTTCTACTGGACTGTTGAAAGATCATCAATTTGGTTTGCCAGACACCTCTTCGAGTGGAGCAGAACTTGATGGATATCAAGGTTACTACGGAGGGGTTTGTGAAAGCCGATGATATTCTCTTTGCAATACAGTCTCGAGTTCCTAATCTATCATTGTGCGATCTTTTTCTCTGCTTCCCAATCTTCGGTCACACCTCCTCCTGGTGTCAGGAAATGTGATGGAACAGCCATGCATAATCGCTTGTTACACTTGCATATCTCGTGTCATATTTTGCCGTGCAATTGATGTGTTGGTCATCGCACACGTCCACAACGCTCTGATCGTCCATGTCTCGGACATTTTCGACCACTTATAGTAGCTACACTTTCATACCGCTGTGATCTTCATGCATCCATTTCCAAACAACGGTATAGAAGGGAAGGAGTTGTTTTCCGAGCGAGGGTCCGTCACCGCGGAAGATCCAGAAAAAGGTACAAGGTTTCGGGACGCCAACGTCACTGCCGAGGCTTCTCTCAGCCTTTGAGGCCTGTGCTTTCAGCCTCTTTCAACCATATCTCTCCATGTCCGCGCCTAGAGAGCTCAACATCCGGCATACACCAATAGCCTCAAAGATCGATTCGAATTCCCGACGTATAGATGATTATGGCGTCGACATGATCGATTTGTCGAAGATCTGCTTCGCGCCATGGTTCTTCACTCTTCTCGCTTGACACCTAGATAAGAAGGGTTCAAGGGTCGAACCTGCCTAAGCCCGACGACGAGATAAGAACAGATCTGGCAGTTTGCCGTCTGGGGAGCCGACACATCTGTTCCTGTATTCAACTGTGGGTCCCTGAAAGATCGCCAGGAACTATTCTCTCCATCATGGACGTTTCTAGCCTTCGCCTCTTACCACTTTGTCTAGCGAGACGGCTCATTCTCTCAATCATCCTGAAGCGGCAATGCTTCGACAGCAAACCTTGGGCTTCGTAGTCCCTTCATAAATGTGGTCGATCAACAGCACGTTATCATCCAATCAGAAGACAGGCCATGATACACATGTCTACGTGGACAAGGTATCCTTGTAGGCCTGCAGGAAACATCTGTCATCGCACCTTCTTGCAGAAGCGTACCTGCGTTGAAACATGCAAACCGAGTTGGATAATCGCACAGCATGGAACCACACTGCAAACGGTTCGGACATTTTAGAGTGCCCCAGGCCAATCCATGTCTTGAGGTGATCCTTCTCAACGACCATGCAGCACCGTGGATGGTTTGCGGTTCTGGTTGGATCCACACATTGAGCCCTAGTGGCTTTTCGGACCATTGGGCGGCTTCAACTTCACATCACCGAATAAGCTCTGGAGGTCGATAGAGATGCTAGGTTTATGGCATGCCGCAAGACTAGATCTTCGCTCTACGGAGAAGAACGACGTTGTCTACCAACGGATACTGTCTTCTCGTCCACCCGACCGAATCGATAGACATGCATGGCGCTTGATGGCATTATCGTTTTGACTGGGCAGCCATATATCCCGCGTCAGTCATTTGGTATAGGATAAGATTGATTCAGGCGCGGATATCCTTCACCACTAATTCTCTCTTGCAGCGTCCTGTGTCCCTCTTCAGACAACTTCTCTTTGCATGTAATCATGCGGTCGTTTCTGTACTTCCTTGCTGGAGCTGGAAGTTTGATTGAAGCTGTTGCTTCTGATTCCTGTACCTGTGGATTCTACGATCGCTCTACAGATCAGGTCTTCACTGATTCAATCATCGTCTATTTCAACGAGACACAAACGATTCCTGAGGATACATTCCAAGTCCAGACATTCAACAACAAGGCCGAGAGAGGATGGAACAGCTTATATCGTCAAGGTGCTGTTGCTGGCAACAGCATGGTATCTCCTCCTTCGGGAACACAGCAATCTCTGGACCTCTTCGTGGACCCAAGCACAAATCATCACGTCGTCAATGGCGGCTCCGTTGAATCGCTCCGAAAAGATATCCTCCATGGCAGTTTTCGCGCCTCTGTTCAAGGGTCAGGACCATGGACCGGTGGTTCTGCACTCTCGATGATGCTTCAATTCAACAAGACAAGCTCGATGGAGATCGACATGCTGAACAACGACAACCCTGAGAACGCACGAATCACCACTCTTATCAATGGCGAGTACCCTTCCCAAAAATATGGTCTGAACTATACAATCTTGGAGAAGGGCTCCGACAATCTGTCCGCTGTCAATCCGTGGGACTTTATCACTATTCGTATGGACTGGACCAAAAATCACATCAACTTTACTCTCGCTGAGAACCTAACTCGGTCAATTCCCTACAAGAAGGATGCCTTCCCTACAGAGCCTATGCCTTTGGGCTTCAAGCACTGGTCTACCGGGGATTCTGAGTGGATGCAAGGACCTCCGAAGAACCGGTCGGTCGCGAGCGTCGCCTGGGTTCGAGCTTTCTTCAACTCCTCTGTCACTACTACTGCACAACAACAGCAGTTTAATACGCAGTGCAACCTTGCTCTGGCATGTGATGTTGATGATCACACTCTAAGAACATCGACGAACTATACTTCCGCTTCGCTCAAGGCGTGGAAGGAGCCTCCGAGAAACGAAAAATGGAAGCTGCCATCGGGAATCGTGGCTGGCTCCTCCTCTTTCTTCGGTCTCGTTGCTCTTCTCAATGTACTTTTTCGAAGAAAGCCATGGGAGAAGCTTACCACTAAGGACCGTAAATCTGGAGAGGTCATGCAAAAGCAAGATTTGTCCACCGATAGTGATAGTAAAATTCACATGCCCCGATCAATCTCCAACTCAACTCTGGATAGTGTAGATGCGTCGAAGTCGAAGTGGAATTATAAATGCACGACTGCCGAGGCGTCGTCGTCGAACATGACCACACCTTGGGGAGCAAGGACACCTGCATCTGGACCAACGAGTTCGAATGATATCATCGACATGGCACTGCTTCGTAAGAAGATGTCCGAAGACTGTGCTACACCATTTGGTGTTCCGCTCAATCAGAATAACTTGCGGCAAAGCCCTTCTACTGGTAGCGATGGCTGGTCCAGCGTTGGCCACACGCTCGTCTGCCCAACCCCGGAAGTCAACTTTAGCAAGCCCATCAAAAGCCCTGAGACGATCCGAGAGTCTGTCGAAATCCGCGTACTGGAAAGAAAGTCGCTCGAGTCTAGCGAGAAGCTGAAGGAAGCTATCGTTACTGCACATGAGGTGCCCAGTCAGTCGACACTCGTCACAAGCCCCTCTCTGCCACCTCGTACAACTGCGCCTCCTAAGCGTATCGACTATCTTGCCGGACTCGTGGCGATATCATGCATCGGTGTCACTCTCATCCACTTCACGCTTACATTCATCCCTTATGCTGGTGGTCTTGGCTACGGGAGACATTACAAGTCAGAGTTGTACTCCCGTTGGTCGGCAACACCTATCCTCTTGAATCCTATCTGGATTGGTCCATTCTTCACTACTTCTACTCGTTTCCTGGCTCAAAACTTCCTCCGTACTGGTAATCTTGCCGATGTGGCCAAGAAGATGTTGCTCAGAGCACCTCGTATGGTGCTGCCTGCCATAGTCGTAGCAGCCCTCGAATACTTCTTCATCGAGCTTGGTTTGACTGCAAAACTGGAATGGCTTCCTTCTATCACCTGGTCAACTTGGCCTTGGGTCTCCAACTACCCCAACTTTGGATGGTTCATGAACGAGATTCTGGAGCTTGGATACTTGATCCCGAATAAAGCTCCCGGCATCGTCAACCACTACTGCGTAGGCGTGCTGTGGACAATCCCTGTACAACTTCAATTCAGTTATACCACACTACTCGGTGCAATCATGGTTCGTGAGATCAAGTCTCACTGGAAACGATTCGCCTTTTACTTTTGGTGCATTGCCGTAAACTGGTACTCCATGAACTGGGGAAGCTGTTTCTGGGTGGGTCTGCTCATCGCTGACTTGAACGTCACTTACAACTACGTCGCTTGGCTACAAGCACGACCCAAGTACCTGTACCCAACATTCGTCCTTCTCTGGGTGTTGGTCATCCAAGGACCCCTTTGGACTTTCCTCGAAGATCGCGGGTTCTACACCTTGATGACCCGCGAACGCAACATTCACCCTAACCTAACTACTGGAGCACCCCAAGGTGAAGTAGCATCAATGTATCCAGCATACTTCGAGCCCCGCCTTAACACCATCCTCTTCGCTGGCGCCGTACAAATGATGACAGAACTGTCTACCTCCTTCCAGTGGTTCCTATCGCTGAAACTCTGGATTGTTCTGTTCCCACACACCTTTACCATTTACCTTATCCACGGCTTTGTATTTTGGTCCTTTGGAGCTTGGTTGTGTGTGACTCTGGCCTCCATGGAAATCTTGCCTTATTGGGCAATCTGTTTAATCTTGTTTGTGTGTTGCTACATAGTCATCGGGCTTGCTGCTGTTTGCATCACACCCTTCTCGGAAGGTGCAGCGATGGCATTGTGTAGGAACTGTTGGAGGTGGGCCAGTGAGGAGCCTGTACCTCATCGCAAGACTCTGGAACCTTTTCGTAAAGATCTTTTCTTGAGCAGGAATGGTGGTACAGAGAAAGATGAAGAGGCAGTGGTGCATGGAGTTGTGGAAGTGCTTGATGAGAAGAACTTCAAGCTGGATGAGCAACAAGGAAAGGGTGTTGGAGAGAGCCCTTTTGATGATGTGAATGAGGTTTCTTCTGAGTCGTCGGGGTCTAGACCTGTTTCTGAGTTCGTGCACAGCAGCCAATTTGTTGACGATGCAATCACACCTGTGATTTCCACACAGGTATCAACGGAGGGGCTGGGCATCTACTTCGATGAGAAGAAGTAGAGAGGGGACATGTTATAGATTGTTAATAATTTTTTTCTATCTTTATAACAATCGATGCTCTCAGTCATGGGCACACGTTGAGAATCGACTTTCCATGCGGAGTGCCAAACATGTAAGAGAAGAAAGCGCGATCGAAGATGTTATCCAGGCAAATGTTGCAGTTTCCGTATGTGACTTCAATCGCTCGGAATCGTACTTGACAGTTTCGATCATGGTGGTAATTTCAGAATTCGCATTATGCCAATCTCTTGCTCACATTTTTTCCAAAACCGCCCGGACGGATACACAGAATCTCTGACTCCTCTTTCCCCCTGTTCTAAGACAAAACAAAACAGCTCCATTTCGACCCAGAAACGCATTCCCTAGACCACCATTATGCCAGCCGCTAGATCCCTCAAGGTCAGGTTCCCGATCCCACGGAGAAACGCAGTCCACATCGATTCTTCCACCCAAGGCTCAACATGACCATCTTCCCACGACTTCTTCAGCTCCTTCAGCATCACGATCCAATGCTCGACCACATTTGCCACAAATTCAGGCGTATCCATACCTTTGTCCTTGCCCTCGCGTACTGACACTAGCGTTGTGTTGAACGCCTTCCTCATCTCCTCCAGCCGGGCCCTTTCCTCCAACCATCCCTGTGCCTCATCGGCATGTGTGTAAAATGACCTTACTTGCTGGCTTACTTTTTCGATCGATTGTGGTCCGTCGCTGCCGAATTGGAGTCCTTGCTCGTCACATAGATCCTTGCCATTGCATAATGCGCCGAGCTCAGTGGCAGCGCTCGGCATGTTCTGTAAGATACGGTGAAGTTTCACGGCCTTTGTATCCAGAGATCTCAGTCCGTCCAAAAAAATTCGCACCGGCAGCAATGAATTTGTTCACCGAAGAGGCCCGAACGTAACTCATTATCTACAGGGCGTACGAAGGTTCCTGATACTGTGTACTGGCTTTGGTAGCCAGGCGGTGATGTGCCTTTTCACAGGCTTTGAGTGCCTGCTTTACCAAAGCCCGATAGATATCCTTGAACTCATTGGAAAGCTTCCTTGCTTCCATGAGGTCTTTCATGAGCTTTCTATGTTCGTGGAATATGACCGTCTCACACTCAAACCGGTCCAGGATTTCTAGATCTGCTGTGGCATTCGGGATGGGCAGAGAGATCTTGGGACCGAGGTGTTGTTCCCGTAGAGCCAGTTCGGTGGCAACTGTTATACCGTCCCTGACCTGCAGGATCAGTAGGAGAGTAGCTAAATACATTCTCATGGTTCGGGAAGGATTTTGGTGTGGTGAATAAAGCTTGTGGGTCTGGTTATGTTTTTCTTGACTGACAGGGTTGATTGCCAGTCATATATACTCTACTCACAAGCAGTTTATTGACAGATACAGGAGCTGAACAGCTCCACGAGTCCTGAGCCTACACAAAGCAATCTTGCATGTCTCATTGCTGTCTAGAGCATGTGAAACACCAAGCACATTATTTATTCTTGAAGCTTAGGGAGTGCAATCCAACAGACTCAGATCGTCCCAGAGAAAGACGGTCTTATGACTCCTGGCGATGTGAGACCATCTGCTCTTCTAGACTTCTGTTGCAACCAAGCCTCACCGCAGGACTTTTTAGACAACAATAAAGACATTAGCAGGACACCAACAACGGTCTTGGCCCCGATCAAATTTGTCCTTAGCGACTACCACCTGACCGCGACTCGAATCGACATATTTGGGATAAGCTGAAGCCTCTACCATGGCTCATACTGATTGACGTTGATGCCACAGGGGTACAGGAAGAAGACAGACAACCTGGGCAAGCTTCCGATCGTACAGCGAAAGGTTTCTAAGGAAAGGGTTCAGAGTGGAACGACAACAAACATATGATCAGACGAGTCGGGCTCTACACCGGCCCCTAGCTAAATGTCTGCTGATGTAACAGATTGTTATAAGGGTTTGCTCAAGCACAACTCATCAAATAGGTCGGTTAGCTCAGTTGGTTAGAGCGTGGTGCTAATATCCTTCGATACACGGCACGCCAAGGTCGCGGGTTCGACCCCGTACTGACCATCATTCCCTTTTAACCATCTTGGACATGTTTTTGACACTAGACGTCGTTGAGATATGGCGGTTGAGAAATTTTGCTTTTGCAGGCTTTAGAAAATTGACTGGGTGTTGCGAATTTCTGTGGGGCTTGGCGTTTTATGTGAAGCCTTATTGGTTATATTTTCCCTTTTTCTCCTTTTTCTGTGCATCATTTGTCTTCACTTGCTTCTTCTCCGTGTGCTAAAGTGTGTGGTGTGTGTAGTAGCTATAGAAACGCACAGTGGGATCAAGAAACAAGGCAGTATCCACTGAGAGTCAACACTCTAGCGGCTCTCATTGGCTACTCCTCTGCTTTAGATAACAATTGTGTCTTTTTATAGCGTACACTTCGCTCTACATGCTTGTGGGAGGGGAGTCATAGTTGCAGACTTAGGGTTTTGGCACATACCCGGAGAAAGTCTTAGAAAATTTATCATCGCTTCGTTTCTTAGAACGTTTCTCACTGGCAGGTGCAAAACGTACATCATATCTCGGCGTTGTACCCTCTAATCCATCACTGACATTGCGAGACACTTCTCAAAGGAATATTGTTTTGGAGATGAAATGTCTTTTCTTGACTGATGCGTGCAAACTAAACAAGGTCTATATTTTATATGTATGATTTCTTGGTCGGATATGCAAGACCTCGAACGAAGTGATGATCTAATCTTTCTTGGTCTCTTCGGAGGCATCTGTTGCTGCGACTGGTTCAGGCGCCACAGGCTGCGCTTCCGGCACAGAGACTTCCTCAACCAACGGACCCCAGCCAAACACCTCTGCCACACTGCGGATGCTGCTTCTAATGCCTACAAGGCCAACAATCACACCGACCAACTCCACGATCAAGAGAACCACTACCCCAAGCAACATGCGAGGCATGAAGATGCGGTAGAGCATCAAGTGACGACGAAGCCAGGCAGCTTCAACAACAGTCGCGAGAGCAATAGCAGCATAGAAGACCACATGGGTAGCGAGAGCCCTGGCGACCTGGTTCATCAGACCCGGAGTGCGGGGAGGCACCTTCCAGAAAACAACAGCAGGAACAGCGAGTGCACAAAGGATGTAAGGTGCAAATGTGCTGATGATAACCAACATGGGCGACCAAGGATACTTGATGGTCTTGAGTGGGATGAATGCAGACTCCCATTGGATCGAAGAAAGTGTGGCTTGGTGTCCCGTCTTGAAGAAGTAGAAGCCAGCCATCAGAGCCAATGTCACTGGCCCTAAAGGCGAGTTGCGCAAGTCGTTCGCATCAATAATCTCAAGAAGATTGAGGATGCTAAGCAAGCATAGTGAAAGCGTGCCTTGGCCCATGGGCTTCTGCAGAAGGAGAAGAACAAGTGCCCAGATGGTCGGTAGAAGGAAGTATCGAGTACCGTGAGTGTTCGCGTAGCCAAGAATGATGAGCTTCTTGCGCTGTTGTGGCTTGACCGGCGTGAACATGGCCGACATAGGGTCGTCGGGGTCCATCAATTCTGTTTCGGGTGCTGGTGTTTCAGTCTCGACGCCCAGGAAAGGAGCAGAGTAGAGATAGGCACTGTAGCCAGCAGCCCAAGCAATGGCCAAGATAGCCTGCGCAATGAATACACGAATCGTCTTCAAGTTTTCGCTGGAGACTTGAGGAATCCATTCATTGTCGTCAGCTGCATCGAGGACCCAGTAAGTTGCAGAGAGAACAAGACCGATACGGAATGCAATACCTAGCCACAGTACAGCTGTACCTTGGTAGTTTTTGGTACGAGCGAAAAAGTCGCGAATTGCGCTTGGCAGGATAACAGCAATGATAAATGGAATAGTAAGTTGCCACCAGGCCGAGGTGGAAGAAGTGGCCGAGGCGTAGTAGGTCGATCTGCAGAAAGGCATCTGCTCTTCGCGACAAAGACGAGAAAGTGATGCGAGGCGGGTCAACACGATGAAAGAGAGCGAATGCCATGAACCGAGCAGACGCTCCTGAGGGTTCTGCAGGCGTAGCGAAGATGCAAGCATCAATGCGCCAATCGAGCAAAGCATGTACAGCAAAATCTCATCTTCCCAGATTGTGAAAGAGTTCGAAGCAAAACCAATGCAAAGAAGGACTGGAGGAATGGTGCATATCCAGCCCCAGAAAGAAGTAGGGAATGGAGCACGAAGCTTTGAGGGCGTGGATACGAGGCACGAGAGCGTGCCCAAGATGCCACTCAGACCAGAGAAAAAGACAACCGAGTTGATCCAAGAAATCGAAGTCACACCTCCCAAGAGAAGACCAGCGCCAGCTCCGATTGCCATACCAGTGACTCCACGAATGCAGAGACCAGAAGCGATCTCACTACGGTCTCCGTTGAAACCGTTTGCGAAAAGCACAATGGTGAGAAGAGCGCCGACAAGTAGAATAATACCCATCGCCATGCTGATAAGATCAAAGCGGGCCCAAAGACTCTTGCACACACGCAGGTTCTCCTGTTGATAAGCGCGGAATTGAGAATAGGCAGCCTGCCAAAGCTCAAGAGGAGGCTTGTTCGTTTGCTCAAACTCTTCCCAAACCTTCGAAGCTGCTTCCCAAAGTGTCTGAGGAGGAAGTGTACTNGCCGAATCGAGTTTGCGGACAGCCGAGTACTCCTTCTGATACCTGTGGATCTGCCCCGCGGTCAAATGGCTGACCTGAGCGAGGTTTTGGTAGTCATTGGATTTTCTGCCAATGAAAGCTTCCTCGATCGGCTGACCGAGGTTGTTGAAAGGGATAGGCATACCGAGAAGCAAGGACAGAGTAGGAACAAGATCAATCTGTGCGACAGGTCTCTCCTTAGCAGTGAGTGGAGGCTGCGCAGCGGATTCATCACGGCGGCCGAACAAACCCTGTTTGGAATACATCCACAGGGCGGCCTCGACCTCGTCGTCTGACTCTCCACCGTGATCACCCTTGGCATCCATGCCATGATCGCCCATGATAACCAGCAAAGTCTTGTCGTCAAGTGCAGCAATCATTCTTTCGAACACACCGTTCATCTCTTGGAGCTTTGCAGCCATCGCAGGGTGGTCGGGTCCGTAGCGGTGGCCAGCATGGTCGACACCCAGGTAGTGACCAAAGATCACATCCCAAGAGGACGTGTTGGATGAGTGCAACAGAGGGAAGATGTGGTCGTTGACACCATTGTCGACCGTGTGCAAGTCCCAGACGTTGAAGGAATCGTAAGCGCGGGTCAGCTCGGGATCAAAGTATCCAGGGAATAGCGAATGCCATGTATCATCCCCAAGGTGAACCAATCTCTTGCCAGCAGCCTTGAGCTGTGCGACCAAGTTGTCCTCGTCAATGGCAGTTCCGGCGAAGTTGGAGCCTGCGTCGATGAAGGTGGGGAGAGTGCCAGTGGTCAGTCCCTTTAGACGTTGCAGGGTTGTGGTAGGAGGGTCGGCGATGAAGGGTAAGAGGAAGGCCTTTTCGGGCTCAGCTACGGCAGTGTCCCAAAAGATGGGCAGAGCATTGTGGAAGTGCTGCGAGGCCTGGTGGGGGTGCTTTGGCGACCACGGCACAGTAAAGTCGTAGCGAAGAGCATCGACAATGATGACGACAGCCTTGTCGAAGGATTTAGGATGCCAACAGCCCTCATCTGGCGAGCCGGGCGTGTAGGAGGAGCCGAGAGGAACTGGAGGCACGGCGCATTCGGATTTGTGGTCCAGGACGAGGCGTGTCAAGAGGAAGCCGCTGAGGAAGAGGAAAATGCCCAAAACGTGGAACAACCTGCGTTGCCGTGAGTATACCAGCCAGCAATAGCCATCCGAGATGCCGGAACATACNAGAATCAAGGTAAAGAAACCAACAAGAGAGCCATGGCGGCGCTTGAATGTCTGCCGGCGCTCGTTTTGCACATCCTTGGACGTCTCGGTCTTTGGAATCTGAGCTTGCTGGTTGCCTGCTCCGGTTAATTGGGCCGCAATGTTGGACCCATCGCTTGCTGACATTTGGTCGAAGCTACCGCCTAGGCATTGATGGGTGTAGAAGGGAATAGGAGGTGGAAGCAAACTCGCTGCGACCCTGTCGTGGACAATAATTTGAGGAGTGTGGAGGGGAAGCTTCGAGGTGGTCCAAGGCCGGCCGCAATCCCCTATGCTTCATCTTACTGCTCGACTCTTCAAACACATGTCTCATGACTGAATGTCGAACCTGAATCATCATATCACATTGCATCACACAGCACCACGGCACGTAGTTGATTGAGCGGGTCGAAACCTTGCTTTTCATTGTTTGCGTCTGCTACTCGACCATTGGTCAAGCGCGCGCTGTAACATGTCTAGGTTATGATACAAACACCACACATTATCCTCGTGTGGCCTAGCTCCAAGACAACAAATACCAAAACCCCTAAACGAGAAATAAAAGGCCGACTCCATCTAAAGTGACTCCATCAGGACGCCATGGCCTTGAGAAATTCAGCCCCGCTATGCTGAGACCGAAAAAGAGAAATACGGGAAGGGTACATGAATGAGTGTATGAAGCAAGAACAAGGCAGCGGTGAAGTGTCAAACCAGCTGCCAAAGAAGAAAAACATTAACAATATCCGATGTATCGTAGTCAAGGCTTCGCGAGGCCACTCGAGGCGGGTCGGCAAGAAGCAGACATCTTGTTGAGGGATGCTATGAGCTGAAGAAGAGAATATGTACCACGAGCGGCAGCCATGGGGCGGACAAGCACCCACACACACATCCAGCTCTGAGGTCGTATGTAAGAGATTGAGAAAAAGAGGCCGAAGCGTGTCCAAGGAAAAAAAAGGAAATGGACGGTGCGGCTCCAGCGGGTCATTACTTTTAGAATGTCGTTGATAGTTTGGAAAGATGCCGTGCATCATCGACTATTGGTAGCGAGCCTCGACGTCCTTCTCCTTCAGACCGCCTATCCTCTCGAGATCAAGAGATTGGAAACGATCCGACTCGCTCTTCTGGTAGGGAGGGAGGATTTCCGACACGGGCTCGAGACCAATGCTGTGGTCACCGACACGCACGACGACGACTCTGCCAGATTGGCGTTTGCCTGAGTTGTCGACTTCCTCAGGGAAGTGGATGCGGATCTCGGGCACCGAGTTGGCCGACGGNGGTGCCTCGGAGTTGTCGATGAGGCTTTGCTTCTCCTGGTAGACAATGATGGACTCGTGAGGACGGACAGTGACACGATGGTGGCGAGATGAAGGTGCGAGTGAGGACTTCTCCTCGTCGTCAATGGCAAGAGAACCGGCGCGTGTCGAGCGCTTTCTCCAGCGCATGAAGTAGAGGGCGACGATGCAGAGTAGTGCGATGATAAGAAGGACAACCAGGGCGATGAGAAGAGAAGCCATTGTGGGAGAATACGATTCGTCGTAGCTGTCACGGGCGACAAGCTTCATAAAACTGGCCATGATTGTTGTCGAGGGAAGCGAGAGTCGGGGTAAAGCAAGTGTGTGTTGTGAGGGTTGAAAAGTCCAAGGCAGGGAGGTGCTTAGGATTTGGTCTGGTAAAACGTCCAAGTACGAGGGTCTTTGCCTTCCTGATTGGTGCCGTTATGGTGTTGGGGTTAAAGTTTTCAAGATGCTGGGGCGAAACAGGGTCAGCATGCCGGTCGAGTGCAGTCTTGAATGCCTGGGGCTGGTCGATTGGTAGTGCATTCTGCAAAGCGCGACTCTTTGACAGGCATCGCGTCGTCACATTGTAGGGATGGTTGGGTGGTTGGAGTTCAACGCAGAGGAACGCGGGGCCGCTACGGAGTGCATACCTGGATACGCAATCGACTTTCTCGACGTCTTCTGTCGGTGAACGAATGGACTGCAGAACGACGGCTGAAAGAGTGAAGCCGGCGTCGCGAAACAAGCTGTAGGGGCAAAGAAGTCGAAACGGATGATCGAAAAGCTCTCAAACAACTCAGAGGGCGCGCGCTCCATCTTTTGTTGATGTCGCTCCACAACGATTAAGATTGCCTCCAGCAATTAGCGCCGCTGGAAGACTCAAACGGCCAATCAACTGTCAAGCGGCAATGCTCCACTTTTCAAGCAGCACTCGTCATGTTAATTACAGCAAACTAGGTGCCTTAGCCCTCTTCTTCCAACGATGAAACTGCTGCTATGATTAACATGGGGACCAGACTCCAATAGGCACAACTGCCTGTTCAAAAAAGGAACTCCTCCTGGAAACCCGGTCCGCCCTGTGGAATAACATCTCGAAAGGAGTCGAGGCACTTTTGTTCCGCAANGGTCCGCAAGTCTGGGTCGGTGGGAGAAGCCAAACTGGATTGAGATTGCTCAAGATCACCAAGATCAACAGGTACCAACTCCCNCAAGCCTCTAACCGACGCTGCTGTATGATGTGCACTTCCGGCGTCATNTTATGAGTGGAGTGCATAATCACCACACAATAAGGCCTNCCATCCGGCACGCACACGCAGAATTCCTCGATGAAAGCCACGACAGGGGCAGAGAAATGTGTCGTGCCTGTCTGACTGCCAGTTTTTGTGTGTCGACATGACCTCACCCCAAGGCGTCTTCCACTTCATACTGGCCCTGTCTAATGGTGGACTGTTTGATGGACATCNTATAACATGGCTCGTTCACCAACTGGTCCTAGCCTTCGGTTGCCTATTAAGCTCCAGCCGTTCAACCCGCAACACTGAGGGTCTTGCACAGCCATAATACTCCCCGTCCAATTTCGCACACATTGCCCCGACAACTTCGTCTGTTTGAACAAAGAAGCTCGAACGGTAACTTGGACGACGATAATTAAAGCGAGAAAAATTCATGAGAAGACGGGATTGTCTGTTAACTCCAGGAACGGCCTGAAAATAGGAGATGTTGTTTACATGGGACAAGAGTGTCGAGAAGACCTGCCCAAAACAAGCAAAGCAATTGCTGTGCTGCTAGGTCAGCCTCTGCCATGCACCCCTGGCCGCACCATGATGCAGCTTCGTGTGTGGTGCATTGAGGCTTGCCATCTATTCACGCACTCGAGTCTGATCAATGTCGCTCGCAAGGAGTTCGCAAATGGTCGTGCAATCGTACTTTGGGAAAGGTGGGTACTTGAAGTACTCGTGCTGGTTGATTCCCTCGGTAGTTTTCCTGGCCTATCACGAGACAGTGTTCTGGACAAGACGCGTTACACTTGAAATCTCTCATCCTGTTGGTGAATCGTGGAATGAGTGATTCAAGTCATGTATCACAACTTGTTCGATCTGTGGAAAAGTGTAGTGGCTCGTTTTGTTGTGTGCACACGAGTAGTGATATATTTGTCACCACTCGTGCTCATGTCTAGTCAGTTGTACTTGACATGCCAGGTACGTCAGGGTTGCACAAACGAATTGGTTGGTTGATCAGTGAGCACGATGGAGAGTCTCTCGACTTTACACTGCCGACGCATCGCTGTCAAGACAAGATAAGTACTATCTACCTGCTGCGCACAAGGCTGTTTGGCTGATTAGGAAAGTCGGTGGCAGAGTATGTAGAGAGGACGTGCTTTGCATCGATGTGACGGAGATAAAATCGGATATGGGATGTTTTGGCGGAGACGCAGATAGGCTTACTGCGTGCAGGAAACACCACATTTGTGACGGTGGCTTCCTGCTTCTAGTTAAAGAAATCATAAAAGGTACAGGCGTGGATGGCACGTTTGCTTGTCTCGTAAATGGATGTGTGGAGAGCGTGAGTGTTGGTCGATAGCAACAGAAGGATGCAGAGACCACGCAGGGCAGTCTTTGTCTGAAGCGCTGCACGGAGCGGGTTGGAGTAAGGCCCAAAACTGGTATACTAATTGCTGGGCAAGGTGATCTGCACGACAAAATCCGCCGCGATCTGATGGGCAGACACAAGAAGGATGAAGAGCGGTGTGGTTACAGAAAGCGAAAAGCGAAAAAACTGCTGTTGAGGGAGACATGATACTGGTCATGTTGAGGGGTGATGGTCGACAAAAGTTGATACAGATGAGCAGGGTACCAACAGAGGTGAGTAGATTACCACAGGGCCCTGTTGCTGGCTGCGCTACGAGAGCGGGCTTGGCAGCGGGCCGCGCATGTAGGCTCCAAACAGGCTTCAGAGAGTTCGGGAGATGTACGGGTCTGGAGTCATCTAGGTACAGTGATAAGTCAGAGGTGTCTTTGGACTGTAACATTCGCTGTTCAGAAGAAGTGCCCTGTCCCACGCGATCCCGAGCACGCTCTCTCAGTCTCGGCCGGCAGACGATAAAGCACACAGGCGGCCATATTCATCCCTCGCTCTCTGCCCCTCTCAGTGCTCTATCGCGCACGCACTCTCGCAGACATCCATTCCTCAAAGCTCGCAGCCCCTTGCCTTTGGACAACAACCAGTGAATTCGGCCCACGGTGCGGAGAGTGTGCCTAGCAGATGCCCGTCCAGAGTGCTTCCCTCGCCGACCCAGTGCCGCGTAGCTCGTCCTGAAATTGCACATACTTGGTTCCTCGTCCGCCTTGCAGACGCTCCCTGTTACATAACCACGCCCGACTTCCAGACGCCATCTCGATCGCATCACTGCCATCAAGTATACATGGTCTTGTATCGTATTCTACAGTGCCATACGTTTTCTGTCTGAGTAGGCCGCTCCTGCCCTGGACACGTGTGTTGTGGGTTGCACGCTGCTGACACTCCTGCCCAGTCTTACATACTCATCATCGCTCCTTCCTCGATATATTTGTACACTGGTCTATAATGTCTTCGTCCTTCTCGTCGCAGCCCCGTCCCCTGGCCATGTCTGGCTTTTCGCAACCCTTCAGGCCCCCGACCAGCGAAGGTCGCAACGGCACCACCACCTCAGCCTCGTGCAACAACCTGACCAAATGGCAAGGCACATCAAACATCTGGAGCACCAGCTTCAACTCGTCCTCCTCGACTGCCCTTCCGTCCACTGGCCCCAGAAATAGCCTCAGCTTTGGCACCCACAACGGAAAGCTTAGCGGAAAGGACACAATCGAGAGCAGAAGCGGTTCCAGCCAGCTGGTCGATTCTTCCATCAACGACGACTGCGGCACGTTTCGCTCTGCCTCTTTCGGAAAGCGCGACGATGCGATTCGTCTCGGCGGTCCGCTGCCCAAGCCCAACGACGCTGCATTCCCTCAACATCGTAGCAACAGCAACTCAGGTCTGCCTCAAGCTTACGCTGGAGCTGCTCGCAGCTCCATGTCTTTCTCTGCTTCTTCCAGACCAGCCACCAGCGGCATCAGCTCAACCACCTCCATGGCTCCAAAGACGCAGTTCAGTGGCACCTTTGACTCGCCTTTGTCTTACTCGGCCGAGGCTCCTTCTGTCTACACCAAGTTTGATCGAACAAACAAGCCCGCGACTACCAGGCCGACTGACTCGGCCTACGGCGAGTGGATGGACAGTGGCAGCATAACCCAGTCCCCTGTTGATGAAAGAAGACGCCCTTCCGCGACAGGCTTTTTTCATGGACTGCCCAGCGCTCCCNCGTCACGCAATCACAGTCTACCGCCTTCGCGACATAGCGACATTCAACCCGCTTGGCCCACTACTACCAAACCTGACCAGTTTGCTTCCTCCCAGCCTCCCACAAATGCTTTCCGCGTCAACAGCTTCTCTTCCACTTCCAAACCCAATGGTAGCTTTGGCGCAGCCGATGCTCAAGCGGCTCCTTTGGCCCAGTTCTCGCAAATGAATCTGCAAGACGACTCTCACAGCTTCGCTCTCTCGAGGCCTTCCTTCTCTGTACCTAGTTATGCCAACCAGTCTGGGTCCGACGCTCGCAATTCTCCAACCGATCAGTACGATGATGTCGAGCAGATATCTCGTGTGCCTCCTAGCTTTGCCTCCGACGCTTATCCCACCGCGGCCCAGACACAAGTCGAGTATACGGCATACCGCATGTCACAATACCCCGAACGCTCCCTCATGAACAGTAACATGTACAATCCCAGAAACACAAATTCTAGTACTCCTACCTTCGTCCACCAGAGATACCAACAGCAATCGGCTCAGGACTTGGACCATCGGTACATGCTGAACTTGCCATACTCTCCTGTGCCTGGTGGCTACTACTCGTACCATCTTCCCAATGGTTCTGCCATCCACAATATCCCTGCTGTATACCCTCCTATGCATGCGCAGATGTCGATCAGTGGTGTACCATCCATGCCTGCTTCGAGAGGTCCCCGGGAGCTTGAATCTGGTCACAGTCTGCGCAGTGCTCTTCTGGAAGATTTCAAGCAGAACCACAAGACTAGACGCTACGAGCTCAAGGTGAGACTTTCCAAAAATCGTTCTCGGACTAGGTTCATACTAACAGCTTCCAGGACATCTTCGACCATGTAGTAGAATTCAGCGGTGATCAACATGGATCACGCTTTATCCAACAGAAGCTAGAGACAGCCAATAGCGACGAGAAAGAACGTCTCTTCCGAGAAATACAGCCAAACGCCATCCAACTGATGACTGATGTTTTTGGAAACTATGTCATTCAAAAGTTTTTGAACACGGTGACCAAAACCAGAAGAAGATCTTGGCCAACAAGATGAAGGGGCGTGTTCTGGAGTTGTCGCTACAAATGTATGGATGTCGTGTCGTGCAAAAGGTTAGTTTCATGACTTGTCTCCATAAACTCACACTGATCGATTTTGTCAGGCTCTCGAGCACATACTCAACGACCAACAAGCGTCAGTTGTCCGCGAACTCGAAAAGGACGTATTGAGATGTGTCAAGGACCAGAACGGAAACCATGTCATACAGAAGGCCATTGAGCGCTGCGGCGAGGACGATATATCTTTCATCTTCCAGGCTTTTACTGGTCAGATCCAGCATCTGAGCGTTCATACTTACGGCTGCCGGGTCATCCAGAGATGCCTCGAGAACTGCGAGGATATGACCCGGAAGACTATCCTTGCAGAGCTGCACGATTGCATGTCCACCTTGATTGGCGACTCGTTTGGCAACTATGTGGCACAACATGTTGTCGAGTACGGCTTCTCACCTGACCGGCAAAGAGTTCTTGAGCTTGTACTGAAAGGTCTAGAAGGCTACAGCAAGCACAAATTCGCCAGCAATGTTGTAGAGAAGTGCCTCACTCACTCTGGAGAAACATGGAAGCAAGACTTCATTGGTGTGATTGTGCGTAACAACAACCGCGAAGGCGAGAGCATGCTGCTCGGTCTTATCAGAGATAACTACGGAAACTATGTGATTCAGAAGCTCTTGGATCTTCTCAGCCAGCAGGAATTTGACCACTTCATCGAGGTTCTCCAACCGGAGCTTGCGAAGGCCAAGCGGACAGGATGTGGCAAACAAGTCACCGCCATTGAAAAAGCGCATGCAGAGACCGTATGACCAGGGTCTCCTCACTCATCCGGTCGTCTTTGGTAGCCGAACCATCTCGCAGAACACGACACCTCCACCCCTCCACTGACTGCTGACCAGCGAAGCCTTCAGAACAGCTCCGTCGGCAGTGTCAACGGAGACGCCCTTGAAGGTGCCACGAGTAGCCGCAAAGGCTCTGTTGAGCATGTTGTGCCTACCGTCTTGGAAACCTAGCGCTTCACGAGCCCTTTGGACTGATCCTCCAATCTTTAGACTCCACCAAAAGCCGCCTTTCGGTCTCTTCTTATTCTATTCATGTTGTTGATTCACCCGTTTATTTATCTTTACTCACCCTACGCATGGATTCAGGCGTATCACGACGACAAAAAAAAAGCAGCAGAAATAGGATGAACGGCGTTGATGTTTTGGGATATGCCAGCAGACTCGAAGTACGAGGTGCAGAGGAACACTCTTGGACAGACGTGTCTCTACCCTTGGTTTCGATCTTTATTTTTCTTCTTTCCTTCTATTCTTTCCTTTTTATCTTTTGCGTTCATTTTTTTTTATCTGGCAGAGGGTACGACATTAATGATGGGGAAATGTTTTGTTTTGCACTCTATGGCCAACAAGAACAACAAGATGAACAGTTGTGAGATATACGCAGATTATGGGTGTTGGGTTTGTTGTGTGTGTTTTGTTTCGAAAGAAGGGGGCAAGCAACAGTATGAGATTAGCGCAGATACCCTTTCTTGTTCGGTCGTCAATAACGAATGTTTGATTCTTTCTCTATTTGTCTGCTACTTGCTGTGTTTAACAGATCTTGCGATCTGCTCTGCCGATTTCATGTTAGCAAGTGTGACATCTCTGATGAAGAAGCAGGATATCTTGGGCAGTTCATACTGTAGAATACGGCAAGGAAGGAGCCACTGGGCCTACACGGCAACAAGATGGCAGGAACTGGGTACACACAAAATAGCTTTTTCTTCATCCGGAGAAATATTGTTGGACAAGGTCAAGACAAATAAGCCATGGATTAAACCTTTAGTCGATTTTGAAGAGTATGCTAACCAATGCTTTTCTGAAATATATAAAGAATGCTCTTTTGTACAATGCTGTTTATTGGTTTCTGTCCCTCCACCGCTGCAGCATTCAAAGAGAAATGTTTCGTGTGAGCCTGAACCAGGGTGCTCTACCATGTGTTTCTTCGTCTCGCTCTAGGTCTTGCTTCAGAGAGTTCTTGGTGCTAACGGAACTGAGGCATGCCAGGTACCATGAAGCCAAAGCCAGGCACAGGGGGAGGAGGTGCAATGGTAACGGGCTCAGGACGAGGTGCGTGGTGAGATTCAGGCTGGTTGAAGCGTCCGCCGCCTCCACGTCCGCCACGACGGCCACCGCGATTGCTGCCGCCATCAGGGCCAACACGACGGCTCATAGCCTTGGAGGAGACACCGGCGCCAATCTCAATGTCGGGCTCTTCGACAACGAGACCGCTTTCGATGGGACGGCCACCGGTACCACCAAATTCGGCGGTCAGCATCCACTTATGGTCTGCTTCGGTCAAGGTGTCGATGGGAATGACGCTGACGCCGTTACTGTAGTCGCAGCACTCGCGAGGGCCAAAGCCGACGCCCCATTTGGTCTGGCGAGCCTTAGCCAATACGTCGGGATCTCTGGTAGTCTCCATGGCGGTCTTTGCATTGACGGCATCTTGGCGGTTGCACATCTTTACGAAAGCATGACGCTTGTCTTCGTTCGCGATACATGTCTGGACAGGACCGAAACGGCCAAAGATGGCACGTAGCTCGGCTTCGTTGCCGTTGGCGCCGCCGACAAAGAGTGTTCTGCTAAGGACCTTGATGTGGCCAGGAGGGATAGTGTTGTCCATGTCTGTCCACTTAGGGTTGATGTTGCGGGGAATAAGAGGCTCATCTGCCTGAGGTGTGCGGGCAGAAGGAGGGGTACGCTGGCGGTAGTCGTTGCGACCACCGCGGCCACGGCCTCTGCCTCCACGTCGATCGGAGTGGGAAGAAGCATGGTCCTGAGCAGACTGGGCAAGAGAAGCATCATAAGTACCATAGACAGGGCTGGCGCGGCGGCCAGGGTTGTTGTTGCGAGGCGGTTCTGGCGAGCGGCTTCGGTTGCGGCCGGCACGATCCCTCGATCTGTCTCTGTAATGAACGCGATCCTCTGAGCGAAGAGGGTATGCATCCTGTACAGGCGGTCCTTGTTGTGGGGGAGGGTATAGCGCGTTGAGGACGGCTCCCCATTGCTCTTGTGGAATTCCTTCTTGAGACAAACCTTGAATCAACTGAAGCACGTTAGGCAATATCTGTGGATTACTGAGGATGTGTGCAGGTAGGAATGAACCAGAGGCCGACTGGGCGGCCGGGGCGGGAGGCTGAGGTGCTGCTTGTTGGTAAGGAGCAGGAGTATGATATTGTTGCGGATATGCTGGAGGCATGGCTGCTACTGGTGTGGGTGGCGGATATGTCTGGCCGTACGACTGCTGAGTAGGTGGGGCAGGGTAGCCATAAGATGTAGGCGGCGCTTGTAGAGGTTGTCCTTGGTAGCCTCGAGTGGCACCTGCCATGATGGCAGCGAGATCTGTGGGCGGGGCCGGTGCAGAAGCTTGGACGGGTACGGCAGCAGGGGCGGGTGGTGCAGCTGAAGCAGCTGGTGCTGGCATGGGTTGAAGGCGTGAGAGANNGCAGCCAAGATACTCGAAGCATCTGGTTGCGCCTGGACGGCGGGGGCTGCTTGAGGTGCGCTTGAGGGTGGTGGGGCTTGTCGTAAACCAAGAGAAACGAGCATGCTGAGCGGAGGGCTGCCAGGAGGAGTAGTCGAGGCAACAGCTGTCAAGAAGGTTAGCTAAGCAACTTGAAAGAGCTGCACACATGCAATACTTACTTTGAGCCACCGGTTCAGCCAGCTTCTTCTTGATCTCTGCAAGGGTAGAGGCAGGAAATGTGTTGCCGCGCTCCCAGATCTGTACCAAACTCTCTACCTTTGCCTTGTGGTCAGAAGGGGCGTTCTGGATAGTATCGTCAATCAGAGACGGCAGAAGTTCAGTGACCCTGTGCACTCCCGAAGCAAAAGTGCCCTCGGGCGCTGCACTTCCAGACAGTTCCTGCGATGATTGACGAGCCTTTTCAATCCATTGACGGGTCACCGAGTCTACAACATAAAGGACTCCGAGCTTGTGAGTTCCTGGGGTTCTCTTGAGATGTCTATAGAGCCTCTGCGTGATTGCTGATTCAGACTGCNNGAAATGTGAGTTGGTGATCTGACGAAACCGCATACTTGAGAGATTTACCTGAACGTCGTCTCCGCAGAGTTTGGTGATGGCAGTGATTTTTCCTTTGGTTGCACCTGGAGGCTTGAGGGCCTGCAAAGACTGCAGCAATGCGTCTAACTGCTCCATGTTTGCCATGTCTACTGTGCTAATACAGTACCTGTTTTCCAATTGAAGGAAGTAGGGTCCGAAGATGCGCTACGCGTGAACAGGAGCGACGACTACTGAAAGCTACCAGAGACTGATAACAGATGACTGCGGCGCCAGAGAATAGAAAGCAAACGCAGTAGTCGTGGTGGAAGTGATCTAGGCGTGAATGCTACAATCAGAGCCTTTTCTTTTGCCTATGTCTTCCAAGTGAAAGTGGAATCACGCTGATGAGCGAGTGCTATTCAACTGAGAGACGAAAGTTCTTGACGTTGACGTGTCTACAGCTATCGGGTCAGCTCTCTTACGCAGACAGAGCGACCGGTCACAAGAGCACAGTAGGAGCCGCAGCGACAGCAATGAGAGTGGAGCGAGATGGTGGAAACGCGTCGGATGTTGATGGTTACGGTGGTGAAGGTGTCGTAGTGATGAAAGTCAACTCTTCAGTGAAAGCAGGAAGACGGCGAAAGGAAAAGATTCGGCAGCGTCGCACTTTCCACGGGCCGAAGTGGAGGGTAGCTTCCCGATCTGAATGTGGCCTGTGCACCGTCGGACTCGGATCGATGCGATTCGAAAGGTCGTGGTTCGCAGAAACAACGGAGAATAGGTGGAATGGACAGATGGATCAGACAGAGCACAGCCGAGGTCAAAACACTTGGTCAGGATTGATTGGTGTGTCGAGCTGCTAAGGGGGAATTCACTGGCATTAACATAGAGACGTAGAACAGTACAAGACGCCAGAACAGCGTCAGACAAGCAGAAAATAGATGAACGGTCCCGTCTCAACCCCTCGTCTCGCCTTTGGTGTGCCCCCGAGAAATGCCCCAACCCTAGGCCGGAGGTGCAGTCTGGGTGGCTGCACAAGCTGCAATTACAGCAGGACGGGCAGGCCGCACGTTGGGCTTGGCAGGCGCGGTGCAGCTCGGGAGCTCGTCTTCCATCCTTCTTTTCTCTCCGTCTCTCTATCATCTCTCCCTTATCAATCTACATCCGTCATAATGGCTTCCATGAGAGTCGGTACCTCCGCCCTGCGCGCCTCCATGGCCGCTCCCTCCACCATGAGACAGGCTGCCCTCCGCGCCTACTCGTCCAAGAGCACTGTACGCCGAGTCCACTCTAGCTACATGGCCGCAGCATCCCGTCCGCCGTACTAACTCGTCCAATCTAGTNCGCTCAAGGAGACCTTCGCTGCCAAGATCCCTGGCGAGATTGAGAAGATCAAGAAGCTCCGCAAGTATGTCTCAACATCCACGCTGACACCAACAACTTTTTACGTCAGTGGCTAACGCGATATGCTATAGGNNGAGCACGGTAACACCGTCATCGGTGAGGTTACCCTCGACCAGGTCTACGGTGGTGCCCGTGGCATCAAGTCCCTTGTCTGGGAGGTACGACACGTCCATTCGCTCGAGGAAAAATTGTTTCGGCTGCTAACAATATACACAGNNGGTTCCGTCCTCGACTCTGAGGAGGGTATCCGTTTCCGTGGCAAGACCGTAAGGACCTCAATTGGCATATCAATGAATCGCAGCTAAGACAACCCAGNNATCCCCGAGTGCCAGGAGCTTCTCNCCAAGGCTCCCGGCGGTCAGGAGCCTCTTCCCGAGGGTCTCTTCTGGCTCCTCCTGACTGGCGAGGTTCCCTCCGAGCAGCAGGTTCGCGACCTCTCCGCCGAGTGGGCTGCCCGCTCCGACCTCCCCAAGTTCGTTGAGGAGCTCATCGACCGCTGCCCCAACACCCTCCACCCCATGGCTCAGTTCTCTCTGGCCGTCACTGCGCTTGAGCACGAGTCTGCCTTCGCTAAGGCCTACGCCAAGGGTATGAAGAAGGCCGAGTACTGGGAGCACACCTTCGAGGACTCCATGGACCTCATTGCCAAGCTCCCCAACATTGCCTCGCGCATCTACCGCAACGTTTTCAAGGACGGCAAGGTCCCTGCCACCCAGAAGGACAAGGACTACTCATGGAACTTGGCCAACCAGCTCGGTTTCGCCGAGAACCAGGACTTTGTTGAGTTGATGAGACTTTACCTCACCATCCACACCGACCACGAGGGTGGCAACGTTTCCGCCCACACCACCCACTTGGTCGGCTCCGCCCTCTCCTCTCCTTTCCTCTCGCTCGCCGCTGGTCTCAACGGTCTTGCTGGTCCCCTCCACGGTCTCGCCAACCAGGAGGTTCTCAAGTGGCTCACCGAGATGAAGGCCGAGGTTGGCAACGACCTTAGCGACGAGTCCATCAAGAACTACCTCTGGTCCACTCTTAAGCAGGGTCGTGTTGTTCCCGGTTACGGCCACGCCGTCCTGAGAAAGACCGACCCCCGTTACGTCTCTCAGCGCGAGTTCGCCCAGCGCAAGCTTCCCGAGGACCCCATGTTCAAGCTTGTCTCGCAGGTTTACAAGATCGCCCCTGGCGTTCTTACCGAGCACGGCAAGACCAAGAACCCCTACCCCAACGTTGACGCCGTAAGTTTCTCATTAGATTTGAAGTTGCAAGCACATTCAGCTGACATGACACTCTTTAGCNACTCCGGTGTCCTCCTCCAATACTACGGCCTTACCGAGCAGAACTTCTACACCGTCCTCTTCGGTGTTTCGCGTGCTCTTGGTGTCCTTCCCCAGCTCATCATCGACCGTGCCGTCGGTGCCCCCATCGAGCGCCCCAAGTCCTTCTCCACCGAGGCCTGGGCCAAGCTTGTTGGTGCTAAGCTTTAAATTTATAACCGATCGAAACATCGGAGCTAGACTTTTGTCTATCATGTATTCTACTATGACTTTTGCGATGGAGCAATTAGGGTTGATATCATATAAAATGCCTTGATTATATCTGTATGATTTGACGTTGAGTATTGCGTTGGTGACAGCAGTGCATGGCAGGTGTCTGTATGACATGATTGACCGAGGATGATAACCTATTGCATGGTGTGCTCAACAATTGATAGCACGGACATTCCGGGATTCGGACAATTGACTGGACATCAGGTCGGCTTCTACTATTTTGAGCAATGTGAGGAGGATCCGAAACTCGATGGCAAGGTTTGTGAGACACATGCAAGCCATGAGAAGATTGTGAAGAGGCAGGGTATCGCTCTGTTGCATGGTTGAAGACCAGGCTGCGTGGTACAGAACTCAGAGGTCGGCTCTCGGCGTGCTCAACGTATCGGGAAGGAAGAGCTCTAAAGGCACGAGTCAGCAGGCCGATAAGTTGGGAGGTCAGCCGAGCTGTAGCTATGGACAGCTTGCTTTGTGGAGCAAACAACAACAGAGTAATGTTGAAAGTGCTGAGGTCAACGAGAGCAATATTGAGGTGGAGCTGCATGAGATGGATGCGCTCAAGAATTGGATTGGCGGCACGCAGCGGTGAAGGAGGTGCCGAAGTGAAATAGTCCGACGCGGGTAGTCACGGACTACAAATGGTCTTATTAGATAGCCGGAGGGTGAGTGGTGAATGGTCTGATGTCCGAAGCAAATAAGAATAAAGGAGAGAGACGTGTCGTGAAGACGGCTCTGCTGCTTTTTGAATCTCCCTCTCTTTTCATTTCACGCACAGCAAGAAGCAGCTTCAGCCCTCTAGGTGAGTCTTAAGCAGAGATATGGGTGATTGGCGCGATGGTCAGGATGGATGCACGCGCCTGCTCAACTGCTGCAGCTCTCCCCAGGTTTACTTATTGACACTTGTTTCCCACAGTTCCTGAACGCCTTTCTTCTCTCTCTCCTCCATCCCTCAAAAGCTCCGATTACGCCCGTCGCCAGGAAGTCTTCCTTCTCGTCCTTTAGCCGTCGACTCCCATAAAACTGTAGCGAAGAAGCACACTCCTGCCTCGGTCCGGCCTTGTCTCCCGCTGCCATCTTTAGAAGCATGAGCACCACTACTCCCGCTGCCGCCCAAGTTGGCGTTGCCGCTCCTCCCAAGCTCGAGAAGAAGCCTGTCAAGTTCAGCAACCTGCTGCGTATGTTTCTCGCTCTGCGCGTTAGTCTCATCGCAATATGCTAACCAGTCTTCCACANNGTGGGCGCTGGCCTCAACCTGTTCGAGGTGACCACCTTGGGTCAGCCCCTGGAAGTCGTAAAGACGACCATGGCCGCTAACCGTGCCGACGGCATGGCAGGAGCCATCAGCCGCATCTGGGGCCGTGGTGGTGTCTTTGGCNTGTAAGTCTGCATACAGCCAGCTCCGAGTGACAGCAGCTGACCATCTCCTCGCACAGTCTACCAAGGTCTCATCCCCTGGGCTTGGATCGAAGCATCCACCAAGGGCGCCGTCCTCCTCTTCGTCGCATCCGAGGCCGAGTTCTACGCCCGCAACGCCGGCGCCAACAACTTCGTTTCTGGTATTACCGGCGGTATGGTTGGTGGTCTTGCCCAGGCCTACGCTACCATGGGTTTCTGCACTTGCATGAAGACGGTTGAGATCACCAAGCACAAGGTGGCGGCGGCTGGCATCAAGCCCNCGGGCACCATGGAGACATTCATGAACATCTACCGCCAGGAGGGTATCCGCGGTATCAACAAGGGCGTCAACGCCGTCGCCGTCCGCCAAGTCACCAACTGGGGCTCCCGTTTCGGTCTTTCCCGTGTCGCCGAGTCTGGTATCCGCAAGGCCACTGGCAAGGAGCACGGTGAGAAGCTCGGTGTCCCCGAGAAGATCCTCGCTTCCGCTCTCGGTGGTGGTCTTTCCGCCTGGAACCAGCCTATCGAGGTCGTCCGTGTCGAGATGCAGAGCAAGAAGGAGGACCCCAACCGTCCCAAGAACATGACTGTCAGCAAGGCATTCAAGTACATCTACTCGCAGAACGGTATGAAGGGTCTCTACCGTGGTGTCACTCCCCGTATCGGTCTGGGAGTCTGGCAGACCGTCTGCATGGTTGCTCTCGGAGACGTAGCGAAAGAGTACGTTGAGGCACTTACAGGTGAGGCTGTGACATCAAAACACTGATTTGTTTTGGTATTCGGGGCTCAATGTTGTGCATTAAGTTGCGTGGTATCGATGAGGGAAAGATTTGCAGCACTTTTCATATTTTGATAGACGAAGGCTCACCAGCATACCCTAACGATGTCTGTTGAAACATCCAGACGTATGACACAATTAGAAGCATTCAGAACTTTGCAACTCTCTGTCGTCGCCGTCGTGATCGTGTAGAAATATTCGATACAGGTCCGTAACTGCGCAATTCAAATCTCAGGGTCCGACTCCAGGGCCGTCCAGGGTCCTCCCCTTCACCACACTCACCCAAACGCACTTTTAAGTAATAAATATATCTCTGCATCGTAATCTGCTCGTTGCTTGCAGAGGCAGCTGATATCTTTAGATTTCCTCGTGCCCTGTACAGATGTTTCCTAAGATGGTCTTCGAGGTACAAGTGAAACATGTAATTTCAACCCCATAACAGAAGTGTCTACATTGAGCAAACCTGATATGTAGGTATATATCTCAGTAATGAAGCATTACTCGACACTAACTGTTGTTTACAACTCGATACATAGTTCAAAGCCTAAGATATTGTGACCACCTGACAAATACCGGGTAAAATATCCTTATTAATATGCTAGATGATCTCCTCTATCACGTCTTTTTCAGTAAGCGCATAGAAATGGAGCCATGCATGGAGTACGCGTGAGATAGAAACATGATGCCTAACCACAGTTTAGGCGTCCTATCAGCCCTCACACAAACATAAAAATCCACTAGGCAGAAATACAACATTTGAAAGCTCAGTCATATCGCTGTCTATTCATCGTCAGCGCTGGAAAATGCACGATTCAACCATTGAAGGAGTACTTGTTCCGACGCTGTGGTCGACGATTCTAGGGTGCGTAGCTGCGTCTGTCTTGTCAGCATCACTTGGTATGCCTTATGGTCTCAATACTGCATCGATACCATATCTTCAATTTTCACCTCCAAGGATGACTTCTGGATGCAACCATACAGACATCGCGATCAAGGAGTATGCTTCGCTTATCGAACAACCGTACGCCATCGTCAAAATATCCACATTCACAAATGCAACCACTGGAACTCAAGACACAGCAACTCCTTCAGACACGAAATCTCAAGTCCCGCCAGTGTCATCACAGAAAAGGNTCTTTCTCAATGGCGATCAACCAGCTGGCTGCCACGAGGACCTCGATACCCCGATTNGCGATGACTGTGGAGGAAACAAAGGCTCACTCGATGGATCCAGCAGATGCAGAGGCGTAAGTGTCAATTCCCTACTATCAAAGCATTTCCATTTCTGACTTGGTGGGGGAAAAAAGATTGTAGACAAATATATGCAGTGGGAAGGCTGTATTTGTGTAGACGTGGAGTTTAGCCATAGTGATCCGTTGATTCATCCCCGTGGTGCTGCAAGGATGAGGAGCCCCGATTCGGTGGACACACAAACGTTGATTGAGGAGTATAAATCGGAGGAAGAGGATAAGTCGGTTGACTTGGAGGAGGAGGAGGAGAGTACGGAGGCTAGAGACACTGATAGAGCAGTGTTGTAAGCAGAACCAGAAGCAGACGTATCCATGCTCTCAACGGCATAGATATATGAGTTGTGAAATTACCAGATCTAGCACGTACGGCCACAGTCAGCTGAAAACTGGGCATCCCGTCCGCTCTGCCATACATAAGCAGTTGAACGGCAGATTAGTACTACGGTGGGTGACCACGTGGGAATCCCTGCTGCTGTACGTTTTATTTTTGTCATGTTTCTTCTTTTGCAAACTCGTGCAGTCCTCTGAGGTTAGCACGCATCGTTTTTATGTCGAAGATTGAAGTCTTTTGGTCGGATGGTCATGGTCACAGATGTCTGCGGCAGAAGAACGAGATTTGAGGAGCGATTTGCGAATTTGTTGAGTCGAGTTGGGCATCTCAATAGACATCTATGACAGATGAATGCGTTGCTGCATTTCCGATGGGCTGTTCAAGTTGAGAAGAGGGAGACTGGAGCAAAGAAGCAGGGTATTTCCATATATCGACGGCAGGCTAGCAACCTGAAAAACTCCCTGTGTGATTTCAACTGTTGATCGTGCATATTAAAGTAGCTGTAGCATTGCAGAGTCATCTTGCGATGAAAGTCGAGGCATGAGGAGATCCAACCCTTATCTGTGTATTATACGCCTTCAATATCAAAAAGCCATATCCAGCCGGGTATATACAAGCCATTTCACCTCCCAATACCTTTTCGCTAATCCAACTAACAAGAGAGCATACAAACAAGAACTGAACGCAACACAATAGTGCTGCCTAAATCAGCACTGCAACAAGAGATAAAAGTAAAGCAATCCCTCCCAATCCGCCCAACCCACTGCTGGCGAAGAGCGCACTAGCAGTACCGGTTGAAGGAACGATGGGTATACTGGCATTGACGAATAGCGCGCCACAGGTCAAGTCAATCGTGGCTGCCGCAGTACCATAGACCTTGGAGATCGGTTGAGAGCGGTTTGTCGCCGCACTCGCGAATACAGACATGGTTTCTTGCAAGCAGCTTGAGCAGCTAGGTGCTGTAGTGCTAGGCAAAGAGACGCCCAGACCCATATAATAGACATAACTGTCGGTAGGTGAAGTCGCATTCGTGACTGCGTCTGAAAAGNNCCTTGGATACTTTGTTAGTAGGCGCTCGAGACGGCACTGGAGAACCATCGACTTACAATAGCTGCCTGTGTTGCTATTCAGTAGACATCCAGCATGGTACAGTGCCTGGTAAGCTGCAAAGCCAGTATAGGCTTGTATGACTGTGGGATTCTGATTCTGTAGGTCGGCGGCACAATTGTCTGGTGATTGAATCTGTCGAGCCAGCGATGCCATCAAAGTGCTACAGCTGTCAAAATTGACACTGCATGACGCACTGAGTGTCTGTGCCAGTCTGACTGGCGAACGTTGGACGGAAAAGAAAGAATTAGATGTCTGTATTGTTGTCAAGTATACATTAGTTTCATGTGAATTTCGTTCGAGAGCTGAGTAGAGCTGGCTTACCTGTAGAAGGAGAGACAACGGAACACATTCATTAAAAGCGTCGTTGGAAAGAAAGTTCTTGAAAAANGCAGGACAAGAAGAAGTCGTAAAGTTGTTTCCCACACCATTATCGAAAGCTCTGGGAAGTGGATCTGAAGAGGCGGTAGAGATGGAGGAAGTGGAAGAAGATGTTGGTGTCGAACGCTTCGCTCGTTTGAGAAACTGCTGCATGAACGGCTCCGGTGGAGTGCTTCTGTCAAAGAGCAGGACGCTTTCAGTGTTCGTTAGGGCCTGCATTACTGGCTCCGCGAGATCGTTTGAGATTTCAGCAGCATCCACACGTGGACTGCAGAAACACAAAAGAATGATCAGACAGATGAGCGTGGATGCCAGCCGTGAAACGCCATATGAATCTCTCACGCGATGTCGCCGCGCAGTCGGTCTTGAATGTGAATATGATGTCTGATTGACCAGGAAAGAGGCGTTCGAGGACGTTGATGCAGCGGTATCAGAGTCAGTGCCGACCGTTAGATCGTTACGGCACTTGGGTGGTGAAGCACCCCATCTGTTCATCCCGGTAGCTGCAAGCTGATTTGGACAACGTGAAGATGTTATCTGTTCGATGATCTTCTTTTCAGCCCCTCAAAGATATCTTCGCATATTCAACTGTGTCTTGCGATTAGGCTTGCTTGGTTTTTTTTCCCAGTTTCGAAAAGAAACAAATAGATTTGAACAAAATATGACGAATTCTGTAACAATCGGTGTCGCAAGTTTGGCGGGCGCTGTCCACAACGGCTGGGCTAGTCGTGTTTTTAGTATAAAGAGAATGTGAAAGATAGAAATGACGATGAGCGATAGTATGTACAATGCAAAAACGAGCGTGTGATCGATTGAGCGGAACCAGTTGAGTTGTATATGATGGCGCCGCCCTACAGGACGTCAATATGAGTTTGGGTCATGGTCAATCTAAAAGCTTGACAGACGGTCCATGCCAATAGCCTCGACGCATAGCCATCACTAGCGCCACGGCCATGGCGGTCGTGGCTTCCGTCTTGAGCACATTCATGAATCCTCTGTACCTTTGGTGCTTTGTCGAACATCAGTCAGCCGTGTTTGGTTCAGCCATCAATCAACTGGTGTGAAGGGCTGAGGAGGGGAAGCATACATCCACCAAACGGCTTGCCTGTCACTCAACGCTCATCCTCCCGAAGGTCTTTATAGGCGATTATTTTTTCTTTGGCTTGCGCTTTATTGCGCGTTCCTGCAGCCTCCTTGCTCGTGCGTTGCCTTGATCGACGGGAAGGTTGTGTATCGCTTCCAGAACCCCCGGCTGCCACGTATTTCCCCATTGCCGAGTAGTCGCGGAAGGGACCGAAATGCATATCAAACCTTCCCAATTTCTGCATCCCACTGATGTGAGAACCAGCATGTGGTGATTGAAATTTTTATAAGGTAAGTAAAAAGGGTTGAGAGCATGGCGTGCCTTGAACAAGAGGCGATATCTCCTAAACTGTCTTGGTTGTCCAGGTTGTGTCATTCCAACCGATGTCCTTTAGGTCAAAAGCTGCCCCTTGTGCTCTGGCTGATGGATTGAGACTGAGGGAAGCCGTCGGATGATTTATTGGACTATGCAATACCGTCGTTGGCACATGCATGACAGGTCGATCCGGGGTGTTTATGGTCTTGTTGATCACTTTTCCTTTCGAGAAATCAATAAAAGCCACGTCTTGGAAGTCGCCCATCACTCGTGCCCTAAGTGGTGAAAGGAGGGAACGCTCTAACCATTCGATCATTGTTGTAGCCAAAGTAGCAAAACATTGCTCTCTGCCTACGAGTAGACAAGGTGGGTCGGCTGCTCATATATTATATGATATATTTCTTTCAATTACTTCATGGGTATCGAGCTATTTAATACAGAATGCTTCTCGCTTAAGGATATGGGTGCCAATCAAAAAAACATAGTACTTGTATACGCACATCGTTGCCTCGATAGCGGTTTGTTGGTCTGTAGCAGACTCTTCGAACATTTGAGGCTTCTATGATGCGGCTCAAAAGGGGTTCATCAAGTCGTCTTGAGGATGGAGAGCCAGGTCCAATTGTTGCGCCAACCGTTGCTCTTCAAAATCCGGCTGGACGCCACCAAGCCAGAATTGACCACCACACAGGGCTTCGCGCTCGACGGTGGCCTCGATGGCTTCAGTCTTGGTGTATCCATGGACAATCTCAAGGTGGACCTCGAGATCGAAAGGCTTGACGAAGCGGTGCGGACAAGTCTCGTCGATGCAGGTGATGTCTCGTCCATGTTCGTAGCCAATGCCCGTGAGTCTGGCAAGCACCGTGTTGTGATCCTCTGGGGGAAGCCTCCGNAAGGAATCATCCTCTTCTTGCTTGGCTCTATTTCCTGGACGCACGTAACCAGGCAGGTGCAGGTGTTGAGTGCGAACGTGCTCTTCGAGGTTCGCCTTTGCACTGAAAGCACGACCACAAGCACCACGACCATCCCATGCAGGAACACGCTTCGAGCCAGCAATATCAGTCTCTCCGCAGATGAACTGCTTTTGCTTTGCATGGACGCTTCTTTGATGAACAACGAGATTGCCCTTCTTGGTGAAGCCACGACCACAGCCAGGATGATCGCAGACATAGTTGCGGCGGTCTTCAATATCGCCGTGCTGAATCTCCAGGTGTGCCTTGAGGTCGCGATTGGAGGCGCANATATGGCCACACTGCGAGCAGGTGGGTGGATGGACGGTCTTGATGTGTTGTTGCATCTCGATATATGTAGGGAAGCCAACGGCAGTGACGAAAGCGTCTTGGTTCAGACTTGGATCGATGTCGGCCATTTCAGGGGAGCATATTTTGCACCAGAAGCGATTGCCGCTGTGCTCGCGGTCCTTGTGGGCGATAAGGTGAGTCGAAGTCTTGAAGCGAGCATCGCATGGTAAGCCAGTGAATCGGTCGAGTTGGTCGCACACAAAGGGCTTCTCGTGCAGATGGACGAGTTGAATGTGTCTGTCGAGAGTGTCCTGCTTGCGGAAGTTTTGGTTGCAAGGAGGAAAGTCGGTACAGAGGAAGTCGGACTTTGTGTTTTCGTGCGTTTTCTTGTGTTGTTTCAAGCGCTGGGCTGTATGGAAGCCTTTGTCACAGTGTGGCCAGTCGCAGACATAATCTCGGACATCATCGTGTTTGGCTTTGATGTGGTGCTTCAGGTGGCTCTCGCGAAGGAAGGTCTTGTCGCAACCTTGTTGGGGACAAGCGAAAGGACGGTCGTTTGTGTGGGAGCGTTTGTGTTCTTGAAGGCGGACGGGGCGGGAGTAGGACTTGGTGCAGCCTTCAAAGTCGCAGGCGTACTTGTTCTGGCGAGGCTTGGGCTGGGGTTTGGCTGACGTGGGTGTCGAGGGTTGGGTCGAGGTGCGAGATGTTTGAGCAGGTGAGGCGATAGAGAAGGCGTCGTTCTCGTCCTGATCGCTGGCTGCTGAAAGACTAGAAGTCAGCAGAGGACTGAAACGGATGGGTCGACTGTTGGTACCGTCTGAAAGTTCGGCAGCGTCATCAACTTTTGTTCGCTTGACGGGTTCGGTGGTATGTGGCGAGGCTCTGCGCTTGACACCCGCGGCAGCACTCATGGCTCCTGTCTTGGCCAAGAAATAGTCATGCGTGTCGAGTGAGGTGTGCGAAGAGCGTGACTCTTGTTTATGCACCTTGATCACGCTTTGCGCTCGCTTGTCAAGAAATTGTCGCTGACGGAAATCTGGGGTAGTTCTGCCGCCGTTCACCGCCTACCGCCAGTAGCTACCGCGCCCACCGTGGTGGCCCGGGTCAGATAACCCGATTAGTCGTCATACTGCGGGGTTCTTGATATCTACCCATCCCTTCCCTGCCCTGCCTGCTCTTGGTCTCCTTTCCTTTCCAATTTTCTGCTGCTCCTACACAAGCATGTCTGTCGAAACCACTGCCACCATTGCCTCGTTCGGGNGTAAGCTCTTGAAGCTGGCCCACAAGGCCGCTTCCACAAACTGCGAAATGAAATTTAACTTGTTCCTCCCTCCTCAAGCTCTCAAGAGCTCGGCCGACAAGATCCCCGTCCTCATCTATCTGTCCGGTCTGACCTGCACCGGTGACAACTGCTCCGAGAAGGGCTTTTTCCAGCACCGTGCCAGCCAGAAGGGCATTGCCGTTGTCTATCCCGACACCAGCCCGAGTACGTCTCTGCAATCCTTGTCTCTGACCGCATCTCATCTGACTGCTCAAACAGGAGGACTCGGCATCGCTGGTGAGGATGACTCGTACGACTTTGGCTCAGGTGCCGGCTTCTACGTCGATGCCACCAAGGAGCCCTACAACAAGGGTTACAACATGTACTCATACATCACCGAGGATCTTCCCAAGGCTCTCTTCTCTTCCTTCAAGCAGCTGGATTCCGATAGAGTCAGCATCACTGGCCACAGCATGGGCGGCCACGGTGCCTTGACTTTGGTATGCTCCACCTGCCACCTTTTTCGACACAAGCTAATACAAGCCTCCTCAGNNTTCCTCAAGAACCCTGGCAAGTACAAGTCCGTCTCGGCCTTCGCTCCTATCGCCAACCCCAGCAACTGCGACTGGGGTAAGAAAGCCTTCTCTGGCTACTTCGGTGAGGACCAGAAAGAAAAGTGGGCCGAGCACGACGCTACCGAGCTCATCAAANAGTGGAAAGGTCCTCTGGACATGCTTATCGACGTCGTACGTGTTACTCGACATCGGAAACAATGAGCAACACACACTGATGCATCTTTGCAGGGTACCGGCGACAACTTTTACAAGCAAGGCCAGCTTTTGCCCGAAAACTTGACCAAAGCTGCTCAAGAGTCAGGCAACGACAAGGGCGTCAACCTAAGAATGCAGCCCGACTACGACCACAGCTACTACTTCATGGCCACCTTCGCCGATGACCATGTTGACCATGCTGCCAAATATCTCCTGGGATAGTGAGTGTTGACATACAATCTGAGGACCGGTGGGCACACTAATTATGCTCCAAGCCGCCGTCCTCTAAAACAAAAGCTATAGACGACATGTGCTTTCTCCCACATTATGACACGCACAATTTACGACAGCGACATTTGTGTCTTTTGAACTGCTTAGTTCAATGTATATAACAATAATACAATGTAGGCATCATCTGACCACAGTCATTTTCCCCTGGCCCAGATAGATCTGCCACCATCAGGATGGTGTGCGGCATTAACAGCAAATGTTTGGATATCAAGACGAGTCCGAAGCGCCGTATCGCACCTTCCTTCCGATAAGACATCAGCAAGGATGAGCAAAAGCGTGTCAGTAAACGTCGCTAGCCCCTTCCTCAACTCCCGAAACGGTATTCTAAACTGTTCACACATTTCCGTCAATCGTTCCCGCTATGGACCATTCGCGATACATCATCGTTGCCGGCTTCCGAAGCTTCTTGACACGCGGCACTACCTGAGTACACCAGATTCTTGCTTTGCGAATGACGGTTTCGTGATTAATCTCACATCCTAGCTTCCACCTGGCGTGAAGAATGCGATGTTACCTACCCATCCTGCCGGGTGACATTGTTCAGAAACGCCTGTATACCATACTGGTAACGTTCTCGCACTATGATTCGACTGTCAGACCCAGCAGAGTCGTCACGGCAATGCAATGTCGCATTCCTCGAGATGGCGTTGTACCATTCCGCCCTTGCCTGGTATCCACATGTTGCCTTGGCAAGGGGTGTTGACTGTTGCTCATATTCGAGACGACCCCGATATTATTTGCTCCTCTTGGCACTCAACATTCTCGTACAAGGCCTTCATTCGAGTCTCGATAACGATGAAGCTAGGAGTGGCCTTCCTGGCCTTCAGCCTTGCCATTTTGGTTAGAGGACAACAGAACGTTGGACCAGATGGTGTCATCACTGTTTCTAGTGCGAACTGCACAGCTGTAGGGACTCAAACTTACGCCTACGCGGATCCTTCGGGTATAGCATACAGATATATATGTGGCGCAAGTGCGAACGGCAATGCTGTTACTCAAATTTCGGTGTCTAACTGGACCGGCTGCTTCGCTGCTTGCGACAATTACGCCAACTGCACAGGGTTTACATACGTGAGTCTTCTATTCATACATCGTCGATCCTAACTGCACCGATCTCACCGAGTACCGTCCCACGCGAATGAAACTTGCCCAGCAGATATGTTCAAGAACGATGTCCATCGCTCTCTTGTGAATCAGCCTGATCCGAGCAACGAAACCACGACATACGGGCACCTTGCTTTTAAGCACACCATGCTGACTTCTTGTCTTTTCACAGAATGCCGGCGCAAACTTGGGTGCCGGAACAGGAAACTGCGCCATCAAGACCGTAAACCCCAACACTTTCTCAAACACAGCCTCAGCCAATCTTGTAGCAACTCGCATTGCTGCCGTTATGCAGCGGTATGTCCGTACGTACAATCGGCCTAGAATGTCTCCATAAGCTGGCTGACTGTTCTTAGCATACATCCCAAACTTTTCCTGTCCAGCACAGAACAACCAGGTCGTCACCGATCTGAGCGGAGTACCATATCTGATAGGCTGTGGAAATGATTCAAACGGCGCAGCAGTCACTATTTTACAAGCACCAAATAATTTCGATGACTGCTTCTCATCATGCGACGCCTATACTGCCACTGTTGCGCCGACAAACTGCAACCTCTTTGTCTATGTCGGGGGCTCTAGCGGTGTTGGACCGGGCAACTGCTACTTGAAGTCTGCTACCACCGGCTCATTTGCAAATGGCGTTACGAACAATGTCGCTGCCATCAGGGTTGCTGCGACTGCTACCAGCGCTAGTACCAGCTCATCAGTCACTCTAGCCGTCTCAACGACCCCGTCGCCGACTTCTTCTTCATCTTCATCATCAGCGTCGACCCCGCTGTCACGGCCACTACATCGACGTCAACTGACACCTCGTCAGTGAGCAGCAGCTCATCTTCGTCAAGTTCCTCATCGTTCAGCAGCATATCCAGCAGCATATCAAGCAGCGGAAGTTCCTCTATATCGAGCGTATCGTCGTCTAGCAGCTCGAGTGTTTCATCGTCCGTATCGTCCTCCGTATCGGTTTCCGCAGGACAAGTTACAGCAGCCTCGATATCGTCCAGCAGCGTTTCCTCCTCATCATCGTCGTCCTCATCATCTTCAGTGTCATCTAGTTTGAGTTCTTCTGCTTCTAGTAGCAGTAGTTCGTCAGTTTCGTCATCAGCCTCTTCAACAGGTTCGGCTTTGGCTGGTCAGATCACGGCATCCATTTCTTCCAGCAGCAGTTTTTCATCTTCTTCTAGTTCGTCTGCATCATCTTCATCGAGCTCTTCAGCTTCTTCGTCAAGTAGTTCAAGCGCGTCGTCATCAAGATCATCAGATATCTCGTCTTCAGCAAATTTGGCCTCGGTAGCCTCATCTGGAAGCAGTTCGTCATCAAGTTCAAGCAGCTCTTCAGTAAGCTCTAGTCTATCCTCTTCAAGCTCTTCTAGCAGTTCTAGCGTCTCGTCATCGGTCTCGTCCTCGATATCGTCTTCATACGCTCAGGGGTGTCGGCAAGCTTGGCCTCAGCAATCTCATCCAGCGTTTCTTCCAGCAGTTCCTCGTCGTCCTCGTCAGTATCGAGCAGTCGATCTTCTTCGAGTTCATCAAGCTCGTCCTCTTCGGTATCGTCGTCGGTGTCTTCTCTTTTGAGCAGTTCTATCTCCTCGACCAGTTCAAACTCTGGCAGCGGCCAAAGTGTTGGACCGGATGGCATCACCACCGTCGCTACCGCAACTTGCACAACAACTGGCACTCAAATATATGCTTATACCGATACTTCGAGTGTCGTCTATCAATATATGTGTGGTGGTGGGGCTGGGGGAGGCAACTATGGATCCATCCCTACATCCAACGTGGTCAGTTGGCAGGACTGCTTCCACTATTGCGATACATACGTCGACGCCAACGGATTCAGCAATTGCACAGGATTTACATATGTGAGTTACCCAAGTCATCCTTCTGATTGCTTCGTGCTTGATCGAACCCAGAAAAGCCCAAGAGCTATCACGATGCATCAGACCATGGCCAAGGGTTACCCTGGCTCTATCTTTGCAACGACATATTCCAACCTTCATACTTAGCATTCCTGTATGGATTTCAGGCTTGTGGAATCTGGCTGACTGTGATATTCCCTTAGAATCAAGGCGCTGCCTATGGTAATGGACCAGGCCAATGTCTCTTGAAGTCTGGTGGCCCGCAGAACTTCGCCACCACTGCAGTGCTTCTATCTACTCGCATTGCAGGCATCAACTCGCGCTATGTTGCTGGTATGTGTTGAAAAGTCAGAAATTCTTCTTCCTCTAGTTAACGATATTGGCTCGTCAGCACCAACCTCAACCGCTCAGGTCATCACCACCACCACTACTTCGACGTCTATAGCAAGCAGCACTAGTAGCAGCAGCTCCAGTGCCTTGTCGTCAAGCAGCTCAAGTGTTTCGTCTTCGGCGTCATCATCAGCCTCGTCTTCAGCAAGACTGGCTTCCGTCTCTGCCTCAGCGTCTGCAAGCAGCTCCTCCTCATCATCTTTCTCATCGTCCTCATCTAGCAGCGTCAGCTCTAGTCTGTCGTCCTCGATAACTTCGAGCGCATCATCGTCAAGCAGTTCTAGCGTTTCGTCCTCTATCTCGTCTTCTCTCTCGTCTTCAATCTCGTCCTCTGCCGGAATCGCTTCAGCATCGGCCTCGGTATCATCCAGTAGCTCCTCTTCATCATCAAGTAGCAGCAGCTCAGTATCCAGCATTAGTAGCTCTAGCGCCTCGTCGTCAAGTAGCTCCAGCGTTTCATCTTCGGCATCATCATCAGCCTCTTCTTCAGCAGGACTTGCTTTCGTCTCTGCTTCGGCGTCAGCGAGTAGTTCATCCTCATCGTCCTCATCTAGTAGCGTCAGCTCTAGTCTATCGTCCTCGAGCAGTTCGAGCGCGTCGTCTTCCAGCAGTTCTTCTGTATCGAGTAGCAGTAGTTCTGGCGCCGTACCCTTCTCTTGCAACTCTACGGTTACGGTTTCGGTTACCTGGACACCGCCATCGAGGATGGAACTTTGAGGACGGCAGGCTGGGGTTTAGAGGGTCATTGGTAGAAGGGTTGGGTTGGTAAGGGGCGTGAGAGAGGTAGTAATTAGCATAGCGTTTGAAAATGGAATGATTGATTCTGCATCAGAGACTTACAAGGCTCTGACCCAATGTCTGTTGCAGTGATATAGGCTCTTTCTTGTCGATGTACAGATCCAAGGCCATACATAGGTACAATCTCCTCTTCCAACCCCAGCTCAAGGCCAGTAACGTCCTGCTGAAGGAATACAAGGGCAACAAGGCCGCTCTTCCTGATCGCGCCCGCACTGGCGATGATCTTGTCGAACGTTTGCTGAGCAATTACGCTTGCTGCCTCATGAACTAATGATGTAGCCTGCCGATGATATCTTGCCATAGCGGCAAGCAACAGTCAGTCGAGCGTGTTGCTCATCCTTTTTGTAATTTTAGAATCCTCAAAGGCATCAGAAGTGTAACGGCCGGACAAATAGATAGCTTGCCTCTTTGATAGCTCACACAACCATTCTTCATGCTCATGTTGTTCTTGCCATTGTTCTTCTTGGGCTTCTGCTCTACCTCCCAGATAAGATTTTTGTCAACTTGGAGAGTTTCTACATCTGAGATCGTCCAAAACTATTGATTGATCCCGTCTCCACACCAATTAATAGTGTCATAGTATACTATAAAAATGCACAGCTGCTTACCGGATCAGATGAGTGACCATAGAGATGGATCTAGTTCGAGGACCAACCAGGGCGTCCAGATCGAATATGAGCAACGGCGGCGAAAGGTTTAGTCGCATCGCTTGTTCGCAATGCTTGCGAGTAGATGACAAGTCGCCACCGGACTGTAGCTATAGCAATGCACGATAATTTCCAAACCAGAAGGTGGCTAGGGAAAAAGAGAATCCTCTACATGAACGTTGACCCCTGCGTGGAAGCTCTGTAGCCGAAAAGACGATTATATGTCACCAGGTGGAGGGCTCGATCATAATACTGTGACAGTCTTCAGCACACTAAGAGGAGGAACAAGGGGCTGCAGAGGCAACTCTGCTTCGTAAATCGTTATAATTGTCAAGCTACAAGTTTTGAAGTGCTCAAGAACAACACTGGACTACCTACCGCACTGCAGCCTAGCAAAACAAAACCATCTTCCGCCTCTGCAGGCAAACGATTTAGTCATCTTCTATGACCGAAAGACCTTCTCGATACCCTCGAGTAGGATGTCCGCGTGCTTCTTCTGGAAGATCAGCATGGGTCTCAATCTGATGGCTTGAGCACCACTGCCTCCAATGTTGATACCNTGGTCACTCGTGTTAGCATGTTCTCAATTTATCAGTCCATACAGGAGTCTGTAACACATACCGACGCCCTTTGCCTTGGCCAGGAAGTCTTCACGACGCGGCGAGTCCCAAGCAATGAATGTGCCCTGACCCTTTCCACGAAGGTTTTGAATCTCCTCAGGATACTTCTGTGCCAAGCGTTCGAGGCCAGAGTAGAGGTAGTTTCCAACCTCGGCGGTGTTTTGGACCAGGTTGAGACGTTCAATCTCGTTGATAATGGCGCGGAAGAGGATGGCACGAGCCGGATCGCCCATCCAGGTGTTGAACTGGCGGTATGGCTTGTTGGGTCTCAACTCGTCGTTGCCGAAGTAGTATCCAGCGGTCTGCGCCTTTTTGCTAAAGGTGACCATGTCTGGGGGNTCCTCGAGGTTCCAGTGATCGTGTGCCCAGAACTTTCCAGTCGCTCCAATACCAGTCTGGACTTCGTCGACGATCATCAAAACCTTGTTCCTACGAGTGATCTCACGGAGGCCACGGAAGAAAGCTGGCGAGGCATGGTTATCACCGCCCTCAGATTGGACGGGCTCAATGATGATGGCAGCTGGAGGCAGGTGCCAGGACTTGATCAAGCGCTCTGTCTCTTCAAGACAACGAGCCTCTTCTTGGGCGTTCTCCTCGGCATATTGCTCAAGTGGATACTTGAGCATGGGGAACGGCGCTTGGGGCCAGTCAAAGGCAGGGATATCGAGCTTGTGGATGGGTTTGCTGCGAGTAGTGGAGAGAGAGCCAAACATACGGCCATGGAAACCAGACTTGAAAGACATGATGCTGAGTTGAGGCGCTCCAGGGGCTTGGTTGTTCATGGAGGACTGTATCTCTTCCTCGGTGAAGTCGACATCAGGACCACCACGCTCCTGTCCTCTCTTCCACATGAAGGCAGCCTTGAAAGCGAGCTCGTTGGCATCACTTCCCGATTGGCCGGTAAAGACCTGGTTGCAGCCTTTGGGAGCAACACGCAGGATGCCGGTCTCGAGAATGTCGGCCCAATCATGTTGAGGAAAATTTCCCAACGCAGGTCTGTTGATGATGGCCGAAGCCATCTCCTTGGAGGTAGCAGCCAACAACAGCGAAGGGTTGGAGTAACCAACGGGAATGGAAGCAATCTGGGCGTAGACATCAAGCAAGACATTACCGTCGAGATCAGCGATGTAATTGCCGAAGCTGTCTGGGTAATTGCCCATCATGTTCAGACTGCGTGTGTCAAAAACTTTGTCCAGTTGCTTTATAGCTGCCTTGCTCTTAGGACCAGGGATGGCGGTTCGGACCGTAGGGCCTTGTGGCTCGTCTGGGAAGAAGGGTTGATCGAAGGCATCTGGTACTGATGCGGTAGCCGCTGCTGCTGTAGCCTGCTTGCGACCCTGAGGCACAACGTGTTAGTGACGGACGAACTTGAGAGTTGATATTCGCAGATGAAGCATACTGTCTGAGTAGCAAGAGCACGGCTTGTAGCTCGAGCTATGGGACGAATGGCAATACGACGGAGCGAGGGAACAGCCAGCCGGCTTGTACTGCGAAGGACAGAAGCCATTGTGAGCTGGACGGGTGACAAACAAGACAAGTTTGTTGGACTCGTAGACTGGGTTGCTCTGTTTATTCGCCTGTGCCAATTGCGGGGAAAAGATGCGGAGTTGGAGTGGGATGGTATTATTTTGAGCAGATAGTCGACGGTGATGTGCAAGAGACAAACAGAGGAAGGAGCTGCAAGGATATGATATAGAAGAAGGAGGGAAGGAACAGAGGATCCTGCAACACTCCATGACCATGGTATCTATCAGTCGACTCATTCTTTGCCGTGACTTCAGCGATAGGCGTGCGCTTATCAGATCCGACCTCTCAGACCTTGCCCGCTGAGGAAGGCTCAACCGACCAGTCCCCAAAGTAGGAGCACCATCATCCTGCAACAACCCCATCTTCCCATTACTTTTACGTACACACAGGGTCTCGTGATGATGAAAAGAAGGAGCAGTGCGTCGCCTGTGAAGGAACGAGGCGAAGACCAGACTTTGCCGTCGGAAAACAATGCCGAAAGAAGATGCCGGGAAACTTGGCGGGAAACTTGCTACGAGTTTGGATGTCTTGGCGCGAACTGTCGCATCTTTCACATGCAAATCCGTCGTCCATTCTCCAATGCCCGATCAACACACACTTACAACCATCATGTCCAACGACGAAGAGGCAGAAGTCTCACGGAATGTCGAAATGGTCGACGCAGAGCTTTCACCTGTAACCAAACGTAAGCGATCTGAAAAGACGTCGTCAACCGTCACTCAACTCACCATCCGCAATCCACCATGGTCATACCTGCAGCTGTCCCTCATCACGAATGCTCCGAACTACCAACTTGATGCTTTGACCGCACATCTACACCTTCGCGCCGCTCTCTCCCAGTTCTTAGGTCTCCACGGCACTGCCATTTCCGTCGATATCCTCAAGCTGCACGACAACGACGTTCACATCCGCGTGCCCAAAGAAGATGCAAGTGCCGTCGTGGTAGCTATTGGTGGCTGGGTTGGTAAAGCTGGTGAAGGCTGGAGAGTCAAGAACTCTGCGTCCTGGGGTCTCGGTCTGCACTCAAGTTCTGGAGCCCACTTGTTCAAATGATCGACAACACGCACCATCACCTCTATTCGATCGACTTCAGTAAGATGATCAGATCTATGGAGACTGAATAAGAGGAAGACAACTGCAACATGAGCAGCGTGGACAAATTTATCCTGAGCAGCGGACTCTGACTCTCGGCACCACACGTCATCAAGACAGCCATAGAGGCAAGGCCTTGACGCTCTCACCAGCACAAGCCGCTTCAACGCAACCCGAGAGACTCGCAAAGCGCATGTCTCTCTTCGTCAATCCACCTCCATAGTGTGCGAACTTGGCCGAGTTCGTCATGATTGTGCGCACCGAAGGATGGATAAGCGGCTCTCCAATCATACACCAACAAGTGTCCGTCACTGGCTGTACACCAAACTCTTCAAGCTTGGGCATGATACCATCCTTGCATGCTCGCATATAGGTGTCGCGACCGCAGGTGATGATGACCGCGACATCAGGACATTTAGTCCTTCCCTCGCAAAGTTGACAGAGCACGGCTAGCTCTTGGTAGGAGAAATGAGGGTTACCGAGAGAGACCAGGTCGATCTTCGTTTTTGTGGCTTTGTCCAGTCTTGACCACACGTTTGCAAGATCAAGCTTGTTTGTCTTGACGATGGGTGTAGTGGCCTGCCACTGCTCGAGAGATGGGCTGATTGCTTCGGGGGTTATGCCTGCGATGTGAAACATTGGCGCACTCGAAGTTGTTGCGAATGCTGCACCAAAGGCTTTGAGGTCGTCCCTGTGGACAGCCATATGTTCGAGACCCGTGACGAGGGGGATACGATTCGCGGCAATCTCGCCCACCAGATAGCCTAGTACTGGAAAGAGAGAGTCGTCTCCATCAATACCTGACGCCACATCGATGACCACCTGTGGCTTTCGATGTGAAGTGATGTGAGCACCAGAATTAGGAGCCCTTCCGGTCAACGCCACACAGATATCCAGAAAGTCGGGGCATTTGATAGATCTAGCACCCAGAACACTATTGGCGTAAACAACTGCATTCGATTCTGCCCACATGATTTGTTCTCCTTCTTTCGGTGCCGTGTCCAAGAGGTACGGAGCACAAGTGTATGTCGGCTTGGCTCCCAGCGTGACATAAGCATCTGCCAACAAGCCCGAAGGATCTCCCAATGCTGCGTCGATACCTTGATCTCGCCATCTTTGACGATCGATGGAGATGGAATTCAGAGTTGCTGGAATCCGAACCTTGGCACCCCAGTCACAGAGGCGTTGGGCGAAGAGTAGTGTTGCGGGTCCTGTGTATATGCAACCGTCGATGTGGGCTTGAGTGATGTCTATGAGTTCTGTCGCGCCTTGATTGTTTGCCACTCTGGACACGACTCTGGCGGCGACTTGCACGGCTTTACCGTGATCTCCTCTCAGCATAGCAAGGTCGAGATTTGTAAAGTTGATGGCTGGCAAAGGTACTTTCTCATCGTTCGATACGACATCCGATACAGTTGCTGGATTGACTTCCAAAGTGCCATTGGTGATCTGCACAAGAGCATAGCCCGCAAGCTCCACAAACTCGTCCGTGTCAACCTGCACAATCGGAACAGACTTGTCGAAGAATTCAGCAGCAATGATGGTCCCCAGAGTCAAGATGAGTTCCTCGCGTTCAAAGATGAAGCCAGCTGGAGCATTGCCATTGAGCAGCAATTCTAATAGAACACCGCTTCCCGAGCAAGATCCTCGACCACTAGGTATTGCGAGAATTTTGCCGGCGAGAGAGCTTCCAGCCAGTGGATGGTGTTGATCGATAACGATGCCGGTGGAGGGNTCGACGCCGCCCCAGAAACTGAGTGGTACTTGGCTGTATAGTAAAGGTCCGGTAGCATAGCCCTCGCTAAGACACCTGCCTTTGATGGTTTTTGGTGTCAAGGTGAGCATCTTGGGCAACTGATGCAAGGATAAAGTTCAAGAAACGTTCGAAAGATCAGAGTCTAGCAGCAATGAAGACAGCGCGCTCAAGGCAATGTTTTATGTATCCCACCAGACATCGAATGGGTTGCTCGTTATATAGCAATGGCCTGGTGTATGAACACGGAAGGTGGTGAACGATGGCAGTCAGTTTACCGACAGGTTTTCCGACCCCGCGATGTCAATCCCTTAATTGCACACCACGACCTGTCGGACTTGGTCATGAGTGGTTGCGATCAAACATCAAGATTCAACTCCTCGATCAAAGTTGTAGAGGGCGTAGGGCGCAAAGCCGAAGGGCGCAAGGCAAAAGGATCTAGGTGTTCTGTCTTACATAACAAAGATGTTCCTCCTCCACCGAAGTCTCCTACGCAAGTGATGTCCATATCGCATGCTTTCGACACAGATTGAGTCGATACACAATTGACTGCTTGCCATCCTCGCCATGTGCTCAAGTCTGTAGCTCCGTTCTCCTCCCATAAGAGCGCAGAGTGGGGGACATACTATAGAAAGGCACAATTCCATTCAGAAGCAGAGAAGTAACCAAGGAGAACCGCTAATGTGTTACCTCTCAGTGGATGCTGCCTTGCTGCTTGATAGCACTGTGCGTCTCTATAGCTAGCGCCCATTACATACTTGAGCACATAGGGAGAATGATTTTGTAGGTTACAAAGAATACATACGACTAGCTGAGCACGAGGATGAGGTGTTAATTGGCACATATCGGACCGAAACAATCTATAAGGCATTGTTTTATCAACCAAGCATCAATCCTCAGATTGTGCTCAAAAAGAAGCTTCTCGATTCATCGTTGAACTGTCTAGTCTGTTCCTGATATAACTCAAAGTACGACTAAGCCATACATCGAATGAGTAATTGAGACTTGACCGGTCTGAAACAATTCTAGGCGTAGTTGGCAGTAGCAGTTGCTCTAACATCACCAGTCTGGGAGACGTTCTTAACAGTAACAGTCGAACCAGTCTCGCTAGTGACTCTGATCCAGGCCGAGGTAGCACCAGATCCGCTGGAGATCTCGAAGAAGTTGTAGGTAGTTCTGGCAGCAGCCTTCCAGGTCTTGCCAGAGTCGGTGCTGACCTCGAGCTTGGTGGTGCGGCGCTTGGCGTTGACGACTTGAGCAGAGAACCAGTACTGGGAGACACCAGACTTCATGTGTATGGAGAGGGGNGTGGTGATGGGGCAGACGACATAATCCCAGGTCACGTCGATGATGCCGGCAGATTTGGGAGCCAGGTTGGGAAATGCATCTTCATAAAGATCGAGGTGGTTGGTACCACATCCAGGGCACTGGTCGGTAATCATGGCAGTGATGGTCTTGCCGTTGGGTCCGGTGACCGAGACGCAAGCACCGCAGTTGGCGGCATTGCTCCAGTTGGAGTCGGAGAGAGCAGTTCCGTAGACTCCAGAGGGAAGAGTGTACTGAGTAAACGAACACTGTCCACCCGAGGTGTTACCACCGTAGAAGGTAGCCTGACCAGACAGAGCACGCTTGGCGACAGCGTTTGGGTTGGCTGATACGGGCAAAGCAGCACCCAGAGCAGCAGAGGCAAATGCCGAGATGGCGGCGAGGGTAGAGATGGAGAAAAGCATCTTGAGGGAATGAAGCGACAGAACCTGCTGTCTTTTGTTTAAATGATTCAAAGAGAGACTTGAAGGTATAGAGAATGAAGCGTGATGAGAGAAAAGGAAGACTTCAATGACAGACCTGGCAGGATATTTTATACGGTTGAGTAGATGACATGGTTGGAAGTAGACGGCTCTGGGTACATGGTCTAATGCAGAGGAGTTTGCACAGGCGGCGGGTCTTCGTTTCAAGTTCATTAAACGAGCAAGTGGTTTGGCGGGACGATGCGGTCGAGGCTGGAGCCGACGTCTGCATGTCAAGGCGCACGTCAGGGATCTGATGGATCGGTTGAACGGCATATTGCGGTGGGTGCCAGATGACAACGGAAATTGGCGGCATGGCCATCGCCTCAGACAGCGGTACTGTGAGCAGACTATGGTAAAGCGGAGGAGGAAAGAGGGCTTGTTTCAACCCTCCTCCCGTGTAGAAGTATGTAACGCGTGTAGCTATGAAAATGCACGATATTGGTAAGAAGTAGGGCAGTATCCATTGAAGATGACACTTCATCGACTCTCCTTGGCCACATGCCCAAGTTCGAAAACAATCGTGCATTTTCATAGTCGACACACGCGCTATGATGTTAAAGGAGGGAAGAAGGCTTCATTCGATTTTGGGCAAGAACGATGCAGCGGCGTGAAAGCCTCAGCTACGCACAGCCACAGTTGCAGCCACAGTTCGATGTGATTGATGCATGTGAAAGAGACCAAGACCAAGACAACAAACACGCCTAATTGCCAGCGACGTCCTCAATACTGCTTCCAGACCATGGCTACGACTTCATGACCGACACGACACAGAGCGCCGCGCATAATCTAATCCCCACGCACCATGGACGAGGTCGAGAATCCTCAGGTCAAGGCTCCTGAGGAAGAGAGCGACAGCATCGTCACACCAGCAAAGGATACGGCTGAGAGGCTGCACCTCGACAATGCTCCTATAGTCCCACCTGCAGACCTGCCCACCGACAACGACACGTCTAGGCGACCGCTGTTGAAACGCGACTCGTCAGCACCACCGCCCAAACAGCAAACACCCGCCGTGCCTGACCTGGACCCCAGCCAGGATCCTCCCGATTCCCTGACACTTGCCCAACTCAAGAGTCTCCGAGCTGGCTTCCCCGTTCTCCAAGCCCACCTCCAACAACCCGTCCCCTTGTCCACCGTCTACGACTTTGAATACCGGGACTCGCAGTCCTTCCCCGTCGAGCTCGAAGAATGGTTCACCTACAGCGAGAAAGAGAGGTCCAAACTACGTCAGGTCAATGCCGCCTTTGATCACGCATGGAAGGCACACACTGCTCAAGACCCTGTCCCGGATTGGACTGCCTCACCGCAGTTGGGCATGAATTTTGTTGCCAATCTGCTACACGACCTGCAACTCGGCTCTCCCCACCAGCAGAACACGGCTCTTCAAGTCTTGACATACATCTCTCTGGGTACATGGCAAGAGACCGCTGGTAGAGAAACGCCCAGTCCCTTCTTCGCCGTTCTCGGTTCCAACCAACCACAGGTCACAGCTGGCCTCCCCAACTATGCTGGTGCAACATTTCAGATTCAAATCATGATCAACACTCTCTGCATGCTCGCACAGCAAGGTGCTGTACCACTCGTATATGCTCTTATGAAGTCTGTGTGTGAAAGGGACCTCACTGCTTCGGCTCAGAACGAACATGTATCCGCTTCCTCAAAGTTTGCCGAGGGTGACGAGAGCATTGATGTCTGGTGCACTTTGACACTAATCTATCTATTTGTCGAACTGAGCCGCATCTCCGAAGGTACACCCGATGCTCATGTGTTGCACAGAGAGCNNTTGGTAAGTTACATCCACTTCGCCTACGTCGCTTCGAAGCTTACACTCCAATAAGCTTTAATAGAATCCGATTTGTTGATTACTTGCACAAACATGATTGCTCAAATGAGGTGGGACGACTTTGCCCCTGTTCCTCAGACCAAGGTACGTCTCAAACATGTTCTTCTCTACCACCCATGCGCTAAGTTGTTCTTAGNNATTTTCTTGCTACTATGGAAGACTATTCTCATCTCTTTTGGTGGTATTGAGAAAGCCGACAAGGTCAAATGTTCATTCCACGATAATGTCGGCGAGAAGGACGAACGCGGCCATCCACTCATCACTGCCTCCCCACTAGACTACCATCTTTTCCGACAAGAGATCACCTCGAAATATCCTGCTTACCAACCACCGCCGCCATTGTTTGCGTTCGAGCCTGAGAATAACACCATCTTGCCTCCGCTTCGTCACAGACAAACAAAGATCGACAGCAATGACAACACTGCATCCACAGGGACTGGTGTACACGGTGCTTCAATTCTACATCAGGCAGTGCACATCGCCACTCCAGCACCATCACCTCCGCCTTCTCCAGCGGGGCCAGGAGGTAAGGGCGGTAAGAAGCAAAACTATCAGACTAACCAAATGTTCCCATTCCTCTACCCACCTTTGGACGAATCGAGCAACGATTTAGGTGGAAAGGGCTCTACTGAATTGCAAGATGCTCTAGCAGGCAGAAAATGGAGAGGAAGTGATGTTCCAGCTTCCATTCTCGAAGCTGCTGACTTGTTCTCCAAACGTATGAGGGCCACTAGAGCAATGAAACAGCTCTGGGATACTAGAATCGACTACATGAAATTCGAGAGGGGCTGGTCAGACTCCAACGATGACTTTGACGTGGAGAAACTCGATCTCTATGAGCCTCAGGAGAATGGCTTTTCCGTATCTGAGCACGAGGACACTGCGAAAGAACCAGAGAAAGAAAAGGATCAAGAACCTTTGTCGGAGAATGACAGGATTCTAGAGGCAGTTGCACAATTCTATCGCGACGTCTTGCCGCAAATGCAGTCCGTTGTCTTTGTGCTGCTCAAAGGTATGGCCAGGGTCTATGCAGATACTACTGCCAATCCACAAGCTCAGGCTTTTGAAAATGGCCATGTTCCTGATGGCATCTCAATTTCTGCGGAACAAGTCGATGCTTCACGTTCCACAGAAATCACCGGCAAAGCTGTATCGTCCATTTTACTACTCTTGCTGAAATGGTTCAAGTTATCTCGTAAGTGCAAAATTCCCTGACATTGATGTGTGAGTCTGACTGTGTTATAGATANTTCTTCGTTTCGAGTATCTAAATCAACTGCTCCTCGACTCGGGATACATCATCGCGGTACTGCGGCTATGGCAATGGCAGGATATCGGACGCGCCTGTCACTTTATGCTAGACAGACCAGAGCTTGAGTGAGTTTCTCCCTATCGATTCGTGTATGTACGCAACTAACTGGCAAAAGCTNTCTTCAACTTTTGTCGCGCAAACTCCAGAAACCCAATCCTGCCCGACTTTGTGACAATTGATGAAGCAGTGGAGTCCGAAGATGAGGCAATGCCTCCACCTATCAAATTCCGCAGAGAGTCCGAAGCAATCTCAGAGGTTTCAGTGAGCTCAGTACCTCCGGACTACACCACCCACCCGCCCGAGGTCGACGAACTCGGCTATCCGACACAAGCACCTCCGCCGGCGCCCATTCAGAATTATTCCTACCGAAACACTTTCACCTACATCAATTACTTGCGCGTACTACAANAGATCACTCGCCGTAAAGCGCATCGCTCTCTGCTCTTGGTGTCCTATAAGTCATCCAACGTGCTGAAGAAGTCGCTACGGGTGCCTGTGGATATGATGAGATACTACACGCTCAAGCTCTTCAAGACTCAAGTGCCCTACTGCGGTCGCAAATGGCGTCAGAGCAACATGAAGATCATCACAGCGGTCTGGCTCAGCGTACCTTCCGAGCTACGCGATGATTGGCTTTCTGGCGGTGGTGGTGGTATGGGCGGCGCTGGTCCTGGAGATGTGGACGGAACTGTAGAGGAAGCCCTGCCTCTTGAGCAATCGCTGCGTAGTCTTACGCACTGGTGGAATGTGCGCAACTATCCTGACAAGATGGGTGTGGACAAGAAGTTGGTGATGGAGGAGCAGGACTTTTTCGCAAAAGAGCTGGAGAAGATGGAATTGGGACGCATAGAGGATGAAATGCTCGATGAGAGTATGATTGAGGGTGCATGGGCCCAGCCTATGGAAAACTATGCATAGAAAGAATGTGGGTGATTGACCATCCATAGCGAATGAAGCCTGATCAATGATACTTTTGGCAAACCCAGACCAATAAACTCCTCCTTGCTGTCAAACATAGTTCCTTTCCCAATAAAATGTTTTTGTTCCTCTCGCCTCAACTCCAAGGTCTTTACACGTGGATCTGCATCTGATCATCTCCAGAGACTCGTGAGGATGATGACAAGACTCTGGATGGCAAAAACAACCCGAGGAGGATGGTAAATCAGTAGACTGCCGATGAGAAAAGAACACGCAAGGATCAAAGGATAAGACATAGCACCAGCATGCATCGGCTCAACATCACCCGAGCGCAACAACGCCATAAAAGACTGGTACACGCCAAAGCGAAGCTCGATGGCAATAACGATGGGCATACCCAGCACAAACTCGAGCATCTTAGATCCGAGAAGTGACAATTCGTCAATTTCGTCTTGGGCAGACTAAGCCTCGTCGACGGTGACGCCCCACTCGTGCTGCTCCTTGCCGTACATGATGTCTGAAAGCCAGCTGCGGACGAGTCTGGCGTAGACGCCGGTCTTGCCCTCGACCATGGGGATCTCGAGCTCGTGTTGCTTCCAGCCGATGAGGCCGACGGGGGCGACGAAGAAGGCAGTACCGGCGGCGAAGGCCTCGACGAGACGGCCATCCTGGTAGGCGTCCAAGATTTCTTGCATGGTGAACTTGCGCTCGACGACCTCGAGGCTTTCGGCGTTGTACTTGGAGGCATTCTCGGCGGACAGACGCTCCTGTGCGATTTGGAGCACACTGGCGCGGGTGACACCCTCGAGAATCAGGTTGTCTTCGAGGGGTGCGGTGATCAGCTGCTGTTGACCTTCCTTGGTCTTCCACACGACGAAGAAGTTACTGGCACCAGCCTCGGTGACGGAAGCGTTGTTACCGAACAGCCACAAGATTTGATCGTAGCCACGAGCGCGGGCCTCGCCTTGTCCGACGAGCGAGGGACCGTAGTTAGCACCCAGCTTTGCGTAACCGAAACCGCCGGGCCATGCGCGGATGGAGTCTTCCTTGCTGGCAAGAAGCTTGAGGCCTTGAGCCTTTGTGACGGCCTCGCTCAAATCAGGGTTGACAGCGGAAGCGGCAGGCAAGTTTCGAGGATCTGACCAGTCGGGGAAAACGGCAATGATAACGTAGAGAAGAGCCTCCTTGGGGACCTGGACACCGAGACCGGGATCCGTGCCGATGAAGGTAGGACGCAAGTAGAGGAAACCGCCCTTGTTGGGAAGCCATTTAGGACCGTCAGTGGCGCAGAGCTTCTTGATGAGATTCTCCAGTTGCTCGGCAGGAAAGTCGGGAAGAGAGATACGAGCGGCACTTCTGCGCAGACGCTCGCAGTTGCGACGGACACGGAACAAACGCAACTTGCCATCCTCTCCATGGTACAGTTTCAATCCCTCGAAGCATTCGGTGGCGTAGTGGAGAACGGAAGCAGTGGGCATGATACTCAACGGACCGTAGGCCTTGAGCTCGGGAGCCTCCCAGCCATCCTCCAAAGTCCAGCGCGCGGTGATCATGTGGTCGGTACAGGTGCGCATTTTCTTGAGCTCCTCGCTGCCAGCGGCAGGGGGATCTCTGGGCGCACTGGTCAGAGATATCTTCAACTTTGAGGCATCGAGCTGTGGTTTCTCTGCATTGGATTCGAGGTTGTGTGCAATGCCAGCCTTGGTCAATGACTTGGCGGTAGGTGTGGCAGTGCCAGAGGCTGGAGGTGTCATGTCTTGTGCGCTCATGTTTGTGGTGTGTGGATGAAGCCTTCCGAAGGCGTCGTGTCAGGGTCGATTGAAAGTGATGAGTTGCGATGTTAATTCTCCTTGGATCTGCTGGAGATTTGTATATAATTGAGCCTCAATTGAGATATTGTTTCTGTGTTGATAGAAAGGGATGTTCCCAGAAGACTGTGGGGTTGTAGAAGATATTTGTATAGTCCAGACAACGCCTTTCGCCGCCGATACAGGAGCGTCGTGAATCGAAGGACAATGAGTCAATGGTACTTGGTACTGAGGCCGGTATCCGAAATCTCAACCAGGGACTGAGTTTTTCATACAATTTCCTATCTAACAATCCACGCATTTTATACACGCCTTACGCCTTTTGTTATCTTCCACGCCCTGAGATTTTTTCTCTGCGTCTTGCATCGGCAAGCCGGCGTTCAAGATCCGATTATGGGGAGCTGTTATCGCCCGTAGTGCATTTCCTTATCCGACGTAGTTATAGGTGTTTAAATATCTGTAGCATTGTACAGACTCTGTCCAGACCATGAGAGATCTAGCGAGTGTCATATTGACTGTGACCATCAAGCAGTTCTGGCGAAATTCTGTTGTCTTTATGCATCTCTCCGGAGAAAGTGGTAGAATGATGCATTGAGCACGAAGTTATGTACGTTCTATATCGTTAATGTCAATATTGTCCAATCAGATATTGCGACGCCACAAACATTGCGTTTCGATGTCCAACGACCTCACAGCCTGTTTTGACCCTGTTTGAACCATGTTTGAAACTCATTTACAACATCCTGTGAACGTGTTCGCGATATCCCAACTATAGGTTTATCCTCAATCGATGAGTGAACTGCTCCTCTGATGGACAATCACGACATCAATGGAATGTTCTTGGAATATTTTTGGAATGATACCATACTTCTATCATGGTAGAATCATGGTAACATCATGGTAGCACCATGGTAAAACCATGATAGAAGCATGGTATACCATGATCACATCTCAGACGTGCAGGAAGTTTTGAGTGAGCCTGGTTCTCCTACACGATCAAGGTGTGCCCCAACAATATCATGTTCAGATCGAGTACAACCTGGTTTAAATCGAGTCCAACCTGATTTAAATCGAGTTAGACTCGATTTAATCTCGGTTTAAACATGGTCATATTGGAGATGCGGTGCAAGTTCGAGTATGTTCTAGATTCGGCTCTCCTTTAAGGACAGAACGTGTCTCCACCTGTTATATTGTCTAACAAGAACTTATCGACTCTTAACTCAGCATGCGCTCAGCATACACTGGGCACAACCCCTCCAAAGCTTTCTGCTCCCACCGAAACCACGTCGAAATAGCAACAACCCATTCCAAGCTCACGTCGCAACACAACTACAACAAATGTTTTACTCCTCTGCGCGTGGAAGGACATATCGGTTGGCATCCCGCACAGGAACCTGTTGAAAGGACTACGAAACCCAAACCGACTCCAAGCTGTCCGCCTCTATTCTGAGATCTGACTGCTTTTTACTCGACCAATGCTTGTCTTTGACAACACAATCCTTGCGCGGTTTGCATATCTCGGGGTATTCCAAAGAATTACATATTCTTCCTCGAGATGTTAATGAGCTTCACGCATCAAAAGCCAAGCTCGAGGATCGCCGAGCCGACTTTCCGTCTACGCTCTTGCAGGGAAAGATTTTGGTTTCGCCACCGATATTGGTCGGTTACCCGGGCAATCTCAGCGCGTCGTGTGCACGCTACTGAGGAGCAAAACGCGCCTTGTTGAGACCATCAGCTCTCGTCCGCTCTGCAACACTGGCACAGTTGCTGGAAAGGTTCTGCTGCACACTCTGCGGTCTCTGTTGTTACGAGTGTTTTTGGTTGGTTCTACAGATACCTGCATAAGTTTGCAACTGGAGTGCTGACTATCCCTGTGATCCAGGCGCCATAGGTATTGCTTCGTCAAAATGATTGATTATACCAAGATGCGTTCCGTCGATCTCAAATCGAGGCTCCAAGCTCGCGAACTCCCTTACTCAGGCAACAAAGCCGTCCTGGTTCAGCGACTCCAAGACAACGATATATTCCCCACAGCATCATCACTGCAACAAGAGCACGAAAGTTCTAGACCTCTGCCTGAAGATTTTCTGGACAAGATGAAAAGCTCCGACCCAAGGGCCGTCACTCGAATATTGCGCAAGCTGGTACACATGAGAAACCTAGACCGTCATGAGAAAAGGATGGAAACATCGCGCTATGCAATACGTTGCGGCGGTTGGACCGTCGTCGACGATCTGAGAAAGCTCAATGCAGGAAAATGCCTAGAATGGACATGTTTTCTTTGTAGCACTGGATCCTTGTGTACGTCTCTCAACCGCATCCTCGGCTGCCACTCAAGGTGCAGAGACAAGACCTGCAAGGATCTCAACAACTGTCTCGAGTGTCGTAGCGAGCTTCAAGAAGTTGAGGATTCATACATTCATCGACGAGAACAAGAAAGCTGTGTTGATGGATTGTGTGCTAACGTTTCCGAATGCTTGCGATGCGAGAATTTCTTTCGAGATGCCATGGTGCGACTAAGTAGAGCCGATGGTGTTCTAGGGCGTCTTCGTCGGCGGTGGATGTCATCGGATGTTACTCAGCTCAGACTTGTTTTGACTGACGTAAGAAGCATGATGCACAACAAGTACCTCGACAAACTTTTACAACAGCTACAGAGCGAGGAGCCAGATACAGGAGCATGGATTATCCTAAAGCAAAAACTTGCAGCCGGGAAGTGTCCGGGTTCGAGTTGCTCTTCTTGCGGTACTGTAACCTTGACTGAATCTCTGGAAGCCCTCTCGGATGGACGACGGACCGATTGTGGCGGAGAAACACTCTCTGGTTGTAGTGACATTATCACTTGTGTAAGCTGTCGTCAGACTCTTAGAGACATGGAAGACGTCTTGTCTCAGATGGAAAAGGGACGTTGCNATCAGTGGTTCTTGCGGAGAACCCTTCAGTTGCGTCGAATGTCGCAAAAACTCGGGCCTAGTTTCGATCCGTTTCGACGAGGTGGCCAGCAAGATGGTGCCAGCATTCCTAACAAACCCCCGATCGTGGAAAGACACTGTCATAGTGACAGTTGTGGTGGTATCAAAACCTGTGGCGCCTGCATATGGGAAGTATATGCAGCAAAAAGGAAAAGAGTTGAAGAGGGCTGTGGAGATGTACGACAAACCCGTGTTAGGACATCGGAACCATGCGACAGACCAGAGCCGGACTTATCCTACGGCCGCCTCTGCCGCTCCCTCAAGACTACTGCCGACCTCGTCTCACGAAACGATGAGCTTCGTCGCCGTCGTGCTAGGGACGTTGTCACAAGCCTGACTGGGAGCTCTGATGGTACTATGACTGGTGCCAGCCGGAAGAGACGCTTCAGCAATCTCGGTCTCAATTGGGAACTAGGTCCGGAACATCCTTTGACAAAGCGTATTCGCGACGAGAAAACTCGAGAGAAACTGGAACGGGAACGGGCTCGCGTTCAACACGAACGACCATCGTGGTTCGGCACACCAAAGGATCCATTGCCAGATTTCTGGATGGGTCGTCCCGTCCTTCTTGAACGAGAGATCGATGTTCTAAAGGGTATGGATTCTATACCCAAGTACTATGTGTCTCGTCAAGAAGAAAGCATGATCCGCTCTGCTCAAGGAGACAGAGAGGAACAACTTTCTGACATAGTCCGCAGACTCGAAGCTGAACTCATGTCGCGCAACTTTTGGATGCAGAGTTTGGGCTTTGAGGCAGGTGGTGATCATGGTAACTTTCCTTCTAGTGATTACAAGTTGGCAGATACGTAACCCAAATCTCTTCGAGAAAGTGGGACAAATAGAGTGGAAGATTGGGTGTCAACTCTTCCAAAGTTTTAGCATTCTCGCTTCTTAGATAGTTGGTAATGGCAATGTCTTTTGAGATAGAAGAGCTTGTCAACGTCATCGACTTGATGATGCCGAGGGCCGAATGTTCTACTGGTGCCTTTGTTACCTTCTTTTGACTGTATGAATGGTCTTGTCTTCCATTGGGTGCAAAGTACATAACAGTAGAGTCAGGGTCACCGCTCGCTTGGAAAGTGGGGCCGTCAGAAGAAGGAGCCTTTGCCATCCTTTCTCGGTCGCTCTTTCCAACCTATATATTATACCTCGCATCGTACAACTCGACATGCTCTTATCAAATACAAGATAGACTGGTTATTCTCATGTATGCTATAATCATTCCCAATTCGCAATGCGTGCAGTCAGACCAAATGAGATGCGCGGTCATCTGGAGCCTGGTTGTGGTATTTGAGTGAGGTGCTCCTCACACATACTTGTCTCGTAGACACGTTTTGGATGACAGAAGGTTGCGCACTCGGTCTTACAGCCTTGCAGAACGAATCAACAGAGCAGCTATATCTGATCGTGCGACTCCGCGCATGGCTTTCGCTCTCCCACCATAAACGTTCCGTCTAACGACACAATGTAGTACAACACAAGATAGTGAACGAGGTTACTCACACAACCCAAAATGAAGCGAGATGAGCAGTTTTTCCGGGAGAAGAGAAATGATATCATTCAAGAACACTCGGAAATGGTTCGTCAAACCAAGCCGCGATTATCTGCGCATGCTAAAATGTGGACATGTCTAGGCGACCGAAAAACATACAGTGTGGCACGCGAGAAGCCGCGATACCACGATTCCACCTTGTGACCAGACGCTGACCGAATTAAGAAAGGTAAGTGCTGCTTTCCTAGTCCTGAGCAATAACTGATATGCTTCCTGGAGATACGCCTGAGATCTCTTCGTTCACAAAACTCTGGATCTGTGCTCTTGGTTCGTGCCATCGAACAACCACTACAACTAGGAGCTCTCTATCCCGTCATGAACGTGGTTGAGGACATCACTCAAGACGTTAGCCATCTAGAAGTCTTCTTTCCCAGCACTTCGCCTCCAGTAGCAATACTCAAGCAAGGCACTGTGGTTGCAATCAAGGAGCCTCTCTACGTCATGAACCATGGCAGGAAGGTCATCAGAGTCGTACACCCCTCGAATATTATGATCCTCAAGCCTGAGCATAACATGTATCCCAAAGTGTTTCAGGTTCTTCCTGCATCACTCGCGAAGACGAGTCTGGAATGGCATACTGAAGGCAATGGTGCCTTGAAGAGAGGTGAGTACGCTGAAGCAGTATATCGGTATGTTTTCGTCCACTGTCTTCTCATGCAGACTGACTAACCTTCTCAGTCATACCAAAGGCTTGGAGATGCTACACGATGAAGGGCAGNNATATCTGAAACGCGTCAGAGTCTCTACTATGGCCGCGTGGATGCCGCGATGCATGCTGGTTCATTTGAGCTAGCATTGGAAAGTGCGATGCTCCTTATCTCAGCATCAGGGCAACCGTCGAAGCCAGAAAACACCAAAGCTTTGTATCTTGCAGGCAAAGCCGCCTATCAACTACGCAAATTTGCGCTCGCAGAAGAATTGTTCCAGCCTCTCCTCTCAGCCTGTCCGACTGATCTACAGAGCCTCCAGGAGATTCACAAGGTTCAAGAGAGACTACGGGAAGAGAGAATCGGAGCATATGATTTCACCACCATGTTGAGCCAGCAGACGTTCGCCGATCATGCTACTTTCATCAACAGAACGGAAGTTCGAGAATCGAAAGATCATGGTCGCGGACTGTACGCGAGAGACGATATCAAGTGTGGTGAACTTGTTTTCTGCGAGAAGGCCTTCGAAATCTCGCATCCTGCGTCAACATCTCCCAGCGACCCATACTCGGTCCAGTACAACAACTATTATGGTGGCTGTGGGAAAGGAGTTGCTGCACTATGGCTTCGAACAGTGCAANAGATTTTTGCGAACCCGTCTTACGCACGAGAGCTACTCACTTTGTACGGCGGCATATCGTATACAGACTACGTCGATGCCCCTGTTGTTGATGGACAAATCGCAATAGATGTCTATCAGGTCTTGCAGATCATCGATCATAACGTTTACAGCTTCGAGGCCGGACATGCTCAGCAACCCTATGGCACTACCAGACATTCAACCAACGAAGATCGAGAATCAGTTGGCCTCTTCCAACACGCATCATACATGAACCACAGCTGTCTGAACAATTCGAGCCGGAGCATGACGGGCGATATGATGATCATAAGGGCGAACAAACCTATACCTAGAGGCACCGAGATCACTACGTCTTACCTGTCGCCTAGTATTGGCGAACCAAGACGTAGTGCCGAACTCAACAGGATCTGGAAGTTTCAATGCGACTGCAAGCTTTGCGCCAGCGAGATTGCTTGCAAAGTTGACTGGAAACCAGTATTCGATGAGATTAGATCTCTCAGGTTACCACGAGATTTGCACGACCCAACCCTCCTGAGAGACAGGATCCAGACAGCAAAAGAGCTTGTTGCGAAGTTTGAAGAGTGTTATCCTAAGCACTTGTTCAAGGTGGGAGAAATGCCTTGTATCGCCCTTCGAGAACTGCAAGAGATTCTCATGGTTGCGAATAGTCGTTTGGGTGATCACGACAGCTCACGCGAGCATGCGCTGTGTTTCGTCCGAGATAGCGGCTACAAGATTTCATCCCGGCAGTCATTTGTCTCGATGGACTGGAAGAATGGAATCCCAAGCAAGGAAATGGTGGACGCGTTGTATCTGCTTGCGAATCAGGAGGCTTGTAGAGGAGTTGCAGAACAATATCTGTCTTTGGCTAAGCAGATGTACCTGATCGTCAATGGCACATGTCATGCCTGGGAAGTCGCTTATGGCGAGCTTGGGGCTCAATGACGAGGTGTATAGATTGAGCATCCTCGGATCAACAAGTCTGTTGACAAAGCAACAATTTTTACAAGCAGGAAACAATGGAGACTCGTGCCGAGTTGGGAATGCTGAATATCACTTTGCCTGATTTTTCTTGCTTTATTTTTCAGAGCGGATGTTACATGGAATCGGTGGAATATCGGCTTCATTCCATTCCATTCCACCACTTCCAGCTAGTATTCCATTCTATGCCAATTCTCTAGTGGAATGATGCCAATTCCAATTTTGCTGCTGTTGTTGTCGTGTTAGGGGTCACCCTGTCGTTTGATTAGTAATCATCAAGCTTGGCACGATTATGTAAGCGCGATAAGATATGAAGATCAACATACCCAATAGAATTAATTGTTTCTGGTGTAACCCTGGCTGTCCGCTTTCTTGTCTTTCAATCACTCTTAACGTATCGAGCATAGATATTTGCCGTGATGAAGGGACAGATTTGTCGGTTTCGTGGCTGTGGCGATCGCTAGTGGAACACATGATTGATGTTGATGTTGTCGTAAGGCTCGTTGCTAGAAGCAGCTGGGAGTGTCATGTCCCAAGCAAGGACGGGCGGAGTAGGAACGTACAACCTTGGTGTCTCGACCAACGATCGTCCCTTTCTCGAGAACTGATATGATCCGGGTGTTTTCGCGCACGAGACGAATACAGCATATGGTGGTGGCCTTGTCGGAGTGAGGAAGGAGTCACCTTCTTTGTGGAGTGACCGAGGGACGGTCCCTGACAGGCCATGGTCCAAGCGCATGAGCGAGAGTGGTCATTAAGCTCCTGATCCATGACACTATCGAGTTCGAATGCTGAATACTTCCTTTGCTCCTCGTCCACACAGCACCAATTCCTCGGCATCTTCAGTATGAGTACATTCGCCTCGACGGCCTTCCGCCGTACCGCACAAGCAAGCCGGGCACCATACTGGCAAGCCCGTGCCGCCAGATTCACCAAGCAACAAGTTCGCTCAATTGGCGACCATGGCACCAAGCCGCCGCTTCCTCCAGGCTCCCCCCAGCCCTCGAGAGTCGTTGCACCCAAGACGCGCCTCGCCGTCGGTGTCGTCTTTGTCGGTGCCCTGATCTACTCAATGGTACACTCGACTCCATCATGACGCACTTGGACCGCTCAGCCACTGACACACGACCAACCAGNNGCAACCGGAGATGTAGAGCACACCGAGCCGCCATCGATTGCAGAGCGCGATAGTCTCAGTAAGCGCGAATCCGGCGTCACCCAGACGTCCCCCATGCGTCTGAGAATGGAACAATTCATAAAAGCAAAGCAGGAGGAGATCGTCCGCGAGCTTGAGAAGGTCGACGGCACCCGCTTCAAGGTCGACAAGTGGGACCGCCCCAATGGCGGCGGCGGCATCACCTGCGTCCTGCAAGATGGCCAAGTCTTCGAAAAGGGCGGCGTCAACACCAGCATCGTCTACGGCACCCTGCCGCGCGCCGCCATCAGCAAGATGAGGGTCAACCACAAGGCCTTGGACCCGGACGTCGAGAGTTTGGAATTCTTTGCCGCCGGTCTGAGCATGGTCCTGCACCCCAGCAATCCCATGGCTCCGACTGTGCACTTGAACTATCGCTACTTTGAGACTGCAAATGCCGACGGCACCCCCAATGCCTGGTGGTTCGGCGGCGGCACTGATCTTACCCCTTCGTACTTGTTCGACGAAGATGTCATCCATTTCCACCGCACAATCAAAGATGCTTGTGACGCTCATGACAAGAATTACTATCAACGTTTCAAGGAGTGGTGCGACAAGTACTTTTATGTTTCGCACCGCGGAGAGACGCGCGGTGTCGGAGGCATCTTCTTTGATGACCTCGACGAGACCGAGAAGGACCAAGAAGCCCTCTTCTCCTTCGCCCAGTCGTGTCTCAATGCCTTCCTGCCTTCCTACGTCCCCATCATCGAGAAGAGAAAGGACATGCCCTTCACCGAAAAGGAGAAGGCCTGGCAACAACTGCGCAGAGGTCGCTACGTCGAGTTCAACCTGGTGCACGATCGCGGCACCAGCTTCGGCCTGAACACACCCGGCTCTAGAGTCGAGAGTATCCTGATGAGCTTGCCCTTGACCGCTCGCTGGCAATACATGCACGCTCCCGAGAAGGGCTCAAGGGAAGAGCGCATGCTGAGCGTCCTCAAAGAGCCCAAGGAGTGGGTATAGAGAGTTGCAGGAAGAATAGAATTGTAATATCACCCTTGTACAGAGCATCTGCGGGCGGATGGTTTGGAATATCTGTAGAACAACCCAAAAGAAGAAATGCAGCATGTCGTCATGACTTTTCCTGGATGATGTCAAATAAACAGTCGGAGCTTCATCCATCTTTTGAACCATAAACAACCAGCACTACCCACAATCGCACCTTCCAATTCAATTGCAAGAAAAGAAAGAACACTTAAAGAAACCGGACTCATCGCCGTAATCAACAATGTCGGCCCAAGGCGCCTTCCACCGCCTCCTCTCCTTCTTCGCAGCCCGCTCCCCGCGTCCAAACACCTCGACAATAACCTTCATGGACTCCCTCCGCGGCGACCTCTCCCTAGGTCTCAACTTCCCCGTCGCAGTCTTCCTAGCCACAGTTCGTCATCTCGTCTTCCGCAACACCGGATTCTGGTCTTTGACCATCTACATCCCCACCGTCCGCACAAGTCGCAAACTGCTGGGTGGGCCTTCTGCATGCAAAGATTTGGATGAGAGCAAAAGATATGGGTGTGGGGAGTTGGTGACGCTGGCAAAGGATGATGGTGTTGTTGCGCAGGCTGATGCAGTGGGGTTGTGGATGATTGCTGCTGAGACGGATGGTAAGGTCAAGGGAGAAGAGGTGAGGATGTTTCAGAAGGGGGAGATTATGGAGAGGATTGCTTCTCGTAGAAGGGGTATGGACAATGTATTGCCGTTTTGGAGGGGTGGGCCTTTGATGNTGAGTTTCTTTTTGCTGCTGGACTTGGGCGATGCTGATGTTCTCGATAGTCCTTTTGCTCATTCGTGGGCTGTCAAGAAGGCTTTTGATGTCGAGGTTTATGATGGTCACAAGAGAGCTTGAGGCTTCTCTTGCCATCTCACCATAGGTATTCCTACGACTGCTTCGAGATGATAATCCACAACAACGCCAGCAGTCTGGAAAAGGACAACGGCCGCCAATGAGAGGACCTGAGCACTGGCCGATCGCAACAAGGATCCACTACGAATTGGGGTTCGCTCTTTCTTCATGTGCTAAGTCCATCATATCCGACATCTATTTAACGACGACTTAGCCACATTGCACCTCAGCCAGATCACAGTGGCTATGGACGCCGGAGTCAGGGTCCATAAAAGGACATTCGAGGTCTGGATGTTGAGAGTGTTGCGCATTTTCGGGTACACATGCGAACAAACTTCAAGCACAAGAGACGGGCACGAGTGGAGATGCAGCTCGCATCTTCGATGACATTCGCTTATCGCATCGAGTCTCGCGTGGCATGTTTCACACATTCACGCAGTTTCCAACGAAAACAGAAATACGGACGGAGTTGCCTCATCCTTCAGCCTAGGATAATTCTACCTAAGCAAACTGTATCCTTTCGTAAGAATCGTATACCGTAAACAACCGAAAGTGTTTGCTTGTCAAGCCTTCCTTTTCTTGCGCCCAGCAAGCATTACATCAATCCTATGATTTTACCATTCTCCTCCTCAATCAATGATGTTTTTCCTTCGCCTCCAACTTTTCTTCTCATCTTCATCATCGAGGTCTCGTCTTTGACTTCTCCCAGTTCTCCACTTGCACAATGTACCTAGCCGGGGTGGTAACTCTGATGTGCGTGAACTTCTTCATCCACTCCTTTGGATCCTTGGAATTGTCTGGTTGCATCAGGCCAGGTGTTTGAGCAGAAAGCGTGCCGTGCTGTTCATAGAGAACATTGAGGCGGCGGTAATTCTCGCACTCCTCGATACCATGGCCTGCAAACCAACCGACCAGGAAATCTGTGGCTTCTTCTTCACTGCTGTCCCACATGGGAGTATAACTAGGCATTTCGCTCTTTGGAGGCGAATAAAGCATAGAGGGTGATTTCATGTCTGAGCGGAATGGGTTGCGACTGTTATCAGCCACAGGGGTGCCTAGCAGCTCACAGACTAGCTGCCAACATTTGATTCTAGGCGAGTCTTCGGCAAGAATGCCCTTCTCCCGGTCTTCATCAATCAGCTCTGCGAGCCATGCCAAGATTCCGGGTCGACAGTAGACACGCTCATTTCGTCCACCTTCGGGCTTTTTCTTGTAGCCTTCATAGATACCCAAGACTTGGAGCGCTTGAGCTGGGTGATACTTGAAGATGTCGTCGGTGATGAGCGTGAGTGTGCCGCTTGGAAACAGACGCGTGCAGTTGTACTTTACCGGCGAGTCGGGACGAGATATGACAGACTTCGAAACACCGATTTGAAAGATGTTAACTCCCGTCAGTAAAACATTTGAAAATTCTGGCACTTTCCAGAAGTCGTTCATCGAAGGGTGAAACAGGACGACCCTGTTGCCGGACGATCCCTTACTACAGAACTGGTTCCAGAGGTCACAATCGTCTAAATGAACGAACCTTGCGCCAACTTCGTTCAGAAAAACCTCGACAAGCTTGGTTTCTGGTGTTCCTCTGGGGAAGAAAAGATACACTGTCTTTTCGATGTGCTTGCCCTTGTTTCCGGCAAACAATATCTCAGGGCTGAGGTCCAGATGTTCGGCACACATCGAGATGAACGAGCTCTTGGTCGGCTTGGTAATGATTGGGTACAAAGTGCCAGGTACCGCTGCTTGGAGATACCATCGTAGGCCAGGTTTCTCCGGACCTCGATGAGGCATAAATTTCCAGTCTGGGTTGCGAGTAGCATACACGACAAATATAAAGCCGTTGGTTCTGATGGCAACGCAGGAAGAGTGTAGGACCAGGAAATCCTCAAGGTAGGTAGCCACAGTGTCTGCCGGCGCAAACACGACACCGCCAGATGCCCAGACCTTGTCCTCCGAGTACCAATAGGCCTCAAAATCACGCGAGCGGCAGATCTCGGAGCCCTCAAAAGAGGGGTCCTCACCAAAAGTGTCGAGAAACTTCAGTCGGCTTGCTTTAGTGTCGAAGACCAGTTTCAAATCCGTGGTATACGTAGGTGGGGAAGCAGGTCTGATGCTGAGACACATGTTGACAGGATCTGCAGTATCCTTCTCGTTCATCGCGTTTGGCATTGCAGCAGTGGGGACGTGGGCCACATTGAGAGGCGGCTCTTCAGTCAGGACCGGCAGTTCAGCATCTTCCATGTGAACATCTCTTCCTGCGCCATTTCTAGGCTCAATTGATGCAGTGGACGCCAAAGATGGTGATTGGATCGGAGTTCGTTCATCGGGACGGAGTCTGAGATGTGGCAGGCTTGTTCTGTCTCGGCGACCTTCTGCCTCGTCCTGACGCAAACCGTAACGATCGGGGCTATCAGAGCGATGTCTTGCCAGGAAGCCGTTAACGTCTTCAGGAGCCTCTCGTCTGGCGGCATCGACATTCTGTTGATAGTCGTAACCGTGAAAGTACTCACATTCCTCGTCAGAGAATTTGCATCGGCGTTTTACCCAATATTCGCAGGTAGCAGGCTTCTTAGGAAACATCTGCCCGGTCCAGGTATGTGCATAAGGGCACTCTTCTTCAGAACTTCTACACGTGCCTCTAAACCAGAATCGACATGTTATGTGTTTTCTGGAGAAGCGAGATACGTTTGGTCGGACTGACGAATATGCGAATCTTGGCTCGGTCTCTTGCGCCGATTGGGGTGCTGGAATACGTCCTTGGAGAGGCTCACGCTGCAATTCAGAGGTTGAGACAGAGTGTCTTTCCGAGGCAGGCGCTGATCTCGCAGCCGCTGAGCTTGTTAAGTCTGAGGTTCTGGCCACGTTGGTGTCTAGTCGCAAAGCGTCAGATGTGGATGGAGTATTGCCATCTATAGAATCTAGGATTCTTCCGGTATTCGGATCTACAAATTTCAGAGCGTTCGGGTCGGGCGGAGGTTCATTGTGACTGTATAGCTGCATTCGTCTCTGCATGGATAGATTGACGAATTGTGCATCTTTCGAGTCTTTGGGAGTGTATTCGTTGATTCGTTGACGCTGTCTGGACTTGACTTTAGGTTCAAGAAACAACTTTATCGGGACTGTTGCTCTTCGAGACGGTCCAGCGACAGCTCTCTGTACATTGTTGGTAGCAGTAGAAGGTCCTGGGTCTGGTCGATCCTTAGCCACTGCCACATGGCTCTTACTAGTGGTTGTTGATGACGCGTCCTTGTTCTTGGAGTTGTCTCTCGGCTCGGTCAGTACAGCGGCAGGGGTCGCGTCGGAGGCACGACGCTGGATGAGATTGCCCGGGCCTGTCGATGGATTTGGTACCGTAGATGATTTGACCAGGTTAGATTGCTGAGGCTTTGCGGAGCCACTAACGGTTTCGTTACGGGTTTGCTTGGGGGTTTGGCTTTGGATATTGCANACTTGGCTAGCAGCTCCACTAGACTGGGGCTTCTTTTGGACGCTCGAGGTAGTCGGTGATTTTGGCCTAGATGTGACTACAGTTGCTGCTGTGCCTAGAGTAAAGCCTTAGTTAGTATAGGATGCAAAGCCTTCGACAGTTTATGAGAGCTCTTGCGGATCTGTAAATGCCCGTTTGAGGGCAGAGTGTGGCACAAGATTAGGCAGTCATTTGTTGGAAACAACTTGATCTTCACAGGCCTTTAGTTGTACTCGACCTTGTGCAGTACTTGCACTTGTAAGGAGCCGCCCCAGCACCAAACTGTTGGAGCATAGGTCGTGGAGGCGCTGGCACACAATATCTATACCTTTATTGGACGTACCTGATCGTTGCTTCGTGGTTTCTCTTGCGTTGGGTGGATCGTTCACACGAGCCCGTTTTGGCACAGTTGTTGAATGTGACGACGGAGACTTGCGTGGACTTTCCACAAGAGTAGTTGTACGCTCGTTGAACATGGAATACTGTGAATTTGAGACATCGTTGACTGACAGCGCTGGAGAAGGCGAGCGCGGGTCGGACAGAGACCTCTTACGTTTCCGGCTGGCAGATCCACTAGGAGATGAAGGCTCGAAGAGCGGAGTGGCTTGTTTTCTGGGCGACCTCTCAGTGGCAGAAGACGGGGTACTGGTAGCATCGCGGGCTGATGCCTTTCTTGCAGTTCCCTTCTTGGCCAATTCCTTTTTGGGAATGAGACGGCGACGAGGTGTAGGTCCGCGGGCTTCTCTCTTGCGGCGCTTCTCTGCGCGTTTGGCGTGTCGACGTTCGCGTTGCTCTTCATCCAGCCTTACCGCGGCATCGAATTTGGCAACTTTGAAAAGTTTAGCACGACCCTCGGCGACGTCTCGTTTGTGGAGTGCCCAATTGACGAGACAGTCAGGGTCGACGAAGTGCTCGGGTGGCTCCCAGGTGGACCTGTGAAGTTCGTAGCCTTCCCATTTGACCAAGTACAGTGGTTTGCCTTGGTCTGTCTTTCGCTCTGCGAGTATCTGATGCAAGTCAATATGGGGAGAGGAAAAGCAACAGCGGGCGACTGACTTTTTCGACGCTGTACTCTGCTTCAAAGTCGCTTTCGACAGTGCTATTGGTCTTGACTGAGTCAGTGTCGTCGTCTTCGTCGAAGACTAATCGAGACTTAGGTGTGGCCATGATGATGAGTGAGTGGAAAGATCATGACAACGCGTCGGAGAGTGAGACTCTGTGAGGGTGCGGCACAATTGCGGAAGTGACAACAATTACGGGAAAAGTTGATGATTTGGATAGGAGTAAGTAGTCGCGCCTTCTGTGATAAATGATGGGCACGTGTGTGATGCTGCCAAGGCTTTGATATGGGCGGCGCGGATTGGCTGAAGGTGGGGAAGGAGAAGGGAAGGAGCAGTGGGCGTTTGGCGTTGGCGTGTCTCTCTGGACCGGGCTTGGGCTTGGGCTGCCTGGAGTTTCAAACAACAGCTGATCTCGCTCTTTCTGCCACAATCACTGTCCTCTTGTGCTCGACCGTCTGTTATTTCTGATCGCCAACATCCAGCCGTGCGCTCTATTGCCAACAATCACTCTCGATTCCGCCCTCGCCTTCTCCGCTGCCACGCCTGCTGAGATCCGCCCCTCCTTAATCCACCCCCGACTCCACGACGCATTACCACCATGGCCAACGACGAGTACGACGTAAGCTCCTCCCCGCCGCTCTTGTCGCGACCGCAGCATTAACACCCTCTCCAGTTCCTCTTCAAGGTCGTCCTGATTGGAGATTCTGGTGTCGGTAAATCCAACCTCTTGAGCCGTTTCACCCGCAACGAGTTCAACCTTGATTCAAAGTCGACCATCGGTGTCGAGTTCGCTACGCGCAGCATCCAAGTCGACAACAAGACCATCAAGGCTCAGATCTGGGATACCGCCGGCCAGGAGCGCTACCGCGCCATCACCTCCGCCTACTACCGTGGTGCTGTTGGTGCCCTGCTCGTCTACGACATCAGCAAGCACCAGACATACGAGAACGTCACCAGATGGCTCAAAGAGCTGAGAGATCACGCCGACAGTAACATTGTCATTATGCTGGTTGGAAACAAGTCCGATCTGAGACACTTGCGCGCCGTGCCTACCGAGGAGGCCAAGCAGTTTGCCAGTAAGTCTTTATTGTGCTTCCAATTTGTCAGCACACCGCTGACCGTCTCTTCTTTTTCTAGGCNNGAGAACAACCTCTCGTTCATTGAAACCTCTGCTCTGGATGCCAGCAACGTTGAGCTTGCCTTCCAAAACATCCTCACAGGTATGCATTCTACGTTTCAGTGCCATGATTCCATCTCACACGTGCTCCAGNAAATCTACCGCATCGTTTCCAGCAAGGCTCTCGATCAAGGCGAGGGCAAGGAGAGCGGTCCCGGCAGCGGTGCTCCTGTCAGTGTTCCCTTGACCAAGCCTGCCGACGGTAACGCAAAATCCGGCCAGTGCTGCTAAATGCACAACATACCTCGATACCCGACCCATGAACAACTCCAGAGAGCATACGATATGAAAAAAATGAAGAAAATACCCTGGAAATGCTGCACACGCTCCCTTTGGGCGATGTCGTGTGACCTCTCCCCTTTCGGCGTTATAAAGGCGTAAACGATTTCGCCATACACCATGCGTATCACTTGGAGTGAAGCCTTATACAACTCTTCTCCATGCGGACGCTCATTCTTCCCACACCTGCGTTTTTCTTGATCGCCATCTAATCTCCTTGTCATGTTTACGTTGCGGATGTACCGGGCTGGAGGGAACATGCTTTTTGTCTTCTTCCTGCTTTCTTGTCTTTTTGGTGTTTATACATCGGGGGAAGGGGTCTCTGGCACTACGAACATGGGAAGACTGCCGCCTTCCAAGGGGAAGAAGGGATCATGAGCTTTCTTTCTCTAGACGCCGAATGAAGACGAAATGCGAAACATGCCTTTCTTGCCTATTTCATGTCATGACTTCTTCATACTTTGGTCATCTTTCGAGTCACTGGGACCTACCCGTTTTTGTGCTTGTCAGTACTCTCTCATTCAAGGAGCACCAGTCACGTAGCTACTCAAAGTCAAAGTACTGTGCATGACTGTGGGGCACGATTGTGGTGTTATAGCATTTCTCTACCAGCGAGTCTAAGTTAGACTACCTAAGCATGTTTAGAATTTTCTAAAACCCTCATTGCCAGTGACCATGTTTTGGCCCTTCTGGCTGATGTCCTGACTTGGTTGCACCCAAGCCTTCGAGGCGTCGGTGTGCTTCTCAGTTCCAAACTTCTCAATGCACCAGTCAAGAACAGTATCAAACTCTCTCCTACTCTCCTTTGCGAGAGCTTCCTTGTCTCCTTGGCCTTTGGACAGCTTTTCTAGGCTGTCTACAAAGTCTCTGGCGGATTTCTGAGGTGGCATCTTGGTTTCACCTTGACTCTTTTTCTTTTCAACCTCGGCCTTTTCTTCGTCTGTGGCTTTTCCCCAAACCAATTCGAAGGGCTCGGAACTGAAGACATCGTAGTACCAGGCTCTGGTGTTGTTGAAGTCTCCTTCTATACGGTGGAGAATACCATGTAGGTACATGGCCTCAAAGGCGGGATCGGACTGCATATGTCGCACGAGAAAGTGGGCGGAGGGCAGGTCATGGTTGAGAAGATGCAACAGAGCCTCGAGTGCTGGGTGCAGATACAAGGATGATATCTTGTCGGTCAAAGCGGGATCGAGGGCTTTTGCTGGCGGGAGCAGCGGCACAGGAAGGGAATTGAGGTGACGGAGCAGCTCGTCAAAGCTGACGGCACTGTTTGCTGAATACACGCTGGTCATGGTGTCGTTCTCTGGATTTGCTGCAACAAAGCTACACGTGCTTGGACAGACTCCTCGGAGGCTATATCTAAGGGCGTTTATCCAATGCGCGGAGCATCATCGTCGTCGTCATGACCCAGTAGGGCAGCGGTGGTCGGCCCGGCGCCGACTCAAATAGCAGGAGACGTCATGTCGCCAAACCGGGAATGATGGAACCTGTTTTGGCTTGTAGGTGGAGCTCGCACGCTTCTTGACCAAGCTTGAACAAGCTGCAAGCACCTCTGTTTATATACACAGTGACATCCTCCAGCAATCTTACAAGCCTCTCCGACCCTGACAAGACGAAGGCGAACAAGATCGTACTACGAGCGACTCGGCACCCCCAGACATCACGGCCCCAGATTCCATCTCACCACCGCCTTGGCCCCACGTCATCCTCGAGATCGACAAATAAACAACTCGACATTCGCTTTTCGTTTTGCACAGCCAAGGGTCACTTGTCTGTAGCAGAATATGGTCGGCACTAGGAATGTCGCTTCGTTTGGCGTCAAGAGAAGCCAGAGTGACCGCAATGGTCGTCCGGACCAGCCAGATGTTGAAAGCGGCTTGAATGGCAGGAACAAACCAAACTTGTTCAGATTCAGGGACGCCGCCCGTACCGCTCTGCACGACAGCAGAAGAGAGGAGCTCAAGAAGAAGATCCTAGATGGTGTTGAGAGCGTAGACATCGAGCATTACAGAAAGTCCGATGACGAGCTCAAGGAGATCAAGGACAAGAAGGTCAGAAAGTTCTACCAAGATCAGAACAATCGTCTTGACGATTGGGCCGAAGTCGATGCTCTGGTCAAGGCATTGGCCGATGATGTTCTGGACAGCATGAACCCAGACGCAGATGGTGATGGTCAACAAGAACGTCATGGAGGCTTGCAAGATGCCGGCGGCGCCATCTGGGAGTTCCTCCCTGACGATGTCAAGGAAAACAGACAAAAGGCAGAGAAGAAGGCGAAATGGGCCATTAACATCAACGTTATTGCCAACATTCTGCTCCTGATCGCTAAGCTTGCCGCCGCTTTCTACTCGTCTTCCCTCTCCNTGATCGCCTCGCTGGTCGACTCGGCTCTGGATTTGCTATGTACTCTGATCGTCTGGAGCACCAACAAACTGGTCCAATGGCGTCTCAAATCACTTCGAAAGCGCTTCCCTGTTGGACGTCGTCGCCTCGAACCCCTGGGTATCCTCGTCTTCTCCATTATCATGGTCATCTCCTTCCTCCAAATTCTGCAAGAGTCGGTTCAAAAGCTGATGCCCGATGCACCCCACAAGGCGAAAGAGCTGCCAGCTATTGCTATTGGCGCCATGCTCGGCACTGTCATCATCAAGGGTATCATCGGTCTCGGCTGTGTTCGTATCAAGACGACTCAGGTGCAAGCTCTGGCCCAGGACTGCAAGACCGATGTCGTCTTCAACACGCTTTCCCTTCTATTCCCCTTCATCGGCTACAAAGCAGATCTGTGGTGGCTGGACCCTGCAGGTGCTGGTGTTCTATCCCTTTTCATTATCTATGATTGGGCAGGCACCTGTTTCGAGAACGTTACCAGACTCTCCGGCCAGGCAGCCGATGAACAGCTGCAAAAGAAGCTGCTGTATCTCTGTTACCGCTTCTCCCCTGTTGTCGATGGCTTCAAGAGCATCACCAGTTACCATGCCGGCGACGGTATCTGGGTTGAGATTGACATCCTTCTCAACGACCAGGCTAAGCTGCACAGCACCCACGATATTGCAGAGACTATCCAGTACACATGCGAGGGTTTGACAGAGGTTGACCGATGCTTTGTCACCTGCGATTNNGTAAGTACTGCTTCTACTCCAGCTTTCACAAACAGAGCTAACAATCTCCTCCTAGACACTTCCTCTGGCCCCAGTGGCCACGCCGCCGACTCGGAAAGAGTTTGAAATTTCTCGCAGAATATCTTGCTGGGAGCGCTCAAGCTTGTGTTCTCACGAAATCTCTTCCTCTATCTTACAATACATGTCCATCTGTGATGGACATCACTTTACCATACACCTCCTGGCTTTGAGGTAAAATTGGGGGAACTTACATTGGAACAACAAAGCATTGTTTGTACAAAACAGCATTTGGCATTCGGGGCATGTGCATGTCCTTTCCCTTTCATTTCTGGCCGTTCTTCATTTTGTATCTAGTCTAAAAATTGTTATCTTTTGTAGTATGTACTCTAGTAGTCAGAATCCATCTTTATTTACTTGATCCACTCGTTGTCTTTGGTTTTGCTCTAGCATGCTTTGACGACAAGTATGGCTTCGTTCGAGCCCTCGTCCGAGTTCGAGTCTAAGTTCGAGTCTAAGTTCGAGTCTAAGTTCGAGCTTCTACTCAAGCCTCTACTCAAGCCTCTATTTAAGCCTCTTTGACTTTCTTTCCTTGCTTAATCTGGTCATTGCCTCCAGTTTGCTCCAGTATACTTGGCCAGCGAAGGTAGAACAAGGAAAGTTATTATACATTTAGTAGAATACAGAGGGTATGAAAAGATTTGTCATTCTCTTGCTTCAACTGTCTTTCAAGGGTGTGCGTATACCAATTGGTTCGCTTCATCGTCCACTTCGAGCTCCAGTTCGAGCCTCCAAAATTCGAGTCGATTTCTCAAATCTCGTAGACCGTTTACTACAATCAAAATCACAATCGACCAAAGAGTCTTTACCTTGGTGAAATTTTATGGCAAGCGCAACACGTGTGCGCAAGACTTGTTTTGAGATCAACCTGTTTGGCAGTGCTGGAATTTTGAGTCTTGCTTCACTAAACATCACCTTACTCATGAATGGGAAGCTGATTTGATTTGCATACATTGATCTAGCTACACATATCGTTTGTATCGTGTAGTCTCATTTTCATGTTGTATAGTGTACCACTCTACTTCGTGTAGGCGTGGGCCGAAAGCCACTCTCTGATGATCTCGAGATCGTGCTGTGCATATCTGGCTCTGCCCTTGATTGTGTCACTGACAACAGCAAGACCACGGTCGTAGCCAGCGTTGTCCTTGTCCTTGAAGAATTCGGCAATGTCCTTCTCGACCTCGAAGCTTGAGAATCTGTTCAGACTCATGCGAAGGTATCTTTCGAGGACGACCATGTTGTTGCCGAGACGCTCTCTCAACATGCTCCAGTTCTCCTTGATGAAGTGCCAAACTTCGAGCTTGGTCTTTGAGTTGAGAGCCAATGCTCTAGAAGGAGTGTGCAGATCTTGGGTGGCGACATCGCCGCTGAAAGACCACCTGAGGTATTCTTTGGCCAACTCAGTGGATTGGACTCTGCCAAGGGCTTGGAGGGCAATCTCCTTGCCGTCAACAGAGGTCGTGTTGAGGTACTCCTTCATGACAGCATCGTAGGCAGGCTTGCCACCTTCCTTGACAGCAATCTTGAAGGTAGCGGTGCGCAGACTGGGGTGGATGGCCTTCTTGTCGCCGCCCTCAGTGAAAGCGGCGAAACGCTTCTTGGCCTCGGCAACAACGCCCTCGTGTCCTGCCATACCAGCAGAAGCGAGCAAAAGAGCACGCAGCTGACCAGTCAGATAGTCGTCGTGAGGAGCAAAGTCCCAACCAATCTTGTCGGTAGCCTCGCTGACCAAACGCAGAGTGTACTGGCGAAGACCCTCGGAGACCTGCTCATCATCTGCAAAGACAGATCTGATGTTTCCAAGACTCGAAAGAACTTCGGACCAGACAAGGTAGTTGGTCTCCTTGGTGAAGCCCTCAAGGAAGGAGAGAACGCCGGCAGTGGTTGCATCGCCCGAGATGGCAAGAGCTGCGGCATCACCGATCAAACCAATCTTATCCTGAGGAGAGAGCTTGTCGAGCTGAGTCGAGAGCTGTGTGAGTCTCTTGGGAGGCAAATTTGTGCGGTAGAAGCCAGTCTGTTCAGAGTTGAGCTTGTAGAAGCTGTCATCAATCTCACGAATAGTGTCTTCCTTTGTAGTAAGAGAATCGCTCTTGACTTCGGATGAGTTTGAGCCAGACTTGAGACCAAGGGGAATCCACCAGGTAGTCTCGTCCTCCTCGGGCTTGACATCTCCACCACTGAGGAAGCGAGACTGCTTGATGCTGATCTGACCGGGCTCTTCTGCTACGGTGACAACAGGGAAACCAATTTTACGAATCCAGGGGTCCATGAAAGTGTTCACATCCTTTCCACTGGCCTTGCTGAGAGCAGACCACAGATCGCTGGTAGTAGCGTTTTGGTACTTGTGGGCCTGGAGGTAATCTCCAACACCGTGCAAGAAAGTCTCGACACCCAGGTGAGAAGCCAACATACGGATGACTGAGCTTCCCTTGAGATAGCTGATGGAATCGAAAATTTGGTCGACTTCTAGAGCGTTCCTGACGGGAACCTCGATGGGGTGCGATGTTCTCAGAGAATCCAGGTTGAATGCAGTTTGCATAGACTCGGTGACGAATTGCGACCAGACTGACCAGTCTGGGTGAAGGTGGTCAACAGCCAGCCAGCCGACCCAGGTAGCGAAACCCTCGTTCAGCCAGAGCTCCGACCACCAATCCATGGTGACGAGGTTTCCGAACCACTGGTGAGCAAGTTCGTGAGCAACAACGTAGACAATGCGGTTCTTGTACTTCTGGTCCGAGGCGTACTCGTCGAAGAGGACAGCGGTAGTTCTNATGCAATCAGTCAGATGTGCAAGTGCAATATCATTAAGGCCAACAAACCTGTAAGTGATCAGACCCCAGTTTTCCATGGCACCGTGTGANCTAGAATACTTTGTTAACCTGGTTTGGGATTATACAAGGATCAGATAACATACAAACTCATGAACGGCCAGAAGGTCGACCTTGGGAAGAGGATACTCGATACGGAAGATCTCGGAGAAGTAGTCGACGACCTGGTGAGCACTCTCTAAAGCCAACTTACCCTGGTCTTTCAAGCCTCTGGTAGTGTAGACTCTGACGGGCAGGTTCTTGCCATTGTACTTGCGTCTGGTGAAGTCTTCGATGTACTCGAAATCACCAAAAGCCCAGGCTAGGAGGTAGGTGCTCATGACAGGGGTGCGGTCGAAAGAAACAATCTTTGTACCGGACTTGTTGCCCTTCTTGACTTCCTTCTCAGGCATGTTGGAAAGAGCGGTCTGGTCCTCTGGGATTTCAATCTCGAAGTCAAAAGTTGCCTTGAGGTTGGGCTCGTCGAAGCAGGGGAAGGCTCTACGAGCATCGCAAGACTCGAATTGAGTGGACAGCATGTAGTGGTATTCGGAGTCTCTGGGGACAGATGCGGCGGCAGGGACGGTGGGCTTGTACTTGGAACGGTAGAAACCAGCCATNCTAGAACACGAACATGTTAGCACGGGCTCTTGATTGGTCTCAATACTGATACTGACATCGTTGTTCATGATACCGCTGAACTGGACCGAAACTACAGCCTTGTGTGATTGAGGAATGGGCTGGTCGAAGTGGAAGGTGGCCCTCTGGTTCTTCTCATCGTAGGTGATGTTTGAGGCCTTGATGGCGCCCTCAGTCTTGCCTTGTTCGGTTGAGATCTGAGCGCTCTGGACCTTGAGCTGGTGGGTGTTCAGAGTGATCTCCTTAGTCTCTTGCTTGACCTCGACGTTAATGTCGACCTTGCCCTGGTAGGTCCAGCTACCGCCGAGCTCGAGATCGAAGAGGGAGATGGCATAGTTGGATGGCTTGACNCCTACAAAGCAGTGGTGTCAGTCGTTGGCTGGGTAGTCGACCTAAAACACATACACGTCGGGGAGAACGTCTCTGTCGGCCATGATTTTCAACAAGGTGCTGGAAGCAGAGCTTGAACAATGTCTAGAGGAAGAATTTGTACGGAGAGAGAAAGGAATGAAGGACGGCTGCAAGGGCACGCAGCAGTTTAATTTGGGAGTGAGTTCAGGCCTTCCGATAGGGCGTGAGGGGCGTGTGGTATTGCACGAGTACAAACGAGGAAGGAGGGCGCTCGGGAGCTCGTTTGCGACTGCCCCTCCCCGCGATTGCCCTGCAGCACATTGTGCACCCTGAGCCGAAGCAGCGACGACTTTTGCATTGCATCGACAGCCTGCTCCTAGTGAGAGATCTCTCGAGTAACCAGTTTGTCTTTCACAATGTCAGAGAGAGAGCAGACTGGTGACTCGAAAGCGGGGATCGCTTCTCGGCCGCTCCGATGAAATAGAAGAGTTGGCTTGTTGCAACAAGCCTTTGCTCAGCCTCAATGATCGCTTTTCAAACATGTATCTACTGAAATCGAGTGCTCTGAGTCCAGTTCACTTGGCCGTGGAAGACAGTTGTCCCATGAATACATTCGAAGCTTGCTGCCTACTCCCGAGCGCAATGTCTGCAGCTCAGAGCTGAATTGGCTGGCTGCGAGTTGTCGCATTAATCAAGTCCTCCTCCACTACTGTACAAGGCATTAACGCAGTGCCGTATTGAACTCCAAATATGCAATAGTCCTTGGTCCCAAATGTCTTGTGTTGTCGTGTGACCCAACGCCCAAAATGCTTCTCATGTCATCATGCCTCCAACGTGTTTGATGGCTGTGGTTCACTCTTCTAGAGCCTTACGGCAACGTCGATGCATGGTATGCGCCACTCTTTCTTTCCAAACATGTCTTTCAACCACTCTGCCACGCTGATCTGCGGTTGTAGATCGAGTCCCGTCTGTTTCGAGAAACCGTCGGCGACAGAGTGCGCGATAGACGCTGCTGCCGATTGAATGACCGAGGAGGCTACTGCGATGTTGTCTCCGAGAGCGGTGGTTGTGGAGTTTCCGGTATGCGTCGAGGACGAGGGGTCGGGCTGCGGCTCGAACCAATTGTTGTGGAAGTCGTAGACGGAGATGACGAGAACGGTCAGGAGCAGCGAGCAGTAGACGCATGGTCGGTTCAGATAGTACATGGCCGAGATGAAGAGCACCAGGTAGAGCGGCGGCACATTCGAACTGTTGTTTTGGTCAGCAACATGATGGCCGCTCATGATCGGCAAGACCGACATGAAGAAGAGCACTGGAAGCCATGTCCGTAGGCAAAACATGACGGTTTGCCAATTCAGAGTCACTCGGCTGGGAAGCCCTCAGATCGGTTCGGATCGTCTCCTAGGTTTGGTCGAGTCGAGGATAATAAAGTGTTTGGTTTCCCGTTAGGAGGGCCGTCGCAAGGGCCGCGAGTCTTGGCTTCGTCACTGCCATCTTCCAACTCCTTCGCGCCTGAGGCACGTCTTCTGCCGTCGGACATCCTCCGCTCTTCAGCAAAACAATAAACACTCGTGAATCTACACAGGTGAAGTCTGAGATGATACATCCTCTGATATCGCTGATATCCATGTATCATACATCACACCTCGTGCATATCTGACATTCCGCGACTTGTGAGAGACACGGCCTCGGTCAAGGCCACTCACTTCACTCGGACGCCTTCAATCGTTTCTATCCATCCTCTGGGAGCCTATCTCCACTGTCACTCAACCTAAATCCTACTGAATTTTAACGTATCTACTACAAACCGTCCGTCCACTCTTGGTAACCTCTTCCTACACATTAACAAGCTAAGTCAACACCTCGAACATTCGAAAGCATCTTCTACGCTTGTTTTACTGCGTTGCACCACCAACTCCTCCACGCTTCTTCTACTATCAGCCATCACTCTAATCTGTTTCACCTGTATAAACCATCATAGTGAACCTCCCTCCGTCCTTCAGCACCGCACCATTCTTCTATATAAAGCCACACCTCTAACCTCTACTTCTTCCCCAACGACCATCAAACGATCTTTTATCATCGACTACGCAACACTATCTGTCTCTCCCAAGATGCAGAATCTTTCGAACAACCAAAAGCGACCGCTTGAGGACGAGGGCCTTGAAGGTGAAACTCAAGAACATAAGAGACGACACACAGTGCCAGAAAACACCAACATCCGTGACGACGATGGAATATCAGTTGGCTCGGACATAGAGCGTCTGTTTGTCGAAACAGACGATGAAGAAGATACCGAGGTGGGTGACGACGAGCCTGAGCAAGGCCCTGTTCTTTGGTCAGAGGATCAGGAAGAGTATCCTCCATGCGCAATCTACCACGCAGACGTCAAGCAATACCAAGCCCGTATCACAGGCTTTGCCGACAACATTGTTGATCAGCTTTCGAAAGTCTGCCATAGAGGTGGCGACATGGGCAAGTTGCGCGCTGAAGCCGTTGCATGCCAAAGGTTCCCAGAGTCGAAGAAGATCGTCATTGCTCTCATGGGAGACGCTGGTTCGGGTATGTTGTTCATTCCAAACGATAGTGACTGTGCTGATCGTACTCCAGGAAAAAGCTCTCTGATCAACTCTATTCTTGACACACCTCACGTCTCCCAAGAGGTATTTAGATCACCGTTCGCTGACTGATATCCATGGACTGATTTATGTTCCAGGNGCAACTACGGTAGTGCGTGCACATGCGCCATTACTGAGTTTATGAGCGACTTTCCTGAACAGACAAAGACGTTTGCTGCCAAAGTCGGGTTTCTCGATCCTACACAGAGACGCAAGCTCTTGAACGATCATCTCAGAGAGTATGCGTACTACCATTTCGAGAAGGATCCAGACTGGACGTTTGAAGAGGAAAAAGAATACCGTGCCTGGGCTCAAACTGCCGAAGGCACATTCCTGGACCTCTTTCGCGGGAGACCATTCTTCAACAACCGTACAGAGCTGAAGTCATACATGTACACGGCTTATAAGAACGGCACCGGGGTTGAGATCTCTAACGACATGGAGACTTGGTCTAATGAGCTTATCGCTGCACAAACTTCCTCTTTGCAGCTGGCTGTCATCGAGACGGACTGGGCACTTCGACTTCGAAGGGCTCTCAGTCCTTTCTTATCTGCCAGCAACTCATCGACTCGAGAACCGTGCCTCTGGCCACTCGTGTTCAAGGTCAGGTGAGTATATGTAGTGCTTCTTTCTCAAACTGCTCCGTATTGACGTAACTGACNNAGCATTGGTATCAAAGGACCCCGTGTCCTGAAGAATTTGATCTTCGCCGACATGCCAGGTATTTGGCTCTCTATCTCTCCACTGCAACAATATGCTGATCGTTTTANNGGCTTGTCCGACATCAGTAAAGTTCGCGTCAAGGCGAGCAAGAACTACATGCGATCTAGCGACTATCTGTGGATCATAGCTCCCATTATGCGCTGCGTATCGGACACAGGTGTGGATTCTATCCTCTACGAATTTGGGGAACGATTCGCAGGCCGTCTGGCAATGATCTGCACGAAGATCGACGATTGTATGAGGTCCGAATCGTTCAAGACCCAATACCCGCTTGCCGCGAAGACACTGAACAAGTTCGAGAGAAGCTTGAAAGCTGCACAGATGAATGGCTATCTACAAGAGGAAGAAAGCCTCACAAATGCCCGGTTCAGATTTATGGTGCTTACCAGAAATCGAGACATTGCAAACGGAATCTACGACAACAAGTCAGAGTACTNNTTTAAGAAGGGGGAGAATGGCCCCGTCTTCTTCGTATCCAACGAGCACTATATGTGGCTGAAAGGATACAAAGAGTCAGGCACTGAGGAAACTGCAACGCAGTTAAGTGCCGAATTGACGGGTATACCAGCCCTTCGTCAATTTGCTCTTTCGATTCCTGCTCAGAGCATGTGGTTGACCTTCATGGCTCATATCCAACACACTAGTACTGCTTTCATGAAATCTCTCGCAATCTGGGCTGCCAGAATTAACGCAGATCACGGAGAAAAATTGAAGAGAATCAAAGAGAAGAGCATGAAGGCAAGTACGAATGNNAATTATAGTTTGGTCTTCTTACTAACACCCACTTAGGACATCGACCGATGTATTGCAGCTTATGTTGCAGCCGTCCAGAGAGACGCTGTGCAGTCGTTGGCTGTAACGATGCGCGAGAATCTCGATGAGGTTGCCGAGAAAGGCTACGACTACTTGCATGACAAAGTCCGCGGTTGGACCTGGATGACCATCAGGGCAATCATAGTACGAGAAGGCACTTATTTCTCCAAAGCAACCGGGGTTGGAGCTGTCAATTGGAACGAGAAACTGAAGCAACCAGCCGTACGTCACACAATGCCAGAGTGGAACAAGTTGTTCTTGGACGAAAGAAAACATATGGCGGCCACGGAAAAAAGATCACGTGGANTTTTAGACGCTCTTCATTACCATCTGAAAGGTACAATCTCATCGTCTCATGTTGGGTCTGGACACAACTAACATATTTCANCAGAGATGATGCAACTCTACAATATCCCAATGGAAGAGTTTGGAGATTTGATCAAGGCCCAGAAACACGGTATCACGCGTGCAGTCCAACTATCTTCTAATGACTTAGATAAAGATCTCAAGTGCGTCCAGGATTCTTCGTTGAATTCAAAACACTTTCTCACGGTTTACAGGAACACCAGACAGCTCACCGAGAATGATATGCGTTTCGGCTACTTTGCTCAGATGATGAAACCAACTTACAGAGAAGCTGCGGGTATTAAAGGTAAGAGTCATTCTGATATACCTGTGTTCATCGTACTAACTATTTNNACAGGAACTGGCTACAAGAACATCGTGATGACTATGTTCGAAAATCTAATCAACAACAGAACCAAAGAGTCTCCTTTCATCAGAATGGCAGATTACGCTGCCAACAAAGTCGCCCACCATGCATCTGTCTTCTCTGAAGATGTGCACCAGAAATGCAACGACATCTGCGACGAAGTCTTCAATCAATTCGGTGGACTCATGATCGAATCGGAAGACGACGATGGAGATGTTGAGGCTGTCAAGACAGCACTGCACAACTATCTTCTCACAGTCGACGCTGGGATGACCGACATCATCGAGAAGCTGAAGGCCATCGAGAGAGCCCCCGTCGCAAGGCAAAGCCAAAGACTACCGAATCGAGTAGTGGCAAGATCAAGAAAGAGAAGCAGCAGAACAAAGGAGCCAAAGTCAAATCCGAAATCAAGCACGAACGGAACTGAAGGAAGGCTGCTTCCCTCGGCCACGCAGACCGCAACAAGATTGAGTCTTTTCTTAGATCTTCTTTATTCGAGATCTCTGCTTTGCTGAGATCTGATATCTCTTCGTCTTCTTTGCCTCAGACTTCCCTTGCCTTTTCCTTCCATTTCACATGCTTACATGGCTTGCATTTACCATCACATACACCTTCCCAAAGCATTATCAGGATCTATACCCAGGATAGACTCAGCCCACCTTGACTCCCCAGTTACAAGCACCTTTCCCTTTGATTTTGTTTCCCTTTTATTTTACGACGGCACTTTGGAACCACCGGAAAGACAGTTGGCCCTGCGAGACGAATGTGTCTCTGCTCTTTACTTGCCCATAGTCCCCTTCTATACATGCAATACTTTAATTTATGCAGACCAGACAGTACAGTATCATTTCAAAAATAAAAGTGTGCACATCATAACTCGAACGTGAATGTGTAGAGAGTTACTGTTCCAGGAGAGCTTGAATATAGCTTACTCGAGCATCTGATTCATTCGTTATTGCTTATATTGGCTGCAGCATCATTACTCTACGTCACATTGATGGAACATGAATATATTGTGTTTGAAACAATTCGACTTTCGCTAATGCTGGGTTGAGAGAGGGCCGAGTATTTGTGGACACAGAGGAAATCGCAGTTCTTAAAGTACACAAGCTCTTGGTAATCTCCATTCACCTCAAATCCGCCAAAAGACGACCCCTCCCTTTTTACAAATGTCGCTTTTAATCTTTTGATATTCGTCGCGGGTATGGCTATGGCAGATTGCCCAGAGAGCTCCTCATCATTCTCCATTACGAGACATCTATTTGCCCTCAAGCTCGGCAAGAATCTTCTCACCCTTGGCGCGTGCTGAGTCGAGATCACCGACCATGTAGAAAGCACCCTCGGGGAGGTCATCGGCCTCACCGGCCATGATGGCCTTGAAGGACTTGATGGTGTCCTTAAGGTCGACGAGCTTACCCTCAATACCAGTGAAGACCTGGGCAACGGTGAAGGGTTGCGACAGGAAACGCTGGAGCTTACGGGCACGCTCGACGGTCAGCTTGTCAGCCTCAGACAACTCGTCCATACCAAGAATGGCGATAATGTCCTGGAGCGACTTGTACTCCTGGAGCATCTGCTGGACCTTGGAGGCGGTGTCGTAGTGCTCCTGACCGACGATACGGGGGTCGAGCATACGAGACTTGGAATCCAGAGGGTCGACAGCGGGGTAGATACCCAACTCGGAGATACCACGGGACAAGACAGTGGTGGCGTCCAAATGGGCGAAGGTGGTGGCGGGAGCAGGGTCAGTCAAATCATCAGCGGGGACGTAGACGGCCTGGACCGAGGTAATGGAACCCTTCTGGGTGGTGGTAATACGCTCTTGCATACCACCCATGTCGACGGCGAGGGTGGGCTGGTAACCGACGGCAGAGGGGATACGACCAAGAAGGGCAGACACCTCGGAACCGGCCTGGGTGAAACGGAAAATGTTGTCAATGAAGAGAAGCACTNNGAAGAGTGGGTTAGCTAAGCGCACTCAATGAGTAAAGACAGTCCAAGCAAACTCACCATCCTGACCCTCCTCGTCACGGAAGTACTCGGCGACGGTAAGACCAGTAAGGGCGACACGGGCACGGGCACCTGGGGGCTCGTTCATCTGACCGAAGACGAGAGCGACCTTGGACTCGCCGTCGAGCTGAATGACACCAGTCTCCTGCATTTCGTGGTACAAATCGTTACCCTCACGAGTACGCTCACCAACACCGGTGAAGACGGAGTAACCACCGTGAGCCTTGGCGATGTTGTTNCTGTGGCGATTGTCAGCAACTGCAGAGTAGGGGATAGAGACAGGGAAACGCACAATGAGCTCCTGAATGAAGACAGTCTTGCCGACACCGGCACCACCGAAAAGACCAATCTTACCACCACGGGCGTAGGGGGCGAGGAGGTCGACAACCTTAATACCAGTGACAAGAATCTCGGCAGAGGTGGACTGGTCAATGAACTCGGGGGCTTCGGCGTGGATGGGAGCGAGCTTGGTGGCCTTGATGGGACCACGCTCGTCAATGGGGTCACCAGTGACGTTCATGATGCGACCGAGACAGCCGGGACCGACGGGAATCTTGATGGGGGCACCAGTGTCGACGACCTTGCGGCCACGGACGAGACCCTCGGTACCGTCCATGGCAATGCAGCGGACGACGTTCTCACCCAAATGTTGNCTAGAGCTTGTTAGATGATGCATGTTGCAGGGGGACAGTGCGGCGAAGCTTACGGCGACCTCGAGAACGAGCTTCTGGCCACCGTTCTCGGTGGTAACGGCGTTGAGAATGGCAGGCAGCTGCTCACCGTCGAACTTGACTNNGTAGATATGCATCAGTACGGGTGTTCAAGAGGCGACTACGACGTGCGGTCGGCGACAATGGGCGCGGCGGCAGTGGCGCTTGTGCTCGGCGTCGTGGGGAAAAGGTTTTCTCATACCGTCGACGACGGCACCAATGACCTGGTGAATTCTGCCATCGGTGTTGGAGGCGGAGCTGGCGAAGCGCTGGCTCAAGGCGGGAGCGAACGAAGGCTTGATGGGCTGGAAGGCGCGCTGCAGAGTAGCAGGGCGACGGGCAGAAGCCCTCAATGACCTGGCAATGCCGCTGGGGAGCGCAGTCGAGTCAGCCGGGATGTCGTCGCAAAAGTTGGTGGCGACAGCTTGGAGCGTACCTGCTGAGCATTTTGACGGGTCTCGGGAAGGAATTGATGGGAGTGGAGAGGTGATGGAGATGGAGGTCGGTCTGCTGGGAGGTTGAAGTTCGAAGAGCCACCTCAAGTTCTTGCCGGACGGGAAAGGACCGAGCTCGAGATTCCGTGACTTTGCAACTTGGCCAGAAGCAGGAGCGCTGCTGAACATTAATCCTCACCGCCCGGGTCCCTTTACTGGTGAGACCGTCCAGCAGCTTCTTCACTCGCTTTTGCAGCTATGTTACATGTCTATCTATCTTGTATACTCGTAGTTGTGGCCGTGACTGCTTCCTCCACGCAGCCAGGCTCATCTCTGCTTCGAGAGTGGCCAGCACTTCTGTCCTCCCAGATCTCCAGATCGAGGCTAAACTATACCTATTCGGGACGCCCACCCGATTTGTTCCTTCCTGTGCTGCTGCGAGACCGGTGTTTCTGTCTATCAACCTCTCAATGCGCCTGCCTCTGATGGGCACTTTCACTCGCGCCTTCCCGTGCTTGCGACTTACAACTTCATTTGCTACGCGTCGATCATTCAGAAACACTCAATGACATCCAACATCATCCTCTTGAGCTCTTGGACTGCCGAGCTCTCCGAACAGCGTCTTCGTGCTTCCTTCGCGTCTGGCCTAAAATCTTCTACAAGAAGTTAGAACACAACCACACATCGATACGATATCTACATGTCTGGACGCTTCTGTCTCTCGGTCCCCTTGAGCAGACAGACTCTACCTTGAGCAACACATTCTGCAACAACAAAGAATGACGATATACGGTATACAATACTGGTAGAAGCTAGGAAGATGTCCTGTGTGAGCAAGACGCGCTGCAGTGTGCCTGAGCAGTAATACGGCCACCTCCTACACACAAAGACTCCAGCTCTATTGGACCTTCAACAATTCCATAGTCTGCTCTTTCAACCCAATCATTGTTCTTTTCAACAAAGGACATTCGAGATCGTTCTTTGTGTCAGGAAGAGCTGGGTGCAATTGTCTTTGACTCTTGCCGCATATCAAAGCAAGCATACAAAGAGACAATCACATTGTTTACATTCGAGTGTCTGTATAAAATGAGTACCCATGCAGAGTGTCTTTGCGACAACAGGACAGCATCGGATACTAACAGAACAGAGACACCACCGGCCTTCATCAAAGCAAACAAAAGCAATGTCATCCATTCCTCGAAGATCCCGTCTCGACGAGGACACTTGGATCACTGAATTCAATGAGTGGGCTCAGCACAGCGAAAACCTTGTCGACACTTTAAATCCCGACTATTTCAAGCCCATCATCGAAGCAGCTAGTTTTGTCAACGTCGAGTACAAGCTTATGACACTTGCCAGTATGTCCAAGTACATTGACTCCGACGATGCCGCTATCGCAGGGCTGACCGACGAGATCGAGCTCCTGGAGCTCGAGAACAAATATCTTGATGACACTATCGGTAAGATGATCGCCGAGTTTCCCTTCATATCTACCAAGCTTCTTGACGAGTATGTGCTGCTCCAGGAACATGGCCGTCAAACTACCAACAGCGAATCGAATTTCTGCTCTATCATGACCTGGTCGTCTCACTTTCCTCCTGGTTGCCAATACCTGATGCGCATCCGTGCAGTCCACACCCGCAGAATCGAAAACTTGAGCGCAAAACGCGATCTTATCGCCTCTGGCCGTGTTCGTTTCAATCAGTGGTCAAGCAACATGTCCCTCATTCGCTGGGATGTGGACGAGTGGCAACATGGCTATGGCTATGAGCGTTCGCCAATGCCAAATGGTCTCGCTGATTTTGACCCCCCGTCATTGACGGAGGACAATCTCGCAAAGGTTCTCTCGTACATTCGATCCTCGGCTTTCATACGCTGTGAGCGTCGTCGTTCAGCTCTCCTTCGTCTGCAACAGGACAGAGGAGGTCCGAGTGACTTCGTCGCCCCTGGTCTCGTCGACGCCTGGTATCACCGTTTCTCCAAATGGCTGACTCAAACTCCTCCAATCTTGTTCAGCACTAACTCTGCATATGCAGCTCAGTACATTGACCTTGGCGATGAGCTTAAAGCCATGCACTGTCGTTGGACCGCTGAAGCTGAATATCCGCGCCCTCGCGTCTTGGTCACCAAGAACGCCTGTTTTTCGTTGTCAAGAGACAAAACGAGTGTTCGTCGTGATGTCGGTCAATTCTCTCTCCCTGCAAGACACACACCCATCTGCATTAAACTTGATTAGGGAAGGCAAGTGCGTGCTTCTGTTTCTGTATCCTGTTGCCTCGCCTGTTCTACATACATGTCTGTCCCAACCTTGATGGTTGTCTCACATAATAGAATATACTTTTTGTGAAATTCTTTTCTCCTGTGCCACCTGTGCCAAATCGTATCCCCATCCTTTCTTGTCTGTTTGCCATTTGAGAAGTGTTAACACTGTGATATTTTTGGCTATTCCGCTTAGTCCCTTCTCTTTATAAGGTGAAGACACGCTGCTCTCCTTTCCCGATTCACATGTTTGACTCCGTTTTCATTTCCTTGCATGAACTTGACTTACTTACAGAAATTACGCATTTGATCGCGCCATACACACTAAACAAAACACTGCACTACCCGTTGCACCCTTACCATTAATCCTTATGAGAAACTCATCTCAGTACGACAGTTTCCAAGCACGTCGTCGCCTCAACCAAGACCTCATATGATAATCAGGGTCGTACCCTCAACAACCAAAATTGAAGCCCCACAGCACGGCCCACAACCGCCACCAGAAAGAAAAAATGTAGCCATCATCGAGCAGCTTTGAATGGCGAAAACGATACTGGCATACGTTACACGCAGGAGAATCAAAAACAAAAGAAGAATGCCGCTTCTGTGGATCGAACACAGTGCCTCCAGAATACTCTTGATGAACAAGAAGGACGTGAAGTTGACTTCAGTCTGGCGCTCTCCCAGATGAGCTAAAGCGGCTTTTGATGAGATGTGTCTCGAGCGCAATCATACATAATTCTCGACATCGTCCCCAGCCGGAGGCAGCATGGTCCGCGAGAGTAGAAGGCAGAGACAATGCCCATAGAACAGGAACATGATTTCATCTCAAAGTAGGATAGCACGAAGCGCCATTGGCGTTGAGTAGGAAATCGACGAGCATGAGTTTGGTAATGTGCGTTTTGTGCATTTTCGGAAAACAAATTAAAGATACAATCTATAAAGTCGAGTCGTTTCCTCATCTCATCATGCCTGCGGGTTAGATATCATAGAAAAGCAAACAAGATCTGACGCTCCAATTACAAAGTGGACTCGAGAGCAAGAACCTGCAATATTGTTAGCAAATATTTTAGGGGTCAAGTCGTAGATTAAACTTACAATGGCTGTTCTCGTGGGGATGTAGACTTGGAGGAAGTTCTTTCTATCGTTCCAAGCAAAGTCGGTGGTGAAGAAGCGAGTGCTCTCGTCAACACGTCCCAGACCGCCGAACGACGGGCTGTCAGAGTTCAGGACGATACGGTAGGTTCCTCCCTGCTCGACACCAACACGGTAATCGGTGTAGCTGTTTGTTGGGTGGAAGTTGAAGATCCAGAGAAGGCCGGCACGCTCGAAGACAATGACCTTGTCGTTCTCGTTCTTGAGCGAGATGTAAGCTTGCTCAGAGTGCAACCAACCATACTTCTCCTCGGTCCATTGCATCTTGCTGTCAAAGTCGTTCAGGAAGTGGTAGCGGAGCATCTTGTCATCAACGAGGTTGAATTGACGACGAGCGTAGTGGAAGCTATTGCCGTTACCCTCACGAGGGAAGTCGAGCCATTCGGGATGTCCAAACTCGTTACCTTCAAAGTTCAGGTATCCCTCACCTCCCAGGCCGTGAGTGATGAGACGGATCATCTTGTGCAGAGCCATACCACGCTCAATGACGGGAGTGAACTCGCTCAAGGTAGACATGTTGGTGTACATCTCAGCATCGCAAAGCCAGAACAGAAGAGTCTTGTCACCGACCAGAGCCTGATCGTGTGATTCTGCGTATGCGATGGTCTTCTCACCGTGTCTTCTGTTTGTAAGGACGAATGCGAGGTTACCCATGTCCCAGTCAATATCCTCCTTCTCCTTCAGCCACTTGATGTACAAATCAGGGACGGCCATGGCCAGTCTGTAGTCGAAGCCGATACCGCCAAGCGAAAGAGCCAAGCAGAGAGCAGGCATACCTGAGACATCTTCGGCGATGGTGATGGAGTCGGGGTAGAGTTGGTGCAACATCTCGTTGGCAAGCATGAGGTACACGACACCGTCCTCGTCGACTCCGGGACCAAAGTACTCGTGGTAACCTCCAGAGAAACCGGTTCCAATTCCGTGGTGGTGGTAGAGCATGCTGGTCACGCCGTCGAAGCGGAAGCCATCAAAGTTGTACTCCTCCATCCAGAAGCGAAGGTTACTCAACAGGAAGCGCAAAACCTCGTGGTGGCCGTAGTTGAACAGTCTGCTGTCCCAGAGCTCGTGTCTGCCTTTTGCGCCCTCGTGGAAGTAAAGGTGATCGCTGCCATCGAACATGTTCAGGCCGTCAAGCACGTTCTTCGAAGCGTGACTGTGAACAACGTCCAACAAAACAGTGATACCCATGCTGTGGGCAGTGTCGATGAGCTCTTTAAGCTCGTCAGGNAGGCCGTAGCGACTGCTTGCAGCGAAGAAGCTGTTGATCTGGTAGCCGAAACTGGCGTAGTATGCGTGCTCCATGATAGCCATGAGCTGGATGACGTTGTAGCCCAGGTGGTGGATTCTGGGTAGTGTGTTTTGTGTGAACTCTTTGTAGGTAGCGACCTTGGGGTCTGGCGACGAGATGCCGACGTGAGCTTCGTAGATACGGGCACTCTTTGGCTTCGGGGGCTTGGGGTGCTTGAAGGTGTAACGCTCGTTCTTAGGAGGGTTCCAGAAGCGCGCATCGTAGACGGGCGAGACGTTGAGGTCTTGGGTGACTCTGGTGATCCAAGCAGGAATGCGCTCTTGTCTGGCGTGGTCGTTGGGGACGACGAAGGAGACCTTGATCTTTGAGTCGTGAGGAATGGCAGGCTTGCCGTTTTGCTGAGGCAGGGTGATCTCGAAGACGCCGAAGTCGTTCTTCTTCATTTCGTGCGAGTCGCGATTCCAGTTATCTGGCAGCGTGTTAGCTTGAGCAGCAAGCATCGGAAACTGTGTGGTCTTACTGAAGTCGCCAATGAGGTAGGCTCTCAGAGCACTCTGGGCCCATTCGCGGTACACTATGTCGCCATTGGGCTTGACGTTGAAGCCTAGGGTCTCATAGCCCTAGTGACTGTGTCAGTTGCAAGGACTGGGAGTGAGCGCAAGGGGAAGACCTACTCGACTGAACTTTTCGAGACCGCCTTCAGTCTCGTCAATTGTCTTGATCCACTGCTGGGCCTTGGAGTATCTGCTCTTGAGGGATTCCTTGAAGGGCGAGAGCCAGGGATCGAGCTTGACGACACCTGTANNGAGCTTATGCATCAGTAGTGAGCATGGCGCAGAGAGGACGTGCAACATACCAGTGCCGTCATTAGGAATGTCATCGGCGGCCGGGTGGCCCGAGATGGAGTTGTCGGAGGTTTGGTTGATAGGATCCATGATTGGTTCCTCTGTGACAGACAATGAATTGGGAGAAATCTTGTCGAGACAAGAAAGATATACAGGAAAGGAAGCAGAGCAGAGAGACCGCAGGCAGGGTTTTGACGTGAAAGCGATGCTCATCTTTCTCCACCCCCAGCTCACCAGTTCTCCAGCTCCCCTCCAGGATTATGATGCTATCCCGCATGAACTAGCCTCTTTCGGCCCGACTGAGCTGAGCGCCTGCTCAACATTTGACTTTTCCTGTCCAACGCGAACTCGCTGGGGTCCAGATGCACCACCGCATCCTTTTGGCGCTCCAACACCGCCGCCTGCCCAAGTAGCCGTTCTTCCAACCTCGCTGAGCTGTTGAGACAAACGTTTGCGCAACATGTCGTTGACAGGGACACATCAGTTACGTGGGTAGCTTTGGCGTTTGGTCGGACACACATCCGACCAGCCTATCAAAACACTTGGCCCAAGCCACATCTCTCTCTCGAGCTTATCCGTTATCTCCATGCGGGGCTGGATGCATGCCCGAGTCATCAACACTCTGAATCAACCACTCGCCATCATCGGTCGTTGTAGGGGTGTTGCGCCAATTTTCCAGGTAGGCCTGTTCGTCTTGTATCTCGTTGATCCTTTCATTCCACCATGCTCGCTGTATCGGGCCGGTGCTGCCGCCATCGGGCCCAGGCAGTATTTCGTTGTACAAGAAGCTTGCATTCGACCGCTGCCTCCTTCTCAAGCGCTTCGGATTTCCGGTCCAGCTTTTCTGGCCAAGGCTTCACCGGCTACTACGAGCCAGGCGATACTGAAGGTCCTCTGCGGAAAGCCTCTAACATTGGCGCCCCAAAGATCACTCCGCGAGCCCTCAAGAAGCATCTGGACCAGTTTGTAGTGGGACAGGAAAGAGCGAAGAAGGTCCTCAGCTCAGCTATCTATAATCATTATCAGAGAATCCAAGAGATCCAACGGCAACATGAGGAGGCACAAGAGATACTCGAGCGCCAGGCCAGGAGGTCGAGGCATCCTGTAGAAGGTTGATACTACACGACACTTCACCATCGCTACCTGCTAATCACCGCGGACANNGATGAGTTCCCAGGCCATCATGCCACGATACACGCTTGGGTCCCGCCGTCTCCGCCTCCGTCGTACTCTTCACTCGACGACTCGTCTCCCTTGACTATCGAGAAGTCCAACATTATGCTGCTTGGTCCATCAGGAGTTGGAAAGACACTCATGGCAAAGACATTGGCTCGCGTGCTTGACGTACCGTTCAGCATGTCTGACTGTACCCCTTTCACACAAGCGGGCTACATCGGCGAGGATGCGGATGTATGTGTACAACGCTTGTTGGCCGCCGCAAACTACGATGTAGAAAAGGCCGAACACGGCATCATTTGTCTCGACGAGATTGACAAGATCGCCACAGCCAAGGTGTCGCATGGAAAAGATGTTGGCGGAGAAGGAGTGCAACAAGCTCTGCTCAAGATCATCGAAGGTACCACCTTACAGATACAGGCCAAACAAGAAAGAGGGAATAATTCGAATCGCAACAACAACAATCAGTACCCGCATGGTTCACCCACGAACAGCCCACTGAGTAGTGGTGGTGCGACTGGAGGCATGGGCCAGGCACCGGGAAAGAGCGAGGTCTTCAACGTGAACACAAGCAATATTCTATTCATATGCACCGGCGCATTCAGTGGCTTGCACAAAACTATTCTCGATCGTGTAGCAAAAGGAGGCATCGGATTTGGTGCCAACGTGCGTTCAAGCACTGCTCAAGATGGCGGAGCTCAGGAGACGACCATCACCGATGACGATGAGATGATCCGCAAACATCTCCCTTACTACATGCCACCAGCGCCCGAAGAGGACACATACAACCACTCTTCGAAAAGTAAGAGAGCCGCATACAACATTTTGGATCTCGTTGAGCCGCAAGATCTGCAAAAGTATGGCATGATACCTGAGCTAGTCGGCCGTATACCAATATCTTGTGCGCTGTCTGCGCTGGACGTGGACGCTTTGGTCAAGGTTTTGACCGAGCCACGAAACTCGTTGCTGAAGCAATACGAACAGCTCTTCCGACTCTCTTCAATAGAGCTGAGGATTACGACTGCCGCCCTTCACGCTATCGCAGAAACTGCCTTCACCATGGGAACTGGTGCCAGAGGTCTCCGCACTGTGTTGGAAAGGCTGCTCGGGGAGAGCATGTTCGAGGCGCCTGGTTCAGACATCAAGCACATTGCTGTGACTGAAGATGTAGCAAAGAGAAACTCCCCAGCACTATACTTCAGTCGAGATGGCAAGACGAGATTCAACGCTCTGATCGCCAGAGAGGAGGAAGAGTGGGAAGACCGCAAACGCGGCGAAGAACCCATGGAGAGCGACTTTGAGCGCAGAGCAAGGGCGAACAGTCGAGGTGGACACGCCACGACCTTTGAGGAATATCGTCAGAAAACAACCGCTGCCGGGTTTACCTAAAGCACGTTCACATCTGCATGCATATATGGCATAGCGTTTTCCGAGAAGCAATAACGATTGTAATGAGTTCGATTCAGTTCTTTGGGTATATTAAAACATTGCTGGCTTCTTGCTTTGCACATCATTCACGCTCGTCGGTTTACACAGTCCCCCGACATAGTTCAAGCAAGCTTCTTGGTGTGAGCCTCTCTCAGCTTCCACATGCCAAAGTTACGCCAAAACAAGTAGTCNCTGTCAATAAATGGTTAGTGATGCTCTGATCGAATGCTTAGACCACTTACGAAGATTTTGGCCGGCATGAAGGTGTTCAAGAACCAGACGATATACGAGAACGAGCCTTCCCAGAACTGTCTCTTGTGACGACCACCGAGCACCTGGCTCACAACAGACTTTGCGTACTGTTCGTTGGGCATGCCGACTTCTTGCGAGTGCTTTGTACGCCTCAAGTATTCAGCCTCAATGGGCAGGTAGATGGAGTCTCTGGGCAGCTGCCAGTCGTTTCTCGCAATCCTACTCTTGACACCACCGGTGACCACGGTGACGACCTTGACATCGAACGGCTCCAGCTCAACTCTGAGTGTGTTACTGTAGGAGTGCAGGGCGGCCTTGGTAGAGTTGTATACACTGCCAAAGACGTATGGCATAACACCTGCCAGACTACCGATCTGGACAATGGTGCCCTTGGCCTCAATCAGCAGCGGTGTGAATGCCTGACACATGCGCATGACACCAAAGACATTGACCTCGTACGTCAACTGGACTTGCTCAAAGTCAATGTCCGTAGCAGGGACAGTGTAATTGCGCCCAGCATTGTTGACGAGATAGTCGAGCTTTCCACTTGTGCGCGATGCAACCTCCTCTTTCAGAACCTTGATGCTGTCCGGATCGGTGACTTCGAGCGAGAGGGTTTCGATGCCTAGATCGGCGAGGTCGGTGATGCTGTCGGTGTTTCTGGCTGTTGCGAAGACGCGGAGACCTTTGGCGTGGAACTCGCGTGCGAGCGAGTTGCCGATGCCGCCGGGATTGGTGCCAGTGATCAGAATGGTCTTCTTGGACATGGTTGTGTACTAGGATCTTGATGTGCTTGGTGCTTCAAAGCTCAGGCGGCACTTGCATCCAAAAGCTCACCAAGCTGATCAGCTCGCGATACCCTCGGCACGTGAAGGTTTGCAATATGACCCTGGCACGGCAGTGGCGCTCGGCTGGCCAAGCTACCGAGAAGCTTGGAAGGAAGGCTAACAACGACAGGCACAGTTTATCAAGTAATGAGATATGAGAAGAAGCCAGACAATGAATTCGTCCTTCAATGGAGACCTCTAGCTATTGCATACTGTTGTGCGGGATCCCAGCTCATGTTGTACGCCCATAGAGACAGAGAAGATAATGTTGAGGCTTTGAATAGGAGTCTTCACACAAGCGGCCGACCACCAGATCCCCCAGACGCTAACCCCACAGGCCATAGCAGATGGAAAAAATGGGCCATGAAGCGGCCGGCCTGTGCCCAAGTCTTCTGGTGCGAAATCGGGAGTCCAGGCCTCGAGATCGATGCACGTATTGAAGCAACAAGAAGAACAACTTGTTGGCCTTCAGCGGACATGCCGTTCAATCGCCTTCGATGTTGCAGTCTTGTGCCAATCTTTCCTCCTTTTGTAGTAGGAGGGCACGCGACAGATTCAGCGCCAACTGTTTTAGGTAGGAGGTCTGCCGAGGAGCCATGTTTTCTCCTCACGCAGCGTGCACATGTTGCAGCACGGTTGGCGAAAAAGCATCAACCATGACACCGAGCCATCGACGGCGGTAAAAGTAAAACGTACACGTACTCAGTAGTACCTACCTTATCACTGTGAAATTGTAACTAAACCCCGCCCTAAACCCGCCCCAAGTCCTGTCTTTTGTTTCTGGCGGATCGATTTTCTCTCCTTCTCTCCCCTCCTTCTGTCTCGTCGCCGCTATCTCTGTCGCTATCAGATAAGGCACGCTGCACAGATAAAGGACGGCTTGCGCCTACAAGCCCGCTTCCAGGACACCCTCCCAGCGATCGCCCAACCATGACTTTCCAAACCGCAAAGGCTACGGCCATGGAGAAGAAGAAGAACGCGGTCAACGCCTTCAAGAGCTGGGATAACTTCAAGCAATGGGTCCTTGTACCAGACACTGCACTGGATCGCCATTCGCATGGAGAGACTGGACCGACATGGTCGAACGAGGACCTCGACCCCACCCCACCCGAAAAACGAACGTGGAGGTGTAAGTACTCTTTGGACAATCCTGAACACGGATGTCTAATCGGGATGTAGNGGTACAATTACGTCGTCTTCTACTTCGCCTTGTCGTTTGGCAACTGGACTCTTGGCTCGAGTTTGATAGGTATAGGTCTCAACTACTGGCAAGCCATCCTCGCCATCTTCATCTCGCAGTTTATCAGCTCTATCGCCATGCTGTTGAACTCGCGTGCCAGTAGTGTATATCACCTGGGTTATCCAATTATTGCAAGAAGTGTCTTTGGCATGTGGGGATCCTACTACTTTGTAGGGGCTAGAGCAATCCTGGCCGTGTAAGTTTGGCTTCTCAGGCATTCCTACCATGCGGATGTCTAATCGTCATGTGATAGCGTCTGGTTCGGTGTGCAAGCCTACTCGGGTGCCTCGCTGGTGGCCAATATGCTACGCGCAGTCTTTGGACACAACTACACCGATATTCCGAACCACATCCCCAAGTCTCAAGGTATTACCTCTGCAGGCATGCTCGCCTTCTTCCTCTTCTGGTTGGCCCACTTCCCCCTAGCCATGCTGCGTCCCTACCAGCTGCGCACCTTCTTCAACGTCAAGACCATGCTCATGATCCCTGCTGTGTGGGGACTCTTCATCTTCTGCATGGCCAACACACACGGCGAGCTGGGTGCCAGCAAACTGTCCGAAGCTGCTGGAGTAAGCGCATCCGGAAAGTGGGGATGGTTCTTCATGAACGCTGTCAATGCTGGTCTCGGAAACACTGCCACTCTGATCACCAACCAGCCCGATATTGCAAGATGGTCAAAGACAAAGTCTGGCGCTATGTGGTCTCAGTTCATCACCAATCCCATCGCTGTCACTTTGTCCGCCAGTCTGGGTATCTTGTCTACTGCTGCCATCAATAATGCCTGGGGTCTCTCGCTGTGGAACCAGTGGGATCTCCTCGATGCAATCATGAACAGATACTGGAGAAGCGATGTTCGCTTTGCAGTCTTCCTCGTCGCTGGATGCTGGGCGGTATCTCTCTTGGGAACCAATGTCGCTGCCAACATGATTCCCTTTGGAGCTGATTCTAGCATGTTGTTCCCACGCTACATCACTATCCCGCGTGGACAGTTCTTGGTCACCTGCCTGGGCTTTGCCATTGGTAAGCCCCACATCTCCTCTATCCATTTCAGATCCATTCCACTAACAACAATCAAACAGNTCCCATGGAAAATCCTCGCTTCCGCCTCCGTCTTCACCACTTTCCTCGCTGGATATGGTCTCTTCATGGCCTCAGTAGTCGCAATCATGATCTGCGAATACTTCTGCTTGACCCGTGGTAACATCTTCATCGCCCACTGCTACAACGGCGGCAAGGAAAACNCCCACTACTATTACTTCTACGGCTGGAACCCTCAAGCAGTCATCGCCTACCTCTGTGGCATTGCTTTGCCTTTCCCTGGCTTCGTGGGCAGCTTAGGCGCTAACGTGTCCACTACAGCTCTGAACATGGGCCACCTTGGCTGGATGTTGAGTTTCACTACCAGTTTTGTCGTTTACTTTGCCATCTGCAGTGTTTGGCCGACAAAGAATCAGAAAATTATCAAGGAGATGGGATTGAGATTTGAGGAGATGGCTGAGAGGNATATGATGGCTCTCGACGGTACAATCATCCCTGAAGGCGCCGAGGGCATGTCTGAAGACCAGGTCGTCTGGGATGACGCAGAGAAGAAGGCTGTCGCTTTTGACTCGCGCAGACTCAGTGATTAGGGAGTCCATAGAGGACAACGAGGGACTATTTGATGATGATCTTTAAAGACCAAAAAGCAGTTTTCAGGAGCAACGACCATAAAATGAATCTAGATTCTAATTTTCATTGTACTTCCCGCCCTTCTCCGCCCCGGTGTCCTTGTTCAATAGTGTAGGACACACATGCATGACACTTTTTGATTCCAAGCAATGTCCAAGGAGAGAAATCATCCTGGACCTATCTCTATGGCCACTCATCTGATTTGATAAGCAATTGTGTAGTTTTATAGTACACTATACCACTAGTTGTTGGCCTAGGAGAAAGAGTATGACTGTCTTGAGCACAGTAAGATATCGGGGTTGATCACATTTTCTTTGAAGGGCCCCTCTCGTCGTCATGAAATCTCCTTGGGTGTGATATTCAAGCGAATCGATGTATCATGACAGTTCAGGTGCAGGTACTCGGCACAAGGGATTGATTGTTGATTCTCAGGAAGTTACTATTCTATCACTGGTGATACTCATGCACGATTTGCCCCTCTGCTCCTGCTCCGGCTCCGCCTTTCGGCTCTCTCAACAGCCGCCTCTCTCAACCATCTCTGCTGAAACGTTCGTTGCTGTTGATGTTGCTTGGCTACCAAACTAGACTTTGGTCTGGTCTGATCCGAGCGCAGTCTGTCGGACGATGCATACAAGTGCTTGGTCAAAGGTATCGTGGTAGCCTTCGGAATTCGACTCTGCTGCTGGTTAGTGGATGCTTCACTGGGAGCGCTTTGATCTTGATTGCCTTTGACGGGTATATTCGCGACTCGAACTGGTGTCTCAGTCTCTACAAGAGTCGCCTCGTATTCATCCGCATGAGACGCCGGAGGCTCGCTCGATATGGCTGAACTTTGGATCGATGCCTGGGAGACCTGATTTGCTGCCACCGATTGCTCAGATCCAAGGATTGATCGAGGTGCTTGAGGCGCTGTATATGATGGTACAGACACGATAGATTGCGCAGGCAAAGAAGATGGCATGAGCGGGAGAGCAGCAGGTGAGTCGACTGTGGCAGTTGGGAGAGTGCTCGGGGTATGAGGAAAGTCGCCTGGCATGAGCGGGCGGTCGAAATTGAATTCCTGCTTTCGATTGTTTGAGCTTGTCATGCCAAACTCCTCCGTTGCAGCATCGACTAATTCAAGCAGTTCAGGCATTGTCTTTGCTCGTTTCCGTAGAGAATCAGGTGAAGTATCTAGTATGATTGAGCGTCGGCCATTGATGTTCCGGGAGAAAGCAGGAGCGTGTCTGATGTTATCATCTGGGAGAGATGCTACCGCTTCCGAAACCTTAGTAAGGTCGCGCGAGAGCTTTTGGGTCCAATCGCTATCTGGCATACCGTTACGGATGTTGGAGATGACTTTGCCCAGACTGCCGCTGTGTTCGACGATGATGGCGTCAATCATTTCGCCGAGATCGGTTGCAACGATCCCACCAAATTTGTCTGGTGGTAGATCAGATACAGTGGCTCCAGGTACGTTGACTGTCTGGTTGTCGATGCTTGTTCCCACCAGGACGTTGGATGGCTGGTCAGACGCAGGAGGTGTCCCACGCTCGGTAAAGATAGAACTGCTTGCGGATACGAAAGGCCGGCCTGATCGAGTTTGGGGAGTCTGGATGTTTGTCTCGATTTCACGCTCCATGATACGCTGTTCGGCAAGGCAGTCAGGACAGATATCGGGAGAGACTGTTGTTCCACTAGTCTTAGTAAGACGTCTTCCAACAGCCCACGGGCTCAGCGGGTCGACTTGTTGTCTGATCATAGGACCAGTCGGGACGTACGCACCACTGAAAACTTTGTCCATGCCAGCTGGTACGCTTTTTCTGAGCTTGAGCTTACGACCATGACGATAGCACACGGGCTGGTTGTCGTCTGGCATTGCTCCCTTCTCGATGTTTGCTGAAAGCTGAGGTTGGTAACGTTTTGGCATCGGATAATGAACCAGGGGGCTTATAAGAGGCTGCGATTGCGAAAGGGGTGTCTCAGGTCGAACTGGGCTTTGGGCAGAATCTCTTCGAGGAAATGGTGACGCTCGCCCGAACTCATCTTCGGCCAATAGGGTGATTGGTGGATTCGAGGGAAGAACAGGCTCAATGGGCTTCTTCTTGGATACATTTGACGGCAACTGATGAAGGCTGTTGATGGCTCGGATCCGATCAGCAACGCGACCAGGCTGACGGACTGGAGCCACGACGTCCGGAGCATTAGAGGGTCGCTGGCTCGTGGATGTAGTTTTAGTGCTGGCGGGCTGGAGCGGGAGTCTGGGCAGGGGTTTGAGCAGGGGTTGGCTCTGGGGTCCGTCTAAGTTTGGCGGCGAGAGCCAGGGATTTGAGCTTGAGCTTGAAAACAAGGGCTGCCATCCAAGCCTTCGCATTGACCATTGATACTGAGTAGGTAGTAGAGATACGATAAGAAAATGTCAGGCTGTACTGTGAGTCAAGTGATGGATGAATGAATGTTGAAGAGGAAATGCAGCAGCGAAGCCAGGGTGTACATGGTCGCTGTGACGAAACTAGCAGGTATTCGACGCTCACGGGTCATCAATAGAGGCAGGCGCGATAGACCAAATTTGAACAAGCCTCGGGCAAAGCAGACGATTTACTATACATTTTAGAGATGCGACCTAAGTACAACCGCTAGTGCACTTATTTCAGGAAACCCTGGAGGCTCTCCAAAACCTACGTTCAGTCAGTAAATATTGAGCATAATCAACGCCAGCTTTTAGAATGCTCACCTCAAGCTCAATCTTGGCCTCGGCGATGTCCTGCTCGCTGCCACTGCCGCTTGCAATCTTCTGAGCCTCGGCGATCTGGTTTCTGACGGCCNNTGTGTTTCTTGTCAGCATCAGAATTGCGAGACTTTCTGCAAATCCGCATACCTCAGCGCTGAAGTCCTCGAGAGGGTAACCCTCAACGGCGTTGATGCTGAGCTTGGAGCCGGGCTGGACGGTAGCGAAACCGCCAGAGACNTATGGTTCCATGTATTAGCCATGCTCTTAATTCCAGATTCTTTCCAGTTTTCTGCAAATGCTTCGTGCTCGTCGTCCAGGAGGTGGAATGTAAAACGTACGGAAGAACTGCTTGCTGCCGGCGGACTCCTCGATAACCTCAACGAGACCGGGTCTCAGCTGCTCGATGGAGGGAACGTGGCTGGCGAGGACACCCATGTCACCAGTCTCGGCGGGAATGTTGACCTGAACNGCTGTTGATTCCGAAGGTTAGTCGTGCTCGTCCGTGTCTGATGGCGGTATCAGGGATGTTTGTGGGGATTCGTACACATCCTGCGACTTGTAGATGGCCTGNTACAGAGGATACACGTTAGCACAGGTCCATGATCTTCCATTCTCTTTCTGACAGATAGTCGATTGGGCGAGTGGTGTAGACGGAGCAGAGCGGAGCGAGCGTACTTGGTGAGGGAGGGACAGAGACAGCTGGATCTTGTCAGAGGCGACATCGGCGTAGCCTCTACGGGCCAGAGGAGCGGCGAAAGCGGTAGGGCGGACGCGCAGGGCGGCGCGGGCGACACGGAAGGAGTTCATGATGGGCGGCGGTCGAGCGAGTGAGTTCGTCAATTGCGCGATGTCTGCAGGAGCTGGTGCTTGCGACGTTGGTCCGCCGTCTCTCACTCGCGCATTGAATCCTCGGATTTTGCCGCACCACTTCCGACTTTGTCTCTCTTCTTGGCACTCACTTTGACTACCAATTATTCCTCTACAACAGACATGTATCGAGACTGCGCCGTGAAACTGAGCTTCCAATGATCGTCAAGCTCAGCTGAACACTATCTGTGCTCTCTACGTCCTCGAGCATGGCTCTGAAATAGCAAGCAGGAAACAACATCGTCGAACACACGTCTTGCTCTACAGCTCCGAGTACACCATGTTGCCTTGCTTCCAAATCGACTTCGAGGTATCACATTTGTAGCAAGAATAGAATCATCGGCTCCCGCATCATCAGACTCAAGGCTTAGACCTATCGCAACACGAGCCCTAATTTCTTGATTGTTTGCCGTCTACAAGTAACCACACCCATGTCGTCTTCAGCTTCGCCTGAGAAGGCTATTGGCCCATGTCCGATCATGTAGAGAAATACATCAAGGTTAGATGCGTTTCGCATGTTCGATGGTACAAACGCTCCAGTCTTGTACCCTTCATACCGCTTTTCTACAGGACAATCATCTACACAGCCCCTATGAGAAGTTACCACAACACTGACATAAATTATATATGAGCTCATTTGCAAGCTATCCTATATGTTCTGCGTACAAATACTCTCCTTTCTGCTTCTAATATACATCAGCCTATAGTGTGCCCCTTTTTTCACAACAGAGCCATACTTCCGGTTCAGCAATGCAGTCGATTCATTCTCCTCCACCGCCGCCCTATGGCTACGTACTCTGGCAAAAACAGACGCTGCGCGAGCACACAGATACTGTGAGGAAGCCACTACCACCTCAGTATGTAGAAATGGGAGGTTGGAAGTTTGTACGCATCAAGGACCTGGCTGTCTGGGACCGATCGCCTTTCTCGGACTACTCCCAAGCTGAAAACGACGCGCCTGAAAGGTTGGTAGAAGAAGCCAGAGTCGAAGAATATATCTTCACAGGCTCTCGCGAAAAAGACATCAACGCGTTGCATGACTATATCGAAGCTTGCAACAAGGCCATTCATGCTCTTGACCCTGCCGATCGAGAAGCACGAACGCTGGCAAGACTCAAGCTTCGGATGGATATGACGATCCTCAAAGAATCCTTGAAGGAGGAGCTCGAAGTATGTTGCGCAAATCACATAGAGGCATCGTTGCTGACACAGCCCTAGGTCCTGACAGAGGAGAACAGTGATGGCTACCAGGGATTCGACGACGGGCCAATCGACAACTACCAGTTTGCGCGATCGCAGATGCGGCCAAAAGGATATCGCTGGTCCTGTCCAGGGTGGCTATAATGCGTCGTGATCAGTCTGCGTTGAGTGTTTTGCGGGGTGTGTCCTGATTGAGAATTCCAAGTTTTCCATTTGACGAGTATGAAGACTCTCTGTATTTCCACTGGATGTCGGGGTATCATAATGCAACATGCTTGTGGCAGTACCCGCCGTGCTAAACCATTTTCCCAGCCTCAAAACGCCGTCGCTCTTTTCATGGATGATTCGTGTAAGAAATATGCAAGATGGACGATTACATGTCGTCGATGCTCGTGCCGTCGCGACTGGCGATCATTAGTTTCGGTGTCCGCAAATGAGAGGGCGATGAATGCTGGACTCACGGGATGTACTTGACACCAGCAGCTTCGACGGTAGAGATGATCTCTTCGGGCAGCTGTACAATAGCGTGAGTATTAGCAAGTTCATGTATCTGCAGTGGGATCCTTACAATGCCAGTAACCTTGACGGCGTAGATGCCAGGAACATAGCTGTCCAGTCGCTGCCACCTGGCGACCCAGCTGGAGGTGGGATCGGTCAGAGTGATGAGGCCCTCGAAGACCTGGCTGGTGCATTCCTGGATGGCGTCGTCGTGGCCGGACAGCTCGAGAAACTCTTCGCAGTTGGGACATCCCTCGCGACGGAAGCGCGAGCCTGGGGAGACGATGCTGCAGACCATGCAGGCGCGCAGCGAACGGTGTTGTGAGGGCGGCACGAAGTTGGACATTGTGATGGGCGTGGTGATTGGCGATAGAGATGGAAGTGCGACGGAAGCGTGTGAATGTTGTTGTCTTTGTCGGAGACGATGATGCTCAAAGCGAGTCGATCCAGAGCGCGCTAAGAGTTGCTCGCAGGCGGTCGGCTAAAACTACCACGCTTCCCCCCACATGGTAGGCCAAGCCTTCTCGACCGAGGCGGCGACGGCGAGCAACAGCACGAAGTCGAAGTGGCATATCAAAGTGTCTGTGCTGTTTGTGAAATCCCACCATCTTCCACTCTCAACACATTGCATCTCGTCCTTGAATCTTTCACCCATCTGTTCTTGCTTGCTCGCCTCTATATTCTCTTCTCTACATATACTGGAATCCAGCTTCGCCTGCACTATCATCTACAGTCACTCTATATAAACCACCCCCACCATAACCATGGAGGAGGCAACTGCTCTTAAGAACAAGGGCAACGATGCTTTCAAGAACAAGGAATGGCCTAAAGCAATCGACTTCTACTCCCAGGCCATCGAGAAGTACGACAAGGAACCTTCATTCTACACCAACAGAGCCCAGGTTTGCATCAACTCCGAAATCAACTTGCTAGTCCTGCCATACTGACTCATTCAACAAGGCTCATATTCGACTCGAGGCATACGGATATGCTGTTGCAGACGCTACCAAGGCCATCGAGCTAAACCCTGACTTTGTCAAGGTGCGAAAATTACTACTCTCAATCTGCCCACGTGCTCTCCTGCTCACACTCCCACCAGGCCTACTACCGCCGCGCCGTTGCCAACACCGCCATCCTGAGACACTCCGACGCTATCCACGACTGGAAGATTGTTGTCAAGAAGCAGCCCTCGGACAAGGTCGCCCGCGCTCAACACGATGCTTGCCAGAAGGTCATTAAGCGCGATGCCTTCCTCAAGGCCATCGAGGCCCCCGATGCTCCCTCAGCCGCTGAGGGTCTGGACTTAGCCAACATGGCTATTCCTTCCGACTACGATGGTGTTAAGCTTGGAGACGAGATGACGCTGGAGTTCGTCGAAGACACAATTGAGCGTTTCAAGAATGGCAAGAAGCTGCCTTTGAAATACGTTTACCAGATCATTCTGGCCGTCAAGGACATTTGCTACAACGAGCCTACTATGGTCGAGACACATGTCGACCAGGGCAAGAAGATCACTGTCTGTGGTGACACACACGGACAATACTTTGACCTGATGGAGATTTTCAGAATGAACGGCCGCCCCTCGGCCGACCACGCATACCTGTTCAACGGAGACTTTGTCGACAGAGGCAGCTGGTCTTGCGAAATCGCTCTCCTACTATACGCTTACAAGTGGCTGTACCCCAAGTCCATGTTCTTGAACCGCGGAAACCACGAGACAGACGACATGAACAGAATGTACGGATTTGAGGGTGAATGCAAGGCCAAGTACAACGACCGCACTTTCAAGCTCTTCTCGGAATCCTTCAGCGCATTGCCACTGGCTACTTTGATCGGTGACAAGTACTTTGTTCTCCACGGCGGTCTCTTCTCGGACGACAACATCACGCTCGACGACGTGAGAAAGCTCAACAGACACAACCAGAAACAACCCGGACAGAGTGGATTGATGATGGAAATGCTGTGGACAGATCCCCAGACCGCGCCAGGAAGAGGACCCAGCAAGCGTGGAGTTGGACTGCAGTTTGGACCGGATGTGACCAAGCGATTCTGCGAGAAGAACGGACTGGAAGCCATCATCCGCAGTCACGAGGTCAGAATGGACGGATACGAGGAAGAGCACGACAGCAAGTGTATCACCATCTTCTCGGCACCCAACTACTGCGACTCGACAGGCAACAGAGGAGCCTTTATCAACATCGAAGACGACTACAAACTGCAGTTCAAGCAGTTTGATGCTGTCAAGCACCCGGATATTAAACCCATGGCGTACGCCAGCTCACCGATGATGGGAATGATGTAAAGGGGATTGTTGGTATATGAGGTGGTTCGTTCTCAAGGCGTTTGGCGCATGTCTCAACTGCTTCGGTCATGGCATGCAGCATTTAGCGGAGTGATGTGTGGACGGACGATATAAAGGGATTGGGTGTAAGATACAGCAACGACTGTCATGTTGATACAGCACAGGGAGGGATGATTGATGGGTAGAATACTCGTTGATTAGGTATACAGTAGGAAGCGATTGATCTCAAAGCACTTTCACATGCGTACGACAACTGTCTTGGCAGGGTCCGAGAGAGTGAAGCGAGCGAGAAGGTGAGAGCGTCTTCAACTCGACAAAATAAGCTACGATGCAATGCACTTTCCCAAGCTGAGTCCGCTGCAATGTCGCTTCACAGTGTCGCTGGCGGCATCGCTCATTGTGCTGTTCATCTATCTTTTCCTCTGGAACCCGCACTTCGCCTACGCCGCCGAGATTGAAACCCCGAACCATGTCTCCCCGCTCATAGCGCTGGATGATTACGCCCTCGACCTGACAGACGACTTGGACGACGCAGAAGACGCTGACGAGGCCATACAAGCAGACTACCAAGAAGGACAGCATACGAAAAGAGCAACGGGAGATGTGGTGACGCTGGGCGGGAGCAACGTGCCGGGCCTGCTTAACATCGAGGCCGGCAACACAACCGTCTGGCACTTTAGCAACACGTCGCTCTGGGGTCCCTATGCAAACGCAACTCCTGGTCTTCCTAGCAGTATCGACGATGGAGATACGGGCGACTCTGGCACCATCTACAAGCGCCAGAACCCATCCACCAGGCTGGTCTACATCTCCGTCACTACTTGTCTACAACCACAGTGGAATGGCTCGACAAACCAGACGACTCTGCCACCTCAGCTCACACTCTACGTCTCCAACTCCACCTCGAACAAAGAGCCTGGCCCAAATGCTCCTGCCAACAGCCAAGTTGCCATTACTCTCAACGAGGGCTTTGCCAATTACTCGATGAATGCCACAACCGACATCTACATGTCTGTCCACGCCCCTCAAGTGCCCAGCAACTTCACTGGCATTTGGAACTACGAACTGGCCGCCTCAATCGACAACTACTATCATGGCGCCCATCCCGACTCGCCTTTCCTCTATCTGGTCGACACCGATACCCATGCCGCTCTGCTCGTCACAAACAACTTGACCGAAGCCGATCCAGGCGACCTCGTCTATCAACAATGGATGAATCTCACCTCTCCCTTCACTGTCTTTGTCCAGCCCACCATCGACAAAAGCCTGGATGGTATGAGGAACAGCTACTGCGGCATGACCCACGCTAGCATCAACAACGCTTCAAGCTCTGTACAGTCGGGCATGATCACCCGAGGTTTAGGTCACAAGCCCAAAGAGCAGTTCTACATCCAAAACTTGAATGGCAGTACCTCATACTTCGGGGTTTTGGCCATGGAAGGCAACTCGACAAAGACAGGCAGCGGTGTCGTCGGTGGTGGAGGTCAAGTCTGGCAGCCCGTCAACTTCAAGACCAAGGCTGACAACAACTGTGCTCTCGTCTTCAACTTGACCTTCTGCCACGATGTTGCCTACGCCGTGCCTAGCAACCAGGATAGGTATCCAGATCAGCCCTCGCTCAGCGCTGTCTATGACTCGTATGCCGCCGGTCTGTATGAGAACTTTGCCAAGTCACTGCAGCAGATTCCATGCAACACAACTCTGTCGGCGCAATATTCACCTGCCAAGAACTGCGACGACTGTGCCGATGCATACAAGCAATGGCTCTGTGCCGTCACCATGCCACGCTGTGAAGACTTTTCTTCTCCTTTGCCATGGCTGCAGCCCCGCAACATGGGTCAAAAGCCCATCAACTCATCCTCTTCTTCCATTGGCAGCATGCCGAACTCGGCTATGTTCCAGCAAGTTCAAGGCCAGCTAGACCAGCAATACATACCCATGACCTCTGCCCCTGGTGACAGTGACGCCTTCCGCCAAACATACGGCTCTGTACGCGCCTCCAACAGCTCCCGCAATCCGACCATCATCGTGGATCAAATCGCTCCTGGCCCGTACAAGGAGGTCTTGCCTTGTGAAGATCTGTGTTTCAGCCTGGTGCGCAGTTGTCCTGCTGCTTTGGGCTTTGGCTGTCCCGATCCAGGTCGAGGGCTCGAGGTCGACTATGGCCAGAGAAGTGACGATGGACAAGTCACTTGCAGTTACCTCGGCGCGGTGTATTATTTGAATGCCGCGCCTGCTCTTGGTGGCGTCACGTCACTGGCTGTTGCGATTGCTGCTGTGCTCTCATTGTGGATATTGGCATGATAAAGCGAAGGGTAATGGATAGAAGCTCTTTTCAAGCATAGCGATTGGCGTTTTGTTCCTCGAGGTCGGTAAAGTCTGGCACTTTTGGGTTTCTTGCTTTTGTGTTTTTTTATGATACCAACCAACCTCTTTCTCTCTCTCTTTCTTTCTGGCCTTGCCATATCTCCACTTGTGTCAAAACGTAGCGCCTAACAGTCCATATGTGAATGGCAGATGACAGGTATGCGACGTAATCTTTGTTTCGACGCGATCACATTACTGGAAGCCTTGAAACGACTTTCTTCCATGGATACCTTCTATCAAGCCTTGAAACATGGAACTGCTTCCATGCATCATCCACCCTTCCAGAAGGGCGTTTGGTGTGGTAGTGCCCTTCCGTGCTCGGGCTACTCGAGCTAGGTTTCATGTTTAATATGTATGTTTGGACTACGACATCATGACCCGACGCTCTGTTTTCCGACGATCGCTCTTTCTGCATCAGTGCATCCGGTCTTCTTGGGACATATTGCTGATGCTGAATCGTTCATGTTATCTTTGGAGAGTAGGTTTTATTTTGATTTGCGTGTCTCGAGAGACAGTCGTCTAAGTGATAGTATGCTCTATATACATTATCCAGTCCTTCTAGAGAGGATGATGAGTTTGGTTGGTATGTGTGAGTGTGAGTATACACAGTATGTACACCCTAATTCGGCCATTTGTGCCGTTGGTGAACAAGATCTCATGAGATCTGATGATAAAGACAAGTCGGTGCCAGAACCGCCGGGGTATATGCAAGAAAAAGGGACAAAGATCAAACAAAAAAAGAAAAACATTAATCGTGACCAAAAATGCGCCAGATCGCTCATCTGGCAGCGATGACGGCAAGAGCGACAATGGCGCCGATGATGCCAACGCCAACAAAACTCATGATGCGGTTGAGATTCCTCCACCAACGAGCTTTGAGGTACTTGCGCTCTAGATCCCAGTGCCTCATCTCGAGCTGCATACCACGAGGGTAATGGCTCTTCTCGCCTTCGAGCTCGGAGAAGTCTTGGATGGAAGATTCGAGATTGACCATGGTGGCTTCCACGGGCCTATGTGGCAAGGGCAAAAATGCTGCGATCATCCAGAAGAATGGGCACAAGAAACCAAGGCAGAAAAACAGTATCTGGCGGTTGCCACGGGACAAGACGAGGGTGTTCAGGGCTTCGTCGAAGCTGGGGGCGCGCCAAGTGGAGAGANNGCGGTGGGAAAGGCGGCGAGAAGGTGCGAGATGAGGAGGTGTGTTGTACATGTGGCTAGCGGCGAGAGATTGCGGGTAGAAAGAGCTGTTTGTCTGCTCACGGGGTATCGCGCGTCCAGAGTTGACTGTTTGTTGCCGACGAGGTGGTTGGAAGGCAGCTGCGGAGTTGTGCCTGCCACGAGGAATCGTCGTGATAGCCATACTGTCGGTCGAGCTTGACCTTGAGCTGGCGTCGTCACTGTCAGCAAAATCAAGCTGGCTCTCATCGACGTATAGCTCAGCAAGACTACTGCTCCGTGTTACAGACATGGTGTTGGTAGACTGGCTCTGGTTCATGTTTGCTCGAGGTCGGTAAGGGCGGAAGATGCTTGGTAGGAAGTGAGAAGACTTTGGAGACGTGCTGCGAGGCGTGCCACCTTGAGATGACTGTTGCATGCTCATCAAGCTGTTTCCGGCGCTTTCCCAGCGGCGATGATGAGCCCATGGCATCATACGCATAGATTGAGAAGCCGAGCTGTGAGGCGGTATCTGCCCGTCTGAAAGAGCGAGACTGACAGTACTCTCATTTCCAGGAGGGAATTGCAGCTTCCCGCGGTAGAAGGATTTGGCCCATTGCGGGAAGATAGAAGAGCCTTGAGAGCCGCGGTCAGGGTTGTACATTGTTGCCAGGGTATGACTTGAGCGTGCAGAGAGAGGGCGAGGCTCAGAGGCTGATCTCCCGCGGGACATGAGACCCGATCTTTGAGTACGCAACGGATGAGACTGAAGTTCGGCAATGGTGTCATCTTGCTCTGATGGAACATCGCCAGCAAGTTCGTGGACACCTGATGAACTCGGGTGGGTGATCATTGGGCTACTCAGCTGTTGAGTGTCACGAGGACTGCTCGAGAACAAAGGCTCTGGAACTGCAGAGTTTTCCCGGTTCAGCTCCCAGCGAGAGCTCTCAGTTGACACTGTCTGGTAGTTGCTATCGGTCATCATCGACGAATATGAGCTAGAGCCGATGGTCTGGCGTCTAACATACCAATTCCCCGATTGCGAAGAGGGGAGCACTACGGGTGGCGATGTGAAGATGTCAGCCGTTGAACTGCTCGATTCACGTATGATTGATTGACTTGAAGGTTCGGACTCGGACGCGATCGTGGAGAGATTTGACAAGCGCACTGCACCAGCCGATGCCGAGTGCATGTGCGATCGCTTCTTAGCCACGGAAAGTGGTGGCAGGTTCTCGGCCTCGCTGGAATCCCAAGCACTGCTTGCAGACAATGACTGAGCTGTAGGCGGGCGAACCTGGGCATATTGAACCGAAGTCATGCTCTCAGTAGATTTAGCATAACGAATGACGTTGTACGAATTAGATCTTGAGTGTTCGGGCGGCGTGCTCGAGTATTGGGGTGGTGTGCTCGAGTGTTGAGGCGGCGTGCTTGAGTATTGAGACGGCGAGCTCACATCGTAAACTTCGATGTTCGGACCTGACGACCCTGATGCACTAGTCGCAGCCACAGATCCAGATCTTCCAGGCTGAGGATTTGAGGTGATGCTCTTGTTGGTGGTGTCGGAGCCCCGTGAGCCTGGTCCCGATCCAGACGAGGTAGACGCCGTCACAGGGCGGATGGTAGACGCTTCAAAACTCGTCTCTACGACAGCCGGTAGAGCCTCCTCTCTGAGTCTCTCCTTCTCACGTTCCTCGGATGCTATAGGTGTTGGCGTATTTCGCAGAGTTCCGTCCATTGAAAATCGACAGCTTGTAGGAGAGAATGAATCGTCATTGCAGTATGTGTCTGCAGCAGAGGTCGTCGTCGACTGAGAGAAATTCGAGGAACGCTTAGAATGTCTGTTGTTCATAGACTGTGTTGAAAGTCTTCCTGTTTGGTCGGCAGAAGGCTGTAGCTTATCATGTACCTTAGAAGCAAGGCTCGAGCTTCCTCGGTTGTCGTTCTGAATAGTGTACCCATGTTTTGAGGGTTTGGTAGGTTGTAGTACCTGCGCCGGCTTGTGTGGAAAAGGATTCTTGTCGTACACAGTTTTTAGACTGTTATTCGAGTTGACGAGTCGGATAGTAGGTTGTTCGCCATTATCCCGGTTGAGGTCCGAGGGAGTCCGTTCGTGAAGTGCAGGACGACTTTTCGAGGAAGCCGGTCTTAGATTGAATCTACCGTTCTTGTCCAATTCAATGGACTGCCGCGGCGAGAAAAGGCGGCCAGACATATGGAGTTAGAAATGATGTTGGAAATGAAAAATATTGTTGGAATAAAAGAGTGACAGGGTATCGTTATGCGGAACAATGAGCGGAATAGACACTAGTAGATCGACATTTCAAAGAGCGGACGGAAATGGCTCCAGAGGCCCAAAACGCGTCGAGTTGGGCGAGAAAAAAAGGCTGGCAAGCGTGTCGAGTAGGAGCGACGGGGGTTAAGAGACGATTATGGACAACGCAGAGAAGATGGCGAGTCACGACAGCGGGGAGAGGCGGGTCGGAATAATAATATCTTGTAGGGCTGGTGGAAAGAGCGTGACTGGTGGCATAAACGAGAGACTGAGGAAGAGCCAAACCTCTGCGTCAGAAGTGGCAGATGGTCGTCCATATGAAAGCGGTCGACGCGTCCGTGCCATAGGAGTCAAAAAGGTCTACTGGCCATACAGTAGCCATTACGCCCTGAACCGGTTGTGGGAGATGAGTTCCACACGGACAAGAAGCTGTCAGGATGGCCGGTTCAATGAGGCGTCCAAGTTGCCGGCACCAAGGGGCCTGGCTAGCGCGGAAGCGACATGCTCCGTCCCTGAAACGCCGTCGAGTCGTATCTCTGACAGCGATAGGATCCGCAAAGAGAGACGGTTCTGCACAACATTCGATACGCGAAGCCTCAGCCGGGTGTCGCGAAAAGCTTGCTCGTGCGGGCTCTTGGTTCACAGATGATCCAAAAACACAAGTCTAGTAAATTGCGAGAGACCAACCAGCGCAACGTGCGAACCTCTCTCGCGGGACCTGCACACGCGGATAAGCAACGCACTGGCAACCGCAGGCTTGGGTCAAGAAAGCATGGGCTTCATTCTTAACCAGCATCCGAGACGAACACATACATCATTGGATGCTCTTCTCAAACATCGACTTTGACAAAAACCTGCGTCTCCAATCTTCCTCGAGACAACCCTCGAACATCCAAGGCGGAGTGATTGCGCTGTCGATTGCGGATAAGCAGCGTTTCAACTGCTGGCCGTTTCGTCATCTCCAGCCTCCCCTTTGCTATTGTTGTCCGTCGACAACGCCTGCCGCGCACCATTCCTGAGCTTACCGTTTGTTCTTGCCGTTGTGTAATCTCCTACATCAAAACATCTCACGCAAGAACGAGACTTCAGCGTTCGCGGCGCGTCTGTCAAGCATAATCAACTTCTCTCAATCATGGTACCCACGAGTAAGTACATATCGATACAGCCGGATGAAAAAAAGAAAGAAAAAAAGAAAAAATCATGCAAGGCTATCTATCCGGCATCGTATATCGACAAGCGGCGTTGTTAGATGGAAACGTACGAACTGACCTCTATTTTCTGTGACAGCGCCAGCAATCGACCCTCACGTGGCAGGCGGCCTAACCGTGCTTTTCACCATAATCTATATTGCCCCCTTCTACCTTTCGCCAACCCTTCGGAGCAATTCCATCACCAATCGTAATACGCCTTCGGTTATCAAGGCTCGTACCCGCGCTGTATTCTGGAGCTGTGTGGCCAGCGTAATCATTACTGTCTGTGTGCTCTTCTTCAGAGGCCATGTTGCCGTCGGGGAAGTGCTCCATTTACTCGGCGTGTATCCCGTGAACGTCCTCGATACTGCCGAATCTTTCCTACTTGTAGCCATCCTCTTCGCTGGTCCTCTGTTCGAGAGAGTCATTGTCGAGGGAGAATGGAGAAGCTGGGGAGCTACTGCAATCAAGGAAACGGTCTATGAGGACCTGATAGGTTGGCGTAATCTCGTCGTTGGTCCAGTAAGCGAAGAACTGGTGTTCAGAAGTCTTGCAATCTCCTTGTTTCTACTGGCGCAGGTACGTAGATTTTTGCAAGTGTCACTTTATCTCATCGACTTTCTGATCATCCACAACNAGACATCTGCACGTCGCATAACGTTCACCTCGCCGTTGATCTTCGGTGTTGCTCATGTACATCACTTGCATGAACACATAAATTCTTCTCGGCGGCCGGGAGCAAGCTATCTAGCTACTGCTCTGACACCCTCGGTTATACTGCCTGGTCTGATTCGTTCCATCTTCCAGTTTCTTTACACCTCGCTATTCGGGTTCATCGCTGCCTTCATCTACCTACGTACGAGTTCTCTCGTAGCTTGCATCCTTGCCCATAGTTTCTGCAACTGGATGGGTCTACCTAGATTCTGGGGCCGTGTCGGACAGGAAGTTGGAGAAGAAATGCTAGACCAGGCACATTACGACGATGGCAGCGTGACTGACGCCTTGAGAACGGGCACACACGGTCAACGACTGCCGATCACCTGGACAATTGCATACTACATAATCCTCTTTGCTGGCGCGATTGGATTCTGGAAACTGCGGTGGTCGTTGACACACAGTGACCTGGCTTTGATTCAATTCTAGTTAGAAAACGGTCTGAAGCCATCCTACATCTCTCCTTCACTGGCGCCTGCTACCGGTGCGTCTGACGACTGCCGCTGCTGCCAGTGCTGGATCTCGACATCCAGCATACCCGTGACTTCCTTGTGATGGTACGCAAGCATCTCTTGCATGTCGTTGTGGTCGCTTTTCTGCAACGAGCCCCATTTCTTAGATGGTTGCTTCGTCTTGTTCCTCTCCCACACATAGTGATCTTCAGCCACGAAGATTCTCGACGTCTCCTTGTACCACCGATCCAANAAGTCGTCTGTTGTGGATCTGTAGGATGGCAGACCGCACGAATCGGATATGAAGCCGATGATCTTGCAAAGCCTGTCTCTGCATCTATCATTCTTCTTCAAAAAGCTGACCAGGCTTGAGTAGGCTTGACCGATGCCCATGAAGAAGATCTGGCTTGATTCGCTCAGNTCTAGTCAACAGTTAGCTGCCAATGTTCAGACCAGGCTTCTCTATTTCTCTTACTCGATGTAGTTGTCCCACAAGTATTTCGCGAGCAACTCCGTCTCGTCGCTTTTCTCTTGTGGGTTTGCTTCAGCAGCGAACTCGTGATTTTCTTCGACCTCCGTGACATGTTTGGGGATGTTTATGTCGATGACAGCAATTCCTCTATCGACTGCCCATTGCGTATATTGCTTTACAGAATCGGTNCTTTGCACAATGTCAGTGGATGTCGAGCTCGATCGAATGAAGAAACGCACCAGCCATGTGTTATGGAGTTGAAGTTCTCGAGTTCTCGGGTCGGTCTCGCCGGTGAGCTCTGGTGGATCATGGAAGATGACAAGGAGTGGACGAGCTTCCGAATGGTTGGGNTCTATCATGAAAAGTTAGCCGCAGTCTAGCAAGGACATCATACTGACTCACGTTGCCAACACCTGGTTCTTGAAGCTTCTTGATGCTTTGCTGTGCGCGATGAATAAATTCGTCATCCCAAGGTTCTCCCAGAGCCACGCAGCTTGATAATCTCTGACGATGTCGTGCATTCTCTCGCTTCCCAATTTCTTGAGTCGTTGAGAGGGGTTNTTGGGAAACAGACACGGCCAGTAATTTGCTTGCTGGCGAAGAACTTCTTCGACCGTGTCCACGCCAGAGGGTGTCGGCACTGTGGTGACAACTCTGCCAGGCGGCTCGCCCATCAACGTACGAGTGACTGCAAGGGCGGAGATCGCGATGGATCGAAGGTTGTATCCTCCTTCGAGACACACAGCAACTTTTCCGTTAGCCAGCGACATGAGCATGCGTGTCATATGGCCATAGCCAGCAGGTGAGACATGGCATTTGCCCAACATGTCGCCCTCCGCAGCATCGAACCCAGCAGAAACGACCACTAGATCGGGGTCGAAGTCTTGTGCAATGGGCATGACAATCCTTTGAAATGCNAGAAGGTAGTCGGCATCTGTCATGCCAGCTGTCCTCCACGGAATGTTGATGTTCTTTCCGAGGCCGGCTCCTTCGCCGCAATGCAGATGGTCTCCTGCGGGTCCAGCGGGGTAGAATTTACCTCCTTGATGGACATGAAGAGAGATGTAAAGCACATTGGGGTCGTTGTAGAAGGCCTGTTGCACGCCATTGCCATGATGTACATCCCAATCAAGGATGAGAACCTTGCGGCATTTGTCTCCGAACTCACTCTGACAAGCCTTGACCGCGATAGGCACATTGTTGAAGAGACAGAATCCCATTGGTTCATCGTGCTCCGCGTGATGTCCAGGAGGACGGATAACCGCCACGGCGTTCTTGACATGGCCGTTCAGAATTCCTCGACATGCTTCTATCGCACCTCCCGCTGATAATCTTGCACACATTGGAGAGTTCTTAGACAGGTAAATACTGTCCATCTGTTGGCCAGCGTCATGGAGAAGGTCGTTATCCCACTCCTCTAGACTGATAACCCAGTCGTAGTGTCGCTCCGTGTGTACCGCGCATACTTCTTGTTTCGTTACAAATCGGGTGGGTATTCTCGCCAGGACAGATGGCGCTATGTTGACCGTGTTAGGATCGTCAACCAAGCCCGCGTCGACTAGCTCCTTGTATATCGCGTAGATTCGCCTGGGATCTTCCGGATGTACACCTTGGTTAACTTCTGGGCGCACCTCGACATGGAAGCGCATTCGCACGTCGTAGACCAGGCCAGTCTGAGACGTCGAGTATGGAAGATGGTCCATGCCTTTTTGAGCCAATGGGATGACTTCTTGCCGGAAGGAAGGCGATCTAGTTACGGCAGGGTGCTGTCCATTTGATAAGTTGTGATGTTTGGTTTGCGCGTCCAGCACAAAAGTGTCCATCTCTGTGGTGTCCACGACGCCACCGTCCATCAGATGATGGGAGATATCCATTCTGGAAAAGTTGAAACTGGCTTTTAATCACGACATTACACAGCGAAAGTTTGCTTGTTGACTGTTAGCAAATAACTTTGGTGTGATAATTGCTATATCAAGCAATAAGTGAAAGGAGAGTGAGCATAAAAGTGACATACGGCGTGAGCTTCCGGGACGTGTGGAGAGTCCACACAGGACTTTTTCAATTGAGCGACTCTCGAATAGGCAGGATGCGGCTGCTAGATGTTGATAACAAAGCGATGTAGCGTCGAGGTACTCGAGCATCTAGAGTAGTCCGCGTCGAAGCGATCGAACAGCGCGTCCTGATGCGCGGTAACTTCCGGGATAGGCAACTTGATGGTAAAGAATAGTCAGCCATTGTGGTTGCGAATGGATAGCTTGTTTGATGATACTACTCGGACGCATGGAGTGCTGGGAAGAGAAACAAACACGAAGATATCATTCCGTTAATTGGTTCACTGCGAGAATCCTCCTCAAAGCTAATCAGCGTACTGACACTCCAGCTTCCACGGGATGCCAGCCTCTCAACATAGGATACTGCCAGCGTGCTATTAGCGCAGGAGCCATGGTGCTACGCACCTAGAGTCAGATCCACTGGTTTTCACTCACTGTTGCTATCCACGCCTGGCGACCAGACCGGAGTTCAAGCAAACTATATTGTAAGATCCAGGGTGTCCCAAGCCTCATGGACAATGATGGGTTAGTGAGCAGATCGCTGAGCATCTCAAGGTACCAAACTCTTGTTTGTCACGCCTAACCACGTACAAGCTAGTTATACACAACGCAAATCGATCGATTGATTCGTTGCTGGACGAGTAATCAATCGCAGACCAATTCATGCACGCTCCTTCAACATTGCAGAGTGATGTGTCAACTATAAGAATGCACAATTGTTTTTGGACTTGGGGAGATGGCCAAGGGGAATTGATGAGGTGCCGCTTCTTAATGGATACTGCACTGGTTCTTGGCACTATGGTGCATTTTGATAGCTATACGGATTACATGCTATTGCACATGGAGAGATTGTAGATTGTCAGAGCTTGCTTGCAAAGCATTCGCACCTGGGCGTGTCTTTCAACCCTCTGTAAAACATGAAGGCTGAACTCAAAACTTAAACAAAGCAAGGATGACTTTTTGTCGGAAATAATAACAGAGGACTTGCTAAGTTGCTAGGTACTTATGGCGTTTGTAGGGGCGAAATGGGAGTTAAGATCTCAGCTTGCGCACCGAGCTGACTCGACAGTAGCCGGCACTTGTAGTAATGTCTGTTAAGTCGGCCAAAGCTTCCCGATCTGCGAGACTTAAGTCAGGTTAATGATCACTAAATTGCCCATCTGGACTTTGTCAGCGCGAATCGAATCATCGAAGACCCGCTATTAATTGAGAGTTAAGTTGGGGTAAACATTGTATATATTTGCGTGCCCATCCCTTCTCAATTGACGTTCTCCCCTGTTCTATCTCTCAATTCACCTATTCCCTATCGTCTTGCTCATAGCTTTTGCTATACACACATCAAAATGGCACCCAAAGTCGCTATCGTTTTCGTACGTTCCTCTACATTCGCCCATCATGGTGATTTATTTTTCTGAGCTCGAGCTTGGGCCTTGTGCAATGGACTCAATGGACTGACAATTACATTGTATGTAGTACTCGATGTATGGCCACATCCTGAAGTTGGTCGAGGAGGAGGCCAGAGGTATCAGAGAGGCCGGCGGTCAAGTCGACATCTTCCAGATCGAGGAGACCCTTTCCGCCGACGTCCTGTCCAAGATGCACGCTCCCGCCAAGTCCGACTACCCTGTCCTCTCCGACCCCAAGACCCTTGAGCAGTACGACGGTTTCCTCTTCGGTATCCCCACCAGATACGGCAACTGGCCCGCTCAGTTCAAGGCCTTCTGGGACAAGACTGTAAGCTTCATGGTGTGTGTCGAAGCCTGCAACATGTACTAACAACCCTCCAGGNGTGGTCAATGGCAGACCGGTGCCTTCTGGGGCAAGTACGCTGGTGCCTTCGTTTCCACCGCCACCCCCGGTGGTGGTCAGGAGTCCACTGTCATCAGCGCCATGTCGACCTTCGTCCACCACGGCATGATCTTCGTTCCTCTCGGCTACAAGACCGTCTTCGGCACTCTTGCCGACCTCACCGAGGTTCGCGGTGGCTCTCCCTGGGGTGCCGGTACCTTCGCCGGTCCCGATGGAAGCAGACAGCCTTCCGAGAAGGAGCTCTCGCTCGCCTTCGAGCAGGGCAAGGCCTTCTGGACCGCCCTTACCAAGGCCAACTTCGCATGACTGCATGATGGTGCCGCGGGTGCGGAGGTCAACAACAGACAGGAGGCTGTCGGCGGTGGTGCACCGGTCACCGAGCCCAGTCAAACGGAACAGAAGGCACAACAGCAGCAGACTTCGACGGAGCCTCAACACAAGGAGGAACACGACAAGTCTGGTCCTTGTGGCTTGCCCGTCAAGTGCATCCTCTCCTAGTTTCTGATATTCCCTCCTGTGTTGTTTGCTAGATTTAGACTCGAATGATTATACCCCCTGTTTCCAACCTTTACACTACTTCCAGTTGTGTATGCTTCCTATCATGAACGTGTTAAGCCGTATTCTTGCCCAGGCATCGATTGGTCAACCTATATTCATGTCATGGTGATGAACAGTGCTCATAAAGCGCGTATAAATTGGATTAGTCGTTAAGCATATAGTGTTACATGTGGCAGCAGGCGGTTTGAGCTATGGCCAAAGCTGTCTTCCTCATCCTCTCTCCTATCGAGAGCATCGGCTGGTTCTCGTGTTGGTCGACAGCAAGTAATGCAGGACTCTTTGCCGGCTCGGCTCAGTGGTCGCGGCTCAGGCGCATGTAGTCGACGTTAGTGAAACACATCATCAGATGAACGGTGCAGCACTTCAACTTCCAGCAAGAGCACTAGCGATCTGCAGACTCAGGTCGAGGATAGTGAGGTGCTCGTCACTTCCGTCAATCAGTCTCTTATCAGTCTGTGAAAAGGACATGACGATGCGATTCTTCTTTGGGTTGTCGATCGAGTCGTCCATGAGTATTTGTTCGTACAGCTGTGACACTAGCTGAGTGGCGCTCCAGCCTTCGGCAACCAAGTCCTGAACTACACGGGAAACAGCATCATAAACCGAAGCTCGTGTGTTGGGCTGCAAGGCCTGTATGAGGCGGCCGACAGTACGGTCAGGGACGACACCAGCAATCTCTTCGACACTACGCACAGAGACCGAACGAGCCGTGGCTAGATCGTCAACGTCCATGGCATCTTCATCCGGTCTTGATTGCTCTGCACCAGCGAGACGAGCAGCCGACTGTAGGAAGGTGATGGCTTTTCGCAGATCGCCCTCAGCGCAACGGATCAAAGTATCGACTACGCCATCGTCGAGCTTGACCTTCTCCATGGCAGCAATGTTTTCCAATCTCTTACGAGCATTTCCACCGTCCAGGCTCTTGAATCTGAACTTGCTGCATCTACTGGCTAGAGGATCGATGATGCGAGTGACGTAGTTGCAGATGAGGCAGAAGCGAGTGATCTTGCTGTAGGTTTCCATTGTGCGGCGCAGAGCGGACTGAGCATCTTGGGTCATCGAGTCGGCTTCGTCGAGGATGATGATCTTGTAAGGAGGGCAGGGGTACTTCTTGCGGTACTCTTCGCCAGCGGGACCAGAAGGAGGATTCGAAAGTTGCATGCGGGCGAAGTCCTTGACCTTCTCTCGGACAATGCTGATACCGCGTTCATCTGAAGCGTTGAGCTCAAGAACACGGGTCTTGATGAGCTCGGGGCCATAGAGTTGTTTGGCGAGAGCGAGGACAGTCGAGGTCTTGCCTGTACCAGGAGGGCCGTAGAAGAGCATGTGAGGGAGATTGGCGGATTGGAGGGTGCGGCGAAGCACATCCACGGTGTGTTCTTGCGACGAGACATCATCAAGCGACTTGGGACGGNNCTGGTAGCAAGTTAGCTGCTGAGGATGGAGTAGAGGACTGGCGACGGACTATTTCTCGACCCATGGTTGTAGGCGATTGTCTACTTTGGGACCGGTAGATTTGGATGAAACCTCNCCTGAGGCAGTGGCAGCAGCGGCGGCTTTGCGAGCCTTTAAATCGAAGAAATTGGCCATGGTTGGATGTGGTGGATGAGTGGCACGAATTAGACAAGACGGAGTCTGAGCAAGACGTGTTCCGCATGTACGCGTCGCAGCCAGGCAATCAACGCCAAAAGAGGAAGGGACTTGGCAAGAGCGGGCGTCATACTCGGAAGTCGAAGCACATGCGACTTCATCGTTCCAAGCCTCGTGTGTGCATACCTAGTACAAATCTTGGAGTAATGCGAGCGACACGACACAGCAACCCATGAATGTCCGGAAATGAACCATGAGTCCGCCTCGTCGCTCCCGCTCGACGATGCGACCCGGAGAGAGCGTGTCCAGCGCAACAAGGCCACCTTCAACAAGAAGCGAGATGCCTTTCTGCAAGACGTCCTGCGCAACATCGACCTCCTAATCTATGCCGAGCTCTCTGCAGTCTACTACATGGAGTACGCCATGACCCAATTCATCCTGTCCGGACCTCCTGCTGACTGGACCGCAGCTNGCTCCTTCACGCGTTTCCTCGTCCGAGCCGTCATACAATTCATCTTTCTAACACCCAAGCCCGCTTTCCTCCCCGAGCCTCCCCATCCCAGGCCTTATCTTGTGGCCATCTTTGGCTCCAACCTGTTGATCATCCTCTTACACATCGTCCTCGCTCGCCCCGAAGCTGGCGAGGCTACCAGAGGCTATCTACATGGCGGTCTGGCTATGGACTTTGTTGGCCAAAAGGGCCCCACCTCAAAGTTTCATCTGGTCTTGCTGGATCTTCTGATACTGCTCATGCAGCTTGTCCACCTGGCTGCAACTACAACTCGTCAACGAGTCAAACAGCAGACCTCTGCTACCACCACCCCTCCAACAGCAATCCAAAATCATGACTTCGAGGAGCGAGGCCAGCTCAGATCTGACCATCAGCCAGTCGACCAAGAGTTGCATTCGCTGAATCCGACCCATGACGCCTCTGAAACCACCGAGTCACCGGATCAGCCAGACGCAGAGTCCGACGAGAGACAGGCCTTGTTGGCATCGACGGCACCGCGCACAGACTCGTACATCTTCGACGCCTTCAACAGCGGCGAGATTATGATTGCCCATCTAAATCTCTTTGATGTGATCAAAACACAGCTCAAGGAGATGCGTGACCCCGTTCAGCCCACAAGCACGGCTCCTTCCACGAGCGGTGGTCTACGTGCTAGGCTAGCGGACCGTAGTGCCTTTTTTCGTATGCGGATCGGTGGTGACCGTATTTTCAGTGTCTAGACTGGTGTGGCAGCAAACTGTTTGTCTCTCCAGCGCCCCAGATTCTCCAGACTCCCCGCCTAGCTTCGGCTTTAAATTTGGGGAACGTTAAGCCCCTCCGCTCGTATAGAATTCATGACGCCACGAAACACATCGTCTGTAACATCGCGGACATTCTCCGTCCATCTGATACCTCGCACAAGTCGTACTAGACTCTGTCCAATTTTCTGGAAGGCGACACCGCCGGATTCCGGAAAGTAAATCCCCTTTCCTGACCGAAGAGCCGACTTCCGCGTCAGCACCATCACACGTGCCCATTGTCCGTTAGGCCCAGTACTTGCACCATCTGGCGCCTTCCTCCTGCCTGTTTGTTTGCAAGCATCAGTGACTAGGTAGACAAAGAATCTCGTAGCCTTGTTGTCTCGCGATCTCGTCAATACACGTCAATCTGCCTTTGTATCACACAATGCGACGAACCTGCATTGGCGGTACCACCTTGCCAAGGACATGTTTTCAACTTCATCTCCTCATCTCCTCGGTGGTCGTCGCTTCTCAGCTTTTCAGAACGACCCCTCTCGTGATCAATTCCACCGCCCTGGGTACTTTTACACAACGATAACCCGTTTAAGTAGGGTGTTTGAAAAATAGCTTCGAGAGCCGTCACGAGATCTCTTTGTTTGCCGACGCGGGCTTGGCCATTACCCCATCGCATGTTATTATGGGGTAATTAGTATCCAAGAATGTGTTCATCATCCATACTGTGACTAATGGCCTGCAAGCCTTTTGCGATCCTTTCACACGTTTTGCTCGTTACCTCTGCTGTGGTTCGACACTTCCACGTGAACACTCACAGGGCGTCCGTACAAACCGGAGTTTGAGGGGCCCATGAGTTTTCTCTAGCGTAAGGACAATGCACCTTTTGAGGAGATATAGTCCTGGTGAAGTCCTTGTCTTTCCTCCCACTTTTCACTCTGACTCTTTCACCACCAATTCACTTTCACTTTTTCAAAAGGAGTACTACACTTGCTTCGATACTTTCATTACTGCACTGCTAGGTCACAATATGCACATCAACGAGTTCCCTGACGAGATTCTCTCGTCTGTCCTCGACTATGCTGCTCAGATGAATGCCGAAAACGGTGTCAAATACACCTTTGGTCTTACCCAAGCTCCTCTACCAATCTCACGAACGCCATTGACGAGATATGTCAGAGGTCCTGTCCAGCCCGAAGCACAACGATGGGATGGAGCGTCGACTATCCGTGGAGTCTGCACAAGATGGCATGACTGGGCCATTCGAAACACCATCAGAACGGTATCGATCAGAAGATGGCAAGGTTCGGAGAAATGGGCCGAGATCCCAACCCGTCGTTCGTCCTATGGAGCCTACGAGCTCATGAGTAAGCCCAGAGGCAGCGCAGTGTATCGTGATCCCTTTGGCTTCCTCAGGAACGCTGTTAAGTTCTTTTCTCAGTTCCCAGATGTGGCGGGTGAGGTCCGCCGCATGTTCTTTGACGGTTTCCACACTGTTGAGACAGACCGCATGATCTTCGATGTTTTGAGAAGCTGCCGTCACCTCACTTCCATCAGTGTGCCTTGGACACTGCTCCGACACGGAACTGCACAGGACTGGATTCATCTGCTTGGTATCTCCTCCGAAGACGACGTTCCTCTTAGATCTCTAGAGCTGCGTGCTACATGTCTGCCTAGTGCGCAGGAAAAGGACTGGTCGGAGGTCGAGAACACTCATCCTCTCGCAGACCCTCGCGTCAACTTCACGCACCTTAAGCGCTTGAAGATCTTTGGCAACACGCTTTTGATGCCTATCGACGACGAGGACATGTTCAACATTGCACGCAGCGCAAACCACCTCGAAGAGTTCCACCTTACCAATCTCTCCACTGTCACAATCGCTGGTGTCATGGCCATTGTGAACTCCTCGGCAAACACCCTTCGTGTCCTTGAACACTCCCCTCGCTCGGACGATGGTTTCTTCCACCCACACCCTGGCTACCTCTCCCCAGACACACACGTCTGCGAGTCTCTGGCCTCCTGCCCTCGCCTCAAGGACCTCTCCATCTCCATCCCCAGCATGTGTGCCTGTCTCTTCTCCCACGAAGAAGTGGTCTGGGAAGGCGAATGCCAAGTCCGCGCCCTCGAACTCTGCGAGCGTGATGGCTATCCCAGCACATCAAACGACTCTCTTCGCGCCCAGCAAGCACAAAAGTCTCGCCGTCTGCGCGATGTTCTTGCTTCAGCACGCACGCTCATGCAGAACCAGAAGCGTAAGCGCAAGGAGCTTGATATTGAGCTTTTCTTTGCAGACTGCATCTTTGACCCTGCTGAGCGTGTTGTCCATGGCGACTTCTCCTTTGCCGAGGTCTCGAGCAATGGCGCTTGGCCTACCACTTGGGAGGCTTCTGCCAAAGGACCGTATGGATCTACCGGTGTCTACGGTAAGACCGAGAGCTCGTGGATCTGTGTCAGCGAAGACGAGCTCGTTCGCGCTGTGGAGAAGAACTGGTTCAGACTTTGAGTTGCCAGAGCTTGATCGCTCTCCTATTTTCTTTCTTCCCTTGTTGATGCTTCGAGACGTTGACGAGACCCATGATTTCTGGTGTTGCTATACTTCAGCGAACCCTGCTTTTCCACATAATTTGCATTCAGCGAGGACAAAAAAAGTTGCTTTTGTTTTCATGTATCATTGGCCAAGGAGTCTTCTTTTAGTTGTTGGGTATTAACTTAGCGTTGTTATCAAATCAAATCAACCCCTCTTCTCTCTACCAAAAGAAAAGTTATGACAAGAGAAACCAATATTGTGTTCTGACCATAAGATGCCTTGCGGCTTCTCTAAAGACGAGACTCGGGATCTCTAGCTCGACTTCTTCGCAGCCTCCAGGTGCCACTCGAACACCTTTCTGAAGATGCCCTTACCGTCCTTCTCAATCACGTCACCGTGGCAAGGGATGATGCGTTCAAAGTCCCACTTGTCAATTCTGGCCATGCTCTGGTTGAAGGCAGGTCTATCCGATGCACTCAATGCATACCAGACGAATCTCTTTTGCCAGATTGCAGTACCAGCCGTGTTGTTGATACCGCACATCAACTTTGTAAAGATACCAGCTGTGGGATTGACGTCGGTACGCGAGTACTGCTCTGTGGCCGGCAAGTTGAACAGCAAGTCTGCTTGGATCAAAGTCTTGGAGGGCTTGTGGTTGAAGACGAGCTCCTTGTTGGCGTGGGCGTGAACGTACTCGGCGTCGAATTCACGGTCAAAAGCCTCATCAATGTTCCAGCTGGTGTTGTCCTTCGGGCGGAACAGGTGTGTCCAGGGCAATGGCTTCTTCTGACTCTCGCGCTTCTCTTTCAATGCGTCCGGGCCGATGAGTTTGGCGTCTGGGAAGGCCTTGTGCCAGTCGTCCATGAAGATGTGGTGCTCGGCGTCGTTGGCAGCAATATATTTCACGGCGCCCATCTTGTTGATCTGGCTGCGGACATCTTCGGTAAGAGCTACAGGAGAGAAGACGGCTACGCTGCCATTCTGCAGACGGACTGGGAAGTGTTAGCTAGAGCGGCTCGCGACGGATTCGAGCAAGAACATACCCAGAGTTCCGCGGCCACCGATGTTGATACGACCGAAGCGTGCGAAAGGCAGCGAGAGTGTGACGACGTCCGGTGTGATGTTGCGAATGACCATGACCTTGTCAGGGTTCGGGGGNATGAGTTTGCTGGACATGTTGACTGGACAATGAGGTTGAGGTAGTAGCTAGTTGCTTGCGTGATTGTTCCTTCCAATTAGAGATAAAATGGCGCAATAGATGGCAGTGGTTGATCGGCACAGATTTAGATACAGAGAGCAGAGCAAAGAAGATGCTTAAGAGATGATGTTGGTCGAGAAACCTTCGAGTCGCTTGGTCATGATCGTTCCATCCAAACCAAAAACGATCATGACGTCGCATCGGACCCTTTTTCTGGAGCGCGATGGTCGCTCGGATCGTCCGCATCCCGGGGGCACATCAGGGGCAGAGACAGTGCGCTGCTGGGTTTCGACAAATTTGCGTGGCTGCCGACAGAGCAGTGCCTGAAACAGATTCGAGCTCTGCTTGTAGAAATAGCTGGCGAAATTGGGCTATGATTCTACAAACACCTGGTGTTGCCAATTCGCCGACAAGACCACCGTTGATCGTAGTATATCTTATTGCACGCTGGAGGATAACACAGTCACGAAATACTCTGGAAAGCGATAGGGCACAATAAGCGATCTGTTTTGAGGAACATCCTAATGTCTCTGGCCCGAATCTCTCATCAGGAGATATCGACGTACTGCTCTTTGACTGTCTGTCGTCCGCCAATATCGTAGTGGAAGCGGATGGGAGCGATTTTGGTAAATGCTGTGGCTTCCGCTAAACATGCAAAATCCACTCTCCTACCTAGTAGGCTCAAATGGAAGCATCAGAAACGGGCGATGTGTTGGCTAGTGCGAGGTTGAAGCATCTGTATGTGCTTGCCATCATCTGCTCAAGTGTTGGAGTCTGAACCACGTCCACGTCTAACTGCACGGTTGAGGCGACGCAGCGTGTCTTGAGACAATGGAGGTGCGATGCCTTGACGAGCCAACTCCAGATAATTAGCCATGGCATAGTTCAGCGCATCAGCAGGCTCGAGGCGACACAGTATCTGCAGGTTGACTTCCGATGGCAGAGACATTGGGCCACTTGAACGGTTTCTGAGATGTATTCTTGCTTGGTAGAAGAGACGAAACATTGTGGTCGGTGACAGCAGAGAAGCTAAAGAGTGTCTGACGAGCAGATGGTAGTTGGCGAATCCGAACGAGATGAGGGCATCCGGAGCAAGGTAGCTGAGGATCTCAAGGATGAGTTCGGTGGGTAGTCCACGAAAAGAGCGTGGAGGCTGTTGGATCACTGACTGCATTGTTGGCAAGATTGAAGGTCTGTGGTTGATGATTACGAGCTTGAGTCCTGAACTGATCAATCGGAGTGTTGTTTTGGTTGCACAAAGACCTGCAACTTCGACCAGGCAAATCCAGACAGGAACCAACTAGCAACAGCCAGTATAAGGATGTATGCAGCCGTGGGAAGCAATGACTGGGGNAAGATGTTCAAAAGGTACGGATCCAGAACNTAGATTGAGGTTAGTCACAGGTTGGAGATGTGATGCAAGGATAGAAGCGTACTGATGTCGACGTAGACAGGAGGAGGCTGCTGCATCAAGGCCTTGTCGATGGTATAGAAGTTTGCAGCCGATTGAACGCGAAGGAACAAAACAGATCGTTTGATAGCAGTGGTCAACTGGCCCGAGTCTCCAGAATCGTCTGCAATCAGAATGTTCTGGCGCTCTTCGGCGTAACTGCTTAGATCCTGCAGCAGAGCCGGGGTGTCAAAGACGGTCGTAACTTCAAATGTGTCCAAGAAGAAATCAGTGGGNTTGCTGTGGAATGTGTTAGCAAAGCTGTATTGCTAGAATGCCAAGCTGTTTGATGATACCGTCGCCGCCCAACAGATTCGAACCTCGTAGCGCTGGCCTGGACGTAGATTTTCGAGAGTGTACCAAGATGATAACCCACGGGGATGCTTCTCAGTAGAAAATATTACAGGAAGAGCAGTCCGAACAGAGAGTTTNTTGGATGAAAGAATATCAAGCTGCAAGTCCATCAAGTTTGGTCGAGCATCTCCAAAATTCGTACTGTCGGGTGCAGTGAAGATGGTCTTTTCCACGTTGGCTATGGCAGGAACGGCCAGGAAGCATATGTAGAACAGTATAGGCAGGAGGAGCATCATCGAAGGGTCAGAGGCAGCAGGTGAACAGATTTGATTAAATGTCTTGGTTGGAACATTGATCCAAATAAGAGATTCAGCAGGAAGCTTCAGGAAGACGGCTTCGGGGGCGATATAACTTCTTGCATTGGCTTGGGTGTAAAAGTAGGGGTCTTGGTGCTCGGGATGGACGAGGAAGGTGCGGCTGGAGCGCGCCTTCTGTGCCAAGCCGCTCTAAGTAAACAACAACATCCGTGCCCAGCTTCTTCACTTCGCACTTCCCCTTCACCAGCAGACCGTTTCTTGACGACCACGCCGACCATCCATCTCCGCCCTGTCTTTCGATCCTCCTTGTCACATCTCTCGCCCGGTTCCAGGTCTTCCACAATGCGTGAAGTCATCAGTTTGAACGGTATGTTGACACTCCCTGGAGCTCTTGAGCTCTTTCGCGCCAGACCGCCCCTTGGCCTGTTTCATCCGCCATGTTGCTCTCGATGCTGACTTTTGATGCTCCTAGTCGGCCAGGCTGGTTGCCAGATTGCCAACTCGTGCTGGGAGGTGAGCTCATACTGCCATTGATCCGACGCATGGCCATTGGCGCCTGCGCCGCCGCGAAAGGGGTTCCGACTAACATTTCGTCTGCCTAGCNTCTACTGTCTCGAGCACGGTATCCAGGTACGCTTTCGTCCTCAACCTCTTACCCTGTGCGCAGTCTTACTAATAATACTACAGCCTGACGGTTACCTCACTGAGGAACGCAAGGCCGGCAACGACGACCAGGGCTTCTCCACCTTCTTCTCCGAGACTGGTACGCGTGCCCGAATACCTCCGACAGTCACAACACGCGAGCTAACATGCAACCCAAGGCAACGGCAAATATGTTCCCGCACTATCTACTGTGATCTCGAGCCCAATGTTGTCGACGAGGTCCGCACCGGCGCCTACCGCAGCTTGTTCCACCCCGAGCAGATGATCACTGGCAAGGAGGATGCCTCAAACAACTACGCCCGTGGTCACTACACCGTCGGCAAGGAGTTGATCGACCAGGTCCTCGACAAGGTCCGAAGAGTCGCAGACAACTGCTCTGGTCTCCAGGGCTTCCTCGTTTTCCACTCGTTCGGTGGTGGTACCGGTTCTGGTTTCGGTGCTCTCCTCATGGAGCGTCTGTCCGTCGACTACGGCAAGAAGAGCAAGCTCGAGTTCTGTGTCTACCCTGCTCCTCAGGTCGCCACCTCGGTCGTCGAGCCTTACAACTCTATCCTCACCACCCACACCACCCTTGAGCACTCTGACTGCTCCTTCATGGTCGACAACGAGGCCATCTATGACATCTGCCGCCGCAACCTTGGCATCGAGAGACCCAACTACGAGAACCTGAACAGACTGATCGCTCAGGGTATGCACTCCCAGGCTGTCTCAACCATCCAAAAGCTTACTAACGAATCTGCCANNGTCGTCTCTTCCATCACCGCCTCGCTCCGCTTCGACGGTTCCCTCAACGTCGACTTGAACGAGTTCCAGACCAACTTGGTCCCCTACNCCCGTATCCACTTCCCTCTGGTCGCCTACGCCNCCGTTGTCTCGGCCGCCAAGTCCGCCCACGAGGCCAACTCTGTCCAGGAGATCACCATGTCCTGCTTCGAGCCCAACAACCAGATGGTCAAGTGTGACCCCCGCAACGGCAAGTACATGGCCACCTGCCTGCTCTACCGTGGTGATGTCGTCCCCAAGGACGTCCACAGCGCTGTCGCCACCCTCAAGACCAAGCGCACCATCCAGTTCGTCGACTGGTGCCCAACTGGTTTCAAGATCGGTATCTGCTACCAGCCCCCTCAGAACGTGCCCAATGGCGACCTCGCCAAGGTCAACCGTGCTGTGTAAGTTCCATGTCGCAAGTTAATTCTGTAATTACCTTACGCTGACTATCAATCTAGCTGCATGCTTTCCAACACCACCGCCATCGCCGAGGCTTGGTCGGCTCTCTCGCACAAGTTCGACCTCATGTACTCGAAGCGTGCCTTCGTCCACTGGTACGTCGGCGAGGGTATGGAGGAGGGCGAGTTCTCCGAGGCCCGCGAGGACCTTGCCGCCTTGGAGCGCGATTACGAGGAGGTTGCCGCCGACTCTGTCGAGGGTGAGGAGGGTGTTGAGGCTGAGTACTAAGCGCATAAAGACGCTTTTGGCTAGCGGCCGACTTTTCGTATCATTGCGTTTATGAAGACCATTGTGGTTTGGGGATCCTTTCAGGTCCGGTAGAAAAAGGACCACACTCATGTTGAAATGCTTGTGTCTTTAATACAGCGACTTTACCGTTTTACTTTTTTTCTGGATATGTTTTTCCCTTTCCAAGTGACCTTGGGTTTGCTCTCGTGAAACATACTTGGTAGCAGCAGACGTGAGAAACAGTCAACAGGCGCCTGACGCAGCACACCACAGAGATCAGGGATTGGCGCTCCTCAAATTGGACAAACAACCCGATGGCCAGGATCAGGGTTTGATTGGACAAATTCAGACAGTATGAAGGCTGTGTTTGATGGCTTGGAGACGAGATAATGAAAGTCGTTATATGACCATCAAGCTCCCAGACAGTGCATCCCACTCCCGTCAGATTCCAGAGTGTCATTGGAAGAGCAAGCAAACAGCATTCTATCCCATTGAAGACTCTTGTATCTTTGCTGTCATGATCCAGAATGTTGGGTACATTCTGAGTGCCGTTGGTAGATAACTCTTCGTAGTTGCGCTGGATAACAAACCCCCATGCGCTTGGTACCATCTCTCACAAATACGGGGTTAAGAGTGTGGCTCGACGTCACAGCACAGCCCGCCTAGTGCGTGATCGGTATCGAGTGATTTTGTTCTTTGTGACTGCGACTGTCGCACTTTTCCACACCTGTCTTTCACAGAACGAAGTTACATCCGACATTCGATTCCCTCGATCCCTGTGACACCAACAACTCGCAATGCCCGACTCAGAACCCGAGGCCGGCCCCGACAGGGCACCACCTAACCTCCCCATAGGCTGGATTGCCCAATGGGACGGAAAGTGAGCGCGACACTGATGTCGAGCAAGACAACAAGTGACTGACGCGAACTCANGCTCTCGAAAGTATTACTTTGTCCAGATCAGTACCGGCGTGTCGACATGGGAAGTGCCCACGGAAGCCGCTCCTACTGTGCTCTCTCCAGGAAATACTCCAGCACAACACCAGAACCCTTTCCCGGCCCCTCATGATGCTCAAGGACAAGCGACACGCGGCGTGGACGGACAAGAGGGCGAACGTGGACTTGGAGTATGTCCCAGCAAACGTCTTGCGTATCAACAAAGCTGATTGGAGTGTAGGNGTATGGCCATGAACATGCTACTGAACTCGAACAAGCCTCAGCAACAGCAGCATTCATCTGGCCTCGGAGGTCTGGCTGCACAATTCCTCGGCGGTAACTCGCACTCAAACTCAGGCCAAGCTCAAAATCAGAGTCACAACAGTGGTGGCGCTGCAGGATTGGTTGGTAAACTTGCTGGAAACTTTCTAGGAGGAGGAAACAAGCCACAAGGACAGCATTCAAACAGCAGTAGTGGCCACAACAGTGCTCTAGGTGGTCTCGGAGGTCTCCTGGGTGGCCAGCAATCAAGTGGTAACCACGGCAATGCTGGTGGAAGCAGCCAAGGTGGTGCCATGAGTGCTCTTGGTGGATTGCTAGGTGGCCACGGCTCCTCGGTTTGTTTTATGTGTATGAGAGGGAACTTGTAGCACCGCTGACCGTTCACAGCAGAACCATCAGNNCAAGGCTATGGTTATTCGTCTGGAGGATCGTCCCAAGGCACATATTCCGGACAGGCTCCCNCTTCGTCTTACAACCCTTCAGCATCTCATCAGTCTTCCCCCACTCCATATGGCCAGTCGGCAGGCTCGTACGGTGGCCCAGGCGGACAGACGACGGGCACATACGGCACTCCTGCCCACAGTGCTCCAGCACAACAACATGGACAATATCAGTCGTCACACAGCAGCGGACCATCACCAAGTCAATACGGCGGCCAGCCCTCGCACGCTTCTTCGGGTTATCAATATGATCAATACAGCCAGCACCAGCACAATCAGTACGGCGGGGCGCCAAACCACGGGCAGGCTCAACAAAACTCGCAATACTCTGCGTACCAACCTGGTCAGGGAAGCAGTTATGGGCAGGCACCTGGCGGTCATGCATCACACGGTGGGCCGACACATGGAGGAGCAGCTCACGGTGGACCTCAATATGGGCAGGCACCTTCTTATGGCGGGCCGCCTCAGGAACAGCTCACGCAGCATCAGTACAATCAGTACGGTGGAGCGCATGAANCAGCTGCACCAACACCAGGCATCGCAGGGGGTTATGGAGGACAGGGCAACAACTACGGAGGACCGCCTCCGCCAGCATGGCGATAGATTGGCCAGAAGCAGATACGGTCATGTGAGCAGTATAGATGATGAATGGTTGGGTCAGGAATGCATAGCGTGCTATCAGAGTGGAAACGACCAGGCAGCCGCAGGTCGAAATGTGTTTTCTTGTTCATCACAGTTGCACGTGAAGGAGGGTGGTGAGAGATTGTTGTAAAATGATCAAAGGCCCAGTTTCGGGGAGGCGCCACATGTGGCCGTTAAATGACCTGGCAAGGCTCCGCCAAGCGCGTGGGGATGAGACAGGCCCTTGTTCGCTCTCACACGGCCAACACACGTCGTCGTCCCTAGACTTTAGAACCTCCACCTTGTCCTAGTTCGACGGACTCTTCTTCAACCAACCCCATACATACGCATCCATCCAAGCAACCAACACTCCAGCGGTTCTTGCAACATCTTCCGCTACCTCCGCGCGTCATAACAAGCCACACCTTAGATCCAACAACTCGCCCATCATGAACCCCGAGTAGTATGTCGCCGCCTCTTCCCTCTGCTGCGCCCGCCTCTCTGCGACAGGTATACTGACCACACACTCTAGAGTACAACCCTTCCCACTCTCTCAACACCTCGTCGCAATGCTATCGCCGCCGCCGCCGCCCGATAGCGAACCCCCTTAACCTGCGTCGCTCACACAAAACTTCTACAGATACGACTACCTCTTCAAACTTCTCCTGATCGGTGACTCCGGTGTCGGAAAGTCTTGTCTGTTGCTCCGATTCGCAGACGACACTTACACCGAGAGCTACATCTCCACCATCGGTGTTGACTTCGTACGTTGGATGTCTGCTGCGCCATTTGTCTCAACCAGCTTCAGACTGACACGCCCCGATAGANAAATCAGAACCATCGAGCTCGATGGCAAGACAGTGAAGCTCCAGATCGTGAGTACACCTCGTACTTGATTGCTTGAAGAAGCCTGTTGCTAACATGAGTCGTTCAGTNGGGATACCGCTGGCCAGGAGCGCTTCCGTACCATCACATCATCCTACTACCGCGGCGCCCACGGTATCTGCGTCGTCTACGATGTCACCGACATGGACTCGTTCAACAACGTCAAGCAGTGGCTGCAGGAGATTGACCGCTACGCTACCGAGGGCGTTAACAAGCTCCTCGTCGGTAACAAGAGCGATATGACCGACAAGAAGGTCGTCGAGTACAACGTTGCAAAGGTGCGCTTTTCCTGCACGCTCGCCTCATCATTCAACACATACTAATGCTCTCAAACAGNNGAATTCGCTGACAGCCTCGGCATTCCTTTCCTCGAGACATCGGCCAAGAACGCATCGAACGTCGAGCAGGCCTTCTTGACCATGGCTCGCCAGATCAAGGAGCGCATGGGCAACACCACCGTCAACAACAAGCCTACCGTCCAGGTTGGTCAAGGTAGCACTGTCCAAAGCGGCAGCGCCGGTGGCTGCTGTTAAACAAATCGCCTCGAAACTAGATACCCGATCCGCTTTCGCCATCGCACGACGACTGCCTGTGCTCTCATGACTGTGCTTGTCTTTGCGCCACACATCTTCGAAACTCATAAAAAACAAATCTCCTGGTCGCTTTCCATCTTTGACTTGTCACACCAGATGATGAGGGCGATCGTCGTTTCCGGCTTACAACGCTTCAGTCTGCATCTGCCGTCCGTCGCAGGTCTACCTAATTGGATTGCGCAGGGTACAACACAGAGGAAACAGCATGATGGATTGCGAGCGAGATGACGAAAGAGGGCAATATTACAAGGTGGGAGAGACTCGCCAACGTCTTGTCCTTTTTTCCCCAGCAACTTTCGTATCAAGGAGAGGGGTCATTACCATGTTTCTTGCTTCTCTCAGGTGTTATTCGTCTTTTTATTATGTTTCTTTAGTTTTACACCCCGGTGGCGCTATCAACTGAACTTTTTTTTTCTATTTTCACTGCTCACGCTTCCCAACGTCTTTGTTCGTGCATCACTGGAAACACAGGTCTTGTTCTCACAAGCCGTGTCCAGAAGCGCTCGCCATAAGCTCACTCGAGCTTCCACGTGCCCTTGTGTCCGGCGGTTCATCTGGAGAAGCGGAATATATGTTGGCCCTGTCGCCCTCGCACCCCTCTGGCAACGAGGGACAACTACTGTTTGAAACACCAAATGCACAGTTCTTCTCAGACAGCGGTGTGTATGGCAAGAGCGGTCCCTGGTCGAGGCTCTCGACTCGAGTGCTCAAGGGTAGTATGCGTTTCTACAGCTATGGCATTTCTACAAATATGGTTCCTTGCGTGACTGACTCTAGCTTGTTGAGAAGCATGGTTAGGGGGCGTATCACGAACAGGGTCTACGGCTAGCGATCATCAAGCCTTCCTCTCCAACGAGTTTCCAATCCGTCCTTATAATGACTGCAACATTGATCGGGTGGAGACAGATTTATGGAGCAAAGACAGCAAGCAGCATTTAGGACATGGCTTTGGTTATATTCATTACTCCAACAGGCTTCGTCTCGTTCAGTGCATCTACTCTATCACGCTCCTGTATTCGTCCACCCATGCAACAGACGGAAAGCTGCCAACCATCTACACAACATTAGTATTCCGTTCTAGCTTCAGTAAACATGTTAAAGGAGAACATACTCAGGGTTATCCACAAGAGACTGGTTCCAAGCATCGTCCGAATCATAGAGCAGCCTTCGAGCTTCATTTTGGAACATCTCATCTGTAGGCGTGATCCCCAAGCTCAACTGCTGTCGCCCATACCGACCAAGATGGAAAATAACCATCTCATTCAACGTCAGATTATTAGTTTGCGTCGGCGCAGCTTCCATTTCTGGCGTAAGTGGCAAAGGCGAAGTTGGCTCAGAAGGCTCAGATGGCATTGCCGTCAACCGTGAAGAAATCTGTGCGACGTGATCTCTCACTACGTGACTAGTTGACGAAAAAGGCACCAGTGTCTCTGATTCATCCGCTATCAGGTAGGGAGGAATCGCGTTTGTTACTCTGGCGGCAATATCGGGTTCGAATTCGTGGTCGCCGCGCCAGTCTTTCATTGTTCGTCCTGCGCGGAAGTGGCCGGACAAGTGCTCGATTCTCTCTTCCCAGTTTGTCAGTCTGCGGTCGCAGAAGCCGCAGCGGGAAGTTATGTTTGGGCCTTGGGTTTTCCATTCGTCGATCAGTGGCATGGTTTGTAATCGATGGAAGAGTCTGAGATGCTGGACTAGATGGTCTTTGCGGTTGAATTGTCGACGCGAGCTTCTCACGCAGTTACTGTGGTCGTGGCTGTCGAGGTGCTCTAGAGTGGGATCTAGGACTTGACAATAGGCGCAGTGGTTTCTGCCAGTGGCTTCTGAGAATACGGAACCGCCTTGGGGACAACATAGCCAGACTTCTAGGTTCAGATGCAGTGATCTTTCATGCCTAGACCAGTCGTATCTTTTGTAGAAGGTGTCACAGCAGAAAGTGCATTTGAAAATGTGCGCTTTGTCTGATTGTGCCTTGGGCTTGCGGGTTCTTTGCGGTCGTCTGCGTGCAGATCGTGATCTGGCAGAGATACTGGATGCTGCAGAGTTTGAAGACTGAACAGAGGGAGAACTTGCCGCGCTCTCCACACTCGCAATAGACCCAGGTCGACTTCGACGTCCTCTACCGGGATAGTGTAGCTCTGCAGGCTGACTGATATGGTTCGGATCCAGTATGTCGAACTCACTGCTTTGCAGCGCTTGCTCAACCGCAGCCATAGACACGTAATCGTCCTCAGGTGGAGAGTTCTGGTATCTCTGCAGCGGATCGTAGCGCTCAGCCGAAGAAGACTCCGGTATAGGTATACTCGTAGTCGTGCTACTGCTGTCCATACGATTCAATCGATACCGGCTTCGACGACGAGGTAGACCGCTATGTTGCTGTTTGCGTCCATCTGCAAGGATCTGACTCCAAGACTTGCCAGACCTTTGAATCTCCCTGCTAGCCAAGGATGAAGCCAGTGGGGCAAGATCTGCCATGTACTCGTTGCTCCAGCCATGAGGAATCTCCAAGCCCTTGCCCTCAGCAGTCCCAAGTAGATCATATGACGGCTCAAAGGTATCCATAGGCGGCATCGCAGACACAAAGTCCGTCTCAGAGCTAGGGATATACAAATTGCTCAGACTAGAATAGTCAAAAGGGGCATTCGAGAAATCATCCAGAGTCAGGTCTTGCTCGAGTATACCCTGAGATGCATTTACATCTCCGAACATCGGGCTGTACAAGGGTTGATGCTGTTGTCCATCGTGGCTTGTGCCGCTATGGTCATCGTTTTGAGCCGTACTTTTGCCCATTCGGTTTACCTGCGACGCATCCATGTTGATTTGCGAAACGGCTGGGAGACTCCGATTTCGCTGTGCTGGTCGAGATGCAACAAGAAATTTTGCAGCATCTGGGAAATGCTGGCAACCGTGATGGTCGACCTGACACAAGGCGTAGTGTGGGGAAGCAAGTTTGAGGCACAAGGAGCAGCAGTAGAGTGGTTTGGCATATTTGGCCATCTTTGGTGCTTGGGAAACCCTTCCACAGAATGCATACATATATCACAGCACTCGTCCTTGGATGGTAGTCGCTGATTCAGAATACGAGATGTTTGGTTGATATCATTTATATCGCAGGCTTATAGTGGTGCTACATCGAGAAGGCGTTGGACAAGACATGCTCAATGTAGTGTCTCTGTGTATCCTTAAAAGGATTCTGAGTGAGCACTCTCATGTTTATCTACAGTATGCTCCCTACAGATAACTCTTCGTCTTGGCCATATGCACACCATGTGCCCAATGGAAGAGCTTAGCACTGACCATATACCCATCCTTGTTGCTATACTCGACCAACTTCTCGTAAAGCTCGTTCAAAGGAACAACCACACGCTCAATATGTTCACCCTCATCAAGTTGTTGCTCAGGCTCTTTGTCGCCCTCCTTGAGGTGTACCTCCATCGTAGCCAACTGCATGTTCGCACTAGTCATTCCCGGGTCTGCTGCTACGATGGGACTGACAGAGGTGACCTTGCCCTCATAGCCAGTTTCCTCTCTCAACTCTCTGACAGCAGCATCCTCCACACTCTCATCTGCATCCACCAAACCAGCAGGCCACTCGACAGAGATAGCGTCGATAGGTGGACGGTACTGTAGCACCAAGATAGTGGTAGGCGGCTTGCTAGGATGCAAGATAATGTTTCCCATAGCGACTGCATCGACACCGGCTTTACCGCGTGTCTTGCGGGAAGCGACTTCCCATGTTCGTGACTTGTTGCTCTGGTCTGTCCAGTTGATCTTGCGCAGGGCGACCCATTTGGTGTCTGCGGTGGACACGTCCTCGATGCTGTGGATGGTACCTTTNTGTGCCTTCATGATTGCTGGGATTTGTGAGAAGGAGCGGCGCCAGAGGATTGGGTTGAGAGTGCAAGGACCGGGAGGGAAAGAAGCGGCGGTTGCACGGGTTGAGCGGAGGGCTGTTCGACTCAGCATCGGTTCGTGTTTCTGGATTGGCGATTGATAGGAGGATGTACGTACGGCTGTCTTTACTGATGCATATGGATCTGTTTACTGAGGGGGAAAGTGATGATGCCTTGTTTCCTCCCACGTCATTCGGTCGTGCTTCCCCAGACTTTGATGTTGGTTCAGCTCAACGTACATCTATTGCCCTTTCTCGCTACTTGTATGCAACATGGAGCTTGGAGACATGCTGTTAAACACGAGTATCATGAACCTATATCTGTAAATGTCGTGTTTTGGATATGTGTCTGCCATCGTAACGCGTCATCAACAATGTGTCCCCTAGATTAACCTATCCACCCAGCCCTTGCCAATATTTCTACCTCCCAATATGCCAAACTCTTATACATGGGTACCCTTGAGTAGCTCCCGAAGCTCAGCTGCCTTGACCAACTTGCAACTTGTGCCTTCGCAGACCTGAACCATATCCTTGCCCTGATCGATTGACCCGAGGAGCTCATTTCTCTGTCTGAGCCACTCGCTCTTGCTATCACCGCCAACTCTGACTACTGTTGAGCCAGGACGAACCATCTGGCGCAATTGCTCCAGAGCAGTCTGTACCTCCGAGCTAGACTCGTTTCCTGATATCATGATGGGCTTGATATCGAGGTTTGAATTGACCACCGTTGACATGAGACCGGTGAAGAGGCCAGGGTGCTGAACCATCTCGACTTCAAACGCCTTGGCTGTACGCGTAGCAAGAACCGAGTATCTCGAGTCGTCAAGCAATGATGAGAGCTTGAACAGATTCGTCGCGCTCATACCATTGGCGCTAGGCTCCGCATTATCCATAGCATCCTTGCTGCGAATCAAGATATCAGGAGCGTGGGCTGGTGTGCCGAAGAAGCCGCCCTTCGTCTCGCTCTCATTGTCAGCAAAATGCTCAATCTGTGATTGTTGCAGCTCGTCGGCCCACTGCAGATATGAGTCGTCGAAGGTTGCTTCATAAAGGTCGATAAGACCGCTTATAAGGAATGCGTAATCGTCGGCGAAACCCGCCGTGGCGCCAGGACCTTCACGGTAGACTCGTCGCAGAGTCTTGCTTTCCGAGCCATAGAGCTCCTTTTTGATGAACTGCGATGCTGAAATAGCAGCCTCGAGATATTTTGTTGACGCCTTCGGGTCAGACTGCTTCAACGCAGCAGCAGTACGAGCGAGACCGCCAATCGCCAGACCGTTCCAGGATACAACAATCTTGTCGTCGAGAAGAGGGCGAGGTCGGTGTTGGTCACGCCAGTCTGAAAGTCTTTGGCGACCTGTCTTGACAGCCTTTTCCGCGTCCCGTTCAGAAATGTCGAATTGTTTGGCAACATCCGAGAGAGAAGAGGTCACACAGAGTGTGTTGAGTCCCTTGAGTTCACCCTGGATATCATGCTTGGGGCTGACATTGCCATTGGGCTTTACGTTCCAGTATTTGGCGAGCATGTTGGCCAATTTGTCGTCTTCCAAGGCTTTGTAAAATTCCGAGTGGGACCACACATAGAAAGCGCCCTCTTTGTGCTCCTTTTCGGAGGCACTCGGTGCGCTGTCCGCGTCTTCGGAAGCGTGGAAGCCACCAGTAGGGGAATGTATCGGCGTTGAAGTAAGGTAGGTAGCGATGTCGTGAGTCATTTCGAGGAAAAGGGGNTTTCTGGTTATCAGCCATGCATCGAGATAGAGAGGCAGCAACTGAGCATTGTCGTAAAGCNNCTGAAGACACGTTAGTGGAGTCCAAAGGAGGGCCCGAACAACATACATCTTCTCGAAATGTGGCAGGCTCCAGTCTTTAGTGACGGAGTATCTGGCAAAGCCATGACCAACCTGATCCTTGATACCACCTTTGGCCATGTTCTCCAACGTCGTTGCAACCATTTTTCGAGCATTCTGCACAGCATCGTCGCCTATGACATCTTTGACGATACCATCCCACTCGCCCAGTCTCAACAANAAGGAGAGATGCGAAGGCGTAGGGAACTTGGGAGCACCACCGAATCCGCCATGTTTCTCGTCGTATCTGGAGTTGTAATGGTCGTAAGCCTCTTCCAGTAGCTCCAGCTCAAGGGTATCGTCGCTCTCCTCGGCGCCTTCGCCGGATCTCCTGCCAGAAAGGGTACCCTCTTGTGCGAATTGTCTAAGCTGGTCGGTGATGTTTGAAGCGCTTTCTCTGCATCGGGATTCCTGCTCTTTCCAGGCGCTGGCGACCTTTGTCAGGATGGCTTCAAAGCCACCGCCATGATGAGCGCGGTCACTCTTCGGGCCTGGCCAGTAGGTTCCGCCAAATAGTGGTTGTAGATCCGGAGTGACAAAGACATTGAGTGGCCAGCCGCCGCCACCAGTCGTGGCTTGCAGGAAGTCCATGTAGACCTTGTCGACATCGGGGCGTTCCTCGCGATCGATCTTGACGGGGATGAAATGTTCGTTCAACAGCTGAGCGATGCGGTCGTTCATGAAACTCTCGTGGGCCATGACATGACACCAATGGCAGGCAGAGTAGCCAATCGACACAAAGAGCAGGCGATTGGTGCGTTTGGACAACTCGAGCGTCTCGGGGCTCCAGAGCTGCCAGGCTGTAGGGTTGTTCGCGTGCGATCGGACATATGGCGACTTGCTGTCATTGCAGCGGTTGCTGAGCGACACGAAGCCGCCTTTCGACGATGCGGTGCTCATGGCGCGTATGAACGAGAGGCGAGTCTTGGGATGAAGACGAGATGAGGAGGCGACGGACGAGGATGCGGATACTCCGAGATGCGATAACAATGGCATGCGCTTGCTGATGCTGTCGTTGTCTGGACTGGTCTAGTGCTTGCACGTTGTTACGTGGTACAAGTAATCTCAATCGAAGAACCTCTTTGCACCCCACCCCGCCAACTCCACCTCCAACGCTCCCTCTAGCTTGCGTCATGGTGATTGAGGGTCCACTTGCAACATCCTCCGCATCGACAACGAACTCCCAAGATCCGTACTCGGATCTGCCCGAGTTTTGTACTTTGTTGATCAGCTGATCGGCACATCGAAGCATCCAAAATGCGCCTTCCTTGACATAGAAAATAGACAAAATCTATGTCCTGAAGCCTGATGGTAGGTGCAACCAAGACACACGCCCGACATGGCAACTTGCTGGCCTCTCAGTGCGGATAACATACGCGAAGACATCAGAATCTTTGCAAAATATTCAGTCACGTACAAGTTCAAGGTGGAAGGTAGAAGTAAAGTCATTGCTCGTTTCATCGGCAAGTTTCATTTCGAAGAAGCGAAAGCTACAAAAAGGTGACCACAAGCCATCCATCACATCCATGGAGAAAATATTGACACTGAAGGCGAGTGGAAGAAAGAGGTCGTGACTGTGTCAGTATGATGTCCCCTGTCTTTTTCGAGGGCGAATGAATTCCAGTCCCACTGCCCACAAACTCACATGCCATCAACAAAGAAAAGAAAAGAAGAGAAGAAAAATGTGACTTCCGCTGCCATCAAGACAACATGCGAGTCCAGCACTGTAGAAGAGAAGTTTTTGCCGTCAAGAATCGTCAGGCAACTTTTAGAGCTGCGCCGCTTGGACAACTCTTTACAGGTTGTAGGACCAGTCCTGGGTGGGCTGGTTGAGCGAAGCACCAATGTTGTCGGCGTATTCACCAGCGTAGTTACCTTGGCCAAGGTTAGTATATTGTTATGAGACAGATGTACAAGAAAGACTTACCAGGAGCACCGTAGTTGCAGACAGTGAAGTAGGGAGAGACGTATTGACCAACGTTTGCAAGACCGCCAGAGCAGTACTGAGTGGCACAGCCGACCTTGGTAGTACCCTTCCAGACAAGCTGAGAGAAGTGACCCCACTTCTCGAAGTTGGTCATGTCGGGGTTGGCCTGGCCGTAGAGGTTGTTGTAGTAGCCAACCTCGCCGTTATAGAAGAGCTCAGTGATGACAGCGGAGACGTTGTTAGCCTCGACACCAGCGGCGATGTTCTGACCATAGCCACCGCCGTTGACATCCATGCTGTGGGCGTAGACGCAAGTGGCAGCGATCTGCTGGGCAGTGGCGGCGAGCTGCGAGTCCCAAACGAGGTTGGAAGCAGAGTGGTTGGCACGGTGAACGTTGTGGTGGTCAATGACGATCTGCTGGTATGTGGTGGCCTTGCCAGAGGGAGCGGAAACGGTGGAGCTAGCCTGTTTTGTTGTCTTAGCACTGCTGATCGTTGTAGATGTTGAAGACTTTCTCAAAGACGATGATGACGACTTGGAAGAACTCTTGGACTGGGAAAGTGTGGACTTGGAAGTAGGAAGAATGGTAGAGGAAAGGCGAGATGAAGTAGATGTGACTTTGACTGATGTGGAGGAAGATTTGGATATGGATGATGCGGGCTTGGGAGAAGAGAGGAAGGAGGGAGTAGACTTGATGAGAGTCGATGAAGACTTGAGGGAACTGGAGGGGGATGCAACAGATGACTCGCGCTTGCAAGCTTTGCGCGAGACAGGGACAGTAGCAACTCTTTCAACAGTAGAAGGGGAGAGGGAAGAGACCTTTTTGGTGCTCGAGGTTTTCAAGGAGGTCGTGGAAATCTTCTTCGTCGAAATAGGAGTTCCCTTCTGGCTCGTCGACACCTTCTTCGTAGAAGAGGAAGACTTCTTGCTCGTTGAAGTTGCCTTCTTGGAGCTCACAGTAATCTTCTTGCTCGTCGAAGTTGCGTTCTTCGAGGTGACAGTAGTCTTCTTCGTTGAAGTAGGTGCCTTGACCGTCGTGGTTGTCTTGATCGTTGAAGTGGCACGCTTGACTTGGGAGGAGGAGGAAGGGTGGAACATCTGGGCCATAAGGCTTTCGAAGTTCACACGAGGGTGTAAAGAATCACGAGAAAGAAGATGATGAAACGATTCAAGTAAGCTCACCTCAGTGGTGGCTGCAGAAGCAGCAGAAGAAGTAGCAACAGCAGTGGTAGGTTCGGCAGAAGGAGTCACGGTCCAGGAGCTGGTCCAGGCACTGGTCCAGCCTTGGGCAGGGATAGCGGCCTTGGGATCAGCGGATGACGAGGCAGCGACAGGAGCTGAGGTAGCCGATGAGACGACGGTGGCAGCGGGAGCCTCGGTGGTGACTACAGTGACAACAGGGGCAGCCGACGACTGAGCAGCAGGCTGGTACCATGAGTGACGGTGACCATAGTACTGAGAAGTCGTGGCGGCCTCGGTCGTGACGGCAGGCTGCTCAGCAGAAACCGAGTCCGAGGTTGGGGCCGGTGCAGCGACAGTGACGGGGATAGTAGTGTCGTCGGTCTCGGTAACGTAGACTGTCTCGTAGGCGGTGTCATAGACAGTGTCGATCACAAGATCGCGCTTGAGGATAGGGCTGGCGAAGGCACTGGCAGCCAGGGCAGCTCCGGCGATGAGAGTAGAAGCGCGCATGATGATTCTCTAAGTTTTATTGATTGGTGTTGATTGTGAGGGTCGTTGTTTTCGAAGGATACCAGATCCGGATAATGTGGAAGACTTGAAAGACTGATGTGCCAGATTGTTAGTGACCACTGCTACTGTGCTGTTGCGTTCTTCTGCTACTGCTTTGGTCTTTCCAGAAGACGGCAGAGGCAGGCAGCTTTTATGTATTGACGATAATTGAGCGGTGATGGCAAAAGAGTGGTGGATTGATGATGCACGAAGGTTGAACGGCCAGAGTGCTCGACTCGCAATAATACCGTTCGTTGTCTCTGAGAAGGACTGTAACGGTGTGCTCACCAGGGAACGAGTGTGTGTGCAGGATGTGGGCTGGATCTTATCGATCTTCGAGGGCGAACGGTGATGTTTATATAACGGCCAGGGTGATAGATGGTAATCGAAGGAAATGTGCACTTACGTGAAAGTCCTCGCAGAGGGAATGGCTTGCAGACAGTGTGGTGGGAGGGAAAAAGAGTGAAATGCAACCGTTTAGGCGCGTGAACGAGTGACAAGAAAGAAGCGGTGGTGGACAACGAGAGAGGAAGTCGATGTGGCAGCGTGATGGTCGACTTTTGAATGGGCGTGTTGATGGGGGCTAAAACGCTAGTGGCCGCACTAATAGGCGCAATTCCTGTGACCGGGATGTGCGTGAGAGTGGACCTCGATGAAACACTCTCCGCAAATGCAGGTGGCTGCTGCTGTCGATTGCGTGAGCGCACCGTTAAAACGCCTCTCTGGGCGGACGGCTCCTTTGTATAAGGTTGGCTGCAGCAAGTGTTGAAGAATTGGCTGGCCTGGGACTCAGGGGACTGTGACATTCTTCAAGTCTAGACAAAATTTAGGAGCTAGACTTGACATGTGGTTCAACTGCCACTCCTTGCTTGTCCATCAGGTGTGGAATGTGTTACCCGTATCCGAACCTACTCTCCAAACATCCAGCTCCTCCGCAACCACTTCATCACTGGAAATCGCAGCAATGTAAATCATGGAACAAAGGACTGGAAAGTTGTGATTGCCTTATGCTCAAGCCGCGTCACTCAAGCCCTCCCAGGTTTAACTGCGGCCCGGCACGAAGATCAAGGTACCAACCAAGTTTCACTCGTTGTCGCAAGAAAAGTTCCTGCATTAGCCATACATCTCTATACTGTGGGGTAAAAGCCCCTGCCTCTTCTCGCTTTCGGAGTTCCGAGGTTAGACATGCTTCTTCGCTCGCTCGTATGACAGCGCCTCGCCCTTGGGTGCCATACCACCATGCGAACGTGCCTTTGCGCCGCTTCCAGATAGTCGCAACAAGCGCTCTCCTGAATCTTGAGCGTTTTGCTGCCAGGAGAAGACGTGGTACAAGGTTAAGCGTCGGCGAGATCTGTACAGCGATTAGGTACCCAACAAGGTTTCGCTGCTACGTAAAAGTAGCGTGGAAAAGGAGGGGCCGTTCAGCGCACTTCAAAGTCTCAACCAGAAAATTTGTGACTTCCGTCTATCAAAACATAACCAGCTTGAGAGCTCGAGCGAGACCAAATCCACACCATTGTTGTCGCAGTGCATGCAGCTGCCAAGCACTCTCATACGGCCTCCCGAACACCCCTTGATTTCCAGATTAGGTCAACTAACACACCCTTCCACTTCTTTCATTGTTCGATTCTTGACACCCTCGAGTCATGATCTTACTGGCCTAGGCAATCTTTGATCATTGAAGGCTGCTCGAGGCTCATCAACGCAGATCGGGACGACGTGCTGTCTCATGTACAACCTCGGTGCATGAAATGCCATGGAATGTGGTTGATTCTCGTAACCGTTTTTCAGCTCACGTTCCGCAACGGAGTTTCAACATCTGGCTCGACAACCGGCTTTCTCGTCTCTCCGCGACGTTGAAGTCAGTCGTTCAACAGAACAACTGTACCTATCACCAGGGTAGCAAGGTAGTCGCTTGCGACAAGCATCTTCGGAACAACATGCGTCATCATGTGAAGACGAAGTGTCACAGCGTGCTTCTTACAACACTCCAGTCGATCACGAAACGTTCCGTTATAGCCAAACCGAGAAACAGCATAAGATCAGCACGCTTAGGTGTCCTATGATGCGGCTCTGCTCTTCTCCATAATGCTTATTGTCTATTCGCCTGAAACTTCAAAGTGCCTGTCTCGGACTTCTGCGTGCCTAGATGCCGTTGTAAGAGCTGACTTGAAGACACGGCACGGCCAGTTCAATGCGTCAGGATGGGACTCTCTCTGAACTCCAGTTTTGGTCCAATGTGGCGCTGGAATTGTCTACTATCGCGTCAGAAAAAGCGACTGGTCTGAGCTGCTGTGATGCCCAACTACGGATCAACAGTAGACTGCGATGTATCCAACCGAGTCTGGATGGCTTCGTTGAAACTACTGAGAAGCATCGTTCGGCTTGGCTCCACAAAGCGTCTATCATAGCTATCCAACCAAGCACATGCGTGATCGCACGCAGTAGAACCGTCACATTGCCATGAGTTTTCTCACGGCTGTGATGTTTATCATCCACTGCGAATAGTATTGCTCCAGTCTCCTGCATATCCCAACATCCACACGTAGGGCAGAGGTTAGTGTCGAGGTACGTACCCGGAAGAAAAAATCCCTGTGTGCACTGACAGGTACAAGCAATACCTCAAAGCATGAACAGTGGGTATGTGAACAGTCATGTCAAGCCGACCCATGGTTGGATTCCTACAGAAAGAAGCGCCCACTTGGTGCGCGGAACCTATCTTGACTTGCATCTCAACAACTTGGCAGTATATTCAGCTGAACCTTGCTGTACTCAACAGATAGGCATACACCTGGCTGCTCAGTCACAATTCGTTCTTGTTCACGTATGAGTAGAGATTGGTTACGGTATGTCCGAGTATGATAGTGGCTCGAAGACTTGAACAACTTTCATGGGCATGATTCTCAGATCCAGAGCGCTAACCTGACAGTCCTTATCGTTTGGAAAGCCGTTTCTAACCGTAGTAAGCTCAGGTTACTTCTCAGAAGGCCATACGCACTTGGTAATAGACAATGTGCGATATCTGTGGGCATCGATGGCTGCTTATGTTGACGATAATGTGTCCCATCCGATTCGAGTCCGTTTGCTAAGTGATGATGTACACAGCAAGATTTTATCACCGCCGTTTGAGTGACATCTCATGCAGCCTCGAGCAATCGCAAATATTAAGGTCGTCTCTGTTTAGCAAGCACTGTTTGTTTTCCTTGTGCCTTATGACAATACGTCGATGTTCGATGGTCATCGGTCACGATCTGTGAGGCATGTTCGTTTCAAGACCTTGAAACCGTCACAGAAATATTATGACCGCGAAACTTGCTGCGAGGTCATGGTTCAGAATATAAAATTGGACTTGTTTCATGGCGAGAATGACAGGCGAGTTGGTTCCCTTGGTTGTTTGTGCCTTGGAGAAAATTGTGGGGAAGCGAAATGAACTCCATGAATCTCGAACCTGTTCTCCTTCATCACAGTCCAAGGCCGTCCACGATATCAGGGCAATATCAAGGATCGACGCAAATCTCTCTTCGCATCAGATCTCGAGTCAAAGCTTTAGGGCTTGCAAGCCGCCGTCTGTATATCTCTGACGCCCAGTATTGGCTGCAAAATTCTAGATTCTCTTGTCGCAAATGACGAATGAATCTGTGGTATATGTGCACCTGACTCAAGGACGGTGGATTCTTCGGTGAACGAACGGTTCCCACGGCGTGTAGCCGCGAGGAGCCGTCGACTTGTCAACAACCGTCCAGGACGACGTTGGCTTCGTGTCGTTGCTATCGGTCGGATAGCCGTTGGAAGAACGAATCGCGCTTGCCAAGAGAAGTCACGATGCAATAGTCGTCGTGAGGCACGACCTGTCTTGGTATCGAACGGATGGGTCGTTGATCACTTATAGCAAACCCTTCTTGTGTGTATATTCCTGGGCTGATTTTCATGTTGCGTCCGTAGAAGTCATGCGGTAAAACACAAGAGTGTCACGTCCGCAGCTACTTCAAAATTTGCGAAATCTTGATCGTCGTTTTGAGAAGGGAAGGAGTGAATTGGGCGAGGTAAGTGCGAACTAGGGAAAGAGATGCTATGCTGTTGGACTTGGTCGAACACGATAGACCATCCACAACTTCCCCAACATCAGGAGAGCCTCTCGTATGGTACCAGGTGTTGCATGCTCTGTACATCTTGACATCACAAGCTTCAAGCAAGCAAGTTGGAAACGATGAGGATGGTGTGCAAGAGCTCTCACGACCCACCCCAAGCCAAAGATCAACACTCGACTGCGCGAGTTTGCTCAAAATACCACGCGACTGACCCCGCTCGATTTGATGTCGTTCCATACTTGAGAACTCACCAGGACTGATGTGTTTCCTCATCTTCTTTCTCTTCTTGTTTTTCCCCGTACGCTCCTTTCTCTCCTTCTAGCTGCTGCCATCGCTTCATCCAACCAGGAGTCCAACAGCATGTCGTCAACCGATCCACCACCGAGCTACAATGGGACCACTGCTGTGTCCGAAAAGCCAATTATTGTGTGCGAGAACCCTGACACATCAACTGCTTACCATCTCACCCTTGAAAGGTGCAAGAAGAGCATCCTTCTCCCCAGCGGCCGTAAGGCATGTTCTGGTACGATCGAAGACACGGACGTCGCCATCACCGTCTCGGACAACGACACCTGGCTCAAAATCCGTGAAGAGATCTGGCGTCTGTACCAGAAAGTATATCCTGCTTACATGGGTACTGCCGAGATTGAAGATTACTGTATTGGCGCCTCCATGCAACACACTGCTCAAGAAGGAGGTGTGTTTGGTCGGGTTCAGGCGATCGAGGCAAAGGATGATGCTCTTTGGGTGTTTCTGAAACGTGACGACATCAGTATCATCAACATCATCGCATACTGCTCGCCANCGCGAGGGGAGGCGCCTGGAGAAGTCAGAAGCCCGGATTACGTCTCCCATCACTTGCAGATCAACGAGAAGACCAAGGGCAAGAAGGGTATCAAGAGCAAGCACCACTGTATCTTGCAATGAGCGTAATGGAAGTACACTGTGTATGACAACGACCACCGAATGATTCTCGTCTACGACTATCACTACTCCGTTCATTAGCAAACCCGGGAAACAGTGGCCCTTGTCGTCAAGGTGTCCTCTGTTGACCCCAAAAGTTTTTCTTCTTTCAGTTACACGAGTAGTCGACATATTCTAGTACTTCTGATACCTTACCATTTCCGTCTTTAGTGTATACGAGTTCGCCTCGTTTGCTAATTGCTAGTATGCCACTTCCGATACAGACTGGCTTGCACCCGCTTTCGCTTCATCTTGTCTTCCATACAGTGTTCTTGCGTTCGTGGATCGCTGTTTGGTTGCTATCTTCTGCTGAAAACTGAGTCTGAGTTCACTGGCCGTGATCGTAGCTGCCGATGTGTGCGAGATTCACAACACATATAGCGATGCTGTATCAGATGGCAAATTCGAGTATCATCAAACAGTCGCACGAGTTGAATTGCTTGCAACGAGCAGACCTATGGCTCATGACTATCATTAGCCTCTTCCCAGACAAACATGACAAGGAATGTACAGAAAGTCTACGTTTCATACGATCGACACTTTGAAACTCATGTATCAGCTTTTCATGACTCTCAAGATCTGGATTTGGGAAGGATGACAGCTATTCATAGCTCTCATGTCCAATCCTGGACGTCGCCGTCACATCCAGAACTTCACGAAGCTTCTTGTTTAGATATATGCGTGCGGATCAGGCTTCCTGAAACTTGTTACTTGTGCATGTAGCCAGTACCGCCAGAGGGGAGAAGTGGAAATCCATTGAGTGTCTATCAGTCATCCTTAAACATATCTCTGATCTAGAAGCAAAGAAATTGTAGTCTGCCATTTGTTTGCTCACAATGTTCAAACATTCGAGGACTAAGAAGCAATCACAGTATCATGGTCCAAGAGAGGCTTCTCTACAGACAAGCAATGTCCACTGAGAAGTCCCCTTGGGAAGCCCACTCTCTGGGCTCGTCTCTGATTTCAAGGCCCTTACGGGGTTCTGTAGCTTCACCGTGATGCTCTGACATCGATACGAGGAGAAGGGAGCCCAGAAACAGAACATGAGACAGAATCTTGAGCATACAGATTAGATTTAAAGAAGGAATGCAGATACGATGTGATGATTATGTACAGACGATGTGCCTCAGGACCCAACCCTTTTCTAATGCAACTCCAGCCAGTGCTATGCTCAAGATACAATGACATTGATGACAAAAGAAATGAACCGGAAATGCAAAGCAATGCAACACCACGCTTTAGAACCCCATACTACCAACCACAACTGACTCATTGCTTGATGTACACCAGAATGTATGGGTTGAAACCAGAAGTTGGCTTCCTCCACTCTCTGGCATTGCTGTTGTTGACAGAGGAATCGCTGATCTCTTTGATTCCATCGGCACCGCGAATGTAAGCAATGTAATGACCGAACTTGAGCGAGCCTGAGTGTGCGACAATGGCCTGAAGACGATACTTCGATGGCTTCGATCTGTCTAGCGACCAGGGCGAAAGGTCAAACTCCTCGGGGAAATCGACGTGCTGTTTGTTCTTCGTGGGTCCACGAGCACCGTAACCGAAACGCGCGAGCTGGATGGGCAAGACGTCAGGCGCGTTGTCGAGTTGGAAGATGCGAGTGCGCTTAACATTCTTCTTGCATTGGTCGCAGCGGATAGTGACGTTGGGCTCGCGGTGGTATGTGTTCAGACAATCCGTGAGATTGACATTCGATCGGTTCGGGATAGGCAGAGTGAGACTGAAGCCGGGTGGATCGCTGTGAGTGTGCACTTTCTTGCAGCCGTCGCAGACCCAGGAGATCTTGTGCTTGATTCGAAAAAGGGAAGTAAATTGATCTTTGTCAATTCCTTTGGCCTTTTCGAAAGTACCAAGCAGGTATTGAAGAAAATCGTGGCTGTCTTCTTGTGTCTGGCTTGTGGCGCTCCAGCGAGGATCGCTCGATCTGCCGGTTGCTCTGATGGCGCCGTCCAGAGCGGACAGTTGGCTGCCCACACCGCCGGGAGAGGTGTGGTAGCTCAGGAGCAGTTGTCGCATTGCGCAGGTCACGCATCTGCCCTGCTTTGGACATGATTTGTGAGAATCGTCCAGAAGGTTGAAGAGTTGGGGCACTGCGATGAGACTCTGCAGCACGCTGCGACGATAGCACCAGTTCATTGGGTTGCTCAAGCCCTTGATCTTTGGCTTGCCCACGCTCGCTGGCCAGGAATTTGACGTCTTGAAAGCGGATGCGATAGGAGATTTCGATGCCTTGCCAGCCTTCGGTGACTGCTCTCCTTTCAAGGGTTTGATCGAGATTGACTCCTGCTTCGAGGCCTTGGTCTGAGCAGTGCTAGGCTTAGATGTTCCATTGACGGGTTGTTGGCGGCTGTCTTGCTTTTGAGACTGAGAGTCGGATTTCTTCGATGACAGCTCTTCTGATTCCTGCTTGCGGGCCTTCTTGGATTGCTGTCGAGGTTTCGCGTCCGGAGGCTCTGACTCGGAGATTCTCCTCTTNTTGCTGGGTTTTGAGGATTCCTGGACAGGCTGAGTAGGAGGCTGAGATGACAGTCGCGAGACAGTTTGCTGGATGACTGGTGCGGCTTTGACTTCGCGAGCAGCGGGTAGCGATGGTGGAAGGCTCCTCGCGCGTGGCCGAGTAGAGATGGTATCCATTTTTTGTAAGCGTCGTTTGAGATCCAAGAATTTTCGAAGCGCGTCTTTCCGACAATGCGAGCAAGGAGAAGAGCTTAGATCACGGAATGCCTGTATAGTTCTGCGCTTGAGAGCATGTTCGACATAAGTGGCAGCAACATTATTGTTGCGCCTTCTTATTGTCTTTTGCATGATGAATACCTGAATAGGCAATGACAATGTGAGGTAAGTGCTATTGCGGTCCGAACAATCGGAGTGCGCAACAAGAATAGGAAAGAAGAATACCACCGAGGCCCTGTTACTCCAGCGCTCTCTTCACATTAAATATTGGAGAGAGTGAACGAAAGTGACTAACAGCAAATCACGAGAGACTACTGTTCATGCACGCGGTTGCCAGACTCGTTTCCAAAGCCTCGATACAACCGGCAGGTAACCAAAATGCGAGGTGTCCAGGGGTCCAGGTCAATAGATCAGTGCCGTGATTCCTTCAGACTCTCAAGTCCAGTCGAGGAAGATGTGATGGACAAAAGTTTGCGACTTGAAACAAAAAATGTCGAGGCACGTCCGAATGGGGAAAGGTTCATCGCGTCCCTCGACAGACTTGGCGTCGTCACAGCGTACAAAGAAATAGAGCAGCAGCAACAGCTCCGATCTCCAATCTTGACCTTGTTGCTCGCCAGTCGAAGCTATGGTAGCAGAACAAGATGGCGCAGAGTATGAGGCTCAGCATGTACATGATGTATACGAGCAGATTGCATCCCACTTCTCGGCCACTCGCTACAAGGTGTGACTCGACCGTTCGTGGTACCTCGTCGCTCTTCTGACCGCTTTCTCTCTTAGCNCATGGCCTGTCATTGAGAAGTTCCTCAAGGAGTTGACTCCTGGCTCTGTAGGACTGGACGTTGGATGTGGAAACGGCAAATATTTGACCGTCAATCCTGATGTCTTCATTGTTGGCAGTGACCGCTCGCCCTCGCTCATCAAGTTCGCCTCGTCGCACCAACCGCACGCTGCTGTCGTCTCGGATATCCTTGCTCTGCCTCACCAGAATCATAACTTCGATTTCGCAATCAGCATTGCTGTGCTTCACCACCTGTCAACACCAGAACGCCGTGTGAAAGCCGTTCAAACCATCCTAGACACGCTCAACGCAGACGGCAAAGCATTGTTGTATGTATGGGCTCTGGAGCAGAAAGATAGCAGAAGAGGTTGGGACGAGGGCAACCAGCAGGATACTATGGTGCCCTGGGTCATGCGTGAGAAGAAAGAGAAGCAAAAGAAGGACCGCAAGCAACAGAACAAAGGAGATGCTGCTCAACAAGAAGTCACAGCCGAACAGACACAGACAACTGGTACGAGTCTCGAGCCTGCCGGTGACAAGACCTTCTACCGCTACTATCATCTCTATCGCAAGGGAGAGCTAGAGGAAAACATCGAGCTGGCCGGTGGCACAATTGTAGAGGCTGGCTATGACAGGGACAATTGGTGGGCTATTTGCCAGAGGAAACAGACTTGATAAGAACTTCTATCGCTTGAAGAATCTGTAGTCAATCTGTGCGGGTGAGAGACTGATCTCATTCAGTGTCTCGACGACCTGGTACTTGGCCTTGTCTTCTTCACTCAGAGGGGCATTACCAGGTCTGTCGACGACCACAGACTGCATGCCAGCCTCAATGGCAGCTTGAACCTCCTTGACATTATCGCTCAGGAAGAGGATGCTGTCGGCAGATTTGCCCAACTCCTCGGCGATCTTGGTGTAGCTGCTAGCATCATGCTTCAGGCCGGCATTGGTCGTGTCAAACCAACCGTCGATCAACCCCTGGAAGTTTTGCGTGCGTTTCTCATCCGCTCCGCCGAGCGGGTCTTGGACATGTCCGAAGAGGAGCTTTTGCGCAAAGATGCTGCCTGAGGAGTAGATGACTAGCTGCTTCGATGAGTCACGCCAGTGCTTGAGCTGAGGAGCGACATCGTCGAACAAAGGAGTGGAGTAGGCGCCGTTCTCGTAACCGGCCTGCCATAGATAGCCTTACAAAACAAAACACCGAGTCAGACATTTTTTACCCGTGTGGGCCTGAGATAATAATGGCCGAGGATTGGTGTATGACTCACCCTGCAGGTTCTTGAGATAGGCGATCTTGACGTCGCGTGCTGTCAAGTCCTTGACGTGAGCCTCAAAGGCTTCGGGAGATGCTTGTGCCTCGGCAGGGAAAGCATCACGGTAGGGTTTGAAGTCGGCAGAGTCCCATCGTTCGTGGATGACGCTTGAGAGAGCTTTCAAGGCGTAGGGGAACTTGACACAACGTCAGTCTCAGCGTGACAATGTCGAGATAGCACGACTGGCATGCGAAAGGCAACAAGGTTCCATAGATCGAATGATGTGATGATAAGGACAAAAGAGCGAAGAATGAGTGCAGATCGGATATGGCGTATGTTTCTGGCATCAGTACGATGCTCTTCAACGTGATGTGATCAGGTGGTCGCTGTGACGAGTCCAAAAGAAAAGAAAAATCTTTCGACCTACCAGAGTGTCCTTGACGAAGGAGATAGGGCAAACAGTTCCCTCTAACGACAGAAGCAATCAGCCATCGTTATCGCGTCCAAAAGATTCTGCTTGTAACTCGAGCACATTGATAGTGCGGTGAGTGAAGTGAAGTGCTTCCCTCAACGCATTTCCGCTGCCCAAGGACATGCAACGTAACCAGTCACATACCAATATCGAGCAGCACGGTGCCCACATTCTCGTGCTCTGGAAGCATTCTTTTTGCTGGGCTGAGAGCCGAGTATTTTCTCCAAACGTGGTGTTGCACAAATGTGCGGTGTAAAGTCTAGACGCTGCACTTTGGAAGCTTCGGAAGGCTTCGTCGGGACCAAAGCTGCACTTCGGGGCATCCGCACCTTGATGTCGACCAACTATCCACCGTTCCTGTCTTACAAAATCTCGATAAACTGCACGATATCGCGCCTGCTTGCTGCAGGCGTCAATTAGTTCTCCAGAGCCATACTTTCGTTCTTCGTGGTTGACAGAAGATCTGGTCTGACGACCACTTGAACATGGCGGTTCTGCTGCCAACATCACCTCAGGTCCAAAGGCCCTCTTGAGTGGACGGCAGATTTATTCGAGCTCGATGAGCGGTGTACACAATACATAAGCTATCGCTTCACTGCATTACTGGCGTCTGCTGGCGGCCAGTCTTGTCCAAGGTACCTTGGGAATCGAGGTACACCGTACATCATGCGGGGCAATATGAGTAGCTTCGATGTTCGAGGTAGCTGCACCCGTTATACAAAGATACTGTTTCATCGCCCATTGGATGGCTAGACGCACACCGCAAGACATTCTTTCCAATAGACGCCCGCTAGAGCGAGCTTATAATGGTATTGCTAATGCCAATGCCAGTTGGCGCGGTGCCTTAAGAGCATGTCTGCCATGGGGCCAAGTAGTATGTACTGTTGCGAGAAGGCTGGGCTCTACAGCCGCCAGAGATCGCATAAAGTATGCACAAATGTAGGGGAGAAACCTGTTGCTATTCTTCTCAGACACGTGGAGATCTCGAAAGCCAAACATGGTGGCAAGCGTGACGCTTGGGGAAAGGACAAAGGGCGTGGCTATGCCGTTTTGGTTCGCATACTTGACCTGCGTGTGACCTGCGTGCCGGAACATCCTCGATGCAAGCCATCTACAGCTGGTCAAGCAAGTTCGCAACAGATAAAAAATCTCTGCTTGCTCCATAGAGAATTGGTTGAGAAGCACACCCAACCGCCAAAGAATGCATTTATCTTTCTGGTAAAGCACACCGACACTGTTTTGATGCAGGCACTCCTCTCTCCACATCCGCTTGCCAGAGCATGCAGCATCGTTGACGCTCGAGCTCGATACGTTGGTACCTGAGGATCTTCGGCTTGTTGGTGGATTCAGCACAACTGTTTGTGCATCGCATTGCGAATGCTCTTCATCAATCTGCTGCGCTATTTCATGAGGACATCACATGCTCTTTTGCGGTCTACGATCCCAATCACAACGTGACTCATCAACCGCCCTTGGCTGGGCCGGTCTCGCAAACGTGACTTCGAGACAGGCTGCTGAGCGAAGGAAGCACTAGTTTCTGAGGTGTGCAAGAATGAGAGTTGGTAACACGAATGCTGCGCAAATGGTATAAAAAATTTCATAATATACAAGACATCGGCAGCACTTTCCGCAGCAACCCCATGGGAAGATTGATTGGCCCCGAAGCCGGGGGAGGCAGGGGTGGAGAGATGTCTGTCGCCGTGTCAAGCCACCACGTCCCTGAACAAAGCGCCGCGGGACTCTGATTCGGACGATCTAACAGGTGATAAGGATAGGCATGTGCCTAGAGGACGACGCGGAGGAGTTCTAAGCGATTGAAAGAAAGAATGCTGGGCTGATACGGCATTAAAACAGCTGGCCCGGCGGCCGAACAATGTTTGTTGACAGGCGGTGCATGCGAATCTAATCGGACAGAACAGGCACGCACAAGGCGTTACGTAGGGGGGAGACGGTTTCAGGCTTCAGTGAACGAGAGATTGCGAAGACGGATTCGTTGCAGCAGGGAGGTGTTTCGCAAGAGCGTGGTGAAATGACGCTGGTCAATTCCCGAATATTCTCAGTCAACCTGGCAGGACAAAGGATGACGAAGAAAGACGTGCCTGGCAGACAGAGTTGGCCAAGGCCAAAGGCGTCAGGTGGGCCTCGGGAGCACGCAAAGAGGTGTGGCGGTATTATTGATGTAACTAACAACGGCGTCGGGCCATTTGCGGATCTGTGCACTAGGGTGGTGACTGGTCGGGACTTGTCGCCGATGGGGTTCCACCTCCTTCTGCTGTCGTCCTGCCCTCTCTATCTTTCGACTCACACCGCTAAGCACCTGTCTTGTTTCCCTTTAACCTCATTCAATCCGCCGTCCCTAAGCCAACTCGTCCTCACTCGCAACCTACTGCCTCAGCTCGAGTGTTTCGCATCGTTCCTGCCAATCTAGTCGCCGTTGCATTCCTCGCGTTACCCCGACGAAAGCGGTAGTCGAGAGCAAGCGCCGATAGCCGATTACACCGACACACCTCAGCTCTCCCTCTCTCCTCGGACCCTACGACTCCCTCCTTCTGTTTCATTGTTTGATCGAGAGCTTCGGACATCCACCTGCCTGCGTGCTGCCTGTTCCTTTCAGCGAGCTTCAAGTCCAGCGACCGTCAAGTCCTCCAGCTTCCGCCGACCCCGTCTTATCAGCTCGTCCCTCTCAACGGCTTCCCTCGGCTTCCTGCCTGTCAACACCTCTCTAAAGCCCAAAGCCACCAGGTTCACAACATTTCGACAGGGTTTTCGTCAATTGGCCTCAAGGACTACCACCAGCTGCATTGATCCCTTTGTCGACCCGTCGTCTGGTCACCAGCCAACAACAAGCCCCTCAATCCTGTACAGCTCCTTCCCCACCTACATCGACAACAAAGAAGTCAACAGCCACCTCCGACAGAGCTCCAACGCTTGACGCACCAAACGCACCTCACTTCCATCTCCGGGTCCGCCCACCAATCTCCCAGCTTGCCCACCTTGCTGCCGGACTCCCTTTCAGTACACCATTTATTCGATGCTCACATTAACGACCTCTACTATTTCTTATTCATAGTGCGTTTGGGGCTTTGATCCTTTTTTCTCTGGCTCGTTGCGTCTATACTGTCGATCCCCACATCATTTACCCATCCTCATCTCTGGCGGACTTGTTTGTTGCTGTCTCTGTCACGCCATCCGTGGTTAGCACTGTTGCTCAGTTCATTTTCCTCGGTCGACACCAAGGCCATCTCTTCCGATTGGCTTGTACAGCTTTTCGGTGTCACCTGTCGTCTCCAAGCTGGTTTTCGGAGTCTCAAACCTTTTTACGTCTCATCTCTAATCCTCTCAGCACATCATCGCTCAAATGGACAGCATGCGGAAACAATTTGATCAGGACCTGCACCTGAATGGTCGCTACCAAACCTTGTCTCCCCTCAACCATGGTTCCTTTGGAATGGTCTTCATGGCCAAGAACGTCAAGACTGATGCTACGGTTGCCATCAAGTGCATCACCAAGGCATCGGGATCTGACACTTGTCCTACCGCCATCACTGTTGATGACCGCTCCGAGGAGCTGGAGATCCATTCCCACCTTGGCTCGCACCCCAACATTGTCAGTCTTCTTGACACTTTTGAGACCGAGCACCACACGTATTTGGTTATCGAGTTCTGCCCCAACGGAGATCTCTATGAGGCAATTCGTCTCAACAGAGGCCCTCTGGAAACCGAGCACGTGCGTGATTTCATGATGCAGTTGATCTCTGCTGTGGAGTTCATGCACGCTAAGGGAGTCTACCACCGTGACATCAAGCCCGAGAACATCTTCTTGACTCAATCGGGCTCGATGAAGCTTGGTGACTTTGGCCTCGCCACCAGAGACGAGTGGTCTACAGAATACGCCGTTGGCAGCGATCGTTACATGGCTCCTGAGCAATTCCAAGAGACAAGCTACTCTCAGGGCTACTCTCCAGCTGCTGCTGATGTCTGGGCTATTGGTATCTGCTTGTTGAACGTCTTGTTCTCCCGCAACCCATTTGCTACTCCTACCCAGTCAGACCCTATCTTCGATGACTTTGTCATGGATCGCCAGTCTCTCTTTGACGTCTTCCCAACCATGTCTCAAGACACTTTCAACGTCTTGATGCATTGTCTTGCTCTCGACCCTGCCAAGCGCTCTCTGGCTGCTGTTCGCAACGCCCTCAAATCGGTTGTTAGCTTCACCACCGACGACGACGCCATGGACGACTTCTGCATCGAGGATCGTGATCCTATCCGTGCCACCCTCAACCGTGAGCCTTTGCGCACTCCCTCCATCACAAGCCCTACCATCGATAATGGCGGTTGCTTCCCTTGGGCAAAGGCTCTGCGCGAGACTTCGCAGAAGCATGGTCGTCAACTTTCGGTCATCCTTGACAACGAAAGCTATACTGAGGACCTCTTCCCCGAAGAGCAGGAAACTACTGGTAAGAGCTGGTTCACTTCTACGGATCCTGATTCGACTTCCTTAAACTCGACCATCGAGTCTTCCCTGGGCATATCGTACAAGTCCGCCAACAACTCTGCCGAGCTCATTGGTTACGCTTCTTCCAGACCAGTCCCCATCTCTGCATCCGTCCCCATCAAGAGCTCTAGAGCTTTGGCTTCGGTCTACGGAAACATGGATGAGAACTTCTCGAAGAGTTGGAGCGATCTTTGGGAGGAAGATGAGGAAGAAGAGTTGCAGCACCCTGCTTTCAGGTCAACTGCAAGCTTGGAACGCTGTACCACTATCAAGCATCTTGAGCCTAGTCCTTTGGCAGCTGTCACGGCTGCCATGGACATCAAGAATGCTTCCGGTCGTTCTTCAACCCCTCGTGGTCTGAGTGAGCTCAAGATCACCGACGAAGGTCGCGACATACTTGGTGCTTCTGTTCCTAAGCCAGTTGCTGGTGTTGCTTCGTCTGCACCTCCTCTCCAGAAGTACTCGCCGCCTTCCAAGCGATCTATCATTGACAAGTGGTCGGCTTTGGGCAACCTCAGACGTGGAAACAAGACTGAGGTAGTTTCTTCTGCAAACAAGCCTGCTCCTGTCACGCCACAAAAGATCGAGAAGCTCGAAAAGACTGAGAAGTACAGCTTCACTCCTTTTGGCTCAAGTGCCAAGAAGCCCAAGTCTCGTGGACGTGCTACCAGCTGGCGTAAGGACAGTCCAATGGCCGTAAACCCAACCTCCTACACTGCCAACACCGCCGCTTGGGAGCGCAAACAGAGCAACTCGCATGTTTCACCTCCTCTTGATTTATGGCAAAGCAACCGCGACTGGCGTCAGCACCCGGAGCCTCAACATTTCTTCAATTCGCCTATTAGCAAGCCCCGTACTCAGCCCGCTACCTGCGGACAGCAGCTGTTGAAGTCAAACAAGCCATACGTTGATTCTCTGGATGACGACGACATTGGCGATCTTGAATGGGTTGGAGGTTGGCACGACCTCCACTTGTAGTTTTAACGCTACCACCACGCCCGCCCTTGTGCATCTCTCGTATCTCTCGATTCTTCCCACTGTATATTTTCCGGTTTCGGTTTTCTTCTTGCAGCCCCAGTTTCATAATCTCCTTTGTTCAACAACTCTACTCAAGCGGATGAAAAGAAGCAACTTTCCTGGCGCACACCATATCAGCCGCCACCGCTGGGCGGTCGATTGATCATCTCTTTCTGTATCTCTTCTTCTGTTCCTTTTTCAACAACTACATTGAGCGACAACATGGGTTTGGCCCGGGTTTGGCCGGTTTAGGGCGTTTTTCTGTTACATTTTTTTCCATCACCACTTCATCATATCACTGCGGGCTGCAGTAGAGTAAAAAAAGGCAGACGAAAAGTTGGGTCAAGGATAAAGGTTTTCTGAGGGAATTCTTCGAGAACGACTGATGATGTGCAAAACAAAACGAGGGCGAGCGCTTCTCGGTGGTCCGTTTGGACTCGCTGTCTGTAGAACATGGTTTCCAGACTCCCCACTCAATGATATTTACGTTTTATGATTCATTTACATTGGTCTTGTTTGTCCCTTGCTTGAATTATGCCGTGTCTGCTTTCGATCTTGCCTGCGGTTTGGTCTGGCTCGAGGTAGCCTTCAGGCTACAGGCCAACTGTCTTGTCGTCTGAATTCGTGTTCACAACAATGCTCAGTCTTGGTCGCTTGTAGCATGAAGGAGCTTGAGTAAACAAGCTATTCCTCATTACCTCTGTCGCCACAAACACAACACGAGTCGTGGTATGCCATCTTTGTAGCGCTTTATTTTATGGTTGAGAGGACAACCCTGATCCTCGGTTCCAGAATGGTAGGTCTATGCGACCATGCAAGAAGGCCCGACAGATATGAGCTCTATGTTTCCATGACTGTTTGTCAAAAACTTGGTGCACTTGCGACGCAGCGGTGGCATTTTATCTATATACCTATACTTAACTGCATCTTCTGTCTGTACCGTTCTGTGCCTAGGCAGACCTTGAGTCACTTTCTAAGATTTCCTTGGCCATCTCACGTTTCCGCGTTTCTTCTTCCCAGCACACAACACCTCAAGAATGCCTGTCCGAGCAGCGAATTTCGCAGATTTGCTACCAGCAGCACATGTCTGCGCTAGAGCTTTCTTTGACGAGGACCTGTTTGGTGTACGAATCCACCCAAACCGATCAAAATTTCCCGGCGACGTGTATCTCTTCTTTTTGCGACAACTTCGAAGTGATNTTTTCGATGGTCGCACAACAGTCATGGTGTCGCATCCTAAGGGCGAGTTGACCAGCATAACTGGCGTTGCAGTTTGGACGCGCAAAGGTCCTGGTGGAGATCGCATGGCTGCTTCCCAATCCTGGTCCGCATGGTTCACCGGACGCGTCATCATCCCAGTATACAACCATCTCGGATCTCTTGTCTGGCCCAATCGCGCCCTCGATCCCGCTATGGCTGATGTCCTGGATCGCGCAATGCCATTCACTGCACACTACTGGAAAACTCCCGAGCGTCTAGAAAACTGGTACCTGGCTCTTCTGGGCACTGGTCCCGAATATCAAGGCCATGGCTATGGCAAGGAATTGCTCAAATGGGGTATCGAGCGCGCGACTGAAGAAGGCATTTGTGTTAGTTTGGTGAGCGCGAACGGCAAGGATGGCTTCTACAAGCGCTATAACATCAATCAAGAAGCAGGGTGGGCCAGTGAAGGTGGCAAGGAGAATCCGATCCACGATATTGCTGGTGGTATGATTCTCTTCTCTCAGAAGTTCGGAAAGCAATAAGGACATTTGCTGCTATAGACGGGAATAAATATGCCACAAAATTATGTTGCTAAAGCCGTATAACGAATGAGGCTCTGCGGGATCTTTGATGGGCCTCAATTTCATCTACAAAAGATCTGAAATCGCAAGCGACTCCATCAGTCCCTGTTTTCTGTCATACATATGTCCTGTATAAAACACTGGCTCATGGCTAAAGACTGGTCACAATTCTACTCGTATGAGACAGAGTACAAACGCTGCCACGACTCGTTGCCAAGGACTCGGCGGGTCCGGCGCGGTCAGATCGCCCCAGCGCAATATTCTCGGTTTCAAAATTCATTAAAATTTGCGGCCGTGTCTTCGAAGTCGATGAACGCGAATTTCATTGCGGTTTAAAAGATTTGTACGAATAACACAACGACTGTCTATTATACTTTGCTATAACTTTGCGCATAGATATAAGCCATCTATATTTATTGGCCTATATAATTATATATAGTGTAAACATAATGTATAGGTTATAATCGTAGGTTTGATAGCTAAAATTTCAATACTAAAAATTTACATATTATACTAGCTATTATTTGATAACCACTTATGATATAAGCTTAAAACTTTAGATACTAATAACAGGTAGCTATTTCTATTGTTCTATATGAGTAGCATATTATATAGATAGTTATAGTAGAAGTTATTAGCTGTTTTGTACTTTGTAAGATTTAAGCTTTAGCCTTGAATTTAATCTTTTTTTACAAGATACATAAATAGCAAATCTTTTGACAAAACGCATTTTATTTCCAATTTCTCTATGCTATAGTTGCGCAGCATATCTAGATTTATAACTAATTATATCTATATAGGTCTATAGATTATATTGATAGCTATACGCCTATCTCTTATATAGTCATATGAACCGTCAGTCGTTGCGCAAAACCATAAAGAACGTCGAATTCCACGAAGTTTTGCGACTTTCAATCGATTCGAAGCTTCGGGTGGCAAATTTTAATGAATTTTGAAACCGAGAATATGTTTACTCCAGGAACGGTCGAGACTCAGGACTTCCTTCCTTCGTTCTTCCTTCACGCCATTAACGTCTGTTTAGCATCGGATTTGAACATTGCACGCTGCTAAGGCCATTGAAAACCCAATCAACCTTGTGCTAAATCCGATGTTAAGTCTCTCTGGGAGTATAGAGGCTTGCGACCATCATCACCGAGTCTAAATCATCATCAGCATACACCAACTTGTCTGGAGATTCCACGTTTAGGTATCTGCCTAAAGATATGGCCGCAAAACCTACAATGGACGGGTTCTATGCAAACTCATCGCCAATGCATGCCGTTCTGACTAGGCTGCGTGGCCCTGATATGGACGACCACTTGCGGCTGTTTGAAGCGATTGACTGGTCAGCCACAAGTCTGGGAGCACTCGATAGCTGGTCGCAAGAATTGGCAACTCAGGTTTTCTTGACTATGCTCGTACCAGACCCTCAGTCTCTGGTTTTAGGGCCCGATAAAGTGGTAATATATAATCAAGCTTACGGACGCCTCATTCGAGACCACCACCCCGGCTACTTTGGACGACCAGTAGTGCAGTGGACGGAGTGGATGCCATATNTCGAAACGATGGGAGCAATCTATCTACAGGCTGAACAATCTGGAAGAGCCTACATCCGTAACACATTTCCCATGGTCGTGGACAGTGGTGGTTTTAAAGAGAACATCGACTTCAGCTGTGCCGTCATCTGTCTGCCTCCACCTCTGAAAGGATTTCTCGGGTCTTTCAAAGAAACTACGGCGACTGTTGCAGCTGATAGAAGGGTGTCAATCTTACAAGACTTGGTATCGTCATGGAAGACGTCCTCTTCTTTGAAAGCACTTTGGTCAAACGTGCTCAAGAGTGTTTCTCCATACCCGGAGTTGTTCCCATTCTGCTCGTTGTATACCACCACGCTAGCTATACACAACGATCCTTCATTGTCGGATTCAAGTGGCAACGAATCTGACAATCCTACCTACACGCTCGAAGGCAACGTTGGAGGTGTAGACTTGAAGTCTTCAAGGTTACCGCAAAATCTTGATCTTGGGACGGAGGAGGGTGGAGTGTCATCAGATCCTTTCATTTCATATTTTCGCCAAGCTCAAACGACGAGAGCTCCTGCATTTATCAATGAAACCGACATACCGTCAGGATGGCAAAGTATTGCACAGACTCGGGGTGTTGGCGAAGCTTGTCGAGGAGCTGTAGTCTGTCCCAGTAGCTCTAACCAGCTAAGCCGAGTACAAGCTNTTTTGGTCTTCGGCCTGTCGACTCGCGATGCTTACAACGAGTTATATCAGGAATGGGTATCTCGACTACAGCGAGAGTTTGCCGATGTTGTGGCATCGATACTTTCAACGCAAGAAGCAGCCAGGAAGAAGAGAGAGACGGCAAGGAGACTGCGTCTTGAGTCGGAACTGGTGAACAAAGAGCTTGCACTCCAAAGAAAAGAAGCAGAACTTGCAGCACTTCGAGTCGAAAGGATCACCAAGATCGTTGGTTTGGCAAATGTAGCGATCTTCGAGCGCGACTTGAGTGGCCGGCTTGTATTCGCCAATGTATGTTCGCTTGCTATCATAAACACATGGAGACTGACACGTGCAGNNGATGCCTTCTACAAACTCGTGGACTTTGATGAAAACGCGGATGCTGGGACATCGTTCCTTCCATGTGAGCATTGGAATGCCCTGCTTCAAGGAGAGTCACGAACATTTGAAACAAGGTGTCGAGATGGTTGGGGTCTTTGCAGCGCATTACCGACAAGAGACAAGAACGGTAAAATTGACGCTGTGATTGGAGTGGTCACCGACATCGAATCACAGAAGCGGGCTGAACGGGAAGCCTTCGCGAAGCTAGAGGCCTTGGAGAAGGCACGAATAGCTGAGCGTCGATACTTCCGGTTTATGGAAATCATCCCAAGCGGTATCGCCGTGGCAAACCACGCTGGACAGATCACATATGCTACGGAGGCATGGTATGAAATGAGCGGACACCCGCACTGTGAGTTCAGCCAAATCAGGTGGCAAGATGTCGTCCACCAAGAAGACCTAAAGCTCCTCGAGAGTAAATTTTACGAGCTTTCGTGCGGCTCACAACCACTGGAATTCCAGTTCAGAATGCAGAAACCTTGGATAAATCCAGCAGGCGAAAATTGCGGCAGTAAGTATCTTGGGGCATGCCACCACACAAAGTCGCATGATGCGATGAGCTCCTGCAGACGTTCATGCAGTCATGTTGGCTCCAGCGACTTTGTGGGGTGGCAGTTTTCTGCTATCGACTGCAAGCAACATGCTAATGAAGAACTTTTATCTAGGCNNTCCTGGATGCTCTGTAATGCGCTTCCCGAGCTCAGAGATGACGGCTCCGTCGAGCAGGTCGTCAGCTCAATCACGGACATCTCACATCTCAAGTGGGCCGAGTCAGTCAGCTTCAACCGCGTTGAAGAAGCTATCGAGAGCAAAAGACATGCCCTAGCTTTCATCGACATGACCAGTCACGAAGTAATGCTTCATTCTACCTTTGCCACTGATCTGAAAGCCATATAGCTGACTATGTCAGNNATTCGAAATCCGCTCGGTGCCGTGATTCATTGCGCAGATAGTGTTTCGGAGTCATTGACAGAGCTCAAGAAGCTGCTTCCCACCCGAACAAAACAGAGTCTAGAAGAAGGATCAGCAAAAAACCATCAGCACCTAACACAGCTGGTCGATGCAGGAATTGATGCAGTCCACACCATATTGTCGTGTTCGGAGCATATGACGAACATAGTGACTGACACTCTAACCCTCTCGAAACTTGACGCCAACCTACTACGGATTAGTCCATCCGCAGTGCGATGCGTGTCCATACTTCAAGACATCCACAAGATGTTCGAAGTCGAGGCTAAGAGACTGGGAGTCAGCCTGAGCACGATTGCCGACTCATCTCTGGAAGCGCAAAGTGCCTCATGGGTGGCCATTGATCCAGGCAGAGTCATGCAGGTCTTGATAAATCTCGTGAGTAACGCCATCAAGTTCACAAAGACAAAGAAAAGCGGGCCAAAAGACGTGATGGTTCGCGTGGGTGCTACGAAAAATCGTCCGTTGGACCTTCCGGTCGATTTTACCATCGCGAGAGCACTTCAGGACAGCATCTACGACACAGCCGAATTTTCGGAGAATACCTGTCATCTCTGGTTTACTGTCCAAGACACAGGCATTGGGATGAATCCAGAAGAGCAGAACAGAATCTTCTCACGATTTGCCCAAGGCTCAATCCGAACGTACAAAACGTACGGAGGCTCGGGACTCGGCTTGTTCATTAGCAGGACGCTTTCGGAACTCCAGGGCGGTGAGATAGGCGTTTCCAGCGAACTCGATAAAGGTTCCATCTTTGCATTCTTCGTCAAGGCACAAACGACCTCGCCACCGCATATGCAGGACGATGGCAAAGATATAGCTAGGCTTCCGAGCCCGGCAGCTCAAGTGCTTGGTCCAGGAAAGATACCAGTCAGCGTGTTGATTGTCGAAGGTAGCTTGGACCGCATTCTGTGTTATCTACCCAAACTAACCAATCGATTAGACAACGCCGTGAACCAGCGCGTGCTAGAAAGAAGCCTCAGACTCAAGGGCTACGTAACACACGTCGCAAATCATGGACAGGAAGCGCTCGACTTTTTGAAAACGACCAGACTTTGGAAGAGCAATGCAGATGATCCTTCTGCGCCGAATATAGACGTTGTCCTTATGGTAAGCTCTACTCTATACAATTTCTATATCAACATCAAACTCATACTCTTTCCTTCAGNNGACGTAGAAATGCCAGTCATGGATGGCCTAGAATGCGCAAGAAGCATTCGAAACCTTCAACGCCTAGGCGAGATGAAGTCCAATTTACCCATCATAGCCGCGTCGGCAAACGCAAGGACTGAACAGATACAGTTGGCTCTACAAGCAGGAATGGTAAGTCTCCTCTCGAACGGCATAAGAACAACCATGAAAACCCCAGGGACTAACGTTTCAACAGNNGACGACTCGATCACAAAACCATTTAGAATCCCAGAGTTGATACCCAAGATCGATTCATTCGCCGCTTGGGCAAGAGCACAGGGGTGATGATCACCTGGGTCTCGAATACTCTACATGGGCAGCTGAGTAATGATGCCCAGAAGGCGACCATGGCGGTAGCGTCAACAACTCGCTTTGACAGCACCTGCAGGTCCTGACGAGCCGAGTCGGCTGAGGGCATGCTCATTTACGTGACTTCGAGTCTCCATTTGGGCCTCGGTTCTAGATGTGGCTGGCAGACAAGATGTAGAAGGCAGGAGCGCTGGATTCGTGCAGCTTCTACTTCTCACCTCGGATGAGATACGTTGCAGCATTCATGGTATTGTTAGATACGCCTTGTTGGTTCGACAGCAGGAGGGCCAATAGCGACGAAATTGACTCATTCACAATAAGCAATAGAACTGGTAGTACTGTGGTGTCTACCTTTATATATACAAAGTTGGTCTGTTCCATCCAAGCTCGTGCCATGTCATCCGGACGATCTACGTCTATCCCATGCAGTGGTAAACCCAAAATTCCAGTTTTTTTTCTTACTGAATCTATCCTCTCCAAGAAAGCAAACTCCAGGCTACGTTACACTTCCTCTAACAATGGATAATAAAACTATGGCTGATGTTCTCTAGGCGACTTCTCGATCAACAAGCCGTCACCAGTGTGCTCATCCGCACGAGGGAGAAGAGAACTTTCGAACCATCTCGTGAATTTCACGATGGGAATGTCAACAAATCTCCAGAAAAGATCCGCGAACCAGATGGTCAGAGGAATGACAATCAAACCGCCCAGGACGAATCCAGATTCGTATTGGAAGAGCGTATCCTTGCCAGTAATCTGCCAGAATCCGTATACAGAGACATAGCCAACGGTCTTCAACGTGAAGCCGTGTACGAGGTAAAGCGCGAATGAGATATTGCCCAGATAGCGGCTCAACGAGTTGTTGAAAAGTGATTGAAGTCGACTGTCGAGGCTGGTGGAATAGATCATAATCATCGCACCAAGGCAGTGCCAGAATCGATAGCCATCTCCGGCGCGCAAACCAGATGGGACGAGTTTGGACAATATGGAGTAGCCGGGAGCAAACTCAGCTTCCTGGAACGGGTACGACAGCAAGTAGAGACTCAGAACAAAAGCACAGTAGGTACACCAGACAGTCAATTGACTACGCGGCTCTTCTTCGTCAGAGAAGGGGTCAACATTGACACGGCTGTCCTTCTTTTCCTGATGAATGAGGTTGGCTTCTGCGATCAAGGCGCCACTCCAGAAAGCACTAAATTCCCAGGCATCTGCTTGGAATGCACAAGCAGTAAAAAGAGCCAAAAGAATCATTCTCACACGGGTGCGGACAAGAGCCAGTCCGGCGATGGTCAAGAAAAGCACCATGCTGCACCGAAATTCTTGTGGGATTGTCCACAAATGAACATCGTACCTGGACTCAGGCCAATGCTTGTGGGTGAAAATGTCGAACAGTTGTACGGTCTCATGTCCCCAATCTCTTGCTTGCCCCCAGAAGCTTGGAAGTATCTGTGGTTGTGGGTCATGGGCCCATCCGAGGAAGATGGATCTGAAAACATCCTCTGGTCCGGCAATGGAATTGGGGCCGTCGTATATGCCTAGGCGGAGTGCGAAGAAGACAATGAGTGTCGAGACAATGCAAGGGAGGTAGAGTCGAAGTGGGCGTCTCAGGATTGATGAGGCAAGGGTTCGCATCAGCTGTTCGTAGGAATTCTTTCTGGTCAATTTCAGTGCTTTGAGAGACAGAGCGTAGCCTGAAATCACGAAGAAGATTGCCACCATGGCCTCTCCACTGTACAGAAGGCGCAGTATGGGCAATTGCAGCAAGTGATGGTTTTCGCCAGAGTGTTCGGGGTCCTTAACCGTGCCGTACGAAATAGAACCCTTTCTGTGATAGCAAAACTCGAAATGTCGGAGGAAGACGAAGAAGGCTGCCCATCCGCGAGCACCGTCCAGCCATGCGGTGGGAGACGCGCGACTTGGTTTGTGAGGTATGTCGATGACAAGATGGTGTAAGAAGCTGGGCAGAAGCGCGAGTAAGAAGCTCGATAGCCTCTTCTCCTTCTCACCCGCTATCATGGCGACGGTGATGATGATGGAAGGGGAGCAAAGCCGAAAGGCAACAAGAAGAAAAGGGAAGCCATGACTTACATAGTCCTTGGGAGGTAATTGAGTAGCATTGCGCCTTCCTGAAACACGTCCCCATCACGTAGGCATGCGGAACCTCCGAAAAGCGTAAACACTAGACATTCCATCGACTCAGCCGCCAAGCTGCTTTGGACCAGCTGAATCCCGCATGTCAAAGTCTATCTCGTGACTCCAACACGCCTTCGCAGGTACAGTGTTCCATATGCGCCTAATGCCGCAATCTGGTGTTGGGGCTGATGCTCACAATCACTTCGTAGTGATGATCTTCAGTGCTCGTAAGAGCTGTGGAGACACAAGGTTGCGCCGTCGCTCGCGCCGCGTGCTGAGCATGCCATCGATATCGCGCGCGTCGTTACAACTGAGAGTCCAGTTACTGTCGTGATAATAGCCGAATCTCCCCATCAACTCTTCACACAAGGCCAAGTCTGTCAATGTCTCCATATGTCCGTATGGTTTTGGGGTTGGTTGATGAACAGTCTGGCCAGCGCGCAACACGCTGTTGTCAACATTTTTCTGATGACGCTGTGATCGCGCTGAGCCCGCGGCTCCCTCGAATAGCTTGCTTCATCTTGTGCGCCTATTGGACCATGATTCCGCCAATTGCTATTTTCACTCCTAAGCTTGGGCTGGAGATTGCAATAAGCTTCAGATTGCTTCCTGACCTGACTGATCGGCTCACCGTGTCACCGTGAGATTTAGACCCATACATCTCGAAGCGCCACCAAAATCCGAAGTTCAGTGATGTAGACATTCTCTGCGTCGACCTTCATAACGCCTGCATTCAAAAGAATGGAAGAGGAGATATCGTGAACAACATGGTGTAACATTTATTTGAAACCAGAAGGACTCGATATAGAATCAAAAGAGCGCTTGCGAGTATAAAATCAGAAATCAAAACATTCACTCTTGTTCCATCCCAGCGTTAGATCGTTCAACCTCCTCCCTATATCATACATGATTCTCTCTTGCGCTTTGCGTCTCTATGTTTTGTGACGCCATGGGTATATTCTTAAAAGTGACGTGAACGAATGTATGACCGGATGCTTTTAATGGCCGTGGAAGTCGAGGAGCCTAGTAATTGCTTTACGAGGCAGCAGAGACGAGCTCCAGAGGGGCACCCTTGGTCTTGTGAAGCAGCTCGTAGGGAGGACGCTTGACGATACCACCGGTGATGGGCAGCTGAGTACCCATGCCAGTGAGGAACGAGTCGACGTCACGAGCGGCCATGCGACCTTCGTTGATACCCCAGACAATCAGAGATTGACCACGACGGCAATCACCAGCGGCGAAGACACCGGGAAGATTGGTGTTGTACTTGCCAGGAGGAGTCTTGACGTTCTTGCGAGCATCCTTCTCGATATCGTCACCAAGTACACGAGCCTCAGGGCCAAGGAAACCCATAGAGAGCAGGACAAGATCAGCAGGGAAGAACTCCTCACTGCCCTCAACCTGCTTCATGTCCCAACCACCAGAAGCGCTCTTGGTCCACTCAACACGGACAGTGTTGATACCCTTGACCTTGCCAGTGCCATCGTCGACAAAGTCCTTGGAAAGGATACAGTACTCACGAGGGTCCTTGCCCATGTGGGTCTTGACCTCTGAGTGACCGTAGTCGACACGGTAGATGCGGGGCCACTGAGGCCAGGGGTTGTCGCGAGCACGCTCGGTAGGAGGCTGAGGAAGCAGCTCGAAGTTGACAACAGACTTGGCACCATGACGAACGGAGGTACCGATACAGTCATTACCAGTGTCACCACCACCAATGACAACAACGTGCTTGTCCTTGGCAGAGATGTACTCGCCGTCAGAAAGACCAGAGTCAAGAAGAGACTTGGTGTTCTTGTGCAAGAACTGCATGGCGAAGTGAATACCCTCCAGGTTACGGCCGGGAATAGGCAAGTCTCTGGCGACAGTGGCACCAGTGGCGAGGACGACAGCGTCGTGTTCAGCTCTGAGAGACTCAAGGGTAACGTCACCCTCACCAACCGATACACCAGTAACGAAGTTGATGCCCTCGGCAGCCAGGAAGTCAACACGGCGTTGAACGACGTTCTTGTCGAGCTTCATGTTGGGGATACCGTACATGAGCAGACCACCAACACGGTCGGCTCTCTCGTAGACGGTGACGCTGTGGCCAGCCTTGTTGAGCTGATCAGCAGCTGCCATACCAGCAGGACCGGAGCCAACAATGGCGACAGTCTTGCCGCTGCGGATTTGAGGAGGAGAAGGAACCATCCAACCCATCTCGAAACCACGGTCGATAATGGCGCACTCGATGGACTTGATGCCGACGGGGTCCTCGTTGATACCAAGAACGCAAGCACCCTCGCAAGGGGCAGGGCAGACACGACCAGTGAACTCGGGGAAGTTGTTGGTCATGAGCAGTCTGTTCAGGGCATCTCTCCATTGGTTCTGGAAGACCAATTCGTTCCATTTGGGAATGATGTTGGAGATAGGACAACCAGTATCCGACTGGCAGAAAGGAACACCACAATCCATGCAACGAGCAGTCTGGTACTTGAGCTCGTCCTCGTTGAGACGCTGAGAAAGCTCCTGCCAGTCGCGAGTTCTGGTCTTGGCGCTGCGGTACTTCTCCGAGCGACGCTGGTACTTCATGAAACCCTTGGTCTTGTCAAGGACAAGAGCAGAACGCTTCTTCTCGGCCTTGCCGTCTTGGACACTCTCCTCGATGTCGAGAAGGTCGTCCTTCTTCTTCTGACGATCCTCAGCCTCGTGCTGCTTCTTCTTGGAGTCCTCGTGGAGAGAGCGAACGGCGTTGCCGGGCATGATGGGGAGAGGGTACTGAGCTCTCTTGGCCTCGGCAGCCTTCTTGGCCTCCTCCTCCATGACACGCTTGTAGTCGGTAGGCAGAACCTTGACGAAGCGGTGCAGGGCACGTGAGAAGTCAAGGAGAACACGAGCAGCAAGCTCAGAACCAGTGTAGTGGTGGTGGTCCTCAATGAGACCGCGAACGAAAGCGATCTCAGCAGGGTCCTCGAGAGGAGAAAGCTCAACCATCTCTTGGTTGACCTTGCCCTCGAAGTCGCGCTGCATATCGAGAACATAGGCGATACCACCAGACATACCAGCAGCAAAGTTTCTTCCAGTAGGTCCAAGGATGAGAACGCGGCCACCAGTCATGTACTCACAACCGTGGTCACCAACACCCTCAACAACAGCAGTGGCACCAGAGTTTCTGACAGCGAAACGCTCGGCACCCATGCCGCGGAAGAAGCACTGACCGCTGGTAGCACCGTAAAGACAAGTGTTACCAACAATGACGTTCTCCTCGGCCTTGAAGACTGCGTTTCTGGGAGGGTAGACGATCAGACGACCACCAGAAAGACCCTTACCAACGTAGTCGTTGCAATCACCCTCGAGCTCAAGAGTGATACCGGGTGCAAGGAAGGCACCGAAGGACTGACCAGCCGAACCACGGATGTTGGCGTGGATGGTGTCGGTAGGCAGACCCTTNTCACCATAGCGCTTGCTGACTTGGTATGAAAGGGTAGCGCCGAGAGCACGATCAGTGTTGACGACATCACACTCGATGCGGCAAGGGTGGCCCTTTTCAAGAGCCAGTTCAGACTCGGAGATAAGCTTGTTATCAAGACGAACGTGGAGTTTGTGGTCCTGCTTGCGGACGTTGTAGGTGGCGACACCAGAACGGAGGGTGTGAGCAGGTGTCAAGATGAGCGAAAGATCGATATTCTCAGTCTTCCCGTTGCGAAGGTCGTCACGGACGCGAAGAACCTCAGTACGACCGACCATCTCGTTGATGGTACGGAAACCAAGCTTGGCCATAATAGCACGAAGCTCGTTGGCAACGTAGTAGAAGAAGTTGATAACGTGCTCGGGAGTACCCTTGAATTTGCTTCGCAACTCGGGATCCTGAGTGGCAATACCGACAGGGCAGGTGTTCAAGTGGCACTTCCTCATCATGATACATCCCATGGCGATAAGGGGAGTGGTAGCGAAACCCCACTCTTCAGCACCCAACAAACAAGCGATGGCAACATCACGACCAGTGCGGAGTTGACCATCAGTCTGGACAATGACACGGCCACGAAGGTCGTTCAGGACTAGAGTCTGGTGAGTCTCGGCAAGACCCAACTCCCAAGGCAGACCAGCATACTTGATACCAGTCCATCTGGAGGCACCAGTACCACCATCGTGACCAGAGATCAGGATGTGGTCGGCTCTGGCCTTTGCGACACCAGAAGCAACAATACCGACACCAGTCTCCGAGACAAGCTTAACGGAGACACGGGAGCGGGGGTTGGAGCACTTCAGATCGTAGATGAGCTGCTTCAAGTCCTCAATAGAGTAAATATCGTGGTGGGGAGGGGGAGAGATCAAACCGACACCAGGAGTGGAGTGACGAGTGCGAGCAATAGGTCCAGACACCTTGTGGCCAGGAAGCTCACCACCCTCACCAGGCTTGGCACCCTGGGCCATCTTGATTTGAAGCTCATCGGCATCGGCAAGGTAGGCACTGGTGACACCGAAACGACCAGAGGCGATCTGCTTAATGGCAGAGCGCATGGTGTCGCCGTTGTCCATACGCAAGCTACGCTCTGGATCTTCACCACCCTCTCCAGTGTTGGACTTACCACCCAATCTGTTCATAGCAACAGCAAGGGTAGAGTGCGACTCCATCGAGATAGATCCGTAAGACATGGCACCAGTGACGAATCTGCGAACAATCTCGGTCCAAGGCTCGACCTGATCAATAGGAACGGAAGCACGGTCCTCGAAGTCGAAGTCAAGAAGACCACGGAGCGTGCAGTTCTTGATCTGCTCATATTCAGATCTGGAGTAAGCCTCGTAAGACTTGTCGTTCTTGGTACGGACAGCATCTTGGATGTTGGCAATGGAGGTAGGGTCGTTGACGTGGGGCTCACCACCGTCACGCCAGTGGTACTCACCCGTCTCAGCAAGACCGGGAATCTCCAAGATGTTGCGGCTAGGGTAACCCTTCTCGTGGAGGGCAAAGGCGTCCTGAGCAATGAGCTCGAAGGTCATACCCTTAATACGAGTAGCTGTACCAGTGAAGCAGCGGTCGACGACCGAGTCATCGATACCAAGAGCCTCGAAGATCTGGGCACCCTTGTAACTCTGAAGAGTAGAGATACCCATCTTGGACATGACCTTCAGGATACCGCCATCCAAGGAGTGCTTGTAGTTATCAATGAGCTGCTCAGGGCTGAGCTTCTTTCTGATCAGACCCTCGCGAGCCATCTTCATGATACACTCGATTGCGAGGTAAGGGCAGATGGCATCGGCACCATAACCTACCAGAACACACATGTGGTGGACTTCACGAGCCTCAGCAGTCTCAACAACCAGGGCGACCTGGGAACGCCACTTGTTGCGAACAAGATGGTGGTGGACCATACCAGTAGCAAGGATAGCAGAGACAGCGACACGGTCAGCTGAGGTGGCGCGGTCAGACAGCACGATGATTCTGTCGTTCTTCTCAATGGCCTCGGCAGCCTGGTCGCAGATGCGGTCAAGGGCATCAAGGTAGCCTTGAATACCCTCCTTCTTGGGGAAGGTGATGTCGACAGTGTGAACGTTCCATTCACGGTGCAACTGCGCGATCTGGCTCAGAGCATTGAACTCCTCGATGGAGAGCAGAGGGGAGGGAAGCAAGAGACGATGGCACTGAGAAGGGCTCATCTCGAGCAAGTTACCCTGAGGACCAACGTAGGCCTCGAGTGACATGACAACTGCTTCTCTGATGGGGTCAATGGGAGGATTGGTGACCTGGGCGAAGAGCTGTCTGAAGTACTCGTAGAGGAGACGAGGCTGCTGTGCAAGACATGCCAAGGGGGCGTCGTTACCCATGGATCCGAGGGCTTCCTTGGAGTCAGCAGCCATAGGGCCGAGCAACAGACTGACTTGCTCAAGAGAGTAGCCGAAGGCCTTCAGTCTGGGGTCTTCCTGGACCCTGGTCTCGGACAAAGTAAATCCAAGGTTGGCACCCTTCTCGCTAAGCTTATCGTAGACAGCAGGCATGGTAATCAGCTGGCTGCTAATCCAGCTCTGGAAGTCCTTGCGCTTGGAAACGGTCTGCTTCAGCTCTGCGTCATCAACGATGCGACCAGCGACAGTGTCGACCAGAAGCATCTTACCGGGCTGGAGACGGCCCTTTTGAACAATCTTTTCAGGCTCAATAGGGATAGTACCGACTTCAGAGGCACAAACAATACGATCATCATCAGTGATGTAGTATCTGCAAGGACGGAGACCGTTTCTGTCCAGGTTGGCACCACAGTATCTGCCGTCGGCGAATGTGAAGAGAGCAGGTCCATCCCAGGGCTCCATCATACAGGCTGCCCACTCGTAGAAAGCCTGCTTAGCAGGGTCCATGGCACGGTTTCCTTGCCATGCCTCGGGAACCATGAGCATGACTGCCTCGGGCAGAGACAGAACACCGTTAATGGTGAGGAGCTCGAGAACGTTATCGAAAGCAGCAGAGTCAGAACCGCCATCTTCAATGATGGGCAGAAGCATCTCCAGCTCGTCGCCGAACAGGTCAGACTTCATCAAACCCTCTCTTGCGCGCATCCAGTTCTTGTTTCCACGTAGAGTGTTGATCTCTCCGTTGTGGGCTGCCCATCTCAGGGGCTGTGCTCTGTCCCATGAAGGGAAGGTGTTTGTGGAGAAACGCGAGTGGACCAGGGCAAAGTGACCCTCGTAGTCAACGTTGACCAGATCAAAGTAGTACTCGTAAACCTGGACGGGAGAAAGTTGTCCCTTGTAGACAATGTTCTTGTTGCTCAAAGAGCAGAGGTAGAACCAGTTGTGCAGGCCAATGACGTGAGTAACACGCTTGCGCAGTACATATAGCTGGCGCTCGAAGTAGGGCTCGTCGAATTCAGACTCAAAGGACTCCTTGGGTGCTCTGGCATCACCGTATGCGGACTTCAGGACAATAAAGGGCTGAAGGATAATAGGTTCTCTGGAGGCAGCTGCGGGACCGAGCAACGAAGAGTCGCGAGGAACCTCACGCCAGCCCAATACTCGCAGATCAAGTTCGTCTGCCACTTCCTCGAATGTGTTCAGTGTCTCCTTCAGAACCTCGGTATCGGGCTTGAAGAAGACGTTTCCAGCAGCGTATTGTCCTTGCTTGGGCAATGTGAATCCTTGCTCTTTTCCAAACTCCTTGACGAAGAACTTATGAGGAATCGATGTCATGACACCTGCACCGTCACCGTCACGCGCATCCGAACCAACGGCACCGCGATGTGTCATGTTACAGAGCAAGTTTCGTGCATCGCTGACGATCTTGTGGCTGGCAATACCCTTGATGTGGCTATTCAGGAGTCAGACATTGAACCTATTCTGCCAACACGATGGCGCGACTTACGCAGCAAAGCCGACACCACAGGCATCCTTCTCGAGCTCAGGGTCGTAGAGACCCTGCTTCACAGGNAGCGCACCAGCCCATGACTTGTTCTGTGGCGTGTTCTCATACGGGTAGATGTTTACAGGTTCATCTTCCTCGATGATGGTGTTCTCAACTGGTTCTTCGAAAGACACTCGACCCATGCTTTCGGCCTGGAGCCGAGTACGATAGATCCTGGGGGTATAAAAGACAAGCGAGGACCTTTGGTGGCGAAAGGAGAGCTTGTCGAACTCGTCTATGGAATCTGTAATCAGCCAGATGCTTTCCAATTGGTATGGCAAGAGAAGCGGTAGTGTGGCAAGCAAAGGAGGTCGTGGCGAGAAGGAAAAGCTGGAGCTCGGTCGAGAGGGAGAAAAAGAGTGTTTCAGATGATGCGCAGACAAGTGATCGTCCGCCTAATCACGTCTCCGCTGCACGGAGTATGCCAACTGGAGAACGAGAACGGTGCGGGGGAGGCAAAAGAAAGTGGTGCAGGTGTTGATAAGGCCAGGAGCTCTGGCGAATGAGGGGCGAGGAATTCGCACGCACAGCCGAGAGAAAGCTTACCTGCACTTAGTTCGAGAGCGCTCTGATGGTCTGCGTGCAGAGCGTAGTTCAGGCGTATGCGAGGTGAAGACGAGACGAAGAGGGTGAGGGAGCGGCCACGCTTTTGTAAATTGGCCGCAAAGGTGGGGATTCAACTAGTGCCGCCGTGCAAGCAAAGGCAATAAGTGCTTCCGCTCTACACGAAGGCAACCACTGATCAGAGTATTCGTAGTGCTCTGCAATATATCTGTCACAAAGAAGGTCTTGTGTCCATGATTGTTACTTGCTTAGCTCTATAGCCACCTGCGAGGAGCCCTCTGGATATAAAACCTGTGGTGGTGACAGCTTCTCAACAAGATCTCATCTAGAGTAAACACAGCTTTCTCGGCACAGTTGGATCGTCTTTGTTCGCTCAATTCGAGGCGAGCACATGCTCATCATATCTGGCGACTCACATTCCATGTCTCTTGTATCTACCATGCTCCTACACACACGGATTTGCTCGATCAACAGCGAACGAGACAAAAGATTTCCCCAGACCCTTGACCTGCCATTGACTGGTGGCTGGGTCAGCAAATCCATCTCATTGGATGTTCGACACGGCAATCGGCCGGGACGCACGATCCAAGTCACAGACCGGCAAGGCCATCTCCTTTAGCCGGATGCTGATTGGTTTGACCCAACGTTAGGGTTCGCGAGAGTCACAGCGACATGTCAGAGAAGCTCTTATCGCTGCCCTTGAACCACAGGTCGGTCGCTAACCGCGTCGTGCCATGTACATGGTAAAGCTGGGGTCGTTGGGAGATGCAGTCGATCAAAGAGTGGTAAGATGGTTCGGAAGCATGCAAAATTCTGTCGCTTCGACTCATAAATTGACGACAGCTCTGGTCTTTCCGGTGTTTAGTCCTCAACCATCATGGGGGAAAGGGCAGACTTCGGTCAGTTCAGGAAGAAAGTGCTGCGAACGGGAGCAGTCGGAATACCATGGAACAGCCCCCACCACAAGCAATGGTGCATATATGGCTGGCTTAGCCTGGATGGGTTGGCAATAGAGACGGAAGCGAAAAGACCACTCACAGGTGACAACTCTTAAAGCACCCGCCGATACCGGGATACATCTTAGGCAAATATACCCTGTTCAGATCACAGCTCCCGCCAAATAGGCGAACTCCAACGAATGTCTCCAGGGCAGTCTGTCAAGCGAGTAGGACGTTGGCACACAAGCTGATTCCATGAAAGAAAGAGAAAATGTTGAAAAGGTTCACTCCATCAGCCTAAGTCGGTCGGTCCACTGAATGCTGGTCTGACATACACACAAAGAAGCACGTTATATGGTTGACCGCCTGAACAATAGTGAGAGTTCTGTGATGTGGGACTTGGACGTCAAATCCATTTCATATTCTTCGAAGGAATTACTGCTCATAAAGGTTCGTTTTGTCGATGATCATCTGGTATGCCCAAGCGCGCCGCGACTCCGTGAATGCTGATAATAGGTATCCATCCTCCTGCCTGAGACGCCTTGCACAGTTGCGCAATACCCAATGCCTACTGTGGCAGTAATGATCGTGAGAAGGTAAGGTGAAGACTTTTCGCACTGCGTTCAAAGCAGCAGCTGGGATTGTTTCGAGGCGCAGCTCTACTGCTGCATCTCCTCGGGGTCCTCGAAGTCGTCGTCCTCGTCCTCATCTTCATCGTCGTCGAGGCCTTCGGCAGCCTTGGCGAAATCGATAGTCTTGCCGCGAGTGCGTCTGCCACCGGAGAGGATGTTGCTCTCGTCAATCTCCTCCATGTTGTCTTCTTCGCCCTCCTCGTGTTCCTCTGTTGTTTGTCAGTCCGGCTGCGCGCGGAGAGCTTGTTGATGACGGTGCTTACCAGGAGCGGCCTGTGAAGATCGATTAGCGTACATCTCTTGTGGAAGGGAAGTGATGCGACTGACCTGTTCTTCTTCCTCAGAAGAGCTGTCGTCGTCCATGTCCAAGTCTTCGACAGCCTTGGCCTTGCCCTTGCCGCTGGCCATCTGGGCGTGGACCTGCTGGTGTTCGGCGTCGTTAAGGATGGGGGCACCGCCCTGGGAAGTGGTCTTGTTCTCGTCGCTCATTGTTGTGTTCGTTTGATGGATTGGTTAGGTTTGAAGATGTTGGATGTGGTTGCGAGATGCGGAAAATGGTGAGTTGAGTTGATGATAAACACAGCTCAGATGTTTGCGCGCAAGCCGTTGCCGCGGTTTGGAGCTCGGGGTATGCGGGGATAGAGAACGTTCCAGAAGGCTTATATGTAGAACTCTTGCAACCAGTATGCTGCACAAACAGGACCAAAAATAGCTTCTCCAACATCTAGCAAGCCGTTCGCCTTATAGATAGTGGTAGCAGTAACTTATATCACTTGTGTTCATATTCCAGCAGCGTAGGTACACCTGTATCGCCTGGCTGTGACATATCTCTGAGCAACGCGCGAGGCATCTCTACCGTTCTTTAACAGCTCGTTAAGTGGCGCGCGTCGCGCCCTCAATCACTTTCTGTCGCGTCCATCTTGAGATTACCCAAATGATAGCATCTTTTCACTGCCACTCACTAATACATTGATATGGCTCCAAAACCTCGTGCCAGACCAGCTCGTAAGATGTTTGGTTGCTGAAATTAGCTAGCACTTTTTACTAACGTATCTGCAGACGCTCCTGGACCAACTTATCTAGCATACACACCAAACGGCAACAAGTTGATCACAGTCGGGTTGAACAATGTCATTCGCATCTTTACTACAGGATCTGATGCTGAGCCTGTCAATATCGATGTAGTTCAAGACTCCCATACAGCGGTAGCTGCAACCAACGACTTCTTCTTGACTGGTTCGGAGGACGGTAGCGTGTGCAAATACTCCTTATTCACACACTCTCTGGAGGAAGTTCTGGTCCGAAGCACGCTACCCATCAGAGATATTTCTATTTCACCGGATGGATTGTGGGCTGCAGTTGCCTCGGAGTAGGTTGCCTTGGTTATCAGCATATGTCATGATACTGATTCTAGCCATAGTGAACTGGTGGTCAAGATTGTAAACACATATGACATGACGCGGGTCATGTACCTCAGAGATCAAACAAGACCTGTGAAACACGTCTCGTTCGACCACAGTGGCTCTACTTTGGCTGTCTCATGCTCTGATGGAATGGTATACGTCTACTCACTGAGTTCGGAAGAGCCAAAACTTGTCAAACGACTTGACGGTCTGATCAAGATCATGGAGACAGACTCGCACGCCAGCTCAAAGATCACATGGCATCCTGACGGAACAGCACTGTGTGCACCCACCCCCACCAAGACGATACAAGTCGTCTCAAAGAGCGACTGGTCAAACCAAAAGGCTTTCAAGATTGACGGACGAGGAGACATCACTGCTGAATCTTGGTCGCCAAACGGCGCACTACTTGCTACAGCTAGCGAGGATCTCAGCATCATTCTATGGAATACAAAGACTTTGCAGCCTGTGGTCAAATTCGACAGCGATCGTGAACCAGTGCTGGCTCTTGCCTGGCATCCCACCGATAACCTCCTATCGTACACCACCAACGACGGAGAGCTGTATATGCACGCCGGGATCATACCGCAAGAGCAAGAATCTCTGCTGCAAAAGACACTGGTACCTGCGCCATTCCTGAGCGAGTCTGCTCCTGAAGGTGTAACGAGAACGCTGGTGAATGGTGGCGCCAGACCTGGAGCTCAGCGTAGAGCAGGAACCCCCGACTCACTCGATGACATTTTAGGAGACGATGGATTGTCTGAAAATGGAGATGCCTTCATTGTAGACGACGATGGCGCAGGATATGTCGAGGAAGTCAATGGCAACGGCAAGCGACCTGGAGATCAGCTCGCATATCCGCCATCGAAGCGACCTCAACAGCACGGCAGTGCTAGGTGGCAACCTCGTCTACACGACCCTTTCCAGCCGGGTAGTACCCCTTGGAGAGGCAATCGCCGTTACTTGTGCCTAAACCTGACCGGTTTCATCTGGACCGTCGATCAAGATACCCATCATACCGTAACTGTGGAGTTCTACGATCGTGCTGCACACCGCGACTTCCACTTTACTGACCCTTTTCTTTACGACAAGGCCTGTCTCGGTGAGCACGGTGCAGCCTTCTCGTGCCCAACCTCAGACCAACATCCCAGTCTCGTCTACTTCCGCCCTCACGAGACATGGACATCGAGAACAGACTGGCGAACACAACTGCCTGCAGGGGAGGAAGTCACGTCTTTGAGTCTCAGCACCAGCTTTGTGGTCGTCACGACTTCGAAAGGATATGTCAGAGTCTACACACTGTACGGTTTGCCTTTCAGAGTGTACAGACAAAAGAGCACTCCAGCTGTGGCATGTGCCTCCTGGCGCGACTACGTGCTAACAGTCTGCAACGGCCCAATTGGCGGTGACGGTACAGCTAAACTCGTCTACACAATCGAGAATGTAAAAAGAGACGAAGTCTGCCAGTCCGAAGACATCATCCCTCTCGCCGAGCAATCAGAACTGCAATCAGTCTTCTGGTCTGACAGAGGCGACCCCTGCATCTACGATTCAGAAGGTGTATTGCTAGTATGTCTGCACTGGCGAACACCCGGCCAAGCAAAATGGGTGCCCCTACTCGACACCAATCAACTCGACCGTCTAGCCTCTGGACGCAAGGAAGAAGCCTACTGGCCAGTCGCAGTAGCCATGGACAAATTCCACTGCATCATTCTCAAAGGAGGCGAAAAGTATCCCTACTTCCCTCGCCCACTGCTCTCGGACTTTGAGTTCAAGATCCCGGTCACTGCTCGCGACGAGGAGAATCAGGACGAGAATGAAGAGAGCGATGTCCAGAAGTTGGAGGAGCAGTACGTGCGCAACTCGGTATTGTTGAGCCTGCAGGATGACTTGGTCAACAACACGCATGCTACACACGCGCAGAAGACGGAAGCTGCACAGCGTGAACTTGATGTTGACAAGGTGCTGTTGCAGTTGCTGGCTGCCGAGTGCAGAGAGGGTGAAGAGAGAGGTATGAGGGCGCTAGAGATGGTCAGTCTGATGAGAGATAGATCGGGCAAGATGCTAGAGGCGGCCGTCAAGATTGCAGCGAGATTCGAGCGGGACGTCTTGGGTGAGAAGATTTCGGCGCTTGCAGAACGAAGATTGGTTGGTCTGGCTGATGAAGAGGAGGAACTTTAAATGTCATGCAGGTTCCTAGATAGGAGTCGCCTTGGTTTTGGGCTGTACAGTAATGAATTTCTACATTTTCGAGCATCTACTCGTCATCAGAGTCCATCAACTCAGCCAGTTCGGCCTCCTCTTCTGCCGTGAGCATGCTCTCCTTCTTAACCGCAGGCTCCTCTTCGACCTCGATGCCATTCTGCTGGCGCTCGTACTCCTCCTTGGCTTTCTTCATTTCTGCAGGATCGAGAGACCAGACTCTAAGCGTACCGTCAATGCTGACACTGACGACACGGCTGGCTCTACTGCCCTGAGCAGGAGGCATCAAGGCAAGGCCAGTGACCTCGTTGAAATGGCCACTGAATACACAGGCCAACTCTCCAGAAGCGGAGTTCCAAACACGTACTTCCTCGTCACGACACGCAGTGACAACCCATCCAGCTTGCTGGTCAATGACAATGTCTCGTACAAAGTCGGGATGAGGCAGTGTGGTATCTGTGGCCCAATCGCGCGAGCGAACCAGTCTCTGAGCAGTCTTGTCCGAGGATGCGGTCCAGAGGTCTGCATCAGCGTCGGCATCATCGGCATCTACAACAAGCGAGTCCTCGAAACGCAGACGGTTGACTGAGGTCTCGTGAGGTCGCAGTGGTGCCGCCAGCATGTCACTAGCGCTGTCGAGAGTAATCTTCCAGCTGCGGATATCGCGCACAGTGTCGGCACTGAAAAGGCAGAGTTCATCTTTTGTGGTTGCCGCAGGATCTAGAGCGAGATCGAGGACGGCGCGGGCGTGGCCCTTGAGTGTGTGGATCTTTCTGCCCGTCTCGACGTTCCATACGATGATGGTGGAGTCTGCAGAGCCTGATAGTAGTATGGGAGTTCCAGACAGCTCAGTTGCGAGGACGCATTTGACAAAGTCTGAGTGACCGGTGTAGCGGCGCAGGGGCTTGCGAGTTTTGAGGTTCCATGAGTGGATGGTTTTGTCCCAGCATGCGGCGAAGATGATGGGCTCGGCTGATGGTAATCTCAGGGTGGTGAGAGATGTCAGGGGAGCAGCGGCGCCTGTGTAGACGGATGACTTTTCGCCAGTNCTGGTTGCCGTGTCAGTGACTGATTCTAGTCACAAAAGTTGGCGGTCACGTACTTCGAGGACGACGCGTCTCGCGGTGCCAGCAGCCTCGGCGATGTAGACGGCATCCGGGTCTTGTGGGTCGGCATGAATGGCGAGGATCTTGGAGGTCAGGGCGATGGGGCTGCCATTCTTGTTGTCGGCCTTGGCCTGTCTGCGTTTCTGTTCGGCGACCGAGTCCCTTGTCACCGAGTCTCAGCGGACGTTTCCTTCTCTTACATCGGGTCTGGCTGCCGCTCACGAGGTCTGGAAGTAGTTGTCGGCGTCTGACTGCAACATGGTGTGTGTGATGGGATGTTAGTCCTGGGCCTGATGTTTCTTGTCAGGGACCCTTGGCCGGCCCTTCTCGCCATGAGCCGGAGCTTTGACCGGCCGCTCCTTCTGCACCAAGAATAATCCTTCAACTGCTGCATCTCGCGCTTAAACTCGTTCCTCCCGAGAGACTTTTCAGAGTCACCAACCCTATCTCTATGCTCAGATAGCCATTGGTGGTATTCTGTGAACGACTGGCTTTTATTTGTGCTCATTGTAGATAGACGCGGTTGTGCTCCGACCTCCAGTTCTGCTGCTTGCTTCGCTTCTTCGCTTCCCCGACTGCCCAGTGGTTCACGGGCACATCTCGCTCTGGGCCGTCGTCAAAGCTGACCGCCCGAACCTCATGCCATTTTGTGAGAATCGTCGAAACCAATTGAGATTGTTCGTCGTGTGCCCATCCCTCTCACACCATGTTCCACCATGCTACTCGCCTGGTAGAATCCACCTTGTCCTCCCGCCCGCATACGTGGATCACATGGCTGGCCAATCGCCCGGAAATTTTGCATGCGCCTCAAAATCCTACCACGCCTTCTAGTTTCATCCACAACGCCTCCAAAGCTTCCATGGCACAGCATTTGCTTCCCTATTCCTGCCTAGAGTCACCTTCCTTACTCGTCAACCTGCCAACCGGTACTACTCTCTAACGCCCGTAACTTGCAATTCTTTCGTAGAGCCGCTCGGTTGAGCCGTCAACGTTGAGTCGTTGGCCATACTGCACCCGTCGGCACTGAGACCCAGGGCAAACTCGGCTCATTGCGCTTAATATATTCTAATATCAGGGTCTTTGCTTTGCCCACAAAAACTCGAAGTCCAGACGTCTATATCGCTTGTGGATCCTTGAATCCAAGCTCCCATTCTGTGGCTTCGACCTATCTCGAAGTTTAGTAGCGAGATTGTTTCGCCGCCGACGTCTCATAGGCCTGCACCTTCCGTGCTCTCTATGCACGAAGCTGATCTTTCGCTCGGCACGCTGAGGGAATCCTTCAAGAGCCCGGCATCCATGGCTAACAGCCATCAGTGTTGGAACGGTCCTCGCTGGGAAGGCTTCAGCTGGGCTGCTTGATCTTTGACAATGGAAGACCAGGAGCAATATTTCATACCTAGGTATAACCACAATCTAGCAAACGAAAACGCTTGAACCGCGTCCACCTCCGGGCGTTCGTCTATTCAACGTTCGGCAGACGATCCACACCCCCATTCGTACGCTGCCCAGCCTCTAGGGTGATCAAGATTCGCATACATATCGCACGGGCCGTCCGCGACCCTCTATCGTTTTACAATAACTTCAGACCTTTCGCGCCCCGCCAGGGTCTGTTGCCGACTTCTTTAAAGCAGCGGTGCTCCCTTCCGGCCGACTCTTCTCAAGCATTGACAACCATGACTGTTGCCCAAGCACGTCCTGGCAGTAACGACACCATGGACCACACCATTGCATCCACCTCTTCAGCTAGTGTCATGCCCAAGACTACCACCAAATCCGGTCTTGCATCTGGAACGAGAGAAATCCGCAGTTTTGATGGCATTGACGATGATGCCGAGCTTGATTACCACGGTCATCTTCGCAACGCTCAGAATGATGAGGGCTTCACCCGCACCGATGCGCGAGAGATGAAGCGTATGGGCAAGAAGCAAGAATTGAGAAGAAACTTCCGTACTCTCTCGACCATCGCCTTCACCATTATCCTTCAGGGAACCTGGGAGGTCCTCTTGACCGCAACCACACAAGGAATGGTCAATGGCGGTATTGCAGGCCTAGTGTGGTCCTACATCTGGACCTTTTTCGGTTTCACCTTTGTCGTCTTCTCGCTGGCCGAGATGGCTTCCATGTGCCCGACTGTATGAGTCCATGACGCTCTTTATGCTCCTACACATTGTACTGACTTGACACAGGCGGGCGGCCAATATCACTGGATCTCGGAATTTGCTCCTCCCTCACAACAGAAGATCCTGAGTTTCCTCGGAGGCTGGATGTCTACCCTCTCTTGGCAAGCTGGCACAGCCTCTGGACCGTATCTGGTCGGAACTCTCATTCAGTCGCTGATCTTCGAGAACGATCCCAACTACGTGTTCAGAAACTGGCAAGGTACCCTGTTCGTTATCGCCATCGCCCTGGTGGTATGGGCTACCAACGTCTGGGGATCTAAAGCGATGCCTGTCTTCCAGAACCTCATGATGATTGTTCACGTCTTTGGCTTCCTGGTCATCATTGTGATGATCTGGGTTCTTGCTCCTAGAAACAAGGCATCAGATGTCTTTGGAACTTTCACCAACTCTGGCGGCTGGAGCTCCATGGGTCTTTCCTTGATGGTTGGTCAAGTTTCAGCAGTGTATGCCTGTATCTGTTCCGATGCAGCCGCTCACGTCTCGGAAGGTAAGTCTGTTCGAACCCAGTACTGCATTGTGTCAAAGCTAACCAAATCGCAGAAGNTCAAGGACGCTGGAAGAAACGTGCCCAGAGCAATGGTCTGGTCATACTTTCTAAACGGTGGTCTGGGTCTTGTTTTCCTCGTCACATACATGTTCAGCGTTGTCGACCTTGCAGGTGCCGTCGACGATGCCAGCAACGGCTCAGGCTACCCGTACATGTACGTCTTCACCAAAGCCTTCAGCAAACCCGCTTTCAACACTCTTTCGGCTATCGTCATCATCCTGATCTACGCGGGCACATTGTCCTACAACTTGTCGACATCTCGTCAAACCTGGTCTTTTGCTCGTGATCAAGGTCTGCCTTTCAGCAACTGGATTGCAAAGGTCGACCCCAAGCTCGAAATTCCAATCAACTCGGTCACCGCTACTACCGCTTTCACCATCATCCTCTCGTTCATCAACATTGGCTCTGACGCTGCTTTCAACGCGATTGTCTCGCTCAATCTTACCTCTCTGATGATCACCTATGTCGTCAGTATCGGGTGTGTTCTATACCGCCGTGTCACGAACCCGGAGCTCCTGCCCAACTGCAGATGGTCTCTCGGCCGCTGGGGTGTGCCTATCAACACTTTCGCCGTCTTGTACTCAACCTATGTGTTCTTCTGGATGTTCTGGCCCCAAACAACTTCCAAGGCCGCTGCTGACTTCAACTGGTCGGTGCTCATGTTTATGGTCGTCCTGCTTTGTGCTATTGCCGACTGGGTTATCAGAGGAAGAAAGGTGTACACCGGCCCAGTTGTCCTGACTGAAGGCTACAAGGGCGAGTAAATTTTTGACGCTTACAAAAAGGATGATTTATTTATTTTCTCTCCATATCTACAACTAATTTAGAGAAAGTGCTTCACGGCTTACCATATCTGCCATCAATCAGAAGCATCCAGAAAAATCTGTGCCTATGCAACAATCGTGTGAAAGTCAATTCGCACCTTCCCCGCTCTGGTCGCCGAGGTCGGTCCTCCATTACAACCGCTCTACCCGCATATATCTATCTATATCATGCTCTTGGTCGACCAGGTGCATATCAATAGTATACATCGTCGAACCAACGGTTCGGTCTTCGATCGTTCCATGCCAAATTCCGCCGAGACATAATCCAGCTTACTGTCTTGGACATTTTCTATCTGCCACCTTGAAATAACAACACTAGCACGCCAGAAGAAGACATCAAGCATCGATCATGAGCACCAAGACCCTTCGTGCAGCAGCATGTCATGTCTCTCCAGTCTTTCTCTCCGCCTCCAAAACAACCCAGAAAGCCATCACAATCATCCAACAAGCGCACGCCAACAAGGCCAACTTGGTAGTCTTCCCAGAAACCTACATCTCTGCCTTTCCCATCTGGAGCGCCATACGCGCACCCACCGAAAACCATGACCTCTTCAAGCGCATGGTTGCAGAATCTGTTCATGTTGATGGCCCAGAGATTGAGTCTCTTCGCGCCACGGCTCAGAAACTGGATATCATGATTAGCGTGGGGATCTCGGAAAAGGCAAGGTATAGTAGTGCAACAGTCTGGAATTCGAATGTTTTGATCGGGAGCAATGGCGAAATACTAAACCATCATCGAAAACTGCAACCTACGTTCTTTGAAAAGCTGACTTGGAGTTCTGGGGATGGACATGGGCTGAGGGTCAGCGAGACGCCGTACGGAAAGATTGGAAACCTGATTTGTGGTGAAAATACGAATCCTTTGGCGCGGTATGCGTTGATGGCAGAGGGAGAGCAAGTCCACATCTCGACATGGCCTGCTGTGTGGCCCACAAGGGCGTTACAGCCAGATGTCGTTGCGAAGAAGNGGAAGAACTACGACAACTTGGCTGCCAACAGGACAAGAGCAGCTGCGCATTGCTTCGAAGCAAAGTGTTTCGGCATCATCAATGCCGCGTTCTTGGATGAGCAAGCAATCGACATTGTTGCAGAGGGTGCTAGTAATGGAGCTGGCGTCAGGCAAACACTACAACTTTCTCAGCGGGCAGCGACTATGTTCCTCGATCCCACCGGCATGCTGAAACCTGGCTTTACGGTTGATGCGACAACAGGGGAACAGCAAGAGACAGAGTACTTGCAGGATAAAGAAGGTATCCTCTACACAGACATGGACATGGAGGAATGCATAGAGGGAAAACAGTATCACGACGTTGTTGGTGGATACCAAAGGTTGGATGTGTTTGACTTGAAGGTTGATCGAACTCGAAGAGAGCCGGCCAAATTTGTGGAAGAATCTCGGGATGAGAAGGTCGAGTTTTGAGACGAAGACGAGCTTCTTTTTGCACTCGCTTTCTTGCCGTGTTGTTCGACTGCCATTTTCGGGCAATGCACAACAGATCGGATCGTTCCTCCAGTCGATCAAATGTACACGAGTCAAGCCCTAACCACCCTTGATTTGGCGTCATAGGACCATCAGCCACCTCTCACGTATATTGACCACTACTGAATTGTTTATATGGCCACAGTCTTCTATTAGATATCACTCGGCGATGTTGCCTTTCTGCAAACTATTCATCATGAATCTACAGACCTGTGCGGCTCCGAGGGGTCTGTGTCTATACCAATGCTAACGGTCTGACGTAGACAAAAGTGGGATCTTTTTGGAATTAGGTTTCTCCACGCATGGACATGACATCTTGAATGCTGAGCCTGCTCGATGAACGCAAGTACATAATGTCGTCTGTGGTGCGGTACTCATCTCTGAACAGCTTTGTTCAACAACATCACCATGAAAGGCACCGTCGGTCTTGCCTTGAGCACACATCTACTCCTAGCTCAAGCGGCACCGCTTGCAGCCAACTACTTTGGCAGACCAGCGCAAAATGCGACATTCGACTACGTAGTGATCGGTGGAGGTACTGGTGGCCTGGCTATAGCCTATCGCCTGGCTGAAGCAAACCATTCTGTGGCTGTCATCGAAGCAGGCGGATTCTACGAGCAAGAGAATGGGAACGTTTCTGTTGTGCCGGCATACAATCAAGACTACAACGAGGTCACACCGGAGTCACAGTGGAATGCACCCCTAGTGGATTGGGGCTTCTTGACCACACCTCAAGCAGGAGCTCAAGGCCAAAGATTCCACTATGGAAGAGGAAAGATGCTAGGAGGCTGGTAAGTTGTATTGAGCATTGAATTTTACACGACTGACGCGGTAAACAGTTCTGCTGAAAATGCCATGAACTATAATCGGCCTACCTTTGGTGCTCTCCAAGCATGGGCGGACAGCGTGAATGACTCAAGCTATACCTGGGACAACTTCATATCACATTATCAGACCTCGATCAAGTACACCAATCCGGACATGACATTCCGAGCAGCAAACGCCTCTGCACCCTTGATAACGAATGAGACTGGTACAGGTCCCNTCCAAGTCTCTTTCCCACACTGGGCAGCTCCCCTCTCATCATGGGCGAAGCAAGGGCTCGCAGAGATTGGCGTCGGAGAGTTGCACGACCTGATCAACGGTGATCTGATGGGAGCTCAATACAGTCCTCTTACTCTCAATCCGAAAGACCAGACTCGAAGCTCTTCGCAGACCTCTTTCTTAGACACGGCACTTCGCAGCAACATGTCAGACTTGAAGGTTTACACCCACACCTTGGCGAAACAGATCTTGTTCGATCAGAATAAGACCGCTACTGGCGTTCGTGTACAGAGTGGTCCATCTCCCGAATCTTTCGTGCTCAGCGCTAGCAAGNAGGTTATTCTCTCTGCAGGTGCTTTCCAGTCGCCTCAGCTGTTGATGGTTTCGGGCGTTGGACCCGCTGATGAGTTGGCCAAGTTCAACATCTCAGTCGTAGCAGATCGACAAGGTGTGGGAAGGAACATGTGGGACCATGTGGTGCTCAGTGTAGGACACCAAGTCGACGTTGAGACTTACGGCAGTCTCATGGACCCTGCTGCTGCCGCACAAGCGAAACAGGACTATCTGAGCCCCAACCACACGGGCATCCTGACCAACGATCAATCTGACCTCCTAGGTTGGGAGAAACTGCCAAACTCATCAAGATCAGCCTTTACGGCGTCAATACTCAAGGACCTCTCCATGTTCCCTTCAGACTGGCCAGAGGTAGAGTATGAAATCTCCTCTGCTCCTTTTGGCACATCGTCATTCTCTACTCCAGAGAACGTAATTGATGTAGGATACATTCAGCCAGTGCTACTCACTCCCCTATCGCGCGGCAACATCACGCTGCAAAGTGCAGACATGTCCGATGCTCCACTCATCAACCCGAACTGGCTTACCCACCCCACGGATCAACAAGTCGCTATCGCAGCATTCAAACGCGGAAGACAGTTCTTCAACACCACCGCCATCGAGCCCATTCTCATCGGAGAGGAGCTGTTGCCGGGCCCGCAAGACTTGCCTTTCAACTCGTCGGATGCAGACATTCTTAGCTACTTGCAGAAGAACATAGGATTCAACTGGCATGCCAGCTGTACTTGCAAGATGGGTCAAAGGAACGATAGTATGGCTGTTATTGATTCGCACGCAAGGGTCATTGGAGTGGATGGATTGAGAGTGGTCGATGCGAGCGCTTTCCCTTTCTTGCCTCCAGGCCATCCTCAAGCCACGATATATGCATTAGCAGAGAAAATTGCTGCTGATATTTTGGCCGGTAGATAGCTCTCATCTATAAATTAGCAATGTTAATCTGCGATACCGTCTCTCTAGATCAGTTTACTCGAGGCCTCAGTAACTAAGAAGATCTAATGAGTTACGCTGCTTTCTCAATGCCATTAGAGCTACAGCATGCTTGTCTTCATCTTACTCAACTCAAGTTTCGATCTATAGCGGAAGCGGCTCCGGTGCCAGGGTGGTGCTGTCAACCATAGTTTTCGGATAACATTCGCACATAGTATTGCAAACTCGCATCTTGTAGTGTTTGAGAGCAGTTGGTGGGTGATGATGACTAGGTCTTGGATAATCGTTTCCTTGTCAGCTGTTGATAATGGTGGCTGAACAAATTGTCGTTCGTGGTCATCGCGGGTGTTTTCAACCTAAAGACAACATGACTCTCTTCGGTACAAGTGGCTGCCCACCTGATCACATTCAGGATATCTTGCAGTCCAGTAGGACATGATGACGGAGCTCGCGACAAGCTTGGTCTCATAGTAATGTGGCAAAACGCAGGTGCAAAGAGTCAAGGAAGGAGGCTTGTCAAGGCCCAAGCATCCTCAAGGCAATCAAGCATTCAAAACAAGCAACGGGCCGGGGCGGTGGGTCGTGAAGCGCGGCTCGGCATCCGCAGCAACCACGACCGAACTGCACATTTGCGACAATCTTCCCTGCAGGGGTACATGACGCATTGCCGACGACCAATAGCTTCAGCTCGTGCTCCAGATAAAACAGACCCATGGTGTCTTACCTCTGCCTGCTGCGCCTTTGACGACGCGTCCACCCCTTGAAAACCTGTAAGGGCTGTAAGCTGCGTACTCACGTTGGTGAAAGCAATGCTTTGCGATCGAACTCAAAAGGACAGCAGTTCCCCTGCTGCTGTATCACTGGAATATCATCTCTACCCTTGCTCGAGTGTTACTGCATTGACAAGCTTTGATTACTACATTCTTCCTTACATTCAAGTGCTAAAAGATGCCTCACTACGGCGGCCACGGAGAGCACAAATCTCGTGACAGCGAGCGCCGCTCCGGCAATAACCAGGAAGGCAGCAACAGCAGCCACTCGCTCAAGAACTACAGCATCTGGGTCGCCAACCCCGTCTCCTACGTAGCCCAGACCCCCGAGCAGGACCCCAAGAGCCCCCACATCACCCTCAAGTTGACCGACGGTACCAACAGCCCCGAAGCCGACATCAACGTCAAGTCCACGAGCAAGGACACCCGCCTCGTCTACTGGGTAAACAACAACTTCCAACACCCCATCACTCAGCAACTCGCATCCCTGCCTCTGGGCCAAACAGTCCTCAAACCCACAAATGGCGAACACTCCAAATACGCCCTAGACTTTATACGCACCACACCCGCTCTCCTAGACCTAAACGCCGGCACCATCCTCCCCGCCTCAGGCAACAACACCATCGAAGACAAACTCGAGCCCATCCTCACCCAAGCCATCAACCAAAAAGCCAAAGTCTACCTTTGGGGCCAGGGCTACAATGACTCCAATGGCGAGTCCGGTATCCACGATATCCATATGAACCAAGGCAATACTGGAAACTTTTCCAATGATGTGTTCAGTGATGGCAGCTTCATGGTGCAGTTTGAGGATCACTGGGAGGCTGTGTTCTTGGCCTTTGCCGACCAGGAAGTGCCTACTGATGATGAGACTGGTGACCCGACTGATGATGCTAAGGCTTTTGATGAGACTTTGTCGTCTTAGATGGAGACCGAGACAATCTTTATGAGGAACGATCTTTGTTATGAAGGAGATTCTGATAGAAGTAGTAGCTCAGCCCCAAATCTAGTTTCATGAATAGTGTCGCATAAAAGTTCCTATAGTATCAGAATCGGATGGGTACGCTGTGTGTCTCCCAGTGTTCACATATTGCTAGGTCACACAATGGTCCTAGACGCCTGTAACCCAAGAATTCATTATGCAAGAATTGTATTTCGTGTATTGACAAGAAAGCGCTTTGATCGGTCATAACTTCGTGTGGGTATCTACCATTCCGGGTCTTCAGAGACGGCTTGACAGCCCGTTCCTCCAATGTAGTCTCGCGCCTCTGTTTCGTTGTCCACAACCTTTGGATGTCTATCGTTCTTTGCTTTTGTGGGGTCCCATTCGAGTACACCTGTAGGGTCGATGATGACCAAGACTCTTCGTTCTCCCAAAAGGCGTGTTATGTTCTCGTGAATCAATCTTCGAGCGATAAAGTTTAACGAAAAGACCTCGCGGAAGGAGAAGACAATGGCGCAAGCATTGGCATGGCATCCGGATCCAGGGTCAGATGGGTCGGGCTTTCCCAGCTCGTATGCTAATGCTCTTGTCAATCTTNNTTCTGCACCGGGGAAGCGTACGGCACCTCGTAGCTTGAATACAACCACTTTGCGGTCGCAGTTTGAGTTGTGTGGTTCGTGCTTGTCATTCTCGCCAGGGACGAGAGTGGATACGGAGGTTTGAACGGTTGATCGCGCGACGTGACTGACGTCCATCATGTGAAGTCCCATGTCACGCGAAAGCTGTTCACACATGGCCACACCGCGCACGCTGTTGCCGCGCGCGTCGATCTTANNAGGGGAGAATGTGGCAAGACCGACCTGGCCGGGTAGAGCGCCGATAATAGCACCAGCGACACCACTCTTTGCTGGGAAGCCGACGTTGGAAACCCAGTCACCAGCAGCGTCGTACATGCCGCAGGTCGTCATGACGGACAAGACCTGACGGACACTTGTGTGTGGTATGATTTGCTCTTCAGTGACGGGATGGACGCCGCCATTGGACAGCACAGCGGACATCATGGCCAAGTCTTGGACGTTGACGTTGATGGCGCATTGACGAATGTAGCCTTTCACAGCCTCTCTTGGATCACATGTGATGATGCCAGCAGCCTTGAGCATGTATCCTATAGCCATGTTCCTGTCGGCGTCTTTCAGCTCGGCTTTGTAAACCTCCTCATCGACGTGCAACTCGCGACCAGCCAGCCTAGAGAGGACCTTCAAGATGCGTTCGGTTCGCTCGTGGAGGGTTGCGGTGGGCGAAACGACGAGGGAGTGGGCGGTGATGGCGCCAGCGTTGATCATGGGGTTCATGGGTCGGTTCGTGCTGCGCTCGAGCGACAGTTGGTTGAATCTGTCGCCCGAAGGCTCGACTCCAATCTTCTTCAGCACTTGGTCCAGTCCGGCATCCTCGATGGCGATGGCGTAGACGAAAGACTTGGAGATGGACTGGATGGAGAACTCGATCTTGTCGTCTCCTGCAGAGTAGACGTTGCCGTCGACCATGGCCAGGGCGACTGCCATCTTGGACGTGTCTGCCCTGGCCAGCGTCTCGATGTAGTCGGCGGCAGCTCCTCCCTCGTTCGGTCGCGCCTTCTCGAGGACATGGTTGAGGTAGTCCGGGATAGGCGACTTCATGTTGACAGTGTGATGCAAGGGATGGATGCGAGACGCGCAGAACTGAACAAAGGAATGTTGCGAGGCCGGTTGCCTCCGGTACAATCTGTTCGACTCATCGCATCGTGCCTTGCATCAGAGCAGCTTCTCTCGCATTTACGTACAATTTTGTCGCCAAGCGCCATCAATTCAGAAAATTCCAACGGTTTGACGTAATCGCTTCTCGCATGTGATGCACGTGGTCTGAGCATGGTCACATGGTGCAAACTCTCGGTTGATCTTATCAGATGGTTCGGCTATTCTACCGAGTGCCCTCCTCTGCAGTCACAAACATCGGTACGTTGCTTCGATGTGATCGCTACATCATAACTTGACCTACTTCACTGGTTCCTCGAAGACAGATCCGAATGAGAGGAGAGATACATGCTCACTGACCAAGTCGCAGCACTCGATCCTAACCCATGGCCGGCTCCTGCGTTGGTATAGCAATGAACGAGTATCTTGTACCTTCTTCAAGCTCCGAACACATCAGTATGCCCCCAGCCGTGGGCTTTTGCATCACCTCTATATTTTCAAGCTTCTGACAAGTACGCCACCGCTGTGAAGTGTCAAAGTCATATCTGCTGTGAGCATTGCACTCCTGCTGACTATCGCTGGCCCATGAGCCTACCCATCGATTCTGGTGAGGCTGATGCGGCCCGACTCATAACATTATACAGATGATTGCCGAAGACGTCTGTCTCGTATGCTAGCTGTGACCCTCCATGCAATAACCAGTGGACCACTATTCAGGCTCTCAGCCCTTCGCCTTGTTACGAGTCCCCAGTGGCGTTCATGTCAAGCATGTCAAGCATCTCAAGCTTCGCCGACACTCCTACGATCACCTTGGGTGATGGGTCGGAACATGCGTGTACCTGTACCTGTACCACGTGGAAGTCTGCGACCAGATGCGGATTGGTTCAGACGTATCGAAAGCTCAGCCTCGCTATTATTACCATTATTCTTCAGCTCGTCGGTTGCGAAGAGGCTGTTGCAATCAACCCCGCAGTCTTCCCAGAGCTCGTCCAGTCAGCCAGCCCTATGGCAGCCACCCATAGTTCGTATGCCTCTGTTTCCCACTTTGGTATGTGGTCTGCCCTGGTCAGTTATGCAGTCAGCACGTATTTCATCGGGAGTCACGCAGGGGTGAGATGGCTTCGGAGCTGAATGCTTAGCCACGATGTCACTTTGGATCGCTAAAGCACAGCGTACACTGATAGACGACTACAACCTGGTGGCTCGATATATGTTACTATGGCAATGCTACGGTCAATGGCACTCTGAGGTCAAGTATAAGTATACCCACTACCCACGCTATTTTCTCGTTTTGCCTATCTTCCATTAGACATTTCAGAACAAGTTTCACCTCACAAATCAATCAACCCTCACTTCTACCAAGCTCCAAACTCCCACGGCTACAGCAAGACGCACTTCTCGACCATCCTCGCGGCCGCCCTCGGCTTCACTCTCCCAGTTTTTGCTACTCCAGTCCCTGATCTTTCTGCAGCTACCGCCAGCGCAATCCAGGCTTTCGAGCAGACTCTTAACGTCGTGATCAACGACATCGTCGACCTCAACATCAAGGTTGGCGCCACGGACTTCGAGGGCGCATACAAGCAGCTCGCGGCGCTGGCTCCTCCAAACTGCAACTATCCCCACCCGTTGTCCCAGGGTCGGCGTCGGACGTGATTTCATACTTGCAGACTGCGCAAGCGAAGATATCCAGATCGTTGAGCAGGACATGACCAATGGAGATATGGCTAATGCGAACGACGGTAAGTGGCAGATGCGCCAGCCATCAAACGCTTCCTAAGCTTTGGGTCTTGAGCTAACGTTCCTGGAAACAGGCCTCTGTGCTATTCAGGCCGCAGTAAACGCCATCGTCAGCTTGGAGTCTGAGGCATCATCGGAGTGAAGTTTCAGGAGAAGAATGCCGGTGTTGCCGAAGGGTGTTTGTTAGGGTCTAACATGATCCAATGAGAAAGAGCTCTCGTAGTGAATATCGAAGAGCGGGTTTAATGGTGGGGTTCATGCGCTGATATATAGAATTTAATCTCTCGATCAATTGCAAAACAGTCTGCAGACGACTGCACGTAGCTTCTCATCCCGCCTTTTTGATGAGAGTCAATCCTTCTATGTTTTGTTCATCCACCTCTCTCTTCTGCAGACTAGAATACCACCAGACCATCACCTTCCATCCCCCTCTTCCCTGTCTTGCTTTTNNGTTGATCATGTCCAGAATCCCAGCCTCCACAGCATCCCACTTACGATCACCACTTGAATAGAGATGAATATTCAAAATTACCACCTCCAGGCCCTGCATAGTCCCCAGAACCGCACAAACTGCCCTCAGCCTTAGCGCAGAATGCCTGGCTTTCTCTGGATACCTGACACAATCACCCCATTTTCTCCGTTTCTCTGCATCGTCCTTTATTTGGGAACCCACAAACGATGGATTACCGGTGAAATAATGAAACTCCACGTGTTTGAGAGCATCCAGCCTATGCGGCGGCATCAACTCAGGCAGCCTGATGATCGAGTTTTCGCACGCCGTGTGTATGTACACCACACGGAGCAGCAAAGGCAGCACTTCAGCATAGACCTGCTTGCAAGTGCACAGCAGCGCTGTCTCCCAGCCGGGTATCTCGCCCTCATCGTGCTGCCACCTCTCGGGAGTGGGGTCACGAGAAACCTACCAGCCATCCTTGAAGTAACGTTCTCCGCTGTGATAACGTTCGCGGAGCAACATGGTTCGACTTGGCCCAACGACAAGAGACCAGATTTCTAAACGAAGCTCAGCTGGGAGGGACAGCAGTGGGCTTTGCGGCTGGGCTCGAGCGCCAGAGGTCAGAGAAGGTCTAGAGGTGAATGTCATGAAGGGATCCGGGATACTCTTGGGCAGGGCGGCCATAACGTGAGCTGAAGGAGTGTCTGGATCTGGAGCCTGTTTCGAGCGGCGGAAGAAGAGAGTAGTGAAGGCATTTGGGTACGTGGTTATCAAGATATTTGCTTGCGAAACAAGGTGAATGGTGTGAAAGGGATGTTAGTTCGTCGACAGACATTAGAAATAGTGATGGAGAGGAGAGGGAAGTTGGAGGCCTAAGACGGTGTTGCTCGTACTTGGCGAAGGAGTTTGCACTGCCACTTGCTGAAAATGTGTTGGTGGCACGGAATNNGGACTGATGTTGGCGGTTTGGAGAGATCTATGTTTCAGATAGATGAGCAAAACGATGCAAAACGTACAGCAGCAGGGATTCCCACGTGGTCACCCACCGTAGTACTAATCTGCCGTTCAACTGCTTATGTATGGCAGAGCGGACGGGATGCCCAGTTTTCAGCTGACTGTGGCCGTACGTGCTACTTTTCTTTCTTTTGTGGTAAATGATCTAACACAAATGATTCTCATGCCATCAAGGTAGGAGAAGCTTTCCACACAAATTGGTGCCAAAGCATTTTGAAGCGAGTCAACCAAAAATCCATGCTAGAATCAAGTGTCTAAAAGATCGTTCCATCTGAGCAAACAATTGAAGTTGTTCATCTCTCGATGTCGGTAGATCTTCGGCAGGAGATCAGTTGTCTTGTTTGATTCTGTGGTGCCTTACGGTTTCACCATCGATCCTCCTCCACCACTAGTAGGTATGATTGTGTCAATAACAATTCAAGTGATGGCCGATTCTAGATTTCTGTTTTCCATCTCCGTCCTTCAACTCACACAATACGTCCTCACTCGCACCTATGAAAGCTCACAAAATGCCTGAATTTCTCTCGCTCCCAAGCGAATTGCTTATCCACATCTTCGCGGCTTGCCCGACTGTCCCAACAGCAATACGCCTCTCAAGTGTCAACAAACAATTGCAATCGATTNGGCTTCAACACACGGATCAGATCGTCAAAGCCATCATCGAGTCGATTATTCCAGCAGCTGACCAAGCCATCAACTTTGTAACCATGGAGACGCGTCTCCGCAATTCGCTCAGTGACGAGGAACAACCGTCGCTCCACCTTTGGTTGCCAAATCTGATGCGCAATGCCGAACTCTGCGCCAGCGCCCTTGCAGCCTGCGCCGCCTACGTCGAACCGCCAAATTCGGTCAGCGACAAGCCCTTTACATTTTCTTCTTCCCCAGCTTCCTGGTACTTTCTACGCCAAGTATTGCTCGCGTTCAATTACCCGCAGCTAAGGGACGCGGTGCATGCCGAGCTCCGAGCAGCTTCGAGAGAGACAAGAGAAACACTTTCGTNNTTCCACTGGTTTCTCATGAGCTTTGCCAGCAAGGACGAAGTGATTCGTCAGGGTGTGCCGCTGGAGCTGAGGTTCGATATCCCCCCGGGGGATGAGTATGACGGCGACATGCATCGAGAGCCCTGGAGTTATATGTGCGATGTTCTTTGTGCGGCGCGAGGGGATCTTACCATCGATCCAGACGAGCTGTCTCTTGCCATCCAAGGATACAACCTATAGACAGAAACGGCAAAGTGTTCTTTTCACACAATTCGAAGCCCGATCAATTCAAATCGGAACAGCCACGAACTCCACTTGCGGTAACCCAGCACTGAGGCCTTCCAGCTGCTTTGGCACCTTTGTTGCCTTTTTAGATTGCATACCTGATAACCACATCAATATATGCAGCAAGAATCCCTGTACATATAGGGGCTCTAGAGATGCAGTCTCGATACTGACCACCGATCTCGAAATGTGGTTCAGACTGACCTCCTGGCAGAGACGGCTGTGTTTGTTTCGCCAGTCAAGTCAAGCAGTGAAGCAATGGCCATCAAGCTTCTGCCGACTTCGCAAAGTCTCACTGTCTCCTACCACGTATCCTCACATCACCAGTCCGGTCCTTGTTCGTTACGAGAGGAAGCTTGACGACAGATATTGCACGACCGTTACGGCTTGAATCATTGTAGCGATCTGGAAGTACGTCTAACGTCTTATCCATTGACATGCTAAAGAACAGCTACTCGGATTAGATGCCGTCGGTCGGGTCATATGACTTAGCCCATCTCTGTTTCGAAGAGCGTTAGTAGTCGTTACAACTCCAAGGCTCGAAGGAGAACTTACGGTATCCCATTGTTCTTTCGAGTTGACAAAGCGAAGGTCTGTACCAAGCCTAATGACGTTGGAAGGATCATGGTTGATTGTCGAAGCATGGATCTGGAANAAGCTGTTAGAAGACTGACAGTCAGACATGTATATGTTCTCGTCTGCTTCACTTACAGCATAGGTGTTGTGGAAGACAACATCACCAGCCTCGTAGTCTGTAAGTAGCCACCTTCTTTTATGGGCACGTCCAAACTCGGCTGGACCGTCGGTCAAGAAGCCTGTAGACATCATGTTCTGGTTGAATGCATCCTTAGCCTCTTTCTCACTCATCCCTGCTCCGTGGCTTTTTCTGTAAATTCTTGCNTCGATCTCGGCACCTAGAGTATGGCCTGGGAGATATTAGTAAGTGATTACTTTCGATCACTAAAGGTCTAGAAACTTACTCCTTTCGAGATAGATCAATCCACCTCCGTCAATCGCAATATTACCCATAGGCACCCAAGCTGTCAAAGTCGTATCCTTGCCATAGCGGAGGAAGATCTGATCGTAGTGGACACCAATCGCTTTGTTTCCAGGAGTGTTGTTCAGTAAAAATGTTCGCTGAATCGCGNNAGTATCCTCGCCCCAACCAGTCAACTTTTGCACATATTCGTGTAGTGCTGGGTGCTTGCAGAAGACATCCTTATACCAAGGCTCAGTATGCGCTTTGATAGCAAGGTCAACGAACTTGGTGGTAGTTTCTTGGCCACGACCAAGTCCCGAAGAGCCCGCGCCTATTTCAGGGTAATCGCGAGCATCTTTGGCATCGTTGAAGATGCCCTGAACAGGTTCTGTCCCAGGCTGAAGTACGCCAGTAGGTGAAAGAAGCTTGAAGTATTCTTCGCGGGCTCTGAGTACGTCTTGTCTAGAAATGACGCCTTTGATGTGAATGTATCCGTCCTCTTCAAGATGTTTACGGACTTGTTCGATTGGTGCGTCGGCCGCCAGGGCTGGAAGACAGCCAATCTCGTCAGCGTGGAGAGGTCCATCGTTGACTGGTGACCATACTGAGGTGTTTGTCGACAAGGATGTCATGACGAACGCCTTCGATGGTGAGAATCGCGAGCATGAGATGACAACATGGCAGGCTGTCAAGACCTATCCTTGGGCTTGCTTCTGGGCATGTCTCTTTTGCTTCACCATTGTAAGACCAGATCCAGATGCTTACATCCCGAGTCTCGGACTGACGGCCACCAGGNTTATGGAATCATTTCACATGTTCATTAATGGTAACTTTGTTGCACAAAAGGCCTTCCAAAGACGCTATGGCGTTTCGCATGGAGAAGGATATGTTATCCCGACCAAGTGGCAGAGTTCGCTCTTCCAAGCCGGCCAATGCGGTGCCTTTATCGGTGTCCTTATTGCTGGACCCATCACCAACCGTCTTGGTTACCGCTTGACCACCGTTTTTGGACCGGTCCTTATGATACTCACCATCTTCGTGTCATTCTTTGTAGGTGGTTAGATTGCATCTCTTGTTCTCAATCTTCTGACAGTGATCATCTAGGCAAACTCGTTGGAACTCCTCGTGGTCGGACAAGCATTGGAAGATGTTCCTTGGGGCCTTTTCATTGCAAACTCTCCCGCCTACGCCTCTGAGGTTGTCCCTCTTGCTCTCAGAGCTCTTTGTGCAGCTACTTTGCAGATGTCATGGATGGTTGGTGGCATCGTCGTCGCTGCTGCCACTTATGCTTATAACGGTCGTGACGACCAATGGGCTTGGCGAGTGCCTCGAGCTCTACAGTGAATCTTCCCTGTAAGTACTGTATCCTGCCCGCATCTAACGCAACAACTGAACATTCAAGNNGTTCCTCTGCTGGTCCTTATTTTCTTCGCCCCTGAATCTCCTTGGTGGCTTGTCCGTCGAGGACGGAGGGAAGAAGCTCTTCGCTCGATTGAACGCCTTGGTAACAAATCGATCGGCTCGNAAGAAACTCTTGCCATGATTGAGAAAACCGTGGAGATTGAAGAACATAATGGTGGTTCACCTGGTTTCCTTGATCTTTTCAAGGGTACCGACCCGAGACGTACAAGCATCACCTGTCTCATCTATGCCTCTCAAAATTTTGCTGGTAACCTTATTGCCAACCAGGCCACTTTCTTTNTTGAGCGTAAGTTTCGAAATTTCTTCCATCTTCCATCATCCGTCTTGAAAACGATTGGGACAGCCCTGATAACATGACGCACAGAAGCCGGCATGTCGCCCGAATTTTCCTTCAAGCTCAATTTGATCAACAATTGTCTCGGTCTAGTCGCCAACATTATGTCCTGGTTCCTGACCAGCTGGTTCGGTCGACGCACCATCTACCTCTGTGGAACAGCCTTCAATGCCACCATGTTATTCATCTTGGGCATTTGCGCCTCGGTTCCCCAAAACACCTCTACCAATTACGCCCAAGCCTGTCTCGGAGTCATAATCTCCTTTGTTTACGCTGGAACACTTGGTCCCATTTCCTATGCGATCATCTCCGAGACGTCTTCTGTACGTCTCCGTGCTCTGAGCACTGGTGTTGGCCGTGCCGCCTACTATGTTGCCGAGATCCCCATGATCTATCTCGCTTCCCGGTTGCTCAATCCTACAGGCTGGAACGTCGCCGGCAAGTGTGGCTATGTTTGGGGTGGCACGGCCGTCGTGTGCTAGATCGGCGCCTACTTTGGTCTTCCCGAGCTCAAGAACCGCTCTTACCGTGAACTCGATGTCCTCTTCCGCCGCAGGACTCCTGCTCGCAGATTCAAGCAGACTGTCATCGATGTCAGAGACAACGACTAGAAAGGATGTAAATAGTGATTACAAGTTAACGAGAATGATTCATACACCCAAGTCATGCCCATACATTTGGAATCCGCCTTCGCAGCAACGCGTGTCAAAGGCCACAGAAGCTGACGGTATCCACTTTGTCGAACCATCCATGCTGCCTTATGGCATAAACGCTTTTACACAAGTCGATGCTCAATCGATTCAAAGCGGATCAACCACGAACTCCACTTCCGGAAACCCAGTACTGGGGCCTCTAAGCAGCTCTGGCACCTTTGCTGCCCCTTTGAATGCATACCTGAAAAACGCATCCGTATACGCAGCAAGAATAACAAGCACTCTCCTACCATTCAGCAGCCCAACCAGAGCCCCAGCTCCAGGCACCTCAACTATACCAGAGATATCAGCCAGAAGCGGAGCATCCGAAAACGTCAAATGCACAGAACCATCCAAGCGCAATTCAAACTTGTTGAACGCAGGTGAGGCTTGCAAGAACGATTGCCAAGAACTTGTTGCGCCGGAATCTGGTTGGATAGAGCGTGAGAAGAGTAGAAAAGGCTGTCTGAGACCAGAAGTTACCACAGAGCCATAGAGCTTGCCGTCGAAATTGATGCCGGCTTTGAAGGAAGGGTCTTCAAGTGGGACTTGAGCTGCTGCAGCACCTCCAAAAGAGTGGCCCCAAGCAGCGATGCGATGGGGNTCTGGCTCGACAGAGGATGGCAGACCCACACCTGTCAGCACTTTGTTCTTGACGAAAATGATATCTTCGACTCGATCTGGGAGTGCGGCTTCGAGTTGGGCGTCGGTGCCTATACCGGGCGCGAGCAGAAACGAGCCATCGGTGTACTCGATGATGTCTGCCTGCAAGGGCGTATCGATGGTGACGACGATGTAACCCATGGCGGCGAGCTGCTCGGCCAAAGCGCTGTAGAATTGGCGTGAAGCACCTAGACCGGGAGAGAAGAGCGTGAGTGGCCATGCCTTGCTAGTGAGTCTTCCTTTGTCGCACGTCGTGTTGCAGACTTGGAGTTGCAATTGCTCGAACGTGGCGTTAGGAATCGTCGAGCCCAGTAAGGCGCTGTAGGTCACAGCATTGTAATCCGCGGTGAGTTTGGGCATGTATTGAGCCAAGTATGGCAAACAGTCTGCATGATATCCCACTGGAAAGAACGAGGTGGTCATGATGCGTCGATAGGTGCCATTGATGAAGCGACTGTCGTCCACAAGTTCGGTGATTTGTGTGCCTACACTATAGGTGCCATTTGGGCGAGGAATAATGAGCGCAGCTGCAAGGGGCAGTGCTGTGAGAAAGACGCACACAAGCATTGTATAGACTTGACAATAAGTTGTGAAAGGGGAAGTTAAGAGATGTGCTTGAGGTGGCCGTATTTGAGTAAGGTTCGATTTCTGGATTCTACTTACTCCCAAATGCAAGGTAGCGACGCGAGTGCCGATTGCCGTGCGCGAGATTCGAAGACCAATGGAAGAGTGTAGTGGTCAAGGCGGGTACACGCACGTCCATCGGTCAGCGTGTGGCTTGCAGATTGCTTACGTAGGGACATCGGAGTCGGTTCACTATGTCAGTGCCTCGAACCTGACCACTACACCTTAGCGAGGCCAACGGGAGTTCGATTGACTAGGGGTCTAACTGAAGGCCAAGTATATCGTTGTCGAAAGCGTAAAGACATGTCGAGTCAGAGTCAAGACCGAGCGAATTCAGTCACGTCCACCTTCGCGACCACATCCTAGGAACCTACCGACAGGAAAACAAGTCAACTATCCAGTGTCATAGCCGTCGACGACTCGGTAAAACGGACGGGATGTCCAATTTGCAGCTGACTGTCGCCATAGTTGATGGAACTCCATATGAATCGGCGACCTACCCCTGGGTTGTGACTTTTGCATTCGAATTTTGATCTAGTCATGGCTATGAAGATGTCCTGAAAATTGAGGCTCATCGCAGGCGCCTGTCCATGCATCCCAAACAAAGCCGTAAATTTGAACTCCGATTGTACGCATGATCGTCTACACGGGCAGGTTGAACTTCTTGCCCTGGAAGACCNNCTAGAGTGATGGTTAGCGGAGGCTTTCAAGGCAGTGGGTGATCACAGCGTACTTGGTGTAGTAGATGTAGAAAAAGTCGGAGTACAAAATGGTCTGAACAAGACCTGCGATGACCGAGATAGGCTCGAAGTGGCTCTCGGTGATCCAGCGGTAGATCCAGTTGGGGATATAGAGGGCTCTGTAAGCACCAAGAGCGAACAGATAGTGGGTGGTGATGGTCTCTGCCTCGCCGGTTCTCTGGAGCATGAACAACTGGGGAAGGATGGCGACAGCTTCCAGCCAGATGGAGAAGGCCCAAAGCATCNNTGCATTGTGTCAGAAAGTGTGGAGACAAATTGGCTGAGTGATTGGTACCTCGGAAAGCTGGTACTTGCAGGGGAATAGAATGCCCAACACGGCACTTCCTGCGACCAGGTACGGAACTCTGAAGGTGTCGAGATTGGGATCGTGGGTAGGCTTGTAGTCGTTGAGCATCAGGTAGATTATGTAGGCAGAGGTTCCAGTGAAGACGAGCTTGAAAGTCGTGTTCCACAAGCTCCTGAAGGGGTCTGTCCAAAGGAGGTCNTGTAGGAGAGGGCTCAGTATGCGGTTTGTATTTTTCTCGAGACGGATGGGCGTACCGAGGTATCGGGTGACATATACGACGAGGTAGAGGAATTGCGACTTGAACGAGATGCCTGATGCGCTCTGTAGACGTGGTCAGGATTGGAGAGGTTGGCAAAGGTGAGGTGAACGTACACTTGATGTCTTCATCTTGTGCAGCAGGATCAGGATGGAGAACAGATGCGACAAGTCGCCTAGACATGTCAATTAGCACATTGCATTGGCAAGCGACTCATAGTTACAGTGAACCTACCCAGAATGCGAAAGATGTTCATCATTGCTGCAACCAAAATCGATCGGCTGGCTGAGGCTGATAGGATTAAGCAAAGGTTGCCTCGAGGCTATGAACGCGTCGGGTGAGGGCGTGCGACACAAGAAGAAAGATTGTCAGCAAGAACGGCGAACGAGGGAGATGCAACTTGTTGGATGCGAATGCTCCTAGCATTTAACAACAGCTTTGACACGTTGTTCAAACGCGTCCGTGCGTCGTCATCGCTCTTTCCCCTTCAGGAGGAGTTCCCCTTTTTTTTTTTGGGAAGAGGACCTCACACACCAGCTAATTATGCACATGTATATAGGTAGGTAATCATCGAGTCTGAAGGCTTGTCGACATCCTCTGCAATTGGTTCATCTCCAAGCTATGTGACACTTCATACCAACTGCCAGCTCTCTGTTGACCCCTGGCGTTGCCGCTTCCGCAAACTGCTCGTGTACACGCAAAGCACCTCGCCATCAAACCCCGTCCCTGTGATTCGAACTTCTGACTTATCACCGACCTCTCGCAGCAGGTAATCCAATGCATATGCTCTTCCTACTTCTTGACCATCAATCTGGATCACAAAGAAGCTAAAAGGCCCTGTAACATCACTGTAAGGAAGTCCGTCGTCTTCGAGGCTAGCATTCCACACTTCGTTATTGAACTTCCAAGAGAGACACGATGTGGTCTCATCTATTTCGGCTAGTGCCGCGTCGGATATCGTGTACTTTCTGCCAGCCTTGCTTCCGCGACGCACGCAGATGGACATGATATCAACGAGCAGAGTATTGGTAATCGTCTGTATGGGTCCTTCCACTCGCAAAGATAGTCCGGTGAGACACATGCCTGATTCGTTGGCCTGAAGCTCTTCGGTCATCGTTTTNTGTTGCTCTATGATAGGAATCGCCGCGTTCAAGCCTTCAAGGTGGAGCCACAGGAGTAACGAAGTAGGTGTTTTTGGTTTGCGGTACTGAATGCTAACGACAAGTCCCTCTGACACCGGCATGCTGAGTTTGAAGAGCCTCAATATCCTTCGTGTGGATCCAGTATCGCTCAAGGCGCGTACATACAAAGACAACCTGGAGGGACACGACTCTATCTGACTGGATATATCTTTCTGAACGCTGGCATGTACACTTGGTCGAGGCAATATAGACTGCGATGCAAGGCTCGCGCGTACTTCGGTCTTGCCAGCAACATGATCTGAACTGGTGACCGCTTCGAATGCTTGGCCAAAGTCGGTATAGAAGAAAGTATCTGAGCCAGCGGGAAATTCTTGTGCATTCTCAAGTATGGGATAGGTCATATAGCCTTGGATAGAATGTCGGGTTTTCGAGGCGCAGTCACAGCGTAATGTCTCTGGTAAAGCGACTCCTGTCCACATAGAGCTTTCGACAGCCTTGGAATCTTCCAGGCAAGTAAAATGCTCATATGGCCAAGCTGGGCCAAAGATGCCAGCACTGAGCCCCAATTCAGCTAGTTTCGCGACACCCAGACCGGTGCCGGTTCCACCGCCTATATCTCTGGGATACGTTTCCCGGACAGAGCGCTCTGAACTTTGCGCCCAGACGTCAATGCCGCAGAGAGTGTCTACAGGAGTGATGCCATTCTGCAATGCAACAGCTTTGGAGGCAGCGGCCGTATCCGGTGACCATACATAATTTGTGAGTATAGAGCCGGCAGCTTTGGCGAGCAAGACGTTCTGCTCCGTCAGTGCATTTTGGTAGTCAATTCTATTCTTGCTTGTGAGTGAATCGTACCAAAGAACGCATCCGTCGTCGAAGGATGAGCTTAGTTGTTTCAGAAAGCCCTGGAGCTTTGAGAGACTCCAGTCGGCGATAGGAAAAGTCTTCTCAATATTGATCAACCAACCGTCAAATCCATAGTAATGGGCAATGTGTATTAGCCGGTCTGCCAAGGTGTAGTTCCATCCTTGTATCCCTGACGGAGTTCGTTGCAGTATTTTGGATATGTCTGTTGACTGTGGCTCTATAAGAAATGTACCGAGCGACTTGACTCCATTACGGTGTAGAACATTTGTCCAGGACGGAGGAGGTATGCACACCAGCTTANNAAGCGGTTTAGTTGAATGATGTTGATGAGGTTAGTCGTTACAGACCTTGTGAGAAAAGTATACGAAAATGTCAACCGCTTGCAGATATTCACAGCTGTACGACGGTTTGTCGACTAGTGGGCCATGAATGTCTTCATACTGCTGGTAATTTCCAGAAAAGTCATGTACGAGAGTGATTTGAGCTCGGCCTTTGGCAGCTTTGAAGGATGGTCTAGGAAGCAAAGGAGTGTTTGCTCGCTGAAAGGAGTATGCTTGCTCAGGTCGCCAATCATCAATGTCGTGAAACGAGTCAAAGTAGGTGAAGCCTTTGAGGACATCTTCACGGCGTCGGTTTCCGTTGTCGGGATTCCGGTGGGGCCTTGTGGACGGCAAATTGTCTCGCAAACCATCTCGTATAGGACGCAAGATATCCTTCCAGCCCATACTTATGAATATCGATGGTCGATGGGCAAGTTTTGTATGGAGTGGTGGATGTCCAGATTTGTCCTCTCCTTGGGTGCTAGCCTCTTCTAGCTATGATGTTAAAAGCACCTCTAAGAAACGAAGAATAGTTTGCTGAAAGTAGCTATTGTATCAGCTCTCCTTGAGTAATATGTCTTCAGTGCACATGAGACTGTGCATTGTTGTAGCTCATGCCGGTGGGCAGTGGGGAAGGAACCGTGAGCCACGATCGGTTCGATGACGCTTTCGCGAATTTGCTCGCCTCCAAACGTCGTCGACCGCCGAACAAGACAACTTCACTCGGCGCACACCACAACACGCTTCCACCCTCTCCCTTCTTCTTTCTCATTCACCGCGTCTCTTTCCTTTGATACCCGCGCAGCGCTCTGAGTTTGACACGCCTCACACGCATCTCTCACTTTCACTCACGCACGACGTACCACTGTCTGCTTTCTGGCGCACTGGTCCCGCATCCTACAATCTTTCATCAACCACCCAACATGGCCGACTTGCAAGAACTCTTCAGTCGCCTGAAAAGCCCTGCTGCTGCTTCATCAAACGACCAGCAGCATCAGCAAGCTCAACAACCTTCCATCTGGGCTCAACCTCAATCCCAGCAGTATCAACAGCCTTCTGTGTCGTCGCCCTTGTTCTCTCCTGCTATCCATACTCCCAATCCTCAACACCCGTCGGCAATCATGAGCCCCAGTCATACACCTGCTCCCGGTGACTCGAAGTCCAACGATCTCTTGAACTTGCTCAAGTTCAACTCAAACCAGCTTGCCTCTGGCATGAGTCCTTTGGCCTCTCTGCAGAACATTGCTGCTCAGAACCCATCTCCTCAGCTCCACCCTGCACAGCAACAATCCCGCTCTGTCTCGGCTTCAGATCTTGTCGCCTCCTTCAACCAGAAGCCATCGAGCGCCTCTTCTCTGCGTATCTCCATGCCTTCGCCTCAGCCCGACCAAAAGGCACAGCAGCCTCTGGGAGATGCTCAGAACTTTCTCCTCGGTCTTCTGAACCGTCCCAAGAACGCCTCCGCCGCGGGTTTCTCTTCGCCAGCCGTGCAGCCTGCTCAAGTTCCCGAGCCAGTCATTCACGAGCCCGTTCTTTCCATAGACGTTGCTGATCTCCAAGACCCCTCCGTCCGCCTCTTCGGTAGCGCCGGATCCCGCGAGACCACTCCATTCGAAGGCCCTTCTCAAGCAAAGAAGCCAGTCTTCACTTACGTCAACCCCTTCGAGCAGATGACTGCTTCGTCGCCCCAACCCGCCCTCAAGACCGAGGGTCCCAAGCATCAACGCGATGTCTCCCAACCTGAAGACACGGACAACGGTCCTCCCAATGCAAAGAACCGCAAGATCACATCTTCTCTTCCATNNCACCTTCTCCTTCTCCTCGTCCAGCCCAGCCCTCGGCCGACGCTCACCAAAGCGTGGCCGAAGCTCTCAGCGGCGTTGGCGAGAAGGTCGACAAGCAAGTTGAAAAAGCACTTGCCCAAGCCGACGGTGCCATATCTTCTGCCTCGAAAGAGCAGACCAAGGCTACTGAGGAGGNTCGCCGATAGTTGGGAGAGCGCTGATGCCGACGAGTCTGGTAAGGACAGCAAAGATTACGCTGTTCGCGTTTACAACTTCCCCATGAGACCTTTTGTCTCCATTACCATCAACAAGGACAGCCAGGCCACTGCTATGCGTTCCGATTCGCTCATGGACATTGCTCGTCTGAAGAAGGAGTTCGAGCAAATCGATCGCGCGCTCGTCACCGCCTCGCCCAACCACATTGTCTATGCCATGTCTAAGAGTGGCGGCTTCCGTGTGATCCGTCAGGACTCTGGTAAGGACAAGCAGGTCTTCCGCTCCACCGCCGAGCGCGTCTTCAACGTCCAGATCTGCACTGCCAGCGGTGCTCACAAGGACATTGAGACAGTCCTCGCTACCGGAGTTAACGGCTCTGTCTTCTGGACCAGCATCAACAAGGTCGAGGGCGATTCATTCGACGACCTGGACCTTGAGTCGCAAGGCTTTGTGCTGCCTCCTGTGCCTGTTCAAGACGACAACACCTCTGGCAGCCCTGTTAAGACCAGAGCCAAGATGAGCTCGCGCAACGCAGACTTCTTCGCCATCTCGAGAGGCAAGTCCATCTACATCATCTCGCCTTTCGTTGCCCGTCAGAACCAGTACACCGACAAGAAGACCCGCGTCGTCGACAACGACAAGTACTTGCAAGAGCGTTGTTTGAAGATCTCTACTGGCAAGGCTGGTAAGGATTTTGCCTTCAGCGGCGACGACAGTCTGCTGGCATCGCTGGACAAGAGTGGACGCATTAAGTTCTGGGACATTCGTGACATGGCACAACAAGCCCGCGAAACCGCTTCGTCTGGCAAGCGTCCCGCTTTGGAGCGCAAGGATCCTCTGCTCACTTTGACAACGACTCTTCCTGCTGAGAAGGCCACTCCTTCCTCCATCATGTTTGTTGACAAGGAGAGGCCATGCGTTAAGGGCGTTGCTCTCCGCTACCTGCTTGTTGGCTTGAAGCAAAACCACATTCTTCAGCTCTGGGATCTTGGCCTCAACAAGCCTGTCCAGGAGCTCTACTTCCCTCACGACAAGGACTCTGATGCCATCTGCAGCATCTCCTACCACCCCAAGACGGGCATTATCGCTCTCGGCCACCCTACACGTAACTCGATCTACTTCATCCACCTGTCGGCTCCTCGCTACAATATCCCTAGCATGGATCAAGCCAGGTACACGACCATGCTTGCTGAGCAGGACCCCAACCTGCCTCGTCCTGAGTCAACTGCTATCATGAGCGGTATTCGCGAGCTGTCTTTCGCTTCCAAGGGTCAACTGCGCAGCGTGGACATGCTTCACACCCCTGTCGCTTCCGAGGCCTCCAGCGACGTGCTCTTTGAGCTCTATGCCATGCACTCTAAGGGTGTCACTTGCATGAACATCAAACATGAGGACTTGGGCTGGAGCCGTGACAACAAGGTTCTCCACCCTGTCGATGCCGAGGCCTCGGGCCTTATTTCGGTTGCCAGCATCTCTCCCAACGCAACTACAGCAGAGGCGCCTGCCAAGTCCGCAAAGGCTGCTGCACCTCCTTCTCCCCAGAAGTCTGAGCCTGTCAAGCCCGCCGCCGCAGCTGCTACAAAGCCTGCCACCAAGCAGGAGCCTGTGATTAACGGTGCCCCCAAGGTTGAGAAGTCGAAGAAGGCCATTCCTGAACAGAGCACTGTCGAGACCGCCACCAACCCTGCCATTCTCACTCCCGCCTCTTACGCTCTGGCCGCTCGTCCCAAGGTTNTCAGCCGCCGAGGCTGCCTCCCCTCAACAAAGGAGCCTATTGCTGCTGTCACACCTTCACCTGCACCTACCGAGAAGTCTGCAAAGACCACCGAGGCTGCCGTTTCTGTCGACGCTGAGACTATCAACAAGGCTGTCAGCGATGTTTTGTCCAGAGAGATTGACTCGCTGTACCGTAGACTCGACGATGACAAGCGTATTCAGGACGCTGCTGCCGCTGCCAAGCAGGATGCTGTGCTTCGTCTTGTGTCTAGCACTTTGACCGATAACGTGGAGAAGACTCTTAACAAGATCATCGCCACCAACATCACCAGCAGCGTCGTTCCTGCTATCGTTGAGACAAGCTCGACCTTGTTGAACGAGAAGCTTACCTCAGCAGTCTCTCAGCATGTTGCTAAGATTGTGCCAGGCGAGCTCAAGGCTTCTTTGGCTCCCGCCATCGCGGCTGCCCTGCAGGACAAGGAGCTTCAGCGCGTCATCTCTGAGCAAACCGCTTCCAAGCTATGCCCTCAGATTGAGCAGTCATTCGCTACTGTTCTGCGCAACTCGATCGTTCCTACCTTCACAAACCTTGCCCAGACCTCAACCAAAAAGGCCGTCGCAGATGTCGAGCGCCGCTTCACCGAGCAGCTTCGTGATGCTGAGGTACAGCGCCAGAAGGACAACGCCAAGCTCGAGCAACTCTCGGACTTGGTTCTTGGACTCTCAAAGACAATCCATGAGATGGCCGCTGGACAGTCGGCCTTCCAAGAGCAGATCCTCAAGCTCCAGCGCCAGATTGCCGGCGACAACTCAGCACGTTCTGCTGTCTCTACCGAAGCCGACGTTATGCCTTCAATCGAAGATCCCGAGTTGGACGGCATAACAGCCCTGATGACGCAGGGCAGATATGAGGAAGGAACCATTCAGTGGCTTCAGTCTGAACGTCAGGGCGAGCTTTTCGACAAGCTCTTTGTCCGCATCAATCCTCAATACCTGCAGAGACTTAGCCCATTGGTGTCTCTGTCTGTGTCAGCTGCCCTGACTTCCTCGTTCGAGCAGCACATCGACGAGCGTCTCTCTTGGCTCAGCACTGTCTTGTCTACCATCAACCTCAACGATGCCGAGATCAGAGAGGTGGCACCCAAGATCATGGATGTTCTCCAGCAGCGCATGCAGGGAGCATACATGTCGATTGCCGAGAACAACCAACAGGACCCTGTCTTGCGCATCGTCTCTGGTCTCTCTCGCCAGATCAACGACATCAAGAAGTTCGCCGTCCACGGCCTCTAATAGTTCTTTGATGAACGTGTAATAACAATCTACTAAGGATCGGAGCTGGAAGATGCCCGAGCCCTTGCTTCAGCACGACGCTTTAACGCTTCAATTTCTGATGATTTTACGGATGATGATACTTTGGCTAGGCGGAGACTCATTGTCGATGGCAGCCCCGCGGCATACAAGGATTGCGCATGAGGCCATGATGGTCTGATGACAGCAATAGAAGGAATGACAATGAGCATGGCCTGGTTCACGTCGAGAGGAGGAAAGGAGTAGACAGAAGAAGCTGCTCTGATAATCAAAAGTAATGGAATGTAATTTACGATGACCTTGTTCTCCCAAGTCTATGCACTGAAAGCAAACGATCTACCGTCGACTACTCGAGTATGCTCAGGTGCTATGCTCTGACAAATGATGATGCGATTTGTGTGAGGCTCTGTGAGGAGATGTGGGAAAGCACATGTCAAAACACTCCATCTTTTTGGTTCAAACCAAACACCAAACAAGATCGTAAACACAACGCAAACATGCTGTCACTACCACTACTGGCGCCTCAAAATGTGAGACCGGATATTCGTGACTGCGAAGATTGACACATGCTTACAATAGAAACAGNNGAATACTCCTTCTTCCTCTCTCCGCACCTACGCCCACCACCAACAGACACCCCCAACGCCAGCGACAACAATGCAGCCCAACAAACCCGCCGCCAAACCTCTCAACAGACCGCAGCGCCAACACGGCAATCGCTAGCTCAGCTGTTAGCCGACGAACAAGCCATCTCGCACCGCAAACACAACATCCGGCGGTTTGGCGCGGGGTGGATAAAGCCGCCGGGCGTAGCAAAAACACTGCAAGCGGAGACGGAAGAAAAAGCAGAGAGGGAAGAGCAAGAGGCGTTGCAGAGGCGAGAGCAGATGATGATGGATATGCAGGCGCAGCAGGAGGCTGAGGAAGCGAGGAATAGGGCTGTTGCTGCGGAGGCGGAGCAAGAAGCAGAGGAAGAGCAAGAGAGGGATTTGGATGAGGAGATTCCTGATGCTGATNGGGGAAGAGGAAGAAGATGAGGGGAAGACATCACTGATTCAGATGAGGAGGAAGACGAAGAGGAAGAGGAGGATATGCAGAGTGAATTGCAGTCCGAGATGCTGTCACACATGCACAGCGAAATCCCTGTCGCAGAGGACATCACGTTCAATGAGGAGAGCATGTTTGCGGATACCAGCATTGCTGCTTTGGACGAGGAGTCGAGGGAGCAGGAGAGGTATCGTCATTTGCAAGAGGCGGAGCTGACGGGCGTCGCTCAAGATGAGCTTGACTTGGGCATTGAAAGAGATTTGGATGACAGTGTGCCAGAGGCAGGCAGCTATCAACACACTGACAGCGAGCTTGAAGACTCGGACGACAACGAGGATGACGAGGATGATGAAGATGAAGAGCAGAGTGAATTGGAACAGCAGGAGGACGAGCAGAGCGAGTTGGTTGGAGCAGTCATGCAACGCAGTCGCAGCAGCCTGTTAAGCAGAGACGTGAGTTCGCTCCTCGACAGCTCCTTTGTCACCAGCAGTCCTGCACCCGCCGGCCGTCTGAAGTCTGCCGGCCACACAGCCAACCAGAGATAATTGCTTCGGCCTTGATGAGCTCTTCTTGCATTTCTCTCTTTACTCGTTACAGCGAAGATACCCCATTATCGTCATATTACAATCCTTTCCTTCGGTAACCTTCTCTGTCGCGTTCATCACCATTGCTTTCTGTACAGAATGTGAAAACTTCCGAAACGCCTTCGCTAATACAACAAAACCAATTCGTGTCCTCGAGCAGTATCGTGCTGATTGGCTAGAACAGCCAGACATACCAGAACAAGGCCACGACAAAGGCAAAGAAGATGAGCCACACCTTCCAACCCACACCCGTGCTCTGTGCCATACGCAGCATACGGTTCATCGTGCCCTTGAGCTTATTACTCGTATTCGAGAACTGATCATTCATCTTTTCCGCCAGCGCAGTCGAATCACGGATCTCGTCGCCAATTCGCAGAGTAAGNCTATTAGCACCACCGTCAGCACTCTGCTCCTCTTCCCATCTCTCTTGTCACACATGCACACTCACATCTTTCAACATGCCAACCTTCTTACTCATCTCAGAAACCTGCTCGTCATTCTGCGATTCCAGCTCCGAGAGCACGGCATCGCTATAAGCACCCCGTTTATCTGGTGTCGCTGTGCGGAAACTCGCGCTCGAGCCGCCTCTTTCTGTGTTGTTACCTGGGTAGGCGGCGAATGTGTTGTTTGAGGATGAAGGGATGCTGTAGCCGTTGCTTGCGGTGTATGGGTTTGGGGATGTGGAGGTTGGGCGCGAGCGTTGGTCGTAGCCCGAGAAGAGGGAGGAGCGGTTGGTGTCGCGTTGATGGAATCTGTGTGTGAGTGGTCTGTTAGTCTTGGGTTTCTCTTGCGAGGTGTGTAGAGGACGGGCATGTGCATACCTAGACGCCATCGTGAATTGAGATAAGAGTTGTGCGGTGCGAAGACTATTGTGCCATGAAGTTGGGTCTACCGTTGGTAGAGAGGGACCAGACAGTGGTAGACGTTGCTTCTTGCGCAATTGTGCGTGTGACTCTTTCGATTCTGTGGTTGTTGCGACTGGTCTGCTCGGTGACGTTGAATTGTATCGAGGCTGCCTCTAGTTCAAGAGCTGAGTCGCTAATGTCCGTGATTCTTATTGGTTGTTACAAAGTTATACTTTACAAGCTGCTGTAGCTCAGTGGTAGAGCGTGGGATTGCAGTTTCTGCAATTATCCTAAGGTCCGTTGTTCGACCCAGCGTAGCAGCTTCCTTTTGGTCGATCTCGCGACAAAGAAACGGCCACCCCTTTTTCTCTTTTGGCAGTCCGAAAGACAACAAATGATCAAAGCAAAGAGACACCATTCAGATTGGACCAATCCGTCAATTAATTCGAGTCCACGCATTCGTACTAGGTCAATGATATCAAAGCTCGCGGCAAAAGAAGCCTCAGACTTTACATCTTTCTAGTTTTACTACAGCCCTCGATAGCAGGACTCTGCTGGAGATGTAAGGGGCAAAAAGCAAAGCTGCTACGCTGGGTCGAACAACGGACCTTAGGATAATTGCAGAAACTGCAATCCCACGCTCTACCACTGAGCTACAGCAGCGATGAATTTCTACTCAGATTTTAACCGATTTTACAACTGCACATGTATTGTTATCACATCAAGATCACAAACCCCATGAAGCATTAAACATGTATCATAGCATTGACTGAGATACAATCAGCATAGGCCGAATGATTTGGTCCTTCATAGCAACAGCAACGCCAGTTTTTCACCTATTTAAAGCCACCTTGGTATCTCAGCAATTTAGTTCCCTTGGATCCTCCCAGTACGCCATGCAAATCAACATATAAAACAAAAAGAACTACCAAGCATATCCGTCCTCGTCGACTTCTGCCCCTTCTGTCCATTCCTCATCGCCGCTAGCCTCGGAATCCAGGAAATGTGACTCGTTGAACTGCTCTTCGCGTGGTCGCTGATTATCGATACGAACATCGACGACAGTGCAAAGTCCTTGAATGAAGCGTTCGGGTGTGTGCCGCCAATCTTCACCCTCTCTAGTATTGTCATCAGAAGCGACTGAGATGGCGTCAGAGCCTCTACGACCACGCTTGCGGCGACCACGAGCCTTGATTTTGGCTGGCGGAGTAGGAAGTGGTGGTGGACATGCCGGTTTAACAACACGTCTGGCACGGCGTGTGGCCAGAGGCTCGTCATCTGAAGCTTGAGAAGTCTGAGAGTTCAACGAAGGCTTGCGTACAACAATTTCGACATGGCTCAGCGAGCGACGTGACTTGGCTGCAGCACTAGCAGCCTGCACTTCCTTCCATTGTCGGAAAGCTTTGAATGATGCGAGCTTTGAGTCGGGGTTTTGAGGATAGCGCTGGTATACTCGGCAAAGACGTTCGATCCACTGGTCCCTGAATGCTGCTCTGTCTCGCCAGGATATGTTTATGTGAGCTTGTAGAACTAACCTTCGAAGATCTAGCAGAGATTGAGCAGATTCGACTAGCGAGCGGAAGAGGTTCTGTGCGGCATTGGCACCNCCTGAAAACATATCAGTGTCGTTCGTGTATAGACAAGAAGGTTTTGAGACTTACCACTTCTGCAGATGAACAAGCTCTAAGGTTTGGAGAGTGGAAGGCCAGGTTGGAGTTTCGTCCTCTAGTAACAGATTCTCATACTTTGGTTCTCCGAAATGACGAAAGTAATTCTCTCTGTGGTCATACAAATCCATCTTCAACGACTTGAGCTGTGGACAAGTCGTGCGCAAACTTGTGAAGAATGCTAGGTCGAGGAAAGGGTTGTGGTCGAGGACAAGCTCGTTGATCNNCTGTCAAACTGTTTGTCAGCAATGTCTTTGTGAACGCGTGCATTGAGAGGCAACATACGAATGACCATGACTACTGAGGAAAGCCCCTAGCATGTCCGAATCAAGAGGCATACAGTTGATGAACTTGACGGTCTTGAGGGTGTTTGGTAGTTGAAGTAACATGGGCTCAGAGAGACGATCACAACTTTCGAAAGACAACGTCTCCAGGTTGGGTAGATCAACAAGGATCTTGCCAAAAGCAAGATCTGCGGCATCCTCCTCCTCGGCATCAAGTGCTGCTGCTCTTGGTGGAAGATGCGAGATGGTCAGATGGCGTAGGCTTTGAAAAGAANNAGGTCTTTGATGGGCCTGGGCTATGAACTCAGTGNNAACCTGTTCAGATGTCAGTACCGAAGCTTGAGTCGTATGCACCATCTTGTCTGCCTACCCTTGAAACTCTGCTTTACCGTCTTGCTGCTCCGTGAGATGTGTATTCCATCTCCAGCACTCGAGATGAGTGTTGTTCTGATCGAGCGTTTCAAAAAGCTCCAGAGGATACTTCCATCGAGGAAATCGGCTTTCATACTCATACGGCGGTTCGTCCAACGGATGCGAGATGATCAACGAAGAAAGTCGCGGCAGTTTTGATATGGTCTCAGCAAAGGACGATGAAGGGTTTTTGACAAAGGACTCCAGATTCTTAGCAGACACTTCTAAGCTGGTAACTTTCATATTGTACGAGTACAAGTGCTGATCGTTAGGCTGCTTGACGATGGTAGAGAAATCTTCTAACCATCGTGCAGCCAGAAGACTNGGAGCTCGGTAGAAAGCTGTCAAGGCTGGTTCTGAAAAGGCTCGACAGACCTTTCGAGCCGTCCTCATGATCCAGGTGTTCGGGTGGTTGACCCTTCGGCTCGCGACACCACCTGTTTCGTGCTCAAGTTCGGCAGCGAAAGCATAACTGAATACCTGTAACAGAATCTCGTATGGAAGAGTGTTCCACTTAGGTATTATCCCGTCACTCGGAATCAAAGGCACAACAGGTGCAGCTTGTTTTGTCGGCTTGGAAGCATGTTTGGTCTTCCTTTTCGGTGGCGACTTTTTGTGACCAGGTTTCTTGGCCGCTGACCTGGTTTCTCTTGGAGATGGTTTGCTCGTTCGCCTCTTCGCGATCTTTGGTCGTTTCTGCTCGGGTTCTGGAGACTGGAGATGCTCGCTGGTGGAATCCCGAGCATCGGCAATGTCAAAGTCGTCATCCGTGTCCGGGTCCATGTACAAACTTCTTTTTCGAGTTATGGCCTGACGAACCGAGCGGCGCTTTGAGGCTTCGGTCTCCATCTTCGGCAGGCTATCCTATCTCATCATCTGACGGCTGAAATGATCAAATTTGTGTGTCCTTCGACGATAATTTTTGAGAGTTCGTGGTTCACAGGGCTGCTTCTTTCGAGACCCTGTCCACGGACTAGTGGTCCAAGCGCGCGCCACCGTCATCAGGGTTCAATACTTCCTCACTTCCCCTCAGACCACGCCCACAAACCACCGCAATGCATAGTCAATGAGTTCTTTTACTCAGTGATGGTTTTTTGTCCTTTGATGGATTTCCATCAAAGCCATCAGAGGACTTCTTTGAAAGCAAACACTTCCAGATACGCAAAACGATCAACTTGGGTCATGGTTCGAGTCTGTTCAGTGGTGAAGATTCCTCATGTCTTGCTGCTTCACTATGATGATTTCGCAGCTGTGTGGAATGTATGAGACGAAGGCTGCTAGCAGGGGACATGGACTGTAGAAGTGAGGGAATGATGAATCAACGTAAAGCAGTTGATTGAGTTGTTTTTGACTCGGAAGGTAACAAAACAAGTGAAAATCCGGCCTACCAGGTGCCCCTTCCAAACGCCATTTACAGTAAGAGAGCTCAAAGGCATACACACATGAACAGCATCAAACGGAGGCATCCAACGCTAGGCCCTGCCAGTAGTGGTGGCAGTACTAGGCTGGTCGTTGTTCCAACTCAAGTAGGTGTGGTCACCAAGTTTTCTGGATCCGAAGTTAGCATACAGATGCAAAGTGGTATGAAAAGGCAACATACCTGGGNNCTTGATCAAGTGGGTCGCAGTGAACAGTGCACCCAGAACAATGCAGACACCGGCCACTACAATGTATGCAATGCCGAGGAAAGGATTGCGGCCGCCCATGATGGTGCGAGTACTTAGAAGGATTGATTTTGTGCCGCCATAGAGGGTGACGGGAAGTCTTTAAAGACAAAGTTAGCAGGCCGTGAGACATGGCAGACAGGCGTTACTCACANNGTCATAAATTTCCATCTCGTACTGACCACTCTGCATGGCAGCAGTGTCATTACGCAGAGCCAGTTTGCTGAACGAAGGTAGACCGGCGGTACGCATCCATACGTGGAATTCCTCCCAATCATGGATGTTCGGGATAGGGATTGATTCGTTGTACTCGGGGTACATGACGCGCCAGTTGGGTGGAGGGCTCACCTGGTCGGCAGTATAGGCAGTCTTCTTGTATAGCTCGCCATCACTGGACCACGCAATGCCCTTGTTGACCATGGTGTAGTTGACGGGCTCGGCATCATTGCGATCGTTCAGCAGGCGTGGGGTGACAAAGCTGTCGTTGAACAGCGAGTTTGCAATCAGGCCGCAAGGATAGTAGGCCTTGCCCGAGGCATCAAGGCGCAGAGGGTCACAGTCGCTATTGGAGATGGTGTCGTTATCAACAAAGTTGCCCTCGAGCTGGTCCGAGTCGAGCGACTTGACGTAGCGACGATGGTTCTGGTAGAAGTTTGTGAGTTGGTAGTAGAGGAGGACGGGCGGGGCCAGGTCGTCGGGGATCCAGAAGCGCAGCTGGCAGACGGGCGTTACGACCTCGACGGCGCCGTTGTGGTAGGGGATGGTCTGGTTGTAGGTGCGCCATTGAGGAGCCTGCGAGGGAGTGGTGGCGTTCTTAAAGTGGCTATCGACGTAGTCGGAGGGAATGGTGGTGAATTCGTTGGTGGCATCGCGTGTGCAGTGCTGGTACTCGATGGAGAACTCCTGCACCTGCGAGCTCGCCCATAGCAGCAGGCCTCCCAGCGGGGCGAAGATGACTCCGACGGCGAAGAACAGCGGTAGCACCGTCTTGGGGGTGAGAATGGGCTGCCACGCCTTCAAGCGCTGCTGTCGGAACGCCGTGTCNTATGTTGTCATGGTCAATGCCTGTTTGTCCCTAGTACAAATCGACCTACTGGGCGGTCTCCTGCTCTTTTCCTTCTTGCCATCCTGCCCTGCCTGGCCCTCCTGCGAGTGTATCGAGTCCGTGTCCATGTGTGTTTGCGACAAGTGAGTCGAGAATGATGCAGAAGCAACAATAATTCACATCCACTTTAGCCTCTCCGTCCCACGCTCCAAGGGTCGCGTCGCAAGGCTGCATCCGTGCTCACCAAAGCGTCGGCCTCTGTTTGAGCCGCTCTCCGCTCTCTTCCGGCTGCGCCCCTGAGTATTTTTGGCTGACGTTTGGCCTCAGCACCTCGTTGCGCCTTATTCTTCACATGCAAATAAGAATCTCCTCCTGACTGTGTATCGAACTGTGAGCTGCATTGCTTCTGACGCTATCTAGAATGCTCCACCCGAAAACCCTATTGGTATCGTGGTACCTGTAACACCTTATACTGCCGAGTAGAGTGATCCTGAGTAAAGAAAGTCAAAACGCCTGCCATATCCCTATGCCCCTTCCCATTCAGTATTCGTTCCCATGTCATCAAAGTGCATAGACGTTCGTGAATCCATTCGAGACAAAAGAAATAAAGAGAGGAGTAAAGAAGAGAGAGGAAAAAGAACAGTAGGAGAAGCCCGAGATAAAATCAAAAACTTGTCGAGTAGAAAAGAGGAAGAAAGTCACTGTAAAGTCAGTCTTGGGTGTGGAAGGTTTCACACATACTTCTGCATGTGTTTCTCGTCAAGCCAGCCAACTTTATCAAAGGCTTTGTGCAAGCGGCTAGTCTTGTTGACGTCGATGCCTGTAATGCCGTGCACGTCCGCTCCTTTACAAGCGAGTTGGGCGGCATTGATGTTGAAAGATTGGCCCTTTCTCGCATACTCGAGACGATGGAAAAAGAAGCGACGCTTGATGTAAACGTAATCCGAAGGAGTCAAGACAAGTTTCGAAACGATTGGAATTTCCTTGGCATGAAGGAGGCGGTGGCAATCTTCATGACCGCTTACATCCTGAGGCGTGGCCTTCCACTCGATGTTGGGGAAGTTCACCTGATCGCTGTCCAAAGTCGACAAGTCCGGACAGTAGTCAGGATAGATCTTGAAGTCGCGTACAACCTTGTCTGCTGGCGCTTTCGCTTTGTTTGCATCGTTCGTACGACGTCGGAACATCTTGTCAGGCACATCCAATGGTGCCTCACGAGGCGAGACCGAAGGCTTCAGAGGCGCTTTGCTAGCCGAAGTCTTTCTCGTGCGCTTTGGCGGGGACATTTCGAGTCCACTATCAGCTCTACGCTTCTCCTGGTGCCCTCTAGATCCAGATGTCGTTCCATGTCTTGCGACAAACATGGCATCATCGGCTGTTGATGTTCGCTCCATATTAGCGAGAACACCAGGAGGTGCTGCTACTGGGAAAGTTGGTCGAGGTAGATTGGCCCTTCTAGCCTCGAAGAATTGGGTCCATTCATCACGAATTGGCGTGACATATGTGACGGGATCACGACACTGCCTGGCCCAGAGGTCATTGCTTCCGTATCTTGGGGTGTCTGGAGAGATTGGTCTTCCCATGTGGATGTCGAATGCGGTCTGTCTCTGCTTTGGTTTCCTACCGGGTGGGTATGATGGTCTGATGGAAGGGCCGCTCTTAGCATTGCTGAGGCCATTAAAGCCGCTTTGCGCAGGCCCATACAAAGGGCGAGGCTGTAAGATAGATTGACGCTGAACAGGAGGCTCGATCGGGACAGGGCGAGGAAGGACACCAGAACGTGGTTGTGGCATTGTGATTTCACCGAGACTGTGTTGCTCTGGAGGGGCAAATCGCTGCTGATCTCGCTCAGAGAGAATAGCAGGCTGAATGGGTGGAGCAGGGTGACCAAAGAGAGGCTGTGGTCTTGCATCATCATAAGAGATCGTTGGCTGGTCCGGGAATAGAGGAGCATCTTGGCCTCTACCAAACTTGTTCGGCGATGGCAAACAAGTATCGACGGGAGTTCTGTAATATGCGACCGGCAATTGCGGGGATGTCGACGGCGATGGCATCTGGTTGACAAGACTTTTGATGGGTGGCAGTGTAATCTTATCCCTTTGCACTGATGGAGCGACATGTTGTTCGTCGAAGGCTGGTGAATCGAATGTGGGGTTGATCTCGTCTGCTGGAGAAGGATAGACGCTGGTGGAGGGTGCCTTACCCTTGGTCATGTCTGAGGCCATTGCGTCCGATTGGATAGTTGTGGATTGTTGCATCTCTCTCAAGTAGGAATACTGTGGGTTGAATGCAGCAGAACCCATTGATGAGAAATTGGAAGCCAATGCTCTGATAATTGTATCGATGGGTTTCTGCTACACTAGGACAAGAGATGTTCTCTGTAAAAGAAGGACAGAAGTAAGAGAAGAAAGAATAGTGGCGAAGGGTGAGTAGGTAGTTATGTCCTCGGAGCAAGGTGAGTCTAAATCCGACGCAATTGACTGCAGTTTAAGCTTTACACCTAAAAGTCGCTGCCTGCTGAGTCAATGGCTCAAGGACTGCTGACCAGTCTTATCGAGGAAGTTTGAAGGGACCAGCACGCGAGGATGGCCAATGGAGAGGTAATAAGAAAGATGCGACCGTGGTTGATACAAATGGGTTGCAAGGAGCAAGTCTTGTGAAGACACGGAGAAGGGGGTGAATGCGAATGATATGTCCGGGTAAGACATGGTCATGCAAGAGCGAGCAGGCAGCAGTACCTACCTAGGGTCTGCTGACGAATGGATGCGGCAAAGGAATAACGCGGAACATCGAAGCTGCTCGAATAAGAGAAGGCAAATGGCCGCCCAGCAGAGAGCAATTGGCCAACGAATGAGCGGCCGCGCTAGTTTGCGAGTGCAATGCACCGAATCAACCACCGCCCACCTGGCGGAGGACTGTCATGTTGCTCCTCTGGCAGTCCGATCCGTTGCTACTTTTGCGGCGCAAAGCGTTAGTTGTGTTGTCGTGATTCCAAGTTTGAGTCATCCTCTTGGTTCGGCTCGACTCCGCCTCGGACCCTGCACCAAGCCTTTTCCGTCTGCGGCTCTGCGAATCTCATTCACCGACGATGATGCTGCGATTGCTGTCGAACTCTGTCTCCCTATCGCTGCGCTGGCTCAACACGAAACCCCTCTCTTGCCGCTTGTTTTCAATCCCCAATTGACGGCTTGGCCATTACACTGTCTGAAACCCTTCGAGGTATGACAGTCGCAAGGACTGGCGTCAATTGTATCAGCCTATTGATCCCGCCCATTGGGCAACAATCCACTTAGAAAAGCATGGGGCTACCTACAGCGCTCGGCCAGAGACGAACTACACGCGATTGAGCGCGCCGCCTCGGCGCCTCCTCCTCCTTTGCTCAATCGAGATTGGTCGAGAGGGGCAGATGTAGGCAAGCGCCTAGGTAGTATTTGTCCGCTTATCAGGCGGAGAGGGCATCAGGTCAATCATCAATCACGCATTCGCCCGAGCGGAATTCCACCTACATTGGGCGAGACCAACATCCCCCTCTTGAAGACCCCGCCATGTAAGTGACTTCAATGCCTGAATCCGGATTGTATTCCTACTCCAGCTAGGGCCGTCAGCAGCTCAATGCCCTGTTCGAGGCTTTCAAGCGTGGGTGCGCACAAAACGAATGATGCCTTCATCGTCAATTGACCCTCCATTATCAAGCATTGGGTGGCCGACTGACCCATGAGCTCATGCATTATGGAGTCATTCTCGCGAGCAACTCTGACATGTGAAAGTCAAAGCCTTCTGGAATTGACTTTGGTATCTTTAGGTATCTTGATGCATCAACGGCGCGATTGTGGCGCACCCCACGCCTACGAGAAAGGTACCCCTCATCTTACGGCCACCCGCTTCCGCCTCTTCTCCTACGAACCACGGTCACACGGCAGTCTACAGGCTACTATTTTGTCAGTTGGTGACCTTTCCGTCGATACGCGCGTATGCAAAGGGACTCCTGTCTTGACTAGAGCACCAAATCAAGTCGTAACCACCAAGACGAATAGCAGCAAGGTATAATATGCGACCTACATCCACGGCCTGTGTTTGAGGACTCTGGCCGGGTCGATTGACAATAGGCTAGACCCCTCAACCGATGTACACATATTCTGAAACAATCTCGTGCCGGTGGGTGCTCTCGTTCACGAGATCCTGAAGGAGGATATTCAACCGATGTGTTACTTGCTATATATTACACTGCTTCGAGAGCAATCACGGTCCAGTCGTGATCATCTGCACGGTTCTTTGCAGCAGACAGCAGGGCCTATGCAGGTCTTCGGCTCATGACTGCAGCGGATGCGAGTAATCATCGGATAGCCGTGTTTTTGGTCGTGTTAGGCATGGGCGGCGACAGCGAACGCCGCCAGGGTTGAGAAGAAGCAAAACGCGACTTGCTATCCAGCAATTGGCCTTGTCAAACCCCATGTTTTGCTGAGGAAGAAGGAAGATGTTGTTACGGTCCCTCAATTGGTATGTCGTTGCTGCAGATCATGCAGATCCGTGCCCTGCGCCGGCGGCGGGCCGTCCATACTTTTATCGTGGACCTCGTGTGCATGTACAGCGAGCGAACCACTGTAGCATGTGGTTGCTCGCCTGTCATCTGGACAACTCGGCTACGTGCTAACCTTGTATCGCCTACCCAGCCCAAAGCGATGTATACGGCCGGTGTAGCTTGACCGAGCTATACAGGGTGTCTAGGTGACCGGTTGCTAACCTGCTTTTTGCCAGATGATCCGGTCACAATCGCATATTATCGCAGAAGCAATTAACGATGGACGGAAACATCTCCAGTGAGGTGTGTGTGCTTCGCATGACGAACATGGATAGGCAATCGTCCTGTAGAACCTATCTCTGCTTTTGTCTTCGAGATTGTCTTCAACCAATTTCTCACGTCGCAGATGTTCAAGTCAACATGCTGAGGGGATAACCCTGCTCGAAGGACTTGTCCTCCAGATATCTGCCTCCTTACCTCTATAGACTAGTCATAAACGTGCAATCCGAACGTCTCTATACTCTTCTACCGCCTATAGTGTTTATCTATCCATAAGTGTTCCACCGAGCTCGATTGAGCGGTTCAACCAATTCAACTTTCTTGAGCATGACTTGACCAACCTCCAACCAAGATCCATGCTCGGAACAACCAGCCATAAGGATCAACGATACAGTCGGTCAAGCAAGAACTCACCAAACCGTATCTCGGAGTCTTCAAGAGACCATGACTCTACCACAGTCTCGCGCCTTCATAACATCACTCGTCAAATCGCTCAACACATCATCAACCACAACCACAACTACACCAACATCCAACCCTCTCAAACAAGCAACCACAGCAGATCGATCAGTCCTTCTAACCCTCCATGTACTATTTCCGAACGAACTGCTATCAGCCCTGGATCTCCTGGATCGTGAACTAGTCGTCCGATTGTCTCCAATCTTAGAGTCTGATGTTCCGCCACCGAAATCAGAACAATCTCGAGAGCCAAGCCAGGACACGAATATGGAACAAGACAACTCTACTACTTTAGACGATGGAAAAGATAGTGGCAAGACGAACCCAGATCGTAAAAATGCAGTCTACTACGTCCGCTCAGCACAACAAACATCATCGAATTCACGTTTCAGGGATCCAATGGCATCGACTATGCACTACGAGGTCAGGACGTCGAGTTGGAGTTGCTCGTGTCCTGCATTCGTCTTTTCTGCTTTTCCAGCAAATTCAGCTGATAACAAAGAGCAAGAGGAAGATGAAGCTGCAACTGTGCAGACAGAGGATCAAGAGTGGATGGTTGGTGGCTTGTCTTTGGGCAAGGACGTGCCGATGTGTAAGCATCTACTAGCTTGCATGTTGGCCGAGAGAGGAGGGCCGTTCGGGGGTTATGTCAAGACGAAGGAGGTCAGTGTGGAAGAGCTTGCAGGATGGGCTGCGGGCTGGGGTGGCTAGATGCTCGGGAGTCAAGCAGAAAGATATATGCACGCAGTCTTTACGGAATGGTCAGTCATTGGCGTGTTTGCTTTTCATATCATGTTATCTGGAAGCCTTGCGACATGAAGACGCCCGAGATTGTTTTGCTCGACCGGCGTCAGATGCGTCCTCCGATAGTATCCGTCCCTCCTTCCATATATTACAAACGCCCGATGCATGCACGTGTCGTTGCTGGTTCTCTCGTGTCAACGAAGCCGCAACGACACCTAGTAGACACGCCATGTTTTCATAACCTGTACGCGCTTTCATGTCCTTCATCCCTTCTTCTTATCGTCCTTGGGACTCTTGGACTTGTCATCCTTTCCTTGCTGCTCGGCAGGAGCATCGCCATTCAACATGAGGTTCTCAGTCTTCTTGATGGTTTCTTTTGTCTTGTCCTCCTCCTTCTTTTGCTCCTTGTCATCAGCTTGCTGCTTGTTCTGGACCTTGTTCTCGATGAGGTCGTGGAAGGCGGTGATGGCGCGAATCAAACTGCCGAGGTAGATGGACATAAGCTGGTCGTTGGTCTTGATGCTCATGGCACGGGCAAGCTCGGAGTCGCCGGCTGCTTGGGGGCCAGCAAGGCCGATGGCGCCTGCGGTCTTGGGGGTGGAGAGGTTGGGAAGGAGGTTGAAGACGTCTTGGAGATTGCCGAGGATTGCGTGGTTGACCGGGAGTTCTTCGTCAACAACTTTGTCGAGGTATCTACCAATGTCTTGCAGACGGTGATGCAGGCCTTGCAGCGACTGCAACTGCGATGTCACGCGAGTCGAGAGAGTGCCGACGGCAACATCACGGATATCACGGAGCAGGTGCTCAACTCCAATCTCTTCTGCTTCTTCTGCTTCGATGGTTGAGGGCGTGTGAACGAATGTCTTTGCGGTCGTGGTTCCATCNCTGCGATCTGTGTAAGTATTGGAGCAAAGAGTGGGCAGTGTTTAGTGCAAACGTACATCCTTGATCTCGTCAACGGCAAAGTAGGCATCGGTTGGTACGCCGACATCCTTGGGCTGGACGTCAATGATGACGAGAAGAGGGTTGGGTGTGTAGCGCTTGAACAGCTCGTTGATCTCCAAATCCGAGGCGCGCAACTTGGGGCCAGTGTGGTACCATCCGATCAGCTTCTCGCGGGCGTTGACCTTTTTGAACATGTCGTTCATGGATTCAATGTAGTTGTGGTCAAGGAACCACACGGATGGGTCCTTTTCATCCTCCTCGAACGGTACNTGAGAGGCGACTGTCAGTATGTCGTGCGCACAGCAGAGCAGTGGCAACGTACCAGCAAAACTGTTTGATACCCTCACGTTCTTTCCATCATTCTGGCCCAGCAGCACACCGACGACTCGCTTGCGTGTGCCCTTTGCTGAGCGAGCATAGTGATCCGTCGCCGAGAGCAACACTAACGGCGCTACTGACACGTTCCTGTTGACGAGCGAGAGAGTTTCTGCGGTGGTTGACGGCATGGCGGGATGTATGTGCGATGTCGTCGGAGAGGTGTTCGAGATGGATTACAGAGGATGAAGTGGTTATCTATGCGAAAGTGAATGTACTAACTATCAATCGCGATGATGACGAGCCAGGCGAAGCTGTCCCATCTCCGAAGCTCTTGGCGTTTGTTTGGGAGCTGAGCTTCTACCCTCTCCACTTTGTACTCGTGGAACAACTCTGTGACTTCGTACATATAATAGTTCGTTTTTTTCATACGAGAGAAGCCATAGGAAACGCTTCTGCCGGTGCATACTGCATACTAATGCTAACGGGTATCTGATGTAAACCAAAGCCTCAAAGACGCCTCCTTCCCGCTGACCGTATCCTTTTAAGCCTCTCAAATCTGCATCGACGTCTCTTCATCCCACCATTGTCTGAAGATCTGTAATCGCTGTGTCCTTTCTCTAGCCAACTCGNNGCGTCCGGAATGTGTCNNTGTGTCTTGTCAGTCGTGTATCACAATATCTTGAGGGAAAGCACCAACCTTCATCATATTCTCAAGCCTCTCGAGCTTCTCGACGAAATGCTCTATGCTTCCGTCCAATCCCCTGTCTGATTGCTTAACTGCACCAAAAGCAAAGCACCTTCCAATGCCCACCGCACCGATCGCATCCAACCTGTCGGCGTCTTGTACGATGGCCAGCTCCGGATGCTGGTCTAGCACTGCTTTCATCATACGCGGGTTCTTAACCTCATTGGAGAATGACACATTCTTAGCGATGAGTTGAACCTTCATCGCAAGTTCTGGATTTGCTCCATGCTCCAGAAGGTGCTCCGCAATCTGATTCTCTGGATTCTCCCCTGGTTTGTGATATTTGTGATCACCGACATCATGCAGCATGGCAGCAAGGAGAACGGCTTGTGGATCGTACGAAACTCCTTGGAACGACTGTGTCTCCTGTTCCAGAATGCGTCTTGAAAGGGCAAAGACTCGTGTGACGTGCTTGAAGTCGTGCGAGGCGTCGTAGCGGGACATGTACTCCTGGACAAACTGCTTGGTAGGCCAGAAGAGATTCTGCTCCAATGGAAATATTCCTTCCAAGTCGGCAAAAGCTGGAGGTTCCAGAGGAATCTGATCTTCGACATTGATTGGTGTGGGCTCTGGGTTGTTGGGACCTCTAACAATGCCTGGTATCGGTGGCCTTGTTACCTTGCCAGGAAGATTGTAGCGCATACGGTATTGATCGAGCCAGTCTCTGTCAAGGTTTGGAGGAGACTTGCCGCGATATTGTGGCATCTCGGCATACATTGCCAACGCCCTGGCTTTGAGTGTGTTTCCGTGCACCGCCTCGCCCCTTGCAATCTCGGCCATGTGCCATTCATGCAAAGCATCCTCTAGTTCGGGCATTTTCGAAGCGGTAAGTGTAACCTTGGCCCTGTAGGCACCGTGATTGTGCTTGTGATCCTTGATCACCGTTACCCATTCGTCAGAGAAACGTCGCTTGGAGATGAGAATCTTCATTGGACACCCAGTCTTTCGGCTCATGCGGTTACGCACTCTGGTTCCTGGATTCTTTTTGAAATGGTCGCGAAAGTAACCACCCATTTCGCAGGTCAACAAGACCTTGTTTGTTTCGCCATTCNNTAGGAGCTCAAGTTAGTCAATTGTGAGAGCATACTTGGGATACTTTTAAAATAGTACCGCAGCAAACTAAAGCAGGGCAGGTGGTGTCAGAACACGTCAGGCCGAGGATCGAAAAGATGAGTTATAACAAAACAGAACAAGAATGCTCACCTTGTCCTTGTATGAATGACCAATGACCAGGACATACCCATGATCCTTTGCAAAGTTCTTTACAGCNCTGGTCGATCGTTAGCGTCGTCTGTTATGACTTGGAGTGAGATGAAATCTGACATCAATGCCTTCTTGTTTGGTAGCATGCACTTCAGGTGGCGGAGGAGGCAATTCAGTACGGCTCAAGTCGGCCTCCCATCGTGCACGTAGTTCGGCAACACCATCAGGTGTGTTGCTGTANATAACGAATGAATATGGTAATCTTAGAATTGTTGTCAGATTTGGATACCTGTAGACTTTCTGCCACTCTGCTTCGGTCCAAGTGGTAGTGGAACGTTCATTGGACGCGGTCGGGGAAGGTTGGTGCACAGGACTTTGTGTGATTTGGTTGTTGGAGTTGGCAGGNCCTTGTCACAAATCACCATGGCTGCACTTCAGAAACGCGTGGACTGTATAGACTTACGTTAGGAACGGTCTCTGAGCAGTCGCCGCGGAAGAGTTCGGTTGGTGAGCGGGACCAGGATGGGCGAGATTGGGAAAAGACGACAGCACAAATTGCATGAAATTGGGGGTTGAGCTGGCTGGATTGTCTGAGGGATTCTGAGCAGCAGACTCGTCCCCGAAAGACGAGTACATGTTTTGATAGTCCATGAACGACAGTACCTCGAGCAGCTAACGCGTCGGTGTGGGAGTGTGAAAAGGCAGGATGAGTTTGCTTGTAGAACAGCTTGAGGGTTCGATGATCCAAAGCCAAGGCTGGGGTATGTATGCCGAGGCTTCTCCACAGAGCGCAGCACCGAGTCGGCCGTCGCATACCTACTCCCTGTTTTTCTCCTGATACAGATCGCAGGTGTGAGATTTGTATCGAGCCCATGGAGCTGTATAGGCAAGTGTCGCATACGACACAGGAAGCGCTTGCTATTCCGCCCAAGTATCTGCGCATGTATGGCGACTTTGTAACCAAGAATGCCAGTGCCGTCGGCCAGATTGAGGGTGCTTTGAGCTCCCTGACCTATATTCTACCGGGTACTGATGCTCGTTAATGTATGAGACCAAAGGCTGATATGTGTCAGNGTCGTTTCCGCGACACCGAAATTGCATCCGAATCCTGTATGAAGAACCAGCTGTGCCTCTGATATTACAAAAACTGAACCAGGCGCATAGTGCATTCGAGCGTACAACTACTTTCCATATACCATGACTCCCTCCTCGCACGCGCGGTGCAGCGCTTACCGGCACTTCAACGACCTCATCCGTCACCACATACTCGCTATACTCGGTTCTGGGCACAGAAATCACCGGCATATAAACGACTAGCCATGCTTCTGCAGGTGGTGCAATACACCGAGCTACTGTGCGAGATGGCTGCAAAGAGAAGGGGCGAAAAGGCGAGATGGAAAGTAGTCGTTCTTCTCGAGAGCGTCAAGGCGCTGTGCAGACTACTTCTCATGCGCCTGACCAACTCCCGGCCCTTGTTGAATCCACCCTTGCCTGAGCGCGAGGCAGATCCAAGCACCTTGGAAGAGAAGGAGGGAAGCGGGATAGAGTCACCACCATCCGAGAAGTCGGAAGAAACCCAATGGACAATGCCCAGGACTGGACTTTCGCTTCCGACACTGCCGTCCTCGTCCGACATATCAGGTTATCTATTGTCCAAAGCTCTGACAGCGGACGACATCAAGCCACCAAAGGCCTTGTTACATCGGGTCAACGGTATGGGTGAATTGGCAGAGGTTCTCTACATTCTCCGACCAGTCATCTATGCTGCAGCAATGCATTACTGGGCAGCGAAGAACAAGAAGAGCTGGCAACCTTGGGTCTTGGGTGTCACGATAGAGTATGGCGCGCGCCAACTAGCCAAGAAGGACCTCCAAGAACGAAGGGCTGGTGGCCTCCGAGCATTGACCGCACTCGAGAAAGAAGAGCTCAAGCGGAGAGGCTGGAGCCTTGGATGGTGGCTCATGAGAGGTGCATTTTACGAGACCTTCACCAAGTATGTTCACACCGCCTTGCCATATGGGACTCTGACTCTACTGACACGAATGAAACAGANNGCGTGGATTCACTCAGTGACCAACAAGCTTCGAAACAAACCACTGCTTGACATGGCTGGTGGTATCATCGAAGATTATGAATTCCTCTGGGACCAGTACTATTTCCCTACCGCGACATTGTAGCTGAGGAGTGACGGATGGAGTGATGCGAATCAGGAGGTTTTATGAGGAGTCTGTTTGGAGGCTATTTTGAGACTATTTGGAGTTATCATGGCGTTGCGGTGCATGATGAAGTTTAACAGATGATACCTATACCGATCAGGTCGTGTGATTTTCTCCTTCTTGCATCATCCTACACAATCCATGTTCACACGTGCCTTTGTCCTCACTGATGCGTTCGTTGAGTCATTCTTTCACTTGCGGCAGGTGTCTTTGTGTTGGAGATAAGACACGGAGCTTGACGCTTGTGACCGACCGTTCGCTTCGTCTGTGCTCCACCCCGCATCCGACTCATTGGTCATCGCAGCCTGCGCCTGACTATCCCTCCTCCTTCCCTTCTTCACCAACACCTTCACAGACCTAGCGACTTTACATCCCTTCGACTTCAGCCAGCTGCATCCTCACCACAAACACTCCACTACAAACCGCCAAAATGAGATCCAAGTTCAAGGACGAGCACCCGTAAGTCGTTGCCTAGCATCAAGGCGGCCAAGGAACGTCACGACTAACACGCCATCACAGCTTCGAGAAGCGCAAGGTGCGTTGCTCCGCCATCACCACGATCACAAAAATTATCGCGATACTGACCCTCTCTAGGNCCGAAGCCGAGCGCATCCGTCAGAAGTACACAGACCGTATCNCCTGTAAGCCTTTGTCCCTCATCCGTCGCGACGCTGGAGTCAACACTGACGTCGTGGCAACACAGGTCATCTGCGAGAAGGTTGAGAAGTCGGACATCGCCACCATCGACAAGAAGAAGTACCTGGTCCCCAGCGATCTCACCGTCGGACAGTTCGTCTACGTGATCCGTAAGCGCATCAAGCTTTCGCCTGAGAAGGCCATCTTCATCTTCGTCGACGAGGTTCTGCCCCCAACCGCCGCCCTCATGAGCAGCATCTACGAAGAGCACAAGGACGAGGACGGTTTCCTCTACATCACGTATGTGACTCGATCCTCATCATTGCAAGACAAGAGCTTACACAGCACGCAGCNNTACTCGGGCGAGAACACCTTCGGCGAAGCCGTTTGAAGCACCACCGACTCTTTTCTTACCATAATGCTACGACGATATCCTTACACGGATCACCAGGAGTTTCGGAGTCTTTGGGAACCACGATGGAGAAGGATGATTTGAGGGAGGATTGCAACTCCAGCGACGGGACAAGCAGGATAAAGCAGTAGCTCGTCATCTCGACAGAGCTCGTCAAGAACTACGACCGCTCGAACAACCCTGTCTTCCCTTTAGCTGCTTATACGCACATGCTTTGAATGAAACCCCTTAACATACCATGAACCTGCTCACCTCTCTGTGATATATCATCACTTGTGATTGTGATAGTAGACGCGAGACTCGTTCTGCGGCAACAGTGGACTATCTTTTGTTGTCACTCACCCAAAACGCGTCCGAGATAGGCAGATCATCAACACATGGGAAGTGACGATGTCCATCAGGGTGGTGAATGTACCTACCTTATCTGGGCGATATGGATCTTATCTCCGGGTTCGTGACTTAGCGCGTCATGCGACAGTTTGAGCGGGCCGGTCCCGAAGCCAAACTGGCCGTCTGCAGAAGTCCGTCAAGTCCAGTCCAACTGCATCCAGAAACCTTGCAAGCACCGCACTTTTTGTTCAAGTTTCGAATATCGAGAATATCCTCCGGCAACAAAACGTCAAAGTGCGATTACCCCGAACCAGGCGATCCATCATGTCTGCCCCACGCTACGCCTACATCATCTCCAAGTCAGTAGTGTCCCGCCATGGCTGCACGAAGAACATTGGTAACTGATGGGATCCGACAGGANACCTCGACCCAGTCTTTGCCTTGTTCATTGGAGGATCTGCAGCAGTCGTTCGCATCAACCGCGACGAGAAAGAGAAGGGCAAGACGACACAGGACACGATCGAGTCGCTCAAGAGAAGAATTGGGAAAGCTACTGGCTTGAGTTCGTGAGGATTCGGCTCGTCGACAAGATGACAAGACGAGATATCAATGGTTTGCGATAGACTGCATGAGCTTCGTTGCTGTGTCGCGACCAGAGAAGAGAGTAAGGAGCAAAAACGAAGCCACCGCTTCAATGGATGAGGCCTGGACAGTAAAGAAGTGTTAGCAGCCACCTCGCCATGCACCGGCTCCTGATGCTGATGCAGAAAGGGAAGACGAGGGTCGGCGACATATGGAGGATTCGCTCTTGATAATAGCGGGAGCTAGTGAAGGGATCGGATGACCGAGAAAACTGTGAGAACGCAGAAGGCAGTCAATCAGAGGGATGCATCTTGAATGATGCGAGCCCATGTGAGGAAGCAGAACTTTGAACTGCAGTACAAGAAGTATATAACTGCCTGCCTCTTCAACTCTTCCATCAAGCAAGACCGCTACATCAACGTGTGACACCGAAAATAATTGAAAGTGATCTGTCGCGTGCGCGTCATCTCCACAACGCGTCTTCTCGCAACTCACACCAACACCTTCACTTAGGTACTCGACAGGGGCGAACTGACCGATGACCTTTACTTTACGGCGATGAGGAGCAAATCTAGCCATCTCAGCTGTTGTTACGATGCCGCAACGAGGTCGTGTGGTTATCGACTTCAGCCACGACGACAGCCCGTCACCACCACCCATGTCGCAGAGTATGCGACACATACACCAGCCTGTTTCGGACTCGCGGTTCATAACACCTTCCGACGACAGCGACGACGAAGTTCAGATCCTTGATTGGGGTTTCCGTAAACAACCCAATGACAAAGCCTCGTCGAACACCCAGAAGTCCAATGTTGGCCACCCTTCAACCACCAGACCCAGCGTCCAAGAATCGAGGAACAATGATACCAAGAAGATTGCTTCGCAAACACCTTCTGGCAGCCGGCTACCTCAGCAACCTCCTGCACGAGTTGGAACTACTCGTTCATCCCAACCACCTCTAGTACAACAACCTCCAGCACAACTGAGAAGGACCCAACCGCCTGCACTCGATTCTATTGCGCAACACCCAGCACCTCTCGTGCCCACGCAAGCTAGCAACAACAATCCTGTCTCGATAACAAACCCCTCGACAAGAGAGTTTCTCGCTGCTCTCTCAAAGTCTCGTACTTTCACACCTTCGAGTTCGATCTTGACACCAACCCTCCCACCTGGCGCAAGACCACTACCTCCTGGCAGAGTGGTGCCGTCGTCGCAATCGCAACCGCAATCCCAAAGGCCCTTGCCAGCACTACACAGTGGAGCTCCTCGACTGCACGCTCCTCGACCACATGTTCCGGTTCCGGTCAATGCAAGAGATTCGATGGGTTCCGCAGCCTCGCAGTCGCAGCCTACACCACCTACAAGGCAATCGCAACCATCTGCTCCAGCGTCGAGGTCTCTTGCACCATCTGTGATTACGCCGAGTCCCTTTGCACCGAATTTACCTTCCAAAGCTGTTACAAGAGATACTTCGAGAGAAAGTGATCCGAACCGCGGTCATTCTCAGGCGGTCTTGCAACGTCTAAATAAGTCACCGACTACACCTGCCTTGAAATCGAAGCCATCTTCATCTGTGGCAGCAAACTCGTCCTCGAACACACTTCCAGAACTACAAACGGTCTCACAACCACGTAAAGAGCCAGTAATGTTGCGTGCGAGCCCAAAGATGCCGCCAGCTTCGATCAACAAGGTGCCATCGCAGTCACATGAACACTCACTTCCCCAACAGAAGCGTGTACTGGAAACCATTGAGATTGAGTCTTCAAGTGAAGACGATTTTGTGACTGCTGCCGCTCGTGCCGCCAGTCCAAGGCCACGGTCTTCAGGCAACAATTCTTCAACTCAAAGTTCACCACGTACAAGCAAGAGAAAACTTGTGGGAAGTCCACACGACGAAGAACCAGTAAAGCGCGTTCGAAGCACTCGTCTCTCTGCAGTATCAAAGCCACCGATCGAAAACCCGTCTCAAGACGACGCTGTCGGATCCGTCGAAGACGACCTTGTCGGATCTGTAGAGGACGACCAACAACCGTTCACCTTTCCAGCAGATATCTCTAAAATCCCGCCATTCAGCAACAGATACGGACAGCCGTTCACCTTAGAGGAAGATGCCCTGATCATACACTTAAAAGAGGTTGTTGGTATCCCATGGAAAGAGTTTGAACGTTTCTTTCCTGGAAGGAAGTGGCCTTCTATGCAAACAAGGTATTCAAAAGTCTTGTCCAAACGCACTGCAAGACCAGTCGCCACGACTTCTCTTACTCAACCATTGCCTCGTTCAACTCGAGGACTTAGACGCACAACACAGGCTCAAGCAGACTCTGTGGATCCTTCCGTAGCGTCTCAAGAGGAAGCAGAAGCCGAGACTGTGGACGAAGACCCAAATCGCTGCAGGCGAAGCGTGAGGCCCCTAAGCTATCTCGTTCGACATCGAGAACTCGGATCTAGACACGGTCGAGAATGGCCAAGGAAGTTCCAAGCGGGAGTCAGAGATCTTGTGTACAGCAGCATAGGTGCCCAAGCCTACATGGACAACGCCTCGGGTGATGTTTCGACGATCGCATGGTCGCCAGACGGCAATCACTTTGCTGCAGGCGCAGTAGCTGTTACAGATGTACATTCGGTTGACTACAACAAGCCCCGAAACCTCGTCGTAGGAAGTGTTGCAACGCAGAACATTAAAGAGCTTCCACACCATACCATCAATCACTTGCTGCCTAGCGGACAACGGAAAGAGCTGTTCTCTACTGTACAGGTGGTAGCTTTCAGTCCTGACAGTAAATACATGTACTCTGCCGGCATTGATCAGCGCCTACACAGGTATAGGGTTGACGGATCTCCGCAAGAAACCACACTTGTACACAGCGTGGAACATCCGGCATCCGTGGACTTTCTTTCCGTTAGCGATAGCGGATTGGTCGCTACTGGCTGTGCTTCATCAGGCCCTAGCGCTATCAAAATCCTGTCATATGACGACGACACCTTAACAGGGTCTATCTGTCTCTCTGGCACAGTTCAAAGCAAAAAAACTCCGTCGGCATTAAGATGGGGCGCAGCACACCAGCACCAGAACTATCTACTAGCAGGTTTCTCGCGGGAAGCCGAGGTTTTCTATGCGGAAGACGACAGAAGAGACAAAGAAGGAGAGGTTGCACTATGGGATATAAACACCCAGCAGAGAATCGAAACTGACGCTCCAAACCGAAACGTCTTTGATCTTGCATGGAACCCAAGTCCTGGCAGCAACTCATCCATCTTTGCTGTGGCCAGCAGGCCCATCAGCCATGTCGGCCACGGTATACACTCAGTCGTGCGACTGTACTCGCCTCAACAGACTCGTGCACAACACACAATGGAGCTCGACTGCCCAGCGTGGGACATTAATGACGTTGTGTACTCTCCTCACGATAACAACCTCATTGCAGTGGGTAGCACTGAAGGCAGAGTCTACATTTGGGATGTCCGATATGCCAAACACGGTCAGTTGCCTCTAAACACACTCAAACATGGAGAATCGTTGGCGATCATGCCGCACGAAAGAAAGAGATGGGAAGTCGACACTGGCATTCGGTTCTTGTCCTGGGGCACCGAACGAGACAGGCTATACACTGGCTCATCCGATGGAGTTGTCGCTTGCTGGGATCCCTACCGTGGCGATTCTGACAAGCATGTCCGTGATGTGGTGCATCTCAACTCGGCCGTCATGTCGGGCGCGTTTAGTCCAGACTACTCTCACCTGTTGATCGGAGAAGACGCGACTAGATTGAACCTGCTCTCCGTCGGCAACAATGGAGCCAAGTTTGACAGAAGGACGACAAAATTCAGCGTGGAGGAGGCGCCTCTTCAATACGAACCCGGTCCAACACTCTGGGACTGTCAGAAGATGCTGAACGGTCTGGCACTCGAGGTCAAGCCAGCAGGAACCATGCCTTTCCGACAAGTAGTTCAAGGACCAAACTACAAAGGTCCATATTGCCCTGACGCTGAAGCAGCCAGGGAGAAGGCCCAGAGATTCCAAGACAAAGCGCTGAGATCTTTCAGACGTCGTAAGAAGCAAACTCGCAAATCCGGTCTCCAGACAACAGATCCCTGTGGCCTCGACTGTGGTTTCATTCCTCTGCCAGACGATTACGAAGCCCCAGAAACCTGGTTGTCGAAGCGCATTCCAGATCGCATCTGGGAATGGGTCAATGAGCGAGCCGACGTTGATTGCTTCCGCTGTGGGAAGACGGCGACCATTAGCCCACGAGCCCAGATCATTGAGTGTGAGAACTGTGGCACAGCATGGAGGTCAGGAGCGCTGGGCTACGAGGTGATCGAGCAAGTCAAAGCCAGTGGATCAAGAAGCAAGGCCGGAGATGAAGGCGTTATTGATCTTTGCGACTCCGAGGATGAAAGAGAACGTTTTGTTCTTGAGGTTTCGACAGAGACCAGCGATAGCGACAGCGAGATCGAAGGTCGTTGATGAGAAAAGCCAACAGTACATAAAGAGCCAATAATGATAAAATGAAGTATTGTATTTATTAAAACGGACCGCGATCCTGTCAAACATGTGAATACGCCAAGAGTGCGGAGAAACTGCAGCGGCGACAACTTTTTGGAGATTGAAGATTCGGCGACCGAACTTGACCAGTGCAGCCTCCATCATGGTATGTAAATTCTTCTTCGCTGGCCGTATGAGGACGTTGACTATGGACATACGTCAATCTACGTCCGTGATGGAAACTCAGACTAACCCGCGACTCCATAGAAAATCAAGGCCCTCACTCGCACTGCGTCGCAGCAGCAGACGCCAGGCACTTCGGTGCAGCGCCAAACACGCAACCTGGACCCGGCACTACACCCCTTCGAACGAGCACGCGAGTACACAAGAGCCCTGAATGCGACCAAGATGGATCGCATGTTCGCTCAGCCCTTCCTGGCTCAGCTGGGCCGCGGTCACGTCGACGGAGTCTACACCATGGCCAAGGACCCCAACTCGCTCGAGAGATTCGCCTCGGGCAGTGGTGACGGTGTGGTTAAGGTCTGGGACTTGACGACGAGAGAAGAGATCTGGCAGGCACAAGCGCACGAGAACATTGTCAAGAGCATGTGCTGGACACACGACAAGAAGTTGCTTTCGTGCGGCAGCGACAGGAGCATCAAGATGTACGACCCCTACAACCAGGCTTCCAATGCCGCACCGTTGTCGACATATCTGGGCCCTGCTGCCTTCACCTCCATCACCAAGCACCGCACCGAACCCGCCGTGGCTGCCGCTTCCTCCGTCATCAGCATCTACGACCTGAACAGACCAAACTCTGCACCGCTGCAGACGCTACAATGGCCCAACAGCATCGACACCATCACCGCCCTCAAGTTCAACCAGACCGAAACTTCCATCCTCGCTTCCACAGCCACCGACCGCTCCCTCATCTTCTACGACATGCGCACCTCTTCTCCTCTGCACAAATCCGTCCTCACTCTCGCCTCCAACGCAATCTCCTGGAACCCCATGGAAGCCTTTAACCTCGCCGTCGCAAACGAAGACCACAACATTTACATTTTCGACATGCGCAACCTCAAGCGCGCCCTCAACGTCCTCAAAGACCACGTCGCCGCAGTAATGGACGTGGAATTCTCCNCCACCGGCGAAGAATTGGTCTCCGCCTCGTATGACCGCAGCGTGCGCCTCTGGAAGCGCAACGAAGGCCACAGCAGGGACGTCTACCACACAAAGCGCATGCAGCGCGTCTTCTCCGCCGCCTGGACGCCAGACAACAATTACATTCTCTCCGGCAGTGACGACGGCAACATTCGTTTATGGCGCGCCCGCGCCTCCGAGCGTCAAGGCGTAAAGAGTGCAAGACAGAGACAGCAGCTCGAGTACGACAGAGCGCTGGTGGAGAGATACAAGCACATGCCCGAGATCAGGCGGATCCACCGTCACAGGCATTTGCCCAAGCAAGTCAAGAAGGCGTCTGAGATCAAGGGCGAAGAACTCAAGGCCATCAGACGCAGAGAAGAGAATGAGAGGAAGCATAGCAGCAAGGGCGATACCAAGAGAAGGAGCGAGAGAGAAAAAATGGTCTTGCAGACGGAGCAGTAGAAGACTCTTCCTTCTTCTCCTGTTGTTTGTTAGCATCTTTTTGTTTTGGAAGAAGGAAAGGACATGGCGTATCCGGCGTTTGACAAGAGTGGCTTGGGAGTGGTATCGAAAAAGCGAAACCCTTCTGCATGATACCAACTATCAAAAATAAACAAATGCACATTTAACCTTGAAAACGACACTCTTCCAAACGACAGCACATACACAGAACTGCCTTGTTGCCGAGGCGATTACGACCTTGCTCGATCGTTCTTTCCTTTCCTTCGCTTTACTTCATGGTCTCGAAGAAGACGTCGAGTGCGAGTAAACAGCAAGTCACAATCAGCACGACACAAGGTTGTAAAGAGGAGGATGATGATGATCCACAAAGCTTGAGGTCTGTACCACGAAAGAAAAAGACTCAAACGACGAAAAGAACAGACAAGGGAACAAGACGGAACGAGGAAAACTTTGCAAACTCTCATATCTCTCAGAGTCAAAAGGGAAGAGAAAGCGAGCCTTCTTGTACTTACGATGGTCGCGTGCCTACCTATTTCTCACAAAACCAAGCTTGATTGATACTCACTCTGACTCTCTCTACATCGCCTTCACGTGGTACGGCTTTGACGAGGTGAATACACCGTACGCGTACCCTGAACCGAAGGCCCTAGGAGAAGCCCTAAGAGACGAACCACAGGTCAGCAAAAACACTTAAGAAGAAAAAAAAAGAAAAAAAAGAGTAAAACCCCATAACATTCAAGATAACAAAAACGACGTGAGAGCGCGCGTATGATTAGCAACAGCAACAAGAAAAAACGAACCGAGGGGGCCATTCCAAAAAAAAAAAAAGTGTCTCTTGTTCCCACCCAAATGCGCAACAGAACCGTTCCTCTACCTCCCGACAGCAGGCTCGGCTCCGAGTCGTGGAGTCCTCGACCAGAGGAGTCTGTCTGTGGGTGGAGAGAAGTGCATCTGTATCGGTTTTGGGCCAGGGCCATGGTATCATCGGCTTCCTATCTCAAAGACTCCTTCATCTTTCTTCTCCCTCTTGGCTCCTCAGTTTCTGCTCGGATTGTCCATTCGTCACGGCTGGTCTTGAGAACTGCACAAAGAGCAACCATCACCATGACATGATATAAAAAGGCGAGGATCCGGTGGAGCGTAGAGGAAAGTGAATGCAAAGATAACCGCGCTGTATGTAATGTGCTGCTAGTGGACAGGATTGCCTTTTCTCGTCAATGTCCCACTATCTGCGACCGAACCTGCTGTACGCATTCAAGTCAGTATTGAGGATGTAATAACACGGAGAGGGTTGTGAGGGTATGTGTACTTCTGCTTCTTCTCTGCTGGCTTGAGGATCTGGAACGAGCACAGCAAGCTCTCGTCGACGCTCATCATGGCACCAGCGTTGTCAAACTCTCCACAGTAGTTGGGAGCACTGAACAAGGTTACGAGCTGGCGTTTTGAGAAGAACTCGTAACCATCTTCGACGACTTGGTGAGCACGACAAATGAGGTCCATGTCGTGCTTTTGCAGGAAACGCGATACGACATCGGGTCCGAAGGTGAACGATACACCACGGTCGTTTTCGCTCCATCCGGTGATATCCTTGTCAGGGTCGGACCACAGAAGATCGCAAAGAAGACCGCAGTCGGGAATNCTAGAGTAGTTTGGTCAGCATGGAATGGGAAGTGAAAAGGCGTATGGACGTACATCAGTAGGGCGCATGACACGTCTGATCTGCTCCATCGAGTTGAGGTCGGGACTCAAACCACCGTGCATGGTGAAGATCTTCTCGTCAATGATGGCGGCAATAGGCAGGCAGTTGAAGCAGTCGGTGAAGGTCTTCCACAGCTTGATGTTGTATCTTCTCTTGCACTCATCGTAGAAACCGTAGATGCGGTTGATCGAGGCACACTCGTGGTTGCCGCGCAGGATGAAAAAGTTCTCGGGGTACTTGATCTTGTAGGCGAGAAGCAGGCAGATGGTCTCGAGCGACTGCTTGCCACGGTCGACGTAGTCACCGAGGAAGAGGTAGTTGGCCTCAGGGGGAAANCCGCCGTACTCGAACAGACGCAGGAGGTCGTAGTATTGGCCGTGGATGTCACCACAGATCTGGAGAGGTCAGAAAAGAAGAGCAGAACTGGGGAGAGAGAGCATGGCTACCTTGATGGGAGCCTCAAGCTCAAGGAGGATGGGCTGGGAAATGAAAATCTCGCGAGCTCTGGTGCAGAGGTAGCGGATCTCGGTCTCGAGAAGCTGGACCTGCTTGCCGGGTCTGCTACCGCGGACCTCGAGGAGTCTGTCGATGATGGAGTCGAGATCGACGTCTTGTTGGTCCGCCATTATGAAAGCTCTACAGGAAGAAGGAGGGAAAATAAAAGTCTCTCGCCGAGCGCCGGGGCTCTTGTTCGCGCTCAATCGATGTTCCGATGCTTTGCTGGTAGTTGAGGCTACACGTGTGGCACAGATGTAGTTAGGGGCGACCTCGGGTGCAACGAAGGTGGTGTATGGAGCCTTGGTGTTGACCGGTGCGGAGGCGAGGTGTTGAGTTGGTCGTGTCGGATGACGAAACGCGTTCAGCAACGGCGACAAAGGAACAATGTCGGAGGAGAATCGATGCAGGCGCTGGAGATTGTTTGGCTGAAGACCAGATCGTTGGAGGAAACAGGCTGTTTAGAGCGCTGTGGCTGCGTGAGAAGCGCGACAGGAATTATCGGGCGTCGAAAATTGAAAGATAATTTTCTGGGATGGAGGCGTGTTCAGCGCAGCTGTTTGTAGAGATCGTGGTCAGCGAGGTGTTGGAGGAGGTGAGGACGAGGATGAGATGGAGCAGGAAGGAGCGCTCGCACCGGCAGCCTGCGACATGGCCATGGACGGCGGGCGGCGCAGGTTGCAGAACAAGGCGCTGGCAGAGGGTGCAACAGTCGACGTACCTTTTTGTGGTTGTTGGAGGTCGTGACAGCACTTGTGTCGTTGTGTGTTTGATGCGTAGACAGGCAAGAGAAGTCCCAGCGTTCTGCGGCAGGGAGAAGTTGGATCCAAAAGCCCAAGCCGGCCGCCAGAAGGCCGTGCCCTGCTCCAGTCTTGCAACTGCCAAAAAAACAATTTGGTCCATCTCCGCTCAGTGTCCACTTTGCCTGGCGACTTGCGCGTCTTTTGGCTGTCCAAGAAATACCTAGCCTGATGCAATCTATCCACTGTAATACCCTCTTGCCGTCTTGCATCCAACAGTCACCGTCGTCCAGTCTCTAGCATTCACGCTTCCTGTTACAACCTCCATCACGTGTCCATCAACACTAATCATCACAACACGATAACAATAAAATGGTCATTCTTCCATGAGGTATCTACCTTTTCCTGTACGCCTTCGCTATGCCTTTGTAGGTACCCGTCATATCATCCAGCTGGGCCATGTCCAGAAACCCATCATTCGCTATACAACAACAAAAACGCCATCAAAAACTGACAATCCTTCAACCCAACCTCCTGCCTCCAACCGTCACTTCTCGACTGTCCGTCCGTTGCCCTCCCATTGACGGTCTAGCGTTGTACTCTCTGTCCGTACCTTTCTTCATGTCCTCGCTCAATGCCGTCAGCCAGCCATTGCCGAGGTCACTCTTCAAAGTCTCGATCTTCTGTCGATAAGCATCACTGTTGACGCCAATATCTTCGTCCTCCTCGGTCGATGTTGTAAATCCTTCCATCAACATGCTCGGTGCTCCCGTATCCAATGGCGGCAGTCGAGGTGGTGATGATGTCGCCCGCACAAACCGTTGCTCCTCGGGCGAAGTTGGTGCTTTGAGAACTGCCCGTGGTGAAGGCGGTGCGTCGGCTTGAGTAGACTGCTCAGAACCCATCTCGTGTGATAGCTCGACAATCCTCCGTGTTCCCTTCTTTCTTCTTTGTGACGCAGTCGAGTAGTTGCCGACTGACCTTGTTGATCCTCGAGCGTATTCTGCCGCTGCATATCGTGATTGTTCACCGAGATCCGGCATGTTCAATGCATCATCTGACCGCTCATCCTCAAGTACAGGGGTGCTNACGGGAGCCTGTGGTGGTTCTGGCGCGCGGTCTACCAACTGCCTCCGCTCGCTGTACGATGGGCCGGTAGAATCGATCTTGACATCTTCGGTATAGCCTGGTGTTGCTCGGAAGAGGTTGAGAATTGTGACTCTGTAACTAGAGTGTGTGCGGACAAATGGATTCTTTGCAACGTAGATGTCTTGCATTTCAGGCATTCTTGTAAGTCGTGCAAGCTCAGTAGGATCCGTCAATTTGTTGTCGCGCAAGTCGACACGTTCGAGGGAGAATAGGCGTTCGATACCAGCAAGCGAGGTAAGCCGATTGGATCTAAGATTAAGCGTGGTGATGGCGGGAAGCGGATTACGGAGAAGAGAGTGCAAGCTGTCGATCATGCAGTTGGAGAGATTGAGCGCTCTCAAGTTGGTCAATGAGGCAAGACTTTCGGGAATCTCGGTAAGGAGGTTTGATGAGAGGTCGAGCGAATGCAACGTCTGGGCTAATGGGGCAAGACTATGGGTTGTGATGAATGTCAAGCCGTTGTCAGCAAGACTGAGGTGACGCAGGAAGCGCCACTTAGACGCAGGAACAATGCCCAATGCCAGGAGGTTAGAAGTACTATTCCGTGGTGTGCTTGAATGGACACTTGAGCCTGAGCTACCAGATTCACGTCTGAACTTAGGTGTACCGCTTCGTGGATGGTGTCCGTGACCATATGATGAATTGTGTCGCGAGCTGGCAGGTCTTGATGGTGAAATACTTCTCTGCCTCAGACGAGGGGTCCTCTTACCATCGGAAGATGCAGTTCGCGTCATATTCACAGCCGAGGGTTGGGGGCTGCCAATGGACGGTCGTCTGCCCTCTGCCATTGGCGAATTGGGCACCGAGGCAGATGCCAACTCAGCGGCATTCCGGACACTGTTGTTCGCGGATGGCCATACTACAGCCGGAGATGAAGGTATAGGTGCTTTGGACGACCTGCGACGGCGCTTGTCCATATCATCCAGGACAATGTTGATAGTCAGATCAGCCAGATCGTCGATGCTGGCGCGCTTAACAGTGAGACTACGTAGCTGCTCGGCCATCCGATCCCAGCCAAAGAGTTGGCGAAAGTCCAGGTCACAGATTTCCAAAGCGCTCACGTTCTTGAACGCAAACAGCGGAACTGCGGTGTCAAAGGGAAACTCTTCATATCCGGCGATCAATTTGGAGCGGATGTCCGGAGAGAGGCGCAGGCATGGTATCTTGGTGAATGCTGAATACAGGTATTTCAGGTCTTCCAGCTCGGCTGCCTTCTGTTTTTCTTCCTTGTTCGACTGTCCGCTGAGGTTGAAGTGCGACCACATACTCGACATAGTGGACATAACACTCCGTACGCTTGACGAAGATCGAACCGAATCGGCGTCCGAGGCGCGACCGCGTGACTTTGGAGCCGAGAGGAACGAGACATAGTTTCCAGGGGCGACGTCGTTATGGATATTCTCAAGACGGATGGTCATGGGCCCGACATTAATACCCAGCTCTTCGAAACGAGTTAATAGGTAGAAGAGGTGGTGCGTAGTCAGGGTCAACTTGACGGGTTTGACGGTCTGAGAGGTGAAGCTGAGATAAGGAAGCGATAGAGCGGCAGCGAAGGTGTTCGCCGAAGAGGTAGACAACGAGGCAGAGGGAGCGGCAGGGGGCTCNATGGCCGTGGCCGAGAGAGGAGAGGTGACATTTTGGGATCCGCGCCTCTGCAACTGCAGCGCGTTGGCCAGGGCCTTTTCGTGCGTCCGCACAAAGTAGGCGAGATGCTGAGGAGGTATAAGTGAGTCGGCGACCAGCGATTTCGCAATTGCGTGCAAACACTTACCTTTNATGAATTGGTGGCCATCCTCAGTGTCCATGATGTGGGACGCCCGGGCTCTCTATGCATGGGAGCAGGAGCAACGGCAAGGGCGCAAGCAAGGAAGGAGGGGACGAGGGAAGAAAAGGATGCGCCGATATGAAGAATTGTGCTATCTTCCCAGAGCCCAGTTCGCAGTCGCAGTCGCAGAAGCAGCGCAAGGCCAGAGAGGCAGAGGTGAAAGTCGAGCCCGCAGCAAGAGGCTCTGTAGGACTGTATGTATGACGGTTGAAACGTTGGAGACTTCGAAACAGTCAAAAGTGCTGGTGCTGCGAGGCCGCAGACAACCAAATTTGATAAACCCTTTGCCCTCGTACTACTCTTGACCGAAACCTATGAATGACTTGGCTCCTACGGCGACGGCGACGTGACCGGTTGCCATCAAAGACTAGTCGTCATCCACTAACACACTGCAACCATCACACGGCCGTGTCAAGTCACCTTTCTCTACACCCACCTTGTTTTGACCGTCTCCATATCTTTCAAAAAGACCTACTACACGAGTCGAGTCCACCCAGGACGCGGTAAGCTCTCCGACGGGCTGGAAGGTTGGAACAAACAGGGTCTGCGTGCACAGACAGAGCAATCTCCCTCTGCTCTTGGCCTCTCTTTCTTGATATAGTATATCATGATCATGACCACCCTCTACACTCTGGTACATGAGACGGCGCTGCGTTCATGCCTCTGACTTCCACGATCACACCTTTTGGTTCAGATCTCAACATGCGGTATCTATACCAGCTAGCCATCTTCTCGTTCCATCTGGATAGTCATCCAATCAGAAATCACCGCATGCACATCATGAAAGCTCGTGCATCCAGCGTCTCTCACCTCAAAGGATTCCACGTGAAGACTGCATTAACCAACCCTACCTCTCTCTGCACCATCATGCAGCATCCAAAAATCTTGGCAACAGAATACGTATGTCGATTCGTATCGGCTTTTATGTGGTTACTCTCGGTCGACCCGTTCTGGAAGGAAACATTCAAATATGCACTGCCGTTTTCCCTTCTCTGCAATCAGCTTTGCGGTTGAAACAGAACTGCCTCTTCTTTTGCACGGATCAAAGGATAGCCGCATACCTAGATTTAGACGACTGTTTACCGGCACTCAGCTGGGCCTCACTTTCCAGAGTGCCGAGGTGGTCCGGCTTGATGAAGTGCCTCCGAGATGAATGTGTTGCAAGCCCTATCTATTCGGAAAGCCGGTATTGTCATGTCCGCACGGCATGTCACTTTGCTTTGTATACTAGGCATTACTTGGCCTGATCCGTTCGAGCTACAGGTTACCCAGAGAACCGGAGAGTAATATACCTGACCGTTCGTGTATCTTTGGTAGAGGTACTGTCTTTGTGTCTCAAGCTGGATCAAAGCAATCGTCTCATGCTCAAAGGTGCAGAGACATAGAATTGAGAAGTAGAGGGCGTCCAGAAAAGAGTGGGAACAAATGGAAATGTAAGCTTTGTACAAGTACGCTGGAATAATATAAAGAAAAAGAGGTACAAGGGATCTTTTCTTCGTCGTTGCTTCTAGAAAGCGGGCTCCAAAAATATTGAACGTGTAACCTTCTCTTCGTCCAGTCGGAAATAAGACTACGACGGCGTTGGCGGCACGCCTGGTTGGCTCCCTCGTCAATACAGTACAACACCTTTCGATTGAAAAGGCGTTTACTCCTTGGCCTTGGGAGGGCTCTGGACTGCGAAGCCACCCTTGTAGTCCTCGGCAGAGATACCGGTGATGGGCTCGACGTTGTTCTCNCTAGAGTTGCGAAGGTCAGACTGCCGTACAGCTTTGTCAAAATCGGTGGAATTACGAACCTTGAGGTATGCGTCGGTGGCCTCCTGGTACTCCCTGTTCATGGTGCTTGGGGTGCCTCTGGCGCCGGCGCGGATACCGAAGAACAGAACGGCGGTGACGGCGAGACCGCCCATGGTGTACCAGAAGACCTGCTTGCCCTCACCGGGAGGAGTTTGGGCGCGGGGACCGTGGGGACCGAAAGCGATCCAGTATGCTGCGCGAAATGACGTGTCAGAGCTGTATTTGGATCCAATTGAACGAACCGCCGTCTAAATATCCAATTGGCGAGCTTGACGGGCTTGACCAACGTGTCGTGGCTCGCCGATTGGACGTGTACGGGCTTGGTGACAAAAAGTCGACATACCGGCCTTCTTCTCTTGCAGGGTCATCTCGGTCCAGTCAACCTTCATGCGGTCTCTAAGGGCCATCCAGAGGTCGGCCTGCTCCTGAGGGGGCATGGCCTCCCATCTCTTCTCAATGTTTGCGAGGGTAGGGTTGGAGATGGCGTGAGCACGGCGGGTCTGGGTTGCGCGCACCGACGAGCGCAGGGCGGCGGCGGCGGTGCCGGTGGTGCGGAGCATGGAAGTGCGCATTGTGTCTATTATTTTGTCGGGGAGAGGGCGTGAGAGAGGAGCTCGTCTATACAGGGCGGGGCGCGACTGAGGGTGATGATGCTGCTTGCAATTGATGAGAGCCGGTTGTCAAAAGAGCTCGGCACCAACCGCTGACCACGCCAAGACCGGTCATCACCTGAGATTCACCTTTCTTTTGATCCTCCAATCTTCACTTTGTCAATATCAGGCACATTCGGAAAACAGCAGGTTGGACTGATTTTGAGCAACGTTTGTGTTATTTGTTGTTACAGTCCGGAGTTCTTTTGCTTCGCTCTTGTCCATTCGAAGTTAAAAACAAAAGAAAGACTGCTCTCTCCTCAACAACCTCCCCATATCATGAACCAGCTCATTCAGTAGCCCCGCCGAACACTCTCATCTCATGGTCCTCGCTCCAAGCACTTCGACGCTTGCTCCAACCTGATGTATTTCTCTCGTCGTGGTTCACGGTTCTGGTAGCCAGGTCCATAGCATACTCTCCAGACGCGACTTGATAATTATGAGCCAACATTAAGGACATCGTGTCTGTATCAGTGTCAGTCATTTAACCTCACCAGATTGGCGTTGTTAGAAGCCCACCAAGGTCGACCTCTCGTTCCTCGATTTGAGCCGAGTAAGTGGAAGTCGTTTCTGTAAGATCATCAGTATTTCAACTCGTAGCGCCTGGAATGGTAAGCGCTTACCGGAATCTTGTCTCNTCAGATTGAGTCGAGTGAGTTGGAGTGGTTTCTGCAAAACCATCAGTCTTTGACATAACAACATCGGCTTCAAGGAGCTTACCAGTGTCATCTGAGCCTCCCTCAGATCCATCCTCGAGTTGCTCCTGGTGTTCCTCATTGTGCACCTCATCAAGTCTCTCCTCGCTCTTCTCGCTTTCCTCATCGTCTTCATCATTCTCATCCTCAATCTTATCTTCCTTCTTGAGAACAACCTCAGTCTCCTTAGCATCAAAGATACTCACCCTAATCACATCCGCAACAGCAAGCTGCTGCCCAGTCTGCGCATGGTACGCAGCATACCTGTCAACCAAACCCGCCCTCAAGATCTCCGGACCTTTCCACACATAATCATCATGGTGTGCCTCACACCACTGCAGCAAAATCCGCGTGGAGAATGCAAGCGCCTTGTCGCGACCAAAGAACGCAGCTTGTGGCATTGGGCGCGCAGAACTTTCATTGCTCACGCGCAGCATCACCACGTGAATGGTGGCAGGTCCGTTGTAGGCGACTTTTTCGTCTTCTGCGTCTGAGGGCGAGTGGCTTGGGTCGGGGTCGGTGTGGATTGGTGGTGTGCCGTCGTCGAGGCGGTCGCAGTGGCTCATCTTGCGTTTCTGGACCGTGGGCTCGTCGGCTGATGGAGAAGTCATGTCGCAGCTTAGGATGTATGGGTCTTCGATTCGATCTTGCTCACTTGACATGTTGGAAGTGGTGATTGGGACGTGATGTTGATTGAGTAACAGATGTGCGAGGCTGGGGACAAGTGCAGAAACGGACGCTATGAGATGTTGTTGACTTGACTGGAAACGAAAGTGAAAGTGAGATTTGAAAAAAGCGAAGCAAACCGAAAAGTGTTAGGTATGTTTGCCTGGTGAGCTACCTCAAGACGCATTGCTTGGATGCGAGACAAAGGCGAAGAAAAAATGTTGCTTTCAAACAAGCATATGGGTATGTAAGTGTTTCCGTCTTGCGAATCTGCCGTCTAATCTCTACCATGTGATCAAACCAGCTGGCCATGTTTGCCTACCTCCCGTAATCTGAGTAACTCCTCACTGCTTGGTGAACAGTTCCATGACGCCTTTCCATGCATGACCCATGTCTTTCCCTAGTTGCATGTAATTTGAATGCCGCGATGCTCAGTACGCCCTCCATAATGTCCAGTCCAAAAAAACAAATACCCAAACAAGTAAATCAAGCTGCAATCTTCTCTTCCAAACCTCGTCTCAATCCCTCGAACACTTGCTCAAAGCCGCCAACGACGTCGCGGCATTCAGCAGCGCAATGTCTTTCAGCAAGACGATGGTCCCAATCTTCCTTTTCGATAAGCCATTGTGCCTGATCTGCTAGATCGCTTTCCCGACGCATCTCGGAGACCATGAGCTGGGTATTTCTCAAATGACGCGCAGCACTGGCAGTAGTCTGGCGGCCCATCTGCAAGGAATCGGACAGGGCAGCGAGTGTTTGTATTAGATCGGTGGTTTCGCGATCGAGACGTGAAAGAGTGTGCAAAGCGCGCGAATCCGGAGCCGGTAAGTCTTGGATGACTTGACTAATGGCAGGGACCACTTCGTCGTCGATGATCTGAAAGTCCAGAGGTGTACCAAAGCCAAAAGGAGCGAACAGAGAAGCAGAAAGGGAAGCGAAGTGCTTTGTTTGCTGGATGATGTGTGACGAAAGGCTGTTGGTGGATGTAGTGAGGCGTTGGGTGTGTACCTCGAGAGATTGCTGAGGGGGCAGGTTTTGCAAGGCGACGAGGGTCCGGGAGATGGTGTCGGGGTTTTGATGCTGTGTCGGGTTGGCGAGGCGTGAGATGTGGGCCAGGACGTCCTCCAGCTCGTGGGTGAAGATATTTGACGGCTCGGGTTCGACATCACGAGAAGTTGGACGAGAGAAGTTGCGATGTGGTAGCGCTGTGTTCGTCTTTTGTTCAACGTGAATTCCGCTGTCTCTCGGGTCTTCGTCGTCTTGTGTTCGTTCGCTCAGTACATAGTCTATCCCAGCCTCTTGAACGGGGCCCGGCTCAGCTTCGCCATCGTATTCCCAGTCTTCGTCGTCCGAGTCGGCAAAGTCCAATTCGTCGGCAAGATTGCCCATGCCAGATGCTCCAGCCGGGGCGTCCAGATGTGAAGCGAAGTCCTGACTGCCATTGGAGAAGCGCGATGCTGTCGACAGGCGATGGTTCGACGAAGAGTTGCTGTTGTGTGAGTAGGATCGCCGTAGCGGTGTGAGGGGTGGCGAGGCCATGCTGCGCGTGCGAGAAGACCAGTCGAGCGAGCGGGCTGGGTCGGTGACGGCTTGCTGCCTGCTGCTTGCTGCTTGGTGGTACAGGTGATGCGTGTGGATTTATTGGCGTGCAGCCCGGTGCTTCATGTTTCCTTGGCCAGAGATGCAGACACAAGTTGGGTGCCTCGTCGTCCTGCAGATATAGAAGGGGCCTTCTTACGTGTTGGACCAGGGAAGGAGGCCGGTTGACTCGTTCCCATCAGCGTTGGCAGCAACGACAGGCCAGAGGCCAGGGTGTTGTCCAAGCTTTGGTCATCTTGGTTGTTCGCCTACGCCCCTGAATCTGGGAACCACGAATACAAGCTACATGACCACCATGCCCAAACTCCGCATGCTTTTTTCACCTGCTGTGCAAACAATGGTCTTGTATCAAGTATGATGCTCCTATCTTCTGGAGCTATATATAGCCGCTCTATGGGCATCCGTCTCCTTACTGACCGCCCACATAATACTACTCCATCCTTGCGTTCATACTCGGACCAACATCAAAACTACAGATAAGAGACCGAAAGCGAGCGTAAGAAGACATCAAGAGACGCAACAAAAGGAGCAAAGAAAGCCATCCACCCTTCTCTCCCACGCCATTTCCTGTCAAGTCTGTAAATCATAAGGCCGTCCCGCGTGAGACAGTGGTATATTCCGACAACGCCTTTAGCATTCCTTCCTTTCCGTGACTTGCACATTGCCGAACCACAAAACAAAGGAGATTCTCGACTTCGACATCGCTTGCAGCGTCTGTTGCCTCACGGCTCTGTGTCAACCTCGGCGCCAGGGCCAGGGCTCTTCCATCTCTTTCTCCAGAAGCGAAGCCCTCTCAGTCTGCTTCGGCTACGGCTCTCGCGGATCCCTGAAGGTCGTTGTGACATGCCGCGATTGTCGTCGCCATCGTCCCCGTCGGCTGTGACATGTGATACCGAACTCACTTTGCCCGTACGCACCTCCGGGATACTCCTGATATCCGGTGCCGAATGTGAAATACGTTCTCTGCCATGCAGATCCGGGCTCGAGTTGGGGTGCAAGAACGGATTCTCTGTTGATAGAACTGGAGGTGGTTCTATTCCTTTGGGAGTCTCACCACCCATTTCTTCTACCGAAGAGGGCCGCGTGGAGCCCGGTGAATGTGCGCAAGTTGTAGTTGTTGCCGTTGCATTACTAGTGGCATGGCTGCGAGACGAAGGCAATGAAGATGGAACACCAGGCTGAGCAGGTGGTGGGAATGGCCTTGTAGTCTGCCTGAGAGGCGACGGTGGCGGCTTTGTTGGCGAATCCGGCTCTTGCCTACTCTGCCCCGTTTGGCTGCGGACAAGAATCGTCGTCAGGGAAGCATCGCCACTGCCTCGTCGACCACCGTCATGGTTCTGGTTTTCGATACGGGAGAAGCTGCTGAGCTGACCTAGTTGCAACTGCTCCAGTTGTTCGAGCGCGGCATCTTTTGAGGAGCGACGTGAGTTTGTATGTTGGTGGAATGGAACAGAGTATGGCGCGTGGAAACTCGAAGTGCTCGTCTTCTTNTTGTTGCTTTTTAGAGGTGATGCGGAGGTCGGACGGACTCTTACGGGTGATGTGGGCGATGCTGGTTCTGGGTTCGCCCGAATGTTGTCAGGCTTCGTTGCTTGTGCTTCGTTTTGTGTTTGTGACGTACGAGATGGACCAAAGAGAGAATCTCGTTCGGGCGGGATGTCGTCTTCTTTGCTGTCTTCGAATTCCTCCTCGGGCACGGAGAGAGGGGTTCGAGGAAGTGGCGAAGGCTGAGCAGGCGGACTCGCCAGAACGGTTCCTCTTCTCAGCTTCTCGACGTGAATCTTCTCCTCCCAGACGGTTCTGTTGGACTCAATCTCAACAGTGGAGAATCCCATGGCGGGTAGAATTGCTGTAATGCCCTCGAAGAGAGGACCGGCGAAAATGCTCATGAAACCAATTTGAGACTCTGCTAGTTTAACCAAGTCCTCACGATCAGGAGGGCCACCGAATAAGCAGGTTGGCAGATTAAGCTCCTTCTCCATGGCGCCTTGGTTGGAGAACTCATCGGTAAGGATCACAGCCCATCGTGCTGCAACATCGTATTTACGTGCCTACTATCGTCAGTAATGGTTCGGGTGAGCAATATCGCCATTGAAACATACCACATTGCTTATATCGGCGCATTTCATCAATAGTCCACAGACAAGATCTCTAGTCTCTTCGAGCGCTTTTGGTGTCCAGCCCTCTATGCTATCGTCATTTGAGGTAAGCTTTTCTTGCAGGTTGCCCATGTCGATCATGTACTTGAAGTGAAGCCCCATGTCCGTAGCCAAGATCGAGTTGATCATCAGCTTGCGCATGGGAATATCAGCAAAAGCTTGTGGCCAGTATCTGCGGAGGATCTGCGAGTAGGCTGCGCAATGGAATGCCTCCAAGACTGAGCGATCATTGTAGAGCTGAGCAAGTGGCGCATTCAAAGCAACCAGAAAAGCATTGTTCACGCCAGGATGGCCGACGTCGTGCCCGATGGCGGATATGAGCAAGGTTAATGCATCGAATGGTTGTAGCAGAGATGCAACCGGCGCAAGATCTGTCCTTGGCGCCTCCCCTTGCGAACCAGGATAAGGAGGCAGGATGCCGATCTGTAGGAGGAAATAGAAGACGGCCTGGAGGACGTCGACAATGTGACGGAAGTTGTGATACAGAACAAAGTCGTTGTAAGCGTGCCTGCAAGCGAAAAGGAAGATGGTAAGATCATCTTCAATCAAAGTTAGTGGTGAGGGACAAGAGACATGTCACAATTGCAAACATACCTGTGGANNGATGCGCCATTTTTCTAGTTCGGGCATTTGCAAGGCATGCTGTAGAATGGTCAAAGCAGCGTAGAGAAGCTCGTCCGAATCGAAGTCATGAGCAGAAAACGCCCAAGTACCTACTGCCTGCTCTACGAGAGCTTTTCTGTCGCAGTCAATCTTGAGTTCGCTATGAAATTATTTGTTAGTCGATCAATTGAGAATCTGTCATGTTCGTTGTGCAAACCTTGGGTCGATACACTCTCCAACCGAGTCAGGATTACAGATGCCATTCATCAGGCCGGAAACCATAACCTCCCGGAGATAGGCATACGGGCGTTCTTCATCAATTCCAACCCATGACAGCTTCCTGTTCCTTTTTTGAAGCACAAAGCTCGCCGCCTCACGCGCGATCTCCTTGTATGTACGGTATGCGTGCACGGCCAAGCCCTGGACTCGATCAACTCCGAGTGGACTCGGCAGCACATCAATGGCACCAGCATCCAGAAAGCGCGACATTCGGGTGGGTTCAGCCAGCAGCTTATAGTTGTCAGGCACTGTCAAACTTATGGACGATGGCAAGAAACTTACGTCGGTCTTGCCAGCAAGAACAGCAATTGGGATGACCAGCCTTGAGCGAACGCGCTGTTGGATCTCCGAAGATAGGTATGACAGCAAGTGTACGCCGTATACATCACTCGGCTCGTTTCGCTCCACCTTGGGTCGCTTCCCGACCAAGGGCGAAGGGGGNTTGGAGTCCCATGAGGTCCTACGGATAGTGGGTTCGTCGTCGTGGGGCATATCGAGAAGCACGACTATCGGATTAGGATTGCGCGGTTCGTCGAGTTGTGCAAGGGTCGTCAAGCAGGACACGCCATCGGCGCAGATATGAGCTATGCGACGCTATTAGAACAGAGAAAGACATGCGACAATACGCAAGATAGACGCACCTTGTCCAAAGGCAGCCATGATGGTGCGGATGTTGTGCTGGGCTTCATTGGAGTCATTCTCTTGATTCAATCCATCGAGATTCTTGTCCAGAAAGCCCGTCACGGGCGTCTTGCGGTCCACGTAGACGACGGCAAATGCGTTGCCCGTCATGGTTACTCGGTTCGGTTCGGCCTTGAGGCCTCTATCGCATTGCGCAGTCGATGGAAAGTCGCGAGAGTCGGTCAGTTCAGCACATTCGACACAGTCCAAAGCAGTGTCTCGGCGTCGAAGAAGCAGGTCAGACAGGCGAGTGGTGGACTGGATTGTCGCGCCGCGGTAGATCGAGTGGGACAGCAGTCGACGAGTGGCCGTCGGGAGCGGTGGTTGGTCGAGGGGTGTATGCGATGCAATTCGGCCAGGAATGTGGGAAAAGTCAGGCCGGCGTGATGGGTTGCTCTTGGTGGTTTATCGGTGGTTGAGAGTGGTAGAGATACAAAAGGCAAGGAAACGAAGAGCGCACTGTCATATGGTGGGCATGTCACGCGAGGAAAGGCATGCGAGAAAAGGAGAGGCAGCGAGTATCGAAGGTAAGGTAGCAACGAGTCAACGTCTGGGTTAACGGTGTCAAGCTGGAAGCGTAAAGAGGTGTGCCCAGGTTGCTTCTTCCCCACTCGACAGAGGCAGCCAAAGCCTCCAGCAGGGCAGGCCTCGAGTCCGCCTGAGTAATCTCGCATCCGCNCATGACGCCCGTTGCATCCCATCTACAACGTTGGCCGCTGTCCATCCCGCCGTCTGTCTGCGACCTGTGTCTCTGTCTGCCTCCCATTCNGCGTACGAACCACTTCTATTCATGTGCACTGGCTGTGTCCTCTGCCCTCGTCGCCTCAGGCATCTCGAGGTGCANTGCTTTGGCCAGCCCGCAGAACCGGCAAGCGCACGTCACTCTGTCACGCCAAGGCCTNNTCGATTGTTCCACGGTTCTTCCATCCGACTATCCATGCCTAACTCGGTGACTGGACGTACAATGACGGTGGAACTAGACGATCGAATTTCAATAGCATCCACTCGTCTGTTACTGCTTCTGTTNTCCAATACTCCAGCAACCCAATCCATTCGCTATCGCNNATCCGCCGTTGGCTGCTGCAGAATGGTCAAAACTGCCGATGCGAGTTGCGACGCTGTTTTTTCCATTCCGCTCAGGCCGCCTCGCAATCGTGCCGCCGCCCGTCAGTCTGTCGCTCGGTCAGAACCAAACGGCCCTGTACGTGTCGGAAGANNTTGTTTCTACCTCGCAGCTGAGCAGAAATTCGCCCCAGGCACGCCTTTGGGACCCTCGGCCAGCGTCAGACCNCAACGCCTTGTCCATATCCATGTNGCTTGTAAGGCTTAGTCCATCTGTATATTGACTGTGTCCGTGATTCTGGAAGACAGNCTGTACCTGCCCCCGTTTCGTACTTCGTATACCGTCTGGTCGCATTTCCCGACAAGCCTCTGATTGATGGGCTCTTCCTGACACGACTCGGCCCGGATTGTGCATGTTCCTGGTCCTCCTACCATGCGGTAGAGCTTTTGTTAACAGTGGTCAATACTGATACGTCACCAGAGGAATGTGCTTTACAGTCATATCACTCAGTCGTTTACTCGATCTTCGTCACCCTGCCCTACACGTGGTGTAGGTTCGTGATTTTGCTTGCGGCCTTTGCATACCCCAGCATAAGAATTACTGACAGGCCTGGACTGCTGGTTGCGGCAGGTGGGTAAGTGGTGTCATGACTCACGGTTGCCTTAGTTCTTTCAAGCAGACCACTCCGTCGAGTATTCTAAGCATCAAAATGTTATCGGGTTCATTACTCGAGTACGTCTGGGATTGGAAATCGTTTCAAATGCCAGACCAGGCTTTCAAAACCACCTTCCGGCAGACATCAATGATTAAACGACAAGCCGGTTTCAAGTATGCGGAACACTCGTGAAGCATGTCAACCAAATCTACACTATTGCAGCTGGGTGTCTGATTCTCTAATAATGGTCTGTATAGCTGACCAGTCACTGGCCCGAGGTCAAGTTTGTCCGCAAGTCATCGGAGAAGATGCAGGTGCCTGTGTTAATTGTCGAGTTTTGTTGGAATGTCGCAAACAGCATTCTACTTTTGATCCGGTTTCTTTTGTTCATGCGAATCCTATCGGCCATCTAGTCAGGTATCAAAGATGTTCTGAGAAGAACGCTCTCCTCCACATGTGCCCGAATCTGCAATATTCTCAAACTCTACCCTTGCCATCTGAGTGAAATACAGCAACTTCTGAAGCTAAATACGGGTATCTTTTGACACCAGAAGCGTGTCATAGAGAGTCTGAAGGCGATGCCTCCCAAGAAAGCTTTTCGGATTGAGGAAATCCTATGTACCTTTATAGGAAACGGCAATGTCAGATCTTCACTCGTAGGATCCAGAACAGGTAGATGATAAGTTGTTCATATGATCAGTCATGCTCGAAATGATATGTAAGAGTGATGGTCACGTTGTCCGTTACCCCTCGATCTGCCAAGGCCCATCCAACACCCCGCGCCCCGGATGCGTCAACAGAGCCAACAAGGTAGGACTGTAGACCGCCTTCTCAACACTCTCTCACAACCAGCCTCTTTGTTCGAGTTGTATACCTTTTGCATCGTCTCGGACAGTCTGCGCGACTGTCCCGTTTCTTCTTTGCACCCAAGACACTATCCCTTTGTTGGTCAGACAGGCTTCGGACTTGGCCGATCACAGCGTCACGTAGTCTCCACGCTCCTCCTGCAGGCGGCAGCACGACCTGACCTTCACTCCTGCTGCAGCACTGTCGCAGTTTTGCTCGATCTCGTGCAGTCTTTGATGTGCTGTGTGTGAGACAAGTCCTCACCGGAACCTGGACAACGCCCGCCATAGCTGCTGCTGTCGTCCTCTCAACTTCGCTTCCTCCGTCTCGCTCTCCTTAACGCCGTCTCACCCACTTGCCGACCCTGGTCTGCGAGTGGTCTACCAACATCCTCCACAAGCTCCACATATGCCATCATCCAACGACGAGGTGTTTCACGCAGAAGACACGCCGGATGAGGCAAAGGGAAACAAAGCCANNGTCGAAAGAAACAGAAGAAGAAGGCAGCCAAGCAGAGACTCGAGGCCGAAGATGACTTTGCTAAGGACTCGTCGTCTGAGGGTCCTCATCTCTCGCCCGATCTGTAAGTAGTCGATCTGCATGTACAACAAACGTAGCTGACCAAGACTCCTCAGCGCGCCGACCCTCGCCCCCATCGCGCCGTCACCTCCACCTTCTCGCTCCCCCAGTCCTCCTCTAGATACTCGTCTGTCTGCTCCAACCCCCGACTTCTCTCCGCCCGATAAGATCGCATCATCCTTGTCTAAGGTGCCTGCTCTACAATCTCCCAAGCAGCAACTGCGCCCATTTGCACCAACATTGGAGCCATCTCCTCCACAAGATGGTGTCATGCTGGGACAGGATGGCTTGAAACTTCCCTCGCGTCTGTCTGGTGCTGGATCTCCACTTCATGCTGCTTCCTTGTCTTCGTCTCCTCAAGGCGGTATTCGTTTGCCCCAAGGCTTCATGTCAAGAGGTTTCTCCGATGCGACCAACATTCCTTACACTTCTACACCTCCTACTCAACCCATGAACTTCGCGAATACAAATCAAATCCTGCCGTACGAACCTCTGCCTCCGCATGTGCCGCAACGTCATTTCTCAAGGCTGGCCGAATTTGATTTCAGCAGACCCGTTCACACAGACAAGTTCTTGCAAGCTGGTTCGAGGGGATACTACTGCGGTTTCGACACATGGCAAACACCCAAAGGGGTCTCTTCTTCGGGTGCAAGCTCGGTCGTAGTTGTTGGTTTCGAAGGTGGTTTGGAGGTTCACAGAGTCAACCGGCAGAAAACTGAGGTGCTTGGCCGTCTCGAAGGCCTGCAGGGTGGTGTCATCGACGCGAAGATTCTCCCATGGACAGCTCGAGACGATCCCCTGGAACATCTACGTCCTCTAGTGGCTTGCGTTATTCACGGCCCTTTGCTCGACCGTGAGCCCGACCAGCCATCTTCTGCTGCCGATATCAAGGAGTATCACACCTTTGTTGAGGTCTACTCCATGCGAACTTGGCAACGAGTGAGCAGGCTTTATCAGACTCGACCCGAGAGAACTCATCAATCGGTCGCAACAAAAGGGTTCTCACCTCCTCCACCTATCGGAAACCTCAGTATCGCCGCTGAAGGACGTTTCGTTCTTGTCACCTCTGGCATGAGCGGTGAAATCTATGTGTTCGCCCTTCGGAGTAAACAGCTGGCAGTTGACCAGCAGCCATTCTGCTGTCTTGCGAAATACTGGTCGAGCCTAAAAACAAGGGCATCTTCTTCGGATGACAGAAGCGCGAACACGACTGGCGACCCGGGAATTGCGAGAACCAAAACTTCAAAGAGAGCTGTGTATGCGTTGAGTGGTCGCTGGCTAGCTATCAAGCCTCCACTCATCTCATCGTCCCAGATGACTTTGAAGGGCACTACTGGACCAATCAACCACATTGATTCTGTCGGTATAGCCAGCCATGCTTCGCCGGCTCCGCCTCTACTGAACTGTGAAGTTGATGCGCCATTCAACGACAGTCTTATTAGTCGTGTTGCCAAAACCACTACTCGAGAAATATACAAAGGTGCTCAACAAGGCTTTAAAGCATTGAAGACGTACATCAATGGCCCAGCCAATCCAAACGGCGATCCCGCCTACTACGGATCGCCCCCATCGACTCAGGTTGAGCAAAACACATTCCCACCAACTCATGCTCACACCAATGAACCACAGAAGTCGCCAATAGAGCCAGCCCTTGTGTCAATCGTTGATCTTGAAAAATTGCTCGAACGTGGGGAGCGTGACATGAAGGGAAGTCAAACTTCTTCATGTACCTTCCAGCTCAACGACGGCTGTTCTTTCCTCTCATTCTCTCCCAATGGATTGTCTCTACTTGCTACTAACCACGTTGGAGACGAGTCGAGGGTCTGGGATTTGACCCGTATCAACGACGGTAGAGCAGCTGTTTCAGACCCGTCATCCGTTGGTACTGTCCGCTTGGTTTCGAGGTTTCCCAGGCTGTCGCCGTCGGTAGTGATCGATGCTATCTGGACAGTGCGCGGAGACCGCATTGCCATAGTCACCGATAGAGGTACTGTGCATCTTTACGGCCTGCAGTCATTAGAGTACAAGCCTACCATCATGTTACCATTTAATCTGCCTTCTCCGGGATCTTCGCCACGCGAAGAAGTGCAAGCGCCTGCAGGAGGTTTCATGAGCAACATGAAAGCAGGATGGCAGAGCATTCATGGTCTGGCTACTAGACCACGAAACGGTTCAAGTGGCATTGTCAGTACCCTTGGCAACGCGTCAATGGCCGCAAGATATGCAGGAGGAAGAGCTGTACGTCAAGGACTGTCCAAGGGCTTTGGCATGGCTGCCGAAGGCGCTCATCATATTAGACACGCCGAAGACAACAAAATCCGGTTGCACCCAGCTCAACAATCCGTCTCCCCGAAGTGTGTACAGTGGCAGCATGGCAAGGACAAGGATACCATTGCCACTCTGTGCAATGGCGTCCTCACTTTGCTAGCCGTCAAAAATGTGAGTCATACGCAACACAGAAAGACTATTGTCAGTCCAGCGGTCGAGAAGACGCCACTCTGGACACAACCTCTGCCAACGATGTCCAGCGATGTGCTATCACCTTCGGTACTCGGCTTGCTTGAACCAGACGGGCCTCATGGTGGGTGTGCTCGCGAAGGACCGCACGGATTTTGCGCCTGGGACCTTTCCCTAGCCCACCAACTTGCCCAAAGACGAGCCAGCAATGTCAGCTTGGGTAAAAGGAAAGTGAGAATTCCGGTTCAAGATAAGGACACGAATCCGTCTTACATGCCTTACCACCGCCTCCCGACTGTAAACCTCTTCACGATTCCCCACTCCAAGGGCCAAATAGTTGAGGCAGATGACGACTGGGTGTTTGGGCTACCTTTGGAGTCCAGCAGTAGAGTTAGCAGTCAGCAAGATGACACAGCAGACGGCTACGATCAAGGCATTACTGAAGAGGACATGGAAGAACTCGTTGGTCAGATGGATGAAACTCTGCGTGGTCAAGAATTTCCCAACAAAGGCCGTGAGGTTGATTCCGAGAAAGAGAAGCTGGTTGACATGTAAAGGCATGGCAAGTGGCAAGTGGCAAGTGGCATTCATTTTATGCGGTTATTTTATGATAGCACGATGGGTCAAGGCGTTTACGGGCGGGAGGGTTAGGTTTGTGATTAGACGACTAGATACCACCTTACTATCAGCACAATGAAGACACTCGTTCTATAGCAACAAGCATGGCTGGAGGTAGATGCAAAAGAAGGATTTGATTTAGAGTGATGTTGTTGATTGCTCAGCAGTGGAAGGTCAGGGTATCCCCAGAAGAAGGGCAATCGAGAGCTGCAAGTCTACCTTCCAAAGCTTCGCAAACTCTCCAAAGCACCCTTGCGCCAACCACAACCATGTCTTCAGTACGGCCAATGACACCAGCAGACCTGCTGAAATTCAACCCTTGCAACCTGGACCACCTGACCGAAACCTACAACATTGGCTTCTACCTCGACTACTTTTCCAAATGGCCCGAACTGTGCATGGTGATTGAAGGCCGCCACGGCGAGATCGAGGGGTACAGTATGTTGCACTCCTTTGCCTCTTCTAACACAAGATACTGATGGAAGCAAATAGTCCTCGGTAAACTCGAAGCCTCACCTTATCCGGCGCCTCACGCCCCTTACGACCCTTCAAACCCTGCCTACACGAAACAATACCCCAATTACCTACCCTGGCACGCACACATAACCTGCCTCACCATCTCCCCCTCTGCCCGCCGTTTGGGCCACGCAACCGCTCTCTCCAACTCCCTCGAAGCCATCGGTGACCGCGAAAACGCATGGTTCGTGGATCTCTTTGTGCGGGTGGAGAATACAGCTGCCATTGAGCTGTACAAGAAGATGGGATACTCGGTGTATAGGAGGATTGTGGATTACTACAATGATGGCAGTGATGCGTTTGATATGCGCAAGCCGTTGAGTAGGGATGAGAAGAGGGGGACGGTGAGGGATGGTGGTGAGGAGATACGGGTTGATCCTGGAGAGGTGTGGTAAAGAGAAGACGTGGGAAAGAGCAAGAACAGAACGGGAAAGGGCGATATGAGGCATCACATGATCAAGATGAGAGAGGAGGATGGGAAGGCATACAAAGCATGTGCTCGAGCCGGCACAGGAAAGAGCATGGCAGGGAAGAGGCACGACCTGATGATGAGAACACGAACAACAGAAATTGGCATCTGCGTGCAAGTACTGGAGGCCCAAACGCTGCTCTACTAGATGCCAAAGACGGTCCGACTTGAGCGACCTCGACAGTGGACAACGATATCCCCGCCAGAAGTCCATACAGCGATATGACCTCTTGTCATATCTACCCCTCCCGCTAGGCTCTTTCATCATCCACCAAGGCCGACTGTGAACAGGTCTACAGAGAAACTCCGTCAACAAGTCATAACACATAGCATTAGTTCGGGGTATCGTAATTTCTACATAAGCAACCCACAAGCACACCTTCAATCCGGAAACTGCTCTTCTCCAGCAATCATCGGATCTGGAAAGAATCATCAGTCTCGTCAACATTCCCTACACCACTATACACACTCATATCCCTCGCGAGTCCTGATCGACCGGCAGAACTACTGCCAGCCCGCTCTCCATCGCCATCGACAATCATGTCGATTCTAGCCCGCTCTCTTTCCTCCTTCTCTTTCATAGCCTTTGGGTTAAACTCCTTCCCTCCGATGATCTGGCTCACAGGTGGAGCGGGCCTGAATCGCCGCTTACTCTGACTGCCCTCTTCGTCGACAAGAACCACCATCCAGACACCTACTGCGCCACCATGGCCGAGAAGGGGCGTGCAATGGATCCAGCGACTGCGGCCCTCGTCTTCACCATCTTCCTCTATGCGCGTCAACCAGCGGATCTTTGCTGTCACGCCGCGACCCTCGCCGAATGCTTGTGCGAGTTCTGAGCGCACGCGAGGCGAACCGCCGATGCGGGACAGGAAGGGGCTTTGCAAGATTCCTGGTACGCGTAGGGATGGCGAGGTGAACAAGATGCGTAGGGATGGTGCTGGTCGAACAAGCAGATAGTGTTCATACACGCCTGCCAGCTTTCCGTTCTCAGGTATGCGTTGCACTCCATTGGGACCAGGAACTGGGTTGTTGGGCAGTTCCTTCGATTGATCGATGTTCTCGTCGGACTCTTCTGTTATCAGGAGTCGCGGCCTGGATTGGACGCCATTGTCTCGCTCGTCATCGACTTGGGCGCGATGTATACGGCCTCCGCATTGCCTTACGGTTTCCAACTCGGTAGTATTGAACATCTCGCTCAGACTCTGGAACTCGTCGTTCTGATTCTGTTGGCCGTCTTCATCCTCGTCGCGGTTCATCATCTTTTTGAGTGCTTCCATACCAGTCATCTCCTTCAGCAAACCGGATACGTCGACTTGAGCCCCGATAAAGTACCTCAATGTGCCCTTCGAGTCATAGAGTGGTGCTGTCATAAGTAGGTTGATGAAAGGACTGCCGTCGCGTCGATAGTTGACAAAGATCTCGCTATGTTCTATGGGCACTTTGCACGCTTCTGCCAAACGACGTACCGAGTGTGGATTTGTCCTCGGTCCTTGCAGGAAGCGACAATTGCGACCGATCGAGTAGCCCATTCCATATTGTGTCGTGCGGGCAAACTCTTCCGAGGCGAACACGATTGGGTTGTCCTTCCGGAACGGATCTGTCAAGCAAAATACTTCGGCCAATCCTTCAGACGCTTCCCTCAAATGAGGGGCTAGAGTCCCTGTTACTCTTCTTTGAATGCTCGTGCTCACAATTGAGATCCACGTCCATGTGACATATGCCGGCAGGTCTTCTCGAACCAGCAGGTTAAAGGCCTGATCGGCTTTTTTCTGCAGCTCATCATTCTGCGTAGTTTGAGGCGACGTGGAAGTGAAGTCAAGTCCGGAAACAGGATTCAATGCTCTTGACACAGCGTTTGCATACTTGATGGCTCGCAGAGCTTTCAGAGCATCCATGTAAAAGACGAGAATTGGGATGCTTTGAGGACGATGGCTGTTGAGAAAGCCAGTAAACCTTAGCAGAGTCTTGCGATCTGCGAAGATTGCTTCCAGATGTTCTCGTGAGAGAAGTTGTTCAGCGTGCTCGTCTAATCGATATGTGCCGTTGATCTCTTCTGGCGGTGCCGCCACGAGGTCGAAATTTGCTGGGTCATCTTCTAACAAAGGCTGCAAGCGGTCTACCTCATCATCCAAGGGCCCTGAAGTCTGGAGAGGAGGTAGAGTAAATACTGACGGTGCGATTGAAGGAGCTTTCGAAGGCGCTCGTGATGGCGCGGCCGATTCGAGTGAATATCTCTTTTGGTTCTTTTGAACATAGTCCATGTCCACAGACATGCGATCGGGGGTATTTGGGTGAGATGTTCCAATGTACGATCCCGAATCTCTAGGATTGTGTTGCGGCTTGGATGCGCTGCGGTGATGGGTCAAGATGGTGGGTGGTTGTGCAGGCGACAGCAGAGGATTGACCCTTGGCACATCAGACGTTCTTGGGCGTGAAGTGCTTAGACGTCTAGAGATGTCTGGTGGGGCCACGCAGTCATCACTGTCGTCCGAATAGGCTTGGTCGAAGGTGGGCGAGCTCGGAAGATGTCCATTAGGTGCAGATACTCGAATGGGTATAGGGAGACGTGCGGGATGCTTTTTGCCGGGCGACAGGGGTTGTACGGTTTGAAAGTCCTCAACTAAAGGCTCGCGTCCAGCCTGCTCGGCATGCGGCGACGTTGGGCGCTCCACCATGTCCGTCGACCTCGGACTCGGGATCCTGATTCTAGTTTCGAATGTTTCCACCGAGGATGCTCTTGAGCTCTTTTTCGTCCTGTGGGTTTCTACCGAACGGCCTCTATTCAGGATTCGGTGCTGTTACAAACATCAGATCGCTTTCTTTCAAGAAAGAGCGTGCTAGTTACGTACCTTCCTCAGCGAAGCAAAGATAGGAGGACTCATCTCAGCTATGTGCCGCTTTGGGCCTTTTCCCAGCAACAAGGTCTATGAGCACGAGACTGATGCGAGCAAACGCGACCGGCCATCATCTCTACTATGTATGCAGCATGATTGTGGTCCGAGGGACCCTATTCTGTTCCTGGCGCAAACCACCAAGGGCCGTCATCGTCATACTCGACCCTACTTCCCCGGGTGCCGAGATCGTCATGCGGTGCCATCTAGGTATGAACGTTTGGCTCGATCTGCGTTAAGCAAACCTTCGTTCCCGCATCGCATCCATTGTGCGGAAACCATAACGACGGCTTTGAGATTCTTACAGCTGTCAGCGAGCGTCTGTTGTCATTTTCAGACAGTCCAGCTCACTTTGATCATCTACACAGCGACAGATATATAGAAATCTGAGATATTCAGCACATGTGTGGTCGTTGAAAGTCGGCCGAAGCCTCCACAAACTCGGATCTCTCAACATCGGATCTTCCATGCATGATGCATGCACACGGCCAAAGCGTGATCGCGCTAAACTATGCTTTTCCGATTGTTTGGGAAACCTTTTTCTTCCATGGCTCGAAAGCGATGGACACTCCGTTCAGATCACGATTCATGAGGGCCAGGAGCACTTGCAAAGCTGGTGCCGTGCCGATCGGAAGTTTGGTCGCGCCCATACAATCACTTCAGTCTTCACCTCGGCCACCTTTGTGACACAAGATGCCGGCGGCTGATATAAAATTTGGTAGCACTTATGATTCCATCTGTTCAGTAACCTTTGCTGGCCTATTCGACAACCAACATTGTTCTGCTCCTTGGGTCTTGTCTGCAGGAGTATCCAGACCTTGTTCGACCCCTCATCCAAGAAGAGCCTCTTCTTCATCCTCCTTTGGTAACGCCTTCCCTTTGTATAAGACATAGTGTTGAGTGAAGAAAATGGTGTCGAAACAGAGACTAAAGACAGCAAGAAAAAGCTTGGCAGGATTGCCAGTGATCCCACTCCAATCAGCTTCCAATGCACTGTCTATGACCAACTGGAGAAGAGACATTATGCCACCTGCAAAGTCAAGCCAGATCATGTCGATGGCCCAACCTGCCGTAGACTTGATTTTATAGTTGTANCCTGCGAAGCAAGATTAGGCTCGGAAAGACTTTAGATTGTGTGGTGTATACCATGCTTGAGGAGCGGATTTGCTGAGAGTGATGATGAGTTTGACATAAGAGAATGCGTATATNCTGGAGGGTTGATCGATTTAGCACATGCCTCCACAGAGAATATTCGGGATTGTACGCACGATATCAATCTCAGCCCAAGAGTCAGGAGTATCCGTTTCACTTCTGAATAAGGACACTAGTAGAGTAGTAATGGCCACGCCAACAATACTACCGTAAAAGATACCAAGAGCCGTAGAACTAGCTCGCTGGCCTTTAACGACTTCGAAATTCCATAGTCTCGGGTAGAACTGGCTGTAGAAAACAAAGCAGACAATGGTGCCATGTAAAGCAAAGATCAAATCATTGAATCGCACAGTGGGTTCAGGAGCGAAGGGATGGCGAAGAGCATACTGCTGACGGATTCTGGGCGCGAGGAGAAAGGCTGCTGTCGATATGGTATAACTGGTGAACCCAACAATGTTCAGCAGCGGGAAATCAACTGTTATACCACGAGTGGAGCGGTGTTTCCAGCAGCGAAGAGGTTGTGGGTAGAAGGATAGCGACCATGAGGTGAAATATGACCATCCAAGCAGCCATGAAATTGCTCGAGCTACATCCTCTCCAGTGATTGCGTACATGGTGAGATGCTCGGAGCGATAGAAAGTCAAAAAACAAACAGCAAAGATAAGAAGCTAATCAACCAAACGATGGTGTTGATGCAGCCCGCATGTGAACCAGAACCGAGAGTCGATATGGACGAGAAGATAGAAAGAGTGAGAGAGCGAGTGGTCACAACCAAAAAGATGCATGTGCCTGCCTGGATTGCGCCATCCTTGACATGTATGGAGGAAGCGTGTCGGGATCTGATAAGATTACGCCAAGAAACCCGGCAATAAGCGGAATTAGGTGCTTTCCCCAACCTCGTTGCTCGAACCTCATGCTTGGCAGGACGCGACGTACGGTCAACGACGAGCACCAGGAAGCATCAAAGAAGCCGCTACCGCAGTGTTTTGATCAAGCGGACGCGTTTGCTGGCATCCCGAGATTCATGCGACAACAAACACGCCCTTCGCAGTGCCGCAACTGCCGCGTCGAATAAGAATGGCTGCCCCCGAATCGTCACCGCGCCGGCCCACGCGCACCCCTGCGAGACCGCGCGCTGCCTCGTCGCAGATCCTGGATTCCGAGCCTCCCTCAAAACGAAGGAGATACGTCCCCGGCGGCCCTGGAGGTGGTGGACGCTGGATCGACGAAGAAGGTAACGAAACAACCGGCCCTCCTACTTCTGTGCGCCGACACCGATCCGACATGACCGGGAATGACGACGATGAGGACATATCGAGCCCAAGAAGTTCCCGCCGTCCGCCCCCTTCCACACGTCCGCGCAGAGACCGAGATCGAAACCGCGATCGTCGACCAACTGCCACCCCCGACCCCGTTACAGCAGTGCCGCCGCTGCAGCCGCCGCAAGTCAAGCCAGTGATGGATACAAGCCCCGAGAAGAAAGAAGCTGGGAAGAGTTCCATCCGAATCTCGATGTCGAGCAGTGCCTCACTCTGTTCTCGGCCGATCACGTTGACGGGCGCAATGTCGACACACTCCTGATTGAGAACGAGGTGCCTCCTCCGATAGCGTCATTCATGCACATGGAGACTCCTATCAAGCGCAAGCCTGGCCGGCCACCGAAACGACCCGAGAGCATGCTATCTGGCCTTGGCTCCCCTCCCGCACCTCGCATCCTGCCCCTGCCTACACACAACCCTAAGGAACGCCTTAACCTACCCAAGCCAGCATATCGTAACGTCGACACTTTCGCCCAGTATGAGCAGCAAGGCTCAAACCAAAGAAACTACGTCGACAAGTCCATGGCTCATGTTGGCTACCAAGAGGGGGATCGCTTTGATATACCCAAACACATCCTGATCCGTCATGTCGAAGGCCCCTACGACGACGATAGCATCACTGGCCTTGTCGTCAAGTCTGACAAGACCGAGGAAGCTCGTCCACCTGTCGTCTTCAACGTCGAGTATGACATGGACGAACAGGACGAGCGATGGTTGGAAATGCACAATGCTCGTCGCAAGGAGGACCAGGCAGAGCCCATCAAGCCCGCCCTTTTCGAGATCACCATGACTCAGATCGAGCGCGAATACTACGCCCTCGAGAAAAAGATCCCCAAGCCAAATCCGAGACACGCCCAAATCACAAGACCGCGCTCGAGTTCGGCCGCAGCAGTCAATGGAGAACCCAGCGGACCAGCCGACGAACCCGACACTAAGTGTGCTGTATGCGACGATGGTGACTGTGAGAACGCCAACGCCATCATTTTCTGCGACGGCTGCGACCTGGCCGTTCACCAGGAGTGCTATGGAGTTCCCTTCATCCCTGAAGGCCAGTGGTTCTGTCGGAAATGCAAGGAAATCGGTCGTGGCACTCCCACTTGTGTCTTCTGTCCCAACGTGGACGGCGCCTTCAAGCAAACGAATACGTTGCGCTGGTCTCATCTGCTTTGCGCTCTCTGGATCCCTGAAATCACTATTGCCAACATGACCTTCATGGAGCCCGTCACCGACGTCGAAAAGGTACCTCAAAGTCGCTGGAGGCTCAAATGTTATCTCTGCCAACAGAATATGGGTGCTTGTATCCAATGTGGCAACAAGGCTTGCTATTCGGCATTCCATGTCACATGTGCGAGAAGGGCCAAATTGTTCCTCAGAATGAAGTCTACCCATTCTGGAGGCATCGACGCTTCCGTGCTCAAGGCTTTCTGCGACAAACATGTTCCTCAAGATTGGCGCAATGAACACGACGTTGACACTGCTGTCGCAGAAGCCAAGCGCTACTACAGACACACAATGAAGAACAGAAAATGGGCAGACAGCTCTAGTACTGCTGTTGCCGCGACTCCTGCGATCCAGCCAGATTCGACTGCCGAAAATGTAGACGAACTGGGCCACGCCGACGATACCATCGTTGTTGCTGCAAACAAGCGTAAGAAAGCCCAACCTCAGAAAGCCGGCTGGCGTTTGCCATCGGGCGCGCCCGTCGTACCTGCTGTTGTCTTCAATACAGTTGACAACTCCNTCGGACGGTTCTCGCTTAGGAAGCGAAAAGAGTTTGTTACCGAAGCTTGCAAGTACTGGACACTGAAGAGGGAGGCTCGCAAGGGTGCTGCTTTGCTGAAACGTCTCCAACTATCACTGGAATCTTTCTCCNCTATGGAGATCACTCGTCGTAACTTCTCGGGTATGGGTGCTGCTGGCAGACCACGCTTGCTCAGACGAATCGAGTTCGGTGATATCCTCAGTAAGGATGTGAACAGACTGGAAACCCTCATTACCGACGTTCGCCAACGCGAAGAGTTGAGCCTTGCCGATACTACTGAAGTCCTCAAGAGCCTTATTGACAACGTTTACTTCCCTATCACTCCTCTGCTTCGACCAATTCTGCAACGAGCGCAAAAGTAAGTACAAAGTGTGTCTTTTTCTGTGAAGGGGCAAACACTGACTTCATGCAGACTTGACGAGAAGAGCGGCTTCTTCAAAGATGGATTCGAAGAGCTCGAGCGAAAACTGTCTGAACGACAATACATATCCGTTGCTGAGTTTTCTGAAGACATCTTGACAGTGTTGTCCAGTGATAATACGAGTGTTGACAACAACGTCACCGAAGTTCAAGATGTAACCGACACGCAGCATCAACTTGACGAACCTGTCGACACTCCAGAGCACAGGGCTTTGACACCAGAACAAAAGGAGCTTAAGAAGGTCCGCAAACGAATAATCAAGCCCGTCAGGGAACTTCTCGAGAAAGCATCGACACGAGAAGCGGAGTTGAAATGCATACCGGTGGAAGAAAACCCGAGATGGGCTGAATTCGACGCACTTCTCGAAGACTCGGTCCAGACAAATGGTGCACTGCCAACTACAGAGAATGATGACAACATCTCACCGGATACAAGTGTTTCCGTAGTTGCAGGCGCATCTCCCAGTCACACTAACAACCGTGCTGACGAGGATGTTGACATGCTGGACGATGATGACGAAGATGCTGAAGGCGAACCAGATGTGGAAGTCAACGCTACCGCTCACGCACCAGTAAACGCAGGAGTCTTACCTGCAAAGGGAACCATATTCAAGCCGATGCAGCCTTTATCGCCACCAAACTCTACATCAAGTGTTGCTAACAACAACGTCGATGCAACCATTGAGCCTGGCAACCAAGAGCTTGCACCACCTCCTGTTGTTGCGAACGACCCATGGGCCCACGGCGGAATACCATGGTATCTAGAACTTTTCGACATCGATGGCACGACGGTGCACGAGGAACGTTGGTCAGGCCGCGACGCCATGTCAGAAGAGCTCACCGACCTCGACGAGGAAGAAGTGGCTGTCCTTTGCGACAAACCTGCCGCTTCCGTCGAGGCGGACGATAACACCAAGAGCCGAACCAGGAGCTCGGCACGAATCAAGCGCGCTGAGGAAAACAGCACCACGTCAAACGAAGAGGAGAATGCTCCGGCAGAAGTACAGATGACTGAAGAGCAAAGAGCAGACAGGGAGAAAAAGGACAAGGCGAATGCGAAGCGCAGGGCCCAGAGAAGGCGCAAGTGGTAATAGCAGCCATATTTTTGCGTGTTTTTCCTTGACTCCTCCATCTTGAGAGGCGGCGTTTCATGGTGTTTTTTACAATTCTTTGAGAGAGGGGTTCTTCAAGCTACGGCTGGGAACAAGGTGTTTGGGAAATTCACTCTTCTTTTTCTTCACGAGAGACGAGATTTGATTGCTATATTTGGAGAGGAGGGAAGGGACTATGGGGAAATTCAGGGGCCATCATCATGAGCGACTGCGAGGCAGTAGTGACCAGCCTCTTGCAACTGCCACTTTGTAGAGTAGTGGTATGCAGAAAGGATGAATAATACAAATTGACTCAACTCTTTGCTCATCGTCCAACTTGCTGTGCATGGTCCAGTGGGGCAATCCGCTCAATCTCTTCATCGCCTTGGTTCAAGCATCAAACTCATCCTCTGCACATCTTCATCAAGCGGCATGAACCAAAGAAGGGTGTGCTAAGAAGATCTACAAGTTTACCACACGGTGACACATTCTCTCCTTTAGCAAAACATACTGACTCGCCGCGACAAAAGGTAATAGCCACAGCTGTCATAGCAAAAAGCCAACACCTCCAGGGTCCACAACGTCAATGCCTTTGCCTATACAGTACAGTGCAGTCTCTCCATCAGGCAAGATCTTCTCCATGCTGATCGTCCAGAAAATGCTCCGAAGATCTTTGGGATCTGCACGGTGGACAAAGCCGCTGTCGATCGCTATGACGCACGGTCACCCTGCCCGTTTTTGATCAACCTCAAGCCACTGACAATTGTTTGCCATGCAGATTTGGAAGAAGTGCATGAATCGCGATCAAGAGGCAGAAGAGGCAAAGAGGCACACGAGATAGAAGTCTGAGAGGTAAGAACTGCGAGTAGAGAAAAACAATGGTATCATGATTTGTTGCGGTGTCCTTTCGTATGAGTTCGTTAATAACCTTCCGTGCTTTTCCAAAAACGTCCTTGTATCTAGCCCTCCCTGAATGAATATGCACACTATTGTTACAAAAGAGACTTGTACAGATGATCAGTTCAACATGCGCATAGCGTCGAAGATGTCAACTGTGCTCTCCATTCCCCTCTCTACTACAAACTCGTGACTGTATGATCTGAACGCCATAACGCCGTCCTCAGGCACCTCTTCGGGAACAGAAACTCCAAATGATTGGCCTTGTTGCCTTGCTGTGCCCCACCAAGCAGGCGTCTGAGCAGCCTGCTGCTGGTTCTGATATTGCAGACCCAGACCAGAATGAGAGTTGAGCAACTTTGCAGTTGCAGCTGCTGCAGAAGACGCAGTCAAGGTCGAAAGGTTGGGTGCAGGACTATTGGCGCCAGAGCAGCTGCAACTCGAGCCGCTGGACTTGCGGTTGGTATCACTGCACACGCTGTCGTGATCCATGTTGTAGAGTCCTGTGCTGTTGCAGCGGTCGTACCAGCTTGATGAGTCCATGTCGTCGCTGCTCGCGCTGTGAGGACTGCTGTCCCACATGTTGCTTGAAGTTGGCGACATGGTGGAGGATGTGAAGCTCGAGGGTGTCGAAGGCCCTTCTGGCGACGCAAGAGTGTCTAACATGAATGCGTCGAGGGTTGGTGTACGAGCTTCAGGCAGATGGTGGAATGGAATAGTTAATCTAGACTCCGGCTGTTGGGGGTTGAGGTAATCCAGAGACTCTTCTTCGCTTATCGCAAACGAGTAACCGGAGAAGCGTTTGCTTGCAGGTGACTCGGCAGAGATAGAAGAAGCGGTCTGCTCAGTGGGATTGTTTGAAACGTTGTTCGACGTGGCCGGAGACCTGACAGAGGTGCGTCGTGATGGGAAGGAAAAGTTGGACGTCAAACTTCTGTGTAGACTTTTAATCGAACTGGTTCGGTTCACTGCGCCTGTTGTGTTAATGCGTAGCGGCTGAGGTCGGAGAGACGAATGCGAATCACATCGCTGTGGCGACGATTTGTGAGAAAAATAGTCGTTGTCCTCACAATCAGGGTGAATCGTGAAGGCAGACTCTTCACTGCCCTCTTTATCAGTCTTGATCGGTCTCGCCTGCGAGACTTGAACAGTAGTCTTCGTGTCCTCGGTCCATGCCGGCATGCCCGTAGTCAACAAGCAGAGGTGATATGGCACGGCATCTGCTTCTACCACTTGTTTGGGGGCACGTATCGCATTGGTAAGCATTTGCAAGATTGTGTAGATGGCAATCCATCGCACTTTTCGCGCGTCTCCGATTGAGAGCTTTTCCTCTGGCCTGAAGGTCAGCTCACCTTCGAAGTACACGTAATTTCGCACGAGTGCTGAGCTGGATGGAATTTTGTTTGTCGCCGCAGATAGTGCAGCTCGCGCTGTCACACTTTGATCCGTCTTGCTGGGCTTTGAAGTCAACCTGAGTGATCGGAGACCCTTCTGTGATGACGTCCTGTATTCGAGGCTGTGGTAGTCGGGTAGCAGAGGGCAGGTATGCGGCAATGGCTCATACTTGTGGCGAATGTTGAACGCATTGACATTCTGGACCACACAGATGCCTCCAGTAAGCAGTCTGCTTGGTGAAGATTCGCCGTCTACCAGATAATCGTATAGCATCTGAAACTCTTGGTGCATGCTTCGTAGAAGGCCTTTATCCATTATGTGACCAGTTTCTGGTGGCCAGTATCCGAATTTGTTGACATAGTAAGAGTGCAAGAATGAGCGGAAACGATCCAGGTGGTTTCGGGCGGGCGTCGGTAGTCCCAAATGTGTAGGAGCGAGCTCGTCTTCCAAGAAATTTCGCAGAGCTTTACTCACACGGCCCAAATGCAAGTCCATTTCCAGGTACGATCGTGTGATCAAAGCTTTCGTTACTTTGCTCACATCACCAAATTCCGGGCTCAAATCCAGTTGATCATTCATGCCAACACAATGAGCGAAGGCATCAATCCAGAGATCTCTCAACCTGAACTTCTCGGCAAGACTGAGGAAAGCCAATGCATAGTCCGGTCGGTTGACGAATTTTGAATAGCCTTGCTGATGAGCATATGATAAGAAATCCTGGTTGTTGCTAGTCTTGTCTGGACAGAACAGCTGAATGCGTTCCAATAGGTCAATAAGGGTTTTTCCCAATTTGGATCCGACCAGTGGCTTTTTTNNTGTGATGTAGGCAAAGAAGTTACGAGTCGTGATATGCCAGCGATAGGCCTCTTCCCGCATGGCGTCTTCGGGTGCGGGGATGTACAGTTCGTACTCAGTGTGTGTTGATGATGTGCTTGGTGTCGTGCCATCGAGACTTTCGTTACTCGAAATCGAATCCAGAGCCATATGTGTGTTGATGAAGGATTCACCTGCCGTCGCCTCCACCAAAGCATAGGATGTTCTAAAAGACGCACCCCTCTTTGATTTTCCTTGACCGTAAAGATGAACAAGGCAGTCGCCATCCTGTTGCCAAAGTTCTTGGTCCNNTGCCAAATCAATCAGTACATGTTTCTTCTCATTGCATGACATGAGACTTACTCGTCGAAGGCCGTCCCAATCGACAGACTTGTGAGATTGGGCATCCCATCTCTTCACGCCTGACAACTTGGATGGGTTTCTCATGACTGCTTGCGCGGACTTCTTTGGCTTCTTGACTGGTGAATTTGAGCCTTGAGCGCGTATCGTCAAAATCCTCGAGAAGTTGGGCACATTCGGATTTCGAGGGCCTGAAGATGGTGGACCAGGCAAGAGGACTTTATGAGTATCTCTGATGTCCATAGTAGCAGAGGATGGCAAACCATGACGATGCATGTCGATCATATGTACTGTTGGAAGCCAAAACGCAAGAGGTCAAGATGTACCTGATGTACTTGCGAGGAGAGATCTTGGAGTCGTCAAACGGCTTCCAGTGGAGCCCGGGAGTCGTCTAGGGTTATAGCTCGAGTCGTGCCAGGGGAAGAGAGCCAGCAATCGGAGGCATGCTGGCTGGATCTTCGAATACCCATGGCACACTAGTTGCTTGGTGCGCTGGTGTCAACTCTTTGCAAATGATCAGCGCAAAGCATCGGCCGGCAATGGGGAAGCGATGCATGTAAAGATGAGGCGGCACGGGAAGCACATGGCTGCACCGCGCTGCCCGGACTTCGCCAGACCCGACCTAAAAGCTGAGAGGGTCAGCTCGAAGCCTAGACAGCACCCGCCCAGACTCCAGCTGACTGCTGAACATTCGTATTAATGTAAGCGATGCCAGCTTTTCCCCTCCTTATCCTTTCAGCTGTATCTCAGCTCCAGTTTATGTGCCTGAAATGTCTCAGTTCGCGACAGGAACAATGGTATAGCTCTGGCAGTACCGTCTGTTGTGACAAAAAGACTGAGGATTCATGACGCCGCCTCCGGACTTCACCCTGGTCATCACCTTCGCTTTCTCCGGGCTCGACCACCCTCTGCGTAACCCTCCTCTCCCAAACTTTACTCCACCACACTTTCAAAGCTGTGCAAGGTGCTTCAGATCTGCGATTTGATTATCGTGCGCTTGCAGTCTTACGCGTTGATTTTTCTTATTGGAAGCGTTCCATCAACTGCGCCTGCCGACTTCCTTTGTAGCCCAGCTCGCGCGACGGCCCGAAAAAACGTTGCCATCTGAGCCGTCCCGCCTGACTTTGAATTGCCCACGTGAACGAGCAAGAGGAGTTCTCTCCTCTCTTTTTCCTTTTCGGAACCTCCGCGCCGGCCAAATAGCGCCCCTTCACAAGGACCCTGCCTCAAGATCAACGCCATCTGCATACTGTATCTTGCAGATAGGAGAACCGATCCACTTGCTGAGGCATGAGCAAGACGATCAGTTTCAACTGGTATTTAATTCGACGATCGCATGATGTGCATCCCTGGCCTTATGTCTCCACTCAGTGATGACGCGAATCCACAGCACGACATGCATTGTCCTACCTTGTCCATGTTGGTCGCGCATACCATGAATGCGCACCCCTGTTGAACCTCGAGGGCCGAGGAACTCTCGGCCGTGTCACGGAACGTCCTTATCCGATGTCTGCCTTGAACGACAGAAGCTTGCATACATTTCTTGCCAGAAGAAAACGATGAGCATAGGCTCAACAGCTATGTGTCTCCGAATTTTGCCTTTTGCTCTTCCTGCTTCTTATGCTCTTCCTCGGCCTTGTCCTTAAGTGCCTTTGTCTTTTCATGCTGGGCTTCTTGTTCCTGCAGCTTCTGCTGCAGGATTGTCCTAGCCTGTTTGACTGCTTCGATCATGGCGTTAAGGTCTTCCTTCTTCCAGTTTGGCTGCACAATCAAGCTCTTCAAGTTCGTAGCCTTCTCTTCCACAGCTGCAACTTCTGGTGTCGAGGTGGCGTCTTGTCCAACCACATCCTTCTCCGCAGCGAAGATGGCATCGTGTGCTTCCTTCATGAGAAGCTTGTTGGCAGTCTCCATGACGTCTTTGAGAGGTTTGAGGCTCTGNAACAGCAGCATATTAGCATGATGATCAGATATAAGCTATTCCATACTGACCTGTTCCAGCACTCCTAGCACGGACTCCACAGAAGCCAATTCCACGGCATCCCCTCGTTCAAGCACTTTCCTGAGCTCAGTCATCCGATCCCGGATCAAGGTGGCGTCGCTTTGCACAAGACGCTCTTGATACTCTAACAATCTCGACTCCGTTCGCGTGAGCAACTCACTTGCCTTTCTTCTCACCTCGGCTAATTCTGCCTGTTTTGCTGCTCGTTCGCCAGCCTTCTGGTTCCAGAAGTCTTTGACTTCTGCGGGGTAAGATGTGTGCTGAACCTCCATCTCCCAGTCCGGCAAATGCTGCTCAGCACGCTCAAGCCAGAAAAGAATCCTCTCATCGCGATTAATGACACCAGCAAAATGGACCAGAAAATCTCCTCGTCGGACTTGGTAAGGAGCCAAGGTCTCGTTATGCTCGCCTTGGTAGGCATTGAACCATCTTTGAGGAGCTTCGACTGTGTGTGCAGAAAACTTTTTGTCTTTCAAAAGTGTATCCATAGCACTTTGATCCCGGAATGTCAGGTCCTGATCTGGTTTGTAGTACCTGGAAGAGATGATGGCCGAAAAAAGCTCAACGGCCCATCGGTTGACTCGCACTGGAAACACGCCATTATTCAGACCATTCCAATCGTTGGTCACCAAAAGATGTACGTCGTCGAATTGAGGCGATGGTGGTAAGAAGATTTCTAGGGGCACATACGGATTCAACATGATGGTATCTGCGTCAACCCAAAGAAGCCATTCAAGTCGTTCTTCGGCTGGTTTGGCCAACTCTCGCAGCAGAAGCGACAATATGTATGCGGGCTTTGACCACACGTCGTCCATGATAGACTGTCGAAGCACGTAGAGAGGATAGCCATGGATTCGGTCGTGGAGCGCATGTGTTTTGACGGTCCGCTCGTATATGGTCGATCCTCCAAACACAATGGTACATTTCCCTACTCTGGTCTTGTGGCCCCATAGCTCTGATTGTGGCTCGAGGACTTCCTCGGATTTGAGTGGTGATGAAGTTGGTCTCGCTATTTGGGCTGCGGTTGCATTGTGTGCAGCAGTCGCATTTGCTTCTAGCTCGACGTCAAGTTCCAGTTCTGAGCCCCATGTCTTCCAGTATGAGACTTTATCCGAGACCGTATGGTGTAGATCTTTCAGCGCGCCTTTGATTGACGGCCTTCGGTCAGGCTGATTCACGACTCCATCTTTGCCATGGTAAGCTTTGATACGATTTCCAGATTTGTCGCCTTTTGGAGAACTATCTGGCGGATGAGTTGCTCCTGGGTATATGTCCGGCCCATCCAAGATATCGCCTGAGATGCCGTAGTCGCCTCGGTAATCTGCAATATCGTATTGGTCCGCCGGATTGAATGTGGAAGTCATGAGATAACCAAGAAACATTGTGGCAAGCGCTATGAGCAAGAGCTTGAGACGTCCATGCCCAAAGAGCGCAGCACCTGTTGCCGAATTGCCCAACCAGGAGGGTTGTTCCTGCATTTTCACGAAAGAAGAATTTCCATGAAGCTGGATGCTTCGCACAGTGGAGAGCGCGTCGCGGCTCTTCTTCCATTTTACTGTTCTCGAAATCATCCCTGTCCAGAAGATATAGTCCGTCCTGGAAGCAAGGTTCTCTCAAAATGGAATGCGACACCACATTCCAAAGTTCGGTAATTCACAAGGTTTTGTGCAAACTTCCGGAACGGCCTCCAATCTACAGCGTCGAAAAATTACCCAAGAATGAACATTAATTCCCTATCAAACTCATGACATGCAGGGGATCGTTTCTTGTGTGTGCACCCAAGAGATGAAGAAATCTGCAAACCGCACTGTCATGCAGGTCCCCGCCGCTTGTCGGAGGGGCTTGCAGCGGCAGTGGCCATGCTGCTGTGTAACGGACAACTACAGAAATCAACAGACCACCGTGCACCTGAGCCGCACACTTCAGATTTCTTGATGTATGAACTTTTCCATCAGTCTTGCACGGCAAGTACAGGCTTCTGACAGTATGTTCATGATGCAGAGTCACCTTGGACTTTTTTGACAGGTAAGCAGTACGGCTCGCTGAGCTTTGTCTGTTTTCATGCAAGCCATGGTGCTGACCTTAGCGCTTGGCCGTCCACTTGAATTCAACTGTACGTCACATTTTGTGAAGACTGTGGGTCTTATGAGGGATAGTTCACTGTCGGCTGCTTGCTTGCTCTGCCATGGCGTGATTGGACGATACCTGCTCGACATGAAGGTCGAACTACGGCAGTGTACCGGAGTTGACATGTTTGAGTGCCCGGTTATCCGCANNATGACAGCCATCAAACGTCGCTGCAATGCAAATCCCGATCTTCAAGTGGAGAACATCTTCATGGATCTGCAGCGTGAGTCTAGACACCTGTCATGGGTGAGGTCTGAATATTGAGATCAGACAGTGGAACAGCTCTATCNNCAAGTCGAGTGTAAACTGAGTATGTTTTACGACTGTCACCATTTCATCTGGGACGTCTTTGACTCAGACAGCAGTGCAATTGGTCTTGAAAGGTTTAGAGGGTATTGCCAACCTCATTCGCCTGATCGTCTCTTCAAGGGTGACGGGAAGCAGGTGTTGCTCGGGAGCTTCCCGTCGCTAATATCTTCCATACACTCAAACGACATGGNNATGATTTCTTGCAAAAATGACGGGCCGTAATCATCAGGGCAGGATCTTGACACTATTGCTCATTAATAGTTGGGTGGCCGTCTGGTTGGCCATGTCTTACATACTCCTACACTGAGCCAGCGATCTTTCCACCATCTGGACAGCACCTCTGCTTCTTCGTTGATTCTACTATTCAACACTACTTCCTATTCAGTAATAGTAATAGTAATAGTTTATTGAAGTGTTTCGCTCCTGCTTAGATTCTTCAAGTGGGTATCTCTCCAACAGGAACCATTTCGTCGTTGCTAACAATGGTATAGCTCGAACTATACCTTCACTTCACAGCGATTTGTTCAAAATACGTTCGCTCTAATCTCTTCGTCGTCAGCTTTCAAAATATCGTCGAGCCTCCGGGACGTTCCTCGCCGAGTGTTCGCCCCACCAACCTGATATAAGTTGCTGTTCTTCTGCAGGGCTGCAAGTATCTGTACGAATCCGCGACGACATCTGTGGCTACGACACCGTCTGGGAAAGAAATACTTTGCTACAACGCATATCAACATACCGCTTCAACGAACATGATGGCGGTCAGAAATGGTGGTGAGCAGGATGTGAATAAGTATTACTATGGAGGTCAGTCTCTTCTTTCGTCTGCGCCCAACAGCTCTTGATCGCTGACAAACCGCGCAGAGTTCTTTCAACGATCTCTGCCCATCTACCGCGCACCACCTCGTCAGGTACTGCAGCCTAACTTTACAATATATCCACACGCAAACGTGAGTCTTGACAGTCAATGCAGCATTGGGTGAGCATCGCTGACCAGGTCACAGTACCCAATCGCCAACTACTACGGCTACCAACAAGCCGTTGCCCTCTCCAACATGTCAAACATCTTCGACCAAGATGCAAAGGAGTACTTCTTCGACATGGAGTGTCCTGAATTCACCGGCAGCGAGTCTTCGGACAGCCCTACTGATTCGTGCTTCACCAGTTGGGGCTCCTTCACACCACCCTCTCCACGCCAGGATGCAAAGGACCTGACTTTGGGTGACAATGCTATGCCTGCGTACTCACCTTTGTCCGATCTGTCGCCATTATCGAGCTTGGGTGACAACTGCCTCAAAGCCGACTCTTCCTGGCCCGAACAGCCTGCAGCCTTCTGCGACACGTTGCCTCAGTACAACTCCGATATATGGTCATGCTCCCAGTACGCTTCGGCTCGGCCACTCTTCGAAGTCACTGGCCGTGTTCCAACCATGCCCATTCAGTCTCAATCTGATGGGTTGTTCGCTCCCTCGTCGTTCCAGGAGATGTTCCCCATGACTGTGTCACACCTTGCGTCAAACACGGCACCATCGCTGGAGCAGAACATGCCGGCTGGCTTTGTAGGCTACGGAGCGGACGGACTGGTCGTTCCTGGACACCTCTTCAACACCACACTGGACAGGTTCGCTTTCACGGACCCAAGTCCCGTGCTCNTTTCCACACAACCCATGACCGAAGACACTCTGGAACTTGGCCCTCTCCCCAGTACCAACGAACTCGAACTACCATCCGAACCGGCCGAGCAAGCAGTCAGATACATTCCGGAAATAGCTCACAACACCAGGGATGAATATCTTCAGGAAGCTCGTCGACGTGGTCTGTCCTACAAGGAGATCAAACGTCGTGGCGGCTTCACTGAAGCCGAGTCTACTCTGCGCGGCCGCATCCGTATCCTATCCAAGCCCAAAGAGATGCGTGTCAGGAAGCCGCAGTGGAACCGCTCAGATGTAANNGTCCTCATCTTCAGTGACGTTGTATCTTGCCTGACACAAAAACCATAGATCACGCTCCTTATCGACGCAGTCGAGTACTTCTCCGAAGCGTCGCAGGGTTCGACGTCTCGCAAGACCAACGTGCGCCAGAGAAGCAATCCGAGCAAGCTGCCATGGAAGAAGGTCGCCGAGTGGATGTTCTCACACGGTGCATCATACNCCCTTGCTGGTGCAACCTGTGCCAAGAAGTGGGAGCAGATCCGTGAGATGTCCTTCTAGGTCATCGTTATGGATGACTTGGAGGATAGTCGAGGTAATAATAGTTTCCTTTGTTAGCACTTCGGTTGTGTGACCTTTCACTCTCTTTGTCATGTTATGAGTAGAGTAGTGTTTTCTCCCACGGATCAGAGGAGTTTGCTTTGGCGTCGGCTGACTCCTTAGCCATACGCTCGTTACCTTTGTCCCGTGAACCAGATAGCGGCTCGCAGCCTGGATGAATACATGTTCTTTCTGCTGCTCTCGTTGATGTTTGATTGTTGTTGTGATGAGGTTGGCTCCTCTGCTGTTGTGCTCGAACGTTTCGCATCCTGCCATCTCGGACCGAGACTCTCGCGTCAGACAGCAATGACATCAAACTCACGCGACAACTACGTCCCTCGGTCCTTCCTGCCAAATCGACTACTCGACATCAGATATCGTTTGGCTCAGTATGCAGTTAGGCTTGGAGGAAGCATTGCCATCTTTGGTGAAGGCCAAATTCGCTACCGCGAAAGCCAGTCAAGCATTGATCTTCTCGTCCACTGAGCTATCTATTCTTCGGACCAAATCTGGCGCACCTGTGAGTCATTGATCTCTGTTCCGAATGTGTTGATGTGCATATGAAGCATGAGAACCATCAAAAGTGTCTACTTTCTGATTGATACGCCAGTTTCAACTCCGCTACTGCCCAGCACTGGCAAAAAAGCCAACCGACAATAATGACAAGAACAAAGCCAAAGGTCCAAAGCCAGATCCTTTCGACAACCCTTCTGAAGGCCTGCTGATTGCGAACATTCCCACTGCCAATGCCAGTCATGTGCTCGTGTTGAACAAGTATCCCGTCATCCCTCAGCATTTCATCATTGCGACCAAGCTTAATAAGCAACAAACACATATGCTTGAGCAGGATGATCTAGCTGCCACACATGCTTGCCTGAGAGCTTGGGAGGAGAACAAGCAGAATGGAAAACTGTTCGCCTTCTTCAACTCTGGCGAGCATAGTGGGGCTAGCCAGGCACATCGACATCTGCAATTTCTGAGTGTTGATGAGATGAAGCGAGATCAACAAGAAAGCTCGAGCTGGGATCCTCTAATCGGACGAATGCTGGAAAACCCTGCCAAGGAAGCACAAGGTATGGTTTGACCTGCGAGTGTATTGTCGAACGGATGAGTACTCACATGCCTTCATGTAGAGCTAAGGACCAACCCTGAGTTACCCTTCGCTCACTATGCTCTCCAGCTTCCGCAGGAGCCTAGTCCGGAGACACTCTACTCGTCCTACAATAAATTATATGAAGCTGCTGCCGCCGCAGTCAGATCCTACATCTCGTCCAGTCAGGACTCGGGCCTTGAACTGCACCCATCCGAGGGAGGATCGTCGCCCATCAGCTACAACCTCGCCATGACGACTTCGGTAATGGCTATAGTCCCACGCAGGAACGAAGGTACCCCAATCAAGAACAACCAAGGTGTCGAAGTCGGAAGTGTCGCCCTGAACGGTACATTGTTAGCCGGCACTTTGATGGTCAAGCTCGAAGATGAATGGAATACTTTGCGAAACGACGAGCTACAACTCGACGGAATCTTGACAGCAATTGGCATTCCTAGGCAATGAGCCTACGCTTCGTCAAGGAGAGCCACATGATAATTGTATGCGACAATAATCAATGGAGCTACATTGTTGACTTTACGACTCGTCCGAGACAATAGGAACAATGAAAAGAGTTGATAGATATGAGACAGTTCTTTTCGTATAATCAGAAACATTCTTGACGATGCACAGAAACATCCCTCCACAGACATGTCTCAAGCACACATAACTATCAAGTCTCTCCGCCATGCAGGATGCCGTCTCTACGAAAACGCTTAATTCTGTTCAGGATGCGTAAAAATATCGGACTCACGAGTACGTCGCTCGCAACAATATCACCTTGGATAACTACATGGTCCATCTTCTTCGAGAGGAAGAGATGAGCGAGGCTTTTCAGATGGTCGATNCTGAGAACGCTGCAGATATGGGCCGAAAGCTGGAAGAAAGTCTGCAAGAGCCATGGAGCTATCTCGACGAATGCAACAAGATACTCGAGGAGAAAAGGCTGNAAGTCTTTCAAAAGACTCAAGGAAGAGGCCGAGGAGTCGAAGCAGTCGACAACAACGAGCTTCACGAAGATGGTATTTTCAAGGAAGCCTCGCAGTCCGATTTACCCAGCGAAGACTCTTGCAACGGAGACAACTCCACCAGACCCACCACTACCACACCCACCAAGATGAAACCAACACCCCGACCACCCAGTCACAACGGCGAATGAACCTGGTCCCAAGAGTTCTACCACATCAAGCAACAATACAAGTACGAAGCCAAAGACAAAGAAGTCGCTGCAGACAACCCTTTTGCCGGCTTCGTCAGATACGGCGTCTCCAAAACTCCCGAGAATCAGTTGTATTCTCACAACATGACGAGAAAGGAGGATTCGTTGCGCCGTTTGCCTGACGTTTTGGCTTATCGACCTTTGGATGCTGCGAGGATATTTGCTGATCATTCGGATGACTGTCTTTGGAGGATGGCTGCAAAGAGGATTCGGATCATTGTGACGCAGCATTGAGGAGGCTCGGTGTGTTGGGGCATGAAGACGTGACACGACAATAGAGGGCGGCTCTGGCACGGTTGGCTCACTTGGAAGGAACAACCTCAACATAAAACATGACATCCACTGAGAGGCTACACGTTTGGCGACACGAGATTCTGCAATCAAGATTTTGCTTAGCTACCAGAGGTCAAAAATCTCAAGCAACAACTTGCGAAACTTTTGGGAGCTGCGAGACACATTTCCATATACAAACACATTTACACAGATGTAGTCTTTCATTTCCCCATCTTCAATCGCACTTTTGTTAATCTGTTTGTAGTCAACGAGCATGAGCACAACGATGGAGAGATCATCAAAGTGAAAACAAAGCGACTATATAGTGTAAAAAGTTGCTCACCTCACATCCCTCCTATAAGTCCACACGGTAGTCTGACTGAAGGGAGATTCCCGATCCTCTGTACAGGAAGTAATCTACCGCCAATTGCAATGAGTGTATACGCCGGGAGTGGTAGCGCCGGAGACTTTACTTTTGCAATGTCAAAGGTCGTGGGTACGACCCCTGGCTTGATCGACTCCTTTTTGTTTGCTCTCTTGTTTCGTGCGTATGTTTGTGAACTGCTGTGACCCAACTCGATAGAGTGTTTATTGTTTTTGGTTGGTCGTTGCTTCTTCCTGGCTGCGCTGACTTTGTTCTGCACCAGCGTCAGTTGCTCCTTCCTTCTGACTTGGTGTGATTCGAGATCTTCACGTGTCTCTGTGATCAACTTAGCCCATAAAGATAGACATCGACCAATGAAATTAAACAGGACAGTTCTAAATCAGGATTGGAAGGCGAGAGCCAATTAGGTCTTCTCGTCTGTTTGCTACGCTCTGGAAGTGGATAGCAAACAACAGACAAAGATTGCTGTCAATTGTTACTGGGCTCATCATTTCTTCCTTCGATCAACATCTCATAGTATCGTACTCGAAGATCAGCCTCAGGAACTTTGCCGTCTGGATACTCTGAGCGCCTTAGTATCATGGATGCAGAAATCTCCCTTCCAACAACAAACACCACCCTGACCATCCACGTCCATGTACACCTCAGCATCCCACCCTCCAGGTACACATTCGATATCTCCTCTTGTGTCACCATGTTCATTCTCCTTGTAACCAGCAAGCTTCTGGCGTTGTGGTTGACTCTCAAGTGGGAGAAAATGCAGGAATCAGCTTCTACAACTAGCAGCGAGTCTTGGAGAAGCAGGACAAGCGAGAGAGGCTCCTTGAGCAGCGATTCTGATAGTGAGGAGACTAGGGTACATGGGGCTGAGGCCGAGATCACTGAGAGGAGATGGGTTGCTTGTGAGTTCTTGTTTCCATGAGATGGTGATATCGGTTCAAGCTAACATGGGTCTTCTATTCTCAAGATCCGACTTGGTGGTGAATCTACAACGAAAAGAAACGAATGGGAAAGAAAAGGACAGTCCAACATTGGTATGGAGAAAGAAGTTGGTATCGATGATATGAGAGACATTACGGGCTATAATTAAAACATGCAACTTTTATCGTTCTTCGTACCCCATGTGGTAAAAAATCTAGTGATCTAGATGCGAGTGATCCTAATCTTACGATCTGTTTAGAACAGCTTGTGGAGGAAGCCGCCCCTCTTGGGGGTCTGTTCGACATCGACCTCGCTGGAGGTCTCAGACACGTTCTTTTCGGCATCGGGCAGAGATTGTTCCTTGCCAAGGCGAGGGTTACGCAAGCATAGCGAGAAGGCGATCAATGGAATGCAAAGGCAGATGCCAGTGATGCACAGCAGACGTTGAATGTGTCTGTATGAGACAATGACGGCGTCGCGCTCGGGGGTGCCAACAGGGTAGTCGAGAATGAAGAAAAGAGGGTTGCTGTAAGCATAGACAGCAACAGTAGCGTTGTTGGTGACTGCAGCCAGGTTGCGCTCAAGCTCTCCAGGAAGGATCTGGGTCCACAAGGCACCGGAAATGGTTGAGCCAATGGCGGATCCAATGTTGTAGAGTGCGAGGTACAGACCGGTGACCAAGGCAAGATGCTCGTGCTGAGTGGCTGCTTGGATAAGGGTCTGGACCGGGTAAGGGAAGAGACCACCAGCGAAACCCAGAATGACCTCTCCTGCGATGATTCCAGCGTAGGAGCTCTGGGTCAGTCCACCTCTGAAACGGAGCAAGACACCGAATGCAACCATGAACATCAGAGTGCCAAATACAATGAATGGCTTCAAGTGTCTGATCTGCTTCACGAAGCGGACAAGAAGACCAAGCGACACACCAGTCAGAACAGAAACGAAGCTGTAGAGCGAAGTGATGCGGGTAGCAGATTTGACGCTCTGATCGAAAGCAACGACAACGACAGTGTAAAGGTAGCCTCCTTGCATGTACCAGATGCTGTTGAGCAGACAGGCGACACCAAGAGCAGCCCAGACACTGCGGTCCTTCAGGAGATGGAACGGTACCAGAGGATGGGGAGCGCGACGTTCATAGAGGACGAAGACGGGGATGAGGCAGATACCAATGACCAGAGGAGCAATGACGTGAGCTGTGCCCCATGTCTCGGCGAGTCCTCCAGCAATGGTGAAGGGTACAAGGATGAGTGCAAACATAGCAATCATCAGGATGATGCCAGGGACGTCCAGTTGCCAGAACAGAGCAACAAGAGTGTTGCCCATACCGTTGCGCTGGAAAGCAGACTGGTAGTTGGCCAGGGCGCCAGCCTTCTTCGCGCGACTGGATGCAATAAATAGGGCGACGATGAGAGGCATAGCGCAGACGGGGTAGATGATGGCCCACATGCCGATTCCCCAGCGCCAGGTAGTGGTCTTCAATACAGCAGATGCGACGTCTCCTGAGACCCAGGTGTTGATCAGGAAGGGTAAGGCCGGGATGTAACTCCAAGCCAATCTCCCCTTCAAAGAAGAGATATCTCCGACGATGATTTCGACCAAAAGTGTGACGATAGTGTAACCAATCTGGTAAAAGATGGCTCCAGCTGCGAAGGCACTGACGTTGTGGGCAGCAGCCTCAATCACCGTACCCAGAAGATAGAAGAAGATGGAGAGGTAGACGAGCTCGACACGGCCAAAGACGTCGGCAATCTTTGCTGCTGTAGGCTGAGCAGCAGCAGCAATGACAGTGCGGACAATGTTGACAGTCGAAAGCAACGAGTGCTCGCCAATCGAAGAAAGAGCAGTACTCTGGTCATGTTAGTTTCCTAACGCATTACAATCAGGACTCGGATTGATCACCTGATACGTGTATCGAACGGTTCCATCGAGACCATAGGCGTATGCAATCAAGAAGACACCAATTCCGAGGAACCAGCGATCGAAGGAAGTGAGGTGGGCATTGATTGCTTCAATGCGCGCAACACCAGGACTCTTCTTTCCCAGAATTGCTACCTGCTCGCTAACAGCGTCTTCTGACGACTGGGCTCTGACTTCAGTCTCGGCCTCAGCCTTGGTGGCCGAAGGGGTATGAGAATCAATCGACGACATTGTAGCGGACCTGATATGGCGCGTCAAGTCAAGGGCCAATGTTCGATTCTATCGACAGGCGGGGTAGCAAAATTGATCGACGGAGAAGGATAGCATTGACAGAGGGACACGCCATTTTATGTAGATACCGCCAAGGCATTGGGAAGGAGCGGTCGGCGCAGCTGAAAAGCGCCTCCAAGTAAAAGAATGGAACCCGAGCCAGGCAAGATTGGGTGATGGATTAGATAGTCCGGAGAGTCTAGAGCTTAATTTTATCAGATCGTGCAGGGTCTAGCGATACTGTACCGACTATTGGCTCGTTTGCTGGAAGACCGTTGTCCAGTTGAGCTGCACGAAGTCCCGTGTATGACTAGGTACTTCCCTTGGCCTTCGAGACGAGTATGCTAACCACCTTGTCATTTGCAGATCATCAACGATCTAGGGCTCAGCGACGCCCTTCCCGACAACTCCGTCTTTGCTTGCGCTCTTGTTGTGGCACGATTTTCCAAACAAAGATGCGGTCTTCTTCTCAACACGAACTGACACCCGCAACGTGCAGGCCGAGAAGAACTACCGTGATGGTCTGATAAAATTCTCATCTTATCAGATGCTTCAACGGTAGCTTTGGCGCTTTGGGCTGCGAGTGGCTCCAAGGCGGCGTGAAAATCGTTCAGCTTGCCGGATGTTGACTCTCAAAAGGAAGATCATTTGTCCTTAGGTTCTTGGCGTGCAAATATATTGGGACTCATGGCTTGTCTCACACGAAAATCTTATCAGATTTGCAAACGAGTAGCCCAGACGCCCAGCACGAGAAATCGTTGGCTCCCAGAATCAAGACCTTGCAGACTGCATCACTGGTGTTTCATCGCAAAGCGTCTCTTTTTTTTCCAAAAGTCTACAAAAGAAGTTTCGGTGTTCAGGGAGGGATTGCCAGAATCCGAGTGTCCGAAATGCTAAGGAGCAGGCACATTTCAGACCCACTTATGCCCTGGTGATAGCAGGGTCGCGAGGTGTTTTGTTGAAATCAAGAACAGGAAGACACAACTATGGTTGATGGAGCGCTTTAAGAAGTAGAAGGTGACACGTCTTCAAGTCATTAAAATCATGCATATGTCATTCGTATAAAAGATTTCCAACAAGAACAAGAGTGGCCAGCACCCGTTACACCTTCTCCTCGTAGACGTGGTCTGAGGTTTTGGCGTAAGGCACCTCGTCTGCAGTCATCATGGGCTTGTACTTGGCGTACTTGACAGTACCCAACACTGAAGGGCTGTCCTTGAAGATGGTGTCGAGCTCTTCCAGCGAACGTCCCTTGGTCTCGGGATCTGAAAAGGGACGATTAGCATGGGTACAGAAAGACTACTGGGTATACATGACTTACAGNAGGAAGTAGACGGTGACAGGAATGCATGCACCAATGCAGGCGTAGACGATGTAGTACTGGTAGCCGATATTGTTGATTGCTACTGGCGTAATCATGGCAACGGCGAAATTCCAGAGCCAGTGGTTAGCGGTAGAGATTGATGCCATGGCCACGCGAAGACGTATGGGGCTGACTTCGGTGCAGTATAGGAAGTTGGCACCAAGGAAACCGATGGGGGTGAAGAAGCAGAAGAGGTAGACGAAGAAGGCGGCTGCGACAGATGCACCGTAGTTGTCGTGAGGGAACGAGGTTGCGACGGCAAGAGCGACCATGCACAACGCCATACCACCTCCAGAAACCATGAAACAAAGGCGACGACCGAAACGATCGATGCAGAAGAAGGCAACGAAACAGGACAAGAACTTCCAGGTCAGAGTACCAGCAGACAAAAGCTTGGAGTTGTAAGCAGTCATACCAAGACCCTGTTGGAAGATGGTGGAGGCATAGACGGAGATGAGGTTAGTTCCGGACATCTGCTGGAAGAACTGAAGCAAGATACAGAGACCGAAACGGTATGCGAGCTTGTCTTCGCCCATGCTGAACAGATCCTTGAAAGAGGCGGCTTTGGTTGAAGAGTCCTCGAGGGAGAGCTCAATGCCAACACATTCTGCCTCAATCTCGGGAGAATCGACTGGGAGGCCCTTGAGAGCAGCCAAGTTCTCACGAGCTTCCTGGGCGCGATTCTGGGCAAGAAGCCAGCGGGGTGATTCGGGGAAGAACCAGATGGAGAACAAAACGATGAGCGAGAAGAGGAGAGCGATGGCAATCGGAGGGCGCCAGGTAACAGATCCGGTCTTGAGCGTGAAGAATCCGAAATCGATCCAGGACTCGAGAGTGTAACCGAACGAGATGAACATGCCGTCAAGTACAACGTGCTTACCACGGTTCTTGGCGGAGGAACATTCTGATTGCCAAACGGGGACAGTAGCTGACAGTTGGCCAACACCAAGACCAATGATGACACGGCCGACAATGAGTTGAGCGAGTCCGAAAGCAGAGCACTCAATGGCTTCGCCAATAAGTGTGCAAAGAGCGCCGATGAAGATGACCCAACGTCTTCCGAGAAGGGTACCAGTGTAACTACAACTCAAAGCGCCAATCAGCGCACCGAGTGTGAATGTCGCGATAACGAGACCCTGGAGGGTAGCATGGTGGGCCTTGACCTCACCCGTGTAGTCGACAGTGTTGATTTGAGGGAATTGGTGTCTCCAGTTCTCTTCGGACAGCAATGGGCCGAGACCGGACTGGTTGTAACCAAATAGAATGAAAGATGGAGCCACGACCAATGCAACCTGAGCAATAGACAGGGCCTTGCCAGTCATTCCAAGGAAACCGACCATTTTGTCGGGATTGGGGAGCTGTAGGCGACGAGTTGTGTACGCTTATGCTGCAAAAGAGCCAAGTAGAGACAAGAACGGGTGTCGAACTCTCTTCGAAAGGCCAAGAACGGTCAAGCCTTTGGTGAAGATATGGCGTGTGATGAGCGCTGTAGTCGGACAGTAGTTCAAACTGCAGAGGGCAGATCGCTCGGTCTTTATACTGGCTGCCAATTTCAACCCTGGGTTCGCGCTTTTCTCGTCAACTCCACATACTCCATATTTGCAGTGGGTCCATTGGGGCATGGGGATACGATAGCATGGTCAGCAAATGTTTCGGCCGGCTGCGGCACCTGAGCCAAGCCGGTGTGCCCTTCATTTTTGGTTCTTCTCGAACAGCCGATGTGGTGGTCAACGTCGACAAGATTGGGCAATTCCGAGGTCAACAAGCATGTCTTCCGGCCCTTTCACGGTCCTTCTCATGGGCCTTCAAGGCGCTCTGAGTCGAAGCGGCCTGGCCAAGCAGCCGCTGCAGCGAGTTTGCAACAATCATAGGCTGGGGCAGACTGGGGACGTCTGGAGATCCAGCGATATCCCCACGGAGCACGATCTTGAGGTGATATGTTTGGGTTCCGAGCACGAAAAAGATGCGGAGCGTGGACGAGAAGATGCGGAGCATGGACGAGAATATGTGGAGCAGATGTTGTAAAAAAACGTGAAGTGATGTCCGCAACAGGCTCGTCGGTAGGAAAGCCGAAAAAGGTTTGAAGTGCGATTCGGACTCGTGCCTGGCGAGCCTGAAAAAACAACATCTCGGTTGAGGTTACACCAAGTTTTCCCCATGTTTCTTCGATGGGTAATTTGCTCTCCACCACAGAAGGCCTGCGCTCTGCGCCCTGCCTCACGGACGATTCAGAATGTGCTGATGGCTGTACTCAGCTCGTGCATAATTCTAGTCACATGAGTCGGATTGACCTTGAATATGGCAACGATGTGCCGGGAATATATATATTCTCGGTCGCTGGACGCTTCCGAATTGATCGTTCCAAGAGCATATGACGATCTCGGCCCTTATTCGTAGCAAAACCGGGAGGAGAGCTCATTTCACGTCAGTCCATCATTTCGCCCTTCGTTGTCCGTTGCTAACTGGAGAAGGAAATGCCCAGACGGAATTCTGCATGGCCGAAATCGCGTGCGGCTCATCCGCATCTGGGAATGGTTGAGAGTAGCATCAAGAGACAACAGTGAACAGCCTAAAAGTCAAGGGCGCGCCATGTGGGATTGTGGATAAGGAAGCCTTTTCGAGATACCGAAGAGAAGCAGTGACGCACTCGCGCGCATTCTTATGGAAGGAACGCCTTGGCCATTTGCTTCGTGCGGCGTCCCTGTCTCATCTCTCTTGGTGGAATTTTTTGGCAGCTTGGCTAGTGACCTGATCGGCTTGTTGATCTTTCGAAGTCTCTTCGCTCATCAGCTTCTTCAGCGCCAGACAGAGTAGGACGCCTGGTGTCTTCTCAATCTCAACCAATTTCATTGCATTAGCTGAACAAAACAGAGCCGCTACCCAAGCGGACCGTTTGCTGAGCTCGACGCTCTAATTCGGCGTCGTTGGGAATAGAGATAAGGGGTGCAGGGTACGGGCCGACCGTGCATGCTTTTATGTGATTCAAATGCCAAAATGTACACCCACCGATCTCGCTCTGTTATCTGAGGCCGATAGAAACCCTCTGCTGACCAACACCAACAAGCAAGAAAGCCTGGCGGAATCGTAGTCCCGGACATGGAGGCCGAATCTCGGTACGGACAGACCACATCGGCATCTATCACACTCTTCCTTTGCCGAACTCACCGCATCTGTGTTTCATTATTGATGGTCCTGCACCTCCCACTCTGCTCGACACCATACTTAGTCACCAGGCCCTCACGTTGCGGTGAAGAGGACTGACTACGGCTTGTAGCCACATCTTATCGTGTGTGAAATTCTGAATGTGAGGTATGGCGTGGCACCTTCGATCGTGTTGCCATCAGACAGCAAAACGTTCCGAACGATGACACTGTCTAATACTTATTAATGTCAACCAGTCGAGAGCATCCAAGCCCTCGTCGGAAGCGTTCTGGCCGGGTCACCCTCTCGACATTGATCCTACCGACTGTCGACTGTAAGGCTCGCCGCAACATTATGTTATGTTCGTTGTGGCTGGTCGATATATACATTTCTTGTGTACTCCGTTGAAAAGGTACATCATAGAGTTAATGCGGTGAATCTAGAGGCATTACGAACACCGAATAGTTTCTCGAATTCGTAAGCCGATTGAAAGACTTGCCACGATCCTCACAACTTCCAAGATGGCTGACCGAACGTATGTTGCCCAGCGCATCCTGGTATAGAACTATGTTGCACTGTACACATGCCCACAACACAACGTGCGAAACAATTCAAAAGGCTCGAAGAAGGTAATAATTGAAGTGGGGCTGCTAGAGTCTTGGGACTCTTGGCCATTTATGCAGGTCGCTACGACCTACATCCTCCTCGTATGGCTGCGATTATATGTCAGCGCTCTGAAGCGTCCACCTTGAACATCTGTTTGAAAGTATCTGTCCTCTTCTGTACTGCAAGCTCAACCTGATGTTCCTATTCTGACCCAGCAACAAGCTCGCCAATCTCTGCGGAGCCCTAGTATAGATGCCTGTAGCTCTTGAGGCTCCTTCTCCATCTATCTTGGCCAGAACTACACCTTCACCGGTACCCCTCATTCTCAAATGCATACCAATGTATCAAGAGACCATCAGTTTTTAGGTAGAACTGGCCAAGGTCAGGTGACATGCACGCGCTCGTACTTGCGGAACAGATTGCCTGTATGCGAACACCAAGGCTGAATGTATTCATGTTGACGTATACGCTTCATACGTATACCTGACCATGACACTTAGCATGTCGCGGACGTTGAAAGAGCTGTTGAAAAACATTTCAAGTTATTGTGGTTGCGTGGCTGCCCTAGCGATGCTAACATATAAACCACTTTGGAGTGCAATTGTTGGAGTGCAATCGACAAGTCCACCTTACGTCTCTCGGATCACTCGTTGCATGCCAATGCTTGAACGATGCACAGTAGAAAACCAACCGCCAAGTGTGATCATACGAGGACAAGATCATTCTCCTCGTGCAGATATTCTTGAATATCACATCGTATTCAAGCTCGGCGCAGGATTTCGTTCCACTGCTATCACAGCATCACAATACCTAGCACATATTAGATGCATGATGAACGGAGCGGTTCCGCTCAAGAAAGATCCAGAGATGGATATGAAAAGCCTTCTGTTCACTTGGAGTGTCAAATCAACTCACGACTTGTTCCTCTACTCTCATTGCAATAACATTCACATCTTGCGACTCCTCAAAACGCCATCATGAAGACCACTGCCGCAATCGCCACTCTTGCCATCTTCCCAGGTGCCGCCATCGACAGCGTCTCCGTCGCTGCCTGCTACAGTTCTGGCGCAGACTTTGTAAACAAGAACGACGCCATCTACCACATTGCTAGAGCATGTGGCGGCTACGACGGCAAGAGAGGTGCCTTCCAAGGTAATTTCGTCCCTGGCGAGGCCAAGACCGTTTGTGTGAACAGTCCCGGCAATCAGAAGTACGACATGCTCGTCCAGAACCTCAACACTGGCAGTACTTTCGACCTTGCCGGCAACGATTGCTCTCTCAGACTTGGTATTATTGTCAACGACTGTCTTCGTGGCGGTGAAGACACAGTCGCTGGTTGGAAGTTCCGGTAAGTAAATCCTGCTGTTTTCGCAACCTCAGTCAGACTGACATTCTCGCTACAGCGTGGATCCCAACACTGGAAGATGTTAGATCGGCGGTGTCAGTTGGTGATAGATATTGGTGGCAGATGAGGATCGTCCTGAATCATGATAGTCCAACATCTGGGACTTAAGCTGGTTCTCACATGTTTTATCTGTTTCATGCGTCACTTCTGCACTGTGTTCATCGTTATCCATAAGCTTGTAGTCTGTCAATCCACTCGTTTCTTTGGGATCTTTTCTCCCTCTTGAGGAGCTAGAGATCCTGAGACAGACTCACTCCAATTTTACTCGAGGTCCCTCTACCTATCTTGGCCATACTAGTGAGATGAGTCAGAATTCAAGGGCAGCATCATATAAGGTGATGTCGTGAGTGACAAAAGTGTACTACCCTCCAATAGACTGTCCCACGAGTACTCAGAGTTGACATATTCGGAACCATCGGTATGTGTCAACGAGTGTGGAGCAAGAGTCGCTCGTCTTTGTCGTCCAAGAAGCCGGCGAGTATAGATTTAGGCAAGAGCGATACGCAGTATGTGCAGGATTCGAATATTCCTGATTCAATGAAGCTGACGTGAGTAGGGAAGTCGGTTTCTTGCGATGCTAGTCTTGACTTTTTCTTTTTTTTTTTTTCTTTTTTTCTTTTTTGGAAGGTCGGATGCATAGTGAGAATTTGACATAAGGATAGAGGAAAAAGAACGTGAACAGATTGATAAGTGCGACATGTGTGTCCAGCTTCCATGGTACGTTCACACAGTCTACGATTGGCGGTAACCATACGAGTCCTGTCTAGAGGATCCCGGCTGGCTGGCAAATGCAAGTGGCAAGATTTTCCTGATCATTCAAGGCTCGAATCAATGTACGTTGATGAGAACCCTCCGTCTGCTAATCACGCCAGGTTTTAGGTAAACATACGACTATGGCTTCAATGGCAACGCAAGTGTGTGGTTGGCTCTGCAAGTCAGCCTTGAAGTGACCAGTATGGCCTTCCTGACTGGTCTCGTCAGAGAAGCGACGACCACAGACACCATGAGTGCACTGGTTGCTATCGGCGAAGTAGAGTCACGACACAACACTTGGGCTCTTATCGACGTTTGGAATTCGAACCCGTTCTCTGGTCCTGCTGATACCGTCTTTCCCTACGCGAACGAAATCCTTGACCTTACGCGCCAATATATTGTGCCTGGCAGCTGCCCTGCCGCCAACCCACCGTATCCATTGCCTACGAAAAACTTACCCGCAGCGACCGCTGTTATTGAGAAGGCAGAAGGGCTCGTTGAGATTCAGTTTACCGATCCTCACAACCAACCTGACTGGTACTCTGAGCAAAGGGACAGACAATATTATGCCGTCTACTTCCACGGCGTCCATAACATCACCAAGCCATTCGATACCAAGACCAACACTTCGACTTACCCATCCGATCTTGATGCCGGAGAAGGAATCATCGTTGCGGTGATCGCGAACGAAGTCGGTGCTCCGACTCTAGACAGCGTTGTTGCTGGTCCAGCGTTGATCATCGAGCAGCCTGCTTTCTAGATTCCGAGTTGGCACGGATAGGATTGGTGAATGCGTTTGAGAGCATGATGGCCTGATCATGTAGTAGATATGAATTTAGTAGATATGTTCATCATCACTACAGTCATTCCTTGTATTGCTTGTCTGGTTTTCAGTATAATGTCACTCTTTTTCTTTTAAGGCAAGGTGTGATGTTGAGATGTACACTCGTGTCTGATTGTGTTATTACCCGTGATCGTACAGCAAAGTTCAGGAAAAATCAACAGCAAAACAATCAGATGCTGAAACGTTTTGCCAAAACTTCATTGACAGACCTTCCCTGATAGAGCGACGTGCCTGGAAGCAAAAAGGAAGCTCGAATGCAAAACGTACAGCAGCAGGGATTCCCACGTGGTCACCCACCGTAGTACTAATCTGCCGTTTAACTGCTTATGTATGGCAGAGCGGACGGGATGCCCAGTTTTCAGCTGACTGTGGCCGTACGTACAAAAACTGCAAGATCTTTGCAAATACAACCATTTCTGTTTGATTACATTGAGATAATAAGGTGCCGGACATCGATTTTCTGCAAACCTTCCCATGCCATCGCCCTGTTCGAGCCGCGGCAACTTCTATCCCTGCATGATTGTCGCCGGAGCTGAGCTCAACACAGCCAGCCACACTCAGAGCTGAAGGCCGAGTCGCAAACCATCAACTCACACATCAACCACCATCATGCACGGTTTATTGTACCGCAGATGCTCCCGCGCTGTCGCTGTCCCGGCTCGAGCTGGCTAGTATGCCTCTCACTAATGCACGACTATCCTGTACACCTCAGCTATTATGCCGCGCGCTGAGTGTGGTCGGCTGAGAGAGCACACACACATATATACAACTGTGCGGATGGTCATCGCTTGATGTTCTTAGTTCAAAACATGTCCCCTTCAGCTATGTTGAATATGAAAAGTTTGATATTGCTGAGTCTTGCATCTCCCGCTCTGGCGGCTGGCACCCTGAATTTCGCCATTCGCAAGCAGGTTAGACCACAACTTGACTCTCGATTCGGTCGCCGGGGTGCCTTCGACACATCGGTCTTTATGGATGATGGATCTGCTTATTACCTGAACATCTCTGTTGGATCGCCCGGTCAATTGCAAACAGTGTCGCTTGATACAGGATCTAGTGATCTCTTCGTCACAAGTTCGACCGCCCCATTTTGCCAAAACAATACCTGCGCGGGTGGCACATTCGACGCTTTCAAATCGTCTACGTTTCAAGTCGTTGCTCCAGGAGCTTTCAACATCACATTCGGAGATGGGACCACTGATGATGGAGACTTGGTCTCTGATGTGGTTCAAATTCGAGATCGGATCATCACCAATGTTACTCTGTAAGTCCAATTCCATTCATACAAATAAAACGAGCTTAGATGCGAAGCTCGACCATATTCCGGGGCCACTGACGAAGGCCTTCTAATTTCTTGAGACAAAGGTTTCGACGAGAAGTGCCAGGCCTTAATATCAATCTATGCGAGGAGCATGGCAGACTCAGCACACCTGAAGAAAACATACTGACCGTGTCCCAGGGGATTGGCCTATAACGTGAATCCAAGCAATGGTATTCAAACTGGACTTCTAGGCCTTGGCTATTCTCTCAGGGAGAGCAGTGTTTTGACCAACGGAATCCAATATCCAAACTTTGTCGAGACTTTGGTCAACGCGGGAGCGATTGCTTCACGATTTTACAGCCTTTACTTGTCAAATCTTGGTCAGTCTGGCAGTATAACATTCGGTGGTGTCGATACACAGAAATTCGAGGGTAACCTTGTCACCCTGAATTGCTACCCTGCTCGTAATATCACCAGCAGCTTCCAGTTGACAATGACTAATGTCACAATGGTCGATGGAAACGGAACTACAACACAAATTATTAGCAAGAACAATACACAGNCTTGACTTTTTGATTTTGGTTCTACCGCGTGGAACGTAGCGGAGGTCGTTTACAACAGAATCGTCGACCTGAGTGGATTCGTTCCATCGCCTCAATTGGGACTTGCTGTACGTCCTTGTGTCGATGTTCCTAAGACTGCCGCCTTCAATTTCCAGCTTAGGGGCTTCCAAGGAATAAACTCTACTCAAGCCCTTTGCGAGTGCTCCTGTCACAGATGGTTACGCCATTAGTGTCAACCGCAGGATTACCTATCACTGGTGAGTTTAGGTTGTTGATTCAATCCTTCCTCGGAATGATGCAACCGTGGCTTGTGTTCAAGAGCCAGGCTAATTTGCTGATATCCAGATCCATCCGGGAAACAGTACTGCGCGCTCTTGATCTCTCCATCGACATCCGATTCTGGCAACGAATGGGGCGATGCTATAATGCGCGCGGGATACTTCGTCTAAGATCTTGACAACAATCAGGTGTCTATCGGTCAAGCCAGATAAAGCGACGAGAGCAATGTTGTTGCCGTCCAGGCTGGTCCCCATGGCCTAGCAAATGCCATAAACCAACTTCAGTATGCCCAGACTGCACAAACTTATTCGCCCGTACCTTTCGCCACGGATCTCTCACGTAAAGCCTCTGTTTTCACAGTCAATTTTACCATTGGCGTTGCTACTGGCTCCACTACTATGGATCTCAGAAACTCAGGTTCTAGTACACCCAATTCTGCAACCTCAATCTCAAGGACAAGCAGTCCTGCTGGTTCAAGTGCCTCTGGAACTTCTTCTAGTCCAGTTCGATCGTCTACTCGCACTGTTACCAATGCTCCAGCAAGCAAGTCTTCTCAGACTCCATTCCAGACAAAGTTATATACGTCTTCGAGGCGTTCCACTCATGACTCTTGGTACCCTGATGCTACCCCTGGCACGGATGATGTCGCGACCCTGAGAGCTCGAGTGGCTGAATTGGAAGATCGAATCAAGAGCTGTGGCTGTCACTGGTAGATCATCCATAACATACCGCAGTATCACACCAAGATTTATTTGTGGTCTCCTTACCTGCTCACATGTACGAGAAACGCAATAACAAGCATCTGCAAAGATAAGGTTCCCTATACAAAGTCTGGTACTTGAGGAACAGGGAGCTGCAATCAAGCAGAATATCTTTCCGTATCAATTGAGCTCGCTAGCAATGTATGTGTCCATGACATCAAAGTCGACAGGATCAGCACGTATGGGAATGGGCATTTCNCCTTCCGCCGGCTCAACTCCCTCCTTGGTGTGTTCGCCATCACTCAAAACCTCATCTTTGGTGCCCCACCACCATCGCGAAACCTTCTCCTCGCCCGACATACCAAGCCGATATCTGTGACCAGCTTCCAAGATCGACAAACCCGTTTCACGCACTGTCCTTTTNATCGGACATTGTATCTCGAAATCCACCCCAGGATACAAAGTAATGTAATACTGTTCGTCTGAATGTCCCTTGCTTCTCGAAAATTCAGGACGTTTAATGCATTTTGTGATTTCTAGGTTGATAGGTGTAGGAGGGTTGGTGGACAAGTCATGGAGCGTGAAGTTGCGTCGTCTGAGGGCTAGTCGAGGGTTGAATATCCCAAAGAAGGTAAGTATCGTTATTGGAGCAGGGGCAGAGAGGTTCAGAGTTATGGTTAGAGTGAGTGGCTCGTTGCCTAGGATCTAAGACTGAGGCGATATTGAGAGGCTAGTGGCTATAGTCGGTTGTGTGGTATCCGTCATGATGTAAGATTGAAACTCGAGGCGTACGTGTTGTTGCCCGAGAACTCAGACCGAGATTGTTACATGGAGGATATATTGAAGGTGCGATATTGGTTGCACCGATGTTGAAAAGGTGCAAGGTGCTTGGGAAGGAAGCCAAGGGTGCGCGTCATGATCGACTGTCACCAGCACTCCTTCCTTTCTCATCTCTCAACATCAATGCGCAATAATCTTCAGAGCAACAGAGAGAATCCCGAACATGTCTCTCAGTATTGAGGCATATAAGCGCATTCATCATGCCAAAGACTTGTGGTGTTTCCTTCTGCTACACTCCTACTTCTGATCTCCATGGGACGACTTCAAAAGCCCTCTTGCATCGACAGCCATCAAACCAGGAAAAGCGAAATTAAAGTAGTCAGAGCCACGCGGCCAAGGTATCACAACCGCATTCAGAATGCATAAATGCTGGTTATTCCAGCCTTACTCGACCGGCAAGTCCGAGTCAAGCGAGCAAACTTCGTGTAACCCGATCATGCAAGCTGTCGAGGAGCAGACGCTGTGTAACAACCACGAAAATAGAGACATGGAAGTGCGGAGATAAATGCATGCAATACTGACAATTGACGATTGACCAGCAAAGTCAACCTTCGCTCATTCTCTCCATCAGTCTTCTCAGGAAATCTCATCAGGAAAATGACCTCGAACACTACCAAAGACAGCGATACGCTATCACAGACAAGCACACTCGCCGGCATCGCAACAACAGATTTCGCCCCGAGGGCCACCACCAAGAACAACCACGACTTCATTGCATTGCAGACTCTACTCGAAACGCCGGAACTAGTGGCTACAACATCATCATCCGACACCAGTGAAATCTTTGTGGACTCGCAATCACTCATCAAGAAGCACAAGCGACTGAAGATTTACTGGATCATGGGATTTACGATAGTCGGTTGTTGTATGGTTTTGGCATCTATACTTGTTGTGATATTTGGCCCGCGGTCTGTTAGACAGAACCATGCGAGGTAAGTGCTGTGCTGCACAGGTGTATGGCACTGCTGACTGACTAGATGAATATCGACTTCTGCCCGCTGAACTGCGGCATTGGTGATATTGTGCTCGCCTGTGGGAGCTTGAGATTCCCGCAGAAATCTGACTTCGACGCGTGATCGAGGCCGATGAGTCGGCGGCAATCGGCTACTTGCTCCTGGCAACGGCTAGCATCAGGACACGACCTTGTCCTAGACGAACAGGAGATTAGGCAAGGAACTCGAGGACGACCAGCGACTGCCAATCATCCTACTGTCTCTAAAAGAAAGCAAAGGAACGACCGGTACGCAGACTGCTCTTAGAGAGGAAGGACGGTGCCATCAACGAGAAAGGGGAAACTGGTGAATCCATGTGAATAGGAAGAAGCGATAGAGACCGAGAGTAACCACAAACACAGTCGATACACGTAACTCTGCTTAACAAGCGTTGATCATTACGAGTGTACTCTGTACATCATAAGTCCAGAGAATCTAGAAAAGAATCTTTTCGCCGGTGACACCGCTATATCCAGCCTTCGTCGCGTTTATTATCCCAGCCTTAATAAAATCTTGGACAAGACCAAAGATCATGCCATCACAACCCTTTGCCGCCAAAATATCGACACTGACTGGCAGATACTCAATTTGTTGTGTGATGTTCGACTTATACGAAGCCTGTCCAATAGGCAATACAAAATCAGGCACGCCAGAGAAGATGGAAATTCTGCTGGTGGAGAAACCAGTGGGGATGCCTGGTGGGCTACGATAGGCGTTTCTGTAATTTGTGGTTCCCGAGTTGCCCACGTAGAGGCCTAGGCTATCGCTGCAGGTCTTCTCGTCAGTGACGAACACATTGTCTTCGATCCAGTTGCCAAAGGTTGTCTTGTTGGTTATTGCGTCGTCGATGGTGGATGGAGGGAAAGAAGCGGCCCAACCCCAGCGCGCTAGTGGTACGGGGTTCACGAAGGGGAGACGCCCTGAGTTTGCGGCTGAGTAGTCGGCGTAGAAGGGGTCGCGAACTGAAGTTGTTTGTTGACCGATGAGGATCGGGTAGGTGAGGTTCATTAGGTCGACTAGTGAGGATGTCACGTTCGCGGGATTCATCTCCATCCATTGCTGAGTCAAATTGAGACTTGTGGTGGTGGCATTGAGATGAGTGGTGATCTTGTCCAAGAATGAAAGAAGCAAGCCGTTTGCTTCCGAATTATTGGTTGTAGGCCAGCCTATCGTCTGGATTTTTGAAGGATAGGTGTGTGAAAGAGTAACATTATCACCATACAGCACTTCTGAAGCAGCGATCCAGATATCAGGATGTCTGGTCAAGAAGCCAGCAGTATCGAGCTGAGGAGCCATAGGCATGACTCCTTCGAGAGAAACCATTCCCCAAGAAGGTCTATTACCGAAAAGCCCTTGCACTTGAGAAGGGTTTCTGATGCTACCGCCGGTGTCCGAGCCCAATGTCAGATCCAACCAGTCGTATGCAGCAGCACCTGCACCAGGTCCGCTGGAAGACGACGAGGTGTCTTGATAGCCATCACCACGAGGGTTGAAAGGCTCGTGATAATCGACCCAATCTGCAGTCGCAACCTCTCCGTTTGCAAATTGTGAGGTCTTCATCTTACCGACGATTACAGCACCAGCATCAATGAGGCGCTGGACACTGAGGGCTGTTTTATTTGCTGGTGGGTAGAAGTGGTACCATGCTCTGTTGCCGTTGGACGTTCTCAAACCAGCGATATCATAGATATCCTTAACGCCCAGACGGACACCTGCAAGTGGTTTTGCATCGGTCTTGGTGAAATATAGGCGAGAGGGCACCGCAATCGCCAGAGACTGGCCTTCAACGTTGGCAGGCAACACGGAAAAGGTTCCGTCTTTGTTGGCGATCGTGGTTTCCAAGAACGCGCCCTGAACATCGCTGAATAGTCTCCATGCTTCGTGAACAGCACCAGTAGAAGTCACAAAGTAGGGGCCAACGGGGATGAACGAGGTGTTAGAGGCAAATCCAGTAGACACGACGTTCACACTGTTGTTTCCAGACAATTTTGGTGCCGAGAATCCTGGATACCTGCGGCCTGATCCATTCGAATATTGCACATAGACTGCTTCCAAGAATCCTTTGCTGAAGACGTCATCTGTAGAAATATAAGAAGCAATGTCGTGGCTAAAGTCCTGTTCGCCATATCCAAGCGAGGAGGCTTGAACAACAGTAAAGGGAAGTAGTCCGCCAGCGCTGTCCAAAGCCTTTCTCAGTGGCTTCGAGATGCTGATTGTTGTTATGACATCAGGAGGGATATAATAGGATGCTCCGTCCAACTGAACAGTCTGACCAGTAGGAGTGAACTTAAAAGCAAAGGATGTGCTGATACTGTGAGACAGTAATAGCAGCGCAGCAGCGACAGACCGGTAGCAATGGGGTATCATGCTGAGAAATCAAGAAGAACAGATGAAGACGTGCCAAAATCGTGATAGCGACTTTCCTGGTTTTTATATGATTAGACTTGTCGAGTCGTCCAAAAAGACTCATCGAACATGGCAACCACGAGGAGAGCGATCAGTCACCCCTAGCTCTTTCCATTTTACCCCAACTTTGTACTCAACCGCAACCATACTCCATGGTGAAATCGTTGTGGAGCTCGAAATTGGAGATAGGCGAGATATCACTGATATGCATGCGGTACCGATCTCCAGAGAGATAAGCGCGCAGGACTAGCTGGCAGCGACGAATTACATAGTCGCGGCTGCTGTCTTGACTCCAAGTACCAAGCGGCTCGAACGCTTGATAATGAAGGCCATTTTTGAATAATGTCGACCAGTCATGAGATAGGCGGACGTTTGCCTATCAAACCGAGCGCGGGCTGTGCAAAATGCTGGGCATCTCTTGGACCCTCCGAACTTGCTGGCGTTGAGGGACGCATCTCTCGTTCATCGGAGTGTTCATGAAGTGGCAGCATACAGGACCACCTTTCATTGCTTTCTGGTCATTGATGGTATCATTGTATGACAGATGTCTTGTCGCGTTATTTTCAACCTGGTCTCTGGAGTTGCGCATGTCGAGGGCGGATATCGCTATAGAGCGTTCGCGTCCAGCAGCCGAGGACGTTTTGATGAGTCTGCGGAGTTGCACCACAAGTTGGTGATAGAAGTATGTATGAGGAACAAGTTGTCTCTCTTGGGGAAGATATTGTCCTCACTGCCCTGATCTTTTCTCAAAGGTGGTGATATTCATAGCGATTGAGGATGTTAGCCTACCAGAGCAATCTGTTCGCTAATCAGACATTTTGCGTTCTCCATACATATCACTCCAACATACCTGGTCATAGTTTTATCACATGTTGCCAGATCAACTTGTCAACATCTCGTCATCAGGATTCGAACATTGTGCATGAGCCACCAACACAAATGAACACAAAATCGTAAGGAAAGAAGGATGAAGAAGTAAGGTAGGTGAATTATCATATTCATGAGCCGGCTGCGGCTATTCTGTTCTCATAAAGTACATAACAGTCGTTCTCAAACCCTTTTACTTGTTTGTGGGGTGGATGGATTCTGGGAGAGCCTCCTCAAGACCCTTGGGGGCAACGTTCTGTTTGCTTGTCAGTTATGCTCGAGAGCAAGAGGTACTGCTGTTGGTTGCTTACCTGAATGGCCTCGGGAACCTTAGAGGGACCAGTGGCGTGAGACTGGCTCTGAGAGCCAGTGTTGTGGACCTGGTTGGGGAGAGCGTTCTCGACCTCCTTGGGAGCATTTTGCTGGATGCCCTGGGGTACTGAGTCCAATGTCAGTACTGATCGTGAGATCGGAGACGAGAGGCGAGGTGAAGCCTACCCTTGGACTCGCCGGTAGCGTGAGACTGATCAGTTCCAGACATGATGATTGTGATTTGGTTTGTTGGTTGATTGATTGAGGTGTGAAGTAGTTGATGGATGAAAAGAAGAGTTCAATGAGGTAGAGAAGTACACTTATATACCTTTGTACTTGGGAGCTCGGGCTACAGCTCCCAATCCTGGTGCCTGAGACTACGATGTAATGATGAGCCGACCATATTCCTCGACCCCATGGCGTTCACAGGCCAGCATGTAAGGTTTCGTCAACGACAACGTGACAGCTTGGCTAATATGACGGTATATCGATATCGTGGTGCATATGATGAGGCTCGGCTTCTCTGTTTTCGGGAGATCCGCCACTAAAGATCAACTCATCATTCGTCAGATAGGTGAAATCACCCACCTGTAAATACGTATTCTATGCATCACAGCGACATTCGCATGTTTCGGGTCAACTATTACTCCACAGTCGGGGGGTGAAATATGCTGCGTCACTACATGCCCCACCACCGGCCGTACGTGGCGTTCGGTATGCGGGCTTTGTCTGGAGCCGAGTGGCCTTTTCCTCATTCAAAACCCGCCATCATCATTTGCATCACGAGACTATCCTCATTGACAGTAAGAGTCAGCATGATGCGAGGACTCCACATGAACAGTTGGGCAAACAGAGTCATGATGTATGAACAACATGATGCACAGACGTAAGAACTGTCCTGTCCGAAGACTGCCTCATCAAATGTCACCATTGCACTTTGAAATCGCATCATGGGAAGGAGTTGAAACATGGTAGAAACTCTCTGTGGCTTTCAAGACCAACCAGTGGTATATAAGCTAAGATATGCAAATGCGGTCAATGAGAACAAAAAAACACAAGGCAGCATGCAAGAATCCAAACTTCGTACAGCAACAAGAGATGTCATGTTCTCCAAGGTACAATCTTTTTGTGCAATGCAAAATCGTTAGATGAGGTGAGGAGATGAGATGCTTATCTGCGTGCAAAACAGCACAACAGACCAGATTTGGCAAGGAACCAGCAGCAGCCACAGAAGCGAACAAGCGCAACGACAGCGTTCGCCCACAACAAGGCTTGGAAGAATCTCGCAGTACGCTTGCTAGCACCACTAGTGAAGCCAAACTTGTCGACATTGTCGCTGGTAATGGCGACAGCGAGTAGTGCGTTGCTGAAGATCCAGAAGACGACCAGACGAGTACGGAAACTCTTGTACGAGTCTTCAAGCGACTTAGTCTCTTTCTCCTTGGGGGCAACATAGGGTGTGAGGGCACGCTTGACGGTGGTCTCGAACTGAGAGTCGATATCCGCTTGTGCTAGATCGACTTCCTCTATGACTGTCGCTTTACCGTCTTGAGCCTTTTCTGTCTTTGCTGATGGCAGTGCATCGGCCTTGTCGGCACCCTTAGTTCCCCAGGACACATCATGCCAGTTGCTAAAGGCGTAGACGTTGAGGATGTTGATGTACGAACTCATGATCAGGAGATACTGAGGGAATGAGGTGAACATGTGCCAGGGGTCGAGGTACATGAAAGAAGCGACAAAGTAGAGACCAAATGTTGCGGCCAAGGCGATGACGATGATACCAGGACCCGTTGAAGAGAAGAAAGACTGTATGAAATCGCTGGGACTGTCTGTATTGAAGCCTGGGCCTCCCGTAAAGGCATGAATGACCAGATATAGCGCATCGACGGTGATGTACAGTTGGACAAGACCGAACCAGCAGAACGAGACGATGTAAGTGAATTTCGAACCTTTGGGTCTGTTTCCCAGGGCGAGGATGAATTGCAGGAGCACGAATGCGAGGTAGATGTACTTGACGATAGTGTTGATAATAGGAGTAGCGTCGTTGCCGAAGGGGAAACCCTTTTGGTTGTTTGATGTGCTGGGGGTGCCGACAAGGTCCATGATGACGGTAGTAGTCAACCAGAAAGAAGCGAGAGCAAACCATGTCAGAATTTGTTGGGCAATGTTGTAGATGAGCTGCAAGTGCAAGAAGAACATGCGGACGATGTTGTGGCCACTCTTGTACATGCGGCCGAAGTGCATAAGGGAATAGATGGAGGCAGCAAAGGAACCGTTCAGCCAACGACGACGTTGACCAATGAACTCGGGAGCGCTGTCGGGTACATCGGTCTCACCCTTGGAGGCCTTGACGTAGGTAAGATGCCACTTAGAGCCAGCCTTTGCGACCAGCTCGAAACAAAGAATACGATCCTCGGCCAAGAACATGTTCTTCTTGAAAATGTTCATGCCTTCGATACCCTTCTTGCCGAGCTGTTTGGAGAGAGTGTGATCACCGTGGAAGTATTGCTCCAGAGGACGGCCCATGATAGCGCGGAAGCGGTAAGCAGAGAAGGCACCGGGCAAGACACTGACGTATCCGAACGAACTCTCGAGGGGCTTGTCGAGGATGTTGGAGATCTTGTACTCGAAGTTTTGGGCGGCGACCAGAGGATTTGTGAGGTACTTCCAGCGAGGTCCCAACATGGCGTGAATTTCACCACAGGCACCACCGAGATCCTTGTCGTTGTAGAAAGCCTCCCACAAGGCGAGCAGAGACTTGGAGCCGGGCTTGGTTCCAGCATCGAGCAGGATGCAGACTTCGGGGTTCAAGATGCGGCCAAACGCAGTGAACAGCCATCTGTGCGAGTTGATCTTCTTGCTGTTCTTTTGCTTGAGACAGAACATCATCTGCACTGGAGGCAGCGTTGTCGGGCCGTCGTCGAGCGGGCGGATGAGTTGCTGGTTGGCCGTGACCGAGAGCTGAGTCGTGTACTCGAANCTGCAGAATGTCAGTAATCATCTCCTGGTGGTCAAATCAGGCATTCAACGCACAATGTGAGCAACAGTCTCCTTGCCGTCAATGTCCTTCTTCATGATTCCGTCCTGGTAGATACCAATCGTGGCCAGAACGTCCAAGGTGCCTTTGTCGCAGGGGTCGATACCGTCGAAAACCAAGCAGACGACAATCTTCTGCCATGCTGGGCCTCCCTTGTTCCAGAACTCGGACTTCTTGAGGTTGACGATTTCTCGGATGTTTTGCATGACACCGTGCAGGGTGCGAGCGGTGAGGACCTTGTCTTCGTTGTAGTAGGTGACTGCAATCAGAAGCTCGGTATGGCGATTGTACATGGCCGGACGAAGGTTGTAGCCGTTCTTGAGTGTGAAGTCGTTGGGATCGCATGTAGCCGCAGTGTCTGTTCAGGGGTCAGGACTGAGATGGCCTCGTCTTTTGATTGTACCAGAACTTACANNGCGCATGTGGGTAAACTCCTCGCTGCCGCTCTCGAGGTCGTTCCTGTATTTGGCCTGGACGGCGTTCTGAATAGCACTGGGTACGGGGTAGTCGGCACTCAGGACGTTGCCCTGGACCAGCTTGACCTTACGTGTGGCATTGCGCTTGAGACCACCGCCGCCAGCAGCGGGACCGCCAATCTGTGCTCTTTCTTCCCATGCCGCCGTCGACGTTGTTTGTGCGCGGGAGACTGGAGAAGCAGAAGGGTGGTATTCTGGGTCCTGCAGAGTAGCACCTTTGTACTCGTCGTACTCGTAGGGCGGCACGTGGTGGGTGTTGTTGTCGGCATAGGACTCTGTCAAGCTGTAGCCGTGATCCTGAGTGGGATGCGAGTGTGTGTCGTCAAAGGGGCCCTGGTAGGCGCCGGTGGGGTTGGTATGGAGCAGCGAGCGCTCGACCTCCTCGTCCGACTCGTGCCTCTCGTGGTACTGNTTGCGGTTGCCGCCGGTCAGCCATCTTCTTGTCCTTGTTCATCTTTGACATGTTTGGGAAAGTCTGCGCACGTCGTGGTTTATGGCATCGTGGTCGTAGCCACCTGGGACTCCATGGTAGGCCATGCTCGGCAAACTCTTGGACAATTACCCCTTACTGAGGTGTCAAGCTTGGTACGGTATCCTTTGAGGAATGCAATGAAACAAAGGCTGCGACGCAAAGTGTCAAGTCTGTGACGCGCGGGAATGGTGATGGAAGATAAAGAAGAAGAAATCGAAACGACGACAAAACTCTCACCGTCAGGGCGGCCGATGCAAATGCCACTCGGACAAAGAAACCAAGGAACCTGTACTGTTGCTGGTCCCTGAGCCTCGTACGCAGTCCAAATTGCGGAGATGTGAACCACCCACTTGAAACAGCACAGCGCTTCGAAACACACGCTACTATCTAGCAACAGACCTCGTCTTTCCTTCATCAACTCTTCTCTTATTATCTGTATCATCTGTCCTCATTTCCTACATGTCCATCGCCCTTCTGCCTCCATCTCAATCTCTGCATTCCCCCAGTAACACTCGGCGGCGAGTCGTGATCCAAATATAGCTCTCTGTTGTTGACGCGCCCACCGCTGAACTTTGAAGCTGTGGCCCCTTTGACTTGGCAACCACATAGACGGTGTGAACATGAGACAACCTTCGAACCACTCAGACTTGCATACTGCCCACTGCCATCCCACCTCCTGCAGCACTTCCGCCATTTTTGCAGAGAACTGTGTCTCTCCTCAACGTCAGCGGCATTGCAGCCTCCAGGTCTCTTGACACACCAGGAGAGGTACCTCACACAGGTATTTCGAGTAATTCGCGTTCGCTTTGCGCTTTGACCGTACTCACTTTACGCTGTGCATCCTCAGCTAGCTGCGCCTCATTTCCTACTTGTCGTTGCCATCTGTACAAGCCTCAGGACGTCGTCATGGCTGAACTGGTCGTAGTGTGCTGCCATGCCATTTGCACAAATTCTTCGTAAGGCTCCCATCTGTCTGTCTCTACCATCTCAGTTGTTCATGCTCTTCATCCTTTCTACAGCAAACCGTATGAAGAGTCGAGTTGGCTGCTGAAGCCTTTCCAGCGATCTGATCCTACCGTTGGGAAGCCAGGTGAACACGAGACCTTCCTGCTGCATATTCAGGCTGGTGTAAATGCCCTCCGTCGAGAGAACACTGTTCTCGTCTTCTCAGGTGCGAAGACAGAACGGGATGCGTCCTTGAGCGAAGCTGACAGCTATCGAAACGTCCTCATGCAATGCTTCGGAGAGTCTAACGTTGTGCAACAAGCCATGGCAGATGGCAGGATTTTGTGCGAAGATGCTGCAACAGACAGCTATCAGAACTTGCTCTTCTCCCTCATCAAGTATTACGGAGTCAAAGGAAATTGGCCGCAGATGGTCACTGTCATCACGCATAGTTTCAAAGAGGCTAGGTTTNCATGTTCGTGATGTACGGATTGGTCTCTCGAGTGTGAGTGCTGACGAGGATAGGAATGCCACGCCGACGCAATCTGCTGGCCTGGCGAGAAGATACGCGTGCAGGGAATCAATCCTCCCTTCTCCTTGTCGGAATTGCGGGATGTACAAAGGTTAGAGAAGCAGACTCTGGATCTTTTCAAAGCAGACCCTCATGGTGCTCATGCTCCATTGTCAATGAAGCGAACAGCAAGGCAATGGTCAACGAATATTGATCTGCTTGGGAACATATCGGACACATCCGTGAAACACTCTATAGAGGAATTGCTGGGCTGTCGTGAGCGCAATACATTCCACAGACCTTTACCATGGACGGAAACGGTCCTTGATAGTCCTTCAAACAAATCGACGAAATATTAGGAGAAGGATAAATATGCGGCAGGGTGATGGTCGTGACATCGCCAAGAAATCCGGAGAAGCATGTGAAATGTCCGGAGGACGAAGGCAGGTGGTCGACAAGTTTTGCTCGACATGCGCCAAACCATATGGACATTGTCGACATGCCTGCGACAGTTGCCGCGACCTTTGTCGCTTCGCGGCATTCGTCTGCAAACCACAGGTAATATCCATTCGCACAGGCTGTTTACGAGAAGCATATTCTGACCTCTTGCAGCGGCTGCGGCTGATGGAGCCATTTCTCCTGCCCTGCTCTCACGAGCTCGGTCAATGGCAAAAGAGCACGACGACATTACTGCCAAACTCGCCGAAAACTTCGACACAAAAGCAGCCAAGAAATTGGGCCAGCTGTCATCCGTCAACAATGCATTGAAAGAGTGGGAAAAGGCAAATGACTCTCTGTCAGAGTTGCGAACGCTTCTGTCCGACCCCAAGACAGACAAGGATCTTGTAGAATTGGCAGAGGAGGATCTAGCATCCTCGCAGACCGACTTCTCTCAGGCGTCGGACGCACTCAAGCTTGCACTCGTGCCTCGCCATCCATTCGCCGATCTGCCATGTTTGATCGAAATCAGACCTGGCGCAGGCGGTGGAGAAGCCGCCATCTTTGCTGGCGACATGTTGCGCATGTACACCTCATACTGCAATCGCCTAGGTCTACGGACATCTCTGCTCAAATACGAAGACGCCGATGGTCAAGGCGCAGGCTCAGATGCACCGCTCCAAGAAGCAGTGCTCGAAGTCGAGTCTCCAGGCGCATATGGCATTTTGAGGTGCGAGGCTGGAGTTCACCGAGTACAACGTGTGCCAGCGACAGAGAGCAAAGGACGCACACACACCAGCGCAGCATCCGTTCTGGTTCTCCCATCCTTTCCCGCAGAACCCTCGCAAGATCTAGGAGAAGACAGCTTCGACGACCCTAACAGCGACTACTATGTCGATCCCAAGGATGTCCGCACCGATGTCATGCGCGCAAGGNGAGCAGGCGGACAGCACGTCAACACAACCGACAGTGCTGTCAGATTGACCCATTTGCCCACCGGAACCGTCGTCGCAATTCAGGACTCGCGTTCACAACCCAAGAACAGAGAAAAGGCATGGAGGCTGCTCAGAAGTAGACTTGCCCAGTCAAGGCGCGAACAAAGAGAAGAAGAGATGCTTGCCATGCGCCGAAGCGTTGTTGGTATCGCAAAGATGGGCAGAGAGAACAAGATTAGGACATACAACTGGGGCCAGCAGAGAGTGACGGATCACCGCAGCGGCATCAGTGTGCACGATCTAGACGATGTCCTCGAAGGAGGCATTGAACTCGAGCGTGTCATGGAGAGTGTCCGAGGATGGCTCAGCGAGCAAGAGGTGCTGGGCCTGGCTGCCGAGGAAGAGCTGGCTGCTAAGAAAGACTGATCAACTACTGTACCATACCCACTACCACTGTATAACACAACTCTCAACAGTACCGAGATCGGATTTGGACCCGCTGCTTATACATGCAACCGTTCATGATAACCCCAACTCCTGATAGCCGGCCGAGGTAGGAGTTGGGGTAGGCGGCCGCTCTATGACGAATATGGAAGGTGGGATGGCCGAATCGGCCAACGAGACAGGTGCGATGCCCCGCCTCTTGTACGTCGTGACTGCCGAGCAAGAACAATTATCCCAGGTCTCTTTGCCGTCTCTGTATCCTATCTGTGAGACAACAACTTGTCTTTATTACTTGTCGTTGCTCCACTCCTTTTTCTCCTTGACCCCTCATTCATTGAGCCTCGACGACCCCACACCTCTCGAGCTTTCCCCAGTCTTGAAATACAAACATGCCGCTTAATGCTCAAGCCATCTATCCTGCGGCGGACCCAGAGTTTGTCGCGTTCCCCAGCCGCAGGAGTGTAGTACACAGTACCAAGGGTATTGTGTCAAGTTCACAGCCCTTGGCTTCAAACTGTGGTCTACGAGTGTTGCAACAAGGTGGAAACTGTGCAGTAAGTGGACCTAGCTACTCGCAAGACTCATGTACTGACAGAATACACAGGNATGCAGCCGTCGCAGTCGCTGCAGGTCTGAACATGACCGAGCCCGGTAGCACGGGTATCGGTGGTGACATGTTCTGTCTGTTCTACGATGCAAAGACCAAGCAGGTCCACGCCTTGAACGGTTCTGGCCGCGCTCCAGGGAACGCAACATGCGAAAAAGTACGACAATCTCTCGGCCTGAAAGAGGGCGACAACGGCACAATTCCCATGCACAGTGCACACGGAGTCACCGTTCCTGGAGCGGCTGCTGGCTGGGTCGACGTGGTTGAGAAGTTTGGCAGTGGAAAGCTGAGCATGGAACAAATCTTGACACCTGCCATTGAGCTGGGAGAGAATGGTTTCCCAGTTTCGGAGATCATGGGTTACTACGTAAGTACTCACTTTCCATAACCAGCACGACACTCTGCTAACACGTCGTTTAGTNGGTCGAAAGCCGAGAAGTCAATTCGCGATGCCTCGCCCAACTTCGCCGAAATGCTAAAGAAGGATCCCGATGCAAAGGACGGTTGCCGCGCTCCAAAGCCTGGCGAGATCATGCGCAACCCTACTCTGGCTCAGACGTTCCGCGAGGTTGCCAAACACGGAAAGGCCGGCTACTACACTGGAAGAATTGCAGAAGAGTTGGTCAAGGTTGTACAAGATTTGGGAGGCTTCATCTCCTTGGACGACCTGAAAAACCACATGGACAAGGGCAGCGAGGAGGTTGACCCCATCAAGCTCAACTACCGTGGACAAGGCATCGCAAAGTCGCATGGAGAGACAATGCACGACAAGAGCTCAGAGGGGGTCGATGTATGGGAACATCCTCCCAATGGCCAGGGCATCGTCGCCCTGATGGCCTTGGGTATGCTGCAAGAGTTGGAGAAGAACGGCAAGATTTCCACCTTCTCCGACAAGGACCACAACTCTGCCGAGCACATTCACGCTGTCGTTGAGACCCTTCGTATTGCCTTTGCCGATGCGAACTGGTGGGTCGCAGACCCCAACGTAGTCAAGGTTCCTTCTCAAGAGCTCATCTCGGAAAAGTACCTGGCCGAGCGTGCTAAGCTCTTCGATCCCAAGAAGGCTGGTGATATCCCTGACCATGGCTCTCCTGCACACAACCATTCTGATACTGTCTACTTTGCTGCAACTGACAGCGAAGGCAACGGTATCTCATTCATCAACTCCAACTATGCTGGTTTCGGCACTGCTATCATCCCCAAGGGATGCGGCTTCACTCTCCAAAACCGTGCCTGCAACTTCATGCTGCAACCAGCTAACCACCCCAACATTTACGCTCCTAACAAGCGCCCTTACCATACCATCATTCCTGCTCTGATCACCAACAAGGCAGATCAGAGCTTGCACTCTGTCTATGGTGTTATGGGTGGTTTCATGCAGCCTCAAGGACACGTCCAAGTGCTGTTGAACATGCTCGTCTTCAAAATGACTCCACAAGCAGCCCTCGATGCACCTCGTGTCTGCATTGGCGCCGGTATGCCCGATAGTGGTGATGTCTTTGACAAGACTGTTTACCTGGAAGATGGTATCTCAGAAGAGACTGCCGATAAGCTGCGCGCCATGAGCCACAATGTCGAGATTATCAAGGGCCACGGCCGAGGTCTGTTCGGTAGGGGCCAGATTATCAGATGGCATGTTGACCCTGTCGAAGATCGTGGTGTCTGGAGCGCAGGCAGCGACCCAAGAGCCGATGGTCACGCCGTTCCGTGGATGTAAAGTGTTGAAATGTTAATATAGTATGAGATATGTCATGGCCTTTTCTTCGTTCTTCTCCCTTCGAATTCCATCAGGACTAGTAGACTCCATGACATCTGCAAGCTCTCCTTGTCTCTACGGATGAATGGAGTAGACTTTTGGAAAGTCAAGTGCCTCGGTCGCCGCTGAGCACAAAAATCCAATTTTAGAAGCAAGGCCCTGAGAACCGTTGCACGTCGATCTGTCAACCTTTTTCTTCTGGCTATTTTTATTTATGTTCTCCTTTGCCGACAAACAATTCGACAATGCGAGCAGCAACAGCATTTTCCGTCGAAGATGCAAGGCATCGTCATGTGAGCACTCTGGTATGAGGATTATCTCCAGTCAGCCCTGCAATGTCCATCATCCCACAAGCAATATTGAAGGCAAGTCACATCTCGGATGCCTAGACAAAAATGTCAACGCTTTGTGCTTGAACCACGAGCCTCGGACTCTATCTCAGAAACATGACCGCCACCGACGGGTAAAGAGGCGGTTGAGGCGGTTTCTGGCCTTAGGTTTACATGCTGTCACCCTGTGAGACGACCTTTCAATCATCAACGGGGTGCTCGTGTTGCTCCACAATCTTTATCAATTATGGTTTCAGTGCACAGAGCAAGTCGAACGATAAACTCTTCTTTCTTTAGAACACAGCAACGTCATGTCATCAATTCATCTTTCTCACGGTGGCCAGAGAAGCAGATATATAAGAAGGTGAAAGATTGGAGGTAAGTCTTTCTTATTCATCAAACAACAACATCTTCATACCTGCTCATCATCTCATCTACACTCCTATCTACCAACATCAACCTTTCCACCACACTCCAAACATTACAATACCAGCAACATGAACTCCTTCAAGACTGCCGCCATCTTCTCCTTCCTCGCCGCTTCTCAGGCTCTGGCTCTTCCTGCCTACCAATGTAACCCTGCTCACCAGTACCCTGAGGGAGTCAAGTGTGTCTCCACCAACGGCGCTCTCTCCCTTGTTACTCCTGCACCATCCGCAACTTCTGGATTCGCATGCAACCCTGCACACCAGTACCCTAACGGAGCTCAGTGTGTTTCGACTAACGGCGCCTTGAGCCTCGTCACCCTCACACCCTCCGCAAAGCAGACTTATGCCTGCAATCCCGCTCACCAGTACCCCGAGGGCGTCAAGTGTGTGTCGACCAACGGTGCCTTAAGCCTTGTCACACCCACACCCTCCGCAAAGCAGACTTATGCCTGCAACCCTGCACACAGCTATCCTGCTGGCGCCGTGTGCACTGAGGTCGCTGGCGCTCTGACCCTGGTCACTCCTTCTCCATCTGCAACGAGCTATGCCTGCAACCCTGCTCACCAGTACCCTGAGGGTGTCAAGTGTGTGTCTACCAACGGTGGATTGAGTCTGGTTACTCCCACTCCTCAGGCTACTTATGCTTGCAACCCTGCTCATCAATATCCTGAGGGCGTCAAGTGTGTTTCCACCAACGGAGCTCTTTCCCTCGTCACACCTGCTCCCCAGGCTACCTATGCTTGCAACCCTGCTCACCAGTACCCTAACGGAGCCAAGTGTGTCTCTACCAACGGTGGTTTGAGCCTCGTTACCCCTACTCCTGCTCCCACTACTTACTAAGTGGTCATTCAAGAGAGCTTGAGGACTTCTTTTACTGTATATACTTTGTTTTGCGGCATAGCGGATTGGTCCGGGAGCATCTAGAATTTGAATTACATTTGCATTATAATTGGAGTTTTGATTCATCATTTTACACATACTCCAGCCCCTGGGTTTGTGAAGTGACTTCCAAAGACAATTCTCTCCCATGCGAAAACGTCTCTCATACAATCTACTATCAAAATGCACAAACATTTCCCGAGGCGAGAAGTGTCCAGGGAGAGTCAACGACTTAAAGGCTCTCAGTCAAGAAAGTTGCTTTGTAGTTTCTTTTAAAGCTCCTTTATGGCTTGCTTCAGATCGTGGTTGATGGCTTGGATAGCCATATGTCTCGCATGCTCGCGCACCGCTTCGATAGCCTCGTTGTCTCCTGCAGAGGTTGAAAGCAATAAAGTCTTGACCGGGGTTACGAGGTGGTCACATTGTTGAATGCAATCGGCAAATAAGGAAGACGTGGCATTACTTGCTAGAGGCATGTTGGGGATCTTCAAGACTGAAAAATTATTCAGTCGATGTTGCTGGTATCCAAGGCATGTCATAATGTTTGAAAAACTTGTTGGTGAGAAGATCAGATGCACTAGAGAGCGTGATGCTGCTCCTATGGAAGCGAATCAGATGGGTACGACAACAACAATCAGGACAAGCAATGCAAGCCACGGCTGACAAACTACTTCGAACAGATGTTCTATCCTTCCAGATCAATCTACAACGACTTGTTGATCGTCGAGCACTATCCAATGCCCCAAGCATCCTTTTCGAGGTATGGCGAAACGCTCTGGAACGGGTCTCTGTCTATGTAATTATGGGTTTGTTGTAGAGGTGCCAGCCAAATAGCCCGACCTGTCGATGTGAAAAAGTCTGTCACATGCCTTCCTCAACGGTGCATATTGAGGTATCTAGCTGTAAAGACGCACAGTATTTTATAAAAGGGGGCAGTTTCCATAGAGAGAGCTTCATCTCAAAGCGTTTCCATGGCCACAACTCTGGCCTGGAAAGTATTGTGAAGTTCTACCTGGTCAAATACTTTAGCACACGAGAAGGGCGGTATATTAGCGAGGAATACTAGAAAGGGACACAGGTTGAAACAGGAAACTGGAGTACGCGAACGAAAAGTCTGGAACAGAGGTACGGAAGAGGCATGTAGAAATCATGCCACGGAAGCGACGATCTTCTCTCATACAGTAGCTAGGAAGTGGCCCTTGGCTTTGATCCTGTTCTAAATAGGTCTCGTTATCAATTTTGACGAGTACCCTGTTTACTCGTCCATGCGGCGCTGCGATATTGAAGGCGAGCCGAGCATAGCCATGATTTGTATGGCGGCGCAAGGATAGGTCGTGCAGGCCATCAAACCATGCGCGAGGTCTGCAAAACTCCTTGCTCTGACGGTATTGACTGAGGTGAGTCAGTTTGGCGATAGCATCTAGTTGAATAACAGATGCGTTCATCCCGAGCCTCTCAGAGCCATATCGACAATGAGTCTTCCTCTTTCTCCTCCCAGNAAGCCAGCGCCATCTTCTCCCTCGTCTTGTTCGAGGTCAAGACTGGCGTCGTATGCTCTGCGGACCATCTCTTCATCGACCTTGACACCGTTTTCAGCCAGTGCTCTGATGCATCCGGCAACTCTGGCAATCTCTTTCCTCGTGTCTGGGCTGATGTCGTCGTTCTGGCTCGAGTACATGGTGGTGCTGACTTGCTCTTCAATCCTGGTGATGCTGACATCCTTGTTCTTGTCTGCCTCGACGTGCTTGGAGATCCAGATGTAGCCATTGACACCAAGGATAACGTCGACCTCTCCACCTCTGCTCGAGGTTTGAAGCGTAAAGATCTGTCTCTTTGCTCTGACGACACCAGCACCGCCTCCAACACCACTCACAGCCATAAAGTATCCATTGCGCAGCTTGCCGTATTTCAAACTACGCGTGTGCAGCGAAGCAGAGCCATCCTGGAACAGACTCTGCACCTCTGCAACCAGCAACTCTCCCTCTTCAAAGAAGGTGCGAATGTTTAATTCATCCACGCTGGTTCTCTTGCGCAAGATACCACCAGGCAAGTTGATACTGCTCAGCGGCAAGGCAGCCGTCAAGGCACCAGCAACATCGACCTTCCACCTCCTGCTCTGCACCTCGATAATGCGACCGATAACTAAATCCCCAATCTCTGGCGTATAGCGTGCGCGCAGCGGCACTACCGAGAGCAGCTTGTTGGTCTTTTGTAATGTGCCGGCGAGGGTGGAGCGGATGATGGGAGCGAGGTCTCCATTGTCGTTTGTGTAGGTACCGTGGCCGCGCATCCATTGCGGGTCTGAGGTGATGACTTCGCCGGGCGTGATGATGTTTTTNGATCGTGTGGATGAGCGGGCGGCGTGGTCGGACGTGTCGAGGTCCATTTCGTCGTCCGAATCGTCGCGCGACCGGGCGACGGCAGGCGCTGCTGGTGACGGTGCGAATATTTGGATCGGCATTGTGTATGTATTTGTGGTGTAATGGTGTTGCGCAGAAGAAGTGGACTGAATAATTTCTGGATGAAGCTCGAAGACGGTGATGCAATTGTGCCAAGCATGCTTGGTTTGTGAAATCTTCATATTATGTGCATGATGTGCATGTAGTCTTTGACTGCCATATGTTTTGTATCAACACGTCCACCCAAAACTCCAAATATCCAGCCGAGCCAGTCTATTCATCTCTCACTTACTCAAAGCTAAACCTGCTATTTGGTCGTGAGCTCGCTTCTCCGTCTCGGCCCTCATCCAGTAGCACCACCTCTTCGGGCTGAACACTTCTTCTATCCGCCGGTCCTGCTGCTGTTGGTGTTGCTGGGTTGCTTCGACCAACCCCGTTGTACACCTCTTCTCGCCGCCTCATCATCTCCTTTTCTGTGATCGTCCTGCCATCTGCTTGTGCCAATTCGGGCATATCGCCAGGCATTTCGTAGATCTCCAATCCTCCTGCTTCGCTTGCAGCTCCCGGCGACGCTAGACCAGGTGACGCTGAATCTGTCTGTGTTGAAGACCATGTGCTGCCTCCGTATCCGAGAGTGGTAGGGCTTGCTAGACTCGACTCTGGACGTAGCGGTGGCTTGGGGTCATCGTGAACTGTTGACCCTTCCAATTCTGCTTTGGGAAAGACGGTTGTTCCCTTTTCTCCGATTCCGATTGTTGTACGCGAGATGGAGTCTCTAGAGGGTGAAGATTCGTCGCCCGTCTCTTCTGCCGAAAGTGCCTTCTTCCTCCTGTCACGACGAATGAACCATGTAGCAAGGCCAATGAGGGTTGCCACGCCGATTACGCTTCCTGCCACAATTCCTCCAATTGCACCGCCACTCAAGTCTGCTGCTTTTGGAGGCTTTCCTGATGTCGACAATGCGTTTGCTCCTGAAGAAGCTCCACTGTATCCGCTATTTTCGGACGATGGAGCTGGCTCGATGATGATGATCTCGGTGGTATCGCCAATGTTCTGTGGCCAGACACATTGCGAGACGTTGAACTTTGCACGTTCGTAGTCCACAGTGATATATGCTTCCTGCATGAAAGTCCGACCAAGCGTGTACTGTGTGCTGTTTGCTGCTCTTCGGAGTGGGAAGTAACTCGACCTATCAGCCAGGCCTTGATACGGAGACTGTGCTGTCATATCGAATGCAGCGTAGGGTAGTGATATTGTTGTCTTCTGGAGACCTGAAGCTGTGGTTCCGATCGTGAAATTGATATGGGCATTACGAGCCAATAGAGAGGCGTGAAGTGTCGAGTTCACGATATAGAGATTGTATGTAGAATCCCAGGTCAGGCCGAATTCTCGTTCAAATGCCTGGCATGCATCGAGNGGAAGCCAGATTTGGCTGACAGTGGAATCAATCGAAGCATATATCGGCGCTGGAAGCAGTTCAACACTGGTCGATGAGTTGAGCGCTTGCGTGTTGATGAATTGTATTGCGACGATGGTGTCTTTGGTGAGATCGGAAGCGAAGTCAAATTCGACATTGTTGACCTCAAAGCGACTCTGATCATATCCACCTAGAGTTAGAGACCCTGCTACACCTGAGAAGCGATAAGGAGCACCTGCAGTATAGCCGAACGAGATGCTGGGGATTGAACTCTGNTCCTTCAGCTTCGTCATGAGACTAAGCCCATGAGAGGTCTCTGACCAGTTGGATGGTTTTGGATTCAATCCTAGGCTTCCAAGCCAAAAGTCTGATACAGCAAAGGCGCCTACTGTCGAGCCTTCGACAACTGTATTATTCGTATCATCCAAAACGATATTGTCGTACCCGTAGTATGCGTTTCCGGGAAACCCTAGGTCTTTCTCCGTTTGGAATTCGAAGATTCCGACATTGTTCCAGTCTGATGATTGACTCAAGTTAAAGACTTGTCCTCGAGAGTTGACACAGTCGTTATAGTTGGAGTACATCGAGCATCCTTCAGGACCCACAACCAAGGTTTGAAAAGACTGCCATGATGGAAGGATGCGGACATTCTGCGCTGGAACTCCTACACTCAGATTGAATGAGGACCATGTGCCGTCGAGACCATCNCCTAAGAATTGTCAGCAAGATGTTGCATGTTCAGCTATAAAGGCCGCTTACCAGGTTTCACTCGGGTTGATAACGAGTGGTTGCACACTACACGAGACTTTCGCGACAGTCGTTGCCAGGAGAAATAGTACTACAGTGGGGTCAAGAGGACCGAGTGGAGAGGATATCATGGTAGTGAAGTTCTCAGATGACAGAGATGCCAAAATCGATGTCTCAGACTACATGAGAATTTGTGCGCGCACGTCGAGCGTCTCTACAAGCTCTCGACTCACAATTGTCCTTTCGCTCTGAAGAAATTGACAGCGGTTGTGCAGGAAAGAATCAGAGAGCAGCAGCCTCGTCTCTGTCAGCGTAAGATCGTGAAATCACGACCCCATCGTTTAGGCCGAAAGCTAGGGAAGCCAATTGCACCAATCGCATGGCGTTGGCAGGTTGCATGAAAATCGCGAGTGGGAGCACGCACGCATGCAACATCCATGTCGCTTCTGGGCGCTCATCAGAAAGGATTCCGGTCTACCACATGTGGCTTACTCCTCGCTGATCACAAACGAAAGAAGATTTGTAGAGAACGAGGTCCCTGCCTGATGATCTGACCACAGAAAGATACCTCAATCGAAGATGCTACCTACTTTGAGCCCTTGTCCGTCAACCACTCGAGTCGAATTCGTGCACCTTGAAGCTTGCAAGGAGGGACCCGGAAAGCGCGAGGCATTCCTTGCTTGGCAACATGTGCATATGCTCGGCTAGCTAGTTTTTATGCATCTTCTTTTCCCAAACGCAGCTCTATCGCGCGAGACCCCCGCGGAGGCTGGAGTCAGGCCTGTTTCCTACTTCAGTCGAAACGTAAGGGACAGCTCACAGCACCAGGATCTCAGCAGCGTGCCGCACCGCGCCGCTGGCTGGACTCGATGACGCAGCACGCTTCTCGGACTTGACACATGCTGCGCGTTGTCGAGGTACTTGTACTGTAGTTACTTGTACTGTAGTTACATCAGATACGTGTACCCTGTCCTTGCTGAGTGTTGAGTCTGCTCCGAGTGGAAAACCCGATTGTCGCGAGATCCCCGCAGGTCTTGCATCTTCATGCGCGACTATTTCGGGCAAGGCCGAGTCTGTATCACTCTCGGTAGCGATGGTAGCACTCATTTCGCCTACCGCTTGAGAGCATCTGAATCTATGGTATCGTATATTTTTGCAATTGCTCCATTCCTTACTGAGCTACAAGTCCCGTATCGCGCTTTGACAACGAACGTTGTGGCTGCGCTCCGGCTCTGAGAACTACTGTACCTTCGGAGACGAGTAAGCTTTGAGGCTGGCAGACGAAGGATCCTGCACGCACGGCCGGGATTTGGAGCCAGTCAGCAGGTGTCTGCCGCCTGTTCGAGATAGATGTTGAATCAAACTAATAGACGCGGTAGGCCTCGCAAAGACAAGGCTCTGCCCGTCATGCCATTCCGCTGAAGCCCTGCCTGCAGTCTGTGTGGATCCCACTACGGTACCTGGCCAACTCACACTTCCCTGTCTTTACATCAGGATAGCGGATCAGCCTTGGCATAAGCGATGTTCTTTCGTCTTTTCCTTCAACGGCTCCTCAAGTAGCAAAATACCGTGACATTGAGCTCGCGAGGTCATCGCCGTCGTTTTCTCCTTCTCTTCTCTTTTCGGCGTGTCTTAGCAGTCTCTCGTTCACCGCAGTGCCATTCGTCATGAGATTCTGTTTCCGCTAAGAATCACACTTCGGACTGTTGTAACGGCAAGATGTCGTTTTATACCCTCGCTTTCATCGCATTACTCGCTGGGGAGGGTATTGGTGCCGACTCGCAAAGACCTTATGGTACGCAAAATGGAACGCCGTAGCACATACCTGCCTGGGCTGACTCGAGACAGGGTGGAACGTTACTTCCTCAGCAAGCACAATCTTAACAACATCTTCCACAAGTTTGACTACTTCGACTTTTCAAAGCCCAAGCGCGTCTACCAGCCTGAGTTCTTCATCCATAATATCAACATCACCCATCTCTCAGAATGGAACCGATATATCGTTGACATCAACAACATACCGGCATTCATCTTCATCATCAACAGACAGCAGTCGGCAATCTTCTGAGACCTTGTATTCGTCTCAATCTTCATCCACGCAAAGCAAGCCACTATTGACATCGTCGAATCGTGCTTACAGCACTGGGGTCTTGCCAGGAAACATCCAGACATCAGAAACCAAAATATCATCTTCCCTTAGCTCGTCGACCTTGGTAGCCCCAAGTCTAGCAAGCCCATCGCAAGGACCTTCGACGCCATCATCAGGATTCATTTCATCGGAGTCGGCTTCTCCCACTGCACAGACAGCTGTCGAAATTGAATCACAAGCATCACCAACGCAAAGCTCACCGAGCGCAGCAGCCACGTCGACAGTATCTGAGTCCGAGAACCAAGAATTGTCTAGTACCTGGCAAGTTGGTATCTCGCCATCGGCTTATGCAACAAGCTCTACCGTCCCAGATCAACCAATAGGCAGCAGTGGCTATGGTGGCTTGGGTTCGTTGATATGGTCAGGACTTTCTGGATCTCTGCCGACCGACAATGTTAATGCTGGAAATCCCAATTTCGAAGGCTCATCAGGATACCTTAAGCCTTCATCTATGCCTACCAGTGATGCCTCCGTCGATGGCTCCAATGCCGCTCCAGAAGCAGGGCAGCCAGACTCAACTGTGCTCACGGACTACTCTGGAAGCTCGCCCGTAGTCATCGCTCCAAGTAACGGCTTTGGTACTGGCACGGGCGTCGGGTCCAGTATAGGATCTGTCTACACGGGTGTCACTTCATACGCATATACGACTCAAGTTCATAATAGCCACGAAGCTTCAAGTGGTAGTAGTTCTAGTGTGTTTTATCCACCGCCGAAGTACTCATTCAGCTGGAAGTTCAACACTAGTTCTACGCGTCAACCTATCGGGACTGGCGCTAAAGTGCCTACTGGCAACATCCCTCATCCACCGCTTCCTCGACCTTCTCCTCACAACAACGGAACTGATGCAACTTGTGGTGGCACCACTGTCAATATTCCCAATGCGACACTAGATTACTGGTATACCACGACACTTGACTATGCTGCAGCCACGTTTTCAATTCAATTTGACAGCAACGATTCTGCTACAGGATGGACACTTCTACCTGCTACAACCACTTTCAATGTCACTGATGCCTTGCAAGATCCTACCACCTATTATATTCCAACAACAATCACGAAACAAGCCGCTAGCACGAACCACGCTGCTAGCACTTCTGTCTCGTATTATACGACGGTGGATGTGAGCCCAACGCCTATCTATGCGTCCACGGTCGTCGTTACACAAACAGCAACCAGTGCAATCAACTCTACCACCGGCAAAGGCGACATACCCGCGGACGCTGTGATTACCCCACCACCTGCAAGCACTGTGCTGTCCGCAGGGCCAAATCAACCATCTCTCACAGCGTTGACCAACACTCATTTTGTGTACTTCTCACAGTATGCTCTAGACACCGAACACACTACGACGCACAAGAATGGTACGTCAGATTGTGTAACCTCGAGAGAAGTCAAACATTTTGGTCGTAACTTTGCCATGGCATATCTTGGAGACGATCCTGATGGCCAACCACTTGTCACTGGTGCTCTGTCTGAAGAGTTCTTGAAGCTTCTTCCACCTCATATCAACCTTGAAGTAGGAGCTTTCACCGCAGAACCCACGCTCGTTGTTCCCGTTCAGGTAGACTACGCGGCAGAAGCAGTACTAGCTATCTCACAAACCGCAAGTTTGTCGGCAGCGAAGAGTTACGGATCGTATCCTCTCGCGTTTTCCACGGCCTACGCGGCTACTTCATTTCAAATCGTTCCGACCCTTTCTGAATCGCCTGCCTTTGGTCCCATCGGCAGTAGTAAAGCGCCACCTCGTCCACCAGTCATCTTTTTGAAACCAACTGGTACTTCGACCATCGCCGTTACAAACACACAACTTGCGACGAACTTCTATATCGTCTCTCCTACGGACAGTAGCGTGAACGTCCTGAAAACGCAGACAGCGCTCGATCTAGGACCAAACCCTGGACCCACTAAGGTTCCTATAGGTGGACAGACTGGAGCCAAGGGAGACACAGGCTCAAACTCGGGAGGCAGTGACTCAAATGGGCAAGGGAACAACGGTGGCACCGGAAGTGGTTCTGACGGAGGATCGAACAGCGGTTCGAATGGAAATTCGCCAAATAGCAATTCGGGAAGCGGCTCAAACAGCAATGCCGGCTCAGGGAATGGTGGCACATCCGGAGGCTCGAATACAGGAAACGGTGGTTCTAGTTCTGGTGGATCGAACTCAGGATACAATTCTGGAAGTTCTGGAAGCTCAAATTCAGGTGGTAACTCAGGAAATTCAAACCCAGGTTCTGACTCTGGAAGTTCAAGCTCAGGCGATAGCTCTGGCTCAAATCCCGGCAACTCTGGTAGTTCTTCTGGCGGCTCAAACTCAGGAGGCTCAAATACTGGAAACAATGATGGTTCTGGAGGCAATGCCAATTCCAACACTGGCGGAAATTCAGCAGGCAGTGGTTCTTCTGGCACCAGCGGATCTTCTGGTTCCAACGGTGGATCGCAGCCTGGCGCGGGTTCTGGTTCGGGCGGTAACATCATCGTACCTGTGCCTATCGTCATCACTATTGGCTCTACAAAAGCAACCGTAAATCCTGGATCTTCAGTCGTGATCGGCGGGCAGACACTAGTACCACAAAAAGCAGCGATTACGGTCGATAATATCCCAGTATCTATCGGACCTACAGCTGTCGTTGTGGGAACCGAGACACATGCCTTCCAGGGCTCTACGCTCCAAGCAGCAGGCCCGATCGCTCCCACCGCTATTACCTACGGCGGCGCAGTGATTACGCAAGCCCCTGTACCTGTGTACAACATCGGAGGACAAGATGTTCATGCAGGTGAAGTCGTGACCATCTCGGGCACCATTGTATCTGCTGCTTCCAGTGGTGGAGTTCTGGCCATTGGCTCAAACACAATCTCCGTCGGCACGCCAAATTCTCCAATCACGCTGAGTACTGCTGGAAGACAAGTTGTGGTCAATCCGACGCCTGCGTTCGTCATTGGTGGTCAGACTTTGGCTGCTGGAGGACCGGCAGTAAATGTTGACGGCACTCAACTGTCTCTGGCTCCTTCTGCAACGGCCATCGTAGTTGGATCCGAGACATCGCAACTCGCAGCGCCAGTCAACCCGACTCGAGGCGCTATCCTAACGGTCGGCTCCAAAACCTTCACTGCAGATGCTTCGACACGCTTCTCAATTGCACCTGATATTACTTTGGCGCCAGGCGGATCTGCCACTGTCGATGGGAAGACTGTCCATCTAGGCCCCTCTGGGTTCTTAGCGTCACTTGCCGTAGTCGACGGTGAGACCCAAACATTGTCGCCTCCTCTTATCACTCCCGCACCTGCCTTCTACATGGGCGGTAACGCCTATGGAACGAACGGCGGATCAGCATTCGTGATCGATGGCCAAGTTCTTACACCTGGTGGCGCAATAACAGTTTCGGGTACGCCTGTGTCCTTTGTCAAGGAAGGTACGGCCGTTGTTGTCGGCGGTTTCACCCAAAGGCTTCCACAGACCCATGCCATCCCAGCGCCCATACTGAACTTTGGTGGTCAAGCCTATACTGCGCAGGGTGGTTCAGCTTTCGTGGTAAGCGGGCAAACACTCACTCCGGGCGGCCTTATCACAATATCAGGGACTAAAGTCTCGTATGTAAGCGAAGGCACTGCTGTCATCATCAATGGCGTGACCCAAGCTCTCATACGAGCAAGCCAGACCCCTGCGCCAGTATTGACTGTTGGCGGCCAGGCATACACGGCTCGCACTGGATCGAACTTTGTGATTAATGGTGCTACGTTGATCCCTGGTGGTCAAATCACCATTGACGGTACGACTATCTCTCTAATGAACGAAGGAACTGCTGCAGTCGTGAATGGGGTCACCAAGACTCTGTCGCAAGGATCAGCGGCATCAGGAGCTGTACTGAGCATCGGTGGTCGTACATACATTGCTGGAAATGGGCCTAACTTCGTGATTGGAGGTCAGACTCTGATTCCTGGCGAGGTCATCACTTTCGATGGCACATCGGTATCTCTTGCAAGCGGTGGAACTGCTGTGGTCGTGAACGGCGTCACTCAAACACTGTCGTCAGGATCCCCAACACAAGCGGCAGCCGTCTTGACCATCGGTGGTCAAACATATACCGCCCAGTCTGGAGCTTCATATGTGATCGGAGGTCAGACGCTGCTTGCTGGTAGTGCATTGACTGTCGACGGCACGACTATATCACTCCAGAGTGGAGGCACTGTTGCTGTCATCAACGGACTTACTCAGCCTCTTTTGCAAGCAACCGCGGCGGCCGTACTGCAGATCGGTGGGCAAGCTTATACCGCTCAATCTGGCACCTTTGTGGTTCAAGGTAAAACACTGAAGCCCGGGGCTGCAATCACACTCGACGGCACAACGATATCGCTTGATGCTGATAAGACCGTTGCCGTTGTCAATGAGGTAACCACGACATTGGCTCAAGTCACAGCACCCGCAGCATTGACTTTCGGCGACCATACCTATGCAGTCCAGACGGGCTCATCTTATGTGATCAATGGACAGACATTGACACCTGGAGGCGTCCTGACTTTGGCAGGTGGGACCACGATCTCTCTTGCCTCTTCCGGCTCATTCCTCGTGATCAATGGTGTTACTTCGAGTATCCCTCGCGCGACAGGTGCGACCCCACATCGATCCTGACTGTTGGTGGTAAAACCTTTACAGCATCTGCTGGCTCGTATGTGATTGATGGACAAACTCTTACTTCGGGCGGAGTCATCACTCTCTCCGATGGCACGACACTCTCCTTGGGCGCTTCTGTGCTGGTCATCAATGGACAGACCTCGACCTTGCCAACCTCGCAGTCCATCTCACCAGATGTCATCACAATCGGCGACCAGACGTACAGCTCCCTGACAGGCAACACAGCGGCACCAAGCTACATTATCAATGGACAAACACTCCGGCCATCTGGTCCTGGAATCACAGTTACCATGTCAGGAACGACTTACATCATTACACTCAGCGCCGGTGCCTCGACAGTCGAGATCAACGTGCTGGGTTCTGGAGGAAAAGTTGTCTCTACAATTTACGAGACGTTGAGGGAAGCGGTATTGGAGCAAGCACGGTCACAGCAACACAGGAGATCGAAGGCGGTGCAGCATCGCCGACTGCTCAGCCTAGCTTGACGGCAACGCCAACCAAAGGTAGCAGTGCCGGTCTACAGAATGCAGCAGCGCCTAGAGGTGGTGCTGTTGGCATTAGCGTTGCTCTCGCAGCAGTTGTGGCTGGAGCTCTGGCTGTTTTGCTGTAGAATGAAGAGAGAGGAGGTGATGTTTTATGGCTTTTACGAATATGTACGAAACTGCAGGCATCTTTTTAGGGCACCGCGGCCCCTGACCTTTATTCTTTAGCGATAGCGGGCGTTCCATGTGGGATGGGTGTAATGTGGCATCAAAGAGTGTAGCAACAAAAGTGGCTGGTTTTGCTCTTCTCCTTTTCTGACGATTTGTTTTTGCCTACTTTATATAGCTTTATAATATACCGCTTTGCTCTTTCTCTATGCTCGTGTCCGTGTGCTTGTTCTTCATGTCGTGTGTTTTTCGTATCTTTCGTTACAGCCGTGCCATTCATTTCACAGGCACCTCAACGACCTGATCAAGGCCCTCATACGGTGGAATGTCCAGTTCATATTTCTTGGCCATATCCGCGGTCAAGAACCTGCCACCCACAAAATGCCTACCCTCGAACCACTTGACCAACGGCTTTGGCGCCGTCAAGCTGATCAACGCATCAGGATTGTATCCTTTTCCGGGGCCCTCATCTGGCGGCCCTGATTCTATATTCCAACTGCTTGGTGCGTCGACAGCCAAGACAGGAACATTTGAGTCGCGCAGAGAGGATATGACGGAAGGAAAGGGTTCGCGGACTTCGCCCGAGAAGGAGAAGCCGAAGATGGAGTCGATGATGTAGTCGGTGGAAGAGAGTTGGGCGGAGAAGTCCGAGGTAAAGGGGATGTGGAGGTCACGGAGTTGTTGAGTGAGACGCTGTTTTGCTCGTCAGCTCTTTCTCGTCAAGAGACTTTGGAAGCTGCTTACCTGGTATAGCTCATTCTTGGGCTGCTTGGGGTAGTAAACGGTAGGCTTGTATCCGTAGTGCCAGAGGTGTCTAGCAGCCACCAAGCCATCGCCGCCATTATTGCCAGGTCCTACGGCGATTAGAATGCGATTGCCTTTCTGCGGTGGTTGGAGTCTGAAGAGGGCTTGGGAGACGGAGAGGCCGGCGAGTTCCATGAGTTGGTCGAGGGAGAAGGCGCCGGTGCTCATGAGTTCTTGGTCGAGCGCTGCCGCTGCTTTGGCGCCGAGCGTGCGGAGAGCCATGATTGGTGATGATATGAGGTGTGGGTGTATGTGGTGAGAGTGCGATGTAGGATTGGAGTGTCAAGTCTGACGAGGAGGATTGATCAAAGATCTACGTCACGATCACCCGAGTGGAGCTTGCGTCAGGGTCGCACCTCATACCAACCTCAGAACCTTTCTGAATTATGAACCAGGACCACAGGGCATCGAAGGCCTCGCAGGCCAATGTACAAATGTCGACGATATATACAGAAGATGGTTTGATGAGTTTGTACGAAGATTGGTGGACTGGAGCAAGAAGTTGAGCCAATCGGACTTGTACTGTAGCTCCGACAAAAGGCAGGAACGACTGGGACAAACTTCCAGCCCGAACAGTCTCATGGCATTCTAGAATAAAAGCAGTGTTTGGGATGATCAAAAATACATGACCCGAGTCGCGCTGTAAAATTTCTAAACCGCTACCTGCCTCCTTATCCATTCGAATCCTATGTACAATTCCTGCCGACCAATCCCGCCCGTACGGTCAAACAAGTGCAAAATCTCTAGCTCTCCAATGCAAGCCTCAATCACTTCTTAGGGACATGGCGACTCGACTCTTTTCGCTCATGAAGCCACTTCTTGACGGGGTTGGTGTCTTTCTGCACCGGAGCTGGTGGTGTGTGATTGTGTCTGACGTCGGTTGGTGCATTCTCTTCGTACGACACTCTTTGGCAGCAGTCCATCCTGCGCACGACATCTGATGAGAGCGCCTCGGCGATGCTGATACGCTTTTCCGGGTTGGGATTGAGCATTCTCAACACCAAGCGCTCCAACGAGCTGCTGTTGAGGAGGTGGAAGAGCTTGCCACAGTCCGGGTAATCCTCCGACCCAGGTTCGATGATTCCGTCAGGGTGGTCTTTCAGCCACTTGTTCCATCCGTTGACATACTTCTTGTAATTTGTATTGTCGGGTGTGGCCTTGACCCATGGATGTACGCCAAAGATCATGCTCAGGAAGTTGATACCACATGACCAAACGTCAAGACCTCTTGGGTCGTAAGCATCCTTGGCGTCCATAACTTCAGGAGAGATGTAAGGTTGGGATCCAAAGATGGCCGGTTGCGAGTATCTAACACGATCGACCTTGAAATTCTCGACGTCCATACCAATGCGGAAGCTGGGGTGCGGACCGCTGAAGATCTCGCTCAATCCAAAGTCGATGATCTTGACGCATCCGTCTCTCGTAAGCATGATGTTCTCAGGCTTCAAGTCGCGATGAGCTATTCCGTGGTTGTGGAGATAATCAACGCCACGTAACAACTGTTTAAAGAAACAGTACTTGTCGTTTATGGTCAAGTACTTCTTCTCGAGAAGACCGAAGAGCTCTCCGTTATGACAGTATTCCATGACTTCGCTCCAGATGCCGTGTGAAAAGCAAAGACGAATGGGCTCGATGATGTTAGGGTGGTGACAAGATTTGGCAATGCAATACTCGGACTTGACCTTCTTCACGTAATCGTCCTCAGTCTCCCACGAGTCGCGGCCACGGAACTGCTTGACGGCGTAAAGATGGTCTGGGGTCTCTCCTCGCCGCCTCATAAGCTTGACACATGCATAGCCGCCTTCACCAATCTGCTTTGGTCGCCTCAGTGGCATCCTGGAAGACGTTTTGAACTCCTTCTCCAGAGGACAGCATTCTATAGGAAACTCGTTGGGAATATTAGTCGAAAGTCTGCGAGATCTCGTTCCCATACCCTGATCCGCGGTTTGCGTGAAAGAAGGGAGAAGGCCAGGGGCATCGTCCTGGAAGGTTTGGGCTCTTTTGACCTGACTGCGCGGAATCTCGGTGCTGCCGGAGCGGCGTGAACTGAAGGATTCACCGCGAGTGTGTCTGGGATGTGGACGTTGTTGAAACTCGAGTTTGTTGGCGTGACGTCCAGCGGATTCCAAATCGGTAGCAGATCTATACTTAATTCGTCTGTCGCCTGGGTCCTCTTCCTCTTCAACGCCTAGATATCCTTGCTTCGAGGACGATGTAGAAATGGGATCGGGGGTGGATGCTCCGGTAGTAGGATTGCTCGCGTTGAGAATGGAGAAAATTGCATCACCACTCGACTTGGACTTCGAGCTCTCGGGGGCAGTCGCGGCCGAGTTTACTGATGAGGCTGTACTGTCATCGCTGCCGTTCCCAAGTTTGGATGCTTCGGCTGCTGATGGAAGCGGCTTAAGGTGCTGATCGTCAACTGGTTCGGACCGGGCTGCATTAGAGACGTCCATATCGCTCTCCGAAAGACTCTTCGGGGGTGGAGGAGCAGGTCGCTCTGATTCTGGAGATCTAGCAGCAAAGTCTGCAGTCCCCGCACCCCCAGCAGAAGAAGCGTCTTGCACCATCAGAACGTGTGGAGGGTCGACGTGCGTCGACCTTTCGGTTAAGTGCCGCGGGAAGCCGTAGACTCGAGTTGTTACGCGTTAGTCGGCGCAGTCTTCGACAGCAAGCCAGACACGCGCGAAGACGAGGAGAGACGAGCGGCCAGCAGGCGCTTATGGCGCGTATTAAGTAGATGAGCTAGAAATCATTTTCGCATGGATGCTGGCGGTATCTTTTGGGGTCGGCGAAGGAGCCAGCCTGAGTTTGTCAGTGGCTTGCTTGGCACCGTCGGCGCCCATCGACATCGCGGGGGTTGAGAATCGCATCATTGGTGGGCACATTTTATACCCGGCTCTTCGGCCACATTAAGCATCGAACTTGGAGACATTGACGAGTAGAAACACGGTCGATACCTTCATTAAGTATAGAAAACCGACTACAATGGAACCCAAACTCCACGCTGCACAATCAACGCTGTCAAAACCAACCATATCGTCGTCACTGCTTTCTCCTCGACCGTGTGGTCTTTGCTTTGCGCTTTGTCGTTTTTGTCGTTGGCCCGCTTTCCCTGCCTTGAACATCTTCCTTGTCCAGCCACCCTTCATCAAGAGCAAGCACAACCAGATCGCTGGCACATCTGAGCCCAGTCTGTGGCATCTCCTCGGGGTCCAGTAGCTCACTCACCTTGAGTAGGGCTGCCTCGAGCTCTTCTGCTCGTTGTGCTGCCTCGCTGTCTTGTATGCGATTACCCGAGCTGGGCCATTCGATCTGCTCGGCGAGCTTGTGCAGGACAAAATGTAACCACACAAGATTCGTCTGTGGGTGATATCCTTTCCACGTTCTTCCAGAATCTTCAGCTTCGTCCCACCTCTCCCAAAGATCACCAAGAGGCTCGCCCAAGTACATGGCACAACGCATGTATCGGTAGATCTCGTACTGGTATTCCTCCTCAGCGTCGCCCTCAAACAGCGCCAGGTCCCTTTCAAGATCGAGATATGCAACATCTTCCTCGTCCTCCAGGATGCCCATCTCTGCTCGCGAAATGGTGTAGTCGATGAGCGTTGTTTCGATGCCGGTAAAGTCGAGCTTCTTGCTTGAGCTTGCTGGGACGTAGTCTGCTTCGCGACAGTGTGCAGCGTTGTTGAGACCAGATACACAAATGTTACCCATGTGCAAATCTCTGTGCTCAAATCTGGCTGCTTCTTCGCCTTTGCCCAGTGCTAGCACGACTCCCCAGAAAATGTCCCAAGCAAGCCATACATTAGCGACCTTGGTATTCTCAAGATCTGTGCCGGCGTCTTGCATCTCAATGACAGCCCACAGCTGATCTTCCGAGTAACTCGCTTTTNNCTTGCTAGGGTCGGGGAACACGCTAACTTCCTTGCCCTTCGCCTCTTGAGAATCGTTCCATGACGACCAAGCTGCCGCAAAAGCATCTCCAGGACGACCCTGTAACACGCAAATCTCGCGGAAGTTTGTGAAACCAGGCGTGCATGTCATGCGCTGCATCAAACGTACTTCGGCGGCGACATCTTCAGGATCGCTCATCATTTCGGTTCGTTTCTTGGCAGCTTTGCTCATCTTTCTCTTCGTCGATGTTGGAGGCTTGAGAGCGATGATCTTGAGTACCGACTCGTCTGTCTTGCTCAAGGCTGAATGCGCCTTGAGAAGCGAAAGACGGTAAACTTCACCAAATGATGCTTCGGCGATTTTGGTGACTGCAAAGTGCGAAGAGAGTTGGTCGGACCAGGTAGAGAAGGAAGTCAGATCCTGGGAAGAAAGCGACAACAATGATGCGGCATGTTTGGTGAAAAGATTGGAGATGCGTGGTTTCGTTATCTCCAGGGCGGCCAGGTCAGCTTCGATTGATTCCATTGACGTTTGTTCTGTGACCTCTGCCGGCAAGGCGATTTCGGCTACTTGGGGTCCCTCTGCAACAACTTCGGTCGACATGTCTAAGGGCGTAGGCTGCGGCTCTTCGTGGACAGAAGTTTTTGGTCGTTGGTCTGACTTGGTCTTCTTGGGCTTTCCATTTTTNGTTTTTCGGTCCTTGAGAGAGACGGATCCAGTGCTTCTCACAGATTCGCTGCTCGTCGTTCTTTGCCGAGACAATTTGACAGGCCTTTCGGTGTTGACGATTCTCTCACAGAGCGCCTCTCGCGCAGGAGAGACTTCATCATCATTGGTCGAGAATTTTGTTTGGACAGTCAGCCGCGAAAGCTCTTCGGCAACTTCGAGAACCTCGAATGAAGCCGGATCTTGTTTTCGTTGTTTGATAGGACTTTGAAAGCTACTGAAGCTGGAATACAGATGCGACGGCTTGCCGTAGACTGCTTTGCGAGGCATTTTGACGGATTATGGTTTGCTGGAGAACGAATGTTGGTACAAGAATGACAATGGCTGCTGGCAGACTTGTTGTGCTTTGCAAACAAACGACGTTGTCAGGGCAAACTCAAATTCGGCCGTGCATTCCCTTCACCATGACCATGACTCGAGCTTCATCTATTCTACACGCATAGCGACTCTTGAAATAAGTCAGGATAGTCCAGAAATTCCACTGGAGCTGGCCTCCATCGTTGTTTGACTTTCGTTCGTCTGTACATATTTGTTCGAACCATGGCGCCCAAGGAATCTGCCTCGCCAGCACCAATGGTCACAGGTCCCGAATCGGATCCTTTCACCTACGTCTTGCGGGCCATGTGTATGCTGGAACTGGCCGCCCTCTATTCACCCTTGTCGCAGCTCACCTTGGCCCCTGTGTATGGATCGATACCCTCATCTGTTTTCCACCATGAGATTACCTCAGTCATTGTCCTCTTGACTCTCACTCGAACCAGCCTGCTTTCACGCTTCATGCCTGCCAACATTGAATACTATATCCCCATCTTGGCCTCCAGCATCCCTCTTATCCAATCATACTTGTTCAAATACAGTACCAAGCTTGGTGTGGAATCCGGTCCCCTCATCACCGAAGGTCTANCTTACTACCCTCTACTGCTGATGAGTTGTTACTCTGCGTCCCGCCTACTCCTGGACGCCAAGATTGATCAATACCTGCATTCTGCCATGGGATCTACCATACTTGGTCTCTCTACTTACGGCTTTTTCGTTCTGGTTCGATCTAAATCTAGCTTCTTGGTCTCCCAGTTCTTTGCGCTCTCTGCCACGTTCACCAGAGTAACACTGCAATGCGTTGTTGGTGCTTTGTTCACAATCTTGTCACCATCCAAGTTGAGCCTCCTTGCTATACCTGCCATGATACACACCACATGGTTCAACCCGCACTTTGTATCATCTCACACGGACGCCTTGGCCAACTCGACTCTGCAAGCAAATCAATGGAATCTGCTGGAGCGTGCTGAGTCCAACACTGGTTACATCTCAGTCTTGGAAAATCTGGATGCTGGATATCGAGTCCTCAGATGCGATCACTCTCTCCTGGGTGGGGAGTGGCTGGTCACTGACGAGAGAAGAAGACAAGGCATCACCACCTCTGAGCCTATCTACTCGGTGTTTGAAATTCTAGAAGCTGTTCGTCTGGTCGAGACTNCCCACAGCAGCGTGACGGACAGTGAAAAGAGCGCGCTTGTAGTGTGAGTTAACCTTTGATATGTTGTAGCTTCGCGACTGACGTAACATCTTCTCTTTGCAGAGNGTCTAGGCATCGGAACTGCACCTAAAGCTCTTATTGCGCACGGCATTGACACTACAGTCGTGGAACTTGACCCCAAGGTACACGAGTATGCGACGAAGTATTTCGACTTGCCCACCAACCATATCGCTGTCTTGGAAGATGCTGTAGCTTGGGTTCAAAACGCATCGACGAGCGCTGTCAAGCAGTACGACTACATCATCCACGATGTCTTTACTGGCGGCGCAGAGCCTCTTCCCTTGTTCACAGACCACTTCCTCGGCAACTTGCGCTCTCTGCTGACACCCGACGGTGTCGTCGCTATCAACTATGCTGGCGACCTTGCCGACTCTTCTACAAAACAAGTTATCAACACTATCAACCTAGCATTCGATCGTCAATGTCGCATGTTCCGTGACTCCGAACAGTCTTCTGAGGCAGGAGCGACCGACTTTCTCAACATGGTCATCTTCTGCACGAATTCTGCTGGCGATGGCGACAAGCTGAAGTTCCGCGGACCTGTTGAGGCAGATTACCTGGGTACTGTGTCGCGCAAGCATTATCTTGCGCCTCAGGAGAAACTCGAATTGAAATTCCCTACCGAGGAAGAGATGCAAGATGAGGCGGTTCAGACCCTAACTGTCGACAACCTCAGTGAATTCGAAAAGAAGCAGATCGAGTCTGCCAGAAGACACTGGAAGATAATGAGACTGGTTGTATCGGACTTTGTATGGGAACTTTGGTGATGTCTTTATGTGATAGCTTACTATTCTCGAAGTCTTTTCTAGCGATCTTCTGATACAAAGTCGCGTGGCCAAAACGTGTATATATCGTATCCACCTCTTTCAACCTCAGCTTCTCCACAGCGGCGTGTTATCAAGTAGAAAACTCGCTACCATCACTCACCGAACATAAGAGTCAACCGTGGCAACCTACAAATCATTCGTCATCCACGGTTTTCGTCGTGCCTGAATCCCTTCCTTCGCACCTTTCCACCATGGACGACTTCTTACGCCACATACAGCAAAATCTTCGCACAACAACACAATCTCAAAGCGACATGTCTAGCATCTACAAGTTCACCAAAGACGAATGTGACACAGTCGACCCTCACACGTTGCTCCGTCGCATGTTTTCGTTGAAAGCAGTGCTGCCCATATCCGAGCCCTCTCGATCACAAGTTGCCAGCAACACACAAATCGGCAAAGGGCAATGCGGTACCATCTATACACTCCACATTCCAAACCAAGTCAACAAGACACCAAATTCGACGGAAAAGATCCCCGAGCTGGAAAGCGATTTTCGTTCTCACAAGGCTGTCAGTGAAGCCTTTGAGAACGCGCCACAAACCCTGTCAAGCAAGGCCAACGTTCCCAAGGCAGATAGCTTTATGTCTCCGCCTTCTGGCGATGATGGCTTGAGCTATTGGACTCATGGGGCCGATGAGCAAATCGATCTTGCGTCAAACTACAACTACGGTCTACTCTCCGAGCGCATATTCCCCCTGCAAGATCCCATACCCACGGCATTGTTGAAGTCGATGTATCCTTCCTTCACAGCAACCAACCAAGAAACCTGCTTGACCAAATCCACAAACAACAATTGTTTCGTACGCCTCTACCTCGGTCGTCGAGGCATAGACAGAAGCAAAACCAACCCTGAAGACATGAGTCTACGCAACTTCCCTCTCCACATCGACGAGATGGAGAACCTCTGCCTGCCCATACCAACATACATAACCGCCATAGCAGAGTCCCTAGCTCCCATGCACTGGAAAGCCAACATCGATGCCAACGACATCGAATTCGTGTTCGGTGCCTCGCGTGACCACAAACAAGGCCACTGTGTCTCAATCTGGTTGTTGGACTTTAACCAATGTCGCGTGTTTAGCCACGATCAAGCTGGGTTAAAGCAGCTGGTTGATGGGTTTTGGTGGAATGATCCTTATTATCCTCGTCCTGGTGCTGAGCATCCGCAGGATAGGGTGTGGTGGACGATGTTTCTGAGTAAACATCTGGATGCGAGTGCGTTGTTGAGGGATGGCAAGATGCCGAGACAGTTTATACAGGCGGTCGAAAAGGAGGGTCATCGTCGGCGAGCGAGGCCTTTGCTTTTTCGGTAGGTCTTGTGTTCATCAAGTCTATTGCCTTTTAATGCGAGATAGCCGCAACATATTCAGACAGTCATATGCAACACCTTCTCAACGCCCCTACACTGCTCAAACCGATCCATTCTTGCTTTCTTCTCTTCTCATCTCTGCACTGCGCATCGAGCAGATACAGTTTAGACTAGAAACTTCGAGGCGGGAAACTGCAATCGTTGGTTTCAATGGTTAGAGGTAAGTGGTCGTTATGCATATCGATGAGAGGCAGGCACACACCCACAGGTCAAGTACCAAGAGCAACTCTCCACATCACACGCATGATCATGAACATCAACATAAACATCATCGCGAATATGGGAGAAGAACGAGAGACATGGATGGATTCAGAAGATTGGGATTGTTGTATTTGAAAAAGGTTTGTGAAACGCCTATGCGATGCCAGAAGGACAAGTCTGTATCAACCCAAGGTCTCATCAACTCCTTCTTCTCCTGCCCAGAACCTCCTCAAGGGACATTAAATCTAAGAAAACGATTTTGAAGTACGAAAAAAAGAGAAGACGTGACGACATTAAATAATGCTACTGGCTGTGGTCAAGAGCATCTAGTCGACCTCCTCCATGGCGGACTCGCCAGCGGCCTCGGCGGCAGGGGCCTCAGTGGCGGCAGCCTCCTCGCTGGTCTCAGCCTCCTCGTCGACGTTAAGGCCGAGGGAAACGAGCTTGTGGATGCGCTCAGCGTAGGCGGCGGGCTCGTCAATGGTGAAGCCAGAGACAAGGAGGGAAGTCTCGTAGAGAAGCTGGGTGATGGACTTGACGGTGCGGTCGTTCTCGCCGTCAGTCTCAACCTTCTTCTTAAGCTCCTTGATGATAGGAGAAGCAGGCGAGATCTCGAAGGTCTTCTTGGAAGACATGTACGAGGACATGGAGGTGTCACGAAGAGCCTGGGCCTTCATGATGCGCTCCATGTTGGCAGACCAACCGAACTGGCCAGTACGGATGGCGCAAGGAGAGCCGACGAGCTTGTGGGAGACAACGACCTTCTCGACCTTGTCGCCGAGGACGTTCTTCAAGCTCTTGGCAAGAGACTCGTACTCCTTCTCCTCCTCCTCACGCTTCTTCTTCTCATCCTCGGTCTCCTCGAGCTCGAAGTCCTTGGTGATGTCAACGAGCTTCTTGCCCTCGAACTCCTTGAGCTGAGTGAAGGCGTACTCATCGATGGGGTCGACAAGGAAGAGAACCTCGAAGTTCTTCTCCTTGAGGGCGTCAAGGAAGGGAGACTTCTGGACAGCCTTGAGGGACTCTCCAGTGATGTAGTACATCTGCTTCTGGTGCTCGGGCATGCGGGTGATGTAGTCCTGGAGGGAGGTGATCTCGTCGAGGGACTTGGTGGAGTTGAAGCGGAGGAGCTTGGCGAGCTGGGGACGGTTCTGAGCGTCCTCGTGGATACCAAGCTTGAGGTTCTTGCTGAAGGCAGTGTAGAACTTGTCGAACTGCTCACGGTCCTCGGCGATCTCGTTGAAGAGCTCAAGGGTCTTCTTGACGATGTTCTTCTTGATGACCTTCATGATCTTGTTCTGCTGGAGAGTCTCACGGGACAGGTTGAGGGGAAGGTCCTCAGAGTCGACGACACCCTTGACGAACGACAGCCACTCGGGGATGAGGTCGGTGGCATCGTCGGTGATGAAGACGCGGCGGACGTAGAGCTTGATGTTGTTCTTGGTCTTCTTGGTCTCGAAGAGATCGAAGGGAGCGCGCTTGGGGACGAAGAGGATGGCGCGGAACTCGAGCTGACCCTCAACCGAGAAGTGCTTGACACCGAGGTGGTCCTCCCAGTCGTTGCTGAGCGACTTGTAGAATGAACCGTACTCCTCCTGGCTGATGTCGGCGGGGTTGCGGGTCCAGATGGGCTTGGTCTTGTTGAGCTCCTCCTCCTCGATCTTGCTCTCCTTGACCTTCTTGGTCTTCTTCTCCTTCTTCTCATCCTCGTCGTCGACTTCCTCGACCTTGGGCTTCTTCTCGTCACCCTCCTCGGTCTTCTCCTCAGCCTCCTCATCGGGGACCTCCTTCTCGGTCTCCTTGAGGACGTGGAGGTAGATGGGGTATGAGATGAACTCGGAGTGCTTCTTGACGACCTCCTTGATCTTGGCCTCGTTCAGGTAGTCGAGCTGCTCGTCCTTGAGGTGCAGGACCATCTTGGTACCGCGGCCGAGCTGCTCGCCCTCAGTGTCCTGGGTGAGGGTGAAGGTGCCACCAGCGGATGACTCCCAGAGGTACTGCTCGTCATCGTTGTTCTTGGAGGTGACGGTGACCTTGTCGGCGACGAGGTAGGCAGAGTAGAAACCAACACCGAATTGACCGATCATGGAAATGTCGGCACCGGCGGTGAGGGCCTCCATGAACTGCTTGGTACCGGAACGGGCGATAGTACCGAGGTTGTTGACGAGGTCCNNTGGGAATCAGTCAGTCACAATTCAGACGACAAACAGAAGAGAGAATTGATCACTTACAGCCTTGGTCATACCAATACCAGTGTCACGGATGGTAAGAGTCTTGGCCTCCTTGTCGGGGATGATGTCGATGCGCAGGTCCTTGCCAGAGTCGAGCTTGCTGGGGTCGGAAAGAGCCTCATAGCGGATCTTGTCAAGGGCATCAGACGAGTTGGAGATGAGTTCTCTGAGGAAGATCTCCTTGTTGGAGTAGACGGTGTTGATGATCAGCGAGAGCAGCTGAGAGATCTCAGCCTGGAACTCGAACGTCTCGGCGGCCATGTTGATGGTGGTGATGAAAGACGGATAAACACAGAGATGCAAAGCAAAAGGTGACTGCTGGAATATAGACAGCCGGGTATCTGAAGGAGAAAAGAAGAGGTGGATGTGAAGAGGGGAGGAAGTTTAGTCAGAGGAAGGAGTGTGTTAAAGAAAACCTCCAAAGCTCCTTCCATACGATTCCATATTTCGATGGAAACGCCGGCCTTGGCGCTTCGTTGCACGAACAACCACTGTTTTCCTTCACATCTCTGACACACGTCGAACTTTGCAGATGGTACTAGAAGTCTCTATCGTACGCGCGACCCTTCACTATCCTACTCAATCGACTCTGACATGCGACAATGTTGTGCATATCAAAGGGCTCGGTTCTATCGCTGACCTAGTAAGAGCGCTTGGTCAAAGTCTCGCGTCTCCGTGAATCCAGACTCTGTGGGGATCCTTGTGGGCAGCGGCCTTCTGGTTGCCACCCGAACCTTCTACAGTAGTTGCCAACAGCTTCGTTTGCCATCACTCACAACTCCAATCGCTTGTGTCAGTCGAAGTTGACATCTTGATGCATTCCCTCCCCGTGTGCTGAAGCATAAACGCGCTCAGCTATTGAGATGCACAATGGTATTGAAAAACAAAGCAGTACCCATGGAGAGCTAGCACCTTGAAGGCTCTCTTTGGTCCCCTCTGCATACACTTCAACCTGAGCTCATATGGGAGAGGGGTGGAGTCACAGACTTTAGCACATGGTGAGGTTGCAAAGAAGTTATCCTGCAGTTCGCGCCTTCCACTGTGTATCAACATGCTGGAATATGGCTGTCACAAGACACAATATTTCCATGGCTGTTGTATGATTGCCTCTCTCAATTGGGGAGCATTGTTATGTAGGCTTCCATCAAACATGAATCGGGCTCTCCAAGCACAATATCTACTGGCGGTATGTTTGACGATGTTCTTCTGTTTGGAGTAAAGTGAGCAAACCACCCACAGTGATTCTCAAATCGTATTATGCAGCTTTGATTGTAGTGATTAACATGCAATATCAGTGCCCCTGCCAGTCAACAAACCCCCTAAAGCAAAGCATCAGGAAAGACCAGACCAGGACATGCAAAAATTAGCCGCATCGCCTCTGTTCGATGCCCAAGAAAACTGTATCCATTGACGCCAACCGAAAAAAGAAAAAAAGCTTCCACTCATCCAGACTCTCAGTGCTTAGCCCATCCAAATGATTGTGCCAATTGACATTGTTCAACCCCGTGTTGTTTCCTGTCAAGAGTTGCTCTCTTCATGATCTGATCTCGACGCTTCTCTTATCGGGCAGCTCGATCGGATCTTGCTGGGCCTGTGCAGGTTGTGCAGCAGACAGCGACCCNCTGCGTGTAAACTGGGCGTCCTGTCCGGTCATTCTTCTGTTGAGTGCGCGCTCGACCTTTGCGCCGAGGGCAATGGTGTGAATTTCGTCGTTCTTGGTCTCGCTGAGCTGGTAGCGCTGTTTTTCGAGGCGCTCATCCGCCATGCGCTGGAAGCCAGCTTTCCATGACTTGATGTCCTGAGTACGAGGGTCGGCGGATCCGAGTGTGCTCATAGATGCGCGGGGCTCGGTGGCGGTGATCTTGTCTGTGTCGTAGGTGGTTGTCGAGGGCGCATCTTGCTTGAAGCCAGCATCGGCCGTGTTGTTGGTGACGGTGGAAGAGGTGCTCATTGCGATTGACGGGTGTAGAGACGGTGCGCCGGAATGTGTAGAGAATCTGAGCAATTGATTGTGTGTTGAGGAGGACAAGTCGTTCGACTATCAAAGGGTTGCAATGTCAGAGATCAGCGAAGCGTTGTATTGGCGCAGCAAGCAAACACTGAAACGGCGAGGGGCTCTCGAGACAAGAAAATCCAAAAAAATTGGTAATGAAATGCGAGCGGGCAATGGAGAAAAAGAACAAGGGAACGTACCATGACTAGATCTATATGCGGAGATTCAGGAGTTGTCAATCTTGTGCTAGACTCTTTTATCGTCAGCTGCATGGTCATTAGAACGCTCTTCCCATGTCGGCCATTGCTGGTGTCTCACCCGCTGGCTACTTAGTGTACTGTTCACTTGCAACTTGTGTTTGCCGTCAAGTATCTGTCAAGGGGAGCGGAGTGCGTTTCGATTATGAAGTTACGAAACAAAACAGGGATCCCCGAAATGCATTCATATTCCTTGTAAATCATGTCGGGAAACGGACCCCTTCGTACCGCTCGACTTGCTAGATCATGCCGCTGGCCAGGGATTCTTGCCTGGCCAACCCGGCGCAACCACAGAACATATGCCTCTCAAAAAGGTCAAGAATCTGACTCTCACGACCGCGTGGCAATTATCTACCCGTGTCGTGTCTGCTGAGACTTGGCTGGCTTCCATGTTCACACCACCCCAGAGCAAAGCCGATTCGCACGTTTCAATATACAGGCTGTCCAACAGGCGGTACAACTGTCACATCAACGTGGCCTCGATCAGCGCCACGTGCAGCAGGCTAAGGTAAGGAAGCACACGAACCACGCATTCCGCTTGCTCGTGGCACCCAAGAAGTCATGTTACACTAAATTGATTTGTTCTTGACTCGTTCATTCGTCTTATCATATCAACTCTCCTTGCCTGGCAGGGGCTTGCTACCATTTACCTCCCGTCAGGAAAATCTTGAAAAAATCCAAAGGAGCCCTGCTGTTGTCCCTGGCTGACACTACTGCATATCCAGGGACTTCGACACTCGGTGTGCTCAAGCTCAACGCTTCTGACACTGTCACCCAATTCCTTGTTGCCCAGACCAAGACCGTGGCGATAGCACCACACCCTCCGACCACCTGCAGAAGACTCCATCTTCTGATGTTGAATCGTTGGCTCAGTGCAAGCAACCCCAGGGGNTCTTGATAATTGAGGCTGTCAAGTTCCCTATGTCTGACGTGTGGAGATGTCTCGCGGCCAGATTTGACCAAGGCCGAGCTGGCGTTGTGTAGTTCAGAAGCGCCCATCGTCAACTGCTTTCTGTCTTGGGTTTCAGTGTCCAACGCGATCTTCAAGTTGTATGCCCATTGCGGCAGTTGCATGCTTTCTCTGTCGAAATTGTGAATATCGCTACGGCGGCCGAAGTCGTACTGCGAAGTCGTGCCCAGAGCCGGTACAAGCTTGAATGGAGTGGGCGATGACCCTCGCTGGCTCGGAGTGGATGCTTGGGGTGCTAGGAAACCCGAAGGAGAAGAGAAAACGGAAGAAATGGAAGATGGTGCAGCATCTTGCAAACAGCCGAGTCGCTCANNGAGTGCAAGCTCGCGAAGCTCGCGTTTGTGTGAGTCGAAAGATGTCTTCAGGTAATCCCTTCGCCATTGAATGAATTTCTTGACGGCACAGTGCCGTAACCACTGAGCGTTATCAGGGTCGAATAGCCGGTCTACCAATTGGGCAAGGTCGCTAGAGACCAAAGGCTGCACATAGTCAGGAGACATCAGCACGCTTGCATCCATAGTCTCTGTGTCCTCACTCAAGGAGGATGACACTGCAAAAGGCGACGGAGTCAAGGGATCTTGAGCGTCTGCGGTCTGGAAAGTGAACGTTCTGACACCAGCAGCCTCAAGACTAGTCCTTATGGCTGTCTTTGTGTCTTTGAGATTGTCAGCCGTGCATGTATCGGCTCTACCGATAATAGGAACTATGTTAGTAAGTGCAGAGAGGCGTCGGAGAACTTCAATTTCCGCAAGGCTTATCTGGTGAGATNNCCTGGATAGTATCAGTACCCTTTCAATGATGTACAGGAATACCAACTTACTGGGATGGAATATGTAAAGTACAACATCAACTTGAAATCCTCCACTGCCACTCAAAACACCAAGAAGATCTGTGTCACTCAATTCTCCTGTCAAAGCGTTTCTCCGCAAGGACGCCTCTATGTTTTCGTGAATGGTACCCATGGCACCATCCATGTTTTGGTCACTCGCACCGCTCATGGCCCAACCAGGNGTATCGATAAAGGAGATGTTGCGTTCGAGAATGGAGTCTCCCATGCTCTTTCGTCGTCTCAAGCCACGCCCTTGTTCGATTTCTGACCACCAAGATGGGTATGATTTGGTCGAAGCGTGAGTTTCAAAGACTTGGTCCGTACGTGCAGTCGAAGTTGAGAACGAGTCAACAGCCACAATAGGGTCGACATGAACAATGTCGGCACACACTTGAACGATACTTTTTATCAAGCTTGTCTTGCCAATACCAGAGGGACCAACGACCATGATTCTTAGTCGAGGCATGCGCTTGCCTCTCTCTGTGAAGGGTCGGCGTGCAGGCATGGATATGCTAGGCATGACCAACTGTGGTATACTGCTCTGAGGAACAGTCGATGAGGCGGATTCGACCAGAGTTTCGTCAGCGAAGACATCATCGTCCTCGCTCGAAGAATGGAGGGCCTGACTAGCAGTGTCATCGATGATACTTCCTTCTTCGTCTGAGAGGCGTACACTTTTTACACTGGGTGACTGCGGGGTACTGGTATCGCTGGCGCGTAGAGGAGTAAATGAGCGACCCAAGGATGTAAGGGATTCACTTCGAATATGGCGACGGGTTGGTGATGGAGTCAAGGGTCTAGGCGCTGAGGAAGAGATGGACGATTTTCGCGACGAAGGACGCTCTTCTGAGGATATGATGCGCTGAGCAGCTGCAGCGATCTTGGGGTGGACGGGGTTTCCAATCTTCCGTTTCTTGCCAGAGACAGTGTCGGACGGGGGTGAAGAAGGCTCTGGCGATTTGGAGGCGAAAGCAGCTTCGAGGGTTTCGTCCAGGCTCTCGACGCTATAGTCGTGATCCTTGTCCTGGTCGTGTTGCTGGCTAGTCTGTTCTGCCTGGGCCCTTTTCATGTCTCTTTCTCTTCGCAGGAAGAAGGTGGTCGGCGGCTGTGTATATCCCGGGATTGGTGCGGTACCTGCATCAGTACAAGGTTGCTTCTTCGTCCGTGGCCACGCTCGTTCGGAGTCGCTCATGCTGGACTGGTAGTTGGTATGATCTTGGGTTTGGAGTCTATGTGTCGTGACAATAGAGTACTAGAACAACCGAACGCAGGAATGCTCATGACATGATCATACGAGTATTTTGCTCAATGTTCCGCCTTCTGACGAGTCCAAGTGCAGATGGATCATGACCTCGTTGACGATAAGCCTTCTTCCCCACGATCGCCCGGATTGCGGGGTGATAGGCGGATGCCTTGTAGTGGCACGTGCGCATCCATCTCTGACGACCTCAAAGCCTCAAACACTGCTCTATCGCTGCAGAGGATTGGGAGTAAAGGCACCTGCGTGGTAAGAGAGGACTCAAGAAACCCCAACGGTCAATCATCTGATGTGTGTAATTGTCATGGGAAACATCATCGTTCGTTCTGCATATCTACCGTCGTCCGTGAAGAGCATGCACAATAGTTACAGCCCAACCTGGCCTGCTTCTTCTTTCATCCTCAAGCCAAACTACGCCAGATGACCCGCGTGCTCCGAAGAAAAGTCACCATTTTCAATGTCCCATCCACGCCCTCCTGAGCCCATCCGCAACCGTGTTGATACAGACTGCAAAGCCAATAAAACTCCGCAACAAACAACAGAAACACAGTCGGTAGGATGGAAAGAGAAATCAATGAGAAACACGCGCCGCTATGCATTAGTGACAAATGTGTGAAGTTTTGAGCAGCGCGTCAAGACTTTGGAGTCCATCTCCAAATCGCTTCAACGCTGAGAAAGAACTTTTTCGAAAGGGGGCATATCGCGTCATATTTTACAGATGAGGGCTGCACTGCGTCTGTTGTTCCAGTTCCAGCCCGTGTTGTAGAAGATGTTTAGGCAGCCTGGGCACCGCCGCGACCGCGAGAGGCGGCACCACCACGGCCTCTCTGGGAACCGCCGCCGCGACCGCCCTGGAAAGAACCGCGAGGGGCCTGGTTAGCACCGCCACGGCCGCCTCTGGCGCCACCACGGTTGCCCTGGAAGAAGGGTCCTCTGTTGTCCTTGGGACGGCGCTCCTCAATGGTGATGGTATGCTCACCAATCGAGATGGGGCTGGCCTTGAGCGCAGCCTTGTAGCCATCAAGAGTCTTGAAGTCGACAAAGGCGCAGTTCNNTGCTCGGCATGTCAGTCAATGCAATGCTGGATTCTAAATCGAAAAGCTTACCTTAGGTCTGTTGGCGTCGAAGTACACGAGCTCACCGTACTTCTCAATGACCTCTCTCAGTGTGGGGAGAGTAATACTGTCGTGAACGTTCTTGACGTATGCGCGGTGTTGAGGTGTGTCCTGAGCACCTGCAGCGGCCTGGCCCTTGTTCTGCTTCTTGTCACCAACGCTGGTCCACTCTTCCTGCTGATCAGCACTAGGAGCAGCAGGAGAAGACTCGCGTGCGGGAGCAGCAGCAGCGGCCTCCTGGGCAGGTGCAGCGGGTGCAGACTTGGTGGCAGGCTCAGGTTGGGGAGCAGTCTTGGGCTGAACAGGGGCGGCAGAAGCAGACGGTTGAGGAGCAAAGACGGGGGTGGCGACACGGTGAGCAGCAGCGGCGAGGTTGGCCCAGGTCTTGGGAGCGGCGGGAGCAGCGGGAGCAACAGGCTTAGCAGGGGCAGCGGCCTTTGCAGGCTTGGCGGCCTGCTGAACAGGAGAACGAACAGCGGGAGTGGGTTCGGGATCCTTGGGCTTCTCGGTCTCCAGGGTTTCCTGGGCGGCAGGGACCTCGGGAGCAGCCTCAGTGGCGGTCTCAGGTGCGGCCTCAGAGGTCTCAGTGGGCTCAGATACAGCGGCGGCAGGAGCTTCCTCGGCCTGGGTAGCCTCAGCGGCTTCAGCCTTGGGCGATTCGTCGACTGCGGCAGCGGGAGCGGCGGTCTCCTCAGGCTTCTCGGCAATAATCTTCTCCTCAATCTCCTTGTCAACCTTGGCGGCGTCCTTCTCAATGGCGACGGGGTCCTCAGAGCTGGTCAAAGTCTCGTGCTCGGGCTCCTGGGCGGCAGTAGGAGCAGGCTCCTGAACAGCGGCGGGCTCCTCGGTTGCCCCAGCCTCCTCCTCCTCCTCGATGATGTAACGGAAGATATCGTTCAGCACAAAGTAGCCGTTTGTCTGAGCAGCGAGGACAAAAGTCTGGGTGAACTTCTTGTGAGGGGCCGACTTGTTGGAAATCTCACCGATGACCTGAATGACGATGTGGTCATCTGAGGCCTGGGAATCGACGTTGGTGACGCGGACCTTGCACTCGGAGAAGTCGAGCTCCTTGATGCGTTCGTTGATGGCCNNTGTTTGCTGATTTAGTACCTCGGCGTCTTGTGCGCTGTAATGCAAGCGAAGACGTACCCGTTGTCCCACGCAGACTTCGACCTTCTCGGTCTCGTTGCCCGAGACGAATTGTGAGCGCTTGTTGTAGAAAAGNCTATAGCCAGTCAATGTATGTCCTCCTCATGTACGTTGTATTGGTCTTTGACATACGTAGACCTTTTCGGGGCTGCGGCTGAGAGTAGTGTAGTACTGCTCGACGAAGTACCAACCGACCTCGTCCTTGGGAATGCCAGCAGCGGAGTCGTTCGATTGCGAAGGCGCGGAAGGATTAGAGGAAGGGTAGCTAGGNGCGGTGTAGCCAGACTGATCTATCGAGCCATAGCCATTCTGAGGGACAAAAGTGCCGTTGATAGCGGATTCGGAAGCCATTTTAAAGAAACCAAGAAGCAGACAGATACAAATAAACTGGCGGTGCGGAGGGTCGAGACGATTTCTAGTGATGGAACACGATCAGCGCTGCTTCTTTTGGCGAAACAACTTCAGAGTGAAGAGTGGCAGGGTGTGCGACAGGGGTTTCAGCGATCGGAGAGTCTCACCTCTAAAGTGACGATAAAACAGGCCGATATAAAACTATCTCGTGCAGCTCGACGGATCTACACTTTTGCGTCAAGCTGCGGTAGAGCTTGGTGGGTGATGAGGGGTGAGAGGAGAGAGTTGTAGAAGGATGGCGAGGGAGTGTGAGAGGATTGGAGCTTGCGGTGAGCAGAGTGAGCTTTGAGGCGTGTCTATGAGTAGCAGAAGTTGTTCAGATGGAAATCCATCGTCACTTCCAACGAAGACCCGGGCCGTGCGCCGTGCACCACCTATGCCACAAACGGCCAGTTGCACGTGACATGAATTTGGCAGATCTGTTGCAGCATCAGAAATCCAAAGCCCATCCTCTCACTACATGCGCTTCCGAAATTTGAGAAAATAGTTTAATTCCACAGTTGACTGTCTTCCGTATGCTCTCGCGTGAAGTGGGTGACGAGGTCTAGTACAATGCTAGGAGAATACCATCCAATTGAGCAACCACTGCGCTCCTTACAACAAGATGGTCTTTGTCCTTACAATACCATCCTGCCTGATTTATGGTTTAAAGAATCTGAATGTAAGCAATAGTCTTGCTCGGGTTTCATTCGTGATTGCCAGCTGTAAACTGAGGATTATCGATTAACGTCAGCGCATGCCCACTCTCGTGCCTGCCTCATTTTGTACAACTTGCAAAGACTGCCACGTAGAGCCACGACTCTAGCATGCAGTCTTTCCAGCAAGCTGCAAGAATTTACGCGCCTGCTGCTCACACCAAGATCATCTTCCAATTCTCGCATTTGTAGTTGATAAAAGAAACGTCTCAGACCTTTTCCAAAACTCTTCCATACTCCAAGCTTTCGACATTCTCTCTTGTCCAACAAGTCGAACCCGACATCCGATCGTGATCTTCACGTCTCGGCATGATGTCCCCAAGAGGCGTCCATGGTCGGTTACATTATCTCGGCGAGAAGAACACTGACACGACCTCCAAGAGGAAGCTAGCATGCAAAACACCAGCATTAAGCGTACTCGAGACGATTCACGATGTTCGTGGACTTCACGACAATTTCACTCTTGACCTCCATGGATTTCGCTATGTCAAAGCACCAACCAAGTTCGAAGGTTGGGCATCGGAGCAGGACATAAAACGTCATCTCATCCCTGAGATTGAGGACTTGTTGCGCCATGAACTGGAGGGCTGCGATGAGATAAACGTTATCGACATCAAGGTGAGCACTTGAGGCTCGTTAGTGATCTATCCTAACCAGTACAATCAACAGCAGCAACATCACGAGAATCGTTGCAATAAACTGGTCTGTGTCGATTACACCGCACCAAGTGTAGAGTCACTGTTGCACCAGATGTACGAGATAAAGGCCGACTACCTACTCGCAGGAAGAGTTCGCCTGATCAAGTGAGTTTGTCCTTATACAGTGTCGAGTCGATTATCTTACTGATCGGTAATGCCANGCATATGTAGGCCAATTCAGTGTTCCGTAACCAGATCTCCCATTGCGATCGCGGATGGCAGTGGAGTTGTCGCACAGAGGGATATCTCGACGACAAATACTGGTTCACCCAGGCGTTACGGGATTTATCGCGACGGATGTTACTGGTATTATATGAGCGAGCAAGCCGAGGAGGACGTCCTGTTGTTCAAGACCTACGACAGCGACCAGAGTGTACCTGCTACTACATATCTCCGCACAACGTTCGACATACCCAACACTCCTACCGACACGATCTCCAAGACAATCGAGATACAAGCGTTGGTCTTTACGCATCCCGTCAACAAGCAAGTTTCAAATGATGGGCAATTGGAAGAAAAAGATATCCAGTCGTTGAAGAGAAAGATCAGTGCCCTTTCAGACGAAGTCTCGCACAACCAAGCGCTGGTCAGAGCAGGCTTGGATCTTCGTCAATGGGAATCTAGCAAGACAGCGGAGCGAATACATCACCTCATCTCTGACCGCGACCACTCCCGTGCCGAAACTCTTGCATTGAGCATGCAGCTCAACTACTTGGAGGACTGCGTCGCAAACTTCTACATGTCATGGAGCTCTTCATGTCACCAAGATGCCTTGGTTGGCCAGATGCAACATTTGATATGCTCGACACCAAGATTGCGTCAAAGTCTCGGACAGGATCAACAGGCGCACCTTAGTCTTGTACAGAGCATGAACGTGTACGGACCGGATGCCGAGATGCTGCTGTTACGCCAACGATTGCAAGCTCAATGTGCCGAGAACGAGAGGCTCAAGGTTCAGATCAATACTCGGGTCGAGGACAAGATGAATGAGGCCTTCAGCTCTGCGCTGCAGGTGGCGGTCAAGAATGAGCGTGGCCAAGATAACGTGGTTATTGAAGCTCTGCGCCAGGAGATCTATAGGCTGCATTTGTCGCTGGAAGCGAAGACTCCTGAGAGCGAGGACTCCACTGAATTGACAAGGTAGAAAGTGTGGGAGATGCTGTGATTGTAGTGCAGTGTAGTATAATGTAGCTAGGCAACAGCGCAGTGTAGCTTAATGTAGCTAGACAGAACAACTATTTGCAGTCTTCGCAGTCTTTTGTGCCTTCGGTTGTAGTGGTGGCAGGCTCTTTTGGTTTTGTGGATGTGTCCGAGGATTGAGTCTTGGAGGGCTTGTCAGAGTGACCGAGATCTCGATTAGGCTCAATGTGGTTCCTCAAGCGCTGCTTCAAGATCTTAGTCTCTGGGAAGCCTCCCTCTGCCTTTCTATCCCATAGCAATATTTCTTGTGTTTCGGCGTTCTCGTCGGATCCAGGAGGTACATGGGTAAGGTAAACTGTAAAGACGCCGCCTGTGACGGGAATGAGGGCGATCTCGCCAATAGCTGTTCCGAATGTTGACAGTAACTCCTGGCCGAAGTAAGCTGCTCGCAACATCCACTTGCATTGCGTGCAGTACGAGATGGCGACACGAGGCAGTTTGTGCGGCGACGGCATGGTTGTTGCTGTTGTTGATGTTCAAGACTTGAAGCTCCAGATATTCGAGTACAAAACAAGCGAATTGAAAACCAGCAGTCAGGATGTATGTGGTCGAGAATGTGACTTGATTGATGGTGAATTGATGGACGGTGGAGCGACTCCCGTCTTTGCTTCTCCAGCCTCGTCAGCGACCGACAGACTCCCTCCGTAAACATGCCGCTCTCGTTCACTTTGCGCATCTGCGCTACATCTTCACGTACTCGTCGTTTCTTGCGCAGAACTGAAGACATGTAGACATCTCACTTCTCGGTAGGTCCATCTCAGCGAGCAATTACGCAATGAAAAAGCGTTACCTCGTTCTTCCCTTGGTCGTCTAGTCTTTTCCTGTCTCCTGAAGAAACATGGCTCTCACAACAGTACCAACTCCGTCCGGTCTTTTCGAACAGCGACAATCGCCAAATGCTGGCATTGGAGTCTTCGCCATTGCCGCCATCCCCTCGGGCACTCGTATCCTCTGCGAAGCCCCGCTCTTTGCGCTTCCTGACGACGACGATGTCATAGAATGTTACCTCACAATCAAGGAGCTGCCCTTGGATCAGCAATCTCTCTTCTGGTCACTCGCTGCATCCTCGAGTCCCCCTGGGGATACCGATTGGATCGGCGAATTACGAGATGCCTGTGATGGTACGCTGATTGTCTACTGGCCGATGTTTCAACAGTGCTGATACAGACGGCACANNGAAGACATAGGTGACGCATTCGACCATCTTGTCAAGAAGTACGAAGATGCGTACTCGAGATTCGAGACAAATCGCTTTACTTTGCGCTATTCTGATGGATCACCTAACAAACTCGGTGTCTTCNCCAACCGTAAGCCAATTCCCGCGCATCTCACACCAAACGGCCATACTGACAAAAGACAGGCCGCAAGGTTCAATCATTCCTGTTCGCCCAACGTCTACCATCGCTACAACCCGAACATAGACCGCCTCACCATACACGCTCTCCGCGACATTCTCCCTAGTGAAGAGATATGCACTGCCTACATCGACATCTGCCATAACACAGCAGAGAGACGTCGCACCCTGCGTCACTGGGGGTTCAAATGCTGCTGCGAGGCTTGCGAGACACAAGATCCAATGCGTGAGGCCCGAAGAAGCAAGCTGGAAGAGCTCATGACTATCATGCAAAGGAGGGAAAACAAAAGGTCTTTCGAGAACTGGGGTACCTGGGATTACGCCGAGGCTCTTACAACCGTGGAAGAAATCATCTCTCTCATGCTGGAGGATGGCCTGGAGGAGACGGATACACTGGGCGAAGCATACGAGAAGGCCGCCGAGTACAACCTTGCCATGGGCTGCAAGGAAGATGCTGTCAAATGGGCTGAGAAGGATCTCGAGATTGAACGCAAGTGCTGCGGCGAGGATAGTGATGAGTATATCAAAGCGTTGGCTTTGCTGGAATCTGCAAGAGTAGCATAACATGATGCTCCAGAAGACAAGAGTAGTCTCTAGATAAGGCTTTGGCTATGGCCCTTACAAGGCTACCTAGAATCTACCTATAGAAATACACGTTGGTTTCTGATAAAGGTCGATTATAAGAAGTGTCGACAAGACTATGGCTCTTGATGATGTTTCAAATCTCTAGAAGTACTGGGCATTTTGGGAACGGCGGTTTGTGATCTTTCGCTCGATTTCTGATTCGTTGACCAGTCTCATACTGGTGACGTCGAGCGACCCTGACTCCAACCTCCGAGGCATCATGGAGCGACTCCGCACCTTCGAGCATGTCCTCGGATGTCCAGAGCATCATGCAAGAATCGAAACATCACTTGCCGTAGAAAACAAGGATTCCAACTGTACATACGAAATCACTTTCGAGATAATTGCACATACTGAACTACCATGCCTCTCCTCAACTTTTACCTGCTACGTCTAAAGAACGACCCTCAACCCCACACCTTCCTCACCCACCTCCAGAAAGCCGACCCTTCCATCAAAGTGATAGTCGCATCGAAACCACGCCACTTTGTCGTCAAGGCCACCACTCAAGATGCTGATGTCCTGAACAAACCATGGGACCTGATGCTCCTTCTCCAAGGCCCTAATGCTGCACTTCCAGACTCCATTCTCCAGCACGTTTCTGCCAAATACACCCTTCCGGTGGGCATACCATCCAAGCTATTATCCGCATATCCCGAGAAGAATGCAAGACTCATCAAAGAGGCTTCCTCAGCTGGCCTCACAGGTTCGCTGGACAATCCCAAAATGCCCGACTCGAGTCAGAAACTGGAACTGTCGCCCGAGCTGTTGAAGTTCATGGAGCAGTTGCTCAAGGAACACGATGGTCCTGTTACCATGCTGAATCTGCTCAAGTTCAAGCCCAATGGCAAACAAAGTTACTATCAATACGGACAGCATTTCATCGAAGTGGCAAAGAAACGAGGCGGAGATGCAAAGATTGTGGGAAATGTTATTGCTGCTGATGGCGACAAGGGTGGGTGGGATGAGATTGCCATTGTGCATTATGCTAGCATCAAGCATTTCTGCGACATGTTGGCCGGTGAGGATTATCAGGCTATCAATGAGAAGTTCAGACTTCCGGTGAGTGTTTGACGCTTGAGAGATTTCTGGATGTGTTTGCTGACTTGTGTTTAGGCTTTGGAGGATACTCTGTTGGTTTGTACTACTGAGTTTGGTCAGATGGATACAAAGGCTAAGCTGTAGAGATGCGAGTGTTTCTGTTGTGAAGGATAACCTATACGGTCGAATGCTTGTCCAGTCAAGGTTCAAGCCTGCATTGTTCTACCTGCTCATCTGTGCCGAAGCCAATACTTTCCGTACACCATCGATACTGGTCTCCCCTGTAACCAGCCGAGATTGAACAACATCTTTATCACCGTTTCTTGCATCCCTCGCTGCTTCAGCCCAGGCAGCAGTATGTGAAGTACCTGGTCTGACCATATGACTCTCGTCTGACAGGCGGACCAGTAGTTGCTCTGTTTCAGACGAAACAGCTGTGATTTGTCGTCGTAGATAAGAAGTGTGCTGCATCAAGGCTGCCTCTTCTTGAGCAGTAGATCGAAGGATTCCAATGAAAGGTAGTACTTTGGAAGCAAGAGCAGCATTACTCGATTCATCATTGTTGTTTGTTGATTGTTGTCTCTCGAGAAGAGGCTTGACAGGGTCGGATTTGACCTTGTGCTGGGTGTTTAGAACCTGAACAAGACGTTCTCGCGAAGTGATGTATTTGCTGTAAAGATCCTGAAGAGTTGATTTGACCTCGTCCAATGACTCCACTCCGCTATCTCCTGGCATGTCCAGATCGGTGTCTCCATGCTCGTCGTCTTCGGACAACTTTGCAAGCTCGCCATCGATCCAAGCGATCAAGTCATCTCGAGCTCGTCGTAGAGCATATGCGCGTTTCCAATCTTCTGTGGCGGGTTGTTGAGGCGGTTTGACATGCGCTTTTGACTGAATAATGCTCTGGGCACGCAGCACATCCTTTTGCAGCTCAAAGACATGCGCCTGCGCATCTGCTAACGACTCTTCTTGGGACTGTTGTGCAAGAGGAGGGGGNATTTGAGATTGCATGCCATTGAGCAGCTCGCTCGGGTCCGCGTATCGTGAAGTGTGCCTGACCTTTTCCAGATTGTCCAGTGCCTTTTCGATGACCAGAAGTTTGTCTCGTCGTTGTCTCTGGCGGATGAGTGCTACGGTGTCGGCAACTGGGTTCTCTTTCTTCTCGTCATCTTCCTTGTTGCCAGGGGTATGTTGTAGGAGATCTAATTCGGCTTTCAAGGCGTCGTACTGGGACTGTGCTTTCTGGCGTGCGATGAGTGCTTGCATGAACGCTCTCCGTGCGCCATTGAATGGACTGTTGAGTGCAGACTGTGCAGATGTCTCCGCAACAGACAATGTCACTCTTGAGAAAGGAACATTGTCGTCCTGGACGTATTGGCTCAGGAGTGAGTCTATGCCACGTCGAATCTCAGCAACTTCCTCGCGCGGTCTAATATACGGTCTCAGAGCTTCCGCAAGCTCTGGTAAAGGGCATTGCTCCACCAAATCCGACATGGTCTTGTGTTATCGTTGCGAGTGTTTATTAGCGAATTGGTGGAGATTGTTTGTATACAGTGCTTGGCGAAACATTTGCACGTGAAACTGGAGACGAAAAAGACACGTCGATTTTTAATCTATGTTGCAACCGACCTCACTACACGTTATCAATGGTCTTAAATCCTACTGCACAATTCATCGCTGCCATCGGCGATTCAACGCCAAATGGTTGATGTATATCGACGAGACCCAGGAATCTGACCGCAGAATTGAGGACCACTCGGACTGGCCGAGTCTAGCAAGACCAGAGCAGCTTTCGGCAGATTTGTGCTCGAGCACGACGTGTAAGACGCTACCGATGTACATCTTTGGAGGTGTCCACTGTACTGGGTAACACTCTATTATTTGTATATTGGTGCACAATGGCGTCGACCTGATGTAATGCTCAATGTGTCAGGGGACCCTGCAGCAGTCGCAGCTACCTCGATTCTTGTTTATCCTGAACCACGAAACACAAAACAACTGATCTCCCAGCGCGAATCTCCTCAAAGGTTTTACCAACTAGCAATCATCATGGATGTACCGGACGAGATGCAAGACTTCGTGACGGCGATGCAGCAGGTTTACCAGTTTCCTATGACTGTCGACGACAAGTAAGACACTAATCCAGCTGCACTTTCTTTGGGCATGGGCGCCGTGATTTGGGAGATTTTCAGGCAGCGTGCTTGTCAGCAGGAAGTCTGATATCCTTCATAGGCTTGATTGGAAACCCCTCCCATGAAGGACGGTCATCTTGGACGCTATCTCTGGGCCGACGCATTCGGTGTCCTCAACTTCATCACACTGTTCAAGGAGACGAAGCAAACGCATTTCTTGGTCTTAGCCGCGATACTCGTGGAAACAGTACACGACATCCTCGGTCGCACGCGCGACCTATCTGCTCGGCTGCCAGGAGCTTCGGACCAGGCCCCGCTAGCCGGTGGCCTACGCATAGGCAAGAACGAAGCCTCTGGGGCTGATGGGGATGGACAATATCATGACTATCTCACTCTATGGATGTTTACGCTCAATCGATTATCCATTGCGACGGGCGAAACAACCTACAATGACCAAGCTGTGTCACTAGCAAAGGCGATACATCCTGCGTTTGTGTACCAACGAGACACTCCATATCCGCGCATGGTCTGGTAGGCAGATAACAAATCTTTAACGATATGCTTGGTTCTGACTAGCATCATAGGANAGATGCCGATAGACTTGTCTCATCCCCGAGGCCGTGGCGAAGGTCATCTCGGTCCTATGTTTGGCCTCGTCGTTTACCGTATTCTTCAACAAGCCTGCGGTGACCCGAGAGTATTGCAGGATGAGATCAGCGACTACCAGAAAATCATTGATCAAAAATGGAAAGCATACACTTGTTCAGATACTCTGGATCTAGGCATGACACTTTGGGCCGCCCACTGGTATTCGGATCAATACGACTGGGCCAAAGGACTTGCAGATGCGGCTGTGCGTGATATGCGAATATTGTTCCAAGAAACGCATTATCTAGATGTTCCGCCATCACAACGTCTGGCTTTTAGAGAATTTGGTATCTGTCTGGGCATTGGCGTACACCCAACCCATGATCTAGAAGCTGTCCGCAATCAGATCATGGTAGCCTGGAAGGAAGCAGGCCGAGTACCTATCCCAATCAGAAACACGGCATTGGAATGTCTCGAACCGACTGATCTTGTCATGTATGCTGCAGCATCATGTCCTGGAGCTNTTCAAAAACATTATCTGAATTGATCTATAATCTAATATTATGATTACGAGTGCTGTCATTCCTCAAATTCGTCCATCGCTCACAAACCCATACAAATGCGTTCAGTTGTGTCCTTCCTCAGCCTGTCTCTGTGTAGCTTCATGATCTGCGTGCTTTGCTGGGTCAAACACATAAATCGGGAATTCGAGGAACAAGGTTCGCTTGAGGATTACAGGCATTTTCTTGTAGAGGGCCGGAGGGAAGGGGATAAGAATGCTGGTTTGGTGGAGGTAAGTGGCATACTCGTTCCAGCCTTCGCCTTTCTCGTATCTCTTCTTGGCTCCAGGACGTTCTTGCAGGGTCAGGCCAGACACAAACATCAGCAATGTTGTTAAGAAAATTGGTCCAACGATACTGGCGAACAGAGCTGCCTTTGCACCGCCATGCACGTAGTCGTAAGATGCAGGGGTAACGGCGAGCATGAAGATGNNGCTGAGAGAAATATGTTAGTCTGGCAATAGCAAGCTCCAACATGAGACAAACTCACAGAATTGGATGAGAATCTCGGCAAAGTAGTTGGGATGGCGAGACCAGGCAAAGAAGCCTTTGTTGCAGACAGCGCCACGTTCTTGGTGGGCTTGCTTGAACCTGTACTTCTGGATATCGCTGACAGTCTCCATGATGATACCAATGCCGAAACCAATGACAGCCAGGATGTCAGTGGCTTTGTTGAAGGCAGGTTGAGGATAGCGGTTGACAATGGGACTATTCAACACGGTCACAGGCATACTGACAGTCCAGACCTAAACTAATCATTAACAACATCCAGCAGATCGATAATGGCCAGTACCAACCCAGAGTGTTTGGAAGACGTAGAAGCCCAACATCGGCAAGACCTTTCCACGCTTGTCGTCGAAGCGGTCGTCCTTGCCAGTTTTGATGATACGGAAAAGTAAGAACCCAGCCAGGCGTGCTCCCCATATCATGATGAATATGCTGTCGACAATTTGACGGGCCTCATGCTGGCCATACATAGAGACCGTGATGATGGCCAAGAGGACGAAATTCGTTCCACCAGCAACATCGTTCAGTTGATCAGTTTTAAATCCAACAGAGATAGCAAAGAAAATGGTTTGATATGCCAAGCAGATAAGGAAACTGATGGCGAGATAGTAGTCATCGAGAACATGAACTGGTGCCATGTCGTGATTCGCCTTTGGATGGTGCTCTCCAGGCCTGACGTCGGAGGACAAGTAGCTTGCTGTATTGGAAAGATATAATTTATTCGATGTGGTTTCGTTTTATCTTAGAAGATCTGCAGGGAAATGGTATACAAAGAACCGTCCAAGGGTGCAAGGGTCCTTTTCCGTGCTTTTTGTTCCTAGCTGCGCATGTCGAGGGAACAGAAAGCCAAAAGTCCATGCCGTCATCTAGCCAAGTCTCAATCAGGCATCCCTTTGCCAAGACTCACGATACAGCGCGGAGAGCGAGATCTGTTGGCGTTTGACACTTTTCGCTGCGATCCGAAGCCACAAGATAGCAAGGGTCTGCTCCTTCGAAGTTGAATCGAAAGCTTTGAGGTGAGCGTGTATATCTATATTCTTTGAAGTTCATCAGTCGCAAAGAGAAGGACCCTGGAGGGGCCGTGTGAAAATCAGACAAAGGAAAACGTGAGATCAACTGCATCCATGTGCAATCCACGTGTAGATGAGCACGACTATCAATGATCGTCTCAAGACGACCTCACCTCATGCCAATATTGTGTTTCAAATGTCGCTTGGAGGTCAAGACGATACCTATGTTGTAGGATACGACGCAGGCAGTCGCGACAGCAGAAAGATGGAGTTAGAATCAAATTATCCTAGTATCATGACTGCTGTCGAAATGGACATGATGCTTTGCTCGACGAATTCACGTCGAGGACAATATCTGAGACACCGTACTTCCAGAGAGTCATGGACCAACTTCAAGTTGTTGTGTCATGTTACTTCTGATAGATCCAGTCCTGTCGCGATCTCAGATCAATGGTGGTACGCGTTACATTCACTGTATGAGTGCATCGCCGGTCGCGGAGGACAACGAATTCAACAGCTGCTGCTGTCAAATCTACTGTTCGCATGTTCAACAACATTATCTAATCCCTGCTGCATGTCGTTGGTGGAAGAAAGCTCGAGGACCTGAACCGAGCTTCAACATTTCAGGACGGACACTCAACATGCAGTCGATCATCGTTAGAGACTTCAAAGCAAGAGATGGCGATGACAATGCACCAACAGGTGGCCCCTTGTGTCCGACCCATGCAAGCCTTCCCCAAGCTCAAGACGAAGGGTCAAGGTGTGACAGCCAGCGGATCTATCCACAACGAACAGAACGCTGTGTGGAGATGTACACGCAACGCCAGAGGCACAGCAAATAGGAGAGTGAGATGTTTGATGGTGTGTCGGACTCGGAACGCGCCTACATGATACATTTCGTATCTGCATGGTCCACCCTGGAGAATCCCAGACCCTTCCGATATGTCTGAACGATATGCATTGACGGAGCCTTTACTGGCGGAGACGGGGAGAGAGCCCTAGGAGGACTGAGGCACCCAGGCCCGGCTCGTGACTGGGTCAGACACACGGGGGTCCTTGATTGATCACATCTCGATTGTCCAATCTGGCACATTGACCACGTTCATCATCAAGATACCCCACTGCTCAGAAGAAACAAAAATTGATAGATTATCGTTACCGTAGCGGTGGGTACGCTTTCCACCTAACACAACGGGTCGGCATGGTTGCTCATGGACTCGACGCAGGTCGTGGTTCTTGTCCGTTGACTATGCTTGACTTGGTGCTTGTCGTTGTGTGTGGTTGAGCCTCTACGCCCCTGATACTGTATCACCGTCATCTGCATCATTCTCTTCTCTGTAAGAAAAGTCAAATTGCAACACGAAAGAAGGAAACAAAAGACAAATTCTCAACAGAGCCATGCGATGACCAAACGCAGCTCGACCAAGGGTTGCCCTTGTCAGCAATCTACGCAGGCTGGTTTTGAGTGACCGGTCTTTGAGTCCTGGGAATCTCATGGACGTCACACTCGGGGCCACATCATCATCATCATCATCGACCTTCTCGTTTTGTGCTTAGGTCCCCAAGTGGCCGTCGAGTGTGGAGGGTGCTTTGCGCCCTTTCGGAGTCCCAGGACTTGTGTCACGAGTGGAAAAACTACCGACGGAGATCATTTCCTCGTCGGGGAGCGTCGCTTCCGGTCCGAAGCTCTCTGATTGGACCTGGGGTCCCACGACCTGACCCTTGGGCCCTTGGCCTTGGCCAATTTAGATGGCCAGTCTTCTGGCCTCGTATCACACGCGTCATTTGGGACAAGCACTTCAACCGAGCTTAGCCGCACAGGACCGAGGGACCTCGAAGGTGCGACCCCGTTTTGCAAGCCTTAGACGTTGATGGCGTGGCGCTAGCGTACCCCCAGCTCGAGCAAGCACCGAGTCATGCTTTGGCAGGTCTGTAGTTAGCAGCCTCACGAGAGTCATGAAACCATGCTATGTCGTGCTCCGTGGAAAGGACGTCACAACAAGTACTGAGTGGATTACTTGTAGCAAGTTCATATTCCGTAAGAGCTTGTGGGCATATACCACATTTGATGTAGTATCGCCCTCTTTTGTTACTATTGTACAGAACATACCACGCTCTTGGGTAAGGAAATAAAAACAAATGAAGTTGCGCCATGTACTCCTGTAATAGAATCCACAAAAAGCCATCTCCAAATCCATGGGTATCAAGTAGAAAATGTAGCGATTGACGATGAAAGGTATTATCCCCGATAAGAGGTTCGTGGTCCAAACTCCAGGTTGGACAAGATAAATAAGGCCCTCCGAATATCAGGAGGGCGCATGTATGACGCCAGCGTATTTTGGCATCGCAGAGGATGATTGAGTCGTGGAGGATGTAGCGTCCAGACCAGATAGTAATACAGATGATACAATGCGTGTGATCGGAAGAATCAGATGAGGGTGTTGACGAGGTCGGTGTCAGACGCAAGCAATAGTACTGCATGCTTACTCGTCATCTGGGGAGGCGTGAGAGTCTTCGCCCTTGTGCACCTTGCGGTGACGTCTAAGATTGGAAACGACTGAGAAGTGGCGGCCACATCCCTCAACGTCGCATGCAAATGCNTGTTGCGGAGTCAGCTAATATTCTTTGAATTTGTCGTGATGCATGGAGGACTTACGCTTCTCGCCGGTGTGGCTGTACATGTGGGTTTGAAGAGAGCTGGGACGAGTGAAGCGCTTATCGCAGATCTTGCACTTGTGCTTCTTCTGCGAGCTCGAAGAGACCTTTGAGCTGAACTGGCCCATCATGGACTGAGGTGCAGGAGGTAGTGCGACACCGCCCGAGAGGGCAGTAGGGCGGGGCAATGTGCGGGATGATGTGTCAACAGACTCGCTTGCCGAGCTATAGTCTCCATATGAAGCCTCGCTGACGGATCCGTAGTATGATGAAGGGTATGTGCTGGCCGATGAGATGGATGAGTGGGCCGAATGTGTCGAGGGGAAGCCATATGAGTCGGATGAGCTTCTGCTCGACCCCTGGTTGCCATAGATGTTCCTGGGGGTGATGTCCTGGCTCATGGCAACCATGCCTCTGCTGGCATCAAGAGCATCACTGAAGCTGTTGCGCTGCTCGGTCTCGGTGGAGGGCGCGTTCAGTCTGTTGGTGTCAATTAAACTGCTCTGGCGGTGCTTCTGGGCTAGCACAGGGTTTCCAAGGAAGTTGGCGGAGGCTACTGACGGGTGCGAAGAGCGACGGTCCTGGTTGTAGGCGGCGTATGAGGCGGCGGTGTTGGGATACTCGCGGGCATAGTGGGGAGCAGAGGTGGGAGCGTACAGGGCGCCAGACGAGGGACCAGAGGTCACGTAGGTCGAGCCATAGGGACGAGGAGCACTGAGACCGTCTTGGCCTGGTAAGCTGGATTGCGCGTAGAGAGCATCCAAAGAATCAATACCTGAAGCCAGAGTAGGAGCCGGCATGGCACTTGAGTGCATGGGCATGGTCACACTAACACTTGGGGCTCTTGCCACCAAGTGGTGTGCGCCGGGATCGCTGACCATCGAAGGTTGAGGCAACGAGGTGGCATACATGTGGTGGCTCGGCGCGGGAGCGGCGGACACCCATGGGTTGGTGAAGTGCGGCGCATGGTAGCGCAGGTGATCGTAAGACAGGCCAGAGACCTGCTGGCGATTGTCGACAGCCATTGCCATTGTGAATAGGTGATAGAGAGGGAAGGGTAGAGAAGGAACAAGGTCGTGTTGATGGAGCGGTTGGTAGAGGGATGGGCAGCGCGTGTCGATGGTTTAAGGATCAACGTTGGAGATGGGTTCACAGAACGTGGAGAGGACGATCAGTGTGCGTCCAACGAGGGGATCAGCAAGTTTATGTGTTTCGAGTCTCGTCTGAGAGCTGCAGCCTCAGGTGTCGTGTCCGAGTGCGGGATTTGCTAAGCCTCTGGTGGTGGACTGCCCGAAAAGCTTAAAAGCCAGGGTAGAGATGCTAGTGGCAGCAAGAAGCTCGAGGCGATTTCGGACGGAGGGTAGATGAGGTTGGGGTGCTGATAGTGAACGAGTCTAAAAGAGGTAAAAGATTTGTCGTCTTGGGTCTTAAGACTTGTGCGGAGGCCGTAGTCGTTTCAAGTCTTGGTCAAAAGGTGGGCCTGTTCATGAAATGTAGAGGATCAACAACGACGATCAGCGGGGAGCAGAGGTAGAAATACGCACCTGCCTCCAGCGAGTCACCACTGACGTCGACTTACAGGCCGGTGTGGCTGTTTTAGCTCCCTGCAGGGCTCAACCTTAGCAGCCAATCGCCGTCCGCTGCCGTCTCCACCACGCCCATTCCTAGCCTTGTCTAGCGCAGCGGCCTTCTTGACTCGTTAACCTGTGGGTTCCTAACTGTGCATACATATCTCCGAGCGCAGCGAGCGGTTCAATTGATTGAGATTCACCTTGTGTCAAGGTTTACACTGCCACCTCCACATCTTCTTGCTCCCTGCTATCTCTGCTGGCCTTGCGCTGCTGACGCTGTTGCTGCTCCAAGCACCCTCCTCTGCCAACAACAAGAGATTGGGAATCTGTCGCTCCGTTTACCTGGAACTTGTCCTGTGCATGGTGCGGCATTATCGACAGACAATTGTTTACCGTTCTGTCTTTCGCTGGCCTCAACCTCATTCCACCTTGCCATCTTGATGCCTGAGCTTTGCGGACCATCCGGCGAGTTGACTTTTCACTCGATGCTGTTTGCTTCTGCTCTTGTTGCCCGACCGGGAGTCTTTCGTACGAAAGCAAAAAGGCCGTTGTCGGACTCAGTCCCTCCTGCCGTTGACTGGCTGGCTTCTGCGACGCTTGGACATGGCGTTTGGCTGGCAGGTTGGTGGCTTACGGATGGTGGAGATGCCGTCTGGTGCTAAGACATTTAACCATAATAATGAAGCCCGTAACCCCTTGTCTTGTTCGTTGTGAGCAACGCCATTATTTTCATTGGGTTCATGCTTCCAAGCCACTTGCAGCTGCTTAGCTGCGAAAGGTATGTTTCAAAAACGCCGCAGCCGTGATCGGGCTTGCAAGCGTCCCAAAAGTCCCCCGTCATGCCTCGTCGGGATAGCTCCAATAGACACCCGTCACTGACTCTTATACGCTTTATGGCGTTTGCTTTTCCCCCCTTCGCGTAGAGAGTGTAAGCAAGCCACAACGGCCATGGTCCACAGCGTTATCAAATTCCATGGTAGCATGATTAAAGATCAGTGGAAACATTGCATGCCACAAAAGCCTGTATGGAGCTACGCTTGTCTGCCCAGGAAATCGTTGCGGTCAAAAGGCACACTACATGCCGATCGTTCCGCCAGCCACACTTTAAGTGCACCGCTCTTGTTCGTACCCCCTCGAAGTAGCAGCCCAAGGTTACATGGGTTCACACTGCCGGTCGGGACTTTTTGCATCAGAAGCCTATGCCATCGGTCCAAGAAGGAAAATTGATTCAGCAGCACGAGGTCGAAAGTGGCCTTCCACAACGGCCACGAGAAACACCCAAGAGTCTTCTTGCTTGATTGGTGGTGTTTCTAGATGAAATTCTCAGGTGCGCGTGTGATACACGCGTACGATGGGCTGCCAATTGATGAACTTGGCTGCATCTGTCTGTGTTGCTTGCTGTGCTTGCTCCGAGTTCGCCCAAATTGGGACGCCTCACTGTCCCCTTTTGATCTGCTATGGTCTTCTTCCGGTCTGCGACTCATTCAACATGACTCCTTTTGCGCTGCTAGTCCTGTCAAATGCGGGATCTGTCACGCGCTACATGGGCCATTAGATACGGCTGATAGTCGGGGACACATTTGCTTATGCGGTAAGGCGTTGTGAGATAAAGTTGGCAAGAATTGTGGGTTTGGTGTCGTGCGAACAAGACACTTCCCATGTGCTCTCAACATGTCCGAGCAACCACGGTCCCTTTCCCCGACCCATCTCGTTGGTGTTTGTCTGGACCATTTTGATCTGGGAAATAAGGACATACCATTCGACCTTGGTGGTCGTTGGACCCAGTGTCTTGGCTTTGGTGTGATCGCTCAAACCTTGTTTCCCGTGTCGTCTGCGTGTGTGCCAACCTCTACCCTCTCTACGTCCGTAGGGTGGTCTGGAATAGCATACCAGTCTCTCACTGTAAAGTCTTTATTTTTGTTGCCTCTCTTCCACTTATGCGATACGTACGAGCAAGATTAACGTTACTTGAATTGGCTGTATGCCAAGTTACGCTCCCCTGTCAACTGGTCCGAGCAGGAAGATAGTGTTCCGAGCATGCACACACGCACGATGGGGGCATGTTCAAGTCAAACATCCACGTGCGAATGCCCCGGTCAAGGATTACGATCAATTCTATTGTCAGGGATTACAGTCAATGCTATCGCATGCACGGCCAATATATTCCAACCATGCATCTTAGAACAGGGCCTTCTTCGATCAAACGCGTGACCTGCCCCTTTTAGTTATGTTCCATGCCAAAACGCCCAGTCTCATGCCTCATCTCGTATTGCAACTACTTCGTAGATCCATCATTCTGGCAAGACTGTCTTCTCACCATCAGACTTCATCCGTGTCCCCATCGAGGGCCTTCCTGGGCGTGCCTGGGCATTACTGTCGACAGTGACATCTAAACTTGATGTATCCACATCTGGCTGAGTGATGTGGTCCAAGGGTGCATTCCGAGTCAGCTTCTCAATGTTCTCACGTGTGAGCTTCGAAGGCCGAGTCTCAATCACATCTTCTGTTGTTGTTGTCTCTCCTAGCACACCTAGGAGTTTNTTGGGCGTGGCTGCGCTAGCAAATAACTGCTGATCACGTAATTGCATCGCCTTCTCTTCGTTCCGTAAGCGGTCCATCGAACGACTTTCTGCAGTTTCTGCAGAACGTGCAAAGACTGTATCGTTTTGGAAGTTGAGTTTGTTGAGCTTTGTTGCAAGAACATCTGGGCCCGCTGTGGGTGTGAGCAGATCCACTGGTGTTCTCAGCTCCTCCTGTACAGTATCCCTCGAGGGTGCTGATGATGGGAGTCGAGGTGGAGGAACCTCTACCGCTCTTGGAGAAACAGCTGGGCTTGATGACAAGGCCGCCTTACGTTTCTTTTCAACGGCCCATTTGAGCAACATCTGCTCCAAAGTCTTGCCTTTCACGGGCTTTGCCAGATAGTCGTTCATTCCAGCGTTCTCGCACTTCTCTCGATCGCCTTGAATCGCACTGGCGGTCATTGCAACAATGGGCGTGTTTTGAATCTGTTGGTCGGCAACGAACGGCTCGCAATGCCGGATGGTGTACGTCGCTTTATAGCCGTCCATTACAGGCATTTGTACATCCATAAGAATAACATCTGGCCTTGGACGTTCAGGGCTTTCTGGCTTGCTGAGATAATCGAGTGCTTCTTGTCCGTTCCATACGGCATTGACCGAGAATTTGAGCTTCTTAATCGTCTTCAAGGCAATTTGTTGATTGATGGGGTTGTCNTGAGCAAGATCAGTCAGTGTTATGTTGGACAAATCGCAACCACGTCACCAACCTTCAACAACGAGTACGTGTGTATTCCGCCTCTCCTCGTCCGAGAGCGCCAGAGGCAAGTCAAGCTGAGCCGGGGAGCCTCGTCGTGAATCAAAGGATGCTTGACGGATACCTGGTTTCAAAGGAGAACCTGGTGGCTGTGGCCCGCTATATTCGGAGAGTGATAGCTCAGATTGAAGTCGGTGTGGAATTGGGCCCATATCCAGTGGCGGCGAGTCACCTGAGAGATATGGTGCCTTATTAAACGGAATCCAGAACGATGCCTTGGTGCCGAGTCCTAAGGAGGATTCGAGTGAGATCTCACCATGCATGAGCTCGACCAACNNTGTCACGAGTCAGTAAATGTATATCAATGATCGCCCAGAAGTGCCACTCACGTTCTTGCTAATGGTCAAACCAAGACCAGTTCCACCAAAGCGCCTGGCGGTGCTAGAATCGGCTTGAGAGAAAGGTTGGAAGAGTCTTTTTCTGACCTCCTCCTCGATTCCGATACCAGTATCTTCAACGGTGAATTGCACAGCAACAGTCTCTGCGGTCTCCTCTCTGATCTTTACTTGCATCGTGACACTGCCCTCAGACGTAAACTTGATCGAGTTGGTAAGGAGGTTTGTCAAGATCTGCCTCAGTCGACCTGGATCACCCATGACCTTCAGGCGTTCGAGCTCTTGGGTCTCGTCGATATACATCAATCCCTTGCGCTCGGCCGCGAATGTGAGCATTTTGTTGACATCGCGGACAACAACGTTCAGGTCGAACTGAACATCCTCAATATCCAGACGGCCACTCTCAACCTTGGAGAAATCCAGAATATCGTTGATCACAGTAAGTAGACCATTAGCAGATCGTTGTAGGTTTTCGGCGCATTCGCGTTGTTCCTCGGTCAGAGTACCTTCAGTATCGTCCAGTAAGAGTTCAGACATGCCAATGACACCCGCGATCGGTGTACGAATCTCGTGCGACATGTTAGCTAGNTACGTGTTAGCTCAGGTCCGAACCACCATCTTGACATGGGTTCTGGTCTTACCCAGGAACTGCGATTTCATCTTGCTCGCTTCCTTCGCAGCCTCACTCTGAGCCAGCAAACGTGAGTTTTCTCGGTCACGTTCTCGAAGTTGTTCTTCTCGCTTTCTCAAGTCTGTCACATCCATACTGACAGCAACGACACCATCAACGAAAGCATCGCCTTCAACACCAGCATTGCGTTCCAGACGTTGAAGCGGAACGAATCTGGTACGAATCCATCTATTGGTCTCTTTCACATGTAATTCAGTGGTCTCGTCGATGTTTTTGCCAGTGAGGATATTTTCAATGTATTCCCTGTGGTGGTCACCGTCCAGAATGGCTTCTTTATCGAGCATCTCGAACACATTCTTGCCGATAGCCTGTTTTCGAACCTCGTCATCAGAGAGTTTAGAGCCGTCGTTCCAAACGATGGCGCCTTCAAGCATGGATAGTTGACGCTCGGGATTCACCGACCATAGCGTGATCTTGGCCATTTCGATGACTTGTGAAAGTCGAAGTTTTGTCTGTCGTGCGTCCTCACGAGCAAGGACCAACTCATGGATGTCGGTACAAGTGCCGAANCCTGAATATCGTTAGCTGGATATAACATAATAAGAGATGAAATGAATGAGGCACCATTTGACAATCTTGCCATCATCATCCTTCATAGGCACAGCTCGACCTAGCATCCAGCGCCACTCGCCGTCGGTGGACAGGCATCTGTACTCTGTTCTGTACTCCTCGCCAGTTACTAGACTGTGTGCCCATCTCTTGCATGTCAACTCCATGTCATCCGGGTGGAAGGGGTTCTCCCATCCGTTACCCAGACTTTGCTCAACCGTGAGACCTGTGTATTCGTACCATCTTCTCGAATAGTAATCGTGCTGGCCGGTCGGAGTGGTTGTCCAGATCATTTGTGGGATCATATTGGTTATATCCTCGAACTGACGTTCGTTCTGGACCTTCTGGGCGGTAATGATATTGGCATATTCAGTGACATTGTGGAAGATGACAAGACCACCGAGGAATTCGCCAGTCTTGTTATCAGTAATGGTTTCGCCGTCGACGTCGTAGATTATTCTTGCGCCGGTTTTAGGGTGATGCATGCCGACACGTCTGTTGGAGAATCGCTTTTCTGTCGTCATGAGATGCATGATAGGGAACTCGCTCATAGGTAGCAATTCGGAGAAATCTTCCTTCCACAGAACATAACTTGAGAGAAAATCGCGTTGGTCCCGGACTCCAGTGACTGCTTCATCGCTGTCCGGGTAGACCATTCTTATGGCAGCTTTATTGGGAATACCAAAGGACTCATCTTTCCACATGGCAAAGGCTGGGTCACTCAGTGAGTTCAATAGAGCATCTTTCAGACGGTTAGATTTTGAGAATAGCGAAGGCGCAGCAGCAGATGTGGTAAGAGAAGGAGGTCCACTGGGCAAAGCCGAGGGAGCAAAGACAGAGGGACTGCCAGAGAGACTTGTGCGATGTTGGTGTTGAGTGCGGCGGCCGCTCGAACTAGAGCTTGATCCAGAACCTAGTCCAGAGGAGAAGGTGGTTTGGGTTCTCGCAACAGTACGATGGCTCGAGCGAGAGGAAGAAGATTGTGTTTCGGCTGCAGAGGTGAAGACCAAGGTATAATAATCTACATCGTCAACAGACCAGACCGTGATGATGACAGTGGCCTGAATGTGACCAGAGACATCGTGGTTGACCTCCTTGGTTCGCGGAAGACCTGTGACGGGATTGCGATTGGTGGAAAAGACAACATCCACAGCAGCGTCGTGCACAGTGGTGCGAGCGAGGTTTGCGCGCGTCAGAGGTACGGGACTCGATTGCAGAGCGGCATTATCGTACGTCTCGGCAGTGGGTGTAATGTCACCGCCGTCAGACTTGGCTTCTGACTGGGCGCTGGCATCAATGGCATCTTGTTTGATAGAGTTGAGAAAATCCACCCAGCGCATCCACACAGGGTTCGCGTTCTGCAGAAGATCCATTCCAAGGCTGTCCATGGGCACACCACCCAAGACGTCGCTGGCACTTCTGAAATCCTCTTGCTCGTTGGCTCCAGCATGTTCTGGTACAGTCTGCTGCTGCAAGTCTATTCCGAGCAGTCTGCCCAGAGCCTCGTTGGCAAGCACAACCGTCTTTTCGCTCGAGAGGACCAAGACGGGCATGGGGAGGTACTGCAGGGCGGTAAAGGCGGTATCGGTCATGCTGGGGCCCGAGGGGATTCTGATGGACAGGGGCGATGAGGGCGAGTGGTCTCGGTAGCCCTCGTCGCAGGCATTAGAGAGGTCGAAGTAGCCACCGGCGCTGGCAGCCGACAGGTCGTCCAACCTCATGTTGGTCCTCTGTCTGGGCGAGGGAGACGGCTGTCTTGCGTGTCGTGGTGCGTCTGAAGCCATCTTGTTCGAGGTGGTTGCGACGCTATGGCGCGCGCATTGCCTGACGACCGAACGAGTCGATGATGGGCGGGGGCGGTACAGAGTCCGGACGTGTATTAGACAATGGTATGCGTGCTGAAAATGCGAACTGTCGAGCGCGGGAGTCGCCGGCTAAGTGGCTGTCAAACCTCAGTGCTGAACGATAGGTACGTTAGACGTGCGCCGCTATCTAGCTTCAATACTCCCGACTGCTGACGTTCCGAAACCTTGTACAGCTCAGGAATGCAACAGACAATGCTTTGCAGTCCACTCTGCTGTCGTGCCAATCTAGGTATATAATCCTGCGTCTGCGCTTGTTTATGTTTCATTCAAAGAGGCGCCTTCAAGAACCTCGAGCGCAGAAAACCACTGCGAAAAGGCAATCCTTTCTCGCATACAACAGTTCCTGGAGGCTTGACGCTTTGACCGACCGTCCGTCCCACTTGATCGGCCGAACATGTTCTAGAACTGCTGGGAGGGGATGACGGAATAGATACCTTTCCCTGGCACGCAACCACCGCAAGGGTCAGATTCGGGTAAAATGGCTTTGTTGTACAGCTGCATATCGTTATTCTTTCTCAAATCCGAATATCCACAGCACTTGTTGCTGGGTAGGTAACCTTTAATCAAATGCAGCAACTTCCTTTTTCTGTTGTCTCCCTGGGCGCGTGCGGGAGAGGCTGGGGCCGCGTAATCAATCGCTCCGATCACTGCGTCTTGACTTTCTTCGATAAGGCTCCTCGCATCGACAAGTCTTGTTGCGAGAGCGACCACTCGGCATGCCATTCACCATACAGCAGTGTGCAATACCTGCAGTCGTATTTCTCATCTGCATCATAGCATATCCGTCGCTGTGGTTGCTTCGACACCTCGGGCCCCAACCCCTGACCAAACAGCAATCCATCATACTCCATGTATATGCCTTGGTGATCCTCTTTTGCTATTACAAGGCATGTTTTACGGATCCGGGTAGAATTTCGAAAGAATGGGTGCCCAAGCAGAGCCAAACGGTCAAAGAGAAGGACACTCAACGCCAAAGATGGTGCCGTAAATGCCAGGCTTACAAACCACCACGGGCTCATCACTGCAAGACATGTGAGAGGTTTGTCGCTTCTTGAAATCTAACATATCTGATCTCAAATCTGACAATACAAGGTGCATCCCCAAGATGGANNTCACCACTGGTAGGTCTCATCCTTGTCTCTATGCCAGCATCATTCTCACCCTTTAGCCCCTGGACAGCCAATTGCGTTTCGCACACTACCTTTCCGCACTTTGTTCGCTTCTTGTTCTATGCTGTTGCTGGCATGTCGCATCTTGGATGTATCCTATGGTCTCGGATGTACCACTTGTGGACGCAGAGAGATCTACCGANNGTGTACGTGAATCTCTACTGCAACGTCTGGCGTCGACTCATTATTGTCTAGTATTTTGGCCCAAGTCCGACTTTGTTGTTTAGTCTTTTCCTCATCACTGCCTTGAACTCGGTGGTTGTGTTTGCACTGTTTATCTTGCTTGCTCGCACACTATGGTGCCTAGGCGCAAACACAACTACTATCGAGGGTTGGGAAATTGAGAGACACGAGACATTGCTTCGCCGTGCAAGATACCTTGGCGGAGTCCTCGAAGGCCCTAATGGAGCGAAGATACGCATCACCAGGCAGGAGTATCCATGGGACATTGGAATCTTCTCGAATATCGCTCAAGGCATGGGTAGCTGGAATCCTCTTGCCTGGTTCTGGCCATTTTCCTTCACCCCTTCTGTCGAGAGTGGACTCGAATTCGAAGACAACGGTCTGGAATGTATGTGTATGCTGACACGTGTTTGGTTCACGGCTGATACGACGCAGNCTCCTGGTACTACATGGCCGCCACCAGACCCGGATCGAATGTTCCGTATGGCACCTGCAGAAAGAGCTTTCGATCCAGAAAACGCTTTCACTCATTCCATGGATCCGGACGAGGTATACAAGAGGCAGCAAGCTGACCGCATGCGTCCTTCCCCCATCGCAGATAATTCCGAGCTTCGACGCAGGCAGCCCTTCCATGTGCGGCATGACAAGAACAACAACCACAGACATCACGATGAAGACTATGCTTATGGCACTGACTATGAATCAGACGGTGAAGAACAAGAGCGAGAGGCATATGAATGGCAACCAAAGCCAGGAGAAGGTGAAGAAGGCTGGCGAAACTCGGAGGGTGAGAGATTGGACGACTTTGGCGTTGACGAAGACGTCGAGTTTTACGATGAGGACGATGTGCCTCTTGGTAAGTTGATGAAACGGAAGAATTTGGTCAATAGTGACTCGGCTCATTACTGAGCGACTGGTTGCGTTCGTCTGAACGGCAATCTGAGTGGTTGATAGGTGAATGCCGATTGCGGAGTTACTNGCCCGATGTCGCAACACATGCTCACCTCCGCATCTACATCCATGTGGTTGGTATATCACTATAGACATCCCAACTCATTCATTCTGTAATCCATCATCCTCATACAAACATCACNNAACATGAGTCAGTCTAATGATAAATGGTCCTCTGAGGTATGTTGATCTATATATGTCCATGTTCCAATGTGTACATGGGGGACGGACGACAGAAAACAAGATAGGCACATGATGCCTAGTATCGTTTTCCAAGTGCAAGGACCATAACCGGTGTTTAACTTTTGACATATACAGGTCTACTCAAAAGCTGCAGGCTTCGTCCCAAAGCTCACAACTACCGTCCTCTCCTATCTCTCGCCAAAGCCAACCGACAAGATCCTCGACATTGGCTGCGGCGATGGCNCCTTGACTGCCCAAATCGCCGCCTCTTTACCTCAAGGCCAGATATTCGGTCTCGATGCATCAGCTTCCTTCATCCAAACCGCGCAAGAGAAACACTCGAGCCAAAACTGCACCTTCAAACTCCAAGATTGTCGTCATATTGCCCAGTATGCTGAAGCGGTAGACGGCAGCTGGGACAAGGTCTTTAGCAATGCCGCATTGCACTGGATTTTACGCGAGCCGAGCACCAGAGATGCAGTGTTCAAGGACATTCATTCAGCCCTCAAACCAGGTGGTGTGTTTGTGTTCGAGATGGGAGGAAAAGGCAACGTGGAAGCTGTTCACGCCACCATTCTTTCCGTTCTTGTCGCCAATGGTATCGCTCTTTCTACTGCTAGAGAAGCTTGTCCATGGTTCTTCCCCAGCGACGTGTGGATGACGCAACAATTACAAAAGTCTGGCTTTGAGGTTGAGAAGTGTGAATTGGAGTATAGACCTACAAAGTGTACTGCCAAATCTGCTGATGGGTCTGGTGGCTTGGAAGGGTGGGTCAAGTTGATGGGTGCGGAGATGTTGAATGTGGTTGAGGAGAGCAAGCGAGCAGACATCGTCAGGCAAGTCTGTGATATTTTGGAGACTGTGGTGACGAGAGAGGAAGATGGGAGTCAATTCCTCAACTATGTTAGGCTTCGTGCTGTGGCTCGCAAGATTTAGGGGTTTGATGAGAGGTGGAGTGTGAGGATATCAACTGTTTCCGATTACGATATAGGAATCGAATATAACGCCTTTCGGCAATCTTATGGATCTTTATAAATGTGTTGAATACTGTTGAAGGCTGCAGATGCTAGTTTAGACATATGAATTCATCGCACAGCTTCATTCGAGTGCAGCTTCAAAGACGTATCGACCTGAATCTCCACAACAACGAGGTTCAAGCACATCTCGCTATCAGTGCATGCTATATGATACTGTACGACCTATTTGTGAGAGTACAGAGACATAAAACCCATCAGGAGATGAGTCAAGGGCAAAAAGTGCTTAGTGATATAGTTGCTGGTGCAACCCTGGCATCGATTGTTGTCGCATCTCCTTGACACTTCGAACGAAACAAAAGATCCTGCATTTCTATAGCATGGTTGACACTACGACAGTCAAGTGGGAGAGTAATCCTCACTTCCTGAGACCGATGGTCTTGTCGTTGCCCCATACCATCTTCCATCTTCACTCCCACTAAAAGCACCACTTGAAAACCTCTTTTTCCATCTTCAGAAACACCTCGCATTTTGGAGGGATGCTCTTTCACGTCAGTGCAGCTCCCTCCCACGCCCCTTCCTTCCGCTTTGTCCAGACATACAACCTACATAAGCGTCGCAAGTTCTGTATTTTTCAACAATAGCAGCGATGGTCTAGTGGTCAAGACGTTACACAGATATGTCTTGCAAACACAAGCATGAAGGTGACTAGGAGCATCGTGTGCCCGGATGATGGTTGTTAACCGCAATCATCCCGTCATCGGCGTTGTAAAGGCGTGAGTTCGAATCTCACTCGCTGCATTCATCTTTTTGCCCTCGCTGCACATTAACTTAGCATACCGTCATCGACACAATACAAGGAACAGAAGATAGAAGAACGATTATGGCAATGTCGAAGGTGATTGTGTGCATATGCTTCAGCTGCATTACGAGCAACATAGTCTATATAATTTGCATAGCTTAAGCAGCAACCTCCCTCTTCAGCTTGTTCCTCAGGTTGGCCAAATCGGCCTCGGCCTTTCGTTTTCCAAGCACACCAGCGTCAGGAGTAGTGCTTCTACCTCTGTCGCCTCCACTAGCTCTTTTAACCTCGTCATGACACGAAGCATGGAACACGCGACCTCCAACCTTGACGGCGTCCATCCAAACCCACTCCTGTGCATCTTCGTGCCACTCTGGCTCGAACTTCTCTTGACAGATTGGGCAAGCGGCGTTTGCTGCAGCTCCGGTGGGTGCAGGAATATATCTCTCACGCACACTGACGGGCTTGGAAGTAGTTGCGGCGGTCGAGTTTGTGTCGACGGCGGCTGACGAGGCGTCCACTTCACGCAGGCGGATCCATTCCATTTCATCAATGTACCAGCTGCGAGTGAGGCCGGCAGCAAGAGCTGCGTCAGCAATACGCTGGTTGCTGCGGAAGTGCCAGTCGAGGTGGCGAGCCTTCTGAGCACGTCCTTCGTCGGTGGACAAGAAGCGACGACCGCAGGTTGTGCATTGGTTGGGTTGTGCGTCGTAGAGGGTGCGTACGACTTCTGGACGGAAGCTGGGAGGGAAGTTAGTTCGATGGTTCAGAGTGGCAACATATAGATATACATACCTCTTCAAGGCCGCGGCGTTCATGGGAATGCGGACTTTGGCAGGCGTACCCGGAGGCGGCATAGGTGTACTGCTCAACTTTGGTGCAAGGCCTTGGAGTTGTTGGAGGATCGACAGCGCAGGGGCAGGGGCCGTTGGTGGAGCAGGGGAGGACCTGATGCAGACACAGGAGTAGCACTGGCCGAAGCAGGTAAGNATGTTTGCAGCACGGAGAGCATCGAGAAGAGGGTTGCCGACGGGTCCAGCGGGGAGTGCGGCGGCTGGACGAGGTGATTGTGTAGCAGGGGGTGGTGGAGGCATCGACTTCAAGGCAGCCTGGACGACTGGCGTGCTTGGCTTTTGTCCATTCGCAGTAGATGCCAACAGTTGCTCAAGAATACCTGGAGCGAATGCGGGAGGGGCGACGGGTGGCTGTGCTGAAGGAGTAGGTGCAAAGCCCTGAGGAATAGGTGGCGGAGGTTGGAAAGGAAGATTGACAGGAGTAGGAGCCTGCCACTGCGATTGTTGAGGTGCGGCGGAAGGAGGATGGTTGGGCTGTGATTGCACTGCTTGCAACTGTGACACCTGCTTCTTGATCATGCTGATGGCATCGGCGTTCAGTTGCTGGGTTTGCACGACGGCTTGGAGGTCCAGGAGAGCCTTGAGCTTGGTCTGCACCTGCGAATCGTACGGGTTGCGCGCAAACTCGGTCTGGAAGCCTGCGATCAAGCCATGGATGTCGGCCTTCAGCTTGTTGAGGTCATCCTGAGGATTGAGTACAGCTGATAGTGAACGCGCAATCTCAGGAGGCAGCTGATTTGGCAGGAATTGTTGGGGCGTTGGCTTGAGCATGTTAGTCGTGTTGGATGATGATAATATTGTGATGATAGATACCTGTTGGCTGCGGTATCCATTCTGGTACGAATCTTGTGGAGGCGGCTGGAACTGGCTGGCGTTGTGTGGTGGGGTAGGTGTGTTTCTATAATTTGTCGACATGGGTCTTCCTGGCATATTGAGAGGAGTGCGGTTCCTGGTTTGCAGTTGCACTGCGGCCGTTCTTGCCTTGATGAGCGCATTCTCAATAGTGCGCGTGACTTCTGCAGGGAAAACTGGCCTTGGATCCATAGAGCCAGGCACCGGTTCCTTCCAGGTCTTCAACATGGCTTCCATGCTTTTTCTTGTCTGGCTATCTACAAGAGTGTACGAGTCCATGAAGGTTGAGAATAGGTTTCTTCCAAGGTAGACTGTGTATGGAGTGCCAACGTTCTTCACAATCGAGTCCAGTACATAAAGCGCAGGCAGCTTGCGTCCAGGGGCAGTCNNTGCAGTCGGGTCAGTCACGAACTCTCCCATGATCGTAGGCTCTGTCATAGAAACAAAGAAAAGACCATATCTTGTTTTATTTTCTTTGAGTCTTACCGTCTTGATGTGCTTTTCCAAAACCATAGCTATGGCCTGGGCGTGTTCGGTGTTCTCCTTGGCGATGATGGTCAGGTTGCTAATCTCATATCTGTTGTTGTTCTGAAGATCTTGCAGAGATTCCTGGAAGTCCAGAGCGACCTCGTCGGAAATTTGGTCGGCAGACATGATTCTTCAAGGCAAGGTATTATTTGCAGTAATAGAAAAGAGAAGAGAAAGAGAAGACTACGAGTCACGGATAGCTTCCTTCGAAAGTGGCTCAAGAAAGAGACAGTCAACGCGCTATCCGGTCCGTAGACAAGAAGAAGATGCAGAGCCCTTCGGTCGGATTGAACAACCACAAGAGGTGAGTAGATGGCAAGCAGCAAGCGAACACTTGCTTCACCAAAAGGCGTGAAATCAGAAGAGTGTGATGGATCAATACTAGCTATTGTCTCCTCCCGCCCACAATAAGCAGCCCAGTGCTTTCAATAGATGCGTGAAGGGCCGGCTCCTGCTCTTCTGCGAAGACGCTGTGAAGAATCCTCCACTATCACCCCAAAGCCTTGTTTTTCTGCTCGTGCTCACAATCTGCAGCAGCAAGTGATAGGGTGGCTTTCTTTGTTCTTGCTCTTTATGGTTGTGCTCTGCGTTTCTCTTTGCGGACAGGCGTTGAATCACAGGTGGTGTATCACAGAGGTTAGTGATGACTGTCGAAAAGCACGTCGGTCGAGCGAGCGCGTGTATTTGGTATCAGTCGGTAGTCGCTGTAGGAGAGGTCGCAAGTCGAGAAGGAGGGAGAGCGGTGAAGAAGATGGTCGCAAGTGAAGGTGGTGGTTTCGAGACGTCCGTCGTTGTTCATTGTCGCACGCGGTTCAAAGAGCACCGTCTGGCTTCGTTCGCGTCTTGGCAAAAACCGAAACTCTCACATCGCCTTGGCGACGCCGATGACAGCATACCTAGGCAACTGCATTGTACATAAAGTCCCCCGCCAGCCCTGCCATCCCGATCGACCAACTTGAATCCTGCCACTACCAAAAATAATACTAAGAACCATACCAAATACGATCAATTAACCAACATGAAGTTCACCATTCATCTCCTCCTGATCGCGTTCCTCATGGCCTTGACCTACGCTGCCACCGAGAACAAGCAGATCATCGTCAGCTACCCCAAGGATACTCCCGACTCTGTGATCGAACATGCAATGGCTGTCATCAAGGAAGCTGTAAGTAGTTGCTATATTCTCCAATGTTTCAAGTACATAAAACTCATAAACAGTAGGNGCGGCATCATCACCCATGAGTATAAGAGCCTCATCAAGGGCTTTGCTGCCACTGCGCCCACCAAGGTCGTCAACAGCGTCAAGGCTCTCGGCGAGAAGTACCAGGCCATCGTCGAGGATGACCAAGTCATTTCCGTAGCTGGATCGTCTTCGTAGATGGAGTTCTACTCAATCCCAAGAACGAGGAAAGGGTCAGGTGTTTGGATGTTCACTGGGACAAGCTAAAGGAGTACCTCATAGGATTATAGGGATGGCATGGGGTTTGAACAGTACCCAGGGATATGCTAAGGAAAGGCGTAATCAGTAGTTCAGTATCACTGCCACAGGCACATTCAAACCACACCCAGCCAACACATCTCTTGTGAACATCTGATGCACGTCTCTCGGCTGGGAGTACACATTCGCTCATAAACGAGCATCTTTTTCCTATTTTCTATTTTGTTGTCGTTGTGGCATCATATGGATATTCGATATCTGATATTAAGGTCACGTGCTCAATCGATGTTTCTGGTTTCATCCATTTGACCACATCTATGCGCTTCCTTTGCCATCACTTTCTCAGATGCTGTTCGAAAGACGACTATCCATCATAACCTCATAAAGTGCCGATGACTTTGATCGCACCTCTCCATCTCGCCTGCCGCTGAACCCTGGGCGCACTCTGTGGAGGCAGCCGTTGGAGAAGCGGAACCGACAACACCAAAAAGCCAAATCATGGCCGCGCCATCAAAGAAACACAATGACACAGTAAAGTCTCACTAACATTCAATAACGGGATGGAAATTACAGAGACGCAAGAAACTAACGATCTCAACAACCAGATCATGGCAAGAGCAGTCATGCTTCCCATCACAAACTTCAACCCCGGCACCNCCCGCCTTGATGGCATTGAACCGCGTCTCAAGCAAATGATTGCAAACTCCGACTCGCTCGACAGTCAAGTGAGGTAAGATATAATCACATTCCAATCAATACATACAATGTATCAAATACGACATCTCGATTGTTCCGATTTTCTGTTCCTGTCTGCAAAGTGCTAAATCTACTTTCCGTTGTGCAGAAACAGAATGTTCAACGCAGCATTCGAACCAGATGCCATACGGGCAAACGACACACGCCCAGAGATCTCGGGACAGACGACTGCCGAGGTGCTCACAGCCCTGGACTCGATTCGCAGAGTTACAGAGTACAATGCGCGCGCAAAGGAGTCCAGACAGTTCCTAAATGACACCTTGAAGAAGTACGACAAGTCTGGTACTACGGCTGGAGCAGAGCGCAGGAAGAGTGCTGGCCCGGCCCCCGTTGCGTCGATGAAGGCTGCTCCAGTTGTGGCTATGGAGGGTGTGCAGAGGACCGCTGTGGCACCGACTGCGCCTATGACGAATGCTCCTCTGCCTGCACCTTTAGCTGCACCTTCTGCAGCACAGACAGTCCCCTACCCGACCACTTCCAACATCGATGCGAGCAGAGATCCCAGAAGGCGCTAGAGACGTGAGGCTGTTGACAGCATGGAGCCGGAGAGCGTCTCTTCTTAGCTTTTCTTTTGCCCCTCAAGGCGCTTGTTTTTACAGCATGATACCCAAATGACATACATTTATCTTTTCATTCATCCATAAGGTACTGAGGATATGGGACCGGAAATGTTCTCATTGGCCATGCTGAGTCTGGCACACAGTCCCAAGAACACCACCGTCTCCGTAGCAGCAAGATAGTTGAGTGCGTCCAGTAGAATCTTCAAATGTCTGGTGAAGTTGTCTTCGAAGCGCTTGAGGTTGTCGTCGAGCTTCTCTAGCCTGTGTGGATCGTGCTCCGTTTTGCCAGCCTCGGTTTTAGCGAGATCCGGATCGCTCACGGCGAGGTTTCGTGACAAGGACTGAGTGTAGTTGGCGAACATTGTGCAGGTAGCCATGACTTTGGAGTTGATNCTGCTTGCAGGTTAGCTATCGTACTGACAACAAGATTGAGATTGTTCGTAACGTACCCTGAGGAGCTTGGAATTCGTCAGCATGCACTCCTTGAGACATGTGGCCAGAAAGTCGACGTGATCTTGCATCAACTCATCCACAGTACGCTTGACCTTTCCGCCTTCGGCAACACTTTCCGGTGCTTCTGCTTCACTCAGTCGAGTCATGAACGCGGTCCAGTTGGGTTCTATAACTTCGTTCGTGCAGAAGTACAACAGCTGCTGTACAAAACAAAGCATACGGCTCCTCAGACACCACGCTCTACGTTTCCAGTCCTCGATTCGCCGGTCAGAGCTTTTGTGGCGCCAGCTTGTGACTTTTGAGTGGTCAACCCATGAGCTCACTAACAACTGTTCAAGATGTCGTAATGAAAGAATGTAACGGAAGAGTAGCTGGTATCTGGTCAATGTCACCCTCGAGACAACCAGCGAGAGAGGGAAGGGAACTGCATAGTCAAAGGTAAGCGCATCGAAACCGCTAATGTCTTTGTCGTCTCCAATGACGCTAGCCGCTGGCGTGTAGGATGTGATGCTTCCACCATCTGCGTCCAGACCCTTGACGTTGACGACCTGCATCAACCATCCGGTCAGACCAACTTCGTTCATGACAACCTTGACATCCTCTTTAAATGGATCCTCGGCGGCGACACTTCCAGGTTGTCGCAACACGATATCAAGAAGTGATTGCAGCTTTCCGATGTTAACAGACTTAGCAGGCTTCTTAAGCTCTGAGTGACCGAGTTCGAGGAAGTAAGAGAAGAAATCAGATCGATCCAGGAAGAAATAGTGCTTCAAACTGCGAAGGCGTGCAGGNAGAGCATGTGTGGTGAGTAAGAGGGTGAGTAATGAAGAGTTGGCAAAGGCATAGGCAGAATTGGCGTTGTCCAGAAACCGGACATCGTCGAAAGTGTGAGGGACTTGATCATCCATATCTCTCGATACGTCTACACCACCACACTCTCGGACGACGTTCAAATATTTGCCGGCCAGCAGCACTTTGTCCTTGACAGATTCAAGTTGTGGNGGTACGTCTTCGTGTCGGATGGTATAGCGCTTCTCCCAGTATTCGTCGGTGTAGTCTTGCTCCAGTCCTTCTCGACGAATGCTCTTCTGCTCTTTGATGAGAAACTCGGAATGTGGGTCTCGGACGTTGCCGTGGTGAAGCCATTCGTTCAGCATGGCCATGTAGGGTCTTGAGGACTCGCGCAACAGAGTGGTAAGTAAAGTCCGAGCTGCAGGATCGCCAGACATGGTGGCCAATCGTTTGGTGATAAGGCGCAACACGCTGCCTCCCTTGCACACTTTTCTCCCGACATTGCCAGCATCTCTCCCCTCTCGCAAAGATTCCAGGATGTTTTCGAAGTCGTCGGATTCGTCTAGGTCATCATCGTCGTCTTCGAGCATGGAGTTCTCCTTCAAGATTTCGTGAGCCAGACTGTACAATTGGAACATCATGTGGCTGGTGGGTTTGGTGTGGAGGTTCAGGACGTGGAGAGTAAAGGATTGGTTAGTCAGCATCTGGTGTTCGAGTTGAGCGATGAGAATCAGATAGTCTTTTAGCAGCTTCCTCATGGCGGCGCAAAGAGCATGGTTGACGGCGCCAAATTCCTCTCTGCTTTGAACCTCGACAAAGGCCTCGACAGCGGCATAGTGTGTGGCCATTCTCAGCATGGAGATGGTCAGATCTCTCAAGCTTGGGTCTAGGCCAGGCAAAACTCGAAACTGAGGACCAGCAAGACGACTCTTTTCCTCTTGGGGCTGGTAGGCATCGGTGTAGCGGACATACTGGCCCTCGAAGCCCATAAAGACGAATAGAAGGTCCTGGATGACGGCAGTCTCTTGAGCATCGAGAGTCATGCTTGACAGGGGATCGGGTTGAAGAGCAGAGGGCGCATGAGCGGCTAGAGGTGGGACGGAGACGCGAGATGCCAACGGGGCTGAGGTATGAGGTATCAGGGAAGCCTTAGGGTTCCAGGCAGGAGCAGGGTCGACATTGGTCGGGACAGAGTCGGATTGTCTCGACCTCGAGGGCTGAGATGAGTGGACAGCAGGTTTGTGGACGCTCCGGACACGGGTGACGGTAGCAGAGCGAGACTCATGTTGATGCGACTCAACACGGACGTGGGCGCTTCTTTGCGAGTAGGAGTCAGGTTGAGCGGTAGTCCGAGGGACTCTCTGACGGTGCGAGGCCGAGGTTCTTCTGTCGGCAGCTGACATTGCTCGATGCTCGCATGGCTGCAAGCTCAATAAGGTCGGACTGCAAGCGCGTTGCTTTGTCTGCCGGCGGACGCGTTGTGGAAACACGGACAAGAAAGCGTCCAAGCTTCAATCTCCAGCGGCGCATCGACATCACCGCCGACCAAGACAATCAGCTCGCCGTCTGTCAACCAACTCTCTCGCCCTTCCACTTCCTCTCATCTCATCGTCCTCCTTCCCGACAAGCCAACACAGTAGCCAGGCCCGCTGCCCATCTCAATAAACACTCACACACGCCGCCACCACTCGAACTCCCGCAACCATGTTCATTGCTCGCTCCGAATATGGTGAGCAACACTACCATCCTCTCTCTGGCCAGTCTGCTAACATGTTTGCTCAGATCGCGGCATCAAGTATGTCATATTACCCCGCTACGCCTCCGCACAACATACTCATACCACTCTAGCACCTTCTCGCCCGAAGGCCGTCTCTTCCAAGTAGAATACTCGCTCGAGGCCATCAAGCTCGGCTCCACTGCCATCGGTGTACGTCCTACCGCTACATATCCGATCGCATCCTCAGTCTCTGACCCACGCACAGNNGTCGCAACCTCCGAAGGTGTCATCCTTGGTGTCGAGAAGCGCGTCACTTCCACGCTGCTCGAAACCAGCTCCGTCGAGAAGATTGTCGAGATTGACAGACACATCGGTGCCGCCATGTCTGGTCTGCAAGCCGACGCCCGCAGCATGATCGAGCACGCCAGAATCACAAGCCAAAGCCACGCCTTCAACTACGCCGAACCTCTGTCCGTCGAGAGCTGCACCCAGGCCATCTGCGACCTGGCCCTGAGATTCGGCGAGGGTGCCGAGGGTGAGGAGAGTATCATGAGCAGACCTTTCGGTGTCGCCCTGCTCATTGCCGGCTTTGACGAGAATGGCCCATCACTGTAAGCTCTTCATTTCTCGTCCCAGTAAACATAGAATCTGACAAATTCAGGTNACCACGCCGAGCCCTCGGGCACTTTCTACCGCTACGACGCAAAGGCCATTGGATCAGGTTCAGAGGGTGCACAGGCCGAGCTACAGAACGAGTTCCACAAGTCATTGACACTGGCAGAGGCCGAGGTGCTGGTGCTCAAAACGCTGAAGCAGGTCATGGAGGAGAAGCTGGACTCAAAGAACGTGCAGCTGGCCAGCGTCACCAAGGACAAGGGCTTCAGGATATACGGCGACGACGAGATGGCCTCGGTCGTGTCCAGACTCGAGGCCAACTAGACTTACGTCATGTTGATTTCTATGTATTAGGCGCATCGCGTCGGCGCAACAGAGGCGTAATGATAAATGCATCCCAAGATGATGATGGTAGCTTTTTTGAGAATAGGACACGAGGTCTAGAAAACATGCAATTTATGCTGCAACCCGATTGTATTTAATGTACACAGCAGCCAACTCCAGAAAGCATCACCGCAGTGGCCGAGTATTTAGAAGGGATTGTCCTCGGGAGCAATCTCCTTGATGAAGTGGCTGCCAATGAAGGGGACCTTCTGCATGATGTCCTTTCGCACACGGGGGATGTCGGCGAAGAAGAAGAGGGCGAAGAGACCGGCGGCGGCACCGAAGCCGGCAGCGGTGGTACCGNNCTATAAGGGGCTATGTTAGCAAACCGTATGAAGAGAGAATGAGAGCGTTCGATTCGAGAGCTTGCGATGCGTGTTCGGGGATATATGCGAGGAATTGTTGATGCAGGAGTGCTTAGAGAGGCGGTTGACGTACAAGATTCTGGCGCGGTGGAGGTCGATGCCGTGGAAGTTGGTGCCAATCTTGTAGCTGGAGTCGGGCGGATCAGTATGGCGATGCGAGAAAGCGGTAGACGGGCGTTCGGGCTCACTTGGGNNGCCGTATTTGCTCTGGTAGGCCTTGTAGTTGGGAAGGCTGACCCAGGGCTGCATGCCGTGGTGGCCCTCGAACTTGGTGCCGAAACCGGCCTGTCAGGTCGTCAGCATGGGCGCATGGTTGTTGGAGTCGAGTGTGCGTACGGCTCTGATCTGCGACGGCTGCATTGTGAGTTGTGGTGTGTGTTAGGATGAACGACCTTCTAGCAGTTCGCCGTCGTCGCTTTCCCAACTTGCTTCGGCTTCCGCTGCTGACCAGCAGAGAAGGCGTGTCAAAACGCTCGGCCCGCCCGGCCACAAGTCGCCGTCCCTCCAAGCTGCCACCTCCCTATCCACGCCCTCAAACAATGGCACGTTGTAGTAATCAAACACTCACTTTCTTGTCAATTGCTTCCCGTCCCTTGCCTACCTGACCGACTTCTACACAGGAACAATGCGCTAATTCTCTATTATGTTTGGTCACCTGGACGCCTGCTTTTTTCTGTAGTATACTGCAATCGCTCGTTAACCTTGGTCGCATCGAGCTATGGAGTCTACCATGAGTTCCAAGGTCACCGGTGTGTCGCATAGCCCCTTCCTCAACCTTCTGCTCTGACTATTTGTCCAGTCGAGTACCATGATCCCTCTGGTATATTCCCATTGATCTCGCGTGACCTGGCATCCAGACTACCTTTGCGCAACCTGAACTGGAAGTCTCCTNCAAGACCTTTGCGCTCTATCGGCGCCCTCCATGTCGAGTTCGTCCCCGATGCCCAGACTGAAGCCTCAGAAAGCGACAAGCTGCAGCGTGTAGACTCCTACGGTTCCAGATCTGGTGCTCCTTCAGTTGCCAAAGAAAGACGACACCAGATTCCAGGCCTACGCCAGACTCCCTACCTCAGGATCTTCCTCTTGCGATGCGACGACAAGGACACATACAAAGCTTCATCACGCCAGCTCCTCCGCGACTGGCTCAACGAAGTTGCTCCACCTCCTCAGAGTTCCTCCGCCGTGAATCGATCAGAGGACCACGATGCTGCCGAATGGCTTGTCCTACACGTAGTCATTCCTGACACCATCGCCGCTTCCGAACCTCGCTGGACCGCTGCATCCAACGACGAGTTGGTCGAGAGGCCCTCAAGCACAACCAAATGGCCCGGCAAGAGCTCAAGGACTGTACTGGACAAGATACGCGCCGATTTCACCGCTTCGAACAAGTCTGGTCCAGAGCGCATCGCCCAGATCAGGCTGCAGAAGAGAGATGTTCCCNCACAGCTTCTACCCCAGACGCCTGTCACCCAACCTTACATCGAGAGCCCGCAAGAACAGGACAATGCCTGGCAGGACCTCATTGCAAAGTTCAAGACTTTGATGCTCATGTCTTTTGATCTGCGCGTACTACAGTACGAGGATGATATCCGCGAGAAAGACTCCCAACGTGCTCTGCCTGGCTGGAACTTTTGCACTTTCTTCACCTTGAAAGAAGGTCTAGCTCGTGGTTTTGAGAGTGTTGGCTTGGTCGAAGACGCTTTGGCAATATATGATGAGCTTTCGGCAGGGCTCGAATCTGCTCTACGTGATAACGAACCTGGTGCTGCCCAAGGCACTTTCCTTGGTGACCTTGGTGTTCAGAAAAACTCTCTCCTGGAGATACTCAACGCGCCATCGGACGCTTCCAAGCTCGAAAAACTAACTTCCCAGTTTCGAGAACTGTCCAACCAGCCCTTGGACCTGAATAACAAGGACTATCGTGGTGAAATTGTTTCGAGCACCATATCTCTCTTTGACTTTCGATTATACATTTTTGCGAGGCAGAGAACACTCCTGCTTCGCCTGAGCGCTGGAAGTGGCAACCTTCAACAGGCTAGACCTTCCAGTGCCAGGGAAAACCCGAAAGACGACAACTTGACCTTCGCTGCTGAAGTTTGTAAGAGGGCGGCTCTTNTTGCCGCTACCAATGCTCGTGCTCTTCGCAACGGCCTTACCGAAGGGTACGGTCACATCCTTGTGCATCATATAGATTCTTGTGTTGATAGCTGTGTAGGTNCTGAATCCAATTCTCATCTTTCATCTCTTGTGGAAACCATCGCTTCTTCCTGGACCTATGTTGTGCTTGAACAGATACTTGGTGAGACTGCATCAAAAGACTTTCCCTCATCTGGTGAGAAGTCGTCATTGCTACCGCAGAGTAAGACGCCGGGTGTCTACTCTAAGAAAGAGGCAGGCGGTCACTTCAACTTTTCTCAGGGAGCAAATACTCATCCCACACGGTCAAGCTCTCTACAGCGCAGTGCGTCGTCCTCGTCACAATTGACTTCACAGACAATCTATGAGAACGAACGATACTCCAAGTCTAGCCCCAATCCTCAGCAAGATAGTGTGACCACGCATGGATCTGGCATCGCCGTGCTTGCCTCTGGCCGAGCTCAGCTCTTCCTCATGCAGCGGAGAATCATCGAAGCTCTCGCAAAGCAGAAAGGCTGGCTCTCAGGCTGGGCTGCAATCAAAGCAACGCAAGCCCTGGCTGACATTGATCTTGACGACAAAGAAGAAGTTGGAGCAGACGGGGAAGTGTCAAAGGAATCAACTGCACCAGCAGATATCGCCAAGATTGCGACAATGCTTCTGAATGCACCCCTACTGGCTGCGCTCGCCTCTCTGGAAGATTTCAGAGCTGCCTATGAAGTAATGTTGTCCTTCTGTACTACAATGGATACATCGCTGATACCTTGACAGCAACTGAGCACGCTTGCAGCGTCACATTTCACAACAGCGAACCACACCAAATCTGCAGACTCTGTTCTGTGTGATCTTGCCATACTCAAANTAGTAGGTCTTATGAAGTACATTGACAACTCTACCCCAACTGACCCTTTTCTCAGCCAACTTGGTGATGTCGCCCAGGCAGCCACCTATTTCCAGCGCTCATCTTCGACCTTTTCCAAGACAAGTTGGTCGTATGTCCATGCTGAGATGTTGAGAATATACGCAAAGTGTCTGAAAGATCTGCACCGACGGGATGAATACATGAGAGTGATGCTGAGTCTGCTGGGTAAGGTTGTTACACATCGTACGACGAGAGCATTGCCCAGAGTACGCAGTCCCTCTACATGGCTAGACGAAGAGACAGTTGATGTGAGCGGTATTCTTGGGGAGCTTGTTAGCTTCTCAGAGAAACTACCTTACAACTTCACCACCTCGATGTCTGATNTTTTCGCTGGAATCGACGTCGGCGCAGAGATCATACTGCATCCAGATCAGGACGGCTTTGGGTTGAATGTTCGCTTCAAGCATCTTCTGGATGATGACCTGAAAATCGATCGCGTCAGACTACGACTGGTACTAGTAAGCGACTATAGCCAGGAGATACTTCTGCAGAGTGATGGCCCTCTGGAATTGAAACGGGGCTTTACTGAACTCCAAGTTCATTCAAACGTCACAACCTATGGGCATTATCTGATCGACAAACTGGTACTAGTGTCCAGGAAAATACACTTCTCACACGACTTTCAGCCAAAACCACAGACGACACCGCTAGGCATCACTAACGCCAACATATCCGAGAGAAGATCCAGCATGAGCGGGCCATCGCTACTGGTCTACCCTCATGGCAATTCTCTGGAAGCTCGAGCAGCACTGGCCAACGAGATACATATCGACAAAATACGGTCCATCGTGCTCACGATTTTCACAGGGCGCAACAAGACCAAAAGTCTCGATCTGAGGCTGAAGTCTGCCTCCGCTGGGCTGAGGCTACACACTGCAGATGCTGCAATCATAGAGAGCGGCCACGGCCAGCTAGACACATCGCAGGCTGGTATGCTCAGACTTGGTGCTATAGAAGCAGGAGCTGAGGTGAAAGTTCGAGTACCTTACAGTACAGAACGCAGCCTTGACGAGCTTACTGTTAAGCTGGAGGCGAGTTATCAGACCAGTCAGGGAACATTCTCATACCTCCGCACTTCGGCGATTTCGGCAGCGCTACCCTTAGATGTGGATGTTAACGACATCTTCAAGTCTCAGGCTCTGTTCTCACGGTTTAGTATTAGAACGACGAACGCGATCCCACTGAAAATTACGAGGGTGCAAATAGAGGACTCGCAAACATATGGAGTACGAGCTCTACCTTGTCCTCTGCCGATCACTGTGTTCGACAAACAACCAGCCAGCCTGACCTACAAAATTACGAGAAAGGAAGCCGATGGGAGCAAAATAAGCAAGAAGGAAGCTGCATTGGCACTAATGGTTGAGTACACACGCTCAGATGAGGCCGTCTTCGAGAAGCTTGGCAATTTGCTGGAAACGGCAGTAGTGAACAGCCCTTTTGCGGCTTTGCGACGCCTGCTCGTGCCTACCTTGTTGAACAGGGCTAGGTCTTACGCACCAGCTCAGCAGCTTGAACAGGCTGTGCTGCTCAACGAGTTCCAAGTGCCTTCATACGAGACAACGGGCTGGGGAAAGATTGTCGCCAGTCTCACGTCTAATAAGCGACAAGGTCTAGACGAGTGGTTGCAGGAGTGGCACTCGGTAAGTACCATCTCGTGTCCAGCAAACAATCGATCTGTGCTAATCTTCCATGCAGNNAACAATCAGAAGCTCGTTCTTGACGAATCTGCGCCAGCTTCCCTGTCAAGGAAGATCACGCTATCGGTCGAAGTCCCAACTGTGGATGTCCTGCACAGCGTCAGTTTGCATCTTGATAACGATGACTCTACCAGATCAGTCATTATCGGTCGTCCGCTACCAGCCACTCTTTCCATCAAACACACAACACGCTGGGCCAATGCAGAACTACCGTCGGATACACCTCTTGCATTCTCATACACCATCGATGCTCCTGTGGACGGTCCATGGCTCGTGGCTGGACCCAAGCGCTCACGTTTCAACCATAAGCCCGATGAAGAAGAGACCAAAATCTCTCTCGTGCTGGTACCCTTGAGACCAGGCATGCACCTCCTGCCTTCCGTGGACATCCAACCAGTCAGCACTTCTGTTAACAACCCTGATTCGAACGGCCCATCAAGATTGCTCAGCCCTGGACAGACCAGTGGCCCTGTCGAGGAAGGAACAACACAGCCTCTCATCAGCTGCGAGACTGATTATCGCAATTCTGGAGAAATCGTGCTGGTGGTGCGAGAAGCGAGGACGACAACAGTGACGGTGAGGGAGCGAGATTTGATGCCAGCGCTACAAAGGATACCTACTGCTACTGAGTCGGTAAGGGCAGTGTTGACAGTACTCGAACATCCAGACTCCACTGAGACGGAAGTCTGGAGGCCGAATACGTAGATGCATATCTGATTTGACGGTTCATACCCCCTCTTCCAGACCAGAGATGTCATCAGAGGGAGCTGCTAGTGTATCGCCTCTCAGCGAATTCAGTCCTGGTCTTGAATACTATTCTGCATTTCCAAACTATACGTGTCACATACTCTCGCACATGGAGAGGCCATTTCTTTGATTCTGTCTCGTCACTTGCTCGCGGAATCTTCTCGCATGATTTCTTGTTTGCTTGAATTCAATCCGTTTCACTAGGCCTCGTCACTATCTGCTGGATAGCCTTCTCCGAACCTCCACTTACTCTATAAAACGATGAAGCAATTCTAGCTTGCTCTCTCCCTCTATCTACCCTCCAAGAGAGATCGCAGGTCAATATCTTCTTCTCTATTGCACCTCAACAACGATCTCAAGTCTTTGATCAAACATCCTCCATCAACAAACAACAGTGCGCCGTGTAAGTTCATTGCCATGTGTTGTCAAGAGTAAAAGACTGACTTTCAATCTCCTCAGATCTTTACTTCCCAGCAACATCAGCCTTCGGTCCACGATCTCACAAATCTACCTCACCATCTTGCATCACACAAGGCCTCCCAACCTTCGTCACTCGATCTCACGATCTCTGATCTCACGATCTCTGCCGCCCAAACACCTTCCTCCTCCAATCTCCTCAACTACCCACAGCAACAATGACAGTAAGCATCCTCTTCCCTGCTCCTTCCCCATCCTCTCTCTCCTCCATCACCTCTAACCTCTTTTCTCACACAGGGAGGCCACCGCACCTTCATCGTCCTCATCATCGCCACCATCACATCCTTCATCGGCAAAAAGGCCTGGGACGGCAAGTACAAGGACTCCGACAAAGAAGCAAAGAAAAAGGAAAAGAAGAGGAGTTCCGGGTACAAGGCTGCCAGACATGAAAACTATGATCCAGAGGTTGGAAGGGGTTCGTTTTTTGATGATTGAATGGAATGGCTAGCATCTTTCATCTGATCGGATGAGGGAGATGCCGGCAGGGACGAACCTCTGGAGGCGAGGTTGGAGAAAGAAGGCCCAAGGGAGTCTATGATCAAGCACGCGGGAGGAAGGGTAGGCAAAGAAACGACCTCTCCTGATTCAGCGGCCCATAACTTGCTGGGGCAGAAACAGAGGACTTCTGGGGAGGGGGAAATCGGCAGAGCAGGAAGATGCACAGAAACATCAGAGCAGCAAAGGAAGAAGGGCAAAAGAGAATGACCAAGAATTCACATTTCCTCTAATTCGAAGAATGCTCGATCAAACAAATCGTAATTACACATTTCGGCTATCCCTCGTTGTTCCCTGTTGTTGCGCCGTCGTTCAAAGCACCCTGTTATGGTTTCGAATCAAAGACCGCTTAAGTTTTCAACTCGTCGCTGACTCCCTNTGCTCGCGCTCCATCTGATCGATAAACTTCTGCCATGTATCGATGGTCGAGCGGAAGTACTCGCAATTGGCGTCTGCCAGCCCACCGAGCGTCTCGCGGAACTCTGTTGCTTTGATACGCTCAAAATCATCCACCTCCTTGACGACTTCAATGTCAAAGGCCTCGCTCGTCTTCTTGGCAGCCTCGACTTCGTTCTGCAGGCGCTCGATCTGAAGCTCGAGTTTGCGGACACGCTCTTTACGTGCCGTTTCGTGGTCTACACCGCGCACATCTTCAATCTTGGCCCGGATGAAGCCAGAAGCGCCCATGCTGGGTCCTGAGGCCAAGTGGTCGCGTTCGCTGGCAGCTTTGGTGAGGTACTCGGATAGGCCTTCAAAGTCGAGTTGTTTTTGTTCGCGCGTCTTGAGGAGGGCTTTCACCGAGGCAATGTAAGCTTCCATATCACGCAAACTGCCGAGATAATCTTGGTCGGTGTATTCGCGCAAGTCTTTCCATGCCTGTGAGTTTGATTGTATGCTGGAGCCAAAGCTGGTCAGCTCGTTTTGTACGCCTGGTTCGAGTTGTGCGAGCTTCTGGAATTGTGTTGCTAGATCGGCGTAGTCACCCTCGAGATCGGATTCGCGGCGTGCAAGACGGGAGACGGATTTGGAAACGGTGGAGAGGTCGTCGTCGAGCTTGTCGGCACGTTCGCGGACGTCGACGAAACGGCGGTCGGTCTTGTGGGCTTTGGCAAAGGCGTTCAAGAAGCTGTCTGTCCATGTTTCTAGCACGCTAGGTGCGGCAGCTTCGCCAGCGCTCATGCCACGGGCGGCTCGGGAACGCATGGTTGAGTTCCATGAGTCGCTTTCGAGGAACTGAGCGAGCAGGGCAGCGCGGCGGAGGACGGGATGTAGGGTGAGGCGGTTCAGGAAGCGGTTCAGAGCGTGTGCGCGGCGCGAGGTGAAGTCAGGGCCGAAGCGGTCGCCGCGGACATACTCCATCTTGTGCTTGTCGGGCAGCGGTGGGACGGCACATTGCGGGTACTCGCGCGTGAGGTGTTTTTGCAGGAAGACAAAGTCTGTGAAGCGGCGGCGTAGGGCCGAGTGGTGGTTGACGAAGGACTTGAAGTCGGTATCGGTGGTGACGAGGTACGAGATGAAGGGGTTCTGGGTGCCCTCGTTCTCCTTCTGCGGGTCTGTCACACGGCACTCCAGCTTGCCGTGCAGGCCGGGTCCAGCAAGGTCGACGTTCGCGTCGTCGGCGGTCGGTTCGTACTCCATGGCCATGTGTCGTGATAGAATGCGTTGCAAGGATTGGGAAGGTCTCGCTCTGGCTGCGTCTCGGTCTCGATCCCAAGAGCTGCCACTGCCTGAGTTGCATATGGGGAAGTTCGGCATGACGTACTCTGGCTCCCAACCTCTCACCACCGAAAACGTCGACATCTTTTGATTCCTCTCTCTTTCGAGCCTGTCGCGCTATAGAAACATCACGCCTAGGACGCAATTTCTCCCAGAGACGTCCAGGCCCCAAACTTCGACCTCGTCTGCCAACACATGTCTAGTCTCAGACACCCAGATCATCACCCCGCGAACGCGTCAATAGCAGCCATCTGCTCACCTCTGATCGAGACGCCTTTTCAGATGCTATATCTGTGTCCTGATACACCTCGTTCATATCTCTTCGTCTCTCCTGCTTCCCATCCAGCCAATCTTGTAAGATGACGTATCGTCATGTTTAAGCGCCATAAGCGTGAGGGGCTGCACACATCTCGAAGGATGCAATGCCTGCCGCTCGAGTATATATAACTCCTTATCAACAGACATGAATCTGCTTGTCCGCATGCGTGCGCACCCCCGAATCGATTTCGTGAAGACCACAGCAGTATTTAGCATGAATACTCTTGCCTTGGCCATACTGGCCGTCGTGCTGACTGCGGTTGGCCGCTTCCTCTATAAAGGTTATGTTTGGAGACGACATGCCGCAACACTTGTAAGGAGACAGAGACCACCGATTTTTGAATCACCTCAATTAACCTCTTGCTCAACAGCCAGGTCCTCCTCACCATCCAATTTTCGGACACTTGAAAGCTATGGCTGAAGCCTCACGAGCGTCTCCTCGAGGTTGCGCAGGCCAAAGTCTACCTATGATGGTCAAGAATCGATACAAATTGCCAGATCTGTTCTATCTAGATATATGGCCATTATCGGTCCCGCTATGCGTCGCAACTCATCCATCCTACAGTAGCCAATTCCTTACCCAGAGGTCCATGCCCAAACATCCGGGTATCTTATTTCCAATGCTATATGATATAACTTGCAAGCTGACGTTTGCTAAAANNGTACTTGGAGAAGCCCTCTCAGTCATAACCGGAGGTGGTGATATGCTGACGAGTGACGGTCCTCAATGGAAGACTTGGAGATCTGCTTTCAACCCTGGATTCTCGGTGGCCCATCTCATGACTATGATGCCTACAATAGTCGACGATGTGGCTACATTCGCTCAAATTCTCCATAAGCACGCGGTCAATAACGAGCTTTTTCGCATGGAACACCATGCAACTCGTTTGACAATAGATATTATCGGTAGAGTAGTCCTGTAAGCCGTCTCCCACGTCATAGTTTGATGTGTCAAGCTGATGGTTGCCAGCGATGACCACTTCAACTCTCAGTTGGAGGAACACCCGCTTGTCACAGCCTTCGAGAGTCAAGTAAGATGGATGAAGATCNGTCCGTAAGTAATTCTTGGGTATGAAAGATCACAACTAATGTCACCAGCTGGCACACAAAGACCTCTACAAATCTTCAACATATTCCGTCCGTTCGTACAATGGTGGAACCTACGTCAAATGGACACATACGTTGGTAACATTCTCGAAGAAAGATTTGTGTCGCGCAACTCCAGAGGCAAGAAGAAACATGTTATCGACCTGGCACTCGAAACTTACCTCAAGGAAAACAACGTAAGCGACACTTCAAGACTCGATCCAAAGTTCAAAGATGCCGCGTTGCGAAATATCAAGATTTTCATCTTTGCTGGCCACGATACGAGTAGCTCATCCATATGCTATTGCCATTACCAGCTGAGTCAAAATCCAACAGCACTTGCTCGACTGCGAAAGGAATGTGAGGATATCTTTGCTACGGATGTGAGCAAGACTGGTGACATGATCAAAGCCGACCCGTATCTACTCAACAAGATGAAATACGGAGACGCAGTTGTTCGGGAGACACTAAGGATTTTCCCTCCTGCAAACACTGTCCGCGCCGGAGCCGAAGAGTGAGTAACAGGTTACAAGCTGCATTATATGATACACATACTTACATGCCGTCAGCNNTTCTTCATCACCAATCCTGACACCGGCGAACGCTATCCTACAGGTGGCTGGTTACTCTGGAGCCACAACCTTGGCCACCAAATGAACAAAAATATCTGGGGCGAGGACGTTCACGCTTTCCGCCCAGAACGCTGGCTCGTCGACGAAACAACATCCAAGAGTGCAGCGGATCGTGATGCCTTCATGGCGTTTGCCAAAGGCTCTCGCAACTGTATTGGTCAAGAGCTTGCAATGCTGGAACTGAAAATGGTCCTGGCCATGACGATACGCCAGTTTGACTTCAAGGAGGCATTTGTAGAAGTCGAAAAGCTGAAGAATGACGGCTCGGGCTACCCGAGTAGCTTGAGTGGCGTGCAAGAACAGTTTGGTGAGAAGGCCTATCAGATTCAGCTGGGTACCGCAAAGCCGAGAGAAGGTATGCCCTGCCGTTTGAGTTTAGTCAACAAATAAGGGCTTTGCGATGGGTGCTGCTTTCTGAAGTGTATCTTGATCGCCTGCATTGTCAAGCTGGTGTGTGACGACACAACAGTTACCCATGGAAAGAGCGATCGCATTGATTTTTGAGCCAAACCTGGATACTTCCTTCTCGACGTGACACAAGGACTAGCCCCAGCAATGCAATTGATGGAGTTGCTCTGGCTCGAACCCATGTGACTCTCTGTTTTTCAGTTTGTGTGTTTCCACCTGTATCTTTCCGCTCTAGCTCCCTCGATCGTCGTCCAGTTTTGGCTGTCGGTTTCACCGACATGGTAGTAAGCTTATCGATCTTTTCTTCCTCCCCCATCAACTTCTGAAGTATGAGGAAAGAGTATAGAGAGTCGCTCTTGTATACTGAGAGCCACTATTACGTGATGGCTTTTGATTTGAATAAGAAAGGGAGTACGGTACAGGAAAGGAATGAAACTGGGTTACTGCGTACAAGTATTGAATCTATCTCTCTGAAGCGATAAAGAACGATGCTCTCTATCTATACCTGGCTCCCCTCTTTCCCCTGTGCTGCTCGTTGTTGGATGGTCTCGCGAAGAGCAATAATGATGACCGAAAGAGCATCATGTTATGAAGACAACATCAAGAGCGTGTTTCTCAACTGGGGAACAAATCCTGTACTAGGTCAGGATTTTGACATACAATGCACCATCTTCGCATGTCAGGGAGGGTCCCAACTCAGTCCCCCTGGAAGAAAGAGGTCACAAAGTTCGTGACTTCCCACATGAAGTGCTTGCCAGAAGGTACCTTGCCGGGTGCAGAGTGGACGCTAGCCGAAAGACTGTGCGGACGACCAGACAAACGATTGCGCGAAAGACTGTGCAAACGACTAGGCCAACGACCAGGTGAACGGCTGCGCGATCTTACGTCAGCTGTCTCCCACCAGCCTGCGAACCTGGCAAAAGTCTGAAGGCCGAAGAGGTCGAGGTTGACATCTCTCGCCTTGGTGAAGTCGTGCAGGATCTCGATGTCGAACGAAGTCGCAAAGGCCTTGCCCAGAAGCGTTGCCAGCTCATGGTTGTGTTTCTTGAAGTCAACAGGCTCTTTAGACACGTAGTCTGTCATCATTATCTTGACTCTGGCCTTTTGCTTGTCGTTCAACTTGTCGCTCTTGTCGATATCGAACTTGCAGTTACGAACGATATGTCTGCTGTTGTCGAGCCAGTCATCTACTTCAGGAGACTCCTCCTGTTCGGCCTCCTCATTGGCCTTCTTGGTCTTGTTCGTCTTCTTGTGTACTTGTTGCTGGCGTCTCTTGGGAGAGTTCTCGACGTCCAGTTGGCGTTGTACATCATCGATTCTAGTCTACAGTAGGTCAGAATTGATTAGCACAGTTGCGAGNTAGTCAGATGTGTTTCCACCAACCTCAACTTCATCCCATGAAATATCAGACCAGTCTTCCTCCCTGATCAAGTTGTAAAGATCTTTGACCAGCTCGACTCTGGCATCCTGCAGCTTCTTCTCGGCAAAAAGGCCAGACGCGGCTTTGGTGGACGTCGTAATATTGGGCACCCACTTCAACTGCAGACCAGAGCACCAGTGAACATGACCTACGCCAATATCTCCGCCCTGTTTGAGCTCCAAGCCGACCACGATCTGGAAAAGTGTGCCAGGGCGCTTGAGTAACACCGTTTTGCCAGCTTCTTCCCGACTTTGACCAAGAACCACTGCCGAAAATTCGACTTTCTGGCGTTTGGCAGAGCTGCCAGTCTTGATTTCTGTGGCGATCTCGACGAAGAGTACTCCTTTGTACTCGTACTCGTTGACGAACTCGAGTACTGCACTACCGTTGCGAAAGTCTTCGATGTCTGCGATCTCTTATGGGTCGAGAGGCTCTTCGGTGTGGAAAAATCCACTCGCCTTTGCTGGAGGCATTCTGGCGCAGGTGTGCAGGCGCGAGAAGGCTGAGAAGATATGGTGGTGAGAGGGTAGAGTGGAAAAGGATTAGATCGTCAATATGGAAGCGTGGGTGGTGGGAGAAAAAGTAGGAAGGTTCATTTATTGGCTGGAGTCGCCAGATCCAGGGGCTTGGGTCTGCCGCGTTCACTTTTCGATATCGGGTCCTATTCGACCACCAACTTCGGCTGCCAGTGTCTTGATCTCGCATCAAACCGCCAATGTCCCTGCTACATCACATATCTCATACTTACAGCATACAAAAAAATCAGAGAGAATGAATACACAGAACAGGACCCCTTCTGGCCGCCGTATTGCCGGGAGGGAAAGGGAAAAGCATGGTTTCCATATCATCTTGTCGTGCGAGGATTACTGGGTAACTCTGAAGCTTGAACCATACATACTGGGCGGACACCTCTATTCAGCTACATGGTCTGTGATGTCAAAGCCTACGCTTCGAGCCAACTTGAGTGCGTACTCCCAGCCGAAGTTGACCTTCCACTTAGCACCTGGCTCGAGCACATCACCACCAATGACTGCCGTCCTCAGCAGCAACCTCAACGAACACAACGTTGCAAGTTGCGTGTAGATGTCTATAGTTGGCGTAAGGTTATGCGGTAGCACAGCGTGGACGATGGCGAGTAGCCTGTCGAGGGGGAAAGGGCTGGGTGAGAGGAGATGTCTTGGGATCTTGCGGTTCTTTGACTCGCGGCCAGCGATGGCACCGCCTCCTTTCCTACGTCGCTTCCGTTCTGCAGCTTTCATGAAGTAGACGTTGTCTTGACGGGGTGGATTAAAGGATGCAAGGTACGCGGCACAGAGCAGCCATTTGGAGTAGTAGGGCAGATCGTGAGTTACNTGCAGCAGGGTCAGTAAACGTGCTCGGAAATTTAGGAAATCTCACCTACCATCAGTCAGTATGTTAGTGTCCTGTTGAGGCTCATCAATAACCGAATCCAGTAGACAGCTTTCCGCTTGGAAGAGTTTGCGTTGTGCTACCATGAGTTTGCTGAAGTCCCGAGTACCATATGTTCCATCAACGATTGGTTGTACGAAAGGACGCCAGAGCTTGTCGAGGATGGACTTGAAGGTGACAATATCTCGAGCTGCTCCACTCGCCAACGAATCCCAAACAGCGGCGCAGAACCGTGACCAGAGCCATGCATCATCTTCGGCGGCAACCTCTTCCGAATAGTTGGCAGACGGTGATAGAGGCTCAATGAATATTCGTTGTGGTTGGCAGCAAGCGATCTGAATAGCTTGTTCACGGGTATAAGGCGAAAAGTAAACATGTGGGGCACCCGGAAGATGAAGGAGACGTGGATGAGGAAATGTGACAATCATCACAACGCTGAGGCAGGGAACTAGTTGACCCAGACGTGCGAGAGTTGGCAAGAGAGTAGGAGGAGCCTCTCTTTGCTCATCGATGCCGTCCAGAACCAGCACAAACTTGTCGATGCCTTCGAAAAGACGTTCCAGAGAGCTTGTCAGAGTGCTGAGATTCTCACACCTTAAGGGAATGATCCCATCCAGCGATACGTCGGTCGCTACTTCAACTGCTTCAACGCAGGCTGCCACAGTCCGCTCCAGAAAATGACGGCTCGTAATGCATTCGGAACATGGAATAAAAGCATGTTTGAGGCCAGAGTGCTCCAGGTAAGATTTGAGGAGGCCTGTTTTGCCAGTGGATTCTGGACCATGTACAACCAATGTTCCCGAACTGCTCAGCCTAGGCTAAACGACATCAGTAAACACACGGCCGTTTGCGATGGGCCTACTTACAGAAAGGAGGGCGGACAGAGACTTGATCTGCAAATCTCTGCATGGCCATTGGTTGGTCAGGGAAAGAACGACTTCGTCCGGGAGCATTTCCAAGCCCATGTCTGTTTCCTTCCGTGTCTCAAGAAATGTCAGGCTTCAATGCTTCTTGCCTGTTTGCGCTGGTGTCCTGGCTCGATTGGGCAGCGGGGGTTGCAAACGGGCTTGCAACTCTTGTCGATTTGCTCAATTCCCACTTCTCATCAAGTCTGTACTTTGGACGTCAGGTAAAGGGTATTTTGGTGTGAAGAAAAGTGTAGGCACAAAGAATGGAAAGCAGCGTGACAACAGATCAACACCGCGTTGCACAAAAGGGCAGTATGGAGAAGGATCGAGTTATGCAGGCAGCCGGAGTTAAGGGCAGTCGATCCGAGCAGATCTGGGGAAGAGCGCGCTAGCGATGAACCGTGCGCCAGAAATTATTGTAGAGAGGGAAGTCGCGACATGTGAGACTGCCTTCTTCGGTTTCCAGACGATGCAATGAGTGAAGAACAACGAGGAAGGTCCGCACCCCCGGGTGTTGGACCTGCTTTCAGCCCCGCCGATGCTGCGTCCCACGCTGACCTGGATGGTCGCAATCGCAACTCTCCATCACCCTCCTTCATCGACGACAACGACATGCCACCCTCCAAGCCCGGCCTCTGGTTGCTGAAGACAAAGGCAGAGGCTCGTGCCTCGACTGCCACCGTCCAAGCATGGACTATAGAATTGCCATCCAGAGCTGCTAACACCGCCCTGGNNGGTACGCTCGCCTTTGTTTGCGCGCCGTGCCTGCTCTCGCTGACTCTTACATACAGTCTCATCAAGGACAACGTTCCTGAACTCGATGCCATCGACTTGCAGCACATCCGCCGCTTTGCAAAGGCCCGCTTCCTGCCCACCCACCTCGTCCCCGAGACGATCGCCGTCAGCCGCAGCAGAAGTGGCAGCGAGCATCACGCCGATGGCTCGTCCCGTGGCTCGTCTCGCTCACGCTCATCGCGCAACAAACGTCGGGGTAGTGTCCCGGCCACGCTGCACCTGATCGTTAGTCCCGTCAGCTGCATCGGCGAAGACGCCCTCACCGAACTCCTCCTTGCCAACCCTCCCTTCGTCGACGACGGCTTCCCTCTCATCCTCAGAGAGGTCACCCTCCCTCTGCTGCCCNCCACCAGTGCAGAGCAAGCTGAACTGTGGTCTCAACAGTACTGGCCCACCATCTACCGCAAGACCAACCCCTTCGGCCCTCACCCTAGCATCATCAGCCGCGCCGAGGAGGAGGTTCTCTCTAACAACAACGTACCTCGCCTCATGGAGATGGCCAAGAAAGTCGCCGGAGAGACAAAGGCCAAGTGCTGCGGCGCTGGTGTTGGATGCGTCATCATCGAAAGACCTACCGGGAAGCCTATTGAAGTCATCGCCGTCGCTGGAGATGGCCGCTACCAAGGCCTGGACGAGGTCGCTGGTCAGCAGAACCCTATGGCTCACGCCGTTATGCGAGCTATAGGCATGGTCGCACGCAAACGTGTCCGCAGCGCTACTCGTGACCCTACGAAGCTCAACCCGGACATGGCTGCTCTGGACATCAACAGACCTTCTCACACACCCGCTCTCGGAGCCCCCAAGTTCGTTGACAAGACTTTGCTTGACTACCCTCTGACGCCCATGGAACGCAAGGCCTTTAACAAGGACAACCTCATCCCTGACGGCTACCTTTGCGTCGATCTCGAGATCTACCTCACCCATGAACCCTGCGTCATGTGTACCATGGCCATCTTGCATTCGCGCTTCGCTCGCTGCATCTTCGGTATTCGCATGCCCAAGACTGGCGCTCTGACAGCTGATGGAGGCGGTCTCGGCTATGGACTGTTCTGGCGTCCCGAGCTCAACTGGAAGTTCTTGTGCTGGGAGTGGAAGGAGAAGGACCCATACGATGGCGACAACCACTTGCACCTCTTCCTCGACAAGAAGACTCAGGTCTGATTGCGTCCTTCCTTGTTGAACTTGTTAACTCTTCGGAACCCTTGCCATATTCTTCGACCTGGGCTCTTTTCTCTTCTTCTTCCGGATTCTTTCCTTGTCTTTGTTACCGACATGGTTAGGTAGTGTGTCGGCCCCACTTGAAAACAAGGGGGAGCTTTGTTTTCTGATGGAGACTGCCTGTGAATGAATGGCAGCAGCATTATGCACATAACAGCGAGCATGGTATACAGGCGTCAATATGGGTTAGTTGGTGGCAGTCTGGTGAGCTTTTTTATACCCCTTTTTCTGCGAACGAACAAGACGAGACGGATGAAATGGCTACGATTATGGGCAGACCTTAAAGTCAATATATCATACAACGATGCTTTTCTTACTCAAGTCTCTACTGTGACGTTCTTCCACCCCACCAATCGCTTCGTCAAAGCCATGCGACATCTTAAGATCACGACAAGTTTAATTTGAGTACCAGATCGAGTTTCGATTATGGCATGATAATATGGCTCGCATGATTCGTTTGATCTACAGCAGGAGATTGACCAGCTCAAGAGCTGCAGCTGCACTGCATCGCACGCTTGATGTGAGGCACATCACCACAGAATCTGTCTTCCTCCTCCTTGTTCCAGCCCCATGATTCCTCGAAAGGATGGAGTGCCATCTTCATAACACCTTGAAGGATTTCGCGCTCACCCTTCTTCTCCACTCTGTCGATCAGCTCGTCAAGGATCCATGATCTGGGAATAAACNNTGTGAATGTAGGTGTCAGTCTTTGATTTTCTCATGCAACCACAGAAAAATTTCATACCTTAGGGTTGACCTTCTTCATGGCCTCCTGGCGCTCGGCGTCCTTGCCTTCGCTCCAGTCCTCGATGACACGATTGCGCCATTGCTCAAGCCACTTGCCAATTCTAGTTCTGGCATCGTCCTCGCTGGTACCTACTGTGTCACCGAGGCCTTCGCCGTGGAAGAAGCGACCTGCGACGTCCTTCCTTTGCTCCTCAGACTCAATCTCTGATAGGCTGATATTGCTGAGTTTGCGGAAAGTATGGTTGAAGTCGAGTTCCAGTGCCTCGAGTGTGTCCAGCAACTCAGAGAAAAGGACATCAAAGTCAGAGTCTTTGCATTGCTTGAGACCGAGGCGTGCTGACATGAGGCGCTTGTACTCTGCCATGAACACTGTACGGAATTCTTCACCCGTCTTCTCAATCAGCGTTTCGGCGCGCTTGATCAGCTCGTCGGCCCAAGTCTTGCTGACACCTTCGGTCACGAACTCGTCGTCGTCGCAACGGGCTCCAGCACCGATCAGCTCGCCAAGAGCCTCGCCTAGACGTACCAGATTCCACCAGATGATGCTCGGTTGGTTGCGGTAACTGTAGCGTAGCATGTGATCGTCGTGATTGGGTGTGTAGCTAGGGTCAAAGTTGTCGAGGAAGGCGAAGGGACCAAAGTCGATAGACAAACCGAAGATGGATGTGTTGTCAGTGTTGAGCACACCGTTCGTGAATGCGTAGGCTTGCCAATGCGCAACTGTCTTTGCATTTCGGCGGGCAATCTCGCGGTAAAGGCGTGTAAATCGGTTCTCCTCGTGTTCGTTCTCGCCCTGTACGATGGTATCTGCGAAACCGCGTTCTGGATCAATGGCCGTCTCGGTGATCTCGCCTGGCTTCAGGGCACCCGGGAGGTTCTTCCAGCCACCGAAAACATCTTCGGCAACATATGTGGCCAACTTTCGGATGAGTGCTCGGTCGCCACGAGAGCGTAGAAGGTCGAAGGTACCAAAGCGTAGCCAACTTTGAGCAAAACGCGTGACAATAGCGCCAGGCTCGATACGCTCTCTCAAAGCCTTGTCCTCGGGGGTAAAAGTCAAAGCCAATGCGCGGGTTGAAGGAATACCTAGAGCATGCAAGCTCTCACTGACGACGAACTCTCTGATACTGCTTCGGAGAACGGCCTTGCCGTCGGCAAATCGACTGTAGGGTGTCTTGCCCGCACCTTTGAGTTGGACCTCGTAGCGTACGTCTGAGTTGGGGTTTGTGGCCTCAAACAAGGAAATAGCACGGCCGTCGCCTAGCTGGCCTGCCCATTGGCCGAACTGATAACCGCCGTAACATTGTGCCCAGGGGTAAATTTGTTCTTGCCGTTGTTGTTCTTCTGGCACCATATTTGATTCCGAGGCCTTGGCTTCGTCCCATGTCAAAATCTCGTTGCCAGATACCGTGTCTTGAAAGTCTTGTGAGTCTGTCGATGATGGGTCGATGGAGAGAGTCTGAAGTGCAGCGGGCGATACCGCAAGTACCTCATACTTTGTGGGCGGATCGGGGCGAACATAGGTGTAGAGAGCGCCTTTGACCAAGCGAGGGCCGAGTTCTCGTCGCTCGGCAGCATGCGAACTGGACGGAGTAGGGAAGTTCTGGTCTGGCGGGAGGTTCGTGGTGAAGTTGTTCGACTTTGGTAGGGCTCTGATCGAGTGCGTCTTCTCATTGGTCTTGGTCGAGTCATACAGGGCGTTCTGGTGGCCACTAGTGGTGATGTGGGCTGCCATGAGTGCGATGCGGGTATGGGCTGGCGTTGGACGCAGGCTTCGTGCTCTCGATAGCATAAACAAGGTCGTTTGGTAGGCTTGTACGGTTTCGGTGAGGTGAGTATACGATCAAAGAAAGATAGACTTAGGTTGAGATGTCAAGAAGTTGTATAAATTCGCCTCGACGTGATCATGCATTGACGATGGTTGACGTCGCTGTGATGGCCCGCACATGGCGACATGTGGGGTCACCGCCTTTGAACTTGAGCCTCCTTCCTGCAGGTCACTATTCGACCATTATCAGGTCCTTGAAGAATAATCCCTCACGAGGGTGGGATCACTGTCTCGGTCAGTTCTACCTTCGATATGCGAGATTGGTAGCTGTCGACCAGATTGCTCCTTCCCTATTTAGGTCATTTGGCTGTAGGTAGTGCCTTCCGTCTGTCTTGAGAGAGTGCCGGGTTGCCTAGGCACTGATAACTTACAACAAACCTGACCAACACCTTCAATCTCACTTGATCTCAACGATAAATATCAAGACTGTCTGTTCCTCTCTTCCAACTGAACATATCCTCTTTACATACCCTTGTTGCACTTCCATTAGAAGACTCGCAGTTGCCTCGACCGGTAATCGCTGTGTCCTTCCCCACGGTCTGAACGTGTGCGACTTTTCAAAACAGCCGCCGACAACAAGACTTCACAATCCCTTGCATGCGCGCGCTGAGGCGCAATATGTGCACTGCCTAAGGCCAAGTTTCTCATCATCTTTTCGACCTCACGACAACCACGCGATACGATGCAACTGAAGACACCATTCCAGATTTCCACTTCTTGCAACACCGTCGAATCTCAGCCTTCGCCTTGCAGCAGAAATGAACTCAGTGGACGACTACAGAAAATATTGCGGATCAAACCTGGTATACGACGTCTTCACGCGGAGACAGCCTGTCTTCCTGCAGCGAAACCTTCGAAAAGTCCTCGATCACCATGAACACAATCTAAACGTTCTCAACCATCTATCCACGGAGTCCACCTCGGACTTCACAGCCACAAATATGCTTCTGGACAACGACTTTCCTCGATCTCTGCCTAGCATGGATATGCTGTCCAAAGCCACGAAACCTATACAGCAAACACTCAAAGTTCATCCAAAAGGTATTCTTAAGAAAAGATATACCTCCAACGGTGAACTTATCATGAAGATGGGGAAGCGGGCTGCCAAGCCCGAACCATCTGCGAATCCGAAGTGGCTTCCTGCCCCTGACCATCTCCAACTTAGATGCAATGTACAATGCAACATCCAGATCCACAATGCCGACACCGACAAAAGTGATGTTGTTCTACACACCGACTCGCATCTGGCTGAATTGACCGAAGTAAAGGATGACAAAGGCGAAACGGCTCTCTCCATTGATATGAAGCCCTTCATTGTCACAGAAGAGCAAATGCTTAACAGCCAACTGGCAAACCACAACACAAACGGCGGCAAGAGATGGAAANAAGAACGTCAATTTCAAGCTACGCTCAGTCTGGTCATTGACTGCTTTGATTCTGAAGACGCCTCCCAGCTGTTCTCTATATTGGATTTGAACACCGGCTCGGACACGATTGTGCCTCCGGAACAGGCTCAGCTAAGAGCGTATTGGACGCGGCTTTCTACCTCGCCAGTCCCCTCCGGACGTACCCTATTTCGATGTCGGCATGACCCCGAGGACCAGTCTGAGCCGCCCTCTTTCGAAAGTGTGGATCATCTTTTGAAAGCTGATATCTCTTGGACTCCTGTTGTTAAATCAAGCGGGACTCCGCTAGCTATGTGCAACCATGTCATGCGAACGCTCGAAAGCATGGACGCACTCCGACGACCGAGAACGACGCGCAATACACAGACCTGCCACATCACGTATGTCTTTGAGGGAGGTCCGCTAGGGTCGAGAACTATCGCCTATACCCAATTCAGTTGCGTCTTCTGCCCAGGCCGTCTGCCTCATCCAACATTTGACAGACTCCATTTCCACTATCTGAGCTTTCATGACCATTTCACCTTCAAGGTGCATAAACCAGTAGCGACGGACTCTAATTCAGTCACCCGTACGGTCCAGATTGATCTTTCAGCACAGAGATACGAACGGGCTAGCGACAATGTGTGCGATGAGCGAGAAATCACTTGGGTCAAACCAGGGTCTCCGTTCGATCTGCAGAAATACCTCTTGGAAGGTGGGTACAACACCTGGGCCAGCGGCAAACAGCTGCCTCTCAAGACCTTTCCCAAGACCGTCAAACCTGGCTGCATGTCGAAAGGGATTGCGCGACTAAAAGCACCGCCCGCTAACGGACAGTCAAGGTTGACGCTACCGGATCGCCAGCCAAAGAGAGGACCACCTGAAGAGGTTCGGGAGGTGCTACCAAGAAAGCGAGAGAGATACGAGGTTCCTGATATTCCAGAAGTCGCTGTCTTTCGCGCAGAGTCCAAACGAGAACTGGAGCCTGGAGAAATGCTCAGTGAGAGTGACGCCGAGCCAGACGACTCATGGCTTCGCGTCAAGCACAGAATAGAAGGATTTCCCCAACTCACCGGTGCAGCCAGAGAGTTCGCGATACTCTTCGACGACAACTTGCAAGAAGAAGCAACGAGCCTGGCGAACAAACACGTCTGCGAATTAGTTGTTCGATTCGTACGGAGGTTTGCAGTGCGGTTAGGGCAGCCACATCTTTTGCAGGAACTCAAAACCAAGTTGGGTGAGCTCAGGGCCAGGAAATTGATTCCAATCAACTACATTGACCATTGTCTTGGCTTGGTTGCAGAGAAAGCACAGGTCAGCGTGGATGACACCGAACAAGGACAGCTCAACAATCTTTCGGCGGCCAAAGAAGAGGCTGTATCCGGAGCCAGTCAGGTCCCACCATCAACTGCTCAGCAAGGTCATAACAGGCTAGATGTGATTATGATTGACGACAGCGACACTGAGCCAGGCGCCGAGGTCTCTCCAGCCGTACTTCATCGAACCAATGACGACGACGTTCAAATGCAAGATGGTGTCCACCATGCACCCAATGCTTGTGTGTGCGGTAAAGTGGCTTCGGGATCGCGCAAGGTCATTACTTGCAGGAACATTGTAAGTTCATCTCCTTTTCATCATATGTGGGTTGCTAAGTGACGAAACAGCNATTGCCCACATAGCGAGTTTCATATGGCTTGCGTTGGTCTTGACAGACAGATATTCGATTGGCGCTGTGAGGATTGCAGAACCTGAACAGACTGATCGAAACGTTTCACTCAACACCATACCTGGCTTTTCTCATACGAACAATAGGGAGGCTACGACAGATCATTCGAGTTTCTGGCATTCGTGGCGCACTCTAGGCAAGCAAAAGGGTTTTGATATAGGCGCATAGGACATCTTTAGCGGAAAGGGGACATTGCATTTTGTAGTTTTGTTAACAGCCGAAAGCTTTCCGGCCTTAAAGATACTGGTTCTTCGCTGCTGCAACTCCGCTTACAGAGAAGCGAGCTCGAGGTTGCCAGAAGCTTGCAACCAACCGTGTTGAAAGAGCTCACCAAATTCGAACTCCTCCGCCATCAAGAAGTATATAGAGGTGCGAACTCCAATTGTGTTACACTGATTACTCGACTTGACGTCTGGTCGTGGACACAAGCTGTTGCATTTGCTTCTTCCTCTTGCTGAATTGATAGACGTCGATTTCAGAGCTTGCCACTCCGTCATTGTGCGTTCAACCTCAGCATGATTTTTTGTTGACGGCTCTGGAACAAAGCAACCCTGCCCCAGAATGATTCAGAAAGCCTGAACGCTTGGACCATCTCGAAACGTCATTCTCGATACCACCCCGCGACGAAGCGCAGACTGAAGCAGTCGCAAGAAGTGAGGAAAGTGCTCTGCAAAGTGAGTCGAATACGGCAATTGCCTTGTCGAAGTAGCCAGAAGCTGCAAGCAGGTCCCCGAACTACCTAGACACAATAATTGAGTGAAAAGTGACGGAACGTGGCGAGATAGACGGGTCCCAGAAGGCAGAGGCAAGTCATGGAAATGGAAACATGTAGAAGAGGATGGAAACCACCCGCAAATTCTGGTCGTGTCCGAAGCAACGCAACAACCGCCCACTGCGCACATTTATAAAACTTACTTCTCTTGCTCACACCTCACCTCACAACTTCTTTCTCTCACACTCAATCAAAAGCACTTTTCTTTACGACTGACGACATCTCTTACATCGTCAACAAAAAGCTTTCTGTTTGATACCCCATCTTCTTTTTCAGTTCACAACACATCCATCATGGCTCCCGCTATCGGAATTGACTTGGGTACCACCTACTCCTGTGTCGGGTTCGTATAAGCTCCAGCCCCTATTTCTCTGACACCCTTGCTGACTTTTCTCTCTAGTATCTACCGTGATGACCGCATTGAGATTATCGCCAACGATCAGGGTAACCGCACCACTCCCTCGTTCGTCGCCTTCACCGACTCAGAGCGTCTGATCGGTGACTCGGCCAAGAACCAGGTCGCCATGAACCCTCACAACACCGTCTTCGACGCCAAGCGCCTCATTGGCCGCAAGTTCGCCGATGCTGAGGTCCAGGCCGACATGAAGCACTTCCCCTTCAAGGTCATCGACAAGGCTGGCAAGCCCGTCGTTCAGGTCGAATTCAAGGGTGAGGAGAAGACCTTCACTCCTGAGGAGATCTCCTCCATGGTTCTCACTAAGATGCGTGAGACCGCCGAGTCATACCTTGGTGGCACCGTCAACAACGCTGTTGTCACTGTCCCTGCTTACTTCAACGACTCTCAGCGCCAGGCTACCAAGGATGCCGGTCTGATTGCTGGCCTCAACGTCCTCCGTATTATCAACGAGCCCACCGCCGCTGCCATTGCCTACGGTCTTGACAAGAAGGTTGAGGGTGAGCGCAACGTCCTCATCTTCGATCTTGGTGGTGGTACCTTCGATGTCTCGCTCCTCACCATCGAGGAGGGTATCTTCGAGGTCAAGTCTACTGCCGGTGACACTCACNTTGGTGGTGAGGACTTCGACAACCGTCTCGTCAACCACTTCGTCAACGAATTCAAGCGTAAACATAAGAAGGACTTGACCTCCAACNCCCGTGCTCTCCGCCGCCTGAGAACTGCTTGCGAGCGTGCCAAGCGTACCCTCTCTTCGTCTGCTCAGACCTCTCTCGAGATCGACTCTCTATTCGAGGGTATCGACTTCTACACCTCCCTCACTCGTGCCAGATTCGAGGAGCTCTGCCAGGACCTCTTCCGTGGCACCATGGAGCCCGTCGAGCGCACTCTCCGTGACGCCAAGATCGACAAGTCTTCCGTCAACGAGATCGTTCTCGTCGGTGGTTCCACCCGTATTCCCAAGATCCAGAAGATGGTCTCCGACTTCTTCGGTGGTAAGGAGCCCAACAAGTCCATCAACCCCGATGAGGCTGTCGCCTACGGTGCTGCCGTCCAGGCCGCCATCCTTTCCGGTGACACTTCTTCCAAGTCCACCAACGAGATCCTTCTTCTCGACGTCGCCCCGTTGTCTCTCGGTATCGAGACCGCTGGTGGTGTCATGACTGCTCTCATCAAGCGCAACACCACCATTCCTACCAAGAAGTCTGAGACCTTCTCTACCTTCTCCGACAACCAGCCCGGTGTCTTGATCCAGGTCTTCGAGGGTGAGCGTGCACGCACCAAGGACAACAACCTTCTCGGCAAGTTCGAGCTTACCGGCATTCCCNCTGCCCCTCGTGGTGTTCCCCAGATCGAGGTTACCTTCGACGTTGATGCCAATGGTATCATGAACGTCTCTGCCCTCGAGAAGGGTACCGGCAAGACCAACAAGATCGTCATCACCAACGACAAGGGCCGTCTCTCCAAGGAGGAGATCGAGCGCATGCTCTCCGAGGCTGAGAAGTACAAGGAGGAGGACGAGGCCGAGGCCGCCCGTATCGGCGCCAAGAACGGCCTCGAGTCCTACGCCTACTCTCTCAAGAACACCATCTCCGACCCCAAGGTTGAGGAGAAGCTCCCTGCCGATGACAAGGAGAAGCTCCAGGCCAAGATCAACGAGACCGTTGAGTGGATCGACTCCAACACCACCGCTACTAAGGAGGAGTACGAGTCCCAGCAGAAGGAGCTTGAGGGAGTAGCTAACCCTATCATGACTGCCTTCTACCAGCAGTCTGGTGGCGCTCCCGAGGGTGGCATGCCCGGCGGTATGCCTGGCGGCGCTGGTGCTGCCCCTGCCCACGATGACGGCCCTTCCGTTGAGGAGGTCGATTAAGCGTAACGCTTAGGCACAACCTTTCGTCTTCAGCATCATACAGCCGGCGTTGGTAGAGGGATAACAATGGGTTTCTTCAAGTTGTCTTTTCTTTTTGATATCATGAAGCATGTGTTTTGCAGCGGAGAAACTGCATCCATGCAATGTTACTTTAATGTCACTCGATACGAGTGTAACGAAGATTTCTTTACCTTTCAAACATGTCTCTTTCCATCATTACTCGTAACTTTGTGACTGTCTCGTCTTTTTCATTGTTTTGTTTCTTCTCCAGGAGGAAACTTATCAGTCCTCTCAATGGACACGCTGAGACTAGTCCAGCTATAGAAATGCACAATGTTTAATGTGTTCTGACCTTGATCACTGAGAGTAATCAGCAGGCTGTATCTCAGTGGACTTTGCTTCTGTTGACAACACATTGTGTACTTCGATAGCTGTTTTCGTCTGAGCGTGTTCGTTGAGAGTGCTTACTTGAACCTCTCCTTAGACACTACTCGGATCTGTAAAACACACCGTGTTTCCATGGACTCTTCTTCCTGAGGCGTGCCCATTGAGAGTCGATATTGTTGTGTTAGTGGGCGTCTTGCTAGGTTATGTATACCCATGTATTCTCCGCTCGAAAACAATCGTTTCTGACATTTTCTCTGTTCTGTTTACGGTCTTTCTTACTGCACTTGTCTTTGTCTCTCTGTTCTCCAAACACCCGACTCACTGCTTGATCCTGTCTCATCTTTATCATGTTTCTCTGCACATCTGAATTGTCTGCATTATCATGTTTTAGTGATTGGGCTTTCGACAATAAACAACAATGGTTCAGAATACTCGCTGCCTGAGATGGTGCGGTCGGGTTTGACGACTACCCAGTTTAGCCCATCAAAGTTGATCTGGACAAGACACCTCGCTTCATATGGATTCACCAAGCGTTTCGAGAAGTTTCGTGATCAACAACACAAATTCCTGCTTGTCCAGTGTCGATAATGCCACCAGCTTTCATCCCGGTCGCTCGTCTTGCTGTGATGGCACTTGAGGCAACTTTCGGTAACGCTTTTTTCGTTTTCCGGAATCGCGACTGTCACTACGATATCCTCCGATTCGTACTTGGTTCTTATCTCAATTGCAATACGATGAAATCTGCGCGCATGATCGACTTTTTGAAGGACCCGAGAAGTTTCCAACCTTTTATGCAAGTCATACATGCTGCTTGTGACACCCTGGCAAGAACTTCTCGAACATATATATGCTGCGCTTTATGGAGTTTTCACATATCACAATCAAATCATAGACCTATCGGCGACAGTACTAATAGAGGCTTCAGTCAGAGTAGATGGAAGGTCGTTTCTCGTGAAAAGTCAGAATGGGAAGTACGATAGCAGCTTGGTTACAATCCCATAATCCAAGGACCTTTCGATTTGTCCAGACAAGACAGTCTAGACTTTAACGAAAAGGTCAGGAAATTCTAGCCATCCGCTGAGATACTATTCGAGAGAAGGAGTTAGAAAGCCATGCCAAAGCCATCTTGGTAGCGTTCGCCGGAGATCCGGATGATTCTGAATGGTGTTGCTAATAGAATGTCAATTGAAGTTGACGCGCTACGTTCGGAACGTGCGGCTTGTTCGCTCCTTCCACCAGACTTTTCCTGTTCACGCGTAGAGTTCCCATCCGCCACTAACAACAACATCTGTCTGACCCGGCCTCTCCAGAAGGCGTTGTCGGTTGCCTAAATCATACTTGACACGAAGATGGTGTCCACAATACCAGCCGATTGACTACACCCTGCTTGCTTATCAAAAAGTGTTGCCAGGCTCATCGATAATCCGTCCCGTGCCCTTTCCGTCATACCATTCGCCAAGACACCAGCTCTCTATACCTCGAACAGAGAATCCACATTGCGATGTACTCGCCCGTACTCCCTATTTGTATAGGAGAGTCGAGTTGAAGAAGTTTCTACATCGTCTCCGACCAAGCTTGGGCATGCTGTTGTATACCTGACACCTGTAGGCGGCTTGGCAGTGTTTCGATATACCGAAGCGCCTACAGCCACACCATAAGGTGCTTCTTGGCTTATCGCTTGCTCAAGTCACCGAGGATACTGTCCAGATAGTGGATTCCAAGATTTATACTTTGTTCATGGCAAAGACGATTACAACATGCCATACCATTCGCGAAAGAGGTCTATGACAGCCGAGCAGACCATCGCAAAATACTATTCTTGTCTGTTTGCTTCGTTGCCGGACCGGCAAACCATATACTCTCCCACAACCTATCTATTTTTAGGTGAGATGGCATGTCAACTTGTGCTTGGTTGAACCTCACTTTGTGTTTGATCAGCCTGGGCAGATTCGCTAAGAGGGTTGGCAAGCTGCAAAATGTCATCCTCTATGCCAGGAGTTCATGTATAGGAAAGCTCAGCATAGCTAATTAAGTACTCGAGAATCGCCTCGATCCGTCTCCTTTTCCATCATTCTACACTTACTTCATTTGTTTGATCACTTCACTTCTGTCTGCAGCTGGCTCTGCCAAGTAACCAATCTTTTCACACATCTCCCAGAAAAACTACTCGAACTCACTCAGAAACGATGCATTTCACTGCTGTTGCCCTCGCTGCCCTTGCTGGGTTTGCTCCTCTCATCGAGGCCCACTACACCTTCACGCAGCTTTTGGTCAACGGCGCGGCTGTCGGCAGAGACTGGCAGTACATCCGCCAACACACCAGAGGCTACATGCCTACCAAGTATGGAGAAATTCTTGAGAACGACTTCCGCTGCAATACTGGTGCCGAGTCGGGTGCCAACACTGAGGTTTACACCGTTAAGCCCGGCGACAAGATCGGAATGAAGCAAGGCTTCGGTGCAAATGGAATTGAGGTAAAAACACGGCATACATACTGAACATGAGTAGTTTGCTGACCGTTGCTTCGCTTCACAGNNCACCCTGGTCCCGCTCAAGTCTATCTGAGCAAGGCTCCTGGTTCAGTCAAGAGCTAAGATGGCAGTGGCGACTGGTTCAAGGTCCAGCAAGACCTGCTCTGCAAGTCGGGCAATGCTCAGGCCCTAAAGAATGATGCATGGTGCATCTGGAAGAAAAACAACATCGAGTTCACTGTTCCCAGCAACATTGTAAGTGCATGATACGCCGGACGACAAGCTCCATACCAATCAAAGCTAACCCATCTCCTTCCCACAGNNCCCGATGGCGAGTACCTCGTCCGCAGCGAACACATTGCCATCCACGGTGCCCACGACAAGCAAGCCGAGTTCTACTACTCCTGCGCTCAGATCAAGGTCCAAGGAGGCAGCGGAAACTCTGTCCCTGAAAGCGTCAAGATCCCTGGTGTCTACCAGATCAACGACAAGGCTATCAACTTCAGCGTCTGGGGCTCTGCTACCACTTACCCTGACCTGCCTGGCCCCGCTGTTGCTGCTGGCGGTCACACCACTGGTCCTATCGATGGCACAACTACTGGTACTACCGTTACTGGTGGTGCTGCTGCTCAAGGTGATTCTCCTGTTGTACAGCGCGATTCGTCTGCTATTCAGAGCGATTCTTCTGCCGTTCAAGGCGATTCTTCTGCCGTCCAGAGCGATTCTCCTGCCGTGCAGAGCGATTCTCCTGCCCTCCAGGGTGGCTCTCCTGCTGTCAGAGCTGGTGCTGCGGTCAATGCTGGAGCCAATGCTGGAGCCAACGGTCAGGTCAACGGTCAGGCCAATGGCGGTCAATGGTGGAAGGGTCAATGGTCAGGCCACTGGTAAGGTGATACTTGTCTCTTGCGTCTGTGTTGTACGCGATGGCCTTCATCTTCGTCACGGACATAAGATGTGGCGTCAGGTCTATCGCAAATGTGGTGAGAAGATGTGTTTCTATTGGTCGCGCTTGACGCCATGGTGGTCCGGACACTGATGGCTGAAAAGTCGCTGCGACGTCCTTTTCTCTGTTTGCGCCTTTACTCTTATCAGAGGGTTGTTTGTATATTGCAGGTCAACATCGTGACGTCTTTAGGAGGAAGGAGCGAAGAACGAATGGTNCAAAAGCAAAACGTACAGCAGCAGGGATTCCCACGTGGTCACCCACCGTAGTACTAATCTGCCGTTCAACTGCTTATGTATGGCAGAGCGGACGGGATGCCCAGTTTTCAGCTGACTGTGGCCGTACGTGCCTGATATGCTATCTTTTTGTATATATACTTGATAAAACCGCAATCGTTTCGTGAAGATTCTGCAGGGGTATGAAAACTATTTCAACGACTGCAAAGGCCATTTGATTTCTCTGGCAAACTCCTCGCCAGCAGAATTCAGTCAAGAGGACACAGCCACGAGCTACAACATTGTGCTGTGAACCGAACATTACAAAGAGACGCTCCCCATACCATACCAGAGCCTTTGACTATCTCCAAGCTACCAGGCAAGGCGTCGTTGGTTTGCCATAATCGTTGGCTACAAGGCCGCTTCAAGACCATGTTCCATGAATGTAATCGATGGAACTGATGGTATCTTTCGAGCAGCCGGCGTCAGCTGCATATCACTGATCACTTTAGTCGACGAACACATTGACCACAGCCTAGGGTTTACTTTGGTCAACGCTGCCACTGCAGCCCACGACTCTATCAACCGCCCAACCACTGCCGCCAGTAGGAACTTGAGCCACTCGAACATTTGCATCTGCAAGTTGAACCTATCTTCCTGCGGCCAGAAACCTTTTGTCCCCTCTGCCTTGCGTCCCTCATACCCCGATCAAGCCCTATCAAGATTTTCACGATGCCGTTTCACGGTCCTAGCCAGCGGCTGCGAAAGACAGTTCTAGATTCCGATGATGAGCAAGACCCAATCTCTTCGGGACATCACCCAGCGACAGACACGAGCCGCAAGCGATCAAAGATGCTGGTAAACCATCCAGACAACCAGAGCTCAAGCTCCGAAATTGTGAACGAGGATACAGACTGTAAGCTTCAAGCAGTCAGCTTCGGCTGCACATCACTGACTGATTTAGTCGACGAGGACATTGATCCAGGCCTCGAATTCGATTTGATCGACGCAGCCACCACAGTCCATGACTCTATCGGCCGCCCAGTCACTGCTGTCAGTGGAGAACTGGACTATCTGAAGGCTTGCATCCGTGGTCCAAGCAGAAGCAATCCATCAATCGACACAGACGAGATCAGACTGTATCGGGTACTTGTGCAGGCAGATCCCAACAGCCAGCCATCGCAAAGCGGCAAACGACTGGGCATCAGCTGGCTCAGAAGAGGACGAAGAAGGCCGAAGCTAACGGACGAAGTGTACAAGAGGGAGAATCGATCAGGTAGGTCCGTGACCCTGCGACTCTGGCTCATGCTCTCAGCTCAGAAGATAGGTGAAGATAATGTGTTGATGTGAGTCAAACGATCAACTATAGAGTGCCGTAGCGGCGGGAAATCTCAAGGCAAGCAGCAGAGACAGTGACCTAACCACTTGTGCACGCCTGCGTCTGCTGTCGCCAGTCCCTCTTCGACGTTGATCTTGCCACAGACAAGTCGAACGCTGTAGTCGGAGAGCGACAGGAGCTTCTTTTGAAATTCGAGGTTGAGTTCCACGACTTCAGATGGATATGCTGCATCATAAGTGCGGTTCTCACTATTGCTGTGCCTTTGAAGGGAAGTTTTGATCAAGGATTTTCCAATCCAGAGTGGCCAGAGTCTCGACCAAATCGCTAGCTAGCACCATCTTGGACAGCGAGTTGTAAATGCAAATGTCGTTATCAGGTTCACCGATAGTATATCATGAGCACCTTCTCGACATGCGAACAAGTCAAATATACTACGACATTTCAAGGTGTCCGATAACCAAATGGATATTCCGGCGTCCTGCGCCAAAGAGGCACACGTTCGATGGCGTACGACTTATTTACGGTTGAATAAGCGCTGAAGAGGCACTGGAGGTAGCAAACTCAGATGAGCACAGCATCTTGTTTCTTCTGACAGACACTCCATTGTATGGGCAGCCATAGTATGACAGCCTCGACGTAGAGTTGCAAAGAATCAACTCTGGTTGTGTACCATCCAGAGGGCACTCTGAGAGACATGCCTCCTACAAATCACAACCTGGCTGATACAGTAATGAATACTTTCTGTGCCCAATTGGGCATCAGAACTGTACGCCCGGATTTCTTCGAGCAATTCGCCGCCAAGGAAGAGCGAACCAACAACCTTAAGTGCGAAAACACTCTGCTGGTGCTACTCAAGCTGTTGAAGGCTGAGAAACAAAGTGCACTACCACATGAGCACTATGTTCCCGAAGCTCAAACAATATATCGAGGTAGCGCAAAGAGACCATGGAATGGTCCTGCGTGGAACTCATCTCGAGTTCTCCATCATCCGACATCTACATCTCCATGTTTCTTTGAAGCACGAACCTGCTTCCACCAAAATCTCAAACCTCCTGCCTGTCGGACCCATCACAAAGGACAACGTCAATTATTTCCAAGAAAACGTCGATTGTTTTCAAGAAAGACTGCGCCCGCAGAACCGTACTATCTGTGCCAAGGTGTGCAGAAGTATTGGAAGATTGAATTCGCATATGCAACGCCATGATACGGCCAAGTCTCATAAAAGTGCAGAAGAAAACTGCACGGCAGAGCTCACAACACCATGGGAACTGGACCACTTGTTCAGAGACTACGTCCGTAGCAATGCACCGTCTGTGCAAAAGTTTGCACCTCTCTAGGAAGACTGAACTTACACATGCAACGCCATGAAACAGCGAAGCCTCACAAATGTGCAGAAGAAAATTACATATGCAACGCCGTGGGACCCGTTGCAAAGGACAACATCGAAGAGTGAACTTTGCCTGTGACTCTGAGCGATGGAGATGGAGGATCGAGGTCCCTGATCCTACTCGAGCAGGACGCGACTCCCAAGAAGCACTTGTCCGTTTACCAATCATTGTTGCACTTCACGAGACCATCTACTAGCATGCAGTCGTCATGAGAGGAGAGAAGCTTGGGGCTCAAGTGAAGGGCCTTGCTACCGTTGCTCGATCGATTTGCCTTGACACGATCAACATTGAAGTCTGTCACGAGATCAGGAGAACAAGTAGAGGACTCGCCGGAGAGTGTCTTGATGATCGCGTCGTGGACCCTGTTGCGGTATACTCCCTGACAATACTTCTCAATTGGCTGAAGTCAGTCACGCGGATAGGCATTACTGTACGAACGCACAGTACGTTTGATTACTCGAGTCATATTCGCTGGAAGCCCATCATACAGCAGCTCCCTCTGTGCCCAACACTGTTCGGAAAAGGATTGTGCATTTTGATAGTTCGATTATCGGTTGTCTGTCGTTGCGAGGAGGACGAGAGTGACAGGGTCAAGACGCAGGCCTCGGTGGATCGTACCTTCCTTCTTGGAGACCAGCACCCCCATTGTGAGTCTACAAAAGACCTCCTCCCTCGAACAACTCCCTGTCATCGATCGATTGCCCTGCTACATATCAACATCGCAATGCTCATACCCGATCGTTCCACAAGGTCCAGATAGGCCGCCGGCGACTACACAACTGCACCCCAAGCCCCGTTCCTAATTCAGGAGTCCGCGGAAAGGCCGATGCAATTGAAGAGACCAGCGGTTCGCAGCAGCCCTCACTCGTCTTGAGAGCCACAGCTCAGATGCAACAGCAAATAGATTTATAACTCTCGATATCTGCATCTCCTTCCTAGGTATCTTCGAGGCCGTCTGCCAGCCCGCTTTGTTAGTTTTGTCCTTTCTTCGCCATAAGAGAGAAGAACAAACATAGGCGGTAACGTACTGGTCCCCCATGCATCGGTATGAACAGATCGTCGATGGTCTGCTAGCTTACTTCTTTCCGAACCAGCGCCTCTTGATGTTCGTAGCTGCTCAGTCAAATCGGGTTACAGTGTTTCACTCTATACAACTACGCACCCTCGGATAGTCAAACCAACATAGGTCACAGCACCATCACAAAACCAAGACGAAGAATGACACCAGAATCCAGCAGCTGAAAGGCCAGCTTGCCGAACAGCAGGGTGGGATCTTTAAGATGCGCAGAGCCGTTTCAGGCCGCAAGCACATTTACCTGGTTCTGAAGGGCATGTCGGACATGGACTTCGACAATTTTGAGAATTCTCTCGTACATCCTAATCTCTTGTAAAGCAACCAAAGTTTACTTACCGGCGCAGAAAGAAATCAATGAGCGCTCCTGCACACATCCGAAAGTACCTCAAGGCCGTCGAAAGACCCTGCTCGACCTAGACGAGCTGCCCAAGACCAAGAGGGCCAAGACCCTGGCCGGTTTGGCCAAATTTCGCGAGGTTTCCACCAAAATCGTCGAAGCCGCCGAAGAAGCCCAGGAAGACAACACCATCGAAGGTTTCCTTGATGATAACAAGGATGCCAACACAACAGGGGTTACCAGATACATCACACAGACAGCACTATCCCCGAACAACAGACGCTGCATATAAACATCGTGCTGTCACTCAAAGAGTGCTTACTACCCTTGATACGGGTCTTGTGAGAGCAGCAATTCATCTGCTAGGACTGGGACCTGCATCTTTGTATGGGCAGTCTGCAGGCAGGAGGATGAGTCACGAGATCCGAGTCATGAGACGTGGTCAACAGTGGCGGTGATGGTGGTAGGACGTATCACGAGACCCGGATTATTCAAGGGCAAGGCGACAGGAGAAGAGACAAGAGTAGACATTGCTGGTGTTGGGTGACGGTGACGGTGACAGTAAAGCTCGAGTGCATCAGTGAAGGTCACTAATGTGAGCACCGAATAAATACTGTACTGAAAGCGAGTCTGGCAGCAAGATGGGCAAGCTGGCAGAGCCACCCAGATGCATCGTTTGGTGTGCAACATATCCAGGCACGTTGTCGTGCTTGCTTCGCCATCACACTTCGACCTGCTTCGGTAAGATCCAGTCGAGATCGAGTGAAGTAGCTGATCACAGCAGGCATGGTTGATCTTCTTCTTCACCGGGCTTGGGAGGCAAGAGTGACGAACTTCGTGCGCGCTCGGATTCGTGCTAGATGGCAAGCAACATGTTGCTCGCGTAGCCTGTATAACGTAAATTCTATGTACATGTTTTTGTCTGAAACTTATGCTGCTGTCGGTTTTCTTTTAGATTTCTTCGCTACCTCTGATGTTCCTCGAAAATCTTCGTGAGCTCTTTTAGTCGAACCGGTTTCGTCAGAAAGAGGTCGACGCCACTAGCGAATGCCTCTTGCTGTACACTTGCGGAGGCCATGCCAGTAAGAGCGACAATGACTGCAGGTCGCAAGCCCTTTGCGCGTTCAAAAGCTCGTATGCGGCGAGTCGATTGGAGACCCTAGGGACACTGGTTAGCAGAAGTTCGAAAGTAGATACATGGTCGCAGGGGTCAATACTCACGTCCATTTGGGGCATGTTGATATCCATGAGGACGAAATCGAATGACTGCGCCGTCAATTCGGGCTGGTTTTGCAGAAGCAGTGAATTTTCGCTGTCTTTTGGGAGACGTGTCGGGTCGATATGGGCTTGATATGCTTGTAGAGCTTCAAGGCCATTGGTAGCGGTGTCGTAAGCGTGTCGTTGCTTCTTCATGAATGTAGCCAATAGATTCAGGTTGATGTTGTTATCATCAACGAGCAAGACTGATACACCCGGAACAGGAGGTGTGACATTAGGCATAAGAGCTTGTTTCTGAGCTTCAAGTGTATCAGCTTGACGATTGGCCTCAACGCTTTGTCGGACCTTGGCCATGAGCATTTCCTGTGTTTTCTCCTCCATAGGTGTGTAGAGTACTACCTCGGGATTGGAATTTGTGCTGTTCTGTGAGATAGTGGAGCTGGCTCGATGGTCTCGTGGGCGTTGTGGGCGTTGTGGGCATTGTGATGAGATGCTAGTGGCCCGAGAAAGTGCTAGTGGGGAGTCACTGCCGCTGTTGAGCGACTCGGACGCTCCAGGCATTGAACTAGTGTCTTAGCAACCTTATTCGGAGCCAATGGTTGTGCTATGTACTCCATATGAGGGCTGATGGCGGCCATAGACTTGGAAGACTGAAGAGCGTTTGCAGAGGCGATATCCTTGCATAACACGACGACCGGACTTGTACCGATAGGATTGTCCCTTGCAGGCTTGGAAGCAAGTTGCTTGACCAGTGCGTTTGTGTGTTTCTTCAGGACGATATGTAGATCCGCTTCCTCTGGTTCTGGAGTGCATCGAACAGGCACGCCATACCATCTGCTACAGAGATCAACAAATTGGGTCTCGTCATGTTCGCCCTCTGGTATGAACATGTTCAAACGCTTTCCTCGTAGCATACCAGCGACATCGGAGGTCGCGGAAGACTTGTCTGGCTCTGGAGAAGGGTCGGCGCGTGTCATGCACACTGCGATCGAGAATTGAGTTCCTTCGCCCTGCTTGCTCTCCACGGTTACACTACCGCCCATACTGGTGATAATTTGCTTGACAATGCTGAGACCTAATCCAGTACCAGGTGATAGGGGTCTTCTTGCACGAAAGGAGAGAAGACACTCTGAGACAAGAAATCTTCTGACATACCCTTCCCAGTGTCGGTTACTGTAAGAACGACTTCGACGTCTTCTTCGGACAACGGACTTGGTAGAGATCTAGAGTCTAACCGGACCGTAACACGGCCTCTGTCGGTGTACTTGAGACTGTTCCCGACAAGATTGAGAATGATCCGGATCCAACCACCAGCTTGGGTTGTAAACACCCAATTCGAGGTTGTGTCGTATTCGAGATGAACAGTGATTGCTTCAAGCCCTCTTGTAGGGTGTGCAGCCGTCAAGTGTGCAGGCACAACCCCATGAGCAGTCATTCCAGTCTTCAGGGGTGTGACGCGAACAAATTCGTGCCCTGCAAAGGCCGTGTCGACTACTTCTTCAACCAGTATACTTAGATCCACAGGACTTTGCGCTGTGTCGGCTCCATTTCGATGTAATTCGTTTCGTGTCGAAGAGACAGAAGGTCTCCGATAGTTGGTATTGCTAAGATTGTTGATCTTCGCGTAGGACAGCAAGTTATCGAAGGTATCGAGCAGAGTCTTTCCACAAGTCTCGATAGTGTTGATTAAGCTGGACTGGAAAGCGTCCAGAGGCGTACCTTGAAGACACTCGGAGCTACCCATAATTCCATGTAAAGGAGTTCTGCAATAAGGTCAGTATTTCGGAGTGCAACGTGTAACGAGTGTGCTCACCTTAACTCGTGAGATATTGAGCTGATGAACGTAGCTTTGGCCCTATCCGCCATTTTGACGTCAATCCTGGCAATCTCCGACATCACCGATTGACCAAACGCAGTCATGTAGTTGAGCTCGCTGTCGGTCGATAGAATACGTGTCGGATTACAGGTCCATAGTATGCTTCCTGCAAACCATCTGCTCCGGTGCGGATCCCACACACCCACGAGAGCTAGACTGCGCGCGCCAGGAAAGAGGGTGCGAATCAGTCTTCTTTCTCTCCAGCGTTCGCCTCTCCGGTTCACGAAATCGGCAGTTCTAGGAGAATCAACCAAGCCCTCGTAGATGTCTTGATCGTCGTAGCTCCAAATCTTTCCTCTGGGGTATTTGGCCAGTAGTCTTTGAAGGAATCGTTCGCTGACAGAGAGAGGCAAGCTTGGCACCATGTGAGAAGATCTTCGTTTTCCGGATGTGGTCAACGAGCTGCCTAGAACAATACAGTGTTTTTCGTCGTTCGTTTGCGAAGTTTCGCTAGTCCTAGCCGAATAGGAAGAGCCACCAGCAGAAGACTGAGTCATCGAGCCTTGCTGCGTTTGGGTTCCATCAACAAGGCCAGCGAACGATCCAATAGAGGCATCAAGGAAGATAGCGCCATCAACATCGACGGATTCTCTTATTATCTCGGCAGCTCGTTGGAAAGTCGACTTGATATCAGGAGATATGGAGTCCTCTTGCAATCTATTGGCGACCACGGCTTCTTCTGACGGATGTTGAGATTCCTGCAATGGCGTGGTTGACTGAGAGAATATTGGGACGCGAGGTGTATCTCCCTGTTTCCCGAGCCCAAAGACGGGCGCAGGGCTCACATCAGGCGAATAAGTAGAGGTGGAGGTTGTCCGTAGATGCCTGGAAGACGAGTTCGAAGACCTGATACCGGTGCGACCGCTGCGCTCTGTTCCGGCTCGTGATCGAGGGTGGTCGGGCTCATCTTGGTTGAGGCCTTTCCACCAATCCTTTATACTGGTTTTGCCATCTACGAATTGGCCTAGTCCTTGGACCATATTTTGAGAACGATTGAGTTCGGCTGTTGCTCTGACCATCTATTTCATGATTAGGGAATGATGTACAACAACATAGATTCAGCACTGTACCGCAAGGTGGTTCATGATGGTCACAGCCATATCTTTCATAAACTCAATCTCGGTCGTACTAAGACCTTCAGCTCTGGGTTTGTCGTCCAGGACACAAAAGACTCCAATGTTGTGACCGTTTGGTGAAATGATGGGGACTCCAGCGTAGAAGCGACCTAGAACATGTCAGTTTCAGTGAACACCTCGTTTTGTGTGTATATCTCGAACGGCCGAAAGAGCAACGCGATTCGCTTACCGTGAGGGATTTCAGTGACCAAAGCATGATCCTTGAACAAGACGTGCTCGGATAGATCTGGAAAGACCACGACGTCTCCCTTATCCTCTGCAACAAGCAGATCTGGAGCAACGAGGAGGCCAGCAGCATACTCGCATGGGGTGGCTCGCCTCTCAAAGGCAGTCGCACCGACCCACAGGTTGTCTTTGTCATCATCAACAGTATTTTTTTCCAGACTGAGAGTCCTGGTAGCCTCGGCGAGGATATATCTTGGTGCAGGTCAGCGTGGGCGACAGTGGGCGATATCGGGGGCTTTGTTACTGGTATTTGCGATCGATCAGGGATACGAATGTTCTACGCGCTCGCAGACGGAATGCTGCAAGTTGTGCGAAGGCTGTCAAGGCGCGGTCTGGTTGCGACCCAGGCCCAGAAGCCGACGATGTTCGACTGGCTTGGAGGAGGTCCTGCAATGGCTGGTAGTACCTACGAGTCGCATTGGGGTCAGTCATAGGGCAGCAAAGGAAGGATTGGCAATGACAGACTTGTACGTTTCGCGCTCCCTCAAGGCATCGTCATCGGAGGCAGGATGGAGGAGGAGGCTGGGCCTCCCGCAAGCAGAAGCCATTGCTCAGTCAATCGCATACGATTTTCGGTCTCTCCAATCTGACCCTAGCGGTATGCAGCTTTTCGCCCAAGGCACCACGGCGACGACAGTTGCAAGGTCAGAAGAAAGAACAGGAAGTTGAGCCGCACTCGGCGGGGCAGGCATGTTTAGAAAGAAGGTTGCGAAAGCCGCGACTAGGCCTTTGGCACTTTGCCACTGCATAACTCAAGCCAACGGTCAAGCACGCTGCAAATACAGTCCTACTTCCCGTTGCGCCAGTCTCCTTCTTGCACCATCGCGCCTTCCGAAAGACGGATCGTAGATGGCCTGAGGAAAGCATTCAAGTCGCAACCTTGAACGCACTCGAGTGGGCTCCCCAGACAGCGAAACCGAATCAATCTGTCGACGGAGTTAGATCAGCTAACTCCGTCGATACGCTTGCGACTGCTGTTTCGCCGTCTTTATATCGACCGTACTATTGCTTACCGCGTTCCCCAAACAGACGGCGCACTCATCTTGTGACCCATGGACTGATACACATCTCGATCTGGTCTTGCGAGGGAGACGCGGATTCGTCTGAGCTGGTGCATGTTGATCATACAAACCAGCGGTAGATACCCATGCACGAACGTCCCTGCGCGCTTTAGATCGGGCACAAGCCCTTGCCGCAGGACACCGTCGATCAACTCGATACTTAATGCATAGCCTTGTCTCTATGCAGCCAACTCGACACCGATCTTGCCAAACGTTGTATCAATCAAACAGGACAGAGTAATGCCTGTCGCATGTGTGCCGAGTTTCACATATGTGGCTGCACGTTCTGCCTCTGTCAAGGTGTGAACCCCAGGCGATAAATTTATGCCTCTTACGAGCCATTGAAAGCCACAAGACGCCACCAAGCCACCAGGAGGTGCACTCCGCGTCTCCGCCGATATGCTGACGAATTCTTGGCAGATCTTGACGCAGACCTCGCAGCAAAAGTCCACGAAACTCTTGTTGGTGCCTCAGGAAGGTTAGCTCCACTTTGTAGTTGTAGGTAAGAGCACAAACCGCGAAGGACGCAGAACAAAGGGGCTCCCGTCTAAGCATTCCGTTGACACAAGCTGATCGGATGCCATAGTCAGGCACTGCAGGGTAGACGGTGAGATTCGATACAGTTAGCATGGTTCATTCTCAACTTCATCTGCTGATATCAATTGCATTTCGACTTTCTTGAGGCTCCGAACACAATGTTGAGGCTCTAGCGGGTAGATCAAGGCTCGGTGCGGACCTTTGTCTGCAGCAAATCAGGGGTACATTGAAGTGCATACACCTGTCCTGTCAAACACGCTTGTATCCATTTGACATGTTTTGATGGGTATAAAGCGGATTGTTGTAATGTTCAGAGCTGGCTGTTGACCAAATGGGAAGGAGCAGAAACCGGAAGACAACATTTTGATCGACAAGATCCACCCCAGCCACCGGCCTTGGCGGAAAAGATCCATCTCTGGAAGGCAGTACCAGCCGAGCTCTGCAACAACTGAATCAAGCACATCTACCTCGACTGCATCCTATGACTCGCGGACCAGCCGCCTTGCATCGTACTGTATCTGCGACGACTGCGACAGAGATCGTCCGCACTGCTGACCGAAGTCGTCCCTCGAAGCGACCCAAGAATTCTATGTTGTTGCGCGTCCGCCATCGCGATCACCCCCAAAGTCAATTTGCATGAGCATAGATTGTCACATACGTCCCGGAAAACAACAGATTCAAAACAGTGTTCGCCGATATCGTAGACTGAACTTCACGGAGTCTTGATGCCATGAGACGCGACCTCTGAAGACCTCCGCTAGACCCCGCAGGCTAATTCTTTCCCCCAAGTCCCGCTCACATATGTGAGATTGATACAGTTCATCTGCCAAATTTGACTACTTGACCTCTAATCGCAAGCTGTCGTACTGGACATATGTACTTCTCGGAAGAACCGCGCTCTCGTAATCTGTCGCATTGAACGGCAAACTCAAGATCATCTTGTTCTGACCTTCCTTTATGAGATTGGCGTCAAACTCGTACTTGTGAGCGAGAGCATAGCACACTACGGCAGATCTGGTAGCGCATGAGCTGCTTTGATTCCANACTGGATGCAGTCAGCACGACAATTCATACAGTCTCACATTGGCAACGTACGGTATATCCCATGGCTCCAGCTCGTTTCCATTCATGACCACTGTCAGAGGCAGGTTGTTCCACAGCTGTGTTGCGTTCCAGTTGTCTGTATTGCCGGCAGCTGTTTTTGCACCTGCTAGCTGTATCNNTTTGTTCTCAGTTAGCGTGCTAATCTTTGCAGGTAGAAGACGACTCACGGTGAGTGTTGCGTCTTTCGCTTTCTTCAGGTCGCTCTTCTTCGCATCGAACACGACAGTCCAATTGTTGACGTTCTCATAGTATGGTTCTGGTCTAACCGAGTTTGCATATCCGCCAAAGACACTCCAGTGGACNTATGCCTGTGTCAGAATGGAGCTGCGTCAGAAGCAGGTCAACATACCATAGTTGAAGTCTTTGCTCTCATCGCTTTTGCCGACCTCAAATGTGACTCCATTAGGGTAATCGGTTGGGAAGTCCCAATTCGCCCAATAGATTCTGTACTCTGGAGGGTGCAGAGGTTTGCTCGGATCAGGCTGGTCACCATGTCTATACTCTCCACTACTGCGGTCAGGGGTGCCGATGCGCCATAGCTCTTTGCCAGCAGACTCCTCGCGCCACTTTGCTTTGGTTGTGGTGACCTTACCGACTGCAACCACGACATTGTCCTGGATGTACTGGCCAAAGATGCCGTTCGCATACACAGTCAGACGATAAGTACCAGGCTTGACCATCGGGATCTCAATATTGCCTTTGTTGTCGATGTCGCCCCAGTATTGGTATGCCTTTGTGTCTAGAACATTATCTTGGAAGTCCACGCCGTTCTGAGCAAGTACGGCGATGGGACGCTTGGCGCCTTTGGGCAAATCAATGCGTCCTTTCCAAGTCGATCTCTGTGTTGAGGGGATGTAGTTCGGTACCAGATGAGCGATAGAGTCATAGAAAGCGGTGTTCCAGGTGGGAGAGGCAAACTGCTCGGCTTCCGCACGCAGCTCTGCCAGAGTGGTTGTGTTAGAGCCTTTGTTGAAGTGGAAATATTGAGGTCCAAATGTTCTGTCGAAGCCGGTGGTGATGTTCGGGACATTATCTCCGTGATGGTTTGAGGCTGTGTATAAGGTAAGTTGAAACTCAACATCCAAGGCGAATGCTGACTTACAGATGTAGTTATAGACAATGCCGTCCACAGTCAGATCAGAGTGTGTCGGACCGCCAAAGTAGGTGTCTACCGTATTCATCACCAGCCAAGCACCGAAGGTTGAGCCATCCTTGCTATTGGAGCCATCGCCATATACCCCATGAACTTTGTGGTCTCTCCACTCGTCCGAGAAGGTATACTTGGTGAAGTAGTCCGCAAACTGTTCGACGTATGGTACATCGGTATAGTTGCCAATATACCACGTTGCATCTTGAACTGTTCTGGAGTACTCCAGAGTATCCGAAGAAGGCAAAGGAGCATAGATCTTCTCATTGGTAGAGNNATGGGTCCACAACGGAGTTGTGGGTCTGAACAATGTTCTGAACTCTTGCAGGTTTCTNCTAGAGCGTCAGTAAAAGGGCACAACAGGGACGCAAACATCAACATACCTCAAAAACGGCTTCGTCTCATTATGATAAGCAAGACGAGAAAAAGTATGCAACCCCGTCTCTGTCTCCCTCAAGAACCAATACTGCTCCAATACCTGCCCAGTCAATGGATACACCTCAGACATGACCACACCACCATAAGGCACACCAGTAGAATCACTGCCGTTGAACAGCTCGAATGTCGCATACTTGCCAGGCGTATAGGAACCAGAAGGCACACAGTAGCAATCCAGATATGGTCCTATTCCATTCTGACCAGCGGCGTTGCCTCCGGGAGTGGCTTCGTTGTATTCTTTTGTGCCGAGCAGGTTTTGGCCATCGAGGGTGAGGATGTCCATTATTCCTGTGGATTTGTTGACGGAGGCATAGAGACGGTCGTTGGCGATGACCAAGGCCTTTGCATTTTCAGTTGCATTTAGGAAGCCGTCAACAGGAGTGATGAGCAACAGTAGACATGAGAGCAGGAGAACCTGCAGTATCCGGACTGTAGCCATCCTTGATAACTGACAGTTGACGTTTGATCAGAGTTCACTACTCCTCGTTGTCGTTCCCCTTTTATTGCAACTCTTGCCTGTGTGAGATCGACCTCCCATCCCCATCTTTACCCCATACCCCGAGCGATTTCTCCGCAACGTACGGGAGAGGTGGAACATCTATTGGTATTAAGAAAGTTTGCATATCAATTCTTCGCATGCTTCGGTGTATTGCTATACCGAAGTGCATTGCATTACCCCCACGCCTTGGCGTGACCACTCGAGGTCGCATGTGGACGACACGAGCAGGTGACTCTTTTGTGTTGCATCTCGTGTTCTTGATGTGCATGAAAGTCCAGCCACCTGGGCCAATTCAGCCGAAGAGATTGTCCTGCAGTCGGCAAACACCAAAAGACATGCCCGGGCAGAAGAGCTGTACGAAGAAATCAGATCAGCTTATTCCAAGGGCTACTGGACTGCAAAAAGAGTTGTTCGGCATTGGAACACTGTCTTGTTTTAGAATCGCGAAAGCGCAGACGTATTATACTATCAAATTTGACTAGAGCCATGAGTCCGACCATCCCACCACATCATCATTCTAGTAAACATATCTGAAGTTGGGGTTCTCCCTGTCCGTCAAATCATCAAAGGCATGGGTATAAGCCTCATCCCTCGCCTCTCCAACACCGGCAGCGGCGAGTGCATCCTTCTTAGCATTGCACCTCTTCAACCACCATCTCAAAAATACAATAACAATGACCAGCAACATGTAACAACCCATATGTGTTGCAAACGCAATGAAGTATCTCGGCGCATCATACGCCAAAAACACCTGAGGACCGATAGCATTTCCAGCAGCCCAAGCGGCAAAGTTTGCAGCCACGACGATGGATTTCTTGGTCTGGCCGCCAACATTGCGGGACAGCATTGACATGGCCAAGGTTTGTGCAGCCCAAAAACTGAGGACGATATAGTATGAGAACAGCAGTCCTGCTTGGGTAGCAGTGTTCGTATTCCTGACGGTCATGAGAACGATTGTGCCGGCGAAAGAAGGAATGACGAAGGCGCCCATGACGAGAAGATTTTGGCCTGTTTTCTTGACCAGCCAAGTTGAGGAGAGCAGGACAATGACGATGTAGGCGCCGAGAACCATCGCCAGAAGCTGGGTCTGCAGAGTTGTGAACTTGAAGCCCTTGACAATGATGTTGGCGAAAGCTCCCAAACCGCTGGTGGGCAATGTGGTGCAGATTTGGATTAACATGTAGCAGTAGAGCTGAGGGTCTGTGAGTGCTTCCTTGACTTGCTCAGGACGGAACTTCCTGTTCTGGATACCGGTCTGATTGGAACGGACTCTCTCAACCATAAGTTTCNNTGTAACAGTAAAAGATCAACTTTTGCATATCATTGGTACGATGGCATGGATACCACTTACCTTGTCTTCTTCAGAGAAGCATTTGGCACGCATAGGTGAATCAGGCAGCCAGAAGAGCACAAATGCACCCCAGAGAACAGAGGCCGCCCCGTAGGTGATGAAGATGGCCTGATAGGATTTGACCATTCTGTCGTTTCCGAGCAACGAAAAGAGNTAAGCTAGCAGACCACCGACGATCTGCTGCAAGCCGTTACAAAGGTACCAGTACGTTACAGTCTGTGCTTGTTCATCTCTCTTGTACCAGAGAGAAGACATGATCAAAAAAGAGGGTTGGCAGACCGCCTCGAAGATACCCAGGAAGGTACGGCAAACAACCAGAGTTTTGAAGTTCGTTGCAGTTGCGTGGAGGGCGAGAACCATACCCCAAAGCATGATGTTTACCGAGAGATATTTGGCGATGGGTACACGCTGGATGATCCAGTTGGTAGGATACTCGACGAACAGCACAGCGATGTAAATACACGTCGTCAACCAAGAGAACTGCTTGAGATGAATAGCTAGCCTCTAGAGATAATAGTGTGTGAAGAGACATACCTGATTGCCTCCAATATGCAAATCATCTCTGATACCCATGATACTGGTGAAACTCATGGTTCCTTTGTCGAGTGCTTGGAGAAAGTAGGTCAAGATCATGACAACCAAGACACGACGGTCGATCAACTTCTTCAGACGCTTATCGTCTGCTTCGGAGATCTCGATGCGTTCGCCGGCGGTGTATTTGGCGAGTTCCTTGTCCACACGTTCGTAGTTCATGTGGTCGCCCTTGAGGTTTTCCTCATTAGACATGACTGTCTCGAGACGAATGAGATCGTCCTTCTCCATTGGAGCTGTGGCGGTGTTGATGTTGGACATGACTGTGTCAAAATAAACAAAAGTTGGGTCAAGACTCCACGACTGTCAAAGCAAAGGTCGCTGAGGCAGGAACGCACCGACGTACCTTCCTTTATCAATACGCGAGGTTGCACTCTCGGCCCCCATTGTCCCATGGCCAAGACGGACCATCACCCTTCGTGTTGCTTGTATTGGAACGTCCACAAGTCTCTCCATCCGAGCCCTAGGTAGCACCAAGTGTCCCACGGGGTATCCCCCACACGACTCATGAGCGCCACTGGGGACGCCACCTCAACGGGTGAAGCGGGGATGAGCAACGATAGCGAGTCAGTACAGACCAAAGACGAGTTCGGAGAAGACATTCCGCCATGATTGTCGCAGGGTCGACAAGTTATTGGTGGATCATAAAGATGTGGGGTGTAGTTAAATTGACTGCATGTTGCATTGCGATCCTTCAGCTTGGCAGGTCGGCCTCTCGGGACTCGGTGTAAAGATGTCGAGAGATCGGCAACGACTGAGGGGATACTTATTGCGAGGTACCATCTTTCAGAAATGTTGATACCTAAGCAAAGACAGTTATCTTGTTCGCATTTCAAGCAGTTCATTGTTGCGTTGCACCTTTGACACAGGAGCTGGGTATAGATTAGACAAACTTCATTTCCATCATGCCTACCACTCTGCGTCTTCATGGCTATGAAGCCACGGATATCCATCGTTACATTGAACTCTTGATCCACAACCTTGTGAACATCAAAGACACAACTGGTCGTTTCCTACTCAAACTTGACGACGGTCGCATCATCGATACAAAAGGTCAGCCAGCACCTCTATCAACTCCCCCACTCAACAGTAGCATACTAACAACACCCACAGGTTGGAACGACTGGGAATGGACCCACGGAATCGGTCTTTACGGCCTATACCAATACCACACCTTGACCGGCTCAGCATCCGCCATGTCAACAATCCAACAATGGTTCCAAGGCCGCCTCGCCGAAGGCACAACCAAAAACATCAACACCATGTCTCCCTTCCTGACACTGGCTTACCTGTACGAANAAAGCAGAGACACCACACACGAAGCCTGGCTAGACTCTTGGGCAGAATGGGCAATGTACGACTTGCCTCGCACGCCCTACGGCGGATTCCAGCATATGACATATTTAAGCGACAATCATTACGAGCTCTGGGACGATACTCTGATGATGACTGTTATGCCTCTTGCAAAGATTGGTCTCCTGTTGAATCGCCCTCACTACGTCGAAGAAGCAAAGCGTCAGTTCATGCTTCATATCAAGTACCTGTTTGACACAAAGACTGGACTCTTCTTCCACGGCTGGAAGTTTGACGAGAACAGCCCTGGCGGTGTAGGCCACAACTTTGCAGAGGCCAGATGGGCAAGAGGAAACAGCTGGGTCACGATCGTTATCCCGGACTTTATCGAGTTGTTGAACTTGCCGAAAGATGACGCATTGAGAATCCATCTGATCGACACCCTGGAAGCTCAGTGTAAAGCTCTTGCGAAATCACAAGGCGAGAACGGTATGTGGCGCACATTGCTTGACGTTCCCACAAGTGAAGGCAGTTACGAAGAAGCTTCTGCAACAGCCGGATTCGCCTACGGTATGTTGAAGGCCGTACGGAAGCGATACATCAGCAAGGAGTACGAGGCAGTTGCTCTCAAAGCTGTAAAAGCTGTGATTGGAAGCATTAGCGAGGATGGAGAACTCCAGAACACCAGCTTCGGTACTGGCATGGGCAGTGATCTGCAGCACTACAAGGACATTCCGATCACCAGTATGCCATATGGACAAGCGATGGCAATGATGATGCTAGGAGAATACTTGAGGGTCTTTGTCTAGGTATGATGCTATCAGTCATATAATCTAGCCTCCCGGAACATAATCAGTGATGCTGCAAGTGCCATACTCCTAGGTCCATGCAACGGTTGTGACACAAATAGGCTATTCATATGCCAGAGCTGCGATCTTCTGGACGTAACTTCCGTCGCCCGACAGCTCGGCACGAGCAAAGGCAGCGGTAAGGAGAGAAGCATAGCTCCAGGTCAGGTCGTATGCTCCTTGTGCGTGGCCATCGTTGCGATTGAACTCTTCAGCCAAGTTTCCACCAGCTGGTGTGTGATACTTGATACGTCGGATGTATGCATCGCCCCAGCCCTTCAGACTGGCAATCACCGCAGCAAACTCTTTGGTGTTCGAGGAATATGTCTTCGATTTGAGTCCAGCTTTTGGTGCATAGTAGGCGAAGAAAGGTGCAGTGACATTGTTGACGGTTAGGCTACCAGCTTTCTGATACTCGGAGGCAGCTGAGTAGAGATATTGGGCCATGGTGGCAGTAGTCAGATACCATGGGTTNGCTGTTTGCCTGTAAGCATATACTTTCGAGATATTCTGGCCACGATTGACCGACCCTCTATTTGGCGAAGTGCCCACACCATTATAGACATCCTCGGGATAACGGCTATGAACTTTGTTAGTGTATGTCAGTAAGGGATAGCTAGATGTACCTTACCCGATAGGAATACCAAGGGAAAGACTCTGTGAGTCTTTGATTGTCTTGGCGATCGGGTACACGCTCAGGAAGCTGGTCGAGATCTTCAAAGCCGAGGCGAGAACTCTGTCGTTGGTGTATGAGTAAACACCGTCACCAGCGTATCCATGAATAACGCCAAGAATAACAGCAATATCGATAAATGAGTTCTTGCCAGCCAACACGGGGCCATATTCGTAGAGGATGAGCTTCCTGTTCGGGCTCCAGAATTGATCGAGAGTTGCCGTGAGCTGAGTAGCTGCCGACGAGAGAGTGTTGCTCGTCGCTGTATCACCCAACATGTTTGCGAACTTGGCGCCCATGACCAGAGCACGACGTTGTACAAGACGTGTGTAGAAGTGAGCACTTTCCTCCTCTTCCCACAAATCAAAGCTAGGCGAGCTCCAGTTGCGGGCGACAAACAGCAGGTCTTTTAATACTGGCGCTTCTTGAGGGTTGGCGTTAGAGTCCCAGATGCGGTCGCGAACAGATGATAGGCTTCCGCCTTTCTTCATATAGTCATTGGCAAACTCCATGAGTGTGATGGCTGCGGTTGCGGGTCCATCGTTTTGAGGGCGACCCCAGGGACCAGTGAAGGCAGTGTTGTTCAGATAGAACTTAGGCTCTCCGAGGCCGGCGAAGGTAAGAGATGGATCATTTTGTTCGACAGCTCTGCCTTCGGCATAGTGGAACATGGCATCTTTGTACTTGCGGGTAAACTTATCGACTGTGGATGCCGCGTAGAGAGATCGGACAACTTCCATTGTCAGTGACGAATCACGGACCCAATCGTATTCGTAGTCCGGAAGCTTCTGGTCATACGAAGGTCCTGATCGAGCAGCAACCACAGTACCCTTCGCAGCACCATCAATGTCGGGGTTGATGTTCAGGAACATGCGTGTCTTTGAGAGATCGGCTTGCGAGCCATTCTTGGGAGCCAACCAGGCAGTAATGTCATCAGAGAAGCCGCTTGGAGTTGCATAAGGCGATGGGATAGCTGCAGGGGCTGGAGGGGCATCACCGCTGGCCTTGACGGCAAGCTGCAATTGTTGCACATAGGTCTGCCCGATGTCCTTGGCCTGATAGGTAAGGTTCAACAGCTCGGTGATTCCGTCGAGATAGACAGGAGTGTTTGCACTCCAAAACTCGTAGTTGGTGTTCGGGATGCTGGAGTTGTAACCGAGAGCGACTGATGTCAAGGGCGTAGATTCACCTTGGCTATCTGTGTAGTACAGAGTAACCACTTTGTTGTAGTTGACATTGGCGATGTAGACGGTCACATCCAGGTTACCGCCGCAGTACGAGTAAGAGCCGAGGGCGACATTGGTGTTGGTAGGTACTGATGCTTGCACTGTCGTGGTCTGACAAGGAGTGTTTTGAGCGGATGATAGAGAGGGACAGAAGGCCAACAGGCCACCCAGAGGTGTGGCGACGTTTCTGAGCAACATGTCGCAGGATGAATTGAGCACAAACTGCAGTGCTGGCGATCCGAGCATCTTGTATATCACTGTCCGAATGCACCTTCCCGAAACGAAGCTCTCTCCCTATCCAGACTGTCGGTGCAATTGTCGGTGGAAATTGTATGCATGCAGTGGAAGCTGTAGGCAAGAGTGGTAGCGGAGTTTTGACTTCTTCATGCCTTGCCGACGACCAATCATGCCTTTGTCCTGCACCTTGGTCACACGCCGAAGGCAGGTGGTCGCCTGCAGTGAAAATTGTCCAAGCTTTCCCCGCACGCGACCTCCACGCGACTCCCTTTCTGTGACACATCTCGTCATCAAAAACAAACCGCTGCTTACGGCCTCGGGACTCGGAGATGAGATTTGAGATTCTTCACGTGGAACGACGTCTTCATAGACAATGTTGGGACTGTTGTTGCGCGAACAATGTCAGAGCATATTAGCGCAAGAGCACGTAGAGGGAAGCGTCTAGGTTTTACTGCACAGCTAGTTTTGTCTCTAGTCACATAAGGACAACCATGAAAATTTGATCAGAAAATCATTTTATGTTTGCGATACCTATAACTCCTGAACAAAAAGAGATACACCAAAACTCATGCCGACTCCCCATCACTGCTCGAAGCATCCGACACATCTGCCGACGATACAAGCGTCTCACTTTGATAGCTCTCCTCACTGGGGAATACCTTCTCCTGCTCTAACTGAGACTCCGCAACCTTGGCTTCTCTCTTGACCTCAGAAGTCAATTCGTGCGAAAGTCTCTCAAATGCATCCTCCACCATCTTCTCAATACTAGCACCGCTGAGAATTCAGCACTGGCATGTCAAAGTCCAGTTCGCTCTGGAACCAGGATCTAATCTCGACGGCAACAAGGGAGTCAATACCAAGTTCGGTGAGTCCAGTCTCAGGGGTGACTCTGTTTTCGTCTTCGCTGATGTACAGCATGGTGCACAACCCAGAGATGAAGCGGTCGAGAAGGACCTTTTGCACACCTTCCTCGGTGGTTTGCTCCTTGGGTTGTGCGCGAACAGAGACTTGACGCTTGTCGCTCTGCTCAGCAAATGCATCAGCCTTGACGCGGCGGTAGTAAGCAAACTTGGGCAGGTCAAGCCAGTAAGGAAGGTTAGGCTCCTTTGCCACATCGAACACCTTGCAACCACTTGAAATTTCAAAGTTCTTGCCAGAGTCGGAGGGAGAGGCGAGCACCGCCTCGGCAAAGAACTGATGGTAGTCCCGTTCAGAGACAGGTGCGTAGCCTAGATTGCTCATCTTTTGGCTAAGATTGATGTCGACGCTGCGGCGCTCGACGTAGCCAACTCCAGAAATAGCGCCGAAACTCATGGCACTCCCTGCTAGGCCTCTTTCTCTACGGTTGGCTGCAAGGACAGTCATGAAGCCGTTTGCTGCTGCGTAGGGGCATTGGCCGTGGTTGCCAGCAATGTAAGCCAGAAAAGAGTATACGATGAAGAAATCGAGAGTGTTCTTGGGAACAGCTCGTCAAGGAAGATGGTGCCATCGACCTTGGGCTTGAGTGTCTTTGCGAATGACTCGTATGGCATGTTGGCTAGCAGATTGTCATCGAGCACCATGGCGGCGTTGGTAACACCTGCAATGCGAGGCATAGTGTCGCAAATGTCCTTGTAGCCAGCACAGACAGAGTCTCTACTGGTGACGTCTATGGCGAGAATCTTGACTGTCATACCTTGGGCAGCCATGGTGTTCAGCCAAGCTTGCTCGACCTTGGGGTTTCTGCTGGTCAGGGCGAAATATCTGGCGCCACGGTTGACCATCCACTGGCAAGTGGACAAGCCAAGCTCACCGGTCGCACCGACCATCCAGTAGGTGCCGTCAAAGCAGAACGAAGTTGCTCGTTGACCAAAGAAGTCGAGACAGAGACTGATGCGTTCGTGGTCCAGTCAATGACACGGAGGCTGGCAGGCTGGACGAGAGTATCGGGCAAGCTCGCCAGAGGGACAATCTCGGAGCTCTGGAACGATCCGAGATCAGCAATTGCGCGAATGTGGTGCTTGCGAAGGACCTTTGCAATATCATCCTCCGAGTTCAAATGCATGGCCTTCTTGATCTCGCGCTTGTCAGAGTTGTAGCGGTCGTCGAGCTCTGCGCTCGGAATGAAGCGCTCAATCTCAAGAACACCATCTTCCGCGTGCAGCTCACGCTCGAGGCACCAGAGCGGTTCGTAGGCTGCATTTCTCCACTGCTCAGCGATATGCATCCTCAGCATTGTCTCCGCAAGAAGGTGGGGGTGGGGCAACTCGTTGACGTTCGAGTCGATGGTTTGCATATAGAGGGCATCTCTACGCTCTCCAGCCAAGCATCGAGCCACGGCCATCATCATTCTAGCGTAGGGGTTCTGAGTCTTGGATCCTTGTACGGTCCAGAGAACGTTACGAGCTTCATCGAGGACGAATTGCATAGCCTGGTACTTCTCTTCACCGAATGACTTGAAGAAAGGCTCGTCAAGTTCAGTCAGAGACAGAAGAGCGTGCTTGACAGAGAAATTGCGAGGGCCAACGTCTTGCAGGTTCGAGACAATTGAGATGAAGCCGTAGTATGGCTCAAGAAGCGCTTGCACTTCGTGAGCGATACGCGATGTCGATTCCTTCTCACCTCCGACAATCAGAAGCTTCTCGCAAACCTGCTTCTCTGGAGCTGAGGCAAGAGGGGTTCTCATGATCTCCATGCGAGTGTCGAGTACTTGTGTAACCATCACGGAGTAAGGTCCCATGATGGTTTTGGCTGAAGGAATAGCAGTATCGATGCCTGAGAAGCCCGTACGACGGAACACGAAGTCCCACTGTGCCTCAGTGGCCAACGGAGTGTAGGGGCGGCCATCCTCGACACCAGCCCACCAGCCAGGGATGCAAGAGAAGAAGAGGCCGGTGCGAAGCCAGTCAACTTGAGTGATCTCGAGATTCACGAGGTAGCCACCAGGCTTCAACAACTTGCGAGCATTGCTCAGGGTTTGGTCAAGTGACTTTGTTGCGTGCAGAACGTTGCTGGCAACCACGCAGTCATATGCACCCTCGGTGTATCCTTGCTCAACAACATCCTGCTCAATGTCGAGAACCTTGAAGCTGAAGCCATTGCCGTGATCCTTGAAGAGCTCGGCGGCGTCGTGGAGGAAGCCAGTAGAGATGTCGGTATAGGTGTACGAGCTATAGCTCGAACCAATCTCCTTGATAATACTTTGAGTAGCACTTCCTGTACCGGCGCCAACCTCCAAAATCTTCATGTAGGGGGAAACGGTGGGTGAGCTGCTTGACCACTGCTCCCATGCACGCGTTGTAGTCGGCAATCTCGGTCGACGACTTGTAGAACAAGTCAAGGAGGTTGTGATTCTTGAACTCCTCGAGCATGCTGACTTGGTAGCGGACGAATGGGATGAGCATCTCGCCAGCGAACATGACCTTGCGCATGTCATCGTATGTCTCGGCAGCTGCTAAGAGCTGAGGCATGAGCGAAGCTTCGGTGTCGTTGACCCACTCGGATTGCAAGTGCGGGTGCGAACCATCGGCAGTAGTCGAAACAAGATGCTCAGCTTAGTTGAAAATAGCCACGCGATCACCGTCGCACTGTTCGCGCTCCTCGGGAGTGACAGTCTCCCAAAGCTGCTTGAGGTAAAAGAAGCATGCACGCTCAACCAACATGCAGAGATTCTTCTGAGACTCGGTCTCAACAGTGCCCTTGAAACAGATAGTAGCATCAGGTTCAACAACCGATCAAGCAGACTCTGCGAACATATGGCGGTCACTGGCCTTGTTGGGACGAGCGAGGGCTTCTAATCTGACGCCTTCGAGCTGAACGAAGCAGTTGGTGCCTGTAGGGTCATAGATGGAAAGATCTCCGGTGAAACCGTGGTCGCCAGGCTCCTGCTTAGCAAGAACGGAGTTGGCAAGAACTTCTGAACCGCGACCACCTTCAACAGGGCATGCCATAGGGTCAATCTTGATCCTCCCTGATGACAGTGGGGACATGCAGAGTCCACAAACGGCTATCTAAAGGCGCACCAATGGCACACAGAGTGACTTGGAGACCAACATCGAGAACAGCAGGATAAACTGTGAAGGGAGCGTCTGAACCCTCGGTGTCCTCGGGCACAAGGATCTTGCCCATGGCCAAGTTGGTAGTTCTCTCAAGCGAGGTTATGGACTTGAAGATGCCGTTGTAGTTGTAACCAATGTCTTGGAAACTGGCGTATCGGTTCTCGACATTGACCTTTCTCAGCTCGTGTTCAGGGGTTGGTCTGATTGGAAGAGCCGACTGAGACTGCTCTCCAATCCTGATCACAAGCTTGCCACTAGACATGCTAGACATGCTTCCAACATCTCTGTTTGTGCAAGCATCACAACTGAACTGAGCAGTGATGACGTTGTTTTCTCTGACGATGTTCTTGATCGATGAGATAATCTCAGCACCATAAGTTTCATCTGCAATTGCCAAAGCATTGTGGATACTGAAGTCATGCAACTCGATCAAAGCGACTGGCTTATCAGCAGTGATTGTCTTGGATTCCCCAACTGCCAAAGCAACGAAACCAGCAGCTGGGAACAAGACCTGACCTTGTACAGTATGACCACGCAGCCAAGAAATCTCGCTTGGCTTGAGGAAATTGTGCCAGCGTAGCTCGCCTTCGAGCTCTGAGTCCATGCGAATACCCAGGATCTTGTGGGTGGCCTGGGGTCGCTGAGCACGGAAGAGCCTGGAGATACGGGACTCGTACCAGTAAGTGCGGTCGTGATCCCAGGTGTACTGAGGCAAGTTCTTCATGATCTTCTGGCCAACGTTACCAAACAAGGCGTTGTAGGCCTTTAGTTTGGGAGCAGAAGGACCAAGATATGTACAGAAAGCCAGATGATCCGCCAATGGCTATATATTCGGCTGGTATTCATCATCATCTTTGGCATGTTTACAATTGTCGAGGGCGTGAGTATGGCAGAGTGTCAGACTGACAAAAAGAAGCTGACTTGTCAGCTTGTGCAGCAAGCTCAAGAGAGGACGAGAGATCGACCGCGAAGGATCGTGGTGAAGGAATGCAAGACGCACCTAGCGGAGGATAATTTAGCGTTTGACTTGGATTGGCCAAAAATAGGGTTATCCGCACCCGAGTCAGGGTCAGGTGTGTGCGGCTGTCTCAAGCCACAAACCACTGCCCTGTTCGACGGCGGCTAATCTAAAGCTTGGATTAGTTCGTGAAATGCTTGGGTACCTGATGTTGTACTTCTTCTCAGTTCGTCCTGCTGCCCCTCTCTTCTGTCAGAACCAACAAAACAACACTCGCATTATCTTATACAAAAGTCACAACAATGGGACGCCGCGACATTGAAGAGAACGGTCGGCGCAAAGGCGGGCTTGTGCGTGCCGGCATCAGAAGCGTTTCCGGGGCTGTCGGCCTGGCATCTGAAAGTATCAAGTCACGCAAAACAACAGAGCGTCACAATTCAGAGACTGGAGTGCCCACAGCTACACGTTCAGACAGCGCTCAATCGGTCGAGAACCCATCGTCAACGCAACAAGGAGACGAAGCTAGAGACGATCTTGAGAACGAATGGAATCTGGATGACGCTCAGGATGAAATTGCTGGAGAACACAGCCAAGGTGCTATCGACGCGAACCCTGAGCGCACTTTCATGAAGAGACACAATCAGAGACTCGGCTCTGATTCCTCTGGTCAGCTCACACTTCCAGTTATCATCCCACAACGTCGGCCCAAAGACCGTTCGCGAGGTTTCATTCGAGCCTACTCGCCTGTACTACAAGATGCAGGTATCGACCAGCCTACCTGGCTCGATTTCCTCGACACACTCCAGAAGTCGAGCGCTGCTGACCCATGGCTGAATGCCATCAACTTCGCTTCTATTAGCACGATGTTCATGCCCCACGTTATTGGCTTCGCCGTCTCGTATGCTATCCAGCAAGCCACCAACATTGCTATCGAAATGCAAGCTCGTTTCAGGTATTTTGTCAGCACATCTACCCGAAACTTCAACATCTGACTGTATTTAGGACGACTACAGCTTTGCGCAAACTCAATGAAGAATTCTTCCAGCCTCGAGGGCTGTACTGTCTAATCATGACTTGGAACCCAGACTCAAACAATAAGGTAGAGCAAGTCAACATCAATGAGACTGTCGCATCTCTCAACAAAAGTTCCAAAGGTGTTGCAGGTGTCGGGGATAAGTTCAGATCATCTGACGGAACCACATATGGAGAGTTGGCATTCCCTGAAGTAGCACCGCTCGTGTTTCCAACTTTGGACGAGCTGGCGGCCCAGACTGGACCCGATGCAGCAAAGAAGAAGAGCAATGTGGCGAAGGGCATGACCTTTGTCGCAAATTATTGGGACAAGAGAGCTACAGCAGAATATGTGAGTATCGTGACTTTATTTCTGTTTACCTCCAACTGACCAATCCAGTCAATGCAAAACCCCGACAGTGTATTGGCACAGGTTCCTCAAGGCGAGTTCAACTCTCGATATGCAGACCCCAACCACGCGGCAGCCAGTGGATCACTGATATCCTTCGTATCTGGAGGAAAACTCATTCCCGGCCCTAATTCGCGAGGCTTGATTGGTGGCCTTGCATCAGTCGCCCGTCAAGCATACCGCGGAGAGAAGCAAGGCGCAGAATGGGAGCGATATACAGCCGAGAATCCTCAAAGACAGCAAACCTCGAGACGTGAGAGGAATGGGATCATTCCAAACCCGATCCGCACATACAAAAAACTGCTAGCAAAGGTGAGTTTACCCCTGTTTACTGATCGTCGCGTTGCTAACAGACAAGCAGAATGTGCTGTATCTCATGGTCGTGAACATGCCTTCGGAGGAAGAGATGGCAGCAGCGAGAGCGGCAGTCAAGGTTTGAGGAGGAGTGATCAAGCAGTCAGAGATTTAATCTCGGGTATAGAGAGTCATGAAATCAACTTTGAAGTCTGTTTATTTGTTAGGCCATCAAGGTTGTGTGAGTCAAACCAATCGGAGCGCCAGATGTACTGCCAAGAACATCTTGGAAAAACATACCAAGACTGACACTCAACCCAGGCAAGAAGCTAAAGATGCTCGAGAGCCGAGAAGGCCAATCCAAACGAACGTCCTCACCAGCGTCCAAGAGTCCAGAGCCCACATCCAAACATGAGAAGCCTACAGATTGGCCAGACTCTCTCCAAGATAACCGAGGCCTGCTATCTCAGATTGAGCAAACGAAAAGCCGGCTTCAAGAATATCTCTCCAGCATATCTACTGTCGCCCAGGAAGCTCAGGCTCCAATCGTCAAACCCCGTGATTCCTGGTCGTTTCAAAACACGAACGAGAATGACTTGCACACGCTATCCCAGGGTCTCTATAAGCTCGAATCAACTCCGAATCTCGTGTCGCTCAACACCACCAACATCTCGAACACCGACTACTTTACTGATATTTCCGCAACTCATGATATCGCGATGATGAAGACTCCCTTGGACCTCAGATGACACCACCAGCAAGTGTGTCGTCACGATCTTGTAAAGCATTGCTCCCTCAGTTTCTTGCAACATGAATCTGACAAACAACCAAGCAGTATGCAACAACAACTTCACATTGGATCAAAGTCTCAACAGATACTTTCTGGGCACAACGAGCGATGTCATCAACCCAGACATCAACGATCACGGTGATACGGCTCTACACATTGCAGTCCGTAATCGGCACCACTCCATCATCCGACTTCTAGTCGAGACAGGCACCGACATCAACTCACCAAACCACCAACAAATAACCGCTCTGCAAATAGCCCTCAGTTCGGCCAACACAAGTACTGCACAGTTTCTTCTCGAGCTGGGTGCTGATGTTACCGGGACCACCGTCAACGGGGAGACGGCCTTACATCTCGCTGCACGCGTTGGAGACGTAGCAATGGTTGAGTCACTCCTACAACGTTGCCCGTCGATAAATGTGAGGAATCACTGTGGAGAGACAGCGTTACACGCCGCGGTCACAGCCGGCCATGAGGAAGTGGTCAGGGTGATGTTAGCACATGGTGTGGATCCTCAGGCGAAAGTCGGCATTCAAACACCTGTTGACGCCACGTTTGACTGGAACATGATCATGGATCTTTGACTTCATCGTTTCGTTATTGATATCCTATACTTGGAGTTTGTTTGGTCACGGTCTGGAGGCGTTGATGCATTTGTGCTGCATTTAGATTGCTTCAAGCAAGTCCTGTCAATGAATGACGATTCACCTCACATCTCTATCTCCTCCTAATCGGTCGCATGCCTGGATTCAACTCCTTGGAGCCGTTGTACCAGAACACAGTATGGGTGGGAAAAGCTATCTATGTACCTGTTTGACGTTTGCCCAGATGCATTATTGACCAACAAAGAGTTGTTTGGACGCAACATCACCCTCTGCGTCCATACTCTATATAGTCAAACCCATCTTCCAATCGTTGACACCAATTGCCAGCATGTCAGCTTCAACAATTTTCGAAGACTATCTTACAACACCGAGATGGCTCTCAATGTCATCAATTGAGAGGACTATAAAGCCATGATCCTCCCACAACATACAACTCATCCAACAACTCGGATCAAATCATGTCTACACCACCGACCTTCTCATCGGCCGTCTTTCCCACAAGCCTCTACATCGCAACCATTGTACTATACTCCATCCTTATCGTACCTACCTGTTACATCTGGCGCCGCCATGGCAGACCGGGTTTCCTAGCTTATAACTTCGTTTATGCATTCTGCGCCATCCGCATTGCTGGCGGTGCGCTGTCAGTCGTCGCTGTCCACAATCCCGATCTCGAAACCAGTGCTACCATTGTCAATAGCTTGGCAATCTCACCACTACTTCTTGCTGACCTTGGATTCTTGCACCAGGCACGCAATGCTCGTATTGCGGATCTGAATCCAAGGCGCGAGTGGATGTTTGTGGGTGTTTTGCATGGTCTAGTGACTACGGCTATTGTGCTGGTGGTCATTGCTATTGTCAATGTGGTCAAAGGTGTATCGACAACCCAAGACTCTGGGCTCATCAAAGCCGGTCTGGCTGTTTTGGTGGTGGCATATGTGGTTTTGCTCGCTTGGACGACAAGTTCTCTGCGCCACCCTGCTCGATCAACGAATGAGACTTTCATCGATGGGACAGTGGTAAGTTTCCTTGAACCCTACTTTCTCTCTGCACAGTGCTGATTGTAAATAGNNCTCTTGCATACCACGTTTGCTGCACTACCTTTTATCGGTATGCGACTTGTGTCTGGGGTCATCTCGTTCCTACTCCTCGACCCGGCGTTTGCGCATTCATTGGCGGCGAAAGTGATCTTGAGCTTGATTCCAGAGTTGAGTGCTACTGCTCTGTCTGTGTATGGAGGATACAGGACGCGCGACATGTATGCTTCCCGACCCCAGGAAATAACTGGAAAGTACAGTTCTTGAAGGACCTGGTGTGCTGAGTCATGGAATTGTTTTGTTTGCAGACTAGACGTAGTAGACAAGGGGCTTTGAAGGAATCTTTTCTTTAACGCATGTAGAAATTTTGAACCCGATATAGGAGTAGCACAGAGTATAGACAGAACTGCTTTGGTCCTACATAGTTGGAATAATATCGTGCTGTTCTTCCTGTGACGCTGATGCGCGACGGAGAGAAAGCGAGCTTGCGACTTGCAGGAGAACGCTTGCCATGGTCGCTTGTTTGGGGCAAAGTGTGTGGCTTCTACCATTTTCTGCCCAGTCCGTTGAACGTCAAGCCACATCTGATGATGACTCGGCACGGCGGACCAGCAAAATGAAGATGTACATGCATCGCTTCAGCAATTCTCTTGGAATACAGTAGTACGCGGGGACAGTTGTGTGGACGAGTGATACAGCATTCGTTCTTTCAACCGGCTTTGTGTAGCGAGTTGTAGTGCTCACCAAGGCCGAAGCCATGTCTGTAGTATGCCAACCACAACTGCTTGTCGTTTTCAGCATCGCCGTCCGGATTGATCTCTTCGACTCTGCCATCACCCTGCAGCACGCTGATAGCGACGCCGTACTTCTTTGCCAGAGCCATCAACTCGAGTTGGCCACCCCACTCGCCAGTGTTCTTGATCTTGTAAATGTAGTAGTCCAGAGGCTCTTCCAGGAAGGGCGTAAAGTCGTTTGGGTGTGCTTCAATGTACTCGGCGGCCGCTTGTCGCACAATCTTGTAGGGTTCGAGCGTCGCTGCGATGTCTGGGGTGTCCGAGGGAGCACTGCCCAGNGGTATTTCTAGTTGTTGGAGTTGGTCGGCGATGGCCGAGTAGAGGCAGTGACCGTCTGCACGTATTTCTTTTTCGGCGAGCTTGCGGGCGGCGAATTGATTGAGCATGCTTTCGCGTTCTTTGGCTTTGAGGTTGGGGATGTCTTGGGCNTTCTTCTGCGGCTGAGGCTATGAGAGCTTCCTGTTCGGCTGCGCGACGGGCGAGACGGGCTTTTGCGCGGTTCTGCTTTTTGGGTGCAGGAGCGGTTGGAGGATCTGGTGGTGCAGATGAGGTGGCTTGTGGTGGTGTCGTTGTGTCCTTGTCACCTCCACCNNAATCTCTAGACCTTCGGTACGGTTGGCCAATTCGTCCTGCTCTTTCTCTGTATCGTCGTCGTCGTCTTCGCCATCCATAGGCGCAGTCATGGCTTGGGTCTCTTCCCGATGGCGAGCCTTCATCTCTCTTTCCAGATTGTCGCATTCATCATTGACACCCTTGCGCGTCTTTTTGGTTGCACCTTTNTTCTTCTGTGTAATCTTTGATTGCAGGTCTTTGGCCTCCTTGCGGTGGCGCTGTTGCAGCTCTTCCATGACTTCGGCCAGTTGATCGCCAGAGGGGGACAGGTGTAACAGATCAGAGTGCCGCAAAAAGAAGGGCGAGCTTGTCATGGTCACAATGGCGGGCAAAGCTTCAACGCGACGGTCCCACTTCCGGCACCTCCACCAACTTTATATCCACCACGACAATGACGTCCTCTTGTCGCCTGTTGAACCGTTGGAACTATTCACATCATCTGATTACAAGGACGTGACTGTGTGATTTGTGCCATACCATCATCCAACGCCACCATGCCGCAACACTCGCGGACGGGCGTCTCTGTCGCCTTGACAGCCGCCGTCTTGGCCTTGACTTCCCTATTCGCCGCCATCTATGCATTCGGGTTTCCTGAACTTGACTACTGGCATTGGAGAGCTTCCTACGATCCCTTCAGAGATCAACCCTCGTCGCAAAATGTATTTGATGCTTTCACCAAACCATCCGCCTCGGACGACTACCTCGTCGGCGTCGGCAAGGCTGACATCACCGGCCCCGTCGTCGAGATCAATCTCATGGGCTATGCTGACCCAGCTCAACTTGGTTCTGGTGTGAGGCAGCGTCTTTACTCTCGTGCTTTCATTCTTGGTGATACAGAGAGTCCCCGTGACCGTTTTGTCTATCTTGTTCTCGACACCCAGTCTGGAGATACTGCTGTCCGCAACGGCATTCTCGAGGGCCTCAAAGACCTCGGTCCTGAATACCAGGCTTATGGACGACAAAATGTTGCCGTCACCGGAACTCACTCTCATTCTGGCCCTGGCGCTTGGTTGAACTATCTTTTGCCGCAGATTACTAGTCGAGGCTTTAGTCAACAAAGCTATCAAGCCATCGTTGATGGCGCTCTTGAGTCTATCAGGCAAGCCCATGAGTCGCTTAGTCCTGGCCAGCTTTCTTTTGCTTCTGTCGATATTCAAAATGCAAACATCAACCGCAGTCCTTATGCCTATCTTGCCAACCCCGAAGAGGAGCGCAAAAGGTACGACCACAACGTCGACAAGACCTTGACTCTTCTCAAGCTGCGTAGAAACAGCGACAAGAAGGATATTGGTATCTTGACTTGGTTCCCTGTCCACGGTACCTCTATGTTGGGCAACAATACTTTGATCACTGGTGACAACAAGGGCGTTGCCGCCTACTTGTTCGAAAAACATGCTGCTCAGCTCGACTCTGCCGCTGACGGCTTCGTTGCCGGCTTCTCCCAGGCCAATGTCGGAGACACTTCTCCCAACATCAACGGCGCTTACTGCGAGTCCGGAGATGATGAGGGCAAGCAGTGTGACTTCAAGACAAGTCTCTGCGCTGGCAAGAATGGACCTTGTCATGGACGTGGTCCTCACTGGGGACTGGATGATGCAGGCACTGCATCTGCTTGGGAGATTGGTCGCAGACAGTATCTTGGTGCTCGCTCGGCATATGAGTCTATGACCACCAAGTCGACCTTCACACCTATCCAAGGTAAAGTCGTCCGCTCTCTTCACACTTTCGTCGACATGTCGAACCAGACTGTCATTCTGCGCAATGGCTCGAGAGCCCATACCTGTCCAGCTGCAATGGGATACTCGTTTGCTGCCGGTACTACCGACGGACCTGGTGCCTTTGATTTCAAGCAAAACAATCCTGGCGACCCAAATGCAAGCCCAGTCTGGGCTGTTGTCCGCAACAGCCTGCATTCGCCCGGACCAGAGCAAATTGCTTGCCAGGCTCCCAAACCAATTTTGCTCGATGTAGGCGAGACCGAAAAGCCATACCTATGGACTCCTAATGTTGTCGACATTCAGCTCCTGCGTATCGGTCAACTTGTCATCATCGTGGCCCCAGGAGAAGCCACCACAATGGCTGGACGACGCTGGAAAGGAGCCTTACAGAGCCATGCCCTTTCTGCCTGGGACGAAGCACCAAACGCAGCAGAGCCCATAGTCGTGCTCGGTGGTCCAGCAAACACATACGCCCACTACATTGCCACAGAAGAAGAATACTCCATCCAACGCTATGAGGGTGCATCCACATTATTTGGCCAACACACACTAGCCGCCTATATCAATCTCACCCTCACACGACTCCCCTACCTTTCTGCTTCTTCAGTGTCAAACTCGCCTCTATTGCCGCCATCTCATCCTTCTCTGCCTGTGCTAGAACTCGGCGAAGACCCACCCATCCACACCAACAAGTCCTTGAGTTTCATCTCGCCCGTGGTATTCGATCGCGCACCCCTATTCAAATCCTTTGGCGATGTAACCACAGATGTCTCTGCCCGCTACGCCATCTCTTCATCGCCAATCATCAAAGCAGTCTTTGTAGCCGCCAACCCTCGCAACAATCTCCGTCTCGGCAGCACCTTTGCCGCCGTAGAGAAATACAGCAGTCAAGGCACTTGGGAACAGGTACGCTCAGACGAAGACTGGAGTCTAGTGTTTGAGTGGGAGAGAACAAGTACCACAGTTGGAACTTCCCAAGCCTCCATTTCTTGGGAGTTGGGGTGGGAAGTTGGTGATTATGGACGTGTGGATGCGAAGAGTGAGGGTTTGGGTTTGTTTGGTCAAGAATTGGAGCTTGAGTTGGAAAAGAGAGAGGATGTTGAAGAGAAATTGAAGGGAAGATATCGGATTAGATATTTTGGAGATAGTAAGGGGATTGGAGGTAGTATCTCTGGATTTGAGGGGAAGAGTGGGGAGTTTGAACTTGTTTGAGAATGGTATTTCATGTTCTATGTATGGGACTATGATGATTTCGCGTGTTGCTTCATGATTGTTGCCTTTAGTTTCTTCCTCCTTGCGCCTTTGGTCTTGCATGATGTGTTTGCTTCTGTGTGACGGGCGCCATCTCTATGCTTCTCCTCTACCGAGGAAACGAAACAGGAGACCCAATCATGTAAGTTACGTGCTCCCCTCCATCGTCCTCTTGCCCAATCTGCCTGTCTGCCGATCCTTCCTCTTGCCCACCGTTCCCACTTGTCTGCATCTGTGTCTCTGTTCCATTGGTTTGTTGCCCTTGTGCTTGCCCTGCACCTGCCTCTTTGTCTCCACAATCAAATCTTTGAGTTGGTCCATGTGCAAAGTGTCCCTCTTGTGCAGATCTTGCGTCGCTTGAGCAGAAGGATGGAGATTGGGTGCGTGAGGTATTCCCGGCAGGACATGTGCTGTTGTTGACAGGGCTGCTTGGGGTAGCGTTGAGGTCGGGGCTGCGTGAGCGAGGCACCCGAGAAGGAGGATTGATGTAGCAGTGGTCGAGAGATACATGGTCTTGGCTTTGAAGTCGTATGGGTAGGAGCAGAAGCTGGGTTCTTGAGGCAGGGTCGGTGATTGTTGTGGGAGAGAGAGGTAAATTGAGGTTTGGGATGGTTGTTGGGCGGTGTGGGTTTGGGTTTGGGTTTGGGTTTGGGTTTGGGTTTGGGTTTGGGTGTTATCCTGAGGTGTTGGCATAAATGAATGTTTTTGGTGGTGTGAGATGGAGTTGTCAAGTGGGGAGAGGTGTGGGTTATATATACCTTTACCATCTTCTGAGAGATACGATAGCGAAGTATGCAGAGGGCTATAATGTAAGCTAGTTGTCCACATGACTATCGATGAGAAGAAACATGTTCGGGTGTGATCGACGTGAAACGCTTGTTGTCAGGAAGTCACGGAGAAACACAAGGTCTGAAAACAAAACAATGCAGAAGTGTGTACATGAGGAAGCAGAGTTCGAGTTATGAGTCCGTGTTTGACAATAAATGGTATGTACATAGTTTTTTCTCTATATGTGCGGTGAGAAGATTTATATGTGATGTGGGCCGGGCAGTAGATGGGCGACCCGGATGGCTATAACGATGTGATCAGGGCCTATAACAACAAGCTCCAAGAGTAGGTGCCGCAGCATTGCTTGTTCTCAAATCCGCTCGTGTGGTAGTCTCGTCGGTCCGGAACGGGGTTTCGGTGTAGTCAGGCTTCCCCAGTCTTTGGAGCACCAAATGTGTCAAACCTGTTTCAGGCTGGTGACTTCTGACCATACATGTCTGAAGCTTGTAGAAGAGGAACCCCTAACACCAGAGTTTGATACCATAATCTCGTGAAAGGTCGTATCATGAGAAGTTTTCGAGAGTCCAGACGCGAACCTCACCGTCGTCGCCGGTGCTAATGATAATTTCCTCGTTATCATTACGACGACCAGCATCACTTCTCTTAGCCCAGCAGACGTGGTTGATCTCAAAGACATCGTGTGCATTCTCAACCTCGGCGACAGCGACCCATTCTGTCTTTGCGATTTCTTTGGGCCCGTCTGTTGTCTCTATTTGGTTGGTCGCTTGATCGGCCGCCCACTGCTCTTTGTAGACTATAATCTTGCCATCACTGCCTGCGCTGACAAGAAGGCCGGTAGTTTTGCTCCACGAGACAGAGTAGATGGCGCGTTCGTGTTGCTGAGGTAGAGCGGCTTCGGGAACCCATTCTTCCTCGATTGTGTTTGTCTTGATAATACTCGGCATTCTTGGGCCAGTTTGAGGTACGCCATTGGGCTTGTCCTTGGGAATACGGCGCCAGACGCGGATGCTGAGGTCGTCAGAACAACTGGCGAGGCGTGGGCCAGCGGCTTCTCTGAGCTCGAGGAGCCTTTGCTGCTGCTCTGTGGTGGCTTTGAGGCCCGGTTGTGTGGCGCCCTCGAACTCAACCCACCAGACTGTGCCACCGTGACCTGCAAGTACGGCGCAGCAGCCCCAGTCATCAATGTCTTCTCTCCAGAGTCGGATGTTGTCGTCGTAGCTGGACGAGGCGAGGAGTTCTTCTGACGGGTGCCAGCACACGCACTTGACATCACCCTCGTGCTCTTGCAAAACGGCAACAGTCTCGAAGTTGTCGTCTTCCAGCTCTTCCCAGATCCACACGCTCTTGTCGCGACTGCAGGTAGCGAGCAATGGCGAGGTAGGACTGAAAGCCAAACTCTTGATCTCGGACTCGTGGCCGTCGAGGACGACAGCAAAGCGCCACTCGTCATCCTCATCATCTCCTCCGTCTTTTGTGAAATCGACCTCGTTGTCCTCTGATCTGTTCACCTTGCCGCTGTTACCCTCCCATCGTCTCCAGATGCCGGCGCTGGCGTCGAAGCTGCCTGTCGCAAGCACGCTCTCGCCGGTAGCAGAGGTACCGCTGTCGGGCTTCCAAGCGACACTTCGAATGGAGCGTTTGTGGCCACCGGTAATGTTGCTGACGAGGTTGAACGAGTTGAGCGAGTAGACGCGCACGCTGCGGTCACTGCACGCTGTTGCGACGATGGGGAGGTTCGGGTGCGGCGACGAGAGCCATGTGCGAGTGTTGGAGGCTGGTGTCAAGGTCGCCAGAGGCGCAATTGTAGGTTTCGTGCTCATCTTTTGCGTCAATCGAGGAATGTCTGAGTGGATGAGGCCAAGTCGAGATTGTGAGTGTTGCGGATTAACCAAGTACGTCAGCGACCCTGCCCCGCTGTCGCAATCTGCAAGAGCTGTCCACCGATTTTCGCACAAACGCATTCCTTCCTCGACTTCTCCGAGAAGCTGTTTTTCGCTATACACACCTACACCACCATGGACGACACTTCCATCTCCACCGACTCGCCCAGTGCCAGACCATCACGCACACAGCTGAAATGGACAAACGATATGGAGGTGGCCTTCATTGCTACCATGAAAAGCATGCAAAGCCCTCCCACCAAGAATGTACCTTCTGGCTTCACTAAAGACGCCTATAAACGCGTCGCCGAGATTATCAAGGACAAGTCATCACAACCAGATCTTTGTGATGATGTGCGTATGAAGAACAAGCTTGGTGCCTTGAGGAATGACTGGCGTACCTATGTGAATCTATTAAACATGCAATGGCCACGCTTGCCCAATGGATTACCTACAAACACTGACGAGGTACTGGAGAACTACTACAAAGACCAGGATCCCAATGCCAGAAAGTTCAGGGCTGCTCCCTTGAGGCACTTTGTTGAGTTGAATCTTCTGTTCGACCCTGAGGGGGAGCAGCCCCTAGCTTCGCCATCGCTATCTCGACCCGTGGCAGTGTCTGCTAGCCTTCGCCAATCACTTCCACTACCACACTCCNCCTACGAGACTGTGGATTATCAAGCGCCATCGTCTACACAAGTCCATGATCTACAAGACACCTTAACAAATACCACCAACAATGACACCTACACTCCTCACTCTGGCCCATCTCCCCACCTACCCGCAAAACGACCAGCCGAAACCTCCATCTCCAATCAAGCCAAACGTATTCTCATGAGCGACTCTCCGCCCACTCAGCCCCGAGCTCAGGATACCCTACGAGCCTACTACGGCAACACATCTCAGATCTCTCCCGTGGCCGCCGCCACCGCCCTCTTCACATCCACCTTCTCGTCCCTTCCTATACGCCATAGAGTCATCACTGTCAAACACTTCCAAGACACAAACATGGCAGAGATTTTCTTGCATACTGACGCGGAGCTCAGGGAGGGTCTGGTGAATCAGTGGATCAAAGATGCAGAATATGAGCGTCTTACGGGAAACAAACGCTCGTGAGCGACTACCAAATATCACCGATGGGCATTAATACACACGCGAAAGTATGCGAAACAAATCGTCATCACTGGAGTAGCGGCGTTCAAAAGGAGACGACAGAGTGCTTTGATCTTGACACGAGGGAAACACAAATCCTCGTTCGAATATCAAGCTAAACCCACAGACTACCTTTGGTTGATCCAGGCAGAAGAGCATAAAGGGACAAAAGCACCGTATTAGAATCTAGATGTTTAGGCAAAATGACTCCCATCTTCCCCGCTTATTGTCCTTTATCCTTGCCACAAAGATACTAGTGTCTGGAGGACGACCCTGTCACATTTCAGATCTAATCGTTAGAACAAGAGTTTCTTGGTATCTATTCAGACCTCCATTATGACTACACAGATGGATGAACAAGTTCCCTCCAATATAGTGAATAGACATATCAGCGGCGAATGTTTACGAGACAAGGAGAACATGGAATAGTTCAACGTTAGCTCACTTGGCTCGTCATGTCAAGGGGCAGATGTACGTCTTCCACGAGTGTTGCGAGCATGGTCACTGATAAAGTGCCACTGGTTGGGTTTAGAAACAAATCCCGAACCAGAACAGCCAACTAAATCCAGCCTGAAGTAGTCAACAAAAAACGACAAAGCAGCCGAAGTCATCAGAGGCCCACTAGAGGATGAGAGCTGTGCGAATAAAGATCAAGCCAAATTAATAACCTTCCTATGTAAAGAAAACGATAGAAGAAGCTATGTGAAGTGAGAGAAAAAGAGACAAAAACAGAACCAATCCACAAACGAAAAGGGGAATAAGCTACATGAAAAAATAACACGCGAAAAGGTGATTACAACAATTACGCGGACGACGACGCCCATCTCGATCCCAACAGGACCCTCCTTTCCTCAATCGGATCCACGGCCTCCCATCGATGGGTCATGTAGAGCAAATATCCAACCGCGCGATGAACCCCAATCATGACGAAGTGAGTCTGTACTGGATCCACGTACCGACGGGTATGCTATTCACGGGCTCGGGCTCTCAATTTTATGACTTCTCCACGGGTATAGGTGAGTTCTCCACGGGTTCGGGTGTTCTATCCTCTGAACTTTTCCTTGAGCTTGGCAAGGAAGCCCTTCTTCTTGGAACCCTTGCCGTCGTCGTCAGCCTTGGAGGATCCGGCAACGCTAGTGCGGTCGCTCTGAGGTGTGCCACGGAAGAAGCCACTAGATCTCTTGGTGGCGTTTCTCTGGGGTGTGGTGGGTGCGCTGCCAGCTGTGGCAGGTACGCTGTGGGTTTCAAGACCAGTAGTGACTTGAGGCTCTGTTTGCTTGGACGAGTCAGGGCGAGTCATGGGGGAANNAACGTCGCGTGAGTGCTCTTTAGGTGCTTCGAGAGTGGGAGCGGCGAGCTTCTCGGATTCGACGGGAGCGGGAATTTGGGCCTGGCTCTCGGCAGGAGCATTCAGGCCGGTGTTTTCCACATTGGCGGATGTTATCTCGTTATAGATAGGCGTCGCGCCGACAGGAGGAATCTGGGCCTGGCTCTGGGCAGGAGCGTCCAAGCCAATCGCGGTGACAGGAGTGGCATTGACATTTTGAATGCCGCTGACAGCGGTGACACCAGTAGCAGCAGGGCCACCACCAGCAGCAAGAACGGCGGACTCCATGTCAGAAGGCTCGGTACGTGCGACGGGCGCAGTGGCGCTCAACGCAGCAGTTTCGGTGGGTGCAGGCTCGCCAGCCTCGTGAGTACGAGGCACACGATCGAGCAGTTCTCTCTCAACCTCGCTCTTTTCAGCAACAGCCTCGGGCTCAGCAGAGGCTTCAGGTGCAACGTGGGCCTGGTGCTGAGAATCAAGGACAGCCTCGGGGACCGATGAGTGAACGTCGGGCGAAGCGAGCGAAGTGTTGGCAGAAGGAAGGCCATGGTTCATGTTGTTAATGGCGTCGGCGACTGATGGAGGGAGGAAAGAGGTAGGATCTCTGCCAGTGGTCTCGACAGTCTTGTCACGAGCAGCATAGGCGGCTCCGGCAGCGGTAGCACCGAGCGCGGCAGTACCAGCGGCAATACCAGCAGTAGCTCTGCCTGTCAATCCTTGCTCGCTGTTACCAAGGGCACCGGACTCAGATGTGGCAGGTGCCTTGTGGACATGAGACAGGAGCTCCTTTTCCATGTCAGACTTCTCGTGGACAGCCTCAACGTTAGCTGAAGCTTCAGGTGCGACGTGAGCTCTCTCCTGACTCTCGTGAACAACCTCAGGAACCTCCGATGTGGAGTCCAATCCAGTAAATCTCTCAGTAGCGCCAAGATCTCTGCCGGTCAGGTCAGAAGCCTTGTCGCGAGCGGCGTAGGCAGCACCTGCGGCAGTTGCGCCAATAGCTGCGGCACCAGCGGTGAGACCGGCAGCGGCTCTGCCAGTGACACCTTGCTCGCTGCTGCCGAGAATGCCAGACTCCGAAGTGGCAGGTGCCTTGTGGACGTTGGACAACAATTCCTTCTCCATATCGGACTTCTCGTGGACAGCCTCAGCGTTAGCAGAAGCCTCAGGTTCGACGTGAGCTCTCTCTTGACTGTCGTGGACGACCTCAGGAACTTGCTGAGAACCAGAAGCCAATTGAGTCGACTTTTCGCTGGTGTTCAGGTCTCTACTAGTCAGGTCAGAAGCCTTGTCACGAGCAGCATAAGCAGCACCTGAGCCAGTTGCGCCAAGAGCAGCAACGCCAGCAGTGATGCCAGCAGCAGCTCTACCGGTAATTCCTTGCTCGCTGTTGCCAAGAACACCAGATTCGGAGGTGGCAGGTGCCTTGTTGACTTGAGAAAGGAGCTCGCTCTCCATATCATGCTTTTCGTGGACAGCTTCGGGGTTGGCGGAAGCCTCGGGCTCGACATGGGCTCTCTCCTGGCTCTCCTGTACAACTTCAGGAACCTGCTCAGAACCAGACTCCAGCTCGGTAGTGTCTCTGGTGGTAGTAGATGAAGACAGGCCAACCGACTCATAAGCCTTGTTTGCCTGGGTGGATACGGCAACAGAAGCGGCAGCTGCACCAGTAGTGGCTTTCTCAGCAATTCCATGCTCGCTTCTACCGAAGACGCCGGACTCGGAAGTGGCAGGGGCCTTGTTAACCTCGGAGAGAAGCTCACCCTCCATAGCGGTCTTTTCACAGACGACTTCGGGAGAAGCAGAGGCCTCGGGCTCGACGTGAGCACGCTGTTGGCTCTCGCTGACAATCTCGGGGACAGAGCCGTCAATGGTGGGCTCCTTGGTGGCGTTCTCATAGGCGTCGGTAGCCTTGTCTCTGGCAGCATATGCAAGACCAGCAGCAGCAGTTCCAAGCGCGGCAGTACCAGCAGCAATCTTGCCAGTAAGACCGCCTTCGCTAGCACCTAGCACACCAGATTCAGAGGTGGCAGGGGCCTCAGGGATGGAATGTCTCAGCTCATCCTCGAATGCGGCCTTCTCACGAACGGCTTCGGGCGAGGCGGAAGCTTCAGGATCAGCGTGGGCGCGCTCCTGGCTCTCGGCGACGACATCAGGAACTTCCTTAGATGCAGGAGTAGGTTCAGTGGCGTGCTGGTAGGCCTCGGAGAGCTTGTCCTTGGCAAGAAGAGCAGCGCCAATGGCGGTAGCACCAGCAGCAGCGAGACCACCAGCGACTGCCTCAGGGACGTGAGAGTCAGAAACAGCTTGTGCGGCGTTGGAAGCATTTTGTGATACGGTGGAAGCAGCGTTCGAGGCAGTTTGTGACACGCCCGAAGCAGCATCAGCAACAGGGCTACGGTCAACAAAAGCGTTGTTGTTACCAGGAGACACTGTCTGCTTCAACTCGCTCTCGACAGCAGCCTTCTCACGAACAGCCTCGGGGTTTGCAGCAGCCTCAGGACCAACATGGGCGGACTCTTGGCTGTGAGAAACGATCTCAGGAACGCCAGTGACAGGAGCAGACTCAGCAGTAGTGTTTGCCTCGGGGACCTTCTCTTTCAGTTCCTCCTCAACGTCGTGCTTGCTCTGAACAGCCTTGGAAGAAGAAGCGGCCTCGGGGCTGACATGAGCGGACTGTTGGCTATTTGACACGACCTCGGGAACACCACGTGTGCTGCGGGGCTCAAGGGGGACTTGGCCGGCAAGCTGAGCGGTAGTGCTCTGAGGAGCAACGGAAGAGGTGAAAGCGTTGTCGAAGTCGGGCAGGCGATTGTTGTTACCATCACCCATGGGGAGGCTGGATTCGGGGATCATGTTACCACCGAGAGCGGGTAGGTTGAACATGGAAGCACCGTTTGCCTCAGCCTCGCTTTGAGAATCAAGGACTGGTGGGAGGACGGGAGCACCAGTGTCGCTAACACCGTACCGGGAGCCATCACGAACGGTCGACTGAACGGTGTTCGAGGTGATCTTGCTGTGGTGAGGAACAGGCTCGCCGGGAGCGAGCTTGATGGGGTTGCCGATACCAGCGGTGGCAGGGATGGGGTTGACGCCGAAAGCCTTGGTGTCCTCCTCTTCTTCCCGAGCAGTGGATGGTGCGTAGGCGCCGGGCAGATCATTCTCGTTGAGCTCACGGTCACGAGGCTCGTTGGCACCATCAGTGGACGATGTGGTGGCCTTCTTCAGCTCGGGATCATCGCGCACGGTAGAGTGGACGGTGTTGGAGGTCAGAGTGCTGGGGTGGGGAACGGGCTCACCAGGGGCGAGCTTGACGGGGTTGGAAGGGCCCTCAGTAGCAGGAATGGGGTTCACGGTGAACTGGTTAAGGTCAGCCATAGGTGTAATGGGGAATTGGCCGGGCAGATCCTCGAATCCGGGAGTCTCCTGGGGAAAGCTCGTCTCGTTGTCGACGTTCTGCTCGGCGTGGGCGTTTCTTTCCTTTTCAAGCGGTACCTCGCCAGCAAGAGCAGCAGTGGTGGACTGAGGATGCACCGAGGAGATGAATGCGTGGGATGGTCGTTCTTCGGGCTCGGGGCTCAGCTCTCTGGCTTCGACGACATTGTTAACGTTGCCCGAGGCATCTGTTTCCTGCTTGGCAGTGGAGTCGGTTGTCCAGTTTCCGTCGACAACGAACTAGATGGGGAGATGGTTAGTCGCGCGCACTCGGTATCTCAGGCCGATGCTTCTCACCTTGTAGTGGATTTTGTTTTCCTCGCCGGGCAGAGTGATGGTCTTGCGAAAAGAGTCACCGTGCTTGTCTAGCTTGACAGACTTGGACCAGTGGTCGAAGTCACCCGTCACGTAGACTTCTTGGGCGGGGTGGTCCCTATAGCAGCGTGTCAGCAGTCACTTCGTTTCAGGTATGACAGGAGCGCATCTGTTGAGCGAGCGCGACGTTTGGGAAGTTCGCACACAGAAGCAGATGGGCCCGATGCGACGCGACTGAGAGGGCTGTCCGACTCACCAAGTGAATGTGTATTGACCCATTTTGGCTTGCAATCAGCTGTTTCGGTTGCAAAGATTGAAAGGCCTATGGGGAAGCGGCCTGTTGCAAAGGCTGACGGCGTAGGTTGAGGTGAATTGATAATGCGCTGGTGATACAAGAGATGCGCGCGCCTTGTCGAGCTTGCAGGAGAGGCAGGACAGCGTGGGCCAGTTCTGGAGTCGTGCGGTGGCTGCGTGTGGCTGATGCTGATCCTTGGCTGACGGCTGACTGTTGAAAACTCAAGGATAACCCCTTTGACAGTGTCTTTGCAGTCTGATTGTTTGATGGAGACAGTCACTTTGTTCAGGAAGAGACACAGCGATGTTATAATTGTTCTACTACAGTCAGGCAGACCAGGCAACACCTTGTTTTGAGCACCGTCCAGAGAGCACTAAGGGACGTCATCACAGTTCACGGGGAGAGCACGCCCTCCTGGCTGGTTCTCTGCCAAAAGCTAAATCCTAGGTGGGATTCTCTATGAGACGGCTGGACGTTCTTCAGCAGCGCAGCACAGCCTTCTCGGACTTGTACGGCCAAAAGGGTATCTGTAAAGATGCACCAAGCCAGTCAAGAGAGCAGGCCTTGACAAGACGACTGGAAAAAGGAGTCAATCAAGCATGCAATTCACATGCAAGCCAGCTCTTGCACAGTGGAAAGAAGGGGTTGTGAATCTAGCATAGAATTGTGAAACGCTGTATAAGAAAACCCCACCTGCTGTGTAAGAGCTCCTCGAGCTACCTACTCAGTGCTCACCGCCGACGGGAGCTTAATCGTTATATTGTATAAGACGAACACCAGTACAATGTAAATCGTTCTGTAGATGAAGGACACCTCAGCAGCTCGTCAATTAGTGACGTCTGGTTCCATTCCATTTTAACCATAGAAGACATACGTGTTTCTTGTCTTGGCGTGTCGCGAGCTGCACGCAAGCTGGCAGCACGAAACTGGAAAGCATGGAGCAGTCATACTTCGTCTTCTGGCTATGCTCACAAAATCTCTGGTGACAATCGTTGCACGCAGAAATGCCCAGTTGTCCTTGCAGCCTTGGTCGTCCAAAGTATTGGGTGTTGAGCTTCTGCTGTGTAACCGTTGTCAATCCAGAGCTGTGCCGTTTTGACCTTCTCGAAGGAGTAGCAAATAGTGTCATGAATAGTGGCAGTTGCGAGTAGTAGCGAGGGGAACGGAATCAATTGGCCCCAAAAGCACGCACGTAGCTGCCAGCTCTCGTTCCTTCCTCTCCTCTCACACATTTGTATCAGTCTGTCGTCCAAAATTGAAGCTAGAAGTTTGGCCGACATTGTTCTCTCGTCCAAATTGCTTCTGTCGTCACGCGCCACGACTTCCCCCTCATTATCTCATTGGCCATCGGGCGCAGTTTCCCCCTCAATACCCTGAACAAAGTCACGACGCATCAGAGCATCCGATCGCTGAGCATCGCATTGCAGCATCGCATCAGCTCCATCACGTCTCCAGTCGACCGAACGTGACCGCGGCATCGAAACAAAGAACCCCACCACGGCAGTGTAGCTCCACGTCTGCGGGCTCCTGCACAAACGTCCCGACCCAAGCTCTCCCCAAGCTCCAAGTACCTCTACCAATCTCCAACAATGGCTCTTCCCGCCGACTACAAGCACGAGATCGAAACTCTCGAACGCGAGGTCCTGCAGAACAAGCCCACCGACGTCTTGCAGTTCTGCGCAAACCACTTCCTCCGCCGACTAGAGTCTCAGCGACACGAGTTCCTGCTGGGCGCACAGCATTCCAACAAAACAATGGCCGAGAACAACTTTCCCGGCAGCAACCCTTTCCACCACGTCCAACAGCCTGGAATGCAGCGCCTGGAGGAAGAGGATGAGATGGACACGTTCGCCTCGCCCACTGCAGCCTCCTTCCCCAACAACGCCATGAACCGCGACGCATCTCCCTTTGCTGCAAATGCAAACCCCTTCGGTGCCAACAACTCCAACTCAGTCGGCAGCCCTTTCGCCCAGTCCCAGAGCTCTGACCCTTCAGCTCAGCACAACGATGGCTCCTTTGGAGGCTTCAACTTTGGATTCGGTGGCGCTCAGAGCACAGGTGCCCGTGATCAGAATGCTGGTGCTGGCGGCAACAGCCAACAGTTGGATGTACCGCAGAACTTCCCCAACAACTACAACATGGGCCGCCGTGTGTCCGTATCGGCCGAAGTGTTGGCACCCTCGGGCACCGACGATTCGGACTGGAAGCCTCCTACCTACCCCAAGACTCAGGAACAACTCGGTCGTCTGCGTGCTGCTGTGTCGCGTAACTTCCTCTTCTCCCATCTGGACGACGAGCAGACCGAGCAAGTCTTGGGCGCCCTCCAAGAACGCAAGATTCCGTCCAAGGACATCAAGGTCATCGCCCAAGGAGACGTTGGTGACTACTTCTACGTCGTCGAGACTGGAAGCTTTGACATCTACGTTTCGGGAACCGGCAAGATCGAGCCCGGTGTCAATGGCATGGGCAACAAGGTCGCATCATGCGGTCCTGGTACCTCTTTCGGTGAACTTGCGCTGATGTACAACGCTCCTCGTGCTGCGACTGTCAACAGCACCGAGCCCAGTGTCATTTGGCAACTCGACCGCATCACCTTCCGTCGTATCCTGATGGACAGCGCATTCCAGCGCCGCCGCATGTACGAGTCTTTCCTTGACAGCGTTCCTCTCCTCAACACCCTCACCGCATACGAACGCAGCAAGATTGCCGATGCTCTCGAAACCCAGAAGATGCCTGCAGGAAGCACGATTATCCGTGAAGGTGACGTTGGTGATCACTTCTACATGCTCGAATCAGGTACTGCCGCCGTCTACAAGTCTGGAGTCGAGCAGTCGATCAAGTCGTATAACAAGGGCGATTACTTTGGCGAGCTGGCCTTGCTGGACGACAAGCCTCGTGCCGCATCTGTTGTCGCTGAAACAGACATCAAGGTGGCGATGTTGGGCAAGAATGGTTTCCAGCGTCTTCTGGGCCCTGTCGAGAGCATCATGCGTCGTGATGACCCCAGGCAGCGTGCAGGCTCGGCTCAGCCCTCTTCTTCTTCTTCTGCAGGACCATTCTCCGACAGTGTTAACCCCTTCTCATCGTCCTGAAAAGCCGGGGAGCATGGTGCACACTTGTCTAAGCGACAGCGATTAGGTTGATATCATCAGGCAAGGATCAAAGGCGCCATGGGTCCCGTTCACTATTTAGTCATTTCTCGTTTCTAGAGCTAGTCGAGCGACAGATGACTAGTCGTCGTCTTCGTGTATTCTTCGTTTCAGCTTAGGTTTCCAGTAACAAGATACTGCTTTGAACTACAGAACAGAACGTTTACAAAAATGCCACTCCTCTCATCATGATCGTAATCGCACAATCGCGTCCCGCGAACTTTGTCGTTTTTTCTTGGAAATGCTTGTCTAATAACAAGCATATGCATCCGAACCGGCAATACGTCATCCTAGCGTAACGTGGAAGGGATCGACGGCCTGTCTACGCTTCCGTCTTCCCGTTTTGTATTCGATGGGATCTTAAGAAGAAAGCCCTCTGTCCTGCTCAGCATCTTTCACAACTCCATTGTTTTCACGACTCGCGAAGCACTTACTTGTCCATTGTCCGTCTCTTGCTCAAAGATCATAATTCAATTGCATCTCCTTCCTTGAAGCCAATCCTCTCGACAAATTCTATCTCCCTTCACAATGGACTGTCTTCCTATTCCCTTCGTCTGCTTCCAGTGCGGTACGTTCATTGTGTCATTCTTTCGTTACCGAGTCCTGTTCTGACAGCAATCCANNGGTACCGACCAGAACCCTTGTCACTGCAAAGTTGTTGGCCCTACCATTGGTTTCGCCAGCGCCATTGTCCTCGCAGTATGAAATGTGCTCGCACTTCAATTGCATACTTTGTTCTAACCAAAAAAAAATAGGNTTGTCTGCTGGCCTGCCTCCCTGTTCTGTGGCTGCTGTGCAACTGAAACAGGCAAGAAGTAATGCACATCAGAACATATGCTTATAGTGAATCTTCTTGCTAACGTGTATATCACAGGANTGCTTGCTACTCCAGCAGATCTCAGTGGCCAAATCAGCAATGCTATACCTTTCTAGTGTGCTCTCTCTCAATCCGGCGTTTCCCTATGGGTGGTTTCTATGAGCTGGCAATGATGGCGTTTTCAACATGGGTTTCTGGTTAGCTGTGCTGGGCACGGTCTAGAGGTGTTAATAAGTAGTGCGTCGAAGTGGCGGCAAAGTATCAAGGTGTACATGCTGTTATTATCAGACTTTAATCATCTGGTTCAAGATATCTGAAGTTCGTCACGGTGCTGGCTAGGCGTGACAACTGCTCAAAGAGAGAAAGTTCGACTCCCTGGAACAGCCCTGGTCCTTGAACAAAATCAACAACAACGACTCACAGCTTACTTTCTGTAGCAGATTTTCCCGCATATATCCAATTCACCTCGCTCTATTCACTTGACAAACCGCAGAAACCCTCACACCGCATGCTCATCCCCAGATACACTAGGCTCCAATCTGGGTGCATCACTTTTACTGTATAAATTACAGTGAACCAGAACTTACTTTTCACGCGTCTTTGTTGGCTTTTCAACTTTGGTCATCAACGAACTGGACCAGCCTGACAAGCATCGTGTACCTTGCAACTCGCAACTTGCAACTTGCAACTCTGGACCTATCACTTACCTCCGCTTCAACTATGCAACATGGAATCTTCTACCACACTCGTTCCCGACAATGACTGGCCTTCGCAAAGTCCTTTCTTTAGCAAACTTGGCAGTTACTTCGATCGACCTGAATGGTGGGAAGAAGGCGCTGAGACTCTCAAAGCCTTCTTTGATGACGACACGCCATCTGTAGATACTACTGATCAGCGATTGGAAGATCTCTTGGATCTTCTCGAACCTCCGAAGGTAGGCGAAAAGCCCTATAATTCGAGCATTGTCGAAGTCATGAGCAGGTACTCGGTAGATGACACCGCAGGTCCTTCTACTTTTCAACAAGAGCAAATCTTGGGCTCGAGATATGACGACGATCAGTTCATTGAGCCGAGAAACAGCCCTCAACTGCATACGAATATCGAGAACCCCAGCAACGATTTGTTGTCAACCCCCAAAGCAGTCAATATCGATCTGGAACACGGAAACAAAGTCGCCCCTGCCGCAAATGCCTCTACAGATTCTTTGTCTGTGTTAGAGCACGATATTTCAGTGAAACCACTTCTTGCCCTTGAGACCGTCACCAGCAGCAACGACATCAACACATCTTCTCCTGTGTTTACTAGCACAACGACGAGTACCAGACAAACAAGTCTCCAGCCCGAAACGAGTACTCGCGCGTCTTCTGCAGTCCCAGATCCAGCAACCACCTTCGATCTGTCCCCCGAAGATGGCACGATCGCGCCTTCCCGANTTGAAGTACCCATGCTTGGCTCTTCCTTACGCACGGCGACAGCTCATCATGCAGACAAACCCGCACCTCTGAGAACCGAACGAGAGATTCATGCCACAGAAAAACTTGCGGCAGTATCAGAGAACGACCCCACGGGCCTCCAAACTGTCAAAGACGAATGCTCCGACGAACATGGACTTCCTAAAGCCATTGACTCAAGTATACTCTCGCAAGAAGATGATACAACTGTGGTGCATGATCCCTCTTCCGCCACCGTCTCCTTCTTTCCGCCAAACCCATACTCCAATGAGCCCGCCGACTACTCCTCACAAGCAGCACATCATCTGTCTTCAGCATTCGATGGACAGCCTGACGTCGACCATCATCAGGACACTGAAGACCTATCCGCCGATTCAAGTCTGACTTCTTTGGCTTCCAGCGATGAACAGCTGAATCAAAGTAATCTCCTCGATCAACTCACCAACTACGAAAGATACTGTGCCGAAACGCCGTCTCCGCCACCTACATCCCCGTTGAGTCCACTACCAAACGTTCTCAACACCAGATATGTCGATCAAGATATCCTGGGTGGGGCTGATCCAGAAGATGGTGATACTTCATCGTTATCAATTGCATCGACACGGAGTAAGCCCGTCACCAAGCTTGGCAAGGTTACACCCATGAAAAATGATGGTGACAGCGGACTGATAGATACTGAAGGCTTGGGGACTATCAACGAAGCCGTTGATGAGCTGGCTGAAGACACTGACGCTGATGGCGCAGAAGTGTTGACAAATGCCCCAGCTATTGACAAAAGAAAGCGGAAGCAACGACGTCCTCATACAGATGAGCCAGCCCACAAAAGACGTCTTTCTTCGGTCGTAGAAGACGAGAAACAATCAGAAACTGACGCCGAGGCGGTTACACCACCTGAAGAGCACACAATCAAAGACAGACTTAGGAGAACGGTACAGGAAGGCAAAGCCAATGTGACGTCCAGGCCTGCACAACATGATTCACCCGACGAACTCGCACCAGCCTCATCAGACGAGCTGGGTAGTCCTTCTCCTTCTAAATTTTTCGCTTTGACGAAAGGTTCTGTTTCTCTTGTGAAGCCGAAGGTCAACAGATCAAAGCCCAGTCGCTCGCGTGCCAAAAAGCCACCCAATACGTCTGCTCTTGCTCCTCTTGGAAAGATTGTGGGAGTTCCGAGAGCCACAAGGGGAGCTATCGCCAACAGAGAGTTGGCTGGAATCCTTGGGGTTTCACCGCCTCGTAAAGCCGAAGAGAAGTCAAAGGCGGACGTTGGTGGACGACTGCGTAGTCAAGCTCGTACTCCTGCGCCCGATCCTGCCCCAATTGGAACTACTGCATCTGATCCTACGACCGCACCCGTTGTACCGAGCACAGAAACAGTCATAGACGATGTCGCCAGTTCAAGCAATACAGAAGCGCCAGCTCAACTCAAGAGAAAGAGACCTCTCGGTTCCAACCCACTCAGTTCACAAGAACTAAGATCCTTAGGCGCGACCCCCGTCTTAGGAAAGAGAACCAGAACAGGAACAACAACAGCCGAATCTACTCCCGAACCTGGCACTCAAGGTCCAGTCAAGCCTGCGCCGAAGCGTACAAAGTTTGGTCTTAGTACCGCAGAAGTCGACCGTTTGGGTCCTGCTGTGTTGACCGGATCTAGGACGAGAAACTCAACCGTCGAGCCCACCCCTGAGCCTACAACTAAGACTCGTCCTGCAAAGGGTAGCAAGAAGGCTATTGCAAAGTGCGTCGGGAAGACAGCCGCAAAGCCAGCTGCAAAGCCGGCCACCAATCCCGCGGTATTCAGTCCATTTGCTTTAGCGTCGAAGTCCAAGGGTGCTCCCACCGCTACCAGAAAGAGAGCACCGCCAAAGAAGAAGACAGCCGAGCCTGAGCAAGATAACGAAACCATTCCCGAAAAGCTTAGCGAGGCAACGACAAAGAGAAAGGTTGAGAAGGAAGGAGAAGATATTGAGGAGAAGCCCACGAGAGCGAGTAAGAGGATTGTTGGAGCAGAGCCTGAGGAAGAGTGATGGCTGAGCGAGGACGAGAGAATGATCTTGCTTTGCTTTGCTTTGCTTTGCTTCAAACGATGGTCATGATGAGAATGATACTCTGGTTTGAATCAGCAGCTACAGCATATCGGCCAAGGATCTACGATTTATGGCTTGAGTTTTGCTTGCTGACTTAAGGTTGCCGACTCTAAATTCACTCTTGCTTTATGCTATCATTTCTCCTTGCAGAGTTCCTCCCTTTAGCCTTGATAGTAGAAGCAGGGTTGTTCTTCATAGTGTCGTGATCATAAGCAAGGACAAACATGGTCTACAAATGATAGCACCAACTCCTCATTGCTCCGGCACTTTCCAATCAGTCTTGTTGTAATTCGCCGGCCACACTCCATTCTTTCCAGGACTAACGATGCCTTTGGGATCCAAGGCAGCCTTGATCTTATCATTCAGCTTCATCTGCACATTATCGTTGAAACTGTATGTCTCGGCAATCTGATCCATCACACTGAGGTGTGTTCTGTATTCTCCCCAGCCACGTTTTGCTGTGTCGTCGATTAGTATTCTTATCAGTCAGTGGGCATGGCGGCGAGAGTCTGGGTCTTTGCGGTTGAAGACTATGCAGACTATGTGGTGCATTTCACGCTGTTTTGATGTTATTAGTTTTTGCAAGATTGAGTGTAGAGGAAGTATGTTGGGACTCTCTTACCATTCCCACTACAAAAGTGCCGATAAGGTCGAATCCGGCTTCTTCACAGCGTTGGCGAGTAACCTTGTATTGTGCTACGCCATCATCTTCAGAGACCTTTGCAATGGGACTGAAGAATAGGTGAGCACCGTTGGGCAGCCAGTCTACCCATCTTAGCTCTGTTGTACTGGGAATGCCTTGCAACGTATCGTTTCAGGTCTGGAGAACCACGTTATCGGACATATCTTTGGGTTCGTAGTATTTTGCTCCAGGGATTTGCAGGAAGGATTGTTTGATTACCGATAGCAGTACTCGCTCCGTCGATGGTTGGGTGCGGGGCTGGTCAAAACAGTGGGTCGGTCATTTTGGTGTCCGAACACGAATTGACGCAGTCACCAATGGTTTTGGACGAGTCAGCATCCCGATGCTTAAGAGAACCATGGTGGTTGATACATTTCCTATCATGTCTTTGCTTCCTCTTCTCCAGCAAACTCTACCAAAGCCGTACCAGCTTTGCACAAATCTCCAGCCTTGTGAACGATTTTCGCAATGATACCGTCGTGCGGTGCCCTGATGACCGTCTCCATCTTCATACTCTCAATCACAACAAGCGCCTGGTTCTTGGTAACCGTCGCACCCTCTTCCACTTCAACGCGAAGGACTTTGCAAGGCATGGGTGCCAAAACACTGTTTGCTACATCTTTCATGCCCAAAGCTTTCTCAGCCCACTTAGGAACGGCGAGCTGTAGTCGGTATTGCCGTCCTTGTTGGAAGAGGATGAGGTTGTTGGTTTCCGGGTCCCGGATAACTCTTGTCTCGAGCCTAGTGTGAGGATAGAACGATTGGAGGATGTTGCTGGTGGAATCGAGCTTGCTGGTGACTTTTGAAGCTTGTTGATCTCCGATCGAGACAGAGAAAGTGTGCGGGCCGACATGCTGGACACGTGCAGTGACAGATGAAGCACTACTGGTGTTGCCATCTGCTGGGATCTCTACAAGGTCGAAAGTTCTTGGGCCAGATAGTCCAGTGTTGAAACCGATGGTCTGAGAAGACAAGACGGTCTCATCGCCGCCGAGTCCTTGCTCGGCAATGTACAAACCGATAGCTGCTTGAGACCAGGCTTCGCCTGGGACTTCGACTCTGCGGAACAACTCTTCCTTGTTCTTCTCGATATAACCTGTTTCAACCTCGCCAGCAACGAATTTGGGACTGACGCACATACGCTTGACAAATTCGATGTTGGTGATTGGCCCGGCAATCTCGTACTCTTCGAGAGCGGCCTTCATCTTCTGCAGCGCTGCGTGTCTGTCTGGGCCTTGAATGATGAGTTTTGCAATCATTGGATCATAGTGTGATGTGACTTCATCTCCGACGGCAAATCCAGCGTCGATTCTCACTGTGCCCGTGATCTCAGGGGTTCTTAGATGCAGCAGCTTGCCCGAGTCAGGCACAAAGTTNCCTATTCAAGTCAGAATTGTTCACCCGTGGTTGATCTTCAAGACCCACATATCAGGATTCTCGGCATAGATACGGGCTTCAATCGCGTGACCACGAGCCTTAATTCTGTCATGCACTTCTTCCTGAGTTAGGGGCAGCTTGCCTCCTTCCGCGATGAGAATTTGCCAATGTACCAGATCCTCACCAGTCACCATCTCAGTAACGGGGTGCTCTACTTGTAGACGGGTGTTCATCTCCATGAAGAAGAATTCACCCGAATCATTGTCGAAGATGAATTCAACAGTACCGGCACCCTCATAAGCAACAGCAAGAGCGGCAGATCGAGCCTTGTCCCAAAGATCTTGTCGTAGGGCTTCATCCAGATGGGGTGCTGGTGACTCTTCGAGAATCTTCTGATGTCTTCTCTGGATACTGCAATCTCTCTCGCCCAACGCAACACAGTTTCCATGTTTGTCTGCAAAANNGACTTGGACTTCGATATGGCGTGGTGTGGTGATGTACTTCTCAACAAGCATGACGTCGTCACTGAAAGAACTCATGGCTTCAGATTTCGCAGAAGCCAGTTGATCCAGGAAGTCATCGGGAGATCTGGAGATACGCATACCTTTACCACCTCCACCCTTGACAGCCTTCAGCAAGACAGGGTATCCGATCTGCGATGCTTGATGTTTGAGGAAGTCGGGATCTTGATTTGTGCCATGATAGCCTGGAATGCAAGGAACACCAGCCGAAGTCATGATGTCCTTGGATCGACTCTTGTCGCCCATTGCTTCGATAGCTTTCCATGGAGGACCGATGAACTTGAGACCTGCATCGGTGCACTTNTTGGCGAAATCTGCATTTTCACTGAGGAATCCGTAACCAGGATGGATGGCTTGACAACCATGATCACGGGCGGTTTGGATGATTCGGTCGCCATTGAGGTATTGACTGGGATCGCTGAGGTTGATAGCAAAGGGAGAGCTTAATGCATGTTGACTATGTGCATCTGGATCTGTGTAAAGGGTTGTTGTTCTGATGCCATACTGAGCAGCTGTTTTGCCAACTCGAAGTGCGATTTCTCCTCTGTTTGCGATCAGGATTGACTGAAGTGGTTGTCTCTCTGGTCCCTGACTTGTTGTTGCTGTACTCTTGAATCGTTTTGTCACTGCGGGAATGAGGCCCCGATGACCTCTAGTGTGACGGAACATGTTGATTGATTGGTTTAGATCACAGCCTCAAAGACTTATCGAAATGGTACTTAGCAGATCAGAAGCAGGAGTTGATGAAGTCTTGCCCGGAGAGCACGCCGAGGGTAACCCTCGCAGGGCGCGTCCGAGGGAGTCGTGGGGGCGCTGCGGGGTCATCGTTCCTACCTCATGGGGAAATATCGGGATGTCTGAGCATGTGACCGTCTGGTCACTGTTAATTGAACTCTGCACACGACGTTCACGACATCTTTTGCAGAGTCGCAGACGAATAGTTCTTCGTTCATGTTGAGAGACAGAGATGTCTCCCAAGTCGCGCAGAGCGAGAAGAGATCGAAGCAGCCGCACACCAGCCACGTCATCATCCCGCGGTATTCCCGTCCTGTCATCTCCACGATCGTGACGACCATTCTTTCCAACAACTTGGGCTCTTGGATTGCGACAATCGATATACATCATCGAGCTGTCTAGTATCCAGTGTAAAGAGCGTCTGAAAGAACGTGTGCTCCTCTGGACCGCCCATTGGATTGCCATTCAGGGCACGTCTTGGTCTCTGCTGAGCGCCTAGGCTTGGTCTCTTGGTTTGGAACATTTTTTCTCTTGGGTGTAAACCTCCTTCAACACCGACACGCTGTCATCTCATGCACGTGTTGAGATATTCTGCAGACCACTCCAATACGTCTTGGTGTTGGCAGCTTAAGGACAAGACTGCCAATGTGATGACCCACACCATTCGAGAATAGGATGAGGTATTGCTTCTGTGAACCTACGTGAATAACTTCCAACATGATCTCACATATATAACAAGTATGTTGAAGGCAGAAGAGTGAGTTTGTAGCCACTGAATTAACCCTACATAAGTACTACCCTTGCTTCGTGCAAGATCTACCTCATATCATGCCGCCTGCAATGACTGCCAGATATGACTGGATTCTTCGGCGTGCTCGCTATTTCCTACGTCTTCTTTATGCCATACTTCAAAAGGCGATTGGTCATGAAAGACGCTCGAGTCAAAGCATGGCATATCCCTCTTGGTCCACTTCTCCTGAGAGACAACCCTCCCCTGTACTTTCCCGGCAAGGCTGACGGTGAGTACATCGGAGAGTACCAATCACGAGGAAAATCGTTCAACGACACACTCGAAGCGAGTCCAGAGATTAAAGGAAACAGCCCTCTGTCCCTACAGGAACAAAGTCCAGAAAGAGTTGCACCGATATTCGAAGACTCTTCTTCTGTCGAAAAAGGTCCACAACAGAGTCACACTGGCATGCACAAACGACACATTGGCCCCCACGAACGTTTCTTGGAACCGAACAAGCATCTCTCCATCGCAAATCCGCAACGTCTGTGGGGATATGTCAAGTTTGGACTTCTTCAAGGCGTTACGCGCGATGTCACTACCCATGACACTGTGGCTATGCGCGCCATCCATGCAAGAGCAAATAAATACGATCCGAGAGTTGAGCATCTCTGGACCTATTGTCAGGTCGCTTCTGCCATGATGATGAGTATCGCGCACGGCTCCAATGATGTAGCCAACGCCGTAGGTCCCTGGGCTGCTGTATACCAAACCTATCAAGCAGGAGAAGTGGCAACCCGATCTCCCACTCCTGTGTGGTTTCTGGTCGTTGCTGGCTTTCTCCTTGGCGCAGGTTTCTGGTTCTATGGTAAGTTTGTACTCCCCTCTCAAAGTACCCCACTAACCCTCTTACCACAAGGCTTCAAAATCATACGCGCCATGGGCAACAAAATCACTCAAATGTCTCCGAGCCGTGGCTTTGCTGTTGAACTAGGCGCAGCAGTTACTGTGTTGCTCGCCTCAAGATTGGGCCTTCCGGTATCCACGACGCAGTGTTTGACTGGCGCAGTCATGGGAGTTGCTCTCATGAATTATGATTTGAAAGCGGTCAATTGGAAACAGTTGTGCTTTATCTTTATGGGGTGGGTGTTGACGCTGCCGTGTGCTGGGCTCATTGCTGGGTTGTTGTGTTTGATGGCGTTGAACACGCCGCATTTTTGATGGGGTGTAGTGGAGGCAAGGGGTGAGTTTGATCGGCTTTTTGTCTGGTTTGTATTCGAAGTTATAGAAGATTTTGTTTGTTTCTGTTGGTCTCGTATGAGTTTATGCTGCTCGTTGCCTACCATTCTTGGTCGATGGAAGGAAAAAGACCTTCTGAACTCGCGCGCTCTTGCTTGTTCTATGCTTAGTTGTATGACTCTCATCAGGGACCTCCAACATGCCGTGGTGATCAATCATATCAGATAGTACGAGTGGCAATCAAGAAATAGAAATCATCATTGAAAAGAAAAAGAATCCTCAGGTACCCAAAAGTGAAACGCCATCATCTCATCGTCAATCAACGTGAATAGGTCCCGGCCGCTGATACGGAGCTTCTGTCTGCTCCGGCATCTCCTCTTCTGCAACAAGTTCTTCAACCAACAAAGCTTCCGGCAACAACTCATCAGGCAATATCCAACCCTCATCTCCAAGCCCAGCCTCTTGCTCCCTCTGCGACTGCTGCTCCGCATCCTCCCTAGCATACTTCCTCTCCTTAATTAACCTACACTCCGCAAAAACCTGCTCCGTATCATCCACCCACTCGCCCTTAGACCTCAAATGCCAAGCATCAGAAGTAAGCAATACCGGATACTTGACCCACAGATCCACAGGCGCATACCTGCCCTCCTTTTCGCCCGTGCCCTACACATGCGCGCGACCAGTGTGTAAAGTCATTTTATCCATGCGCGTAAAATGTAAGCACAAGTCCCAGACAAAGGTAATAAACCATAGGATCAAGTTTGCGAGGTCGATCCAGACTGCGTTCTTCATGCGTTGTTGGCCTTGTTGGTGGGGTGTTGGGTGAGCGCTGATGTACATTTTTCCGAAGATGCCAAAGACGATGGCCCAGAGGATTCTGTGGTTTCTTCTTGTCAGCAAATGCACCTCTTCAAAGATACAAAACAAGGATCAGACTTACAGCATAACCGCATCCCAGAAGAACCGTAACGTATACTTGAAGAGAAAGAAGAATACACTGATGGCAGAGAGGGCGCCGACCACGACCGCATAAGTCCATTTGGGGTCTGCGCCTATGTGAGCCTTTCTCGCATTGTCGAGATCGTAGCCGTAGAGTCCGATGACGGTGATGGCGAGTACGAATTGGAAGATGCGGATCACAAAGCGTATGTAGCCTCCAAACGAAGAGCGATCCTTGAGTGATTGGAACATGTTTGTTTGGCCAGTTGCCAGAGGTATTGATGCCTTTGTTGTTTGTCGACACGAAGAATAATTAGTCCTGGCGTGGTGTTGATAAATGCTGGGATTTGCTCAGTCGTCGATAAATCCTCCTAGAATTGCAGATGCAAAGAAAGGTCCGAGGGAAGAGGAAAGAGCAAAGCAGGAGCCAGAGCAAAGAGAAAAATGGCAGTGACCACTCTGGCACGTGTGACCAATACACAGGAATGTCAAACACACTCGTTGTATCACAACTTGCTCAAATTCTCGTGTTCCCATAGAATAATCGCCAGAACGTCCAAAAGTGTTGAATGACAGCAAGAACAATGTTGTTTCTGTTGATAAAAACCTGACCTGAAAATGCTCAGCTGAGATGTGGAAATAAATCCACACCGTCGACAAGGCATTTATCTATCGGTCCGCAAGCATGCATGTGCTTTGCAAAGTCATGTTTAGGCGAGACCGTTGTTCGTCAGAGGCTTGAACACCAAGACCCTGTTTTATTCTTTGTTTACCGACAAAACTTGGCAAGGCGACCGCTGATTGGCTGTTCGTCATACACCATGATGGTTGACGTGAGGGAGAATGAGAGACCGTCTTTTGACAGCACACAAGAAACAAGAACCAAAACAATGCTTGACCCAAACCCCGAAATAAGACCTCTGTGCTGAAACCCGGTGACGAATGGCATGGACCGCCTGAAACTCCACAGCCACCCCAGACAATGAATTCAGTGAATTCTTCCAAGACAACCGTCCTGTCTACTTTCTGGACCTACCGCTTCTTGTAGTCTTTGATTCGGACGTCTTGGCCTCGGCATTTTTGCTCTGACTGCTTGCAGTGGGTGCGGCAAAGTTGCGCAACTGGCGCTTGGGCTTCTCCTCCGATATCTCCTCGTCTGCAGCTTTGCGTTTCCTTGTGGTTGGCTTTGTGGTCGAGTCAGTGGAAGGAATGTTTTCTTTTGCTTGGATAGTCGAAGACTTGGGTTTGATGGCCTTCGTCGTCTCGAGCTTGGACTTGGCTGGCGCAGCAGTCTTTGGCTTCGTAGTAGGCTTGTCGTTTGCAGGTTTGGTTCTCGATTGTGGAACTGCTGGTTTGCGTGTTGAAGCCTTAGGTTGAGTAGAGACGTTCGAAGATCTGGGGACGTCTTGCTTGGATCGTTTGTGAGTCGGACCCTCGTCCAACGGGGGCTCATTTGTCGCTTCATTCTGTTTGATCTCCTTGGAAAGAGGATGCTTTCGTTTCTTTCCAGTCGATTGCGGCTCAAGGAGTGCTTCGATCGACGGTTCAGAGGATTTGGGAGCAGCGGGTGGTTGTTCGGCTGCTACACTGTCCTTGGGCGAAGAGTAGTCAGATGCGCCAGTCGTGACATGATCGTCTTGTCCATCATCGTCGTTGTCGTCCTCTAACGAGACACCCTGACCAGACAGCCATTGTCCCATTGATGAATCACCACCTTCCTCAGTCACTTGATTCAGCATATTTGATGTTAGACTCTCGAGTAGATCATCAGTGCCAGCACCTCCGCCGCCTGCCAACATCTGCATCATAGCCTCCATCATGGCGGATTGATCTTTACCAGTCATGCCTGAGGCGGATAGTCTCGCGGCGAGGGCCGACTTGAGCATTTCAGGGTCAATGTCCTGCAAGTCCATGCCCTCTTCGCCGTCTTCGTCTTCATCCTCCTCTTCATCTTCGTCCTCCTCATCATCCTGACCTGACTCGTCGTTGTCTTCCTCCATATCCTCCCAATCGGGGTCTTGTTTGTCGTCCTTGGCGGAGTGTATGGCCATGTAGGATGTAGTGAAAACGGCGGGTCGGTCTTTCAGAAGTTGTCGCCAATTGGGCAGAAGCGCAGTCGGTTGTTGTGGTTTCTCGTAGAGAGTACATTGTTGGCGCAGGCTGAAGGCGTCCTGTGAGGACTTCCACAAGACTGTCGGATAATCTTGAATGCCGCGCAAGCGAATCTTCTTGATGGTGTCTTTGATGTCTGAAGCCTTGGACTTCTTTTTCTTGTCGGCTTTGGAGGGGGAGATGTCTTGGTCGAAGATTTCGCCGTTGCCGTACTCAATCTCGGACCAGAAGTTGTAGTTGTCGTATTCTTCGAGCTCGTCATCGCGGTAGTATAAGGCGGGTGCTTCGGCTATGGCGCCAGAGGCGAGTTCGTCCTGGGAAGAGTGTGAGCATTGATCTGTTACTAAATCTCAGATGCGACATACAGCCAAGTCGTAAGCTCCTGCATCGGCGTAGATGTAGTCATCATCATAGTCGTAGACGTCGCAATCGGAATCGTAGTCGACGTCGTAGCCGCCGGACATGGCTGAGGTTGCGCAGTGCTAGCAGATGGCCGAGGTTGGCGATGGCGATGCTGGTCGGAACGGAGAAAGCGAAGGTGGAATGGTAGTTTGATGGAATGCTTTGAGACAGCAGAAACAAAGGCGCGTCGGGTCTGCGTGTTGGCGTCTCGGGGAAGGGATGGTCAGCTACAGCTTAGCTGATGCGCTACCTGATGAATCGAATGTCTGGTACTAGTGTTCTCCCTTGGACAAAGTAGACTGCATTTGTCTGCAATAGGCAAGCCACAATGCAGTATGGGTACAAGTACGAGTATCAAAGCGACTTGTAAACACTCCCCACACTTTTTCAACCACTTCCGTTTAGCCGACCTTGAACCCTGATTGTCTCTTCCTTCCATGTTTAAACACAATTTTTTACAACTACCTGTCTTTACTCTGAGTTGTTGCCGCAAGGAACAGTGGCGCTGTCTTGAGCATCTGAGATTATGCTGTGCCCGACATATTCACTCGAAGACCTGTTCAATCTTGTCATCGACGAACCGATGCACGTAGCCGCCCCATCCAATGTGACATGTGGTGAGCTGACAGCCGCCGCTCACTCTACATACGACTCGACTCGACACACGTTTTGGTCGATCATCTCAGTGTTACCTATCAGAAGTTACGGGAACGTAAAGTGAAGTGAAGTCATGTTGTATTCGTGTCTCGTAAGACTGATAGGTAATGTTTGTTTATGCAAATGCTATCCCCTTTCTCCTTAAACCAGATATCTGAATCCTTGTTTCATGCGCAGAGCTTCGTCGGGACTGTCCAAGTACTCCTTCTCGGCAGTGTGCTCAGCGACATCGGGTTTAGTGGCCCAAGCAGCAGCCTCTCCAGCCTCGAGTTGCTTGTTCAGCTTGACGAGAATCATCTTCATGACGACGCAGCCGGCAATCGTGACACCAAACATTGCTGTCACAATACCATACGATTTACGGTAACCGTTCGCCTTGAGGTCCCACACGTATGAGCCGGCAATGTTTCCAAGCTGACTGAATGCGTTGACCAGAGCGATTGCGACGGCACGCTTGGCAGGCGGGCGAGGGAAACTGGACGAGATCCACGAGTAGAAGACGATGAAACCTGCATAGGAACTTGCCTGCAGGAACAGAGCGACATAACGACCTGCAGTGTTCAAAGTAGACATGTTGATGATGAAGCCGACAAGTCCAAGACAGATGGGTCCAACGATGTGCCAGAACTTCTCTTGGGTTCTATCGGCGTGCCAGGCGTTGATCAGAGAAACAATACAGGCGAATGCCCATGGAGGAGCGCTCATAAGCAGAGTAGGAACGTATCCGAATCCAAGAGTCTTTGTGAGCGAGGGNAAGAAGGCGTTGAAACTGAGACCAACGACGTAGGCGGTCAGGGTGAACATGAGGACGTAGATTTTGGGGTCCTTGAGGGCCATGAAGAGACCGTCGAACACACCATCTTCGGTGCTGTCCTCGTCAACTTCACCCACATCCTCGATCATGCGAAGCTGAGCGACCTGCAGCTCTTCCTCGGTGAAGCCTTTCGAGTTATGAGGCAGGTCGGGCAGTACGAGAGCAGCGGTGATGGCAACACCCATGGTGACTCCACCTTCGATCCAGAACAACCAGCGCCATGCTGCATGGCCTAGTACGCCTTGCATGTTCGACAGAACACCCGCACCGACAAGTGCGGAGAAAGCGTTCGAAATGAGGTTTCCGCAGAAAAGAAGGGCGTTTCGCTTGGTCAACTCGCTGCGAGTGTACCATTTCGAGAGAATGAGGAGGGCACCGGGCAGGAAGGCCGCCTCAACAAATCCTAGGCAGAATCTAATAGCGACCATACCACCGAAGCTTTGGGCAACTCCGGATAGTGTTGAGATTAAACCCCAGAGAAGCATGGCTGCGCCAATGTACCAACTCGGCTTGGTGATGCGGTTAATAATGATATTCGAAGGGACCNNTAGTAGCAAGTTAGATCGCTGTGGGTTGTTCGAGCACTTCGAAAAACGTACCTGCATGAGGATGTATCCCACATAGAGAATACTCAAGCATGTGGCGTATTGTGTGTCACTAAGCTTCAGATCTTCTTGCAGTCCCTTTAACCTGGCAGCAGCCATATTGTTGCGATCGAGGTAGTTCATGATGTAGATCAAGATGAAGAGCGAACATCTTGCGTCGAGTTTCCGCTTCATCGACTTCTCGACAACCTTGCGACGCTCCGGATCCATAGGGGGTATTGACTCCGGAAGGTCTCTATCGGCGACTTCTCGGCGTCATAGTGGTCGCCGCCTCCCTTCTTGATGTCGTCGTTCATGGCTGCGCAAAGGGATCCAAGGTCGAGTGAATGAGAGATCAGCCCATGCCTGGGGGACTCTCTTATTTATGGCTCCCATGGGGCCCCACGTAGAATCATCCCCGGTACCCCAATCAAGTCATCCCCGGTACAATGCCCCGTATATCGATCCACCTTTCTGGTCTTGGCCTGAAGAAAAGATGGAGGAAAACACGGCATATCGTGGTCGACGTTCGGGTAGTGCAGGATTAGTCCTGACGCTGTGACCACGCCATAGGGTCACTGTGGCCCTGTCGCCCTTGAAAACGCAGGCATGACCAGAGATGTCATGCTTTGAGAAGCAGTTTGTCGTCTGAACTGAGCCCTAAAGATCCGTGATTATCCGCTTGTAGCAATGTCACTTGGGTCGAACTCGTGGTTTTTTTGATGCTGAAGCCGTAGAGAACACAAGATTTTGGCGGAGATTCGGGCCGTGCGCCTGCTTGATGCCGATCTCTCAACCATCAATGCAACCTAGCTAGAGACAAGCATCCAACTGGAGTTTTCCAGAGAAGCATTCGATACATGTGCACGACTTCTGTCGTTTTGGTTGTCTAACAGGGTAGCCACCCTTCCCATTCCCTTAAAACTAAGCAGTCGATGAATGTATGTCGTTTCCCTCAAGCATGCTGAGCTTTTGGCCATCGGGCTTGAACACGCCTTCCGGCGCTGACCGAAAGCTTGGCTACCTCTCTTCCGATTCTGCTGGCCGTGTGCTCCTTAGCCGGCCATCGATATGCACAGCTGGCTACGCAGAATTATGAAAAGCTCCAACCGTTGGACAACGCGTCTCAATACCAACGGAACTTCTCAGCTTCGCGTCTTGATACATGACATCTTCCTCTGTTCATTTTGACCAATCTCGGAACTCCTTCACCATGTCTCCACAACCACTCAGCATCATTGGTGCAGGCCTAGGAGGTGTTACGCTTGGAAGAGCGCTTCTAGAGCGAGGTATCCCAGTCGTGCTGTACGAACGCGCGACATCAGCGCCTAGACATGGCTATGGCATCAGTCTGCACGCGTCTACCTACAAGCCCTTACTCAATATGCTGAAGATGGACGAACAAACGTTCAGACAAAATGTCGCCGTCGACGCTGCAGTCGGTGGGAACGGTGCTATCGACCCCAAAAAGTTGATCTGTCCACGCGACGTGACTTCCACCTCGTTTCGTGCCCATCGCGAGAGGCTTGAAAGACTAATCCGCCAAGGCCTGGATATCAAATGGGAACACGGCATGGAAAAGCTGGAGCAGACGCCGAGTGGCACATCTCTATACTTGCAAAACGACACTAGCATAGAAGGACGAACATGCGTCGTTGGCTCGGACGGTGTCCACTCCATTACAAGGAAGTCGATTCTGAGAGAAGCCGGTCTTGAAGTCCTACCTTTCGTCACCTTCAATGGAAAGAGGAAAGTAAGCAGAAGCACTTTCGACGACATTTACGCTCCAGCCCTGGGAGCATCTAATGTCATCGAAACCCATAATAATGGCGTCTTCCTTCAAATCTCTGTCAACGATATCACAGCCGAACAAGCCAGTGTGAGCTGGGTATATTCACGTCCGGCCAAAGGGTCAAGCGATCGTTGCTTCAAACCAAATCGACTCTTATCTGGTGCGTCCGAGATTCCCAAGGAGTTCTACCGGGAAATCACTGCTTTGAAAGACCTTCCTCAGCCGTTTTCAGAAGTCTTCGATGAGGAGAAGGTGAAGCAGGATCGAATCTTGACTTGGTTGATGCGTACATCAAAGGTCGACCTTCCTCAACTCTACCAACTTGCATCCAACGGCATCTTCTTGATGGGAGATTCTGCCCACTCTCAAGCAATTCTTGGTGGTGAAGGCGCAAACATCGCGATATCTGATGGGTTGACGCTTGCCGAAGCAATTGCAGCACAGAATGGCGAGACCATCACATCTTGGTACAGCAAGCGCTTCCCGGACTGGCAGCAGAGTCTGGAAACGAGTAAGAAGACAATCGAAGACATGCACAAAGACCAGGCACCTGAATCGAAAATCTAAGAACAATTTGCTTTTGGAATGACTAGGGTTGCGATATCTTTCAGTGGCTGAGAACAGCGAGCGGCAGAAGAAATGCGCCTCTGCAAAGAACAATACTGCCGTTGAACTAAAATCTTGCTCACAGTCGTCGAACTGTCGGGTCGCATAATCTCAAATCCTCACCACCTTTGAGTAGCACTCGCTGCATCTTTGGTGCATCTTATCTCTCCTGATCAGACACGTCAGTCTACATCGATAGCGGAATGAGTAATGGAATCTCACAGCCCGAACACCAGAGAGAGTAAATTGGAGCCATTCCAGGTCCGTCCAGGAGATTGACGCATTTGTTGACGGGGACGTCGCTATCCCATTTTCTACCCTTGCAGTCCTTCTGGTCGTATACGACACATCTTCCACCGCGTAGTATAACAGACAATGAACTCAAATTCCTGGAAACACAGCCGCCGTGACTGGTTCCGCCATGCTGGAATTCCTCGCACCCGGTATCAGGCATGTCGTAGTTGAAGTTCATGCAACCTGGTGAGGTCGCCGGCCCCGGTAATGAAACGGTATCTGGTGTTGTCGTCGGCATTACAATTATAGATGTTGCTGTAGGCAACGATTGTTTACCGGTTGGTGGTAGAGTTAGAGACCTGTTACACATTACGTAGGATGGACATTGCTCACCTTCCCATGCCTGGGAACTAGCGCACAGAGTCGCAAGAACGACAGAGCCAACTGTCGAGAAATGCATTCTGAGGATGGAAGACAAGAACGAATCAAGAGAAAGATTTTGAATGCCAGGAGCAGAAAGCATTTACTACGAACATGGCCTCCCAGTTATGTTCTGTAGCACTGAGTGCCAATACTCATCTCGCGTGGTCGTCTACATATAGGCCGAGCCATGTAGTAACATACCCAGACCGTCTTGGGTCTGCAGCTGTATAGCTCTCACGCTCTGTCTGAGAGCGAGCGGACCAATCAGTCAAGAATGCGAAGCGAGAGGGAACTGAAGGAAGCTGGATGCCTTACAGATCCACCTACACGAAGATTTGCCCAGCTTTCTGGTAGTCGCTAACGACATCTGTTTACGCACGTTATATAAAATATGTTTATCAGGCACGAAACTACATGCCTTTTGTGGAAGTAAATGCCACAGTTACGAGCTTCAAAGGAGACTTGCTGCGCCTCTTCTGCATGTTCTGTTCTGGTAAACAGATTGAGCAAAAGAAATCGGTACGTTTTCGCTTAGGATGAAAGCATAGACGCTTGCGTCAGCTTGGTCTCCATCAAGTGTTCTTCAGCATGTATAGGCTTTAGGATATGAACAAACTGCGGTAAAACCGAGAGGCTGTGCTCCAGGCAAAAAAAGAAAAGATAGCTAAGCTTGGTTTCGATCCAAGGTCCTCCGGGTTATGAGCCCGGCGCGCTGCAATTTATTAGTGTTGAGTAATAGGGTGGAAGAAGTGGTATATTACGAACCTTCCGCTGCGCCACTCAGCTTCACGATTTGTTTGATCAGCTGTGTGATTTGCTCGATTATCTTGAGGGTGGTGCCAACATAAATTGGCTTATATATAGTATCATGTTGTGGCAGCAAAAAGTGGTTGCTCAAATGATAGAAATGCTCACTTGGCTATACTACAGGATGCTCATGGTTCCATAGGCTGTGGATTGTGGCCTTACTTTGCCTTTCGAGGGCCTCTCACATGTTCACTTGCTATAATATCGACCGGTTGGAAGGTTGTGGACTCGGTAGACGCGATCCGAAGTAGTGGATAATGAGTTCGGCCCATTTGCGGGTAAATTTTTGATATAGACAAACAAAACAGAAAATGATGTACGAACAATGCGATGCCTCAGCCTTTGTCGAATATTTCTAGAATATTTACTAACCTTGTAGAATTCAGAATGGAAGCTACAGACTTCTTGTAAGTGGTCGTGACACCTGCTATTTCAATAAGACGAGAGTCGTTCGATATTTCTCGAGCGTCAGGGTCACTATTAAGACATTGAAGTGTTGGTCAATACTTGAGCTTCAGGCGCTTAGACTTCAAATTTACCAACCACCTCGCTCGAGTGATATCATCACATTCTTTGACCAGCCTCTCGACTGACTATCGCACCTCTCCGACATCTCTCGTAATCGTTTTTGAGGTTACAAAACTTCTGCGTTAGCCTTCAAAGCCGCATGGCAAGTCGCAGACCGGTATGCTTTTGAATGTACAACAGCCGCCTCTTCTTCGACGCATTCGACCCGAATAGGTCAACGGTACCCTGCTCCAGGACACCAAGGACGCACAACCGTCTTGTACAAGAGTCGCTATATACGAATGTCGAGACCGTTTGCGCCGCGTGGGATTTGACGGAGGTCATAAAACCGTTGGAGATCGTCCTTCTTTCCGGCTTTACGCTTCCTGATGTCCTCGTAACTTCTTCTATATCGAAACGTCGATGTCGACTTCCATTCTTGACTCGAATCGACGGCTATATGTGTGCCCTCTGCTCGGTGGTATCAGCGTATACGTGTACGATGCCCACAGCGTTGCAGGGCCGCATGAAGCACCCCAAAGAGGACAGAACGATGGAGCTGCTTACTCGACCCTCAGGCACCAACCTGAAGGGAGCCTTCGCCCTACTCGTACGAAGGTATTACAAAATGAAAATAGTGTCTCATCAGCATGTTGCCGGCCTCGGCTATCCTTACAGATGCTTGTGCGGCAATGGCCTGCCGTTGAGGCTACACCACGGTGTTGTTTGGTCGCTAAGAACAGGCAACTTATCACTCTGGCCATACAACAACAAGATCTCGACTACCAAGCCGGAGAGTTCTTCTCGGACCGTTACCAGAGTGTTGGACGATTGACCCGGGACACCTCCACAGGTACGCCGTCTCTGACATAAATTATGCGGTTACTTTGTGGGCAGTATGACAGGTTCTGTCCAGCCTCGTCGCAATCGCGACTGTCAGGAGTACAAAGCTTTCGATTCTATCCAGGCATGCCCACCACGACACACATACGTATACGTTGCCGATGTTCGAGAAGTCCCGCCGTTGAATTGCAAGCCGTTAGAGCTGACTATCGTCAAACGGCCAACATCTCACGAACTCTTCAGATGGATTGGTCCAGCCGTTTGAACGTCTTATCATTGCCGAGTCATCCATAAGATTACATGGCAGTCCCGGAGATTGAGCCAGCTGAATCTACTGTTTATCGCCTGTTTGTCCAGGTGTCAGCTTTCCTCATACCAGACAAACTTCTAACCACAGCACTGGCTTAGCACAGATGGCGTCAGCTGCGTCGGCAGTGTTTAATCAAACACCATGTATCATCTTCGATTCTGGCAAGGCCGGGCTGATCAGCATCGTGGAAGAGGAACTACCAACGGATGCCGGATCGCCATTAGCATCACCTTCAGTTCAAGCTCCCACATGGCGGAAAGTTGACTACTTCGGCAAGCTAGAGACTCAGAACATCAAAGGTCTCGGTGTCACATCAGCTTCTGGCACAGGATGTCCGTTAGCGTCAAATCCAGGAAGCAGCTCTCCTGAGGCGTCTCCTCGTCTTGCCTCTCCAAGGATCACTATAGCGGAATGGGGCATGGTACCACCACCTTACACATCACATCTAGGAACCAATCCACAATACTCGCATGTTGAATTATGGAGTCAAGCATCGCCGAAACTACCTCAATTATCTTCTGTGATACCTGACGTCTCCGATGATGAAGCATCACGGCATGGCTCGATTGCCGAGCTTGATATTCTCTTGCGAGAGGCATCCATTGTTCAGTCCCTGACTGAAAAATGCAATGGAGCAAAATCTAATATCGACATTTTGATTAGCGAGGAGTCGTCGGATGTTCTGGGGCCTTTACACTCACCACTGTCTCCTCTGACACCGTCCATTCGCACATCAGCATCTCCCCGGGCGTCTTCGGAGTGCCTCGGACGAACATCTTCGAGTGAAGATCATTTCGTAAATACTACAACCACGCCCAAGCGTTCTCATCTAGATCCTTCTAGTGTATTAAGGCAGATCAACAACTTTGCAGATCTGCATTCATTCTCTNTTGGACAGACTCCCAAGGCACGTAAGCAGAGTGGCGCAACTCCAGATCCTATGAGCATGGAGGGCGGCATTCAGCGGCCATCGTCCGCACGGGTGAGCCTTGGGAGCAGCGCTCTCCATGATGCCACGCAGGATGTGATGCTCGTCAACCCGATTACTGGCGAACGCAGGATGTCTGCTATCAGACCTGCTCTAGCAGGAGAGCAACTGGCTCGACCTAGCCTATTGCGGCGATGTTCTTCAGCAACTCCGATGTACACACTAGTCAGGAGGGACTCACTGCTAGCAGGTGGACGGCGGACTCCATCAACCGGATCAAGGCCTGGTCTTTCGACGAAAAATTCTTCGATACGGTCGTCTAGTGATATTCGACCTGTTTCATCCGCACAAATCCCTCATTCTCAGACTCCTACTCCGGCGGATGGTCAACGCAACCGCAATCTTTCGGCCTCAACACGACACATGTCTTCTGCTTCAAATACTCGTACCATGTCAACTGCACGAACTATGTCAACTATGTCTCAATCTTCCTACGTCCGCACCATGTCCACATCCGCATGGTCGTGGACGATGTCGACATTCACAAGGGCCTCTTCCACCAGTTCCTTAATAACCTACGACGTGGAGTCGGTGAGAAACGACAGCCAGCAATTCCAGAGTGACTGCGTTGATATGCAGACACGACGAAAGTCCTCTTTGTTCGTCCCCTTGTTCGGCCAGTTGCAATGGAACAATACAGACTCTGCCGTAGACCTTCCTGTATCAGAACCCGAGCCTGCATACCAAGAAGCGTTGGCAGACGTGGAAGAATATCCCGATTTTGTTAAAGTCCAGATCGAAGCGAAGGCAGGATCCATAGGCAGAAGAGCCTCGCTACTTGCCAACATCTTTACCAATCAGGATGTTGACGTGGATCCTGATCTCAAATTCAAACCTTCCGCATCTGAAGCAGAGATCAAGCAAGGAATTGCACAAGCGCAAAACGAAAGAAGCCAGCGAAAAATGATCTACTCTCGCAATGTTACGATGGTATCGCTTGCAACGATCAATGTAATTTGCGTTGCGTTATCGTTCGGGCTGTTCAGCGTCTGGTACGCTACTGCTCCTTTGATACTGGCAGCGCCTCTCCTTAGGTCAATCGTAACCGTTAATTTGCTCACGAGTTCTGTATATGAGAAGGCAAGACTCTTACTAAAACCTCAGAAAGAGGATCTTGATGTCCCCATCATGGATTACGCCACTGTCATATCCTTCTCCAACGAGAGATTCGAGGATATTCAGAGCACCCTCGACTCCTTGGTGGACCAGAAAGACGTCGACTTGCACAAGAACCTGTTGCTCATCTCATGCAACGATAATATATGGAACAGCGACTACGCCAAATCGACCACGAGGATCATACTTGAGCACATCCTCACCAACATAGTTGACGAAGCAAAGTTCCAGATGCCACGCGACGGCTCTGAGACTGGCTCTGATACTATGTGGTGTCGAAGAGGAATCTACAGAGGTCTGCCGTACGTTCTGATGGTCAAAGAGGGCGTGACCAAAAGGACTGAAGTTCTTGACTTGAGCCGAAACCTGCTCCAAGCATACAACCTTCGCAAAGAGTCGTACTTTAACTCAGTACCCTCTGCTTTCTTTGCTTGGTACAAAGAATGGGCTGAGTTGCACGACTTTGCGTCTTTCGACTTTTTGGTGAACATCAGCTCCGGCTCTCTGCTCGATGAGCACTGCATCTCGCGGCTGTACCGTCAATCTCTGCAGAGCCCCACTTGTGTGGCGATCTCGAGTCGCGTAGAGATCGATCCTCGCTCGTCCAGATGGAGTATTGGAAATCTTTCCAGCAACTCGCATCTTATGTATGATCAAGTCAGAAGTTCTCATCAGACGCAGATCATGCACAAGGCGAGCGTAAGTCCAAGTGCTTGCCAGATGCTCAAGATTTGTGAGGAGACCTGTGGCCCACAAGTCCTGGAAGAGATCAAGAAGCGCCGACCTTCGTCCATGAGCAATATGGTGAAGCAGATACGTTCATCTCTCGAGGAGGACGACATGATGTACGGAGTCCCAGAGGTAACCACCCTACAAGCCGTCCATGCTGTCACATATGCCCGTTCATCCACCACATTCTCCGAATCATTAGCGCACCGTCAAAGGATCGCGTTTTCGACTTGTGCTACAAACCTCGCTGTTCTTTGCGACAACCACATGCATTGGTTTGAGAGACTGTCATCTGCCGCCGAGTTGCTGGCTTGGTGTCTTCCTCTCTTGTCTCTGGCCGTCATTGTCAACTTTCTCAGATCAGCTGCATTGCAACAAAACATCCTGGTGTTAGTTGTGCTCAGCGCTATCGTTGCATTGCCCTGGATATATGCAGTCACATCTGCAATGAGGCTGGCTCGCTCCTGGGATGCACGCTTACGCTACCTGCTCGGCTTCCCAATCCTGATTGTCACAGGGCCTTTCATTGCCATCTATGTTGCCGTCTCCACCCTGTTCAACTCACATCGTCTTCGTCCGGAACAGCCTAAGCGAAGACGTCCTTCCGCTGTTACTGTACAAAATCAACGTTCTGATGTTTGAGGGCCATTCTAAAAATGGTTTTGTCGTACCCTTCTTTTCTTCCTAGATACCCCATTTTTATAAAATGTATATAACATATCATACCTTGACTTTGCTTGGTCGTTCTGCCGAGATCAACTCACCTTCTTTCTGAATCTCATGACCATTGTATGCCTCTGAACGAAATATGCAAGTAGGCTTAACAAAACAAATCCCCCAATCCTGAAAGCGTCTTTTTATCCATCAATCTGCGTCCAAGAAGATTCGGTCTTGTTGTTCTAATTATCATTGTAAAGCCTTCATGAATCGACATTATCAAATGCACAAAAAAATGCCAAGCCACGATCCAACTGCCGCAACGCCCGCCAATTTCGAAGCCTGAAAAATTTTCCCCAGCCACCCAAAACCAAAGGCAACCTTTTACGGCACCGAAAGGATGATCTACATGGGCAAAAGGAGATGTACTGGTCAGTACGGGGTCGAACCCGCGACCTTGGCGTGCCATATATCATTGGTGGATATTAGCACCACGCTCTAACCAACTGAGCTAACCGACCTGCTTGATGAGGTGTTCTTCGTTTATCAACATTAAGACAGTATACATTCATAATGTATGGCACGCCAGAACGACTTGCTCTGACCTGTTTGAGTGGAAACCTGTCTTCTTTTTGGCGTCCTTAAGTTGTTGCTGAATGTGTCTAATAACATGCCTCAGAACTGATGGGCATTCAAGTGGTGAAGCCTGGTTAAAGGCATATATGATCATTTCTCGCAACACAGTTAGTATATGCTCTTTGTAATTTGCGATGTGGGCAGGCTACTCATCAAGCACCATTTCAGTGACTGGGATATCAATGAACACTTGATATTGGGTCGTGCTGCTGCCTCTCGAGATGTCATTCAGTGCTTGGGGATGACCCTGGCATTGAGCATAACCTGCACAATTATATGGTCAGTCATAAGTCTTGGAGAAGAGAACAGATCTTTTGACCAACGAGGACAATATCCGCGATCATTGAACGGAGACAAGTACCCTACAAGTTGTCGCTTCTGAGCATATAACCGTTATGGACGCTTACAAGGACCATATACCGTTTGGGTCTCAATTTGTCAAACGTAAAAGCAGGACTCCATTCTTGACTGTATAAAATGACTAGACGACACCCCCAAATACAATCTAAACGACCACAGCGCTGTGGATTCTGGCACGACTCTCAGCACTCTCGATGCCGCCAGTAAGAATAGTGTTCTTGCGCTGTTCCTCATGAGTAGCACGGTAGATATCAAACTTGTGAGAGAACCACTCGTCACAAGAAATCATCCTGCCCTCCGAATCGCGGAACATGGTGCCGTGGACGGGTCGGCAGAAGTAGGCGATGGAGTATCTGTGCGCATGCTCCATCTCGGCAACAGGCATCACTCGGTGCAGCACAGAGCGGAAACGCATACCGGACAGGAAGCGCAGCGAGTCGCCGACATTGCAAATGGCGTGGCCGGCCTTGGGTTGCACCCAGTCCCAGGCATCGTCCTCGGGCTTTGCACCACGAGCAGGAACTTGCAGGCCCCACTGTTGGGCGAACAGGAAGGCGATGCTGCTGATGTCGGTGTGCTTATTGTGCCCGACGTTTTCGTCGTCACGGACTTGACGAGAAGGGTAGCGGTGGAAGGTCATGGATGAGTTTGAAGGGCCATCGTCGTGGTGAGAGCGTTCGTAGCGCTCGGCGCCCTCAAGGCCTGTGGCATCTGACAGAGAAGACAGGAGGCCAAGGACATGCATGCGTGACTTGGAGATGAAGTCGTTAAAGAGTTGCTTAGATGCCAGAACCTGACTGGGAAGAGGCTGAACCGTCCAATCAAGTCCCTGTTGGGCAACCTATATCGAAGGCATCAGAGGTTTGTCCGGCAGACAACATTTCTCATTGAGCCAACTTACTCGCAGAGTCTCGAAGCCATCCTTTGACTTCTCAGTGGCGCCGGTCTGGAGTCCAAGTGGCTTGTANGCTGGGAAGTCTCGATCAGTACATGACCCGAACAAGACTATCTGGAAGTCGACTTACCCTTGCACATCGGATTCATATGCAAATTTGACCTTGTCTTCCATGGGACTTTCGAACCAAGAAGCCATGATGTTGAGGACATTCTTGTAATCATCCCAGAGACCTTTGCTTTCTGCATCCAAGAGGTTGAGATAGAAGAAACCATCCTGTTCGGCAGCAATCATGAGTCTGTGCTGCTCTTCGGGGTCGCGACTGGCGAGTTTGGCGAAGGAAATAGTCTGAAGCTCAGCAACAGGGAAGCTGCGGTCATCGGCATAAGGGCCACGAGCGAATTGGGCGGACATGTTGGAGTTGATTGAGAGTGCTGGCTGCTGTAAGGAGCTAGATATGGATTGAGTTGTTGATTTGAAGAAGAATATGGATCGTCAAGTGGCCTTTATATCCATTCGAAGTTTGTACTGGGCCATGAATATCAGAAAAGAACTGCCCTGACTAGGCCAGACCCTGATCCGCGCTGTCTGCAAGTATTGTCGAAGCGTGAGATGACCATGCATGATGCACGTCAGATCACATCCCCGGACAGCGCAATATAATTATTTCTCAACCAATAGGAAGAAGTAGGTTAGTTCGCTCCGATGTGCCGAAGAATAATATCACCTTGATGCAACAAAAGTGGTTGGTTGTCTACAAGGGCGTACTGCACATAATATGACTGTAGTACTCGTACCTGCATATGGCGGTTCTTGGAGCGCTCTTGGGCAATGACCACCGTGCCAATTCATCCGTGATCTGACACTACTCACCATTCAACTCCTGCACCTTATATCTCACCAAGTCTATGTGCTTCAAATATGGTCAATCAGCTGTCGCTGGAGTTCAAAACATCCCTTGTCCTGCACAGCTTCGCTAAATCAGTTTCTTGCTTCCCGGCATGTTTCATCTGATACTGTCTTCTGCCTTTGTCCTCTTGTACTATGCCATCTCCACAGTTGTGCCGTCGTCTTTGCACAGACTGCGGCTTGCAAGGAAGAAACCCGCTCTCTCCGCTCCAGTCAAACCTGTCAAACCCCCAATCACAAGATCCACCCCAATTGTCGACCGTGAACTCGAGCTCTATAAAAGCCTCTACCACCAACTTCACAACCTTGAATATCACGCCAAAGCATTACCTCAAGCACGAGATGTCTTGGTAAGCTTTCTCTCGGAAGCCATTGATTACGCAGACACTCTGTCAGAGCACAACATTCTTGACATTCAATCTTTCAATGCTGAGGCTCTTTCCGCGTTCATTCGGACCAGAGATGACGCCATCGGCCATAGGTGGGAAGCGTATGTTGACCGAAGACGTACAGGCGGTCAGCGAGAATTGTTCTCGGATAAAGCAGCAGCAGTGGAGTGGTTGAGACAGAGAGCACCAGTCAAATACGTGGATGGTGCATGGTTAGGCCACATACACAAGATCTCAACGCCGTTCGACCTCCGATCTGTCACCAAGGATGCCTGGCAAATTCTGTCCGAGGAGTTAGGCGACGGTGATCTTGAAAAGCACCACGCCTATGTCTATCGCCAACTCATGAAAGACATAGACGCCAAACTACCAGAGGCCAATAGCATCGACTTCATCCAGCCTGAACTTGGACTGGACAGCAAGGCGAACTGGAAAGCCGCGTTGGCTCAACTGGTCATCTCGCTCTTCCCAAACGGATTTCTTCCCGAGATACTGGGTTTCAACCTACATTTTGAGCTCTTGACCTGGGACACCATGAGAGCGATCAAGGAGCTGAGAGAGTTGGGCATCGACGATTATTACTTTCGCTTGCACGTCTCCATCGACAACTCTGATTCCGGACACACGGCGATGGCATTGAGGGTTGTTCTTGCCTACATGCACACGGTCCGCGAAACCGAACGACCAGCGAAAGTTTCAGAAACCTGGAGGAGAATCCAAGCTGGCTTTCTGATGTCTGAGATGTTTGACCGTGCCGAGACAAGCACGTCACAGTCACGCGGAGCCAGTGACACCTTGACGCCATTGGAGATCGAGGTTGTCCGAATCTTCAAATCCAAAGCCGCTGTTTCGCAGAAGCTACACTGCGCCTGCCGAGTAAAATTGCTAGGCAAATCTTTGGCAGAATGGCTCGATCCTCAATGTTTCGCAACAGAGGACAGCCAAAAAGCCTTCATCGACGCTCTCGGCAAAGCAAAACCATGGATCCGGGCCGGAGACAGCAAAGGAAGCATGTTCATGCAACAAATCTCGTGGAAAGGGCAGATGTTTGGGGCCTTTACCCATACGGAGATTGAGCTGCTCGAACGGTGGATCGACTCTTTGGCGCTGCCAATCTCTTCTGACAGATATCGAACATTCTGTCGAGCACATGACAACGAATCAGTAAAGACGTCAAAACAAGACAATGTGTTCACAGACTATCCAGTCTTTCACAAGGATTGCCTGATCCAATGGCCCCTGGAGACCGACCATTATGCGCTCCTGGAGCTCAACGTCGACTTCAAACGACCACCAAAGATGGACAAATTCCTTTCTCTCTGGTTTGCGCACCAAGGCTTACTCGAATCATTCGTGACTGTCCCTATAATGACTTGCAGCGAATCATTCTCGGCTATCATCAAAGTGTTACGTGTCCAGTATGGCTTCAAGACCGAGCAAGTGAATGTCGCCGGCATGGACGAGTATCTCCGAGGCGATGTGATAGATCTTGTTGGCATCGGCTTGCACATCATGGACCGGGCTAATCTTGGAAACCCCTCCTCTTTGGCTGAGGTGATGGCATCAAGAGACGCATCGCATGCTGAAGTAATGCTCGATCTCTCCATGAAGCCTTTGGATAACGCGAATGTTCTTGTTGGTATGGCCACAGCTTTTGGTGATTTGAAGTCCGGCATGGTATCCAGTACCCACTGCAACCTTCTCGGACCAGGTATGTCAATCGTATTGAGAAGGATGGTGGAAAGAGAAAGAGACGGACTGAATGTGTGGCGTACTGGACTAGTCAAAGGTTCACCAGAGGACAAAGAATATCGTAAGGGATTTGCTTGGGCCAAATCAGCAATAGAGGAGTGTTTTTGAGACCTTTTGTTTCGATTGTTTAGCATCTTGTCCAGTATCTTATGTAGCAAACTTTGGAATATCATACTCTCGTCCAAATCATCAACCTCCATTCAGCTTGGTGGCAAAGTGCATGCCCTGGTCATTTCCCATTGTTGTATATGAGAAAAGAGACGATTGCCGACGGAGTGGATCGATCGACCATGGCTTGGTGTATACTGCACGCTTTCAGTAGATATAATGCTGGGTGACCGATCTAATCGAATGTACTTAAGATCAGAAAGAGACAATACGACCTAAACAAGATGAGCTGACCAAAGAAACCTTACTGTATAAAAAGTGAAAGATCAGTCTACCACACCATACAGTTTGGATCTGCACCGAATTGCAGTAACATATGCACGCCCGCTTCAAACCCCGTGTCAACAGCTATATGCAATGGGGTTCTTCCCAGACTGTCCGTGGCATTGAGTAAAGTCGACGCTTCCTTGGTGTGACCCAACAACATCCTCAAAGCGGCTTCTCGTCTATACAAGACCGCCTGGTGAAGTGCCGTGCAAGACTCGAAGTTCGGAGAGCTAAGTCGAGCGTTGTGAAGTAAAAGTGCCATGATCACATCATCGTGACCGCCAATGATAGCATGAGCCAGTGGCGTGAGTCTAAGATAGTCCGGTTGGTTGCAGTCAGCTCCATGTTCGAGCAAGACCTGAACTATGCGGTCGCGGCCGTCTCGCGCTGCAGTGTGGAGTGGACTGAGGCGATTTGCTTGCTGATATGATGGCGACACATTGTTCGGAGCGGACTGGCTACAGGCTGAGTGTACATTGTCAGACATGAAGAAGATAGGCTGTGTGTCTTGTATATGGTGATGCTGAATGTTTGGTGATAAAGGCAATGAACCCGAGAGGGAGGAACGTAGGATACGGTCATCTTTGTCAAAGGAGAAGTGCGGGCTGAAATAGCCAGCCTCGACGCACTGAACTCCGTCCGACAGATAGTCCGGCGTTGCAAGAGTGGGAGTCATGGTACATGTCGACTCAGTCGGACCAGGCATGTTGCTAAGGCGCGAGATTGTCATATCTTTGGTATGATCGAGACTGACACAATCGGGCCAAAGATCCGCAGCAAGATCGCAGCCCAGACTTGTCGAGTCATTTATCCATATATCCGTCCACTCTTCGAAGACGCTTGATCTTGAGCTGGGGCTGGAGCTCAAGCACGAACTTGATCGTCCGCCTGATTCTGCGCTATCCGAGATACATTGTGCATTGTTCATACGTTTGCGGGACTTGTCCGCCCCTGATGCGCTTCGCTGGCTTTGCTTTTCTGTCACACAACACGTCAGTCGCTGAAGACCGTAGATATACCAGAAAAGGCTTACCACGATATTTGCGTTGTGCCAGGCGGTTTTGCTCACGCTTCCGGGCGAGAACTTCGTCGCTTGTCAGACACATCAGGCCAAGTCGAGGAATTGAGACGCGGTGATTAAAGTGGAGAAAGATTTGTGGAATGGCTCGATGTAGGTTGGGCGGCACGACCTTTGATATATGCGTTCGGTCGGATTTCGTTGGATTCTGCGACTCAATGACAATAAGCGCCTGCCTATTGCGCAATTCTTGTTCGAGGTTCATCGCACAAGGCTGGACCGGTGAAAGTTTGTACTCACAGGTGCTAGTGCTGAGGACACCTGGTCGATATCGCGTATATCTCTGCCCGGGTACAGAAATTGCAGACGGACATGCTGGGACCTTGCAGAGAGCGAGGGTTATGCCCGTGCTCGGATGTCATGGTCTCGAATGAGCCGCCACATACCGACCTATAGTTTGTTGAAACGTGATTGAATGGCGACAGGTGATCTGCGCATGTGTATGTGATTATAAGAGGTCAATGGTCGTGATTGAAGTTCATCAGTTATTGGACCCTCGTTGACGGCTCGGCGCGAATGTGCTGCAGAATCAGGGACTACTGCCTAAGATGCGAAATGGTGCCTGACGGTTGATGATCTGCATCACTTTGGAACAAAGAAGCCGCGAGCCTGTCGAGTCGCTTGCTTGATGAATCCATCCGTCGGAGAAGGCTCAACAGAGCTCGTACCACTTGGACGGGATTTTACCGAAACTCGCAATTATCGCATCTCCTAGATGATTTGGGCCTCTGCTGTGATGTATAGCCACCGGTGTAATATACCCAACGTTCTCCTCATGACTAGCCGTCCCTTCTCCTGTTGTGGTGAAAGTCAGAAAGAGTGTGAAAGCGTGCCGTCTTTGCTGACATGAATCGGCATTTCTCCACGGCTCGGGCCTCCCGTTCCCACTCTGTCGGACGAAGAGCCACGCCCTGCTTGATCACTCCGTTGCGACAGCGCGCCCTCGTTGACATGTCTTGGCCACGCCCTGACTGACATTTTGCTTATACGCCCTGCTTGACAACTTCCTTCACGCCCCGGTTGACATTTTGCCTACCATATAATGCTGAAAGGAGTTTCTTTCGCAAAAGCATGCAACTAGCTATAAGAAGCGCTCCTCCGAGCGAGGAATGTAGGTCATCTCCCATGCTTTCCATAGTCGCCGCGGTTCCCTCTTTATCTTTCATACACAATGCACGATCCAGAGAAGCAAGTCTCCACAGACGAAGCTGTCAATGTCTTGTCAAACCGCGACTCTTCGGTTCAAGCAACAAACCCGAATGACCCTATATACNCCCCTCAAGATGGTGGAAAAGGCGCCTGGCTATTTCTCTTTGGAGCTTGTATCATTGAAGTCACAGCATGGGGTACGTTTCCCTTAATCCTATCTCCAAGACACAATATACTCACCATCCACANNGGTTTCCCATACTGCTATGGAGTCTTTGAAGCATACTTTATCTCCCATCCACCTTTCGCAGGCCAATCCCTCATCTCCACTGGCGGCGTCCTTTCGAATGGCATCCTACAACTCTCGCTGCCTCCAGTAATGTACTATGTCAATAACTTCCCCAAGCATCGAGTGCCAGTCATGTGGGCGGGTTGTATAATCTGCACGGTGTCTGCCATTGGTGCGGGATTTGCGAAGACAGTGAGTGGACCTTTGCAAATGGAGTCATCCTTAAGAGCTGACATTTGGGAACAAGNNCCTTTGCAGCTTATCATGGCGATCGGATTGTTGTATGGCATTGGTGCGGGGATGCTCTTTGGGCCTTCCATCCATTTGATGGCTGAGTGGTTCAAGGTGAAGAAGAGTTTGGCATACGGCTTCATGTATGCGTCTCACGGAGAGCTCCTGTTCTGTGATCATCTGCTAATGTTGTCTCTAGCTNGTGCAGCAGGTGCAGCCGCTGGAGCAGGATTACCGCCAGTCTACACTGTATGCCTGAACCAATATGGCTACAAAGTCACTCTGATCGGCTGGGGCATCATTACGTTTGTCGTTACGTCCATCGGCTTATTATGCGTGAAGCCTCGCTTGCCTAATTCAGCACAACCACTACCACCTGCGCCGTCAAGAAGAGACTTTGATTTTGCGAAGAAGCCGCTTTTTCTGATCATGTTGCTTGCGACCATGGTGCAAGCGATTGCCCATTACGGACCGAGTCTGTATCTTCCTTCCTTTGGCGCAGACTTTGGTTTGTCCGCTTCTGAGGCGGCTATGCTGGCCAGTTTCTTGAATCTCGCTCAGGCGATTGGACAGCCTTTACAGGGATGGCTTGCGTAAGTCACATCAACCATGACTGACAGACTGTTGATGAGAGATGTTTCGTACTGACTCGCGTGACAGCNNGATTGGCGCAAGTCCTACTATATCCCTATGCTCATCAGCACCATCGGCGCAAGTCTGGAAGCCCTCTTGATCTGGGGCTTCGCACGCAACACCTGGTCCCTCTCCCTCTTCGCCTTGGCATTCGGCAGCACGGCAGGCGGATTTGCAGTCTTGCGACCTCGCTTTGCTGCCGAAATCGTCGGCGATCAGGATGAACAAGATAACCAGAGTTTGCTCGTGTTTGCCATCTTGACAGCGAGCCGTGGCTCCGCTATCATTGGCTCTGGCTTTATCATGAAGAGTCTGGTGCATCAAGGAAGCTCGACCAAGGGTTGGGGTGGGGGCCCGGCGTGGTCAAACCTCGTTATTTATACGGGCACCATCATGTTCGCTGCCAGTTTTGGAGCGGTGGGTATGTTTGTTGGTCCTACGAGGCGGTTCGGGAGCAGAAGACACGCAAAGGACTTAAAGGGTGAGAGAACACTGGACAGGACCGACAGTGATAGCGCGGGCGAGCTTGCCTGAGTTTGGGAAGATCCAGGACCAGGTGTATCACAAGATCTCTGTCGGTTCGACCAGGTTCGGCGGTAAAGATCAAAAGCCAGCAGACGGTGTATTTTCATGAATCGCATGCTCAATCCACAGTCTCAATTCTCGGCTCAGTCTCGCTCTGAACATCATCGATGACCGATATCCTCGAGCCAAAGCTCTCGTCCCAAGGCAACATTAGTTGATCGAAGAACAAATCTCCACCGTCGTCGTTGTCGGCAGTCCACGGCCATGTGTTCGCTGTCTCTGATGCCGATAAAGACAGATTAATTTGTGCACCAAGCGTTTTCCGAAACACCCACTCGGCAACAACCAGCATCTCTCCTAAAAGTCCTGCATCAGGCCACGGACCGGCAATGGTCTCAAAGGGCAACGCCTTGTGCAGAGGTACTCGTGAGGCAGAGAATCGCAGATATCCCTTTGGGATGGGTCCTTCACTCTGAAACAAAGCAAACAGAGCGGATTGATGTTGTTCTTGCGATAGAGAAGGCATGGAGATACCAAGATCATGGTAGACTTCGAGGTCCTCAGCTGGTCTAACTTTGCCTTCGGTAAGACAAGTCAAGATATCCAGACTATATGCCTTTTTGAAGAGGTCCAGCCATTCGGGGTTGTCAGCTGCTGTGCTGATATCAGCATTGGCGGAACCATAGGTGAGAAGTCGAGCTTCGTTTTGAAGCTCTACATCCGAGACGGGACGACTTTGTGACACCCTCTCTTTGATCAAGCGATGCAAGCCTGTTACAAGAAACTCCCACGACCTGTTATGCGCGAGACCCGGGCGACGTTTAGCATTGGATGCGCTGAAAGGAAAGGGACGTAGACGTTCCAGGCCAATGAGGAATGGTGGCATGGCTGCAGTAACTTGAGCAGATACTGCACCATCAAAACCTCTGCAACCCTTCCACATGCCCATATGATAGCCATTCTTAAAGTGGCTCGCGATGTGTTCATTTCTTTCATTCCACAGTGTGAAGCGCTGACCACAAAAGCCACAACGACTGTTAACCCATACAGCTTCCAGAAGCCAGTGGTCCATGTGCGGAAGCATATCACACTCATGTACAGAACGCAGATGCTGACGAAGGTGGTCCTTGCGAAGGAATATTCTAGCCTCAGGGTTTCTTGATTGGCAGTACTGATGATTGTGGGACGCGATGTGCTCTAGAGTAGGCGACTCAAGACCACAGTATGCACAGATAGGACTGCCGGTGCTTGAACATTGCTGCACAGCCGAAAANGGACAACAGATATAGCGTTTCAGTGGTAGGTGAAGGGATGTCTCATGCCTAGTCCAATCATATCTGGTGGGGAAGGTGTCGGTGCAGAAGGTGCATTGAAACCTCTTCTGTTGTGGTTGTAAAGAGACGCTTTGTTCGGCGACTCTAGACTCGAGGTTAGCTTGTGTGCCTTGTTGTCCATGATGTGGCGAGGAGGTTATGAGCTGATGCACGGCTTCTGGTGTATCTTTGACTGAGCGTGCAACCTGCTTCCGTCGACGGTAGTTTGCGAACCATGTATTCAGCTGTCGCGCGTCCAAGCCAGTCACCTCCTGGAGAGCCGTCTTTTCTGCAGTTGTTGGATAAGGGTTTTCTCGGTGCGTACGAGTCCACTCGGTCAAGACTTCGGCAACAGCGTTTGGAAAGCGAAGCAGGTGTCGCGTAGTGTCATTGTTCTTACCCTTTCTGTCGGGTTTGACACAGTCCTTACACATTGCGGTTGGGCCGTCAACACCAAGATGGCTACTCGTAGGAAATCATGTGGTGAACAGCGACTTCGAATAAAGACAAAGGATTTGGTCATGCAACAGGGTCAGTCAGATACATATTAACCTGGCCCGACAACAAAGCGGATGAATGTGGGCGATTGTCTAGACCCTGAGCCTTGTTATGAGATGGAATTACAAACAATATTCCCCGCAGGAAGAAGCAATTCAGATGGCCCAAGCGCTGGCTGACTTTTGTGATTTATACAGGGCAGCTCAGGTGCAGATAGATATATACATGACATACAATTCGTAAAGTTTTGAATTCCAGCATCATGACCGACAGTCCCACTCAAGAGCCATGATACCGCTGTCGTCACCTTGCCATACCCTGCCGGCGTGGTTTTCCTTTGCAACGGCAGAGCGCAAAGCAGTACCAATCTCCATAGGTCCAGCACCAATGACTTGACTTCTACCGCCACAGATCGCCGCTCTTTCAGCGAAGTCGCAGACAACATCCTTGATCGAGGGATGAGCGCCGCCAAGGTATGTAATCTCGAAGTTGTCCTGAGGTGTTACCAGGTCATTGGAGGAGGAGACAATTACACCATTCTTTTCACTCTTAGCACGCTTGCTACAGCATCCTTTGCCCTTCTCGGATATGGAAGAAGTGGAAGAAGTCGATGATTCTGGCGGTGCTGTCTCGCGAGTAACGAAGACGCGTAGACGTAGGCCATTCGCTTTGCCAGAAGACATCCATGACTTGAGCTCCATCAATTCTGGTGCAATCCAGGAAAGGTCTTGGATTTTGCGGATAATCCAAACAAAATCGACAGCACGAGTGCCTCTTTGAGCGACGGTAAAAGTATCCTGAAGAGTTGGGAGCACAGAAGTGACGCCTGTGCCGCCTGCCACAGTCAAAAGATTGGAGGAGGCGGCTTCCTCAGTAGATGTGCCTCCATAGGGTCCGGTGAGTATGACGGAAGTAGCACAAGAATCTCCGCCAGTGGCTTTGGCAATTTGAGCAAGCTTGGCAGTGATACCGGAGCGTTCGCGGATTAGGTAGGTATGGTGCTGAATATCGCTGCGACCATCGGGAAGAGATGACGGCGTGAAAGGATGGCTCTGCCAGATGTTAAGTGCAGGGAAGCAGAGGTAAAAGTGTTGACCGGGCTTCCAGGCGGAGTGCTTGAAGTCGAAGTCAATACGCACAACCGAATCCTCGTCGTCACCATAGTGCTGAACAGTAGCAATGGCGCTATGGAAACCAAGACCAGGCTTACCCTTGCGGTATCCGACGTGAAGCAGTGCAGTTCGAAGGAATCTGACTCCAAAGTCGGCAAGCACGATGACGAGAGAAGCAATCATCCAACACGCCAGTTTGTCCCAATGCCCCCAACATGCTCCGAGATATAGTATGCCAATCAAAGCATGGGTCTTCTTAAAGAACTCGTATCCGGTCCATTGAATGGCCCAGCTGGTGCTGAAAACGTACAAGAAGGTAATCATGATCTGAGCAACAATACCCCAGACAATGTACTTTTGCTTGATGAATGCGGTATAAGTCTCCGGTTGCGGCTGGTAGAATCTCCCTTCGACAAGTGTCCAGACCAATGTGTGCAGAAAAGACTGGATGAAAATGACTCGACCAGTCCATCGATGCAGGAAATTGAAATGTTGGTATGGAACACCGGTGATGAGAGACAAGATGCTCTCACGAGAGCAAAGAGCAATTGTGAGTGGCGTCAAGGCATAAGCCAGGGCGCCAACACGGTCGCCCCAGCCTCCGAAGCCTGTTCTGATTGTCTTCAATTCAGGATGCTTCTTGGTAGGTGTGATCCAAGTTTTATAAGTAACACCGACGAGACTANNTTTTTGAGTCAGCTTGACAACAAACCACGCAAGGTTACAACCAACATACGAGAATATTAACAAATAGCCAAGAAGCGAAGATAGCACTGTAACTTGTAACAGAGTCACTCGTCCGAGAACTCCTCTTCCCGGAGCCTCGGAAAGCATCCATCGCCTTCCCATAGATCCGAGAGAGTCCAACCCACGCCGAAGTGGTGTCTTGATATTTGATGAGCGAGTTACGCTCTCGCCATAACGCAATGAGAGCATTAACATAAGAACGCCGCCCAAGACTGCCCAGAGAATGAAGGTGTAGAGCATTGATATCTCATGTGAGTGGTAGACAGAATCCAGATATGCACAAGTGCCGGCATCTTTGGTGCATGGTAAAATCCGATCGGGATACGCCCAGTAGTGTTTGACTGTGGAATTGGCATCAAGCTCTTGAATATGCCGTGTCTCAAGCATCGTGCCTAGGGAAAGCTAGACTGGTGTCCAGCGAGAGAGTGTGGTCAAGGAAAGAGCCAAGGAGTCTCTGAACACTGAAAGCGGCCAGGTTAGAAGACAGGAAAGAGCGTCCGGTTATATGCAAGCACGTGTGGTAACGTGTGTCGGCTTGGCGTGTCGAAAGATGAATGCGATACTTTCCCAGTACGTGGGTGGGAGATGCTTTTAGAATGAGAGCGTGCAAACCATGTGCTTCTAGATTCGAGGCGCGAGCGGAGTCCGAAGACCATCGTGTCAAAAACGTACCGATGAGGGCATGGATGGCTGAGGACGCGGGTGTTTCGCCTGCCAAGCATGAATCTTGCTCAAATATGAGCATGTTTAAAGCTTGGCCGTGCCGCCATGTGGGTCTCGAAACATGTAAAGTCCGGAAAGCGTTTTGGGTTCGTATGCAAACAATGCTCGGGTATTGGTATATAAATGCTGAGTGGACGTGGCTGTTCCTCCTATAAGTGATTCTCCTAGTGGTTCAATCTCCTCGCTGCTCTCGTACTCTGCGTCCTCCTGTTGCTGTTTCGCTAACATCTCTTTCCAGTTGTCTGCAAACTCTCTCAAGGCACCAGGTCCGCCCTGACTTGCATCAACGACATCTCGTGGTAGCTTGTGTGCGCTGTACTGTGGCGTGTTGAAGCTGTAGGCTTCAGGATCGTCCTTTCTGATCAAACGGAACTCTGGGACCCAGATTTCTTCGTCGGCTTCCTCGTCATCATCGTCCTCCATGTCTGTTCTTCCCTCCGTGACTTCACCTTCTTTTGCGTCGGTCGCTTGTGAGTCGGATTGCTCCTGTCCTTCTGTAACAGCACCGACAGGTCTGATAGGAATGCGAATGACTTTCTCCTCCGGTGGTTCGGGTAGTGTCAAAAGCTCCAGCCAGCTGAATAATAAGGGGTCTGTCCTGACTGCCCAAGGATTGACGTCGATTAACCAGACACGATCATGCGGCGGAGGAACGTAGACGTCAAAGACAAAGTCGGCGTCCGGAAAAGTGTGCTTAAGTCTATCGTCAAAGAAATTGTGTATGACATGGCGTAACTTGTCTTGCATGCGGAAGAGGAAGTCGAAATGATTCAGATCCCGTTGGCAGAGAGCAATGAGTTTACGATTCCTGACAAAGCACCTGAACTCGACCGAGGGATTCATCTGGAAGAATTTGCGCAAGACTAGGTGATATGGAATGTCGTTCGTAGTTTGGGGGATGTCATCGGAAGGCGACTCGTCTCCGGTGCAGTCGTCGTAGGCATGCTCGAGATCGTGGGTAACAAAATCGGAGCTCTTGAGGAGCAAGTAGATATCGCTGGGCAGTCTGCACTCCATACTGTTGGTCGCAGCGATCCAGGTAGCGTCTTTGGGAGCGGACCAGTTCAGCTTAGGCACGACCTTACCACCAAGCTCTGCGATGGTGTTCTTGATGGCTCGGTGGATGTTGCGCCACTCGGCAGAAGGATCCTCCTCTTCATCGTCGTCCTCTTCTCCGGCGGTATCAGAAGCCGAGAAGATGCCAGAATCGCTGTCTGACCAGTCGCGGCGAGGATCGTCCTCGTCTGGAGGGATTACAATGCCGTCTGCGCGCAGATAGTCGAGAAAGGGACGGGTAAGAGGGATAAGGCGAGCCTTGGGAGATATAGGACGATATCTAGCAGTGAGTTAGTCGAGGTGGTCTGCAAGACAATAAATCAGAGCGAGGTCATACTTGGGATACCAGTTGTGGTATGAGCAATGGATGATGTGCGATTTTGTGAGAGGCGCAAANGGAAGCTCGGTCAGAGGCTGCGGAGCCTCGAAATGTTCTTCTGTGGCCATGCTGTATGATTGACGACTGAGAAAAGACACAACAGCAAACTGCAGGCAGGCGGCTACCTCAGAGAAAGAGTAGAGAGAAAAGGCGAGAATCGCATGAAAATGCACCTCATCTCGGTATACAGAAGTCTTGGCTCGACTTTTCGAAGCCCCGCCTTGAATGACTTCACTCTCGTCTTCTGCTTTCTCCCTCCGTACTAATCAAACCATCTCATCCATCATGTCTTCCAACGTCGGACTCTCTACGCCACGCGGCAGTGGTACCTCTGGCTATGTCCAGCGCAACCTCTCCCACCTCAAGCCGCGCGACGCCGCTGCGCCCTACACCAAGGACCACGATCTTCTCAGACATCGCCAGCGCCAACCCGACAAGGAAATTCTCGAACACGACCGCAAGCGCGAGATTGAAGTCAAGGTCTTTGAGTTGCGCGACAAGCTCGAGGAGGAAGAGTACGCACGCTTACAGAATGCTTCTAACCAAGCACGCAATGCTAACGCACGAACAGGGNTCGACGAAGACGACATCGAGGACCAGTGCACCGCCCTACGCAAGAAGCTTCAAGCCGAACAATCAAGCAAAAACTCCACTACAAACGCAAGAGGTCTCAAGTCACACCAAGTCCACGAGCTAGCCAAAGCAAAGATTGAGGAAAGCGAGAAACTCAGACGCGCTTTCGGCATCAGCAAAGACTACGAAGAAGGCAGCCACTGGAAGAAGCAGGAGGAAAAGGCTCGACAAATTCAGGATCGCCAAGCAGAGGAATCGAGAAGGGCAAAAGAAGAGGATGATTATTCCGACTAAGAAACAGCTTGCTGTTTAGGTCTGTTGCTTTTGAGCGTGGCGTTGGAACAGGATACTCGGGTCGCATTATTACACGGTCAATCAGGATTGCACGCTTTGAACCTTTCCACCAACACCAACAACCAACTCTTGGCTGCACATCACTTCGACACTCCTGCCATCTGGCCCAGTCCACTGTCCGTTCTGCTGACTGGGCTGTTATCGCGTTCACTTCTCGAGCTCCTTCTAGTCGACATAGTCTCTGAACGTCTCGGGCTGCTGCTGCTGCTGCTGCTAGTCCTGGTAGGGCTCCGTACTGCTAGCTGCATGTTCTTGTGTACCGGGAAATTCGAGGGCGTCTGTGTGGTGGACGTGGTCTTGGAAAGCTGTCCTGATCCCTTCGAGCCATGCCAGTTCGCTCGCAGCTCTGCCTTCTTGGCCTCGCCCGACATGACAAGTTCCAATCCTTCTTCCCAGTTGTCCTCATCCAGCATGAATCTCTCGCGCTTGGGTGATAGACAACCCCTATCCTGGACGTCGTAGAGAAGTTCCATTTCGACCGCCATGGAGAAGTTTGTCGTTTCGCCTTGCACGTACAAAGCTCCGAATATCGCGCTGCAGACCTCGCGCTCCAATTCGGCGAAACTGCGATATAACATCGAGGGGATGTAGAGAACCGACTCCACTTGTCGACATGCTCGACGCGATGAGACATGAATTTGCCGGCCAACGAGCGGAATGCGCAGGGTGTAGCGAGTGTTGCGAGACCACGTCGATGCTGAAGTTCCTAGGCTCGACTTTCGAATATGTTCTGAAGCGCTCGAAGCGGTCTTCATGGTGGCTGCCTTGCTCTGGCTGCTGGCGAGCATCCTGTCTGAGAATGCTGTGAATAATCCTGAGCCCGTAAAGATGGATCTTTCATATCCTCGCTAGCTTTTCCCGTTGGAGGTTGGGTGGAATAGGTATGCTATGAGATAGTTGTTGTATGAGAGAGAAGAATGAGTGGAAAAGAGGTGCTCGCAGAAGAGAAGGCAGGCGAGAAGACCGCCGTTTAAAAAGGTCGGTCATCAGTTGGAAGGGCCGGTCCATGCGCAACTTTGACCTTTGTGCATTTCCAAGTTTGTCCCATCTCCACTCCTCCAAACAGCAACAACTCTATCGGAAGTTGCGTGCCTCCTTCTGAGTCAGATCAATAGCAAATCTCCGCATTATACACAGTGTGACTATGATAACGTGAGTTTGAAGATGCCGGCTGACCGTCCGGGTCGAAACACAAAATCATGCGTTATACAAACTGCCGAAGTATCGCTCGCCCAGGGCAGCAGATTGATTTGAGCGGCTGACGACCTGTGCAAGTGGGGATCCTTCTTTGGGGCAGCGCCCTGTCTCGATACGCGCAGGAATTTCTCCAGCTCCACCTCTTCAATTGTCTTCCCCTTTTATTTCTCTCGCTAAACACAAACGAAAGCTCAACCACCTCTCTGGAGTGACGGCCTCTCCGTTGATCCATATCGATCACATTTTCTGCTTCACGGCGAGACAGGAATTACCACTGATGTGAACACCATGGACCCCAGACCAATCGGACGTGTCGTGCGACACGTTGCCCGATTCGATGTAGCCGCAAGGCCGGGGAAGCAACGCTTGGCCGAACGGCGATGGAGTTTCTATCTGGCTCAACGGCCGGACCCGACCAGAGGGCGATGAAATATCGACTTGGAAGTGATTGAGATCGCGGAGCGGTCGTTCAACAACACTACATTTGCATACCATAGCCTGCACTCCGCTCTGTCTGACCAAAGTTGACATGATACTTCTCCTAAGTAGACAAAGCAATGTGACAAATGAAAAATCTCGAGGTCTTCATCGTCCTCGACATTGCAATCAACAACTCGTCAGGAGCCAGCGTCCTTCCAACATTCTACACTGTCGACCATACGCTCGCCTTTTGTCCACCAGTCAACACGGAACATCGCCTCCCCTGGCTGACTACGACGGAACAGAGTGATGAGATCTGGCCAGTTGGCCTCGTTGACTTCGTTGGTGTTGTATGTCTTGGTAGACGACCCCAGCTGGTAAGTGACGAAGAGTCTGAAGCCGATGTCAAGGTCCTGGCGCTTACGCCATGGAAAGTACCAATGAGGACGTTTGGGATATTTCCTGGTGAGGCGGCAATGGAGATTCTTGAGGATCTTTTCAACCAGGATACGATAGTTCGGTGAAAGGCAGATGACATCCTGGAATACTGCCAGGTCGTCGGCGATCTTTGTGAAGACTGGATCGTGCTCCACAAGTCTGAATCTCATAGGAACGATGATGCCTCTGCTGCGAAAGTCATAGACGGTATGGTTGAGGTGGAGGCCCGTGTTGGTCTTGCTCTCGCTACCGGAGTCGAGGATCTTGGTGAATTGGCCTCGAGACATGCTTGCTGGATCTTGGTTCGGATACAGGTATGGGTATGGAATGGTGTGAGTGGGAGGAGGAGACTTCTGAGGAGAGCAAAGGAAGGCCATCTTATGCACACAGCTCTGTGTTGACCCCTCACTCGAAGCTGGTCGGACGAGAGCTACAAAAGTAAGGTGAGTTTCAGTCAATCAACTCATCATAAACTCTCGCTGGAGTAGCAGCCAAACACCACGGTGTGTTCAGCAGCTCGCACCAAACATAAACTCTGAACCAGCATGAGGTTCGTGAAGCTTATGTGCGGAGTATTTGCTCAGCTTCCTAGTCGTCTTCTCATTCGTCTTCTCACATCTTGGCCTATGGCCTGATCAACGAAAGTGCATATGAAGCTACAAATGACAGAACCTTACGCGATGGAGCGTTTAGGTAGTGAAAAGGACGAGGGCCAAGATGCCCATTGTGAGCTATGTATGCCGAGCTGGTGTTTGGAATAACCCATACTCGGAGTAGCAATACCAAGCGATGTTCCTGCAGTAGAATTGCGTACCGCAAATCTAGTCGATGGTTTCTAATAGTAAGTATACAATGTTTTGTAGAAGCATAAGCTTGCATACGTCGAGACTACATTTTATGCAAAAGTTATGGACACATATTCAAATCAATCATTTAAGACCAGAGTGACCTCTAGATCTCTCTGAAGTAAGACAGCATAGTGAGCGCGCAAGTCGCTTTGTTGAATGAGCAGCTGTGTGAAAGAAGATGGCCTGTTTAACTGATGTAGTGAAAAGCACAGACCACTCTTAAACCAAAAGCATGGACTGTTTCTGCGGAGGAAGGCGCAAGCACCGTGGCAAAGAGGACTGGTGTCTGCTCAGCGTGCTGCAGCTTCCACTCATGTAACACTGCAGGCTCTGCAGCGTCTCCAATTCACCAGAATTATAAAACTGGCCAATCTCCCTCTTGCGCTCAACGCTTGCCCTTAGAACCACTTCCTCCACCAACGACCCCTTGACCATCTCCAGCTGCGCGCACGCCCAGAACCAAAGCCGCCCAGCCCCAACAACATGGCAACCGATGGTGTTCAGCAAGACATCGAGTATGTCAACGTCGAAGACATTTCCAGATCTGAAGAAGATCAGAAGATCCTACAGAGCTATCACCGTCTCTCTTCGCGGCGAGTAGATCTCGTAGGCGATTTTGCCGGCCAAGAACTGTTCGCCATTGAGGGCGATTCCCTTCTTCTGCAGTGCTTTGAAAACTCACTACTTGATTTTGAGGATGGCTTCCAAATGCTGCACGCTGTCTACCTTGTAGAAGAATATCTCGCTCAGCTCCAGCGCCGTAACTGCAGATTCCACGTCGCTTTCTTTGACGCCCACCGTCAGCTCTGCATCCCCCAGAGCGTCAAATCAATCGATCGATCCAAGTACCTCCTTACACGAGCCGCGATAATTCGCCACCTCCAATCCAATCTGCAATCTGAATTTGTCGAGATTCACTGCTTCAAGGATCTGTACGACCAAGCTTTTGATGATTATCTGCGTAATTCTGCAGTGTACTTCTTGATGTGTCACGATGGAGCTCGTAGCCACACTACACAAGACAGAGATGTTCCCGATCCAAGAACCCAGCTGAGATCAGTTATTGTTCACTTCATCTTGTCCGGTTACAACGTCGCTCTGATCAATGGCTCAGAGTTCGTCGACACAAAGATCATGGCTATGGTGCTAGAAACGAAGAATCTCTCCCACACATTGGACCCAGCCCTGGACGCAAGCCCCAAGCAGCCAACTGATGTCTCGGAGCCCATCTCTTCCGCAGACATGAAGGAGATCGGAACAAGCACATCCGACCTTACTGAGAGAGAGCGTTTGACGGTTACAACTTTGTCTCGCTTGATCAAGACTTCATCCGCCTCGCCGAATGTGCAACAATTCACACATGACGTCCTCGCACACACTGCGCTTCTCCATGCCTTGCCCCTGTCAACTCGTAGTCTGCAGCACACTGCAGTAGTGAGCGACAACAAGGAGCATCTCTCTAGCTTCTGCGACCAAGCTGCTGAAATTCTGAGAGCTTCGAACTGGTCCCAATACCACCAGGAGTTGGAGAAGAACGAGTGCGATGTGGCTGATTTCTTTGATGGTCGTCTGTTCAACGTTATCTCTCAGGGTCTCGATCTCTCCTCGATGCCGGAAATTATGCAGAGCAAACTTCAGAAACTTAACGAATGCCTGAAGTCCATCTGTGATGGGTCGGTAACAAATGCTGATGCTGAGACGAGAAAACTGGAAATTACGTCGTTGGACGCTCCTTCCACAACTCCCACCGGAAATATCAGCGTGCTACCGTTCTCCAACCCTGTATTCGATCAGCATCTGACCTCCATTCGTCTTGGCATCGACGACCATGCATCCGAGGAGACTAGCAAACCTTCAGCTCGCATCTTCCAGGAGGTGTCTCACTGGCACAACGCCAAGAGACCCATCCAGACAAAGAACGCACCAGTCCTTTCTCCAAGAGACAAGATACGCGCTGACCGCAGAAATCAGAAGTACATGGATGAGATGCAGAAGTACGCTGCTAGTTTGACCAACTCTGTGGGAAGGGCACTCGAGCCCGAGACACTTCTCGTCAAGTCAGCAGCCGATTCGAAAGTCGCAAAGAAGTCTGAGAACAAGAAGATCAATGCTGAGCCCACCAAGACCGTCGACACTTCAAAGAAGGGAAGCAACCCTAAGGGCGGCAAGAAGAACGTCAAGGTCAGTGGCAAGCAGGCTGCCCAAGAGGCAGCTGCAGCGTTCCAAGCCAAGAAGGCAGAAGCTTCAGATTCCAAGGTTATGCAAGCATGGCACATTATCCTGAAGAGTCTGTCTGCTGAGAGTGACTTGCCGTCTCGTTACATCAAGACCAAGGATTATTTTGCTAGCTTGCCCAAGGACAAGAGAGAAGTTCTTGGTGCTGAGGTACAACTGTTCTCCCTGAGCACCTTGGTAGAAATTGCCATCCAATCAGGCAAGACGAACGACCAGGATCCCAATGGCATCGTTGCTTTCATCTGGCACACTGCCAGAAACCTCGTCTTATGCGACAACATGACCAAAACAATCTGCGAGAAGATCAAGCTTACCATGGACACATTCGGTCTCCCTCCTGTCGACTTTCCCAAGCCTACTCAGGACAAGTCACTGCCGTTCCGCTTCGCACTTCCTTTGCAGAGCGCAGAGCTCGTCAAGAACAAGCTATCGAGCAAGGCTTTCCAGCTTCTTCATTGTGGACCCTTCCTCGACCGCAGTATGGACGCTGCTCCCGATTCAAGAGTAGACTTCGAGCCCGACGGCTGGCAAAGAAAGGTACTTGACGGCATCGATGACAATAAGAGTCTGTTCGTGGTCGCGCCCACTTCTGCCGGTAAAACCTTCATCTCGTTCTATGCAATGAGAAAGGTCATCGAAGCCGATGATGAGGGTGTTCTCGTCTATGTTGCACCAACCAAGGCCTTGGTCAACCAGATCGCTGCCGAAATCCAGGGCAGATACTCCAAGAAGTTCAAGTACCCTGGAAAGAGCGTGTGGGCTATTCACACCAGAGATCATCGAATCAATAACGCTACAGGATGTCAAGTCCTTGTTACTGTACCTCACGTGCTTCAGATCATGCTTTTGGCTCCCTCGCACGCCAACTCATGGGCGACTAGAGTGAAACGCATCATTTTCGATGAAGTTCACTGTATTGGCCAAGCTGAAGACGGTGTCGTCTGGGAGCAGCTTCTTTTGCTCGCCCCTTGCCCCGTCATCGCACTCTCGGCTACAGTCGGCAATCCTGACGTTTTCAGTGACTGGCTGGCGACCACCGAGAAGGCCGCGGGTATTGACTTCGAGATGGTTAGACATCCATACAGATACTCCGACCTGAGAAAGTTCTACTACGATCCTCCAAAGAAGTTCTTGTTTGACGGCCTAGGTCAGAAGAAGGGTCTACCAACCCTTGGTCTAGATGGTACTACTGGATTTGAATACCTTCACCCTGTTGCTTGCCTTATCAACCGCTCAGCAGGTATGCCGGACGATCTCTCCTTCGAACCTCGTGACTGTTACACACTCTGGAAAGCTATGAAGGAGCACTCGAACGACAAGTACAGTTTGCCAGCAGAGCTTGACCCCACCAACGCTTTGCCCAACGTTATTCGCAAGCAGGAGGTTTTGAAGTGGGAAGCAGGGCTGAAGAAAGTCCTGGCTGCATGGATGGAAGACTCCGGGTCTCCTTTCAATGCTGTCTTCACAACTCTCTCTGGCAAGCGACCTCAAAAGGAAGAATTGTATGCACCTACCGCAAAGCGAACTGGTCAACGAGAAGCCCAGGAGGTCAAGGAAGATAATTTCCTCCCCTTGCTTTGCCGACTCCATGAACAGGATGCGATGCCCGCCATTTTGTTTAACTTCGACCGCACAAAATGTGAGGATATCTGTGGTAAGATCCACGATGATCTGAAGGAAGCGGAGGACCAGTGGAAGGCTACTGATCCGAAGTGGAAGGCCAAGATTGTTCAATGGGAGGCTTGGAAGAAGGAGCAAGAGCGCAAAGGTGCCAAGGCCAGCAAAGTCTCAAAGAGCAAGAAGCCTGCTGAAGAGGGCATGACCAAGGCAGACATGCAGCGTGATGCTGCTGATACCGATGCCAATGGTTTCGAGGGCTTTGATCCCGCAGCTCCCCAAGACGGCTACCATTTCTGTAACTTCAAGGCTATTCAGATTTCTGAACTTGAAGATTACATGAGGGAACTTGAGTGGAGACGCGTGCCGCAGTGGCTCATCGTTGCACTGACCAGAGGTATTGCTGTCCATCACTCGGGTATGAACCGCAAATACCGCCAGGTTGTTGAGATCCTGTTCCGCAAGGGCTTCCTCAGAGTCGTTGTCGCAACCGGTACCCTTGCCTTGGGTATCAATATGCCCTGCAAGACTGTTGTGTTCACTAGTGAATCTGTGTTCTTGACCGCTCTTGAGTACCGCCAATGTGCCGGTCGTGCTGGTCGTCGTGGCTTCGATCTGCTTGGAAACGTTGTCTTCCAAAACATGCAACACGACAAAGTCTTGAGACTGATGTCTTCAAGATTGCCCGATCTCAACGGCCATTTCCCAGTCACCACTACCCTGGTTCTTCGCCTGTTCACCCTCCTTCATGGATCGAACAATTCGAAGTACGCCGCCTCTTGTATCAACTCCCTGCTTTCCCAGCCTCGTCTATACATGGGAGGCCCTTCTTTCAAGGATCAGACTCTGCACCATCTTCGTTTCTCTATTGAGTATCTCCGAAGACAGCAACTGCTCGACGCGAACGGCACAACCCTGAACTTTGCTGGTCTCGTCTCGCACTTGTACTTTACAGAAAATTCCAGTTTCGCATTCCACGCGCTGCTCAAGGAGGGTTACTTGCACAGACTCTGCGCAGACATTGACAACAACGCAGAGTCGGTGGTCAATACTTTGATGCTGGTTATGTCGCATCTGTTTGGCCGTGTGTACTGCCGCAAGTCTGATGCAGAATATCGCGAAAAAGTGGTGAAGCCATCCTCCTCGATGGTGTTCCTGCCCCCGTTGCCAGAAGAAGCAGCTCAGGTCTTGAACGAGCATGGACAGCAAACGCTTGACATCTTCAGTACCTACGTCCGTACCTTTGTCGACCAGCATGTACAGCAGGCGGACGATGTTCTGCCGCTCACTGCTAGACAAGTCGGATCCTCATCGGTCGATTCTGCTCCTGGTCTGGGCGAAGTCTCGCTTCCCTCGACCAAGATCCGTTCGCCATTCGTCGCTCTGTCCGGACACACCGACAACTTCAAGTCTATCAATGAACTGTGTCGCTCGGTTAGATCTGGTGTCTTCCTCGAAGAGTCGGCTATTCCTCATGTGGCCATGCTCTCTCACGACCTTGACCAACCTTTGAACGCCTACCTGGTTGACTTCTTCAAGCACGGCGACGTCAAGACCCTGGAGAGGGCGAACGGCATTAGACGTGGTGATGTCTGGTTTATGCTTAACGACTTCTCTTTGGTCCTTGCTACAATCATCACAAGTCTGCTCAACTTCATGAAGCTCAAGGTTGGAAGCGACATGGACTTCCTTGACACCATGGGAGAGCTTGACACTCTGGAAGAGGCTGAGGACGAGACAGTCGCTGTCAAGGAGGATGGAGAAGCCGTCCCTGCTCCCAGCGAAGCACCCAAGGCCGCCATGGCTACGATCACAAAGAAGAAGGCAAAGAAGGCTGAGAGCTGGGAAGACATGGCAGATGAAGAAGAGGTAATTGAGAAGGATTATAACGAGGCCGCCGCCAAGTTAGATGAGCTTAACCTCGATAGTGCCGCATGGGAAGGCCAAGGTGGTGAGAAGGGTTTGCTCAAGGTGCTGAAGGCCTTCCAAAGATTGCACTCGGAGTTCAACCTGAAGTTCAAGGCCATGTGGGCGTAGATGAATACGAACATTTGGTTCATCTGGATTGTAAAAATAGATCAAATACTGATAGACCGTACATTTGCTTTATTCTCTGTCACCATCTTCCTCCCAACAACCATATTGTAAATAAGCTCGGCGCAAGTGGGTAGCTGACGTTTGATGACGGTGTTGGCCCTGGGTAGCACGACCACGCAACTGACTCTTTGGACGTGTTCCGCGAAAATGCTAGGAACGGGTAAACACAAGTTGCTAGCGGATCTTGACGGATGTACGACTGTGTCTGACGAGCTTCACATCGCGATATACGCGCCTTATATATCGATCATGTCTTTGGAGATATTGATTACGATCTCGGAGATTGTCGAGCCAAGAGCTCACGCGAGCGGCAGAAGCCCTCCGACACGAGGGTCCCGTCTCCTAGATGTCATAGGGGCATCGCCGTTATGTATCAGAAGGAAGGGAGAGAAGGGAACAAGCAGATCTTCATGTTTCGAAATAGAGTCGTTGATGTTTTTTCAACGAATGAGAGATCAAGGAGTCGAACAGATCCAACGTCCAACATAAGGCCGGATGATCTCACGATTTTCTCTCTGCGCAGTCGCGAAGCCGAGACTCCGCCTCCGCCTCGAAGTACAGCCACACGCCCAGCTGTAAACACGGAAGCCTTGCCAATTTCCGAGCGTTCGGGCTTTCTTGTACGACGTGTTGAGGTATATGTAATACGCCGCCAAGGTAAGATGAGGAGCGCGTAGAGTTCGTGTAAGCATCCCTTTGCTCCTTCGAGCCCCTCATGTCATAAGGAGCCCAAGCCCCCTCATAATCGTACTCGTGCGACACTCTCCCTTCTGCTCAACTTCGAAGACTCTCAAATATGTCGATCGTGAAGAGACCCACCATCAGAAACCGCCGGATATCTTCCTCACCCTCGCCGCCGGGGAGTCCACACCCTGCTTATGATCCAATTCGGATGGAGCCAGTGCAACGTCTGGGAATCTCCTCTGCTGTACCTCTCTCAATCAAGCAAGTCGACCTTGATGGCTACGATATCGTCCCTTACGTACCCGCATACCACAACACCTTCGAGCTACCTGACTCAAGCTATTATGGCCTCCAAGAACTCCAGGATGACATCGCCAAGGCCATCTCGGCACAAAACGGCTTTCCTCATCGTCGCGTGGAAGCAAAGCGAGACTTCTATCTCAAGCTGTCGGCCCACTACAGGCGGCATACCGATGAGAAACGTCAGGACGTGCGTGTCACGGCGCAGAATTGGGATGAGCTGAGATTACTACTGCTGAGTGATGAGGTGCATGTCGCGTGCTTCTCTGTCCTGTGGTGGAAAAAGACCACAGGGCAGAGGAAGGCTGACCGCGCAGAAGCGGGCAGTAGTCTGGCTTGCTGTGTCGTGCAGTAGGCTATACAGGAGACATGACCTTTATTTGGGATTTTGTATATCTCCTCGCCAGATCTTCGCGATGATTTACTCCATGCGGCTCGCATGGCAGGCCTCTTCACGACTCTATGGACGACAGCTTCCACGAACAAATATCAGTCCCACCGCAAACATAACTCTAGTTTTGGAGGTGGCCATCATGAGACTACCAATACCCCATTCGGTCGTCGAAACGCCACAGCCATGCACTCCGTGGTGGCATCAATCTCTGGGCTTTTTGCGCGCGTCACAATAAACAAATACCGCTATGCCCAAGGCCGGCAGGATGATTGAATCAGGATGTTGCCGTCGAGATTTGCAGAACATTGGGATGTTAGGCATGCAGGAAATTGGCTCGAACAGGGTTCGAAGAAGGCTGAGGAGGAACCGACAGCTGGGTATGACAGGAACCTCGGAAATGCATTTGGGTTAGGCGTACCGGGAGGAAACTCCTTTATAACGAGAATCACGAACAAACAACGAATGCTACGAACTTTTCACCCAATCTTCACTTTTCGATATTTTTCTTCGGTAGATGGGCCGCCTGAGCTATCGGAACGCATGGTCGCCTGAGCCATGAGTTACCCTGATGCCTGTCATGGACGGAAGCTATAGCTTTGACAGGAGCTAGGTGGTGCTTGGACTGCATTTGAAACGCATGTGGTCATGCCTTACTTCGGGTATGAAGTATCCGGTGAGCCGGAGCAAATGGTCTTGGCTGTTGGACCGTAAGATAGTCAGCCCTCATTTTTGTTCCACACTGTCTACTGAGCAAGGGTCAACGACCTGATATATTTGTTCAGAGCAGCCCTAGAATGTTGTCGTGTGCTTGGTGGGGCGGCGTCGGGTTTGACCTTCCTTTCCGAAAGCACTCCATATCAGGCAGAACTTCGGGATGTCATGCACGTCATCAGGAAGGCCACCTACACTTCTGAGTGAGCGAACAAACCATCTATCTAATTGCTAAAACCAATCATGTCAATCAAAAACGTCGTTCTGGTAGGTGCCGACGGCAACCTTGGACCAGGAGTGCTCAATGGTCTGGTCGGGACAGGAGCTTTCAATGTCACAGTCTTCAAGCGAAAGTCCTCGAAATCAAAGTCCAACTATCCGGAGGGTGTTCAAGTCAAGCTATTGTCGGACGACTTTCCGATCGAAGAACTGGTACCCGCTCTTAAGGATCAGGATGCCATAGTCAGTACCGTCTATGGTGCACAAGTGGACTTGCAGAAGCGTCTCGCCGACGCAGCTATCAAAGCTGGCGTGAAGCGTTTCATTCCTTCAGACTTTGGAAGCTGCGACTCGCAGAGCAAGAGAGCTATGGAACTCGCGCCCATCTATGTCGCCAAGTCACAAGTGCGCGACTACCTTGAGAAGCTAGCTCAAGAGAACCCTGGGTTCAGCTGGACAAGTCTTGTATGTGGACACTTCTTCGATTGGGACCTCGGATTTTTCCACATCAACCTTCAAGCCAGAAGCTTCGAGATCCTTGATGATGGCGAGGTCTACTGGAGCACCAGTACATTCGCGCAGATCGGCAAAGCTACTAGTGCCATACTGCAGAAGCCGGAGGAAACAAAGAACCGCTTCGTCTACATCCAAAGCTTCCGCATCAATCAGAAACAGCTCTTGAAAGCATTTGAGAAGGAAACCGGTCAGTCATGGAACGTCAAAAAGTACGACTCGTCGGAGTATGTGAAAGAACGCAAGGCAAAAGCAGACGGTGGTGACAAGTCAGCCGTAGAAGATCTGGTCTGGGTTCTGGGCACGCTGGAAGCTGACTGGGAGGCTCGTGATGGATACGCCAATGACCTGCTTGGACTGCAGCAAGAAGATCTCGACGAAGTGGTCGCAAGAATCGTCAAAAGCAATTAGGATGTCCCCAGATTGCCTTGATAGACTACTTTGAAATACGAGACGTGAAACATGCAAAAGCGACTCTCCCTGGAACCAAGTGACCTCCACGAAACATTCGTGCATTGCTATGGTTGTCATCTCTGAGCGAAAGACCTCTTGGAGTATATGGCCAACACGTAAATTGATTGGTACGGCTTCCCTATGTACAAAAGTTATTCACCGACTCTTCTCTCACAACGACATAAGGCGAATGATTGGACTGAAAAGACACAAAGGCTTCGGAGAAAGAAACGGGACCGAAGAGAGCGCGCGATATATCGACTCTCGATGGAGACTGCTCTTTTTCGAAAACTTATTGTGCATTTCTATAGCTACTCGTGCTGAGAGCAATCCGACTGGAAGGTGCTTCACCTGAGAAGCTCCTTCGGTTTTGAGATCCGCGGTCACTAAATCATCAAAAACGCGCCAATTTGATTGCACCAATCCATCTTATTATCATAGCACTATTCTTCAGCGAAGGCAGCTATTGCAACAGCTCGGTCCTTGGATCTGTTGGAACGCTTTCATCTCGCTCAGGCGCGCGCGGGGTCGGTTCCTTACATCACGATAATTGGTCTTATGGTCATCAGTCATGCAGACTTCTCTCAAATTTTGGCCCAAATCACTCAGAATATCGACCAGCTCATGCGATTACATCCGGTCCTAGTTGCGAGCATTGATGACAGCGATATTCGACGTCCCAAGTGGCTACCAAACCACGAGGATCCGCCTTTCGTCACTCACGACCCTATGGTCCACCCCATCATCGGTCCTGAGGTTGACCCAGTGCAGTGTGTTACTCAGGTTGCAGAGACAGAGGACGCCGAAGCTCAGGGTTTCAATCTAGCACAGGGACCTCTCTGGCGCGTTGGGATCTACCAACTAACACAACAACCACTCAATGGCTATTTCATCGCATTGACCGTCCATCATGTCGTGACCGATGGTATAGGCGCCCTCAGGCTCTTCGAAGAGGTCATGTGGCAACCGTCTGCTGTTCCGACAACATCATCTCGTCCACGACTGCAACCAATGCCGCCCAAAGCACACAAAACGATGAGAATACAGCCCTCAGTTGCTGGTACTATAAGGAAAGGAGCTCGGTGGATCCTCAAACAAAGATCTTCTGGCTCCTCTGGGAAGATCATGCGTGGGCTCGGTGCGATAACCAAATGGCCTCCGCCAGAATTGTTGAAACAGCAACCGAGAAAGCCCGAAGTCAGCCATGCAGCGGTTGATTTTGGAAAAGACCAAAACAAAATCGTCGAACGGTTGGAAGCTCTAGGACACCAGATCGGCAGCGTCCATTCGGTACTACACACCGCTGCCGTCGTTGCACTGGCAGCAGCCGTTTCCAAGGGCGTCGACGAGGACACTTTCGACACTATCGGCACAGAAACGCCAATGTCACTACGCATCGAGGGCCAACATCCACGAATCGGAGGCCACTACATGGGTCTTACTGAAAGGTCCACCCCACTATCTAGTCTACGCTCAGAAACAATCGCCAGCTTCACTAGACACATGGACCGCTACATGCATTCGTCACAGGCAGAGAGCGACGCCAGAAGCAGAGTGGGAGAGTTTCGATTGATGCCTGATCGACTGATACCTGATTTATGGAAAGCTTGCCTCACCAAGAAAGGAATGTCGGACGATCCGTATCGCAACTCGCTCATGATCTCCAACCTTGGTCGCTTCGAAACCAGACATATTCCAGGTCTGGACAAAGTTTGGTTCTGCCACGCGAGCATGCCCTGGGGTGCTGCTATAAACATGGATGTGGTCAGCCTCAGCTTGAAGAAGGCTTCAGATGTCAGTGGAAGGAGAGACTCGAGGCTGACCGTCATGGTTTCTTGGCTTGACGGCGCCATTGAGAGGAATATCATCGACCGCTTCTGTGCAGCACTTGTCAGAGTTATCAACCTAATGGCTAGAGCTGGAGGTGCACCAAACTTGGATCGGCATGCCATGCGCACCAGAAATCTTCAAGACCTTGCGGATTAGGCTCGCGCAAAGGTGGACGAGGAATTGGGTGTTAACTAGGTAGTCATTCTTTCACGCGATAATCAGAGACCATTCGCTCTCCTACTCATCAATCACCATCCTGATCAGCCATAGAAATGCAGAGTAGTCTTTCAATCAAGACTTTGTCCACGGAGAGAGCAAAAATCAAGGATTCTCAGTGGTCGAAGTTGGCAGAACAATAACACTTTGTATTTCGATGAGTGACTATACTGCGGTTGGTTTGTTTGGAGATCACGAAAGAAGAGTTCTCAGTGAACAGGAGCTAAGAAAAGAGGATGTGTGCTTATTACACAGTAGCAAAAGGAAACGCAAAACATACAGCAGCAGGGATTCCCACGTGGTCACCCACCGTAGTACTAATCTGCCGTTCAACTGCTTATGTATGGCAGAGCGGACGGGATGCCCAGTTTTCAGCTGACTGTGGCCGTATGTGCTCAATAGTCTTTCTTTTTGACTATATCTGTATTCATGGTTATGGCCCTCCAGCCAAAATTGTCAGATAACTTATCCAGCTCGTGAGTAAATGCGAAGATGTGTGACCAACGGGCCAGCACTCAACAATGGCCCAGACAGTCGTTGAACAACCAACGCAAGCCGAGCGCAGTACAATGGACGACGTGTCGCGAGATATCGTATCCTGAGAGGCAGGCCAGTGGTTTCTCGAGCAACAAGTGTTGAGCAAAAATAAGCATATGCAATGAGCTGGCTCATGGCGGGCGACGAGTCATCGATATGGATCATCAAAACGCAGGTCGACGCGGAGGTGCGGGCGGACTTGCTCGAAGCTCTGGCGCACGGCCCAAAAAAAAGTCGCGACGAGGTCGGCGTTGGTGCATGAGCAACTCAGCATAATCCATATCGCGTGCCTTTTCCCTCTTTCCAGTCGTCGTCTCGCTCGCAGCTCCTCCTTGTTCGACCCCGTTCATCCTCTGTCCATTCTTTCCCCGAGTCTCTCCACTCACTTACTCACATATCACAATGGTCAACCTTCCCTCCCCCAAAGATGGCTTGTCCAAGGAGTACAAGAAGGAGTCGACCGCTGCTAGAGTCCTCGGTGCTGGTGCGCAACTTATCGTCGGAACAGGCACGAACATACAGTTGACGTGAANNGCAGGTTCCGCTGGTATCGCCGAGCTCGCCGTCTTCCACCCCGTCGACACCATCGCCAAACGTCTCATGAGCAACCAGGGCAAGATTGTCGGCATGACCCAGTTCAACTCGGTCATCTTCAAGGACAAGGCCACTGCTCCCGTTGGCACTCGCTTCTTCTCGCTCTTCCCCGGTCTCGGCTATGCCGCCGCCTACAAGGTCATGCAGCGTGTCTACAAGTACGGTGGTCAGCCCTTCATGCGCGACTACCTGGCCAAGAACCACGGCGATCTCTTCTACAACACTTTCGGCAAGAGCAACGGCAAGGCTATCATGCACGCCACTGCTGGCAGGTAAGGCTCGACGAGGACTCGATACTCTACCAAGGCGCATAGCTGACAACTCTCTCTCTCTCNNAGTCTGATCGGTATTGGTGAGATTGTCATTCTCCCTCTCGACGTCCTCAAGATCAAGCGTCAAACAAACCCCGAGGCTTTCCGCGGTCGCGGTCTCTTCAGAATTATCGCCGACGAGGGCTTCGGTCTCTACAGAGGTTGGGGCTGGACTGCCGCCCGTAACGCTCCTGGTTCTTTCGCTGTACGTATACTCGACTCGTCTCTAGCAGAAGCATTTCACTGACGCATAATACAGCTCTTCGGTGGTAGCGCTGCTGCCAAGGAATACTTCTTCAAGCTCTCCGACTACAACAGTGCCACCTGGTTCCAGAACTTCATCGCATCCATCGCCGGTGCCTCTGCTTCGCTCATCGTCTCGGCGCCTCTCGATGTCGTCAAGACCCGTATCCAGAACCGCAACTTCGAGGCCAAGGAGTCTGGTTTCCGCATCATCTCCAACATGGCCAAGCACGAGGGCATGACTTCCTTCTTCAAGGGTCTTACTCCCAAGCTCCTGATGACTGGTCCCAAGCTCGTTTTCAGTTTCTGGCTGGCTCAGACTCTTATTCCTGCTTTCAACAAGATGCTCTAGACGATTTAGATGCCATGATGTAAGAGTTTACGCGATAGTTGCCGTCTGAATGGACAGGCGGAGAGCGATTTCTTTAATAGCTGCATCGGGCTGTAGGGGCAGTCGGATCGGGTGTACAATGTTTGGGGATATATGGGAATTTGCAAACGGCCAGCCATGCTTTTTGAATTGTAACATAGAAAAGGACGGCGCATGATGGAAATGATACCTCTTCTCTACCTTTGACTGAAAGATAAAAGATCAAACAATGGTTGACCTCCTGTCGCTCCCGCTCGGGCACTCCCGGGGCTTGGGCAGCGCGCGGTCCTGGCGCTTGGTGACGGGGCGCATACAGCAAATCGCTAAGCGCATCCAATCAATCAATCGAGCAATCTACAGGGCAGAACGTGATTGAGGGCGTATTGCAGTGTGTGCGGGTTACCAGCCTCACACATCCGCAAACCTGACGTCGCCTTTGTTTTCACTCCCTTGTTGTTGCACATTCACACCGCCGCCGCACAGCCAGCTTGGGCCGTTGCGGATAGTCGTTTTCCTTGACACATAACGCTCATCCTCCGCAGGTTCGGCAGGCACGGCCAAACTCAACCCCGGATTGAATTATCAAAGTTGATTGATCGCAATGTCGCGCTCACGATCAGCTCGTCGTGACGATGGACTCGGCGCAACCAAACAAGAACACCAACATCGCCGCGCCAGCAGCACCCCGGGTCCTGGTGATGATTTCCACGCTGGGTAATTTGTTGACAAACATGAGCATTCGCATGATACCCTACTGAACAAACAACTTAGATTCGTCAAGCGCTTGGTCGGCGTCCTGGACAATCACGGCAAAGTGATCAAGAAGAACGCCAATTTCCTGAGCGAAATTTCGTCCACCCTTCGAAGTCACTCATACTCGAAACTGCCACGTCCTGTCAGTGAACCAGCACTGAAGGTCCCTACTACACCCGCCGATCAGCCTGCAACATCTAACGACAGCGCTGTCGAGTCCAGCCCTGAGTTCATGCCGCCTACGCCTCCTGATACACCCACTATCGAAATCTCCGACTGGGCTTACCAACCACCCATGCCCAGCGACGTCAGACAGCAGTACGAGCAGCCAAAGGTTCCCAAGATTGTCATCAAGGACCACAGCACTTCGACCTCCACCGTTATCAGCGCCCCTGTCGACGCCACCATGAACCTTTCCATCTCTTCCACCGACAATGCTGATGCCGTCGTAACCACTTCCGATTCGACTGCCAGCGCTTCCGACAAGCACAACACCTCCTTGGTTCCTGTAAACCAAAACTCGGTCAGACTCTCCAACAAGGGCTCGTCCTCCTTCACAACACCTTCGACCGTCCAGTCAATACCCAGCATGGCCGCTACTACTTCGTCTGAATCCAGCTCGGTCGACCAAATCACTGCGTCGGAGGAGGATATCGCCCAGTGGTATGCCTACCATGCAGACCGCGCAGCTAAGAGCTTGCGCTACGACTTGCGTGAGATTGACCTGAAGATGGATCGTTTCGTCCGCCGCATCAACGACCTGAACTCACAATGCTCGGCTCTCAACGATCTCATGTCGGTCAATGCCTCAACCGCCCTCAACCCCAACACCCAGCAGCACCGTCGTACTAGAAGTACCCCGGCTGTCCAGGGCAACGACCATTTCACCTGCAAGGAAAAGGAGATCCGCGACGACATCAAGGAGGCCTTCCAGAGTCTCCGCTCGGCTCTCGCCTTCTATCGCAAGCAGCGTGTGGCTCCCCTCGAGCTTGTCAATGCCAAAGCTGACGTTGTCATGCCTGGCTACTGGTCCATGGACGCTTACGGAAAACGTCGCGCTCTCTTCCACTTTTACAACCGCAACAGGGACATTTCCAGACCTGGTGATCGCGCTCGCTACCATGACGCCATGGCTCTTTTGGATGCTTGTACGGCCATGTCCCTGAACCAGGAGTTTGTCGACAAGATTGACAGATGGGAGAGCCAGATTGGTGCCATGAAAAGTCAGTCTGGTGCCGATACTGTTATCCCTTGATTGCGTTGTGATCGCAAGTCACGACCCAACCACCACCCACTCGTTCACAGAACCTGACACAATCGCTCGGGGTTCGCCTCCCTTTCTTTCCTGTTTCCCTGCGAACATTGCATGCCACCGGCGCCTTCGACCATGTGTTTTCTCCTCTCGATCGCTTTGTTTTGTTTTGTCTTGTTATTGTTTTTGATTTTTCTGGTGGGATTTTGTTTCCTTTGGTGTCCGTTTCTTCACGAGTTAATGATGGATGCATGTTGCATGTGGCCGGCGCGCTTTTGAAAAGATACCCCTTCTCTTGTTTTTGTCTTTTGACGCTCTCTGGAGACACTGTACAGTCCTTTCAGATTTGGTGTTGCGCTATAATGGTTCCTTTTTTTTTTTTTTTCTCAATCGTGGAGCGCAAAGGAAGCAAAGCATAGCAAGACTGCAAATTGTGCAAAATGAATACAAACCTCTAATCACCTCTACAGTCTATTCCTGCCTTTTCCCCTAGCATCGGATCCTTATTGCTGCTTTGTTCTCATCAACATGTCGATTGCCAACCCGTACGCCTCGTCACGCTTGCGTTCCTGATGTGAGCCAGGAGCTGCTCTCTTATCCCATGCATGTCCGCATTTCTCCATGCGTCTGAGCACTACGCTCTCTCCGTGCTTCTCCTCGACACGCTTGGCCAGTCGTTCGGTTTCCAGACAGAGACTGTCGCGTCCGCAGGTAATAAACAAGGAGTTCTTGGGGTAGTTGTCTACAGGTCCAAGAGCAGGTGAGACGCGAGGATCTGCCTTGTCGGGGTCCAGACGCAGGTACGAGGCGTCGAACAAGCTTGCCATTTTTGCAGTCATGTCATTAGATCTGCCATCGTCTTCTGGGGGTGACTTTGACTCTGGCGTCATGGAGAGATCGGTAGGCGGGTAGAACGCCAGCAGTGTGATGAATGTATCCTTGGGGAAAGTCGATGCAGCTGCAACACAAGCCATGTTTGCACCAGCGCTGAAACCAGAAATGGCGATTTGAGAAGTCGAGTACATGTCAGGTTGACCAAGGACCCATTTTACAACATCTTCGGCATCGTTGTGACATGCTGGCCAGGGATATTCTGGAGCAAGGCTGTATTGAATGTCGAGAACCGAGTAGGGAGTTGAAGAGGAAGCTTTGCGGCAGAAAAAGTCGTCGGAGCCGTGCAGAGGGAAAACGAAGCCTGAACCGTGGAAGTTGATCAAGAGTGGTGATGGGATTCCAGGAGTAAAAGAAGTGGATTTGTAGACATGAGCCTTGATGTTGCGACCGGACCTTGACGGAATCTGCAAGATTGAGTCTGGTGAGGGGTTTGGCATCATGCCGCTCCACCACACATTGAGGCGGGCAAGNGTGACGAGCGCCTTGAGGCGCAAGTACCTGAAGAGGTTCTTCAAGGCGAGTAACATGTCGGGATGGGGGTTCAAGCTGATGAGAAAGACGACCTACAAATGCTTCAAGAGGAAAGACGTCGATATTTACTCACCGGAGTGGCCGGCACCGGCATCTTCCAGTTGCCGTACAGGTTCGCGACTTTCATCAAGGAGATAGGCGCAACGGCGGCAAGTAAGGAGGCAATCAGTGAGAAAACACGACAGGCGCGTCGTGTCGTGAGCGGTATAGCTCGATCGGGAGAAGCGACTGTCGCGGAACGTGGCCGCCCCACTTGGCAAAGGGTGATTTGTGTCAGGATTCGACGGCTCAAACATGGCGTGTTCATCTTCCAAATGATGACCATGATATGCTGTGATACATCAAGCAGCAGTCCTGTCTATGAGAAGTGTGTAGCCATGAGAAAGTTGAACAAGGAAGGAATGATGCGCGATGGTCACGCTGACAATAATGACGTTTCTGTGTTTGGCCGATCGACCTTGGACCTAAACTTCTAGCCATAACTATTCGAGAACACAACCACAGTCATTCACATCAACCTATTTCTATCGATCGAGCATCGCACTACATCGCTAAGCATGAGTACTGGAAGTCAAGCCTACGGCCAGCTGGTGCGCCTCCGCGCCCTCAACCCATCACAGCTCCCTGCCCACCCGGACCTGGCAGCATTGCAAGCCGGCGCTCCGGCATTGCCAGACCTGGAAACCTTCATCACCAGCATCTTGACCGAAGCCTCGACTTTCATGACCGACTACCTACCAAACAACTTTGCCATCAAGGACCACTCGAAANAATCTCCGCCCGCAAAGGCTACCATCCAACTTCTGGCTCACGAGATCCCTGCTCATCAATTGGGTCCCAATGCACATGACGAGGCATGGTTTTCACGCACGAGTCTTCACGAAAACAAGAAGGAACTGGGCACTGCCAATTGGGACGAATTCGAAGCTGGAATTCTTGATGACCACAGTCTGCACGAGTCACAGTATACTCCTGATGTGTTTGATGCCCACAAGGTGCTGTCCTGGGATCCCAAGTTGGCCGAGAAACAAGCCAAGGTTGGCAACTGGGTGAAAGTTGGGTTGAACAGTGAGTCTTGACCAATTCTATGCACCTTGCGTGTAGCTAATCTGAGGTGTCATCAGNTTTTTGAGATGGGCCATCATATCCCACCTCCTTTGGACAACCGCGCTTTCCCAGTGCTTGTTGTCACGGCTCGCTCGGCTGGTCCTAAAGACCCATCCTTCCTGGTTGTTCAGATTCCGGTCGACATCACGAAGCTCGACAAGGCAATGTACTCCACTCAGAAGAACAAGCTCGTAGGTGACACTGCCGAGAAGAAGAAGCCTGTCACCCTTGGCCAGTACGTCAGTATTGAGCGCTGTACCATGGTTGAGGATATCAATGTGAAGTGGCAGATGGCTACAGCTAGCGATGCAAAGGGCAACCTGCCAATGTGGGCACAGAAGATGGGTATTCCCGCTGCTATCATCAAGGATGTCGGTCTCTTCATTGATTGGAACGATAAGAAGCGAGGATGAGTTGTTGAGCGCCACATTGTCTGTTTACTTCGATACCCCCTGAGTTTTCATCCTGAGCCAAAATCCTGATTTGCACCAATGTCGTTCGATAAATATCTCTCTTTCCATGCTTCATGATTTGTGGTCCTTGTATGTGAAAGGTTTCGTGCATCAAAGCGAATCTACAGCTTGTGCTTCTTCTCGCCAGAAGCAATCTTCCTAAACTGCTCCTGTGGTACACCACTGACGAAACGATCCAACCCGCCAAAGACCTCAGCAACACCCTGAGCATCCAAGAGCTCCCTCTCGGGTCTTCTAATCAACTTCTTGATACCCAACAGACTTTCGGGGATCAAATGCTTGCCGAGTCTATCATCAACTTCCTGCAGCACCAACTCCAAGAACTTGTCACTGTCGCCAGGCTTGACATCCATGACACCATTCACATAGCCCACATTGACCAGCTCCTCACAAGTCAACCTCTTACTCATAATCAGCGCCTCATTCGCCTTTGAAATGCCCAATCTGGACACAAACGCCCTGCTGGAACCTCCCTCTGCCACCAACCCCAGACTGCTGAATGGAGTCAGGATAAACGTGTGCGGAGCCGCGTACACGAAATCAGCAAAGCCTGTGAGGGCGGCAGAGAGGCCTATAGCAGGGCCATTCAATGCGGCAATCAGAATCTTTGGGTGTGTGTAGAAGGCGTGTGTGATGTGGAGGTTTTGAGCCACGAAGCCTTGGAGGTAGTGGCGTTGGATGTCTGTGTCTTTTGGGGGTGCTTTTGAGATTGAGACGTCGGCGCCNTCTGTTGTTTGGTTCTTGTCAGTATCTTTTCGCACTTTTGTCAATGGGAAAGGGGTAGATGGAAGGACTTACGCAGAAAAGTATCTTCCTTTGCCTGTCAAGATTGTAATGTAGATGTTGTCCATGGCGGCAACTTCTTGCATCACTTTGGCAAGGCGGAAGTAGTGGTCTCCATTGAGTGCATTCAGCTTCTTTGGCAGATTGAGGGTGATGATGGCGATATGCCCCCTGGTCTCTAGAGTGACTTCCTGCTCGACTTGAGACATGGCTGCGTTACTATGCTACGATTTGAGCTTTGTTTGGTTTGTCGGTGCGAAGCGCTCTTCGAGGAGCAAGAGTCGAGATTCAGGTGTCGACCTCGCAGCTGTCTTTACCTAGGCAACTTTTCGTAGAGCCGTTGGTGTGTGGGGTACCGAGGCATTGGTTGCGGCACGCACGCGAAAGGGTCCTCTCGGAAGCAGTATCCGAAACCCTGAGTGCTTGCTATATTTGGTTGTCGAGATGTTGCAAGACAGCAGCTTGACTTATTCGCTGATCATGTCAGATCTCCCGGACTGTGTCTTTTGACGACGGTGAGTTGTTCTCGTTTATTTCGGACGTGTCCCCAGTAAAACAAAGTCTCTACCATCCGAGACAAGACACAGAGTCATTCTTCTATATGGCTATTGATGAATTGTCCAGAAGCATGCCGATCCAGTTTGAATACCAACAACGCTTACATATGCATAGCAAACCAGTCTCACAGCAAGCTCTTGTATCAATTCACCCATCCTGTACTCTGGCTGATCATCCTTGCTTCTTCAGAGTGCATAAAACATGAAAGAGTCGATGGACAGGGTGATGGTGCTGACAATCTAGAATGTTAAAGATAGCATATACTCGAAGAGCGATATTGCAATAATCTGCTTGCAAGAGATATATATGCTGTCAATCGCTGGATATATCGCAGTAGATAGATGAGGACAAGACATGAATTGACCGGTGAAGCATGTGACAAAAGACAGAGCAAGTCGCAGCAAGAAAAAGAAGCCGAGGCGCTCCGCGCAAGCTACGTCAGCAAATAAGCAAGCCAGCACGCAGCACGATCAAAATGCAAGGGCTTATGAGGCATCCAGGAAGACGAGGATTCAAACCTTTTGTCGCTATATATCGATATCACAGCATACGCACAACAATGGCATACACGACATTCGAGGGTACACACAAAACGGACGACGGCGTCGAGTTGTACACCAAAACGTGGAAGGTGTCAGAAGATGCGGCCAAGGCACGCATGCTGTTTGTGCATGGCTTCAGTGACCATTGCAACAATTACGCCGTCTTGTTTGAGCACCTAGCTAACCAGGGTATCGATGTCTATGCCTTTGATCAACGGTATGCTCCTGCCCCTTCTCCCTTTCCTCCCTGCAACATGTTACTGACATCTCCATGAACANGAGGATGGGGCCGCTCCGTCCACCACAAACATGAGCGCGGCCTCACAGGTCCCACCACCCGCGTCCTCGCCGACATGACCAGCATGCTAAAGACGCTACTCCCCACCCCAGTACCCCTCTTCCTCATGGGCCACAGCATGGGCGGCGCCGAAATCCTCCACTACGCATCCACCGGACCCTCCGACATCCTCTCCCAGATCCGCGGCTTTATCGCCAGCGCGCCCCTCATAAGTCTACACTCCGACACCCGCCCCTTCAAAGCCACCGTGTATGCTGGCCGCCTCGCCGGTCGTGTATTGCCGAAATTCCAACTGGTGCAGAAACTAGACAGTAAATGGTTAAGCAGAGACGTTGAGCAGAACAAACTCTGGGAACAAGATGAACTGTGTCACGACACTGGAACCCTGGAGGGTCTGGCAGGAATGCTGGATAGAGGACTACAACTCGAGAGTTTCAAGGTGTTGCCAAAGGAAAGTGCAGGAGAAGGTGGAAAGACCAGATTATTGGCGTTGCATGGAACCAGCGATCATGTGAATGCATATGAGGCTACCAAGGCTTATGTTGAGCGCTGCAGTGAGTTGAGTGACAAGGAGCTCAGAAGTTACGACGGTTGGTATCATAACAGTAAGTCTTTCATCTTCTTTCTCCTGGCTGTGGAGTTATGCTAATTGGTCTTCAACANNGTGCATGCCGAACTCGGTGACGACAAGCTCCTCTTCGCAAACCACGTCTCTGAATGGATCTTGCAAAGATCAGGGCCCGAAGACTCAAAGTCGAAACTCTGATTCGCGACCTTTATGAAGGATACTCGTAAATGTTTCTAGAGAGAAGAGAGACAAGTATGTGATGAGAGGAAAGAAATTCTGTTCATGAGCAGAGTTTGGATCGAAAGTCTATATCTATAATTCTATAATTGCCATCTATTTGGGTATCATGTTCGCAGCAGCAAGACCGTATTTTGTTTCTTTTGTGATAAAGGTCTTTCAAAAACGCCGATTTCTCCTGTCTATGTTCCCCAAGTCTATTTTGAATGCAAATCGTTTCAGAAGAGTAAAAGGTGTAGTCGTCTTTCCTTCCGGAAAAGACAAAAGTCGAAAGAGCAGTGCGGAGTCGTGACACGAGGGCTGCTTGCTGATCGACGACGAGTCAAGCTTGTTTTGCGCCTGAGACACAATCTCCGAATTTTTCTTGCACCTCGAGTCAAGACAGCTCTCGAGTCAAAGTTGGCTGTTTCTCCAGACGGTCGCAGATTGGTTCGAGTGTGTCTGACTCGCAATGGAAATGGCGACGCACACCGCTATCCAATGTAGCGATGGAAAAATCTTTAGGGGCATCCCTAGGCTCTAGTCTCGGTGCCTGTGCCTTTGGAGTAGCATCTAGGGGCTCAGGGGTTGTGGTCGAAGCCAGACTGACCACCTAGGCCAGAGTACGCGTTACGTGAGTTCTGATACGCGGCCTGCAACTGCGCTGGTGTTTGGATTCCATTGTACGAAGGTGCCGATGTCATCATAGGGAAGCCGTTGCTCGTGGGACCAGGAAGTTTGAAGTCATCCGGGTAGGCAGATTGGAAAAGTTGAGGGCCAACAGATTGAGGGGGTGGGCTGCCTCCAAAGGGTGTCGAGTCACCACTGGCAGGGTTGCTGCTGTCGTAGATCTCGTCGATTCTGCCGCGACCGGTGGGCATAGAGACCATGCTGAAACCTGGGGTGGGCATCTGAGGAAGGGTGTCATTGATTTTGGAGAGGAGCAGAGGGAGATATCGTTGTTGGCCGCCACGGAGAGTCGAGATAAGGGAGAGGAACTGGTTGAGGTAATCGCGAGGGCCGTACTCGAAAGTGTGTTGCTCGAAGGGTACGCACGACATGACATCGGTCAAGGTGCATGCGACATCGAAGAGCTTCTCGACAAGTCCAATGCCGTGAACTTCCATAGCAGCCTGTGAGAAGCCACTTGTCGCGGCAATCAGGTCTCTTGAAATCTCGATAGGGTATTTGAAGCTCATAGTGCTATCTGCGGCAGCTGATGACAGGTAGCCATGGCTGATGGAGAGCTGCCACACCATTGTTCGGAGCCATTGTTGTGATGTTCTCAAGTCGACAGCCTGGCTCTCGGTGCTATGCAGGTAGGCGGGAAGTGCTTCCGCAAGCTGGTTCTGCAATCTCGCCAGCCACTCGGTCGAGCAACCGACACGAGCTTTGTTCCAAAGTCCAACGAAGGTATCGTCAAACGGCTTGAAGAGTGTAACGAGGTGTATGAATCCACTGAGTTCGACTGTTTCTGCGGGGTCGTCGTTGAGAGTGGGGAGATTGATGGTAGCGTGTAGGGTGAGAGGACGGTGACGCTGGATAGCATATGCTCTGNNCAAAGACAATGTTAGTCATGCTTTAGGCCTCTCCTCTGCCGTGACTTACCTCTCGGTGATGAACAAAAGCCAGTACAATCGTCGGCGTCGCGACGTCTCAACAAGGTCGCCTTGACTGTAGTGGTTTTCGTCTTGCATACCCATGATCTGCGCTAACGTTGTTGCTTCACGAAGGTGGAACCATGCCGTATTGTGCTTGTCGAGGCAGAAATGTGCGCCAAAGAAAAAGAATGATGTGATGACCGACCAGATGCTGGGGCTCTCGATGTAGTCGTACCCCTTGCGAACGCGGATAGCTTCGTCCAGCAAAGTCATACCCAAGTTGAGGTGAGCATTTGGTGCTTCGGCCTCTGGTACAATACCGGCTGGAAGCTTGGTATTCGGTTGGATGAGCATGTATGAGCAGAGCGACACGACCAGACAGTAGGCCTCTACCGAGTTCTCCATCTTTCCAATTGTCTCGCCAACCTTCTGGCGGTGTAGGATCGGCTGTGTCGGGTACATGTTTGCGAAGAAGTAGTCAACGCATGACGTGATGAGCTCCATGGAAAGCAGATCCGGAGTCCTTGAGAAGGCGTTGGCATATTGTGACGCTTCGAATCCCAATCCGTGTCTTGCGCGAGCTGCCAGTTGCGACTGCCTTTGTGTTTCGCGAAGCTCAGAGATGACCTTTGCTCTGCTTCCCTTTGGGCCCTTCTTCTGAGGGATGGCGTTGTAGGTGCATGTCAGACCAGCTGCAGTGCAGTTTTTGCATGGTCGAGTACCATCACCAATGCATTTGACCTTTCTCTTATGGCAACAGTCGCATGCGCGCTTGACGGTAGATGTGGCGGGTCCAGTCGAGTCAGGCATCATCAATGGCATCAATACCTGGCCAGATATAAGATGTGATGAGGGGAAAAGTAGGCCCGTTTATTGGTGACGAGGTTTGTGGAAATACTTAGGCGCGAGGCTGAATGAGAATAGGTAGAGAAAAATAGAAGAGAAAACGAAGCGTTTCGGGCAAGAAAGAGCCTTTGGTAATATCCAACGACGAGCATTGCTCATCGGCGGCGTTGAGTTGACGCAAAAAGTGGTCAAGCGGGAACCGTTACTTGCCGTGGGTAGCGTCAACGCCGTCGAATCTTAGCATCGAACAGAACAAGTAGTCCAATGAAATCCGATCGCGAGACTACGAAACCACTTACCGATTCAAGCATTGCCAGTATCAATGCAACCTACAGCCGAACTGAGATGATATATCCTTGGGCATCATATCGCATGGAAGTGTTGGCGAGCACGAGGACGCGCATGATCAATCCGCTCATAGCGTGCACATCGCATGCGCGCACTGAACGTTGACATGCAAGGTTGAGACTGCCGGACCCGGTTATGGCGTGTGTTTGAAAAAGACGACCGTGCGTTCAAAATGCAAAAGCCTTTCACGCCAATCACAGACACCAGCTCAGCTTCTGACCGTTGGAATCCAAGGATTCGTGACGCATCGAAGCTGCAGAGAAGCAGATTCAAAAAGAGCCTTCTTCTGTTGCACTTCGAGCAACGTATTCGTGGTAGAAAGAAATGCGCTGTGATCCCGCCGGGCGTAAGAGCTGGTGAAGCCACAAATTCGTTGATCGTATTTCGCTATGCCAAGCTGCGATTCGGGCCGAGACTTTTGTTGATGGCCCGTTGGTGAAGCAATCCGAAAATAGGGAGTCGTCGCGAGGGCACCAGGCCTTAAACCGCCAGAAAGCGACAGCAAAGCGATCCCCATCGGCGCTGTTGGTCTCTCAACAAGTGGGAATCGCGAAGCTGTGATTCAGCAGGATGGTGCCCCTTGTCCAATCCGGACATCGAAAATGGGCTGATTAGGAATTGCCCTGTCGTGACTTTTTGGATTAGACATGCGACTCCGCTCCTCCTGAACAGTCCTTCTGTCTTGTGCTGATGGATCCACAATCGTCCAGGAGAGGCGAGTGTCTGTTCGACTGGTTGTTGTTGGCGGTTTCGCAGGCTTCCATTTTGTGAAGGCTGGATGAGGCTTTGAGAGCCAAATGCTCAGGTCTGGGGGCACACGACCATTTATGTCCTTTGTCAACTGCTTGCCCTGACGAAGAAGGCCCGTTTTTGACCAGATGCTGTCGAGATACCCCGAGGCTAGAATTTATCCACGAAATATCCACGTATTCTTCCGTGGCCCTTCTCCGGTGGATTGGTCTTTGTGTGGGTGTTGCTTCTCAAGTTGTGGGGGTTCCCACGTTCATCTAAGCTTCCAGAACCGACACACGTGGTGTCTATCGCGTGCTTCAAAAGCATCTTCACCGTCGCAGAGCAACTTCGACCTCTCGTTGGATTGATCATAATGCATGAATGTACATTTTGAAGCTGTGATTTGATCATTCGTGTATACAACTCGGCATATACTGCTGCTCATGACATCCGCACCGTTGTCCGGATAAAAAGCACTAGTGCTTCCCCAGCACTACCTACCCGCAATCAGACCAGACATTACACATAACAACACAGAAGTTGGTCATGGAAACCTCCATTTGACGGGGCTGGAGTGACTCGTCCCCATACTCCAGTCTCCGCAGCCGCTGTCGTCAGAAGGCGTGACAAGACGTTTGGCGACATGTATGAAGAATGCGATGAACGAGGTCCTGTCGCTGCAAGCTACATGGTGAGTCTTGCTGTTCGTACGAGTTCTGTAGGATTGGGTTGGGCGACGTCTTGATGACTGGAACGCGATCCGCGCTGGTCCACTCAACTCGATTCTGGTGGGACGACAACACGACCCCCATCAACAATGAGCAGTTCGCCAATACGTTTCTTGAGATCGTCGCCACAGCATTCGACCCGCTTCCATGTCACTATTCTTCCGGAATTCATGTCGATATCCCAGACTCGGACCCGACGATGGAAGCCGCCATAGCCAGCATAGCCGCCAAATCCACTACCACCTGCGTAGCACATCCAGGGACCGACATTCTCACTCTTTGCAGCATCCTTAGACTGAGGGGTCAAGGCACAGTAATCATTGACATGATCATGGCCACATCCCACAGAAACGACGCCTTGTTCCTTGAGTGCTTTGTAGAAGCCGGAGTTGAAGCCTGGTGCAGTGCTTGGTTCTCGAAATTCACCTCCAGCGACAAGATTGCCCTCCATGGCGAACTCGGGCAGTGGTATATGGATGAAAGCCATGTCAAGGTGTATATGAGTGTATTTCGCATGTTGCGTCTTGAGGCTCTGAGCGGTCTCTGTAAACCACTGAATCTGGTTAGGCTTGACCCAATCATAACCTCTATACTTCTTCTCATCAGGGCTGTAGCTGTGAGAGTCGAGGAAATATAGCGTGATGGCCGAGTTCTGGGAAGGTGATTGAGCTAGAACCTCAACGTAGTAATTACCAACACCATCGATGTTGTCGGGCCCACGGCGAGAGAGCGAGAAAGGCATAGTAGAGAGCAGAGACATTTGGGCCTCGCGAGAGAGACGAGTGGCTTTTGGTCCTTCGTCGTCGTGATTGCCAAAGATGGCAGCATAAGGTATAGAGCGCGAGATGAGGAGGTCGGCGAATTTGAAGATGGCGCTTTGGGCATCTGGTGCTGTGTCACCATTGACCTGGTCACCACCGAGTACAACCAAATCGGGAGCCTCTTCATCGAGAATGCGGCCGACAAAGTCAAGTGTGTGGGGNTCTGCTTCGCAGTTGCCCTTGATGTCGCCTTTGGCATCAACGGCGTCTCTACAGGCGCCAGTGCCAGTACTCAGATGGAGGTCACTAAGCTGTATGATCTTGAACTTTCCGTCCTTGCGGATTCTTGGCACAACTTCTTTCTTGTCGGCTCGGTGAGGACCATGGCGAATGGTTATGCGAGCGGCCTGGAGACGGGAAGCGGCATCAAGGAGCAAGGGAGTCTGTGTGACAGACCACCCGGGACGTGGGTCGACAGCGTCAGCGCCAAACAAGACATCAACAGCAGTGACGGCTCTATCGCTGTCTGAATCTTTTTTTNNCTTGTTGCTCCTCAGGAGCCAGATATTGCCAGGACGAGACTCCCACTGCTCTTGCTGCTGGCCCTTCTCGCCAACACCGGGGTCCAGACGGCCAACGCGGAGGTCAACGACGACCTTGTCGTCGTCGGTGAGTTCCTCCTCTTTNTTACGCTGTACGTGGAGGTATGCGGACGAGACCCAGCCGGTATGCAGATATAAGTCTTTCTGGATGCGATGCCATTTTGAAGGATCGAGCTGGCAGGAAGACAAGGGGTTGATGGAGGAGCAGGTGGTCAGGGTGACATCGGTGACGATGAGGCCGGGATGGTGCAGGAAGTTTTGGGTATGAATGGAATGCGGAAGCAGGCGGTAGCGCGTGTCGACAAGGAAGACAAAGAGCAGAGCCGTAACCAGCAGGGCGCCGAGCTGGCTGATGGTGCGAACCTGCGGCACCGTGTCAGTGGGACGTATGTGTTTGTCGGCGCAGGACACGACCAACAATGCGACGGGTCATGGCCGGGGCTCTCAGGCATTGCGACAGCACGAGCAGTACTGTGCAATGCGGTTTGACCAACAAGAAAGAAGAAGCAACTTTGGCATCCGCTGCTCTCTTCCCCACACGGAGCGAATGCGGCTTATCGTCAAACTCTATTGCAATCGATAAGCCTTTCTTAATGCTCGTATTCGTATACGGCGAGCCGAATTTGATTCTGCTTCGAAGCCTGCCCTGCCTTTGCCTGCTCTTTCTGCTCACCACACGATACCATGCGTCTAGCTTCAGCCCCTTTACGCCGCATCTATGGCCAACACAGGACTCTGACCACTTTTGTCGAACGTGATATTGTCATCCTCCGCCAAAAACTCAATCAAGACAATGTCATTGTGACAAAACCTCTCAACCCTGCCAACAAGATCAATACCCACAAGGGCGACATCTCCCATGCCGACATTATCGGCAAGAGTCCGAGAGACCTAGTTACCTCTTCTGCCGGCCATGCCTACAGGATTCACACCATCACCCTTGCTGAGTATGTCAGTATGACCAGAAGATTTGTAACTCCTGTAAGTTCTCCATCAACCTGATGTTTCTTTGACTTGCCTGACCTGTTGCTTCCAGNNATATACCCAGCCGATGCAAACCTCATTGTGAGCCTTTTCGACTTACATCCATCTGCTGCCGATGAGGGAGAGAAGATTGAACTTCTTGAGGCTGGTACTGGTCACGGAGCCTTGACTTTACATCTGAGCCGAGCCATTCATGGTGCCAACTCTCAAGCCCCCAAACATGCCCCTGTTCCTGAGAGTGCAGACGATCAACCAATCACTGAGAGTGGTAGCGGTGGGCAGCAGCCTGAAATTGACGATGCTTTGACCGCTTGGAGGGCTGCTCGCAAAGCTGTTATTCACACCATTGACATCTCTTCCAAGTATTCCAAGCACGCGGCCAAGATCGTTGCTGGTTTCCGCCACGGTCTCTACGCCAACAACGTTGATTTCTACGTTGGAGACGTTAGCGAATGGATCAAATCCGAACACGTCCGTCGTGAATCCGAAGAACCTTTCTTGACACACGCCTTCTTGGATCTGCCCGCTACTCACGATCATCTTTCGGCCGTTGCATCAGCTCTCAAGAAAGACGGAATACTCATCATCTTCAATCCCTCTATCACCCAGATCCTGGACTGCATTCGAAAAATCAAGCGACAGAACATCCCCTTGTTCCTTGACCAAACTTTGGAGCTTGGAAACAATGGAAGCAGCGGTGGCAAACCATGGGACTTGCGTGCCGTGAAGCCGCGTGCTTCATCAAAGGTCCAACCAACAGAGGACGGTTCTGAATCAGCACAATCTTCCGGGTCCGAAGGGCTAGAGGAGTCCATTACTAGAGATCCAGCACAGGCTTTGAAAGAAGCCAAACCCGAGGATCCAACCTGGACATACGTTTGCAGGCCCAAAGTCGGAGAAAGGATTACGGGCGGCGGATTCTTGGGCGTCTTCCGGAAGATGAACGATACTGCGCAACCATAAAATTGTTTCTAAACTTACGCTGATCAGGAGTCGACTTTCCTGGGACTCTGGTTAGCTCAGCGATAATCATAAGCTGCTGACGGTCACAAGTCTGGCCACACTCACAAAAGGCCAGTCTCAATGCTTTGTGGTGCCATGCCCGGAGGTATACAAGTCTAGTCTGGTATCGCAGGCAGAGTTCCAGAAGACTGCGCTGCCAAAGAGGCTCCTCTGCGTGCCCTATTCATGGTCGCTTACATGACTGAAGCAACTACCAATTACGAGTCGTCATCTGGATGCCATACTCCCATCGATATTCACTTCTAAACCAATCGGATGACGCGTTTCTCGCTAGCCGAGCGCGTCTGCTTCGTGGGAGCACACACAGCAATTTGTATACTACACATGCCTCAATCTCTCTCCTTCCATTACCCCAAAACCAAGCCCAACATGGCCAGTCCTCATCACCAGCAGAGGGTGGCTTACCCAAGATCGAGTCAAGCCCAAATCCAACGCTCTGCCGTACCTCGCGCCTCTCATCCGCCTCCATCAAGCCATGAAGAGCATGAAGACGAACAACCTGACGAACCACTTGACGAAGACCCTGGCGAAGATCGAGTTAGCAAGTTGATCGACGACGCTCTGCAAATGCTCGAAGGCAAGGAGGACGTCGGCATTTTCTGCATTTGTGAGCCCAGATGCAAGTGCAGAAAGCACTGCGCCGTCGCTCCAAGAGATGGGCAGTGCCTCTGTCAGTGTTATGAGGGATTGTGGGAGAATTGCGGTCTCAAACACGAGCAGACCGAGGCTGCAGGTAAGTGATAGTGAAATGGTTTGTCAAGACTCAGAAATTGACTTGTTATTCCCTCACAGGCCAGGCTCNAAGAAGAGCGCCCGGTCACTTCCCGATCCTTGTCCGTCTACAGTCAGGGGTCCATCCAAGCAAGCCTCCAAGGGCAGGAGCGTCAGGCTCAGACCCCTGACAACAACCACGCCTCGCTTTCAACAGCAGGCACCTGGAGCGTCAGTCGTGCCGAGCTCTGGGCCCGCCTCCCGGCACCGGGTCCCNCTACGCCCACGACCTCTGTCAAATCCAAACCCGTCAGGGGTTAGAAAACCTTGTTCGGCCTCGGGAAAGACAAGTCAAAGTAAAGGGGGTGGTTGAGATGGAGACGGGAGAAGGGAGCTGATTGTAACCCGAACGATTAGATGATAATGAAATTCTGATGTTGCTCAAGTTGACTCATTCATAATGACCCATATCTCCATGTGAAGAAGACCGTCAGATTATAGCTATAGAAATGCACAATGTTTTCCGAATTTGAGTGATGACCACTGAGAGACGTTAATATACGGGCATTTCTATGGGCACACTCTGGTCTGGTAAACTACTGTACATTTTTATAGCTACATATGAGGACAGGACGTGAAGTCGGGAGACGTTCTAAACGTGCTGTGTGCTGCAAACCCAAAGATCATGATCTCGCTGGCACACGGACCAAGCATCAGCGTCATCATTATCCGGGTCGTCATCATCAACTTCGATATGGCACTCCCCAAGCAACGACAACATCGATCTACATATCATGATTGTGCGCAAGATTACCGCCACTAAGCTCCAAGCTGCGAGCTATCTACTTGGAGTTGCGCTCTTCTCTATCTCGTTCCTGGTATTCTTGAATGCATCCATCTCGTTTGTTGTCACGGACGTCATCGGCCGCAAGCATGGTGTCGGCAATGTAGTTGGCACATTGGGATTCGCTGACGAGCTTGTCGCTTTGGTTGCTTGTCCACTCTGGGGCTTGTTGAGCGACAAGATAGGAGTCAGGAATGTGGCTGTGATTGGATATCTGATCATTGGCGCCAGTCTCATGCTACTGGTGCAGAGTCACAATGTATATCCACAGCTACTGCTCGGTAGGATGGCATTCAGCATTGGAGGCGCTGCATGCTCGACCATGGTCACCGCTATCCTGCCTACAATGACAGCCGAACGAAAACAGACTACCCTTTCGGAAGCCAGCCAGACCTATGGAGAAGGTATCGCGACACCAACCAACCCCAGCGCTCGACATTCAGGCGCTTTCAGCATCAGTAGCGAGGTTACCATCACTCCTGCACGATACGTCCAAAGGCCACCGAATTTTAGACGTCGGTCGCAGAAACGCCGCTTTGCTACAGATTCTGCCACGCCAAAGAAATCGGATCTTAGTCAACTTGCTGGCTATGTCGGCATGTTTACCGGAATCGGCGCCCTTGTCGCTGTCGGTATCTTCCTACCACTTCCTGTCAAGTTTTCTGGAAAGGGTGTCGCTCAGGCGGATGCCGTCAAGGACAGTTTCTACCTCGTCGGAAGCGTGTCTATCATTGTTGCCCTACTAGTATCTCTAACTCTCCGCGGACTTCCAGGTGAAGAGGACAAAGGTTTCCACAAGCTGTTTTACTCAGGCAAGAGTACCGATGACCATGATGCCAACGAATCCACGACTCTGAACCCTACACCGTCATACTATCAACTTGTCCGTTCCGCCATCATGCTGGGCTTCACCGACTCTCGAATCGCTCTAGGATATCTAGGTGGCTTTGTCGCGAGAGCTTCCTCCGTTGGCATATCACTTTTCATCCCACTCTTTGTCAACGCCTACTTCATCCGCGAAGGTCTTTGCTCCGACGATCCAAGCGAAGATATCAAGTCCAGCTGCAAGCGCGCATACACGCTTGCATCTATGCTGACCGGATTCTCTCAACTAACTGCACTGCTAGCTGCACCTCTGTTTGGATGGTTCAACGGCTACATGAGCAACAAAGGAGAGCAGCTATCCTACCTCCCTCTAGGCATTGGCGCCATCGCCGGCGTCATTGGCTGTATCTCGTTTGGTTTACTCGACAACCCCGACCCATTCCACGGAAGCGCTGACGGCAAAGGCGCAATCTTGGCTGTTATCCTTCTCGGATTCAGTCAAATCTCAGCTATCGTGTGCTCGCTGGGTATCCTCGCAAAAGGCATTCAAGCTTCTGCGCCAACAACCACTGCATCTGCCAACATAGAACCAGATACCCTGTCTGAAGCACAAGAACCTNCCACCGAGCCTACCTCTGCAGAAGAACCAACAGAAGTTGCACCACTGCTACCTACCGTCAATGAAGCTGCCCCACCACAGACGACAACTGAACTCGACAGGGGACAACTCAAAGGCACAATCGCAGGTGTATACTCTCTAGCCGGCGGCGTGGGCATCCTCCTACTCACAAAACTCGGCGGCGTGCTCTTCGACAAGACAAGCACAGGTGCACCATTCTATATGCTCGCAGGCTTCAACGCCATCTTGCTTCTCGCTGTCGCCGTTGTGTTTATCGTGCAAAGGTTGCGGAAAGTCACTGTTTCTGATGCTTAGTATAGTTTGAATATGATCAATTGTCAGCGCACGAAATGCTACTTGAAAGCTTATGTCAAATTTCACTATTCAAAATGTGACTGTACACGCTGTAGAAGTTTCGAGTATACCACTTCTACGATTCTTCATTCTTAACTCTACCATACTTTCCTAAGACAGACGAGATTCGATCCTCAAATCGAAGAATGTTCACCACAAGGCTTCTATGTTTATAAAGGATCATGGTCACAAGAGAAGAGAGAGCAAAAGAAGATTCAGTTGTAATGATCATGAGATGTATTATGTTAAGAGAAGACTATCTACTTTTTATATAGGATAGACAACTGTTCCGGCATTTGTCGTAGGTACTTTCGCGAAAAAGTTATTACATGATTAAAAGCGCAGACTGTGCCAGCAGATTGTGTTGTTCTGTTTTGGAAGAAAAACGACAGGAGAATGGTAGAAGATGCCAGACCACATGTGGCATATGCAATAGACAAAGGAAAAGAGAACCCAAGGCGACCGCTTTAGTGGCGGGCGTTGGTGGTGCCGTTGAAGGGGACAATGGCAGTGGCAAAGGCAGAGGCCGATGCCTTGGAGGCAGAGGCAACCGAGGCGCGCGAGGCCGAGGCAGCGGCGCGGGACTCGGAGGCGACAGAGGCGCGCGAGACAGACATGGCGGACGAGGCAGATGCCTTGGAGGCAACCGACTGGGAGCTGGCGACCGAGGCCTCGGAGGCGCGAGCAGCAGAGACTGAAGCGCGGGAGACGGAAGCGGCAGAGATGGAAGAAGCAGAAGCAACAGCGTTGGAAGAAGAGCGAGCAGCGACGCTGGAGACCTTGGCGGCGGAGGCAGCGGAGGCGGCAGAAGCGGCAGACTTGGAGGAGATGGAAGAGGCAACCGAAGCAGCAGAGGCCTTGGAGGCAGAGACGGCGGCGAGTCTGGTGGAAGAAGCGTCGGCTCTGGAGATGGAGGCAGCGACGGACTTGGCAGAGGCAACAGAGGCGGCGGAGACGGAAGCCTTGGAGGCGGCGACGTTGTGGGCGCTAGACTGAGAAGCAAGCATGACCGAAGAGCGCGAAGCCTTGGAGGCAGAGATGACCGAAGCCTGGGAAGCAGAGACCTTGGCGCGAGAGATGGAAGCGGCGACGGCCTTGGAAGAGGACATGGAAGCCTGAGCGGCCGAGACACGAGAGACGGCCGAGGCCTTGGAGACCGAAGCAACAGAGGCGCGCGACTTGGAGACGGCGGCCTTGGACTTGGAGGCGATGGCAGACTTGACAGAGGCGGCCGAAGCTTGGGCAGCCGAGACACGAGAGATGGCAGAGGCCTTGGAGACCGAGGCGACCGAGACACGCGAAGCCTTAGAGACAGAGGCGACGGAGGCCTTGGACTTGGAGACGGAAGCTCTGGAGACAGAGAGGACAGATGAGGCCGAAGCGCGGGACTTGGAAGCAACAGATGCGGCCGATGCCTTGGAGGAGGAAGCAGCAGCCTTCTTGGCCTCGGAAACGATACACTGGCAGGCAGCCGAGACACGCTTCATGGTCAAGCCGCTGATGGGCGAGGAGCTGTGGGTGGAGGCGGTGATCCAGTTGTTACAGAAGGTGTAGGGAGCGCTCTCAGCAGAGCGGACACGAGCAATGTCGCTGTCAACACAGACGGCACCTCTGGCGACGAGGTCGTCAGCAGGGACGGCCTGGACAAGGGCGGCACCGAAAGCCATGACGGGGAGGAGGGTGGTGAAGTGCATGGTTGCTGAAGGTGGTGGTGGTGGTTGGATGAAGTGGTGATTAAAGCGAGAGGATGTATAAGAATGTATAAGAGCGAAAGAGTGTCGAGCTGGTTAGTCGATTAGGCTGTAGAAGAGTAGATTGATCGTGCTGTTGATTTGGTTAATGGGCGGTGGTTCGATGCCCTTTATATCTGCAGTAGACAGGGCCCTCCTGGTTCCAGGGTTGATAGAATTTTGGTTGATAGGGTTCCGCTCCAGTGACAACCGCTGCACTATTGCATCGCGTGTTGTTTCTCTGAACAATTGAGGCTCCAGAACTCTACGACCTGCAAGCTTAACCGGCTTCACCACATGGCTACCGTAAATGGAAGAGAACCATGACCGTGCAGGGCTAGCCTTGCTGTTCTGGTACAGCAGTGCGAAGACGCTTGAGCCAGGCCGTCGGCAGATAACCGAAGAATGCAGATCTACACGGTCGGTCCATACAGCAATTGGCCTTTTGGGTAGGCGAGGATCGTAAACGGGCCGTTAACATCAATTGTTGGAGTATACGCTGCAGGATCGGTCAGACGTGTTTTTCGCAAGGCTGACATACAGAATAATGGCAAGGGCAGCCGCAAATGTCAGTGTGAGTCCCGAAGGTTCGGTGCTAGAAGCAGACCTGGCCACCGTTGTTATAGCCGTTGACATGGAATTCTTTGAAAAACGTCCTAAGTGTAGTCAACGGACCGTTTGAGAGCAAAGCGAGTCTGGAAAGAGGGTTTGTAGTTGCGGCAGTCGCCTGCTGCCATGCGGCGGGTACGCCTAGCCGTTGCGAAAATCAACCGTTGTAATAAGTTCCCTTAGTAACCGCTCGTTGGGTGTCGATTTGACAAGACGATAGCTGAGGCAAGGTACGTGGAGTGGCTGCGGTAGGCGACGCCAATCTGCTACAAGCTCAGTTTCCTTCGATGCTATCTCGTATAGAGGGGCCGTTGAAGCAAGTGGCCGAGTTTTTGCAAAAGTCATACTTTATCACAATCTGAAATGTAAGAATAGGGTCTGTGTTAGCACGAAGGAAGGCCACCGCTACAGCCTCCAGGTGAGTTGGCGTATACTGGGTCAATGAACGAGAAATGTAGGCCGATAGTTAGGTCAGGGATGAGACAACAGGATAAGCGAATAGGACCGCAGTCGAGAGGGGTGAATAAGCAAGCACTCGGCAGGTCCGGAGTGACTCGCGTGATAGTAGGATACAGGGAGGCAAGGAACAGTGGACTCGAGCAACGGTATGGGGGCACGCGAGTGGCCATGTCTGCGCAGGAAGAGACGTTGTCAGGGCTTGGACAGGCGACGGCAAGAATCCGAAGCGATCGAGGTGTCACTTCCTTGTACGGCCAGAATACACCGCCTCAGACATGATTGATCGGCAGTCGTGTAATCTTGAGCCCACGTGGAATTGGTACTTATTGGGGGTCGAGGTTTCTCGTTGTATAGGTTGGGCAAGAAGATCCAAGTTCATCAGCCGTTAGAGAGACAAGTGGACGCCCAGACCGTCAATAGTTGCTTGACAAATAGGGCATGGGCAAGCTGAGCCGACGAGCACGTGCAGGACCTCTCGTTGCGGAGTTTAGCTGAATATTGCCGTTGGCGCATCTTTTGAGCTGTCGTCGTCCAGATGCTTCATCTACAAGCGACCACCTCAACAATGTCGGACGCCCTCTCGAGTCGACCCCGCAAGGTGTGCTTTGTGACAATAGGCGCAACCGCTTCCTTCTCAGCTCTGATCCGTGCCACCATCTCGTCGTCCTTCTGCCACTCGCTTGAACAGAACCACTACACAGACTTGATTGTACAGTATGGCGCCGATGGTCATGACTTGTTTCAGTCTTTGGTGCACGACATAGACTCGGACAAACGAGGGAGCACCATCAATGTGTCTGGATTTGGACTGGACACGACCGGTCTTGGACAATACATGAAGCTGGCAAAGACAGGCGGCGACGGCAGCGGTGCAGAAGGCCTTGTCGTTAGTCATGCTGGCTCAGGAACCATTCTCCATGCACTGCGTGTCGACGTGCCGCTAGTCGTCGTGCCCAACTCGGAGCTCTTGGACAACCATCAGGTCGAGCTCGCAGACGCCCTTGCTGAGCAGGAGTATGTTGTCCACGGCAAGCTGGAGTAGGTCGTCCCTCTGTACTCAACTCTCCTCCGGGCACTAACACGTCTGCAGANNAACCTGCCGCAAGCACTGCTCGATGCCGAGAAGCTACGACTCCGACAAAAGGCGTGGCCACCAATCAACTCGGGTACCCACCGACAAACAAAAGGCCTTGCTGGCGTCGTCGATGAAGAGATGGGATTTTTGGTTGATTGAGTCTGGCACTCTCCACTTTTGCGCAGGCCGCAAACCCTTGGACAAGACGCGTCGCATAGCCGATACATGATAAACATGCAACTACGACGTCACGAAGCATCTTCAGTCTGAATATCAACATCACATGGCCTCTTTGATCATAGAACTAGGGCACGTCGCACGGCATCAGGATGTGGCAGAGTTGGATCGCTTTGATCGGCGGTGCGGGGTGCATCGAAGTCAAGCTTCACCCACAACCAAGCACGACAAGCGGCAGAAGATGGAATAATTTCTCCACGAGTCTTCGTCTACACCGCATACAGAGATTGATCCGGGCAGAGTGGGAACGAAACGCACACCATCCTCTTCGCAGGAGTGAATTAAGCCGACACGTCCAACTACGGCAGCTAGCAAACGTATATATATCACGCCGCCTTTCTCGCTTTGACCTTTCGACCTTCAACTCCTCTGCATAACACATCGGACGACAACCATGGTCTGGAAGTCAGTTTCCCCACTCGTCGCTGCAACACTAGGTCTATCCAGCGTAGCCTATAGTCTACCAAGTAACCAGCCAAAGCATGGCCACTACCCTGGTTGGGCAGGAATCAAGCACATTTTTGCCNTTGTGAGATATATGTAGCGCGTGTCGTGATAGCCAACTAATCATCTCGAAAGTGGCGACTCGTACACGACCACAGGCTTCAACACCTCTCTCACCCAGCCAGGGCCTGGCAATCCCTTTGGCAATCCGACGTACNCCGTAAGGTTGCCTCTGAAAACAGCACTGAACCAGCATATTAAACTTAGTTCCAGAGGATACACATCTTCTAACGGACCCAACTGGATCGACTACCTGACAACAACATACAACAAGTCTTTCATCGAGACTGTCAATCTGGCCTTTGGTGGTGCAACCGTCGACTCCACGCTGGTGGCACCCTATCTTCCTACAGTACTGTCTGTAAAAGAACAAGTCCAAAACGAGTACCTGCCCATCTATGCCTCCCACTTCTCTCCCGTCCCATGGACCTCCGACGACACTCTCTTCACAATCTTCATCGGCATAAACGACATCGGCAACAGCTACGCCTCGCAAAACGCAACTCTGCTCCCTACAATCTTTGCCGAGCTCTCCGGCCTCATAGAATCCCTCTACACCAGCGGCGCCCGCAACTTTCTCTTCCTAAACGTACCTCCAGTGGACAAATCACCATTAACCCAATCCGCGGGCCCGTCAGCCCAATCCCTAGAATCAGCAGCTATTGCAGATTGGAACACTCGCCTATCCTCCCTCTCCAAATCTCTGACCAGAAATCACGCGGACACCACATCTTTCGTCTTTGACACCCATAAAGTGTTTTCTCGCGTTATTGAGCATCCTTGCGCATATCCGCAAACTTGCCCGTATCAGAATACCACGGCATTTTGCGAGGCGTATATGAATGGGACACCTACGCCTACTTCTTTTGATCCTGCTTGTGGGGTTTCAGTGGACAAGTATCTTTGGTTGAACAGTTTGCATCCCACGTTTAGGATGCATGAGGCCATTGCTGCCCAGATTGTCAAGTTGATCAAGTAGGACGGATGGATGGCTTGGTACATGCTGTCATGATGTCCAGGTTTATGAAATCGAAATTCTTGTCTCCATCTCTGTTCCTTTAAATCAATGTCTGTGGTGTATTATGCAGGCCCGCCATTAGGTGTATAACCATAGTATATAATTTGCATTCATCTTCCAACCCTCTTCGTTTCTGTCACACATGAGAAAAAGCCGTTGGACGTCAAACGGCCTGTACTGGTGGCCAAGGTCATCACCCTGGACTTGATATATTTCTTCCATTCGTGCGTCCAATACTTCTATATATATGTTAAAACATTCATCGGACCTACCGAAGGTAGTCTTGTACCTGTCTTTAGCTTCTTTTGGAAGTTCGTACCAAGTTTTGGGACTTTTTCGCCGGTGATCAACCTTGGTCAGGAGTGAGGAGGTGGAGATGTGACAATCCAGTATGAAAGATGAATGAAAGTGATGTGTAATATATATCGCTCAATACATATACAGAGCTTACGCAAAGTCACAAGGTAGAGCGAAAACACCATAAGGAGCAGTAAAAAGAGTATTAGTTGAAGACAAGGACCAGAGCAAGGTCTTGGAAGACTAAGGTATTTAGAGCCAGGGTGTCACTCGCGGCAGGGTGACTTGGGAAAAACCAAGTCTGAGATCTTAGCTCGAGAGGTTTAGACAAAGAGAAACTTTCCGAAGAGGCCGATCTTGACTGAAGCCAGTGTCGTATACAGTGAACATTTCCCGAAGAACGCCCATCTACGGGGACTCTATCCTTTGACCCTACCCTCGGTCGACAACCAGGTCGCAAACTCCACAGGGTTACGAGTCTGCATGAAGATAGTACTGGACAGAATCAGCAGTGAACTGAACTGTATGAAGGAGGGAACATACCCAGGGCCCGTGAACTTGCACACCAAGCCTTCGCTGGCGCTCAAATTGGAGATTATCCCACCACTCGCAATACGCTCTAGGACGTACTTGGCGTTCCATGCAACCAGATGGCCATTGTCGATGATGTACTTTTCGCCTGGTTGAAGCTATCCTGGGTCAGCACAACGCCCTGTCTTACATAACGATAGACTCACATCTTTTCGGATGATGGCACCCAAGCTGCTGATCCATAGGATGCCTATGCCAGAGACTTTGTAGACGAAGAAGCCTTCACCAGAGAACATGGCTTTGCTGAGTCCTTGAGCCTTATAATCCTTGACGACACCTNNATGCTTAGTCTTAGCAAGAGGTCTGACGTTTTATACGATATTGCACAGCTTACCCTGAGTACAAGCCAGGAAAGCATCTTTGCCTACGTTCCACGTCTCTTCTCCGGTGAGTCGGATGTTGGTGATGTCACCGAGAGAAGCCGGTGCGAGCAAGAGTTCGCCAGGACCAGTGTAGGTTGATGTAGCCATCTGACCACCGGCAACCAACTTCTTGAAGGAGAACTTAATCGCACCTTGCAAGGTCATGGTCGGGGACATGGCGATCATGGCTCCTGGTTTGACGGTCAAAGGACAGCCCATAGCAAGCTGGAGTGTGAGAATAGTATTCGTATCTCTGTGGCTGATTCTGTAGCTTCCTCCATTGAAGGTACCCACGTCGTCGACAGTTGCGCCTGCTCCGACAAAGTGTGTCTGAGGTGGTGCACCGCCAGCCAGATTGCTCGTCAGCGAAGTATTAAGTGAAGGTCTAGCAGGCTCCNNTTTGCTCTCTCCATGCTGGGCTGGGTGTTCTGAGGAGGGCCGGGGTAGTAAGGTAGGGGTTGTTGCTGTGGTGAGACAGGGCTTGGCTCGNTATTCATGTGTGCCTACGTTGGCAGCAGGTGGAGGTGGCGATGCCGGAGGAGAGACGAATTGTGTCTGAATAGGTTGTGGAGCAGCGTTGTACGAGAAACGATTGGTCTCTGGTGGAGGGGCGAAGTGCTGTTGTGGTAATGGCTGCGGTTGGGGAGCTGCTGAATAGGAGGAGCTCCTTACGCCGTCATGTTGATCGGCAGCTGGCGGAGGTGGATAGTGCTGTGTATTTGTTGGAGGTGTATGTGAGGTCGGAGGAGCAAAATAGCTCTGCTGCTCTGAAACGCGNTCACGTTAGATGATTATCGTGAGTAGTTGGCCGACAAGTCTACCTTGAGGAGGAGCTAGGGATTGTTCATTAGCGATACCCATNTCTGTCTGTTGTACGGATGATGGCTTACGAGGAAAGTACTGGGCTTGATTGTTTGCCATGATCGATCGACAGCCTTAGCAACCAAGGCAAGAACGATTGCCGTCGTGTTACGATAGTACCTACTCAATCCAGCTTCCACTTCCTGAGGATTCAAGAAGGACAATAGAAGGGCAGGAACAGGAATAAAACTTACATCGAGGCCGCAGAGTAGCGACCGCCTCGAACTATTAAATACTCCCTACCTCGTAGCTTTGTGAGCACGCTTGCAGACCGCTGTGCGATGCGATTGGAGCAATGCCCCACTGGCGCGCAAGCGCTGCCATCAGCGTCGGCGGCTACAGTCCTTGGCTGCAAGACATGCTCTCCTGCTTTTTATACTCGCTGTGCGTGCCTCTGCTCTCCAGTCTACAAGACTGTCTCATGAAAGCTCGCGTCTTCGGTATGCGCAACATGCCCCGCCAACCCTCGGGTTTGTCGCGTCCCACCGGCTCGTGCATATCCGAGTGCATCGCTTATGTCCACACAAGCGCGATTGCAGGCAGAAAGGATCATTTGCGCATCCTTCTGGTATCGTCTGATTTCACAAGGCGCAGTCTGTTCAGTTTACACGTCGGCAGCTCCAGACATGCAGCAGACAGCAATGATTTCAATTGGTTTCTCTTTTCGAGTGAGTCAGCCTCCAAGCCAACGGTACCCCACACTTCGACAACTACTTTCCACCAGTAGAGACACCCCCAGTAGCCGCACCACGATTAGCCGCAAAAATGCCATGGCTAGTGGCCTGTCTTGCTGGGAGTGTTGCTAAAGAGCCTGGGACACACCATTCCTGTTTGGGGACACCGCGATGGTTCGCTCTTGATTGGCCAATTCTGCACTCGAAGGATGGAGATGAAGGCTTAGCTTCCTTTCGGTGACTCGACGGGGAGCACCTTCGTCTGACGGTATTTACCCAGCTCGTGTCCAGACTCGAGTCTCTTGGTCTTTTGTTTCCTATCATTCTTTTCGACAGTCTCGCTCACCACCCGTAACCGCACGGCGTGGTCTTGTCAATAGAAGCGACCAACCGCAAAACCGCTGCCTTGATAGCCACCATATCATCCGCAGACTGCGATAATCCCTCTACTCATTTATCTCTATTCTTCAGAGAAATCAAAATTTCTTCATTCTCAAACTTCATTCAAAATTCAAAATCAACCTTAGCAATGGCATTGTCTACCCAGATACCCATGGTTGGATACTTCATCTACCGCTCTGGTGAACAAGCCGACCCAACCGCTCTCGAGTTCTGCCCTCCCAAGGGTTCTGACGAACTCTTCTTCGCTCTGAAAACCGCCTACCCTCACGTCAAGACTCATTCTGACCGCATGAGAAATGCAGTCATCGAATTTCTCAAGCAGGAACTCAACGAGGAACAATCTCAAATGACGACCCCTATCATCCCTATGGAAGCCGATCTCTCTTACGATATTCCTACCGAATCTCCTTGGTGGCCCTCCATGGAATCCACTACCTCGACTCTTAGCAGCCCCGATCTCTTCAACCTGGCTACTCCTGCATCAATGTCCTCTTCCCAAGCTCCCACAATGAGCCGTCAGAACTCCTCATCTCAGCCCAGCTCTTCCCAAAAAGCCAAGCCTGGTCTTGAGGAGATGACCGGTGTCTTTAGCTTGTCATCGACTTCCCAACCCAAGACTCGCGTACGCAGGAAGATGACTGAGTCTGAAAAGCTCGAGTACCGCAAGCGTCGTATCGTCAAAGCTTGCGACTCGTGCAGCAAGCGTAAGCGAAAGTGCTCTCACAACCAGCCCGAAATGGAGAAGGTTCGCTCTTCCAAGGTCATCAAGTCCAAGACACCAGCATCGAACATCAACTCGGCGTGTGTCGAACAGATCGAGAAAGCCGTCTTCCAACTCGCAGAACCTTCTGTCGTCGATGAGGATCCCTTCGTGTTCCTGAACCAAAACATGTTCAACGATCTTCCTGCCACCGATGGATTCTTCTTCGACGCTGCTGTAACTACTCAAGTTCCTCAGCAGACCACCTGGCCATGGAGCGATACTGCTGACTGGACTCTTATTGACACTCCTCTACTCGCCCAAGCATCGCCATCATCCCCATCCTACCAACAAGCACTATTCCCTGCCTCGACCGGCCTACTTTCACCACAGCCGACACCACAACTAGAACTGATACACGAGCCGGCGGAACAAATACGGGCCTCCGATTTACCGACAACAACGCAGACACCTACTCGCACGTGGCGTACGTTCTCAGACTTCTCCCGTACAGCCTTCTCTACTGCCGACGGACTCGACGGCAAGGAGCAAAGCGCTTCTATGGGTCTCTCGACACCAGGCGACATGATGTCGCCATCACAACTGCGTAACCTGTACTCTCCTTTGGCAACTCTTACCGGACCTCAATCTTCCCTCTCTCTTGGCGGCTCGGCGATTGAGAAATCGACCATGTCTTCTGGCAGCGCCGAGATGGCGCCACAATTGGTTCCACAGGCTCACGGACTGACCGAGAATGCCCGTCGCCCTGAAGCACTACAAGGTCGAAGCACTGGTAGCGGCATTGCTGGTATTGGCCTAACTAGTGGACTAAGCCGAGTAATTTCACAACAAACACCTAACAGTCACACTGGCGCAGGAGTACGCCACGTAGTGACCGAAGACAATGCTACGTCTCCCACGAAATCCTCGGGAGACCAACATATCGGGAACTCATGCAGCATCAGCGGCACAGGTAAACATAACTTCATGCCTAATTCTCCCCATGAGAATCTTGCTAACGTTGAAGCAGCTGCAATTGCGGAAAGCGAACTACAGAGGACGGCCAGAACGCTCCTACCTGCTAGATCAACCGCAGGACTTGCACCAATCTCGCCCAATGCAACTGGCCGACTATCTGCCCCGATTGCCGAAGCAAGCAGTCACGGACTCAGTAGCACGATGAACCAACAGCTCGCCGCCTCTAAAAGCGTGTATCACGAAAGGACTGCTGCTACCGGAGAAACACCATCAGCAGCCCGACCATCCAGTCTATCAGCCGATTCAACCAGCACATCGTCATCAACGAGTATAACTCGCACAACACCTGCTAGTCTACAACTACGATCTCAGGCTGCTAGTCCGGACCTACATGGCAGACTCNCTGCAACCGGCACGCCATCGACGCTCAACCCTGCGATCGCACACCACGAAGACCCTGAGAAGCTGACCTCGGTCACTCAGACCAAGGCCCGACTCGAGGGAAGCGAAGAATCCTCGCCCAAGCAGGGCGAACAGATTCGACAACTACCCCTCAAGTCTGGACTAACTGCCGCAACTCAAGCAGCAGCCACGCGCTTACAGCCTCTTCGTCACCGTCATAAGCGATCGCTCGGACAAGCCATTGCTCCTGCAACCTCTGCTAGCCTTGATCTTGATGATACAAGGATTGCGGCTGCCGTGTTGGTGGCCCAGGTTTGCATGACATGGCGGGCTATGGCTAGTGCGTTCGTGCAAGCTGTCTCGACACGCTCGTCTTGTGGAATCAACAACAGAGATTGCACCTCTCTGTCTGTCCCCAAGACTGTCTTGTTGACTGCTTAGCACGACGAGGGCGAGCTCGATAAACAAACTGTTTTATCTTTGATAGCGTTTTTGTTCTTGGATGTTTTGCACGATGATGATGAAGGAAAAGGGGAAGACGGAGATACGGAGATGGAAGACGTATTGGAAGAAAAGTAATCTGGCGTTTTATTTGATATTTCGGTCTCTTTTGTCATTTCCAGTTGATGGATTGTGGTAGATGGGCTTTTCTTTTTCTCAACTACACTCAGTCGACCTCTTATTAGAGTCTCTGCAAATGCAAACTGATTATTACCACATTCAACTTCGACATATCTCCCTCGCACATTCTGTGTATGAGACAAAGATACGATATACTGAGAAGCGTAGAGCAACAGCAAGAGATGGTCGTTTTCACGAAGCACCACCTCCACAATCCGAGCCCATCGCAAACCACAATTCCTCCGTCACATCTCACAACCAACCAATTACCATATTAGAAAGAAACAACAATGCCATCACCAGAATTGAACCACGCCATCAACCACACCACATTATCACGGCTCCAGAGTCTTGTGAGAAGGCTCTGTGACGCGTCACCCACAGCGCGAGCTCTAGTCGAACAAGAGCTTCTGGCTTCCTCCTCGGCAACCAATGTCGTTGATCTCACAACCGAGGAGCCACAACAGACATACCAGCAGATTGTTAGCAGTGAGAGTGCANAAAGACAACGCTATGCCATGTGCGAGCACTGCAAGGAAGAATTCAATGTTACTGACAATGGAGAAGATAGTTGTCGATACCATGAGGGTAGGTTGCTTGGATATTTGCTACTCTAAGCGAAGAGTTTGTTGATAATGGAANACAACACAGGTAGTCTCGAAGTCGATGATGACGGCGACTTTTGGGCTGATTGGGACGAAGACTGCCATGGCACTATCGACTTGGATCTTGCAGATGAGTATCCCGAAGGCTTCAAATGGACATGTTGCGATAATACTGGAGATGAGGAAGGATGTACGACTGGTCCGCATATGGTTGATGGGAGGTACAAACCCGAGGAGGTTAAGAGGAGGAGAGTGTAGCAATGAGCAATGTCATGCACTTTATATACAACACTCAAGAACACAACAGTTATATACAACTATCCGCTTTCCTGGGTCCGGAGTGTGATCGGTTGGATTTCGAAGTCAATCTTCTCGTGAGCGTATCTCGCTGCTGCCTTCTCCTACGCTATGCTATGCTATGCCATTAACACGCCTCATCATTGCTGTGTAGGCCTTGCCTCCGAGTCCCTTTCTTCTCACTTGTTCTCCAATATTTCATGCGAGATAGATGGGAGGCATGAGAGCACAACACCCTTTAGCGTTGGCGCTAGGCATCGGATCTGATGTCGACGGCTGGGACGGCCGCTTCACCTATGGTGTTGCGCTTCGGGTCGTGGCTGGTATTTCCGGTGCCCAGTAAACCAATCTTGCGAGCGGCGCTGGCTCTCGAGCGGGAGCTCTTGAGTGTTTTGTTTTGGTGTGTATCATGTCTTTCTTCAAATGCTTCTCACAGAGAGGCAGCGGCCTCAACGGCACCGATACCCTTGAAGAGGCCGGGATTCGTGATCTCGATATGTACAGGGTATTTCCACTCCATGTATTTGGTCCATCCNTGTCATTCGTTGCATGTCAACAAAGTCCATCCTTTGCATGTTCTAGGTATCCCAAACTCACCCCAATAGGCGGCTTTACGACCAAAGTACTTGCCCAAGTAGGGCACAAGCACCATTGTGAGAAGCAGCTCGAGCTGCTGTAACGATTCCTTCCATTCTCTTTCGGCATCGGACTGCCATTCTTCTTCCGAGGGCGAGATGGAGGTTGTGCTGGCCGAGGTCGAGGGTAGGGAGTCGAGATCGTCCGAGGAGTCTGAGGCAACGCGAGGGATGTTGTCGTATGATTGGTCTGACATGTTTGCTGCTTGTAGATACACAGAAGGAGCGTTGGGTCGGCTGGTATGCGTCGTTTCAACAGCTCTCTTGCTTGTCGGAGCAGTCGCGCTGCATGACGACTCCCGACTTCCGACTGCGATATCTCTTGGCACTTCTTTCCCCACACTTTCTACCCCAGATTGAACGTGCCAATTTTCTGAAACGGAAAAGTAAAAATAACTTGCATCTTTTTTGTTCAAATCACATACAACACCACCACGCAGAAGATGGGCAAGACACGCGATCCCAGCCCGAGCGCAAGCTCAAATGCCTCTTCAGATGCCGAAGAACCCAAGGTCACCAAGGTCGAAAAGACAAAGAAGCGCAAGCGCGTCGTCCTGCCCGAAGATGAAATCGAAGTCGACGTCAATGCCCCGGAGCCGCCGTCCAAGAAGGCAATGCGTGAGGCCAAGAAGGCCGCCAAAAGAGCGAAGGACGACCCCGAAGGCGCTGCCGCTGCCGCCGCCGCTGCAACCGCCGCCGCAGATGGGGAAAAGAAGCGCAGTGACTATGGTATCTGGATTGGAAACCTGGCTTTCGCTGTCGACAAGGATATGTTGCGTGTCTTCTTCACGCGCCAGGCGCAGATCCCCGATGCTGAGATTACTCGCTTGAATATGCCTGTTCCTCAGGGTCCCNCCNAGCCCGGCCGCACCAAGCCTTCGAACAAGGGTTTCGCCTACGTCGACTTCGCTACCGAGGAATCCCTCAACAAGGCCATCGCCATGTCCGAGACCCTCGTCAGCGGCCGCAAAGTCCTCATCAAGAACGCAAAGAGTTTCGAAGGCCGTCCCGCCCAAGCAACCGCTACAGTAAACGCCCTCGCCGGCAACGCAGACTCGAGCGAAGCCGTTGCAGCAGGAAGTGCAGCCCCCAACAAGATTGGCCCCAATGGCAAGCCCGTCATGCCCNCCAGCAAGCGTGTCTTTGTCGGAAACCTCAACTTTGACGTCACCAGAGATGATTTGGAAACCCACTTTGCCCAAGCCGGAGAGCTGGAAGACGTCTTCATGGCAACCTTCCAAGACACCGGAAAGTGCAAGGGATACGCCTGGGTTCGATTCGCCGACCTCGAAGCCGCAGAGTCCGCCGTCCGAGGCTTCATCTGGAAATTCGACGAAGCCAGCGACGACGAAGAAGAAGAAGAAGAAGAAGAAGAAGAAGAAGAAGAGGAAGAAGAAGAAGAAGAGAAAGAGAAAGAAGAAAAGGAGGCCTCAGGCTCAGGCTCAGACTCCGACAGCGACGACGAAGACGCAACGGAAAAGAAAAAGGAAACCAAGAAATCAACAAAAAAGCCAAAGAAGCAAAACAAACGCAAATGGTTCATCAACCGCCTACACGGCCGCCCCCTCCGCTGCGAATTCGCAGAAGACGCCAGCACCCGCTACAAGAAGCGCTTCGGCAAGGAAAGACCCGCCACAGAGTCACACATCTCAGACGCAGCACCCATCACCGAAGTCGACGGAGGAGCAGCAGAAGAGAGAACTCAAAAGAGATCCAGACCCAAGGGTGATGCAGACGCCAGACAAGAAATGCGCAGAAAGAAGTTTGACGCCAGAAAGATTAGACCGGGTAATGCGTTGGCGAATGCGCCGAGAGCTTCTGCTGCTATTGTCGAGGCTGCGGGTAAGAAGATTTCGTTTGATGATTAGGTGGATTGTGGAGTGTTTCGCATTCTTGTTGGAGTGGTATATGTGGCAGTACTTTTTGGTGGTTGGAACACAATTCGAATACAACTTTGCCTTCCACCATCTCACCTTTCTTGAAGTGATGCATGCATTTCGAGGTTACCCATGAATTTAGTCGATCAAATGTCCGTTTGGTAATTGTCAAAATCAGCCCGTGTCATCTCAAGGATAGACAAGATGGTCAAGTGCAGAAGCAACATTCGATATGGCCCTATCTACAAAGTATAGACTACCATCTACCTCGCACAGCAAGGCGAAAACACCCTCAGTCCCAAACTCCAGCAAAACCCATCGCTAAAACCGCAGACATGTAAAAGCATCTGAAATCTTCCTCTCATAAAGTGCAATCAAACCATCAACTCAGCAGCCCTAACCCTCCACCCCTCACCAAACCTCCTCATACTCCAGATGACCAAGATACCAGAAACCAAACACCAAATCCCAATAACCGTAAACAACCATCCATCTCCACACCAATCGATCAAGGGACTGGCGACGAGTGATCCCACACAGGAAAAGATATTGCGCACGAAATTGTTCAACGCAATGCCATGACTGGCTTTATTGGGCATGAATTCGGTGAGCATGGTGGTGGCGACAGAGAAAATCAGCATACTCCCTATGCCGAAGAAGAAATTTGCGATCATGGGGACTATCCAGATGGTGCCATAGCGAGCGGTCCAGCCATACCAGATCAGTGCAAGAGGAAACATGATAGCACCCAGCCATGCGTTCTCTCGCAAGCGGTCTTCGGGGCGGTAGATAAGGTGACCGTGCTCATCGTAGCGATTTGCCTTCTTTGCTTCGCGAGCCATGATTCTGTCGACCCATTTGCCGCCGAACAAGGAAGCGAGAAAGTAGCCTAGCGAGTTTGGAATGTAGAGGAGACCTACGATGATGGTGGAGAAGCCGTAGGGTTCAGAGTCAAAGGTTTGCTGAACAGAGATGTTGAGGACGTAAAGGGAGCCAAAAGTGATACTGGCGTAGTAGACGACGAGTGCCACGGCCGGGATGCGCAGATTGAGGATGATGGCCAAAGGGTCAACGAACCAGCGGCGGATGATGGCAACGTAGCGTTTTGATTTCAGAGTCACGCTTTGTCGTGTGCTGGTGCGTGAAAGAGTTGGTCTTGTACTAGTGTCCTTCTCCGAGGAAGCCGCGATGACTGAGGCAGGAACGGTGTCCTTTAGCGTTTCTGGCAGAAAGAAGAGGAGGAAGAACCAGAGAAGTGCACCGTAGATTGTGGTAAACCACATACAGCTCCTCCATCCAAGTCCTTGGGTCAAGGCTCCTCCGATAATAGGGGCCAACAAGGGCCCACACAGAGGGCCGAGGTAAAACATAGACATGGCATTGCCGCGTTCTCTGACTTCCCATACATCGGCAATTGTTCCAGCACCCACAGCTTGCACTGACGCAGCAGCACCTCCAGAAAGAACACGCATGACAATGAACATGGCAATGTTGACACTGACAGCGCTCAAAATGTTGAAGATCAAAAACAAGAAGAAAGAAGCCAGATAGATAGTCCTTCGTCCAAGGGTCTCTGAGAAGCTTGACCACCAGAGGGGAAAGACACTCATACTCAACATGTACAAAGCGACCGAGAGGTTGGTGACTGTGGATGAAGAATTGAATTCACGGTCGATCTGTGACAGGGCAGGCAAGATAATGCCACTGCCCATTGGAGCTGCAGCGCCTGCTACTGCGACCACAAAGGTAATGAACCACTTTGTCCTACGAGCATAGTGTTTGGGGTCCTCGACTTCGGCAATGATGGCCACACGAGCCAGTAGCCCTCTTCTCTGGCCTTTGGGAACGAATATGGGGTCGATGTCTTCGCTGGCTATCGAGGCCGTGGCTTGTTTCTCGAGAGACGATGCATCTTCGAGATCCGGGCTTGGTACAGGGTGTATTCCGTCGGTTGTGGGCAGAGGTGCAGAGATCGACTCGACTTCTGGTCGATCTGGCACCGGGATGGAGTGTATCGAGTGTGTATCAGAACTCGTCGACTTGACGTCTTCCGAGTGCTGGTCGTGTGAGCCCATGGCGTATCGGCGTTATGCTCGCCTTTCTCCGAGCAACCGTTATGGCGGCAGTCTGGCGACGTCGACGGTGATTTCACGCAACAAGACGCGTGAAGGTCTGTAGAGAGACAGAGTCCAGTGAGCCATAGCTACATGTCTTTTCGAGCTCTCGCCCATAGTCAGGCCGTTTCGGCTCTTCGAAAATTGAGCGGACTTCACTCAAAACCAAGAACCCATGCCGAACAGCCGAGCCTCTCTAATCATTCCTAAACCGGTATAGTTTTTGAGCTGCAAGCCGACTTCCGACCAAGACCCCTCTTCACATTTCTTCACATCTCCAGCACAGTCAACATCAGGGTCAATCAGATTTCCAGGTTTGGCCTCTGTCTCGTAGCAACACAGTGCACATTCTAAGCTATGTGAACGCACATACTCTCAATGTATATGGGTCAATTCAGAGGAGATGATCTATTTAGAGGAGATGGTCCATTTCAAGTGCTATCTATGCTGCGACATACTTGTGGAAGAAGTCGACATAATCAAAGAAACTTCTCTTGTAGTGTCTCTCAAATTTTCCACTCGTCCTGTTGACAGTCTGAAGACCATATTGGTTCTCGTAAGATCCAAACTCGTTGTTGTCAACAAAGCTCCATGCCAATGCTCCAATGACGTTGACTGCACCCCCGATCTGCCACGCACTTCCGGCAACACCCCAGATGAAGTTCTTGTCGAATTTGTAGCAGTCAAGACACGCATCTGCGTCAGGGCAGGCAGAATAGAGAGCTGGAGGGTAGACAAGTTCGCTGGTAGCCACAGGTGTAGGCGATAGCGCTGTAGTGAATGGAACAGTTCGGTTGTAAGTGTATCCAGCCCAAAGACTTGCATATGCAGATTGCCCATACTTGCCGTCGTTACTAGTGGTGGCCTTGGGGTTCAGCGCGTAAGTCGTGTATGTGACATTCGAAGACAGTAGCGACTTTGCCTTGGAGTAAGCAGGAGCAAAAGCACTTGCGAATGTGACCGGAGCGGAGATAGGAGTTGCATAGCGATTGCTGCTAACTTGAGTATAGCTGAATGAACTGTAGCGAGGTGTGAAGCTTGCTGAAGCACAAGTCGAAGCTGATTGAGCCTTGTGTTTTCGTCAGTATAACCGTTGGATCATGTTGGCGAGTTTTCATACAGAGGTAGTCCAGGGCAATGCACCTTTGGCACTCGTACTGGCAACAAGTGTATACGTGCTAGTGCTGCTGGTGCTACGCGAAGTTTTGACACTCTGCTTGGGGAAAGCTGCTGCGAGAGTGCACAGAAGTGCGAAGCACAGAACGAGGAAGTTGATTATGGTAGGCTCTCTGGTCTACAGAGCATTGCATGGCATTGGCCGTGTTCTTGTAGTTCCGCTCGATGTTCCTCGACCATCAGGGCACAGTGATCTTGATCTTCAACCCGAACCTAAAATCAATGCCCTCGGTAGTGTGGGCATACGCCGATGCATATTGAGGGGTAAGTTAGGGTCGTTGTTTTGTTCAGGATTGAAGAGTCGGGAAGTGGACACGATGGCAGCAATATTTAGGTGCCCATCAAGTCTGTTCAATTCCAACACTGTACGTCCAATCTGTGCAGTCGAGTGGTCTGCGGGCGGGCACGTCCCAATTGATGGTGTCAAAAATTTGTATCAACCATTTTGCGGAGAGGTGGAGGGAGGAAATGTGGGGTGAAGATCAGAAAGATTGTGTCAAAACAAGCGAGGGATGCTTAGCAACAGACAGTCTCTAAGGGACCAGTCAAGCCGCACCTCAAAACCAGAAAAGCTAGGTGACTCCGTAGGATGTCAAGACGCCAGAAGCCTTGGGCTCTGTAGAAGATGTTCGTGATGAAGCTCTATCCTCCCTCGTGATAAACACAGTCACAGTGTAGCTATGGAAATGCACAAAACTGTCCATGAAACTGTGAGATCCACGGAGAGAAGGTTATCCTTCGGCATCTCTATGGCCACATATTTATCCGGAAAGTGACTCTGCGTCTTTATAGCACATAATGACATTAAATGTTAGTGTGGGAGAGCGGTCGATAGTGAGGTTGTGGCTGTCTTTTGCCACGAGGAGGATGCTTTGAACACCTACTCCATGCTCCTCCAATGCACTACTGGAAGAGCGGAAATAAGCAGCTGCCAGTACCGCCAGTAAAGATGTGCACTCTGAAACATCTAGAAAGTTGACGAACACAAGGCGAGCGCTCGTCGACCGAAAATTTAGAGGTTATTAAACCACTTCGAGACGCGACAACCAGACTCAGAGTGGCATGCATAAGAATAATGATTGCATCGACTTTGATAGTTTAAGCAGGCATCGTCGAGGAGCGAACAGTTGAACCAAATGTGTTGACATATTTGCACCAAGTTGTTGTATTTCATGTTGAGACCTGCGGGACGCCAAGGCAGATGTTGAGTCCTGCAATGTACATGGTAAAGCAAGTTCCCGATGGCGGATCCAGGTTGCAAGTATTAAATCAGAGGCTGGGATATAGATTGGTGGAAAGACCAACAACACGATCAAACAGGAAGTCGAGTAAGTGGCACACGGTCACACCCACACGGCCAGCCACATAATGATTGCTACATGTCCAATGACACGGCCTTGGTGAGTTGGCACCAGTGGAAGAGGTTGGGAGCGGGTAACAGCCAACCAGGGCAGGGCGTATGCGCCGATCAAGTGCGGTGACGAACAGAGAAGATTAGGTTGGGTTACATGTGCATCGCACATCGTGCGCGGTGCAATGGTGCGCACGAGTTCTGGAGAGTCGAACAAAGACAATAGTGAGTTGTGGCGAGGCGCAGTGGAGCACGAACAGAGTCGGGAAGGAGGATTGACAGGGTATGGAGCAGCAAAAAGAGAAGAGCGAACAGGCTGCGACCCACGCGTGAGCGTTGACCCGGCAGCGGAAGTGCGGGAAGCGCATAGCGTGCAAAGTCTACCAAACGGACCACTCGATTCTGTTCAAAGGTCGCTTGTGAGCAGCATCTTGCTTCTGAGTCGACCAATCCTGCCGCAGTTGCAGCCAGCGTGCTTGGATCCTGCTCCTGCCATCCTGCATCGTTGCACGTCACTGCAAACTTGCCAGCATTGAAGATAACAAGTCGAGCATTTGCAGCTGCCAAAAACAAGCTCTCGACGGCGCGTCGGGAAGCAGCCGACTATCTAACGGTCCATATCAACATTCTCCACAAAAAGGTGCCGACTTTATCACAAAAGGCCATGGCCATGGTTTATTGCGTCGTTTGCTGATTGGTGGTGGGTAGCAATCAAACACCTCTGCTCGCGGCAGACCTCTCGACCTCGACATCCTTGACTGTTTGTCGCATCTCGAGCGCCTCACAAACATCGACAGGCCTTCATCTAAGCAGTTGCGGCTGGAGTCTAGGGAACGACGCATTCGCGCACTCGGATTGGCAGCGTCTCAGACCATCACGACCACTCATCACCCGTCGGGCTGCAATGAAAGTCGCATCCTCGATCACGTAAATCCCGCTGAGCAATCGCCGCCGCCATGGGTGTCGAAGCTCACCAACGACCACCACTGCCTGCACCTACTGAACCCACCGACGTCGACGACACCGATGTGGCCACCAACGTCTCGCGCCGTACCGACCAGACCTCCTACTCAATCCCCGAAGACGGCAGTCCCATCACCATCTCGACACACAAACTCACATCCAAAGAAGGCCCACGCCTCCGCCACGGTCGCAACAAATCCCAGACTTCACTGCTGATCGAGTACTTCGAAGCCACCAAAGGCGACAAGGCAAAGAACCGACCCAGTGTTCGCGTCAAGGTTACTCCCTCGGCTCACCGCAAATCAAAGACGTCGGATTCTGTTCAGATTACAGGCATCGGTCGTGACAAAAAGCCATCATATACACGCCGCATCTCTCTGGGTTCCAAGTCGCCTGACAAAGCCGCGCCAATCGAAGCCACCGAGGTTAGTCACTCGTCGGGAAGTAACCTTTCGGCCATCCCTCCGGTCGAGGTCGAGATTCTCAACAATAGCGACTTATCGAGCCTGAAACAGGGCCGTGAATCCCGCGACTTACACTACCTTTCTACCACCTCGGACGTCTCATCAATGCCTCCTGACAGCTTACTAGAGCCTTCTCATATCTCGGCTGTGGCCCAAGATGCATCTGAGGAGGCGAGCCGTAGCCAGAGTCTTCTGGACCTGCCTGTACAAGACCGAGCACGCAGCGCCAGCCACGAGCGCATCAAGCAGAAAGTCATCGAGAAGTTGATGCAGCGCCAGCGTGGGGATTCTGTTGAGTATGAGCCCGATACTAAACCAACCAAAGAACGCCGCCGCCGCTCATCCCGCTCTACACGCGAGGACGACCTCGCTAGCGCCGCCGAATCATCTATATTGTCTTCGAATCTTTCCCCTAGCAACCTTTCATACGCTTCTGGCACAACCTCAAAGGTGTCATTGAACAACCCGAAGCTTCTGCAGATGGTTGAGGATACTGTTCGCCGCCTAATCCTACCCGAAATCACTCAACTGAAGAATGAACAGCGACGCTCCTCACAGGGCTCATATACTGATGACGAGCTGGATCGGCGTCACTCCAAGTCTGCAAGCTCACCCTCAGTTAACGCTAAACCCAAGGTCGTACTCAACCGCTACGATGACGATCCTGGCGAGGTGCTCTCCCGAGGAGACTATGAGCGTCGCGAANAAACTCGTCGGTCCAGTCGCACAGAATCCGAACGCCCTCGTCGTGAACGTCGTTCTTCGCGCACTTCGACAAGAGAAGAGTCTCTACACAGCAGGTCAAGCAAAGACAAGGAGTCTCATCACATCAAAGAGGCTGCCGCTGCTGGTATCGCTAGTGGTGTTCTTACTGCTGCAGCCCTTCGTCGTCATGACTCTCAGGACAATGTTAGCCGTGAACGTCGCAAGAAGCGCAAAGGACGAACAAGTCGCAGCGATTCAACAAGTCTAGCTGAGACCGAGAAGACATATCGCAAAGAAGATATCNCCCCTATGCCCTGGACTGGCGCATCGGCCATGAATGACTCGGAAGTAACCCGTCAATCCATTCTCACAGCATCGACTGAGCGTCCTCAATCTGCTTCCCTTACGGAACGTCAAACTCCAGTCCGTGAGGTTCGACGAGGCTCGCTTCGTGGCTCCTTGTCACCAGCATCTACGACTCCCAAAGGAAAAGGAGCTCGCTCGCCTCGGCCTCTGGAGTCGATTAAGAGCGGCCACTCCCTGACGGAAGAATACGATGCCGGTGTTCAATCCATCTCAACAAAAGCCAAGACGGCAGCATTAGCCGCAGCTGGCTTGGGCGGCATCGAGACCGTTCATCAATATTATGAAACTGGTAAACATGACTCGAGCCCCACGCAGAGCGTTTCCACTCTCAGAGATAGTCTCAATGACCCTTTGGTCCCCCATGGTCTGCGACCTCGCAGTAGAGTCTCCGAGCTATCCGCTGGTTTCGAGGAACGGCAGCGGAACGCTATGTCTCCTGTTTCAGCGCCGACTTCTCCGAGTGTTCAGAAGAAAAGCTTCGACATTATTAGAGCCTCTCAGTCACCTGCACAAGTGTACGATGAGGCTGAAGAGCGTAGCGAGCTGGAAGAATGGTTTCAACAGGAGCATGAGAAGAACGAGGAGTATCGCAAATCTCTCGCAAGCACCATTCCTGAGACACTCGATGAGCGCCGTCTGACCCAGTACACCGAAGGCAGCTACCTATCTAGCGAACAGAGTCCGGAACGTGACGTCAAGGGAGTTGCTGCGACCNCCCAGTACACACACCTGCCACATGGCGTCGAATCTGCCGTCGCCTCTCTGATTGACCCTTCTACAGTTAGTACTAGTATTCAATCATCCCAAGCAAGCCCGAGCAATTTGGAAGACATTCGTTACCGTGAGCGAATGGATGATGGCGTGCGTGAGGAGCTTCATCATCAGTCAATGGAACCTCAAAGTACGGACTCGAAGATGCAATACCCAACGCAGCACCGATGGAGTGCATTACGTGAAAATGCTTTGGCTCTATCCAACCGGGGCTCCTCTGCACAACCCACAAACTCTCCTCGCCAGAGCGAGACTTTCCACGAGGAACGCACGCACGCAGACTCTCNNCCCCCTGTCCGCTTAAGCGCTCATGGCATTCCTGATGCTAATGATCCCCTGCCTGAGATTGGACATGGAATTGACTCTGAGTCTGACTTGAGTACAAATCCTCCAGAGATCCAAGGACCTGGCTCAAGCGATGGACGCCTCAATTTTCTCCCTTCATTCTCAAACAGTCCGGAGAGAGAGGCCGTGCGACACGATAGTATTTCAGAGCACAGTTTCTCGATGAAGGAAAAAGTCAAATTGGGAGCCGGCATCGCTGCTGGTGCTTTCGCGGCGGACAAAATTCTGGATCGACACAGCTCAGACAAGCATCTCTCGGCAAACCAGGCAGTGATCGAAGACTATGCCTCTCGTGAGACGACTCCAGATGTTCGGCAAGCTCAGGCTATCCATGTGGGCCGTGCAGGAACAGCCTCTCCTGTTCATTTTGGAGACGAGGGGTACGCATCTGCGGCCTACGCTCGTTCCAACGGAGCCTCCACCCCCAGAGGCCACAAGACTTACGCCAAAGCCCGGTCTGAAGAACACGACGTCGAGGAAGAGCAGGAAGAAGCATTCGCCGGGAAACACAGTCGGCACTTGAGTGGCAATTCTCATGGCATGTCTTCCCCGCTCTACGACAGCGCTACTGGCAGAGGAATTGACACAATCCAATCCAAGGATGTGGTTGCGTTGATGGACCACCTTACAGTTCGAGACGCGCATCGCAATGCAAGGGATACAGAAATTCTTGTTACACTGGTGCGCAGTGCTGCCGAGATGCGTCACGAATTCGAGGAAATGAAGAGATTTATCGCCGAGCAGGATCGCAAGATCATGGAAAATACGGATCGCGATGCCGAGTATACAGTCAAGAAGGTGCTCGGTGGTCCTCGACCTCAGCCGCCTGCCTTACCTCGAACGGTTCATGGCACCTACAACGAAGAGGATCTCCCGATGAAACGCAAGAACGTCTTCAAGCGCGCACTCAAAGGACTGAGCAAGAGAGGCTCAAACGACTTGTCTAAGATTGAAGACATGTTGAATCAGATACTTGGAGACGTAGAGGATCTCAAGCTAACGCAAGGCGATCGACCACCCATGTCACTCCGTGGCAGTAGCTTCGACTCGTATGAGGACCGGGCATATTATGGACGCGACTCTGGATACGAGCCCGAGGGACAAGCTGGTACTTCATCAACCCCCAACCACTCCGGTCGTCTGTCCAACCATTCTGGTAATGCATCGTTTCCTTCTCCCCAGGAGAAGACAACTTCCCCACAGGAGAGGTACTTTCACTCTGGATACAATGGCCGTAGAGACTCGATCAATCGTGTCAGCACAGTCTTGGAAGAAGAGAGTAATGATGGCAGATCCTTCTTGGAGCAGCATGAGACTCATGTTCTCGACAACCAATTCGAAAACAACGAAAGGCTCCTGACCCCGACACAAGAGTCATTCAATCGTAGATCCGGATCTTTTGATTCTACTAAGACCCCTGTGCAACAACGACACAGTCCGTTCGATGCCCAAACTGGTAACAGCACCCCTGAGAAGCAGCGCAAGCAATCTGTTTTTGGAATCCCCAAGATCTCTCGCTGGTCCAAGACGACGACCTCCTCATATCTCGAGAATTCAGATGTCAATGGAAAACGTCGAAGCCAGTACACCGATGCCTCTAGCAGTGTCGAGAGCTTGAGTTCCAATGGTGCGGGCTACTACGACAACGGCTATGCACTGCAGTCGGAAGATCGGCTTCGATCGACCCAGTCGCTGGCCAAAGATCAGGTAACCAGAGAGTACTTGCCTGACAACAGAAGCGTCCGCAGCGGGCTTAGTGATCTGACGCGAACCCCATCGCCACTTATCCCTTCTGAGACAGGTTCTCAGCTCGACAACATTCCTATTATCCTTCCGGGCGATGATGAAGTTGATGACTTCGACGATCCCAAATACTCGGCTCATCGTGATTCTTTGCTTCTGCAGCATCCTCAACCTCGACCAGGACCAACGCACCGCCATCAGACAAACCTCGAAAACGAAGCTCGAACATTCAGTGGACCTGATCATTTTGAGACAGGAACAAGCAGTGACCTTTCTCAGCGCACCGTGGATAGCGATTTTGATCCTTTGCAATGGGGATCGAACNCCTCGCTTTCTCTGGCACGAACCAACAAACTCAGCGGGATCCCTTCCGGGAAGGACAACGGTCCTCTGGTTCCTGAAAGCAAACAGAAGGCCGCACCTAGAGTTGAGGTAGAGCCACCAAAGGAACAGCGACAGCAAGCACCGCAGAAGCCTCGCCAGATGTACTATTCGACCCCACTTGGTTCGGGACACCTGCTTGAGCCTATTGAAGAAGTGAGATACTCGTTGGAAACAGACCGTGGACATGTAAGTACTCGATCGAAGTATTGATGTGCTTGGCTGACCCCAATGTTATCAGNNCGTTCACCTGAGCCGACAGCTAGTCCTAGAATAGCTAGCCAGCTTAGTCCAACTCGCAAAATCACCGGACCGAGACCGATGGGCTCGCGTGCTCCCAGCGGTGCCAATGACGAGACTCAGCAAGAGCAAACCTCTGGTACTGTAAGAAGGAAGCCAGTACCTTCGAGTAAGAGTTATGGTTCGTGATTTTTGTTGTTTCTGACCTTTTCCTTCAACTTCACATATTACAAGAAAAAATATCACGTTGGCGAGCTGAATGGTGTCTGTTGCTGCGTTGCTCCTACAGACTAGACCCGATGTGGTGTTTGGAGTGACGACAACTAGCTCAGACACCCAGGAAGGGACAAAGCGTGGATGGAGCTGATTCGGNNAGGACAGATTCGTTTGATGATGATAGTGAGATTTTCTAAAGATACAGTATTGCGGAGGAACACGAATACGGAGATATGCGAAAGCAACGACTTTACGATACAGACAGTCATGCGAGCGACAGTACCGCTGCTGGCTGACAATACGGCGAGGACGAGATGTAATGATTCCACTATACCTTTGCTTNNTCGCCTTTTANNATACCACCACTGTCTTTCCCTCGGCCACTTTCCAGATTGCTCCTATTCTTTCGTATGGCTCTCCACTACCTGACTTCTTCCTCGCACTTTTCTTTGGCCACTGCTATGCATGATTCTACGGGCGTTAGCTTCACTCATGCTTGTTCGAGCACCTGCGAATCATGAGATGATGTTGTCTATCGCCACTAGGTTGGCTCCCAACATTCAGTATCAACGATCATCTGAACATAGGATGCCCGCTGAAATCGAAAACCAGGCTCAGATTTGAAGTTGCTTCAACGAGCATCTGTCTACGACGTGGTATTCCCGATGATTGCAAAACAGCCAATACTTACCGCTCAACGAGTCAACGGGCACGTCTCGCCGCCGTGGTACCTGGTTTTGTTCTTCGAAAGGTCCGAGTGTCTCGTGCGTATTCTGTGTGTGTACCCCGCGATCCGCCAGTACTTAGCAAGCTGTAGCTCAGCCACGTGCTCATGTCCGCGGAACAGAAATGTCTCTTCGCTTGAGGTGCGAGGGTGGTTGTAGCGACTCCATCCCTATGCGAAATCTGGTGAGTCTGCATGACACTTCACAAGAGAGTCCTTGTTTTGTCAATCGTCCTTACATGCATATCTGACCAAAATCTCATTGTATGCTAAACAGCATACGCATTACTCAAAGTTGTTGCGGGACGATCGCCAGAAGTTGCAAAGCTTTGGCTGATGGAGAAGTTGCAGATCTAACGGTCATGTTAAAGTTGTGCCCACGACTCATGGGCCTTCAAGATTACTAGGTTGTTCGCGCCGTTGGCATGATTCGAAAGTACTGACATCTGAGTTTTTCTAGATTTGTTCGATGGAATGACATCCAGCTGGTGCCGTTTTCTTCGAGGTCCATTGCCAAGTGTCCAAACAATTGCCTGAGAGGTCCGCGCCTTTCGCATCGATGACTAGTGTGTCAATGACTTAGGGTTTCTCTAGGGTTTGCCTCGCTAGCTGTGGACCTGTGGTGCGTACGAGCGAAAGGGGACAGCTTTGCGGAAGTGACTTGTAAGTAGCAGCCAGAAGGAAGGAAGAGCGGCCAAGGGAAAGTTGTAGGATCTAGGTCGTTTGGATTGCGCCTTCCATCTTCTTGGTTGTTTCGAATCCTTTACCCTGCAGTGGAAGCTTGATAGTTGGAAGCATGTTTGCTGACGTCTACTGCATGGTAGACCTCGTGGCTTGAGTTTAACTCTACGGCGCAGCAATTTTTGACGAGAACCCGTTAAAGCCTAACGATTCTACCACCGGGCCTACCTGACTCTGAAACGAAGATCTGTCATACCGAGTCATTCGCCGAAGAAGTCTCGATCTTCTCCATGACCATGCGATAGGGAATAGGTGAAAAGAGTACAGCGTATATTAGATGCAGGTCCCACCGACCCAGCATGCTCCTTCTTCTTTGCCTCGTGTGCGGACCGGACGATCATCCAATATAAAAAACCATGCAGGGAAAGCAGCTGTCTACCTTTGTTATTGCTCTGGTGAGCTTGCTCGTCACGACTCTTGTCATTGCAGTCAGATGTGTCGTTCGTACATCCATCCGAGGCTTCGGTCTCGATGATTGGTCGATGGTGATCGGTCAGGTATGTGTCTTGTCTATTGATGACCATGCGAGTGTGCAATTGCTCACAAAAGGCAGATATNTATTCTTCGGTACCTGCGTCGTCGTCATGTATGGATGCCATACAGGCATTGGCGTGAGAGACATCTACTTGACCGCAGAAGAGCTTGTCAACGCGAGACATGCCATTGTCATGTTCCAATGCTTCTACCTCACCTCTCTCATCTTTGTCAAGAGCAGCATTTGTTTTGCTCTCCTGCGCATCGCTACCAACAAGAGCATCCGCCAGTTCCTTTACTTCATCATCTTTCTCTCCTTCTGCTGCGGTTTCGTCACCATGGTCGCCTGTTTGGCCATCTGTGTTCCTCTCTCGGCTTCCTGGACGGGTATTGGCAAATGTGCTGCACCTTACGTGATCAAGTACGTGGCTGTCTATACCACAGTGTCGAGCTGCATCACCGACTTTTCATGCTCTATCCTTCCCTTTGTCATTCTCTGGAACCTACAGATGGACAAGAAGCTCAAGTTCGGTCTGGCCGCTATCCTGAGTCTCGGTTTCCTGTAAGTGTCTATCCTGAAGACTCTTCTTTGACAACCGACTAACGATCTCCAATAGTNNGCTAGTGCCGCTACAGTCGTCCGCGCCTTCTACTTCAACCGCTTCCNNCTTGCCCCCGTCGACTACGTTTGGGGTTTCTCCGACCTCATGATTTGGTCCATTATCGAAGATCTCATTGCCATCACCATCGGCAGTGTCCCCAGCTTGAAGCCCCTCTTCGTGCGCTTCAAGTGGATGGCATCCGTCTCCGGACGCCGCACCGGCAAGAGAACCGGTGACTACCAGAACTGCGAATCTTACAACATGCACTCTCAGAATAAGAGCAAGAACCAGACCAGAGTCATTACCACCGCTGCCGAAGAGAGCGACAGCATGAAGGATTTGGTCAGAGAAGAGGGTATTGTCATCAGTCAGGAGTTTAGGCACGAAGAAGAGTATGAGTACCATGACAGAAAGCCCAGAGTTTCTGTTTAAAGATACTCTGATACGTGGCTGGATATGTGGATTACAGTACATAGATCAAGCTTTGGTTTACGGCCTCGTTACGTTATGGAAAATCTCTTCTGTTTTGATGGCTTAGCGTCGACAAATCTCACGTCGTTGAAGATAACAGAACACGAGTAATAGTGATTTGATTACAGTTTTCATCACCAAAGAATCTAGTTGACTTCGTCGTCGAAACCGCCTCTACCAGTTGAGCCGCCGGATGCACCTCCAGTAGGGCCATGAGATGGACCGCCAGATCGGCCGCCGGCTGGTGGCTTCCCACCCCCACGACCACCACCTTTACCTTTGCCACCTGGACCTCCACTTCTACCGCCGGTGAAGCCATGGCCCTTTCCATAACTCTTGTGGGTGTGTTGATTGTTCCGAGGACCCTTTCCTGCTCCGTGAGCCTCTGGAGGCGGGCTGGGATAAGGATTGTTGCGTTCAGGGTTGGATCGTTTAGGACTGTAGTGTTCAGGATTGTAGCCTTCAGACTTGTAACGTTTTGGTGAAGGTTGATCCCAGTCCATAGGCGAGCCAGCAGGAAGGTCTATGATTTGATCAGAAGTCTGGGTGTGTACAGCGAGCGAGCCGGCAGGGGGTACGAAGGGGGACCAGCAGGAGGTCCACCATGAGGGCCAGAAGATCGACCAGAGTGGTTGTAAGAAGGGGAGTCTGTGGCTTGGCTCGATACCTCAGCCTGAGCCTGAGCTTGAGCAGCGAACTGTGCACGAATTTCATACGCGACGTCAATGAGTGCTGTCTCCTTATATCTAAGTTTTCGGGATTCCTCGAGGAACTTTTTCTGTTCAGCATCAACAGCTTGGCGCTGTTTCTCCAGTTCTAGCATGGCATCATACTCCAGATCGAGGTCTCGGGTGGTGATACCAGCCTTGAGTTGAGTGAACTGGTTAAGAATGGGGTTGGAGTGGGCTTGCTGGAGTAGGTAAAGTGGTGTCAAGTCTCCTTCCTCGACGCGGGATCGTCTCCATTGGAAAGCGGTAAACTCATGGCAACAGTTGGATGCCAGAAACACGGCATGTTCGGCTTGGTCACGAGGGTATCCACTACGAGTGAAGACGTTGACTGGCTGGAACTCGGGCGTTATAATCAGAGCATTACCTTTGCATCCTTGATAAGCGCAGCAGATGTTGAATCCGGCCTCGAGCCTGTGGATAGCATAAGCGATCCGGAAGAAAGACACGTTCTCAGCGACACGATACATTCTCATCGCTTTGATGGTTTCCGTGAGATCTTTGCCCCAGAGGTTGTAATCTTCGCCTGGCTTCCACTTTGTAAGCCCATTCGTCATGTTGAACAATTCATCAGATCTGACAGGGATCACATCCTCGGTTGTCTTTTGACTGGTAGCATCCACAAGATTGGCAATGAAATCGTTGCAGGCTTTCTGACCTTGATCGAGTGCCTCTCTCTTTCTCTTGAATGTCGAGACTGTGCTGCTCATGGCATGACTCGGTTCATCTTTCTTCACAACCGGATCTAACTGACGTGAAGGGAGAGATGTAAGATACTCGCGCACTCCAGGCTCGTTGCGTCGCACACAGTCTAGATAACAGTGGCCAGGTCGTAGACAAAGAGAACATTGCTCTGCTGGATACGGGTTGCAACACATATCATTGGTATGTCCCTTGTACGCGCATCTGTCGCAGATGTTCTCTTTGATGTCCGGAAGCGTCCTGGTCTTGATCTGAACACTAAAGTCCATACAGCTAGCGGTGCTATGGTGAAGGGAGTTGCACCACTTGCACCACAAGGCTTCAGGTTGTGGTGGAGAGATCTGCCAAGGAGCAGTCATAAGGAATCCGCTGGAAGCTCCAGAGGTCGTCTCCTGTTTCTTCTCTGGACATTGTGCCTCGTAATGGTTTCCACCGCAATAGCGACAATGCTTGTTGTTGTTGTTATTGTTATTATTGTTATTATTGTTATTATTCTTGTTGTTCTGGTTTTGGTTCTGGTGCTGCGGGTTGGTCCAGCATTTCGAGTACCAGTGCCCTTGTTTTCCGCAACCAGTACATTTAGGTTGGGCTGGGCCTTGCTTCTTTTTTCCGGACATATCCTGATGTTATGGAAAGACGTAAAAGGGATATGGAATGGTATGTGCTAGAAGTTAAATATCTGATAGAAATGTTGCTTACTGTATTTTGTTGGTTTTTGTAAAAGAATCTGCCAGCAGACTCACGAAGGGAAGACGGGGAAGATAAATTGTACAAGAGAACGAAGATTGGTCGTAAAATAGCCCTACGCGATGTGGTTAATATAGGGTATCTGGGAGTCGACATTTCAGCGACAATGAATCTTGTACAAAGAACCTGAATGTTGCATCACGATCTTTCAGCAGCTACCTCGTCAATGATTAAGGAGGGGAATTAGATGGCGCGACTCCCGTGACGAGCCGGCCTTCTGTCTTTGTCCGCAGATTGGAAATCTAGTCGTGGCGTTGGACATGTGCTTTGAAGACGGAAGAACAAAGTAACAAATGCTCAAGACAGATGAGCAAAGTCAAAGACGTCCGAGGGATTGTAGAGGCTGGAGGCGGTCGATGCGGCAATAGTGGAAGCAAATAAAGTCGAATGTGGTGTTGATGTCTGATGGATGGTAATCGATGTCAACTGATCTGCTTCTGTAGGTGACGACGATTCGCTCCTTCGACCGAGATCGGCCCCATCAGAGCAAAGAAGACCTCGGGATCTAGTCCTAATGAGGCGCTAGTGTCAATTCTCCAGATTTGCTCCACGTTTTGGCATTTTTTTCTCCAACCTCTTCCATTCGTATGGCTTCGATCATTGTCTTAAAGTGTTCTTCTATGACTTTCTTTTCATCTCATATCTTTCTCTAATATAGTGCTACGCCCTGTCTCTGTACGAACTCTCGCGCTTGGAATTTGTCGAAATGGAAGTGCCCGAGGCCAGAGTTTTGATCGTCATCACGGGCGGTACGATATGCATGCAACCTTCTGAAAACGGACTTGTGCCGGTATGTGGTGTTGATTGTGATGGAGTGGAATGTTTGAGTAACTTTTCGTTGCAGGGGAAAGGATTTCTGAAGAATGGTCTTGCACCCCGACCATCTTTCAACGACGGCTCATACCCCGAACCACTCGAGATTGTGACAGACCAAAAAGGCACCCGCAAAGCTGTGCAAAGTTTGCGCACTCCCCCAAGCACCTATGGTCGGCAGGTCCGATACAGTGTCCTGGAGTTTGACCAATTGCTTGACAGCAGCAGCATCGATGCCGAAGGTTGGGACCAAATCGCCAGAACCGTCGAGCGAAACTACCAGCTCTATGATGGCTTTGTTGTCTTGCACGGGACCGACTCTCTGGCTTATACCAGCAGTGCTCTCAGCTTCATGCTCCAGAATCTAGGAAAGCCTGTCATTCTTACTGGATCGCAAGCGCCGATGATGCAGCTGCAAAACGATGCCCAGGATAACCTTTTAGGCGCTCTGGTCATCGCAGGCCATTTCATGATTCCTGAGGTTTGCTTGTTCTTCAACTTCAAGCTGTTCAGAGGTAACCGCGCGACCAAAGTCTCGGCCGACGACTTCAATGGATTCGCCAGCCCGAACATGCCGCCTCTTGCTACTATCAGCAGTTTGAGAACGAACGTCAGCTGGGATCTTGTCTACAGGCCAAAGATTGTAAATCCCTTCCAAGTGCACTCAAATCTGGATACCGCTCATGTAGCCTGTCTTCGTATCTTCCCCGGTATCAAGCCAGAAATGGTAGATTTGTTCCTACGTACGGAAGGACTCAAAGGCTTGGTGCTCGAAACATTCGGCGCCGGTAATACCNCTGGAGGACCGGATTCGCCAATGACTAGAGTCTTGGCCGATGCCGTCAAGCGTGGCATTGTCATCGTCAATGTGACACAGTGTCTCAGCGGCAGTGTCAGCCCACTGTACGCTCCAGCAACCTACCTTGGACGAGCAGGCGTGGTATTTGGTCAAGACATGACTACAGAAGCCGCTTTGACGAAACTTTCATACCTACTCTCGATTCCTGGATCAACCCCCGAGGACGTGGCCAAACAGATGCATAACTCACTCAGAGGTGAGCTGACGGAGAGGGGACGGACACACTTCCAACATCCCACTAGTGGCACTCTGACTCCTGAAATTTCGAGCTTGACTGCGCTGGGTTATGCTATCCAAGACGGTGATGCTTTGAGCGTAAGAGACGTCGTCAGGGGTGAGAATCGCTGGCTTCTGAACGACGTGGACTACTCAGGAAATACGCCTGTGGTAAGTTGTGGCTCTTCTCCAAGGAATCCCAAGTCAGGGGTTGCACAGTATTTGAAGATTCGACTGACAAATGTCACAGNNCATCTTGCAGCAACCGGGCCTAACGTTGACGTGCTGAAGGAGATGCTCAATCTTGGAGCTAGCGTTCATCTGCGCAATCGCAATGCACGAACACCTCTCTTTGTTGCTGCGCATGCGGGACTCNCCCACCATGTCGAGGCTCTGAGGGAAGCAGGCGCTCATCTGCACTCTGACGAGCTGGACACAGCCAAGATCTTTGCAAAGTCCGACCCTCACCCAGACGTGTGGAAGCTTGCTGGTGTTGAAGAGCTGTAAACTTTGGATTTTTCGCGTTGGACACGGAAGACGTTTTCTTGTCGACAGGCTTAGGGAATCCACAAAATTGACTTGATCAATTTCTTGCGGCCATCGGACATATGCCTGATCCAACCAATCGCTTGGGCCACAAGCTTACCCCGCCTCACACATCTGATGGGCCTTGATACTACTCAGATCGTGAGCGAGTTACTCTCCAAGCAGGGCCTGCTCCAGCGGTAAGATGAGACGCGTTACGGTCGCAGATCGTGGAGGATCCTGCATCATCCTTGGTTAATGTTTTGACAGACCGCTACCTTCGGTCTGGTATGCAATTTCTCTGCAATGCAGAATGTTCAGTCAAGAACGCATGTATACCTGGATAACGGCAGCATCCATCTCACGCTACTCAAGGCCTAAATATACTAATTAACGGACATAATCAACTTTTTCTTTCTTAGGACATCCACTCACGCTATTCTTAGTAGAGGGTACCTCTCATCCGCATAAGCGTAATTAGTCGACATTCTTTACTTGCATGTTTCGAGTTAAGGGCATTTCGTTGCAGGTCGTCAGACGCGTGCATGTGTGCCGCCCGGCGAAGGATGCGGAACCCCGCTTGTTTGTGAACCTCATCCCTCATCACGACTTCTCTTTGCAGAAGTGTTCTTGAGTTACTTTCTTCTGGATTGGTGTAGGCACATACTCAAGATCCGATATCGAGCGTTGAAGCACAGCCAGAGTGTTTCCTGTCCGAAAGGCTCGACGAGATGCATTCACTGTACAAGAAGCAGATGAAAGAAAGAAAAGCCACGACTGATATTAGGCGCCGCCAAATACTGCCAACATATGCACTTAATCTACGAATCCATGGCACACGAGCATCTAGTCCCATCTGGAAGATCTAACGAGCCGCATTAGGGTACTACATCAGCGCTTATGGCTGCTCGGAAGAGATACACCAACACCGATAGAGTGACTTCCAACAAAGTAATTACGGCCAGCAAATTCTCCGGTGCCCTATTCCCAGTCTTTCCAATGGCAAGATGGTGTCGCCAAATCTTCTGTGCAGACGCTTGACGCGTAGTGTAATGCATGGCGGCGCCTCGCATCTTTCCGCCGTCCTTCCCGTCTTTGACTTGCATGACATTGCATGTATCTGCAGATAGATGTGGTAAGTTTAGCAGTTACCTTCTTCTTCTCATCTCTCGTACGTACCAACACATCTTTACTTGGACGAGTGGGCGGCAAGTGTTGGAACATATAACATTGTTCTGTGCTCCCACTTCGGTTCCAGTTTATTACCATCGGGCAATCCAAAGATCAATCTCGACTGCTTCTTTGTCATACTGGTGGCAACACAGCATCGATTGGCTTTTGTCTTTTCTCGTCCTGCATCAATACCACCACACTTCTGGATCTTGTTTTTTGGAGTTTCTTGTTCAGCCTGTCGATCGATCTTCGCTATAATGTCTTCAAACATTGCTCGATTGCTCTTGGCCTTCTTCTTGGCCACAATAGCACTGGCCTTGCCTACCCCTAGCACAACCTCAAATCAAAACACAGTACCTCTCAATGGGCTCCCAGCACCCGGCGCTCTATCGCTCAGGTACATCACCCTCGGTGTCGGCACTCAGAACTACAGCTGCAGCGCCGCGGGTGCAGCCCCTACAGCTATTGGTGCAGTAGCCGACCTTTACGATGCCAGTTTGCTCAAGTCGCCTGCAAGATCCTCGTTGATCCCATCGTTCGCCGCTGTGGCCTACAACACACGCACATGGTTCGATCTACCGACATTGGGACACCACTGGTTCAGCGCTGCAGGTGTGCCGACATTCAACCTCGAGGGTCACGCCTTCCTGAGTGCGAAGAAGGTGGCAAATGTGCCGGCGCCGAGTGGAAGTATCGATGGAAGTGTGGACTGGCTCTTTCTGCAAGATGATGGAAGGGGTGTGAGCAAGAATCTCAAGGCTGTCTACAGGGTCGAGACTGCGGGAGGTAGTCCGCCAGCCACTTGCAGCAGTGCTGGAGTCATCAAAGTTCCTTACGCTGCTGAGTATTGGTTCTATGGTTGAACGGTGCGCAACAAAATAATGTCGGAGTTGGGTGGTGATGTTGATTGTGCAATTGGTGGCTCGGTCTTTTGTCTTTTTGTTATATCGAGAGATGATTTTTGGTTCTGTTTTCTGGTTCTGTGGATAGGCGAATTTCATCAATCGCCACGTGAGCTATGATACCCCGAGGCGCGGTATAGACCATTCGTTTATAGCTATCTTACATGCATTGGCAGTAATGTCCAATTCTCTACCCTGCTTGTTTTGCGGCAACGACATCAATGGCATGGATCTGATTTCTTGAGTAAATGTTTTGCCAGAAGGAAAGACTCGTATCCGAGACTTACGCATGGCTTCTTCTGAGTCGCGTTTGTCTCAAGCTGGCTCTATCGTTCCTTCCCAAGCTTGATTTGAAACAGCCATGTTAATTCTCGAGCATTAAGTTATCACAGCCGCTAAGCATAGACATCGAGTAGCAGATTAGTCACACTATATAAAAGACACAAGAGAAGCACATAGAAAACAATACCAGAAAAAATGAATTGATTAATTGATTGATCGACTGGAACAACAGCATACTGAACATGAAATATAAAAAGCAAATCCCAAACCACGCCTACACATTCATAGTTAACCGAGTCCTCTTTATGTACAACTTACCTCTAGAAAGATGGTGACATGGAAGTACGGCAGTAAGAGCAAAACCACGATCTGTAGAGAGGGTTCCACTGAAGGGCTCTGCCACATTTTCCGCAAATGCTACCGAAGAGGACAGGGAGGTTGGAGGAGCTGGGGGTGGAGGAGCTGATGTGGTTACACATTTTGTGTTCTGTGGATGGGTTTGGTTGTGTGGGTTTGTTGTTGTCTTGGTTTAGGTTCGGGAAGCTGTGTTGGATGTGTTTCAGGTGTCAACGAGGCGGTGAACTTTATAGACACTTGGTATCTAGAGAAACAGTAAGACTAGTATCGGGTAAGACAATGGCCTTGTAAAGCAAACAAAGAGCTCGCAGCACAAGAAGCGTTGTTGGATGAATTACTCAAAGAACGACAATCTGGAATCATTGTTCTATTCTGGCATTCCATCGAGCCCCAACATCTTGTCTTTGTCTTCTCTTTTGTTGCATTGGCTTGCATTGTCTGTTGGAACAACATGTTGTCTGAAGCCTACAGTCAGACATGGAGACTATCCTGTGCATACTGAATACTTAAACTGTTGGCACCGTCATTCTCGTTAGACTATCAACCGAATTGCAGACAGTCAAGTCCAACCTCAAGGCTGACGTGATTATATTCTGTGTTAGGTATTTGGAAGTCACGAAGGCTGCAAAGACAGTACGCAAAGATTTCTCACCCTGGAGATATCGCAATGCCCGACTACGACAACGACTATGCTCTCTTCCAGGCTGAATTCGCTGGCGGTGACACCGACACTGAGATGGGCGAAGGCTCACCAGCCACCAGCTCTTCTCCTTGCCCAGCTGAACCACCCAACCCCTCTATCCTCTACAACAACATTCCTCCCCACGACTTTGACATCCCAATCGCCCAGACCATCGATCTCACAAGCGAGCTAACAAGACCAGGAGGTCCTCTCCCAATCTCCGGGCCCTACTTCAACATTGACATCACCAAGACGCTTGATCTAATGCTTGCAAGACACCAGCAGAAAGGCCAACGCTTCTTCCGCTTGAAGTGGGCCATGAATTACCTCTCCCAGGGCTTTTATCCTGCATGCAAATATCCCGGTTGTACGTCTAGATGCAGAATCGTGGACCACGACCTCAAAGTTCTGACTTGCAAGAAACTCCAACCTGACGGTGAGGATTATATGCGCTATGTGACTACTGACAAAGAGCACGCTGCTTTCCTCTGTGTATCCTGCGTGCATGAGAACTGGATGCCATCGTTCATGTGGAAGACCAGAGTCGTCGGTTTCATGGCAAACCCGGTGGTTGAGGTCAAGACGTTTGAGCGTTGGTCAACTCCTGAGTTCTTCTTCAATAGAGCAAGAGATACTGATGCTTTTCCTGGTATGATTAGCGGTCCCATCCCTTCCAGACGCGATCGACGTGTTCAACGTAGAACTCCGATTTAGAGCTGACTTGTGATTTTCTTAGAGGCTGTCACTGCTACGAGCGTTTTGAACAAGACATACAATTACTTACTCCCGGTAGTTGCTGCTGGATTTGGGCTCCGATAGGTCTAGAATAGGGTGTATCAATATCAATCTAATGGGACAGGTTCCCACCTTTTCTTCTTTGACCATTTGCCGCTGTGTTCAAACGTGATGTGAATATGCATGGTGAAATTGCAAGGATAGACGCATGTCGTCTGAAGATTTTGAATGTTATGAGAATCGTGAAACTGTTTACTTTTTTGTTTTGTCGTCTATGCCTCATCTGCCTTGGGCTCCTCTCCTTGGCCCTTTTCTCTCAGAGTCAGCTTCTCGGCCTTCTTTTCAGCAATCTTGAGAGCTTTGCGTTCACCCTTTGTGAGCTTGCCAGAGGTGTTCTCTTGCTTCTCTTCAGGCTTCTTCTCTGTAGCAGCCTCCTCGACGGAAGCAGTGGCGTTGGGGTTGCCCTTAAACTCGAGCTTTCTGGGGGTCATGAACTCGCGCATGATCTCGTCGGTGACCTTTGAGCGGCGCTCCTGGAAGGCCTCGACGAACTTTTGTAGCTCCTGGATACAGCGTTTCTTGAGTTCACCAGTAGAAAGAGTACCTTTGCGGTAGCTCTGCTCGATCTCTTTGAGTTCGTCATCACTCTCGAGGAAGTAAGAGAGATAAGCGTATGCAACATCGACATCGGGGTTACCACCATACTTTTCGTGGTCCTCCTTTGTGGCACCACCTCCGGAGAAGGCAAAGCGGTTGACCTTCTTCTCGATTTGCTTGGAAGTATCGGACATGAAAATGGCCGAGTTGGGATCACTGGCAGACATCTTGCCGCCAGGACCTTGCAGGGCAGTCAAGAACTTTGACAGAATGAGGGCGGTCTTGGGAGCGGGGAACTCCATGCGGTCGCAGTTTTCACGCAAAAGACGGAAGTAGGGCTCTTGGTCAATGGCGCATGGAATCAGAGTGGGTATGGCAGCAATGTGCTTGCGAGGACGAGCCTCTTCGTAGTTGGGAGCACGGAAGTCACCAGCGCCGAATAGGGTAGGGTATGAGGAAGCAAAGGCAGCAACGCACTGCTTGGCGGCGTATGCGTTGAGACCGATGTTTGTACTGCCGTCGAAGCCCATGGCACCTCTGATCTGGTTGTTTGTGAGGAGAGCCTCGAACTCGGTGATATTCTGGTAGAAGTGGCCGCCCATGTACTCGTAGTCGGTGTAGATGAAGGTCTTCTTCAGGTCGAAGCCGAGGGCGATGATGTCCTTGCAGTTCTGTTTTGCGTACTCGATGAAGTCGCCGAGGGCAGCGCCCTTTGTGATCTTGCCCTGGTTCTTGTTGCGGGTGTAGAGGAACTTCTCGTCGTCGGTCAACATGACAACAAGGGGCACGTCGAAGATCTCCTGCAGCTCCTTGGTGAAGAGGAAAGGGACGGCGTGGCCCAAATGCATGGAGCCAGAGCTAGGGCCACGGCCGGTATAGAGCAGGAAGAAGCCGTATTTCTCATAGTAGTCGAGGATCTTGTCAAAGTCGCGGTGGCTGAAGAAGAGCTTGCGGCGCATCAGACGGTGCGGCGGCTTGCCCGTGACGCGCTCGAAGCGGTCCAGATGTTCCTGGGTCAGGGCGGGCGTGTTGAATCTCTCGCGGAGAGCCTCGTAGTCGATGGCAGTAACGTTTCCATTCTCGTCGACACCTCCGCTGACATTGTAGGGGTCGATCTGCTGTTCCTTTGCTGCTTGCTTGACCTGCTCGACGGCAGGAGGCGCTCCTACCGCGTCGGCCGTGTGCGGCGCTCCATCGGGTGATGCCATTTTGAATGCTGCGAGGGTTCAAGTTCGTGTGACTCGTCCGACTTTCTTGTCAATAACGGCTATACCCCGCTGGTCTGTGCGCTTTGTCCCTCCCTGCCGCCGAATGCCAATGCCAATGCCACCAAGATACTTGCTACTCTGTATCACATCGTACTCGTCTTGGTCTGTCACCAAGGCCGGAAGTTAAGTCTGCCATGTTCAGTTGTCTATCCTCGTGCTCCTGCAAGCGCAATGTTTCTTTTCCTCTTGCTATAGCACAGCCACCACCTCCCTCTCTTCAGACCAGATCGCCCACTTGACGTCAGTCGTGCCTTGCTGTATGCCCATGGTCCGCTTCATGCCGCTTCTTGTGAAACAGGCCTCTATATAGCGCTCGTAGGTCCTGCTAGGCCGAACACATGTTCGTGCCTCTGCTTCCATTTATCGTCTCTCTGCCAAGCACCTCTGATCGACCGTCACCCATCCACACCCACCATGACGGCACATTGGAAAGACCGTCTGCCGTCTTGGCTTCGAAACATCCGTCTCAACTTTTACAGGTTGCATCTCTGCTACTTCATCTTCACCATTCTTCTGTCCTCGATTATTGTCTATGGCAGCACCACCAATGGCAACTCGAGCAATGCCCAGGAGCAGTTTGATCTGCGATACATCGACGCTCTCTTCCTTTGCGCCAGTGCTATGACCAACAGTGGTCTCAATGTCGTGAACCTAGGCGCTATAACTGGCTTCCAGCAGGCTGTGCTGTTCATCCTCATTCCTCTGGGCAATGTCATGGTTGTCTCCATGTCTACTGTGTACATTAGAAAGTACTTTTTCCGAAAGAAGATTAGACACTTTCTTCATCACTCTAAAGCTGGAAGGCAGGTTGCAAAGGACATTGAACAGGACAGCTTCAAACAACAAGGTCATCATGATCTCTCGCAACCACGCCAGACCATCGAGGCTTCTTCGAGTAGAGTCCCAAAGGATCACGAGATGACTGCTGAGCTACGAAACAGGAGGATGCCAAAGAAAGATACGAGTCCTCACCATCTGACCCATTTTGGAGGCTTTCCCTTCCCATGGGAGAGTTCAGGCTTCCAGAATCTCTTTCACGCACCGTTTCAGAAGCTGCATCGCCCTCCTCATGAAGAACCTCACAACTACCTGTCTTTCAAGCCTGCCTTAGACTCTAGAGGCCGCTTTCTGTCTTTGGACGCGCGACAGCGCGAAGAATTGGGTGGTGTTGAGTACAAGGCTCTTCATCTGCTAGGCTGGCTCCTTCCAGCATATCTTCTTTTCTGGTTTTGTCTGGGTGTTGTTATACTGGTGCCCTACAGCTACTACCCACCCTTGGCAAGCGTTCTCCGAACATCACAGCCGGGCAATCTTGAGCCAGGATGGTGAGTATTCCAAGCTTTGGACTACGCTCTGCAAGCTGACAAGTATCAGGNNTGGGCTATCTTCATAACTATGTCATCCTTTTGCAATTGCGGTTTTAGCCTCCTGGACCAGAACATGATATGTTAGTCTTTCTACAAAGCAAATCAAGATTACGTCTACTAATGGCATCTCANNGCGGTTCGTGGTTATGAGTTGACTCTTGTCGTAACAGGTGCTCTTATCCTCGTTGGCAATCAACTGTATCCAGTATTCTTACGGTTTGCGATCTGGTGTTTGTTCAAGCTCGTACCGAAAGATTCAGAACTCCACCATACTTGCGCTTTCCTGCTGCATCACCCACGCAGATGTTTCATCCTCCTGTTCCCCAGCATCAATACGTGGTATTTGCTGGCTACTCAGTTGGGCATCGACTTCTTCCTGTGGGCTTTCTTTGGTATCCTGAATCTTGGTCTTCCCGCTATACAAAGCATGAGTGCTGGACAGCAGACACTCGTGGGATTGTTTCAAAGTCTGGGGGTCAGAGTTGGTGGTCTCTATGCAGTCCTGATCAGCAACACGGCACCAGCCTTACAGATCCTCTACCTGGCAGGAATGTACATCTCTGCCTTCCCCATTATCATATCGTTACGTCAGACCAACATCTATGAGGAAAGGTCCCTTGGCATTGAGAACGACAGCGATGAAGATGCAGAAAAGAAAGGCGAAAAGTCTTACATATCCGAGCACGTGCGAAAACAACTCGCGTATGATCTGTGGTGGCTTATACTGGCAATTTGGCTCATAACAATCATCGAGCGCCATGACATTGTAGCTGGAGGCGACTACTTCACCATCTGGGCTATAATTTTCGAAACATCGAGTGCGTACGGCACAGTTGGTTTGTCTTTGGGCGTCCCGTACGACAACTATTCGTTCAGTGGAACATGGCACACACTGAGTAAATTAATTCTCATATGTGTCATGATTCGAGGAAGACATCGAGGCTTGCCGTATGCAATTGACAGAGCAGTGCTGTTGCCGGGAGAGGAGTTGATGGAGAAGATGGACATGGAGGTCAATGGCAGAGGCAGCAATAAATACGGTGCTAAATGGCAGGGAGAAGAACAGAGGGTCCGCAGAGATCAAGAGGGATCACAGGCTGAAAGCCAAGAAAGAGGACAAGACCCAGAAGGTCACGATGTCAAGGGCACTGAGGAGGGACCTTCATAAGAGGGTATTCACATAGGAGCCATCTCAGGTCATCAAAATATGCGATATCCTAGGCGGGTCATTGAACACTCTCGATGCGAATGGGAGAGATTCGAGATGAAGAGACCGAGAAGACTGGTTCAAGCAGTGGAGACAAAAGACATGTGAATGCAGACTGGAGCGGCAAAGATCGGCGTCGGTCAGCAAATGTCACGGGTGCGGGACAGTGGGACAGGGTCGGGGCATCTCTTGGGCCGCGCCGACTGGCTACAAAACTGCCATCGTCATGGCGCTGCTGACCACCAAGACTTGAGGGGAGCAGCCTTCTCTGCTGCACATAGCATTCCACCCCAATTGCTTCCTTTTTCTTCGATACTATTTGTTTCTCCACAGCTCTCATTCACCAACTTTCAACTTCACCCACAGCATGCAACACGATGGTCAAATTCTACTCCACCTCGTATAGCTACGACTACTCTTTTCCCGCCGTGTCGCTGGCCTATTTTCTGCGCTACCCGAACCCATACAGCACCCACGTGCTCTCGACCGATGTCATCTCGCGCGAATATGACCCCGACGCTCAACGCCTGACGACAGTTCGTCTACATTTGAAGAAAAGCAAACTCCCTCCAGCCATCCTCAAGCTCCTGCCGCGTAGCATCATGGGTGGAGCGGAAAATGGCGACAGTCAAGCTTATATCCTCGAGACAACCGTCGTCGATGTCAAAGAAGGATGGATGGAGGCCGAGAGTCGCAACCTCGAATGGACCGGTGTCTTGAGCGTCATTGAAAAGCAAGTCTTCCGTCGACAAGCACTCGAATCACAGGCCAAACTTTCTGCCGCCGTCGATCTATATGGCCAACAACCATCTCAGAGGACCGACGTCACAACCACGGTCACACTACAATCGCGCATTGGAGAGAACATTCGTCGTAGAAAAGCACAAAGGCAAGCCGAAGCAGAGGCCGTCGAAGAGGAGGCTCCACCGGCCAAGCTTGGTTTCTTCAAGTCGTGGGCAGCTAGTCCCATGCAGCGATCTATCGAAGTCATTGGCCTCCGCCGTGCCGAAAAGTCGCAGCCTAAAGCAAAGGAGGGAATGAAGGTGGTGCTTGAACGGCTGCGACAGGGCGGACTGGTCGCTGTGCTTGAAGGCATGCGTCAAGATCGTGAGCTCATGTTCGCTGGTGGCCAGGTTTGAGCTTCCTTAAGCAGGCACTCGATGGGAAGTCTCTGGTCAATGACTCAGAGCACGAACGAGGAGAAGGCGGACAAATTGTATCAAGATTTTCTGGCATTGTAACAGGTTTTAGCGCGGCGTTATGGGCATGTTTTCAGCGTACACATGGTTGACACTGAGCAAGGCAATCACAACAAGGATGTTAACACGAGGTCTATCTGCTCGCCAAAAGAGGAAGGAAGGGTTGGCATAGTATTGGAGGGGTTATCTGTATTATTAGTATTCACGCCTTGAACGAATCAACTCGTCTCTCTTTCGGGCATACTTTCGAACCAGCTGCTGTCCAACCATCTTGGTAGCTTCCCTCAGCCGAGGACTAACAACCTGAATTGCGCCTGTTCGAATGGAAGGTACGATGATGGTGGGAGAATAAAACAAGCAGGCGGTGGCCTGTGCTCAAGCATTTTATGGAGTCGCGACTCTGCGCGTCTGGAGCGGATTTGGGACGCATGTGGATGCTTCCTGCTTGGCTGCCCTTCTTTCCTTCGCATCTTGCATTGCCTTTTTGTTCCCCCTCCCCTCTCCTCAACCATCCACCGCCATCGTACTATCGGCATTCGCGCCACCAACCATCGAATCGACATCGACTCTGTCCATTGCAGAAACAAGATCCGACGCGCATCTTCTATTTCTCCTGGACCAACCTTTTAATTCACCCTCCGCCGCAAGGCGACCACACCCACCAACCCGCATCATGAACGGCAACGGAAATGGCGACCACGTCATGCGTGTATGTTCCACCATCTGCCACTCCTTCCATCTTGGTTTTGTCCTCAAGCTCTCGTCTATGCTTGTGCGTCAACTGCTACAGGAAGACCACCGCTTAGAAAGAGCCGACGCGCCAACATATATCAACACATGTGCTGACTTTGCGACTGTAGGACGTGATCGACACGCCTGACTACACTGTGAGCTCCAAACGCGCCTGGTCACACACAAACATAGACTAACATATCTATAGGNACTCAGATACTGGCATGACTACCACAGAAAGCAGCATTGCAGGTGACCTGGACGGCAGAAAGAAGAGATGGGAAGGCCATGAGCTGAGAAAGAGCGTCTTGGGCAGGAAGCATGACAAGCTGGGCGAGTCANAAGGTATCTACCCCAGAGCGCTACCACCTCTTCTCGTTCTCTTTTCTGACAACTCGCTCCAGGAAGATGATTCTATTCGCCGGTTCCGCTACCTCCTAGGCTTGACCGACCTCTTCCGCCATTTCATCGATACCAACCCCAACCCCCGCATCAAGGAGATCATGGCTGAGATCGACCGCCAAGACGAAGAAGAAAAGGCAAAAGCTGGCAAGGCTCAATCGCGCAAGGGAGGTGCAGGCGGCGACAGAAGGAGGCGCACAGAGAAGGAAGAAGACGCTGAATTGCTCCGCACTGGCAAGCACGAAAGCGATGAGTCCCGCACAATCTTCCGCGAGTCACCGTCTTACGTGCAGGGTCAAATGCGCGACTACCAAGTCGCTGGTTTGAACTGGCTCGTCTCGCTGCACGAGAACGGTATCTCTGGTATCCTGGCCGACGAAATGGGTCTGGGCAAGACTCTGCAGACCATCTCCTTCATCGGTTACCTTCGCTTTGTCTGCAACATCACTGGTCCCCACTTGGTCGCTGTACCAAAGTCCACCCTCGACAACTGGAAGCGCGAATTTGCTAGATGGATTCCGGAAATCGACGTTCTGGTCCTACAAGGTACTAAGGAAGAGCGTGCAACCATCATCAACGAACGCCTCAACGAGGAAAAGTTCGATGTTCTTATCACGAGTTACGAGATGATTCTTCGCGAAAAGACACACTTGAAGAAGTTTGCTTGGGAATACATCATCATTGACGAGGCTCACCGTATCAAGAACGAGGAGTCGTCTCTTGCTCAGATCATTCGTATGTTCAACTCGCGCAACCGTCTTCTTATCACCGGAACTCCCCTGCAAAACAACCTGCACGAACTTTGGGCCCTGCTCAATTTCCTTCTTCCCGATGTCTTTGGTGATTCGGAAGCTTTCGACCAATGGTTCTCTGGACAGGACTCTGACCAGGAAACCGTTGTTCAGCAACTGCACAGAGTTCTGCGGCCCTTCTTGCTGCGCAGAGTCAAGAGCGACGTCGAAAAGAGTTTGTTGCCCAAGAAGGAGGTCAACTTGTACATTGGCATGTCTGAGATGCAGGTCAACTGGTACAAGCGCATCCTGGAGAAGGATATTGATGCGGTCAACGGCGCTGGTGGAAAGAAGGAGTCAAAGACCCGTCTGCTCAACATTGTCATGCAACTGCGCAAGTGCTGCAACCACCCCTACTTGTTCGATGGAGCCGAGCCTGGTCCGCCATACACCACTGACGAGCATCTGATCTACAACTCGGCCAAGATGCTAATGCTCGACAAGTTGCTCAAGCGCATGAAGGCACAGGGAAGCCGTGTCCTGATTTTCTCCCAGATGAGCAGACTTCTGGACATTCTTGAGGACTACTCGGTCTTCCGTGGTTACCAGTACTGCCGTATCGACGGTTCAACAGCTCACGAGGATCGTATTGCGGCCATCGACGAGTACAACAAGCCTGGTTCTGAAAAGTTCCTCTTCCTCTTGACTACCCGCGCTGGTGGTCTCGGTATTAACCTAACAACTGCAGACATTGTCGTCATCTTCGATAGCGATTGGAACCCTCAGGCCGATTTGCAAGCCATGGACCGTGCTCATCGTATTGGTCAGACCAAGCAGGTTGTCGTCTTCCGTTTCGTTACAGAGAACGCTATTGAGGAGAAGGTGCTTGAGAGAGCCGCTCAAAAGCTTCGCCTGGATCAGCTTGTTATCCAGCAAGGACGTGCTCAACAAGAAGCCAAGAAGGCCGCTTCCAAGGACGAGCTTCTGAACATGATCCAGCATGGTGCCGAGAAGGTATTCGAAGCAAATGCTGAAGGCGCATTCGCAAAGAATGGTGAAATCACTGAAGACGACATCGATGCGATTCTCAAGAAGGGTGAGGAGCGTACCGCTGAGCTTAACTCCAAGTACGAGAAGCTCGGTTTGGACGACCTTCAGAAGTTCACTTCAGAATCTGCCTACGAGTGGAACGGCGAAAACTTCGAGAACAAGAAAAAGGTAGAGATCGGCATCAACTGGATCAACCCCTCAAAGCGTGAGCGCAAAGACCCGGCATCCTACTCGATGGATAAGTACTATCGAAACGCTCTTATGACGGGTGGCAGGACCGCCGACCCCAAGCCCAAGGTCCCTCGTGCACCCAAGCAACAGGCCATGCACGATTATCAGTTCTTCAACCCTCACCTCGCGGATCTACAAGACAAGGAAACCGCATGGTTCCGCAAGGAGAACAGCATCAAGGCGCCGCTTGCTGAAGGCGATGACGAAGACAAGGAGCAGCGCGAACAAGACCAAGCTCTGGAACAGCAGGCTATCGATGATGCTGAACCTTTGACCGAGGAGGAACAGCTTGAGAAGGACAAGCTCGCTGCGGAAGGTTTCGGTGACTGGAATAAGCGTGACTTCCAACAATTCATCAATGGAAGTGCCAAGTATGGACGCACAAACTATGAAGATATTGCCCTGGAAGTCGACAGCAAGGAGCCTGACGAGATCAAGGCTTATGCCAAGATCTTCTGGAAGCGCTACAAGGAGATTGCCAACTGGGAGAAGCACATTGACTCCATCAACGAAGGTGAGGAACGTCGTGCAAAGGTTGTCCAGCATGGCAAGCTCCTCCGCCAGAAGATGGGCATGTACCGTGTACCTCTGCAGCAGCTTAAGATCAACTACACTGTCAGCACTACGAACAAGAAGGTCTACACCGAGGAAGAAGACCGCTTCCTCCTGGTCATGCTTGATCGTTTCGGTCTTGAAAGCGAGAACCTGTACGAGAAGATCCGTGACGAGATTCGCGAATCGCCACTCTTCAGATTCGACTGGTTCTTCCTGAGCAGAACACCACAAGAGATTGGACGCCGCTGTAACACCCTTATCACCACCGTTGCTAAGGAGATGGCCGAGGCGAATGGCGAGAAGCTCAATGGCTCAAAGGGTAAGAGAGCTGCTGATGAAGAATCGAGTGAGGAGGAAGAGGTCAAGCCTACCACCAAGAAGGCAAAGGGCAATGTCAAGGTACGTATTGAAGACCATGACTGAGCGAATTGGAACTGACGAATCTGCAGANACAAGCAGCTCGACACAGTCAAGGGCGGCAGTAAGGCATCATCTCGTGCAGGCAGTGTAGCATCAACCGGCTCCAACGGAACCACCAAGGGCGGAGCCGCCGCCGCCGTTGTGACAAAGAGCGGCAGAGCATCTCGCAAGAAGTAGAGTTGATCACTTCATCATCTCTTTTTTGGTTCATGGGCATTTCTAAAGGAAAGCGGAGTGGTTGGGGCGTTGATACATGTTGCTGTGATGGGATTGCTTTTCTGAATGGTTCTATTCCTTATTTTGATGACTTGCTATGCAGGAAGTGTCTTCTTACCAGAAAGGGACCTCGAGTACAGTATAAAAGAAATGAACAGCGAAGAAGTTCGCTTACCTTTTGACTTGAACCATCGCCCCTTCCTCTGAAAACGTGATACTCTCTCTCTCTCTCATATACTGTAGATCTACACCCTCCTGTACGACTGTATAGAGCAGAAATTAGACTATACAGATGCACAAATGTTTCCAGAGTAGACGGGTAAGCCGATATGGTGTTGGCTCTCGGTGGAGCCACTGTCTTTCTCAATCACTATTGTGCATTTGTATGGCTCCTCGTGTCACGTCTCATGACACATGGGTAGAGGACAACTTCACTTGTCTGGTAGGTACCTTGGCGATGTAAAGACATCGAGCAACGCCTTGGCACTGCTATGTGCATAGAAGCGCTGTACTTCTCTGCCTCACACTGAGACAGACGCACCGAATTTCTTCCTCTCTATCACAACCTACATTATCACCGTTCAACTGCGCACAGGAGTTTTCTTTCTCGTTCCGGCGCCCTTGCTGCACTCAATCTCGTTCTGCGTCTCGCGTGAACATTCCTATTGGTGGAGCCCGTAGTGGTTCTGCCCTTAGTGGTTCTGCCCTGTTGAAAGAGAAAACCACTCATTGGTGGGGCCCGTAGTGGTTCTGCCTTATTGAATAACATGGCCTATCAGGCAACATCGTTGCTTGCCAGCGGTTACGTGATACAGTATCCCAAAGCAGAATCTCCACCACCTCTTCCAGAGGGAGATCCGTTCGAGGAGGACTCCGACCCCGAGATTGAGTATGACTCTGAAGAAGACGAAGACGCGCAGGTGTTTTGCAGTAAATGCAAGAAGGTATACTTCAAGAGAGAGAAGCATACGCATGAGAAAGACTACCAGACAGGCAAGTTGATAGACGGTGTTCGTCGCTCTCCATTTCTCATTGATTTCCCGAGCCCCGATTCGATGCCAGAGCTACCGACTGGCGACCCGTGGGCCGCCTGGGAATCTGAAGAAGAGGAGGATACAGGCGCGCAAGTCTTCTGCAGTAAGTGCAAGAAGGTATATTTCGTGACTGACAAGCATACACACGAGGCAGACTACCAGGCCGACATCGAAAAAGAGTCGACGAGGAAGACGTCGAGAAGCAAGGTATGTCGGAGACCGAGAAGACAAGCGCTGACACTCGTAGATAAATATTCCTCTCTGTCACAATGTTATAGTTTTGTCGTCGCAGGCAGTCGTGATAAAGGACATTCTCATACCCCACTCAAAATGCCGACCGCGAATTCCGCTCCCCTCGGCCGCAGTCTTCGGCCGAGACCTCCGGCTCTAACAGCCAATCGGAGCATCACACTGCCTTCGGTGCCGGTACCGCTGCCCTTATCAGATCCGATGTGGGCTGCCGGGGAGCACGCCAGTCGAGGTCGTGGGAGATGAGAGGGGAGGTATAAAGACTGGGTATCCAAGTGCTGTTGATACCCTCTCAGATCTTAATCCTCGAATATCTCTGTGCAAAGAAACAATGTCGATTTTACCGAATATTGCAGTAATCGGCGGTAGTTATGTTGGTATAATTCTCTCCACTCTCCCGTATTTGGGTACATGTCTTGTCAGATCAACTAATATCTCTATCTCAGGTGTGAACACAGCACAACAACTAGCCGCGAAATTCTCAGGGCGCTTCCAAGTGCTATTGATCGAAAAGAACTCACACTTCCAACATTTATTCGCGTTTCCGCGATTCGCGGTGACGAACAAGGTGGATACGCACAAAGCATTTATCCCTTTCACGCCAGGCACATTCGCCAGTTGTCCAGCTGGGAGTGGTGTTGTAGTTCGAGCAGGTGTCAAGAAAATTGATAAAGAGGAGATTTGGTTGGACCGCAAGGTTGAGGTGAATGGTAAGGGGTTGGACAGAATTCCTTATGCTTATCTGGTCAGTATGAGAGAGGGTTTATACTTGCGTGGCTTCTCTGACAAGAATATACAGGTCATTGCGACAGGCACAAAACTGACGCCGCCGTCAACCTTGCCTTCCTCTGACAAAGCGGACGGAGTTACCTACTTGCAAGAGCATGCAAGGAAAATCGAATCAAGCTCTAATATCGCCATCATCGGTGGAGGTGCTGTCGGCGTACAAATGGCCACCGACATAAAGGAGATTTATCCTGAGAAAGCGGTGACGTTGATACACTCGAGAGAACAGATCATGAACAAGTTTCATCCACAGCTTGATCGCATTATCCAAAACCGATGCGAAGAGTTGGGCGTGAAGCTGAAGCTTGGCTCAAGGGTCAAATTGCCAGCAAAAGGATATCCAACCGATGGGTCGACGTTCAACGTCGAGCTGCAAGACGGTTCAACTGTGTCTACAGACTTTGCTGTATGTTCCGAGCATCATAGTGAAAAATCGTTTGCTGATGATCAAAATCACAGGNTGATTGCAACGGGTCAGACACCCCAATCAGAGCTCATCCGAGCCCTCTCGCCAGACTCTATCGACGATACCGGCTTCGTGCGTGTACAAAGAACGCTTCAGATCAACGATACCAGATTCCCGAACATCTTCGCTGTGGGTGATGTCGCTGATACAGGAGCCCACAAGGCTGCTCGTCCAGCACTCAGACAAGCTCCTGTGGTCGTGGAGAATATCGAGCATCTGGCAAAGAACGAGCCTCTTGAGCGATACGAGGTAGCAGAAGGGCCCTCTATTCATCTGACGTTAGGCATTGTAAGTTTTCTGTCCTGTGTATGAGCTTGATCCTAATGTTAATTGCTGCACAGANCGAAAAACATCAAGTTTATCAACTCGCCAGGCGGCGCTCCTGAGCCGAAGGTCATTTGGGCTGATGATGGGTGAGTTCTCGTGGCACTGTTTCTTGGTCTGGCGTATGTGAAACTGACAGATTGAAAAACAGAANAGTTCGATATGGGAATTGACGGCGTCTGGCAGCGTAGAGGTGGAGGTCCTAATTCTCTTCTCTGAGAACACTTGGTCGTTCGACCAATGCCATATCCTGGGAGATACGAAGATGACGGAGCTCATCGACCCTCTGCAAGACAACCACAGTGGATAATACACCTGATCATCCAAGTTGGTTGATAACGAGGTCATCCCAAAGTCTGTCAGACTTAGGAGTACAGCAACAACAACCCACAGTTGTCTTCAGATCCAAGGCATCTCCAGAGAGAGTCAACCCTTTCGAGGCTCTCAATGGATATTGCTTGGTCTCAAGGATGCATTGCGCCTCTCGACAGCCATTGCTCTCCAGCTTGTGAAGGTGGCGGAAGAAGGCTGCTCGTACTTCCAGGCGAAACTCAGTCGTTACGAGCTCATACCTTGATGAGTCTTTTACAAAATGGGACCGAGAACGAAACCAGCATTCTCATTCACTCTCAGCGATCGATTCTCGATGCTCGTATCGTGAAAAGGATTTCTTGCTCGCTGTGCTCAAGGTTGTTGATCGGATCGGACGCAAGGTCGTAAGAGTATGTAGTAACTTGAAATGAGCTTCTCTTCATATCTTCTTGTCACGATCTGTTTCTCGAAAACTCGATGCTCTGAACCAGTGACGATGTTGAGGAAAATCATCAAAAGATAGCTCCACTCTGGTGCTGACTTCATGACATGTCTTGGCAGCCAAACGTCACTAATCCACCACTTGTGCCCCTCATGGAGATTGCATCATCAGCATATGCAATCGGCTCGATCGATTGCAGCAGTAGAAATACTTCTTCAGGTCATGTTAGAGCAGTTTTTCTTTCTTCATCACACTCAAGCTTCTCAATTCACCTTTCAAACACCTTTCAAACACCTTTCAAACCCTTTCAAACCCACTTCAATCACAAACCATCAAGATGTCTGCCGAATACCAAGGACAGGACCCCATCAAGATCGCTGAGCAGAGCGAACGCGAATTGAACTCCCACGTCGCCAAGCACGGCCACAACGCTGATATCTCCTCCAACCACGGTCACGGTGCCAGTGACAGCAGTAAGTTTCCCAGAACCCAGGGTTGAAGCCTTTAGTTGGACACTCGGTCCGCTATACTTACAAGACCTAAATGACTTGAGACGGTATACTAACACTGTCTTTAGNCCCTCGAGTCTGGTGTCGACGAGGCTGGAGCGAGTAGATTCCCTGGCGGCAGTGTCTCTGTCGGTGGCCAAGGTGCCAGCAACAACAGACCCATCCCCGAGAGCGAGGGTGGTGACATCAACCCCTCCACCGGCAAGCTCTACAAGGCTGGCGAGTTCGAGGGTGCCGGAGGTCCCGAGACCAAGGCCCAGATCCACCGCGAGAACGACGGCGGTGACGACGATGTCCGCTCCAACGTTCGCAACTAAACGTACTGTTGAGTACATTGTTCGCCTGAAACATGAGACGAATGTCCAGCAACAGCTCCATGCCCTTTGATAGGGACGAGCTATGAAATGAGGGACGTCATGATACCGTTCTGAGAAATCGGAAAATTTCAATGCTTGCGACGTCGAGAAGCAAGAGCGTTCTCCGTCGACTATGCAGTCATGTAAAATTAGCTATGAGACATGAAAAATGACCATAATTCATACCTTTATCTTGTTGTCGCCATGCTATGAAGTCGAAGCCGCCAGAGATCCACAGTCGTGTAGAGCCTCAAAGTACGGATGCGACCGCTTCATCGGCCAACTCCGCGAACTGCCTAAGAAGTTCGTCAACATAAAGTGATTGGCTGATAGACCAACACCTCCTCTAGTAGAACACTTTTTGGCACTTGTAGGTCTGTCTGTTCTTGTTCTCTTCGTGTAGCAACAAATCGACAAAGCAAAACCAAGCTCCTTGCTCAATCATACCACCCTGCGCCGAGACAGCTACTTCTACACACAGCAATGTCAGCTCCACCACGCCCTTTCATCACATGCCACGTCCTTGAGACCGTGTCGGGTCGTCCGGCGCCCAACATGCACGTCACCCTTTCGCTCCTCTCGCCCAAGCGCTCCAACCTCTCTTCCCCCACTGTCTTCACCGCATCCACCAACCCCGACGGCAGAGTGACTGCGTGGCAGTCCACCCAAGAAGGCGGCACTGTCACTACCTCCGAGCTCGATCACTTGGTCAACACATTGAAGTCCGAGCTCAAGGGCGACGAGCAGATGAATTGGAGCTTGGTCTTTGCGACCGAAGAGTTCTACGGCAAGGGAAAGACCTTCTGGCCAGAGGTTGAGCTCAAGTTCTGTACAAGCAAGGATGAGAGACACTATCATGTTCCCCTGCTCTTGGGTCCCTGGAGCTACACCACCTACCGCGGCTCATAGACCGAGAATCGATTAGAGCTGAGAAGCCATGTGAGAGCATGCTCTGGGACTAGCAACCAACGACACACGAGAAAAACGAACAAGGAAACAGGATAGAGACGACTTGCAAGCATCTAGGCAGTCAGAAGATACCGTGGGAATCGGAGAAACACAACAAGGAAAGCCTTGCTCAGGGGGTAGCATACTCGCCGAATAAAAGACACTCCAGAATATGCAAGAGCCCTCGACGTACATCACAGTGTATCTTTGTCTGCCTCTTCTTAGAACTACTGTTTCGACTCACACCAGCGAAGAGCTTTGGTATTACCATCTTCTGCCAAAATTGCTTCGCATATATCAGACAGACAGAGCGGATGTTACATGGAATCGGTGGAATATCGGCTCCATTCCATTCCATTCCACCACTTCCAGCTAGTATTCCACTCTATGCCAATTCTCTAGTGGAATGATGCCAATTCCAATTTTGCTGCTGTTGTTGTCGCCACCCTGTCCATGTCAGGGGTCACCCTGTCTATTGATTAGTAATCATCAGGCTTGGCACGATTATGTAAGCGCGATAATATATGAAGATCAACATACCCAATAGAAATAATATCAACCTTGCTAGAGAGTGGAATGGTGGAATATTCCACTAAAATTGACGATTCTATTCCATGCCAACGGAGTAGAATATTCCACTCATAATCAGTGGAATATTCCAACATTCTACTTATTCCATGCCATTTAACATCCGCACTGCAGACAGACCAAGTCAATATGGCTAGTGGGGTGACCCTGGTCTTGAATTTCTTTCACGGTTGTGTCGGCAAGTTGGTATTGATATGACATGTAGAGGTATATGCGACTTGCCTGGTGGTCGTCTGCTTGAATTAGAACGTAAACGTGTTCTGCATTGACTCCGGTCACGATAAATTGTGCTTGTCGAATATTCGTCGAGTCTGTAATCAATGAAGGAAAGGGAGACAGGGGACATCCACGTCAGGACCAAGACCAGAGAACTAATTGTTATATATAATCAATCCTCAAGTCTATACATACTGGCGCGCCATAAGGTATTGCCTTTAAGATTGCATACAAAACACCCAAGTGTGTGTCAAGGCTCTCGAGACTCGAGATCACGAATACCTCGGTAGATGTCCGAACCCTGGAGCGGGCCGTGCCTCTGCCGACTTAGGGTTAAAGCACTAAACACCTTCCACTGTTTCTTCTTTCGTCCACGTCGAGATTCGAGCAGCCTGGAAGTTATCATATCGGCCCTGTAGGTATGGTGGAGGTGACATGGATCTGATTGATCCTTTTTCCATTCCGATTCAGGCATGCCTCTACCCATGTCGAGTCAGGCGCATAGTGACTGTCCTGTAGATGTCTTCGATGACAGGCCGACATGTCTCAAGACTGCTGCGCATGCCCAAGTCCACATAACTCTAGATGTGCCCTTGTAGGTATCCTGTTGCATCGACACTTCTTTGTTAGGTCAAGGGACCACTTATTCTCATAGTGAATCATTAGAACTTGCCAACGGGACCGTTTATTCCAACGGGCTGCAATGTTTGCGATTTGTTCTCGAGTTCTCGCGCGTGCGAAGACGGCTTCTTTGTTCTCTCAGTTGTGGTTACCCTAATCATCGAGTAGTTGTTCCTGCTCCTTTCCTTTTGTTACGTCGTGTCAAAAGCGAATTGCAGGTGACCGCCTGGCCATCACAGCGTTCCCTCAAACACATACACATACACACACACACTCTCTCTCCTTTTCTTGTCAGCCTAGACGGCGACCATCAACTTTCCAGCGCAGTATTTGTTTTAATCAGCAGGTTTCCTCTGACACTACTTGCACGTGGTATCACAAGAAACTCATCATAACCATCCGACAAAGTCACTTGCGCATCACATCAATCGCGCAAAACAAACCTTCACCAATATTACGATTGCTTCGACTTACGATCTATTCCATACACTACAGTCTCATTCCGTAACCCACGCTCGTTAACGCAGTCATGAAGCTCGCTACCTTCTTGACGCTCTTCAGCTTCGGCGTCTCTGTTATGGCAGCATCTGCCGCTGACTGGCGCTCGAAGTCTATCTACCAAGTCCTGACCGATCGGTAAGTTTACTGATTATCTCAAGAAATTTCCATTATCGACTGACACTCTTACCNNAGATTCGCACGTACCGATGGAAGCACCACAGCCGCCTGCAATCCCGTCGGCAAATACTGTGGTGGCACTTATCAAGGCATCATCAAGCAACTGGACTATATCCAGAACATGGGCTTCACTGCCGTGAGTTTCCCACGATGTGGCGTCAAGCCGCTGAACGACAAACGCTGAACTCAGAATAGANTCTGGATCTCTCCTATCACTTATCAGATACAGACCTGGACACCCTACGGCGAACCATGGCACGGCTACTGGCAGCAAGATCTGTACAAGCTCAACAGTGCTTTCGGCACTGCAGACGATCTCAAGGCTTTGGCTACGGCTCTACACAACAGAGGCATGGTGAGTTGAATGCACATGCGACCATCTGAATCTTGACTGACCACCCTCTAGTATCTCATGGTCGACATTGTTGTGAACCACAACGGGTGGAACGGCAATGCGAGTTCAGTCGACTACAGCATGTTCAAGCCCTTCGACAACGTCGAGTACTACCACAACTTCTGTGATGTCGACTACAGCAACAACACCAGCATCCAAGACTGCTGGTTGGGCGACTCGAACGTGGAGCTTGTCGATCTTCGAACAGAAGACGCTGTAGTCGCACAAGAGTACCAGACATGGATTCAGCAGTTGGTCGCCAACTACTCCAGTAAGTCAGTGAACATCAGTACAGAATCTTGGCTTACCTTCTATTAGNTCGATGGCCTCCGCATCGATACTGTCAAGCATGTCGATACTGCATTCTGGCCTGAATTTGGAGAAGCCGCTGGTGTGTTCGTCACGGGCGAAGTGACCAACGGCGATCCATACGGTCTTTGCCCTTACCAAAACTACATGGATAGTGTTCTGAACTACGCAATGTACGTCCAGAGCCTGAAAAATATGCATTCAACTTCCTTACACTATTCAGGTNATTATGCGGCCACGGATGCCTTCTCCTCGACTGCTGGAAGCCTGTCCAAGTTCGTGAATCAACTGAACAATATGAAGAGCCAATGTAAAGACACCAGCGTTCTTGGATCTTTCTCGGAGAACCATGACCAGCCTCGCTTTGCATCGTTGACCGACGACATGTCCTTGGCTAAGAACATCATCGTCTACACAATCATGGGCGACGGGATTCCCATCATATACGAAGGTCAGGAACAGCACTACAGCGGTGCAGAGGACCCCTACAATCGTGAAGCTGTCTGGCTGAGTCAATACAACACCGGCGCACCTCTTTACACTCTCACAGCAAGCGCAAACCAGATTCGCAATCATGCGATCTTCGTCGATGGAGACTGGCTTACTTACCGGAACTGGGTCATCTACAGCGACAGCGCCAACATCGCTATGCGCAAAGGATATGACGGGTACCAGACCATCACTGTTCTGACCAACAAAGGTGCCAGCAGTGCTGAGTACACTCTCAGCGTTACTAACACTGGATATGAAAGTGGTACGGAGGTTGTGGACGTCCTGTCCTGCGAAGCTTTGACTGCAGGAAAGGATGGAACCCTTACGGTGTCCATGTTACAAGGTCTTCCCAAAATCTACTATCCGCTGGAACTGTTGGATTGCAGTGGCATCTGCGGATACTGATATCTCATCGAACCTCTGATGCCTTTGAGACACGACATGCTTTGCTAGATAAGCTAAAGCTCAGGATCAGCTCTACGACATTGCTACGAACTCCTCTCTGTCACCTACTTCTGTTCTCCATGCTCATATCCAGCGATTGGATTGGTAATAGGCATATATAGGGATCATACATAATTCCAACCAGGTTTTCCTTCAAAATTGCATCGTTCAATCGTCACAAACGGGATGTTTTTGATGTCGGGCACATGAAATTTTCTTCTGCACATGTCGCTCGAGACGTCACAGCCGGAGACCCGACAGCTTGCAGCCGCTTTTGTCATCTTTGATTCAAGGGTCTTTGACTCTTCGCTACATCATCCCGCGCCGTTGCGAAAGCTTGTCTTGGATTTGGAGATCGTGAGCTCTGCAGCAACACCATTCAGGTATTCAACTCGAGGCGCAAGCATGGAGTAGCAGAGTGATAGAGAAGCAGAGAAGCAGAGGACAGATGCGCTGCATACATGAACTACTGATATCCTTGATGAAACAGAATGATGGACCGTGAACCTGGGAACTCGATGCAGATTGTGGAGGATCGGATGTTTCGGGAAGCGCCCACCTTGAAGCTCATTCTGGAAGCATGGCAGCGTCATAGCATCTGGAAAGCGTAGGATCTTCGAGGATTTATTGGTGGTTCTGTGTGTGCGGCTTGCCGTTGAGTGGTCAAGAAAGGGCATTCGCGCGGGAGTCAGAATGGGACGATTCCATGCGTGGCGTCATGCGTGACGTTGTCGCGCTGGTGATGTAGGAGGGCGGCTCTGTTGGCAGGCCCAGCGAGGATATTAACCTCGACCTCCTGCCATCCAGCCACAGACATTTTTGATCATCTCATCTTCAGCTCATCACCCAGCGACCCCCAGCAACCTATTCCAGCCACCGACTCCTGTCACTCTATCTACTCCACCTATACGACTAGTTTATCTCAGCCTTATCCAAAATGGTTGCCAAGATCATCAACCTGGCCATGCGCGGCCTCCAGGTAAGCTCTTACTACTCTATGTTCAAGTCTTACCACAGTCTAACATGCGACGNNCAGTTCCTCTGGGCCCTGCTCATCATGTCCCTCATTGGTAACATGATCGCAACATCATACTCTGGCAACCCCTCGATTGTCAACTACAGCATGTTCGTCGCTGTCTTCAGCATGCTGTCGCTGTTCTACCTCATCCCGGCAAGCATCAAGGAGTCGTTCATGATCCACCCTCTTCTTGTTGTTGGTCTTGATGCCTTGAACGCCATCTTCTACTTCTGCGGTGCCGTTGCTATGTCAGCCTACCTTGGTGTTCACAGCTGTGGTAACTCTGTAAGTCTTGAACCCGTTATGACAAACCATGGTCTAACAAAGCAACAGTCGTACACTCACAACAACTCCGTCACCAACGGCTCCCCTGACACCAACAAGCGCTGCACAGAGGCCCAGGCTTCGACTGCCTTCCTCTGGTTCGGCTTTGCTGCCTTCGTCGTCTCGGCCGTCTTCGCTGGTCTGCAGGGCCGTAACTCCGGCGTCAACATGCGCGGTGGTGCCGGTGGCATCAGAAAGGGACCTGCCATGAGCCAGGTCTAAGTGCCTCCTCGCAGAAAGTTCTTTTCTCGAAATGAACCACCCATCCCATCGAACGCAGCAGACCACGCTTGAAGCATTTCATCATGCGCGTTTCTGAGACTGGTTCTTGTACAACAGCTTCTGACGACGACGACCAGCGGTCCGTCGGCATTCTTCTTTCGTATTTCTGTACCATATTATCACGACTTGCATGAGACAAGAGACAGTGGAAAGGCGTTAATGTTTTGGGACATGGTATGCGTTGGTTGATCGATGACAGCGCGCTAATGTTTATTGCGAGTATAATACCATAAGCCGAATTCACCTAATAATAGAATATTTATCCTGCATCGAGTCCTTTTGTCCTTTCCAAGTGATCCTTTGACCTTACGCCTTTGACCTTTCACATGCTGAATGGTATAACTAAGACAACTCAGTATCGTGGAAGATGGGTTAGAAGAGTAGGTCACGTACTGCGAGTGGTGAATTACTGCTGTGGAGGTTGCATCATCTCTTGCTGTTGGAGTGCCATGAGTTGTTCTAGCGGTGCACTCCTGCCAGGGACAGTGTGCTTGTCGCGGATGGTGTGGGACTGGCAGGCAAGAGGAGCAGGACACGGGACGCCGTTGAACTGAGGAACAGCACACTGCCTGTCAATATTGACATGTTCTCTTGTGGCAGACAGGGCAGACGGATCGTTGTCTGAGGCTTGTGGAGGGGTGCCATTAGTACCAGCATTGGGGGCAAAGCGTGGGTCCTGAACGGCAGGCTGCGCGTTAAACTGCATTGTCATTCTGAAATTTCAACAAGTCGAGTAAGAGTGACAGGAGTACGTTTGTGTAGATAGAGAGTAAGCAGGGACAAAAGCCAGAAGGCGCGTGAGAGCGGTAGTGGTAGGACCCGAGGCAGGTGCTTGAGGCGCAGTTACCAGATTCGGAAAGACAGTGCCAAGCATCTCCTGGTGTTTCGGCGAGCATGCTAGCACCAGACAGCTCCCGTCAACAATCGTCCTCTCTCGACCANNTGGGCCCGCAACAATAACCTGGCCAGAAAGAGAAGGACTACACAACAGNGACCCATGGCAGACACGCTTCACAACGCGCCAATTGTGCTGGACAATGGCAGCGGCACCATCAGAGCTGGCTTCGCAGGCGAAGACGCGCCCAAATGTTATTTCCCATCCTACGTCGGCCGTCCCAAGCACCTGCGCGTACTGGCCGGCGCTCTCGAGNGCGATGTTTTCATCGGCCAGAAGGCTCAAGAGCTGCGTGGTCTGCTGAAGATTCGCTACCCACTGGAACACGGAATCGTCACCGACTGGGACGACATGGAGAAGATCTGGCAACATGTCTACACCGAAGAGCTCAAGACACTGAGTGAAGAGCACCCCGTGCTCTTGACCGAACCGCCGCTCAATCCGCGTTCAAACCGCGACACGGCTGCCCAGATCTTGTTTGAGACTTTCAACGTTCCCGCCCTGTTCACCTCCATTCAAGCCGTCCTGTCACTTTACGCCTCAGGCAGAACCACCGGTATTGTCCTAGACGCGGGTGATGGTGTGTCGCATGCCGTACCTGTCTATGAAGGCTTTGCAATCAACAACAGCATCCGCCGTATTGACGTTGCTGGTCGAGACGTTACTGAGCACTTGCAGACGCTGCTTCGCAAGTCTGGCTATATCTTCCATACCAGTGCCGAGAAAGAGGTTGTGCGCATGATTAAAGAAAAGACAAGTTACCTGGCCCTTGATCCCAAGAAAGAAGAAAAGGACTGGTCTACAGGCAATGCCAGACAGGACGGCAAGACGGTTGAGTACACCCTTCCTGACGGCCAGAAGCTCAAGGTACAACCACGTGCCCCTTATACACACCTTCTCAAGCTTACCTTGTTCTGCAGANTTGGCCCCGAGAGGTTCAGGGCGCCTGAGATTCTCTTTGATCCTGAAATCATTGGCCTCGAATATCCCGGCGTTCACCAGATTGTTGTCGATGCCATCAGCCGTACTGACATGGACTTGAGGAAATCTCTCTTCGCAAATATCGTCTTGTCAGGAGGCTCGACCTTGACAAAGGGCTTCGGTGATCGCCTGTTGCACGAGGTTCAACGTCTAGCAGTCAAAGACATGCGCATCAAGATCTTCGCACCGCCCGAGCGCAAGTATAGCACGTGGATTGGTGGCAGTATTCTTGCCGGTCTCAGCACCTTTAGAAGGGTCAGTACTGCCTCATTTGTTGCGCAACCTGCTTCCGGACTGACGTGACGATCCAGANTGTGGGTGAATATCGACGACTGGCACGAGAACCCCGAGATCATCCATACCAAATTTGCGTGATACATGACGCGCTTCTTGCAATGCTTGACGACAAAGCTATGCCACCACCTCGACAAGAACGACAACTCATCCTGCAACATATCCTCTCGGCACACTGGTTGTGACACCTCATCGCTCGCTCCTATCTCCTCAAACGCCTGGTCTGGATCCGCAAGTATACGAGTCACCGTCGAGTAATCTGCTCGAGCACCTGACCGAAACGCTTGAAACTTCCCGGTCCAGACATGCTTTCCTGAGCATCTCCCCGCATTGCGGCATCTCGTGCAGACCGTTTCTCTATTCTGGACAGCAACGCCCTGGCTCTGGATGCGGAGAAAGGTTAGGCCAAGAAGAAGCTACGTTCCGTGCTCCCTTCACGATGATGTCCGCGGCCGACCGCCCTTCACGACAGGCCCTAGGCTTGGGCTGAGATCGCCCGCCGCGCGGCTAGACAAGGGCCAAGACACAGGCTGGGCAATATTCGAGTAAGGAGAAAAGTGAGGGAAACCGTTACATGGTAGGGCGCACTTTGTGGGGAAGACCAAGGAAAAAGGTACACACAACTCCCAATAGCCGTAGTCCGGGGCTACCGAACAATACACCCCTCAGAGTTCCTTGCCAATACATTACCAAATAGTTTCTGTGACTTCTCGTAGACCATTGACGAGCCAAGTCAGAAAGCAGGAGACGAATCAGAAAGAGACCAATGTCGCATTCGGAAGGAGCAAGCACTACAATTGGCTTGTACCGTACCTTAACGAAAGAGCAAATCATGTGGCCTGACCAAGCACGATTTGAACGAACCGATTCGCTTGGAAGGAGACCACAATGGAAAGCAACAAATTTCATTTCTTTCCATGTTCACGTGTACAAGTGCTACGGTGTCCAGGGGCAAATTTGGTCTTCTCCGGCAATGGCGGTGCGTACGAGCGGTGTGTGGCTGTCGTCGAAGAACAAGAAGAAGGTCACACGCATGGGGGGGTCGGTGTAGGAGAGCCGCAAACAGCATGGTGTTCGACTGAAGCTTCCATTGTTGACAACGAGACATTTTAGTTCGGTACGAAAGAGCTCCGTCCCGTGGTTTGCGTGACTCCCCTGGCCTCACGGCAACAAAGAATCATCAGTCATTGAGAGGCAGCAGGTTTCTCTGATACAGTGGTTTGAGAGGTTTCCGAGGCAAGCGTTCATGGCTCACTCTATGCTTGATGTTGCGATGCCGAGGGATTCCTGCAGCAGACGAATGTCTCTGAGATTGGCATTATCACCATCATAACAAATGTTCTCATCCTTCATCTCCTTGTTTGGGTTCTGAACCCATGGGTCGTGCTGTCACAGAAGGCGCAGTGTGATTTGCTAATACCCGCGGATACCTTACCGAAACCTAGTTAGTCGATGAGCAATTCATGGGGTAATAGCGTCGATTTTGAGCATTTCATGGGGGTAATAGAAAATCAGGTACCAGTCTTGGCTGGTTTGGACAGTGAGCTCACCCCACTGCGAGTTGGGAGGTCGACGAAGGCTTGTCGTCGTCAGCAAAGATGAAAGGCGAAAGGCCTTTACACATTTTGCAAAGGACGAGGCTGCAAATTGATCGGGCTGCTCCGAAGAGGCCAGAATGAACTGGCAGCTGATGTGAGCAAGCAAGCGCTGCGCAAAGTGAGGTGCGGGCCGGGCGAAAAGTTTTTGACGCCTTTCGGGTAACGGTTCATCAGCTTGCACCAAAGCCAAGGCTTGTGACCACACTGCCGTTTGACGCTTTCCAGCTTGAGGAATAGTGAGGAGAAACAGCTGGAAGTCATTTGCAAATTTTTGCGCACGCGTGTGGTGGTGCAATTCTTGGTCCGGAGTGCGTTGCTTTCGATCGTGATGTGTCAACACTCGATCCTGCTCTGCTTTTCATATATAGACCCCCGCTCTTGCCTCGTAGTTGTTTGTTCATACCACAACTGTCCACCACACTTTCTTTCACGCACGATTCGGATCATCAAATCCAGTTGAGCTTTATACCTACAACCATCTACTACAACAACAACAACAACAATCACACATCTTCAATTATGGTTTCATTGAGCTACCTCATCAACGAGCCTCACCCCTCGGCTCCCAGAGGCAGAAGCACAGCATACCTTGGCTCTGGACGAGGAGGTGCTGGTAACTACGCTCGCTACAAGGTCGAGGAACTTACTGTCGGCAACGAGGCCACTGGTCCTGCATCCCGTAGTGCCATCTCTCCTCCCNCATCAACTCAGAAGTACACTTCTGGTAGAGGCGGCATGGGAAACACTTTCACCCGCCAGGAAAGCCAGAGAGCCATCTTCTCTTTCGATGAAGAGCTTGCTCGCGACCAGAAGCTCATGGACGCTCGTGCCAAAGCTCCCGTCTACCACACTGGTAGAGGAGGTTCTGGCAACTTTGTCGACGAGATGAAGCCTTCCGCCAGCCGCCAGAACAGTGCCGCTTCCGTCTCATCAAATGGTTCATCTGTGTCCGACAAGGCACGCCGCATTGGTGGTGCTTTCCGAAGCCTGAGCAGAACCTGGAGCAGAGACTCTACTCGCGAGTAGACTGTTCTCCTACTTCACTCATGTTACGCCTCTTCATGACACCTTCACGACCACCAAAAAAGTTTTTGTTTTCCATCATTCTATCATCATCATCATCATCAGCATCATGAGCATCAAACAACCAGCGAGGAGTTCTATCGTCTGGATGAACATCCTCGTGCAGAGGGCATCCAACCATTGAGCATTTCGTCTCTTGTCTTCCTTCCACACAACCAAACGGGATCTTTTGGGAGTCTTGAATCATCATTTTCGATACCCAACTTTGCATTTGAGATTGGACCCCTTTTTCTCTAGCCATCTCTGCAAAAGCATCCCTTGCGAGGGCACACCTTTCCACTCTTCAATTCTTGTTCAAAGATTTCTATCTAGCAAATTTCTTCATAATGTATCAACACCACACTTTCTCAGAAGATTTCTATCCTTGCCACTTGTTGCCTTGTGATGACCCGTGTATCTCAGTATGAATCAGATGACTTGACGCCTTCAGATGTTGCATGCGTTGCCCTCGACAGCGTGTCCGTGAAAACCTGGCATCATCGATGTCGAAAATGACGTGTGAAGCAACCACTTCCCAGACAACCAACCACATCCCGAATTCCGATCCACATGTTTCACGGATCGCTCTCCTTTCAGAATTTTCTCTTTAATTTGCTAGAGTGGGCCTTTGTGCTTGCTGATCTGGTTCGGTGTTCGCAGTCGCTCGAAGCCGACGATGCGACGGTGCTGCCGGTTGCCGGGTGGTTGATCCGCTCGCTCTTGCCGCTGTTGTCCATGGAAACCTTCCATCGCGTTTCTAGAAGGACTTGGCAAGCAGCTGACTCGGGCTTCTAACACACTTGACTCAAGTCATGGCCAAATGTTTGCGACTTTTTGCTCACGCGAGTTGTTAGCAACATTCACCAAAATATCACCTAGCATGCTCAGGAGTAGACACGTAGCCATCATACAACGTACGGCCATCTCCCGATTTAGTAGTCAACATGGACTTTTCAGACGACAAGGTAAGGGCGAAAGTCCACGAGTGATGAGCGTGGTCGTAAAGGTGGCAATCGCCAAAGAAATGCCTCGAGACACCAAAAAATACTGACGGATTGNNAAATCAAAGGACCATCATCATGATACCCATGCCATTCCGCCGCAATTCATCCAGGAACAATATTGGCATTACAACAAAGTCAAAATCTCGGATCTGGAAAATGATGAGAGTGTGGTAAACTGGGACAAAGGCTTGAGTGAGGAACAAGCAAAACTGCTTAAACCTGTCAGCACGATATCAAAATCCGCGATCGAGAAGGCTTGTATTGCTTTTCGAAATGCTGCCTTGGGAACGGAAGGGGATGAGTCGCCGCTGGAGACTGAGATTGAGGATGTAACTGTTTATGAGCACACAGATTTTCCAGGTAAGTTTTGTATCTGGAAAAATGTGAAAGCGAGAAAAGTGTGTATTGAACGATGTACAGGATTGCAAATAGCACCAGGAATATTACCTCCCGAAACTCAGGTCCTCTGGATATCGCAAATCATGCACAAGTACATGGCTAATCCCAAACATACGATCAACCTACAAGCAGATTTCGATATTGAATATCCAGAACCAGAAACCGAGGACCCAGAGGAGACTCCATCCTTGTTCCTCTATGACCCTCAGTCCATACACTCAGCACCGAAGAACCCTGAATCTCAAAAGTCTCTCAACATGGCACAAATGCTGTCACGAAAACTCCGTTGGTTGACGCTAGGCGAGCAATACCACTGGCCAACTCGCAGTTATCCCAGAAACGGACCTACAACCTTCCCCTCAGATCTCAGCACGCTGGTGAGCGGCCTCTTCCCACACATCCGACCAGAGTCTGGCGTGTGCCTATTGTACGGACAAAAAGATTATATGCCAGTCCACCGCGACGTGAGCGAGCTGTGCGAACGCGGTCTCGCTTCCTTCTCTTTTGGCTGCGATGGCATTTTCGTGATCGCAAGAGGCGAGACTGAGCTACAAGAAGGGGAAGATCCGAAGAAGAGAACAGTGGCCATCAGGGTCAGAAGTGGCGATTGCGTGCACATGGACGGCGAAACCAGATGGGCGTGGCATGCCATGCCTCGTACGATACCAAACTCGTGTCCGCAGTGGTTGGCTGAGTGGCCTGCGGTCAAGGGTGACGCGGCGAAGATGGTCAGTGATAAAGAGCGCAAGGCTTATCAACGATGGAAAGGATTCATGGGAACGAAGAGGCTGAATGTCAGCGTCAGGCAGGTCTGGGATTGAAAAAGAAGCAAGCAGTTGGTGTTGGGAAGGCACGGCCGTTATGCATAGCTGCTTGTTCTTAGACCATGAATTATGACTTCCTTGGACTGGTATTTCCTCAGAACCGAAGATTTCGACTGATTGAATGTTGGACCACGACAATGCAATTTCCCTTCGACCAACACATTTCATTAATCATCTTGTTTACACCATCTTTGATTGTTCTCGAGCCAAATACAATTCAGAGCAATGTCTAATTTTGAAAAGAATGCACCTGCCGCGGCATCAAATGAGGCTAAGATGCAGTCGCTGTGCCACAACCGCCATGCAGGAGCATTGCCCCAGATCTCTCACAACCTCAGGTCTCGCTTTGTTTCCCATCCACAACCAGGCACAGCTCAAGCAGAATATCAAAGAAGGTTGGTCCATGAATCTTTTACACAGCATGAAGAAAATAGATGGAGCTGGATGCCGGCTGACCGCAGGATCTTGTCCGATCGACGTGTGGGTTATAAGATCCAGATACCCGCCTCCACGTGTCTATCATTCACTCGTCTGCATAGTCATAGCAACACAATGTTTCAGAATTGGTGTCCAATTTTCTTTGTTCTCTTTGGGCATCTTTCTCTACTCGGATGTGCACAAACATGCTACTGGCCTGACAAGTCAATAGCCGAGGCCTTGACATCCTGCAATGGCATGGCAAAGAACAGTCACTGTTGTGGTGCCGACAGTCTTTGCCTGGACAATGGGTATGTAAGTCCTGACGTTAAGATAGATACGTTTACTGACAATTCAGTTNACTGCTTCAACCAAGGCAACAAATATGGCAACAGAATATCTCGCGGCGGGTGTACGGATAAGATGTGGGACAGCAACGCCTGCCCGAAATATTGCCAGACGAGTAAGTCGAGCAATGCATCGACATTTGTCGTCTGAATCTGGAATGGCTAATATATGCTGCAGCTANTACCAGATGGCGGAATATCAATCTCTATCGTTTCCGAGACTGACAGCGGACTCTTCTGCTGTGGTATGGGTTAGAATGATACATCCGGACTTTGCCTGGCAGAATCATCAAGTGACAACCTACATCCGTTTACCATTGAAGTTGGTGTCGCCATCCTGGATCGAACGACTGATGCCACGGTTGGGAATACTACGATATCAGGGATTGCCAACAGCACCGCCACGACAACAATAACACCTGATCATTACACAACAAACAACATCCCAATAGCCATAGGTGTTGGGGTGGCTGTATCAGCTGGCATTCTGCTCATTAGCGCAGCAGTGGTTCTCCTTGTGCAACTTAGAAAGTGTCAAGCTCATCGTGCATTCCAGCAATTCGACTCCAAAAACAGCCATTTGTCGACTCCTCAGAGACATGTAGNNGGACATGTAGAGCTAGAGCACTCCNCTCGACAATTCCAAGGCTTAGGAATACAAGAACTAGATGGGTACCGGTAGCACCATGAACAGGGAAGATCGCGGTGTAAAGGAGTGTAATTGGTCGGTATCGTTTATATAGCAAGCAGAGCATGTTGAGATGCGTAAACAGACTTCATCCGTCATTGTTGAAGACATGAGCAGATTGGAAAGCAAACGAGGAAATCAGTAATGTCAAATGGGATAAATCTCCTCCTAATAGTCGTCTCCGCGAGAGATGACTTCTTTGCAGTTGGGTCTGAGCAGGACAGTCTACGTTCACGTTAGCACATCGCCTAGCGCCCTCCACACAAGTACACTTACATGCTCGAACTGAGCGATATAAGATCCAGGGATATCGACCAAAGGCGCATAGTCCTCAACGACGCCACTAGCAATGAGTGACTTCATACCTAGATGGTAGTTCTTCACGCCCAAATGCTCAAGGTAGCGCCGGGAGAAGACGAGTGTCCCAAAGTTATCATCGATGGTCTTGAGTAACGACTTGGCCGATGCAAACTGCAGGCCTTTAGGACGAGCATTTTCGTTGCGACCATAGCCGTAGATACCAATGTCGTCTGTGAGGTAACCATTTCCGGTGGTACCGAAGGTCTCGATGGCAAAGATGTCGCCTTCCTCCATGCGTTGGTCTGTCTCGGTCTTGACGAAAGGAACCTGCTTGTCGCCATGGATCTTGTAGCGTAAGATGTTGTGGCCAGTGATGTTTCGGACCGCTTTGACAGGGATGGTCTTGCCGTTGAGTTCGACCTCGTAGCTCTCCATGACTTCTTGAACGTCTTCGCTGATTTGATCGATCCTGGCATCGATACCAGCTTCCNNTAGAACCACTGAGCTCGCGTACAGACATTTGCGTTCGAGTCGACTTACCTTGAGTCCAGTATTGGTGGCTCCCTTGACAGCAGTGAGCAAGTTGTCATAGACAGGATTAGCAGCCACGGTAAACGCGCTGTCGACAATGCGGCCGTTCACGTGGACACCAAAGTCCACTTTCAGGACATCGTCATACTGAAGCACGACTTCCTTGCCTCCGGGGTTGGGAGTCCAGTGTGCCCCAACATTGTTCAGGCACAAGCCAGTGGGAAAGCCCATGCCGGCCTTGAGTGCATCTCCGGCCTCAAGACCTTGATGGCCCACCAATGATCGGACGCCTTCTTCAACCTCGTCGGCGAGCTGGCTCATCGTGACACCTGGTTTGGCGATTGTCTGTACGTACTGGCGGACTTGGCGATGGACCTCGGCGGCCTTACGGTAGTCGTTCAGAAATTCATCGTCCATGTTTTTGATGGCATCTTGATGACGGAGCTCTGCACAAGTGGTTCGCTGCAGATTGTCGTTGCGAGGTGTGTACTCGACAATCTCGCCCTCGGGGTACTTGTTGCCATGGAAAATATTGGCAAGCGCGACCCTGGGTGGTGCTGTCTGCTGGCCACCACGAAGCTTCTTCTTCTTCTTGTTCTTTCTCTTCTTCTTAGTCTTGTCTGAGTTGTAATCAGAAACAATGCTNATTTGTTCAGGCTGATCTGACTCACTGTTGTCGGTATTCAAGTCGCATCCAACGCGGTCGTCTCCTCCATCGCCGTCACCGTCTTCATCCTGCCCTTCAAGCACACCGGAAACGAGGCCAGTCGCTGCTGCTGGCTTGGGAGGATTGATGTCGGCAATTGCATCAGCGGACGATCCTAATTATGATATTAGAAAATGCATAATCAGATATTGAGATATTTGCATACCATCTGGATCTTGCTGATGCTCATCTGGTGTTTTAGAACCCATAATTCGCTTCTGTCTGTACTCATACAGAACCTCCAATTGCTATGGTTGTGGGTGAAGGAGATAGGTAGCACGAGAGCACGGTTGTCGGGAGATGAATCCCGCATTGGCGCCTGATGACTAAAGTCCTGGTGAATCCTTCGACGAACAACAAAAATGAAGCAGCCGCGGCAACATCGTGAGAACAAGATGGTATACTAGCAGAACACTATTCGATAGTCCAACCAAAAAGATCACAAAACATACAGCAGCAGGGATTCCCACGTGGTCACCCACCGTAGTACTAATCTGCCGTTCAACTGCTTATGTATGGCAGAGCGGACGGGATGCCCAGTTGACCCACTTCCGTTCCGGGAAAATTATCCTTAAACCTTCCCAGTTAGGGGAATTATGCACCAAATCGTCCAGCTTCCGGGCTTCGGCTGCCTATAAGAAAGCTCGGACCGCCTACTTGGATCTCGGTTCTTGGTCATCTTCGGTCGGCGAAGACTACAACGCCCAATTCTAGGACACTAGCCTGTTTGTTAAACCGCTCGTCGATTTCACGACACATCTCGACAGCGTCGGTCCGCCCGTGCCGTGCTCTCTAACTCATCTAACCCTACACATATCTAATTTTAACAGCTTAGCAAGTCCTGCTCGTCTTCGTAATAATGCGCCTATGCTAGCTCGTCCATCCGCGCCCTAAAGGCAGTCATCGAGCTAAAGCAGTAGCCGCATAATGTCTAGTCCCTTATCGAAGTCTAGCACCATTTCCGCATACTTTTAAATACCGGCGTCGCCCCTATCTGCTAGGCTTATCCCGCTCGTGCTATCTTTCTAGAGTTTAGGACAAAAGAAACACCCTTATTATAGACGAGGACGATATGTTTACGGACCTTAGAGAGGCCGTCGCTACCGACTCTTATATGCTCGACATAGTGTCGATTAAAGAAATTGTGTATAAGGATCGGTTTAAGAAGTTTAAAGCTCTAGATAGGGAATAGCAAGAGTACGTATATCCTATAAGGCTATGTTCTCTTATTAAATGTAAGCTAACTACTCCTAAGTTTCTCTTTAGAAGTCCTAAAAGTTAGCGCATCGAGCGAAGAGCCATTTTCTAACCTACTAGTTAAGAAGTATCGCCTAATTATCGGAAGGTAGAACAGCCGGAGGGAATAGGTATTAAGGGGTGGAACTAATCGTATGTTAATTAAGTTAGTTAACTACTATTATAATCTAGAAGTTCCTATGTTACGGCTTCTCCGCATTACATAACTTCCTCTTACTATATCTATTACCCTAACTGCTATGTTGTAACACTCCTCCTTAGTCTAGACGGCGGATGTTAGTAAGACCTAGCTAGCTAATAAACCTTATAAAGTCAGACTTCGGTAGTAGCTTTATAAAGCTATCTATAACCATGTCCTTTATTCCTATAAACTCGACATCGATCCTATTTCTCCTATGCAAGTCCCTAACATAGTAATATGTAACATTAATGTGTTTTGATCTCTTATAAGTATGGGCATCTCTAACTAATAATAGAGAGGCTTAGTTGTTACTAAACAGCTTAACTAGTAATCTAATAACAAAACTTTGCTCCTCTTTTATAGTTAGTTAATACTAGTTATAACTAATATACTTACTATAGCCTATGTCTCGTAGAAGTTAAGCTAGCCATTAGGACTGCTTTATAGCCTAGTATATAGCCATATACTTAGCTTCTATCGTTAAAGTTATAACCGACTTTTGCTTCTTACTAGACTAGCTAATAGGGCAGCTAGCCATTATAAACACATTACCTAGGATAGATATCCTGTCTATCTTATCCATTACGTAGTCTAAGTTAGAGTAACCGATAAGTTGTTATATGCTATCTACATTAAACTCTAGACTAAGGTCTACTATTAAACGTAGATATCTTATAAGAGATTTTAACAGTTTAAAGTGTCCTTCTAATAGGTCTAACAGATATTAACTTAGTCTTCTAATTGCAAATGCAATGTTAGGTCTAGTTAGAATTGCTAGATAGATAAGGCCGCTAATAATCTTTTAATATTCCTTCTAGTCTACTCTCTTATCTTATGGACTAGTTAGTTTTAATAGATCATATCTATTTAGTAGGATACTAATTAGATTAGCCTTTTCCTTATCTATTCCATACCGTAATAGGAGATCCCTAGTATAGTAAGATTAATCTAGAGTAATTATTCTGTTCTTTCTATTACGAATGACTTAGACTCTAAGAATCTTGCTTACTTCTCCTAGGTCTTGTATCTTATAGATCTCTCTAAAGTGTTTCTTAAACCAGTTAATGTTATCCATCTGTTTAGCTCTAATTAGGATGTCATTAACATAGACTAGGATAAGAATTCCTTTCTCTAGATGTCTTAGAAGGCATAGGTTAGCATCTGTCTAAATGAAACCCATCTTTTATAACGACTCTATATAGCTTTAGTTCTAGTCTCTTATAGCTTGTTTTAGGCCATAGAGTAATCTTAGGACCTTAAGTACATAACCTAGTAGAATATCCATTCCCGGTAGTGCTACTATGTAGATCTCCTCCTTTAATGTTAACTCTATAAAGGCATTATTAACATTAATAGCATAGCATTTAAGATCCTCTATTATAATAATTGCAAGGAACACTCGTAGAGTATTATGGCGGAGAGTAGGTGCAAAGGTGTAGTCGAAATCCACTCCGAACTTCTAGGTAAACCCTCTTATAACGAGGCGTGCCTTTAGCTTTTATAACGAACTATCTAGGTTATGTTTTATAGCAAGTACCTATCTACTTATAATAATGTTTACTCCTACTAGTGGCTTAGTGATTTTAAAGGTTCTATTTACCTATAAGGCATCTATTTTAAGCTTAAAAGCTTCTTACTATAATGGTCCCTATATAGGGTTATTAATTGTAGCTTAATATAACTTTAGAATAGGTATTTCTTCCTTTGCTAAGAAAGTAGCTATAAAAGCGTAGTGCAAGTCATTAATCTAATCGTTATCTATAGGGTCGATCCCTAGACTTAGAAGATTAATTGTAAGCATTACTCTATATAGCTTAAAATTAGGTTGCCCTTTAGGTATGCTATATTCTTCTCTCATTCTCTTAGACACTCGAGGAATCTCGACATAAGAGAGAACATTTCTCCTTATAGGTGTTATAGGTACTAGGACCGTTGTTATAGCAGTTATAGGTAAAGACGCTTACGTCTCCTCCTAAAATTTAACGTCGCTCTCCTCTACTAGCTCTAAATCATGCTCCTCCTAAGGGCTAACATTGTTATCTACCTTAATTTGCTCTAACTTTTAGGTATAGTCCTTATAGAGATGTCTTTTATGCTCTAGAAATGGCGGGATCTCGACTTACGGCTTAGTTTTCCTTATTACAGTAGTTATAATCGGTAGTACTATTGTTGCATCTATTATAGGTAACTGTTATACTTGTTATAACGGTGGCCGGCCTCTTAGATTTCTTAGTAGAGCCGTATTTAGCGTAGCTCTTCTAGGAAGACCTAGTTATAGGTCTCCTCCTTATTTATCTTCGAAGAAGTCCGCTCTATAAGATTTAATTACTTTCCTTATATCTAGAGCCTAAAAGAGCCACTGTTTTGCAGTTCTATTAACGTATCCTAGGAACATATAGTGTCTTCCTCTATCCATGAATTTATCTCTCCTAGTGCCTTACGGTAGAGAGTCTAGATTTATGTATAAGACAGCTTAATAGCCCTAAACTCTTAGATGGTTAATTAACGGCTTAATTCTAGTAAAGGCTTCTTCCGGACTAACTTATACTCTATTAATAATTAGGCCATTTAAGACTCTATTTCTAATGTAAACATCTGCTTATATAGCTTCTACCTATAGTTCTACTAGCAAATTTGCATCTTTAAGCATAGCTCTTATGCCGTTCTAGATTATCTAGTGTAATCTTTTAACTACGCCATTTTAGCTTAACATATAGTAGATAGTTAATTCGTATTACACACCTAACTCTTATCTCTAGGATTTAAACAAGTTCTTAAGTTCTAGTGCATTATTAGATCTTACTACTAGGATTTTTAGATCTGTTAAAGTCTTAACTTCCTTCTTTTATTAGTTAAGAATAGGAGTTGCATCTAACTTTGCTCTTATAGGGAAGATCTACGTCTTTCTTAAGAAGTTGTTAATAACCGAAATGAAGTAGATATATCCTTCGCGGGATTCTAGCATCTAACTATAGGTGTTAATATAGATAAGTTTAAGGATTCCCTCTTTTCTCTTACTTATTATACCTCTCTTATTTCTAATGTTTATAACTAAGCAAACAATGCATTAATAGTTAGACATCACCTTAATTAGCTTCTCTAGAGTAGTAACTTTATGCAAGTTTCTAATCTTTTAGGTCTAAGGTAGGTAATTCTTCTATGCTATAGTTAATACTCCTCCTAAGCCTTAGGACTTAGATCCTCCTCCTAAGGGGAAACTGTGGCATAGAGAGCTAGTTGCATAGCGTTACTCGTAATTAGTGTTATAATAGGACTTAATTTCCCTAGTGCTTACTATAGATGAACTTCGGTAACGACATAGACTCTAAATCGAATAGTGCCGTACATAACCTTGTTACTAGTATGTTTGTTAAAGACCTATAGATTATAGAAGTTAAATCCTCCTTCTAAACTTAGCTAGCGGTAGAGAGATCTTATAGACAATAGACTTACGTCTAGTCCCAGAATAAACAAGGTATTTTGTAACTCTAGTTCTCTCCCCTTTTCATCTCTTAAGATTGCTATACCTATAGAATTAGAGTGTAGAACCCCTCCTCCGACACGGATGTACCTCCTACTAATACGAACTAGCGGCCCTCTAAAACAGTCGTTCTTATTAGTTATATGTAAACTAGCACCGCTATCTATATACTAATAGGAGGGGTTCTTACTTATAACATCCTTTAAAAGGTAAGCAATCTTATTAGACACTTAGTCGTTAAAAGAGACGGTCGTAGGAGACTTTAATGTAGACGAGCTAGTTATAGAGAC